GGTTATTTACGGGGCCTGGACGACTTAACCAACCAATATCACGAGTCGGTAGCCCGAATGTACATTAACCGAATGTGGAAAAAACACATGCAGGTGGAAACGGAAGATAAGGAGGAGGAAATGCATCTGAAAGCAGTAGGAAAATACGACTATGTCATTGAGCACGATCGGGAGAAAATAGAAAGCAAAAAGGAAAAAACCGAAGAAGAAATGGTGCCAAACTACTATCATGATTTCATGAAAGTATTTCGAAAACGGGACTCAGAAAGGATGCCGGCGGCAAGACCATGGGACCACGCGATCGAGCTTACGCCGGACTTTGTACCAAAGGCCTCAAAGGTGTACCCACTATCGCCAATCGAGCAACAAGAACTCAACGACTTTCTCGACGGCAACCTAAAAAAGGGGTACATTAGACCCTCCAAATCCCCACAAACCTCACCAGTATTCTTCGTGCAAAAAAAGGATGGAAAAAAACGATTGGTACAGGACTACCGATACCTAAACAAATACACTGTGAAAAATGCATACCCATTACCTCTGATTTCGCAACTAGTAGACAAAGTATCTAAGGCTCGCTTATTTACCAAAATGGACCTCCGATGGGGGTATAACAACGTACGAATAAAAGAAGGAGACCAGTGGAAGGCAGCGTTCCAAACGCCACGAGGGGCGTTCGAACCAATGGTCATGTACTTCGGACTTAGCAATTCCCCTTCCACGTTCCAAACCATGATGAACGAACTTTTCAAAGAACTGATTGACGAAGGCCTTGTAGTTATCTATTTAGACGATTTACTTATCTTTACGGACAATGATGTACAAAAACACCGAGAAGTAGTACGACGGGCTCTGAAGATTCTTGAAGACAACGATTTATATATAAAACCAGAAAAATGTGCATTCGAAGTAGACGAAGTCGAGTTTCTAGGAGTAGTAGTGAAGGACGGAAAGGTGCAGATGGAAGAGGCGAAAATAGAAGCAGTAAAAAACTGGCCGGTTCCGAAGAACGTGCAACAAGTGCAACAGTTCTTAGGATTCAGCAACTATTACCGACGATTCATAAAGGACTTCGCCACCGTCGCTAAACCGTTGCACGAGCTCACCAAAAAAGATGAGGAGTTTGTATGGAACAAAAAGAGACAAGTAGCTTTTGAAAAGCTTAAAAAGCTGTTCACTGAGGAACCAATCCTGGTACTACCGGATACAGACAAGGAAATGAAGATCGAAGCAGACTCGTCGAACTACGCATCAGGAGCGGTACTCTCAATGCTATGTGACGACAACAAGTGGAGACCATGCGCCTTCCTGTCTAAAGGGTTCACGGAAACAGAACGAAACTACGACATCCACGACAAAGAAATGCTGGCTATAATTCGGGCCCTGGAGGCATGGCGACATTACCTAGAGGGAAATAGTCGACAATTTACAATATGGACGGATCACAAAAACTTGGAATATTTCATGACTACCAAAAAACTCAACAGACGCCAGGCGCGATGGGCACTGTATTTATCACGGTTCAACTTCCTATTAAAACACAAGCCAGGAGCGTCGAATATGAAAGCAGATGTCTTGTCGAGACGACCAGACCTTGATAGGGGGGAAGAGGACAACACGATGATTCTACTGAAACCAGAGTACTTTCGAATCAAAGCCATGCAACAAGGCCACGTCTTGATCGAAGGACTGGAATCTACCATCTTGTCGAAAATCAGAAAATCAAAAAATTACGATGAGTCGGTGGTAAAAGCGGTAACGGAGCTGAAAAGATCCCCGACGAAGGTGCTGAGGGAGGCGGAGTGGTCAGAAGAGCAAGACCTGGTGCTATATCATAGGAAGGTATACGTACCCAAAGACACGGAGGTCCGAAGGGAGATCGTAAAACTGCACCATGATTCAACGGTGGCAGGCCACCCAGGAAGATGGAAGACAATCGAGCTGGTCTCACGAAACTACTGGTGGCCAGGAATGAACAGGTTCATAGCGGAGTATGTCAAGGGATGCGATCAGTGTCAACGAAGCAAAGCCTACTCGCGACAACCACAGGGAAAGCTTCAACCCAACCCCATCCCATCAGAACCATGGACGGACATCTCAGCAGACTTCATTACCAAACTGCCGAGGTCACAGGGTTACGACGCAATCCTGGTAGTAGTGGATCGCTTCACCAAAATGGTCCGTCTAGTACCAACCACCGAAGAACTGTCATCATTAGGTCTAGCTAAATTATATCGGGACCACGTCTGGAAGGACTTCGGCCTACCCACCACTATCATATCAGACCGAGGACCCCAATTTGTGTCACAAATGATGCAGGAACTAAATAAATTATTGGGAATTCAGACACGGCTGTCCACAGCCTTCCACCCACAGACCGATGGACAAATGGAACGAGTAAATCGAGAAATCGAGACTTACTTACGAATGTTCATCAACCATAGACAAGACGACTGGGCGGAATGGCTGGCGATATGCGAATTCTCCCTAAACAATAAAACTCAAACGAGCTCCAGGCAGAGCCCGTTTTTCCTAAATTACGGACACCATCCACAAATGGGGATCGAACCACGGAGAGAGTCAAAAGTGGAGGCCGCCGATGACTTTGCCAAACGAATGACCCAAAGCTGGGAAGAAGCACGGTCAGCTCTGGTAAAAGCAGGGGAGGAAATGAAGAAGTACGCGGACCGACGAGTAGGGGAGATGCCGGAGTACAAAGTGGGGGATAAAGCCTTCATCTTTACCGATAACTTAAACACGTCTCGACCCTCACGAAAACTGGAGCAGAAGAAAATCGGACCGTACGAAGTAGTCGCGGTACCCACAAAAAACGCGGTAACCCTTAAAATTCCAAAAACATTATCTATTCACCCCACGATCTCCACCCACCGAACGGAAAAGGCCAACATGCCAACGATACCAGGACAAAAAACACCACCACCCCCGCCGGTACGGATCCAGGGCGAGAACGAGTACGAAGTCGAAAATATTCTAGACAGCCGACTCAGACGAGGACGGCTAGAATATTTGGTCAAATGGAAAGGGTATACCGATGAGCACAACACATGGGAACCCGAGAAGAACCTCGAAAACGCACCCGAACAAACTCGGGCGTTCCACTCCCGACATTCCGCAGCTCCACGTCGGATTGCGGTAGCGGTATTCAAGGAACTGATCTGGAAACCAAAATACGTATTCACCACCCCGACCATCAGTAAAACAACCAGAATCGACGAACCCGAGGGGAGCGCTGATCCACCCGACACACCCGACAGCAACAAAAACAAACATGGCAATCAAGCCGGCTTGCTCAGCGGAGGAGAAACGGTCCCAAATGGGGAGTCGAGGGATGAGGTCGTCAAAGGAGATATTGGGCATCAGGAGGTAGTGGTTTCGTCAAGTGGAATTGACGAGTCCTAGAAGGGGGGTGATGTTATGGTCCGGTTTGTTCCGAATGTTATCTTTTTCGATATCTTATCTAAACGCGCAAGACGCGCCTATTACTAATTCACATTATGGTACCTTAGTAAGATCCTCGCGTATAACACATGTCCGCAGTACATTACCAAGCTCCTCGTGGAATCGGTGCGCGTTCCATGGAAAGACGGCTGCAGTAGGCGTGTAATAGTACATGAGGATTACGCATGTAGTTCAGTATTTAAGTACCAATAACATCCCCAAGAACGCTAGCTCGTTCTCTTGGGATTTCCACTAGTAATAGTGAGAACTAAGTCAACTAAGCTACTTCATCTATTCTTTTGGTTTTAGTATTCTTGTAGGAGCCACGTTAGTCTTTGACTAGTGTCGCCCTAACACATCACTCGGGCCAGACGCCTTACATGCTTTTGAAATGAACAAATCAAACGGCGGCAAACAACGACACCAGAGAGACACAGTCATCCCAATGAATAATCCAGTTGTCAAACTTCGTGGAAAGCCTCGGCCGATGAAACTTCCGAATGGCCAGCCAAAGGGATTGCAACAGGTTCTCGAGGAGCGTGGATTTGATGTAAAGGGGCTCAAGGCAAAGTGCAAGCCGGTGTGCCCGTTCAAAAACAAGGGGTGCTGTATGGCATGGCTTCTCAGCCAACAAGACGACTTCGCAAATCAAACATCGTTGTTGGAGGAACTTATCCGCAAGGCCGGACACGAGTGCATCTTTTTGCCAAAGTTTCATTGTGAACTGAACCCAATTGAAATGGTAAGCTAGGTCTTAGAAATATAGACAAAACTAACTAATATATACAGTATTGAGGGTGGTGTAAATACCGTTACTGTCAGATACCCAAACGGACATTTGAAGACACAAAGCAAGCTGCCCTTCAGTGTTTAAATTCCTGCCCTACGGATGTAATCTGGCGGTTCGCTAATCGTTCCTGGAGGTTTATGGATGCATATCGAAAGGGTCTATCCGGGAATGCGGCTGCTTGGGCTGTGAAAAAGCAGAAGGGACATCGGACGGTGTCGCAAAGGGCAATGCTATCTATTGAAGCGGTCCTAAATTAGTAGTTTAGCGCCTATATAATGTCGTTCAAACTCACCAAAATTTTGGCGGATCCTTATTTGTCGTGGGAAAAACTTCGGAGATGTGTTTTTTGACGTATTTTCCTCTTCTGAGTCTGATCCTGCCCTCAGATTTGCCTCAAATGTGTTCGATCGTGAGATACCAGAGTTGCTGTGTTTGATTGTCCGCGACTGTACTTACACCGAGCCAATGCACGCCATCTGCCTGAATGAGTGTGAAGAGACTCGGGCACGGGTTGGCAGAGATCATTCTGGTTGCCAGGCTGTGGATTATACATATGGACTTGGCCTGGGAGGCGAGGTTACCGCTTGATTTCTCCTTTCCTCCCATTCGACGTTCTGTTTGTGCGCCATTATACCCACTGGTTGGCGTCGCTCCATTATTCTGCCCTTTATTGTACTCCAGAGCGCCTCGCTTCCTTCTCTTCTCCTTCTCCTCCACTTTTATTCACGTTCGTTACGACCATCCCTTCTTAATGTCTCCTAGACTTGTTGGACGCCTTCCTGCTGGACAGGCTCGCCACATCGACCATGCAAGGCGTCAGATTGTTAGCGGCTCGCTCACTGGGCCCATTACAATCACTGTCGTTAGGCCCATATCTTCGACTTCTAGCCCACCTTCGACTTCTAGTGCGCCGGGAACTGTCACCGTGACGACGACGACTACGCGCTCGTCATCGAGTGCCGTGTCAACGACCACCTCTTCAACTTCCTCGTCCCCGCCTACCCGATCCCTGGAGACTTCCTCTGTCTCTTCCACCACGAGTTCACTTGCCTCAGGCTTCCCCGTAGCCATGGAAGGCGACACCGGCAAAGGTGTAGAAGGTTCGAGCAACGGTAGGGATTCGAGTCCTCAGCGAGGTGGTCTACCGGCCGGTGCCATTGCAGGAATCGTCATCACCATCCTCCTCGTCCTTGCTGCACTCACCGTGTTCCTGGTGCGCAAACGGATGGCAGCCAACCGCCAGAGCCGGTCACGCAGTTGGAAAGACAACATGTTCTCCAAGGGGATCAACAGCGAGAAGTACAATGCAGGGGGCGCAGGCTATGGACGGGAAGAAGGTGTGGGGGGAACGATTACTCCGTATGCGTTCTCTCCACAACCGCAGACGCAACATAAATCCACCCCGAGCAAGTCAATCCCCCGAGTCCCCGTCCCAGCCATGCCGACAACGTCTTACAACAATCCCCCCACCGCGGGGATCGTCCCTACGCCTACCGGCGAATGGCCGCGATCCCCTCCAGTGGTCAACGGGCGAACGGTCGTGTCAACATTCATCCCATCACTTCCTGATGAAATGTCGATATCAATGGGTGAAACGGTGCGGGTTCTAGCGGAGTACGATGATGGGTGGGCGTTGTGCATGAACGGACGAGGTGAACAGGGCATGGTCCCTCTTGAGTGTCTGGGACAAGATAACAGCACACAGCAGGCCTATGTCGCTCGGGATCCAAGTGTGGCGCGGCGTGCCAGCAGCTTGACGGGGTCGGGGTCGGTCCGACGGATGTAACATTGGTGTAGTATTCTTTACCACAATCCCCCTACATATAGCAGGGCCTGCGCGTTCCCGGCAACGCCCAGCGCACCCGCGTCCATTCACTCACTGTAGCTATCACTCGATGCGATACTTCCCCCTTGTTAGCGTGCTGTACTCTGGTTTCGTGAGCCGCTTCTGCTTTTACCGGTCTAGATGTAGGACTGCCCATTAATTATGTAGTTTGTCGTATGTACCTTTTTGTAGTGTACATTACGAGACAGTTTATGTCTAGGTGCAATCTGTGTGGTAGCGTTACGGGATCTTCTATGGCAATGCACTGCCCCTGACGATTCACATCAGTGTCGGTGTTGGTGATTGGGCTGCCCCTGACCACCGTCCATCTCCACGAGGAACTCGTATAATGCCAGACTCTCTTTGACAGAAGACTCCCAATTCCACAGCGGGACCACCGACAAATCCGACACATCCAGCACCGACGACCGACGATGAGCAACGCCAGCAGCGCCCACGAAGAGCCCACCGCCAGTGGCAGTGGCAGTGGCAGCAGTTCAAACTCTAGCGACAGCGGCCACCCGACTCCATTGAAGCCCTCGTCCGGGAACTTCATGGAAAGCTTCATGGCGTCTATAGGCTCAGAACGTGAATGTGAAGGTGCGTTATCTCTAGCTGCGCTCCAAGGCCACTAGTTCAACAGCACCTTTGTCACAGAATTCGCTTTCCAGCTTTTGGCGTCGTTGCCAAGGTCGCATCTGGCGACCATACGCCGCCGAATAGCCCCCCTGCTTCAATTCGACCTCGTTGGCGTATGTGCTCTCCTTGTACCTGGCACAGTCATCTAAGCTCAAACGCGTGTCGTTTTTAGTCTTTGCCCATAGAGCTGGCGCTGCAGGTGTTTTCACATCTCACGGCACAGACACTCTGGACATGTGCGCTGGTCAATCGCCGGTGGCGGACCCTCGCGGATGACCCTGCGCTGTGGAAGGCGTTGTGCGACGAGCGGGGATGGGTCTGGAAGGACTCGGCGAACGCAAATGGCTTTGAGGCGAATCGGACGCTGCAGATAGGCTCGGAGCCTTGGGATGATTCCGACGACGAGGGCATGGGAGCCTCCGACGAGGAGGACGAAGAGGAAGGCGAAGCTACTACTACGTCTGTGCTAAGCGAAGTCGAAAAGGCGAAGATCATGTTAACGCAAATGCATGCCGAGCTGGACTCTGGCTTCGCGAGTATGTCGACGGCGGGTGGTTCGTCATTTCTGGGGAGCCTGTCCTTCACTTCATCATCGACGGCATCCGGTTCTGGTTCTAATTCTAACAACGCGACGCATTTGCCTGCCAGGCCGACCATCTTTCATCCGGCCGGCACGTTTCCAGCTCATAACCCGGAACCTTCGATCTGCGAACCAAACTACAAGCTACTCTATCAGACCCATATACGGTTATACAATCGCTTCGTTTCCTCCTCGTATAGATTGAGAATCCTACCTAAACGCGGACGCGAACGATTTTCCAACGCGCACACCAACACCATATATTGTCTTCAGCTATATACGTACCCATCGGGTAAACAAGTTTTATTCACGGGATCTCGGGACCGCACCGTTAGGGAATGGAATTTACAGACGGAGATGGTGGAGAGGGTTATTAGCGGGGTGCATGAAAGCTCAGTTCTCAGTATATGCGTTCACAATGGTTTTCTGGCCAGCGCGGGCAGTGACAGGCGGGTCGCGGTGTGGGACTTGACCAGAGACAGATTGGTCAAGGTAATCTGTGACCACGATGACAGCGTCCTGTGTGTACGCTTTGATGACGAGAGACTCGTTTCGTGTTCAAAAGGTGGCGTTGTTTCCTTACCTCTAACGGCACCGAGGAGCTCATACCCGCATAATAGATCGGACGGTGAGAACGTATACGTTCCCGGACCTCATTCCGCAATTTGTCCTTGGGGCACACCGCGCCGCAGTCAACGCGGTGTCAATCTCCAAGTCGCTCATTGTCTCCGCCTCTGGAGATCGATCGATTCGACTCTGGGATACAAGGACGGGCGCACTTCTCCAAACCTTCGAAAACCACCATAGTCGAGGGTGAATATCTCTACCCCATCGCCTGTGAAAGCGACTCACATTGCTGTATAGAATTGCTTCCATCGACTTTAAGCCCCCATTTGTGCTGTCTGGTTCCTCTGACAAACACCTTCGTTTCTTCGATGTGACGTCTTTGAAAGGATGGTCAACCTCCCCAGAGCTTCACTACGAGGGAAACACGGCCGCCGACGCTGCACCACCCTTGCCACTTCCGACACTCGATTCCAATTGGATCAACCTGATGATGTGCCAGGCGTGCGGATGCTTGAATTCAGTGAACACCATGGAAGGAGGTACCTGTGACGCTGTTGGTCTAGGCGCCTCCGCAGTCCGAGCCGGACCTGCTACTGCATCTTCGGCCAACAACTGTGCCCCTCATAGGGATCTGGTGAGAAGTGTCGCCCTCGGCGAGCATTTCGTACTAAGCGGCAGCTACGACCTGAGCATCAAGGTACGTCGTCTATCACTGGATGTTGTGCTTATCTCGGTGCTGCATGAGGTGCTCCGTCGGTTGACTGCGTCGATATTTAGGTGTGGGACCGCAACACGGGTGCACTTGTTGCTAATCTTAAAGGAGGTCATACGGGCAGGATATTCTGTATTGGCTTTGATTGTGCCAAGGTGAGCATATACATCCCACACAGAGGCAAAACCATCCTCGAACCTTTCTTGGAGGATTTTGTCTTCGGCTGTTCTCATAACTAATTTATATTTGTGTTCTTATCGCCGTAGATTGTCTCATGTGGAGAAGACCAGGTGCGTAGTTCCGTTCGTGTGTCCTGACCCACTGTTTTGCTCATCAATCCTTGTCCATGTCTCTGGGTCAATCCACTATCTCTAGAGAATCTGCATCTGGGACTTCTCTCACGGCATAGATACATCTTTCATTCAGCTACAATGAATTGCGTTATTGGATTACGGAAACCCATTCCACGGCACGGAAACCTCTTCACCTCATTCATGTCTGTTACCATTTATGACACTTTCACGGAATTCTTCACGACCAGAGTAACGTCTCCATCACATGTCTGTATCTTATTATAACTACGGCATTTGTCTACATCAGCTTGATTCACATAGTGTGCGTTCATCACGGTAGCAAGATTACTGATTGAGTCAAGACGACGAACCAAGAGATATTCATCCCAGTGCAGTGGGTCCTCGTGTGATCGAGGTGCAGGTATGACGAAACGGCCCTCGTAAACCTGTGGAGCGTCAAGAACTTGATTGAATGGACGGGGAAATTGACTATTCCGAGTCGGAATCCGACATCAGCATGTCTTCTTCGCCATCACCCTCGTGAGCATCAATTGACGGAGGGAGTTGAGGGGGAGGTTGGGACGATGGAAGAGGGGGCGGCGTATTGGAAGGTGGCAATGGTGGCGTATGCTCGGGAGGTGGCGGGGGCAAAGGCGGGGGAGTGGATGATGGAGGTGGTGGGAGATCCGAGTCGTTCCATGACTTGGGGTTATGTACAATCTCATACCACATAACATCCCGTATGTACTCCATTTCCTGGGAGCCGAGGTCAAGAGAGTCCTGTGCGAAGGCTGGTTGTACTGCTGGAAGAGCGGTACCATTGTAGATGGGAAGCAGCTCGGATGCGAAGTGGGTGGCTGGATATTTCGCCCATCTCTTGAACTGTAATTGCTGAGATGAGGGGGATGGAGATCTGGTTCCCTCGCTGGAACTTGATGTCTGCATAGTGCTAGAAGAGTCTGAGCTTTCCAATTCGTCGGCACGGAGTTCCTCGTCTTTCGATGGTGATGTTCCGTTCGAGCCAGGAGTACGGTGGTGGGAGTCTAACCCCATATCCGGGATGAAGAGGCGTAAATACACTTGCTCCGGCTCTTCGTCCTCTCCGTATATCTGGAAGGGCTCGTCGTGATGATCATCGTCTGACAGCTCGGGATTATCATCACCAAGCATGATCCTCCTCCGCATTTCCTCCTGTGGATCCAGTGGAGCAGCCCAACCTGGAGGGTACCCCCAAATGGCCATGTTCGCCAACCATTCCTGCGCGGGTGACTCGGCGTCTTGGAGTGCATCGGGTCCCAGCGCTTCAATGAGAAGCTCCCCACGTATCTCGCCAGGAGTGAATGAGTTGACCCATTCGAGCCGTTGCTGCCTCCAGCCCTCGACTTCGTGGATACGTTTGTAGTCGATCAAAACTTGGGATGACTGAGCCTTGGTGAAGTTGTATAAATCACGAGATAGGGCGATTAATTCGTGGTTTCGAGGCTTTGGGCAGTTGTAGACTGCATGCGATTCCACGCCGCAGTTAAAGCATACACGTTTGGTACCGTTGGAGGTTGCTGCTTCGTCATCTTCTACTTCCTGCTCGGAACCGAGAGCGCTGTGGAGATGGTTGCGGTCGTAGACGCCGTATGACTGGAATTGTCCAAGATATATACCCCATGGAGTGAGGTCTGTGAAGTGAGGAAGAACCCTAAGATGAGAATATGTGCCCTCTGTTACTTGGATTGTTGAACTGCTCGCCATCTTCGAGCCTCAGCCTCGTGGCTTTGTAAGTTAGGCTTAGAGAGTAATAGACATTTTTCTGGTTCTACTTGTGCTAAGCGAGGGCAAGGACGGTAACAAAGCTAGGTCGAGTTAGTAGAAGTTGAACGTTGGGTTTTGCCGCCGTTCAATAAGCGCCATACGAAGAAACAACCGTCAACACGAACTGGGAAGTAGACGTCAAGGAAGCATTACATTTCAACGACGATCATGTAGTTGGAGGCAGTAAAATAATGCTATCAACATAGGTGCACTCAAGGTGAGGCTGGCCCTATGAGCCTATGGGAATGAAAACGGATTCGTCGCTCAGTCACTTCCACTTTCGTTGTCCCACTTCACAAACGCGGCCTCGACATCACTTGCGTCCCACCGCCCTTTAACTATTTCTTTCCCTTCTAGGTGTAGCGCTGGAATCCAGTAGACATACTTCTTCTTCCACTTTTCCTGGCCGGTATCCTGAATATTGATCACCTCCAGCTGGAACTGGCGCTGAAAAAGGTGTGCCGTCTCGATCAGCGTTTTGGTTCTGGCAGCGTGATTGGATCATCACTGACTTGTTTCCGTACTTTCTCCAATTCTGCTTTCGCGATATCGCAGAGCGAGCAATTCGGCCCAGAGAACAAGGTCAAGCGTGGAATAGCCCTGGCCACATGTGAGAACCGACGGTTCATGAGTAAAAAGGAATCAAAAAATGGACCCTGCGGTTGCCCTGCTGACAGTACTATAGTACTAGCGCTACCTGCAACTTGGTCCAACACGGAAGTATTTTCACGTGACCTCCACAACTTTCAACTCGACCGTCGTTGGCAACGGTGAGCCCAATGACTCTGCACTAACGATGCCGCCAGCAGATCCATTTTGGCGTGTAAAGTGTATGTGAGGCTTCGGAAGTCCTTTTGAGCTACAATATCTGACCTCAGATTCATGAAATACAGCGCAGCCCTGCCCATTCTACCAACAAGGCAAATGTTTCTTCCAAGAAAACTGCAATTTCCTACACGATGTCCAAACGAATGGGAACCGTACTACAGTGGCAGACGCGGTAGATGCTACTTTGAGACGACGGCGGAGTCCGCCTCCAGCCCCCACTGTCCAGATTCACTCACCGACGCTTTCGGTGCGCTCTTCGCGTCGTTCGCCTCGAATGTCGGGGCTTCTGTTAGCATTGAAGGATGTGATTGGAGATGTGGAAGATGATGATGAGGTCGATGACGATCAAATTCCCGGCGCTACAGAATATCTCTCGCAGCCGCAACCCGACACGTCGAACGCCTCCATTACTCTAGTTCATATACCCCCTGCCAAAATCAAATCGACATCCCCGGACCAATCACCCATTTCTGCAGAACAGAGCATTGGCCACACTTCTTTCCGTGCAACACCCGACCTTCTTTCCCCCGTTGGTTCAGAAGTCTCCAACCTTCCATCCGTGCCATTTCCACTCCGTATCCCATCTCGGGCTTTCCGTCGTGACGACTCTATCGACTCTGGATATGCCGACAGTTGGCATAGCCCACGCCCCCTTGTGCGCTCCCCTCCGCGAAGCCCTGCGCTGTCTTCCACATTTGATATCCTTGTCTCTCCATTTGGTACCCCATCGGCACGAGTTAGAGGGGGCACGCCTGCTCCAGTATCTCCGCTTACGCTCAGCTTTGATGAAAGTGCATCTGCCCCTCCCTCACCAAATTCTGATGACGTCGACTCGAACGTTGGGTCTCCCCCGAGGATCATGGATGACGATGAAGAAGATGGGGATTTCATGCACGACGACTCGTTAACAAGTCGACCGATTGCAATCCAGTTAGGAGGACCAGATAGCTTATCGCCTCCACCTACTCTCGTGGATGTTGATGGTGACTTCATCTCGCAAGAGATAGACGAGCACGGTTCACCTGAGCTTGATCCATTGTCAGCTGCAGAGCGGTCTTGGGACCTTTCTGAGAATAATGCGACGGCCATTTTCAGCCCAATAACTTCTCCCATAAATGAAGGAGCTCTGAATATTCGGCAGTCACTCAACGTCCAGAACCCCACCGAGTGGCTAACTGCAGGCTCGACGAGTTTTAATCAAGACGACATCGCTCTTAACTCATCCCCTTTGCTGATTCCTGTTCACGACGCCATACCCGAGCACCGAGAGACATCCCCTCTTACTCCGGATTTCATACCGCCTCACTCTGCCGTTTCTTCTGAGTCATCCTCAGCATCTGAGTGTGTCACTGCCGACTTCCTCGACGATGAAGACCAGACAGGGACCTCATCGATCTTCAGTCCTACTGCACGTCTAGCGTATATGTCATCGCCCGAGCCTGCTATAAACTTGGCTAGTGGTAGCATGGATGACACCCTTTACTCGTTGTATGATGTTTATACTGCAGACTCACCCAAGGCGTCCCCAACGCCTAGCCTCCCTTCGCCCTTCTCTGACTCGGAAGGTTCCATATTTAACAGCTACACTGATATGGAACCTGTTGCGCCTGTTGGATCACCTGCGTCCACAATCTCGCGGAAGTCCCGTAGCACCGATAAGACTCCAACGAAGGCGACATTCGGTCCACAGAGAGGACGCGTCTTCACGCCGCCTATTCCCCCCTCGCCCATTACTCGAGGCCGATCGGGGACAGTCGTACTCTCCCCAAGCATCGCGCAAACTGAAACACCGCCAGTGCCTTCTCCACCCTCACCTACAGAATCCCTAGGAGAACCCATATTCGCTTCTCCTCCTTCGCCGTTCCATCCCTTCGTCAGGCAGTCGATAGCTAGTGTAATAGCTCCTGATTACGTCGCTTCCAGGCGTGCCTCTCTCCGGTCAACTGGGTCTCAGCATCAGTCTCCTCAAGAGTCAATCAGAGGGACAGCTTCTCCTCTTATGGAGCGAGATTCCTTCTTTTCGTCTCCAGTCCAGGTCGAGGAGCGGTTCCACGAACCTTTTACTAGTCGACGCAGCTCTAGGGGATCAATAGAACACCTTGATGCCGCGGAAGATGCAACAGTGTCTTGGGCAGCTGACCAACATCCCGCTGAAGCAAGTACTGACGTCTTCGCTCAAGGCCAAGCGAACGCGTCGACTTCTCGAAAGAATTCAGTCAGCTCAGGTTATTCCGAAGGCAGCCACCCCTCTTCTCTACGCCGCGAGTCGTTGTCGCGAACAAACGCGGCCGAATCGTCGACCGCTGGCCGGAACCGCCGTTCTTTTTTAAAACCGCTTAGATTAGTGAGTGTATTTTGCGCCGTTAGCGTGTGTATTTCGCTAAAGTGAGACTTGACCACAGTCTACCATATCCAATCTATCATCGTCAATATCTCGTTCGTCGTATATAGCATCTGCTTCCTCTGTCACGCCGTCGTCTCCCTCCATGCATACGCTCTCTTCTGCTCCCCCCATTTATCGTACGTTCTGAGTTTGCGTCAAATATCGTTGTTGACTTGTTCAATAGGCGCATCTAACCGTTCATCTGTCGTTTCTGCTTCTGCATCCGCATCTGTATCATCGTTTCCCCGGAATTCATTGGTAGGTTCCATATTGTTGGCATACTCTGCTCTGACAATCTCTTTTTTCAGATCTCAACCAAGCGCATATCATATATACCCTCCAGTACCGTCAATACCATCAGTGCTCAGCAACATGACGACTATAACGACACAACATCTCCCATGGAACGCAATGACATCCGTCGCTCATCGACTTACGACCTAAATTACCGTCGACAATCTATTCTCAGTTCTCATTCTCGCACTAATGGCAAGACGTGGTCCACGCAATCAAAAGACCTCGCCTCTCACATTCGCTCAAGTTCCATTTTCTCTGAACCGACGGGTCTGTACGACCTAGACGAAGACCCCACCATCACCGAAGATGGCTTCCTTGAATATCAAGACAGTCAGGACGAGCAGATATGCAGACCCCTCCAAACGCCTAATACAGCCCCGCCGACTCGTCCACCCTCTACTATGGATTCACCGCATGCCATTGGAACACCATCTCCCAATCTTATCTTTGCCATTGCGAGTGATGACGTTGACCAAGTCCGTCAAGCGCTCACCCACGGAGACACCAATCCAAACGAACGCTTAGGCCCACAATCGGCCCTTGCATTCACGGTGACAAATGATGCTCTAGAGAATAAGTTGTCGATTGTGAAGACCCTCCTCGCCCATGGCGCCGACCCAAGGGGGCTGGAACAAGAGGTCCAGAAGACCGGCAGTAGACGGGGTTCAAGGGATGAGACTTACGAATCAAGCGCATCAACAACTGCTTCTGCCGACACCAGTGGTTTGGAGCAACTAGACCCCGCTACGAGGTGAGCTCGCGCTCCGGAATGTGAAGGGAAAGCCCGGCTTTGACCATTTTGATCAGATATTACATCAAGAGGGCTGGCGCTGCACACACCCGACAGACATCTGCGCTGATTTATCGCTCGTTCTTCCGTCCGCTGACAAAAGTTCGATACGAAATGGTTGGCCAAGACAGAGCGCTCGAACAGTTGTTTAAGGTACTGAGTATACACTCAAAGCAACTGTCTGTAGCCCCCATTGTAGTTCTGTTGTGTGGTATGCTCGTGTGTTTCCGCTTAAGTGTCGCGCTCATAACATGTTGGACAGGACCCAGTGGACACGGGAAGTCACTTTTGGCGCGTAGGTGTAAGTAGTGTGTCAATCTTAAGTCAATGGCTGTTCACTAAAGTCATATTCAGTTGGTTCGTTGCTTGACGTCCCGACACACACGGTGAACATGACCACTGTGCGATCAACACTTGATCTGTGGCGATCCTATTCATTGAGTCCGTATGAGGTATGTCACTTTATAGGTTTCTGTAACGAGCGGCAATGAAGTGTTCGCCATTAGGAACCTTCCGACTCCACTCTTGCCGAATTCCTGGTGGAAAACGAGGGGAAACGGTGTGTTGTTGTCCTCGATGTACGTCTCACCAGTTTTGTCCGTTCTTCCCATTTACTCATTTCACTCCAGGAGATCGAAAAGACGGAGGATCCCAAAACATTACATTCGTTACTTATGCCTTGGGAACTAGGTGGGTTTCAGACATGCACTTTGCTGCCGGAATAAGCTAATGCGTTTCGCAGGACGTTGTTCCTTTGAAGCTGGGAGTCGGCATGTTGATGTCCGGAATGTTATTTGGCTTGGGACTTCAAACGTCGGACAAGAGCTTGTCTTCGACCATCATGCCGCACGTGCGGAACCGGAGACGTTGATGTCTCGTGAGGAGTATGTACAGCTAATGGCTTTACTGCGTCCTCGCGTATCAGAGCAGCTCGGGGTATGAAATGTCTATTTGGGTATATCATACATCACTGACTTCGGGCGCTGACATAGACATCAATCCTTTCTCGAGTGACCACGGTCTTGCCCTTCGTAACATTTACGATGGATGAAAAGATGGCCATTGCCTCTGAGGCACTTCACACTCTTGCTGGTGATCTACTGAAAACCATCTCTGATGATTCATTAAACATGATAATCAGAGAGGGGGTGGGGAGGTATATACCATCAGAGGGAGCGCGATCTTTGTATAGGGCTGTGTCAGAAATGTTGCTAGATGCAATATGATGTGTTTTACTATTTCCGTCCCGGAAGTGCGGATTGGTTCTTCCTTCGCGTAATACCCCACTCTTCCTCCCTCGCGACGACTCGGTGTTTCGTCTTGAACCTGTTTGCCGCCTAGCACGCCTCCTACGATTGGGTGTTTATGGTGTCACATGGTCGTGCTGATGGAGTCTCACAAGCTCTCTCACACCAGTCCTTTCTATGATTGTTCCTAACACATCGGTATTCCTTCGGTGAGTTTCAATCTTGATGTCTTGACGCTGATTACTCCTTATGAGTTTACGATAGATATCGAGTCCGCTTCCGCGCACATATTCGCATTCAAACGTTTGGGTCAGATGTATCAGTGATGCGCGTTATACTTGCCCTGCTTCCTTTAAATGGAGGACGTGGGCATTCAGTGTCTTCGACTTTTCGCATCCTTGCGATCTCCTGCATCCCCCTCCTTGGCAGGATAAACTCGTGACGGTAGTACTTGGTGTAGAATGAGTCCGGTCGTCCTTTACCACTCCAGACACGAGACTCGTTCCCCTCTCCTCGCCCGAGAGGAGAGCACTGTCAGTATGCCTACTTCACAGGTACCCGTAGTCGTGGGCGCAACGGTTGCAGTTATCGTTGTACTTGTTGCTATCATAGTGGGTAAGTCAAAAGCGCATCCACTATTGCTCCAATTTACTAAAACAGCTTTAGGCATCCTCCTTGCGTGGAGGTATACCGTTCGTAACCGCAAAAAGCGAGAGGCCGCCGAGAAAGCGACTTCGCGCGAAGCGAAGGAGGATGTCTTCGCTGCTCATCCTCCTAATCCCATATTAAGGCCGTACATTCCCCCTGCTGAATCGGGAGTGACATGGGTGCCTCAACTACGTGCCGACAACACCAAGGCCCTCCCCTCCCCCTCCCTCGAAGCCGTCGAGGTGAAAGAGAAAGACTTAGCCGAGCAAATCTCTAACGCAGTCCGCGAGGCGAAATCCCCCCCTCCATCCTACTCTACTGCCAACCTCACGGAGCTCAAGGCGATGAAACAGCTCAATTCCCTGCAATCTTCTCCCGAGTCGTCTCCCGAGTCTTCTCCAGACCATACACCCGAGCCCTCCCCCCAGCCGCTTCGAAGTAGATTCTCAGTCGCCTCACCAGTAGAGGAATCGGTTGAAATCCATCTGCCCAACAAGCCGAAGCGCCGTACGGCCGCCTCTTTACCTCCCACCCCCGCGACACCATTCCTTACCGTCGCCTTCTCCGTCGAGAAACCAGAGACATCCGTTTCCACATTCCCTCCCACACCCTCTCCACGATCGGAATCTTTCCAAAATATCGATGTTCCTTCCAGGCATTCAGTTGCGCTGAAAGGAAAGAACCGCCAGATGGTGGTCGTCCATACGTTCGAGCCCGAACGGGACGATGAACTCGGAGTTGAGATTGGCGAAACGCTGACCCTCGTTCAAGAATTCCAAGACGGATGGTGTCTTGTCCAGCGCCAGGGACAAGATGCTCCCAAGGGCGTCGTTCCAAGGTTCTGCATACAAGACCAAAACCGGCCTACACTTCTTCAGGTCCCAGAATAAGTGCAACATACCGTCTTCCTCCGCTCCATTATTCTACAAGCCTGGTCTAATTTTCGTCCTAAAGACATTGCCCTTTAACTACTCTCACTCGTTTGGCTCAAGCCAGGTTATTTATTGCAGCTATCTATCATTATACGCTTTCGTTCCCAACAAATATCCATTACCCATCACTAGCTTCTCATGCTGGTCATATTACCACCCAGTATATATCCTTAGGTAGTTGATCCTACCGTTGCTACACTGTACTTTCTCCGAGATACCAATCCAAACAGTGAATCCCGAGACTGCGTGAAAGTGCATCTATTAAAATATGCTATTGAGAAGTGATATTGTGGTAATTAGATAGGCCAGAAGATTAGTTCTCAGGTAAAACGTGTTTCCGCCTGTATTTGCCTTGATCCCGTAGCCACTAGATTGATCCATAGGTCAAACGGTATACAAGAAGAGTGACGTGTTGGGAATTACCTGTCGATATTGGTGTAGCGACCCAATTTTTTCTCCTACAATGACCGTGTGTCAGTTGCGGGACATATAAGCCAGGAAAGTTCAAGAAATACCGTAGTAGTCGGGAATGGGATTCGTCGGACTCTGCAGTGTGGGATCCACGCGCTTTTTGGCAATATGTTGGAGAAATTCGCGCTCACGCACATCAATTAACGCGATTGAATTCCTGTTCGAGAATCTCCAGATAGCCGACCCAATTGTAGGCCCTATCAGAGCACCAGCACCTACATGCAGAACGTCCATAAATCCATCAAAGCAAAATATTCAGAGGCAACTCACCCACACATCCCACTGTACAAAAGCCGTAGAACATGAATGGGTCAACTCCCTATCACACACAGTCATCCCCCCGATCCATAGAGGTTGACTATCACTGGCGTACCATTATCAACTTCGTAGGGTCTGTCTCGAGGTTCCCAAAGTATGCCACACCACCGAGAAAGCCTAGTACCGAGGCAGGGATTGTAGTGACCTATATTCGCATCTTTGTGAACTCCCCGCCGACGACAGAAGCAATGGCCACGCACAGCTTGCCATTTTCTCCGGCTACCTCTAAGCTTAAGAAATTCTTGCCAGTTTAGCTGATTCGTGGGGGAAGTAGTAGAATTGAAACGAGTGGCTCTTGCGGATCCAGTTTTGAAGGCAAGTCGTAGACCGCTTGCTCGGTGTAGTAGGTTTCGTTCCAGCAACTTAGCGGACATGACTGGATGGAGAGAGTGGCAAACAACGGCGCATTGTTTTGACGCGCCGATTCCTAAGCGCCTCTGCAGAGTAGCCCCTGACCAGTGACTCCTTCAACGGCAACGGGATCACTCTGTGAAGGCCGAAGGCCACCGCTGGACAAGTCCTCTACGAGCCACGGAGATGTCTTGTACGACCTGCTCGACCTGTGCGGTGTGCAGCGCCTCTACCGCCGCTCGTTCACCGACTGCGGCGACGCCGTTCTCAACCCGAAATCTCATTCCGGCGGGCACCTTTCGCCTTATGCTTCATCTGGACCAACGTTTGGACGGGATATGCGACCACACCCACGAGCAGGATGGCTGGCACCTTATGTCCTCGCGAACGATGTCTTGCTTCGGTTCACGGTCTAGCTTTCTCCTTGAATTGGAATTCCTCATCCAGAAGCATTTCGTAGTCGTCACCTACCAACTAGAACCTGAGTTCGAAGTGACAGCAAGAGTATATCTCGTCCCATATGACTTGTCCAACGTGAAAGGCAGCCTCAGGAAACGACCTACGACGGTGCTCAACCCAGCCAGACGTTACCTCAAAACTCTCATACCAATGCTTTCTTTAAATCCAGTGCACTGGAATTTCGGGTGTACGGATGAGGCTATGAGACCTTTCCATGAACCCCCCGTATGGTGCTCTTAAACATGTCGGAGTCATTACTGAGACGTGTTCAAGTTTAGATTCAATGTACTCTCGCCCAAATATACAGCAACCTTCCATCACCCAATCCACAGCTTACAGGGCCATCGACGGGAACTATCCCCAAGTTATTAGACTTCAGCTTTGACATAGAAGAAACGCTGGGGCTTCGAAGCCGTTTATACCAGTATCAGCGGGAAACCGTCGCACGATTGATTCAACGAGAGGGTGGCAAAGCCTCCATCCCCGATCCCCTATATGTCCCCATAAAAAGCGTAACAGGTACCATATTCTTCTTCCAACCTGGGACATATGAAGTGCTTCAAGAGCGTCCGATGGTAGTGCCAACCACAGGAGGCATTCTGTGCGAGGAACTAGGTAGGTGGATATACATCTCATCTACAGTTCATTCATTGGATAAAGGAACCGGGAAAACGATTATGATTCTGGCGCTGATTCTCGCTACTCGTCACGAACTCAGTACACCTGAAGAATCCATAACCGATGTTCGCCCCATCCTGACATCCACGGCACTAAGGTACTTTCCATCGGCCCCGTACGACCAAATAAGGCAACGATGCGGCAGAGATCGACACGCACTTAACGACGATGATCCTGCAATACGAGTCCCTTCTCTTGTCGAGCTCCTTATCCATGTCAGCCGTACGAGTCCGCAACCAGCAACACGCTACAACGAGGCTTTGGAATCGGCCGGCTTAAATAAACTCATTCGCGCCACTGTGCCATTCTACCACCATTATCTAGGCGACCCGACTGCGTACGAACGTGCACGACGGGACCAGAGTCGCCCAGCGCCACGCACTATCTACTTAACGAGTGCGACGTTGGTTGTAGTCCCTTCCAATTTGATTGCTCAATGGTACAGAGAAATTCACAAACACTGTCAAGTTGAGTTACGTGTTCTGCAAATGCGCACAAATTCTACATTCCCACCGGTGAAGTCTCTCGCGTCTGACTACGACGTAAGCTTTTCTTATACACACATAATTCTTCTATCTAACTGTCGCGCCATTAAAAATAGATTGTGTTGATGACATATGAACGTGGGGACGTCCTACCATTGACGAACTTCGGAATACTGACCGTGGCCACTGTAGGTTTCACCGCCGAAGAAAGATACAAGAATGTCAACAAATTGCACACCTCGCGGACTTGCAAATGTGAAATCTTCCCCCATACACAGGCTCGCATACCAGATTGCCGCTGCGAAGACCTCCCGGTGTCCCCTCTGCTGCAGATACGCTGGAAGCGCCTGGTCATTGACGAAGGCCACGTTTCGTCAAGTCTGAACACCCTGCTTACACCCTTCGTCAAGCTTCTCAGCATACAGTCAAAATGGATCGTAACAGGAACGCCAACGACGAATCTATTGGGCCTCAGCTTTGGATCATCGTCTATCAAAGAACAGAATGACGACACAGACGACGAATGGAGGCCATCAAATTCTCAAGCAATGGTCAGGCCTGCCGAGGGCTCAATATGTTGGACCAAAACGGATCGGCTAGATTTGCAGAAGTTTGGTGCCATGTTGACGCACTTCATCGGCACCCAGCAGTTTCTATCAAACACCAACCTCTACAAAGCTTGTGTCATAGACGCACTTATGGATCCAGACGGTCCTCGCCCCACTGCAGTCCAAGTCATAAACCAACTGATGACATCGTTCATGGTGCGGCACAGGTGAGTATTTATGCCCCCTCAACCGAGATATACTATCAACGTCACGCGCATAAGGATATCAGACATCGAAACTGAAATTACTCTCCCACCGTTACGAACTGATAACATTCTGCTAGACCTAGAGCCAATTGCTGCTAAGTCATATAATGCCATGCAGGCTTCCATTGTTGTCAATGCCATCGATTCACAGCGTACGGATCAGGTATTCTCCGACGATATTCGTTAGTCACATCTGGACTGACAATCTATAATAGGATTATCTCTTCCACCCCAGGGTGAGTGACTTTGTACTTCCTTGCGTAAATTGTCCACATGGCTGCTGTAGAATGCCGCGTCGCTCCAACTCGCAGTAGCGAATTTGTCGCAGTAAGACGCGTGAAAGCTTAGGGTTTCATCATCTATTGCTGACACACGCTCAAGAATCATGTTCTGGGGTACTTCAGAAGATCGCTACAACGTTTTTGAGCTTTCTCAAAACGCCGAGCAGCAGGAACAACGAGCGATTGAACGAGGTAGCAGTCCACAAGATATACAACTGCTCCGCGAAGCTCTGTCCCATGTGTAATATTTCTCGCTGTCCTTCACTGGACCTAGACTGAAGCACACGAGTAGTAAGGCTGCCGTGGTGGACCAGACATGGATTGCCTCGCAGGCGCATCCCGAAATTCCCTTCCAAGTCTTGGATATGCCGGAAGATATATTTGACGCATGGACGGACATTCGACCTGCTTCCGAAGATCAACCAAGGGCGAAACTTATGCATCCATTGCATCTGACGAAGCTGAAACAAGCCCTCCTTTCGCGACCACTTGCACCTATAGATTGGCTCGTTGAGATGGGCCATCAGCTACATAACACCGAAATACGTGACTCTGAAAAGAGCAAGAAGCCACCAGGAAACGGCATTCCCAATCGATCACTGCAAACAGCAGCACCGCCTGTACTACTTAGACAATCACCTCTATCGAGAACAAAAATAGGCTGCTCGGCGTCGAGTAAACTCAACTACATCATCAATGAGGTTGATTCTCTTCTACTGTTGTCGTCGTTCCTGTTCAAAGATACATTTGTTGGATAGGTCTTGCAGTACAGCCCGACGGAGAAGTTTCTGATATTCTCCCAGTCTCCTCTAACACTGGCACACGTTAAGGATGCGCTGGATCTAGTTCACGTTCCATACGTTCAATTCACAACTCAAGTCAATGTTCGTACCCGAGAGGAGCAAGTCGTCACGTTTGAAACATCTGAAACGCACCGGGTGTTTTTGATGGAACTACGACATGGTGCTCGAGGACTGTGAGTCGTTACATTGAAAGCGTTTGCTGCCGGCATCTGAACATAGCTTTAGGAATTTGATATCAGCCTCTCGCGTCATATTCTGTGAGCCCGTGTGGCAGGCTGATATTGAGAGTCAGGCTATAAAGGTAGACCCCTCGAGATCTATCATTACTTCGTCTACTTACTATACTACATAGCGTGTTCATCGTATCGGTCAGACAAAGCCCGTCCACGGTATGTCCCTATCCCCCTACTCCCTATCCCCTGTCCCTAACCCCCGATTTCCCAGTAAAAACGCTTGTAATCCGCGACTCTGCTGAAGAGTATATGATTGACAGACGGGCGAAGCTTAAAGGCCAGACGAGCAAAATCCCAAAGATGCTTGAAGAACAGGGTATGCGATACTTCATCATGGTTTGCGTTTTCTTTTTGTACAGCTCCCAGGAGACTCATGGCGGAGGATATGTAGCACCCCAAGTTCATCAGTACGCCACCCAGCCTTCTAACGAGTATCACCTTCCCATTCTTGAAGTTCACGGACGAGTTATTTGATGTCCCCGTTGATTCTGTCACCGACAACGCCCCTTCTACCAGTGCGGAATCAGATGGTAGAACACCACTGGACACCCCAGTCGAGAAAAGGCGAAGGCTCAAATTTGTAGTTTGATAGATGTATCATTGAACTTATTATGTCGTATCTGCACGTCTATCTGTTGTATTTAAAACGGAATCAAGAGGTATGCTACAGTTGGATAACAAGTTAGAGTCCGACATATAAACTAATGGGCTACAAATATAAGGTGGGAGGATTTGGAAGTCGAATACAGAGTCTCATTTCTTGGGATCATAATCATGATCGTGATAAATTATCCTCAGAGAGCGGTCGGGCTCGATCTGAAGGCGGGGGCAGCGTGGTTATTTACAGGCGTAGTTGGCCTCGAATCTTCGTAAGAGAGCGCCGGGCTTTGAGGCTGAGATGGAGAGGCGAAGCTCGAAGTCGACGAACGGATGCTGATGCGTTTAGCGTGCACCTGCGGCGAAGCTTGTGGGGTCGGGCTTGAAGCTGGAGGTGGTGGTGGCGCGTAACGGGGGAGTGATTCGACAGGGCGTTGGAGGATGAATCCACGCAGACCGGCGGCTTTTTCGCCCTGTCTCCCGAATCCCAAGGTGGCCTTGTCGCTCAAGATTGGGGATGCGTATTCCGGGTATGGTACATATCGTGCCTTTTCGTCCTCGGGGTGTCCGTTATGCAAGGCAGGCGCGAATTGGGGAGGAAGGGCGTTGACGAAGACTGGGCTCGTTGATCCTGTGGCTATGGGCAAAACACCTTTGCCCTCGTTCCTCCACGCAACGATAGAACGCTTGCCCTTTGCGGATTCACGGAAGATCAGCCCGAGAAGGATGTTCAGGCATCCCACGGAAAAGAGAAGCATAGCAGCTCCGAGGGTGAAGTCGTCAACGTGGTGGGAAAGGATTTGGGCACCAATCAGACATTGGAAGATACCAAGGGCACCCAATCCGAAGTTGCTGCCAAGCACAGGGAAGAAGCGGTCGAAGAATTTCATAGGCCAGCTGAGTTCGGAGACTGGTGGATTGCAATTTGTCAGGATCCGTTGGAAGAGCCGATGCATATGGAGGGAACTCACGGAGGAGGACGATAACCTGGAAGATGATGAGCAGAGATGAGACGACTGCCCAGAAGACACCAGCAGCTTGGTTGGGAACTGTGCTACCTCTATTTCGGTTTGGTACATATTTAGTGGATGTCAATTGTGTTTGGGAACACGAACTCACTCTATGTAATCACAATCGAGCATATTGACTGCATTGGGGTCTGTCGAGTTCGTGCTGAAATCCCCATTCTGTTTGGCCGCCTCAAAAGCATTGACTGCCTTGATATTGGTAACCATAACGAAGACGGTGCTTGAGAACACGAGTAGCAGGGAGATAACGCTGATGGCTCGGATGGCATTCAAGCCGAAGAAGAGGTCTGCACTCCACATGAGCATGCAAGCTAACATACGCGAGAATGTGAAGCACACTTACAAGAGCGTGGAGGAAGCATTGTCACAGGAGGAAGTAGCGTCGTTTGAGAGTGCGTGATAAGATGGAATCCGTCTGGATGATTATGTGTTGGAAATGAGCGATAGAAGTGCCGGCACCAGATGCTTAGTCGTAAACGAGGAAGGAAAGGAGGGAACCGGGCCCACAGAGCAGAGGCTCTGAATTAGTTGGTCTAGGGAACGGAGGAAAGGTAAGTAAGGACAAAGCACAGGAAGTGGGTGGCCTTTAAATAAAAGCAAGGCTTTTGTGCTTGTATTTTACGGCATGTCTGACTCCGATTATTTGTGCACCAGCACGCAGTAAATTTGGCTTCGGTAGCTACCATTGTTGTCGATTATGCGGCGATTCCGAGTTTCGAGGCAGACGGACAATGAGCAAAGAACAATGGCCGACGCGAACCACGTTGTCCTTTTCGGGATAACAGGCTCACGTGACTCTTGAAAGACAATAACCATTTTATTTTCCTCATCCTCAAGCTTCCTTGCAGGGATAGCAGCGGCCGTTGCAAAGTACAGCCATGGGCGGTGCGCCTCGAAACACCTTGTGATAACACCGGGCGGCCTGTTCTGTTAATTCTGACTCTGAAAATCGCATTGGATCACTTGTGTAGTACTAGTAGTGAAGCATTTAATAAATGGGGAGAACTCGCTAGAGACAACAGACAAAGTCCGATCGCCGAATTAGAGATGGCAGCTACGAAAATAAGGAGGTTGCTGTGAATGTGAATGGAGGCAAACTAACCAATGAGCTAAATACATAAAAGACTCGGAGGAGAGAACTGGACTGTCAAAATGTTGTAGATATGGCAATGCTGAGTTCATAATAGTCGTGAACAGACGACAGACGATAGTGCGATGGAGGGGCAAATGTGCTAGCAGCATCCGTGAGGTTAGCCCATTTTTTATTTGCTTGACACCGGAACCAGACGACGAGAAGATAGAAGATTACTACTCCTCATATGCAGGTGGAGGGTTCGAGGCTTCTTGTTGGGGCTGGGCTTTGGGAGGCGGGGCGGAGGACGAAGACGAAGACGCAGCCTGATTGCTCGAGCTGGGACCCGCTGCAGAGCTACTTCCACCAGCAACCGCAAGTCTTCCGCCATCGGTCGCAACCCTAACTTCCCTCGACGGCGGATCCAAAATCACCATCCCCTTGGTATTCGTTCTGGTCACACCTTGCGCAAGGGGAGTGTCAATGGACGTCGATGCATACGGGTCGAATTCGGCAACGTTAGCGTGACTGGATGGCCCGGCCCTATTATTAGACATTAAAGAGTCGTTCGACAAGCCACGACGGTGTTCATTGTCCGGTGAATAGATGGAAGATGCTGCGCTCGCGGGTGTAGCATTTACAAGCTGCAATCTTCGTGGAGGGTCATTCACGCTGACAGGCGAGCCACTTCTGCGCGGCTCATCCGCGGCCATAGCAGCAACAGCCGCGACACCGCCAGCGGCGGCAGCAGGTCCCATGAAAGAGCCAGTACCAGTGATATTCACGTTGTTACCCCAATTGGCGAAGGTGGTGGGCGGCGACGTTATGCTGCTGCTGTGACTATGTGAATGGATTGACGGCGGACGGGTGCCAAATTCGTTTGTCATTCGGCCTTGTTGCTGGCCTGCGGTGAAGAGAGGTTGCATAGAGCCCGCGCTTGATGGACGAGAGGACAGTGCCGTCATATTGGTCGCAGTATTCTGCGCAGAGTGTCCAGCAGATGTCGTGAAAGACGGCGACAGGCTCAGCGGGGCGGGGATCCCTGTGGATGACGGCCGACGGTTATGCACAGACCCTCCAATGACAGGCCCAAACGGAGGGGAATTAGGGGGAGAATGCAGTTGCGGCGATGTAACATGCCCGACAAGACCATATTGATATGGTTTTGGCTCATTGTCGACATCCAGGGAGAAACGATTACCAGAGGCTCGAGTAGTCTCTTGCATAGTTTCCTCTTCCTTGTCGAAGATATCGTCCCATCGGCTTCTTCTCTTCCTAAATGCGGAGTGAGTACGATGAAAGTAATTTATATATGAAACAAATTACGCACATGATAAACCATACCACGGCCACAATTCCAATCAAGCCAAAGAAACCTCCTACTGTGCCCCCAATGATGGGTCCAAGATTAGCCGAGTTGTCGTCATTGTTATTATCTTGCTGTTGGGATTGACCCGGCATAGTAGTGGACACGACAATGGAAGTAGGCGGTAAAGTAGACACCACTGTCAACAAAGTCGTTGTAACCACACCATTTGGTAGAGTACTTTCGGATTGGGAAGTAAATGTCTCAGGTGGTGGCGTCGAGATGGATATTGAAGTCGGTGGTGTCGGTGGTGCTGTAGTCGGCGGCTGAGGTGTTGGAGGGTCTGAAACAGGTTGCGAAGTGCACGAAGTCCCGAAAAGGGTAGAGAATGATGTCGATGTAAAAGGAACATCGACGGTGAACGGAACCTGAGTCGTAACCTCGTCACCTGCGAGACGAGTTCAGCGCGTCCTCCGACGATTCAGAAAGATCTGACTCACCGGGGATGACAGCGGTAGAAGTGACTGTTCTTGTCACCAAGCACGTCGGACCAGGAGCAGAAGAGTCAGAAGCCGTGCCGGTGAGCGCACAAGTTGTAAAGATAGTCGTCGAGGTCGAGTCGGGCAGCGTCGTTACCGACGGTGAGTTCGATACCGACTGGGAGGTCAAAGTGACCAGGTGGGTCTCTGTAGCGCTCGGGGTCGTAACGCACGACATCCTGGATCTCTAGAGCCGTGTTCTTGGACTTGTGCTGCGGTTGTTGAGAAAAGGGAGAAAACACGGAGAAAAGGGCGGCTGTGCGCGCGTGTGGACGAAGATGAGAGGAAAGAAAGAAAGAGAAGGTGGAGAAGGACTCAGGTGATGAAGGGAGTCGAAGTGAATGGGAGTTGAAAGGACCGAGAGGAGAACCTGTGCAGTGCAGGCTTGGGCAGGCCGCACCAGTCTTGTTCTGGCCTATGTTTTGTCACGTGACCATCCAGGATCGTCGCTTTGAAACATGCGCAGAATCTCATTTAGGTGTATTCATTAATGTACATTTGCAGTCCCACCAGCTCTATGTAGACAAAAGGAAAGGCAGTTCCATAAGGTAAATTTGTCGAGGGAATGCGATGATAATGATAAGTACCGGAAAGGAAGCCAAGCGAAGGCGTCAGTAGCGAGTAAACCAAGGTAAGTTAATGTATCAAGAACGGTGTCCAAGGAGAGAAGATAGCCATCGGTTTTGAATGCAGGGTTACATCGAAGAGTCGAGGCTGGCTTTTCGAGAAACTGGATGGGGGGGCAGTCGAATGTCGACAACGCTTCCAGAGGATTGCTTCCTATCCCTGAGACCCTTTGCGGAAGCTGAAGACTGCTTGCGAGGTCGCTGAGCCCCAGTGGTCGTCGCCTCGTTGAGTTCTGGTGCTGCTGGAAGAGGATCATCGACCGTGCCGGCTGGTATGTCTTCTCCATCAGCAGCGACCTTCCCACCCTCACTATCGCCCTCACTACCTCCAACTGCGTCCCCCCGTTTGTTAGCGACTTTCCTCCATAGGGACTTGCTAGCCCCCTTCACCATCCTTCCAAGAGTGATCAACGGATCCTCCAATAATTCGTCTTCTTCGTCACCCATGACGTTCCTCCGCCGCGACGAACGATGGCGACCACGGTATCTCTCTTCCACTTTCGCATCTTCCTCAGACCATGCTGGGGCTGAGGGCTGCTGCTGCTGCTGATCGGTGCTGTTGTTCGCCATGTCTCGATAGGAATAATCGTTGCCCTCCGCAGCGGCTCTCCGCCGCCGCATGATGTCAGATCGTGCTGACACACCGAGAGGATGGTGGTATTTCTTCTTGCGCTTCGAAAGATCCGGCAGCGGTGCGAACTTCACACTAAGCGTGGCTGTTGGAGGTGTGCCGGCCGACGACGAGGATGAGGATGAGGTCGAGGCATTGGGGAAAGTGAGGATGCTCGTCGACGGTGACGAGGCTAGCGGCGAGTCTGTCGACGAAGTCGACGAGGGGCGGGGAATGCGAACGACTAGCGAACGGCTGGGGCTCTCTGGTGTTTCGATAGACATTTCGTAGACTGAAACCAACCTATTGTTGGGGACTACGAGAAGGACTGGAGGTATCGCCTTTCAACTCCGTCAGCCAACACTTCCACCCAAACCTCGAATGCAAAGACTCACAGAATGCGTCCTTCGCGAAGGAAATGCAGATGAGGGGAGTTATCAAGCAGCGTCGGCCTGATAAAAAACTTGTGTGCTAGATTATGATATACACCAGGCACCAATACAGGAATTGAGGGCGGTGCCGGAGTCTTGGCAGAGCCTTCAGCTCAGCGGTTGCCGAATCCTGGAGTTAGTGGACGACCAAGACAACTTTTTGTCACGCAGCACTGCTGTTCACGTCCCCGACTTTGTTGTTGAAAAGAAAAGAGTTGGTGAGTATTAGACCCGGATCAAGTATAATATATCGTCGCTCTCTATAAAAATTTCCGAACATGGAGATAATCTAGGACGGCCGTGGGCCCGAAATCTTTGACAGTCGATGTGACAGGCTGCCTGTGCTGCATACCACACGTCGCAGTCTGGCCTTTGGCAACGCATGATAATTATAAGCTACAACCAAAGCCAAGACTCAAAGGTAGCTCCAACGATATACCGACAAACGTGAATGGTATCGTCTAGAGTCTAGGCGAGCATGGTCGCGTGCACGCGTCAAAGAACACCGACCTCGGCAGCGAAAGCCTCCGTTCCCATATCCGTGGCGCGGATTGATGCTTGATATCATCCCTGCGTAGCCTAGCAATCGGCAGCCAAACTGACCGGCGGTTGATGCATCCAAGTTGATCGTTTGATGGTACGCACGACGTCAGGCCGAAGATGTGAGAGAAATCCACTATTCGACCTTGAGTTGTATCACAGTAAAGTAAGAGGCTATAACCTAAACAAAGAAACACTTGAATGCATGGCGGGCGGGGGAAGGGGGGGTGGATCACTGCGAGAACAATGGGCAGGATTAAGCATTAAGGGAATGGGTTGGAAGGATAAAAAAATGTCGGCAGCGGAGCTACGTGCAAGTAAACCACGGAGGGAAGTAAAGTCCCTAAAATATCGACAGATAGAAAGAGAAATAAAATACTTAAATGTATTGGTGGGGCGGGGAAATGGGTAAAGTGGGGTGTATGAGTACTCTATAATCGTGACGGCAAAGGGACTATAACTAAGTGTGCGTGGAGGGTATCGGAGGCTTGCTGGTGAGAGAAGGTGCATGTGAAGTGCGAAGGAAAGAGGAGCAGAAGGTGTAATGTTCAGAAGATCGTAAATTGTCATATTGCTTCAAATTGCAAGGTAGAAAAGTAGCATGGGCACATAATGAGGCCGGAACGAGATCGTCACAATGTCGTGGGCGTACCAAAAACGCTGTGGTCGGGTCTCCATGGACCTGACGCACGAGCACATGGGTTCATAAAACAATGGCTTACGCGTCAGAGCCTAGTGGACTTGGTGGCAACGGGGACGGTGCCCGAGAGGGAGGTCTCGAGTTGTATGGAGACCCATACGGTGCCTCCATATATCTTGGCGTTTCCAGCATCCCATTCGACATCTCCATCTCTGGATGCCCATTTCCAGTCATCTGTCCTCCCATACCCAATCCTAACCCTAAAGCACTAGCCATGGCACGCGGGCTGCCAAACGGAGAACTTTTCTTGCGCGAAATACCCGGAAGCTCGCCCAAGATGGGATCCTTAATGTCTAAAGGAGACCCCGGGAATGGAGATGGTACTTTGCCGCCTCTGAGGCTTGCGGATGAAACCACACGTGTCAAGCCCTTCGTGATGCTGCTGGCGCTAACAGTGATGGACTTTGAGTCGTCGCCGGGCTGGTTGTACATCCAAGTCGCGATGAGCACGGTGGACGAGCCGATCACGAAGCCAGGAGAGATGCTGAAGTCGAATAACGCGACGGAAGCGAGGAAGGAGAGGACGATGGATAGGGACGTGGCGAAGCCTTTGAGGATATTGTCCGAGTACTTGATAACAATAGCCGTGACAAGGCCGCCGAAAACCTGAACAGAGACGGTAGCCCATGCCCAGGGTCCAAAGTGCTTGAACAGTTCCTGAAGGAACGACGTTGGTATCTCGTGCGGTGAACCAGGAACGTGCGAGTGGGAATAGTTCGAATAGAAGATGGGGAGGAGGGCAGGGATGAGGGAGAATAATGACAACTGTACGTTGCGTACCCAAAGGTCGGCCTTTGACCCTTTCAAAACCATTTCGAAGTAGACACCAGCAAGGCCAGATGTGAAGCACGCGGCAGTGACAGCGGCGAAACCTTTCAAAGGGTTCATGATATGTATGTGTAATGGGGCCGAGTCGTGCGCGCTCCCGACGTGGTTCGGTTTTGAAGGTCCTGTTGCCGTTTGAAGCTGAACGATCCCTACACCCATGGCCAGGAAGAAAAGCGATAACCATTTCGTCGGGCCAAGTCGCTTCCGGAGGAGTGCGACCGAGAACGCGGCTGTAGTGAGGATTTTCATTTGGTAGGTGACCTGGAAGGTGGCGACCGGGAGATTGCTAATGGCGACGAACTGCAAGGAGTTCTGAATGACGTACAAAATTGCTGGAATGGAAAGTTTCCAGCAATCTGGACTGAAGACCTCGCTACAAACATGGAAGAAAGGGTAAAGAATTTGGGGAATCAACTGCGAGGACCGTTGTCGTGAAGGGTTAGGTGTCCCGAACGAGGCTGGCGTTGGGGGATAAGAATACGAGGGATTAGAGTATACGCGCCAGAGGGCGATTACGAAGGATATTGATCCTTTCAGTACTTCGTTCAGGAGAACCGCCGCGGCCGGAGAGTAGGAGCGCGACGGGGGTGTCGAGACTCGGGAGTAGTGCATTACAATTGACAATGCAGCGTTTTGAACCGCCAGCGTCACCAAACTGAAGGCAATAAAACACATCCGGTCAGTTGGTATTTCCTTTCAACATTATTTGAATTAAACTCACGAGACATATTTTAGAGGCATGCCAAAAATTGTGGGGCCACTAGGCGACTCTTGCAAGATTGGGCTTGAAGGAGACATGCCTTTGAGCGAAGAGGAGTAGGTAGGAGGGGAAGGAGGTAAAAGAGGTGTCGGTCTTGGCGAAGGCGTATGGGTCTGGCTCACAGTCGGCACACTGCCCGACGACGAGCCTTGGCGGACCGTTGGGTACGGGCGGTGATACATGGTGGACGTTGTCGGCTAGGATAAAGACCGTCGAAGATGAGCAAAAACCGCGCAATGTGATAAATTGGCGTGTACCTGAGTAAGGAAAAGCTTCGGTAACGACGAGGGAGGCGGCGGCGTCGCAGGCGAGCTCCCGGTGGACGTCGAGGATGATGAGGGGGAAGAGAGAAGGGCGAGGGCAGCGACGAGGGCTGAGGAGGTTTGGTTCTGCCAGAACCGTGTTTTGATTAGACTCTAAATGGCTTACGCGATTGGGCCGCATTCCGTTAGCGCCCAATATATTCCCACGTGGAATGCCTGATATTCTGATGCATGTCTTTGCAACGCAGCCCTGCAGCTGAAACTGAGACGTTCATGCACATGGATGTTGGAAGGAAAGAGTGACAAGGAGTTACACCGCATATCCGCTACTTATATATAATACAGTGTTTCTCTCAGTGCATCTACTGGGCTACTTCAGCCTGAATGGCTTCATATGGCAGAAATGATCTGCTGAAGAAACAAGCGTCAGAAGGGGATTCGATTCCAGCGATAGACATAAAAGAAGAATGATAGTAGTCTCAGGCTCGCCTTTATCTCCACATCCGCACCCTCCCGAATATGCAACCACTAAATAGTGGAGCATGCTTGTCAACGAAGCGACAAGATCTCCTTGTAGGAGACGGGGTGCGTGCTTTTACCAGGTTTATCATCGTTGACACCAGCACAGAAAATGTAGGGAAAATCAATAGATTGGGACTCACAACTACTAAAGATGCAACGTATACATAAAGATGTAGCACACTCCAGGTGATCCAGCGTCCTAGTCCCTCAACCAGCGGGAGAAACGATCAGCTTAGATTGTTTTTGAGTGTCCCAAAAGTCCATCTACGACGCTTGTCTGGACCATCCATCCTTCGAGAAAACGACGAAGCGTAACGGAGGGATAGTAATTTGAACGTCGAGGTTTGTGAGAAAAAATTTAAGCTGCACTTATATATAGCGCGTCACGGCAATGTCCGAAGCGGCGCCCAAATTGACAAGCGGGGAATTCAGCGATGTGCCGTGTTGGTGCCTTCATCCGTTTTTCGTCGCGTCTGTTGGGCTCATGTCCATAGCGTCGACTTCAACCTCAAAAGTCCTGCGGCCAGGCCCCGCGCCGTCTGCATTCACCACTCTTCTTCACAAGTCTAAATTCGCATCGTACGACCCGTACATCAAGCAGGTCTATTCTGCACCACCTGCGTCGGCGCATCGCGGGGACTATGGTCTGAAACGGCCCATCCCGCTGCGAAGGAAGAATGCATTTATTACGGTAAAGTCAGTCGACTCACGTGCTCAGCAAACGGAGTGGAACCACGGAGAGAGCCAGGCGCGTTTTATCAGGCGTTGGGAGGAACTTGGAGTACTTCCGAAGGCACGAGCCGGAGGGGACAAGGGATGGGAGAGGACGTTGGGCCCAGAGGCGACGGAATGGCTTGTTGACTCCGAACATTGCGACTGGCAGGAAGTCAAGCAGCAGCCTGGCAATTCTTCGCGAAATCTTCTCGGCTCTACCATGCCCACTTCACTGCTCGATGGTAGAGGCTACACCAAGAAGCTTGAAGCCAATAAGAAGGAATCCGATGCAAGAGAAGGTGGTCATCTCGTTCCGAACCTCGACAGCATGAATCCGGCCGAATTCAAGCGATTCTTAAACAAGTGCCGGGAGTTACGACCGAAGTTCATCGAATATCTTGCTTCAGTCACCGAATTGAAGGGTAAAAGCCTATATGATATCTCCCAGAACACTGCGGCAGATCATCATAGACAGTTCTTGCAGCGACACACGCGCGAGCTTTTCGGCTACTCAAGTTCCGACAAGTCCCAGCAACCCTCCTCACAGCTCCCCCGACCTCTCCCCAACTCGTGTCGAATCGAACAGAAACCCCATCCGACGGGCGCCCTGCTCTACTCACACCCATCCAGGATGACTAACTACTTCACGTCGCCTTCTCAACCTGGTCTTGTGGTTCAAGAGCTTTATGTTGACAAGCGCAAGGCCCAGGGCAACGACTCTCTCTTAACGCCTGTCACAAGTGCTGGCGCTATGTATGGCCGCGGTTCTGTGAATACGAAAGAAAACGCGTACTTCGCCAGCTTTGCTGGAATGACTGCCATCCTGAAGCGCAAGAACGCTGCTGGCAAGAAGCCCCTCCTCAACATCAACAGTGAAGAGGGCATAAACATCATCAAGCCCACTGCGCCGAAGCTCAGCGAAGATGTCCCACTTCCCATCGAGTACGAACAAGAAGACATGGAAGAAGAGGATGAAGCCGACGATCTCGAGATGCAATATGCACCTGAAGTCGATCCAGAAGATTCGAAGCACGAAGCACGCATGCGCATCATCGACCACCCCACCCTCAACATTGCACCCAAGGTTGTTGGCTACTCCCCCGAGGGTCTGAAGGGTGCCAACCTTTCAGTTGAGGTGATTGTGGACGGCGAGGTTTCAGATATGGATTCCCAGGGAACGGACTTCACCAGGGAGAACCCCTTCCAGCCTGGCTCGAGGGAATACATTACTGGTGGTCTATATGATGGTCTGGATGCCGAGCCGCCAAGAAACACGTCGATGGGCACGGTTCCTCTTAGCATCGCATACAGCAAAAGTCGATCAGACGGTGCCATGTCAGAGTTGCTCAGACAGTCGAACAGCATGACGGCAAAGTGGGGCGCGAAAGCTGCCTCCGGAGCAGAACCCAACCTAATCGACACTTTGAGGGGTATCACCAATACGAGCGCTGATGACGGGTACAGGATTCCTACCGAGGACAGCGACGAATGGGAGGGTTAGATATATTGCAGACTTGATTTATTCCGTAGACGACATATAATAATCTCATGCACTTCTCACACTGCATCGTGGCGTTCAGAAGCGCGTTCTTCGCGGTCATGAATCCAAGACAGGTTCACATGTTCCCATTCGATCTTACCATCCCCCTTGCCCTTTCCCACTAACGACCTTGTAGTTCGACGATCTCCCTCCTAGCCTCCATCACGACACTTACGTAGGATTCTCAGCGTCGGATCACGCTCATTCATGTCACCCCGGCGAGCTGCGAAAGCCGCCAGCGCAAACATCGCGAAGCAGCTGGACTCATCCGATTCAGACGATGAAGAGCATTATGGTGCACGCGTACCCACCGAGAAGAATCGACGGCTTTCATCTGCCAGTAGCCGTTGCCGGGCCAAGGCACATATAGCGACGGCGGCGGGGAGCTCGCCACGAACCCCTCGACCACTTTCTACGAAAGGCGTAACCCCTCGACCTAGAAAGCGACCGTTGGCACCTTCGGGCTCGGATGTTGAAGATCTGACGCGTGAACCGTTAGCACAACCTTTCCCGGTATTTGAGGAGAGCCCGGCACGTAAAAAGCAGAAATTGCCACTGACAGACACGGAGGATCACCACTCGAGACCTCTTTCTGTTCGGAACGCGGAAGATGTGGACGAGGAGTTGCCTGACCCTACCTCTGCGTTTAGCCGCATGAATTATTCAGTTAGAGCGACATGTTCGACTGAGGGTACAACACCAGAAACACTACTGGAAGGCTCCCTCGACACTGGTACGTTAATGTGACCTCGTGGAGTGAGTAATAGCTCTTACAGATACCCTCTAGAGGATGCCTACGAAGAGCAATTTTGGGAGCCTCCGGAAGCAGACCCTTGTATAAAGATTCCCGGGGAGCCTATCCTCGCGCAGACAAAAAAGGGAGACGTGTATTGGCCTGCTATGGTACTCGACTACATACCGCCGCGCGAACGTAATGAGAAGGAGGGCAAATACCGCGTCCTTTTCCTTGATAACGCAGAGCGTTGTATTCACCGAGCACGTTTCTACATTGCGGAAGACGATGAATTCGGCACTTGCAAGGTATGTCAAACCTGCTATATTATTCATAGATGTTAACTTGTCAAACTAGCTTGGGCAGTTCACTAGTCAATTTAATGAAGTTGAGGCGGACGAAGACTTCGTAGCCAGTCCTATTCAACAAACAGGCCATCGACCGTCAAGTCCCGTACCCACCGACCCTCCGCCTTCGAGTTCAGAGTTTTATGAACTTTCGGTCCATGAGCAACTTTCGTATACAAAGCCGATCCTCCAGGCCATTCTTATGGGGACATATACTCCTGCTGCTGAACGCCACAACGGCTTCATTGCTGGGGGGAACGCCCGTGACATAGTTGTGCAGAACGCTGCGATGCGGGGGGACATGGATCCGAGGGACGTCTCCGAACTCCAGAATCGACTGATGGAGTGGTGCTTAAGGGATGAGAGATATGCGAGAAGGATGGAAGGCGATGCAGTCGTTCTAACCGAACCGCCAATCAAACCTCGATCGCACCAAGACGCGCCAGCACTTGCCCAAGAGGGGCTTCCTCCAAATGTACGTGCATATCTTAAGCCAATGAACAGCTTGGCCAATTCATACAGCCAAAGATGACCATTGCGGTTGATCGGGAGGTATCGCCCGCCATGACGCTAGCATCTACGCCCCCAACAGAACCTCCTTCTTCGCAGCTTAGCGTTGTTTCGACGATTGAAACGGTGCATATTGAAGTGTGTCCGCGCTCCTCCTTCGCGTTTGCACCACTAACAACCCCTACAGGATCCTAGAAAGTCGCTTCTAGATGTAGTAGCTCACACAGACCCTCCTCGCCAACGTGGTTGCCCTCAATATGAAGCCTTATCTGCGCGTGAAAAGATTGAAGTATGCCTTGATTCCATATTGAAACCAACTTGTTGCATTATTGCATGTTCTACTGTAACTCTAATTACTCTATTTTTAGTATTGCCTCAACGTTCTCCTGCCCGAATCTATCATCCAGATATTTCTCTGGAAATCCGGAGATCGCAAGTGCATTTCCCTCCGATCTCCCGAAGAGGAGGCAGCACTCCATACCGTAGGCGAAGAAATGCGCGCAAAGCGGGATTGGGTGTTTGACGTGATGCGATTGCGGGACATGCACGAACATCGGCGTGGGGTCAAACGGAAGAGGCCCGTTCCCGAAAAAGACGCGGTTGTAGAAGGGACTGGCACTAGGACCAGGCTGAGGACGAGGAAGAGCATACCATAACCCGTATCATGTTGCTTAACGGCATAATTACCCCACGCAGCTACCATGGAATCCCAATACCAATGCACAGATACAATCCATCCTTCTCGGCAGATGACTGATACACTTGATCATTCATCTTGGAAGGAGGCAATTGCAGAATGGAAACCATCGTTCAGTCTGCTTGATGCGAGGGAAGCCTGTCGAGGGACCAGGGATGATAAATTCATTTCCGACGTATTTCTCGAACGTGATGAGACGCCATTAGTCATCAGACTCAAGTTGTAGAGACTTTGAGACTCTTCCAAGCCGTTGGGTGAAGGTGAGGGTGCTCTGGATATGGATGAGCGCGGACTGGAGGGCGTTTCGACGCCAGTGCTTATACGGGTAAGGTTGTCGGGGACGGATCGCGACCGACTAGGGAATGGCCGAGAAGGGGAAGCTATTGGGGTACGAGAGCGACTACTCCCCAATGCGGAGGGAACCACACGCTGGAAAGGATACAGCCATTTGGAAGACCCTGTTATTCGAGATGGTAGCGGGTCGTTTAATACAATTGTCGACTTGCCCTCCTCCATTGAATACGATTGTGAATCCCTTTTGGAAAAGCCGCGCAGGAAACGTAGACAAGCCGTGCGCGCCTGCCTTCGAAGACGATAAGAGAGAAGAACCAAGACGCAGACTAACGTCGTATAAATCAGGAAGAGTAGCGGCGAGAAACCAAGTGAGGTCCGATGTAACGATTCCGGTAGGTGCTGAGACAATCGATCCTCCAGTGCCTCGAAACGCCAAAAAGGGGGTCGAATCGGGGTGATAGGCGAGTCTGCAATATTGGGAATATCATCGATAGGATCGACCAACGGTTTGGCGGTAGTGGCAAGCGGTGGAACCTCTTTGCTTGCTTCGAGAACCATTTTTCCCAGCGTCCAACTAATAGCTATGTCACCTATAGATTCAGCGGACTGGAATCCTGGTCGTCCGAGACCTTTCTTTTCTGCTTCTGCTGCTACTTCCTCGCCGTGCGTTGTACCATTCCCGCCGGGATCGACAATACGAGGCATGCCTATACCTTCATGCAGGACATTAGCTACCCAAGCCGCTTTGAAACACTGCATCTCCAGCCGCGACAGTTCTACCTCTGGTCCCCATTGACCCACACCGACGATTTGCCCATCCTTTTGAGCAACCTCACCGTCGCCGCCTAATCGATCTTGCGCCCGGGAATGTTCATGTTCCTTTACGATACCTGCCCAGTCCCTTGAGCAGAATTTTGACGCAGCTCGTTCGTACTGCACGAAGTCGTAGGGACCCCCAAGACCAAAGACGTGTTCTGAGGAGTACCAGTACTCGGAGACGCCAATGAATTTGGATACGGAGAAGTCGATTGGGGGAACGTGGATGCCGTTCATAAGGCAAGGTGTGTCTGGACAAGGCGCTTGTTTGTTAAGGAGCGAAGACGTGCTCTTCATGCATTGCTCGAAGGAACCAGTACCGAGCATTTTGTGCTGCTTCCGAGTGTGAGAAGTTGACATTCCCTGGTGTATTGGCTCCTCTATTAGCTGCAAATCCTTTGGTAAACAAGGGTCTGGAATAGTATCGCCCCTCGCTGGATCGTTCTTCGCCTCGTAGTCGTTGATCGCTTTCCCGACATAGCGCTCCCTGGCCTGGTTTGTACCGTAACCCAACCAAGTCGTGACGAAGACTTTATGATGGATTTCTTGGCCGCTCAGTAAACGCAGGCGAACGTCAATGAGGTTCTTCGTATCTCCCTGGTGTTCCTTGCTGGGCTCAAACGCTATTTGCGTCGATGCACCTCCCATATCCAAGAAGCCGTATGTCGTCTTATCCGCGCTTGAACCCGTAAACCCGTCCATAAGGTAGTTAACCGCTATCCAGCCAAAAAGTCCCTCTTCTTCACCAGTGATAATGCGGACGCTCGTTCCACATGGTCCAGCCTCAGATTGTTCTTCAATGCGAAAGTCCGAATGATGTCGTAAGAAATGACATGTATGAAGCAGGAGTGTTGCTTGTTTCTCGGGGGAAAGCAAGCGCATCCCAGCGGTTGCCAGCAGAAACAAAGGAGTTTCGTGGTGCAATGACGGTGGAATGGTCTCGCGTGCATGGTTCAAGAGAGGTGCTAAGTGCAGCGCAACGGTCTCTGGATCGTCTGCATGGGACGATATTCCTGTGAAGGTAGTTTGTTGTTGACACGCACGAGTCAATTCAAAGATAATTAGGACATACCTGGCTGTATCCTGCTCACCCACCCTTCACCATCCTTCGTCCCTTTATCGACCTTGGGCAAAGAGTTCGGTATCCTGGTCCCTTTTTCAGACTGTACCAAGCGAGGGTCCGTCCAACTATAGATTTGTAGTCGGGAGCCAGACGAACCAGCGTCGACAACTATGCCAAAGCGGCGACCAGCGAGCCATGGGTCTACCACATTTCCTGGAGGCATAATTTAGGGATTTGGACAACTTCCAGGCCGTTGAGCTTGGTTGAAGTGGCGGTCTTGGCGTAAAATCACACGTGTAACAAATGATCGGGATCGGGCGCTTAAATAGTGTACATAGGACTTGAAATTTTGAAACTGTAAATGGAAACTACAACAGTGATTTGCTCATATACGGTCCATCGAGTTCATACCCAAGCTTGCGATAATAGTCCCTGGTACCGACGCCTACAGCAGGCGTGAGACTTCGTTTTAGTCCCGATGAGCAGACACTTACCTGATATCACTGCTAATTTTATGTTGCCGTGTTCTTCTCTAGCTATTCGCTCTGCTTCTTCCATTAACAACGTACCAAAGCCTTGATGTTGGAACTTCGTTGGGTCCCTTCCATGAACTGGTATGGCCGTTCCATACACGTGCAGCTCTCTGACGATGCTGCATCCTCCGAGCGCATCATCACGCCGAACGAGCTCCGGACGGAACGTACCTTCCTCTGAACATTTTCTGAGCCGCAGAAGACCCACGAGAATGTCCTTCTCGGGGTCTTCGTACGAAAGGAAGGTCTCCCACCCGCCATTGGCGGTATAATCTCGTCGAAGGAGCTCAACTGACTCTGGCCGAACCTTATGATGTATCTCGTGGATCTACAACAAGATCAATCGGGAACACAGATAATAGCAGGAGAGCGCACATACTCCCACTTCACGGAACCGTACATCACGGCATTCTGCCCCGAAGTCTTTCATGCGGTTGAGAGCGAGTTCGCGAAGATTGCCAGAGTTGTCACAACCACTGGACACAAGAGGCAATGGGATATCTCTGTAAGATGCCGTGAGATCCCAGCGATGTCAATGAAGATGCCGCGCGTACGTACCTCTGCACGCGATATACACGGGTCCAAGGAGGGACGAGAGCCAGTATCCTGGCTACGACATCGACAAGAACGTTAGGCGTGTAATTCTTATATTTCCCGGTCTTCCAAAGCTCGTACAACCCCGTTCCTCGAATAACCAGTGTCGGATAGATTTTTAAGCCGTCGCTTCTGAATGCCGGGTTCTCGAAGTACTCCTTAAATTGCTCGAGGTCGCGTTCCAGCCCGACGTTGGGGAGATCGGGCATCATGTGTGCAACTACCTTGAAACCGGCGTCCTTGGCAAGATGGAACGACTCAGACACGGCACGGACGGTGTGTCCACGATTGGTATCTCGAGCTACGTCTTCATAGACGGACTGCACGCCGATCTCCAAACGAGTACAACCATAGCGAAGCATCTGACTGGAGGGAAAAGGTCAGTGTGAAAAGAGTGCGACAAGGACATAAATAACTAACCTTAAATGAGGTCGTAGACAGTAATCTGGTCGAGTTTCTATAGTTATACCGATTGCCTTTGATTTAGATTGTTCCGAGTATCTGCAGCAAGACGTTAGGATAAACAAAGACCGATCATGCCGAGAATATCGACCTCACGGCCTCGTCGACATCAGTTCCAGTGAATCCAGATAAAGCGTTATGCAATTGCGCCACGAATTTCCCTCGATAGTCTTCCGGCATGCTCATAAATGTCCCTCCCATGATGATGAACTCGACCTACGGGGCAAGACCCGTGTCAATTCCGGGGATTAAACAACGTAGATAGAGAGATCTACCTTATCTACGCTGTGACCGAGACTCTTCAATTGCTCGACTCGGCCTCGCGTCTGTTCGTAAGGGTCATAGCGAGCGCGGATCGCCCTCATGCTTGTAGGCTCGTATCCCGTGTAGCTTTGTGTGCTATAATCGAAGTCGGAATCTGGGCCACCTGGGCAGTACCTGCGTAAGATGGTGAGTTTCTTCCATAGCAAGGGAATATAGGATCATACACGCAGATGTTCCCTGTCATAGCAATATGTGGACATCGATGCGGTTTGCACATAACTGCAACGACAGCAATCTACTTTGAGTCAGTCTTTCTGTTGTCTCCTCAAGCATGCTATCACACTCACACCACTCGCTGTCCGTATCGGCCTAGCCCTGAGCCTCGGAAGCAAAGCTTTCTTGTATTCATCCGGAATGGCGCTGATGATGTCCACCAATCTTGGTACACCGCCATACGAGTACTTTTTACTAATCTTCAGGCGGATTTCGTTCAATGAGACACTCTGGTTATCATCGTGGGCCTTGATGAGCTCGGCCGCGATTCCAGACGTAACACGAAGGAGAGTTTCGGCCTGTGATGGCCCTATCTTTCCAGGAATGTCAGATCAGCAAGGAGACAGTGTTCAGTTCACAGACCTTCAGTCTTCGTTCGTTGTACCATGGAGCGTTGCCGAGCAATTAATGTACGTCGGAGTCAGGATTCAAGTTTTCTTTCAGCTACATAGCACATTATTACCGCATCTGGCTGCCATTCACAGGGGCAGATCATCAACGATTCAAATATTCAACGTACTACCTAAATACACGCATCGAAGGTTACCTTCGAACTGACAAAATGGCCGCCGACGTTCAGACCCAGCACCCAGAATTGGCGCAGAAACCCAAAGCTACGGTGTTTGCGAAACTTTCGATTATCAAGCACTTGCGTTGCTATTGGGCGTAATTAGATACAGCAGGGCCTTGGATACGTCCCCGCCGTTTTCTGCGAGAGCCTTCTCCGCTTGGGCACGGGTGATCCCTAATTCGTGAACCTGGTAGGCAATTTCAGAACTCACATCAAGCGACAAGCGACGAGATATGTGCGACGCACGATAAGATCGATATCCTCTCTTTTAATTTGAGGCGCGTTCGGATCCTTAGCTGGTTTTGTGGGAGGCTTTTCCAAGATACCACCTGGCCGGAAGGCTTCCTCCATCTTCCCTTTGGAGTATGCGAAGCCGTCTGCGTACTGCAAACACACAATGTACGTCAAGGTCAAGTGTGTGAATATTGATGTAGAAACCGAACTCACATTCATGATGACCTCTGGCTCTGGTCGGCCATTGCGAGACATATTGTAGCAGTGGTACGGTCACTGTTACTACATGCCAGTGCCAGTATTACTGCACTGCCCGTGGGAAAGTCAAGGTGCGCAGCGACCCTGCGTGCCACGATCGGTAACTGGATTTGAACCCAACCTCTTGAATCCAACCACCATGGACTCTTTCGACAACTTTCAGTATGATTCTAATTCATCGTATGGCGGAATGGGTATCGTGGATGATACTTCCTCCATATACACAGCCAATACCAGGGACGACTCGTCTCTTGACTTGACAACCTTGTCTCTTTCCGAACATGACGGCGCCGAACACGCCAGCAAGCACAGAGTCAATGGCAGCGATGTTGCCTCACGACTAGACGAAGACTTTGACTCTGTCTTGGACGACTTGAAGGAAGAGGACTCTGTCGAACTACCCCCGCATGCTTGCAGGTGAGTCATGCGCTGTTACTGCTTTGCGCCACTTTATTAACCCGAGTGACCTGCAGCTACTGCGGCATCCATTCGCCAGCATCTGTTGTAAAATGCCTCATCTGCTCGAAGTGGTTCTGCAATTCCCGCGGGAATACATCAGCTTCCCATATCGTCAATCACCTTGTTCGCGCGAAACATAAAGAAGTCATTCTCCACGCCGAGAGTCCTTTGGGGGAAACGATCCCCGAGTGCTACAACTGTGGCAGCAAGAACGTGTTTATGCTGGGGTTTATCCCCGCCAAGAGCGACACAGTCGTGGTCTTGCTCTGCCGGTACGCATATATGCACTTCTCTGGGCTCGTTTCGAGGATGCTGACCTTATTGATTTATCAGACAACCTTGTGCTGCCATATCTAAGGATATCTCGTGGAACGCAGCTCTTTGGGCTCCTCTTATTGACGATAGATCCTTCCTCTCATGGCTTGTCAAACCACCTAGTGAAACCGAACAGCTCCGTTCTCGCCAAATCTCGTTTTCTCAGATCAATCGCCTTGAAGATCTCTGGCGCGAGAATGCGAACGCTACGCTGGAGGATCTCGACAAACCAGGAGTCGACGATGAACCACAACACATCGAGATACGATACGAAGATGCATATCAATACCAGAACATCTTTGGACCACTCGTCAAGATTGAGGCGGACTACGACAAGCGTCTTAAAGAAAGTCAAACCCAAACGGACGTTATTGTCCGCTGGGATTTGGGTTTGAATCAGAAGCGAGTTGCTTGGTTTGTTTTGCCGAAGTTAGAGAGTGGAGAAGTTAGGCTTGCTGTTGGGGATGAGTTAAGATTGAGATATGTGGGCGAATTGCATAAACCTTGGGAAGGTGTAGGCCATGTTGTCAAGATCCCAAATAGTATGTGCTTCTACTACGTCCAGTACCTTCCCCGGCTAACTCTATTTTCTTCTAGACATTTCGGATGAAATTGGTTTGGAACTACGCCGGGCGGACGGCGTGCCCTCTGAATGCACCCATAATTTCGCGGTCGACTTCGTGTGGAAATCGACTAGTTTTGATCGCATGCAGTTGGCAATGAAGACCTTTGCTGTGGATGAGAAGAGCGTCAGCGGCTACATTGTGCGTATCAACCAATAAGTCGTAGTCCATTATTGATCAACTGTTCTTTTATAGTATCATAAGCTGTTAGGCCATGAGGTTGAACCTCAAACTTTGAGGACGCAGATGCCCAAGCGCTTTTCTGCTCCTGGCCTTCCTGAACTGAACCATTCTCAAATGTATGCTGTAAAGAGCGTTCTGCAGAAACCCCTCAGCCTTATCCAAGGTCCTCCTGGAACCGGAAAGACAGTCACATCTGCGTCAATCGTCTATCACCTCGCCAAGATGAACCCAGGCCAAGTCCTCGTTTGCGCCCCGTCCAATGTCGCAGTCGATCAACTCACGGAGAAAATCCACGCCACTGGTTTGAAAGTCGTTCGCTTGACTGCAAAGTCTCGAGAGGCTCTTGATTCTAGTGTCGCGTTCTTGACCTTGCATCAACAAGTGGCCAACAACACAACACATGTTGAATTGCAGAAGTTGATCCAATTGAAGAACGAGCAAGGGGAATTGAGTAGTAGCGATGAAAGGAAGTATAAGACGTTAATCAGGATTTGCGAGAAGGAAATTTTGAGCAAGGCAGACGTAATATGTTGCACTTGCGTCGGTTCTGGCGATCCCCGACTGAGCAAATTGAAGTTCCGGACCGTCCTCATCGACGAGGCTACTCAAGCAGCCGAACCAGGTAAGCTAGCACTAAATACTACCGGTACATACATATATTGACCTTGCTCTTCAGAATGTATGATTCCCCTGGTTCTCGGATGTAAGCAAGTGGTATTAGTTGGTGACCATCAGGTATGCCTGACCTTACGTCCTCGTTCGTAGAATGATAACATATTGAATTCACAGCAACTTGGGCCAGTCATTATGAACAAGAAAGCCGCTCGCGCCGGACTAACGCAATCGCTCTTCGAACGCCTTGTTCTCCTCAACAACCGCCCCATTCGCCTACAAGTCCAATATCGCATGCACCCATGCCTATCCGAATTCCCCTCCAATATGTTCTATGAGGGCACTCTCCAGAATGGTGTGACTGCTCCTGAGCGCCTCAGGAAAAACGTGGATTTCCCCTGGCCCATCCCTGACACCCCCATGTTCTTCTACCAAAACCTTGGTCAGGAAGAAATATCAAGCAGTGGTACATCGTTCCTGAACAGGTAGGCGTCATTAATTTAATTTGGATATAAGCGCTCATAATCATTCCTAGGACTGAGGCCTCTAACGTGGAGAAGATCGTCACGAAGTTTTTCAAATCGGGTGTCGTACCAAATCAAATCGGTGTCGTCACGCCGTATGAGGGGCAGCGTTCTTACATCGTCAATTACATGCAATTCAACGGCGCGCTCAAGAAGGATCTGTACAAGGAGATCGAAGTTGCAAGTGTGGATGCTTTCCAAGGGCGTGAAAAGGACTACATTATCCTAAGTTGTGTCAGGAGCAATGAACATCAAGGAATCGGTTTCTTGAACGATCCCCGACGATTGAACGTAGCCCTTACTCGTGCAAAATATGGCGTCGTTATTCTCGGCAATCCCAAGGTTTTAAGCAAGGTAAAGTCAATCTCTTGGTATGCAAAGCAAAGCGCTGACGGGTGTCTAGCACCCCCTTTGGCATTACCTTCTGACCCACTACAAGGAGAAGAACTGTTTGGTCGAGGGGCCGTTGAACAACTTGCAGCCTAGCATGATCCAGTTCAGTAAACCTCGTGGATCTCTTGCCAAGTCCATGGATCAATTCCGCCGCCATGAAACAAACGCTCGGGACTATCTAACGACCCCCAGTTTAGGCATGATGGACGGTATGCTCCACGATATTTATCTCCCATCCAATTTTACTGACTTCTCTCTTATCCATTGAATGTAGGTGGTCGGTCCGGTACCCCCAGTCGGTTCGACGCGAGTTTCTATCGTACACACGACGCTCTCAGCTACATCCCCTCTGATGTTCAATCACTGCGCTCCCAAGCTACTTACTCCTCCGGCGTTCCGATGTTTGCTGCTACGGGCTACTTAAATGCCAATATTCCTCGCGGTGTCAACGGCGCAAAACGCAGCGCGTACGGGAGCTACGCTAGCTCTATCATCTCTCAAGATGCTGGGCCAAACACAGACACTGGCAGCGTCGTTGGTAGTGCCGTGAGTGTTTCGGACCGTTCGGGCCCCAGCGTGACCTACAATCAAAGCGACCGCCTCCGTCGACGAACCTCATTCTCTTCAGTCGCTGGCGCTTCCGACATGGGAAGCCTGTCGCAATACGATTACAAGAGTCAAGATGGAACGGCCGACATGGACGACATGAAGTCGCAGTACAACGGCACACAGTCGGGCGTGACCGTCTTCTAGACATCGGGTACCCAAGTGCAGACCTGCAATGTGCTCTCCTGATAGCCTGAGAAGGTTGACCGCCCCGCCCCGCCACTTGTGGCATGTCAGCCATCCAACAGTTTGCTGGCTGCCCCAGGTGGTCTCGAGTTCATTTCGTGCCACCTGCACCGTACCCAGTTTGATGCAGGTCGATTAGCAACGGGGATAGGCCAACACAGACTATTGGTGCTTCCGTACACTCACGATGGGCAGTCGCAGCTGTACTCCACGTTGACTCCCTGGTATATTCAGCCAGGTGTTGGACAACCTGCCTTGGGTTTCCCTGCGCTACTTTCCCTGTGCTAAACACGTACTGATGTATGCGTAGCATTGTACATGTATGTTCTATTCCCATGCACATTTATGAGTCGAGAACTTCCTAAGGGGATGTTAGCCCTTTCGATCTTTATTCCTTAAGGCTTCAGCAAGGGTTATCCTTGCTTATCGCGGTATTTTTGAATGTTCATCAAGTTTGTACCGTAAACTCAGGCGAGCCTCTTTGCTAGAACCCGTTCAGGCATTGGACCATCTGCTCTGGAATCAAATTGACGAAAGAAGTTCCGCCACCATCCGCCCTTGTAGCACCTTCGAATTCAATCATTCCTACCTGGACCATTGTTCTCATGTCCTGCGGGAGCCAGCGTAATGTTCCTGTTTCCTCTTCCAGCGGTTCACCAGCGGCGTTGAGGTGAGATTCCGCAGATACGGAACGCCTGGGATCCAACGAACGGAGAGATGCCCGAAGGTCCACTATGCCAATTCGCGTGTTTTCACTGATTCGCGACATTCCAAGTGAAACTTACGTTTGCAGGCTATCGCTCATCCGACCTATTCTTTTGCAAGTTACGATTGGACCGTTGTGTAAGAATGACTCATCCCGTATCAGCGAGCACATTGCTTACTTGCATCTTTTAACCATTTTGTCACAGAAGATAGTCATATCCCCATCGTCATGGTACCAATGTATAGGTCTCTCGTGGATACAAGGAGTCATCGAGATACTGGGCACACAATAATCTCTGATGGACGTGGACGGAATTTCGTACTCCTTACATAGATCTCTTTGCAGAATGATGGATCGCACGATGCATTCGCATCTTGGAGTCCATACGAATTCTTTCAAGTCGAGTGTTAATCACCGCTGGTCTGGGTACCAGGAGGGATCATGAAGAATAGCTCGATTTCCCCATCAACGATTAAGCCGAACATGCCGCATTCCGTCTTCACGTTAGCGATCTGCAATGAGGACGAGCTCGCGGTTCTTCATGATATATTTGATAGCACATCAAAGGCCGTTTCTGTTCATTCCTTGAACATGGCTCTCACTGAACATCTTTTTACCAGGTTCTGACACACGTCATGTCTCGCAGACGCGAATCGACGAATTCCAGGGTGTTGTCCATGAGAACGGAATATACCATGACATGTCCATATGTATCCGCAAGGCATGTGAACCCTCCCATGTTTAAAGCGGTAACTTCAGACCATGTCAGTCGGCCTCGTCTCACATGTATACGAATTTGTCGATTATCGAAAGGAAGGAACGAATGAAGGGAGTAACCCAGGATTGATGATCTAAGCGTGGATAGACTCAGAGTCTTGCAGATGGTCGCCTTCGCGATAAGATGGATATACATGTGGGTTCATGTGTCTGGCTGCGAGACGAGGTGAGTATAGTTCCCAACGGCTTCACACCTAAAACCTGATGTGGGAGGTCTACCAACGTAAGACTTCTTGAATTTCCGCGCGAACGCGCCGTAATAGGTCACTGATTCCTCAACCAATACTGATGGAGTGGCGGTTACTCTTTCGAGTATCTTCGTGAGATTCATCAGAGCTCTGTCTTAATCTGACCTCGTACGAGTACGTCTCAGGAAGTATCAGTATCATCGAGCTGAAGGTAGTAGTATAAACTCGGCATTCCATCCGATTGGTGATTGGCACAGAGAAGTACAACAGCATTGGCGTATCCTAAATTTCGAGCTGCCCAATTCGTAGGGCAAGTACACACTATGCGAAGAAGAGACTAAGTCGATGTAAGTAGGGATTGGTCAAGATGTAGCAAGATACGACGGGTACAATGTACAGGCATTCGGTAGCAGTAAAACCCATGAGTAATATGAATATGTTGATGGTATTCGTAAGTCGAGGGACAGAGAATGAGACCTGGAAAAGACGCTGCAAATCTCGTCTGCTTTTTTGGTCAAGTCCTCATAGCAAGAAGAATAACGAAATAAATCCGAGGAAGGATTGAAAAGACGTCGGAGAGAGTCGGAGATATAGCGATCGTTATAGCCACTTCCTCTGATCGTGTTATGGTTGTGGTTCCCTGGGAGTAGCTGGTCTGCCTCGTCCGGATCCACCGGTAGAGTGTCTGCGGACAAGGCGCTTTCCTCCCCCACCCCGGGTCGATGTTTTTGACGAGTCGGAAGTCAATTTCTCTTTGTTAAAACCAAATAATCGCTTGAAGAAAGGTCTTTTTGGTGACGACGGAGACTTGGTTGTCGACGTCGCGGTGTATATGGAGGGTTCAGGGGCCTAATGTAATGATAAATATTAATTAACATGAGATCAATCTCTTTCATCGATGGAGTACGGACGTACTATAATATGAACCTTTTGCCTGGCGCTCGGCAACACGTAGTAGGTACTTCCGGAGCCATTGGACACAAAGGAAGAGACAGATGATCTACGACTATGATGCCCATGGTGTGGATCATCAGCGAGTGTTGCCGATCGTGATCGATCGTGTCTTGGGCGACTCATACCGCGACGGGCGTCTTCTTCATGAACGGAAGTTAGATGTGATGAAGACATGGCGGATGGATACGGGGTTGGGTACTGGGGAATGGAGTGGCTGTAGACAACGCCGCCCGGCCCTCGCGGAGGAGGATGCGAAAGGATGGCGGGAGGTGCGTAGCGGGACTTTGAATGATGCGAAGGTGCGTAGATTATTGCCGGCGGATGACCGTGCTGTTTAATTGGCTGCCGCCTGTTGGGTACCTTGTCCGTGTACGGGTGCCAAGCAGACGAGTTAGGCATATGCTGTGGATCAAATATTACTTGGGGCTGAGGCGCGGGGAGTGGAAGTGGAGCGGATTCTGGGGGAGTATGAACTGGCGGAGGTAGAGCTAATGGAAGACGTGGCTTGCTGCGATGCATGGCACCTGGAGGGGGAGGCGGCGGCGCTTGTATTGACGGACGCGATGAAGGAGAATATGCATTCCTGGGAAGTGACTGAGATCTGGTCTGCGACGTCGGAGGTGGCGCTTGGCCTGTGCGAGAGGGCAAGATGCGTATCTCCTCCGGTCCACTTGGCGGACTGTAGTCGGGGTGCGGCCGACGTGCGCCAGCAGCCTGGGGCAGAGTGTGTGCCCTCGAAACTTGTCCGCTCGCGCTGGCGTCAGGATTTTGGGGGATCGGAACATCGGGCCTCCCATCAGGAAAACGTAAGACCATCTGCGGTGGCAAAGAATGTGAGCTGTCTGCCTCTGACGGCGGCGACGAGGGCACTAGGCCGTCTATGACCGAAGGCGCGACCGACGGTGAATTGAATCGAGTTTTCGTCGGGGAATGGGCGTTGACCCATCTCGCGGTGCGCTCACGAGAACTCATATACTCCCGGTACGCCTGCGAAGAGGTTGTGTATTCTGTCATTGAGTCCTGGTCCAGTGCTCAGTCCCTGCCCTGAAGGTAAGCAACGTCGAAGCAAAAGAAGAGCAGGGGGAAAGGAAAACGCACTGAAAAGAACGTTGGCGAACTTTATAGGTGAGAAAAGATTAAGGACTACAGACAAGTACCGAGGCTGGATTCAACCTATCATTAGAGTACAAGGAACTAGATTATCAGCGTCAGAAACGGCCGAATCAACAAAACGTGTTCACCTCGAGGCGTTTCCTCAGGAGCTCATGAATCTTCTCAATGAGGTCGTGGTCGCACGAAGCAAAGAGAGTTCAATTATCACAAGTGCTCTATATCGACTACCAAAAGGCTACCATCGAAACAAGGATGGCCGATAATCCTGCCACGCCCACCCCAGTTTGCCTGCTGCCGTTACTCTGCGTCGCAGGGGCGGGGGAACCAATTGATGTCGGAGAGACACTACCGCTGCCCGATGAGCCTCCAGGTCTGCTGCTACCAGCGACTGGCGTAGAAGTTGGCGCATTTGCGGCTAGCGTCGTTCCAACTTGAACCAGGAACGGGTCCTGGGTCAGCGTCGCCGTCGCCGTCTCTCCGCCAGCCTCAGCTGAGCACACGGCCTGATCTCCGCTCAGGCTGCAGTCGTAGGCCACAGTGATGGGCGACCCACTATCTCCAGTAAACACCATCGTGTACCCGACGTTCGAGGGGCCAGCAACATAAGTGACTGATGGGTTCCCCCGGAGAAATCGAAATCAAAAAAGACAATTACTCGAGTGACAGAAATCTTACTCGTTGCTGAGGGGGGAATCCCTATGTCTGCGGGATCCGTGGCCTGTCCTGCCTGCAAAGCCCACGTTGTACGCCCTTCCCCATCAACCCCTATAGCATCCGCACTCAGAGGCTGGGGATCAAATCCTGGGATGAACAGTGATGTCTGGGCTTGTTGCGCAGCGACTGTCACAGAAAGGAGAAAACAGTCAGCTTAGAAGTCGCATCTGTGAAAAAAAGAGGAAATGAAAGCAATGTGCACTTCATTTGTGCACAAAATGCTGATGGGGACGCACCCTTTATGAAAGCCCCTGAGAGGATGAGGACTCTGGCTAATTCCAAGAAGCTTGCTCTGGCCATCGTGAACAATCGGTAGAGAAATAACGAAAGGACTTGTGAAAGAGAGTGAAGCTTGTTAGTCGGCAAAAAAGTGGTAACAAAGTCGGTCGTCGCGAATTCCATTCATCACCGTCTTTTATTGCATAAAAGCCGTGGATGATGCCAGGGGAGGCCGACGGGCGCGTGACGCGAAACTATATTTGATGACTCAGAGCGACATAGGGACGCTCTCACACACAGCGGAGAAGACCTGGAAGAAGCCTCTTCTCTCCTCAAGGCATTGAGTTGGCACGGCAAAGTATGTGTAACTTAATCCATTCCCGTATGGCTATTCTAGAAGATACAGACTGCAGTCATAATGCATAATACTTGTCGTGAGTTAACATATCGAATAAAGTGCAACTGTTCACCCACAAATCCTAGTAATACTAATAAAATCAATCACAAAGCGAAAGAGCTTAAATATATACAAGGGATATTCTGAAATCATGAGGATTCCGTTTTGGGCGAGTTACTCGTTATCTCTACAGGGACGGAAGGTGTGTTGAAGGCGGCATTGATGGTGTTTTGGTTGAGCTCGCTCATAGCATGCCCTCGCGAAGGGGTGTTGGTCCCGGACTGCACCGGCGTTATCCCAAGTCGAGGAGTGATCATCCCACTGCCGTGTGCGCCAAACACGAAGCCTCCGCTCAGAGCCTCCATCGTACCTGCATAACCTTGAAAATAAAGTCAGCCGCTGCGGTGCATCAGACGCAACAAAAAACGCATACCTGGTACAAGGACACTGTCCCAGAATCCAGTCGTGAGGAAGTTATCCATGGTGAGAGCACCAAGGGCATCTTCCGGCGGGTTGGCAGCCATCGTGGGTGGGAACGTTGATATGTCAGCGACGGGGCCCATCTCACTATCAAACTGGAATTCGGCCAAGTCGAAATTCAGCCCTTGCGTGCTGAAGTGGCCACCCGTTTGAATTGGTGGGTTGAAGTCCGCAGTGGTTGGACGATGAGACGACGACGGCCGCGATGCCTCTGGCTGTTTGTTATCGGTAGACGATGAATCTTGCGGAGCATCCGCAGAAGCGTTGTTCGTGTCTATCCTCGCTGAGATAAGCGCGCGGAGGAAACCACTGTAAAGCGCTGGTGTGTGCGTAGGACTCGTTGCCGTATTCTCAAACAGATCAGCGATATCGTTCACCAGCTTCAGCGTCTTCTGCTCATCGTCCAAGAAAGCTTGGAACTCAGGGCGTATGAGCTACGATTGAAGAAGAATCAATTCAGCGGATATGTCGCCGATAGAATAGACTACCAACCTTGAGCAGTGTAAGAACGGCGTATGAAGTCAAAACACAGTGGGAGTCAGGCGCGTGGGTGACGAAACCGCAAGGTCCAAGGTGATCACGGACAATGGTTGCGCAGGCAGCGGCAGATGAATGGCATCGGGCGAAGAAGTGGCTCATATCCACATGGTTACGCTCAAGCGCATGTTGAAGGCCGAACGCATTCAAAACCAACATCGCATAATGGAAGTAAAACTGCGAAATAAGATCGCGGTACTGGATCATCCGCGGAGGAAGTCCTATTCCCATGTCAGCACAAAAAATCACAATTGATTGTTGAATATTGCATACGAGCGTTGCTCTCCTGCCTCATGGTAGACCACTCAGCACTCCAATTAATTATTTGGGATTCCATGGTTTTGATGACGAGCATGTAATCCATATCAACTTGCAGCCCCGAAGCTGTATTTGTGCCTGAGTATAGAACGTCGAGGCATCGTGAAAGGATCCTTTGAAGGTCCTAGATGAAAGATGTCATGATCCAAGCCTTAATATAACTCTTGTGAAAGCCACTGACGACATATCCCGCAAGGCCCGTGTCCGTTGGTATTGACAAGGGTGAACGACACCACAGCTTCGCGTTGCGAATGATATGACTATCTCACGTGTTAGCTATCGCCGTTCTGCTTAGAATAGCGACTGTCACATACTCTTCCTTAATTGAATGAGGTTTCCCCATCTGCGCGCTGAAACTGCGGTCCAAGCAGAAGCACATTAACCACGTTCGTTCACGGTTGTGGACTTCGATGTCTCGTGCTCTACCCTCTTCTGTGTCCTCGCTCGTGACAGCAGTCTTGCGGTGGAGGTTCAAATCAGTTGCCATTCTGAGGAAGGAAGGCAGAGTCAGCTAACGCAGAAGTCCGAGAAGTCAATGAAATTAAAGTACCTTATAGCCATACCAAGCAGGAGCCACGTTTTGTCTTGTTCATATCGTTCGACGGCTCCACATCCCCAGAGGGCCAGTAGTATGTACGCCTGAACGATTTCAACCGACTTGTATCCCCTTGCGGGGACGCTGAAAGACAGCTTCTTCGCTAGCTCTGATAACTTCGTATGAAGGTCTGGCTTTTGAGTATAGAATTTGCTGGCGACAGTACATACTATATCAAGGAAGGATCAGTGATGATGTGCAAAGAAAAGGGTCTGCGGACGAACTCGTGGTCAACAAGAATGGAGAACGCGAGCACACAAGTGACGGCGTGTGGAAATTACGATCCAAGATATTTGCGAACATCTGGGGGATCAATCAGCCTGAGAACAAAAGACATTGACCCTGAGTGCACTAACATTCATATTATCGAAGTAACTGTGGATACAACGGACGTAAAAATCAGTAAAGGTTAACATGGCGACCATTATGGGAGACGAACATATTGAATAAGGCAACGACTTCTTCTGTGGTGGTGAAGCTGAGCATTTCAGGTTGAACCTGGCGCTCGATGTATAATCGCCGCAAGGGGAGAATGGTCATGGGCCCTAGAAGGATGATATCGGTGACATTGAGCGGTGGGTGCATGTGGCTCACGTACCAGGCCTGAAGTAGTTGGCACTCGCAACACCAAGCGACTGGGGGCCATCCTTGGACGAAGGACGAGCTGCGAGTGCCGCCGAATTGCTAACGGTGGCTCTGCGGTTGGCAAGACTTGCTTCGGCCAGCAAGCCCAAGGGGTTGAGAGCGTTGTCCGGTAGTGAATGAAGCTTAGGTGAACCAGGCCGTTGCCCATGGGGAAAGGGTGAGGCAGGAGGTGATGGCGTTGAGCCTAATAAGGCTTGCGTCGTCACCGTTTGAGCGCTGGGGGAGGGTGATCGTGAAATCATTCCCGAAGCTATCGTAGGATTTCCAATAGATCGCAGGACTGTGTCCAAGGTCTTCTCCATCTTCCTCAATGATCGAGTCAATAATTCATGCTTTCTACTTGGCAATAAACACTATGAGTGCTGGCTAAAGCGGCAGAAGAAGTAAATTCATACTTCGATGATCGTTTTCCTCGATTTGATTCCTCAAAAATACATTCGTGATTACCAGATTGACAGCGTTTGCAGGGAGGACCTTGCTCGGCGCCCACGCATTTCATCTTGAGGCGACGGCAAACAGTGCATGCGCTGATGGTGATATTATGTCAAGGTGAAGCCGTTGAGAGAGAGAAGCGGTACCAACCGTGATCCTCTTGTAGGTTTTGCCTTTGGTTCTTCCTTCTCAATGGTCGGACTGCGGGCCACGTCCAAATCATCATCCTTTCTAACTTTCTTACGACTGTCATTACTCGCGGCAGCAGAAGCTGGGCGCTTGCCGTTCCCGTTCGACGAGAAAGACATATGCTCAATTGGCGGTGTACCAATGGTGTCCGATCCATTTGATGAGGGAGAAGAGTAGTTAGGCGGCAATGAGAGGTGGTGAGGGATATGCTGGGCTTGTTGTTGGTATGAGTAGTAGGGGGGATAGAGGGCTAGTGCCGGGTCGATCGGGATGGATGGTGACGGAGGGGGCTGCATGGAGTGGGACATGGATGATTCCTGCGGCGACATCGGGTAATCCTGGTGATGGGGGATAGAAATTTGGTCAGGATACGATGAGTGGAAGTGGTGATGAGCAGGGGGCAGGTAGTAGGAGGTGTAGCCAAAGGGAGACGACGGCATTGTAATGGCCAATGAAGAAGTGGAGAAAGGAGAAGCGTGCTGATCTATTGTACTTTAAGGGCGTATATAGGGGGCCCAGCTACAATGTTAAAAAGTACGAAAGCGCGAAACTCACGTGTGAGAGCCTCGGGGTAGGATGAGTAGTTGTGCGCGTGGCGCCTGATAGGACAGGTTGTGAATGTCAAACCAAGTAGGGATTGGCTGGCAAAGCGAGAGAAAGAAGCGTTGCACCCGCTGGGAGCAGACAGCCTGTTTGAATTCCACGTTCGGGTGAGTCTGTTTACACGGTCTCACAGAGAAAGAACTCCGGACGGTCAGTGGATCTGGGTGAGCAGATCTAGCTCCTAAATCACAAATATCAGAAATCCAGTCAGTGGGATATCGACCTGAAATCAAGATGGCACTTACTGGAACTGCGAGAACGTCGAGGAGGAGACTAAGCACTTGTTTAAGCGCCCACTCTTCCCCCCGTTCAGTATTCCCCGGATCACGTGTGGGGCAGCTTACCAAAACTCTCCCCGGGCCCCTGCCGAGCCCCTGGTACTCCTCTTGGCCAATCAGCGGTGCTCCTCCTCCACTTCCCAGCCCATACGACCGGAAATTCTCCAAACGTCTAATCCTGCCCATGCCTGCTTTCAGTCTGCTTTCTCGACGTCCCGAATTAGCGAGCGATCAGGCACTGGCACCGTCTTAGACTTGTTTTCAACCCAAAACCTCGTGTCTGGTCCACTCCGCCCATGGCGCCGGGCGCCCTTGGATAAAATAGGCCTCTATCATGACGACGTTAATAATCCTACGGTACATTCCCATAAGGCGCCACACCAGTAACTTGGGTCGTGCTTAAAAATAAATACCCCATTATCTCGACTGCTGGTCCTGTAGCATCCCCGATCTCTCTTCGATAAAGTACCTTGATCATCTTACGGCCGCTCTTTTCTTGTTTAGGTCATCGTTATCTTTCGTAACTGGGTATCTAGTAAGAATGGTCTCCCCCCCGTCGGATCCCCGCCATTGCAGTTTGAAGATCTAAAGGCCTGAATGTATTTTCGGTGTCAACAACTGATCTATGGTCCGAGCGGCGTCTCTTGCAGCAATCTGCCATCTACGGTGATTCCTCGACTCCATCGCTTACGACACATTCTCGGCGAGCTACCGCCAGACTGATTTGATTTATTGATACCCACAATGTCAATTCACTGCCCAATCGCTGGCCATCTTCGGCCCGCTAACACCAATCCTCAACCTCACCCTTAATATGAAGAAGCTTCTCAGTTTATTGCAGCCGCGTACACACGCACTTGTGAAAACTTGAGCAATGTAATTCTCTGCCTAATGATCATCCGCCAACAATTGATGGCACACAGCCATTTCAAGCCCCGAGAGAATTTCGCACTTCCAAATGCAGAGTTTGTGTGTGAACCAACATACATCGTTATGCCGCATAATAGCTTTATCTGTTTTGACATGATCAAGTTCTAATTCTAATAATATTATTGAAATTGAAATATCATTCGTCGGAACCTGCTGGAAACAAACGTCGCAACCTGACCTTTGTGGAACTCCCCAGAGGTTATCCTTTGAGAATTCATATCCGTGCGATGTTCTCGTTATATGGATCGGCCTCATTATCATTACTCATTGTCAGCCTTTATATCCACCTCGTCGAGGGAAAACAAGACATGAGCCTGAGTGGGCCTCATGTCGCTGGAGTGAGCTACCCGCCGTGCCGCTCCACCGCATCCTGATGGGCTCAGATGTTCGCCCGCTACACGGCCCCAATGAAAGTGTCTGTAAATACATACTAGGTGCCTTGGAATATCCTCCCCACAAAAAGAATCCCATTTCGTGTGCTCACAATTTGCAGAAGTGCTCCTATGGCCATGACTCTTGTCGATTGCGGCTGTGTCTCTGGGGTCTCTGTGAGCAAGCCTTGGAAACGTTGTGCAGAACCTTATACCATGCGCGGTGCATCGGTGGGCCCGGGAAGCTTCTGCATGTTTCTGGAAACATGGAATCGTAACAGTTAAGTGGGGCTGAGCTAACTATGGTCTGCATTGCGAGACACTCTTACTGGTCAGCATCCCTACTCATGCAGCAAGGCATGAGGAGGACGGTCTCCGTCTGCACGGAGGTTTATTGTCTTCTGATCGACTTACTCAATATTCGTATTATCATATCACCATCGCACTCGATTAAACGGTGAAAATGGCGGGAGGGTCCGTGAGGTCGCACAGTAGGCGGACCTCACGGAAGCAGTCGACACGTAACCGTTCTCGACGCGACCGCGCTCCTACAGTACTTCCAATGAGGAGGGACTTTGAATTTGAAACTCAGCGAGCCTTGATAAGCCCGTGCTGAGGAAACTGTTCTCCACGAGCTTCTTCCCTGATTGGATAGTGGAGTGGCTTTCTCCCTCCTCCTCCTCCTCCAGTCACAGATTTCTTCGCTTAGGCCATCGCTCATACATCAACGCCGCAGCCCCTTGGCAACGTCTCACAGTCCGAGTTTTTGACATTGACGTTCGGGTCGGCCAGCGCGCACATATGCCACCTAGTCGATGCGACTGACGGGGGCTCGCGTAATACTGACGGGGCGTTTAACAGTGTCCAAGGCACCACGAGCCTAATTGCATATGTCACCGAGGCCGATGAGCGACATGATGCGTTTACAGCTTGTCTGTTCTCAAGTGGGGATTTGTCACGAAGTTGGAATTCTCACACTGCGACCCTTGCATGCGTGAGGAACCTTGACAACTCCGCTAAGTACCATCGACCCGTAATCCATGCATAAATCTGCTTATCTTATTGCCTCCTGACATCGATGACTTGTCAGAGTTGTCCAGAGTTGTCACTTCGCTGACTACTTGCCTACCTCCAGCCGCGGCTTACGTTGCTCGACACACTGATGTCGTTTGCTCAATCTTCTTGTCCCACCAAATGTCTACGGCTTTGATATGATGCATACGTGATGCATCATATCAGAAACCTCTGATCTTTTCTGTCTCAAGGAGGATATCGAAGAATACTGAGGGCCGTCGACGTTTCATCAAATCCGCAGCTCCGTGGTTTTGAGTGGACATTCCAACGATATTCCTTCTTTGACATATCGCTGGTAAGATATCCCTCGCTGGTCGTCTCCTTTCCATCGGTACCACTCACTTTCTGGGTATAGACTGCATTCCTTTAAGCTTCTATCGGACGCAGAGCACATGTGGGTATACGCCCTGGCTCGTCCGCTTTTGTCACCGTCAGCGGCAAGCTATGTTTAGCCCTTCCTATTTCATGAAAAGCTTATTTTCTTCAGGATCTGAAGATGTTTTGAAGACTATCATCAACAAATACGTGAAGCTCCGAAGACGTAACCGGTGTGTAAAAACTATCGCCTACCTACCTTCACTTTGATATCGATTTGACGAAATACATTGTCCTCGGGCGCTCCTATCACGGCCGATTGTGTAATATGTCCCACCTCGGATCGTTTGGCACTGTCCAGTGGGAGACCTCATTGTTTGCTCTCACGCATGATGCATATGTGCAGAACCCCTTCGATATTTTGATGCCTGCTTGTTTACAGGAACTCCGCACTTTGGTGTGAACACCATGTGGAGGCAACGAATTACCGTAGAACTTCGCAATTTCGCAGGTGAATGGCTTGCTTCGAAGTTGAAAAACGACATTCTGATGGCTCTTCGTTCCATAACATCGTTATTCGTAACGCCCCAGGGCCAGGGCGCTACCATCGGATTCTTGCTCCATTGTAAAACAAGCTCCATTTTTTCAGTTCTCGGCCAAAGGACAATGCAACTAATAGTCTCGAGTCATCCTTGTTGTTGATCGCTCCCCACGATTCTCCAGCGAGCACGAGCCGGAACTGTCGCTGCGGGTCCTGATCTTAATTAATATACCTACTTATGGCCTTGAGAGCCATACAGCTTGATTGCCATAGGTTTGCGATCATAGGTTCTGGTTTCCTAAAGCAGCCGCCGTCCATGATGCACGTACATGATAAGGAGGTGGAGGACCTTCCTTATTCCTTCGTATGGTTCCTTACACGCATGTAAATTTGAAACATAACTCGAGGTGTGTTCCATAAATTACCGTTTCTCACTCAGCGTAATCACCATGTGCACCCCAGAATTCCAGTAGACCACGCTTCCGAGGTTAGTCTGGGATAAGCAATGGTGTTTTGAGTGTATGGATGACTTGGTTACGATGTGGGTCAATGTTTTTTGGGCCGAGGGTATACGGGGGCAAGACATGATAAGGATTTTAGACTCGCCTCTCGACTTTGCTTTTGCAGGATGGCTTCAAGCTCCGCATCTTCGTACTCGGGATAGTAAAGATCTATCACATATCGGCCCCATCGCCGTTACCGCAATGTCCCGAGCGCATGAGCTGCAGAGGAGTCGCCCCTGGGCGTGCCGTTGGGTTCGTAGTTGTACAGCTTTCCCAAATTCCAGATCTTCGGCTGACTGAAATGTTTGGGGAACTTGGCTAGCTGCCAACACGATAGATCTAAAAAAGCACCCTCTGTTTAGATCCACAATTGTAATGTCGGCCTCGTGGTATATCATGAGATGAGACTTGACCTTCCATAGAACAGAGACGTGTTACAGGCGACATTGGCAGGGACCGTGGAGTGCTGACGATTATAGCATGCCGAGCTACACAAAGAACCGAGACGGCCAGGGGACATCGCCAGGGACCATGAACAACCGACAAATATAGCATGCCGAGGTGTCTGCCCACGCCACTATTGTCATATCTGCCAATGGGCGACTCTCCCAAGTGTAGACTCGGCAAGCCCATTGGGAATATCTTGAAGCGCCACGGCGTAACCAATCTCATCGACTTGAACGTGCGTACTACCGTATTATACCGCTGAAACACCTATCGCTTCATCAACGATGGGAATTGGCGTGGAGAGGGTAGTGCAGTAAGCGGGTATCGATGACCGCCCCGAAATGTTTGCCGTAGAACACAATGTGCAAAGAAGGGACTTCCAAGATAGTGTGGTGGTAGTGAGAACAGTGGTGAAATTGGCATAAGTTGACTTATGTTCGAGCTTGCGAGTGGATATGCCGATGACGAAGATGACACCTATGGCTCGTTTGATTGAAGAACTGGTTCTCGCGAGGTTCCCATAAGACGGAGCAAGGGTTTCGGCAGTGTGGTTTGTAGAGCACAGGGGCGGATCTTCGAAAGCAAGCAGCCTAAGTTGGCTTTCGCGTGGAAATATCAGAGATGAAAGCGATATCCCTAGGCCGAGTGGCGATCTTCTGGATTCGTACGTCGATTTCGCAAGGGTCCGCCGTATAATCGGGGAGTCTGGACCCTATACCCCGCAGAAGCGCCAAGTTGTATCAGTGGGGTAGACTTACTTCCAGGTTCAATGATTCGGGAGCACGTGCTTCCTCTACGAGACATACTGGAACTCGCTAGCAGCAGATTGATTGGAGCACCCGAGGACCCAGGACGGCTTGGCTAGATGAATGGCAGATCACATCCAATGTACCAGTAAAATCTCAAGGAATACAAACCTTGGGAACCGGTGAGCCAAGAGTTATTCAATTCGACGAAGCTACGACTCAACAGGGTGGGAGTGGGCTCACAAAGGCCTTGGCGCCTTTATAGTTACGGCACTGTATAATGCAGATACGCATCTCGCAACTTGACAACTTCCGCTCTTTTGGTGCCGACGGGCGTTAAAAGTACAGATATGTACTGGCGTAACTTCGGCTTGGTGAGGGGAGTAGCCAGAAGGGGCGTAAACGTATGAGGAGCTCGCTGGGACTCGGTACCGATAAGATACAGCTAAGATGGCGATTTGGATCTACCAAGCGGCCGAAGCTAAGCATCATAGGGTCCGAATTCTCCGCGAGTTGATGTTCAGGACCGCCGGGATGTACAATTGCCTTGTAGGTTCATTCAGTAAAGATGAAAGCACGGGGACATCCATTGATGGAAGCCTGGGAAGCGTGAAATAAGCGCTGCGTAGGCCCCAAGAAATGCAACTCGGAGAGATGTTTGACGGAGTTGTGCCACGCCAACGGTATCGTACAATATGGCTGTAGTGTTTCCAAATAGACAACCACCGGGTTACTGGGATTAGGGTTCGCCAGCTGAGGATTGGCAGCGATCGGCGAAACTGTTGTCCGGAGATCCGTCTTGGGAGCGCAAGCCAAGCGATGTTGCTAACGCTATATGGAGTCAGTGTATAGAGAAGACGTGCTCAACTAGGAAGGAAGTAGATGTCCAGGAGCCAAGTCGCCGAGGTTAATGGGGAGCGAAGAATCAATCGGTGAATATGGCCTCACCTTGTCGAAGATACCAAACTGGGGTAGAGCCGATTCTTATCGTGATCGAAGCCGTAGGCCCAAAATAATGTGCACGGCGAAGGCAAATAAAGAGTCCATGGAGCTACCATTCGCCGTGCTGTGTTCATTAAGTCTGGATAATTGGCGTTAGAGTGACAACATCGGCGTCGACATTGATGGGTGTGCCGGTTCAGAAACTGCTTCTCATGACACTCATACCCGGTGATCCAACTCTCATGTCCCCAGTAGATCCAGCAGCGTAAAGTCCGACAAGAGAATGGTATTTTTAAAGTAATGAAGCTGAGTATATCTGTAGACGTGCCGCGGCGTGCTTGGCATGGGTGTTGCGTTAGCACAGGTCGACAGAGGAATTGCGAGTATTAACGTGCGATCTCCAGAGCGTCGGGAGCATGCCCACGGTTGTACAGGCACTTCCTTGGTATCGGTTTGCCATCAAAATTTTGTCTGCCATGGAGGATACCTACGCATCATTTAGGTTGCGCAACGAGTCGACAGCACCGATCCTCGAGTACCGGGAGACGTGAAGCCCTTGAGGCCTTGAAGCCCCGTTTTGGCCGGGCCGTAGCCTTCGGGCTACTGCCGAAGTGAAAGCGCAGCGCCAGGGTGAGAGAAAGAGCTCTTTGTGTTCTATGCCTAGAATGCCCGTAGTACGCTACAGAAAGATGGTTGACACGAAGTGCGGCCACTGCAAAGTTCAGGAAGGGCCAATTCTGGATTGTGCACGAGTATAAAGGCGTGCCGGGTTCGGCATTGATGTGGGGTTACAATATTCAATCTCCGTATCACTGGTGAGGCGCTGCTTCAGGCTCAAGCTTGAGCTCGACCATAGACACACTCTCTTCACGACATCCGCCATGAGCCCCAATCAACGACCGCAGCTCGTTCTGCAGCCATCAGTGAGCACGACGAGGTACCCAGCTTTTCATTGAAGTATATGCGACGCGCTGACCGACTGTCTTCTTCCAGGGTGGTGACGACGACGACAACCACTACAACCTACGCACCCATAACCTTACCTCCGCTTCCACCGCCATCATCGCCCAAAGATCCCAAGAATTACCCCCTTCTTCATACTACGTTACCACGGTCACTTCGTCGATTTCCGTTGGTGTTTCCAGGTGGCGCCCATGCCACATTTCGTGACGCTGCAGAGGGAGACGAAGAGATGCAGGAAGAAGAGGAAATGGTTGGTGGTAGTGGCTGGCGGATGCTCCGGCACGATGAAGATCAGGAGAATGTTAAAACCGTAAACCTTACAGAAGCAGTTGAACGGTACGGGAAGAAACGTTCACATGGCAGTGATAATATGATGGAAGGAGTCGAAACCACTTCCGAATTCGAAATAGGCAACCCCGCTCCTCCTCGAAAGAAAGCAAGAGCTTCGGGCTTGCCGCCTATATCCACAGTAAATGCTGCTGCGCCCCCATCACCTTTGCCCTCGCCCCATGGGTCCCCTACTCCCGAAAGCATTTGGCCGTCAGCTCCCCCTAGTGGGGCATCCTCACCTCTCCCCCAGGCTCCCCTACAACCCGACTTGTCCCTTACTACTCTGCTTACATTACCCTCCCTACTTGCGCATTTCACGAACTTACCCCCTGCCCTCCAATCACATCTGCTGCTTACTCTGCTCCGCCATTCACCACTCCCTGTCCTGCGAACGCTACATTCAGTGTTAACACCAACTCTCGCGCGCGATTTCCTTACCCTCCTCCCACCTGAGCTTGTCTCTCAAATCCTCAGCCATCTCCCTTTCTCCACACTGGCCCGTGCATCCCGTGTCTCCAAGGCTTGGAGGGCTATAATTGATTCTGATCCTGTGTTGTGGCGGGATCTTCTCCACAGTACGAAGACCTGGTTTGGCCGAGATTCAGAGCAAGCATTTGCGAATGCCGTGTTAGCGCGACGCGCGCGCGAACATCCTTCGCCAACACTTCACGATCCGCTTCCGCTTCCCCATCCTTACAAAATACTTTTCAAATCGCGTCACCTCACACGAACCCATTGGATAAACAATAGGGAACCAAAGCATCTGTCTTTCCCCGCCCACGGCTCATCCGTTGTTACATGCCTACTTTTTTCGCACGGCCGAATCATCTCCGCCTCCGATGATCATTCCATCCATGTCTACTCCCCAGTTACTGGCGAACTTCTGCGCTCTTTAAAGGGTCACCAAGGGGGCGTATGGGCTCTAGCAGCTAATAAAGACATCCTCGTCAGTGGTTCCACTGATCGAACCGTTCGGATATGGGACCTCTCTACTGGTCGATGTTCTCATGTTTTCAGTGGTCATACCAGTACAGTGCGCTGCTTAGCGATTGTCAAGCCTGAGATTATAGACGTAGAGCTGGAGGGTCGAATAATGGCCCGGCAGAAGTGGCCGAAGAGGCCGTTAATAGTCACTGGAAGTCGAGACCATTCACTCCGAGTGTGGACGCTTCCTCGACCAGACGAACCGGAATACCAAGGCTTCGGCGTCGAAGATACCGACGCTGACCCTGGCGAGGTATGTATATTGTCATCACTATTGTTATCTTTGCCTGGCTAATCTTTGAATGCCAGGATGCGGACGAGAACCCTTACCATAGGTTACACCTCGAAGGACACACGCTTGCCGTTAGAGCCCTCGCTGCCCGGGGGCGCACATTGGTCTCCGGTAGCTACGACTGCACCGTACGCATTTGGGATATTATCACTGGGGCTTGCAAGTGGGTGCTAGAGGGGCACACACAAAAAGGTACTTGGGATTACATAGCGCGTTTTTTTTTGTATCTATCTAACATCCTTCAGTATACAGCGTGGTACTGGATCCCAGCCGTAATCAGGCTTGTTCAGGATCCATGGACGGCACCGTACGCATCTGGAACTTAGACAACGGAAATTGCCAACACACCCTGATCGGGCACACGTCACTTGTCGGCCTTCTAGGTCTCTCTCCTTCCTACCTCGTCTCCGCCGCCGCCGATTCGACACTACGTATATGGGATCCAGATTCCGGCGAACTGCGGCACACGTTAGCTGCTCATACCGGTGCCATTACTTGCTTCCAACACGATGAATTCAAAGTTTTAAGCGGGTCGGATGGTACATTGAAAATGTGGGACATTCGCGATGGCACAGTAGTTCGTGACCTCCTTACAGGGATAACCGGAGTTTGGCAGGTTGTCTTCGAGGGTCGGTGGTGCGTCGCAGCAAGTAATCGCAGCGACTCTACTGTTTTGGATGTGTGGGACTTCGGAGATGACGAAGACAAGGACTGGATTGGGGAGCCCCCTGGTGGTATCTATGACGAAGACTGGCTTAGTGAGGACGAGGACGATGAACTCGGCCCGCACTTCGTGAAAGAGTTTCTGGACGATCCGGAGGTAACCGACACCGAAGCCATGGACCAAGACATGATTGCATCGGAACTGGATAGTTCGAACGTTGACCCACAGTCTGCGCGCAATCAAGAACGAAACACCCCCGAACGTTCGGACATGGATGAGGATGTCCCAATTGTGCCTTCCAGTGCTGCTGTAGGCATCCCAAGTTGGGCTGCAAATTCTCAAACCACTCCCCATCGGCTTGGCCAAAGCAGTCATTCAACAGCAGGCGGTCCTAACCCGCTCCGTCCATTCCGAAGGCTTGGCGGACCCAACGACACACAAGGACCGTCAGAGCTTCCTGATAACAGCGAAACCCCAACTCGGCCCCGAGTACGGACTTACGGTGTTCGTCGGCGTTGATATGTGTATCTTAATGGTCTCTACGTTCTCTACCATATTTCATGACTTGTGTTACATACATTAGGACCATTCCTGGCTACCCTCACTTCTCTATCTATTCACCTCTAAATGGGTCTGTAGCTCTCTCCCTTGCAATGTTCTATACGACGCAACTGTTGTTCTAATATACTAATTCGGAACTCTGGAAATCTCTACCAACCTTCGCGAAGGCCTTTGAGAGAAGATTCGATCATTGAAGTCGTTGGATTCAAGTGTCGATGTGGAGCTCCACTGCCTTAGTTGGCTGTACATGTGGTCTGGTAGGTCAGGCACGCCATAATCCCGCCACATGCCAGCGGTACGACCGCCACAGTTCAACTTATCTGCTCACCATCACGGCAACGGGGACGAGTTAATTGAATCCAAGCGGCGCCCGGGTTGCGGTTGATTGGATTGGGGATCCATTCACAATTATCGAGCAACGAAAGCCCCTTGAGAGTTTATAGACAAACGCGGCGATCAAGGTTCATCTGACATGACCCATGACTCGAAAGAGTGCTTCCGCATTCGCTGGACAAGTTCGCACAATGAGAAATGTATGGCGAGAAACAGAAGGTTGTCGAATAAGCACGCACAGTGCTTAGTTCGGTGGTTCAGATTTGAATGCTCGGTGCCTTTAGATGCATCGGTAGCAAAAAGCCCTGTGAGAGCATTTAGACTACTGTATAGTAGCAGCAAGAACAAGGTAGAACACCCCCAGGCTCGCATCGAGGGAGATTGGTTTTGGAAAGATGGTAACTTGTGCTATCACTAGCAGTGTCAGACGACTCGTCCTTTGCGAATCGTAATTTCCTCTCGGGGCCTATGATAAGTAAAATTAGCATCGTATGAGTATACTGAAGGAAGAACTGTGCTGGCCTGTCTTGGGCATCAACAGCTACTGCGCCCAGTCGTTGAACAACCCGCATTCCAGATGCGACACGACCAAATATAGTGTGCTTGCCGTCCAGATATGGTGTCGGAGCAAGTGTAATAAAGAATTGTGAGCCTTGATCAATGAATAGGTTCGGGGTCAATGATTGAAGGATACTGGACCCGCTTTAACCCACCATTAGTATTTGGACCAGAATTGGCCATTGCTAAGATACCTGCACCAGTAAATCTCAATTCTGGGGTAATCTCATCTTCGCTAAGTGGTGAAAGTTAGCAGCAATCAATGGGGCATATCAATCTGGCGCCTACAATTTTTGGCCGTATATACTGGTACCGCCCCTGCCTGTGCCAGTAGGATCGCCTCCTTGTACCATGAAGTCCTACATTATACATCTCAGACGACACCAAGCAACCCATCGCTAGGGGGTTACACACGGATATGATGCGATGGAACACAGTGCCGTTGTAGTAGCCCCGCTTGGCGAGCTCTGCAAAATTCTTGCAAGTCTACCGTAGTAGTGAAGCGGTTCGTGAGTCGATTAATTGGTAGAACTGGTCGAAAAGAACCTTTGGAGCATGATCCCAGTACAACTCAAGCACTATTTCCCCCATATTCGTTTCAAGGACAACTGTCTCCATTTTGAGTGATCTTCAAATTCTGTAGGTTGGGCAGGACTACGACGTTCAAACTTGAAGCGATACCATTAAGAAACACTCGCGTCAACAACCAACAATAAAGACAGGCGCCTATCTAGAGAACCTCCTGATGCGTGCAGTCATCCAACGAGTTGCGTCTGCTTCTGTGTCTGGCAAGTTCCTCAAGCTAACCCCTTCAAGTATATTTAATTTAGCTAACGCATCGAATCCTAGTGAATAATGAAGTGGTTTCCAGCATTTCTCGCGGGTTAATGGTCCTTGTAGGAATTGGCCGAGGTCTTTTGAGTCGCCGTGTTCAACATAATGGCTTGTACACTCATGATGAACGAATTGAATAGATGACACTGCAGAAGATGTAGCTTTCATCGCGAAGAAAATGTAAGTCAGCCATTTCCACCAGTCTTGTAAGCCGCCAGGATATCTGATTCCCGCCGCAGCCTAGCTCTGCGTTTATTCGAGGCCACAGATGACTCCACAAAAATGTGGAGGTCCAACGTGTCGGATATTGATGGGGACATTCTTTGCGTGTCCCAATTTACCCTTATGGCCAACACCTCCAAAGGGAACAAACCAGACTTCCACCTTGCCATGGTCGGTACCTGCTGCCCTTACTTCGTGCGATCTGGAGCTGATAAATAAGTTCCGCCTTCTTAGTCCACTGAGCAATCGAAGGAAATGTATGGTGCCCTCCTTCTCAAGCTAAGTGGCATGTACAAGGCTGAGAAAATCAAAGGTACTTGCGTGTCCTCATCCATTCTCATTTGGTAATTAATAATATAGATGGGAGGTTTGGGGCTATGATGGATGTAACGCTGACCAACGAAGTATGTCCTACTCTTTCTCTTCATCTACCGTCTGATTCGTCCTCGTAGGGTCCTGTCACGTTGACGATTGACTCAAGGAAGGATACTACGGCCTAGGCCTCGCTACTTAACCAGCACTGCGAGTTGCCTCGGAAACTCTCATAACTATTAAGCGGAAAATATATCTTCCTTTGGTCGAGCACACGAAGTTGCCACCGTCTGCCATTTTGCTTCAGCAACCCTTGCTTCTGACGCATACAGTACTGCATACTGCTCGCTCAATCACCGACGTCTGACTCAAAGGCTAACAATGACAGGTTTTATTACCAAGCTGAGGAAACATTCCTCACCGGGCTCAATACAGGTGTATCATATGAGCAGATGTCGGGGCGAAATACCTTTTGCCCTCAGGACAAAACCTATATTTATCTCTAGACGGCGGCCACGGGCAAATCAAGGGAAGCGAAGCTTGCGGTCCATCGTTAATACACGCCGACAATAGTGGCGGAGGAGTTCCTGTTCCTACCCCTTCCTTCCGTTCTGAGTCTGTTCTGAGTCTGTTTAGAAATCTGCTCAAGCTAATCAATTGATCCCACCTCTCCATTGGTTTGGGTCCAAGTCGTGTACGAGCGTGTACCCGACTTCCGCGCCTCAAGCCAGGATGCTGATTCGTAAGCCTCCTACACATGGTAGAAGGTTTATGAGGATTAGATCTGTATGCTTGCAAACGTGTTTGCAATACACACATTGCTATTGGATGCTTCGACAATCGTCATCTTCCAATTCAAAATAAGTCATATGGCCGTAGAGTGAGCCACAAGGCAAAGAGTGTCTAAACTGTACGAAGTGAGAGCGAAGTCACGCGATTCACTAGTATTCGTACACGGCTAGGCTGCAGGTAGGTCTACTTCGACTTTACTTCCTAGTTGAAATTACCTTATTCGGAAAGAGACTCAAATTAATTATGTGTAGTATTTCTGCATTGTAGATTGCAAACAAGGTATTCTTGTTATAACATACCGCCAACGAGGTGAACGAGTGCCATCGTCCCCCACCTGACAGCTCTCGCACCTCCCTGCCACTCCCCAGTGAACTGATGCAACCGAGATATCTCCTTGTGGAGCTCTTGACGAAGGTCGAGCCCTGGGGTCTGCTCCCCCGCTTGTGGCGCAGACACGCTAGCCACAGCGGTGTTACGTTCTTCCGGCGACGTTCGCACGAGTTTCGATGGGAGTGCCATTATGAAAGATAGTTCCGTGTCCAGCTGAGATGAGCGCGAGTTGAGGTTCGTTGAACCAAACAAAGTCAGCACGGGAGGAGCATCGGGGTTCGGCGACAACCAAATTCCTGCGATGAGAAATTAGGTATGTATGGACTAGAAGTAGCATCACGTTGACGAAGTACCTTTTGCGTGATATGTCCAGCCGTCCTTATACCATTCCTTCAACTGAACGCCGTGGCCGTAGTTGCCTTTCTGTGTCCATGTCCTCCCTGCGGATTTGACCGCCTTCATGAAGCCTTGTTCTAAATACGTATAACCCTCCGGAATGCGACCGGATATCCCACTGGAACCGTAGAAGCCGTTTGCCTGCAGGAGGGAAGTATTGTGTGAAGTCAGTGCGGAGGCAGAGAAGACAGAGACTAGGGAGCAAATGTACGTTACCTTTGGACTAGCACATATGATTCGACAATCTATGTCACGGCTAGACAACACAAGGTCTTGATATCGTTTGTTCAGCCCGAAGTAACCACTTGTCAAATCCATCAATGGGCGTTGCCGTACATCATCGAAGCCTGATTCTGGGGTCGAATGGGAAGCTACATGTCGGAAAAGCAGATCTAGCGACGACTCTTCTTCGCGAATACCAAACTGCCCTGCTTGAATGATGGGGAATAACAACACTTTCTCCTCGGAGCTGCTACTTGGATGCGACGGAGTCCTTCGTGATATGGAGAGTTCCTTTTGATGCGCTTGGAAAGATGTGAAAGAGTCTGCGGCTTTGGATTGTATTTCGTGAGGATGAGTCGAGGCATCTGGCCAATCAAGAGTGTAATCTTCGTGCCGATATGAGTATTTAGAGGATCGAACGTGTGTTGCAGGTGATAATTGGAAAGAAAAAGTTGATACTGTCCGCAAAAAGGAAAAGCAGTAATCCGCTAGTTGAGGTTCACCGTCGAAGTGGATGTAGCGGTCCTGTCGATCCGTGAAATACGAGTCGTTCAGATTTGCCCTGAGGAATAATGCTTCACTGATCAGTTCTTCACCTGAATATTTGACACATACCCACTTATCATGACCTCATCGTCCGCGCCATATATTTTGGCGTGCCACGTTCCCCAGCCTTCATTGAAACGTGGGGGCACCACTTTGGCAAGAACACCGCGAAGACTCGGACTTCGGAAGAGGGAGACGGAGACCCGCGATGGAAACTTCTCGAGCAAAGGTAGCAGTAGATGTGCGGTAGATAACTTTCCGGGTCGAGTAGAGCGATTCAAGTCGAGCTGGAGGAAGACTTTGAGGTCGGGGGAACGAGTCAAAGCCTCTTCCAATGCACCAATCTATTCGTTTCATCAATTTGTTGTACCCCCCCGGCAAATACTAGAGCACCTCACAAGTTGTGACTCCCCGGAGCCAATATACAGCGACGAGATAAAAATGCGCGACTTAGCGCGTTGAATCATGGCCTAGACACAGTTTACGCGTCGATACACCACTAAGATTAGACAGAGAGCTCACCAGTAATGTCTCATAGAAGCTCGATGGTTGAGATAAAACCTGAATTCTACGAGGTGATACAGCTAAGCACGGCTGTTCACGTTGAAGGGCGGAGACGAAGCCATTTATAAGAGGATGATAAGAATGCGCCCTTCTAACATTCGTAGTCTCACAAGCCGTAGCCCAAAATGCGAAGCGAGTCGACCTTCGACATAACGGTCGCAGACTAGAGAACATGAAATGAGTGATGTCGGGAAGCGGACGGTGACTGTGGGAATTTCGTTCATCAATTACAGAATCAAGCTTTCGTTTCACCTTGCTCCTTTCTTTCCGTACATCAGTTCCTATATCACCCCCTGGCGTTTTCATAGAAAGTCATGATGGATGGATATTTCTTGTACCACGTCCTCAAGACCCGAATTCACGACACAATGCTATCTACTAGGGCACGACACGAGAGTTTGCACCGAAAGTACTATAAATTGCGCGTGGATACTCATTGGAACCAGCTTTGAGGCTGTATAGTGCGCTGAACGCTGAAGGTTAAGGACGTGGAGCTCATAGCCAAGCGAGCGCTCATCAGTGATCTCAAACAATCGACAATACTGGGAAGCACTGATTCCAATATAAATGAGGCGATGAAGATGCAATTTCTCATTTATCTACCCTAACCCCGACCTCCTCAATGGACGACTCACTAGGAGCTCTGGAGCTCAGTGTCATTATATCGGTCTTTCTGCTTGGTGCTGTCACAGTCCAGACCGTAAATTACTTCACGAGCTTTCCCAATGATCGACTTTCGCTCAAGATAGCGGTATGTGCCCAGTCTATGGATAAAATTGTAACATAACACTGAGAAAGTTTATGTAGGTCGCAATACTGTGGTACGAGTTTGATACCAAACAGCCAAAGCGCGTGTCATAATTCTAGTGCAAGGGCTTTGGAAATCCTGCATGCAGCTTGTATTGTCTCCTTCCTCTACACAACAACTATCGTCAACCAGAGTAAATTCAACGGCGCTCCCCCGCTATCCATTACACTAGCCCTCGTATCCCATGCAATCAGCAATAATTTTCTGCAGGTGCAACCTTCTTACCCAACGCAAAGCTGGATCACTTATATTATATTATAGGCGCTGCTCACACGCAGGCTATATATCGTCACGGAGGGAAGGCCGCTAATGCCAATCCTCCTGTGGGCCATGGCTGGTATATCGTTCTGTGGGTTCCTGGTGTCACTAGGACTGCTCCTTAACCAACACTTGTTTGGTTGGGCGATCGCTACGGCATGCTTCTTGTCATTGAATGCGATCATCTACTTCCTAATCTCGGCCTCTCTTTACTTCTCTCTTCGTACGGCTCGCAAGGAGAAAACTTCGAGGTAAGGCCCTCTTATCACACATGTCCCTAACTGAATGTTTTGCAAAGTACAAAGAAGCTGCTTCAGAGACTTATGATCTGGACCCTAGGTATGTGGGTCTTCTGTATCAATGAGGTCCATCTCTGATTCTCTTCAGTCAATGGATTCATCTTTACGTATGACATACTATCATTTCCAAGCTGTTTACTGATTGAAGTGCAGCTTTGCCGGTATCGCGTCAGTCGTTTTAGTAAGTATATCACACCTATTGTTTTGGTTCATTGAACGGGATTTTAGTTTGTGGTCCGCCTTGACAGTGGTGCGCGTCTTCGCCTCTCCCGCCAGCTATCCTTACTGAGTGAATACCCCCAGTTCTATGGGTTGGTGCACTTTCCGCCAGCCAACAATGTCAGCCCTCACTAAAAATCAACATACCAATTACCTGACCCCTTTGCCTGTAGTCTTCTCTGTTTCATTCTTAGCATCGTAAGTCTAGTTTTGTGTTATCCCTTTCTTTTCAGCCAGCTCAACGTCCACGATATAGCCTCAATGCTAGGAAAAGTTTACTGAAGATCGCGAACACCAATACAGAAGATACGGCCATCAAGCCGATCTCAGTGATCAATGTGCGGCCTTCCCGACTTCTGTAACTCAGTCGATGCTGATCTAGACTTCCAGTTCGCGCGAGCCACAAGGTCGTCGTCAGGTAACATCCCATATTGCTCTATCGTGCCGTACCAGAGAAGTGGGCTGATCCGTTGCTAGACTCCCAATTGAGCTCGAGGCGTAGTTAACTACCACTCCAATGGCAATTAGGCACTTCTGTGAGAGCCACATTCACTGTCGATCTCTTGGCCAAATACTGATAGCTAACATAAGCTAGTAGCATATGGCCGTCGTTATTCTTTCTACACAATATATGTCACGCCTTGATGCTTCCACGACAATACGCGCGAAGATGCCAAATTCTTCTCAAGTTCCCGATTGCTGTGTGGTCAGAATGGACGCTAGTGCTACTGAACGATTGATCCCATCACACAAGGCCATGTGCCCCTGGAAGTTGCTTTGCTATAAAGCTGCAGAATTCCTGACATCACCTCAACCGCTCTCGCAACATGTTGCCCTTGTCTCTGGTTGTCTTGGGTTGTTCTATTCCCTGCCTTGCGGCCATCACACAGGGATCTTTCAGCGTATTATCCTATAATGTGGCCGGCCTACCTGGTGAGAACCTTGCCGCTTGTCTACGGCTAACTCGCTAACTTGTCACAGAGCCGCTCTCCTCCAGCAGCCCTTCTACTAACACACCATTGATATCGCCGCGCCTAGGACCATTCGATGTTGTCCAAGTACAAGAGGATTTCAATTATCACGCAGCCCTTTACGCGTCAGACAACCATCCCTTCCGAACATCGACCTCAGGCCCGGCCTTGTTCGGCTCCGGGCTTAATACGCTTTCAAACTTCCCATTCATCGAACTTCAACGGGTTAAATGGAAAGACTGCTTCATCAACGAAGCCGACTGCTTGACCCCGAAAGGATTCACCTTCATGCGAATCAAAGTAGCGGACGGCGCGTGGGTAGACTTTTATAACCTCCACGCCGATGCAGGGTCGCAGACTGGTGACATCAATGCTCGTAAATCTAACTTGGCACAGTTGGCTGCCTTCGCGCAGACTTGGTCCGTGAACATGCCAATTGTTATATACGGCGACACCAATGCTCGATACACCCGAGACAACGAAGCGCTACACAGTCTACTTGATGGACTGAATGTGCAGGATGTATGGATACAGGTCATCCGCAATGGAGTAGAACCTCTTCCCGGGTCACCGGCGAACGCCTGCCCTTCGACATTCCCTTCGGGCACCCCCCAATCCCAGATGATCGCATGCGAGACTGTAGACAAGATATTCATTCGCTCCAGCGCAGCCGTCACCCTGACCTCGAATACGATTACCAACGAGAACGACGCGTTCTTGGATAGTGCTGGTGGTCCTTTGAGTGACCACTTCCCCCTCTCCAGCGTCATCCACTGGCAGCTTTCGTCAGCCATCCGTCTAGCTGATCCCGTCGGGGGTGCCAACGACGATCCTTTTACCGACGTCTCTCTAGCTGCCCCTGGCAGCGTTCCACGCATAACGTCCATTACGCTTCGAGGCGGTAACAGACTCGATTCCGTTTCGGTGGCAGTCCAATATACGAATGGCACAACGGCCACCGCGACCCATGGGGGTCAAGGTGGATCGCCTTCTACCCTCGCGCTGCAATCGAACGAGTTTATAACACAGGCGCAGATTTGCAGTGGCTCTCATCTCTCGTCTACAAGCGTATTCTTCCTCCAGGTTACGACTAATCAGGGACATACACTGTCCGCGGGAAAGTCTACTAGCGACTGCCAAACGGTCGTTGTTCCAATCGACGCCGGAGAAGCAGGCAAGGCTTGGGGCCTCGTAGGGTTCTGGGGCAGGTCAGGCAGCGAGGTTGAACGTCTGGGTGCAATTTGGGGCGCATCCTAGTGAGCTTGCCTACTTCTGAAATTGTAGGCCGCTCGATAATATGTTGGATATCGAAACAAAATACAATATTATACATGTTGAGCGTTTTCCTTTTAGTACTTACGGATATATATTGAAGGGTACGTAAAAGAGTGAAAGTGAAAACCGAACGTCAGTGGAATATATGTGCTGACGTTCGCCTCCAAATGAGGCGCAGGATAAAGGGATAAACGGTGAACGTAGACGGTAAACAAGTAGATGCTATGGAACTAGATGACAATGTGGTCGATGATGAGTATGATGTGAGACATGCCCGTGGAATGAATGATTAGTGCTAGGTGAGTAATCGTGGACGAGGTTATGCAAGTGAGTCGAGTCCATCATGCAACATGACGGTTTTGTGCCTCATGATGAGACTATTTTCTCAAGGATGGATGGAGGATCTGCTCGTGCAGAGCTTTGCCTGCCGGAACCTAGCACGCAAGAATATCAGCGTCCGCATCAAATACAGAACGAGGGAAGACTCACCATCGGGAACACATGTTCATTCTTTTCCACCAAACACTCCATGAGCACCGGTTTTGAGCCATCGTACTCCAGGAACTCTTTCATCTTAGCAGGGAGCTCATCGACAGTTGTACACCGGATGGCGTGCACGCCCATAGCCTGCGCCAGGAGGATGAAGTTCGGGTTCGTCATGCGTGTGTGTGAGTAACGAGAGTCGTAGAATAGATCTGGAGCCAGGAAGAGTCAGATCACCAGTTCACCAAGAGATCCAGTGACAATGTACTGACCTTGCCATTGGAGCACCATACCCTGGAATTCGTTATTGAAGACGAGAACCTTGACACCAATGTTGAATTGCGAGGCAGTAGCGAGTTCCATTGCGGTCATGCTAAATGAGGCATCACCGTCGATGTCTATTACCATTTTATTGGGCGCAGCAACCTTGGCTCCAATAGCTGAGGGTAGACCAAAGCCCATAGTCTATACATGGAGGATTAGGATCATCTCAACGGGGTAGACTGGAAAGTGAAACTTACACCAAGACCACCTGAAGTAACCAACGATTGCGGGTATCTCCACCTGAAATGCTGGGCCGCCCACATCTGATGCTGCCCAACACCAGTCGTAATAATAACGTTCTCCTTCTGATCAGCTACCTGTCTGTCCAACTCTTCGACGATTTCTTGCGGCTTCATTGGATCCCCGGCGGCAGCATTGCTCGGGATGTAGGTGAATGGGTACTTCTTTTTCCATGTCTTGATATCGTCGAACCATTCAGACCGCGGCGAGTGCTTGATGAGGGGTACGAGGGACGCGAGGTTGGTAACGACATCACCGAGGATAGGGATAGAAGCGTCAACGACCTTGTTGATGTTCTTGGGTTGGATCTCGAAGTGTATGATTCCGCCGCGGCCTTGGAGGGCGGCTGCACGGGCAGCGGGGGCGAATGTGTCGACTTTGCCAGTCACACGATCGTCGAACCGGCCACCAAGAGCAATGATGACGTCCGCCTGTTGCATAGCTATATTGGCGTAGGCACTTCCGTGCATACCCAGCATATGTAGACTCCGCTCGTCGGTCTCGTCGAAGCAACCCAGGCCTTGGAGGGTGGTGGTTACAGGGATATTGCCGTTCTCGACCAGTTGGGCGAGGAGCTTGGGCCCCATGGGCGACGAAAGGATACCATTTCCGGCATAAATGATGGGCCGCTGCGCTTGGTTGATCAGTTCAGCGGCTTGTCGGATCAGATTCACGTCCGTTGGTGGCTCGATCATCTGTAGCGGATTCTGAGGGAGGCTGAGATTTGAGCCTGGCGTGGTGGCCTTGTAGGGCAGTGGTGTGCGGAGAATGCTTGCGGTAACATCCTTTGGGAGATCGACCAAAACGGGGCCTGGTCTGCCTGAGGTGGCAATTTTGAAAGCTTCGTTGATTCTTCGGGGTAGTTCTGATATGTCCTTCACCATTACATTCCATTTCGTGCAGCTCCGCGAAATGCCGACGATGTCTGCTTCTTGGAACGCGTCCGAGCCGATTGCCGATGTAGCGACCTGGCCTGTGAAGACGACTAGTGGTACACCGTCGCTGAGCGCGTCTTGCATCGGCGTAACCACATTGGTCGCACCCGGGCCGGAGGTAACAAGGATTACTCCGGGCTTGCCAGAGACGCGAGCATACCCCTCGGCCATGTGTCCTGCCCCCTGTTCGTGTCTCGGAAGAATGAAGTTGAAGTAAGGAGAGTTGTAGATGGCATCGAATACCGGGAGAATTGCTCCCCCAGGATATCCGAATATATGCTTGACGTCGTGTCGAAGCATCATCTCATGGAAGATCTGACCACCAGAGAGCCCCACAAATGTGTGGTCTAGCGGTACGGCGGGCACCGGTCCTGGGCCTGTCATGGGGAGATTTAGGTTGTTCCTCGTAGGCACTTGCTGGAACCCTGGTGCTGGTGCTGGCCGACTTGTATGCATGTCAAGATGATGTCCAAGTCCATATGATGCTGGCGCACTCACACTACTGGAGCAGGGGCAGCCTTGTTCACCGTTGAACGACTGATGTTTCGGGCGTGCTCCCTGACCCTCGACTTGGCCTCAATCATCGAGCTGCCAGCAGGAGCAACAGTAGACCTGGATCGCACAAACGCGACAGGTGCCTGCGTCGCTGGCGAACGCATTTTTGTGGTTGCGAAGGACATAGTGAGCAACTATGATTTTTGAGGTCGTCGTGGTGGCAGTCGACGAGGGGAGGTGGTGGAAAGATCAAGCGACGAAGAGAAGGTGGACTTGCGAACTTATAGCACCCATGACTCGAATCTTCAATTTTCCGATCGTCGGCCGAACAGAGCCGGTGTACTATTTCCCCTTATCACGTGCCGCAGTGATCAGTCTCTGACCCCGGACTCGGAGACGCGGTCTCTGGCGGCGGAGACGACTCTGGGGTGGGCTAGAGTTGGACTTGGACATACGAGAAGAGTTGCATTATTTGGTTTGATCGTCAAGCTACGGTGTCACAGTATTGGTCGGGTGTAACTTTGAGCCAATTCATGGTTGCCCCACCACGCGGCCTCCATTACTTATATATAATATGTACGACAGTATTGGTGGCCCCAACTCGGTGCTAGCTAAAGGGAGTCGGGCACGAATGAGCTACATGTTGTCCAATGTAACTACACTTTCTGGGCATCACACGACTCCGATTGCTTCAATTTGATCTGTCAGATATCATGATTCATTGCTATGCAATGCGGCGGGCGTTTCCTACTCTATTCCAACACACCCCTCTGAGGTAACATATATAGACAGATAACCTCGCAACGTCCGATCCAACCCCCTCCTTCCGACGCCATCAAGCCTTGGATCCTTGGCCTTCAATGCCGCCCAAACCGCCTGCTCCAGAATATATGGCATCCTGGCATGGAAGACGGCATTCGCTTGGCTTGTCGACCCTTGTGTGGGAGAACCTCCACCACCTCGCAGCAGCGGCTGAGGCGAGGTCGAAGATAACTATGGCACGGATGTACGGAAGACCCGTCGGGCAATTCCTCCCTGCGCGCGCGAAAACGCTGGGCAGCGTGCGGGGTAGGCGCTAAACACCGCTATCGATTCATGGCGAAAAGGTGCTAATTTGAGACGATTAAACAACCGTTGTGGTAAAAGTACACATTGACTGAAGGTAGACCTGTACGAAGCGATTGTTAGCACAAAATGAAACGCATTGAGGGGAGATCGTATACCAGAAAGTGAGTCGAGAAAGAGTACACGGGATATGGTATCTTAGCGCGGATCCCAGTAATAGCGTTGCGGCGGTTTTTGTGAAGGATGACATGATGCTCGACTTGAGCGATTTGATCTCGGGGCAGCAGGTTCGGGCTGTGGGGGTGGCGTTGTCAGCAGAATCGTACCAGGAAATGAGGGTACGCACTCTAGGTAGTGAAGCCGCCGAGTTGTTTGCAAAGCTGGACTGCCTTCTGCTGTTGCGATCCCCCGCAGAGGTATTGAGCTCCTTCTCTGCCTGCTCGCGCCTGCCCCTCTCCAGGTCGTACTGCTCCTGGCGCTTCCGTCTCTGCTTCCTGCGCACATGGAAGATGAGCGTCGATACGACAGCCACGAGTAGCACCACTGTTTGAATAATAAGTTTATGACTCTAAATCGTGCAGTTGGGCGAAACGCACCAAAGACAACGATGACTGCTATTTCCCAGGACGTTCCTAGATGTCCGTTGTGAGGGCCGCTAAGGATTATGGGATGAGCCGGCTAACACGAAAGCAGGAAAGGATGTACTCACAAATCTCTTCCCTCTTCATCTTGGGGCATAGTATACAAGCTAACAAGGAGGAGAGCGGCCTAGCGGGATAGTGAGGGACTAGCAACGGAGACTAAAAGGTGCATCAAGACGGCAGTCTCTGGCTCAGCTTTATAAGAAGAGTTGATTTGGCTGGGCAGCCTTGGAGGACATGCCGATGCCAAGTCCAAGGACGAGAAAAAGGATTCGCCAAGAACTGAGCCTGACACAAACATAAGACAGCTGCTCCCATTCTGCGCTGACGAAATTCCAGTGATCAAGCCCGCTAAGAATGCTTGTCATCCAGCTGCCTTGGCTCACCGTTCCCCAGTGCGACGCTGCAAGTGTCCTGCAATTCTGGCTGCTGCACATCAGACTTACTGATTCCGTCCTATTTCCATACCTCCTGAACCCTTTTAGGCTAACCCCGGTATCACACAGAAGCACGCACCATGTCTTCCTTGACTTCCTTTATTTTCCGACAAGGAAAGCAGGTCAGTCAGCCAGCGCTCGATGTCTGGCTATCAGCTCACCCTCAAAGTAGATAGTGGCGATCGGCAGGAACTATGCGGAACACGCCAAGGAACTAAATAATAAAGTTCCAAAGGAGCCTTTCTTCTTCTTGAAGCCGACTTCGAGCTACGTCTTTAACGGCGGCAATGTCGAGATCCCAGACGGCATTGTTGCCCACCATGAGGGTAGGTCAACTTGGCCGTGTTTCAGAATCCCGGTCATGGCTTTCACTTGAGTTTTGAGTGGCAACGATTCCTGATCCTTCCTTGTATTAGTTGAACTCGGAGTCGTCATTGGCAAGACTGGCAGGGACGTTTCCCAAGCAGATGCCGAGTCTCTTATCGCGGGCTACGGTACGTGTCTGCCATCACCACCGCCCCCTTCCGAGTTCCCAGTCCTTCTCTCCGTCATCCCCTCCTTCGTTGCCAATGTCACAACCCGGAAATTCCGTTGTGGAGTGGCGCTTAAGCGTAGCCTGAGATCTGTCTGGTTGCTGATGAGTATTCCTGTGCCAAGCCTTGGCGGTAGATATGACTGCAAGGAACCTCCAAGACCAAGTCAAGAAACGCGGCCTGCCTTGGTCCGCTGCTAAAGGCTTCGATACTTTCACTCCAATAGGGTGTGTATACGGATCCTTTGTGCTCGTAGTAAAGACGCCAACTCATGGTCTTGGAACAGTGAATTTATCGCCAAGTCGGCAATTCAAGACCCCCACAACCTCAATCTGGCACTCAAGGTATGCAGTCAAGTGAGCTTGTGGTGTGCTCATGTTAATGCTACAGCAATTCCCAGATCAACGGTGTTGTGAAGCAAGATGGAAACACATCCGATATGATATTCCAAATCCCGCAATTGATCGAACACATCACTTCCATCATGACCTTGGCGGTCAGTACTGCCTCTATTTCGAGCTCTTGAATACAGCTTCTAACTTTAGTGCTTTACAGCCTGGCGATGTCATCCTGACTGGTACGCCTTCTGGCGTTGGCCCCGTGGCGGCTGGTGATAAGATTGAATGTACCATGTCGGATCCTGCAAGCGGCAAGATCCTATCCACCCTCAATCTGCTGGCCATCAACCGCAAGGGCGGGTACAAGTTCACACCGGAGTGATAGCCTAGACCCATCACCTGGTGGTTACCAGTTCATTTCTCTATCGATGAGCCCATGAATTGGATTACATAGAAGTCTCTACAGTTGTTCGCCATACAAGTTAAAGATGAGCACATGGTACACTAGATAACACACTGAGGGAAGCCCGTATTGTCACCGAGTCGAGGGTTTCGAAGGCGTTGATTGTCGTGTCGCAGCCTCTGTGGTATCTTCTGCGTCTTGGCTCCGCGGTGAATGGACTGAACCCGCATCTTCAGACCCCTCGGATATACTCGAATCACTCGCGAAAGTCCAGCTACCCCCAGTGGGTGTGAGTTCACCGCTGTTGCTCTGGAATTCGCCAAATTCGCCAAACCCTTCGAATGTCGAGTCCTCCATCTCATCTGAGAAGGAAGAAGTAAAGGTAAATGGATCAGATCCGCTTATTGACGACGACTCTGAGAAGGGTCCGAAGCCGTCCTGTAATAAGTAAGTTAGTTGTTATCAGCGCAAGATCCCCATTGCTAGATACATACATCATCGTCGACCGAGCTGAATGGGTCATCGGAAGAATTGTGGGGGTCGAAGACGTCCTAAAAATAGCGCGATAGTATTAGAACAGGTAGCATGTACAAAAATGGTATCACCAACGTCAAACCCGCTAAGCGGTCTGCGCTCGGAGCTCTGATGCCTTGCGGTCACTGGAGGATTGCCAAGAGAGAAGTCTGAATGGGTCAGCCACCCGCCGTCTTCATCCTCGTCGTCTGACTCCGATGACCCGTAATTACTTGCGGAGTGGAGGTCAAAACTAGCAAACTAGAAATACATTATCATTTGAATCGCCATTTATATCGTATGCTAAATATGCCATCGTACCTGTGATGACCTGTCATCATCATTGCCATCGGGAGGCCCGAAATCGGCGCTACTCTCTCGTGTTAGTCGCGAACCACTCGCGCGCCGGAATTCGCCCTGTGTTTCTTGGCTTGAGGCGTTACCGTTCGTTTCGAGGGCGGGCGCCGTGGTCGCAGAAGCGTCGGCTTCATCAACCTTCCACTGGGCGCTGCCCCTGTTCATCCCCGCAGTTACGACGGGCTTCCCGCCACCTAGTAAACGGGTATCATTCATTTTAGCTTCGTTATATCGTCCCGTGACGTAGTCGTCCCATGTCTGAGGCGCGTACTCGACAATGGTGAGCTGTAATTCTGGAGGGAAACGTTCCAAGGCAGTGATAACATCAGCCGCTATTAATGTGAGGTGGCCCATATATCCGAGCCGCACTCCTTTAGGTTTAGAGCTATGATTGTGGGGGTTAGCCGAGGAGGGTGAAATGCACTATTGCTCGTACCACTCTAGGTCATTTCGCTTCTGCCCTTCAACTATCCGATGCATTAACCGAGCATCCCTAAACAGTGAAACCGCGAGCTCGCGATTGAGTCCTCGGTCAACATTCCCCGTTAATATTTGGTGGACTAGGTCGTAGACGGCGCTATGTAAGAAGTTATTCCACGGGAAATCAAAGAACAAGTCCTAGGTAGGTGATGTTAATAGAATGACCCGTGATGAACGCATAACTACATGACTTACTAGAAGCGTTGATAATATTCCGATATCGAGATAGCGGCGCTTCAACTGCTCTCCAACAGGAACGGGCGTGAATGTTGTGCTGTCCATCATGGTGGTTCGTCTTGAGCTTCGGCGGGAACCATGCGAACGTGGGGCGACAGTGGGCGAATCTGAAGTGTCTGAATTTGAGCCGAAAGAAGCTGCTCGGGAAAGCGCAGCCCCTTGAGCAGCTATCTCAGCTGGTGGAGGGAGTGAAGCGGCATTTGGGGAGGAAGGAACAATCATCGGTGGCGGTTCTAGGACTAGCTCGTTTGATGTTGGTGATTGTACAGATAGCGGCTCGTCGTACATGGCGATGTCTTCCATCGCGTCGTCATCCGAGCTACCGGGCTCATCGTCGCTCATATCTTCATCAGAGTCTATAGATGATGGGGAATGTGATCCCGAAGTCACGGGCAGTTCTAGCGCTGGCTCTATCTCATCGTTGGCCTGGTCCATGACATCGGGGTCGCGTTCATCGTTACTATTGGCAGCAATAACTTTGGAGAGCTCTTCCAGACCGGAAAGTCCTCCCTGGAGTCGCCCTTCGTTGTCGTAAAGATAGTCAAACTGGGGTGATCGATTTAGAAGTGACATGTTTGAACAATGCAGGAGCTCAGCGAAGAGTTCGCATATGCGATACCGCTCGAATGTCAAGGGTGTAAGTTTGCCAGCCGTGGTATGCACTTCCTTCGTCTACAGGCCGCCGATTAGCCCTCGAGGGTCCATACTAAGTGAAATGACACGGCACTTACTAAGGATCGCGGCTTGCGAAGGAATTCTTGAAGCTTGCCTAGCTGCTCACCAAGAATATCCAACACCGGGCCTAAGTGCACGACTCCCATGCGGTCAACCATCTCCTTCATGGCCTGCTCAAGGGTCATCCGACTATCGTCACCAGGAGCGTCCATCTGTTGTTGAACCTGGATCAGCCTGTTTCGGAGAGTGTGGAACAAGAATGGCTCGAAGTAATCTGAGTTGTTCTTGCGAATTAGCTCAATGACGATGGAGATGGAATTGACGACCGAGGATGTGGATGTTTGCAAGTTCGGCGTCTTGGACGGCGCGGATGTGATAGAGGCGGTATCACTCTCGTCGGGACCATCCTCGCCAACCTCCTCGTCGGGCCCGAAGTCATGCAGCATATACCCGACCAATTTTGTGATGCTATCCTTGTGAGCTAGCTCCCGAGCAAATCTATTTGAAGCGGGCCCATTTTGAAGGCCTTCGGTAAGGCCTGCGCCGGGGGATGGAGTCGCCATGGATATGATGCCTTTTATGAGCTCCGCGACCACTGTATGCACATCACTCGAATGTGCGGGTGAGAGCAGCTCAATCAATCGACCCATGAGGTACTCCGAGGAAAGCCACTGAACGCGGCACATAAGAGGAGCACTCCCAAAAAGCACATTTCAAACAAAAACATACTTCTAGGACTCCGGTGCAGCGCTCATCTAGTTGGATGATTCGGACGAGGAGGTCGACGAACGAAGGTGTCTCGACATGCCGCAATATTCGCTCGACCACTGAGGGTTGTGCTTTAATGAATGCGAGCATCTAGATGATAACATTTATATGGATTGTGTCAGAGTGCTCCGGACGTACCTCGGTCGGCTTTTTATTGAGGAACACAGCGTTCACCTTGGCAAAGTGAGATGCCGTTGCTACTTGTGTCTTCATATCTTCTGGTGATCTGTCCAGGACCGTCTCCCAGAATGGCACGAGTAGTTGGTCTTGATGACCGACGCAGGTCTCCACTATTGACCATATCTCGCTACAAAGCACCTCTGTCGCAACATATGGGTATCTGGCAGCAGTTCAATATGCGGGAAAACGTTAAGACGCATCAAGATGTCGAAATCTCACTTGAAACGTCCCTTTTCTTCCCCCTCGATCTGCCCAGTCACATAGCCGAGTAGCTTCTGTAGCACGTCGACTCGTTGAAAATAATCGATAAGCCTGGTGTTCTGGGCCTTGCATTCTTGCAAGAGTTCGTCTTCGTCTAGTATGGCCTCGAGGGAAACCTCCTCCTTATCTAGGAGGCTGTCTATTGAGGATGCATTGTTGAACCCAAATCTAGGCAGAGAGTAGTGAAGATTCAGGAATCTCGATCGTGAAGAGAACGAGTATATTCAGGGTACCTCCAGAACATGAGAGTTGGCGTACAATTGAGGGGTCAGAGAATGAATGGGGTATTAGCGAGATGAGAAGTGTAGCTAAGGTATGTTCGTGAGGGGCGTGTGCCATAGCCGACGCGTCTAAGACGCTCTTCCATATCTGGCTCATGCTTAGACAGCAGAAATAATTGATTGACTACTACGATAATATATACATAAATCCTCAAAAGCATTGCAAAAAGTATCCGCCCGAGTATCATTAAAACTGATATCACGTTGTGAATGGGTTTCCGAAAGCATTTGGAGAGACTCACCCTAATTTGGTACGAACCACTGGCTTTGGTCAAGTAGCGCACCCATTTGATGCTGTGGTAGTTGCTCTTTTCAAAGACCTTGAGGAACCTGACAATCAAGCCCGACGCGGTAAACATCAACACTTGAAAATCAACATCTATTGGCGGTCGTGCCCAGACTTGTCGATGAGTCGTACTCGTCAATTCAGCGGTGGCGGAGAGTGTGCATTCTTGGCCACCTTGGATGCGCGGAACCCTAGGAACCCTTAGAGCGGCAACAACAAAAATTAATGGCCTGACATACTTCCAGACCACCACGTTCTCTCCTGGTACATATTTAGCCTTGCCAGATCCAACCTTGCAATCAACTGCAGTCGTGTTCAGGGGCGTTGGTATTCGCAAAACCACGTTGGTTGCTGATAGCTTATTATTGAAGTTGGTCTTGATCGTGACAGCATACGACACCTGCGTGGTGCCTATTTCCGTGACGGTAGGGATGATTCTTAGGGGAAGCTTTATATTGGAGGTCGATCGATATCTGTATTGCCTGTAAGCGCCAGCTCACGACAAATGAAATCGCACATACCTCATGAGCTCGAACTCGCCATCCGGAGGAATAAAGCTGATCGTGCGCGTGGCATCGAACTCGTCTAGACGTACGCATTGGTGGAATCTACAGTCGTCCAGTTCGACTGCGTCACTTATGCCGCGTTCATTCTTGTCGATTACGAGCTTGTCATTGAGGCCAAACTTGCATTCTGGAGTCCCGGAAAGGTATGCTCGCATTTGTATATGCCCATCAACATCGGCACGAAGTACAGTTCCTGTGCGGAGAGAATGTCAACACGAAGATAGAGAGACGACATTTCAGCCTCACCTTTGGCACTCATACTAAGATTGACCGTCTCGATGACATCTACAAACGCCTCGTTCTTCTTGTACTTGACATCACCACGCCGCCAGCTCGTGGCACCCGTTGCTTGGCTAGTGATTTTCGAGGACTCTTCCTACGACACGATTATTCGTATGCAATGACACGGTGGAGCAGATACGTACTGGTGCAATAGCTGCCGATGTGATGCTCTCAGTGGTAATATACGTCTTCAGTGTGTCGATTTCGCTGTTTTGGGGGTATCCAAAATCAATGGTCTCTGCCCTGTGTCGTCAGGGAGAGAGAAACGAGCTGCGGGGAAACAGGCGTACCATCAATAAGCTCATATATCAGCACGAAATTGTTCTTTATTGACTCTTCATCGATCTTGCCGAAATACGATTTGCAGATATTTATGAACCGATAGCAATACTCGAAGATTAAGGCGGCATTAGCGTTATTCCTGTGCCGCGTGCGTTAGACGAGCGGAGGTGGAGGTGTATAGCACTCACTTTGTCACGGCCACGACGTAAAGGTTGTTGATTCTGACATGGAAGAAGCTCGTAGAGCCGAGTGTTATGATGGGGGACCGTACGTCGCTGTTGGATATGACCTGTATCCGAAACACGTCCGCTATTGATCGTCTGATAGAGGAAGTCAACGCAACGTACAATCCCGGCGCTCTGATACACTCACTTGAAGTCTGTCCGATAAAGTCTAGAGATCAAAACCTAGAATTTTGCGTTTAAGCCACTGCGTGCAGTTTCCTAGCTAACGTCCCACCTCGCCCTTTTGACTGAATATGAAGAAGGCCTATAACTGAAGTATCAGCAGCGCCCGTTGACTGGAGTGTAATGTACGCACTGAAATCATCTAGCTGGCGCAAGGCAGCCTTTGGGTGCCAGCTGTGCTTGATGCAGATGGTAGTCACAGTGGTACGGAGAAGCAAGTATTGCGGCTATTTTTAGATCCATGAGGCTCGATCAAAATCCCCTGACTTCCACCCTCGACTTTACCCAAGGTAAAGCTCGCCGGTTTGGGATGAGTGTAATGCCTCTGAATGATTTTTCAGGATTGAGATATGCCGCCGGGCGTGAGTGGTGGGAACAGAATTGTTACCTCCAAGAGCTCGCAGTCCTCAGGCTTTCACCGGGCTCAACTATGGTCCTCCCAGAGTGCAGGGTCTTTGGGAGGAATTACATTCCTTGTAATGTTCTTCCCCATATATGTCGGTGACGACATGTTCAGAATACCAGGCCTCGGCGGAGGCTCAGCTAGCTTCCTTCAAAGCATGCAGCGAGGTGAGTTATAGCACAGTGCGTGTCTAGGAGATTTAATCACTATTTTCCGTAGTTGTACAAGGCTGCGCCGCCGTATCACTGATACAAATCTCCACTATGATCAGCGTAAATACACCCAGTCTTTATAAACCGTCCTCTCTCTTGAGATCGCCACTACCAGCACATCCATCGAAATGACCGTCACAGAATTTGCCAAATTCAAAGTCCTTCCCCCATTCACCTGCTCGTCACCAGAAATCCTCGAATTCCTCGCGGACGTTGGCAAGAAACAATATGCCTTCTCAGGATATCCGCTGAGATTCTACCAAGACGTCAACTCGCCTGACGCAGTGTACCTGGTCTCTGGATGGGACACTGTGGAGGATCATGGAAAATGGTCTGCGACTGACGCGAGCAGGAAGGTGATAGAGAGGTGTATGTTGGAGAAGTTAGTGGCCATCGAGGGACTGGCTCATTTGGAGGTGGAATTCCCCAGTCTTCCAGGTGAATGGAAAGGCATAGCCCATGTCGTTGTGGAAAAGGAGGGCAACCCCGTGGCTGACGCGAATGGTGAGCATTTTGTTGAATGCAACGACTCTTTGACTAACAGGCGTCTAGTGGAGGAATCTTTCAAAAATGCCACGCATCAAATATATGTAGCAAGGGACCAAACGTCTCCTTGTGGTGAAGTATTTCAGCTTGCTGTGTTGAAGGACGACGTGACAGGCTTGGAGGGGAAGTGGGATGGTGTCGCGAACTTCTTGGCCGTGAATTGAGCCTGGGCTGAACTCTGAACGTGAACTCTATATGCTTTGTACTTGTACTTATATAAACTATCCCCTATGTGCTCTATATATCATACTCTCTATCGACATAATACTGTCTTGAAGATGGTGGGAGTGCGAACTTGGATGATGGCCCCTGGGTCCTCCTTGATACGTCCCGAAACAGAATAGGAGGAGGAGGAGTCACGTGCCACAAATTTTGATACGCGACTCGTGTTCCCATATTCTCCTTTCACCTAACGCCGTAGATACTCTACGAGCCACTTACTACGCCAAAATGCCGACAGTCGAACCTATTGCAAAAGAAAGCCGCAGGGAGCGTCGCCTCAGACGCCAAAGGGAGCAAGGGCAGGAGGCATCCGCACCTGCACCTGACGCGCAGTCCAAGTCTAATAATATCAACAAGCACGGTCCAACTAAACCTCCCAAGACAGGCCCACATTCCCATTCCACCAGCAAACCGTCGTCCAAGAACTCTTCAGCCAAGCGTAGATCCAAGTCCACGTCGAGGTACGCTTCGCCTTCGTCGAGCTCTGGATCCCCGAGTACCCTTCTACTCTCGTCGACCGCGGATTTCAAGGGACTTGAGTCGACCTCTGAGATTGAAGAAGGCGAAATGGACCAACCTAAAGCGGGTCCTAGTCGACCCCGACGGTCTATGACCCCTCCAGCCGCAAACAAGAATAATTCGCAGGCCTCTGCTAAACATGGTTTCGACAGTCAAATCGACTTCATCCCGTTTGACACTGAGGACACCTCAGCCCCGCTGACGCGTAATGGGAAGGATATGAGTTCTTCGAAGGGGAAGTCGGGCTCGGATGTTAGAGCGGACGAAAGGAGGGGCGATATGTCGGGGAAAGGGAAGGCGCGAGATGTGGACCCTCCAACACGCGAATGGGATAGAGGGAAGCCGCCGTTGAGTGATGATAGAGATAGAGATAGGGACAGGCATGCTAGAAGGAGGGATCGAGATACTGATCGGCATGCAGATGGACGCGGTCGGAAGCGCGATCATGATAGAATCGACGAAAATGGAGACACGCGGCGGGATGAAACAAGAAGGACTGCGCACTATACCGAGTCACTAAAGGCGCCATGGACGAAAGATGTAGATTGGGATGCATGTAACAATGTAGCCGAAATGTACGTCCTTCATCACTATCTCCAGCACGTTCAAGACATTCATATTGTGCGATTGATTGTGTAGGATGCATAGGGAGGTAGAGGCTTTCGTGAAGTGGGCCTCCCCTACTCACGAAGAAGACGAGATGCGTGCTTTGATAGTCTCTCAAATAACCAAGGCAGTTACCTCGGCATATCACGATGCACAAGTCCACCCATTTGGTAGCTTCGCGACGAAGCTCTATCTTCCCCTAGGGTACGTTCGCACATACATACCTCTTAGTTCGTTTACTAAATGTGTCTCAGGGATATCGATCTAGTGATTCTTTCACCAAGCCTTCAGCAGGGTTACAAAGACTACGTTCTTAGAGACCTGGCCCATGTCATTAAACGCGCTCGCATCGCCGACCAAGTAACAATCATCTCTCGAGCGCGAGTCCCCATCATTAAATTTACCTCGATCCATGGTTCCTTCCATGTCGATATCAGCATTGGGCAGGTCGGCGGCCTCAAATCCGTCGAAATAGTGAACAACTTTCTCAACACTATGTCGCTACATTCATCTGGCATGGCCCTCCGTGCCCTTGTCCTCATTGCCAAGGCCTTTCTTTCGCAACGGAATATGAACGAAGTATTCACCGGCGGGTTGGGATCTTACAGCATTGTCTGTTTGGCGATCAGTTTCTTGCAGATGCATCCGAAGATCAGGAGAGGGGAGATTGATCCCGACAAAAATCTAGGGGTGTTGGTGGTTGAATTTTTTGAGCTGTACGGATGCTACTTCTACTATGAGGAGGTTGGGATTAGCGTGAGGGAGGGAGGGTCGTACTATAGTAAGATGCGGCGGGGTTGGCTGGATTACTACAATAAGGGGTTGTTGTCGATTGAAGACCCAGTGGATCCCAGTGAGTTCCATTCGTTCTGCGTTATCAACATCATCGATATTGACACGTCTCCAGCGAACGATATCTCCAAAGGGTCCTTCTCATTTCAAAAAGTGAAAACGACTATGGCAGGTGCTTTTGGTATCTTGACCACCAAACTATACGATCGTGCCGCATTGATTCGAACGAGACGAGAGGGGAGCAGGCTTTCGCTGCTGGATTTGCTTCATCCGGAAGATTTGAGTATCCTTTCGAGCATTCTAAAGATCACGAAAGAGGTGAGCACACTGCGCAGCTCATGTCTCTGGGGATCACTTAGCCTATACGTGTTTAGACCATAAACCACCGAAGATTGGTAGAAGAAGAGTACAACAGTCGAGCTCTGCATGATCTCCTGGGTGTGAAGCCCCGACCCGTGGTCGTTGACGCGGTTGTTGAAGAGCCGAAACCTAGCAAGACAAAACCATCTACTGCCAAGCCAGCTTCGGGTCGTCGAACGAAAGAATCTCAGAGTGTCGCTTCCGCTTGGGGAGATGACGACGATGAGATTGTGATCCTTGGCGCTAGTTCCGGCCAATCACCATCGAAAGCCGAAGCTATTGTTGATGACGAAGAGTCAGACGGAGGGCGTTATGGCATAGGTCAGCCTCCTCATAAACGGCGGAAGACCGGTATGGATCGGGATAACCACACTGTCTATGTGGTCGACGATGAGGAAGAGGACAGTCTTGCTGAAGAGGAAGCGCACTATATCAGTGACAGTTCCAGTGCTCAAGAGGTGGTGTCAAAGAAGCCAGTGTCGAAGGGTGACAAGGATAGGAACAGGTCTTTTTGGCTATCGAAGGCAGTTGAGACTAACCTAGGCGATTACTCGGAGTAATTGCCACTACATACTGTTTGTTTTTGTAATTGGGATACATAGATTATACTTATCTCCTGCAGCTATCTAGCTGCCTCTGCTCGTCAGTGTATGTAGGTCCTTATTGGTCCCATATTTGGCGTTAAAGGCGCGAGAAAGTGATCGATTGGCCACGCTGCCTCGGTCCGGAACCGCATTGTCTTGTCTTCTCTCGACTTTCGCAGGCCTTTCACGCAATGAGGTCATTATCCTCGCCCCACCTGGTGCTGGCACTGCTGCCCGGCTCACTTCTTGTCCACCAACCACCATGTCCGTATCAGCGGAGGGCGCGGCGAGCGCGACTACGAACAAGTTCGTTACTGCCCTCGTCACCAATCTGGGCCTGCTCGCCGTTGAGGTTGGTGCATTCGTGGTTCTGAAACAAAGGTTCGGGAGAATATACCAAGCGAGAACCTATCTCCCGCCGGTCGAGTACGTTGCACGCGGCGTCGAACTTGGATTGGGACCTCATGGTGTGACTTCGCTAGCAAACGATCGCAGAAACTGCCAAGCGGGCCATGGCGCTGGGTACCAGCCATCTTGCACTCGCCCTTGGAAGATATTGTGAGTGACCATCTCCTTTGAAACCAGACTGAATGGCTGAAGTTCTCTACCTAGATACATAAGAACGGGCTCGATGCGTACGTCTACATTGTTTAAAATGGAATGCCTTGACTAACGATGTCTACGAACAGATACATGTTTCTCCGATATATCCGACTACTCATCATCATATTTCTTATATTTACCTTACTTACATTTCCTATCATCATACCCCTCGACGCGATCGGATTGGACACGGGGAGGACTGGGCTGGATAGGATAACATGGTCGAAGTAAGCAGTCATCTTGCACTCGGACAAAGATTTCTGGCCAACCTCGTATTAGCCTGGCCGACTCAGACGAGCAGATTCGCTTTGTTGGCCATATAATACTTGCGTATCTCCTCACAGGTATGCCTTTCCGGTGCGCTCCTTGTCCAAACAAACTCACTGCTTTACCTATAGGCATAGTCGTGTTTATGATTCGTCGGGAGATGAATCATTTCGTACACATGCGCCATCAATTCCTTCTCAGTGAATCCCATTCAAGGCTGCCGCAAGCACGAACCGTCCTCATTACCGCCGTTCCAGATGAGCTGGGAGACGAGCATGCCTTGCGAACGTTTGCTAGCTTCACGCCTGGCGGTGTTGATCGCGTGTGGTTATACCGAGATACGAAGGTGAGAGCATTGCTCCCCGATCCACCCTGCTTCAGCTCTCTCAAATGTTGTTTCAAGGCTCTAAACAAAATCTTTGAAGAGCGCCGGAAACTTTGCACGAAACTCGAGAAAGCCATATCGAAGCTTCTGCGCAAGGCTACAGAAACGTGGCGAATTCGGGAGAGAGTCCATAAGAAAGACGTGAAGTTACGGAAGAAGCAGCAAAAGAAAATGAAAGATGTGGAGAAGGATCATAACCTTCTGCCTCATGAGTTGGAACGACCACCTGCCTCGTTCGAGTTGCTAGACGAACTAGTTCCACGTGGGGAGAGGCCAAGGCATAGAGTTGGCCTCTTGGGATTGATTGGACGGAAAGTGGATACCGTCGACTGGTGTAAGGTATGTTGGGTACTGCTCCTGCATGGTAGGGTTACTAACGATGAACAAACAATCCTTTCGTTATCTGCACTCCGTTTGCATACCATTAGGAGGAAATATCTAGACTGAACATCGAAATCGGGGAAGCCAGAAGCCATGTAGTGAACGGAAAGTTCTTGGGAAGTGCGTTCATCAGGTGTCGTTTACAAATGGGTGCCCATGTATTAGCTCAATGCGTGAGCTTCCATGAGGTGGGTCTCTATCCTGTTCTGCTGTTGACTTGTTCTTAATCATGTTCATCCAGCCGAATACCATGTACAACAAATGGATGGAGGGTAAGCTTGTCATACTGAGTTCTCCCCGCACCGTAAGCTAATGCCACATGCGAAGCCCATCCGAAGGATATCGTGTGGAGGAATCTAGACGATGGTGCCCTCGAGATGAAATGGAGATATGTTACGTCTTGGGTGGCGACTGTCGGGTTGCTCATAGCTCTGTCTTTCCCAGTGGCTTTTGTGGGGACGTTGAGTAATGTGGATAATCTCTGCGAGAGAGTGCGGTAAGTCACCTTCGTAGCGAGCATGGAGCTTTGCTGACTAGTATGTACCTGTGATAGCTGGTTATCATGGGTCTGTCGCGGTGAGTACAAGTCTTACGTTTCTTTGGGATGATGGTCTAACTTTTGTTTAGTACCAAAGCCGCTTCCTGGACTGATTCAAGGCGTTCTTCCACCAATCCTGTTGGCTATTCTGTTTGCGCTATTGCCATTCATACTTCGAGGTTCGTCGATTCACAGTGTTCTATGCGGCAATGTTCATAGCATGTCTTCAGCGCTTGCCTGGTACGAATGTATACCGCGATACTCGTTAATGAGCGTCAGTGTATACAAGAGATTCTTCTTGTTTCTGGTCATGTAGGTGCTTCAAGACCGATTATGTCGTATTGTACTCAATGACTGTAAATAGCGACGGTTTCTTGATCGTGACCATAACATCGGGTATCACAGAAGGTGTGTATATATATGCTGTCTTGTGCTGAATGTTTACACATTTGGGTGTGGAATAGCCATCGAAGATGTACGTCTCGATTTCTTCGGGTATAATCCCGCAAAGCTAAACAGGTGTCCTCTTTGTAGATCCTGGAGCAACCCACCCAGACAGTGTCCAAGCTTGCTCAGGAGTTGCCAGGGGCTTCAGTATTCTTTTTGACATACATGAGTGCGTTAGTCCGTTGAATTGTGGAGGCTATCATTTCTAATCCGAACCCCTGATACGTAGTCACGCAAGGCTTAGCTGGGGCTGGCGGCGCGTTGATTCAGCTGATGCCCCTCATTCTGCACTACATACAGAAGTGGTTCTTGGGGCGTACACCGAGACAAGCATATAGGGTGAACTATCTTATGCCTGCTGTGAGCTACCGCCTTTCTCCACACCTACTGGCTTGCGACGATACTAATATTCGGGAATGATGGTAGGCGGATTTGGAAACCATCCTTCCCCGGTTGTCTCTCCTTGCCACAATCGGTTTCGCGTATAGTATTATTGCACCGCTTATTAGCTTGCTTGCACTCGTTTGTGAGTCGTCTGTTCGTCTAGATAGTCGAATGTCGGCTGACCGTTTATACTTGCGATACAGCGTTCATCATGTTCTTCATAGCATGGAAGTTTTGTGAGTCATGACTGCTAGGTTACGCTGAACGTAGCTAACGTATCGGCAGTGTTCACCCAAGTCTTCGACCAGCCAGACGAATCGGAAACTGGTGGGATGTACTTTCCTATGGCCATGTCCAACCTCTGTACGTGTCCTTGATCGCGCGGCATTTCGTTCATGCACTAAACTTTGCGACGTCATTTCGTCATCTAGTCATCGGTTTATACATCAAACAAATTACCCTCGCCTGCCTCTTCTTCTTGAAGATATCCGTGTCCAAAGAGACATCCTTGGCTGGAGGCATTCTGATGATAATTCTGTTCGTGTTCACTTTGATGTCCCAGCTCTTCATAAAGAATAGCTTTGATCGTGCGTTTCCCTCGTTGCTCGTCTGGCCACGTCTTTGCTTATTCTTTTCATAGCTATCTCACAATATCTGCCCATGTCGCTCGCGACAAAGAAGATCGAAAAGCGATACAATGAAGCGAGGGAGACGCAGTTGGGAATGGCAACGAGAAAGTTGGAGGAGATAGACTTGTTCAGCCGAGATCGTAAGCCGTTCAGTGCTCTCTCCCAACGTCGTAGAGGGTTGACCGTCGGGAGAACAGGCATTCGAAGTGTTCGCAAGACCATCAAAGCCCTCCCCAAGAAGATTGATCTTACGATAGATGTGCTCAGGGGCAAGGCCAGAGAACACGACGAAGATACGGCGCCTGGTATACCCAATGATGCAGAGAAGCGCGACCAGGAGAAAGATACCGCGAAGGTCGATATCAAGGAGGCTGATATGACGGACATGGCTGAGATGGCGAACGAGAGGACGTCGGACGATTCTACCATCGCTGCGCACGCGACAGGCGCTTCACAGAGACATCAGGGTATGCCAATGATACATCGAACAACCTCCAGCGCCGGCTCGATCAAGTCTGCAAAATCGGGGAAAAGCGATGGCTTTCAGAAGTCTGAACTCAAGCGCAGAAGCTCCATTCCAGTCTTTGAGCCGGCACCAGCGCCGATGCCGCTCTCCGTAACTGAGAACGACGCCAACGAGGACGACGAAGATCTAGCTGACCAGTTGAACGATAACGCTTTTGACCATCCCTCGAGCTACGTCGAACAACGCTGGATATGGATACCCAAAGATGAATTGGGGCTGAGCGAGCTGATAGTGGCTGATTTGAAGGCAGCTGGAGTCCATGCCAGCGATTTAGGCTCAACAATGGATAAAAGGGGCGTCGTGGAGGTTACGAGGAGTCCACCCGAAGAGGATGAGTAACGCGGCCATGGTTGATGATTTCATATATTTTATTTTCTCGCATTCCTCTACAACCCTTGGCATAATGGCATTTGATCGGGGAATAGTGCCTTTAAGCGCTCGCCGAATTAGTGATTATGATCGAGCGCCTATTTGATCACCGTCATACCTCCCTTTCGTCCGACCACCTCGACGTCGGAGAGCATCGCGTCCTCTGCACTAATGCCTGTTGAAATCAAGAATAAAGTATGTCTGATGTGAGCTCGACCGACGTGCCATACATGTGCATTGGTTGCTTAATCTTTCAGTGTCCATGATGGCTGGGGTGTTGCTACGACCCCCGGGTTGAAGGGGAATGCCATCGAAGCTGGTACGACGACAAATATGGACACTATTGGCAAGGAGCACAGCTACAGGCAGCTTGCTGCCCATGGTACGGCTGTGGGGCTCAGCGATGGCCTAATGGGCAATTCAGAAGTCGGGTGGGTGGTATCTTGATACCGGCTGCGCTTATCTTGACGCGTCGTCATTACCAGGCATTTGAACATCGGTGCAGGCCGGATTGTCTGGCAAGATATCGTCCGCATCGATGTCGCGATCAAGAAGCGCCAATTTCACAAGAATGAGAACATTGTCAAGAGCATGGAGCGCGCCAAAGCAGGCAACGGCAGACTGCACCTACTCGGGCTGGTAATTCTTCTGGTTTGCTGTACTATATTCTACCACTTATACACTACTTCTAAGGTGTCCGACGGTGGTGTGCACTCGCACATTAGGCACCTGTTCGCCCTCCTTGAAACTGCCAAGGAAGTCGGCGTTCCGAAGACATATGTTCACTTTCTCGGAGACGGAAGGGACACCGCGCCCCGCTCTGCCGCCGGTTATGCCCAGGAGTTGCTTGATTTCATGAAGAAGGAAGAATACGGCGAACTCGCGACTATTATTGGTCGGTATTATGCTATGGACCGTGACAAGCGCTGGGAACGAGTCAAGATTGCCATTGACGGCCTTGTCAAGGGTGAGGGAGAGAAGGTTGATGGTCCCGATGCTGCGATCAAGGCCATCAAAAGCAACTACGAAGCGGACGTCACCGACGAATTCCTCAAGCCCATCATCGTGAACGGTGATGAAGGTCGAATTAAAGGTAAGGTCGCGTTTCGTCTATATCATGGTCAATTAAGCATGATCGTCGTAGATGGAGACACACTCTTCTTCTTCAATTATCGTTCTGACCGCATGCGAGAGATTGCCTCTGTCTTTGGTCTCCCGGACAAACCAATGGAAGTCGACATTCCCGAAGATCTTGTACGTCTGACCTTGGATGAAACGCGAGTCCAATCTAACTTACTATCAGTCTATTACGACTATGTCCCGTTACAACGCCGAATTCCCGTTCCCCGTCGCCTTCCCCCCACAACCTATGACCAACGTGTTGGCCGAATGGCTAGCTAAAGAAGGCGTGAAGCAGGCCCATATCGCGGGTAAATATCGATTATCCTTCTGATTAAACACAACTTACATTTTGTTAGAAACGGAGAAGTACGCGCACATCACCTTCTTCTTCAATGGCGGAGTGGAGAAGCAATTTGAAAATGAGGAACGACACATGATACCCTCCCCGAAGGTTGCGACATACGACAAGGAACCTAAAATGAGTGTTCAGGGTGTCGCAGACAAGGTTGCCGAGGTCGTTCGTAAAGCAGAGCACGAATTCATCATGTGCAATTTCGCCCCTCCTGATATGGTAGGTTCTAATGAGCAGTTATCAAGCTCGCCCCTCATGCTGGTATAGGTTGGCCACACCGGAGTATATGAGGCGGCAGTGGAAGCGATAACGCATACCGATGCCGCTGTCGGCACCGTTTATGAGGCGTGCCAGGAGGCTGGCTATATCCTCCTCATCACCGCTGACCATGGTAATGCTGAGCAAATGCTCAACGCCGAGACGGGTGCACCCCATACTGCCCACACCACAAATCCGGTACCATTCATTATGACAGGGGATCCGAAGAAGTACAGCTTCGTTCAAGACGAAGAACCATCCAACGGGGAAGAAGAATATGAACCTGGCGCCCTTTGTGATGTGGCGCCGACTGTCTTGGACCTCATGGTATGTCGGCCTCAGAAAACAATCCATTCAATTGAGCTCATCTTCAATTTAACAGGGGATACCCAAACCAGAGGGTGAGTCTGCCACAGCTTCCTTATCGTCAAGCTTCTTACACATGGTTTTGTAGAAATGACAGGTCGTTCCCTCTTGGTCAAAACGGAATGAATTGCCTAGATTGCATGATAGAGATAATGTACAACTGTATTTGCTGATAACATAGAGAACAACACACGCGATTATATGCCCTAATTGGCTAGAAGCTCTGGGATCTTGTATCCCAAGCCCGTATTCCCCCAGCTTTTTCCTTTGAAATCTCACCGATTCCTTGCCACGGCTTCGAAGTACGTCGGATAACTTTGCCATTGTTCGGTTCTGATGTGCGAGCTGATCGACCTTGAAATGCTCACAACGTGACCTTCTTTCAACTCTCCACCTTTTCGTGGCGCCCAGGCCATTCATACCTTGAAGACAGAAGAGAGATGCTCCATTCAGAAGGACCGCGTAGGTGGAGACGACAAACACTGAACTTGCGGCGTTCCCTTGTTCCCTTAGAAGACATACTGACAACGACAATACATCATGAGCCTACAACCAACTCCATCAAGGGCAATCACTCCCATCGCTCAACAAGAGCTTCGGCTTCGATTTACGTAGGACCCGGAAGAAACGTTCACCGGGCATCGTTTGGCGCTCTCTGCAACTAGTTATAATTTCGCTGCAAAGGGAGCCGTATGGGCCTTCAAAGCTCGAAGTAGGAGCTTTGTTATGTTCTAGGTGTGTTCAGGAGAGCCCATGAGGAAAATCGCTAGAGGTAGAGTGGGTTGTAGAACGTATAACCGTTCGGTCCTGAGTCTCGAAGGTAAGAATTAGGACTGAAGTCCGGATCCCCTACGACATCGGAGATACTTCGATTGTGCCAAATCACTCCATACACCCGCCCCTTCTGTTCTAGCAAAAAGGGGGTGAGCAAACGTTCCGGATATTTTCACCGGAGAAATTGATCTGTACCTCACTGCGAAAACATTAAAGAAGCAATATATTTTACCTGAGTGTTGGCCGGTGCAGAATAGGTTCTGGTCAACATTTCGCCGGACACCAAAGTCAGAGTAAAGGTGTTACTGCAGGTAACACCTTTTCTCCAAGTTTGGCGCCCGACGAAACATGGTCAACTTACCTTGAGCTTACCCATGGTTTGTAGAAAAGATTGGCTGACAACGCAGACAGCGAGCACGAATAGGGGCCCAACTCGGTTAGAAAGCTCCAGTGGGCTCCGTCTCTCAAATCCAGTACGCAGCAGATGAAGCCCTATAGTCCTTCCTTTGCTCTGTGCAATTTTACTGCAGGATTTGACGGATGTTGGCCACGATTCAGGTCTTTTTGTGAGTTGATCGACCTGAGCTGGAGCCCAACCGTACATCTCTTCCATGTTCGAACGTGGCAGCCTCTCTCGGAGGTCAATGTTTCAACCGTTGACCGTTGATAGACGGCGGAAACATCAAAACATGGCCTTCCTTGTCCTTCCTTGTCCCAGATGGAAGCATAATGGAACGTATCATGGGGAAGATTATAACTCGGATCCGCGTGCAGTGGAACTATCCCTGGCGACATTCCTAGCATTCGTTCCCGATTTAGCCCTTTGAGGCGGATGCTCCTATATCCAGCTCGCCGACATCACCCAACGCTTTGGATAATCACTTCGACTGAATATATCAATGCCGTAAATTACCCAGGTCTTATGCTGTTCTTCAAAACTTTGAAATATGAGCTTCGAGTTCCATGCATGCGAGCTAGGCCCTACGGTGATCTGTATCAGCAAACTTCCGACAGCAAGAAAAGTGCGGTACCTTGTTGCTTGCCATAGCGAGACGATAAAAACGCCTAGATCTTGCTAATATTGCTTTGGGACGTCACGCTCCAGCTGGTATATAAACGAGCCGGCAGATTGCACCAACGGCAGTCGAACAGCCTACCACCAGATACCCTCCAAGCAATGACATCTGCAACTGCGACGGTACCAGTAAATGTATCAATTTTCTAGTCGATAAACTCGGGCACTAACCTCTCGTCCAGCGCATCCAAGAGCAGACCTTAGACCACGTTCGTCAGTGCGTCAACAGGTTTCTGACAGAGTGCAAGATCCCATATGTCGTCAAGCCTTTCGACCAAGAGTTTCATGAGGCATGCTGCGAAGAGGCCGCGAGGAGGGGTTGCCCCATGGAAGACGCAGCGGATATACGCTCTGTCCGTCCTAAACTCGTCAGCGGTGTCGGCATGGCTATCTACACCTTTGGCCACCTCAACGACCGCTCAATCCAGATGTACATCGCGTTATACACCGGTTTGCTGATGTACGTCGAGGACTACATGCAGCACGACGTCGAAATCGTCAGCGCATTCAACCAGAAATACATACGCGGCGACCCTCAAGGGCATCCAGTGCTCGATGCGTTAGCAGCTCTCCTGCACGAACTTCCTCAGCGATTCGAGCCAATCGTCGCGAACATCATTTTGACTTCGGCTCTGAACTATATCACGGCTGTCTGGCTGGAACACCAAACTGAAACTTTGGAGGTGGGAAAGCGTTTATGCTTCTTAACAATCTGATTTGCTGACCTGACTGTGTATAGCTCTCCCCTTATGCGACATCGTTCGCGGGGTTCTCGCGGTGGATATCGGGATCGTCCGAGGCCTACGCTCTCTTCGTCTTTGCCTCCAAACTACCACTGTTGGTCTACATCCAAGCCATCCCCGACATGATGACGTTCCTCAATTATTCGAAGTGAGTACGGCTGATTGATGAAAGGCCAAAGCTGATGGAATTACTTAGCGACATGTTATCCTTCTACAAGGAGGAGCTGGCGGGAGAGACTGCGAATCATGTCTCCATTATAGCGAGGTGCGAGGGGAAGACGAAGGAAGAAGTGTTGCGACGTATAACGGAGGATACAATCGCCTGCCATTCGAGGCTACGAAAGATCCTGATGAACCACCGGGAGGCCAGCGAGATCCTTGACCAGCTTTCTGAGGGGTATATAAGCTTCCACGCGTCACTGGGGAGGTATAGACTAGAAGAACTATTGTGACATATCAGAACATCAGCATCTATGATTCGCCATCCGGAGAAATAACTGAAGCAAAACGGTTCTTCTAAGCCACACGTTCGAACTTGGCTGGCAAAAGGATTATTCTGGTGCGATAAATTAAGCAATAGCAGTAGGCGTAGGAAAGCGATGAACAAGGGTCCTAGTGATGCGTGGTAAATGTAATCGTTGTACAGATGCAAGATACAACTGGAAAATGGGAAACACTACCCACGGAATGAGGGGTGGGTTGACAAATGCGACGAGGGGACACAAACGTACTAAAGACGTGCATGCGGGATCATGGGTTTATGCTCTTTAATCGTACAATTACACTCAGCTTCCTCCCTCGCCTGGTAAGTAATCAGTACCATAATTGTGGGGGGGCAGTCCTTGGCTTACTTGTTCCGTTCTGAGTGGGGTTGCTTAGCTGTGGGTCGACCGCACTGTCGGGTGACGCCTGGAGAGAGCCGTTGGTGCTGCCAGGTGTCGACGCGGCGGCGCCCTGGGAGTCGGTGAAGGTGCGAAATGGGGTAGGGGCGACTAATGGCCGGTGAAATCGGGCACGAAATTCGTTGGAGGGGTGATTGGGATCAGCGCTCGCTGTTACGGGGGCAGGATACGGTGCAGAATTCGGTGGTAGGGGATGTCCCTCGGGTCCCATCTCGACCTGGAAACCAGTCGCTCCAGGATGGCCATGCATACGCCGCTGTACCACACAAAGCGCGTCAATAATCGCAATCTTAGTACTAAGAAAGAACACGTACTTGGTGATCCCAGCGGTCCCACGACTCGGCTATTATTGGCTCGAGAGACGCTAGTTCTTCGTTTGTCATATTGAGCGTCCGTAGCAAATGTTGTTTGAGGAGTGGCGTGCTGGAGAAGGAGAGCAGGAGTGTCGACGCGAATGTCTGGCCGCCTATCGGCGGCCCTGGTGGAAATGGCGGGTCAATCTGTGGTTGCTGCAATTCATGTTGTAGAACTTGCTGGTAGTGGCCGTCGGGGTAGCGCATCTCCTCCATGGGCACCATGTCGGGTGCCATCTCCAAGCCCAACTCCCTCATCTTCCTCTGCTTCACCAGCAACCTGTGCTTCCGCTGGCGCTCCCTTGCCGCCGCGCGCACCCTTTCACGACGCGACGCCTCCTCTGGTGTCAAGTCAGGACTGAGCATCTGCTGAGGCGGGGACGGCTGAGCCACTGTCTGCTGCATGACGGATATTTGGTGGGCCTGGGGTTGCTGGACCTGAGCAGAATCAGTATCCGTCTGGTAAGAGATCAAGCCTAGTCCCGCAGCATTCCGGTCGCGTTCGCGCTTGCGCCGTTGCCTTTCAGCGGCTTTCTCGCGTTTTATTCTTTGCTGAGGGGTTTCGTTCTCTCGATTGCCGCGTTTGCGCGCGGGCGTGGTAAGGATTTGCTGAGTATCAGGCAGATTATTGGGATCCATATTATATATTGAGTCGCCCGCCCAACGGATTGTCTGTGATCCAGTGTGACCTGCCGAACGCGAATATAGGTAACAAGTTTGTGACGGTGAGTGACGAGGAGACTCGACTAGGTCACAGCCCGAATTTATCCGTGACAGTCACAGAGTCACGAAGAAAGGGGCTAGGGGCACGCTTCCTCGACACCTAATTCACCCTAAAGGAGTTCTCGCCAGCATTGCAGAGCACGTTCCCGCGTTTTGGCTCTCACCGCATGCGAGCCCTGAGAAGAGCACTACAGACCCCCGGGAACATGCGCAAGAACTTTGATTGCAAGGCCCAGAACATAGCAAGTGAGCTCATTCACCGTCACTTCAAGAGCTTCCGTGGCCTATTGGCGTGGCCAACGGCGTTTTAACTGTTTTCCAGTGTTTTGAACGCCAGCCTGCATGCAAGATCCACTGCGAAAGTGGTCAAAAACTGATAGACCACGAGGTGCACTATAGCGTGGGTGCGCGTTAGATAAGCAATATCACCGAATTTTTGCTCTGCACGGCTCTTGGTCTTCCTGTCACTCGAGGCGATATATAAAGCAGACAATCCAGTGCGTTCACGACTCCAGCTCACCCAAAGGCCTTTTCCTGAGGGTCTTCCCATTTTTTCTCTCAACTACGGTGCCATTGTCTAGCTCGCCCGTTATCGAACCCCTAACCGCACTCCAAACTTCAAAACATAATGGCCGGACGAGGTTGCTTCAATTGTGGTGGTCGTGCGTCTGTTTCTATCTTCACTGGCTCGTCCAGGTCGCCACATTCCATATCCTACCCCTCGTTGCGTTTCCGGATAACTAATAAACGACTTTCATGATACTGAACAACTTGTAAATATCGCTCAATGCCTCTACGAAACTGTCCTTTAGACGGCCATCAAGCTGCAAACTGCCCAAAGGCAGGTACACCGACCTGGTAAATTCTATCAGTGCGATCGTGATTCATTGCTGTTTCTGATCTTCGCGCGATGTTTCTAGCTACAACTGTAAGGAGCTTTGCTCGCGCCGATGAGCCTTTATTAACGCTCCCCCACAGGCGGAGGAGAAGGCCACGTTTCCCGGGACTGCACAAGCGATCCTAAGCCAAAGACATGCTACAAATGTGGCTCAGAAGGGCATCTCGTATGTCAAGCACGTTTTCATCGATTTGATGGTGGACTAAAATAGCACCGAAGTCGAGGGAATGCCCAGATGCTTCCGCAGGAGGCGGCAACACTGGTTTCGGTGGTGGATCTGGTGGTGAATGCTACCGCTGCGGTAAACCCGGACATATCGCTCGAGCATGCCCCGAGTCTGCTGGTGGAGGCTCAGGTGCCTTCGGCGGTAGCTACGGAGGTGGAGGTTACCAAAAGACCTGGTATGTATATTCCATATCGGAGGAGTTGTTCTAATTGTCGCGCAGTTACACCTGTGGTGGTGTCGGCCATCTGTCTCGGGACTGTGTGCAAGGAAGCAAGTGCTACAACTGCTCACAAACTGTAAGTTTTGTTGTTCTTGCATGAACGATGTCTAATAGCGCTGCACAAAGGGTCACATCAGCCGAGAGTGCCCCCAGCCTCAAAAGCGCGCGTGCTACTCATGTGGCTCTGAAGGGTATGTCGTTTCAGCGTCGTTTGCTTCCCTGCCTGACTGCTTGTCAGCCACATCTCGCGCGACTGTCCCAACGCCGGGGCCGCCGACGCTGCTGCTTAAACCGATTCTACGAGTTGGGCATGCTTCTGTATCTTGTCCATACTGCTTTGCCATGTTTTTGCGCTCGCATATAATGATTCGTTAAATAATACCACTCGCTCTTGGTTGTATTCGGAGAACATGAGAAGTGCCAAATGCTGTAATGCCTATTGCCTAGAGTGGTCTCGACGGTAGTAAATGGCGCGCTATGATAGGGCCAGAATGAGCGAGGGAATTTTCGGAAGGATCCGAATTCCGATCCCGCATTCAACTTGAGGCCTTTTCGCATTTACCCGTTAAATCCCTCTAATCTCTTCAACGTCGCTGCGTAGAATCGCATTTCTTCCTTCTTTCACCGTCACAATGCAGGCTGCAGCTCGTCTGGCGAGGATTCCTAGGTTGGCCATCCAGAGGACCGCCGCCGTTCGTTGCATGGCCACCGCCGCGTCCCATGTATCGGCCTCCGCGTCGCCGTCTTCCACCCCCAAGCAGTCCGTGATTCCACTGGGCAACGTCGAGGCGCAATGGGCAAACCTGAACCAGGACGACAAGTCTCTGGTCATCGAGCAGCTCGAGGAACTGCAGAAGAAGGACTGGAAACAGTTGTCCATTGACGAGAAAAAGGCTGGTACGTAGACGGCGGGAATGCAATATGTCGCGTGGAGTGTTCACCGGTCGTCGTCGTATAGCCTACTACGTTGCCTTTGGTCCTCACGGCCCTCGAACTCCTATACATCCCCCCGGTACGATCCTAAAGATTTTCCTTGGAACCATGGGTCTAGTAGGCGCTGCCGGCGCCTTGTTCCTGGCACTCCGTCAAATGGGTTAGTGATAAAACCGTCTAGTCTTTTACTTTCACTAACGTTGGTTCGTTAGCTCCACCTCCACCAAAGACTTTGACGAAGGAGTGGGAGGAGGCTTCCAACGAGCGTGCTATCGAACAGAAAATGAACCCTATTACAGGTGCGGTCCCCATCTTAAATTAAATTAATATCGCTTCTCACCGGAATTCCACGTAGGTATCACATCGGAGGGTTACAGCGGGAAGGGTTTCGTACAACACAAGTAGAATGGAACGCCCAAAATTCTTCCTTATATATTAATTAACACCGTGCATACCGTTGTGCGTATTCTCTGCAATTTGGATGCGGCATTATTGGACGGCGAGTTCATGCTCTTGCTCGTATAATTGTTCACATCTACCCCGTGAATGGAATGCATTGTATGGGTTGTCTCTAGACCTGTCTCGGGACGTGCATCTCGGGCTCCTTTACTTACTGGGATGCGCAAGAAGTGATCATATGCAGCTCTATCTCCATACAGGGCGTGTGGGCTCAGCATTGAGTGTCTCTGTGTGCGATTGTGCCCTCCGTGTCTGATGGCATCTTGCCGCACCATCGCGACCCGTCCCTCCTGAATTTCAAACCATTTGTGAGTGTAGGTCCATGAATGTGATACCGTTGACATACGCGGGATCTGGGAAACTTCTAGAGATGCATCAATGGCTGCTATAACTTGAAGCGATTTGGGACTATCAATATTGCTTCCCATCTTTCACTCTAACGAACCAACAGGATGCCTGTGCTTGCGTCCTCCCCCTACCCGGCGTACCCACCGTTCCCCGAAGACGTCCCGACTCACCCTCTCCTTACCATTGATTATAATCTCATCAAAGGGGGTGATGAGAAGGAGAAGGACAGGTTATTCGTCGCGGCCACTACGGCTGGTTTCTGGTAGTACGTACATCCCCCCGGGTTTTAACGTGTGTGTGGCTAACTACCAACATAGCCTCAAGAATCATGGTCTTGACGAAGAGTTGGACGAAATGTTCAACCTAGGCATTCAAGTCATGAAGGCACCTCTGCCAGAGCTCATGAAATACGAGCAAGGGGATTCCGGCCTGTCTGCTGGGTAGGTTCGTTGCTTGGGTGATTGACATTTTTCTGACGCCCTCAAAGCTACAAGGCAGCTGGCGCATACATTACTGATCGCACTGGAGGGAAAGACGCCGTTGAATTTATGAACATCACCCAAGACGATGTGTTCGCTTGGCCGAAAGTAGTTCGGTGTTCGTATCCATCCATCGTGGAAGCCTCCATGGAATCGGTCATACGGCCATTCTCTCGGAAGGCAATTGACTTGAATCTGGTTTGCATGGATGTCCTTAACGACAAATTGGGCTTCCCACCAGGCAAATTCAGGGAATTGCACAAGGTGGACGCGCTGAGCACGAGTGAAGCCAGAATTGTCAGAACACCTCCACCTCCGCCGGGAGGCTGGAATAAGAATGTTGCGTTGGGAGCACATACAGATTTTGGTTCAATGGTGAGTAATTCTCCCTTGTGATTTTAGGACGGTTGGCTCAACTACTATCAGAGCCTTGTGCACAATCGCCTCGGAGGTCTCCAAGTCTACGCAAAAGGCTCCGATAGATGGCAGTATGTTAAGGTGCGTTCCCTTCTAAGAATATAACTTTCCGGCTAATGCAGAGGTACATTTCCCGGTAGCCGCTTCCTGGCCACGTCGTGTGTAACGTAGGTGATACCTTGAATATCCTTAGTGGGGGAGTTCTGCAGTCAAATCTACATCGTGTTGCGTAAGCTTCCATTTCAGTCAAGTTATCATTGATGCATCCTTAATCGTTCGATTAGGCTACCGCCCGGCGCGCAGTCTGCCTTTGAGCGGTGCTCCGTTACCTATTTTACACGGCCAAGTGATGATGTCGTCCTCCGTGCCCTGACCGAAGACAGCCCGCTCGTGGCGGAAGCCGCGTCGAAAAACAACCAAGAAACAGGGATGAACTTTGAACCAGGCGTCACCGCTGGTCAGTGGGTGGCGAGGAGAATCAAATACGTTAGAGTGAACAATCATAAGGTGAGATTGGATCTCTCGCCGTGTCTGCGAAATTACTTTTCTGATAAGTCTGATCTAGTCTCCCGAAGACTGGTTCTCTGCCCGCGGCACAGAGCATCAGCCGTTAATCACTTGATCAGTCTGGTAATCATTTTTGGATGGCCGAGAGCCTTGATAGACCCGTGTATCCCCAGAATACCCCAATTTCATGGGACCTGAAACTAAGAATACCTTCTAGAGAGATGAATTTGGACCGGTAAACAAGTGGGGGGAGGGTTCACAGTGTGGTAGTGCTATAGATAAGGGGAAACGCCATGAAACCGCAGAGCGCCTCGCATCATGAATTCTGTGCTGCAAGTCGTTGGATGGGTAAGTATGCGCTCGCCTCATCAACTCAGCAGGGCTATGTAGAAAGATCATCGGAAAGGAGCGATAAACTAAGTTGCAAGTTCGTCCACAAATTCTCACTCGGCCTTCACTAACACCATACCATCAGCGCTACCGGCACCACCAAAGAGTCGGCATAGTCCCATGACCACCCTTAACCTCCTGAACCTCCATTGGGATTTTTTCAACCGACTGGAAGCACTCGTCACTCAAAGGGCGATCAGCTCGGTTCTACTAAAGGTCAATGACTCTCTAGCATCCGTTGAACGGGATGCACGAGAGCGTCGGAAGAGAGTTCATCGGTGGCCTCACCCTCACAGCGAATCTCTATGCTCATTAGAGTGCCATTAACAGTATGCAGACGGTGCAAAGTTAGCCCAACGAAATGTACTTCTCACAGGCTACCCCAGCCTATATAACGAGCGCATGGAGCCCCATCATCACTAATTCTTCGTGAGACCAACCTGAAAATGCCTGTGCCCACTAACACCAATTCGAAACACGCCTTTCCTCCGTTTCCTGATGATGTCCCAACACACCCGCTCCTCATCGTCGATTACGCTTTGATCAAAGCTGGCGATGAGGCAGAGAAGAACAAGCTATGGAAAGCAGGTACCAACCTAGGCTTCTGGTAGTACGTTTACACCACAGCTTCTTCACAAGTTGGGACCTCATCTTCTCACTTTGCCCGTCTTCAGTCTCAAGAATCATGATGCTGATGAAGAAGTGAATGGAATGTTTGACATGGGTGCGGCCACTATGGACCTTCCCTTGGAAGAGAAGCTCCAGTTCGATCAAGGCGACTCCGGTCGGTCGGCAGGGTGAGTTTGTATGCAGCAGTAGACCACCACCACTTAACTGATGGACCTGTAGGTACAAAGCAATTGGCGCAAATGCCGTGGACGAAACAGGTCAAAAGGATAACGTTGAGTTCATCAATGTTTCTCAGGACGATGCAATGGCATGGCCTGAGATAGCTCGACGGACCTACCCACGGACTGTAACTGCCGTGATGGATTCAGTCGTTCAGCCTTTCGTCAGGAAGTCTGCTGAGATAAATCTCACTTTGATGGATGTCTTCAACGATAAGCTAGGCCTCCCTGAAGGTACGCTTAGGAGAAAGCACACGGGTGAATTGAGTGGGAGCGAGACTAGATGCATCAAAAGCCCTCCGAAACCAGACTGGGATGAGAAAACTGCGTCATTGGGGGCACACACCGACTTTGGTTCTTTGGTCAGCTGCTTCCCAATGATGTCTGAACGTGAAATGGCTGACGCTTGATATTCTAGTCCTTTCTGCACAACCGACAAGGAGGCTTGCAGGTGTTTGTGAAGGGCACGGACAAGTGGCAGTACATCAAGGTCTGTTGGATTCTTCCATGAGATGACGTTGGTGATTGATGCTCACACCTGTTGCAGCCGCTTCCTGGACATGCAGTCTGCAATCTAGGTGACGCGATGGCTATTTTCAGCGGAGGTATCTTGCGGTCGAACCTCCACAGGGTGGTGTATGTTCTCTATTTGTCATTGTGAGAAAGGCCGTCTGAATAGAGAGATATAGACCGCCACCAGGCGCTCAAGCAGCATTCGATCGTTGGTCCCTCGTTTTCTTCAGCCGGCCAGGCGACTCGGTGGTTCTCCGAGCTCTGAAAGAGGATAGTCAACTCATTGCAGAGGCCGCTGAGAAGAATCAAAGGGAGAATGGCACCAACTATGAGACTCAGTCCACAGCCGCCGATTGGTTCGCTCGACGGATTAAATATCAGAGGGTTAAGAATTACAAGGTGTGTAGTCTCGCTTAACAGGAAGGTCGATGATCCCCATCGCTATTAGGGACCCGAATCTTGGCAGCAAAGTCGGGGGACGGAACACAAGCAGAGGGTTTGAGGGGTGAATGCGGCAGCTGTATGATTGGTATATTTGGATACAATGTACCTAATGGAAAACGCTGTGAAAGTAGTTAGTCTCGATCCACGAAAGGGCTATGTAAATTGTTGCATTGAGGATAGCCTGTAATACCAAGTGATGATCCCGATGTTCAGACATAGCACCTGTCTATCACGGCGTTGAGGGAGGAAGTCGTATCACTTTGTTAGTTGGTTTTCGAATATGGTTAGGACGAATATGCATTCAAATCCGAAATATGGAGGCCCGCCGCAGTGTCTACTTCGGTTTCCGAAATGCAGTGCGTACGCCGCAGAACTGACAGAGGATTGCAGATTGGATGTCGGAGAAAGCTCTAGTCATTGTTAAAGCCGATGATATTGGGCTACTGATGCAGATACAGTCGCCCGAGTAATTCAGGTCTCAGACAGCCGCAGACTTCGGCGTGCCCTTGTCTGTCTCTGGGTTCAAAAGCACCTGCAATTGATTCAATGAGCACGTATTTTCAGTTTCAATTGGAGCGTTGATTGCGCACCTGCTGTCCACCTTGTCCATCTTCCCAGTTTTGATATCTGAGAGATGTTACGCCTCGTCTCTCCGCAGCCAAGCGTGCGGTGTCGTTCAACGATGTGCGGACTGCGCGAGCACAGATCTGCGAGTACTTGTTGAATCTGTATAACACACCAGATTGAGCACTGCCAGACCAGGAACTTCGAGGAACATACGTGAAGACGGAACGCCAATTAGCACTGCTCATGGTGGTCGATGATTTTTGGTGAAAGTTGAATCCAAAAGAACTGCTACGACCGCACCTCCCGGGCGACTCCGTTGCTTACATAACGGGCGCTAAATAGACTGTCCGACTGACCGTGCCTCTGTGCCAGTGAGCATTCAACAGGTTGTTCCATTCCTCCATCCTCGTTCTCGTTCAGCTCAGACGCCATCAAGCCGAGATGTCAGGCCTCTCCTGGCATTATGTCTTTAAATTCATTATTACAGGTACACTAGGTCCATTATTTGCTAGAATACTAGGTCCTGATTCAGCTGCTGGCCAGGGGATGCTGCCGTTGGGAAGTCTTCATTGCTCATCAGATTGACCGACCAACGCTTTTTGGTCAATCCGGACCCGACAGTATGTCCTACCCATGCCCATCGGATGCGGTGCCAAGCTCATGACTATGTTTCCATCTCTATTGGAATTCTAGCTAGGGGTGGAGTTTGGCTCGAAGTTGATTGAGATACCAGAAGAAAACAAGGTTATCAAACTACAATGTAAGTCAAGTATCAGTTTAACCCCTTGACCGCGTTGCCCGTAAAATTCTGGAGTGCATCTGCTCTGATTCGTGCGATGATACCGACCCTTACACCGTTTTGATTTCTTGAATGTAGGCTGGGATACTGCGGGCACAGAGTCCTTTAGATCCATCACGCGTTCGTACTACCGTGGTGCAGCTGGGTGTTTGCTGGTCTATGATGTTACATCACGGAGAAGTAGGTTGGCGCATCAGTCCTTGCGTCTGGTTGTCATAATTTGTTGCTAATACTGTTATTGCGGGTATAGGTTTCACCAACGCGCGGATGTGGCTGGCAGATGTGAGGGAGCACGCGGACCCACATCTAACCTGCATCCTTGTTGGCAATAAGGTGGACCTGTGTGAAGCTGAGGTTGCTGGTAGCGATCCCGCTTCGCTACCGCCATCAGCACTGAAACAGCGCGAGGTGCCCACCGAAGAGGCTCGCTTGTGGGCCCAAGAAGAGGGTCTTCTATTCGTGGAAGCAAGCGCGAAATCCGGACAAAACGTTGAATTGGCGTTTGAGCAAGCGGCGAAGGATATTCTCCAGAAGATTAGGAACGGTGTATTCGACGATAACCGAGTAAGTTTTACTGAATTAAATTCATCAACTCCATCTGAACGCCTACAATCGTAGTCCCCTGGCGTCAAGCTCTCCAAACCGGCCGATAATAGCCTATCCTTAGAGCCAACTAAGGCGAAGGGGAGCTGTTGTTAATTATACCATTCACCACCGTTGCTATATCCACTCTAATTACGACGATGGACCATTCGGTTTTGCATTCATTTATGATAATTATTTTACATTTTCATTTGTACTATTAGAAGCCGGTATCGTTGTGTAAAGACACTTGTAATATTGTACCAAAGGAATTGGAGGAGTATGTGTATCATGTCTATGAATTATAAAACTGTAATGATGGTGTTAAACTACATATGGTTATGCGACATGCGACGGGTAGTATTTACATGGATGAGGATAAATGTGACGTGCCATGCCATGAGTTGCAAACGAGGGCGAGATGACCGTGAAAGAGAATGAAACCGATGAACCAGGAAGATGTAGTCCCCAAACATTGAACCGATGATTTTGAAACATGCAGAAGTCATGCAGATGCGAGGTTGAACAGGCTATGACGGCGTGCGTCTTAACAGCTCGGCATATTCGTGTAGCTGGCCAACGAACCCCGGATTGGGGTCGGCAACACGCCGTTTCGCCTTGATGTATTGAATGGCTTGTGATGGGGACCACCCATATTGCGCGATTAGGAACGCAGCGACTACGCTCACACTCCGGCTTATTCCCTCCGCGCAGTGGACCAACACTCGGGCATTGGGGTTGCCTAGTGCGTCGCGTATGAATGATGTTGTGGCTGGCAGATGGGCAACGAGCTCGGCGAAGGGGAAGTCATCGAGGGGGACTTGTATACGGTGGGTGGGGAGCTCGGCGGGGACGGCGACGAAGCCGCGCATGGCAGATACGACGTGGGTTATGCCCATGGTGGCGAGAGCGGTTTTGCTCTCTGCTGTTGAGAGGTCTGATATGAAGAGATGGGGGATTATTTCTGAAGGACGCGTATTCCGTGATGACGGGGAATGCAGTGCACGGTGAGCTGAGTGGCCAGCGGAGACTGGCGACGGCCAGGCTTGCATTGGGAGCTGAGAATGGGTATGGTGGAGGTGAAGATGGGGATTATTAGACCGCTATAAAGCGAATGTTTCAGCTATTGAGTTATATAGCAGCCAAATAGGGGCAGGGTGGGCAGATGAAGCGTAAACGAAGCTCACCATTTGCGTGACCTTGACACAGGACATCTAGCAGCCACAAACTGAAAAAGAAGGTACTTTTGGCAAGGTGGCGGAAGCAGCTAGAAGAGAGCGGTCGAGGGAATGGTGCGCGGCACTCAAGGGAAGGATTGGGATGAGAACAACCGAAGGGGTTATATATGTGGATTGATGATGCACCACTCAAGGGCTCAGTTCAGTCGTTCCTGGGGGTGGGCCTGATCAAAGGGTCGATTGCACGCTATATAAATTACTGCTGAAGCGATAGATCAAAATCCATCCATCGCAAACAGAATCTGTTACCCCGATTTTTTCGTTTGTCGGTATACCGACTGGGCCCGCAGTAAATTCGGCCTCACCATTGGCCGCGTGGACCTGAGGACGATGTGGCTCTGCACAATTCCTGTTCCACAGACGCCACTTGTCTTGGTGCCAGGTGGGCGTGTGCAAGTCCAGGGGCTCGCCAACCGATCTCGACATTTTTGGACAGCCTTCGAAAGGCGCGGTCAGACGCCGCTGCGGGACTGCCACCCGTCTCTCGGAACAAATTCTACATCACCCGGTCCCCGTTCTCGGAAGGGGGCTATGTTTCAGACACTGGAGTTTACTGGAGAGCGTGTGATATTGGAATCTGCTGATATATCAAGTATACAAAACCATATCGACGCGCGCAAGCTACATTCTAAAATCAAGGTGAGACCATTACGAGACAGTGCAAGCAGAGTATGAAAGTAAAGACATGAGTGAGTGACAGAGGCGCAATTTTCGATACATGGCAAAACGTTTCGGATCAAATTTCGTAGCATGGCATGAAAACCATGGCTGGCATCGGGGTCGACGTCAAAAGGTTAAATCAAATCGCTGCAAATGAATACGCGTTTAGTAAAACTCAGGGGCCGAGGGAGCAGGAACAACGTACGCGACGTTGAGCGGCATCTCATCGATTTGAGTGTTGTAGAATTCTATTCAGCGGCGATAAGGCATTCATCAGAGCATGAAACACGATAGATAGATAAATACTTACGCTCAATCTCTCTCAACATCCGCACATCCTCAGTGGTGACGAAATTGATGGCAACACCCTTGCGACCGAAGCGACCGCCACGACCGATACGATGGATGTAATTTTCACGGTTGGTGGGCAGATCGTAGTTGATAACAAGCGAAACTTGTTGGACATCGATACCGCGGGCGAGTAGATCAGTTGTAATCAAAACACGAGAAGAGCCCGAGCGGAACTCCTTCATGAGGACCTCGCGCTGCTTTTGTTCCATGTCGCCGTGCTGAGGAACAAGTTAATTACAAATATGACACGGCTATAATTCATAACACACCATGGCAGAGACAGTGAATTCACGACCGTGCATCTTCTCAGTCAACCAGTCGACCTTTCGTCTTGTGTTACAGAAAATGACGGCTTGGGTAATGGTGACCGTCTCGTACAAATCACAGAGGGTGTCCAGCTTCCATTCCTCCTTCTCCACGGCGATATAGAACTGCTTGATACCTTCGAGCGTCAACTCATCCCTCTTAACCAGGATTCGGACTGGTTCACGCATGAACTTCTTGGTAACCTCCAAGACCTCCGCGGGCATCGTGGCGGACAAGAGGACAACCTGGATATCCTGGGGCAGCAGCTGGAAGACCTCGTAGATCTGATCTTTGAAACCGCGAGACAGCATCTCATCGGCTTCGTCGAGACAGAAGATCTTGATGTGGTCGGTCCTGAGCGCCCTACGGTTGATCATATCGAACACTCGTCCGGGCGTTCCAACAACCACCTGCACACCCTCCTGGAGTTTGGCCATATCCTCCCGAACGTTTGTACCACCAACGCAGGCGTGGCATTCAATGTTCATGTAATCGCCGAGAGCGATGACGACCTTTTGGATTTGCTGCGCAAGCTCACGCGTCGGCGCGAGAATGAGCGCCTGGGTTCCTTTAATAGACATATCCAGCTGTTGAAGAATTGAAATAGAGAATGTGGCGGTCTTGCCAGTTCCGGACTGGGCTTGCGCGATCACATCATGGCCTTTGACTACGGGGACGATAGCCCTCTGCTGGATGGCGGAAGGGCGCTCAAAACTTGTAGTGATGCGTAAATTGGAATAACTCTCAGGCATGGAGGTGAAACACATACCCGTAGGCATAAATACCTCGAAGAAGCTCCGGCTTCAGATCCATATTGTCGAAGCTGTAGAGTACCAGAGATCAACCGTCTGATATACATGTACGACCACATACACGGCTTACTTGTCTACGACCTGGTCCCAGTTGGACTCGATCTCATTCTCAGCGACATCTTGAAGTTCTTCACTGTGTTTCACTGATAAAATGTGTCGTAGGGTCAATTCGATACGACGACGCACGTTGACATGAAATGTGTTTTGTTGCTACTATCCAAGTGCCGACTTCAGTTGTCGACTAGACTTGGAAAAATAAAAGTAGATTTGCGAAGAGTGAGTTCGATGAATCGATTGAACCTTGGCGGTTGTTTGGAGAGTCAAGACGATACAAAAATTTGACAGGTAAATCTCTCGGCCAATGCCGACATATTGGAACTCAGATGGTCGTCCATGGACCTTCCCTTCTTTTGCTACGTCCTGAAACGAAGTACACTGATAGACTCTCCGACAAATTGAAACAAAATGAACTTCTTCAAAAGAAAATGCGCAACAGAAATCATGAGGGTTTTCGAACACGAAGAACCGACGCAATGTCAACCGAAGTTCATACTACCAATATGGAGTGGTGCACCACCGTATCAGGATTCAGCCAGTCAACGCACACCCTCGGCCATCACTGATATGGTCGGGACCGAAATGGTAAAGTTGAGTCAAGTTTATGGATTGTTTCATCCATGACTCCCGGCTGTATTTCCATTGCAGTACTTCCCATGACAGTTTGTTGAACCATAGGGCTTCCTCGTTACATGGCGGCACATCAGACTGGTAGAAGGAGTTCTTTGAATTCGAGTCCTTTCCCACCGTGCATGGAATCTTATGTGGCTGAAACATGGGTTGATGGAGTACACACGAGTTGACCATGATTGTTCACATCACGGCCAAAGTTATCTCCATTGACGACTTTGCCTCACCTCCCGAGAAGAACCATTGCCGATATGTATGTACGATCAAACAGGGTATTCGCGATCGTATGTCAAGCCAAGCAATGAACGTCCAAACGGCATGTGGAGCACCTTAATCTAATCTATCATTTCTCTTCCTGCCAAAGGAACCCAAATACTAAATCATCATACATTACGAAGTTCTTATAATAATCCCCGTCTCTAAAACTTTCCCCATACCCGCTTCAAGACAAGATGTCGGGATATGAGCATTAGGACCACAGCTACAAGGATCATGGAGCCTAATTCGATATGAGCTGTGCTCAGTGACGACAAGGATGACGGAGCTCACCAGCGTAGTAACCCACGGCTGTATAGCCCCCAGTGGCACGGTTGATTGCGCCTGAGATAGGCGGCCCGGCTAAGGCACCAAGCGCGACCAGCGTCATACACATCCCAACTCTCCGGCCTACGTCTTCTATTGCACCGAAACTGTAGATCGGCATCGCAAAGATGGACACGAACGTGCCCGAAGCGAAGCTGAGTAAGACCTATGATGAGCGACAATACTCCGCGTCTGCACATGGTCAAAAGCGCACCCATAAATGATCGCTACTACAATGAGCGAAGGTAGATCCTTGGCGTATGGCCATGCATAAGTTAACACCGCCGCGACCAATGTCATCGGGGCGATAATATTGACGGCTCCTGCAACTTGAGGTGAGAACCTCACCGATTAAATATGGTCAATTGGCTACCAATGTTGTCACTGGTGACACCCGCGAACAGTCGGCCAAACAGTGAGCCCGCGTTGGCAATGGACACAAGATAGAACGAAGTATCCGCGGAGATTCCAAATGATGTTGCGCTGATATCGATGTAGGTCAACACTGTGATTTTGTTAGATATCTTCCTGCGAGCGAGAAGCGTGCCCGTCCTTACCGGTATATAATCCCAGGAAGGCAACAATGCATGATAAAGTGTACAGCGTATATGGAATCGACTTGAAGGCTCTAAGATTGAACAGACCGCCCGATACTTTCTTCGGCGGAAGGCGTCGCTGAAGAACAACATTCGGGATGCCAATGGTAAGAATAAGGACAAACCCAATAATCCGCATGGTCCACGGGAAGCTAGAATCATAACATAGCACATGAGCGGTCAATCATTGCAAATATACTTATCGTAACGGACCCAACTTGTGGAATGAGTTTCCTAGCGGCTATGGGGAAGACTGTGCCGCCGATGGAGGACCCCGCCGCAGTGAAGCCAAACGCCAGCCCTCTCCTCTTCAGAAACCAGTGCCCAACGATACCAATATTAGGCCCAAATATGGCTCCCGAAGCAAGCTATCGATGGAAACGAGGTCAGGAAACTCACCGACGGATCTTGATAAATTCATACGCACTCCGATTGCAAATCCTTGACAGAGAAGAAAATGCCAGTATTCCGTGCATTGCGCAACAAGGAACGTCGCTAGTACGAGAATGGTGCTGGAGATGAAGAATGGTATTTTGAAGTATCCAAGATCGAATAGTCGCCCGAAAAATAGACCAGGAAGGAAGATTAACGAATACTAGCAAAGATTAAAACACATCAGTCTCCCCGGAGTTTGCTTGAATTGGGGCGAGCACAGACTCATACGCACCTGTATTGAACCGATCCATGCACTGTAAGATGCTTATCAGTTAACATGTTATGCGTAGGATAAACCGAGTACACCAACATGGTAGACGGTGACGTAGTTGGTAGAATTTCTTGCTCATAATATGATTGGAAAACCTAAAAAGATCGCCAAGTTAAAATCCTACCCTATGTGTCGAGGCGGCTTTGACTCACCCCCCAAGCATTGACATATCCAAAACTTGATGAAAGATGATTGATATAATGTTATATTTCTTAGCAGCCATGTAACTCACGTTGAAAACGCGCTTAGACTGGCCTAAACGTATACAGGATTTAACAAACATCTGCACGGGTAGCGATTAGATTGGGCGCTTACTCCTAAAACGACAGACCATGCCCGAAGCCCGCCATCCGGAAAATCATCAGCCGATGCCGGTGTAGTCGTCGTTTCTATCTGCAGTTTTTCTTCGATGGCATCTTTTTTCTCGGTGTCGTCATCAAACATCTGGGGTACCCTAGCGGGAAGGGGCGCAGATGCCATTGGATGTCATAAACTGGCTGGACGTGCGAAAAGCGAAAGGGGGACGATGTCTGTAGGTCCTCGAACTTTTTATCAAAATATCAAAATAACAAACGTGACGATAAAGGCCAGGTGACGACGGTCTGGGTATGTTACCGGCAGCAAGGGATTTTTTGGCGAGCGGTTTATCTTATACCCGTTCGCCCGGTCAAGGGACGCTGTCACCGGTGTTCAATGTTTTGTGACGTACGACTCCTTGCTCGCCCTCAGATGAATAGTCAGCTTCGTTTGGCAGCGAATAATGAAGATTCTATCCGTGTCTAGTCTATAAAGTTATCATGCCTTTTGGAATGGTGGCCTAGCTTGTTGTCTAGAAATTTGAATTTAAAATTTACCCCACACCTGACGCAAAACCAGATGTCTGGAGATCGTCAACATGCACACCCCCACCAAAATGACGCTACCTATATACATGATGAATCATCAATAAATCCCGGATCATTTCGACATTAATGCTCCGAGCACTTACCTGCATAATAACCAACAACGTGGAATCCCCCAGTAGCCGTATTTATGGCCCCAGAAATGGGCGGGCCTATCAGTGCGCCAATCGCTAGAATGCTCATAAACATTCCTAGCCGACGACCGACATCTCCAGTGTCCCCAAGTTCCATCATCGGTTTGGCTAACAATGATGTGTATGTCCCCGAAAAGAATCTGGCCAAGTAAAGTTATGCGTACGTCAGATTCGATTCATTTGAGCAGTGCCAGTGACAGGCTCCCCACCCATAAAGCACAGCGATAGCGATCAACGAACTCTTGTCCTGAGCGAACGGCCATGCGTAAGTGAGGATACCGGCAATCGCAGTTGTCGGAATCATTGCATTTATTGGCCCTTCAGGAATCGGCGTTAGCATGCTCTTGTACACTACCGACCAAAATCTTCGGCGACGAAAGTGAAACATCGTGCACATACCATGCGAGTCGGCTACATATCCAGATGCAAATCGACCGAATCCGGAGCTTGCGTTGGCGATCGCGACTAGATAGAAGGAGAAGTCAGGAGATACCCCAGCGGCAGTGGCGGCGAGGTCGATATATGTGAGCACTGTCAGTAAAGAATGGTTTCAGCATAATGTCGGAGCGAGTTAAAAGATGCATACCTGTGTAGAGCCCAAGATAAATCGTAAACCCAGAAAGGCAGTAAATCGTAAAGGGGGCATATCTGAAAGCCTTGAGGTTGAACAACCCGCCCGATACATTGGTAGGGGGAAGTCGGCGCTGGATAGTCTGTATGTAATTGCCGCATTAATGCTTGATCAAATGGAAGTTTGGTTGTTGCTGGGCTTCTCACCAAGTTGGCAAAGGAAAGACTGCAGACGAGAATAAAGCCAATGATTCGCATTGTCCATTGGAAGCTGTTTGAAGTAGATCAGATCATTGTGCTCTACTGAATTGTTTCAGCGGACGTACCCGACGCATGTGATGAGGAGTCGAGCTACAATGGGGAACAGTGTTCCGCCTACAGAGGATCCAACCGCAAGAAGGCCTAAAGCAACTCCCCGTCTGCGCTTGAACCAGTGGGCAAGAACTGCCGTGGAAGGGCTGAAACAAATCCCCGACGCTAACTATAGACTCTTCGTCAATAAGCGTTGCATTGATGTGGCTTTATACACACCCCTATGACAATCCCCTGGCAGAGGAGGAAATGCCAGTATTTTGTGCATTGTGCGATCAGAAATGTCGCCGCGACAAGAAAAGCGCTGGCGATCCGGAGCATCGACCTTAGATACCCCAAGTCGAATAGGCGGCCGACGACTAGTCCGGGAAGAAAGATTAGAGCATACTGCAAGGGGTAAGTAAGAGTCAAATTAACTAGCTCTGAATGCCGTGAAGAAAACGAAGTCACAAACTTGGATGGAACCTATCCAGGCGCTGCACAAAGTGAGCGGAAGGAGCAAGTATTGGTTGGGAAGGCATACATGCTCGACGTCGATGAATCTTTCAAGAGCGTCTCTTGATAATATGCTTGGAAAACCTAGTCATATTCTCTTTCAAAAATGAGAGAGGATGGGAGGTAAATAATCTCACCCCCCAAGCGTTCACATAGCCGAATCTGTTTACAGTAGCGATGTCAGACTCCTCGCACCACTTATTCACCGCAGCTCACGTCGAGAACGTGATGCACATCGCCTAGTTCAGTTAAGCGACGCGTACATCGCTTTGTTGGATATCACTCACCCCCGAGAGAACCAACCACGCCCGGAGACCTCCGTCTGGGAAATCGTCCGCTTCCGCCGCGACGACGTTGGTTTCAAATCCGGGTTTCCCTTCCTTGGTATCATCGAAGGGCGCAGAGATCTGAGCTGTAGTTCCTTCGTTCGCTGCTTCTGGAGAACTCATTCGAGTTGATCTGGGGGCTGAACACTGACATGGACGAAATCAGCAGCCGTTTCGTATTTTGCAAATTCCGAGTCATACTCACCGAAAGATGGGGAGTCGTTAGAAGACCGCAAGGTCCATATATGCGGGTTTATATATTGCTGACTACTACGATGGTCCTTTTTTCGCTTCTATCGGCATGCCGAAAGGAGCTCGAGGTCAGTGACGCTGTATCGGTCGCTTTAAGCCTAACATGCCAGACTGCACTTCTTCAAATGATGACCAGGAAACGACTTTGATGTCTGCATGCCCCTCTGAACGTAGTCAAGCCAGACCTGACTTGCACCACGAGTTCTCTAGTCGTCTTCGGTGTTGTACACGGATATTTCCTTGGGCATTGGGGCATACAATTCTGCATACCGGCCCGGGTTTGTGAGAACGGGCGGCCGTGTTCTTCGCGTTAAACTTTGGGTGAAGCTTTGAAGGCACCCACTGCCGCGCAGATGAGGCGTGTTCTGATTCTGAATAATAATGGACTATATAGCGAAGCCAAGTTGAAGATTCGGACAATCAACGGAGGATGTGCATGATGAGCTGATGCAAGACGTGGCAGTTTCAGGGGGCGCAGCGCGCGCCTGACTTGCTGGCTAGAGAGTATCTTTGCTGTAATTTCCAACGCACATCGCCAAATCCCCCTGCTGCACATATTGTTGGACCAGTTGTTGGCTGCAACCATCGCGTTGGCGGATTCCACGTAATTTGCTTCGAATGAGGCCGTCTGCCTTTTCAGTGGACTTTGGATCACAACAGGACCCTTCCATTCCTTCTTCTTTTGACGACCACCACTGGAAAACTCATCGGCAGGACGAGGAGCTTCCTTTACACTATATGACTGAGGAGAAAGCTCGACGCAGGGTACCCAAGGGCCCAAGTGCCGTCGACTCTTACGCGCCTCAGGAAAAGGCCAACGGGCACTACGACGACGACGAGGGCAAGGATGTCTACCACAAGCAGAAATCACTGGCGAACCAGCGGGTTGGTAGTGGACGTCTGAGACAGCCCCCACCGCCACCCCCTACATCAATGGTACGTGCTCATTGCTGATCCCCATGTCGGTGAAGGTGTAACATCTTTGTAGCGAGAATTCTTCTTTCAAAACTTGGAACACATACCACCCATAGTCTATACCCTTCTTTCCTGCTGGACAAGGTTCCACAAAATCGGGCATTCCAACATCGTCATCTGGGACGAGGCGCACTTCGGCAAGTTTGGATCACATTACCTCAAGCGCGAGTTTTATTTCGACGTGCATCCGCCATTGGGGAAGATGCTGGTCGGTCTTGCGGGTCTCTTGTCGGGATACGACGGTTCGTTCGAGTTCAAGAGTGGCGCAGAATACCCCGACACCGTGCCGTATGTGGCAATGAGAGTCATGCTGGCCATGTTCGGAGTACTCATGGTCCCCCTTGGATGGTATACGGCTGTGGAGCTTGGGATGAGCCAGTGGGCCTGTCATTTAGTGGCTTTGATGGTTCTGTTCGGTACGTGGCTAGTAGCCTCTTTCTTGCTCGCTGTTTATGAGGAACTGTAGATGTTGGCTGGCTCTGCATATCGCGGTTTATTCTCCTGGACTCCATGCTGCTCTTCTTCACATTCACCACGGTCTTTTGTCTAAGCAAATTCCACAACCAACAGTACCAGTGAGTAAGGTCTCATCACCTCACTGTTGATGCTATATTGATTTGGCCAGCTCATTCTCCTTCGACTGGTGGTTATGGCTTTCAATGACTGGTATATCTATTGGTTGTGTAACAAGGTACGCATCCGTTCTCTACTATCAACTTACTTGTCTTATCATTGCCCCCTTAGTGTCAAAATGATCGGTCTCTTCGTTACTGCCCTCGTCGGTTTATACACCATTGAAGACCTATGGGAGAAGTTCGGTGACCTTAAGATGCCCGTTGTAAGTCGATCACATAGCGTCTTTCTTCGTTAATTTAAACGCCTTCCAGCGCGATCAAGTACGGCATTGGGTTGCAAGGATATGCTGCCTAATTATTCTGCCTATTCTTGTCTTCATGGCCTCCTTCAAAATCCACTTCATGGTACTGAACCACTCTGGACCCGGCGATGCGCAAATGAGCTCTCTGTTCCAAGCCAATCTCGTCGGTAATGACTTTGCGAAGAACCCTCTAGGTAAGCAATCATGTATGTATCCTAACAATAGGTCCTGACGAAGTATCTAGAAATCGCGTTCGGCTCCAGGATCACGCTCAAGAACATGGGCTGGGGAGGTGGTCTCCTGCATTCTCATATCCAGACGTACCCAGTCGGCTCGGGTCAGCAACAAATTACCTGCTATCACTACAAGGACGAGAATAACGACTGGTTCGTCTTGCCCAACTGGCAAGAGCCCCCCTACAATCCCAATGAGCCGATTCGCTACTTGGCAGACGGGGACATTATCCGTTTAAACCACCCTCCAACCTCTCGCAATCTTCACTCCCACACCGTCGCCGCGCCCGTCACGAACCTCAATTACGAAGTGTCTTGCTACGGTAACTCTACGGTCGGCGATGTCCATGACCATTGGGTGGTTGAGGTTGTAGATGACATCAAGCAGGGGAGCAAGGATAAAGTGAAACGTGTGCACTCTTTGACCACCCGTCTTCGATTCCGCCACCAGGTTCTGGGTTGCTACCTCCGCGCAGCCAATGCCGTCCTTCCTCAGTGGGGCTTCAAGCAGATTGAAGTGAGCTGCGACAAAGAGAACAATGTCAAGGACACTCATACCTATTGGAATGTGGAAAGTCACCGCAATGATCGGTGTAAGTACCTCCCAACACCTATTCTACGCGTTATTCAATCCTTTCAATCGTAGTGCCTGCCGGAGAAACCAAGTTCTACCGTTCACCATTCTTGCGCGACTTCTGGCATCTCAACGTAGCCATGATGACCTCCAACAACGCGCTTATCCCCGATCCCGACAAAGAAGATATCCTCGCGTCGAAGCCGTTCGACTGGCCCTTCTTGTATCTTGGTCTGAGAATGTGCGGTTGGGGCGACAATCAGACCAAGTACTATCTCCTCGGCACACCCATCATCAGATGGGCTAGCGCTGGCAGTTTGATCCTCTTTGTGGTGGTATTGGGAGTGTACCTCATGCGGATGCAGAGGAAATACGTTGACATGGAACCTAGTGAGTAGACTTGATATTCGTCTATAGATCGGTGCTTGACGCGGTGAATCAGGGGAATGGGATCACTTCGTTTACGTCTCGAAAATCGCTTTCTTTGGCTGGGTGCTTCACTTTGGTAAGTCTCCTGCGCACCTCCCTCGATTGCATCGTACTCACCTTCCCACAGCACCATTCTTGATCATGGGTCGTGTAACATATGTCCACCATTATGTATGCTCCTTTCGAGATGCCTGATGCGCACCTTGTTGACTCTGTTCTAGCTTCCGACACTCTACTTTGCCGTCCTCATGCTGGCCCACCTCCTTGACCACTTCATCTTCTCGTCGCGACGACTCACACAGAAAACAAAGTGGATATCCTTCGGGGTCTGCTTTTTCCTTATCTTCGGCTGCTTCTGGTGGTTTAAGGGACTCGCCTTTGGCATTGATGGTCCTATCGGCGATCATAAAGGTCTTGGCTGGCGTAAAGTGAGTGATGTGATCTGCCGTCGTGGTGCTCAATACTGATATATATCATCTTTCCCGCAGAGTTGGAACATCTACTAGTTATAATATTGAGCTGCGGACTGAGACATGCCTACGCGTACACTTACGGACTGTTTATAATATGCACTGTCACCGTTCAATAGCGCGATCTAAGGCAACTACGTAGATTATTGGTAAGATTCGCGCGGAATGACATCCCATGATACGGATGATTTTAGTGTTCACGATTAACGAGATGGAAACCCCGATACGATGGGAATGTACTCAACGGCGCCAGAGAGGCACTAAATGCAAGTCTAATTCCAATTATATCTTCAACGTATTGTACCACACGGAAGTGTCATTACGATGTCATTACCACAACTCTACGACGAACAGTAAGTACTCGAGGCCAAGCATGAAGTAACAAGAATAACATAACCAACTACTGTAAATTATGTCTTCATGAATCATTTCCCGATCCTCCGATAGAAGAGCAAGTACGCGCATCGAGTATCGTCAGCGGGAGGTGAGAAGACGTCGTCGGGGCGCACGTCGGATACGAGTTCATCGTCGATGCGCATCCAGCCTTCGCGTGGTTTACTTCCTGGTATTGAGGTTGGGTATCTATTGGGATGGAGGACGTCAAGAGTGTAATGTCCTCCTGATGCTGATGTGCCGTGGTGATAGACAACTAGGAGGATTACAATAGTGAGCTACTGATGCAAAGAGAATAGGTGAAAATGCTTACTGCCGAAGAGTTTATACTTCGTCACGAGAGGTCTCTTTGTTACCATCACGTCTGAAACGACGTTTAGTCGACTTGGAAAGAATCAGGAAATCTGATCGAGCTTACCTGACTTGATATCTAATTCTGGTGCAAACGCGACATGTTTGCCGACTTTGACCACGCCTCCGACCTTCGTATCATAGCAGAATCTCTTCATGTGAAGAATGAGTACCGGGGGAAGAGACTCGATGAGGACAAGCTGGCTCGCGTCCACGGATACGCCAGGCTTAGTGGGGAGCGTCATTTGCACTGACTGAGGTTGAGAAATATGACTGAGGGCATCTTGTATGGTATGTATTTGCTCGGGCTGCCATAAACCTCAGTAAGAATCAGACGGGCGTCAAATGATCGATGCAAACCTGTATATCTAAGCGCAGGGATCTCCAGGCCTCTACGATGACAGAATCCTTCTGGCCTGGGGCTCGTAAAGTATAGCGGAATTTTCCACCAAATATCCGGGTGATTGCAGATTCAATTGTGTTGACCTAGCAAATCAGTTCAGCTGATAGTAAAGTACTCGTAGCCGATTTATTACCGTTCTCGTTATAACCGATCTGTTTTTCTTCCCAACTTCGAGCCAGCCATCGTCTTCGGGGAGAGCCTCCTCTTCCCGCTCTTCTACTTTGGCTTTGGGTCGAGATGCTGAAGCCGGAGACACAGCGTTCAGAATCAACGATAGCTCCTCCTCCAATGTTTCAAGATAAAACCCGAGGAATTCTTCGGCGTCCTCTTGTTGACCACCCTGTAATAGAACCGCGATAAGGTAGACCAACGCCACGCGGAAACGAGACTCACCCGCATATGATCAAACCGCTTCTTCTCCTTCAGAGCATCGTATACATAGGTTGGAATGAAAGAATCGCCGTCCCAGTCGTCATCGTTGACTTCCCTCTCTTTGCCCTTTCCGCCTCGCTTGCCAGTCTCGGTTTCAATAGCCTTGGCCGCTTGGAACTCCTTCAAGAATTTGATGGTGGCATCTACGAGAGGGGTTGCCTTTTCTCCCTCGCCGGTGGACTCTGCTGACAGTATTTCTGCGCCGCCACCCTCGCCTAGTGTTTTGCCGAGATCAACAAATAGTTTATGGAAGGGTTGGCAATAAATCAGGACTTGAAGGACGGAGTTGGCGAAGCACATGTTGCCTGTGTTGACGAGACCTCTTGGGCGGATAGCCGGCGGGGCAGAGTTTGTACTTTGGGCCGGAGCCGTGACGGCAGCATTAGCGTAGCTATGGGTAGGCGTAACAGGCGCGTTCGAGCTCGCGTGAGGTAGCAACAGTTTCAGTAACTCAGTCTTCTTCGTTTGGTTGATACTGCCCGTAGACAAAGGGGCTTGAGTAGGTGCATCAGCCGGGATGGATACACCAACAACGCTAGACGTAGGCAGTGCATTCCTCTGTTTCCCGGAGGAGGACGAGTTGGGTTGCTGTAGCAAGGAGGCCCACGATTTCTTTGGCGCAGCAGGTGGCTTAGCTGGCGGCGGAGTAGCGTCGTCGGTAGGCTTAGAAGTCGATACCTCGGGCGTTGGCGCTCGCTCCGGCTCAAGGGTTGGCGTGTGGTTCTCCGGAGAGACGGGTACGTCGGCAACGGAGGCGACGGAGTCGTCAAGCTTCACCGGAGTTGCGTTGAGTGAAACAGAAGTATTTGTTGTAGAGACCGGTGAACCAGGTGTTGTAGTAGAAGGTGTATTAGTAGCGTCGGTGGCAGTCGACGAAGATGGGAGGGAAGGAATGGTCTCTTTCGATGGCAAATTCTCTACCTCGACCGTTCTTGACTTTACGTCTTCAGCATGCTCTTCGGGAACATTTGCCGGTTCATCAACCGCTTCATTCGTGTCAGGAAGCGGGCATGAGGCGACTGGTGGTGATGCAGGGGGAGTAGGTAACTCTAACGCGTATTTTACGACACCAGGCGGCGGCCGCGCGTGAGATGAGATAATAATACCAGGTGCTTGCGAAGGATGTCGAGGCCGCCGTGACCATATAGCATAGGCACCGCGTGCGATATCGCTTGAAGTCGCAGGGATGGAGGATTCAGTGGGCGAAGATTCGATACTTTCCGTTTCTTCGACGGGTTCTGGAGGAGGAGATGGAGGGGGCTGAGTTTCATTGGACTCTAAAACTTCCGGGACTTCTATAGGCTCGTGCTCCAAAACTGGGGCAGCAGCAGCGTCGGGAGAAGATTTTATGGACGGCGGGGGATCATCCTTAGACACGGATGATTGTGTTGGTTGAGGAGAGCTAATCTGCGAGTGGGGCGTCTGCGGGGCCGTCCAATGCTGTGGGGGGTATGGGATATGTGGGGGAGGGTACGCTGTGGGATATGGTGGATACGGTGGATACTTCGGGGACGGCGCGTGAGAGGGATATGGATAGCTTGGTCCGGCTACGGGTCTTGAGTTGTACGAGTTATGGGCGTACGTGTAAGCACCGCGCCCGTGACCATTGACTCGAGCTGGCTGGTGATGGTGATGGCCGTTCATGTGCATGTGGGGATGTGGGGGGATTCCGGCAGGACTTGGAGGCAGTACGTAGGGGTTCTGATACTGAAAAGGCGCATTTCCAGGGATTGGTGAGTGCGACGCAGAATGGGTTGGATACGAGTACTGATGAGGATAGTAGGGTTGACCTGACCCCGTGTAAGGATGATGGTTGGTCATTTTTAAGTGTGAATGGGGCTGCGCGACAACGCTATATTCTATGTACCTCAATTGCAGTAGTTCAGAGGAGATTTGCGGGGAACGAGGAGGAGAACTCACTTTTGGAAGAACCGATAATTCAGTGGTGTTGAATAACGGAAAGTTGGGCGCTTGCGTGGATTACCATTTAGCAGTTGTTTGGTTCAGTTGTGCCCAGTAGGCGCCTCAAGTTTGATAAGATAAAGGACGATCAATCTTGGATCAAATCTTGAGAATTTACTGCGAACCGTCCTACTCCGAGTCCAACAGCTCAGAGACCTGGAATAATACAAGTAGCCCATCGTCAAAATATATTTACGATGAGTTGGAAGCCTCCGTATAACACGGGCACAGCTTGAGAAGTGACTCCTAACGTACAGGCATCGGCTCCGAGCTCAGTCATATACTGCTTGACTTCGACGTGAGAGCTACTTACTGAACTCATCTTCAAACAATCCTATACTTGGATCAACTTCGTATCAATTCGACAGTCCGCAACTCCAACAATGTCTACTCAAACTGCAACTCAGACCGCTTCTCGAGGCCAGGGAAATCGCGGTGGAAATAGAGGCAAAGGACGTGGCGGACGCGGTGGGCGTGGCGGCAATCGCGGAAACCGACAGGCGGCGAACGGCGGGGACCAAAGGGCTGTTCAAGCCGTTCAGACCATCACTGAAGCGACGGCGGTCGTGTCTTTGAGTGAAAGCGAAGTTGTCAAGGACGACGATGCCGCCTCCGTTCAAACGAGCCCCGAAATGTGCTGGATCTGTGCGGAGCCAGTCAAATATTATTCTGTTCCACCATGCAACCACAGGACCTGTCATGTCTGCGCCTTACGCTTAAGGGCCTTGTATAAGAAGACCGAGTGCACATTCTGCAAGGTGCGTAAATCACAATCACTTGAGTTGTATATAGCACCTGAACGCGATTATATGAACAGGATCCCCAAACGTCCCTCATCTTTACGGTGTCCCCCGATGCGCTCTTCTCTTCCTTTACTTCAGAAGCAATCCCGTTCAAGGATTCGCTCCTGGAAATTTATTTCGAGACCGAGGACATGATGCAAGAGACCTTGATTCTCCTCCGTTTCAATTGCCCAGACCCCGATTGTTCCTACATAGGCGCGGGCTGGGGCGATCTAAGCATACACATCCGAGGCGTACACAAGAAGAACTTATGGTATTTCTACAACTTCATCTCGCCAATCACCTGCTGAGCACTCACATAGCAATCTCTGTGTAAAGAACAAGAAAGTGTTCGCCCACGAGCACTACCTGTACACTCGAAATGAATTAGCGATACATCTGCCGAGCTTACTCTCAAGGCATCATTCTGGCAAACAACCTGCAAAAGCTCAAATCGAAGGAGGCATCCATCCACTATGTGAATTCTGTAATGAATGCTTCTTCAGCGATGACGAGCTGTATGCACATCTCAGGGAACATCATGAGGAGTGCTTTGTTTGTAAGCGCAATGGTGTCGTCCATCAATAGTGAGTGCCTGACTGTATTTCTCCTTTGCCGTCGTTGAGGTCCAAGCACAGTTTCCGAAACTACCCCGAACTCGTACGTCCTCCTAAATGCTAGCTAGATCGGACTATAATGATCTCTTGCTCAGGAAAATCACTTCAACACTGTACACCACCCCTGCGAAAATTCGGAATGTCTCGCTCGCAAATTTGTCGTTTTCAACACTAGACTCGATCTGCAAGCCCATATGGTCGAAGAACACGGCGCTCAGATGAACACGCGGGACAAGAAAGAAGCTAGACGTGTGGAAGCTGATTTCGAGTTCGAGGCTATCGGTCGGGGTGGACGAGGAGGGCGAAGAGCTAGGGAGCCGGAAGGAAACCGGGATCCACCTCCTGCGCCGCCAGGACCATCACGCCCTCCAGGGCCTAGTCGACGCAGGGAGGCGTTTGGAGGTAATCTAACTGGTCCTGCGCCTGCCAACAACGGCAAGGCTCCTGCTGATCGGGCATCAACGTCATCTGGAAGCTCTGTTGGAGAAGATGGCATAAACAGGTATACGTGAAACAATACCAGATCTTTGCGTTGATTGCTTATTTTGATTGAAGGACGCCGGCCTACATATCACGCATCAAAGTGCTCGCAGCCAACCCTGCCAATGCTGTTCGTGCAATGAAAGTCGCTACTCGGAGCTATACGTCCAACGAGTGCGGCGCCAGAGATCTCATCCTGACAACATGGAATGTACTCGACCGGGACTTGGAACGCACATCGAGCGTCATCAATGCTTTCGTCGAAACCTTGACAGACGAAGAAAAGAAACAGGACCTCCTTGGTAAATGGAAAGGATTCGAGATCGAGGTGATTCTCCCGAAGTTCCCTTCAGTGTGTAAAGCTCACACTATTCCTCTTAGCAAAAACGCGAGTTCCCCGAATTGACTCCAGTAGCAGTTGGAGGAGGTTACGCAGCGATTACCTCTGGTCACGTCATAAACGCCAAGCATCAGACTGCTACGCGCGCCCAACGGTCTTCTCGTCAAGTCTGGGACCGCGTAGCGCAAGCCGCTAGTAGTTCATCTTCACGACCAGCTCGACCTCAAGTAGCCCAGGATCGTTTCCCCGCGCTAGGCTCGTCCAGTGCAGCCACCAATATTGCTGCGCCAGCACCGATTCCACCGTTTAGACAAGGCCAGCGTAACACCCCATGGTCAACAAACGGTGGTGCTTCTGGCAGTCGCCCGCCATCTACTACCGTCGTTCCGCGACCAAGTTCACAGAACGTCAGCAGCAACACCAAACGCGCTCCACCCCCCAAGCTATCGGAGAGCGCTTTTCCTGGTCTTCCCAGCAACAACAACGGGAGACAAAAGCCGCAAGTCAGTGGGAATGTGTCCTTGAAGAATATCATCGGCAATCAAGGACCTGCAACCCCAGCATGGGGATCGGGTTCCTCCACCCCTTCTTCCGCCCATAATGGCGGTGACTCTGCGGATGCTCCTGGGGCTGGGAAGGGAAAGAAGAACAAGGGAAAGCAAAAGCAGACCCTATTTACATTGGGTGCATTCCCAGCATAAGGCAATTGGCTATATATTACATCGGTATTCACAGGATTTGGGCTTCTCCACACCCGGGTTTTTAGTAGAACTAGTCTACAGCTTAGACTTTGATTGTGCATCATGCCTAACCTTGATGACGATTTTACCAAACTGGTCCCCTCGTTTGATCAATTCGAAACCTTCATCGGCTGATTCTAACCCGTCTAAGACATGCGAAACGACCGGAACAATCTGATGTTCAGCCATGAATTTGGTCGCGTCAATAAGGTCTTGGCGAGATCCCATAGTAGAGCCTTTGAATTCCGATCAGTGTTTGCGACGACGGGCGGTTGGTTTTGTTTAATCACCAAGTAATTTGTAGTTTTTCAACACTTCTCTCATCGTGAAAGTGATCCTCGGTTCGGCAGTCCTATCGCACTGGTTAGTGACGTCGAATAACCATGCAATGCAATTATTATACCCACATTCCGTAGCAGACAAACCGGCCACCAGCCTTGACGATCTTGCCTAATTCAGAGATGTCGCCTCCCGCTGAGTCGATTACAGCATCGAAGAGACCATGGTTGTTCTTCCTCAGAAGGACACCAAGTTGTTTCCTCCAGTCCTCTACACTTCATCAGAACGAAGGAAATCCAAGAACCGTCTTGGACGACTTACTATCCTTGTAGTTTACGCCTCCTTTGGCGCCAAGGGCAATGGCTTTGTCCAGCTTCTCCTGCTTACCGCTGGTGACGTAAACATTTGCCCCTTTCGCGACGCAGAATTGTAAGGCAACGAGAGCAACACCGCCTCCAATACCAGTGATGAGGACAGTATCGCCCTTTTTGACTTGCCCATTAATGATGGTGGCCCTAATATTGACACATGAGGACGCATCGCCGACTAACGCTTGTTTTCTCAGCTCACCTCCACGCCGTTAAGCCGGCCAAAGGCCACGCAGCCGCCTGAGTATCATCAAGGTGGTTTGGGGTGGGTATAGCCTGGTCCCGATCAACGGCCACATACTCAGTGAATGTTCCGAGTCGTAGCCAAGCGCTGCCGCCGATGACACCAAACCTCAAAGTAGCAGTACTTCAGGGTTCTGTTTTGTGATTTGGTTAAAGTGCTCTCACTGAGATTCAGGAGCATCCGGGTGTTTCTCCCAGCCTCGCATGGGAGTGACGAAGACGCGTTTTCCGACTAATGTGTCATTCTTGTCGTGAGACCCAACGACAACACCTATATCCTTTCAGTAATGCTTCATTTAGCGCACTTGTCGAACGTACCAGCGCCATCAGCTCCAAAGGTGCTCCCAGGAGTGATACCTGGATACTGGCCACGACGTATCCAAAGCTATATATTCCCAATCAGATTGGAACTATATACGACAAAATGTAGAAGCGGAACATACGTCTCGGTGATTGAACGCGGCTGCATTCACTTTCACCAGCACCTGCCCCGGGTTCAACTTGGGAAGCGGTAAGTCTGTCAAATGCGCATCGTACGCGTACACTGAGCCCGACGACTTCTTGACGACAAGAGCCTTGTATGTGTTAATGGCCGATGTCATGTTTCTGGTTCTTCTGTGTAGGTTTGATTACGTTCGGTAGGATAACCTACCGGAGTGACATAAATACTGTGAACTATAAACTTACTAACCACGCTCGGCCGGATGAACTGGAGTCCGAGCCGGTAGTATGCTGCGGAGTTTAGAACAATGATTTACCACTTAAAAAGTTGAAAGACTTGAGCCCTTTAATTCGGGCACATCGTATATATAATTTCAAGTACAGATTCCAAGCTTATCTAGTATCTGAACCTCATTCCGAGAGGTCATCCTCATCCACGTCCATATCCGCCCCGTCCACAGAAACCTCGCCTCTAACTACAGCGACCGAATGACCAGGTACTTTATCCTTGTACCATCTTCCACTCGGAATATCAATCCGACATAGCCCAGACGCTGTTGCCGATGCCAGCATACACGCTGCCTGGAACCCATTCCCTGAGTTCCAAACGACTCGATGGACTCCCACTTCCTTCGGCCAAGCGTCGATCCCTACAGGCGTTTTATCCACTTCCTTGGCCTTTTTATTTCTTGCTTCGTTTACAGGCATTATGTGCATTTCCTGGTAAAGATAAAGAGTCAGAGGAGCGGGGAATATGCAAAGAGGATTGGTGGACCTTGGGCAATAAGCAGTCCAACATGCGGTATTCTCCAGTTTTCCGGCTGTAATCCATCTGGTATAGCTTATGAATAAAAAATGGCTGTCATGGGAGAAGCTTAGATTCGGGGTGCGTTGTTCGAAGACGGGGGACTCACCACGGTTCCTCGTCGAGGAGGCCGCAGGGCATTCGTTGTGGAGCAGGCACCATCTGCTGAGCCTAACGCCAATATGGGGTGGTAATCCGAAGCGTGTACATCCTGCATCGATACATTGAAACTTCGAATGATAAGACTTTGTATACGGAACTGACCCAGGGAGGTCCGGCTGGATCCATAAGCGTATGGCCACGGCCGAGCGTGCCAGGCAAGACGGAGAAGGCCTTGACTACGTTCTCGTGATCTGTGCTGATCGGTCCGGAAGTGAACGGCGAGTAAGTCATGGTATTGATTACATCTATTATGCAGGTTGATTGTTAATTCTAGCATCCTAGCAAGAAATGAGGGGCGGGCATTACAAACCTCTTGTCCTATTGATCGTATACCCCGTGGCCTGACGAATATCCGTTAAGCATTGGGTGCCATCGTAGCCTCCACTGGCGATGATAGTAGGATCAAGGTCGTTGCGGATCTCCCCCGTGGGCGATGCAGGCGGCGCGCGGACCCATGCCAGGGCGCGGATGGCGGATTGATGTACGGTGATAAAATGGGTGGGCATTATATCTGTTATAGCTGCGGGAGCTACATCAACATCATACGTGGCTTTCAGAAGGGCGGCATTTACTCTCGCCAGCAAAGGTCTTCAAGTGGTTTGCTAGATTGTAAACGGCAATAGAACCTGGAGCAAAATAGACGAACGATTAGAAGGGGTTTGGAGAAGTATCACTTTTGTCACCGTTAGTAGTCCCAATAGCCACGACTTCACTATTCGCCCATTCAAAGGACCAACAACAAGCGTCAGGGAGCTCTATGCGGAGAATTGGCTCGGATAGTTTAACTGCGCGACGTATTCAACGTTAGGGGAGAGGCTACTCAAGACTATGAGAACCTACCGTATACCGGTTTAGGAATATCTGAACCCGTGGGTCTTACGTCGCTGGGTTCTGGAACAGCGTACACAGAGAAGGATCCATCTTCAAAAGTGCCAGCCAGGAGCCCAAGTTTGCGTATTTTAGATAACGAAACAGACAACTATAATCGTCGTTTATGATCAGGTTCATTCGCGCCCACAACACGAGCAATGGCACTAACCATATCATGAGACGGCAATGGACACCACTTCAATTCGTGGGCAGGGCCGCTTTCCAAGCATAGCACCATCTCGCACGTAACCTTGCTTGAGTCCGACGTTTCGTCGAAACTAAAACTCCAAATTTGGATGCAACTGGGGATTGGCCGGGGGATCCGTACGCCGATTTCCGAGGAGTATGAGCGAGAAGGCAGGGGTGCAACAGCCAAGTACTGTTCGTAAGAACGCGCTGGATGGGCATGCGTTCGTCAAGAGATAGAGATATGGCGATGTTGTTCGCTTACCTGCTCGGTCGCTGGGGTGTATGGGGCACCAGTCCAGTGCCCACACGGGCGCGCCGGCGTTGAAGACGTGGGACTTACTTCCTGGAACAAAATCCGCTTTCGTGGATCATGAATGTGACAAGTCATTGTAGACAACCAGCTTACACATCGATACTGAATGAAGCATGGTCAATTCAACTTTCTTCTGATCGCCGTACTTGCCAAAGTAACACGATACTGGCTGCGGAGGCTTGAAAGCACCATCATGCGTAGTAGTTATATCGGAAGGCAGGTACCCAGCAGCTTGACTGCGAACTACTAAGCATTAGAACATGTGTATTTCAATTGGGCGTACATACACGTCATCCAATACTTCCCAACTGTTGGTTATCTTTAGGTCGCGATAAACTCGAGGGCGCCGAGAACTTTCAGTGATGTCCCCTGGCTGCGCTTCCTTGAACCATCCTCTGTCTTCGAGAAGATCCCATACAGGACCCGGACCAATACTGTGACCCCAGGCTTTCCCTAGTTTACGTGCAATTTCCGGACTGTAATTAAAAGCGCTGGTCTCGGTGACGCTTGGTTCTTCAAATAATTCAGGTGCTTTCGTCAAGCGCAGAGTAGCCCTTGCCTGAATAAACAGCGGTGGTGCACGATGTCGGTGTTGTGCCCTTGTTGCGGGTAGAGTGTACATATGGCGCCGCGCAGTCCCAAGCAGGCCACCAACAGAACTTGAAGCAGTAGGAGCGACAACACTTGCTCTGGGAGCCGATTGCTTCATTTTCCCCTTGTTCGCGGCCGGCCTCACGAGCTTCGTAATGCGAACAATTTCTGGGTTTTCCACGGAGACATCAGAAGCACCACCGTCCGAATCGGACGCATCGATATCCTTCGTGCTGCTCTTATTAGGGTCCTCTTGCGCAGGAGCGAAATCGCTTCCACTATCCATTTCCTCGAGAACTTGGGAGGGCCCATCGCCGTCGTCGCCATCGAGCCCAGCGAGGAGACTGTAGGTTGGGCGACTCGTTCGGGGACGCAGAGACCTTGTCATTTCCTGGTGGTCCGTGGATGAGTGTGGGACTTGTCACCTGAAAGCGCGCCTGGGCCTGCCCTGAATTTCCCCGTGAGCATAAGGATTCCGTGTCCGCGCCATTGCGTCACGAATTAGACTCATTCCCGTTCCACCATGTTCGCCATCGCCAAAACCGCGCTCAGACCCGCAACTGCTCGATATTCGGTTATCGCAGCGGCATGCCGTTCGAAGCACACACTGCCTGACTTGCCGTACGACTACAATGTAGGTAGAATCGCGAATTTGCCCGATAACGTTTGCTGAGCTAGTTCTAGGCTCTGGAACCGTTTATCTCAGAGGAGATCATGAAGCTGCATCATCAGAAGCATCATCAGACCTATGTCAATGGCTTGAACGCTGCCGAGGAGTCGTATGCCTCGGCACAGTCGACGAAGGAACAGATCAAACTCCAGTCGGCACTCAAGTTCAACGGTGGTGGTAAGCATGTACTTTATCGTTGCGCCATTCATCTGTGCTCATGCAGTGCAGGTCACATCAACCACTCTCTCTTCTGGAAGAACCTTGCACCTGCTAGCGGCGACGGAGGCAAACTCCCGGATGGCCCCTTGAAGCAAGCCATTGAACGAGACTTTGGCTCCGTCGAAGAATTCAAGAAAAAGTTCAACACGACCACTGCTGCTGTCCAAGGCAGTGGCTGGGGCTGGCTTGTTCGTATTTATTCTAGAAACTTCGAATGTTTCCGTCTCACATTACTTGCAGGGATTCAATCCTACCACAAAGAAGCTCGAGGTCACCACGACCCCCAACCAGGACCCCTTGATAAGCGCGTACCCTCACCCGACCTGCTGACTATCTGTGCTGACTGACTGCTATCTCAGCTCACGCGCCGATCATCGGTGTAGACATTTGGGAACATGTACGTGCTCGGCTTGTATATGACGTCATTCCTGGCTAACTTTCTGCCTTGTAGGCTTTCTACCTCCAAGTGCGTACGCATTTTGCAGTCTCTTAGCCTTGATGCTGATAGAATACCGAACCATGCAGTACAAGAACGTGAAGCCTGATGTAAGTTGCATTCTCTACGTTGCATCCACTTGTTCTAACAATTTCGACAGTACCTCAATGCTATCTGGAATGTTATCAACTTCAAGGAAGCTGAAGCTCGTTTCCTCGAAGCCTCTGCGTAGATAAAAGTGTGATGAACTTAGCATCGATCACATTTGTTACAAAGAACGAAGTTACTAGTATGCATTGCTATTATAAGACAATGAGTCCGGAAATTAGCTAGCAATAAGGATAAAACAGCAAGGACTGGGGGATAAAGAACGAAGGGAACATAAACCATACAACATAGATTATTGATTACGAACTAGGACTGTAAGAGGAAGGGTATAAGTTGCGCATTCTGAGACGGCTTGGGGTAGATGGCTTACACTGGGAGGATGCTGGTGAATGTGCCTTTGTCAGTTGGCAACCGAGGGAAGGGCGCTTTGCGGCACTAGATGAAGAGTGAGCATGGCATGACAGAGAAAAATAGACATTGCGAAGAGAGCTTACGGATGCTTCAATATCCTTGATGGTCTTGCCAGCGGGGAGGGTAGGCTGCTTGACGCGACCACGGGGAACTGGGATGACTTCTGAGCAGTCAATCAGCTTCTTTGGGTTCTGTCCGAGGGTCGCCATCTTGGCCATTGCCCTCTCGAATTTAGGTACCATCGAGTTGGGGTTGGCTGGCGAATCATCAGAATATGAACGGAAGGGCAGAGTAAATAGTACTCACAGATGAAGGATTGCCATTCGCAGGAAGTGCGCGAGTCCCTTGAGGAGGTCATGAAGGTAAGTGGGTGACGCCAGAGGGATTACAGAGAAGGACAAACCTTGCGAGAAGTTCGTCCGACTGGAGCCTGAATTCACCGGGAAGGGGTGACTTGACTTGACCCTTGTGGAGGGAGTCACCCGGAATAAGAGTTCCCTTCAAAAGTGTCTAAAAGCCATCGTCAACCGACAGCAAGGAAGGAGTTTATCCTATCAAGACAAACCTCAACGAAGAACTGCGAATCAAAGTCGGATGGCGTTGAATCAAAGGGGTGCCCAGCAAGCTTGGGGTCGATAGTATCCTGAGCTGCGACGGAGTGCGAGGCTAGCAAAGCAACGACTTCATCAGGCTTAAATCCAGCATCTCCCATGCGGGCAAGGATACTGGTAACAGAATCAAAGGGCTCGGGCACCAAGTGGTCGGGGGACGGCTTCGTGACATTAGAGCGACCCGCCAAAAACTGGATACGTGGCCCTCCGGCGCAGTTGGACGAGCCAACAGCGCCTGCGAACTGGATGCTGCGGGAGACATATCAGTTTCATATAGCCGATATGTCAAACAGCCGATGAACAGTACATACAAATCACCGAACGAGACCTGGTGTTTGATGGCGATCGGCTTTTGCTGCTCGACAATGTCATCAACACCATTGTTGGCCGCGAAATTAGTCTCAATGTCTGAGAAGAGCATGATGGATCCGTCTTTTCAACATATCTCGTTAGTGTTGATCATGGACCGAGATTCATTGTGTCTTACCAGCGCCGCCGCCACTGTTCAGAAACCACACATCAATAAATGGACAACATCACTATTGGAAAGAGAATACTGACCCGAATTTGCCTTGTCTAGTCAGGGCAGGCGAGAATCCGATGGCGTCGTGGAACGTCAGCTATACCACATAGTATAAGCGTCGAATCTCGATACAACAGAGGAGTCATTTGCCATACCCTCAAGGATTCGTGGACCTCTTCGCCTGAAGTCAGAAGTCAGTATACGGCTGTGCCAATGGATTGACAAGGTGCATACCGCACTCTCCGCCGTCAAAGCTGTTGACCAAGGTTAGACAGCAATAAACACAGGTAATATGCATATCTCACAGGTTCTCTTGGATGTCATCGAGGACATCGAACCACACACAGCACGCGTCATTGCTTGCTGTCCTTCCCTTGCTGCATTTTGCGCGGTGAGCTGGGACGGCGAGAACCGAAGGGACCAGCAGAGCAAGAGCAATGGTGCTCAAGAGTGAGTGGAATGAGTTGACCATAGCGAAGAAGGGAAAAGAAAGAGGGTGGGGAGGGTAGTCCGTTGAGTGACTGGCGAAACAGACTGGACTTCAGTCTATTTTATACGCGTCCTATCCATTATGCCCGAACGAGGGATGTCCTGTTGGCTGCAGGAACATGCATAGGATTTCCACGATTAGTTCCGTTGTCGTCTCCCTCCTTTCCAACAGCCGTTCGTGATGCGCCAGCGACCAGATCAGGACGACGAGTACGGAATCCCACACAAAGCTGATGTATTGATAGATGAAAGGTAAACCGAGCTGTAGAACAGGTCGATATGGAGTCTTCACCGGTGACCTCGTCGGTCCGGGAGGGACCATCTACCTAGTTCCACAGGGGCGTACACTGGCGGCAGGCAATATTGCGCCGTCAAACGTTAAAGGGGAAATGAGATGCCTGACAACACGTAAGTAAGTCTATGTTGATGATTGTGGCGTCAGTCGGGGAGCCACGTTGAGAGTCGGCATGGACAGAGATAAACGCGGGTGATGCCAAGTTCGGTCTCGGAATGATCTCGAGGAGGTAACATGAATTTTGACAAGTCTATGAATAGGTCAGTTACGCGCGTTCTTGCAACGTAGACGGTTGCACTTTTGCCAGACATTCGTATTCTGCGATTCCGGTCAGCTTGGACGCGTCTCCTTGCTCATTGACTTTCGTTACGGTAGAGGTATGCGACAGTACATCATAAGGATTTTTGTCTGTCACCAAATATTAGACACGTTGTCCGAGTTGATATGAGATCTGGTCACCTTGCATCGTACATTACAACGTTGGCAATGGGACGAAAAAAGATCAAACATCAACCGCCTGTTTACAATTGAATTGAAAGCAGTCTCGTCCTGATGGTTGTCGTTTCAAACAGGCACTGGGCGCGTGTAAATAAGGACATATCAAAGGCAATGACATGAGAAGGAAAGGAGGACTTGCAGGGCGATTACTGACATTCTAAGTCTGTGGTCGTGATATCTCCGATGGGGTCCCCACAGGCCGTCACGGCCGTGATGAGCAAGGAGAGTCTGCCTCTAGAGTCAGCGCTTTACAAATGCGTTTATTCTATTCCTAACTACGGCCAAGTTCTGCCTTAAAACCTGGACGTTTCAACCTTTGCGGTGAGGCGGCATTGAGCTATGTTTGTGAATGAGCGTCAGGGTTCCCATGGATATCATATGCGCACCTACGTATGTGCGAAGACTACACCCGGTCGACTGCTAGCAGAACATGTGGCTCGCCATCGGTTCTAAGGTTTATGGGGGCGCCGCCGAGTTGCCAACTTCACAGCACTGTGTCTCTATTGTCTTCCCATGGCGCATCTAGGTCTGAATTTGTTTCGTTCTTTAAGCTTAAGATTGTAGCTGCGCTGGAGTGCGCCGTAGCGCCAGCAATATGCTCATCCTATTGTTTCTTTTCGGCTTGTAGAATATGGCCCGTTAGTGCACTGTGGTGTTATTGGGGAATCGTGACCTTGGATTCAAATGCGAGAATTTGTTTCGGTTGGAAGTAATGAAGCGAAGAGTGATCGTGTCGGCGTCGTGACTCCAGTGTCAGATGTTGTGACGAACGTCGGTCACGCAATCACGCCCTCCTTTCCGGAGACCACCATTGTCAGGCTACTCGCACGGGTGTACGTGCACTTTCAGGAATCTTGAGCCGCATGTGGCGCGAAGCTCCAATGGTCATTGTACTCTAAAGGTCGACGATTCTGGCGCGCAGCTCCCCCTTCTCATAATGTGCCTAGACTCTATTGTTCGAGGCCGGCATGAAATCAAAGGGTCCCGCTGACCTCTGTACCGTTTACCTCTTCAGGATCCTGGTCATCTTGTGACTCTAGGTTCTTCGGCGTGCAAAGACAACCTGGCTGCCTAAAATTGTGCCACGTACGGACCGAACGCGTTACAGGAAGACCATGGAGCAAGGGCCGTGGTCATTTTCAGCAGCTACAAGCCTACCGCAGGGCCACTGGAGACAGCTCTGGGCAACTGTGATACTCTACCTGACGCACTCAGACGTCTTCACGGCCCAAGACAACCAGAGGCCATTCGGCAGCACCCATAAAAGGCAGTCTTCGACTTGATTCAAAGTTACACACTAATAGACGACTATGCCTCGTGCTTAAGCTTCCAATTATGTCCGCTATATATGACTCGAGCTTGCCTGAATTTCTCTCACCCCCCTTTACACTCGTTTAGCCCCACCTTGCTGGCCTCGGTGTCCAACGGTGGGTTGCTTTTTCGCCCTACCCCAGCGGCCCAACACGATGCCCAGAAGGATACTGTCCCCCCGCTCTTTTCGAATTCGAAGGACTTGCAGTCGAGAGTCCCCCAGCATGCCTGATTATTACCGCAAGACTCGCCTAGAACACTACGATCCTTACAGACGCGCATCCCTCTATATTGAGCCCCTGGTATGTATTCTTAGACGCACCCCGCGCTTTACACTGACGCCTGGCTCTATAGAATATAGACGATAGTGAGATAGAAAGTCTTGAGTTCTGCTCAAGTTTCATGCTCGACGTAGGTGGCTCCGGTCCCAATGTGATTCGGTTGATTGAGTCGTGTTCCTTTTCACTAGGCCGATATCTTCGATGATGATTTTGAGATAGCAAGTGTTGTGGAAGAATACAAACCATTGGCTACCACTGCGAAGTGGTCCGCAAAATTTACCGTAGCATGGGAGGTGGGTATCCATCGACAATAGCGATAACCTTACTTTTTGCTGACCATGATCATATTTTTCCTAGGCTCTGTTGGTTTTCACATCAAAGTGTGCTAAACTGCTACAACCGAACTGACGCTCGACGCGATCTTCATGTAATTTCTCTACTTTACTGCTGCTAGTTAGACTCAACCCCCTCGTTTTTTATTTAGTTATATTCTTGTCACCCACTTTCGACCTAACTTTCGGCAACCTTGTATCCAATGTATCATATCCGCATCAACCCCACTCCCTTATTTTGCACCGCAGAGCCGTAGCTTAATTACAATTATTCATGTAGCTTGAAACTTGTCATAACATTTGTTCTCAACTATTACTTCCTGAAAGTGAGGATTTACGTCGGATAGGCTCCAGGGTGTAGCGGGTAACTATGGGTGTCAACCTCGACCTCCCGCTGCGAAGATTAATTATCTAGGATGTTGCACCCTCAACCCAACCATGGTAGCGGCGGGAGCTTGAGCTAGTATAGCATCATAACAACGGGGCACAACCCGAACGTATCGGGGCGAAGAAAAATACACACCTACGTATCGATTCTTGAGCTTCCTTTAACGCAGCTGAATACGCAAAATCAAAGCAAAAGAAATCGCTGTGGATATATAAAGGAAAGATGTAGTCTTACTGGATCAAACTATCGTTAGTCTTGGAGTCGTCCGCCGGAGAAACACATAGACGTACAGATGGGGGATGAGAGTACTACTGCGTCTTCATGAAATTTTGGTCTTTTATTCGTTGTTTGTTTTCGCGTCTCCTTTGTACCCTCTCTGCCTTTCCCCCAGGTCCATCGTCTGGATACACCTTGGGTGCCAGTATCGTCCACAGCCAGGCCGGATACTCGTCATCAGGCTTGGCAATAACCGGCTCTTGCCCTTTGAGGTAGTTTACCCCGTCAATTACAGTGTTCGGAATGCATGATGATTTGGCAGGAGCTGGCGATTTTCCGTGAGTTCAGCGGGCAGTACAAGACTTGGCGGTCGATACTCACCTTCCGAAGCTTTGGTTGTACCTGTGGTAGGTTCCTGTTTCTGACTTGGTGGTGCTGACGCGTATGCGCGGCGCGTACAGCGAATTAGTACTGGTCGACGAAGGGCATAGTGGAGGAACATGGTGGAGTGTGACAAAGTCGCCACGGTCACACCGGTGACTACCTCATCACATCACGTGTAAGTCATGTTGCTAGAGATAAGATTGGCGTGCAAACCTTTCGACTTATCACGATCATCACGATATCACTAGCGAGTACTTAGAATGCGGGGAACATTGGCGAACAATTCAATTCGGACATGAATCTGGGGTTCAGCCTTAGCAGCGCGTTCCTGCATGTCGATCCCGCAGTTATATTCCATCGAAGGACGCAGCAGTCAGCTGCATGACTGTGCTTTTAAGTTCTTGTTCTGAACCGGTTTGTTTTCCTGAAATATGACTCGGCGATGCGGTACACCTGAGAAGGTCGGTTGCAGGACTACCCCGATGTGACTCATTCCATTTGGCGCTTGCCCTGCTCGTACCTACGTGTTCCACACGGCAAGAGTCGGGTTCTCCGAAGACCTCGCAATTCGGTGTCGTCAGTAATCCTGCATCATCATCCTCGGGCGTCCGAGTCAGCAAGATAAGTGAATCGTGATGCGCATTACCGTTCCAACAGCGATTCTTCCGATGGCTCACCCAAAGTGGTTCGGAGGAAGGTTCGTCACATCTCGAGTCAAGTTCTCGGATGCTGATGCTTTCACAATATAGCACGCGTTAGGTTTAGGGCTTGGGTCTATGGACCTGTCTTTGCAGCACTCGATCGGATCAGTGATTGAATCGACTGCCAGGCAATCGGAGGTGCTCTTTTGATTACCGGGAAGGTATCTTGAATGCACTCGTCCGACTCTCAAATGCTCGATCCGCCGACAGTGATCTGAGGTATGTTGTCATCTCACTTTAAGTGATCGAGGACTTACCTCCTACTTGTTAATCCCCGGACTTTTAAGGGATCAACTCCCGTGTCCGGTGTACCTGCTGTAGGCTCGCGAGGACTACAGGTGATCTTCAAGTCCCGCAGGCTCGGCCAAGACTATTATCGATACGGGGGCTGTTTATTCTGGGTTGTTCTGTCCATACTCGCGTAAAATGGCAAGTTTAGATGATCAGCCCATTAATAGTACTCAGCGAATTTCGAAATGACCCGCATCCAACTCACCAGCCACAATCTGATATCGAGCATTTCGGACCGTCCCCGAGGACAAGGTGACTTTCCATCATGGCATAAACATTGACCGTGGCACGAATACCGCACGTATGTCAAATATGTACTCCGTTTCTCATGACACGTCTCAAGCAAGGACCGACTTCCCAAAATTACGCCTTTACCCCGCACTCCCCACATCGTTCAGGTCATATGTGCCCGATATGTGCCTTCGAAAACGTGTCATCGACACACTTGCCCGACTAGTTTCTTGGCGGTTGTAGCTGAATGACCACCGAGGATACACCGCAACTGAGAGCACACAGTACTTCTCACCACCGGTGTCTATCTCAACCGTACGCCCATTTAATCAGGTACGGTGCCACCAGACTGCTGCCCATGTTCAGCTGGCATCACTGACCCCGGACGTACTTCCGCTGCACATTGCTCACATTCCCTATTTTCCGAGGTATCGTAAAGAGAGCGGTTCGTTCAGTTTGCTTTCGGGAGAGTCGAGACGAATAGACCTTTTGGTTTGGGATCAAGACTCTCACGAAGCTGTATCGTCCTTGCGTTGTACAACACCCTTACCAAACCCTTACTGCATTGTACGTAGCTGTAACATGGTTCGCTTCATGAGGCTAGTTTTCCCTTTTTGGACAAGTCCTCGTGTTATGGCTACAGCTTAGTTGGGCGCCTGTTGTTGTACACGTTCCTTCCTCAAGTCCATCAAGTCCGGAAAAGCGGAGGATGTTGCTTCGTTCTGTCTTCTTCTGGGCGGCGAGCCACAGCAGATAGACGCTACGTTTAGGTCCCATGGCCTCATGTCCTTTGCCCTACGTCCTGGCGCAATAACACGCCTGACAGCTGACAGTCCCAAATTTGCGCTACTCTCGCGCTAGATGCAGCGGATCCACCGGGTGGAATACCCACACCCTTCTCGAATAGTAAAGTGCACGACCCATCCTTCAAGATACGGTGTTCGTTCGACTTGGCGACATTCCTCTCGATCCCAGGCAATCTGCATGGGGTACTCCTCCTATCGTCGGTCAACTGGGTAGTTCCTTACCAGTGTAGTTCAACGCTGTGTCTAGCTCGGTCCGGGGGACACCACAATTATGCATGTACCCTTACTCTTGAACTATGTATGTTAATGGGATCCACAGGTTCGTGAGGCCTGTACAGGGATTAGGCTAGTCACTATCCACTCTATCGTTCCGCCAATTGAGCTGACTCAAGAAGCGCGGCGAACTAATTCGCCAATGCAATTCCTGGCTCTTCCGCGACTAGCTGCGAGCAGCCTGCTACTTGTCTTATTCCGGTGACACACCTCAGTTCATCCGCACCAAATCAAGCTACAGTTTGTCGCTTTAGAAATTCTACCTGGATAACACAGGTATGGAAGCTACGGAAGTCCACAGCACAAGCGTCAATCAACCCTTCGGTCGGTGGTTCACTCGCATTAATCAAATATTTTTGTCTTCTTTCGGTAAGAAGATACTCATGGTGTAGAATCCTTCTGGGTAGAACATGTTGTATGCTTTCCTCGGGTCTCGCACTTCTCGTGTGCCATCCACCATACACATGTCGGTACCTTCCACTTCCGTGTTTGCATATGCAATGGAACATGAGTCGATGCTAACAGCGCCACACTTTCCAGCAACTTTTCAGGATGGATCACTGATTAGATGAGGAAACCATGTTTCTGAGACAAGATCATATCAGTCTCAGTCTTGTACACGAGTATTGGGGTGTGAAGTCGCGAGGATGTCATGGGACGAACCTGGAGTGGTTCGTAGTATGTGGTTTCATATCACCCATCTTTATCTCTATCTCCCATCTCGCGTCGATGCCCCTCTCGATCGTGTTCATTTTCGCTTTAGGATATTAGATTGTCGACGGACAAGTCCCTCGTTCACACCCACTCACAACACGAGGACTTAATATCTTGGGTTGGGAAAACGCCGCGACATAGACGTCTCCAGGTTACTTCTTCAGGGAGACCAATCGGTTAATTTGTCCCCTCGATCCCCCGGCGTATTTACCTCAGTAGGTCCGCCTATTTTTGCCCATATTTCTGGAGATGTTATACCGAGTATTCTATAGGGCCACTTCAACTTCGTGCAACCCAAGGTATCAATCCGAGCACAGTGTATGCAGCTGCAATACTAGAGCATAAGCGTGCATCCCGCATCGATATTGATGGTGAATCGAAGGTTCACTTCTTGCTAGCCAAATGAGAGAGTAGCTAGAGCCCGCGTTTCATGGGTACCATGGGCCATCTGGTAGTTTCAAGTCATTATTGACTTCCACTGCGTAGAAGCCTGCTGCACGCAGCCCTACAGGTTTACTTACCTTGCGCCAAGATCGTTTGGTTCGACTCACCGTTTTACGTCCCCGTCCACTCTATCCGCTAATCGCCGTGCGATGGAAAGAAATCTACCATCTAGAAAGGTCAGACAACAATTGCAGAGTCACGATCCCAATCAAATCGTAATCGATGAAGTATGTCCTTTTAGCTGAAGATAATCGCACGATTATCTTCAAGTTACTCATTTAACAGCACAGCTAATATTGCTCCGAGCATATGAAGTCCACGAACCCTCTGACCTAGCTGCTGGATGGTCGACTGACTTCCAAACCGGATCTAGGAGCTACGGATCGTCGACATCCGTGCAGGTACGATTGCAAGGCCGCGCACCTGAAGAGTACTGCCAGGCAAGGCATCGTGTTCCTTCCTTGTGGATCCTTGTCCCAATCGACAATGCTTTGTCGCCCCCTTGGTCTTGATAGGGGACCCGGGTTTGTGATAATCGGAGAACCGTGCAACCAGGCTGCTCACAAGCGATGCCCGATGAGAAGAGCAGCGTCTGGTGACATTGCTGGTGTTCGACATGGAACGTCAATCAGTCTGAGAATATTCCCAGTTCTATGTAAAGGCTGTCGATACATTTATTTCTAGTACGCGTATGCCAAATGTGTGTGATGCTCGCGTCGACGCTTCGAGTCCAGAACCGGCTACAACGCAATTAGCTGGGCACAAAGATCACCCTGCCCAATCGTCGACATCTGTGAACGGGTAGACTACCGCCAACCGAAAATACGAATCTGCTTTTGGTTTTCGTGCCGCCTCCTATCTTATCGCATCGGACTTGACAATAATATCTGATAATTCTGCCATTCAGTACGGATCACTTCCCCGCGAACCGCAGGCAAACGTCCAAGGCTGCCCCAGGGTATGATGCGTCCTGTGAGGGGTATATCATATGTCACTGCCTTTTGGGAACATGTCAACATCGCCACCACAGCGTGTTCAGCAGAATTTCATGCAATGGTACGATGTTTAGAACATGAGTAGATGCTGACTTCCAAAATCTCCAATCTTATCTCCAAGAACACCATCTCCGGACGTATGTTCGTCCCTCAACAACGGAAGTACGGGTCAATATGTTGCACCCATCAGCGATTTGGCGAACCCACCTTGCGTCGGGACAAACCAGCTACGCAACTACGCAAACCAGGGAGAAAGTTTCTCTTTCGGCGAATATCGGAACCAGGAGGCCATAAGGTCTCAAATGCGCATGCATCATCATCTCGGCATAACTCCAGTCCACTCTCAGCCCGCTGCGGCAGTCCACGTCCACCCTCGACCGCACGCACAGAATGCCCGTCGGCCCGGCCCACATATCCCGCTCCTCAAATTCCATGGCAATGCGGCTCAATCGCAGACTGATTTGCAAGGGCGATAGTGCCCATGTACAAACCACAACGCGTCCCATGTTTTCCGAGGACTCCCGGAGAACATAAGTCCATACTCACGACTGTTCGAGGTGAAACAGCGCCTGGACACTGATGCTTAGCAGGTAGAGCTGAGTGCTCTCCCACAGCAGGGGACTGGGTCATGTTTGAATGGGACTTTCCCTCTCAGCCCGGACTTGCGTGTACGTAGTACGTACATGCTTTCGCGCGTAGCCGTGGTGAAACGGCAACGTCGGATACGCAGCTTGCCATGGAAATCATCAAAGAGTCGACCTCTGTTCACATGAGATACTTATGTCAATTCGAATATCGGAATTCCACACACAAACATGCCAGGGTGCATCGGGTGAACCAGGTGCGTTTTGTCAAGGACATTTGACTAATGGACTGCTGCTAACGAGAAAAACGATCATAGGGGCTTTCTCGACGTTGAGCTAAAAGCCGCCCATTCCTGCATGTGCGTGCTAAATCAGACCAGGGGGTGAAGGCGTCCTGGGAAGGCTATTTGAAATGCATGGTGGGGTCAGTCAGCAGGAGCCATGCCCGGTGGGTGTTGCGGAGAAAACGTTCAAGACGTACAGTCAGCTCTTAGTGAGCTCATTAGAGAGTCATGCAAACTTCTGGTTGGATCCGTAGTACCAATGCATCTTCTCTCGTAAGTGGCTGAGGCCATCGCGGTTCAAATGCTGGCACCATGCGACACGATGCCCGAGTTCGAAATCGTAATGTGGTGCAAGGACGCACTTCCGCTCAAACATAAGCTTGTGCGCACGTCATGAACGGGTAACTGGTGCTGGTGGGATGGATCTGCTTGATATGGCCTTATCTGACGTTCGAGTCATTTCTGGCATGACATCACACTGGATTCAAGAAGTTTCGTGGAAAGTCATGTTGGATTTCAACTTCAAGCTCGGCTACTGCGTATCAACTCTACCTAACGTATGTGTGGGGGGGCAAGATAGCTACTGGGGTGTCATTGGGATAGGTCCGGTATCCCGTCTGATCAAGGGTATGCAACAATAAAAAAGCGAAAAGCGGCGGTGATGCACTATATACAAGCGAATAAATGTAGCGCGGGTGGAGGGGGTGGAAAGCGAATTGAAAACAGGAAGCGGCAAAAATGCGGGTGCAATGCGTATCACTGATGTGAATGGCGGCGGGAAAGGGGAATGGTGGGGGAAGGGCGGAGAATGCGCGAATGCGCGCCAAGGGTTGCGTCGAAAGTGGTCGTAAACGAGATGATGGTAAACATAAAGATATCCTGAAAGCGTGATTGCGACTGAAATGCATGATGGAAATGATGATGCGATGCGATATTGTCCATAGCGGTTGGAACGATGCGAGAGAGATGCGGGAGAAAGAAGCGGGTATAGGCAATGAGAATGCTCCAATGCTCGAAATAATAACTGAGCGGCACCAATTGCAGGATGACGAGAGAAAGGGATTTCGATGCTTCCTCGCTCACTGGTGAACAACTGCACTCAACCGTCTTCTGACCTTCTTCTTCGCGCGGAACACGCCTAACCGCCATCGCAGTGCGATACAAGACCACTGACGCTTCAGTGCTTGTGCGCACGTTGGTGTAAACTCCTGCTGCTGCTCTTCTTCTTCTTCTTCTGCGTCATTGTTGCCTGGGGCAAGTGTGCGAGCCTCACTTCTAGCGGACTCGATCGATCGCCTCGTTGGCGCCTCCTCTATGCTCTCTGATACTCTCTTCTCATCCCTGGACTGCGAACGGTGCCGTGGGCGACTTGCACGTAGGCGTGACACACACCGTCTGTGAAGTGGCAAGGGCTCGTCCGAGAGGGGTGAACCGTCGGAAGGCGAGTCATTCAAAGCCGTTTCGTCGGAAGAGTATGATATGGGGGAAGAGGATACCGGTGATGAGGCGTATGAATATGTGGATGTCGGGTAGTGGTATGAGGAGTAGGTGTAGATGGGTGATGTTCGTGAATACGGGTCGCGAACATAGCGCGAAGCCCGTTGAGAAAAGGGTGATGCGTACGAGTCATAGTGGTTGTTGCTGTTACTCGCGTCGTCGTCCTCATCCTCATCTAAAGCGAATTCGTCAACGTCGTCGTAGAGCGTCCCGAGCTCCCACTGTGGGCGAGCAAACGCGTGGGATGCCGAGTGGGTTGACGCGGCCCGTCGCTTTGTGGGCGAGTTCCTGGATGAGGAAGACGCGGAGGGGAAGTGTCTGAAGTCTGGGTCGTGGAGGTCGCCGTGGTGGTCGACATAGGCGGCCTTTGTGGGGGTCGTGTTCGACGGTGAGTAGGCTGGGTCGAGGAGGCGGGAGATGTCTGCGGCCCTTGAGGACGGGGAGTGCTTTGTGTGGTGGTGGTACATGTTTGAGAAGTGGTAGTGGTCAGAGTCAATGCCCATTTGCTGCTTTCTGAGGGAAGAGGGGAGACCTGAGCTTGGGGGCAACTCGGTTGAAGAGACGCTTCCCTTTATAAGGATCATTGCCCCAGCTGCATTTGTGGCCCAAATCGGGAAATAACATCCGACTGAGCCGGCTCGCTGCAGCAAACCAGTTCACGAGCCTGGTTCTTCGAGTTCTACCGGTTTCTTACCGGGGCTTGTGGTCTCAGACATTCGCCTCAATGAAGCCGCGTTGCACCGATATTCCTTTGTGTTCTTGCTTCTGCACCCATAGGGCCTCACTTATCCGATTCACGAAACAAAGATATGATAATCGCCCATCGGTCCATGATCCTATCTCACACACAAATCCGTACAGCACGGTCGACAGTCTGCAGTCCACAGCGGAATCCCGATGTTCAACATCCGAGCCCTTTCCTTTCCGTGATATAATAATGATATTATATAACAAATAAAACAACACCACGCGCCATGCCTGCGTGTTGGCCATTTCTTTTGCGCCCCCTCCTCCTCCACATGCGCCACGCTTGCGCCTCAACGTGTTTGTTTGCGCCTCTGGGCGGCGCCGGCGAGGCCACATCCCCCCACCGCGTAACTGATTCGATATCAACCGCTTTCACCGCATCCAAACTGTAGACAGAGTGTTTGATACGGTACCGCCTACCGACCGCTAACGATGCGAGTCAAGCGCATCCCAAGGCGAGGCGAGCGCTGATGGGTCCCTAGATATTCCACAAAGGCTTCCAGTATTCTACATATAGACATCGGATATGTACTCATTTGATAGAATCTCTATGGAATTCTATACGATACTGCATCCACTCTGCAGACCGCTGTTGACCACATTTCCATCACCAGCTGTAGGAGGCACGCGGAGAAATCTTATCAGTGATACAGCGGGCCACCTGATGAAACCACGCCGGAAGCATTGCTGCAACGCTGCATGCTTTGTATCTGATCAAGGGCACGCATCCACCTACTGCACCGCAGTGTACCGCACCATGTCGGGGCAACGAGATCGATGACGGGGATGTGGGGTAGAAGTGACCGTACCTGAGTAAATGTGAGATAATCTAATCAACGTTCCGGAATTAATCTAATCTAATCACGCCCAGTAAATTTCATACCGACAGCACAACGCTGTTCAACTGCTGACGCGACCTTTCGCAGATATCCTCACATTGCACATCGTTGAAAATGTCCCGAACATTGAACCGGCTCATCTGTGGCCATCGTGGTCGCAGGTGTTGTCGTTGAACATTGCGATTGCGATCACTCATATGGTAACTCCTATCATGCTACGCACAAGGGCCTGGACCCATATCCTTCAGCCAGAACACGGAACGACGACCCTCCATCCAATCGGATGTCTCCTCTATGGTTTGCTTGCAAGTCGAGTCCCAGTGGTGCTTCAAATTCCAGTCTGCGATAATCAAGAAACTGGCTGATTGGGAACTATGAAGAGTCTAGGTCGGTTTCTCCAACTCTCGGTGTAATACTCCCTGCTGATTGGCAAGTCTTCCATGCAGCCAATATGGATGGATATGGACTATCCTTCCCGCGTTGGAAACCATTTCTGGGAGCGATTTCTAGGATCCTCACCCAGACCCAAAAATATGCGCGTGCTACGATGTCGGGTACTCGGCTCCTCTCATTTGGGAACAGTTTCTGAATTTCTAGCCTTTGCTCGCATTCGCGGTTAGAGCGGCATGTATGGCCGAGGGAAGAACCGATTTCATCCAGGCTAACGGGCTTCCGAGAATAGGAGCCCACAATTGAATGTTGTCGCTATTGCTGACATGTTCGTAAGTGTCCCGGATTCAAACGTTATGTTGTTCAATGTTCAGCCATACAACATTTTGGGTTCATTGATTTATCATACTAGGTCCTGTCCACATGGTTCGTGTTATACAGCTCGCTGCCAATGTAAGTTTGCGATGGGAATTCAGCGATGATTGCAAACCGTTCAGATGTTCTTGGCAATGATTACAAACTGGCTTCCAAAGCTCCTGTCCTCTCCTTCGTTGTCGGATGGAAGAATCGGATGGGGACAACTTCCTCCCTCGGCATGCCGTATTCAATACCCCGGGTCTTATTGGGACTTCTATACTTTGCAGCCATTGGATACTCAAATGGCCGGCATCTGCCCCTCCTTGCTCGGAGCAGAAAAGCTTCATGCCTGCTTCTCGTCGAACTAAAAACTTCCAACACAACTGGTTCAGCACAAGCTGTTGGATCACCTCGTCATGTTTATCCACGGATAACGCAATGGCAAATCCTTATCGCGATACAGCTCTCCTCTTCTCCTCACGAAGACATACATGATCGGATCGAGATGGCCAGTGTCTTACTGGTTCGTTGGTTGGTCTAAGGCAAGTGTCCATCTACCAATACTTGTCTAAGTGACTTTATTGTGCCGTCAGTTCAACACGCTGGAGCAAACCCCCAAACGCAGAACCTGCCTGGTAAACCTTGTCGCCCTGCTGTGTGCTGGCTTCTAGTATTCGTGAAGTAAGTCATTAAAGTATAGTTTATTGTGTAGCTCAAGATTGTCATTTATCTTTAGCATACTCCACACGACTCTACGAAACTCCAACCCCTCCTCACTCCATCGAGACACCATCTTCCCATCCATTGACCACGGAGGTATCCCTCTCGATCGGATTGACCGGCCTTCAGACATTCCCCTCTCGTAAAGGATTGATGTTATACCCCCTTTGTTGTGTACGCATTCGATTGAGCTTAGTTCACCAGGAGTAAATTGAACTCAAAGGCAACAACTGTCTTCCGTTCGATGAAAGGCTCCGATGTTCTTTGACAGAAGAACCTGTTCTAGGGCCCTTTGTGCCCCCCGTTCGGGATGGGACGAGGAGAGGAACCATATGGTCAATGCTATCTTCCCACTCCCCGAACCACGATCGGATCGAGATACCGGTCATTTACTTGCCATAGTCGACGTCCCTCACTCCATCGATTTCGCCCTTTCATCCTCAAGGTTGGGTTGTGCTTGGCAGTGGTGCACCGTTCGGCACTCGCACCATGGGACGCACTGCTGCTTTGTGCACGAACGCCTCTGGCGTAGTGTTCATAGGATAGGCTCACATGAGTCATCGGATCGAGATAACCGGTCTTTCACTCGCCATGCTTCGATCCTTGATGCACGGTTGTATCATCATGGGTCTGGACCAGCTTCCCTACCATAGATGTCTTCACTGGGATACAAGCTACTTCTCAACATTGGGTTCAATCATGAAGCCTTTCATGCACACCAGAATTAGTTCTACAGCACACACGCTTTTTCAACCTTCCGAGTTCCAACGGACAGAGAAGTCACTTCTCCCTTTGTTGTTTATCGCAATCGCAATCACAATCGCTGATCCTATCTCTCCTGCAGAAATTAACCGGATGACGAATGCCGGCCTTTCAAGGACGCATAACACAAAGGAGTTCGTGTCTGCGTGGTTCACCGACTGAAGTCATAGGCTCATGGCGTAATTACGGTTGTAGGTTTATCACACCTCGTTTTCTTTGTACCTTCTTGACCCTTCAACTCCTTGCATGTCCTAGGATTATGACGTTCGACAAAGGCTACCCACGGATCTCACCGCGGTTTCTCAAGGGCTGCGCCACGGTCACATCTTTGTCGTCTGCAGCCCGTCAGCACCAACCCTCAATCGGCCGATAACAGCATCGTCATCTCACATTCGACAACGAGGCAGACGAAATTGGCAACGCCACGAGAATGCTCTATAATCTATATCGCTGTATTGCAAAAGTCTTTGATGGGCTCGGCCGGATACAAACATATTAAGCAGAAGACGATTCCATTGATCAAGATAAGTGGTTCGATAGAATTTTTCTTTATTGACATATTTAAACCCGCCAATCAGTGTGCCTCAACTCACCTCGTTTACAGCTTCTAGGTCAACTATATCGCCGCTGGTTGCACCTTTCGAATGACAAGAGGACCATGCTGCTTGGGCATGCAACGAAACCAGGGCAAGTATTTCACTTGTCCCAGTCACTTATTTCCAGTAGTTTCGAACGACCTAAGAATAGCTTTGTGCTGTAAATGAGACACAATGTCGTCAACACGTTTGTTCTCACCTTCCAAGCCTCCAGTGACCGCGTTCCACTTACCCCTCTGCCCAAGCAAACCTTGTGCTCCTTCGAGTCACTTCGCCACGGGCCGCCCCATCCCGCATCATCTGCTCCTCGTCCCATCTTCTCCATCCAACACGGAACAGCGTCTGTACCAACTTCCCCACAAGGCCACAGCTTATTCAGGATGCTGCCATGACTTTGATTGCCTTACCAACCCGAATGGCAAGTAAGCAGACAGGCCCGCAATTGGCTCGTAATCACCTCTTCTTTTCTCAAGGATACGACCTCATCGCACATCGGTGAATTACACGACGCGATGGTTCAGACTCTTCGCGAACTGATCTTGTGGCCCGTGAACCACCTCGATTATGAAGACATACGGAATGGATCATTGTGATGATTGTTTCTCTCGTTTGTCTAGTGTCTCCTAATCTTCGGCGAAACAGGTCATATGCCTATATCGGGTATCCTTTTCCCATGGTTTGGAACATATGGACCACCAACAGGTCTTCGAACACTGGATTTCGGAATGGACCATTTCGCCGATATGCTATGGACTCGCGCCCTACACAATAAAGGTAAATCACTAATGTTTTCCGGTACCAGGTGGCTTCCATGCTGGCAAAGCCTCTCTGGCACGTCGGAAGCAATTATTCCCTCGCATCGGGTGCACTTCGTTCATGGTAGGCATTCGCGACCTTCCATGCCTAGGCCTATTCTCGGGATTTTTCAGGCCATATACAGGCGATACCTACGAAGGACGCACTTGCATCATTCCTCCGTCTCTTAGCGGCCTCACTGCGCAAGAATTCTCTCTCGGAAAAGTTGTAACAACTCGGCGACCTTCCTTGTGCCCTTCGCACCGATAGTTACAAGCGACGTGTGTCGTTTCTACCTCATTGCACGTCACACTGGCGAGATATCAATGTTCAACTGCATGCCATGTTCAAGGGTGCGAATTTATTTGATATAAATTACGAAATAATTGTCCTGCAGGCAGTTTCCAACAAAATCGTTGCAGACATCGTGCTTCCCCGACCTGTTAGCGGTGTCATCTGACCCATCCTATTGGTGGCGTCCAGTACCATAACAGCTGCGCTTGATGAAAATGTATAGTTCGCGAACGAGAAGACGAGGTCTATTTCCGTTTGTGGCCTTCGGGAACCAATGCCGCGCCAGCCTACGCGTTCCACTGGAACCAAAACATAATATACAGGCGTGTTCACAGCACGGTCGCGCTGTATATGTTCCCGTGTATACATATTCTCCCTAGCTTCGATCTGTTTTACGCGTTCACCGCCCCATTCCTGGCGAAACCGGCATTTTGCCCGGTATTTACTGCTATAGCAACATTTATTGTGCGTGTAGGGTGCCCACGAGTGAATTCCCTGCAAGGGCAAGGGCGCTGCGACGCAAACCGCCTTCGCGGGCGAGCCCCAGTGGCATATTAACTGAGCCGGGGCTCTAGATAGTACGAGCTACTGCGGTGGTACGTACTCCGAAGATGCTATAAAAGCTCACTGATACATTGGGGCTGAAGCCCTTGGCAGGCAAACACCTATCTGCCCATCATGGAGGGCGTAGCATCGCCCCATGCTGCGAACAGATGAAAGAAGTCAGCGCGCGCGAGGTAGCCCACATGATCGGCTTCAAGCTTCAGTTAGAGCCAAGCAATTATAGCCTTTGACTCATTAGCTGGGGTATCGGATTCACCGCCCTCCTCGATGCAAGGTAGGTCCGGATGAAATTGGGGAAAACGAACTGGTTCTTCGATATGGGGAACGTTTGGGAACTTTGGCAGTGCTGATAAGACCACCCTCAGCTGGACAGTGGGCACCATGCATCTTAGCGGTGTTAGAGCGAGCACTTTCACTGCGCGTCCAGTGAGTCTACATGCCACGAACGTGCGGACACACAAGTTATGGTATGCCAAGCTGCCGACTCTTCCAGAAGCTCAGTCAATGAGTGGAAGTAATGCATTGATGTAGATAGGCTCCTGAGGTGATACATATTGTACTATTCGGCTAAGATCAAGATTCTTCGCTCTGGTGTATCATCCTTTTGACAAGATCCCATAGTCTCGAATGTACACGATCTTCCGTGTGCGAATAAAGCAGGCAGGCTTTAGGAAGGATGGATTCCAAGAAGTGAGCTACTGAACGGGGATCCGTGATGGGTGACCGTCCAACGGAGAATATGCTGAGATTTGCGAGCGTCGCATCGTCGCTTATGCGGGGCATCGTGGTACATGCATTCACGTACATCCCTAGCACGTCTAATTTAGGACAGAGTGATACCAATGTCACTAGGGCAGACATGGTCAAGTTGGGGACGCTCGATATCCTGGGGCTGTCATTGAGGTAGAGGACCTCTATTGAGGGTAGTGCTTTCGCAATTTCGGTGATGTGCCTCAAGTCGAGGTCTAACTGTAGCGGGTGGGTGAGCTCGAGCTGCGTCAGCCCGGATAGACGCGTAATTGGGCGCAACTCGAGGAAGGTCATTCGTTGCAAGGCCGCTGGATACTGTTCGGCGTCGTTGCCTTGGACGGAAAGTGATTCCAGCTCAGGGTAGTTGGAGCAAATGACGTCGATAAACCGAGCGTAACTGTGAACGGACTCCTCCCCCCAGTAGCATTTCAATGTGAACGACACAAGGTGGCGAGGCCTGTGTGTTTGCGATAGTAACAAAGCGGCGCGAGCAAACGGCACGGCGATGTCCAGCTGCTTGAGGCTAGGGAAGCTATGTGGGTCCAAAGAAGTAGAAAAAACATCCCAAGTTGTGGCATGGGCGCGGTGAATTATTGTTGAAACGAGACATTCGAGCACGGGGTGCCAGGCAAGAGCGTCCGCAATTTGTGACACTAACCAATCACCTGGAAGCCAAAGCGTTTTCAAGGCAGGTAGGCCCTGGAGGACAGACGCCAAGTCAGAGTGGGAGACTTCTTTTGGTATGAGAAGGTAACCGAGATTCAAGGTTTCCAAATGACGCGTCTGAAGTGGGAGATGAAGGAGTGCGGTCTTGGTATGGGGGCAATCGCCGGCGTTGACACTTGATTGTAAGACGAGTGACTTTAACTTCGCATGGGTGAATAGATGAACGTTTCCCAGGTCGTCATCGAAGTCCAAAGTTTCTAGGTTAGGGAAGAGTTCGGTGCGGGACCGAATGGATGCAATATGTTGAAAGATGGATGGGTGGTAGGAATCCCATGATACCTCCAGGTGGTGGATCCTCCAAGCGTAGTGGTTGAAGCGGCTCCAATCCGCAGGCTCGGGGCAACGAACAAAGATCTATTTCAAAATGAGTTTCTGCCCACCCTTAGTAATGACCACATTACCAAGTCGCCTATGGCACGGCGAGTTGTAGGTCCCAAAAGCTCAAGAACTACGTCAAACATTACGCTTCGCCATAAGACAGCCAAAGCCTCATTTGACCAATTCTTGCAGACACGGGCGTTCGTGCAGTTGTCCTCTGGCTCTGAGAATTGAAAGATTCTCAGCAGGAGCTCTGGAATTTGCAGAGCTCGGGGTTGGCTTAGGAATGCCATCGTCTGTGAGGGTGGAAGCTGGTTAGGGCCAACCGAGTACCGCAATGTTTTATATCAGCGCACCATTCATTTGTTGGATTTACATAAAGAGCGAGGCCAGGCGCCGTTGCCGGCACGATGTAAGGAAGGCTTGAGAAAGGCCCCATACTGTATTGTCTGGAACACACGGTACATATCAGGAAGAAAGGAAGGTGCCTTCTAGCCGTCCGGTCCTTCAAAGGAGGAAAAGGTGAACGTTAACCTTTGACTGTTCATATGTTGAAGGCGATCAAGTTCGAATCGAAGTCAGCGAGAAGCTAAAGGGTGCAGAAGTGATGGCAACGCCTTACGTAATCGGGCGCTTCCACAACTTTACCACGGCCTTGCGCGTCCAACCAGTCTGGATAAGGGGGTCACTTTTCTGACTCTGCTTACCGCCCTGGACGTATCCTCAAGTCCTCCCTCTGCTTTGCCCGCAGCGGCCTACCGCGTCGAAGTCGATGGCGGCCTCCTTTGCGGCATATGCATCCCAATTTCTGAACCGGCAGCAACAGAATGCGGGGACTTCTAGCTTATCATCATCCAGTCAACCAATGTTCTTCTCTTTCACCACCGACAATGGGTCGCGCGGGGGACATAGCCCAGACGATTCTGACCTCGACGACAGCGACGACCCCCATCTGCGGTTAAGCAATGCTAGTAGGCTTGAACAAGGTCGTTACTCCGCCCGGCGGCTACCCATGGACGACGACGACGACGACCCTTACCTACGACTGGACGAGGATGATGGACCACAGAGATTCAATCCTCGTAACACGCACAGCTCGAGATACAATGCGCAGAACGTCCCCTTGATCTCGTCAGAAATAGACGATTCGCGGCGGGAGGGTTCAGAAACGAGGGGTTGGCTTGCACACCAAGCTTCTCCCTTGCGGCGTGCTCGCTCTCCGTCACCATCCCCTTCGGGTTCGTCCTCCTCCTCGAGTAGCCCCCCTCCAGACATATTCTCTACCCCGAATAACCGTCCGAAACTCTCATCACCTCGTTCTCATCAACCACCGCTTCCTCCTCCGACCTCGCGTAACCCAATATCTCTGTCGCTGACCGAGTCCCTTCTTCCCAGAGACGGCGTATCACGACCCGTTCATGTCTTCTCTTTACCCGATCCCCGACATACTCCTCGCTCTCGTCGTAAATACCATGACTCTATATGGACAGCTCTATGGTTGACGGGGGTAACTATTTGTCTAGTGGCATCACTCATCACCCTCATATTCACTCGCAAACCTCCCAAACGCGCTCATCTAATTCTACCATACACAACGCTTCTCCATACAGTGCCACTGCTCACCATCTTAACCGTTCTGAGTGCCTGCGCAGCATACCTTCACATATGGTTACTCAAAGTTTTCGTAAAGCCAGTAATGATAGCAACATCAATGTTTGTTCCTGCAACATTGTTCATATCAGCCATCTGTGCCTTCGTCGGTAGTTTCATGTGGGATGGTGACACAGAGCCTACTTGGGGAGAGACCGTGGGGTAAATGACCATGTTCTACGTTTGCCGCCATAGCTGACACAATCTCCTAGGCTGCGCTTGTTCGCATTAGTCCCTTTGCTCCTTTCATTGTTCACTGCCCGTAGACTCCTACATCTACCGCAGATCCTCCACATGGCATCATCAACGCTGGACTTATCGACGAAATTGTTGACGGAGAACCCTTTCCTACTCGCTCTTTCGCCGGCCATCCTCTTATGTGCTTCAATCATCAGCATCCCGTTTCTTACTCTGGTCTTCCGCCTGCTGCTCATCGGTTACACCACAGGCGATCAAGTCCACGGGTCGCTAGAATGGCATGTCAGAGGTTGGGCCAACTGGGCGATCGTGTTCACCGTTTGTATTTGGTTGTGGACTTGGGGGGTTGCGAGAGGAATTTTGAAGATGACATGTGCTGGTGTAATTGGCTCATGGTACTTCGCTGAGTATGTTTCGCAGCCAACGTCATTTGCAGATCCGTGGCTAACTAAACTTCTACCAAAGTCCTGTCGCGCCCCCTCCCTCTCCCACATCTACCCACACCATACACGCAGCTATAGTTCGGTCGACGCAACCTTCGCTTGGGTCTATCGCCCTTGCTGCACTAGTACTCACAGTCATACGATTACTCACCCTTACTGCCGTTTTCCTGCACAATTTACCCACCTATGTTGCCCGCTTCACGTCCTCCTTCACGACCTTTTTACCTGCCGCCATCGGTATCCCTATACGAACCGTCTTGCTTGGCGCTGGTACAAGCGTCTTAAGAGCGTCGCTCTTGCAAGGGATTGCTTGGTGCATCGGTACCGTTGAGTCGATAACAAGCGCTTTCAGCCGGTATGCGCTGATATATGGAGGCTTGACTGGCGACGCGTTCATGGACAGTGCGAGGAGAGCCCAGGCGTTGACACGGAGCGTAGAACAGAGGGCGCAAACGGGAAGAAGAAAGTTTAAAAGCGAACGTGAGTCCGTCGGACTGACAACTCTTCTCAGGTTCTGATCGGAAATCGTTTAGCACCAATGGCACTCTTGACGATCGCCCCGTTAACATTGACGTTCCCATTCGCCCTTATCACGTATCTCTTTGTCGCACACACGCTAGGGGCACCTGATCAAGCTCTCGGTGCGGCTATCTTGGCGGGCGGTGTGACTGCACTTGTTGGAATGTTCTCCGTGGGCTTAGTTGAGGATACGTGAGTACTTGGTTTCCAAGCCCTCCGTCCCTGTGTGTTAACGTACCTCACAGGGTGGACACACTGTATATCTGCTATTGCATCGATAAGGACCTTGGGGAACGGAGACGGAAGGAAGTCTTTTCTGCTGTGAGTATTCGATAACGAGTATCTGCCTTTCCAAATACCGATTTCTTCACAGTTCGAGTACGAATCTCGTGCTCCGGTCCCCCCCGCTCCACAACCAGATGCTTCCCGCCCTATGCCTCGTCCTCCAGTTCAACACCAGCGTCAGCCCTCATATGCCCAAGCTCGTCAGCCATTACCCCAGCCATCACCACACTCTCATTCCCCGCCACTAGTGATGCCATCGTCTCCGCTAATTAATCCCATCGAGTCTCCCCAGCCTTCTCACCGACCACGAACTCCCTCTCAGCTCCCAGCTCCGGCTGCAGTTGAAGAAGATGACGACATTAATCCCTTCGAACCGAGTTACTTGGAAGATAACACGGTGGTGCAGCCGGCGCGTGCTAGCTCACCACGTCCGCCAGTGCGGTCTCCCACCCAACCCTCATTTGGCGCACAGTCCTCCGCTGGCTCCAGCGCTTCCGCGAGTAGGAGTCACTCACGGAACAATTCGCTATCCCGGTCGCTAATTCAGTCCCGGGCGGCAGTCGCTGCTGAGCTTGACAAGAAGCCTGTGATCAGGCCATTCTCCCCCGTTTCCTCCCCGCTTGCTGGATCTGCCACTCGTGGACCAGAGGCCAGTAGGCAATCTGATAACGGCAGTGATGGCTCACAATTCTTCCCTGGGTCGGGATTCTTCTAATTATACTGCACAATGGCACTTTCTTGTACCGTGACGATGACGATGTTAATAGATGTCGTGCTATGATCTTGACAATCTCGATAGAACGAGGTTACCTTCAGTTCGTAACTTCAAATGCGCAAATACACACTGGTATCCCTCACTGTATTTACCATCTACATTTCACTGTATCTACTTACGCTATATAATTCTTTGCATTGATGGCACGAAACGAAACCTTCTGTGCGATCGATCCCCGAGGAATGACGGGGGACAGCGCGCCAAGGAACGGAGCCAATGTCGGCCAAAGGTTGTTGCTCGAATCATGCGATGTTTGAGCGTAGAGAAGCCTGGTCAATGAACTGAATTGGCTTCTCTGAGCCTCCAAGGACAGTCCTAACCCTGTACTTCTATGAAAGCTCCTATGGACCACCCCTCTGGTCACAGGGACTTCCATCAGGACCATTGCCTTCTTATTCAAGTTCTTTGTCCGAAAGCAGACGGTTGTAAGGTAACGGGCCCCTCAAGGACCAAAAACCGCTATATCCTCGCAATAACTTCTGATGAATCTCAAAGATGATACGGACCGTGAACGGGCATTCTCGATCTATTCTCCTAGACATCTACCGTGCCCGTCACATAGGTGACATCGAAGTTATTTCTTTTAGTTCTGGCAGTTAATTGTCGAGATCCAGAGGTCGGACAGTGGCGTGCCAGGTAAGCTTAGGGTGCGCAAGTCAATTCAACAGGACGTCGACGAGGGGTGTATAATTCTGAGAGGGCATTTGCTCAACAACGTACGACCCAACGACTACTAAATCGTAGGTGATTGGTGCCTTGAGCCCCTACAACACACTCTAACTCCTCCGCCGTACGAAGTTACACTTAATCATTACACGTACCGCCCTGGTAGCATGCTCGCGTCCCACACTTCATCATTGCGACGAAGAAGGATTGATTTCGCTTTGGCGGACTGAACCATTTAGTTTTGCTAACCAAACTAGTAGTAGGTTCTTACTTCATCCACGCCGTAAGGGGTTTTGTGGGCTAATCCTTATGAATGAAGAGTCATGCCGAAGCCATATGCGCCATATGTACGCGCTCGCCGGACTGGATGAGAGTCCATCATAAAGAGACTCCCCCAGGAGGAAGATCAGCCACACTACAAAGAAGCTCTGGCTGACAGGCCAAGTATATTCTCACCTACCGACTATGCGAGATGCCCGTAGAACAGATCTCGAAGCCATACCAAAGCCATTCGTCCAATGACTCGCTCTACCATATCCCACCGTAGAGGGGGACACGAGAACTCTCTTGGGCTGACCAGGGCATCCTGCCGCATATCATCTAGCAAGGCAGCTCGCTGGCAACTTGAAGACGAAAGAGCTGACAACAGAGATCCGGTGGCTGGGATTGAGCTCTGTCATATCAAAAAGTACCACGGGACCTGGCAACAGATAGCAACGCGAACTCCCATCCTCTCGTCCTACTACTCCCCAACCACGCTCTCGCCGCTGCATATCAGCGCACAATGACCCCGCCTAAGACATTTAGCCACTCACCCTCACGGTTAGTATCACAAGCAAATTGCCCTTGAGAATCCGGTACAACAAGGGTAAGTCGAACCAACTTGGCGGCGGGGTGGCTGAGTACAAATACAATCATGTACTTCTCCATCCAAGAAGTAAACCTTATAATCGGTACCCAACGCGGGTTGACCCTTGCGTTCAACATATACCACGCGGGAACGTTCGTAAACCCCTTCACAACCTCGTGTGTAGATATGCACATCAGGTAATGGTTTATGCCAGCATACGAGCCAGTGTGCGAGCCGCAGTGTAGAGCTCCGGTAATTCTTCTAAAGTTGCATTGAATTCCGATTGGTGGGGCGTTGATACATATGATATTGCATATTAAATATATACTCGTCAAGGGATGAAGATGCGGGAGTAGCCTTCCACTCTGAGACGAATCGTGTGAGTGAACAATAACGATTACTGATAATGGTTTCATAACTTACGTTCTGCGACAGCACGGACATCGATGTTTCGAAGCAGCCGACCGCGACGCCATGCTTTCCCTGCAGTCGTCACACATGGCCAAGCATCTAACAAGGAAATCAGAACGGGGGAAGCAAACAAGGAGTACAAGGAATGTGCAGACGTACCGGCACGGCCAGCAAATTATTTGTCGGGGTTCGACGGTACATATAACACAGTTTCTTCGCGAATCGTCGGTATCTGGCGGAGGGCGATTGTTCAACCGACTCGTTGGTGTTGGAGGATCGGAGGGAGCTGAGAACGAGTGTTACGAGAATGGACCAGATACAAGATTGGTTTGGAACTTACAACCAACGCCGCGAACCAAATTGGTATACGCTCGCCTTGTAAGGGGACTCGAACCAGCATGAGTCATATGTGCGAGCAGCACTGGTGCTGTTTCAGCCGAGGTAGACGTTACCGGCGACGATTCGCGTTCAGACGCTGCAGGCGGTAAAGGGCTGCTCTTTCGTTGACCAAAAGGATGCTGAAGCGCTGCCCAATCTGAGTAAAGCGACATGGTTTCTAGTCCGGGGTCCACAGAACCTTCCCTCGAAAACGGGTCTTCGAGTTCATTGCTTTCTGGTTCACCTTCTGATATCATGCCATCGTCGGATGATCCTTCCCATTCAGCGTCGTCGTCGTCTTCAACATCCCCTCTCAAGAATTGCGCGTAAACATCCGACTCCCATGTATCGAAGTCTTCAGTTATGGCAGCATGTCGCGATTGACGTAAATCAGAACCTTCCGATACACCCATATCCGAGCGTTGGTCGCGAGGTGTTGATCTCGTCACTTTCCTGCGCCGTACCATCGCCCATGCCAACAAAACGCTACCCTTCACTACATCCCAAACACCTCGCACAAACCGTAGCAGCTCTGCGTACCATCGCCAATCACCCCCAACGCCACCAGCTCCCAGGCCTATCCCCGGCACCCACCAGGATGATGGTTCAGAACCAGATGTAGGGCCTGATCCGGGAGCGCTGTGAACGGATCGTATTTCGTTAGAAAGTCCACGATGCGTGTCTATTCGTGAGCGATCTTGTCGCGCAGTACCAACGCGTCTCCGTCGCAAACCTTCCAATTTGTGTGTTGGTCCGTCGTTCTTGCTGGTCCCGGGTTGCATCCAGACCACACCCATCCTACCGAGTCCCACGCTGCCGTAATTTTCGCTTTCAACTGTCCCATTGGCGGCAACCGCGCGTGCATGTACCCCGGAAACTTCATTTCCCAATCCTCTCAAACCTGTAGCTTCAAGGGACGCAGTGCCCACTCGAAGTAATAATACACTGAAGTCTTCTTCCCATGGCGGGCTCCAAGACCATCCTCCATTTGAAGATCCTGGTGAGAGGAAGAGTTGAGTGGACATCGCAAGTGTAGTGAGTTTGGGAGCACCCACCCAAACCCGAATTGAGGCCTAGCCCAACAAGAGGGCGGTCGATGTGCCCAGTCAGAAGAAGTTGGGTTATCGCATTAAGGGTGATAGTAAGCAGGCTAGTCGCCAACAAGAGACTCTCAAAGATATTCGGAATGTAGTTCAAGAGAGGGTACGAAGTGATTGACGGCGGTGTAGAGGTCTTGTCTGGCGGAGAGAACGGCGAAGGGTGCGACCATAGAGTTAGATGGAAATGCGTGAGTGACAGGCAAGACGATAACGCCGTCGGGAGCAGTCGATGGTGTGCCCAACGTTTATTAATGGAAAGGATGTGGAATATGGTAAGCTGCGCAAGCTAGTGGGTCACATTTACATTGGCTTCGAATGATCCCCAACTCACCTGCAGCAGTGGTATGGCAATAGTCACAACTACATGCTTGTCTGGTCGTGACGGTAGGCCATCGTATTTGTTCACATGGGTGATCGGGGACGAATAAATGTGAAGCAAAAACGCGTAGCCAACCTGTCCATGAACCAATTAAGTAGATGCACATGGTGCTGTAGGAAGAAGTCGGAACTCACCAGATTGAAAGGGGACGTGTTTGCGTTCATATGTGCAGTAAGACCGACTCCAGCACCGTCTAACCCTTTGACCAGAGCTTCAACACAGAAGGCAGCACATACCGAACAGAACGTCCGCCAGCATATGGTCTCCATTTCCATGGCACTACTCCACACTACCAAATTTTGTACCCACAACCAGCTGTTGAAGTCAAATATAGCCTGCCAGCCCGTGGTACCGGCCGGTGGTTGTTTAATTTCACCGTTGTGCGGCAAATTGAGCACATCAGCGGTCTGCAAGAGGACAAGGGTCCAGAGCAAGAGCATTCTCAACAGAACATATAGCGAGGGGAGATGTGCGGCTAGTCGAGTAGACGTGCGAGATAGATCCAAAGGCAAGACGCGAGAATATATGCGACGCAGCATATAGTGACCATACGAGATATTAGAGTCGCCGTGTTGATGGTCATTATGACGGCCTCGATGAAGTTGGTGCAGTTCAGAAGAACGAGGTGGAACGACGACATTTTGTATACGGTGCAATAAGATCGCCTGGATCGCGTCAGCAAAATCACAACCAATGTGAACTGCAGTTCAAGCGCAGAACGCACCATTACGAGGAGCCCAGCGGCGTAGCCGGAGGTGAAGAAACCCCACGGTCCAGGAAATGGCTGGAAGTCCGGGCGTTGTCGGACCAGCATCTGCTGCTTGTTCACCGACGGCAGGGGTGTCGCGCTCATCGCCTCCTGCAGCGAGGTGAATGTACTGGATGTAATGACATCGTCGGCATTGTGTGGCAAGGCGAGCACGCCGTCCATCTTCCGCATCCTGGCGAGAAGACGAGACGGAAAAGTGAGAATAGAGGATATGTTAAGAGAAAGTGTGAGATTGTATGAAGACGGTGAGATGTTCGTGATCATGGTGGTCAATGACCAACATTTCCCAGCGTGCCACTCTGCCGACCCGTCACGGTGTCATCGGGATCTTATCAGACACGATAACGTGACTTCGACGTTCTCCTGAGCCCCCGATATACTCCTGAACTTGATGTTGTCGGGATCCATCGACGGAGACTCGTCGTTCTCAGTATTTTATGATATGCACATCCATGATATCACAAATCCGAATGACGCTGCGAATGTCAGCCCCCGGTGTCACCCATGGGAAGGAATGCAAGCCAATCTAAACCGTTTTAGAACCAGGCGTTGTGGCCCCCCCGGAGCCACTGCCCAGCAGAACGAAGACCTATATCGATGTTATCGCAAGTCATATGCTTCACAAATCTCCATAGAGTTAATGCAATTATTGTGTGAGCCATACCATAACTTCTGAAACTCCCGTGCCGTGCAGGAATTTTCGGAGATGGCGATTTATGACCGTCAAGACGGAGAGGAAACTTGGAGACACATATGACTGTACATAATCTGATGCGCCGAACGAATTACAGAGGTGATTCCACACCCAGGAGACGGGAGCGAACCTCAGCACCGGCCGAAGTGCGCCTAGTAGTTATAGGATGTGATGTCAAAGTCACTGTGTGATGATCAGAGTTTACGGTGTCTGAGCCAGTTCAGTAGGCTTCGGCCGTCAAACGTCGCCGTACGTACCCCAAAGCTTCATGCAAATGTCGTAACCTGCCAATGTTATCTTTCACCGCTGAGGTTAGCTCGCAATGTTCTAACTTTTGACTAGAATAGAGTTTTATATGGTCTTTTTGAGATAAGGGCGCGGTAGGAAGAAATGCGGAAATGGAGACGCGCATTGTCGCTGGTACGAGGATCATTCACTGAGTGGACTTTCGTATGTTTTACGCTGAAATGGTAAGAAAATCGGACGTCGTTAAGCTTCTTCACTGATCGATCGAAGGGGATGTTTGCTAAACGCTTTGAGACCAAATAGCTTGATTGCCGGCTTCGACATTGAGCATCAGCCTGAACGACCGCCTTTCCCCCGCTGCTTCTGTGGCGTCCTCAAGTCTCGATGCAGACTCCTGTTCAAATCACCAAGAAACTCTAGACTCGCTGAATTGCGTTTGAACCTCATTCGCAATTGGGTCAAATCCCATCGTACCCCCATATATCGTCGAGCATCTATTGCGGAAGGTTCAATTTATCAATCGAACCAGATGTCGCGTCCGCAAGTACCTTTCTTTCCATTGGCAGTGACACAAATTGACATGCCCATGTTGCGATTTGAGGAACACAGGGACCGGGGTTTTGCTTCCGTCACACGGAAAGGCTTTGTGGCCGATACCGCTAACCATCCTGCTCACCCCTCTCTCTGAAACCGGCCATCGCCTTGAAATCAGGAATACACGTTTTTCTCGATTAATATCATTGCGAAACCGACGCCTTTGGCGCAATATGGCATGGAAACCGGTAGACCTGTGTTGTATTTGTGTTCCGTGTCCGTGTGACTTTTCTTCCGTCGTTGCTCGAGGGACCTGCGGGTAAGTCTGGATCTGTTAGATCAATTGATAACAACGCAGGACTCCATCAGCGCACCATGTTCGCGCCAAGTTCGGTTTCCACGAACAGCCCAATCAAGGGGCAGGGCAAAAAGAACACAATGCGCGTTGCGGGACTCGAGCCAATCTCAACGCGAGGACGCCCGTTTGCCGTCTGCATCATAGATGATGCATTATAACACTGGATCGCTGTGTCCATCATCAATGTTATTCCTCCTCACCGGAGGTCTGCACGGCCCCTTCATAGACAACCCGCCGTCAAAACGCTACCTAGACGAACCTGGTTCATTTGCCCGAAGTGGTGCACAGCGATGAGCGAAGTGACAATCAACCTACTCGCGATTTTTCGGTATCCCGGGTTTGATACGCCTATCCCCGCCCCCTATACGAGTTCGTTCCAACGACATTCATACCACGCAAGGCATCCACATAGGACGTCGCGCTATATATGTTACCTCCTCCAGGCCACGTAGAAGGCCTTTGGCCATCCGTCTAGTGCTGGAGCCTCTCGACTGTTTACGTAGTAGCATGCGAATGTCCCAGACTCCTCAAAGCATATTCTGCGGCTGCAATGGACCCCTTGACCTCACATAACCCCATGTACATGAATTACGCATGTACTCCAGGTCCCTGCCTTCCTTAATCCGATGATCTACCACTTCGTGAGGGAATCATCGACTCTTCGGCTTCACCGACCTGGTTTGCCATGATGTCACGCATACCCCCTACGCCGAATCGCATGCTCATTGCTCGGATGTTCTCTTCTCGATCTGGTCACTCGCCCCCCTGTCCCACGCATTAGGATCATCCTCTGCTGGAAGCTCGGAAAATCATCCCAGACGGCGGCCAGGGTGCCAATACGTGCGGTTCTGCGGTTCTGGTTCGATTCTACCCACACTGCGAGCTACTGGTGGACATGCACCATTCGATCACGACTGTCTAATCCTGACTTGGTACTTTGCGTCTCGACGCCGACGTTTTTGCCCGCTCGATTCCCCCGACAGTGCGAATGGAGTCCATATTAGACTGGCGGGCTCGTGCAAAATGCGCCTAAGGGGGACTTCCCAGCCCTTCTAGTCGCACAAGTAGTTGCTATAGCGCGCTGTCACATCTTGCATTCTAATACGTGGCTATATACAGTGTTAGTTGGCTTGCCCAGCGTATGACCATTTTCCAGCGTTGCAATGGAAGGTTCGTGTACAATTTATGCTCGGAAGACGGACTCTTTCGGATACAACCTAATGGACCTCTGTACGTCAGTTGATTCCAGAAACCCAGAAATTCGAGTCCGAGTTCGATTGGCTGCCATCCAAGTTCTACATCCAAATGCCTTACTCATCGCTCTGATCTTGACTCGCTTTGCCGTCGTATTCGCAAGAGAAATTCAGTGATTCGGGGTCACCGTGGAAATGAGATCTGAGTCAAAGTGGGTTGCCTGGTATAATTATGGGGAAGTGACTCGGATCGGACTCACAGTATATGAGTAAGATGTGCGGCTGATATCTTATGGTGTATGTCATCACCCACGATATCCTCCATGGCTGGCGTTATCTTCCGTACCTCCCTGACTACTTCCGGATCATCCATATCCAGTCATCATGTTATAGCAATCTAATCAGCGAATGCATCGTCAGCGTCATATTCCGTAGGCAAACTGGTCCGGTATTGTATCGTGGTGTTGGGGGGAATTCATTCGAACTAGATAATGGGCGCCTTGCTGCAGCCTGCTGCGTGCACAGCGAGGAGCATTGCTGTTGGGCGCAGACAGTAACTTGAACAGCAATTGTACTGCGATGGAAGGCCGAAGAACAGTACAACACATCCCATCCGCAGTTATCTCGCGTCGAAAAGCAAATACGCCTATAGACGCTATACAAAATTCGCATCCGTATCAGCAGGGCTGCTCCTTCTCTCGACCGCAAAGGGTGTAAGAGATTGCCATAGCGCTAGGGGCACGCTTACAGCTTAGCAATACGTTGTATCCAGCTTACTATATACCGATAAATGGGACCGGGAATTGGAAAGCATATACTCCACAGGTGACTGCACCTATACATGGCGTATCAAATTCCGAACATTCCAGGCGATATTTCTATCAATCCAACTTTTTAGACTTTTTTTTAAAAAAAACATATCAGCTGGGACAGCGGCGGGGGCATACCTGGGGTGACCTTGAAACGCTGCCCCAAGCGGCACTATCCACCATATCCAGTCACTGCAGAAACGCCTCATGGCCTCTATGCATGATTGATGTCAGGAGCGGCTAGGGAGGGCTAGGGGCACGGAATGTCACGCGTTGGCATGCGTCGGAATCGTACTGTGGAAGACCGTAGAATTTTAATTGAGTACGATATCTGCAGGAACATGAAAGAGGCAGGTTGTAGAGAAGCCGATGGCCGATGGCCGCGTCAGTGGAATATGCACGTATGACTCGGTCGGCGGATCGACTCGCGCTCGCAAATTTGTGGATCCCAAAGACACACCTTAGGGGGATGCAGGCGTGTCCCGCGAGCCGGGAATTGGCTGAATCATGTAGCAAGAGTCATCCGAATTTCGCAGCGCCTCGCGTAGTGGGTAGCCCTTTCCAGTACATTCTTGCCGTAGCTTGCATGATTGGGAATTTGCTGAATGCGGCAGTCCGCAGTGACTTGACTTGGGACCATGGAGAGTGTACACCCAGATATGGTGGCGTGCATAACTGCACGGCAGGCCGGATATATTGCCGAAGGGTGCGGTTCCATTTGCGGCTGGCATTGGGCACAGCGTATGTTCAAGGCACCTGATCGGAAGCAGGCTAACCTTGGTCTCGGGTTGACTTGTGATATTTTCGATACCTTAAGGGAGAGGGAAACTCGTCCAAGAATTCAATATGTACAGTGTACAACAACCAAATGGTATTGAGCAGTGTGTAAACTGCGTATGCAAGTTGTACAAATGCCAGAATCGGAGATATAAGTACTAGTATACGTGTGTTACAATGAGTGGAAGGGAGGTAAATGAGTGTGGGCATGATAATGAGAGACTAGTGGTAAGTAAATATTACTGTACTGTATGCATGGGCATGATATGACATGGATGATAGAGATATGCAAGGAGGAATAAGTTGAATAATGCAGGGGTGGATATCATCGACTGAGCGATCAGTGTAGGAGGAAGACCTTTTAGTATTCAAACAACAGACGAAAGAAAAAATGCAATGATACCAATGAAATTATGGACATGAAGAATAAATGGATTGTAATGCCGTTGTAGGAGGAATCGTTTGTGGTATGCGTGAGCTCGTTGTAGAGTTCGTAAATTAAGTTTTGATGGGGTTGATTAGAATCGAGGGGGAAGGCCCCGCATGGCGAAATGAAGCGGATCGACTGGTTTAGTGTGTTAGGCGAATTGGGAACCTTGAGTGAATGCCCTTATCCCGCTGATGATGGGCGACGGGTGGAAGCGGAATAGGGAATGCCCTCAACAACTCCATCGTAGTGCTTGTGAAGCCCAAGCCCGATTTCTTAGCCGCCGTGGGGGGACGCACGGGAATGGTAGCCGACCGGCTAGAGAGCTCGATGTACTCGGCGTGAGGATGAATCTCGTCAACAGGGATAGCGAACGAATCATCCTTGGAGCAGGTCTCACGCTCGGGGCTAGTGGCAGGTGAAGCGTCGGAATCGGAGTTGAGGGTGGAAGGTGTGGCAGGTGACGATGAGAAGGAAGAATCGTCTGAAGAGGCTGATTCCGGGGAAGAGTAAGAGAGTTCTGGCACGGCTCCTGGCAAGGGAATGTGCACGGACAGGTTGTTGCGAGTATGGCGCTTGGTGGGCTGTACGATGTATTCTGTAGCGACTGGCTTGGTCGGCTCGACCGCGACTTGGGTGGGTTCCTGGTAGGTGTAGTAGTCCACTTGCATGGAGCGAATTGAATATGGGGTAATAGCGATAGCTGCAATATCATCATAGTGTGCGAGGATGTCATCCTCGGTGATAGCAAGCTCGAAGTCTAGGACGTCGAGGAATTCCCGCTCGATACGGCCGACGTCACGCTTTCCGAACACACCGGTGCACAGAGCCCAGTGAACATTCTTGAGCGTGGAATCATTGAGGTACTGGGAGAGAGTATGTTAATTCGGATGTTCAGGGACCAGGAAGCAAGGGGGATACACACCTTTGATGCTACGATCAAAGACCCTAGAAATACTCGTTCTAAAGCCCATTCCTCCAGGGCGATGTGAAGATGCGGTCTAGCTCTGTCGATGTAGACGAGAGCTGCGAGGTATACGGGAGTTGCGACCTCTGCCCGAGTGATTACATTTGTTACGAAAGTGGTGAACTTTGTGTACTCTGAGCGACGAGACTTGCGACCGCGGTGAGACGAAGACGGGGAGGGTCTTCCCATTGCGTAGTCGACGGTCTCTGCCACGCAGTCAACCATGTAATCTGAGAAGCTGTGAGTAGAGCGTCGAGAGTCTGAGATGTATTCTGATTTACCTATTAGTGAGCGAGAGATTTTAACATCGATGAGATCCATGATAGCCGGGGAGTGGAGGGAGGGGTGTACTAGGGAGGCTGCATGGTTTGAGGAGGAGGAGGAGAGGGTGGAGGAGGTGGTGGATGAGAAAGAGCTGGTGGACGAGCAGGGAGAGAAATCCATTGCTGGTAGAGTAGAAGCGAAGGATGGATTGTCATTTCTGGGCTGAGACGAGAGGATTATATACGGTGCTGACGGGATACGAAGAGGCCCGGATTCGGACTTGCACTTTGGTGGTAAAACTAAACGGACGTCTCTCTCAGAACTCGATCGCATCTCAGATCTGCCCGGCTCAGCTCGGTTCATACTCAAACCGGCTCGATCCGTTTACACCCGCTTACTACGCACACGCACTGCAAGACTTGACTGTGCTCGTCGCGCCACACAGTCTGCTCTTCCCCCGGTGATCCCCATCCCTCATCACCCACCAAAGGGCGTCCACCGTCCACCGCCATCGCGCGCCCCACTCCTCGCCAGTCGCCGCGGTCCCTACGCCCGTCTCGCATCGGGATCCCTATCAACTGAGCTGATTCCGAACTTAGCGCATCCTCCCACTAGCTAGCCGCCATGCGCTCTACACAACCTTTTTCGTCGCCCAAGTCTCTCTGACACTGCCGTAGCAACCTACCCATCTCTGCGTTGTTATGGTCTATGGCGCTCACTGCGCCGAATGAGCGCAAAACATTATTCATTCGGGGCCTTACATATCACTAAGCATAGGGAACATCGGCGATCAACAACTCACCAATAAATGCTCTTTTCCGTCCATTCTCAGTTGAAGATATCCACTTTCATCGTTTCAAGTGGCTATTAGCTCGCCCTGGCCGGTAAGCTCGGTTTTCGACCTCGAATTTCACTAGATTGATTGTAGCCGAGGAAATGCACTCTAGAGACCATCTAGTGCCTTGCATTGTATCAGTATCCGTGCTCAGTACTTGTATTCTGAATCAACGTAACACTGCAATACACCCGTTACCATCATCATTCTCGCATTTATTTGATGCAAATCGACACAGAAGCAACCATTCGCTTATAGGAGCCGATATCGAGCTACTTCGTCGTTGAAATCGAAAGTCCCTTTGAGAGAGAACGGCGACAAATGTCGTTAGTAAAGCGAACCTCTCATGGGCTGTCTGCATCAATCATCTACCGTCAACCCCACTGTTGATGCGAATAAGACCTCATGTGCATATGGGCATCAATATGCACGGTCGTCTCGGTACATCGGAGTGTCCCTCTTTCCACACATACTCGTCTCTCGGCATTGTATAAATATAAGGAGTACCCCAAAGCTAAAGCTCGTCGGGGGTGCCTGTTACATCGTATTTTACAATATATTTCGACGAGTTACCTCGTCGAAGGTGCTCTATATACTCGGTTCCGTTAGAATGATCCGCCGCCGCCGCCTACTTAGGTTCTGAGGTTCCCCTGGAATTAATTGAGTACTTTCAAAGCTACTCCAATAGCCTCAAGAACCCATTAATGTTTCATTCAACCGTGACGATCCTACGCAACTGAACCGTATGTCGAGCTGATGACAGAACAGAGGACTTCGATGCCATGTTATGTAAATGACATCAATGCATCACAGCCGGGCGCACATATCGGTTGTAGAGCCAACACACATACCGCGAGCCATACGCAGCATACCACCCGCTCAAACCTTCATCTATCACCATGTCTACCACCAACGGTGACTCTATCGTCAGCGATCGACTCAGCCAGCTCAGCATACCCCCAGCAACGGCGCAAGTATCGAACCCGAGCCGACAGGCAGTATTAATCTGCCTTTCAACGGTCTCCCGTATCCCTTCATAGGAAGTGGTGGCTGGCAGTTGTCCGTGCACTCTGCACATTCTGACATGGCTACGACGAGCCAGTTCGTCGACAGCGGGCCTACTACTATGGATATGGTATACGCAGGAGAGCACAGAGGTTTACGGCTTGTAGTATGTAGGGTCCTCGCGCAATGACATATCTCATCGGGCAGGCGGATCGATGACACGGAGCATGGTCAAAGGGACCCTTCCTTCGCGGGCTGCCAAATGCGTTATCTTACCCTGAGCATCCGGCGTCTCAAGAGTGTGGGAGGTGCAATGGGAGGCTTCGTCCTGATCTTGTGGCTGGATGCAGAGAGAATGCAGGTAAGGAGTTGACATGGGGTGGGATAGCAGTTAGTCAAGGGGGACGCCGGCCGGGATTCTGTACTTGTGAGGGCAAAACGGCTCCATAGCGCTGTACTAACGCCGTGCTAATGGCCTGTAGCGCCTCCACTAGATACTCAATACCACTCTAACGCGCTCGAAACACACGTTTGGACACATAGGACAATATCGTCTGTAATACTTGTGCGCATTTGTCCAACGGATAGTACACCACCTGCCCGCGCAATTGCATCTGTGCCGTTGAGCAGTAAAATGGTGCGCATCTCGCAATCCTCAGTCTCCGATGTCTCTAGCATAGACATCAAGTATAATCCTTGTCAGTTCTACACACGCCGGAAGTCTATGTTGTGGTTCTATCAGACAAAAGCCCTTGGTGGTGCGCAGGGTTAGAACACATCGGAGTGCAGGGTCCGCACACGGAGACACTCTTAATTTTGCAATGTTCGTGACCAGCCGATCACTTCAAGCATCAATAACACTGCGAGCATCAATACATCTACGCCTCTCGGTGCAAATATGAGCTTACCCTTGAATAAGAATGAAAGTCACCAGATAAGATAGGCGAAGTCATTTGATCATGACATTTAGCAACACAGCACAGTGGACGGCACAATCAGAAAGACCCAGTATTACGAAGACAAGGAAGTGTATATCGGATGCGAGATGCAGATTTACGTATTGATATTGAAGTACAACATAGTGCGAATTGTGGAAGGCGTAGCAAGAGGGAAAGCAAAGATACAAATGGACATGGGATGGGAAATCATTTTGAAGCGAGTGCCTAGGACCAGGTCGCTCGGGGGAGGAGGACTCTCAAGCCTCGGGGTGTGTGTAGGAGAGCGTCCCTGTCGTGCAATTGTCAGACCGTTCCCATCAGACGGATGTCGAGTGGGGTGAGCGCGCGGCTATGCCGCGATAGTAGCAGTCGGGTCCTTCCCTTTATTTCTGCTGCCTTTCGGTCGCCCACGAGGCCGCTTGGCCGGCGGCGCATCCATTTGCAGCAGATCACCAGGCCCACGCTTGGAGTTATTGGCGCTGCTGATGCTTTCGTTTCCATTCAGTCTGCGGTCGTTCAAGTACCTAGAAGCGCACAGAAAGCGCGCAAGAGACATTAGCATCACGTCCATCGAAGGAGTAGTCACTAGCAGAGAAAAGCCTGGACCAAGTAACAGCGATGATGGAAATTGAAAAAAAAAATTGAATAGCTACTTGAATGAAGGAATGATTGGAGGTCACCAGGTGAACCTTATGTAAGCGACCCTGTTTCTTGACTTCTTGTGGGTGCAGTTTCGAGTCCCACCACCACGAGATAAAGATGCGCAGGGTAGATTACTCACTGTGACGACTTGTCATCGAGCGTGCTTTGTAGGCTGGGCAAAGGGGGCTGCCCCAGCTCCTGCCTCAAGCGGTCGACATCCTGTTTCGCGATGGTGTATTCACCGTCTGTCAAGTCAGATATTTTTTGGCGTAGATCGGTGCATCTACGAAGAACGTCAGTCTTCGACGAAGCACGGGGAATGAGTAGATGGGCTAAAGCAACGGCGAGCTACTAAGGGTGGGTCCAACTGCCGAAGAGTTGAAATTCGACACTGCCATCATACAGCAAGTCCGAATAGTTCGATTGGTACTCACTCTTTCGATAAGGACACCTCCATAAGATCGGCCTAAACGAGAGCAGGCAATTTCGGACACTTGGCAACGAAGGAGGTGAGATTTGCGGCTCATACCTTGTCGCGATCTTCATTGATCTACGAGTGCTTCGGGATTAGGACAAACTAGAAGCAGGTGCAGTGAATCGTTGGGCCCACCTCACGTAAGCTATTGATCAACTTGTTCCGCTCGCTTTCAAGCCTGAAACCGGTGTGTCAACGGAGAGGGTCTCGCGATAAACGCAGCCGTCGCGTACTTGTTCTTCTGTTCTCGGACATCCTGTATTGCTTTGTTCTTCTGTTCCAAAGTCGCGTGCGCTGAGAGAATATGTGCTGTATGAAGTTGCAGTGTCAAGGCGTGTTTTCTGTTCGCGTGACGACCGATTTACACGACTTGAGCACTCGGCGGGGGAAGAGAAGATGAAATGTGAAACGGACTTCAATTCTGCGGTTTTAGCTAAATGGACCAAGTCTTTTGTCCAGTCTCCGGTCGCTATCAGAGGTACGGAGGTTCCTACATTTGCGCCATTGTTGGATTGGGGCTGCTGATGCTGTTGGGTTTGCTGAGGCTGTTGGACGTGAGGCGGAGGCTGTTTTGTGGTATCCTGGGGCGCGATGGTAGTTGTGTTCACTGGTGGCGAGGCGTGTGCATTGGGCGGATTGTAGTGAACATATCGAGGCTGCGACATTTGGCCAGTAAGTGGCAGAAATTGACAAATGCCTCGATCGAAGTGTTTGGGGTCTTGCAAACACTCGGAGTGACAGAGGTTTGTTTGGCGCTGCTATTATCGCGTGGCATTCAGGGGTCTCCTGTCCTCTCCTGTCCATGTTCCTCTAGCACATCAATGTGCAGAAGAGCCTACGATATACGTCTAGGAATGTATATGACCCTTGGGCTCACAAGGTAATCAGGATTTTGATGATCTCACACTCGCCCAGAACATTCTACCAAGGCTTGTCCTGACCGAGGAGGTAGTTCTCCTTGCACAAGATCGCATACCTCGGTGTCCTGTTGCGAGCTGGCTTGGTAACGACCCTACATGCCGTTAAGATCGACATACAGGGTAGTTGAGAAGATTGGTAGGAGACCGACTATCCTACCGCGGATTCTCGTCAGCAGCACAAAGGAGAAAAGGTGTAGATAGACCGGCCAGACGTCATAGGACATCGAGCGTCTAGAGAAAGGCCAACAGCTGGGCAAAAATATTTGATACACTGATACAGTGACACTTGATGGTGTTGGACGTTTCGACGTGTATTGAGCGTCAACTCGTGTATTGAAAACCATGACGAGACAATGGGATTGTGAATACTGGAAGGAGAACGTGAAGGAAGTCGGGACGATGTTTCCCCTTTGCACGAGGATTCCCGAGGATATCAGCGACGACGAGTGAGGTCTACTGCGAGCGCAGCAAGTGGGATGCATCAAATTGTGGGCAACAACACAGGGTTGCAACAAAGCTACGTATATAACCTTCGCAGTCCAACCCATCAATCCGAGGAGAGTCTCTTCGAATGACGAAGGTATATACTGAGCCCGCACAAATGGCGGACGCTGCGCAGATGGGAATCAGCGCAGGGGTGGCCGTGCATGGTGCTCATCGAAACTGCGGTCAGTAAACCATCTGAATCGAACGAAGAGCTGAGCAAACGAGCCTATAACACTTGGATCAAAGTTTTCAGAGCCCTAGGTTCTTGTAAGATCAGGTCTGAACCGACGAGATGATAATTCTAATGGAAACTGACTCTGTCATACTGACCTCATAGACACCTTGGGACCTTGGAAGTAAACGGGTAGATGATAGAACGGATGCGAGTATCACGGCCCATTCATATGCTTTCCGCTGAGGGTAGACTTGGAGACCTCTGGAGGATTGTTTCGTGGGGGTGCACCGGAAATGCAACGTATTGAATCGAAGGAATAGTGCCTCTTATATTGCTGGAGGAGGAGACTAGCAACGACTTCGTGCCCGCTTCCGCAGTTGTGATGTCACTTCCTTGCTGGCGGCTTTAGTACTGCGGCTAAGCAGAGTGCATTGAATGTCGACTCTTGCATCCTCCGAGGACGGAAGACCGGGCAACTCATCCGTATGTTTCCAGGGTCGCCAGCCATGGAAGTTCGGAATAAATGTCAGGCGCTCAATAGGCGCTCACTGTATCCTTCTCGGCCTCGTGCAGTCCACGGTCAACACAACTTTGCATCCTCAAGTCCCGCCGCGCATCTCCGTCATTATGAGTGTTCTAAGGCCGTTCAGAGCTACTGATATGTTCAAATTCAACAACGTGTGAGCACGTCAGAATACTTTACACATGTGCCAAGCTGACCTTTACCAGGAATTTGGATGTCTGGACAGAAACCGTATGTTTCCGCGAATCAATGTTTTGAGTCAAGCTAACTAACACCTCCGGACATCAGTACGGCATTAGCTTCTATCTAAGCTACCTTTCGCGGTGGCCCGACCTATGCTGCGTTCAGCAAGCACCAAGTGGCCGCATGATGGGCTACAGTACGCGACTCGACTGTTGCCAGAAGTCGCGTTACTGATAATCCTTCTTTAGTTCTTGGCAAGGCTGAGGGTTCTGGCGCCGAATGGCACGGTCATGTAACTGCACTGACTGTAGCGCCAGAATACCGACGCCTCTCTCTTGCCCGAAAAATGATGGACCTGTTAGAATTCGTGTCAGACGAAATCTACCGAGGCTTCTTCGTCGATCTTTATGTTCGATGTGCGAACTATGTTGCTATAGACATGTACGAGAAACTGGGATATAGCGTCTATAGACGGGTAAGGGAATACTACGGAAGTCTGGGCGTAGGAAAAGGAGGACGGGACGAGGAAGACGCATTCGGTACGTGGCGGTGACGTTGTGTAGTAGCCGATCTGACATTCGAGGACCAGACATGCGGAAACCTCTCTCCAGAGACCCTGGGCGGCGGTCAGTCCGTCCAAACGGTAGAGATATTATCGTTAGTGCCCACGATGTCCCATAAACCTCAACATCTCCCCGTGTTCAATTCTAGCTTCTACATCGACAATAATGATATTATATACTAAGTGGAGGGGGGTCCTCGGGCTCTGGGTTACCCAGCGAGGCCAGTTCCTTGTCATAAAACTTGGTCAGGGCCGCCCCATCGCAGCAGAAACGATTCAACCGAATCCTGATTTCCTCGGCCGCAGCTGCTGGTCGATGATCTTTGCTCTTCACGGCGGTGCCCATTCTCCCTGGTCCCATTAAGCGGTTGGTCAAGAACAGAAATCCTTGGGATCCGCCTAGGACTTGTACGAATGCGACTCCAGACCGATGCACGAATTGCGAGTGCTTGTACGGGGACCGCCGGTAGGAGTACACAACATCCACGGAGTCGGGGTACATCTCGGAGGCTTCTATGTCCAGAATAAAATCGAAGTGCCTGAGCAACGCGTATTCAAAGTAGCACTTCGTCTGTGTGTTCTCTGATACTCTTCGCTCTAGGTCCGGCACTATTGGGGGAGGAATGGCAAGGCGGACCGGAAAACAGGACTGAAAGGCGTTGCGTTCTCGTACATCGCATATCTGGGTAACATAGGCCTCGACGAGTTTCAGGCCGTAGCGTTCAATTGTCCGGCTCCACTGTCTCAGTTGGTCTTCAATACATCGCGCTGTGGTTCCGATCCATTGGAGTTCGAAGTGTAAGACGGTCCCCGGATTGTGGATGATATCGTGATGTAGAATAACTGTTTCGGCTTGGTCACTCCGCTGGAAACGGTTTTTATATCTAGCTCAAGGCAATCGGAGGATAAATCAAACGTACCTTATTAGGATCAACGTCAATGACAAGCGTTTGGCTCAATATCAGCTTCTTCTTTCGCCGACGCGGGCTGGCGGGTTTGCGTTTCCCCATGATGTTGCTACTCGGATAGTAGCTACGTCCAAGTTCCTCGGCGCCACTCCGCCTGGATTTAAACCATCCTCGAGGTGTCATTGGAACTGCGAACTCTCCTTTGAAACGGTAAAAGTAATGGCTACTCTATGTTAGCAAGAGTTCAGAATCAAATCTCATCATCACTTACCCATCCAGGAATCCATGACGATCGCGACAATGTTCAATCACACCTTGCTCCATCAATTTGACGCCGAACTCTGTACCTTGAGCCCGAGAAGAGACATCTCGGAATTCGCGCACGACCCAAGAAACGAAATCAAACCCTGTGAAAGAATTGTGGTACTGGGCCCCATGCCACTGATAATGTTTGATCGGTACACCGTCTTCCTCCCGCATGGCCTTTGGAATGGCTTGTAGTGGCATCTCACCGATCTCCCGCTCGCTCTTCATCTTCTTACGGAGGGGACCAGCAGCGTGGATTTCATCCAGCTGTGCCATGAGGGAGTCATCCAAGACCGACATGGCCGGCCCAAGCGTAGTAGGGAGGAAGCGAACGGGGGGCGTCTTGTCGTCGACCTGCCAGCGAAGCTTTGTGAAGATTTCGGCGAGCTTCTCAATGCCTAGTATCCTCGTTTCTTCGTCGTTCAATACTTCTCCCTGCGGTCCCACATAGGGCAGAGGCGGTTCTATTGTTGGGATAACGATGAATCGTGTTCGCCAGTAGCGGACAGCCTCGTCAAACTGCTGTTCGTAACCTCCAGCAAGCATGTCCAATCTATTTCTCGTGAGTACTTAGTAGCTCGACAATCCATGAGTTGGCCCACCGATTCCAAACGTGCCCTTCAAAACCATGAGAGGTAAACTCGGTAGAAAGTTCTGTGTATCCACCACCCAGCTTCGGCCAAATAAGACATTTGTATTGAATGGGTGGCATTGGCGGCATGCGGCGGACATACCGACTGACTTTGATGGTATCTCCTTCGTACGCGATTCGGTGGATTTCATTGCTCATTGAGAGGTATATGGGATCGACAGTAGATTGCAGTATCTCAGCTGCACCCTTGGGCTTGGGTGTCATATCATCGTCGGTGAGATATGAAGATGCCGTCCGTCGGTACAAAGCCTTTGCTTCCACCGGGATGCTACTGTCAGCTTTTGGCGGGCGTAGTACGAACTGGAATCCTTGCGCCAGCCGGATTGCAGCCATACCCCGCATGACCACCAAAGCCCACGAACGACGGTTGTCGTCCTCGTTACCTCGAGAGGGCGGGACTTTGACCAGGAAGGGGTGCATCTCCCGAAGGTCAACTACAAAGTCATAAGAGTATACGTCGTACGATGCTTCTAGTTCGGAGGCTGAAGGGAAATATTCGCCCGTCAGCGGTAGACATCCTGGAGTGACCATAGACCGCCATTTGATTTCGTGCTTGTAAACGGGTTGTGGGAACATATGCTGCCATCGACGAGCAAGTGAAGATTGTGCCCCGGAAATAGCGGATTCCTTGCGAGAGGGGTTGGGTCTAGAAGATGGAGATGAAGATGCTATGGGCGTCGCTAGATTGGCACTGCGACGCTTGATTGTCATATGGTCGTCTCGAGGTGGCGTATTGATGGGAGAGTACCGCACGAGAGGCGTCCGAAGGGAAGGCGTGTCGTCGTCAATAACGCGAGATGCAGTGGAGCGCATCGAGGACGCGGTTTTGGCAGTTGCAGGAACAGAAGTGTTGGTAACATCACTCTGTTTGACGGTGGCCTTCGACACGGCAGGCATCCGAACGGGAGAAGAAATTGGCATGAGACTTAAGCTTGCTCTACTCGAACTAGGGGAAGCAGAAGCAGACACTTGAGTCGTTTCGGGCTCGCTAGGGACACTACGGAAAGGATGAAACCACCAGGATGAGTTCTTCGTCTTGGCCGTAGCGCTTCTGATCGAACTAGAATCTCGAGAGGTCCCCCCTGGACTTTCTGGGCGGGTCATTCGCTGCGAAGATTGGATAGATTGCAAGGAGGCACGAGAAGGCGAAGTGCTCGCTACCGATAAGAAACCGCTCTGGGTTATCCTTTCTTCAGGAGGGAGATCCATGACGATGCGAAGAGGGCTCTCTTCGATGGGAGGAATTTTGGCAGAATCAATAGCGTTACGGTGAGATACATGAGTCCTCTTTTCCGTAATCGTCCTATACGAAGCCGCCACGACTGTACCGCTGCTCGAGGATGCATAAGAGGAAGGGTGAGAGCTACGACTGTTTGTAGCTGGTTTACTATCGGGCTTGAGAGTGAAGACACTAGAATCGTATTTGTCTGCCTTGACCTTCCAGGACCGGCCTTCCTCCATCCGCTCCGTGAAAGTACTTATTTCTGCTTCAGCGGCAGGCAGAAATGGAACCTCGATACTCGAAAGCACATCGTGTTCGAGTAGTCCAAGCATCTGAATCTCATGCATCTTAGCTCGCGCAATGAATCTGGGATGAGCGTCTGAGGACAAGTTCACTACGTTCAAGAAAGCGCTCACCGATCCTGACGAAACGGCAAATCCATCTGACCATCCCAGAACGTAATTGAGATCCAAAACGGCTCCCACCAGAAAACAGTCTTATTCAATGGATCCGCTGGATTGTCACCGCCGCCCCAGAGAGGGTCCATCGAACGAGCGTTCAGCGATGTTCTTGGGTCTTTGTCGGTTTTCAACTCGGGGTCGATGCCTTCAAAGCTAAATACGGGACTTTGGTGAAGTGGGGGCTTCGCCAAAGATATCAAGTCGAGGCCAAATCCTTGGTCTAGCATCCTTGTTGTAGTCAAACGGAGGAGAGCTTTTGAGACTCTGAAATAGCCGGTCCCGGGTGTGATCAATATTGTAGTAGCACCAGTTAGCGATAGAGACCGATCAATATAGTGAGTCTCAGTAGGATTCAGCGCCAGGTTTAGAGCTTCCAGGATGGGTCCGTCGTGAGCGAAGGAAAGACGCCCGACTAGCCTGACTTGATCGGCCGCGCCGGCCTGAGGGTCTGCAGCGGCACGGTGATGGTGGTGCGTCAAAAGAATGTCGCGTTGAAAGTCCCAAAACGAGTTCTTCAGGCTAACTAGGGTAGGTTTCCAGTCGTATATGACCTCTAAGTCGGTAATGACTTTGTAGAAGTCTTTGTACCAGTTCCCTTGGTCATCTAAGCGAAGTGGTCCAGCAGCGTAGTCGATTTCCGACTGTTCGTAGTAGACCCGAGAAATGAGGACAATGGTGACGATGTGATTTGTGCCAGCTTCCCTCCATTTGGCGAAGAGCGCGGGCAAGAAGGAATGGACAATCTTCTCGTTGTAACGCTCGCCGTCGCCAGAGAATTCCCAGAGCTCCCGGCAAACTTGGATGAAGATCATCACTTTCGCTGAAAGAGATCTGTAGATGGTTTTCGTAGTGGCCGTCATACAGGCAGCAGAAACCTTCAGACATTGCAAACAGGTAAGACACGTCTAAGACGATGCGGTTGCCTTTATACCTGCTTCCCATTTACGTAGATGGAGTGTATTTTCGCAGCTATTGCACCAATAAATGAGATTTCTTGATTTTTATAAATGCATTGTCCAACAAGATGTTCTCCTAGGCGCCACATGTCGTTTCTTCCTAGATACTGGTCTTGAAAGATTAATTCAACGTAATCTGCTTGGTGGTTCTCCCTCTCCACCTGAAATGACCATTAAGAATCATACATGGTGTAGGTATAAGCTGACCTTAGTAACCATAACCTCCATATTGTTCCTCCAGTTGAACGCATCGGCCACGGGTTTGGGGATTGATATCTACAGAGGTGTTAGTGTGTTTCAGAAGAGACGGGTAACTCTCACCTGAAGTTGGGGTTTAGAAGAACCCTCGTCCCTGGGTACAATGAACAAGATACCAGCGCCGGGGTCACTGTCTTCGCTGCTGGCAGTTATGCGTAACATGTCACCCTCCAAAACACCAGGCCATAATGACTGGTTGAAGAGGATTGCGTTGGACTCCTTGACATTGTCGTGTACCCAAGCATTCAGGATCTTGTAGTCTCCAACTTGTAACATTGTAATAACTGGTGCAGCACTCCGCAGGATAGACTGAGCGGTATTTGACCGACGGCGACCACTAAACTGGGATTTCTGAGACTCTGCTCGAGAGCCTGGCATATTTTCGTGGATTCGGCTCGTGAACGGGGGATAACCCTCTGTTCTGTGTCAGACAGGGCAGAGCAGCGTGGCCACTTCGAAATGAGTTATGGTGGAAATATCGTATTCTAAGTTGAAATGGCCGCCATAGTTATAGCGAGAGCGATCACGTGTGGTACAGTATTCCGATCCGCCATTGTCGCCCAGGCCAACAAATGCAGGCTACACTTCGACAACGAGCACCAAGACTCCTTCGACGTACAACATGTCGACCCTTCAGTGCAGCAGCAAGAACCCAACCTTCGCGAGGGGATCGTGGTACATCAATAATTCTAATCGAATTTCGACCCCACTAATCGTTCTACCTCAGTCGTTATTGGCATGTCAGGAGGAGTAGATTCCTCCGTTGCGGCCAAGTTATTAGCGGAACAAGTGAGTTATCGTCTTAACCCCCGATTCAACTTTGGGCAAATGTTCTCCAAACAGGATTATAACTTGTCGGCTATTTTTATGAGAAATTGGGATACCCGTGATGAATCTGGCACGGACAAAGGGTGTGAATGGGAGAAGGATTGGCAAGACGTACAGCAAGTTTGTAGGACGCTCGATATTCCCTGCCGAATGGTCTGCACTCTTGCACTCGTCCGCGAAATGTACTTACTGTTTCTCCTAGATAGACTTGAGTCGTGAGTACTGGAACCGTGTATTCGAGCCTTCATTGAGGTTATGGGAGTCCGGAGTCACACCGAACCCTGACGTCTGGTGCAACAAGTGAGTGTAATAAATGTATACGCTACTTTCTGCTCATCGTCGTAGGGAGATCAAATTCGGCGCTCTTCTTGATCGCCTTCCTCATTCTGAATCAATACCCGAGGAGGCGTGGTTTGCTACAGGTACCTTTCTTTGCTTATGTACTTGAAGGCAAGCCTCTCACCCTCCAAAGGTCATTATGCAAGGAAGTCGACTGGTCCACGCGCCAAACTCCTTCGAGCCGTTGATCGGCATAAAGACCAAACGTACTATCTATCATCGCTTTCCGAAGCTAGCTTGGACCGCGCTTTGTTTCCTATTGGAGGATTCACGAAGCCCGAAGTGCGCGAGATTGCTCGCAAACATAACTTGGTGACAGCCGAGCGACCTGAGAGCATGGGTCTCTGTTTTGTTGGCGAGAAAGGGAAATTTAGAGACTTCCTCGGTATGCATTCCCCACATTCGGAGACGTTGCCTTACATGAGTTGAATAGATCAATACATCCCTCCCAAACCCGGGCCTATTGTCGATCTTCTTACTGATAAAACGCTAGGTGAACATCACGGTCTGTGGACCTACACTATCGGCGAGAACGCTAGAATATCAGGCATGCCGATGAAGATGTTCGTCTCACGGAAAGATATAGCAAATAATCGGGTTTACGTTGTCCCAGGAACGTAAGTACCTGTCCTTCTTAGTCTCAACGGAGCACTCACAGAGCACCCACATAAAGTGACCACATCGACTTGTGGGCTACGTCGATCCGCGCAACTGGGTGGAGTTGGATTTGGGCTGATTCACCTCCAATCGGGATATCTCAACCTGCTGGCACTCGACTTCGCGCGAAGTTTCGGCACAAAATGGGGGACATACCGTGCACGGTCCGGCGGTCAGTCTGATTTGTTCTACTTCACTCCATCTCAACTAAGACATTATATAGACGGGCTGACGGTGATGTGATCATCACCTTTGACGACCCACGGAAGGCCGTATCTCCTGGGCAAGTCGTTGCTCTATGGGATGCCGACTGGTGCCTCGGATGTGGGACTATTGTAGAAGGGAAGAACGATCCACCTCAAAGCCTCGATTATACCCAAGACTACCAGAAAGCAAACATAGCATACACACAAGAGAGCCCAAACCCGTAATTTCTACCAGAGCGCGACTAACTGTCCACCTTGATTATTCTACATCACCTCTCCTTGCAGTCCACCGCGTTGAAGGGATTTGAAATACAACACATCCTGACAATGGTTCGTGGTTGGGAACGCCACCTCAACGTGCCGTAGCTGATGCGTTTCCTCATCTCGAGGCGAGTACAGTATCGTTCGTCTCGACGCAAGCATACCCCCGAGCAGGCCATCCGCCGCGCGAACACATCCACAGAGTGTTAGCTGTTCTAGCTTGGGGCAAAGATTGTGATGGTAGTCGTTGAAGGTCAATGCGCTGATTGCCGTCTCCGTGATAGTGATACCCCCCTCTCCCCCGCCAACGACGTAGACTTCAAGATTCATCAAAGTGTCACTCATATATAGCAGCGATTCGAGAAGTTCGATGTCTGACATAGGCAAGCATCGAACAGCGAAGGACCTGATGGCAGGTGATGATCTGGAGAGTAAAGATATGAACTGCCGTTGTGGCCATGGTGGTAACCGTCTCGCCGACGTCCATCGTGCGCTAATACCCAGATCTTCGAGGTTCGGGAGTATTAGATGGTCGAAGAAGTCCCCCAAATGTTCTTGACTTGAGATATAAAGGGAACGGAGTGGGTGGACGAGCAACGGAGAATCGTCCAAGCTCTCCTCTTGAGAATGCTCCATGTGGAAACGACAATCCTGTAACTGACGACCGGATCGTAGGAGCGCGAGACAGTCCTTGGTAGACAGAGGACCCTCGATGTCAAGGTGCGTCAGTTGCGTGGGTATTGTGATTTGGGAAATGCCAGCGAGACCGCGACACGTCAATTGTCGCAAGCTCGGCGCCCACGACAACAGAGAAGATAAAATTGGTGCTTGTTCGAGTGGAGCGACCCGTTGCCGTAACGATATTTCAACGTTATGAAGGATTGGCAAGCCCCAAGGCGGGATTCGTGAGAGCATGGAGATGAGACGTTTTGCTCGGGTGTAGTTGAAGCACATAGTGTGCCAGCGGGAAGAATGGGTTAGGATGAGTTCACTAACAAGGTCGATGGATCCGAAATTGCCTGGCCGCTCCAGCATTCTACCATCGTAGACGATAGTAAGATTGAGGGGGCAGTTCTTGGATCGATTCAGCCAAGCCTTAAGGAGTGGCATCCGAGGAACACAGACGTGGTCGCCTGCCAGGATAGTCAAAGAAGACCACAGTTCCGGAGTAGAGTGCACGATTGTACGCCATCTGCGGCATATCTGTCCTAGGAAGAGAGGGCCACAGCGCACACTGGGTTTTGAGTCGGTGCCGGCTCCGTATGACAAGAACACCTGACGAAGCACTTCGTCCGGGAGCTTGAGGATGCTCCGATGGGGGTTGACAGACTCTGGCTCGGAGTCTACGCTCCAAGTTGGGGAGGGCCCGAGCTCCTTCTCAAGGAAGGAAAACGGGCGTTTGTCGAAGCTTCCAGGTGACAATGAGTGCTGCTCGCCAGTCCACTCATACGAGTATTCCTTGTCTTGCTCCGTTATTGCTATCCCGAAGTCGATGGGATCAGCTGCGGGTGCGTGGAAGATGACATAGTCAGGGTCTAGGTATCCCTGATCGTCGCAATCCTCTGGTATTGACGCTGGTAGTGAGCGTAATACACCATGAGGTGTAGGGGATCGACTGCTGTCGGATGAAGATGCGTAGACTTCGCTGGGCCCAAAGATACCTTCATCGTCGACTGGCAGTGGGAGTTGAAGGTGTTGCCGTGAGAATAAACTTGAAGAAGCCATAAGACGCTGCCGTTATAACTTATAAGCACTTGGGGCGCTCACCGTCTTAGCTTTAGGAAAGGCATTGACGAAGCCTAAGAACTAATGAGAGTGGAGGAAGGTGGAGGAAGAGAGGGCGGGGCGATAGCTGAGACTAACTGAGGCCATCAAGGATGATATTGTGTTTTTGAAGGCTGGCTCCTGATGGGACATATCCGAGAGGGCGGCACAACATGCATTTATAAATGTGATGTATCATCCTGTGGGTAACCAGACAGAAATGTCGCGGCTGCGTTCCAAAGTAAGGAACTGATGGATGTACTATGCGACTGATGCAGATGCATCACGGAACACAGATTCAGATCACTTCTGGAGAGCCTGGACATGAGAACGAGCGTTCAAAGATGGACAGCAAGTGCTTCCCATTGAGGAGGTCGCCGTGGTGAACAAGCCACCTTAGCACCCATGTGATAAGTCACACCGCTGTCAGTGTCTATTTAAGTGTTTTAATGGATATTGTTGTATCGCGTCTTACCCGAGGAGCACGGTACGAAGTAAGCTGCTGCATCGCCGTGTTAAGGGAAGCAAGGGCATTGCTTGAAGTATACAACAATCGTAGTAATCGTGGGATGTGCGAACAACCCACCATCTTGTCTTTAACGGATGTCAAAATACTCAAGTAAATATACCTAGGGTGACATTAGTAACTCATGTTGAACATGTTATAACGATAAGCTTACGTGCTATGACATTGCCGTCATGATCGCCTGACATGTTTAAACAGTGTCAGAGGAATTCAAACTTGGACGAGTATCATCCTCTGGTTTCGAGACGGGAATGTCTCGTGTTACTGCAAGAGAGGTAGACGGGTCCCAATGGATCTTTGACGTGTAGATAGTACACTCGACCTTCTGAAATTGGGGGACGGGGAAAGGGCTCCAAGAAGGGTTTTCTGCTTGCCAGTGTGTGCTCGCCGCCCATACCGTGGCCATAAGAACACCGATTATCTCAATGTAAGCATTCGAGATTATGCACATGAGAATCTTGAGGTAATCCCCTTCGCGGAAGTATAGAACCAGCAAAGTGATACTGACAAGCACAGGGAAGATGAAGTTGGTGATTGCGATCCAGAATAGGGTACGAAGCCTGGAGGAATAAGAATCTGAGAGGACTATGAGGGTTGACGTTGATTGCGGGGTTGGACAATGAACTGACTGGGTTGAGTTGCACTGGGCGGGGAAAGCGATTTGTTAAGGTTAAGGCGCCACAAAAATAGGACGGAAGCAGTCCTGCAAACATGTATCAGAAAGGGACATCGGACACTAAGCGTCTGAGTATACAGACGTGTTATCGACGACTTGCAGGAACCACTCTACTTTGGGACCAGCATGTCTCAGCGAAAGTGCCCCCATCTCCTGGTTTGTTGTTGCGCTCCGTGTAATTCTCGCAAAGGTCACCATGAACTCAATCACATTGCCCACTCGCGCAGCCTTGAGTAATCCCAGTGGGATGAAGATGGAGAAGAATAGTCGTTTCGGCGTTTGGCGGTAAGGGAAGACCGCGAATAGTCGAAACATCAGGATGGATTCCACCATGATCGGGACACTCGTGCTTATAAATGTGTAAGCCAGTATACCGCGTCGATCTACCAGACGTAGTGGGTCAACAAGGGGCGGTACCTACGCCTGGCGTAAGCGTGCCATGTTTATGACAATGGTTGTGTATGTGCGCACCAGCGTTTGCATGTTCAGCAGTCCCATAGCGATTCCGACGCAAATAGAGACTACATTGAATATGAACATTGGCTGACAGCGAAGGCGACTGGTAGAGAAAAAGAAGAGGGCGAATAGGAGAGGAATGGAGACCCCGAGCCATATGCTTGAAAGGATGATGACTTTAAGAGTCTTATCGAGTGCTTGAAGATAGACCGACATCAAATCTGGCAATACGGATATGGAGGCCATTTGTCTGGGCTGGAAGGCTCGAGCCTGCTGTATGTTGCACCCATAGGAGCATTGGCTTGACTTATATGTATTCTGTTCGTGAAACCGGAGGAACACTGGCCCCTGGAGCTGAAGCTTAAGGTTTGACGTTCTGCATACAGGACGGTGCGGTGATTGCTGAGCAAAATTCGGCCCAGTGAGGGAATCTGTGATGTTAACAAATCAATCATCCCTTGACGAACATCTGATCATCATACACCTCTCTCAGGTCTATGAGAACTCACGAAAAGTACTGGGATAAGGGCTTGGGTACGATGAAGCATCGTGGTTCACGCATTAAGGTCGGAACATTCACGGCGAAAAGCGTGCGGTGAAAGATGAATCAATGGAACGTCGATTGGAACGGATGCAGTGTGCGGGCATTGATGTGTCCATGTTGAGCGGAGAAGTACCTGATATATTTGAGGGTGGCCAGGATCCGTGTGGTTGTGGTTATTCTCGAGTATGCAGGAACCCCTACCAAAAGATGCGTTCAGCTCGAGATCTTGACATATCCATTTTCGTGGATGTTTAGTCTGAGGATCGAGGAGGCATCCTTTGTTTGGCTGCATTTTTGACACCAAACACTCAACTCACCCTGAAGCTGATCGAAACGAAACATTTTCTGACCATGTCATCTCCATCCCCTGAGGCCGAGGAGCCTCAAGAAACTCAGACTTTCAGATCACTCGGCCTGATAGATCCATTGTTGGAAGCCTTGGAACGCCTCAGTTTCACATCTCCTACTGAAATCCAGTCGGCCGTCCTTCCTCACGCACTTGAAGGCCGAGACATAATCGGTGTAGCATCCACAGGATCGGGGAAGACCGCAGCCTTTGCGCTACCAATTCTACAAAAGCTATGGGAGAATCCTGCTGGACTTTTTGCATGTATACTCGCCCCGACAAGAGAACTGGCCTACCAGATATCGCAACAGTTTGAAGCCCTCGGTTCCGCTATGGGTGTACGTTGTGCAGTTATCATCGGTGGGATGGACGAAATGGCGCAAAAGATCGTTCTTGCTCAAAAGCCTCATATCATCGTTGCTACCCCTGGTCGATTGCTGGATCACCTCGAAAAGACGAAAGGCTTCAGTCTCAGAACGATAAAATTCCTCGTACGTCCTTGTCTGTACGTACAGTCGTCGTTGCTACTTACCTTTAACCAACTCAGGTTTTTGACGAGGCGGATCGCTTACTTGATATGGACTTTGGTCCCGTCATTGATAAAATCCTAAAGATCATACCGAGGGAACGAAGTACTTATCTGTTCTCCGCGACTATGACAACGAAAGTCAGCAAGCTACAACGGACTAGTTTGTCAAATCCAGTGAAAGTACAGGTGGCGGGAAAGTGAGTTATCTATTGCTCGACGGCTAGTGCCATACGTTGACACACTTACGTCGAGAGGTATCAAACAGTTTCCACCCTCCTGCAATACTATCTGTTCGTCCCTTTAAAAGACAAAGATGTCAATCTTGTCAATCTTGTCAATTCCCTTGTCCAGAACTCCATGATGATCTTTACCCGGACTGTGAATGACGCCGCCAGGTGTGTCAATTTTATCGACTTCGTATTACTTGTCTTAATTGTCGACAGGTTGTCTATCATCTTGCGCACGCTGGGCTTCTCCGCAATCCCACTACACGGCCAACTTAGCCAGAGTCAACGGCTAGGTTCCTTGGGAAAATTCAAAAGTGGTGGACGAAATATTCTAGTCGCAACTGACGTAGCCAGTCGGTAAGTATCCCACATGCCTATCCCAAGTTGCTTGATAATAATATCAGACTAGCGGTCTGGATATTCCGTCTGTAGATATCGTCATCAACTTTGATATCCCCACGCATTCAAAAGATTACATTCATCGTGTCGGACGAACTGCTCGTGCTGGTCGTTCAGGCAAAGCAATTACCCTCGTTACGCAATACGACGTCGAACTCATCCAACGTATCGAGAGCGTTATTGGAAAGAAGATGGACTTGTGGCCAACGGACAAAGAAGAAATAGCTTTGCTCAAGGAGCGTGTCAACGAGGCTTCCAGAATAGCCGTCAATGAACTGAAGGATCAATCAGGGAAGGGGGGGCACAAACGACGGCGAGATGTCAAAGGCGGGAAGGATGATATGGACCGCGATGATGATGTGGTGGAGGCTGGCATGCCAGTCAGAAATCACAAGAAGTCTAAGCGTAGATGAATGGGTTTGTTCGCTAATTTATTGGCCTTGTATAATTTGTACAACACATCGTCTGGTAAGACACTCCGCCACTGAGTAACTAAGTAACGTTGCGACACCTCCCCAGAGTCCATATTCTTAGACAACGCACTCATTGTTCGCGATCGGCGGTGAGTCTCGTTATTACGTTAGGAGCTAGGGGGTGGCTCGCCAATTGTGGCACGTCGCGTCGATCGCGCGGCGCGTGACCGATTGTCGTTTGTTTCCCAGGACCACAGGCCCTCACGCGTTTCACCACGACCACCAACTGGCAACGCTCTCTTCATCCCGATATTATGCCTAGCTCGGCGCGAAAAAGTAGTATCGGAACATCTCGACGCGCCTCGCAAAAGGGCCACATTCCTTACCGAGGGGACAATCCTGAAGTTGGCAAGAAGACAGGCATTCCCGTGCGCCATGTCGAGCGCAAGTCTGACGGGTTTGAGCCATTCGAAGAGGTGATGCGCCAGGCAGACGGGCGGACACCTCCACGTCCAAAATCCAAGAAGCAGAAGGCTCAAAAGCTCGTTGCTTTGGATGAGGAGGAGGATGGCGAAATGTCCATGGAATTGGACGATAGTGCGTCCTTGTAATATCCTCCTTAGCTGTGAATTTGACGTGTTCCTTTAGATACCAGCACTCCTCTGAACTACTTTAGGAATGCGCGCCAGCAACCTCTAAGTGCACATCGCGTTGGGTCGTCTTCCCGTCCTGTGGGACGCCCATCTCTGGTGGACTACGACCAGCTACCCTCCCCCCGCCGTTTCTCACTGGCGAGCACCTCAGCAGGGCCGTCGCGCTTATCCCGGTCATTTGCTGCGAATGACAATTTCGACGACGATGAAGATGATGGCGGCGGTGGTTTTGAACACAACCCACCCTTTGAACCTCACGATCAAGGCGCCTCCGGCAGCGATGATGAATTAGCTCAGCAGTCGCACTCAAGAAACAGTCGCCGTGTGTCATTCAGTGCGATGAATGAGGACATGGAGGAGGATGAAGACGACCAACCTATACATCCACCCTCAAATCATGCTTCGCCTTCACGACGAAAATCTAAAGGAAAGGGTAAAGCCACGGAGGAAGATCTAGAGGAAGATCGCATGGAGGACTTTGCGCAAGAACTCGATGACCTGGGTTCCATGGAGAATGGCGTTGTCTCCGACAATGAACAGGAGGAAGAACAACAGAGAAGTCCTGCAGAAAAAGCGAAGATCAAGCGGGGGAAACAACCTGCTAAGAGAACTAAGAGAGCAGCCGAAGAACCTCGTAGTAGATCAAGTGAGTTCTGGATCTACCGTTGTCTAACCCTTCGTTAAACGAAAGTCGCCAAGGCTCTCCCACTGGTGTGCGAAGGAGTAAACGTTTCCGCTTCCGCCCTTTGGAGTGGTGGCGTCAGGAACGAGTAGTATATGGACGACGCGATTCAACCTCAGGTCCTGTCTTGGTACCACATATCAAAGAAGTTATAACAATTCCCCAGGAGACGCCTGTGCCGCTAGGGGCGAAGAACAAACGGCGGGGGGCACGGGGTCGTAGTAAAAGCAAGGCCAATTCGCCGCCGCCACCCGCAAGCAATCCAGAGGAAGGGTGGGATGATGACACGGTTCCCCATGCGCACGTCGTTGATTTTGTGACGGGAGAAGAAGTGGATAGACGTGAGTTTCCCATTACTGTCATTCAGTGTTTCATGTACTCAATCGAGTTATCATTTAGGCATAGCGTATACACCTAGAATGCTTAACCCCCAGCCAGCGGCCAATGCAGATTGGCGGTTCGAGAAAGTTTTCGGAGACGGCGATTTTATAGCCTCTGGCGAGTTGATTATTCCTCCCGGTTGTCGCAAGCCGAGCAAACCAACCAAGGACAACACCTATGTATGTATCAATCACTATCTTTCCTCACCTCTGCTGAGACCGGCGTAGATGTTTTATATCATCGCGGGTGCTATCAATCTACGGATTCATAATTCCAGTCTCATCCTTGCGACTGGCGCAATGTTCATGGTTCCAAGAGGTGCGAGTTTAACGCGCATTTGCTTTGATTCTCGGCTAATTGTAACTATTAGGAAATACTTATTTTATCGAGAACATAAGCCAGCGTGACGTCCGCTTGTTCTTCACCCAAGCTCGCAAGCTAATAGACGACGAAGAACCCCCTCAGCTACAAGATCCTCCGTCCGTCGCTTCGAGTAAAGCGATGCCAGCTGCCCGATCATCTAGTGCAGTGCATCTGTCCCGTCCTCAGCCTACGAATAGCCTCAAGAGAGCTCATTCCACACGAGCTTGATTTCTCTTTTTAATTGAATATTTAATTATGTATCACATATTGGAACCACTTGTATCCATATGCATATTTCAATTGTTATGTACATCTTCGTAGGTAATGCAGGTCACATTTGAACTCTGGTTTTGGCTATCCCTACATGATCCTATCCATTTCGCCGAATGCAGGTCTTGGTTTCTTTCATTGACGTTTGCTAACGGCGACCTTATTAACATCTCTCTACCAGGCCTCCGCACCGTTTAGCCTATGAAGGTGCTTAGCTATAGCATATCGAACCCCCCGAATACCAGGCCATTTCTCAGTGATGAACGTAGGAATGTTGGACCTGTGTTCTATGGGCGACGTTTTGGCAAGGATTGGTCAATAAGGGCAAAGTGAGAAATGAGAACCAGTACTGGTATCTCTATATATCATGTCGCTTTGTGGCTCGAGGTCATCAAGAATTCTTGAACAGTTTCTGTAACTATCTTGCGGGGTAAAAATTAAGCACGTAAATATGCATTGATTGAATAATTTTCTGTAAATACATGCGAGATTAAGCGATGACTATGCAAGAATATGATCCAGGATTGGTAAGTAAACGAGAGATAGTGGGTGAGCAACTGTATGGTGGCTAAAGAGGGGATAAGAAGGCAAGAGAGGGTATCAAGTGCTAAGACTGCTGCGGCCATGAATCCGTACCTCTGTCCTGAGGGAAAGGAATATGGGAGAAAGTCCTAGCTCCTGCGGGATGGAAGCTTGGGTTCTGAGGGACTGAAGGGAAAGCATCAAATAAATCTAACGTTGGAGCAGAAGAAGTGGTGGATGCCACAGAGATGTAGGATTCAGGTCTGTTGGGAGAAGTAGGATGCGTGGGTGAAGGTGGGTGTAGACCCGCGGACGGAGGTAGGGTGTGGTCCTCTCGAACCAGCATATTAGGAAGTGGCTCTTCCATTGCGTCAATTGCCATTCGCCCTAATAAAAGTCCCATGTTCGTCATTCATTGGTGAAAACAACAGGGAAGATCAACTTACGGGCTATGTCAGACGCACTAATAGTGCTCCCACTAGATTTAGTTCTTGCGCGCTGAAACATTTTACCGGCGAACGAAGCAGCTCTGCTGAAGCTCTTTGATTTCTTCGGGGATGAAGAGGGCCAAGCCTTGGATGCTGATGGAGAGGACCCTGGACCAACAGTGCCAGCTCTGGTTACATGTCCTCCAGAACCAAACTCGGATACCGAGAGGTTGCTACTAGAATTCATGAAGGTATCGGTTGATCCTTTATTGTCCGGGCCCAGGAAGCCCAGTGTATCAGGTGGCGTGACTAAGGCAAAGGAATCATCTGAGGACACGGAAACGCTATCGCGGGGGTAGGCACCTGGCATCATATAGGAGGGTCGTCTCTTAAGAGCGTCTGGGTAGTGTATTGAATTCCTCATTCCGGAGAAGATCCTATTCGGTGACTTGGGAGGAGGAGCTGGGGGCACCTCTCCATCAGCCCCTTGGGGTGACACCGATAACGAGTCGCGGGGAAGAGGTATGGCGGATTGTCTCCAGGTCTGCTTGGGGGAAACTGCTTGCTCAGAAGACGTGCGCCCGTGCGAGGACTTACTCCGCGAAAGTGCGCTTTTGAAGGACGACAAAGGACCACTGCGGACACGATCGGTATCCTCGTTGTAGGCCTGGTGCCCCGACTCTGGTTCCACGGGGGGGCTCTCGAGGATAGAGGGCATTGGTGCTGCCTCTGACTCCTCCGGGGGAGTCGTTGATGCTGTAGCTTCGTCCTGGATCTCGCTAGGGATCTCTCCGCCAGATAGCAACCTTTCCAATAGAGCAGCTTCCTCCACAAGCCTGGTTAATTCGCCACCTCCAGGAGTGAGCGGCTCGGTTAAATACGAGTCCCGTTTCTTGACTGGCGTCGCTGGCATCCGCGGTTTGAATGTCGTAGACGAAGAGGCAGTCTCCGTTTTCTTCTTATGAACGACAGCCGAAAACGACATCGGTACTGAACTCATGTGTGTCGCGTCCAAATCATCAACGGCATTCAACTCCTGGCCGTGGGAGACAGAATAGGAACTCTTGTGGGAAGGAGGACTGAATGCATCCGAACCGGGAGAGGGACGTTCCGATGGAGGGTTAGCAATACTATGAGGACGTGGGGACGAGGGCGCAACAATACTAGATAGCTGGATAGTGGACGTCGAAGAGTTGCTGGTGGGCGTCGGTGTTTCTGAAGGCGAAGGAGAATCTTCATACGCAAGTCTGGCTAATGGTCGCTCGGGAGAGAGAACTCCAATAGCCAGTGGAGGTAAAACGTGTTCGACGGCAGGTGCTGTGGGTGGTGATATGGCAATGGAAGGTGAGGTCGCTTGTTCGCTGCCTGAGATAGGAAGACTGTGGATTGTATCCAGTGAACCTTCTTCAGGAGGAGTGAAGTCGCTTCTTGCATCCACCTCTAAAGGACGCGAGGGTTCCTGAGCGTGTAGCGGAGGAGTCTCTACGCTACCAGCCGACTCTGGAAGGGAGTGTTCGTCCAAGTCAAGCTCTCGGTCTACGTGTTCTTCAGTATGAATTACGTCAGTGCTTAATGTATCGATGAGACCCAGCGCTGAAGGCTGGAACGTGTTCGCCGTAAGCTCTTCGTTGGGTTCGTTACAGAGAAGATCGACATCTTCCTTCGGTTCTGGGATATTGGGAAGAAGTTGATCGGCATTCATGTCAATTGATGAAGGTATAGCCGAGGCATCCAAGACTTGCACATGCACGTCAGGCGTCGAAGGAGCGCGGGTTTCCCCTGCCTGAGTTTCCCCAATGCCAAGCGATTGTGTTGGAGAGGTAAATGAATCGGGGGCAGAGGTAGACGAGACGGATATACCATCCTGTCCGTCTGATGATATGTCGACTTTGGTAGGCATGTTAACCTTGGCTGTACTTGGAGGTTCGAATTCATTGTTACTATCGACCTCCTCGTCGTCCATAGGAAATGGCTGTGACGGTGACCTGCCAAGGTCTGAGAATGTAGGCGGTTTGAGTGTAGTCGTCGCGTCCTCGTCTTCTGGCATGTCGTCCCAATCCGTGGGCGACACCGCTCGAGAGTCGGGAGACGATGTCATCGACCGCCAGGATGACAAAGTACCACCAGTGACTTGCGGCGTAAGGACGCCTGGGGACGAAACCGACCTGCTCCAAGATGCTACGGTGCCTCCAGTAACTTGAGGTGTCAGTATGCCAGACCGAACTGGCGCTGGTATCCTGTTCCCGTATAACTCGCCTCTTCGTTTCTGCTGTCCATTCTCTGGTACAGGCGGAGCACCCAGCCCGAAACTGCCTCGTGGAATCGGCACTCCTCCCTTCTGCTCGAACTTCGCTATCCTGTCGCGCAGTCCCTTCGGTGCTTCATGTTTGGAGTTTTGTGACGAAACGGGTACTGCGGGTGGTGATGTTGAATGAGGATTTTGGGCGGTATTTCGTTGCTGAAGTGCAGCTATCCTTTCCTTGAGATTGACTGCCGGTGGTTGCACTCGCGAACTAGTTGCCCTGTGAACGCCGTGCATATGCAACATGTCCAAGCATATGTCAGAAATTGCACAGTTTCGGATAAAGAATTCGCGCACATTATATTGATTACGAGGGTCCTGTCTCGACTCTCGACAGGTGCTGCTGAATGTTTGACTTGTACAAGCACGTCCAGCGGCCCGCAACCGTCTAATGAAAATTGAAGATAGATTGAAAGCGAATGGTAGTGGAAGAAGGATAGTTGATGGAAAAGAGGAGGCTGGCCACGAATCAATCAGTGCGGTTTCATCAAAAAGTTCGGAAACAAAGCAGTTTGAACTTCGAGGAGCAGGCACGCGCGCGTGCCAAGTTCGGCGATAGGGCGCTAAATGCATGCATAATGATACTTACCGTAGCCCTGGACAACCGTCGAGGGCGACCGCAACACTTGGGAATTTTGGCACTCTCGAGTTGAAATACATGTAGACATACATCGTCTTCGAAGGTGTATAAGGATTGTAGCCATTGTACATATATCAACGAGGAGGGTTCGATGAATATAAGATTATAATAGGATGGAAATATTTGTTCGTTCAAGGGAGGGTATAGAAATGAGTGTCTGGGTACTTGTCAAGTAAATGTCCGATATAGGTTCATGAGAAGGCGGGTGGCTATCGCTCATGTCTAGCAGCTCGGTGGTATGGTTTCGGTGGAGGTGTTACGGAAGCTCTGGGAGCAATTTCGAGAATAGTTTGTGTGGGAGTTGCTATGTCGCGGGCAAGGAGACTAGTGCCTGTACATACACCGGCAGGAAGAGCAACCGTGACTGCGTCCCAGCCGTTGAGATAGCTACAACCGCTGGCTTCAATCGGGCCACCAGTCACCGTACTTTCGCTTGCGGTGGAGATACTCGTAGGGCCTGCGAGCCGTACTTCCGTTCCGGTCGTGGTGTAAAGGGGAAGCTGGCCGACGGGTATCATGCCCGAGTCACCAGAGATGGCTGCAGGGGGCCACACCTCCGTAGCGCTCGCTGCTATCGAGCCTGATCCACCACCGCCAGTCTGCCACGCAGAATAAGTAGTCGGGAATGGTCTCAATGACTGACCAACGCGCTGGCATTTGCCAGTGGCGGTTCGTGGGTCCTTCGGTATCCAACCATTCTCGAGACCAAGTTTGTAAGACCACAAAGGCGCCTCAACAAAACCTGCCGTGGAGTTACCAATCTTACGACCATGATATAAGTCCAGCGACACAGTGATAAAAAAAGAAGCAACGAACCTTCCAAGTCCAGAAGAAGTAATCGCCAAGGGCGTCCATGCTGGCTTCGATAAAGGCTTGTAAGCCCGCTTTGGTGCCGGGCGTCCAGTTTCTGGAGTCTTCCCAATCGCCACAGTCGCCGCCGTAGGTGTGGGAGCCAGGAACACCTCTGAGGAAAAGACCACAATCGTTGAAACCGTTGGAAAACTCGCCGGCAAAAGTGATCCCAAACGCGGTATGACTAACAAGACGACGAGTTTATTGACCCGCATCAGCAACAAAGTCAGACACTGACCTGGTACGCATACTCGACCCCCAAGCACTGCATGCTCGGGCTGGCCATACGCCACCAGCGGAGTCCTCGTCAGTACCGCTATCTATTGGCTCGACTGCTGACCGATCACTGAAAGCAAAGTACGGGTGGCTGTCGAGCATGACCCGATCGGCGCCATCGAATGTACCAGCCCAATCAGATTGTGCCCGGAAACCATCATGAATAGCCATGAAAGGACCATTGCCAGCGCCGATGCCAGTCATTTCACGCATCATGCGGTAGGTTTCCTGGTAGCTGTAATGAGGAAGAGGATGAGGCGAGACCGAAGGTGTAAAGGGAGGTTCATGACTTACAAGCTACGAGCAATATCTACGCCAATGAGGCGAGTAAGGGCCTCATTCATGATTCCGAAGATTGGAACAACGTCGCGCCATTCAGGACGATTGATAAACTCGGTAAATGTGCGGATGTAGCTGAGGGTGCGCTGTGCGTTCGCCATACCCATATTGCCATAGAGGAAGTTGACTTGTCCCCATTTCCCGGAGTGATTGTAGCCTGATCAACAAAATATTACCTTCATAAAATAAACTAACGGCGTCAAAATTATGGCATACCGTTCTGTGATCCAGGTATCGCGTGGAGATCTAGGCATACTCGAAGACCATACTTGCGAGCCCATCCAAGGACGCGAACGATGTACTTCCAACTAGTCTTCGCCATAAAGGGTTCCTGCGCAGTAGGGGCATGACCGCTATTTTAAGCACGATTAGCACTTTTGATGAACAATCACAAGTGTCATACTCTGTGCTGTTCCACGAGTCTATAGCCCAGAAAGGCACCGGGAGTCGTATCCAATTAAGGCCGGCTCCAGCAATCTCAGCGATGTCTTGTTCAGTCTAACAGCAAGCAACGTGAGGAACATCGAGACACTGAATCAGCTCCATTCACATACGATGAACGTCTTGTAATGTTCTTCGAGCTGACCCAACCCTCCATTAGCCGTGTCTGCTGCCATGGCCATGCTAAGAGACCATTCGTCTATTGTGCCAGGATACCTTTGGAAAAGGGCGGGAGAAATGAATGGCTCGAGAACGAAGAGTCCACCGAGATTGACGCTGTGACAAGCATGTTAACGCCTGAGCATTGGTCTAACTGAATGAAAACAACTCACCCAAATATTCTATCCGTGCCCCAGTTCCATGATTGGTTCAGAGGCGGTGTCCAGGCATTCGGTCGTGCGCCGTTGTTGTAAGGGTCTTTGGTATCGTACACCCCTGATGTTCAAAAATAGTTAGCAACGCACCGAAGCAAAACAGTGGATGGAGTCCACGACGGCGTTAACTCACAGTACCCGCCAAAGGAATTCCTGTAAGTGAACTTATTGCCATCTTCGTCAGTAACCTCTGATCCATCGCCTCCAGTTGTTGCCAAGACAGGAGCCTCAGGAGAGACGTTCGGGGTATTGTTGTTATCCGTTTCCCCAGGGCCTTCAGTAGATGGCGCAGACGCAGCAGAACTGTTTCGGTTTCTAGGCTGAACCACAACGAAATAAACCGGAAGAACAATGACCAAGATCAAGGCAATAATGCCTAGGACGAGGAGAATCCATATGATTGGCCGTCTAGATTTCTGTTCTCTAGTGAAGGTATTGTCCGGGGAAGCGAGCGGCGAAGAGGCGGTGGCAGCACCCGCTACATCGTAGGAGTTGCTCTCGACTCGTTCTCCAGGTGAAATGAGCTGTGACGAAGAGGGTGCACGATCCGATGAAGCAAGGTAAGAGGCGCGCGGGGTAAGGTTAGGTGTGTCGGAGTCCCCAAAGGGCGAGCGGAGGGACGTCGATGCCATCTCTGGAGAGGACATGGCAGACTTGTTGTGCGGGGAGAAAACGAACCAGGGAAGTTGGAGCGCTTGAACCTACGCAACTAATTATACCCTGCAACTTTCTGCGGTCAACATACACCGGTGAGGCAGAAGAACGGAAGTCCACCACGTGATGTGCCTTGCTGGATCATGCCAAGTATCATGGCACGGTCACCAAGGAGTCCATGCGTTTCTTCAAGACTTATGATACAAAAATACGACGCATGCAATGGCAGACACCCGCTAAGCACCGTTAGTTGAACTGAACAGTTTATGCCGTGTAACAAAATTAAAATATACGTCCGGCCGCGCTTGATCACATCATCCGAGATTAAATAAAGGAACTCGTGTTTTATATTGGTTGTACAATGTTTCACAATCGTAAGAGTCGCGCCCGTCAATACATAGTTAAATAATCAAACATACAGGTCACGGCGCAGCGTTACCTTGAACCAATATCAGTAATTCCTTTGGGTAGATTGTAACATCGGGCGTACAATTTTATGCCGATTCTTTAGTACTCGGCCGGTATATCCCAAAGGGATCGGAAGAGTCCAAAGTTCCATAAATATCTTCGCGAGGGGAAGGTTGAATAGCCTTTGCAGTAGGAATACTAAGCCCGTCGCCGTCGAAGCGAACGACTGGAAACGAGGTAGATGGACGGGCATTTGATGCTTCCCAGTGGGTTTTCGACGTAGGAATGCCGCTTGCTCCGTTGCCGTCGAATCGGGCGACTGGGAAGGAGTTGGGGGGATGGCTCTCCGATCCTTGCCAATGAGTGCTTGCAGACCATACCGTTGCCATCAGAACACCGATAATCTCGATGTAGGCGTTGGAAATTAGGAACATAAGGCACTTGAGGTAGTCCCCCTCGCGGAAGTAGAGGGCGAGCAAAGTGATGCTGACAATCACTGGGAAGATAAAATTGGATACCGCGATCCAGAACAAGGTACGGATCCTGCTGGAATAAGATCCTAAAAAAGAGCCTCAGAATTAATTGTGAAGGTGGTGGTATTGGAAAACTGACTGGGTTGCGCTGATGCAGCCGTGCCAGTTGGAAAAAGCGAGTTGTTGAGGTTCAGACGCCACAAAAATAGGACAGATGCAAACCTGTAAGCATGTATGAGAAGGTTGCCTCAACGAGTATAGGTGTATACTGACGAGTTATCCACGACTTGAAGGAACCACTCTACTTTGGGACCGGTATGCCTCAAAGAGAGTTCGCCCATCTCCTCAGTTGTTGTTGCATTCCGAATGAGTCCCGAAAATGTGACCATGAACTCGATCAGGTTGCCCAGCCGCCCTGCCTTGAGCAGGCCAAGCGGTATGAAGATGGAGAAGAATATTATTTTAGGCGTTTGGCGATAAGGGAAGACCGCAAACAGTCTGAACATTAGGATAGATTCCACCAAAATGGGGGCACTAGCACTGAAAAAAGTATAGGCCAGGACACTGTGCCGATCCACTGGTACTAGTGGTTCAACGAGAGATGGCACCTGTGCCAGATGTGAGCTCGACAAAGTACAAGCAACGAGTACGAGACACCTACCAGTATTTGTATATTTAGTAACCCCATAGTAATTCCGATGCAGATAGAGACCACATTGAATATAAAGATTGGCTGGCGGAGAAGGCGGCTGGTAGAAAAAAAGAACAGGGCGAACAGGAGAGGTATGGAAACCCCTAGCCATACGCTGCAAAGGATGATGACCTTAAGCGATTTGTTGAGTGCATGCAGGTATGCCGTCATAAACGCTGGCAAGGGGGAGGTCATCTTTGTCTAGGTAGGCTGGGATGGCAATTCTAATGGTTACGCCTGTATGTTGGTTTTAAACGACATTCGTTCAGCGGTGGACCGAGATGGAGGTGTCTGAAACGTCCATCATTGGAGTGTCCAAGTAACTTTCCACCATGCATTATGTTACAGTGCACAAACTCTCCGGCGAGAAGACCGACATTTGGTGACCAAAAGGTAATCCAGCGGAGAGTCTAGGAGATACATGATCAGCCCTTGATTGGGGCGGATGGCAGTACTGTAATCCCCCGAAATCATGATGATTGGGCGGCAATCATCGTACTGACAACATGCAAGTGAGATAAGACCGAAAAGGGCATGAAGTGGACATGAGTACACAGTAAAACATTACTAACCTAGTTGGAAGTGGACATCTGACCGTAGATCGCTCACTGCCTTCGATTCATTCGAACGTTTCAGCTTTCTCTTCCCTTAATATGATCTCCCGAGGAAGCGGAGCCGGACGCCTTTGTACGCTACCTCCGAGTTGCTTCAGGCCTGAGTGAAACAGCGAAGCAAAAGTGGATGGTACTTCTGGCCACGGTACAACCATGGCGCGAGGGAGATGCTTGCACATGGTCCTGTATCGGATGCAATTGTCTGTGGCCAAGAAATCAACACGAGCAATACGATAATCAAGGCATGTGTGCGACAGAACATCTGGAACGTCGATGATTGCGCCATCAGACAGCATTTGCCCAGACTTGCAGAGATGTATCACCCTGGAATATCTTGAAGGGTAGCTGTTGACCAGGCGTCATACCTGGAATTGTCCTCTCCTGCAAAAGTGTCTCGATTTCGTAGCTGGTATGCACAGATGGAATCCGTACAACACGGGTTCCCAGTGGCGTAGGCCTCGAGACAGTCTGAATAAGGGGTCACCGTCAAATTAGATTGGGGGGGTCCATGGTTGTGTGCTTGCTGATTCAAGTCCTGTCAAGTCTGATACCAGTACATAGGCTAAAGACCGAAAAGGTCACCCATCGGAAGGTATACTGAGACAGACGGTATTGGGTTGACATCAATGCAAACGCCCCGACGTTTAGGACAATAAGAAGTAATCAAGTCTGGAGTACTCACGGTCTGTACTTATCGAAGAGCTCAATGGCCAGCGGGATGAGGTGGTAGATCGTCACCGTTCCACAACGAAGCATAATAACAGAATGCAAATGACTCAGCCTAAAGCGCAATTTACGCGTACAGATGCAGTCCCCGAAATTGTCTGAAACAGATATCGTTAATCGGCTAAACCTGGGAAATAGCCCGTACTTACACAATGATATGACTTTAAGTCACCAAAGCCCATAACACCATTCACTTCTTTCTGCCTTTGCGACCAACCGAGGATGTGAGGATTGATCCCTTAATAGTACCAGCGCCTTTACTAAGGCACTCCGAGCAGTACCATTTTTCTGGCGTAGGTTGCTTCAAGCCGACACAACCCAGATGAAACTGCAGAACAGAAGACCGCGTTCATCGTGGAGTGGTAGAGACAATACAAAACACTCACCCATTCGTAAGGACACTTCCCTTCATTGTCGCATGCGATCATCTACATGCAAAATATCAGCAACGGCATTCCCAAGTGAACTCGATCGTACATCTCCGTAGCTGCGCTTTTGGCAGAAGCAATACAGGCGTTCATCGTCGGCATCTTCTTCGTCATCCTCTTCTGCATCCTCTTCCGCTTCACCCTCCATCTCCTCATCTTCTTCGAGCTTCTTCACAACAGGTGGCGGATGTATCTGGCGAGAGAGCCGGGAGCGAGGTATGGGTGTCGTAATAGGAGGAGCTGGGGCAGGTGGTGTAGAGGCACGAGGCGGCAGTTTGATGGAGGCTGAAGCTGCTAATTTTCGTTCTGAAAAGCAAAGATATCAATCATACCGACTGGAAAGAGGAAATGAATCCAACTTTTTGTAGGATTGCCACCGTTAGACGGGGTAGGAGAGCCACGGTCTATAGGAATACTAGTAGCTTGGGCGGATTTCAACATGGATTCCGCCTTCCGTAAAGCTGAATCCGTCAAGGGTGCTGGCTTCTCCATTTTCACAGAAACATTCGGTGAGGTCTCCTCCTTTCCCAAGCCCACCCAGGACGGCAGCGGCTCTGGAATTTCGCCTTGCAGGACGCGAACTTTGGATAAATCAATGTCCAGCCGTGCTCTTGTTCGCATAAAAAGTTCTACAAGCCTTCTGGCGAGCGCAGTCTTTTCATCTGAGAGGTTGTTTAGCTCGATATATGCTGCATCAATCTTCTCCGGGAGTGCTAGGTGAGCGTTGTTCGAGCCATTCGTCTTGCCATTTGCTGCAGGAGATGGTGCAGTAGAGTTGGGATTTGAGTTAGAGTTGGAAGAGTTGCCACTGCGAAGTTGATGCCGGATATACCGAGCCGAGTCTTTCTCAACTTCCCGCTGCAATTCTGTGCGCAGCATTTCAAAGCCTAGCAGAACTGATGCGGTGACGACTTACCTAGAACCCTCGCGTCTCTGTGTTTAATTTCTTGTAGAAGGTGAGCAACCTCGTTGGGTAGGTTGTCGAGACCTGACAGCGACTTCGAATGAGTTGTAGAACCGTGTGGACTTGGTGCTCACTGTAGATGAATTCTGAAGCGACTGTGGCTGCTTCCTCTAGATTTTGGACGGAAACACTCATGATGAGTGTAGGAAAGGAGGAACAAAGGGTACTCCGCAGCGATCCTTCGGCAACCAAGTCCTCAGGTTTAGTCATCTTTTTTACTGCCTATGTACGATAATGGGGGACAGAATGCCAGAAGTGCATTTGGTGGAAAGCTGTTGGCATAAAAAATACTCATTACTACTCTGTGAATCGATCATCGTGTACCAGTCGGGACGCCCCCTCGTCGGCCTCTGCCTGCCCCAGGACCAGACCTTCGCCCATATCCTCCCCAACCACCGACGTACTGGCCAGGGCCCATGAGTCCGATACCTCCAGGTTCACCGAAGGTAGCGTAGTTCCTCTCGCGCTCCTCCTCTCTTCTGTTTCTGCCAGCAGCACCGCCTCGGCGTCCGCCGCCACCACCGCGAGGAGCGCTCATTGGGCCCTGCGTCGACGACGACAAGGAGTCAAAGAACGACGACTGAGGGTTATATGCAGGCTCCGACTTCGGAGATTTAGCTTCCGCGTCTGATTTGCCTTCCCCCTCAGAGGATGGTTCTCCTTCAACCTTTGCGATGGCAGCCTTGTCAAACTTTGCGTTATTGCTCTGGAAGTCGAAATCCGTTTTGGGGACTTTGATCTCTTTGGTATGCTCGCGTCCGCCACCTCGACGACCGCTGCGTCCAGTCTGGGCATTTCCGTTGTTAGATACTCTCAAATCACCTAATGCGCGCTCAACCGTTTCCAAGGATGCTGTGGCCGTATGTATGGGATTTGCGTTGTTACGCCTCTGTTGCTGCTGTTGCGGGTGTCGCGAAGTGGCATTGGCCGAAGGGTTAGCGGTAGAAGCAGGCTGCTCAGGAGGGGTTTGGGCAGTTTGAGGGGCTCTTCCATTGGCGAACGCGGCGGGTGGTTGCGACTGCGCTACGAGAGGCTGGGCAGGCGCAGGAGCTGCTTGTGGTGGTACAGAGTTGAAACCATACGGCTGCTGGGGAGCAGACGCAGTGGATGCCTACAAATGACATTCGTCAGGAACATAGAAGTCGACAACATGCATGTCACAACGTCGAAACTCCGTCAGAAGGAAGGCAACGGAATAATCCACACGGTTGAGTATTGCGCTCTCGGATTGTTGTAATTTTTACATCCGCGATGGGTTCATCTCTGGGTCGTCGGCGACACGAGGAGAGAAACTCACCCCAATCACTGCTGGGTCGTCATGCACACTCCGCCGCTGGACAGGCTCATCGACGGAAAGATCCTTAACTTCTGAAGCACGGAAGATGATATAATCGTATGGTTCTTGAACTGGTGGAATGAAATCCGGGCCTAGCCTAAGAAATGACAAGTCAATCTTAAGGCCAAACTCGTCACGCTGTCCAGCAAACTATCCCTTACCGCCGATTCTCCGTGCCCATTGAATACACTGCAAGCACGAAGAGTCAGCACACATCTACAAAGAACACGTAGCAGAGTCTCACCATTAGAGAGTTGTATCGTTGAGGCCTGGGCATCGATACCAGCTAGTATCCCCCTGTATCGTACATCTGAATGGGAAATGAGAGCAATTGGTTTCCTGGGTGCCACAGCGGTATGTGAGTTGAGTTGGCCAACCCCTGCGTGGCACCAAGGAGACGTACCCAATGAAACTTTGAGCCATGATGAAAGAAAATAACTAAGAAGGAAGAGCGAAGGTTTTGAAGAAAACTAAGGAAGGATTCGGGTGTTGGGTTGTTGGAAGTTGCGCGTTGTTGGCTGTCTGGAACATTTTTGAATGCGTTGTGTGTGTTCGGCTTTGCATATATTTCTCACGCTTACAATTCCATACTTACATTACAACAGTTCATTCCAATTTGTCAATTATATGCACGAATTCGTTTACAAGTAAAATAGCTGTATGACCGAGCTCATCGCTGATAAACCCTCCCAGAGTTGATACGTTTTGACTCAATGTTCTCCGCGAATACTTGGCAAAACTCTTTCTTGAGATGATACGAATGGTTTCGACTAGATGCCGACTGCTAGACATTGAGTTGGCTAGATGGGGTCCGAGCTGATATGAACAACTGAGCCGTCATCACAAATGACTTTAAATCGGACTGGATAACGACGTTTAGCGCGAACCATGGCAAAGGGGCAAAGGTTCCTTACGAATGGTGAAGGGGACGCCTTTTTCTTTCCTGATACTTGTGAAATACAGGGTTCCAGAGTCTAATGCGGTCAGAATAGTGGTCAGTATATTCACGGAGTGGCTGAACAAATGTACCTTTTGACCCTTTCAAGCGAAGACTTACGTCGACGTTCCCTTGCAGTTGGTTGATCTGCGTTCACAATTATCAGTAGCCGACAGGGGGCATAGAAGTCTGCACTCACATTCCCCTTAATTCTTGGGTCACCGTTCAGCCACCATTCAGGCTGGGGTCGGATGGCTTCTCCAAGATGATCTCTTAGTTCGACACTCTCCTTCACGGAGCGCATGATTTGGCGTACAACCGAGCTCGAAATCTTCTCCTGGTTGGTGATATAGGTCAAAAACGCTGACCAAGCCAGTACACCTCCCGTAACAGCAGCGAGTATGACGGGCCATTTTTTCTATTGAACGGGTTAGCGAGGCAGCAATAGTGGATTGCTGGTGGGTACTTGCCTTTGGTAAAGGGAGATCCCGTGGTTGACGGTAGGGTCGCAACCGTGCAGGGGAGGAGAACGTCTCAACCGATGGTTCAGGACGAGGTCGGTGGGTCTCAGTCGCGTACGCCCTACGAGGAACGCGCAGCGGCGTGTGAGCGTGAGCGCGTCTTGCAAGGAAGGACATGGCGTTCGGGACGAAACTCATTGGGCCTAATAATAGATCCCGAGGTATATAGGCGCCCATAAATCCCGCCTTCTTCATGTCTACGCCATCGCCGTCAGTACGTCCGACTGTCCGGCCTTCTGCCTCGCACACTTCTCAGAGAAATCCGATCTCGGCTCGGCTATACAAACTCCTTGGAACGAGCTTTGACGATAATGCAACAAAAGAAGCCTTGCAGACCTTGTCCGAACTTTACGCGACCCAATCCACAATTACTCCCAGCAAGGGCAAGGAAATCGTACACGACACTTTGGACGATAATGATACCCACGACCTTGAACTCGACGGATTCAGGACGTCACGCGCCAACACATCTCACACCTTGGTAGAGTCCATCCCTGGAGAGACCGCTGCAACGGCACGGAGGCATCTAAAGCGAGACATGGAGAACAGGCTCGCCGAAGGAAGCCACGAGTTCCTTAATGCACTAGGAGAAGTGTCGCAGGTCTGTCCTGCATGCAGATCTTTCTGTCTTCACATATGAACGCGGTGTACAGAGATTACAAGCTCTGCAGCTGCACATTGATATCCTACACGCCAGCTGTGATGAGGCAGAAGCCCAACTAGACGTCACGAAGGAGTCAAGCAAGGCATTGCTTGAACATGCTGGAAATGTCGCCAACGAGAAGTAAGTAAGTTCTACAATACCAACTCAGATCTGCCCTCAATAGGTCTTAGAGAGCAGGTAGAGAACAAGATATCAATAGTGAACTTGTTCCTTGCCAAATTCACGTTGAGTGAAGAGGAGGTCAAGTCCTTAACTTCTAAAGACGTCCACATTGGCAAAGCATTCTTTGACGCCATGGATAAGACAGAACGCATTCGCGACGACTGCATGATCTTGATGAGTGGTGAGGAGGGCCCCACCAAAGTTGGGTATGTTTCTACCTTCTAAACTGCCGAAGTGCAGCTGATAAATGATTTGGAAGCTTAGACATTATTTCCAATACATCAACTCACTTAGAGGCGGCCTATGAGAAGATAGTGAGCTGGTGTTCCTACGAATTCCAGCAAATGGGACGCGAGCCGCAGCTAGAGGTAGGCACGACGATGAGGGAGTCAGTTCGGCGGCTTCGCAAACGGCCAGAGCTTTTGAAGTGAGCTAAAGCACCTTCTTTGTCGCGCTTTATTGATTGAACGGTCGCTAGTGAAGCACTGGGGCAATTGTCAGAGACGCGTCAGACTGCGCTTCTATCATCGTTTATCGCTGCATTGACTAGGGGAGGCCCATCTGGCCTACCTCGCCCCATTGAACTTCACGCGCACGATCCTATCCGTTATGTCGGCGACATGCTGGCATGGGTCCATCAAGGGATCGCGGCCGAACGCGAATTCTTGGAGAGTCTCTTTGATCTTAGAGGTCATCGCCGAATGGTCGGAAGCGTTCGTGACTTCAGTTCTATGAGCGAGGAAGAGGAGTGGATTCGTGAGCTGATGGATTTAGCTGTGGCTAAATTGTGTGTTCCATTGAAAGTCTGTGTCCATTCGTTCGACAGGTTGATAACGTTGTTGATGACTACCTATAGGTCCGGGTACAGCAGACGATACGATCACAAGAAAGCAGCATAATGTCCTTTAAAATCGCGAATCTGCTCCAATTTTACATGTTGACCATGGTTCGCACCATCGGAGAAGGGGCTTTGTTATCCAAAACTCTAAACGAGTAAGTGTTTGCACTTCGGTATGTATCTCGCGCTGAATTCATGGCCCGTAGAATCACCGACGCGGCTTACAAGGTGTTCTATACTGCTATTGAGTCACAAGCCAGCGCCTTGAACCGTGAACATATGGTGTGTACGACGATCCAGTGCGATGACCCAGAGGTTCATGTGACTACTGCCAGAATCTTGACGATACTTCCTTGACACCACCCCTTTCAATACTCGACCACGCACAAATTCTGCGAGAGATCATGAACGTGTATCAATCTTCACTCATTGGCAACGAGGCTGATGAGGAAGAGAAGGCCGCCTTCGAACGCATCGCTGATGTCATGATCGACCCTGCGGTTGAAACATGTATGAAGGCGGGCCAGGAGAAGCAGCGTCTGCGCCCTTCATGGGATCAGCCAATATTTGTCCTCAATTGCCTGACGCATCTTCAAGTATGTAGCCTTTGCCGTAGTTGCATAATCGTGCATTTGATGATGTCTCAATCAGAGTGTCCTCGAAGCCTGCTCGTTCACTATGAAGAAGCAAGCATGGCTGCAGGCCATCATAGATGACCATGTCTCGCAACTGACAGAGGAACACGTCAGTTCCCTTGTTTCTTTGTCGTTCCTAGCTTCGTCTAAATCGCGCTTGCCCACAGTATCACAATCTTCTAGTAGATGCCGGACTGGAGACTGTAATTCAAGCATGCCAGACGAAATCCGCAACGGTGGGTATATCTCAATGGCTAGCTTCGTGTCATATTCACGTCCATTCTTAGGAACCACTGTCTCGTCTCCCTGCCACGGAGCCGGCCATGCTCCAGAGAGCCCTGCAACACTTCTCTGTTTGGCTTTCCGGACTCGAAGTTGTTCAGTCGCCGCGACTCACGCAACTCACTGTCCAACGCCTACACAGCCAGATTCATCACGCGGCACTCAAACGTCTCCTTGAGGCGTACCAACTGCTTTGCGACGAGGTGAAGAAACCTAGCAATAAGTATGAGGCTGCGTCGACGCTCCTTGGCAGCGAGCGGCCATTTGGTCAGGTCAACATCTTGAGACAGATTTTTGGCTTAGAAGGTTGACAAGAGCTACACCGTTTGAGGTACTACTTCGACGTCAACCACTTCACACTCCGAGTTGTACGAATCCCCTCCGAAATGCTGTTGCCTGTATACCCGCAGGATATCAATATAAAATGTCTTGCAACTGGCGTATATGTGCCGGGGAACTTATGATCATCATCCGTTCATTCTAGTGACCGTAGTCGAGATAGTTTGCACAGGGAGTCAGTTCCAAAGCGCATGTCTACATGTCTAATGATGTGCTTCCTTTGCTATCTGAGCAGCGTAGGGGTTGCGGGGGTCCTTAGCAAACTCTGGTGCTGTAAACGGACGTCATGACGGCGGAATTAGAGCTGAATTCTTGCAAACTCACATCGGACAGCAGCATCTTGGAGCTTAGCGACGAGGTAGAAAGTGATGGTACCAGCAGCCATGAACGGCCACATGGGCTTCAAGAACTGTAGTATGCAAGCCGTTGAATGTCTGTTAGGCTGGTATAGTGACTGAAAACTCACGGGCGTGGGCCATTTACGGAGTCCAAGGAAGGCCATTTTACTGAATATGACAATGCAAACTGGATATATTTCAGCTGAGCGTGCAATAAGTAAGTGGAAGGGCGTACCAGTTGCTTCGGAGTGGATTTCAAAGTGTTGGTTTTGAAGAAACGTTCGGACGAGTTCGCACCTTCCAGGCCGTGTGAAAGTCTTTCCCATTCAAGCCATATTCTCCGGCGCCAAAAGACACGGTCATCGCAGTCGCGTTCCACTAGCACACACTGTACCCTGGATTCGTTCCACCTTCTCTGCTTAGCATCGTGACGGAAGGGATATTCCAATGGCCAGTGTACAAGCCCAAGCCGCAAATGCTGCATCGGCCCCTGCTGTATGAATGTCCCTCACTTGCTGGGCTACGCAACTCAACTCACATATTATGACAGTGGAGGCAATTCTCCTTCTTTGATGTGGTGCCAGTCAAGGATGTGCATGACCTTGCTTCACCACCGGAGATATTCAAAGTGCTTGGAAACTCCCTTCGGACTGTTTACTGGGACTGATATTGTCACTCAGAATCCATTCGAAATATCTACGACTGCTACGTCAAGCATCGGAGTCCTGGTCGCCGATTTGCATGGCAGCATTCATATCCTTGACAAGCATTTCGAGATTACCAGAAGTTGGGTTGCTCACGTCGGCGGCAGAGTCACGCACATGTCAGAACGCAAAGGGGTATTGATATCTATGGGAGTGAGTAAGTTCGGACGGCGACTGCCTGATCTTTGACAAATATTCTAGGAAGAAGACTCCGTGAAGTCCCCTCTGCTGAAGATATGGGACCTAGGTAGCAATGATAAAAAGACCGGCGCTCCCCTACTACTCCGATCCGTAAAGATTCAACCAAGCAATCGTCCGCATCCGGTGCGTGGACTTATCCAAGACTTCGAGATAACTTGCTGATACTTAGCCACCAAGGTTACCACTATCGCCCTGTCGGCTTCCCTCTCGCACCTAGCCATTGGACTTGCTGATGGAACAGTTCTCTTATATCGGCACCTGGACCAGTCCGTCTCCTCTTCTTCGAACTTGACTGCTGTGCCTAAACCTCGAACCGTATTCGAGTCCTCCACTGAGCCCATAACTGGCCTCGGCTTCAAGGAACCAACAGAGGAAACCAATAGCCTCTATCTCTTCATCGTCACTACAAATCGAGTGTTGTCCTACCAAGCCAGTGGTCGAGGGAGCGGAGGCGCCCCTGTAGTCATAGACGAAGTTGGTTCTGCGCTGGGGTGTGCGACTGTCGACTGGAGAGCAAGTGATATTGTCGTGGCTCGTGATGAAGCTATCTACATCTGTGGAACGGAGGGCCGAGGTGCCTGCCTCGCGTACGAAGGTACTCAACATCACAGACACCGCCCAGCTCGCGCTAATCATTTGTTTGTAAGGACACAAGTCGTTTGTACTCACGCATCTCAATTACCTTGTTATGATTTCCCCTCCTATGGTGCCTTCTGCTTCGGCTGCATCCGCTACCGTGAGGCACGTCGCGCGAGCCGCCAACTCTGTCGACTCCGAGATCACAAAGGTCACTGTCTTCGATCTCGAGAACAAATTTGTTGCTTTCTCTGGTACCTTCACTCAGGGTGTTAGCAGAGTATTCTCTGGGTATAACAAAATATATGTTCTACTCACTGATGGCCAGGTACGTGGTCCCATCCCGTTTCATCCCGCCCCTCATAATGGTCCGCCCAGCTATCTACTCTTGAAGAGAAGCCGACCTCTACAAAATTGAACATGCTCTACAGCAAGTCACTCTTCGTGCTGGCTTTGAGTCTAGCCAAAACGCAGGAACTCGATGAATCCAGTGTAGCCGATATACACCGACAATACGGGGATCATCTATATACGAAAGGCGACTACGATGGTGCTATGTCCCAATATGTCAAGACGCTAGGTAACCTGCAGCCCAGCTATGTCATCCGCAAGGTGAAATCGCTTCTCATAAATCAATGCAAGGTTTCCTGACAGGTTTGTTAGTATCTGGACGCTCAAAGGATCCACAATCTCGTTACTTATCTCCAAGAACTCCACTCAATTGGGCTCGCGAACGCTGACCATACCACCCTTCTGCTTAACGCGTACACGAAGCTCAAGGATGTCTCGCGTCTCGACAATTTCATCAAGACTGAATCTAAGCGTGACTCGGACGACCTTGATGAACTACCTTTCGATCTCGAAACGGCTATCCGAGTATGTAGACAAGCTGGGTACTTCGACCACGCTTCCTACTTGGCAAGAAAGTACGAACGTCACGAAGACTATCTGCGGATACAGATAGAAGATGCTGGGAACTACAAGGAGGCCCTTCTCTACCTCCGTAGGCTTGGGCCAGAAGCTGTCAGTCCTCCTTTCTTCAGCCTTATATTTCTACCTTCTGACCGCATCCGAAGGCAGAGAACAGTCTCGCTAGGTATGGTCGAGCGATGCTAGGAAGTCTGCCAACGGAGACAACGCAACTTCTTATTGATCTTTGCACGTCATCCATGCCTTTGTTGCAAGAGGTTGAAACATCTTCGGATAAGCCCACGAACTCGACGCCGTCTTACCTCTCCTACCTTGCGTTGAACCGCAATTCTGTCGTAGTGCCAACTATAGTCTCCTCTGATACTGCTGTACCACCATCACCGTCAATCAAAACTGTCTGGCCAGGCGAGACAGTATCCCGTCGGGGGTCTGTACATGCTGTTTCCCGCCCAGACACGCCACCTGCTTCTTCATCTCCCGTATCAGTCAAGCCTCCGCGCTTGAACCCTATAAAACGGCCTTCCCCTCGGTTATACTTTGCCCATTTCGTCGACCATATGGACCACTTCATTATCTTCCTTGAGACTGTTGCCACTCTACGATGGGGCCAAGCGATCAAGTCAGACGGCACGATTTCAATAGTAGCTCCTGATCCACCTCCTGGTGATGGTCTCCCGAATGAAGAACTAGAAGCGGCCGACCAGACGGCTGTCTGGAACACGCTGCTCGAGCTTTACTTGACTTCTGAAGATGGGACTAACCTTCGGCCAAAAGCATTGGGCGTACTCAAAAGCCAGTTACCTTTTGATCCCACTCATGCACTCATCCTATGCTCAAGTCACGCTTACACACCTGGTCTTGTTTTGCTATGGGAGAAACTCGGCATGTACGAGGATGTCCTGCGGTTCTGGATAGACAAGTGCAATGAAGGTGAACCTGAGGCCTCTCGAGAAGTTCTCCGCCATCTCGACATATACGGAAAGGATCACCCTTCCCTATACCCCCTCGTCCTGCGGTTCTTGACCTCCACCCCCGAGTTATTATCTAAGCATGTGGATGATCTGAAAACCATCTTGGACTACATCGACAAAGAAAAGATTATCCCTCCTCTAGGCATTATCCAGGTCCTGAGCAGAAACGGAGTTGCGAGTGTTGGTCTAGTCAAGTCATGGTTGGTCGGCCACATCACAAGCTCGCGAGAACAGATTCACCGGGTATGCATCAGCTTACATTTCCACCGAAGTAAAAGTACTCATGGGAAACTCAGGATCAAGACTGGACGAACTCCTACCGCCTGGAGACGCAATCCAAATTGCAGCAGGTGAAGGAACTCTCTGACATCGACCAGCCGAGGGTTTTCCATGTTACTCGCTGCTCGTCATGTGGAGGACAGTTGGATCTTCCTAGCGTCCACTTCCTGTGCAACCATAGCTATCATCAAAGGTATGCGTAGTTTGCCATGATACTTGGATCGATACTGACGCTTGATCGGTAGGTGCCTAATTGATCAGGATACAGAATGTCCTAACTGCGTGCGGGAGCACGGTGTCATTCGCGAGATCAGGCAGAACAACGAGCGCCTCGCTGCCCAACATGACATATTCTTATCTGAGGTGCAGGAAGATGGCTTTTCGGCGGTGGCCTCCGCCTTCAGTCGAGGCTTTCTGAATATGAACAGAGCGGAGGACATTAGCGCATCGTCATAGCTATCAAATCTTCCGATGCTGTTATTTATTCCTGGAGTATCTTACATGCTGAATTAATACACATTATACATACTTTCGACAAAGCTGGTTCTAACATTCATTTCCCGGAGTCCTTGGGAGAGTTTGGGGATTCTGGAGGAGGAACACCCCATTCTGGCAAGCCTTTTGGACGCTTTATCCGTTTGGATTCCCATTCGTCGTCCGAGGCGGCACTCAAACGCTGTCATCCTGTGGTGAATAGAAGTCAAGCCACCGTGGAATAGTCTCCACTCACGAAATACTCTTCTCGGATGTCGAATTTCTTGCGCTTTTGATCAAGCCGCAGTTCGTCCGCTTTGTTCATCTATTTTAAATGTTTCTAGCGTATACTCCGGACCAGCTGCAGTATAAGCGGACCTGTTTCACCCGTTGGTCTTGCAAGTCGTACCGCGTTTGAGTGAATGGAGTGAGCATGAACGATGCGCCGACCATGAGCAACACAAACGGAACGCCGAACAGCCCGGGATATTTTCTAAGCAATTGGCTCATAGGAGTCTTGTTGACTGGGTTCGACGGAAAGACAGCCATCGCTGGGACTGACAGAAATCTGCGACTGTCTCAGAATAGAAGTCGGCCAACGAATAGGATCACTCCAACGCGTTCTGGTCAAAATTCCCACGGTTAACCCCAACCTCAGATTTTTCGTTCTTGTAACGCGCGCCCCAACCGTTTCTCCGACATTGTCCTTCTTTCTTTCTCCCCTCCATCATCCCGACATGGCTTCATTGGCTCGGATACGGCTGCCCAGACGACTTGTAAGACATTTTGCGACGTTTCGTGGTGGTCGTTCCTCACGTGTTCCCTAGCCTTTCGCGGTGCGCGCCATCCAAACGTCGGCGGACACGACGGAGCTGCACCACGCCCCCTCCGACCCGTCTCACCCCATGACAGTCAAGCTTCATGAGGATTCGTTTCGCGCATACCAGTGTGATGTTCCAGAGCTGGAGGTGCAGGTCACCAAGGATGATCTGTTGACTATGTACAAGCAAATGCAGACCATGCGCCGTATGGAAATGGCAGCGGACGCTCTGTACAAAGCAAAAATGATTCGGGGGTTCTGTCATTTAGCTATTGGTCAGGTGTGTTACCTCTTTTTTCTTCGAATACCACGTTGCTCAGTGTATATAAACAGGAAGCTGTTTCTGTCGGGCTCGAGCACGGCATAACACCTACGGATAAGGTCATTACTGCCTACAGATGTCATCCTTTCGCAGTTCTACGCGGCGGCACCATCAAGGGTGTTATTGCTGAGCTCCTTGGCCGACAAGGTGGCATGTCACACGGCAAGGGCGGTTCTATGCATATCTTCACCCCAACATTCTTTGGCGGCAATGGTATTGTCGGCGCCCAGGTCCCTGTCGGCGCTGGCATCGCTTTCGCTGAGAAGTATCTCGAACGACCAAATGCCACGTTTGCTATGTACGGCGATGGAGCGAGTAATCAAGGCCAGGTCTTTGAAGCCTTCAACATGGTAAGCTCAAACCAAGGCCAATTTTTTCTATTCTATATTTACCTTTTCCAATGTATAGGCTAAGCTATGGAACCTTCCTTGTGTCTTCGTTTGCGAAAACAACAAGTATGGTATGGGTACGTCTGCGGAGCGTAGTTCTTCGAACACCGAGTACTTCACTCGTGGAGACAAGATCCCAGGTATTCAGGTGTGTGTGATTTATGCCCTTCCGCGTTATCTGCTCTGACGTAGAGTAGGCTAATGGTATGGACATTATCGCCGTGCTTCAAGCCGTGAAGTACGCACGCAAGTGGACTGTGGAGGATAAGAAGGGTCCATTGCTCCTTGAGTTCGTTACGTACCGTTATGGCGGACACTCGTGAGTGTTATTTCTCCCTTGATAAAGATAGACCCTCATGGCGGCGTAGGATGTCTGATCCAGGAACCACTTACCGTACCCGTGAAGAAGTACAGAGGATGCGTAGCACGCAAGACCCCATCCGCGGCCTGCAACGGTACATTGAAGAGTGGGGTCTGGCCTCTGAACAAGATCTCAAGGTCAGTTTGATCCTCTTCAGTCATTCATTTCATTCACGCCTCTATCACTTTAGCAACTTGATAAGGCAGCCAAGGCCGAGGTTGATCAGGCCGTAGAAGAAGCTAAAACCTCCCCCGAACCCCAGGCTAAGGACCTTTGGACCGATATCTACTACAAGGGCACAGAGCCTCCCTACATGAGAGGTCGTGAACGCGAAGAGGTAAGATGACTCTTCCGTATCTAAACGCCGTCAGCTGACAGATGTACTTAGGTCCACCAGTACTGATTTGCTATTCATTGTTCGCCGCTATCGCACTATTTCCCTCTAGATCCGATACTATTTTTGGAGAATAATATTAGACTCGCACTTATCGATTGATGCTCATTCGGACTGTTTGCATCTCTTGCCAATGGCTTCAGTGTTGTTTGCGACTTCGCTTCCAAGTTAAATGGTATCGATGCTATTACCTTGGCTTGTAGAAGCGTCGAAGGGTGAGTGGCGGACTTCAGTGTATGTGATAGTGACACACGTTATCTCTCGCCAAGGAGATAACGTTACGGAGCTTCGTTGGTCTGTCCCAGGACTAACTCGAAGCGCCAGCGGTCCACAATTCTGTATGCCGAATAGAGTGTGCCCGGTCGCCCTGTCTATTATGCTCCATATATAAGGCTCGGGGCTCCTGCTCCATCAGCCTAACTCTCATTACTACCAATCCTTCACCAGCATTTTCCCATCATGGCGTTCAATATTCGCGAAATATCCAATCTTTCAGGTACTCTCCTCATATTTGTCTTCCATGCCCTCAAGGTTGAGCTCTCACTGCGACGATATCCAGAAGCGAAGCTCACCGAGTTGTCGGTCTTGGCTGCGGCTGCTTTCGAAGGTGGTCAGTACTTTCATGGGCATTTTCCTAGGCCTATGGGGGTATGATGCCTCCGCTCACCAACCTCCAGATGGATTCTTGTTGGCAGCTGTTGGCAGCGACCCGACATTGAACGTTTCTTATCACCGCGCTCAGATGATTGCTGCCACCATGGCTGGTAAAATCGTCGTGGCGGAGGACGCTCAAGACGGGAGCGTCGTTGGTGGTCAGTCCTCCTTCTATGTCGCTCACGAGACAGTGTTTGCCTGACGTCATGCAGTCGCGTTGTGGTTCCCACCTGGGATCACTATGTTTGCAAGGTGACCTCAGTGCCCAAGTACACCCGGAGACTGATATGTTCTGCTGGTTAGCGAGGATCAAGATAGGATTGCGTTTCAGCCATTTATAACGAAGTGTCCCCCTTCAATCCAGACTTGGTGGAATGACCACGTACGTCTCTGCATCGTTCTCCTGCCCATGGTATATTGATGGAGACACCAGTTTTTGGTGGAACACCCCAAGTCATGCCAAAGAATGTTTGGGCGAAATTGGTTCAACAACGCTTGGCAACTTGAATTACTGGCGATTGCGCCAGGTCATCAAGGCAAGGGCATTGGATCTGCCCTTGTTCGTGATGGTCAGCAGAGAATCTTTAAGGAGCGAAAACTGATATATCTTGATACCCAGAAGGAACAGAACGTACGTGGGCTCTATTTGCGTTCTATTGACAACTCTTGTCGTCGCAATTGTGTCTCAAAGCATAGCAGGTTAGGTTTTATCAGCGCCTTGGCTTCGTTCTCCGTGGTAAATACGAGTTCAATAGTAATAGCGGAGGGTTTCCTTTGTTTTGCATGACCGCCGCTCGATATACCCTCTGAACACTTTACTCGCTCGCGCGAGTTGTATCCCCATACGCACGAGGACATGTATCGTTTCATCATTCACATATGTACTCTCACTAGTGTCCACTTTGTACATAGATCAACTCGGCCCACTTATAACAATATCTCTACGACTCCGCGGCGTTTGGACGTAACCGAGAACAATTTCCCTTCAAAGCCAATTGACCCTCCTTTAAGTGCAATCATGTCAGAGTTGGGCTCTTTAACACCCAACGCCCTCTCCAGATTAACCGCCACCAACTCAATAGCTTTCGCAGTGTCGATATATCCTCCTGAAGAGACTCGAGCCTGAATAATAGCCAACCAAGATGTATATCAATCAGCGATGTATATCAATCAGCCTTATCACGATCATCCGATAAGTTATCAGAGATTGACATACCCATTCAGCATCAAATCTTGCGTTGCGCGCATCGAAGTCATCGACAGTCCCGAGACCCACGTTGATACCCTGTCTCAAGAGATATGAGATCTGCGTGTCAGAAGTGAGAGGTGGGCCAGGTAGTCTATAGCGTCGCGGCAGGTCAGCTTACTGCAAGATGTAGGACATTATTGTGTGCAGCGAGCTTACATTCTTCTCTTATCCCAATCAACCGGAAAGGGCCTAGATGGGGTGAGTATGACGCTGATATTCTCTTTGGCGATGTCGTCGGCTAGGAGGTGGGCTTCTGTACCACCAGCGAAGGTGAATCGTACATTTTGCCCAGTGGTCTCATGGTATTCACGCTTCAGTTTGATCAAGGTGGCCATGATGTCAGCGCTATCCACATGGATAACGACAAGGGAATCCTAATCGGGGTGTCATCTTGTGCTTTTCTCGATATTGAGCGGGGGCAACATACCGCTGATTGTCGTTCGCCGGCGGATTCCAGGAGAGACCGCCTTAGGGCCGCGATCTGAGTGCTTACACTGATGTCAGTCTGGTGTGTGATGCTCATATGTAGAGCAGTCGTATTTTGAATAACTGCCCCTTGCTCAAGGGCATTTCTAGCAGCCGTTGAGAACGCTGTCGCGAACCCGAACACGAATCTAGATCCAACAGGGGCAACAATTGCTTGGGTGACCCCGCCTCGATACGCCAACCTTCCAGAGCATAAGTGTTAGAAAGCGATGCAGGAGATCGGTCCAACTTACAGAGTGTTCCTCCCTCCAAATTGCAGACCATCTTCGGCGTGCACGATTGTTTCCAGTGGACCGCCCAACAAAGGCGGGGTCGCCGAAAATGGATCAACGGCATTGCCGTCATTCGTTGTTGGCTCTTGCGCAATTTCTGTCAATCCGATGGAGGAACCAAACGTCGTTAGGCCAGGAAGAATTACCCCGCCTTCGAGGTCTATCTCCTCGAAGTCTTCCGGATTGAATCCGTCTCCTCGTAGGGAGACAGTACACGACCCAGACACACCATGACAAAGTACACTCCCGTCACGTACGACCACATCCCACACCTTCGTTTGTTCGCCTTTTTGCGCATTCTCCGGGGGTGGGAACCATCTCTTCACCCTATCACCGTCTCGGATATACCCAGTTGAAAGATTCTTCAACACAACGACCTTTCCCCTGATAATGATGGAGGCTTCCAAAGGCGGCAATCCCTCGCTCTCTACTGCCTCCCTCGCTTCCTTTTCAAAGTCAGGTGTTTTGGGAGGGACCTGGAGCTCTTCTGGTTTGATGGTAGGACGAGAATCGTTAATTTGGAGGATCCCATCGATGTATACACGCTGTGGCGTCGCTCCTAGAGTCAATGGATGAGAATCCCAGACGACGATGTCTACCGTAGATCTTGGTAAGAGTTGACAGAATCCCAAAGGAAAAGTACGGTATACCTGCATCATATCCTGCATCACATGTTGATCAGACAAGGAACATCGAGGACTAAAAGCGCTCGAACCTTCAGATATATAACCGAGCCTATGCCCCAGACCTGCAGCCTTCGCTGGGGTTGTAGTGACGGATTCAAGCGCCTTTGTGAAGTTCAACCCGTAGAAATGTGCTTGTTGTGCTTCATAGAGGAGATAGCGGCTGTTCAACACTGGGTGATCCGACTGAACGGGAGAGCGAAAGAGTGATGAGCTTGAAAGTTAAAGGAACGGGAGAGGAGTAGAGCGTACCTTCATGACGACAGGTATATCGTGGGCTGCTAGCACCTTAGGCGCGAATTCTGAGTTCCTATACGCTTCCCGCTTCTTCCTATTGTCATACGAAAGAGTTGGTATTACAACAACGAATCAAAGACGTTAGATTGGTATTGCACCTTGCATTTGCAGCGAACAAGGCTGTGGCAGGTGCACCTCCCTTACGAAGAACGTTAGCACGATGTCACAATAGGGTGGTAGGTAATAATAGAGCACCCATGTCCGCCGTAGGAGTTCAGGCACAAGGTATGTTTCACCAGTGTGATGCAGAGATGCGATAGGAAACTTGAACTCGTTCGACAGCTTGAAGTCCGGCGTTAGCCATCCACATTTGACATCCTGTTAACGACAGGCGCGCACCCGAACAATCATGTCCAAGTCCACCGCCTGTGAATAGAGAATACTGGGTCAGTTTTCGGTGTTTGCTTCGAAAAAGGAACAATACCTCATAGCAGTGTATGGATAGCTTGACCCTTCCCCTTAGGACATCCACAAGCGCCTCCGTCTCCAATGGGCTTTCAGGAAACTCTTCTTCCGCCCTGCGCAAATCACCATTGAGTAACTGACTGCAAAATTCATCTTGCTGATCCTTGATCTTCTTGGCCTCATTATAGGCGTTTCTATACGCCCACGCTGCATCCATACGAGTGAATCCGTATCTACGATCGGGGTTCTCTCCGCACGCGTGTCTGGAAAGAGGGTCATCAGTGAATCATGGCTAATGGGGACAAAGGCCGTCGATCTTATGGAATGTCGAGGAAGTGAAACTGACTTCATATGTCTCCATCTTGGCCTCGCCTGGAAATCCCAATCGCCGTCTCCGTATCTCGATCCATTCAGAAGCGTATAAGGAGGTTCAACGACCTTTGATATGACTGAGCGTTCATTCGTCGGGCGAAGCTTGATAACGAAGGATTGACCTCCTGTTATCTATCAATTACTACCGTCCAAAGCTAAAAAGAGACTACACGTACCGATGTTATTGGCGCTGCCAGGCAACACTTGTGCAGTTGTCACACCACCTGCCATGACCAGGACATACGATTCATCGTGTGTATTGAGCCCGTCAATGCTCCGGAGGAACGGTAAAATAGGCCCATTATGTGAATTTCCGTCTGAGGCCCCTGCACAACAGAAGTCAAATATAGGGGATGGAAAGGGGCTTTCAGAGGGAAGAGACATACCGCTCAATTGAGGCAGGCTCGAAACCCCAATGTGCGAGTGCAAATCCACCAGTCCAGGGGTGATCCAGGCGCCTTTGACGTCTATCACCTCCGTTTCCACCGACTCACCATCTTCTTGGTCTTCTCTAACATCCTCCAGACGAACCACAACCCACTCCCCACCCCCCTTGATATCATCCCCCTCCACATGCGTTGTATATCCTGAGTGAACGGGAGTAGGCTTCGTGTATGCAGTGATTGATTTGATGACGCCTTCACCGAATACCACGTCCCCTTGGATGACCTCCGTTCCATTAAGCCTCCCCGTCCAAACCTTCCCATTCTTCAGCTTGATGTATTTCTTCCTCTTGTTGAGTTGTTCATCTTTCGAAGGCTCATACCTATCCGATCGCGATCGCGGCGGTGGTTTGATTCCAGGGACTGGCGCGTCAGCGGTTGGAGGGAGATTGTTGAGAGATTTACAACGAGCAATGTTGGTGTTCTTCCGGGCGTGGTGGAGTTCCTTTAGATTAGAGTTTGTTTTCCGGCGCAGTGCAGAGCTCCAAGGTGATTCAGGCGCGAAGATCACCCAAACAAATAACAGCAAGAATGTCCACGACAAGGCTAGGACAATAGCGCGAACGGCATTGGGATTTCTTCGTCGATAGAGGGACGGTCCGTGTGTAAATGGCTGATACAAGTTGTACATCGTTTGCGCTGTGTCCTTTATTAAATTATTCAATCTAAGTCTCGCCTCGCTACCGAGGTTTGTGAAAGCACTTACAGACAGGTCAGCCTCTCAACACTTCAAGGCCCAATCAGTGCTTGTCCACTTGCCTCAAAGACAAAGCCCAACGATGGGACTATCCAACGAGTCGAGCTTTAGTGGCCTCCACATAAGCGTGACTTCCCAGACCACTTTCTCCCACCAATCCATATGTCGCCATCCGCACCCATGTGGGCCATGAGAGGCATCACGACCATTTTAAGGCCGTCATGAAGCAGACGCACTGGGGGGAGCCAGGTGCTTCGGCATCGAGTATTCCTGATGGTCCAAGAGATCGGGACTTACGAGATGTAATGCCGAGGCCGGGAACAGTCAGTCACATACATATGCTCGAGTGAGTATGGGACTCGGAGTACTCACTAAAGCGCTCAAATTCTAGTCCTTGACTGGGATCGTCGTCGCAGAGTTCCTGTATAAACAATTATAATGCTTATTACTGTTCGTGTTCCCCAACGTTCCAGTGATCATCACAAACCGTCGGTAGGGTTGGCTGTGTCTGCAATTCCTATTTGCAATTCCACGCCATCTGGAAGTTTACCGTGATGGTCTACTTATAGGCTTATGCTGTTGGGCGCCAAGAGGTGTCTCCTAGTGTTCTCCTAGTGTTCTCCCGGCTGAGATGGTGGTCAGTGTGTTGATAGGCGGTGTTAACGAAACCTATTTGCCTGGTCACATCTCGAGTCTCGGTTCACAGGCTCTTACCCCTGTCTCTCACCGAACCTCATTCTCCCCCAATTCTCCCCTCCGTCTCAGGCTCTCTCGAATTTGTCGCTCTGGGTATGATCTGCCCCTCAAAAACATAGAAGCACCTGGCGCTCGCTTGATGCCGTCGGGTTGATCTAACCCGTCAACTTCCCTACAACATCATCGTTCAAATTCGCTGAATCCGACTTTCCGAGGCCTAATCTACAAGAAACCCTGGTGCAATGCGCCGCGGCATGGCGTACTTTCCTCCTCTCAATTCCGTGCATGCTGCTCAGGAGTCAGGTCGCCCTGCAGTGTCGCCGTGGTATGTCGGTCGTACATGCTGGCAGATTTAAATAACACGAGAATCAGAATCTCAGAATCATTAATGGAAGAAGACGAAGACCATCTCGGCTGAGACTCGTTCCTATCTAAATTCTGGGGTGGATATGGCATCAATTACAAGGACTGTCAATATTAGCTCGAACATCCCCGTGGAGAAGTAGAGCTGTACCAACTAGTGACGGTGCCACTATACAACTCGAATCGAGCAAAACCAATACTCCTGTGGTCTAAGTATACTTACAGTCACCGCTTTGCTCTATTGAATATGACCCTTTACCTCGAGACTCTTTACCTCGAGACTTCATGTCCATTGGACCCAACAAGTTGGCGCATGAGCGGCGAGCCCTGCTGGGATGGTCCACCTTGGTCGGATTGGTGGCGCTATTTCAGTAAAGCAGTGGAAGTACATAACACGGTGGAAGATGTACCTGCAGTAAAGGAAGCACAACAGGTGAGAATGAATTGCCGGAGCGCTGGTAGACCGCCGTTTGGCAGCCTCGCATCCCTGAGGCTGAGATACATTAAACCACTGCTGTGGCGGCATTGTGGATGCTCTGAAAATAATAAGAAGTGAGTCCCTGCTCCTAACATAACATATGAGCCTTGTGTGGGCATTAACCGACTCCATGGTGCTAGTGATGGTGACGAGCAGGCACGTACGCTGTATAGATACATAACTGGACGTGCGATAAACTCAAGCTCTTTCCTCATACACAATCCAGGATGACGCGAAATCTCAGCGAGCTCGGGCGCAAGATAAGTATGTATAGTAGGCACCACCACCGCGGCGATGTGCTGCAGTTGACTAGAACAGCTTCGAATGTCAGAATATGTGGCGTAACGTGTAACTTTGTCTTCACGCCTTGACGTTACCGTGTGGATGCACAGCGCATGGAGTATGCGAACAATGATAGTGGTATTACCACCGAAAATTTCGAAGCTTCGAGCGTCAGGGAAGACGTTGGTGTAGCTTGGCTACTGCTTTGCGGCCGATAGCTATCACTGAACCAGTAAAATGGGGCTGGGAGGCCTGACGCCTGCACCTGCAGGATATCAGGACATCACCGGTATGACATTGATCGTGGAATCGTCCCCAGTGGGATTTACCGTGCGTCTTCTTCTCGCAGACTTCATCTAGTTCCTGACAACACGCGTGGGGAAGCTGGTAGTGTGCATCTGCCGCAGGGCGCCGCAGGCTAACTAGAAGTCTGGACCTATAGGTACAGTACGGGACTGCGTAAACACCAAGTCCGTTCAGGGGCAGGGGTAAATATAGGAGTATGCGTGGCCGAGGACAGATCGAGCAGGCTACTCTAAATGTTCCCATTGGGCCTATTCAGAAAATGCCGACGGTAACTTGAATTCCTGAGTAGTATAGGTTAGCAGCGAGTAACCAACGACTATATCATAGGTGTGTAGGATCCAATCAAAAAATCCAGACTACTAGTCATTTCTTAGGCTCCGAGCTTTCATTACATGGAATGAAAAGGGGTGGTATTTTACCGTGGATGAACCATAAAGACCGTGAAATGCCAGTCATGACCTCAGCAGCAGTCGCGCCTCCGCCCGGAAAGTAAAGGAAACCCTCCCCGTGGGCCGTGACTCGGAATATCTCTGCTGAAACTCGTTTCGAGGGCGACAACCCTTTGGCGACCTGAAGCCCGGTAAAGCCTCTTGATTGGTACGATTACAATTATGACGATATCGTCCGATGATTGATGATTGACGATATCCGATCTACGTTCCTTCTGCATAGAACACGGGGAAAAGGGCAGACTCGGGACCTCTAAATACAACAAGCCTTCTTCGGGTTCTCAGTGTCATTTAGGCCACCATCATGATATGACAAGCATCGAATCGACGCTGCATCTGCACAGCTGCACGACTTCATCAATGCATCATCTTTTCCTTCACACCCAGGCTTCCTCCAGCGTCCTTCTTTCCCTGCAGGCAACCTCCCTTCTCCCTTCCCCTTCCCCTTCCCCTTTGCCTTCACCTTCTCTCCGGAATCACTATCTCAAATTGTTGGGGTGCAAACTGTGAGTCTGTGACTCCGAAGAAGAAGGAGTTCTATGAGTAGCGTGTAGTACCAATATGGATGTGTATATGAGCTGCTGATGCTGATGTTGCTGTATAGTGTACGAGATGCTGTCTGATGCCACCGATGTGCTGCGTGTGCGTGGTCAGCCTCTCAGCCTCTCAGCACTCTCAGCCTTCTCAGGCCTCAGAACTTTGTGCCGTCTATCTGATTGGCTGGCACAAATGAGATGATGTATTGTGTGTCCCTGACCGCACCACGCAGAATCCCAGGTGCCCAGGTGCCCAACGCGTTAGCCCAGCGGAATTACTTCATTTCGGCACCTAAGCACATAGAAACGTTGCCACCATCTACATGCGGGGGAATCCCTGCACCTTTCGACGTCTAGACGTCTGGCCGTTGCCAGTGCTAGCACGAGTGCAGCGTGAGTGCGCGTATTAGGAAGCCCAAGATGATTTTAATGGGTGGGCTGTTGCAACGGCATAATCAGAGCCATTCGATGGTGTTCGGCTTCTCTGTAATGATGCTAATGGCTTCCACTTTACGCTTCCGTTACAGCACTGATACAGCGTGGTCGGCGCCACATCTCAGGCTATGTATCTGCGATAATGTATTTGTCTAATATCGCGATTCATTACCATGCCCGTCCCCGAGCTCACGTCTGTAGGTTACCAACTGACAGGCCAGTAAATCCACGGAGCCATGCTCATAGACGCTATTCCAATTTCCAATTTCCAGCTACAAACCCCAAGTAAACGCATCCACTCACCCAGAATCAACATCAGAATATTATCCACCGTGATCGCCGTACACACAGCGAGTGCAATTATACCCCTACCCGTTGCTGCGGCCAGCCGTAAGTCCTAAAAGCTTGAGAACCCGTCCCAGCATCAGCGAGATCAGGGGTTCAGGGTAGCCTCAGGGATGGGCCGTTGAGCGACCTGCGACCTGCGAGAAGAGGAAGGCTGAAGAGCAGGATACTTCCGAGAAGCCAGAGGCGCGTCTAGTCCTCAAGCTCAAGCTCAAAGCTAGGGACCTGCCCCGATGCATCGAGTGTCGGTTTAAATATACACGCGTATACGATATACGTAGTGCGGTCGCTCACTCGCAGGCATTCAGGACTCTGTAGTGCGCATGAGTCCAGGAAGGTGCATCGGGTCGCAGCAGGCCGGCAAGACGCGGTGCGCCTTCGCCCACAGGTCCCCCTCCGCGGGTGCGGCAGATATACAGTGCATTATTTCGGTTCGAAGGGAAGCACGGAAGGCAGGAATTCGGTACAGCCATGACTCCGGGTCTGCTGGGGCTCTGGGTGAGTGCGTACTCGCACTCCCCAAAGGATACATTGGGATATGTCGTGGCCTCATGATCCATGATGCCATGGCCGAATACATGCTGGGCCACGAAAACGGCGCTAGAACTCCCGGCGTAACACACGCTCTCTTCCCCAGGAAGTCGCCCAATGCCACTGCACACACACACACTATAACTATACTCATATACTCATATACCCATATACCCACCCACCCCACATGCGGCGAATCGTGATGCAGAAGTCTCGCAGGAGTGCAGGCGTGCAGGATGCAGGATTGCAGCCTTGGAAGGACAGGCGGCCGGAAATAACCTGTCCACCGCGCGCTGGTCGCAGTGGCACTGACTGACTAACTGGCTGCAATCGCAATCGCAATCGCCACGACGCGCAAAGATAGCGATGGGCGTCCGTATATGGGGATTCTGTCTCCGACGGCACTGGAGAGACGACGTACTGGGCGAACTGAATGGCCAGGCCCACAGGGGACGATCTCTCAGCAGTACTACTGCCATGCATCCATTGGTATATGGCCGTGATGATCAAGTGATGTACTCGTACTTCTTTTTTCCATTGTACACCTCCCTCCGCATTATCTACTAACCGCACCGTCGGCGTCCCCTTGTGAATTGCAAATCGAAAGTCGAACGATTGTATTATCTACCACAGAATACACATCTCCGAATTCATACAGAATACACCACTACCGCTTTACCGAAGCTCTCAGACGCTCTTGGGAACGCAGGAGGTACACAGGAGCAATTCAGGGGATAAGAGGGTACCAGGGGCATCTCAGGAGAACTCCTATCTCCCTACGTCGCTCCTCGTTCCTTCCACCTTCCAGAGCTCCAAACCAAAAATCTCCATCCAAAAATCAATACCCCAAAAGCCAAATAAAATAAGCATACAAATTTCCAATGTCAGAAACTACGATCAAGCCTAACGTACAACTACACACTACGTTATACCTGCTACTTTTCTTCTGCTCCTTCCTACGTACTACTTTTCGGTGACATTATCTATACCTATACCAATACCTGTACCTATACCTACTATACCTATACACTACCAACTAGTGCAACAGTGCAACAGTGCAGCGTCCGGATCCCCTCGCGTGGATGGACCCCCAAGACCCAAGACCAAAAAACCCAAAATACGAGCGAGCGGTGAGAGGTGGCATGTAGTGCGGATGGCAACGGGAGGTGGGATGGGATGAGATGAGGGGTGAGGGGTGAGATGAGGGGTGAGGGGTGAGAGGTGAGGGTGAGGTGAGCGGTAAAGTGAGAGAGTGGGAGAGTGGGAGAGTGGGGAGTGAGATGGTAAGGCGAGCAGAGCCGACGGGGAAATAAACGGGATGGTAGAATGAGTAGAGAAATGGTGACTACGAGTGACTATACAGTGGATAGTGGATAGTGGGTAGTGCCTGTTCGATACATCGATGATATGATATGATATGCATGGGTGAGTGAAAGTGAAACCGACGATGATGAGTGAAATGGATAGATGAGCGGAAAACGATGAAATATGAATAATTGCTGCTGCTGCTGTTTCTGTTTCTGTTTCTTCGTCGTTCCCCCTCTTGAGGAGACTGGGAACTGAAAATCGTTCTTTCGTGCGTGCGTGCGTCATGGTTGAGCGTCGAGCGTCCGTGTCATGTCTAGTGTTTGCGGATTTTCTCCATCGACCAGCGACGCGCGAAACCATAGATACCCCCCTCCCCTCTCCATCCCTCCTCTCCTCTACCCCTCCACAAGAAGGCATTCACCTCTTCCTCTTCCCCGTCCCTCCTCCCGCCGCTCCCACACCCCCGCCCGCATTTCCGTTCGCACTCGCAGTCCCTACCCCGCCACTCACGCCATTCCCAAGCCCTCCCGCAGCAGCAGCCCCAGTCGCCCCCGCCCCCGCCCCCGCCCCAGCTCCCGCCAGCCCCCCAAGCGCCCCAAGCGCCCCCAGCGCGCTCCCGCCCATCCCCCTCTGCATATCCTCAATCTCCGCCGCATCGCTCTTCCTCTTCCGCCCCTTCGTCGCTTTCGGCGACACCGGCGCCGGCGCGGGCGCGCTCTTCGCGGGGAGCGCAGGCGACGAAGGCGACGCAGAGGGCGACGCCTCGATGCCCTGCATACCACTCAGACTCGACACGCTCGAGATACTGCTCGCGTGCGCATGCCCGTGCCCGTGCCCGTGCCCGTTCATCTTCGCCTTCTTCGTCGACGCGCCGTTCCCGTCGCCACCAACACCCCCACTGCCGTTGATGCTCCCGTTGATATTCGAGGCGTTGGCGTTGGCGAACGAGATAACAGGCGACCCCGCCACGCTCCCAGTCCCACCCACACTCCCGCTCATCACCGTACCATCTTCGTCCAAAAATCCTCCGTTCACCCCATTCACGCCCCCACCGTTGATGCCGTGGACACCGTTCATACCGTTCCCGAGCTCCATATCGACATCCCCATCCCCCACTCCCCCAATACCCCCCACACCTCCCAACCCGCCTCCCATTCCACCCATCCCATTCATCCCATTCATACCCGTCATACCTGAATTCCCATACTCGTTCAAGAACGCATCAAAGTCGAACTCGGGGACCGAAAGATCCTCCATCCCTCCTACTCCTCCTACTCCTACACCGCCTACACCCATCCCTCCTACGCCCTGTCCCACGCCTTGTCCTCCCACACCATTCATATCACCCATCCCGTTCCCGTTCCCGCTCACACCATTACTCGAGCCCATCCCACCAGCCGCGCTGTTCGCCGAATTCGCGCCCATCAACCCCGGATCCAGCCCAAACGCGCCTATCAGGCTCTCAATGCTGCTATGCAGCGCATTGACGTCCTTGTCGATATCCTGCGTCACCTTCCACGTCTTCTCCAGCCTCTGCTGCTGCTCCCTTTCCTCCTCGCGCGTAGCCCGGGACTGCATGTCGAGGGGGGAGATGCCCATGTTGATGTTTGCATTCATGGAGGAGAGTGGGTGGGAGAGCGGGGAGAGCAAAGGTGGTGGAGAGGGCGTGAGGAGCGATAGCTGGCCGGAGGGCGTGTAGTGGTCGGCGTACCCCCCGTACGCCGCCCCGTACCCTCCTTGGCCTTGCTGCCCTTGCCCTTGTTGCCCTTGTACACTCTGCCCCTGCCCTTGCGAATGTTGCTGCTGCACTTGCTGCACCTGCTGCGGCAGCGTCGGCAACCCCACCCCACCTACCCCGCCCACCCCGCTCCCACTAGCATTATTATTGTTATGCGCACTCAGCGCGGCGAACAGCCGCTGAATCTGTCCCGGCGAGGTCAGCATCTGCTGGAGCGCCTGGATCATCGTGTCCTGGTCGCCGTTGACGCCATTGAGGACGGGGAGCGGGGGCGAGGGCGAGAGCGTCGTCAGCGCACCACTGCTATTCGTATTCGAATTGGCGTTGTTCGCATTGTTGTTGTTGTTGGTATTCGAAGTGCCATTGCCGTTCGTCGAATTGGTGGTGTTGCCGTTGTTCGTGTTGTTCGAGGCAGTGGATGAGGAGAGAGAGAGCGCAGGCGAGAGCGCGGCGGCGAGGGAGTTGGCGGTCGGGAGGCCGCGCGAGGGCGAGGGCTTCGGCTGCATGATCTGCGGTGTGGTCGAGGTGTCCCTGGGCGGGGTGAGCGAGGGGGTGTTGAGGTTGATGTAGGGCGCCTCGGAGATGGTGGGGGACATCGGTTCGTTGTATGATCCTATGATGATAAGAGAGAGATAAGATAATGAGAGAGAGTAGGAAGGGAGACTCACGCAGGGAGACGGGACTCATATCCCTGAGATACGAGGCATCCTCGTCGTCATCGTCCTCCTCCTCGACCTGCACGACGGGCATCTTCCTCTTCCCCGAGTTCGGGCCCTCCTCGATCATCAGCCTCTGCACCTGCTTCCTCTGGTATCCTTCGTTCCTGCCAGCATCCCCTCCTGCGCCGGCCATGCCCATGGCCCCACTCATGCCCATGCCCATGCTGCCATTGAGCCCCATGCCCATGGCGCCCTCTGCGCCGCCCGCGACGACGCCGTCCTTGGCATGGCCGCCCCCGTTGCCAAACACGCCGGCGAGGAATTTGAGAATGCGATTGATGGTGTCCTGGTGCTTCTGGTGGCGCTGGCGGGCGGCGAGGGACTCTTGCCAGAGGAGCTGGTTTGAGCGCTTGAGCTGGTTGAGCTCTGCGGAGATGGTGGTCTGGTGGCGCTTTATGGCGGCGATGCCGTTGATGATGGAGTGGATGTCGAGGACCTGGCCGTTGCCCAGGGCCGCGGTGGCGGGTGCGGACGAGGCCGATGGATCGGCTGGTGATTGGGTGTGGGAGGAAGAGGAGGGGTTCGCGGAGGCGGAGGCGGCGGGATCGGGGTCTGAGGGGAGATCGGAGGACTGGGGGGCCTGCTTCTTGCGCTGGATGAGGCAGAGGAGATCTGGCTGGCCGCGGTGGAAGTTTGGGTGTTCAAAGTTCCAGAACTCGGCCTCTTGGTCTGAGCGGAGGACGCCCTGCTGGAGGTGGGGGATCTTGTGGAAGCCGTACATGTTGAGCTGGCGGACGAAGGAGGAGAAGTTCTGGTGCTTGAACCAGCGGCCGAGGACCTGGCGTGCGAAGCGCTCGTGGTCGAGGACTGTGTCGGGGGAGGTGGTTAGTGGGAGCAGAGGTGACGATGAGCGGGCTGCACACCGAAGAAAGAGTCGCCGGCATCTGACCAGCGGATGAGATCTGCATTGGAGGGATCGTTAACCATCCTAAGCGGAGATGAGCAGGGGCGGCAAGGGGATGAAAGGGACGGACTCGAATAGTTTCTGGAGGAAGGCGGGGACAACCTGGCGGGTGGCCTTGCTGAGGTGCACCTGGCTGGGCTGCCTGGCGAGGGACAGACTGTGTTCAGCCGGCATGGCGTAGTAGTCGCTGGCGTGCTCGATGTGGTGCGACGGCTGGGAACAAAGATGACTTGGTGCAAACACGTGCAAACAAACACTGTGCACTCACTGGGGACGCGGGGTAGTATGGCTGGTAGTAGTACTGGTGATACATCGTGCGTGTCCTCTACACATCAGCGACAAACGAGAATATATACGACTCTCCCAGCTCTGCTCTGCTGCTACGTCATCGGTCTAGCCCCGCGTCGCTGATCGAGGGTGGGATCTTCGCAGCCATGAGCAGATCGGGGGTACCCATACCCACCCTCCTCCCTCAATCTCACTCACAAATCGAGATACCTGCCCCTCCAACGCACCCATTTCCCCGCTGTTGTCCACCACGTAGTCTGCGTACCCAACCTTTTCCTCGATTGACAGCTGCGAGTTCAGCCGCGCCAGTGCTTCCGCCTCCGTGCTCGAGTCCCGCCTCATCAGCCGCTGCAGCTGCACCTCCCGCGGGCTACCGACGTGTTAGCTGCCGTCGCACGTATAGCGAGATGCATCGCCCACCAGTACACCACAGCGACCTTGCCCACCCACTTCCACAGCCCCCCCTCAATCAGCAGCGGCACATCCAGCACACACACCCGGTGCCCTCGTATCCAGCACTTCACCACCCCCACAAACATCTCCCACCGCACAGCCGGGTGCACGATCCCATTCAGCGCACGCCGCTTCCCCTCGTCCCCAAACACAATCGCCCCCAGCTTCTTCCGGTCCAGCTGCCCGTCCGCGAGCAGTATGTCCGCCCCGAATTCCGCGACGATGCGCTTCAGCGTGCGCGTCCCCGGCTCAACGACTTTGCGCGCCAGGACGTCCGCGTCGATGATCGGGATCCCCGCTTCCCCCACCAGCTTCGACACCGTCGATTTCCCCGTCGCGATTCCGCCCGTAAGTCCTACCACTGCACCCCACATACTTCCCATCAGTCATCGCCCTCCTTGCACTCGACCACCCACCTAACATTGTTGCTTCAAGGTGTTCAACGCTACACTCGCTAATCCGGCAACACTCACACCCTCACCAACTACCAAACACAACCAAACTCAGGGCCTTCCCACCCTACGTCATCGATCACCCAGTCGAGAAGCCAAAAGCCACTCATCCAACCCCGACAAACCACGAGACGATACGTAATCCCCTTCGGGTTCCGTATTTCATCCGACGCTTTGTGAGCACGGTAAGAGGCGTGTGCAATCCAGAGCGTGCCGGGTGGTCTCAGTCGTCAAACGCTAACATCCCTCGCCTTCACAGATATCTAGTTGTCACCTACCACCCACCTCCGCAATCTCCCTCGAATCATCCGCGTCAACTGGACACAGTCGGAGAGTCGGAAGAACACTAACTATCAGCGCCACGTCCGACTCTCCGAGTTTAACACGCTGCCGACCGGAACATCCACCATCCACCATCTACCTGGAGGAGAGGCTAGATGCGAGATGCGAGATGCGAGATTCTGGAGTGGTGGGTGAATATTTGAATAGTGGGTGAGTGGCCCGGCATCCCGGTGTCTGGGCGACGAACGGACGGACGATGAACGAATACACGGAACTCGGAACTAGTGGATGGGCCGAACAAATGATATATCCTGCTGTCCTCTGTTCACTCACATTATGCATATTTATGTTTATATTTATGTGAGCTCTGGTACGAGTTACACAGTTATCTCACCGACACCACTCCACCAACCATTCACAGGCTCTACTTCTCACTCGAGTTGCGTCAGGGCATTCAATGCCTGATCAGACATAGTTGGACGGGAATGGGGATGGAGGGCACCTGAGAACGCCGGCGGTAATTATAATCATAATCATAATCATATATCATATAATCATATAATTCTGATAACTCATTATTCACTCGCAAAGAGCCATCACCATGAGTCGTCGCAACAACCTGTGTATGGTTTTCGCAGATGCCTGCACGGCGAATATCGATATCGATATCGCGTCGTATTCGAATAACGAGTACTGAGTGCTGAGTACTCGAATCGTATTTGATTCTTGATTCCTGAGTAATTTATTCCCATAACAGCCATCGAGTCAACGAGACGATGTAGCCAATCAATTAATCACCGTCGAGGTATACAATGTACTAGCATCAGCGAGCATGAAACGCGGGGTGTTGAGGCACCAAAACATCGACCGCGCGAGCTTTGAGCGCAGTGCTTACGCCAATGCCGCGCGTGCTGGTGACTGCGTTTACTGACTGTGTTTATGTCGATTACCGAGAGATAGATGTCAGCGACTCGGAGCGTAGTACTGCTGGAGCATGGTCTGCCATTGATCACCTCCACCAGGACCTACCAGTATATAGCCAGTACCACCGAGATGGTGATCTCGTCGACTGCGACTGTGACTCATGCTGCGACTGAGGGCTCGGGGTTAAGGACGCGATGACAGTCACTATGAGGGGTCAATACTCAATACTCAACGATCGCCTCAACAGCGACTCTAGCCCCCAACTCGTCGGTATTCACTCAACAAAGACGCAGACGTCGTAAACGCGCTCGACTTGGGGTAGCGCATCGCGCAGCGAGGTGGGTAACTACACCTGCCTGCCGTGTCTTGAATAATAACGCCTATACCGTTCCATTTACGCTCGCGCCCTGAGTCCCCTGACACGCGTTCAGCCAATTCAATTCAACGTGGAACGCGTCTGCCCTCGACGGCGGACGCGCCACTCCCATAGCAATAGCAATAGTCAATAGTCAATAGAACAGAAGGACAATAGAAAGAAGACCGTCTGGGTGGAGTTTTGTTTTGTTTTGAAATTGCGATGTCGAGTTTTGGGTGTGGATGTCGCGTGCCAGCCACCGCCCAGGCCAGCAGGTACTAGTAGAAAGGAGGCCAGGAGGCAGCGCGTCGCCTTCGGTGATGTTCTGCGATATTCGCGGTGTAATCAATTAATCAAGCACGATGCACGATACACGATGCATGATGCATGATGTACGATGTATGATATCAGTATACGCCTCTATTCAAATGTTCGACGTTCCGCCTTCAATAGCATTCAGTCTCCAGTCTATCGATATTCGCTATTCGATATTCGATATTCGATATTCGATATTCAGCACCCGATACGCGCTTGCCATGCTCTCAACCGCCTTGAATTGAATGTTCTGTGGGTCGATGGAGCAAGGACGTACATCCGTACATCAACGTATCTGATAAGCAGAGCGTGGCTCCGAGTCGAGGGAGAGATCTATGTCCGGCGACGGGGACATAATGCTAATCGTACATTATTTATTTGATCTTTCCCGTCTCCCCGCATCCCTTGCATCCCTTGCATCCCCTGCATCCCTCGCGCAAGCCAGAGCCCGAGGAACCGACACCAGATATACCAGATCGACTCCCCCGCCTCCGCCTCCGCCCGCGTGCTGCATCGATACCGTGACAAGGTGCCCGCGTCCGCGTACGGGGTGTGCTCCTATTCGCCCCTGCACCCCTGAATGGACTTGCGATTTGCGATTTGCACCAGATTCGCGGTACATTACATGAATGCATTGATTGCTATCCGCCGCGCGCGCGTCCGAGGCACGTATATACTCTGGAATTCGAGGGAGCGTTGAGCGTGCACTGTGCGTGTGCGCGTGTGCTCGTGGTTACTCTCAGATCCCATACTCGATACTCAGTGCTCAGCACTCAGCATTCGTCAGGCGCGTATGTACAAGGCGCGTCCCACATTTTCGCGGTTTCGCGCTCCCGAAGGACGTAAGTAGTGCATAGTGCATAGTGCACAGCCGACTCTACTCCGCGAGGCAGGCCCCGTCGTCGTCACGATCAATTCACCACGATAACCTAGATCACCCACCTAGATCAGCACGTACCCGCACACCACTCAATGGAATCGCCGAATCGATGAGAAATTCGGTATATCAAGTCTCCTCAAAATTTGAGGCCTCATGATCAGTGGCATCATGATTCCCAGCTACTACTCTCCTGCCCTGTGGTAAGCATTGATTACATTGATGACTGAGTCCTGAGCCTGATGGCTGAGTACTGATTGCTGATTGCTGATACAGCCGCGAATATCGTAGAACGCCATCGAAATCGAAATTTCGATTCCCCTTCGATCCTTCAGCTTCAGGCTTCGCGCATATCATCATATTGTACACTCGGGGATGGCAGCCACGACCTCAAGCCTCGTGTCGTGCTCGATATACTTGACGCAGAACGCCGGCGGTAGTTACCCAGAACTACCCCTTGTCTATTAGCGATATGTCCCTTACGGGTACACATTGACGTTGACTGCTATTGAATGGATTATAGGGCTCATTCATGTGACACGTCTTGCAGGTCAATCAGCACATAGAGTTGGGGGCCTGAAGCTGAAGGCCTGACAGCGCGTCGGCGATCGATATCTGTATCTGCGATGACAAGGTGACGCAAGCCGCAGCTCAGGCTGGTGCTCAGAGCACGGTCTCCCGCTGTCAAAATTCAATATTAATCACAGCCTCGTGTGTGTGAAAGATTCGTGTTTCTGATGTCTGATGCAGTCGACACGCTCGGAATTTCGAAATTCGAATGGTGGTGCAGTGTGGTACTATGTGGTATGTGGTAACACGGTATTACACCCCTCGATGTTTGCTCAACGGCGATGCAGTACTTGGCAGCCTTGGTTATCTGATAATCGTGTAGGTTCGAGCAGCGCTAGATAATGGCGGGTACCCTCACGGATGGATGGCTTATTCATTTACCCACTACTGATCTGATTATGAAGATAGCGTGCCACCCGAATACCGCAGAACACCTCAGATGTCTTCGACATTCGCGTTGGAACTCTTCACCAGTCATTCCTTCGAGGATAGTCACAGTAGCTTAATCCCGGTCGCGGTCGTGTCCGAGTGAACACGGGCAGGGAGGAGAATCTCCGGCGTAATTGTGATTGAGGTACGTGAATGTAACGCGGTCGAAGTTCAGCGTTCATGATCAGCCACTAGCATAAACCCTAATCGAGTTACAGTATCCCGCTGCTCTTCGCACAGTGCCAGTGAGCGATCGTTTAATGTTTCACGCCTACTACGTATTACTGATCAGTCGATGTACGCAGGGACGTCCCAGGGAACTTGGCGCAATGCACATACCGTAAGTACCTCGTTGGCATCTCGGAGCCACCCAGTCGCAGCCCATCCAGTATATGAATATACGAACGTCAGCATGCCTGCCGCAGACCACGTTCCCCCCGGGCATAAAACGCTTCGACACCAGTGACCTCACACTCGACGACGAATCGAATATTCCGAGTTCATAACACCCATCATTGTTCTCGCTTCGGTAGAAGTACTCCCCCTCTCATCCCCTCATCATCACCACCACCACGCACTGTGCACGCGGTGCGTACGTTAACCCTCCCAGAACCGCACGTACCTGCAAATCTACGTACCCAGGCTGCGCGTTACGCCACAGCGGTTGCTGCCTCTGGGAGTACTCTCCTCCGAAGACTCCCACCCACGATGGAGACCCTGGCAGACCCAGACCCAGACTTCCCATCGACCCGTAGCCTTTAAACATCCCGAGGGCTGAGATCTCGGCATCCTAACGAATCGACGGCCGCCCCGGGATCAGCTCGACTTATTGAATTGTATTGAGTGTTGCCTTGCAGGACATCTAGCCGCCCGACGCCTAGCCTTGGACCGGCAAGTTAGTTTCAACAGGAACAGGACGCACGATACCGTCGGCCCCTCAGATGGGGCTGAACATGTGGTCCTGCAAACTTCACAAGGGACATACATAATGCCGAGCCTGGGGTGGAAGTATATATAACCATACTCATACTCATACTACAAGCTATCATGGTTCCTCACTCAGCTTCTAGTGATCATCATGGCCGATTACGCCGAACACGCGTAGGTGAGTAGTTCACCGAACCACTGTGACATAAGTTTATCTTACAAGATGCTGTTGCGCGCGAAGGGCGTACTGGGAATGGCGTGGTACAGCGTTCTCCCGCGCAGACGATTAGGCGGCGTTAAAGGTGCCCCGCTCGTTCGATGACAATCATCTCGACCACCAGCCAATCTCCCGGCTCCTAACACACTCCTTCTCCCCCTGTCTTTCCCCTTCCTCCCGTCCACCCCTCCCTCGCTGAATTCCGTTCCCCGTCCCTAAAGCATAGCGCTGCCCACGGCAGAGCGTGTATCTGGTCATAATTATACCCCCCGTCGACCCTTACAAGTCCTGCAAATTTCAAGCTGCAATCTGTTGACGTTCGCTGGATCCGACTACGCCGAGGCTCTATGTACCACAAACCCTGATAAAGACATATTCGAGTAGACAACTTGGACCGCGGCACAGTGCATCATCCATGTGCCAGTACCCATCGCCATCGCATCGAAGTTTCCATGTGTGCGGCCCTGCAGTATTGCCGTGTATCAATACTCAGCATCTTGTGTAGATTCAAATTCCAGAGGATCAGATCTCTGAATATCAGGAGTGGAGCCACTACTAATGGGAGAAGACTGTCCTTCTGCTTCCACTTAGACTCGCTTTCTGGGGTGGTCATTATGCTACATCAATGCTCGACTTCCAATATCATGAATACGCCTTGCAAATCCCCACAAGTTGCTCATCTATCAATATGAATCACCCAACGTACGATGTATCGTGCTTGCAAGTCAAGTCGACACCCGGTCCAGAGCTTCTGGCTCTCTCTCCCATTCCAGCGTCCAGTGCCTCTATCTCAAACAGTAGGACCCGACAAGTTGGCGCCATGAGCGGCTACTACACCAATCGGTCCATTGTGTTCGGATCAGTGGGCACTATCGCAGTCCAGGGGATCTGGAGCAGACATAGTAGATGGATGTGAAGTCCACTAGCGCCGCCCCAGCGATCTCTACCGTCTCGCGGCCCTGAGGCTGGGATGCATCATGACTGCACGTGTGCATTAAGTCGCTGCTATAGGCAGAAGGGGCGTTCTGAAGGAATTCTAGCTTATAGATTAATACTTAGCTTACTGGTCAGAGGGAGGTTCGACTTTTAGCTAGAGATAGATTTAAGCTCCAGCATCGCATGCATTTGGTGTGAGTTATCGGCGATCTCGGTTATTCGCATGGTAGATACGACCACAACCACAGCACTGAGATATGTGCTGTTCCGGTTGGCACGAATGGTAGGGACAGCGTTGTTCACGGTTTCCCAAGATCGGCACATGCGTTACTTTACCGTCGATGTATCATTTGGACTCGAAGGACATCACCAGTAGGATATCGATCGTACCCCAGTGGTAGTTACAGTACGCAGTATTTGCCTGGTGCCTGACAATACGCGTGTTAATGAAGTAAGCTGTACCGTGCATCTGCTACAGGCAGGCTTACTCGACGTCTGGGCTCGAAGATTCGAAGCACTTGCGAAACGTACAAGGGTGAGAGAAACCAACAAATCTTAAGTACATTCAGGAGCAGGGGTAAATAGGAGTACAATGGCAACACCAGTACACATACTATAGTATTAGACTCACACAACAGGTTAGATCTTTGGACGCTGAAAGACCCGCGATGGCAGTCGCCTTGCCTTCCCAATCGGGTTCGCGATGAGCGTGAACGAGTTTCCGTCTGCACTCAAAGACCCCGACATCCTCCATGAACACCCCGCGGCTTGATCCGTGCGTAGGAAAGAGATGAAGGAGTTGTCCAGGACTTTGAAGTCGCTAAGCTTGTATGTAAATTCATCTGGGGGCGGAAGAGGCCTAGGCTTGTTGAAGGGACTCTGGTAGACGAATCCTGTGTAGGTGGTTGTGAATCGTTCATAGCTGGAGGCAACGATTGTACCCTCGGATGTCATTCGGAGGGTGAACGAAGAAGTATTCTTGTGGATAAAGTGTGTAGATGTCCCTGTATCAGTGTAGGACCATTTGCCAGCAACTGGTCATTGAAATCAGAGGTCGCTCGTTGAGAATACTGGAATGAAATCGACGCACAACGAGATCCCACGCGTGGCTCGACTTGAGCTTTCTTGAGCTTTATTGGGAGTTTGGGCTTAGGCGTATGGGTTAATTGTGAACCAGCGCCTTCCGGCAGCCCTTGCTTAGGTCCCGTCGCAATTTGAGATGATATAGGCCGCAGCGCAGCCCCAGCTAGTTATTGAGATGAGAGGTTGCTCAGAATACGAGAAGATGCAATAAACGCACAGAGGGGTCTGATGCGTCGTTGGACTTGGGGCTTCTCGAACTTCATCAGGAATTTGAGTTTAACAGGATTCGTTAGGTGTAAACCAGCGTCTTCTGGCAGCCCTTGCTTATTTGGCAGCGCCGTTTGAGATGATGTAGTATACAGCTCAGCCCCTCCAGCTTCAAATATGCTTTGATACCCCTCCCGAAGTGCTATAGCCAAATTCAGGTTCTTCACATTGAAGGGGGGCACTACCTTGCTCGAATCGATGCGACCGACGTATTTGTTATCGGGGAAGCTGAGATTGGATAGACTTAGAGGGTACTTTAGGACAATGGGACCATTTGCGTCGTATATGCGATAGTAGACTATAATTCAGGGTGGCTGTAAGCTACTATCTCATGGGCTGGACGTCAACTCACTGTACATGACCAGGGAGTGCAAATGAGAAGAGTGCAGGACGAATGCTGTATGTCGGAACTTCTGATGGAGAGATGCAAAGTTAGCATCTTAGATTAGGCAGAGACCAAACTTTTATAAGCTTAGTTGATGCCGTTATCATGATGGACAAGCAGCGTGCAAGTGATGCGCGTTGACTCTGACATTAAGGCGTCTCTCGATGTAACTTTAGCCGCCATTTTCGTCGGTGGAAGCGAATGGTCATAGCGCATGGCTCGATTTTATGGCTAGAAAATTAACTAGTAAATCATATTAGAATAATGCTAAGAATCGGAGAGGCTCTTCACCTAGCTTCTTCGTTCCTAAATGTATCATCTGGACGACTTCTCAGACATCGATGAGGCGTTTATCAATGCCGCACAATGGAAGCACTGAACTATGTCTTCTCCAATTGTCCGTGCCTCGTGATCCATTAACAAAGGGAGTTGGTCACTACTGGTGAATAGATGAATAGAAGTGGAAGGGAAATTGACGCACTGGCTCGGACTAGCCGAATTCTGATTGAGATATCACCGACGCTTACGTCAGTTACATCCAGGATTGACGCGCCGCGGCCTTCCTGGACACTCCGAGTCAAGGCTAGTACGGGGAGGTAGTCGATTCTTGATCTCGACGATGCAAGAAGCTATCTTAGCTCTTCCCCGTTCGATTCCAACGAACAATGCCAACGGGATGAAGCATCTGCTGAGTCTCCGCTGCAGGCGCTTGCTCTGAAACAAGCGATCTATATACGACGCCGCAGTCGTTAGTGATTGACAGTTCCCAAAGGTCCAAATTGCACGCTGCCACTGAGCTCAAGCGCCTTGAAGAGGGTCATTTAGGTGTTAGTCAACCGGAACTCTGTTCTCAAACAAGTACATGATCTATATATGATCTATATATGTATTGCCTTACGCAGCATGCTTGTACAAGCTGATGGGCAGGACTTTCGCCCGTCAGGCTTCCCCGTAAGCGTCAACCACTTTCCGTCCGCAATCAAAGACCCCAGCACTGTCTAGATGATCCCTGTTTGGAGGCCGCAAATGTGTTGCTCGGCGTCCGTTTGATAGTGAAATCAATCCTGAAATCACACCGGGTAGTCTTACCTGTGTCGTGAGCGGATTGCTGTCATTTGCCAATGAATAGATATGATGATTACCAACTCGGAGATATATCACATCCGATTCAACGTACAGCTGGGGAGTTCATTGGATGGTAGCCCTTCAACGAACATGGTTAACCTTAATTAGCACTGGTAAGAAAACATACTAGAGTGCCCTCCCATGGAAGAGCCAACGGCCTGGGATCTCTTGGGTTTGGGGGTGAACTTGAGGAGGACGGGATTCCCTAAACCAGAGCCAGCGCCCTTGGAAGACCACTGATCTAGAACCTCGTCCGAGGATGATCCAGTATAGAGTCAAGCCTCAGAAACGTCAAAACACAGCCGGAAACCCCTCGTACTGGGCGATGACGAGTTTGATGTTCTACACGTCCATAGTGGACTTGCTACTGATCTCAATGCGTCCAAATTACTTATCATCAACGACCCTGGTAGGTTATGCTTGACCTCAACAGATCCGCTCGTGTCTTATAAACGGTAGTAGGCTGTAGGTAAGGATGAAGGCTAAGTCAAGCTCGATGAGATGAACTTCGCGTCAGGATGTAGGCAACTAGTAGGCTCACAAGCATCCGCTTTAAAAAATCCTTTCTTCGGATACCCTCAGCTGATGGTATCTGTACTTCATTTCGCTAGGCGCCTGGCAGGGATGATGTGCATGTTGCATGATCCATGATGCCGCGATGGAATCTTGCAAGATTGCGGTGGCATTGGTAGATAGTGGCATAGGTGTAAGGATGAGCCCGGAAGGACCGTCTGTGCACATAATACGCACAGCCATTCGAGCACTATGGTACCTCCCCACGGTAGTACTAGGTTCAACCATGTCTGATAGTTACGCAAACTTCAACCGTGCTCTTCACGCTTGATCAACATGGGTTCCCTTCACGTAAAACTTACACACAGTACAGGGAAAGATGGAGACGAGGTTGGCGCGTGCGGACCACGATACGGGTTCAAATTGATGACTAGGATCAGGACAAGTTGTTACCATTTAGTGAACTTCAGCGCTTAAACTTAAGAGTGAGGACATTCGTACTCAGCGATTATTGTGTAAACGATCGAGTACAGACAAGTCGTTCATCGACACAGAGCAAGTACTAGCAGTAAACTGAGCATGATTGTAATGTAATCGAAGCAACCAGGAAGTAGAAGGAAAGTGGGTCGTCGAAAAGTGAAAACGGAACGAACGTGATACACAAAGGGATAATATCCAGCACAGCATTAAATAATATGGATATAAAGATTGAACAGCATGCATAGTCGGACGATGTAATCTTTGAGGGTCTCATGCTCGTGGATATCCGCACACTAGCGTAATGGCGTGTGATAGTGCATGCGTGCCCATCTATTCTCCAGCTGGTTTAGAAGGAAGGGGAGGGGGAGGGCCAGGAAGTTTTATAGCATTCTCGAAGGAAGAGCTGAACGGCGTGAAAGGACGCGTATCGATCACGATGTTACCACTAGCGCCTCCTACGCCGTTCACACCGTTTGCCCTTAGCGCAGGCGTTGATGAAAATGGCGGCATCGATGTCGTTATTTTAGATGGTGGATGGTCTAGAAGGGGCAGCATGCCGTTTACAGCGATACGGGACACTCGGGCGTCTTCTTCTTGTGTTTCCTGAATATACTCTGCGGGTGGGCGGGGCATCAACGGCGGCGGAGCTACTTGATTTTGCGTTGGCATAGGTGGCGGCGTCGCCCTTGTCGTAGGCGGGGACATTGGTGCATACGAGAGGTGGTTCGGTGATGTACTCCCTGCTCTTGAATATTGTGACTGTGGGCTGTCTGAGCGGAGAGATGATGGCTTCGCTTCTTCTGCTTCGTATTTGGCGCGGAGAAGGGCTTTCTCTTCCGCGGCAGTGAGAGGTCGAGAGTTTGTGGCCACTATTGACGACGCTGCTGCTGTTGGTGGAACGGGTGGCGGTCTAGCCCGTGCGCTGGATGAGATAGAACCTGTCCGTGGAGGGGGTGTAGGAGTAGGTCTGGATTGGCTACTTGATGAGACATCTACATAAGGCGGAGCATGCGCGGCCGAGTGTGCGGCGGCGAGAGCGTCTTGCTGCTCATAGTGTCGCCGGACCCTCTCTTTCTCAGAAATGGCTTGTGAAATGGGATCTTGAGTGGCATTGAACGGGGGTGGCGAATCAGACCTAGGAGGCGCAACGGCCGCTGGTGGGGGCGAAGCGTTAGCCTTTACGCCGTTCTGGCGTTGACCTCGCTGACTCCCGTTCCTCTGAGCTGCACGAGCTGCATTGTCTTGGGCTTCGTAATTGCGGCGAAGTCTCTCTTTCTCTGAGATCTTTGGGCTAGACATGGATGCCTCGAACGGCGGAGGTAGGTCGTCACCCGTAGGCTGTGATGGAGGGCTGCCCGAGTTCGCTGGATATAGTGATTCATATGCAATAGGATCGGGTGCCGGACCTTCGGTACTAAGGGCAGCTGAGTGGCTCGCCGGAGAAGATGCGAGACTTCGTTGTGTTCTGTCCACCGCGTCCTTAGCTTCTTGGAATCTACGCATCGCGGCCTTTTCTTCTGCTGCAGACATGTATTGTGGACCCATCTTGGGAACAGATGCTTTGGCTGGCGGCGAAGATTTACTTGGTGCACTCGATGAAGAACTTTGCTGATTTGGAGGGGGGACGTTGCTAGATTTGTTTCGCGAGGACATGGCTTCCATGTACATGCGCGCGGCGGGCGAGGCGGCCTGTGGGGTATCCATTGTGGGGACGTTGCGAGGTTGTGGGGCAGGGGCAGGGGGAGGTGAATAACCCCCATATTGTGTCAGTTGGACAGCAGCCTGAGCTTCGTTGAATAGCCTCAATTTCTCTTCTTCGGCGGTCAACCACTTATTACCTCGTGAAGGTGTAGTGTGGGACGGAGGTGTTTCCGGTATCGTGTCGGATTGTGGAGGGGACACGGTACGAAGTGGCTAGGATCCTTATGAGTAAAGAAGTATGAAGCAGGTGGAAGCTCGACGTACTGGTGTATTCACTCGCGCGACGCCACCTTGAGTCCTTTCTACCTGGGCTCTAGCCTGCTCATATAATCGTTGCTTCTCTTCTTCGGCTGTCGGCCAGGCCCGGTTGGGTTTCTTCGTCGTCGGATCTGAGCCTCCAGCTGAATTATTCCGTTGATGATGGGCATTGTCATTGCCATCCGGAATTTCAGACGGCATGGCATTAGTAATAGTAAGCCTATTGGCATTTTGACCTGAGCGTGCGGATTGCGGTCGCCGACCAGTCCCAGGACCGGAGATGTTGTTAGCTTGCGCACCAGCGTTGCTGGGTCCTGAGAAATCGTCGCCTTGGTACACACTGGATCTCGATGCATCCATAGGTTGATTTACTCGCCCAGGCTTCATAGACTGAGTTTCGATGGTGGTGATCGGTGGTCCTGTTCGACCAAACTCGTCAATTGGGCGGAGTGCTGAAGAAAAGTTAGAAGAAGCTTGAGTAGAGGTTGGTCCGAACGTCGCTGCCAATCCAGGTCGTCCAATAGACATTTCAGTTTGTTGGTTAGGTGTCGGTCTGCCGGAATACGTATTTGGAGCTTGCAGAACGTTGGGATGTGGATCCAAAGGAATGTTGGATACAGGAATGAGCGATAGACCAGGAGCGGGGCCAATAAGCCTGGGCGACAATTAAGTTTAGCCTCATCAACCATAGCAGAGCTTCAACACATACTTAACAGCTTCCGCTGAGTACTCCCTGAGCGATCAAAAGAATGAGCAGGTATTGCAGCGCGCTGTTAGGGAATACGCACTGTGGCCAGGTGGACACGACAACCGGCAACTTGAGCGCTATCTGCTGGCCAGTAGATATGAACGCCTTGATGTTGAGGTTGTAAGTGATGTCGATATGTCGTGCAGAGTTGACAGTTGAGCTGGCGTGATGCGGCGGCACGATACATCGAAGTTCAACTTGACGCTGTTCACCGCCATAGAGTGACACATTTACTGGAAGCTTGCACTCAGCCCTGACCGTCTCATGGGTCTGAGTCAGGGCTCTCTTGGTGGCAGTATGAGCCGTCGTGAGGGCCATAGTTTCTACTAATTGCATCTCGAAACCACGCAGGATGATTGACCCTAACCTTTCACTCTTCAACACTACCATCGCGGTAATGGCACAGTTGGGACCAAAGCAAGTTCGATCTCGTGAGACTGTCATCATCATGCCTTCGGCGGAAACTTGGCGAACTTCCGGCTGACAATAAACAGGCCAAGTAGAATGCAGCTCATGTTTGCTCATCATGATTGGTGTAGTTGTTGAGGATATGACCTCTTTACGTCGCCGCAGGAAGCCTCTGCACGGTGTGCGTTAATGTCTGTCACCAACCACTATCACAGAGGGTACGCACTTTGAGCCTTTAACGCATATACTGCCAACCAATTCGTATTTGATGCCGGCTATAAGGGAGAGCGTTTAGCTTACGGTTCAAAGAGTCGAAAGTGATGGTCGATGCTAGCTCACATCCGCGGTCATCGAGATTGAGCGTCGGGGGTATCGATTCAGGGATACGGATGGTGAACGCGAAGTCTCTCTATGGTACACGGAGTCAATGGTCGTATCGACAGAAGCCAGAATCATTGGGAAGACGCACTGAACGCAACAACTCGTAGTCTGAATCCTGCGACGCCTCCCACAGTTTGATAGGCCCTGGAACCGGATCATAGTAGGTATTGGCGACGCCTCCTCCGGGTAGGGTTTCGACCTTTCGCAGTTCAATGGTTATCCATTTGGCCTTGACGCCTTGAGGTGTGCGTACTTCCAAAGCCTAGACGGAACATTTACTCATCGTAAATTGGCAGGAAGTTGCGCCACATACCCCTTCTACGGTGGCTTGTCGTCTGCCTGGGCCTGGAGGAATTCCTGGATAGCCTATAGACAGATTTGAGTTCAAGTTGAATGCAAAAGAAAGGATTGCGCACCTTGGACAAAATCGACGTTAGGAGGCGCTTGTAATGTTCTGGCTACAGCGTCAGTCTCACGGCGGTCTTCCTGGAAGGGAGCGCACTCACAGTTTTACTTGGGACATGGGTACTGCAGGCGTCTGCCTACGACGCGTGGAGGAGCATGTAAAGGGTTGTGGTGGAACACAGGCGATGCTACCGCAAACAGGATCAGGAGGCGCTGAACAACGCCGGTAAGTTTCAGGTCCCACATGCATCACATACGGTGGCCTCTCACACAAGTTGATTGCACAATCAAAGCTACTACAGTGAAATATAGAATAGAGGAAAATATACATATGATTGATAACATCAGAACTTAAACTCCTTGCCCTTCTTCCCATCTCGCTCGCGGTCGCGATCCATTTTTTGTTTCTTCTTGGCCATTTCCTTCGCCACCATGTCGGAGAAATCTTCCCTGTTGGGCAGTCCCGCCGACCCTTTCGAATGCTGCTCATACTTCCTACGCAACTCTTCCTCCGAAAGCCCCTCCAGCTCGGAAGCGTCGATGGAGACGTCGATACCGTTAGCCTTGCGCTATTGAAAATGATGACCATCAGATGAGCAGTCAGCGGACTACACGACTTAGCAACGAACCTTGGTTCCACGATCATCACCAAGCACGGGTATTGGAGCGCCAGAAACACCGCTGACATCGTACCCACGTTCACTGCCCATCAAGCCTCGTATGGATGTCTGTTTCTCAGGAACAACTTGGTACAGCGAGCGAGGACCCGACTCAGTAGCTTCGGGAGCGGAGCGGACAGAATTCTTCCGCAGCTCCAAGAAGTCGGGCGTTTCGAGTCCTCCGGCAACAGTGGAGACAACACTGGCCATACCCGACGGTGTCTCCATACCTGAAGGTGTTTGGAGGCCGTCAACGGGAGCTGGTTCGGCGGCTTCCTCTTCCTCCTCTTCCTCTTCACTCTCCTCCTCTTCCTCCTCTACAAGCGGACGTCAGCATGGGTTCGCAGCAAGTTTCATAGTCACATACCTTCTTCAGGCTCAAGCTCTCCCCAAGGATTCTTGTCTACGGGCTCGCCCATCTGGCGCACTGTCAATAATGGCGAACTTCTATAAAATAAAGTAACTCACTCCAGAATCCGTGGCCTTGGGTAGCACACCGAACACATCACCATATAGCGGACGATTATACTCATCTAGCGGTGGTTTACCCCACCCTCCGGGATGGAAGCCCCATTGCGCACTGAGTGTAGATTAGCAACCGGCATCGACTGACGAAGAGTACTTACCCTTCTGGAATTGGTGCATTCAAACCTGGGATGCGTAGTGTTGGGTAACTTGGCGGAGGACCAAATCTCTGCATGCTGATCAACCATGGAGGGGGAGCTAATGGAGGTATTGATAGTGCTTCGACGAGCTCTGGGGATAGATCACCGGGTCTTTTCTCTTTCAGAGAAGTTTCGAACTCTTTTCCTTCGTAGTACCTGTAGTCAAATGAGTCACTTAACAATGCAAGCGACAGATGATATGGTAGCTACATTTCGCCAAAGCCAGTAACCGGAGGCTTTGTTTGAAACTTAAAGAAGGCGTCGTGAAGTTTCTGATAGTCTATGTCGACCTTGCCCATCTTCGGTTGTACCCTCTCGCGCGTCTTGGCCTTTAAGGACATGTTGGCTTCCTTCTCTTTCACGGCATCTCGCATAGTAGCTATCCCAGTATCAGCGATGTACGAGGGTAGTTGGAAAGGGGGCTTTTCTATTCCGCGCTTTCCCTGCAGATAATCTCGTTTTGCGCTCCAATGAATAGGAATAGGAACTGTATTGCGGTAGCTCTTCAGGTGCAGAAGTAGACGCGGGTCAGCGGCCGTCACGTCCGTCCATTCGACAACTTCAGGCTTTTTGACCAGTTGCTTGAGTTCGGCAACGGTCAGACGGGCCATTTTGCGCTTCTTCTTCTTTGAAAGAGGTTTCTTGGCTGTCTCCGAGTCCGCCTCCGATGCCATATCGTCATCCGAGTAGATGATCTCTCCCTTCGTAGGTTCGCTGTCTCTACCCTGTATACGGAGTCGACGATCATGAACTAACAGTACTATGCTTCAAGAGGGGGGAACGCACTGAAGACTCTTCAGAGGGCAGCTGGAAGCGGGCAAACACGTCGGAGAAAGCTTCGAGGGCAGCGTTGGAGACATCCAACTGCTCAGATACGTACTCAATGTTTTGTGAAGCCGTCTCCGACTCCTCCTTTTTCACTTCCGGCTTCACATCTGCAGTGTCGTCACCCTATAGAGCCTTCAATACCATACAGTGATTCGAGAACATGAGATGACATACAGGCTGCTGCGTGGCCTTCTTTTGCTTCGCCTTGAGTCTGCGTAGCTGGTTCTTCGACTTGATTTGCTTCCCGTTTGCTTTCAGGCTGTCGGTGTTGCCGTTCACCGTCGTTACGTCCGTTTGTGCAGCCATGGTAGGAACGGGATGGAGATGGAGGGAGAGTGAGCGTGAGAATATTTCGTCCCAAAGACTCAACTTCAGGATCAGGATTGCGATCACTTGGTCATTACTGCGTCCCGCTGTAAGTAAGCGACAGTATAGCAGATCGATACATAGTGTATAATTGTTAAGTTGACTTCTTTATCATGCTTTCCCTCGCTGGACCGACGCCTATCCACTCGATGGGAACCCCCACAAATCGCTCCATGAACTCAATGTAAGCTCTGCAATTCTCTGGCAATTCTTCGTATGTTCGGGCGGATGAAATGTCGGCTTTCCATCCAGGAAGTGTCTCGTAGGTAACCTCAACTTTGGCAAGGGTGTCAAGATCGGCTAGGATCGACCGTCAACATTGCAAGTACGTCTTGAGTGAGGCAAGAACACACCAGGGAACCCAGGCAACTCTTCACCATCCACTAAGTACTTGACTCCGATCTTGATCTCGCCCAGGTCGTCCAAAACGTCAAGTTTAGTCAAATTCAAAGCGTCGTACCCGTTGATCATGTAAGAGTGCTTCATTACAACAAGGTCAAGCCACCCGCATCGTCTTCGTCGGCCTGTCGTCGTGCCATACTCTCGGCCGACTTCTTGAAGGTGTACACCGATTTCCTGATGAATCGGTCAGCTTTGCAGATCAATAGCGATGGTTTGGTACCTGCATTCAATTGTTCTGTGGGGAATGGACCACCGCCCACACGGGTCGTATACGCTTTCATGACGCCGATGGTCTTCTTGATCAACTTGGGCGGGAGACCAAGTCCAGTGCACACACCACCTATGCCGGTAGATGACGATGTAACGAACGGATAAGTCCCAAAGTCGATGTCCAGCATCAGAGCGTTGGCACCCTCCACTAATACCTGTTTTCCGGAGCCGATGGCCTTGTGGATGTATACGAGACTGTCAACCACAAAGGGCTTTAGGCGTTCTGCAAGTGCCTTTGCAAGCGAGCAATTAGTGTTGATTGAAATGTGCTAATCAAAGTTCTGGATTACCTTGTAACGCAGAATTTCGCCTTCAGTATCGTACTCGAAGTGGCCATAACGTTTGAATCGACCTTCGACGAGCTTTCTGAACTTGGTGGCGAATGTTTCGTGATCGAAAAGGTGGTGAACCCGTAGACCGGATCGTGACGCCTTCCCTGAGTACGCTGGGCCAATACCCTTCTTGGTGGTACCAATGCTGAAGCATGGTTAGCGCAATACCAATGTTTCTAGGTGAATATGTTTTATACCTGGAGCCACCCAACTCCACTTCCTTTAACCCATCGACAATTTGGTGAAAGTCAAACACAAGCGTAGCACGATCCGATACAAACAAGCGGTTGGAGCAGTCCAGTCCTGGAAGAAGGTCTTGTTAACGGCACATCTACGGCTGATAGATACATTTCTTACCTTGTGCTTGCAAATCATCTAATTCTTTAAAGAACGAAGGAATGTGTATCACAACGCCAGATCCAACGATACCGGTGCAGCCAGGGTTTACAAGACCTTGAGATCGTGTCAGTATTTAGCTCGCCCGTTTTGTGCGTGCGATACAGACCGCTGGGCAAGAGATGAAAAGCAAACGACTTCTTCTCTCCATTAATCGGAACCACGATGGTGTGGCCGGCGTTGTTTCCACCAGCACAACGAGCGCATATATCAAACTCTGCGGAAAGAATGTCGACCAGTTTGCCTTTGCCTTCGTCGCCCCATTGCGACCCGAGCACAACTGTGGCTAATAGGGGTTCAATGCACACGGATACGGGAAATCAGGGTTGAAAACATACCCATGGTGATCGTACCCTGTCACTCTGCTGCAAAAGCAAGAGTGCGCGCAAGGACCAACCTCGAAAACAAAAGAACACTCTGATAATGCCGCGTCCGGGAGGAAGGAGTGACTCGGACGAGAAATCGCATGGCATCAATCATGATAAGATCGGGCGCCTAATGTCGTCATCGCAGAAAAATGTAAGTGCTGCTTGAGTATGTACTTCAAAGTCGCATTATATACCAATGTAATTATATCAGAGGATATTCAAGCTTCCTACATGCTCTAGACATTGAAGAGCTTGCCTAGCAAGATCCACGACCTCTTTGTCATCCTCTATGACAGCATGGTGCGTCGAGCCACGCCCACCTGGGCTGACCGCAACAGCCCCACTCCATTCACATATGTGTCGAAGAGTAGAAACAATCCCTGCTTCCACGATATCAGAGCGACTAGGCCCTAACGAAGACGACCTGACGATGGACAAGATACAGCTGGCCGCCGGCCGTCGAATTTCTACTTTATCGTGGGCTAAACAAGAACGTAGCGATTCCAAGAGCATTGGGTGCGACACGATCATGCGCTGGTGGCTTTCGCTGCCGTTGAATAGATTCCCAAGAGTGCATACAGCCTGCGATCAACAAGAGATTGAGTACATCTTATGAATGGATGGGAGAGGTTCGCACCTGTAAGATTACATCTTCCATTGTGGGGTCAGGTGAACTCATACATGCTGTGAGGGATTGCAGCAGCATTTCTGCATCCAGCTCGTGGAAAATGAGCTCGATTCCAGGCTCGTTTTCAGCGATATTTCGTAATATATTGAAAGCTTGCTCTTGTATACCATGATCGGGATCTGCCATTAGCCTGCCAGCAATGAGTTCAGTTCGTTTTGTAGGTGATTGCTTGCTTGGAGGCTCACCGAGTGAGTTCAGACCACTTCAGATAGCCCATAATAGTTTTCTTCGTCTCCAAGGGTGTTCTGAGGAATAGATTTTTAAACGCCCACAATGAACTCAATCGTAATGTTCGGTCTTCTGCACCCAAGACCTGGATGAGGCGGGGCAATAGGCCCTTCTCCATTAAGACCTGGGCGGGTTTAGCAGATAACGGGTGGTTACTTGAGAGTGAAAACGCACCGGGCGGAGAGGGCAAAAATCGTTCAATAGATTGCACACGGCTGCGAGGGCCGCTGACGTTACTCGTCTGTCCTCTTCTTCCTTCTTGAATATTTCGAATACTTGCAAACCCAAGCCGCTGTCCACAAGACTCGTTCGTAGAACTGCGACTGAGCGTGATATCGCCCTCACACACTGGCATGAAGCATAGCGAACACCAACATGCCGATGCGTCATACACGACTGAATCAACGGCAGTAATTCAAATACATCTGCGACCTCACGCCTTATGTTATCGTCGAACAGCGACATGGCAGAGATGGTGGTCAGGGCAGCCTAGACGAAGCCATGAGATGCCAAGTCGAAGGAAAATACAGAAGATCTACCTCTCGCAGCGAAGACAACGACTCAGGTTCATCTTCATCCCACTCAGGCTGCACTTCGGAAGGTGTGATGTCTTTGACTACGGTGGCAAGTTGGTCCAAAGAACCTCTTTCATGGGCAAATTGACAGAGGCGGTAATCGTCGGAAATGAGATTATCTATACATGCACGGGTTGTGTAAGTCAAAACAATAAGAAAGGTGATTCCGCACGGACATAAGATGAAGCAAGCTCTTGAACGCGTTTGCAAGGCTTCTGAGGTCGAGGAGGATATTATTCGGTTTAAAACTGACACGATATTCTGGATATATAGTTCGTCGCTGGCTGAACTATGATTTGTAGGGCTCGCGCGAATAATGTGAGTTGCGCTACGGGCGGGTTTCAACCAGAAATCGACCTGACTGTGATTGTGCACTTACCAGAGGCAAGCAGCTAGTTGAACATCCGTGGAGCGAGATTTGGCAAGAGACAGGACTGAGGATAAGGTTGAAGGCACTGGACTACGAGTAAGCCAGGACCAGATAGCAACTTGTAGCATGTCGCTTACTGTCTCGATCAGAGACTGGCTTCACAAGTAGCGCCGCGATCTTGTCATTGTCCTTTGACAGAGCTGACAATGCGTATAAAGCTGCTTCTTGAAGCTGTGGATTGGCGTAAGGGGGCAATGCCATGTACATGAATCAGGAGACGTACTTTGCTATCCCTGCTGCGAAGCAAGGCAGCCAAGTTTCTGGCAACCCAGCCACCTTGTCTACCTGGTGCATTGGAATTGATAACAGCGGGTTTCTCCCATCCTCTCTTCCCTTTACTTTCTTTAATCCGATCGACGGGTGGTAGCCATTCTGTGATAGCATCACGATGTTCCCCCGTCCTTACAGCGGCAGCAAGCAATTGAGCGATGGAAATGCTAGTTTGCGGCGAGGAGTCCACAAGCATCGGCAAGTAAACATCTAAGTAGTTAGGCTGAAGGATACTGTTAGGTCACAATGAAGACACCAGAAAGTAAGCCGTACGTGAAAGAAGCACTCCAAGGCATCTCTAGCGGCATCCCGAACAGACGATCCCTCAGGGCGCAGCCCCCACTGAGATGGACCAACTACTTCTGCAACGGCGGTTGCAAGCGATCGGAGGCTACGCGAAAAGGCCGACTTGAGACCGTTAGAATCGTGGGGCTGAAGACATGAAATCGCGTGCAGGCAAGCTTCAACTGCTCGGGCGTTTAGCAGACTGTCAAGGGCCTCTTCAGAGCCTTTGCCACCAAATCAGTACTGCTTTGCATAATAAGAACCTACACAATACCGTATGACAAGGACGAGAGAACGTGAGCAGCTTCGATACGGATGTCGTCTTGCGAGCCGCTTGCACGATCAGAGGGTGGCGCGGGCTGATTCAGACATTGGACGAGACTTGAATTCAGTTTAATAGTCGACGTTGAGCACACGACACTATGCCACCCACGTTTGGACGAAATGTTCGTCTCGAGCAAGCGTGATTTTGGCTGAAGGATTGCCAATGACTGTGTTTTTGACTTGTTTCAAAGACGTCAGGTTTACTGACTCGATGGTCATGGCTTCGAGAAGACCAAAGCGGTCGAGGACGAGGTGGAGGTGGAGAGCAGGAGAGAAGCAGTACCGAGGATATACACCGGTCCGGCAACAACCTTAACAGCGCAATTCCTTATACTGCAATAGTCCGTTGTGCATCTTTACCCCGTCCGTGATCCCTGCTCCTGACGACGAAAGTGGAACGTACCTTGCCAGCACCACTCTAAGAACAAAGTGGGCCAATTCAGACACAAAGTTCAAGGATGGAAGTGTTGGGGTTTGGAAGATCAGAGGTATATTTGTATAGAAGCGGCGAATCTAGTACAAGCACTCGCAGGCCATAATAAACAGCATCTCATCTTCTTGCAGCATAGACCGCAGGCCGTAATGATGGCGAAGCATCGGGGAGGCCGCGATACTTACAAGCAAGGAGGTAGACCGTACTCGGCAAATTGTTAGCCAACCGGCAGTCGCGCTCCGGCATCTATACAGCTTCATCATCATTACTCAGTACTGCGCGTCCGTCACGGACTTTGGCCATTCCCACTTTCTCCACTCCTTATCGACAAATAATGGCCACCGAATTGCCTAGCAGCCAGAATCCCAATGATGCCGCGCTGAAGGCGGCAATGAAGGGCTTTGACCATCTGTTCTCCAATGACATTGTTGGTGCTAGAAAGGAATTTGCAGCAGACCATACTCCATTTCATTGGATGGGGTTAGGTGCATGCGCCTTCTTGCAAGCGGCGTTGGGCATGGAAGTGAGCAATATCGTTTACCTGGTACACATCTAGGCTACAGCTGTATTCTAGGCATCTCTCATGGCCGAGGCTACCCACTGCTTAACCAAAGCAGAGGCCGAATCCAAGACCTTGCTGAGATCGGCGGGGAGCTCATCTTCTTCAAGATTTCCACAGGGAACTGAATGGGAAATACTGAATGCTGATGCCGTCGTGTTACTTGGTCTCACTCATGCCTTAAGGTATGTCTATGCTGACTTGGCGTTCTCTGGCCCCTGACCTCTTGGCAATTACCCAAATAGTGAATCCTACATGGGTTATCTGCAATGCTTGTAAGCCTCTTGCTTGCAGACCGTTATGATGTGCTGACATATGCGCCCAAGGTATTCGCTAAACAGGTACCGTCACCCACTCTAAACTCCTGTGTCTTCTAATATGTTTCCCAGCGCGCATGGAAAGTTTACCAAGTATGTCAAGAAATAGACGCTATACCGTTGCCTCGCTAACTATCTCACCAGATTATACAAGACTGTTTTCCCAACCGGACTGGATCATTACTCAACACCTGCTACAACCCCCGCAATATCTCGAAATGCCTCGAATCCTAATCTTGCAGTCCCAACACAACGGTCTAGCTTCTTTGGGCGGTGGGCGCGTCCTGTTGGCTCGTTGCTGAGTGTTCCTTCGTCTCCATCTGCCGCCGGCGCGAGTCTGCCCTTGGACGGCCCAGTCGAGGAGTTGATCGTCTCTGGCACGGCTTTCGGTTGGTTAAAAACTTCCCTCTCTATGCGGATTCTAAAAGTTCACGAAGGCTACGGTCTTTTCAATCTTGTATTTTCGCTTCTTCCCAAGAAGATTCAGTGCGTATATTTAGCACTCCTTCCTTGAAATGAGCTTGCTGACCATCATTGAAGGAGTGTTGTTGGGTTCTTTGGCTTCAAACACGATCGAAAGCTGGCTCTCCAGGCTTTGGCCGTGGCAGCTGCGAAGTCAGACGTTCATTCAGTCTTTGCTGGGTCAGTCCCAGTATCATGGTGCTGAACCCTGGCTGACCGCCATCAGTTTAGTGCTGATGACGTATTACGGCGTCGTCTTGTTAATGTCAGGTTATCAAGCCGATGAAGCCCACATCGTCAAGCAATATCGGGCAATAGTTGGCAAGTGAGTGGCTTTCAATTATGCGCCACCATTACCTGATGTACCATATCAAGGATCGAATCCAAATACCCAACCGGGGCTCTGTGGATCTTGAATCGAGTGCGTCATAACCCTATAATTGCGACACCACCTTACACAGATCGTGTAGGCTAAGATTCTCCGTATGACCCACGACCCCCAAGCTGCAATCCATGTGTTACAAGAGGGATTGGGACCCGATCGAGAGTTTTCTTTCGTACAGGCTGATACATTGGTGCCGTTCTACCATGTCTAGCCTGATCCTGTTCTGACGGGGATCAAGCTTGTATTTGAATTAGCCTGGACACTTCTAAGTCAACGCCGTTATCAAGAGGCCGCTGATATGTTCATCAAGTTGACTGAACTAAACAGCTGGTAAGATCCAAGTTATGGATCGCGGTACGGCCAACTCTAACTCTGGACCTGGTACATTCTTAGGAGTCAAGCTACTTACTACTTCATCGCTGCTGGTATGGTTCACGTTGTCTTCGAGCAGGTCTCCTCTTGTTCATAAATCGAAGGTTGCTATGTTTCGCTAGGAAATCGCGCTAAAGCGCAGTCCCTTTTCGACGCAATACCTGACCTGGTCAATCAGAGGAAGATTAACGGAAAGGATCTCCCTACCGAAGTCCTGATCAAGAAGAAGCGTACGCTATCCGGATTTCGTATTGGTGTTACTCACTGATGCTCATCTACGCTGTATAGTCGAATTTTATAAAGCCAAACAGGCCCGACGAGGCGGTCCTGTCGAGTCTTTCGTTGACGCTATTGCCATCAGTCCTGCAGAAGGTAAGCTGACCTTTGAATGACTGTCATCAAATTGGTATCTCGGAACTAACGTTGTACCGTCTTAGAACTTGGTATATGTGAGGAGTTCCGCCCATCAACCCTCCGTTGTTACTGAATACGTATATCTTAGTTTGGAACAATCATGCTCGCATTGAGAACGACATCGCACATGCCCACATCCTTGAATGGGCTTCTCTATCTCCACCCGTCTCTATTGACAGTCCACACATCCAAACCAACGTCGAAGTCAAGGGCACAGCTGTGGACCTTGATACGCCCGATGAACTCGCTCTCCGATCCCTTCTACTAGGTGTTACCCATCGTACGGTTCAGGAATTTAAGTCGGCCCGCGAATTTCTCGTCGACGCGCATGGCAGACGCAACGAAATGATAATAAGCACATGGATTCCCGGGGTCGCCATGTTCGAGCTAGCCGTTTTGGATCTGAAGGAACTCGAAGCTAGGGAGAAGGTTGATACAGAGGACCCCGCGGTGTTGCGTAGCGCATGGAGCACGGCCTTGGATAGCGCTATTGTCAAGTTGGATCAAGCGTATGCTTTGGCGCCTACGAACGTCGACTTGTCATCAAGACTGGACACCCGAATCGCAATGTTGCGAGATGAAATAGGGCTCAAAAGGGAGAAGCTTGGACTACATTAATTTCGCATACTACGTACACGACATACACGGTGATAATAGACATAGCATGTTTAGCTTTCGAAACGAGATATAGACTACACGGTACAGAGCTATTCTACAAATTGAGGCAAAAGTTCGGCGTGAGCGAAGACAGCACAAAGCATGTGCGAGAAAGCATGGATTAGTCGTAGCGAATAACAGCGAGTCATGAGAACGAGAAAGTCGTCACTGGTCAGGAACGTGTTGCGTCCAGTATACATTCACCTTCGACATTTACTTACCATCTTGTTCAGAAATAAGATTGTATGTCCCCGAACAACGGCGATAATCCCGGCAACGTTCTTCATCGTTCTGGAAGCCCCACCGGGATTGTGAATCGTGGACAATTCCCGGCCGGGGACATTGAGAGGGGGTGAAATTGCCATAGAAGTACTTCTCTGTGCTGAACCTTGCGAATTGCATATGCATGCATCTATTTGAGTGCCTGGTCTAGACAAAGTGGAGTGGGGTTCTTTGCCAGAGAGGGTGATGGCAGGCGCCGAATCCAATGGGCCAAGGGAGGGTGCCTTGGTCAAAGCAGGCAAAACCTGCATAGCCTTGAGGTGGACAAGATACTTCTATCGACCAATTATTCTCAGCTAATTATTCTCGTGAGAGGAAACGAGGTCTCAGCCTACCTCGAGGATCATCAATATGCCTTCCTTGCCGAAAGGTTTACAAAGTACATCGTTCATCCCTTGTGTGTAAAGTTGCCAGTTTGGGACAGATTAATGTTGGAGAACGCAAGGAACGAACATTACATACCTGATGTATAGTAAACTTGGACATCGCTCTGTTGTGAGTTACTGGTCATTGATATTATTGGAGTCATCGAGTCGAACTCCCGAATACGACAAGTGGCAGATATGCCGTCGAGCCTCGGCATCATGATATCCTAGGGTGCAGTATGAGACTTCGACCGAAGACGCCGTGGACCCCAGAAAATACTGGTACACGCACCATGAATACAAGATCATAAATTGCAGTGTTCATTTTATGAACCGCAGCAACCCCATCTGTTGCAACGTCGATGGTACATCCAAATATCCGCAACAGGCGTGAGCTCAGTTTCTGGATAACGGCATCGTCATCGACAAGAAGCACACGAGGTGATATTGCCCATACGGGCTGTACCAACCCGTGTTTCGAGCATGTGCGACTCTTTGGAATGATCAACGGCGATGTGGGGTTGAGTTGAAGCGAAAGGTTGCCGATCAGGGAGTCTGAGGTGGCCGTCGAGCCAGCGGAGTCAGCGGAAGACAGTTTGGGCCTGACGTCGAGGAGATTTCGATGGAAAAAGGAGATGGCGGCGAGGACTTCTGTTATGCTGGGCCTTGCCCGCGGATTGTCAATCCAACACCGCTGTATAAAGCACCAATGGGCATCTGATACGTTATGGATCGGTCTTTCAGGGCGGATACGATTGATGAGGCACAGAAGGACTTGGACATCAGATTTGAAGTTGTGGTATGGAATGCAGCCCGATAGTACCTATTATGCCACACAAATCGTTAGTCCGCGGAATGATTTTGTTTCAAAGCATGCTGCAAACCTGATGCATGACACTCCCGAATGAATACACATCAGAGAAGAAGGTGACGGAAGGAACTGCATCGATACGATAGAGTTCAGGCGCGGTCCATCTTATGTTTCCGTGGATCGAAGAGGTGTAATACGAAGTTCCCTGGAATTCTGCAATGATCGTAGAAAGTCCGAAGTCACTTAGGCAGGCGACGCCATTCTTCGATATGAGAATGTTGGCCTATATTTTTACACACACTAACGTTAAGCCAAGAAATATGAGCTTGATGAGAAGAGCTTACCCCGGTGAGGTCGCCATGGATAATATCGAGACTATGTACTACCCCAGAGTCGAGGCATCAGATCTCAGAAGTTGAAGACTGTGGAGCTACTTACAATAGTGCAAGCCGGTTGCGATATCGCACAACTAGATGTACCAGAATAAACGGATGAAATCACAGCAGTAGTGACATGGGTCTCACCAGCTTAAACCTGGTTGCTAGCGTTAGTTCTTCGGTAAGGAACTTGTTAAGATTGCCATTCTCCATCCAGGGGGATACCATAGAAACATAAGGGCCATAATCAGAGACGACGCCGAAGAGCGGTACAATGTTCGGATGTTGCAGTTCCTTCCAGACCCGTAGTTCGCGTCGCAGCCGCTGCCATAGGGGGTAATGTGTATTCACAACGCAGTCCAGACGCACAACGTTGCGAGAGAAGGATTTTCACCTTATCCACCTTGGACCTCGCATCTTCTTGACAAGTCTGAGGGCGGAGAACCTTGATGGCAACCTGATCATATAACGCGTGAATGACGGCGCGATCGCACCACTACATCACCTCACCTTTAGTGTCTCACCGCCCTTGTCCCAGCTACCAATCCAAACATCTGAAAAGCCGCCATGAGCCGCTGGGTACTGATCCTGTCGACTGACGTGCCCAGTGAGGTCGCAAGGTATTGAACTGTCGGCCATGTTCATGCATAAGCTAGTATCGATGAAAAAGCAGTAGGTTGGGAGCGGCTACACTCAAGGACCCTTCGACCTCAACCAAGCTGTTCAGGACCCCAAAATTCTTCCGAATAATCTCCTAGGCGAACGGCGCTCGATTTCGGAAGTAAACCAGTGACAATCGCCGGTGTGGCAGTGCCCATGTTTGGCATACCCTTTCGAACCAACTAGGCGCTCTACCAGGAATAGCAGTGCGCAGATGTCACTGCGCACAAACGACCTTCATGACCACGCTACAACCGTCTGCTCACAATCCGTTTCGCTCTAATCAACAGACGCCAGCGAATACAGGATCTCAGGTCCCTTCATCGCCGCCTCCGCCACCGTTCACTGATTCACCATCGACTGCACCAAGTGCATCCGCAGTCTCGGGTACAGCTCCACAAAGCAACGGACACGCCTCCGATCCTCCTGCAGAGTCGTCTCAATCGAATGCTAGACAACAGAATCCAGATGCAGATGACTTTGGCTTAGACACAGAGCTTCCACCGGCGTACACTCCGGCGGCGGACACGTATCATGGAGAAGCTACGATCGAGTATGGTCCAATACGGCCTTTCCAGAGGCCTCCTCCTGCTCCGCGTATCCAACCACACCTAGTCCCACAGCCAACTGGACAATCCGTTGCCTCATCCACTAGTTGGGCTCAAACACCAAGCGTCACAAGCACTCCGTCACGGCGCGCTAGGGGGCCTATATCATTACTCTCTGATCTAGCGGGCGAGTTAGAGCGGCAGTTAACGTTAACTGCTCGGGAGATAAGCCGACCAACTACGTACCGACAAACTGGATACTCTAGTACACCCCCGTTACAGCCGTCACATACTGGCCGATCATGGAATGCATACCCAGGCCAACAGCAATCGTTCCAGCGCCCGAGTTATGCACCAGTGACTCCCAACCATACAGGTTATAGACCCCCTCCGCCTCCCCGACACCCCTCAGAACAACTTCATGCGCGATCTGTTTCTTCCCCCGCTACATCACCAACTCTTCACCCTCCTCCTCCACCTGAGGCTGCGACTTCAGATTTTGCTCGCGATTTCTACGCCGCTGGTTCGGACGTCTCAGTGGTAACTGAACCGACGGGAAACGTAAATATTAACGCGTCCCATTCAACGCCTAATTTACAATCGCCCCCGGGGGCGTACCCGCCACCGCCTGGACCACCTCCCGGACGATCTGGTTTATACCCCCCACCATCGGGTCCCCCGCCTGGCTCACCAAGCCAGTATGCCCCCCCTTCCGGCCCACCTCCGCCGCTTCCACAGAGGCCTCGCACGACGTCCCCGACGCCTGGCTCATCATCGGGGAGTGGATCTCGCCCAAATGATGGGCGTCCCACGCAAGTGCCTACACCAGGGCATCCTTTAATGCGCGACGGCAAAGTCCTCGTGTATCCCAACGGCTACGTTTGCGACAAATGTAAGCTAACATTTTGACCTCGAAAGATTTTACTCTGACTATTACGTACCTAGGTAACAACACGGGGTTCAAACATTCTGACCCTCTAAATCCATGTAAGAAATGCTGGCAGAAATTTGCCAAACTATTTTCAGGGCCGTTGACTTGGGCGTCGTGGGGTGCTGACGAGGGCACCAATGATTCGACGCTGCGTCGCTCAGCGACGTCGGCTGTACCGCGGCTAAAGAGGAATACGACTCACAGTACCACTCTTCAGCGACCTCTCCCTAATTTCACATCGCCACGCGCACGGTCTTCCTACCCAGAACCCCAAGGCCCATCGATGTCTAGCGGTGGCCCATACATCAATGCCCCACAGAACATCGTACCTGCACAAGTATACTCCACCTTCCCATCATCATCCCATCATCAAGGGAACACCCTCGCAGTACTTCCCGGCGACCCACGAATAGGTGGACAACTTTGTTGGAATTGTTCCGGAAGGGGATTGAAGAGTGTTCTCGGAGGCTTGCTGGGTGAAGAAGAATGCTTCGTGTGTAAAGGTGTCGGAAGAGTGTTTTGATGTGGCGGTTGTCGATTTCTCGTCTGTGATGATGCACTGTTAATTTAACCGTTTTCGTTCGGCGTTGACAGATTGGCCGCAGTTGGCCCTCTTTCCTCGAGGATATTTGTTGTTTTGCGCGGGTGAGTTGGCTTTAGGGATCGTGGTAAGTACCGCGTATTGCAGACGCGTGATTTTGTGGGACATAACAACCGAGTGTCCACACGTCAAGAGCCCAGAGCCTGGACGCCGCGTGGTCTTAGCCTTCATTGTCTCCGCGTTCTTGAGGGCGGACTACGGTTGGAGAAGTCGCAGGATGTCGTACAGTGTCTCGAACAACAGACTCCATGTAAGGGCAACTACTCGGAGATGGCATGTCGATGGGCGATTGATAAGGTGGGCAGCCAATGACAAGGCGGAGTTACTCATAGAGGAGCGGCGGTGCAAGTTTACGGACCGTTCTCGTAAATGAACGGACGGTGGGGGATGGTCCTGTGTCAAAAAGATCCCAAGCCACAAGGTTCTTACGATTGCCAGCGATATGGCCGTACTGATACTGGGGACGGAAGATCGCCAACATTACGACCGTGTGTTTGAATTGGGCCTTTTATAGGAGAGTTTCATAAGGAAGAATGTTCGCCGTTTCGTGTAGTGAAAGATGCCGGTGAAGTGACGGAACAACAAGTTAGGCGAGAGCAGTGACTATACAGCTACATAGGCTGGCAGTAGATAAAATAACATATAGAGATTGTGGTCGTCGCAGAGGGTGTTATGATTTACTTCTGACATGGATGAACCATTGCCGGTGATCGTGGGCCATGTGGGCGGTCTGGGCTGGTCTGGACGAGATCTGGCTCGGCAGAGGCGGCAGGGGTTTGGAGGACCCCGGAGGAGGGAGATGAGCTGGAGGTGTAGCGCAGCGACGAGAATGGATGGAATAAAATAGAAAGCTGTGTGGAGAAGGTGTACGTTATATGGCATGAGTATGAGAGTGGAAGGAGGCGCGGAGACAGGGGCTGAGAGACACAAGGAAGATGCCGAGAAGCGGGATGTGATATTTAGGATCGACCTGAAAGCTGCACTGGACCGCGCTCATCTTGCCGCCTCTCATTTTCTAATCAATAAATGGACCAGGCTGGACAATACACCAACAGGCACACGAATCTCTTCCACTCATCTCATCTCCCCCCGCCGTCCGCCCTCCAGCTCCCTCCCCCCTCCTCCTACACCCTGCCACCCTTATCCAATCTCTCGCCCCCAGCAGCAAGGTTCCCCCCGCAGCCCCCGCCTCCTCGTACCTCCCACCTACCCACATACTCAAGCTCGGGCACTGTGCTTCCACCCCTGCCCTCGCCCGCTGGTTCCCTGAACTCGTGGCCAAATGTGCATAGGACATCTAGTTCGCGTGACGACATGCATCCCTCACAGTTCCATTCACAGCTTAACAGACAGGAGCAACGCCTTGACTCGGCAGTAAAGCGCGAGTCCTCACAAGCCCAGCAACACACCATGCCTCCCCCAGATCACAAGGATCCAGAGTCCGGCGCAGGAGCCGGCGAGGATGGCATGCCAACTACCAGTGATTTTGTCAAGAAACTGTACAAGTGAGTCTCACAGCCGTGTTCTCCCGCCGGCAGCTATCTCTAACGCCCACCGCCCGCCAGAATGCTGGAGGATCAGTCTTTCCAACATGTAGTATCATGGGGCCCACAGGGCGATTGTTTCGTGGTCAAGGTATTTTACCCTCCGTTCATAATGCTCCCACCGCCGACACCCAGCTCAGGACATGAACGAATTCACGAAATCCATACTACCACGAATGTTCAAGCATTCCAACTTCGCTAGCTTTGTTCGGCAGCTAAACAAGTACGATTTCCACAAGGTAAGCCGCTCACTGCGCTATCACCTGGCCTATCACCTGAGATCGTCCCATAATTGCCCTAGGTGAAAAACACAGATGACAATCAATTTGGCGAGCATGTGGGTTATTTCCCCGCTAACACCAAACGTCAGCCGCTGACAGAGTCCGCTATTCAGAGCTGGATGTTCCGACATCCCGACTTTCATGCCAATCGCCGCGATGCGCTCGAGAATATCAAGAGAAAGGTCCCAACACAGCGGAAACAAACTAATCCTTCTACCAACCGACCGCTATCGTCCACCTCTCCGGGGCCTTATCCTGGTGCCTCCTCCGCTACCCAGCACCAGGTCGAGTCTCTTCAAGGACAAGTGGAACGCCTAACTCAGTCTCAGGACGAGATGGCGTCCCGAATACGAAATCTCGAGCGCAACTACCAGGATGTACTAGTGGAAATGGTCACATTCCAGAGGAACATGGCCCAGCAGGACAGCCTTATGCAAAACCTCATTCAATACTTTTTGCAAATCGAGAATGGTGAGTAAAAGGCCTTCTAAATGGCTTTCAGCCCTCGCCATCCCGTGCAATTCTCTCCCCTCGCCATTAGAACATAAAGTCGTTGTAGTTACAGTTGCCTTCCTGCACTATACCTGTATGATCTTGTAGTATTAGTCTTACCCCCCGCCCGCTCTTAGGACACGATAGTCTTACTCGCAATCCGTTTCATTGCTCCAGCAAAATTACGTTGTGCTGACGATTTTTTCTGCTTTTTTTTTCTATAATCCCCTGCAACTCGAATCCCAACCGCTCTGTCTCCCACACGTCTAAACCATTCGTTCCTTCGCATTCCATTGGGTCTCCGTGTGACCTCCCCAACCCTCCACGGCAATAAACTACTCGAAACACGTTCCTGGGCGTTCACCAACACCAACACAGGCAAATCGAAAAATGCAGCACGCATCGGTGCGAGCAACGATCCTACTGGCACGGTATCCGATCAGAACCCCTTCCTCCCCACTCAAGAAGCCCAACGAATGATGGGTGCCTACCCAGAGTCCGATGTCGCTCGAGCGACACTCGTACAAATGAGTCAGATCTCGAAACGCGCGGAGGTAGCAGGGCTTTCTTTTGGTGCAGACGGAGGGTTGATGGCTTCAAATAACAATGGCAACGGATCGACCAGGGGACGAGGCATGGATAGACCTTCGTCGAGAATCTGGGCCGCCGCGGCTAATGCCGGATTAACGAGGTTTGATGGCCCAGGCGAGGGTAGCTCCAGCTCTGGAAAGCCGCCGCCCATTATGACCAGGCAGGAGGCGCTGGCCCAGATCGGCGAGTTGCAGGCGCAACGTAGTCGACCTGGCGGAAGTGGAGGCGGAGGCGACCAACGGGCCTTTGGGTCGTTCAATATGGGCGCGTCGACGTCGACGTCGAATATGTTCAACACCTCTTCCCCTGAAGAAGACAGCATGGATGAAGAAGTCGTTATGCCTTCGCAATCGACTACGGACCTCCGGGCGGCCGAAGAGAGTCCTCCCAGTCGGTCCAGTACAGCGAGTGCTTCTCGGTCTACTGGGATACCTATCATTGGCGCGTGGGGTCCTGGCCAGACGCCTGACGGCAACGAAACAAGCCCTGGATCACACCAAGGCCTGCAGGTGTATACTGTGGGTCACTTAATGCCAAAGAGCAATGTCGAGGACACGAACGGGAATTGGTCTTTTGATGCCAACAGCCTCTCCATGCTCTCCGGATTCCCTGGACTAATACCCCAGGGCCCAGGGCAGGCTGGAACGCAGGGCCAAGATGGAGACAACCCGGGTGGCTTTGGATCTGAACGGGCGTACACGGACTCCGCTGGTACCAGTCCAGGAAGTTCCTCAAGCCAAACGGCGTCTTCCCCAGGGTCCAGCAAGAAGCAGAAGCTCACTGTCAGACGTTCGACGTTCGTTCCAGGATGGGCCGTGCCTCCCCGTGTTCTACTCGTCGACGACGATGCTGTTAGTCGTAAACTCAGCAGTAAGTTCCTGCAGGTGTTTGGCTGCACCATCGACGTTGCTATGGACGGCGTCGCGGCGGTGAACAAAATGAATTTAGAGAAGTATGATCTAGTTCTAATGGTACGTTCCTCGGCACGGTGTTTTGTTATGACAGTTGGTGATTTGACTTCGAATGATTTCTCCTAGGACATTGTAATGCCGAAGCTGGATGGGGTGTCTGCGACCTCCCTCATTCGCAAATTCGACCATATGACACCTATTATATCAATGACCAGTAATTCAAAGCCCAACGATATAATGACATACTATTCCTCCGGTATTCAACGTCTTTACTTCTTTTCTCTCGAATTCCAGAACTAACGCGCTTGCTATTGATAGGCATGAATGATATTCTACCGAAACCCTTCACTAAGGAAGGTCTATTAGACATGCTCGAGGTTCGTCCCTGTTTTACACAATCCGTGAGAGACAGCGAGACCCACGATCACCTTTAGAAACATCTTATGCACCTCAAGGTCATTCAACAAATGGCCCGTATCCCTCGTTCGCTAGGCATACCTCCTCTCTCGGATACTGGCTTCGAACAAGCACTAACGTCGCAAGCTGCTGTCATGTCGGCTCCCAGCAATGACGGTAGCGCCACCGACAACACCCTCAACAACGTCGGCTTCTCTGGCATTGGCGAGGATGATGGACGGTTGAATCCCCTTGCCGGGATGGGCCTGACCGATGAGCAGTATAACGCGATCCTGCAGAATCTCGTTAACGGAGAAAGCTTCTCCGGCGCCATCGGCTTGAACCTTGGTATGTCCATGGGCGAATCCAGCGGAGGAGAAAAGCGTTCGCTGGACGACCCCAGCGATTCACGAGCAGGCAAACGAAGTCGCTTCGAAGTCGTGGAATAAACTCCACCTTCTTCGAATCGCGCTTTGGACCCTTCGGATCATAGGCCTAGGCCCAAGCATGGGGTGCCTCAGGCTTCTTGCTTTGTATTTTCCACAGGCAGACGCTTCCTATGCAATTCTCTTTGGTCTTTTTTCACATACCCTGTACTGGCGTTGGAACGGACCCACCAACTGACTGCTAGTTTCAATGTATCAATATACCTTGTATGTGTAATTTGATTATGTACTAGATCTCAACGTAGAAGAAGACCTCAGATTTCAATTATTCTTGAATCTTCGGTGATTCAGGTTGATCAGTCAACGCCCGTTTTGGGTACAGCAGTGTGATGGAAGGCATAATCGCGTGGTCGTATCAAAGAACTCATTCTCACACATGTTGTTCGGTTGAGGCGTTCACATGTCCTAACATAACATAAGAGCTTCCTTGCCTTGGGCTAATAATGTACGAATTGCAAGGGAATCATTACCTTTTCCAGGCTAAGCCACAACTCAGCGCTCCGCTTGTCAATGTTATCTGTCAGCTATGTGGAGACCAAAACACTTTTCACTGTGCAGCGGGGTTATCTACTTCCCAGATGATCGGCGATAATGCGCTCTCCCCGAAGACTAATCAACTTTCTCATAACAACAGTCACAGACGTGGAGAACGCACGAGAGAAGAGGTTTTCAAAATGAACATCGATATATTCCAAACTATTTATATCTAGACAATTACTTGATGGAAGGAGCATACGACTCTAGCTGTAACGGCTGCAATGTACTATTGCAAACACGTTAGTAGAGCGGATAAAAGTAGTACATCTCTCACTAACTACTTCACACTGCTGGCCATCCTGCAGACCCCATCCGTGCATCAGCAACTCGGGTGACGTGAGTTCCATGAGGCTATGAGGAGAGAGCACAGAAGTATACTGGAGCGGACTATTGGTGACGCTCCCTACGGCCGGAACAAAGAAACAGGCATCAACTAATTCACACTTACTTTTCTGACAATCGCGCGCGTAGAACTATCATGATTACGAAAAGGAAAAGACCAACCGTGGTACATGGATATGAAAGTAATACGTACTTCCCAAGTAGAATGGGGAGAAGGAAGTGGCTCCGTACCTAAATATTGGGTCCACCTCCTGACCACAGCAGCACGCGAGAGATGATGAGTATAGAGACAACAGGCGCAGAATGAATTGGATGAATTGGGACGGACTGAAAAGTCGCTTCGCCACCACCAAGTCCCTTATCCACCCATAACGTTCGTCAACATTAGTCGGTTGAGTTAACTTGCATGGCGTAGATATGTCGAAGAAGTGCATCGAAAAGCAACCGCATTAAAGATGGACGGTAAGTTCGAACTGGGAAAGACGTCAGAGAAAGTCCTCAGCTCTAGCCCTCTTCTTCCCTTTGGACTCTTCCAATGGTTGATTTGTCTTTGGGGTGAAGTACTTTGGGTGATAGGCACGACGTTCTTCCTGGAAATAACGGATGTTCAGGAGTTGTGGCATGCTGAGGAAGGGGATACACGTACTGGAGAGAAGTTGGCATCAGAATACTTGAGACTTGTGGCTTTCTTGAAAGGCGGGATAGTTTGTTCGAGCGCCGGATTGGGTAATGTAGGCCCGTTGGGCGGCGGAGCAGATTGTACATTATTTGACATCTGTTGCGGGTTAGGTGTCGCACCTGATGAACTGGGCGTGGCAGACGGTGGTGGAGGAGATGCTTGTTGGGAGCTAGCTGCAGGTACGAAAGTTGGCGGAGGGCCAACACCGTGCGGAGGAGGGAATGGTGGGCGCATACCAGGCCCTGGTGGCAGGAATGGGGGGGCTCCAGGAGGAAGCATTCCTGGAGGAGGCATGCCTGGGAAGCCAGGTGGCATTGGAAATCCAGGAGGGGGTCTATGAGACAATGAGCACTAATGGCTGGAATAGCGAAATCAGATAGACTGACCCAGGTGGCATCCCAGGCGGCATCCCCATACCAGGCATCGGAGGGAAGGGTGGGCCTCCAGGCATACCTGGGGGGTGGAAGAATGGGGGAGGCATTCCAGGCATTCCAGGCATAGGGGGGTGCCCAGGGATAATTGGGGCTGGCACAGGAGCGGCCGAGTACGCTTGCGGTGGTGCGCCATAAACAGCACCAGGGTCAGCGGCAGACGCAGACGGTTTTCCATCGGTAGCGCTACCCATTAAGGCTTTATGGGCTTCGAGTTGCGCCCTTAGTTCTTCTTCAGAAAGAGGTCGGCTCTCAACCTTTTGTCGCTTCACCGGGGGTTGCGAGATGGATCCCGCTGCCAGTCCCAACTCAATCTCCTTGCGACGCTTGTAATCCGCCACATCCGGGGCAGGAATCCCCTCCATGCCGAAAATCTCCACTTCGTACCCATCTCTGCCCGGCAACGCGTTGTCGATGCGCGGGAGGCTATACGATGTCAGATCCACGCCCTCGAATGCTGTATGGTCACTTACTTTTCGGGCTCTAACTTATGAACTTGCTGGATGTGAACGGCCAAGCCGCCGGCGGTGTTGAGGCGTCGAGGACACATTCCACATTTGAAATGCTTGGCCTTCTGATGCTGCATCAAGACTACATGCCTCTCAGCGCCAGCTCAACTACGATGGGGAGGGCTTATCATACCTTTCTCGTCTTCGAACTCCCGTTCGCAATACCAGCACCATGGCCGGATAATCTACAGGATATGGTAAGTAAGGGTTACCTGGATACGGGTGCGTATTCTCACTTGCTTATTCTTCTTCTTTGCCATTCTGGTCGATGCACTGGAGAGGATGCACAGAAAAAGATGGCACTGAGTCAAGAACAGGCGTGTGAATTTGAGAAAGGTCACAAGAAATAGGAGACAATTTAGGAGACCCCTTTGTTCAAAGTCAAAACCAGGACATAGGCATAAGGTCCTAAGGGTACATAATAATACTGATACAATAAATTATAATGTTAGTATAGGATATAGTAAGAGCGTATATATATATAGAGATTATTTCAAACAATTCGTCGCGAACATAGCAGCATATCCACCTCCAGCATCAAGCAATTGTTGATGAGTGCCTTGCTCCACCAACCCGTTTTCCATGTATCTGATACCAGTCAGTTTTAAGAGCCGATCCGGTATGAGGGATAATCTTACAGGACCAAATCAGCCTGAGTCACAACGTTATTCACCCTATGTGCTGCATAGATGATACTTCGTCCTTTCCGGAGAGAGATAAAGTTGTTCAAAATATTGGTCTCGGTCACTGGGTCGAGTTCGGAAAAGGCGTCTCCAATAACTACCAGGCGTGGGTTGTTGCATAGAATCCGAAAGAAGGCGCGAGAACTAGAAACAAAAGTCATTTAGACGTATGCAACTGATAGAGAAGATATCTTACGCAAGTATTCTTTGCATCTCTTCACGAGTTAGCTGCACGGGGCGTCGAGCCGACATCGCAGAGTTCCGTGCGTCAACGGCTGCCTTAGAGCTGGCTCCCATACTTTGGCCTAGGACGGGGACTACGGTCGGAATGGCATCGTACCCTAACCTACGTATAAGTTCGTATGCGCCTCCTAATCGAGCGGCACGATCAACCAGATCCAAACCGAAATCATATCCATTGGCCAGACCAAACGTTATATTTTCCTTCAAAGAAATGGGATAGAGGTCGTCTGGCGTCTGGAGCAACACTGTCATGGAATCTCGGAGCGCCTCAGAGTTGATTGATTCAATTGCCCGGTTGTCGACTAGTATTGCTCCACTTAACGGTTCTATCAGGCGAGGAAGTAGCTTGAGCACCATCGATTTATCACTCGCATTCGGGCCCACGATAGCGACAATTTGCCCGGGGTGGACAATGAAACTGAGGTTGCGAAGAACGTCCCTTTCGGCATCCTCGCGCGTGACGCGCACGTCACTGACATAGGTTGCTTTGATTCAGCTTTCAGCGCAAATGGTCGCAGAGCAACGTACCTAAATTGTACTTTCATCCCTTTCGAGCTCGCTGCGGGGAAGGAAGGTGCTCCGAGCTCTTCTCTGGCTGGGACATTTGTAAAAGGGACATAGAATCTTTCCGCTTGCTGGCAGGTGTCGTCGAAAGTGGATCTCATTCGCAGACATAAATCAACGTTGCTGCGAATTGACTCGGTCATGAGGCGTAACAAAAGGGACTTGGCGATGCAATTTGTGGGCGACGACCACGGAAGTGTAAGTGCAAATGCAAGCTGGATTATCAGAATTCAACCCCTTTGCCGGTGCGAACAACAATAGAGTAGCTTACAACAGGGAGGTCGAGGATAATACAGCTCCACAGATCCCACAGCAACGGTCGAGGAATATCATTCGACGCCAATGCTGTTGCATCAGGCCGATGGACACCAAGGTCCCTTGAGGTTTTCTCATATTCTGTGTTATATTCTTATCAGAGATCGGAGGATCCACAAGCATCAAGCGGGCGGTAGACTTGCCTGCAGCTAGAAATGACGAGATACCATCTTTACGGATATCTTCCTCGTATTTCGGTGAGAAAATGAGCATGTACAAAGCGGCAAGGCGGCGATAGTATGGATTGCTCGTCCAAAACGTGTACTCTTAAGCGGCAACGTAAGTGGGTGTGGCCACATTTGATCAGATAGACGACTAACCTGCACCGCCTACTCCATCAGAAGGGATGGTATAAAGTAATATGGGGTAGTAAACGCCGAAGACGACCAGCAATTTGAACTCCAAGGAGGTCTTCTTCAGATACAACGAAAGGAGAATGCACGCTTGTATGAATGCGACGCAGAAAATGCTTGCTTTAAAGCACAATTGTTCGATGATGGCCCAACCTGGGGCAACCTCCTCAAACTGCCATGGTTCAGGGTAGGATGCTGAGTATATATTAGCGAAATATGGGAAAGTAGAGATCGCAAGTACTTACTATCATTTACTGCCCTGGCCTCAAGCTTCGCTAGAAGCAACGGATTGGTTAGTTTAAAAACACGTTGACGGGGTTCAACATACCTCTTACAAGTTGTGGAAGAAAATAACTTCGAAGGTGTCCACGTAAAGACATTGAAGTGTCTTTCCTGCACAGAGTTCAGGTTGATAAGTGATGCTGTGTCGAAATATATAGTAGCGCCGTACTTCATACGTTCTACAAGTGTAGACACGAGCGTAGAAGCCATGAAACTGTATACCAAAGCCGGTAGTGGGCCCATGCCACCGTCATTAACACATTGAATTGGGCCTGACATCTGCGACATGCATCCGTCAGTTGTCTCGCAGGACTGTATGCTATACATACTAGATCGACGGCCATGATGGCCATATAAAGGGACAGGATAGACGACCCAGTTGTCCACAAGCATGCCAGAATGTAAGTGGCAAACGTGAATGGGGCAATGGAAAAGACGTCGCGCAGAAGCCTTGCAGCGTATGGCACCGATGGGGGTATTCTCGGCCAGGAGCTGACACAGCCCAGGAACGCATACCTCCGACTCGGGGGCTCGAATGCGATTTCAAAGATTCCCCATCGTAATCTGCGTAAACCGTGTCTTTCGGTGGATATTTGTGGCGACTGTGGAGTGTGGTGATCGGGTGTACGCGATACACGCTTTACGAGCATCGCGGAGGAACTGCCAAAACAGAGAGAAGTTGAAGGTTAATGAGTCGATGATCCAAGGATCCCAAGGACGCCTTTATATGCTGGCCTACCGTTACCAATCTTACCTGACTACGGTCGGAGAACCAAAGACGAGGTTAAGGCGTCCAACCTTGCGCCTGGTATGCGCCTCCCGAGGTCTCCTAAACAAGTGCATTGTGGGTCTTGATGATGATCTGTAGGCCATATTAGCACATAAACGGATATCAGGAATAATAACAACTTGTCGTGAACCAGATCTCGTCGAGGCTAAATAGCCACACGACGTTTGCACAACTTGAAGGGCAAAAGCCGTACTGGCGTAGACACCTACGTGTAGAGAAGCATTGCCAATGGAAGGGCTACGGACAAAAGGGCTGGATGGACCCGGAAACCGAAGGCGAATGCATTGTGTGGGCGCCACACATTGAGGCAAAGCAAAGTGCAATGAGTAAAATTATAACGAAGCTTGTTCCGCATGGCGATTGAGATCAATCATGATTTGAGAAGGATACATCCTGTCTTGACCGTCGCATGCTACACAGCAAAGCAGAGTCTATTGTAGCTGTTGCGTTTTATTGGTGCTGTGGTTGGACAATACTGAGTGTGTTCGTTGACAGGGAAAGGTACTCAAGGCCCACGTTCACCGTCCAATATCGAAAGTGGACATCCCGGCTTACTGATGTATGTTGTTTGAGGTTGTAGGCGGACTGTTTCCCCAATTGCACTCGGGGATTTGGACCCACGAATAAACAGAAGTCGGGAGAAGATGAAACGCCTGACGTTTGAAGAATAGAAGTACAGACGGTAGCATTTGCACTAGGGGGTGCCTTCTTAATGTACGTGGGGTTGCCCGTGGCTATACTGCAAGAGGACCTACAGCCAACCATTCGTCCATGAGATTCCAAATTAGCACTTGTTCATCGTTCCATTCTGCTCTTTTCTCGCGGACGCATTCCGCACACAAGCCGTGAGCTGCCCAATCTACGCCTTTGATTCGCTCCAGGGTTTCAAGGGGTTTGCACACGCCGTCATCCTCTATGGCGGGTTGTATAACAAGGTTCATCCACGTGTCCGCGAAGACATCTGTGCAGGCCATGTGAGGCGTCGTTGCAGGACTGAAGAGGAGAGGTGTGAAGTGTTCAACCATCTTTGTCATGAGGTCATTACACCGCTTGATTTGGGAAGCAGGTAAGGGTGACAGGGTTGGGTTGCTTGTCGACGTGGAAGGGACATCAACAACAGACACGCCTCCTGGTTTGTCCTCTTGCACAATAGATTCAAAGCTTTCAAGATCGAGATTGGAGGCAACAACGAAACTATAAAATAACCGTTTTTGGACCTACACATAACCCATGATGGAATCCCAAATTATCACATATTCAACGACTCGACTTACGGCGACTATTTGAAACTCCAGGGCGAGTAACAAAGCTTGAATCAGGTCCTCGTGGTATTGCGCCGGGGTCGGGTTGTCCGGGAATAATTGCACAAATTGGTTAATCGATGCGGTATGTACAGTAGGTAAATCCAGTTGGCCAGTCGATGAGACACGGATGAGGGAGACCAAGCGGCTTAATGGCGTCTCGGGGGATAGCGGGCTTGGGGTAAGCGGGCTTTGATCAATGGTGGCCTTCATATCAAATCACTTGTAGTAACGTACGGGTTGGAATAAATGTAGTCGAGAAGCACTGCGACATCGTCTGCAGTCACCCCGCGTTCTGGAGGAACTACATAACGGAGGTACTGCGCTTCCTGGCCATTATCTGCGCTGTTGAGTGCCTTCGGCGTTGACTCAGGATCATGGCTGAGAGATAGGCGAGAGTGACGGCTGAAGATGTCCTTGTGGATTTTGAAGGCGCAGTTTTGGACATGTAGAATGAGGTTCCCATCTTCGAACCAGAAGGAGCTATGTCGATTATCCTCATCTATGGTCATGGTGCAAATGAGAGCTTCGTTCGTCGCCCATATCGATATCCTTCCCAGATCATGGTATTTCAATTTGGATGATCAGCATATTAGCAATAGTGTTCTCACGGTCACAACGCCACAACATACATACTTCTGAGAGTCGGCCCTGACATTCACGACTGTTCTCAGCACCAACATGGCTCATACTACGGTACAACGTGGATTTCACTTCCTGTGCAAGAATTCAGCACAGAAACTGAGACTTGGGTCTCCTACTCGTTACGTCTCACAGACACGGCAGTATGGGTACGCAGACTTCCCACCAGGCGAAGTAGAGTATCAATCATGATGTTTCCAGAGGCATGAGCCTCGATGGATTCACAGAGTCCCAGATTCAAGTTCGGGAAGGTAGTCCATGACGTGGGCCTGTTTCTGGAAGACATACCCTGACATTTTCATTATGTCAAGCCATTGGCAGTATCTGTAGCAAGTACCCGGATGAGTACTGGGCGCAAAAGGATATGTCGGTGATGGCGACTCTGAATCAACGTAGATAGAGACTAACCCTGTTCGTAGGGATGGAAGCTATCCAAGTGATCTCCACAGAGACCTTGCTGCAGGCGGTTGGTTAGGAAGTCCGTTCTCGTTGTGTTCCTTCCGTACGTTGCTGACGGACCCCAGTTTGCATGCCAGAAAAATATGGGGGCTCAAACCTAGGCATCTCTGAAGCAACAGTCATGGTGAACTAAACTCCCGTCTCGCATGGTTTAGATAACGCTGATAGAATTTTCTATGAAGTTGCAAACAATTGCCGAAAGTGGCGCAGGGATAGCTGGCGCTCAGTCTATCCATGCCAACGTCTATGCCAGTACGTTTTATCGCCGTTTGGGCCCACAAAGTTCTGAGCTAGCTTCATTTATCAAAACATATAGTGCAACCAGGTAAGGGCCATCTGTGTGCCTTGCTTCAATGTTGCTCACCGATGCCTCTAGTTTGGACGTTCGCCACGGAAGATCAACGTAACCGCTGGCTTCCCCCAATTATCTCTGGGAGCCAACGTGCATGTTTTGGTGTTACTGAGGTATTCTCTGCCTTCTCGCCTACCTTGGCAGGGTACAGGAGTCTGAGATATTATGTAGCCTAACACAGGTTTAGACACATTGAACCTACAAACCAGAGCTACCCGCCAGGGCGACAAATATATAGTAAACGGAAAGAAAATGTAAGTCTATGTTAGCTTACACCCACGACAAGTCAATCTAACCCCGTCACAGATGGATCTCGTAATTTCCTGTTACTATTCTACGTGTGCAACACAATGATTCGCAAATACGACAGCTCAGCACAGGTAGCACAGAAGATGGTCTTACTTGCTAGGACAATACCTCTGGACCAACTGGATAATCCTTTGAAGGGTCTCTCCCTATTCTTTGCTGACATCAAGAAGGAAGACGGCGTCACTCCCAAAAGAGGAATTGACCTCCAAAGGATCTCCAAGATGGGGGGTAGAGCTATTGACGCCAATCAAGTAAGTCGCTGATTTAACGTGCGGCATTTGGTGCTGATACTGTGCCCTCCCCGGCAGGTTTTCTTTGATGACTTCGAGATTCCTGTCGCCGACAGAATAGGCGCAGAGGGCGAAGGTTTCAAACAGTCTGTTCCGATTTCCATTGCATTGGTTGAAGTTGACAGACTGCTGTAGAATACTACATGGCATGAATGCTGAAAGGTGTTTGTTGGCCGGAGAAGCCCTTGGTTCGTTTGCCACTTATACGGCGTCAATCATCTCGGGTTCTACTGACCGACTGTAGGCATTGGGCTTGCTGCATTGCGACGTGCCGCGAGGTACGCATCCGAGCGAGTGGTCTTCGGACGGCCCAGTAGGTTCAACCCCATGGCTTTGTGGATATCTCTAATTGGAGACAAGTTGGCCAAAACCAGGCGATCCAGCACCCGCTTGCCGTATGTTGTTTCCTTGCTAAATCGAGCTCCATCTAATTTTGTCTCAAGCAATCGTGGATCGATCTAGAGGCGGCAAAGCTTCTAACCTACAGCGCAGCCAAGGCCTACGACGACCGCGCAGCAGATAAGGGTTCGAGCAACACGGACGTTGGCGCTAAGTGCAACGCTGCCAAATATTTCGCTGCGGAGGTTGCCTTCAAAGCATGGTACGTAAATGTCAGAATTCTGAAGGATCATTGCTGATGACCATCTAACAGCGAACGTGCTGTAATGTATGTCCCACTTCCCGCATGGCGTTCGACATGACATTCAATTGCCTCAGGATACACGGTGGAATGGGATATTCCGCCGATTGTATGTACCGAGCCCATCTGTTGGTGCTCAATTTGATTTGACTGCTCGCCAACAGTCCACGTCGAGCGTTACATGAGGGAAGTTTTCGTGCCGCGCATCGCTCCCGTCTCACGGGAAATGATCTTGTATGTTCACCAACACCTTCTGTCAACGACTCCATAATTAATACCTATATGTAGGAACTTCATCTCGCAGAAAGTCCTTGGGTTACCCAAATCATACTAGCGGCAAGTGCCATGCCTAGCCTTCGCCGTCCACACGAAAAGCACACCTACAAACAAAAGCTTTCGAGGCACTGTACTTTGATCGCCGGCTCTTTTTCGGTAACCCCCACAAATTCAAATTCCATTCCTAACTTTCCCCAAGCAGATGGTCCACGCGGCGACCTACTTACCGCCAGCGTATCACCATGGTCGCCGTCTAAGACCGTGTATCCTAGCTGTGTGTACTCGTAGGGCATTGTTGGTCCTAGATAAATGTCGAGGCATCCTTGTACTTTAAACCGATCAAGGGATACGTCCGAGCGGAACCAGGAAGTTTGTCAAGGGAAGCCTCGTTAACGTGAACGCATCATGACATCCGTATATCTACATTAGTACAGCACCTTGCTTAGTCTCTGTATGCCCGTCAAGAGAGCGTCGCCTTGTCTGATCAGAATGTCGTATTGAGCTGCCTTCAGCTCCGGTCTCGTCGTTTCCACAATGCCGTTGACTTTATCGATCGTGCAATGTAGCCGACCACTAGCAATAAACCGAGAGAGCTCACTGGGGAGCGAGCAGTTAGTCACGGACCGAAGAGGTTTTTAGTGTATGCACGTACTTGTCAACGAAGTCCACGCTGACGCCGAATGCGGCAGCCAGGCTGTCCAGTGTCAGACTGCGGTACGATTCGAGCAACTGCGTGTAGGCGCGTATCCGCATCTCTCTCACGTAATATCGTGCATGTGGCGAGAGGACACGAGATGGAGTAAGGTGTTCTTGTTCGAGTCTGGCTAAGCATACGTTCGTGACAGTTCAATATGGCTCTCATTCGGAAGTAGAGTAGAGTACATACCAAGGGCAACGAAGAACTTGTCATAATGACATTCATACAGACTTTTTACCAAGTCGCCTAGAAGGGGGATTTCGGGGAGCACTTGGTTTACTTCCGCGGCATCCATGATCTAGATTTGTAGAAGGTCGAGATTGAGTAGCGCACTAAGAGAGGGGGGATATAATGACCTTCTTCTTCAAGTCGACTCTGCTTAGCGTTAATGCGCAGGATATAACGACGAGTGCAACAAAATCATTGTAGGACAGAAGTTCGGTAGCAGTGAAAGTTGAAAGGGCGTCCAGCAATAGCTCACCGCCGCGTTTGAACTGGCGAATGGAAAGAAGATGAAGACCATGGTAAACCTTTAGACGATTGCGGCGATCCCAGTCACCGCCTTCTTCAATCAGTCTACAATAATTTGAGCAAGTAGTTATCCAAGCACAGAATGAGACTCACGCCTCAGCTTTCGTCAGGTGTTCTGTGATGAGTTCGTGGTCACCAAAGAAGAACCCAATGCGAGTTAGAGTGAGGACGATGTCTATTCGTGAGCCCAGTCCCGGTGTCTTCTCTAAAGCGAGTTTCTGAGCCACCACAGCACGATCCTACAGCAGGACGTCAGTCTACTGAGAATATACTGATACAGCGATCACGCACTTTGTCACCGATACGCGTCAAGTAGTTTGCGCGTGCTCGAAGAGCATCAGAGATTTCCGACTCCCCTTCCTGCTTCTCTGCCTCAGCCAGTCGCTCGTCCAACTTCTGGAGTTCCTCCGCATTCGACTTTTCCATGGCCGAAATCAGCGCATCGTCTAGGGGCACCGAGGCCGACGATGTAGAGGTCACTGTGCGGTAGTACGGCGCCATTTCTACATATTGCGGATAATTAACTTTCTTGCTCGTAGAAGTCCATGTTCACTTACGGTCGGCCTCGATGTTTTTGAGGAGTTCGGTGCGTGCATTCTCGTGGAGGGCCGTCAGCGACGGTGCCGAGAGCACGAAGAGTTGCTGTGGCAGGGAGAGATTTGGAATTGGGAGCACGATATCGTCGGCCATTGGAACAGAGGACTTTGTGTGCGCGCAATGACGCGTCTCTGCTAATAAACGCAAGGTTCCCACGGCAAGACGCGTGTACTACCTCCTTCACCATGTCCGCCCAAGAGCTCCTCGACCAGGCAGCGGCCTGCAAAGAAACAGATCCAGCACGCGCCGAAACTCTCTACAAGCAGGTCCTCGAGATAGAGGCCGCATCGAATCAGCAAGAATCAGCACTTGCAAAGCTCGGAGAGCTATACCGCGACCAGAAGAATGCAGAGGGCGTCGCACAGCTCATCACTCTGTCCCGGGGCTTCATGTCGTCGACGGCGAAAGCAAAGACAGCGAAACTGATTCGAACGCTGCTTGACTTCTTCAATGCGATACCGAACAGCCAGCAAATACAGATTGCAGTGCTGAAAGACAATATCGACTGGGCGAAGCAGGAGAAGCGGATATTTCTGAAGCACAGTCTTGAGACCCGTCTCGTCTCGCTGCAGCTTGATACCGCACAGCACAAGCCGGCACTCAAACTCATCGACACACTTCTCACCGAGCTCAAGCGGCTCGATGATAAACTCATCCTGACGGAAGTTCACCTGCTCGAATCGCGAGCTCATTTGAGCCTTCGTAATCTTCCGAAAGCCAAAGCTGCCTTGACATCATCAAGGACAGCAGCCAACTCGATATATTGCCCACCTTACCTGCAGAGCGCACTTGATCTCCAAGCGGGTATACTGCACGCGGAGGAAAGAGACTGGACGACCGCATACTCATACTTCTTTGAGGCTTTTGAGGGCTTGAGTTCCTTGGGAGAGGAAAGTGCTCTGGGCGCCTTCAAGTACATGCTCCTTTGTAAAGTCATGCTAAACTTGGTTGGTAACCCATAACGCTCGTTTAAATCTTAACTCATTCACGTACCTTCAGCCCGACGATGTCAACTCCTTGTTGACCATCAAACTAGCACTGAAGTATGCTCAGCTACGAGAAGTCGAGAGCATGCGTGCTATCGCCCGGGCGCATCAGAACCGGAATCTCGCAGACTTCGAGAAAGCTTTGAGGGACTACCAGGAAGGTACGGTGCACTCACCCCTCCACGCATTTCGGACGGCTCTAAACACGCTGGTCTATAGAGCTTACCACTGACCCAATCGTCCGATCGCATTTGACTGCCCTGTACGACACACTGCTCGAGCAGAATCTCCTGCGAATCGTCGAACCTTACTCCGTTGTCGAGATTGAGTACGTCGCGCAGATTGTGGGTCAAGAGCGGCAGGCCGTGGAGACGAAGTAAGCTCTAACCATAATATTGTTGAGATCAGAGTACTTACAAACCCCCATCGTGTCTAGATTGTCCAAGATGATCCTCGACAAGGTATTTTACGGCGTGCTCGACCAAGGCCGCGGATGCTTGATCATTTACGACGAGCCCGAAGTTGATGTAAGCACTTCTCCCTATGAATTCGAACGACATGCCGACCGTGATGCAATATCTAGACCATGTACGGCGCAGCGATCGACACATTGGAGCAAGTAGGCAAGGTGGTGGAATCCTTGTACGCAAAGGTAATATATGATTATTCCTTGCCGTTGAAACTATATTCACGCTTTGGAATTCTAGACGGTGAAAATAGCATAGTGTTCTGTCTACATCTAGCTGTATTTTTACGCACGTAGACGTGGCCGCGCTACTAATGGACTAGTAACCTCATCGACGGCTATTTGCAGAGAAGCCTCATTGATACTTCTGGTGTGGTAGCTTAAATAAGTAGGTAGCTACATGGTTACAGGGTGATTCCTAAAAGCCACGACAGCGAAAAGTGCCAGTGATGTGTATTGAATGGGCTATTCACGGCAAGGCCTTCTATTTCCTTAATTCACGGATAATACAGTTGAGAAACCCGGTTTCTGGGGTTTCTCCGCGTAACTTTGGAAACCCCTAGCAACAGTGCAAAGTGGAGCGGGTTGCGTCGGCCGGGAGTCCGCCCGGAACATGCCTAATATATCTTAGCTCCCAACTCCGAACCTCGCCTTTTGTGTAAGTATGGCATGCCACGAAGCGCCCGGTGACCTCGTTTCAAAAATTAGAACATGCCGGAAGGGCCCTTCATGATGTTCAAGCAGGGCTACCACAAAGTACGAACCCCCAAGACTTGAATATACTGTCAGACTAATTGAGCGATACAAATAAGTTACGCAGGCCCCTCTCCACATCACTAGATCGTGATCATTTGACGCAACTCACCTCTTTCCGTGTTCAAGCGCACCAGGACAAGAGGAATGGTGTCGCTTGTCACTCCAACGAACAAGTTCATGAAATGGCGTGGGTTAGCGCAATTATTCTGCTTTTCGACTCCACACGACGCCAACGGGCTCAATAACCTCAGGCTTGCGCAATACCGCACAACTGCATGAATGAAAGGATGCTCGATAGGGTAAAGCTGCTAGACACGTTGGAGAGCTATATAAACCTGCCCCACCGCTCCTCGCTTCCTCAGCAAACTTTTAGCCACTCACCAGTAGTAAGCACTCCTCTTCTTCCTCTCTTCCTATCTTCTGATTCGAGTTTTTTATCTACAGGCTTTATCGTCAGCCACCAATCACAATGCGCGTCGCACTCTTCGTCCTCGCTTTCGCTGCTGTGTTCGTCCTCGCCAGCCCCAACGCTGACAAGAAGAAGAAGGTCAAGAAGCCCACCGCCGCTCCTGCCGATGCTGCTCCTCCCGCCGACGCACCACCCGCTGACGATGCTGCTGCTGCCTAAAAGGGGATAACCACGCTTACATCCCGGTGCGCTCGCTCTGACAGCGGCCCTCGCGTTCCCCAGCCCTCAACAGAGACTCGACTCGTCCAAACTCTGGACACTTTGCACTCGAATGACGTCGATAATCCACCCGTAGTATAGTTAACGAACTATTTGTCGCGCGCACTGCGCCCAATAGACCGTGACTTGCTGCCTTTTCCAAATTTTATCGTCACGCGTTCAAATTGAAACAAGACACAGACCGCTGCGATGTAATAATCTTTCCGCTCCTGGCCTCACCTGTCAAAGGCTTCGATGTTGGTTAACCTTACAAATCATACGCAGAGCCCAGCGTGATATTACACCTTGAACGCACACTGGTTGAGAAAGTATCCAACTTCATTCTGATCTTCCATCCATCAGGTATTTATGTATGGGTGAGCAACAAGCGAGGCCAAGAGAAACGCAAATACAAAACACGGTACAGTTTGCAGACACTAAATGTCGACGAGTTCGCTGCTCAATAATACAACAACCTTGCCGCCAAGGTCGGGTGTCGCTGATTAGCTGCACCTCGTCGACAACAGGCCATCGTCTTGATTTGGATTGGCGGCGTCGGCGAGCCACGACGATCGCAAGGCCCGGAGAAGAAACGACGGGAGCAGTGAGAGAGAATGCGGACGGAGGAAGTGAGAGGGATGAGAGATGAACCGACCTCACCAGGCCCTCGAGGCTTGTGCACCTGCAAGATGAAGAGGGAGAAGGTATGCTCCTGCCCTGTGAATAGCAACAATCTAAATAATGTAGAGGGGAGTCATTGTCGAGCGAAGACACGGACCCTCATCCCCACAACTCCCCGTGAAGAATCTGCATGCGGAGAAGGACTGAAACTTTGTGATGCCAATTTCAGGCCCATCCCATTACTGAGTGCAGCTTAATATGTAGGTAGGATTGGCCGCCACATATTACTTCAAGCTCGCGACTTGGTACACGGAGAACCAAATATTCCTTACGTTTTCGCTTCCACACCGGCCGGAGTGAATATGGCCTCGCCGGAAGACACACCCCGATTTCTACATTGATGAAGTTTATTTGAAGGGGGTTCTTGGGGTTTCTCCGAGAAACCGGGTTTCTCAACTGTATTATCCTTAATTCACTAGAGCACCTGACGTGTCGCAGGCTTTGAAATCATACACAGTACTGTATGTGCAAATGCTGCGAACAATCGAATTCATCTATTAAGTTACTCATGGTAAATGTCATCATTCATCTTCAACCTTTAACATCCGAAGAAATGTGTATTGACGGTAGCTTAATTACGTAGTGATGGATGTCGATGATCGATGAAGTGACAATGGGTCCATCCCAGTCTATGATGCGAAGTGTCCGATGAGAAATGGAGGCCAGACGGTAAGTATGGACGTCCAAGAATATATGCTGTACCGGATGAACAAAGAATATATGCGATGATGATTGATCTATATGGAAAATGTCCGTCTTGCAGTTCTAACAATACTAAAAGGCAGTATATGTATTCGAGGTTGGAAGCTAACAAGCAGGAGTAAGATATCAACAAGAGGCATCCAAGAATCAAAGGTACCTAAATGACCTAACCAGCATGGAAGAGAAGTAGGTATTAAACGATGCGGGAAGCAACGAGAACATGCAGCAGGCTGAAACTGTGATACTACTGAATGCACATGCACACGGGAGGCCACTGATGGAATACGGTCCGCCAGATGAATGTTACTGAACAGAGGTTGGCTTGTCAGCTTCGTAAGATCATTATAGACATTCATGGCCGTCATTCATCAAAGTGGGTGGGGTGTTGGTGTGCTTCCCGAGGATAGAGGGGGACTAGCCCCAGAACGCAGCGACCAGGCCATGAAATATGAAGAGGGATTCGTCAAGAATTCACAAGGAAAGCAAAAGATGGAAGAGGGGTGTTCGAAGCGGAAGTGAGAATCAGTGATGTTAATGGCTTCGAATGAAAGACCATTCGACTGCATTCAATCGTCAGTGACTGTTCGTAGGAAAGGGACGGAGTGAAATACGTACTGGGGACGATGCCCTCATCTTCCGATGCGATTTCGTTGAAAGCGGCCGTTGACAAGTCGATGGAGCCTTCGTTTTTACAGGTTGGGCAAGCATCGGCAACAGTGACTATGACGGACTATACGGAAGGAACATCAGTGATGGTATTCGAAAGCACGGAAAACTCTTCATACTTTGCCGTTCTTCGTGTTCTTGATATTGACTTTGGAACCACAGTGGCTAGACTTCTTGCTGGTATCACCGTAAGTCCTGTAGTCTAAAGGAGGGATGTGTGAATACTAGTTCAGCTGAAGTCTCGAGAGAACCTACCCAGTGCGGCAATCAAGGCGCTGTCAGGGTTAACATCTCCGCAAGCACCGGCGACGCCATGCTGATAATAGAAAGTTGCACTACAGAGACCACGAATTAGTCATTGACAGATGCAAACGAAAGTGGAATGGACACACAAGCCACCCTTAACAATATCCTTAACGGTATCGACGGCTGCATCGACGATCGACTTGGTAGGCTCAGGGGCCTTAGACGACGAAACAATGACTGTTGGTTTCGCGGTAGTCTCAGGCTTGGGTTCTGGCGACGCTTCAGGCGTTGGGATAGGGGTAGGGGTAGGGGAAGGCTTAGACTCAGGAGTGGCAGCAGGCTTGGACTCGGGAGTGCTAGCGGGCTTTTGAGAGGCCGGTGCAGGAGCGGGCGCAGAGGAAGGAGCAGGCGCAGGTGTAGGTAGAGGCGCAGGTGTGTCTTGGCTACCCTCGTCATCACAATCTTCTTCATCAGCATGACTGCCTTCTTCCTCATCGTCGTCGCAATCATCAATCGGGTCGACAGGCGTAGTTACCGTAGAAGTGGGCTCAGCCGCGTGAGCAGAGGAGGAAGCCTCTGGAGAAGGAACGCAGTAGGCTTTGCGGTTCTTCTCGAGGGACTCGGTAGCCAACATGGGATGGCAGCAGTCATCGAAGAACTGCTTCCCATGGTTGTTGTGGCAGCCGATGGCCAAGTAGCGGGTATGGTAGGTCTCATACGGCTGTCATTTTAAATCATGGTGAGTACGGACTTAAGTCTAAATGCACCTAAGCACTGACCTCGAGATAACCTTCTAGGTAATGGGCTGGCGCCTTTGTTCTAGGAATGACGGCGGCGTCAACGGACGCGACGGCGGCGAGGACAATAGCAGCAAATGAGAATGAGGCGAGCATTGTGGGAAGCAGTAAAGACGGGAGGTTAAGTGAGTGACTTTAAGAAGGAAGGAAGGGCAACGAGTTTAAACTAGAGACAGTGAGCCGAAGAACGCCAACACAAGAAACAGGTCAGACTTACGAACTCGAGGAAAAAGGAAGATGGGGGAGGGAGAAGAGGACGAAATTGAACGACGGCTCCAAATGCCCTAACTTTAAATCGCTTCGCTTAAGCTAAAAATAGAGTTTCTCGCGCTCGCGCCAGCGAACTTGGCATTGCCCTGACACGAATTTAGTACGTAACACGTTGAAATGCGCTTCTGTTTGGCTCCAAGCCGGTGTGCAAACAACTGCCATACACCGCAGCACTTCCACGCAACAACTCGCCACAGCGACCACGCACCTTAACGACACGACACGATGAGCAGTACGTATGCTAGCACTCATGCTAGGAACAGTTCTCAATGTCTCCAACAGCATATCAAAACCCTTTTGCGTCAAGTCATTCGCTCGACACGAACCCCTTCGACGACCCAGCACCGCCCCAGTCTTCATCGCATGCAGCCGAGGCGGCGAGACTCGAGGAGCTACGGCGTCGGGAGCAAGATCTGGAGAGAAGAGAGCAGGAACTCACTCAGAAAGCCGAGCACATCAGAAAACATGGCAGAAATAACTGGCCACCATGTATGCCCTCCGTCGCTCTTCAAATACGGAGGCTAATTGCGGTTGCTGCCCTCAGTCTTCCCATTGATATTCCACTCAATACAGGATGAAATCCCCGAAGCCTCGCGTCCACTCGTGACGCGTTTGTACCAACTCTGGCTGGTTCTGGCCCTAACTTTGATTTTGAACATGGTTGCCTGTATCTTCGTTCTGTTGGCTGGCTCCTCGGACGGAGGGAAAGATCTCGGCGCAAGCATTGGGTGAGCACAGTGGCTATACATTTACGCTCTCGCCTGACCTTGTGTTCGTAGCTATCTTGTATTCATTTCCGCCGCTTCCTTTCTGTTGTGGTATCGGTAAGCACATTCAGCTCAAAGTAATTGGCATCTGACTTGCGTAGTCCAATTTATAACGGTTACATGAAAGTATGTAACAACACCCTGGGTTATTCATTGACGCTGACCTTTGGTATTTGCAGGAGCAATCCCTGTATTACTGTAAGCCCCAGAACAGTCTCGCTGTGGTCCATTACCAATTCACCACATAGACTTCTATTTCTTCTTTGGCGGCTTCCATTTGTTGTTCAGCATATATATGTTAGTGCTGTCTCCGATAGCGTACTGGCGAAGCTAACTCTTCCCGTAGGATAATCGGCATACCAAGGTACACTTCTCGCCAGTCCTTCTTCGTCGCCCCCTGATTCATCTCCTCCACTTCTCCACGGATTTCTTCATGCACCGATCGAACTTCTTATGTGGCACCGGTTCCGGCATTTCGCACGATATAGCACTGGCTCTGCCGGCTTGATACAGACCATTCAGATGTACGCTAGGCATGCGTGGGTGGCCGCCGTCCTCGGAACAGTGACAACAGTCGGATGGACAATTCAAGGATTAGGGAATGCATTCTACTATAGACAGGTGACTCGCGCTACCGCATGACCCAGCTGTTTCACTAACAATGAAACTACAAGATATATGCGCACCATACAGCCGCCGGTCACAGCATGGAAAAGGTATGAACAACGCTGAGCCATAATGATGCCGTCTCACACCTGTATAGGCAAAGGCAGAGCTTGCCACGCACGGCGCGAAGGCTTACTTCACGAGGGGATGAGTTGCCCGTCGATGAGTACAACCGTTCTGCCTAGTACTAGCACTTTGTCATGTACGATGAACTATTACATTTTGTTCTTGGTATTACATGTGCTCAGTACTCCAGTACCCTATGTTTATCAATTATTTACATGTAGGATGCCACTATTGTTCGCCTCGACCTAACCTCGACATCTTTCGTGGACAGTGCGCATCTATTGTCGGAGCTTTAAATACGGCCTTATCAGTTGGCTCGTGTAGGCAATTATGTTTTCTCTCAACCACCACCTAAGGCAAGTCTCATTTTCATTCATTTCCAGCGTTCTCCGTCGCGCTGCCCCTCCCGAAGCCAAATGGTTTCCGTCGTTGTCAACGACGGCGACGAGTTCCAACGTTTGAGCGCCCATCATCTTCAGTGTCGCTGACCAACTCTTCTCGCATTACAGCACAAAAAGCCGTATAAAAAACATATAAAAACCCTTTTTATATACAAGCGGTTGCCTTTCTTCCTTCCTGTGTAAGTCTACGCCTCGAAGCGTTTCAAGTCCAGTTCGTTCTAACGTGCAGGCTCCCAATCAAGTTGCAGAAAAGTCATAAAGCAGTAACGACCCCCAAATCCTCATATAAAAGCAAATTTCTTTTCCGTTTCTTCGTTCGTCGATTTCCATATCCGAATCAAAATAATGGCTTCCGTCGCTGTCGCACAACCCGAGACCGTACCTCAACAGGGTACTTCCATCCCAGAGCAGCCTGCCCCGGTGATGGCTGCCCCTCCCGCGCCCGCCCCTGCGCCCGCCCCTTACGTCGCTCCTGCTCCTGCCCCGTCTGCCTCTCCTTCTGCCTCCCTGTACGTCGGAGAGTTGGATCCCACCGTTACGGAGGCGATGCTCTTTGAGATCTTCAATATGATTGGTCCGGTGGCGAGGTGTGTTTTACGTTGGATCCCCAAGTGTCTCATGTGTAACTGCCGCTCATCATTTGCTGAACGTAATATAGCATTCGCGTCTGCCGTGATGCAGTCACTCGCCGCTCCTTGGGCTACGCTTACGTCAACTACTTGAATGCAGCTGACGGTGAGCGCGCCTTGGAGCAGCTCAACTACTCCCTCATCAAGAACCGTGCATGGTGAGTCTTGTGTCATGGCTCCATTTTGATTGCCGACCTTATGGATTCATTCAACCTGTCAGCCGAATCATGTGGTCTCAGCGTGACCCCGCTCTTCGCAAGACTGGCCAAGGCAATATCTTTATCAAGAACCTGGACGAGCTGATCGATAACAAGGTAATTGTCGAACTGTGTGCAGTGATCGACGACCCTGACAGTGCTTTCAGGCTCTTCACGATACCTTTGCTGCTTTCGGCAATGTCTTGTCTTGCAAGGTTGCAACCGACGACCAAGGCCGATCCAAGGGCTATGGATTCGTCCACTACGAAACCGCTGAGGCCGCCGAGAGTGCCATCAAGGCTGTCAATGGCATGTTGCTCAACGACAAGAAGGTTTACGTCGGCTACCATATCTCGCGCAAAGTATGTCGGTTCCCGTCTCATACGCAAACGTACCTCTGACTTGATTTAGGAACGTCAATCCAAGATGGACGAAATGAGGGCGCAATTCACGAATCTCTATGTCAAGAACCTTGACCCTGAGGTCACGCAAGAGGAATTCGAAGCCCTTTTCAACCAGTACGGCAGCGTCACCTCTGCTATCGTTCAAGTCGACGAAGAAGGCAGGAGCAAGGGATTCGGCTTTGTGAACTACGAGTCTCACGAAGAAGCCCAGCGCGCTGTCGATGGCCTGAATGACAAGGAGATTAATGGCAAGAAGCTATTCGTCGCCCGTGCACAGAAGAAGGCCGAGCGCGAAGAGGAGCTCCGCAAATCCTATGAGGCCGCCAAGATGGAGAAGTTGAACAAATACGCCGGGGTCAATCTTTACATCAAGAACCTCGAGGATGACGTTGACGATGAGAAGCTCCGCGCCGAGTTCGAGCCTTTCGGCACTATCACTAGCTGCAAAGTTATGTGTGACGACAAGAGCAAGTCCAAGGGCTTCGGCTTTGTCTGTTTCTCGTCCCCGGAGGAGGCCACAAAGGCTGTCGCTGAGATGAACAACAAGATGATGGGGACCAAGCCCCTCTACGTCTCACTTGCTCAACGTCGTGAAGTTCGCAGGCAACAATTGGAGAGCCAGATTGCTCAGCGCAACCAGATCCGTATGCAACAAGCCGCGGCAGCAGGCATGCCCGGAGGCTACATCAACGGACCTATGTACTATCCTCCTGGCCCTGGCTTCCCGCCTCAAGGACGCGGCATGATGGGCTACGGCGGTCCTGGCATGATGCCTCCCCGCCCCCGCTATCCTCCTGCTAACGGGCAAGTTCCCAGCATGCCCATGGCCGCTCCGTACGGACAGGTGCCTCCTCAAGGTTACGGCATGCCATCTTACCCCCGTGGCGCCAATGCGCCTCGTCCTCCTAACGCTCGCGGACCTCCTTCGCCCACTGCAGGCACGGTCCCCATGCCCCGCAGCAACGGACCCCCTGCTCCTAATGGCGCCGGTCAGCGTCCCCCTGTTCCTCAGGGAGTGCCATCGCAAGGCCTGCCTCAAGTTGCGCCTCAGGCACGTCCGGGTCCTGGAGCCCCAGCCCCAGCTCCTGCACCCGCACCTGGCGCTAGTCGCCTTCCTCCTCCTGCTCAGCCAGCTGGTTACAAGAACCCTCAGGCTCGTCCCGCCGGGACTCCCAATGCCGCCCCCCAGGCTAATCAACAGCCTGCTGCTCCTTCGGCCTTGCCTGAGGCTCCTGTCATCACCGCAGCCCAGTTGTCAAGTGCGTCCCCTATGGAACAGAAGCAAATGCTTGGTGAGGTTATCTACATGAGCATTGCGAAGTAGGTTTATCCCCTTTCTGTGTGTACCGCTGACACTGATGTATCGACCGACCATAGCTCTCACCCCGATTTGGCGGGCAAGATCACTGGTATGTTGCTCGAGATGGACAACATGGAGCTCTTGCACTTGTTGGAAACTCCGGATGCAATGGACGCTAAGGTCAACGAAGCTCTCTCGGTCTTGCACGAATACGCCAAGGATGCTTGAATGCAAGATGTTGAGGGCACATTGTGTCCGTAGATGCTTCGTGCATCGTCCGCTCTTTATCATTGCCTCCAACCATCCACGATTTTATGCCCTTGACGTACTCCCTTCTCCCCATGTATCATCTCTGCTGCAACTCGCTCCGTTGTTCATTGTTGTGTGCCATTGCCGGTTGCCTTTTGATTCTCATCGCTCATCCCGTTGTTTTACGCTTTTTGTACGGCTTTTTTGGTGTGCTGCTCGCTGTTTGTTGCGTGCAATTTGGTCTTGAGCGATTTGGTCGAATACTCTTTTATGTACTTGCAAAGGAATGGAGGTGATACAACTTGCTTGAATTCTCTGCGTGAATGGAAGTACATAAACAGGATAAAAGACGGGTATGTATGCGAGATATGGTACAGATGTTGGCATGTTAAGTTACGAAAAATGGGTGAGGCGCAAGCGTGTATGATTAATCCTGAAGACATCTTCAATTGCGTTTGAAAGCATGAACTATGTGATATTTACACGATATTTGAAGGAGGGGATAGTAAAGGTCTTGCTGAGCTTCTTTGATCAGTTTAGTGACTTTAGACTCGGGGAGGCCAGCGTGAAGGAATAATGGCTTGAGGGCGGGTATGAAGAGATCACAATCCATCCAAGCGAGTTGGCCTACAGTAAGTAATAGCGGATCTGGGTTGTTGGTTTAAAATATCAGTGTACGGCACGACAGGAGTGTGTGTCAGTTGAAGTAACCACCTTTTGGCCAAAATCCGACGGGAATATTACCGTCTTGGGTAACGATATGATGGAAGGCCTTCGTTGCGCTAAGAAACTGAGGAAGACGACTGGGAACGGTGGTGTCAATGCCCTGTTGCTTCAAGCATCCGCGATATGTCTGCCAAAATGCGAACCAACCAGGAAGTCCCTCGCTGAGGTATGGAGACGGGCTGTTTAACGGGGAAGGGTTGGTGGAGGAATGAGGTGATAGTTTCGAGGTCGAAGCTATTGGAGTTGCATTAGGTGATGATGGAGGAACATGTAATATAGAGTTTGTTTTTGATGACGAAGATGATGATGGAGCGGAGATGGGGGGCGCAGTATTGATATTGACGAACTCATCGGCGGGTTTACCGTCTGCTATTGGCATAAGGTCTGGCTCTATGAGGATGACCAGACCGCCAGGCTTCAGGATTCGCGAGATCTCGTGGACGAGGCGGGGGTAATTCGAAATCTGCAAACAATTGAGCGGTTGTTTAATATCATCAGGAGCAGCATGAGGTGGGTGTCATTTCGGTGCTCGGGTGGTGGGCGTGTGGGTAGCTACGGAACGGTTTTGAATTGAAAGGAGACGTGTACGTACCCCGGTATGCATTGATCGCGCGTGTATAAGGTCGAAGTGGTTGTCGGGGTACGGCAGGGTCCATTGGTCCAGATCACAAAGTTCAAATCTACCATGTCATTGGGTGTCAGTACAGCATCGACAGCCGTCGGAGGTAAGCTGGAAAGGAAAAAAATACACACGTGCAGTTCGGTGGGACACTTCTGTTATGTCCATTCATTCGGCCAATCAGCAAGAAATAAGATTAGGAAAGAAGCGACCATTACCTAGGCTGTATTGGGGCCAAATCGACGCCGACGACCTCTACTTTGGGAAATTCATCTGCAATGTCGATTGCCCTGGGATACAGAATGTATATGGAAGAAAGCAGAGGAGGATGGGGGTCGTCCGCGCGTAGGTTATTCCGTAAATTCAACATTGAGAAAGGCCACAAGCGCGTGATTCAAAGAGACACCGACCAACATCCGCCGCCTGTACCGAGATCGAGTACTCTGCGCTGGTGGCCGCCGTGCAGGACCTCTGAGACCGGGCCGACGTAGTTTTTGCCATTGAAGACAAACTGCATCATGCGGTGATGGAGCTCCGAGCGCTGTGGGCGACGATGAGCACGGGTATGGGCTGTAGATTGTACGCGACTGGGTCTACCTTGACCTCATCATGGTCGACGGGGAGCATGTAGCGCTCGTTGAGGGCGTTGAGAGCCCTACCGTGGACGTTGCGGAAGTAGTCCGAGTCGTCGTCGCGATCTGAGAGGTATTCTACGGGGTGTTGGTAGAGGGACATGTTGTGGTTGCATGACAGAACGGCTCTCTCACTTGAAGAATGTGCCCAACTTGGCACCGGTTGTCCGATCATCCACGCTACCTGTCACGTTGTCACAGAGTTTGATAAGGTGCCTTGAACTCTGCTGGTGGGTGACGTCACAGCGTCAAACTATAATTCTGCTGTATCGATATCCAGGATCCTGGCAAAAGTATGTCACATCGGAATTGTGTGAATATCCTGTCAAATATTTATGCCGGAAGATCACCTCCACTGTTCGGCTGTGCTCAGCCACGCGTCGAGCACAAGACAGCGGGTTTGTCCAAAACACCGAAAATAACAAACGAGAGGGGCAGGGTGCACCCAGGGATCTCCTGGTCCTGGACAGAGAAGCAAGGATCATGAGGCGGCAAACATTAAAAGACTCCGTCCAGGATCAATTATTTCCCAGTTTCCGAGAAATCTTTCTATTCTCCTCCCTTTTTCTTCTTTTCTTCCACAATCTCCACGTTATCCACCGGGATTCCCTTCAACACACCAGCCTCCTGCTCAATCATATCCACGATCTCATCACTCACATCTCCCTGGACCACAACCTCGTCCAGCCCTTGCGCGTTCTTCGTAACGCTTGCCCCGGTGGCAAATTTGGATGCGAATTGCTTGGCCGCTTTCTTCAAATCAATCCCAAACGCTTCCAGGCCATGCACAGCCGTAATATGCTTGCGTTTGTTCCTTTCGATTCGTTTGATGGTTATCTGTGGAACAGTCAGCCCCAAGCCACTGTCTCACACGAATACAGCTTCCATACCTGCGAGGACATCTTTTTCTTCAGCGCTGCATCTGCTTTCGCTTCTGCTTTCGCCTCGGCTTTGGCTGTATCCTTTTCCAGCTTTGTCTGCGCCTCTAGACTCAGTGTTCCTATCTTCGCTTGTAATGCCTCTGTGTACAATCTAATCAGTCATCTGTGAACTACGGCGAGATCGGATACGCACCTTCTGAATAGTATTTGTCAAACTGCTCAGGATGTTCTTCCTTCAGCCATTCCTTGCATTTGGTCAAGCTCGATCCGAATTCGCAGTACTCGATGGGGTACGTGCATACTGTTGATCGTCAGCTAGTCAGGATCGCAATCATTTCCGAGCACAAAGCGGAAAGGAACCTCCGCAATATAGGACTTGCACTGGTGGCCGTGGCTGTGGAGCCTCGCCCTCGGGCTGCCCTGGCTCAGGCGCTGGGGGAGGCGGCGCGTTCGACGATGAAACGTTGTTCTTTCTGCCCATCGTTCGATGTGGTGGAGTTGAAGTTGGTTATGATCGAGAGATGGATTATCTGCATTACGATCGTCGATTGATCTGGGCGCCTAAGTAATTCCTGCTCTATGTTCACGAGTACATACACTCTATGTAATATTGTTCCATTAAACATAAATGCCAGCCTATGGCTTGAAAGCGTTCCACGCTTCGTTCAGAGCCCCGAAAACTCCATTCGCGATCATACGTTGCTCTAGTGTCGTGTTGTTTGGCGTGAGCTAGAAGAAGATCTTGCTGTTCAGCCATCATCTACCTTCTAATTATGCAAAGAACCTACCTTATCAGGGTGTACCTTCGCAATGGCCCTAACATAGCGAATCTTGACCTGGTTCTCCATCACCAGCTCGTTCATTCCCACCTTCTTCCACCCCAACTCGGGCCAGAGCACATTCTCCAGACTAGCTATCAGCGCACGAATATTTGTCTCCTTCCCACCCTTCCAAGCCATCAGACGACTGTCCACAAGGTCTTTGAGTTCGTGTTTCTGGTTTGCTTCAGTTTCGGCTTGTTGATTCGCCTGTCGGAGAGCATTGAGAGCGGCCGAAGGTGGTTCCGAGGTCGACCTAGACGGGGCAGGTCGACGAGGTGGTGGTCGCGAAGCTGGCTTAGCAGCAGTCTTTGGAGGACCCTCAAGCATCCTCCTACACCTCCCAACGGCAGCAACAGCTTCCCTTCTAGTAGCCTCCCCAACCCAATCGCCCGTATTCAGCAACAACTCCCAGTCTTTCTTCGCTTCGCCCCATTTCTCCATCCCTTCGTAAGACTCCGCGCGTCGTTTCGTAGCTTTGACGTACGCAGCACCTAGGTCAACTTCGGACCCTTCTTCGAGTTTGGTTACTTTAGCCTCTTTGCGAGGATCGAAGACTAGCTTGGCTCGATCTACGACAGTGTCATCTTCTTGTAAACCATCTAACCCGCCTAAGGCGTTTGATTCGCCTTCAGAGATCCCACAGATTACGCGAAGCGCTCGACCAGCGTCATTTACTGCGCCTTTGACATCGCCGTTGCGACTACTGGCTAATGACCGATTGTTATATAGCGGCACACGACACAGATGTCCGGAAGGCAACGCCTCGATCGCTCGGGTGTACATAGCGTGCGCCTCCGCATACTGTCCTAGCTTGAAATACTCCGTTCCTTGGACTTTGAACTTCGCAGACTGGGATATTGTGTTTGGCGAGCACGATACTAATGATGAACGGGGAGCTGGGGGAGGCGGCGTGAGATTTCGTAGGGGGAGGGAGGGAGTAGCTGCTGCTGCTGGCGCTGGAGTGGCCGCCTTTGGCTTGCCTCTGCGGAAGGGGGAGACGTACACATTCGCGGGAACATCAGAGAACAGGTCAACCTCCCTGGGTGCAGGGCGTGCAGGCTGCTCGGGCGGTGCGTTGTTGAGTGGCTCCTTGCGTCGTGGCTGTTCTGGCTTCCTTGGAACATCCTCGTCCCCGTCATCATCTTTAAACGAAGTAGGTGGTATATCCTGGTGTTCCAATCTTTCGGGGCCATCTTGCATCCATTTAGGTCTCGTCGTGCTACTACTTCGACTAGAGCCGGGCTCAGTGCGCGTGGCACCAGCTGTTTCTTCGTAGACTTTGACAACACGCTCGACGACCTTGTCCTTCATCTCCTTGCCTTTAGTATTCCAGAATGCATTGGCGCGGTTGAACATTGAGATACCGAGGCCTGAGGCTTGAGCAAGGATATCATTACTAGATTGACTTTGAGGTTCAGCAGCGGGTACCCTAGACAAAGAATCGCCACGGATCGGAGGCTTCGGCCTTCCCCGTGTAGAACTCGACGGGTAGTCATCTGGGCTAGCTCTCCGGGGTTCTGGCGTGCGGCTGGTACTCCCACCCCCGCCATTGATCAACGAGCTCACAGCTTCCTCAACATCCCACCCAGCATCTTTGCGCGCCCGCGATTCAGGTTCCTTGTACGTATTTATGAGAGCCACTTTGGCCTTATCAGGCGCGAATCCCATTTCGACCATCTGGCCTAGGATGTGTGGGGGAGGCGAGGGGGCTCCCCGAGAAGGCCGGCTTCGTCGGACGGGTGGAACGGGAGAGGCATCATCGTATTCGCGGCTTCCAAAGTCAAAGTCCGCGCTAGGCGAATCTGAGCGTTGGGGAGTCGACGAGGTTGTGATGGCTGGTTGTGGCGGTTTGGTAGGAACGGGACCAAAGCCGAGATCATCAGCATCATCGTGAGTCGGCTGTGTTAGTGGTGCCGTCGCAGCACTGTCTCCGAAAGAGTCTAAGGCGTCCCAGACGTTCATACTGCTTTTCGAAGCCGTCGCTGCCGCCGGGACCTTCGATGGTGCTTTGGGTGTAGTCCCGAAGGCATCGAAAGAGAACGTGTCATCAAGGACATTGGACGTACTCACTGCAGGTTTAGCGAGCACCTGCTCCACCTTGGATGACCCCGTCGACGTCGTGGTACCGAATCCCCAATCATCGGCATCGTCAAGGAGGGAATTGCTGTTACTGGCCTTCACGGGGGGCGACGGTGTTTGACTCGGGGTGGCTAGCACGTCCAAGCCCGCCCAGACTGCAGCAGACCCACCGCCGTTCTGAGCTCCAGCTTGATTGTGAGAGTTGAGATGCCTGTCCAACCTCTCTTGCTGCGCCTTCGCAGCCATTTCAGCCATGGTTAGCCTCCCATTTCCTCCAGCGGACGCAAGATTTCCAGACAGCAGCGCTCCAAATGGATCGCCTGAGGTCGGCTTCGGAGTCAGGGATGGCTTTGGGGGTGCATGCTGAGGGGGAGGTTGTGTGTAATTAGGTGTATGTCGTGGTTGAGAATTGAAGAGAGCACTTGATGAACCTGGGGTAATTGGTCGAGATGAAGGGTTTGAAGCGGCCTGATAGGCTTGTAGAGGCTGTTTCTTTTGCGGTGGGGGTGCGGCGGACGACCACAGGTCAGCAAACGCGTCGCTCATAGCACTCGAGGATATGGATGGAAATAATTGATCGCCAGCCAAATCAGTGTGTCACGCATCCTGACTGGACTTGATAGGGGCTAGGGTATAAATTTGACTACAAAAGCCACAAGTACATGATATTGATACAGACACGTAGAAATAGATCAGTTAAATCGCTTGATTTCATGCACAAACACTGTCCGAGTGGAATCTCCGTAGGGCCACCCGCGGTTCCCACTGGCACTAACTAAGAAACGGGCACCTGGATCTACCACTGTGACAAACCTTCAGGAATAACAGGAAGGAATGCCGTTAGAGTACTTACCCATCTGAGAAATAATGCCACCGTGGTGGCCAGGAATAATCTTGAATTGCACACCGCTCTTCATTTTCCCGGAAGCATCTGGTTCGTTGGCTTCGGCAACATTCCATAACCTTAAGTTATCGACAGATGCGCTAAAGACACGGCGTTAAGCAGGGTTTGCTGGGAAGTCGGACTACACACCAAGCGATATGCCGGCTGTCCGGGAAAGCTACCACGCTGGACACTGCTCCAGAACTCGGTGGATTTCGTAGGGTCTTCATTAATCTTGGATTACTCGTCGAACCTCCTGCTTGACGGACATCCCATATATCAACACTTCCATTTCTTCTACCAGCATATATCTGGTTCCCATCAGCCGACCAGCATGCCTAATAAAACATCAGCTGCGGCCGAGGAGACTGCGTGAAGGATATAGTTACTGATAGACACCACGGGGGCGTGCGTTCACTCATCCACAATCTGCCTACACCGGTACCAGGGCTATGCACCCTCTTGTCCCATAATACGATTTGCCCATCAATATACACAGTCATCAACATATCAGGCGAGTAGGAGATATAACTGTTCTGCTCGAGAAGCGGAGGTGCGTTCTTCGGGGCAGCTGCAGCTCTTGGTGGTTGGGGTTTGGCCTGGGTTGCTTCAGCATTCGCTGCCACATTTAGCTGCTGCCCTCGTGATATTGCATCCTGGGTACGTGGTACGCGTTCAGTAGCGTCCTCGTTGAATAAAGGATCGTCATCGAAAAGTGGGTCGAATGAAGCATCTGACTTGGCGTCTGTTTGATCCATTGAACTATCAACGGCCATGGGCTGGCTCTGGGATGCGATGGCAGTGCTTGAGGCAGACAAGTCCATTTCGCTTCCTATTAACGTTTCCTGTGTGGGGTGCTGCGATAGAGCACCTTCAGAGGCGGAGACACGTCGTATTGTTATTGGTGTTCCGTCTTCATGGTAGACGGCGTTAGCAGGTCGGACGGCTATACCAGACAGCTGTGCATTGTGCGCGGTAAAGTTGCGAACAATTTGCCCGGTATTAAGGTCCCATTGCTGTTAGGCCCCGGTGTCAATTTAGTAGTTGCATTATAGGGAGAGGATACCTGCCAAAGCCTCGGCGTCCCATCCGGCACTGAATAACGACTTTTCGTCATGGTCGAGGGATAGCGCAGATACGCGGCTGCGGTGTCCACCGGCCAAGACGTGACACAGACGTCCTGGTTCGTGTCTTACGGTGAACAAATTAATGTGACCGACCTGACAGGTTTATCAATTGTCGATTCCACGATTGTAAGGGATCACACACATCCGTGCCGGCAAGAGCCCATAGGGCATCCGAGTGCATAGCAAGACTATAGACGGGGACCAGAGGTGGCTCCTCTTCCATCTGAACCATTCCGTTCACTGGGGGCGCGTAGCTCGGATTTTCCCACCAAAAGCGTAGTTGTCCGGCTTTCAAAATGCCTTCAACTACTCCGGAGTGGTGCCTTTGAGGTGCAGATAGGAAGTTCTTGCTATTAACGGCTGAGAATATATCATAGTCACGAATATATCCATCATCAGAGCCCGTAAGGAGGTGCAGCATGCAGGGGGTCGCAGCTAAAGCATTAGTTGGGCCTGGGTGAGGAAGGGCACAAATTGCTTCGACTGTGTACGTGCGAGGGGCAGGTACTCCAGGACCTGACATTATCAGGAGTCCCCTTCTACGAGCATTTTCTGGAGATAGAACAAGGCTCCGCAGGGGAGCAGGAGCGGGGGATGGTGCTAATGAGCCATGAGTCTATGTACGGTTTCAATTGACAAGCCTGAGCGCACGTTTGCTGGGTTGTGTAGATGTGTTCGAGGAAGGGGGGCCGGGGGGCATTGCAGACTTGGCAGAATCCGGTTCGTTAGGGCTTTGTAGCGGTTCCTCTGCCAATTCCAAGTCCAACAGTGTTGGGTCCATGGACGGTTCGGATGCTTCTTCGTCGTCGTCGTCGCTTCCTTCATCAGAGTCATCAGACCCAGAGTCCTTAGAGTTATATGAGAAACGCATATTCACGAAGAGAAATGATATGGGTGCGTCCATACATCGTCGCCATCTTCTGTGGCATCGTCCGCAACCTCTATTCCATCCAGTAAACCTTCATCTTCGAGGTCGGGTTCGGCATCCTCATCAAGGTCAAAGTCGACGTCCTCAATCTCTTCTTCAGAGTCACTGGGCATGGTGGTAGCTTGCGGAGAAGTCGAGTCTATATCGGCGTACCAACAGGAGACCGACCGCCGGCATATTGGATCGTGGGCAAACTCCAATCTAGTCAGGGAACTCAGCTAGCACTTACCACCATGGTTCTTGCTGACTTAGGACGGAAACTTAATGCTGCTCTATCATCGCTGAACCGAGCCCCCGTCGTAGATGAAAAGGTATGCCTCGTCGTTCTTTTGGGGCGATCCGGTCAGCTCAACGTGTCGCAGGTGCTCGATGCGACACTCAAAGAAATCACTGCGGCTCTATTGGAGTCCGACGTCAATGTCAAGCTAGTCGCTTCGTTGCGACAGAAGGTGAAAGTTAAGGTGAAAGCTGCGCTCGAAGGCGGTGACAAATCCAAAGAAACAAATCGCAAGCATCTCATACAAAAGGTAGTCTACCGCAACGTGTATACATCGATCGCCGTTACTTACATGACTTCAAGGCCGTCTTCGATGAGCTCGTGAACCTGGTTGATCCTGGGGTTGAGCCGTATAAGCCGAAAAAGGGACAGTCAAATGTAATCATGGCCGTCGGCTTGCAGGTATGCCTGTTCTCGCTTCGAACACGCTTGCCATCTGACTGTGCTCTCTATCTTAGGGGAATGGCAAGACTACGACGTGTACCAAACTAGCGGTGCATTATCAGAAGAGGGGGTTTAGATCTGCTATTGTCTGCGCTGATACCTTCCGTGCTGGTGCTTTCGATCAAACACGACAGTCGGCGACCAAGGCCAAAGTCGCTTACTTCGGCTCGTATACGGAAACGGACCCCGTAGCGATTGCTGCCCAAGGAGTGGCTAAGTTTAAGAAGGAACGCTTCGAGGTCATTATTGTCGATACGTCTGGGAGACATAAACAAGAATCCGAGCTGTTCGAGGAGATGGTACAAATCAGTGAAGCGGTACAGCCAAATATGACGGTTATGATCTTGGATGCTAGCATAGGTACGATTTCTTGCACCCTGCTTTGGCACATTCTCAATACTTCCAGGTCAGGCCGCCGAAGCACAAAGTCGAGCATTCAAAGAAAGTGCGGACTTCGGTGCCATCATTGTCACTAAAATGGATGGCCATGCCAAAGGCGGTGGTGCCATCTCAGCGTCCGTGACACTCTCTATACACCTGCGTTTCATCCTAACATTCGTACTCTCAGTGTCGCTGCAACGAAAACTCCTATAATTTTCCTTGGTGTTGGTGAACATCTGCACGATTTGGATCGGTTTTCGCCCCAGCCATTCATTTCGAAGCTCCTTGGTTTGGGCGATGTCCAAGGTCTCATGGAGCACATGCAGGATCTTGCCTCCCAAAATCCTGATAAACAGAAGGAAATGGCGAAGAAACTGGAAGAGGGAAAGCTCAGCATAAGGGATTGGAGGGAGCAAATCTCTAACGTTATGAACATGTGCGAGATTGGCATCTGTGGCTTTGCAGGGCAGGATATTCACTATAACGCAGGGGTCCTCTAAGCAAGATCGCCTCAATGATACCTGGCCTCCCGCAAGACCTGTTGCAAGGCTCAGATGAGGAAGGAAGCTTGCGCCTGAAACGAATGATATACATGACCGACAGCATGACTGCCTCTGAGTTGGACTCGGATGGCTCGCCATTCATGGAGGTAGGTAAAGATGGCAAACCTATCGGTCTGACATGGCGAGTAGCCAGAGTTGCCAAAGGTAGCGGAACGAGTGTCAGAGAAGTCGAAGAGCTGTTGTGTCAGTACCGTATGATGGCCAACATGGCCAAGCAGGCTGGAGGCAAACATGGATGGTACGCTCGCCTACTGTATTGCACCTCTCAGTCCCCTGACTTCCCCATCACTCTAGGTTACAAGCAGTGCAGAAAATGCAAAGTGCAGCTGGAGGAAAGGGTCGTGGAGCAAACGGTATGCCGACGCAAGCACAGATACAAGCCATGCAGGTTCGTCTTTCTTTTATATCTCGCACGCATTACAACTTATATGGCCTCTAGCGAGCAATGCCTCCTGGCATGCTCCAGCAAATGCAACGCCAGATGCGCAGTGGGGGCGGTATGCAAGAAATGATGAAAGCGATGATGCAAGGTCAAGGGGGCGACCAGCTCGATATGGAAGAATTGCAACGTACGTCCCTTGTGCCAGCTAATAGCTATAGCTCACTTTGATCAGGTATGATGTCGTCCATGGGAGGACTCGGCGGACTAGGTGGGCTTGGCGGGCTCGGTGGGCTCGGTGGTATGCCTAACATGGGAGACATGATGAAAATGATGGGAATGGGAGGAGGAGCTCCTAGTCGATGATATGGCGATTGTCAACGTCGATACTATGTAGAACAACTGTAACTACCATTTACAGTACATATATAATATTCATGACATGCGGAATCAAATTTCAAAATTCAAGTGGCTGTGCATACTGAACTCGCCGACCCGCGAGCGTCTGTTCCGCACCTCCGCCAAACCACCACCATGTCCATAACTCCCTCTCTCAGAGCTGCTGCCCGCTCTGCCTACCGAGACCTATGGCGGGCTGCTCGCACAACTTTCTCTGGTGTGTCCTTCTCCTTGACTCTTGTTACGGATTTCCTCAGCTATTCCAGGCGATGAACCAGTGTTTCAAGGTACGCAATAGAAAAAAGTAAGGGAATAAGACATATCTGATATTGTACAGCGTTTCGGGATAAGATGAGGACAGACGCGTTGCGTCTCAACCAAGTGGCTAGTCCTGAGGCCTACAGTTCGGGAATAGCCACGACGAAAGAGATTGCTTCCGTCCTTAGGAAGAACGTAGTCCAAGCGTCCCTTGCCTCTGAACCGGATCCGGAAGGGCAGTCCTTGTGGAGTCAGTGTCTCAGCGCTAGTTATTCTTTGCGAAGATGCTCATCCTATGTCAGAACTGCGAATGACACGCGACACAGAGTTGGGCTCAAACGACTCAATCAAAAACCCTGACCCAATGCCATCTAGTCGTAGCAGCCGCAGGCAGAAATGTTGTTCTGAGTACGTGGCTTTGACCTCTACCTTGTAACGCGATCCAACGTGGTCTGACTAGAGACGCAGATAAACCACCTGTTAATGACATACGTTTCTATTCTGCACTTAAAAGAGCACACAAAGACCGTGTTGTCCCCGACCTGAGAGAAGAGGACCTTGAAGAATCATTTGTCCGCGGTATGGCCCAAATGCCGACCTAAATTGTGTCTCATAAAGTACGTCTTGATCAGGCAGTGGTCCCGGAGGGCAGGCGATCAACAAGACCATGAGTAACGTCCAATTGCTGCACAAGCCGACGGGAATCCGTGTCAATTGTCAAGAGACACGGTCTTTAGAACTCAACAGACGTTTTGCCCGTCGTATTCTTGTGGAGAAGGCGTGTCTGACTCATGGGCTGACAGTCAATTGCTAATATGTTGAAATTATGCAGCTGGATCGGATTCAGAATCCTGGACTGTCTAAAGGCGAATTGCAGAGAGCAAAACAACGCGAAAGAGAACGACGAAGACGCAAGAAGGCAAAGAAAAAGGCACAGGGGAAGGAGAAACTTGCTGAACCTTGAGACGGCTGAGCGCGCCAAATCCTCTGGCAGATAGCAATGTTTCGTTCATACTTACCATGAATCTCCAAAATATATTTCTTGGCGGCCCCTATATAAAACAACTAAATGATTGATGGGCGCTATCAGGTCGGCGCGTCGCAGCAGGTTGCATCTTGCAACGTAACTGATCCGTAACAACCTTCTTTCTGCAAAGCCAGATTCGTTGTGCAAACTATGTCTGGTGGTGGCGGTCTATACTCTTTGGCTACGATCATTAAACGGTATGGCTACAGCACGACACGCTATTTAGTATTGATCATTAGGTTATAGGCTGGAGGCAGCAACCTCGCGCATTGAAGACATAGTGCACGTCCAGGATGGACTGCGACCAGCCCCACGAGCAGTAGAGGGAAGCAGTGCACCTACGTCCGATACTACAACGACTGCGTCGGCAGCTCCTGCCCCTCCACCACCTCCACCCGCCCCGACAGCGGCACCTCCGGCCGAGGAACCTCGAAGCGTTCTTGCTTTCGACGAGGTGATTTTAGAGGGAAAGCTGAAGCCATTCATTCAAGCTACGCGTGAATTCCCGTGCCAGGCATTGGTTGAACAAGTTGAGATCCTCCCAGTTACACCACCACGGCAGAAGTATTGATTCGGGTGCAATAGGTTGACTTAGTCGAACGAGAGTTTAAGACCCTCCGATCCGTAATTTTGATGGCTGCGCAGTGCCAAAAGCCAGACCAGAAAACTTGGGGTGAGGTTCTTGCCCCACTCCAGGCGGACATCGAGTCCATCACCCGCCTCAAGGAGGCGAATCGCAAGGATCGTAACTGGTTCACTCATATGTCCACCATTTCGGAAGGCGCACCTGTTGTCGGGTGGATCACCGTCGTGCGTTATCCTCCTTCCATTCTCGAATGTATTTATTGACACAACCACACACGTTAGGAATTGAAACCAGCGCCATATGTCAAGGATATCGTGGACTCTACCATGTTCTACGGCAATAGAGTCATAAAGGAATTCAAAGACAAGTACGAACTCGTGACTGCTTCTATAAAGACTATAAGCTGAGTGACTTAAAGGGAACCAAAGCACGCAGAGTGGGTGAAAGCCTATATCGCGGTTTTAGAGGAAGTACGCAAGTACATCTTGGAGCATCATACCACTGGTTTATTCTGGAACCCCAAGGTACTATCCTTCCTTATTTGAGGATTGCCTGCTCAATCCATCTCCAGGGCACAACTGTTGAACAATACCTAGCATCGGGCAAGGCGCCTGCCGCGGGTGCTGCTCCACCCCCACCGCCTCCACCCCCACCCCCACCTGTCCTGGCACCACCGCCTCCCGCCGCTGCACCCGCCGCATCAGGTCCAGCTGCTGTATTTGCAGAGTTGAATCGAGGTGAAGAGGTAACGAAGGGGTTACGCAAAGTCGACAAGAGCGAGATGACGCACAAGAACCCCGCACTTAGAGCCAGCAGTGTCGTCCCAGCAGCTTCCAGCCGTTAGTCATCCATTCTGACGTTACTTGGTTGTCGTATGATTAATGTTCGACCAACCCTTAGCTCCCAAGAAGCCTACCAAACCAGCCAAGCCCCATGCTCTTGCGGGAAAGAAGCCTCCTAAATTTGCCTTGGAGGGTAGCAAATGGGTCATTGTAAGGCCATTCATGTAGAACGTACACAGCGTTCTGACCTCTTCTCATCTGTTCAGGAATACCAAGAGAACGAGCCAACTTTGGTTGTGGAGGAAGGTCAAATCAATCAGACGGTCAACCTTTACAAGTGCAACAAGTGCACAATCCAAATTAAAGGCAAGGTTAATGCCGTCACTTTGGGTGAATTATCTCTTCCTATCCTCGACGCGAACTACCTCTTATTGTTGGTCGTCTCCCATAGTCGGGTGCGAGAAAACCTCCGTTTTGGTTGATTCCGTGATTTCCAGCATCTCTGTGACCAACTCGCCCTCATTTGCCCTCCAAATTACTGGCACAGCTCCTACAATTCAGCTGGACTCTACGGTCTCTGGGCAGATCTATCTCTCGAAGGACTGTCTAGGAACAGAGATCACAACGGCCAAATGCAGCAGCATCAACGTTAGCCTGCCAGTTCCTGGGGAAGAGGAGGGCGTTTTCGAAGAGCAAGCAGTCCCAGAGATGCTCAAGACTGTTATCAAGGATGGGAAACTAGTTACGACTGTTGTGGAACATGTGGGCTGATACCGTACCACCTAAACGTCTCTTTACTACTTGGAATACAATCATTATCGGGGAATAAACAATTTGCCGATCCGCGATCGTAGGCATCCCTGGTGAAACTGAACCACAACCGAACTTACTCTCAGCACTGTAGAGTCTGAACTCACGATCCCCACTTCAGACTGTAATCCGACCTAGCTAGACATTGCTGGGCGGACTTGCTACACTACGACATGGATAACGCAGGATGGCACGCCCAAAGACGCGCAGCAAGAGTGAGCGCACGATATTCTTACTTGCGCCCATGCCAGAGCTGCGTAGCGCTAACACCAGACTCTGAAGGAACAACATGACGCCTATCTTCGAAGAGAGGATGATGTGCACCCGTTGGATGAGAGATTCATTGGTGGATTCGTTCCGGGACTGCCGCCATCCCCGATGCCTCCGCCTGTGCCAGCCAAGGATTACTTCCCCAGTGTCGTCAGCCCGACACATTCCCAAGGGACTACAATATCTTCGAGCACGTTGGCGACTATGACCGCTGTGGAACGCTCGCAAATACTCAGAGTCGCCAGAATGGAACCACATCTTCAGGTATGAATTTTGCTTGTTCGCTCCGGACGAGACAAATTGATCCGGGCCCTTAAAGTTTATGGTTGGACCACTCCTTAGGTATGGACACCTACGACATTGAACCTCACCCATCGTCTGACTATGAATCAAGGTATGATACGGTTGACCACGAGGGCATATGGCACGGCGCGGCCCTTATAGTTAGTAGGTCAACTTACGTTCTAAGAATATACGCAAATATTAACACTCTCCTCAAAGCCGCCGATTCGGGGTCGGTATACGAACCGCATCCTATGTTGACTTACGAATGGGACCCAGATAAATCCACGCAACCGGTGGAGAATACCCTTAGGAACGGACGTGGTAGATCGTTTGACCTGGGCCCACATCCAGCCGATCCTCACTCTGTCATTCCATCTCTTGGGAGTGCAATGCACCCCAATGGCCATGCTCAGCAAGGCCCTAATGCCGTTTTACATCAAATTCCGGGGCAGGAGATATATGTATATGCTGGCCAGGGCGGGTGAGTAGGCGAGCGCAGTCCTCTATTTCAATGGCTAAAATGACTTCAAGCACATTTACTTTTTGGCGGTTCCTCATTGACATCCCATTGGGACCAAAAGAAATGTCTATCTCATACACAATAAACAATGGTCAAGCTATTCAGTTCTTTGTCCCGGGTCGCAATGAGAATATGAAATGGGCTGCTCATTCCGTAAGTAATGTGTGGTAATTATCTATCGGGTTCCACTCACATCCTTTATTGCCCAGTGCAATGGCTTTTCTGCGGGAGTAAACCCAGATGACTTCCGAGGTCCAGGGTATCAAAGTGGGTACGACCCAGTGTGGGTTGATCTACTCTCCAAACATAATCGGGAGCACTTCCACGTCATGGTTGGAGGAGGTGACCAACTATACTGCGACAGGTTCGTCTGTGCTCTCTGAACGGTCGCATGGTCTCATATCAAGCCATCCCCTAGCTTAACTCGTGAGCCTGAATTGCAAGAATGGGTGTCAGCTCTCAAACCGGAAGCCAAGAAGACGCACCCGCTTACCGATGATATCGCGGAGACTATTGACCATTTCTTCTTCAACCACTATTGTCAATGTTTCCGACGGGGGGCTTTTGCTCGCGCGAATAGCACAATGTATGTTCCACCATTCCCCCTCCTGTTCCCGTATTCACACCAACCACTAGACCAATGATTAATATGGCAGACGATCATGGTAAAGAATTCTATGCGATTACACATTTCAACTCATGGAGCTCATTCTGATACAGATCTAGTAAGTTTCCATTCCTGTCGTACATCCTGAGTATCAATGGTTGTTTAAATTTTTAGATTGATGGATTTGGGAGTTGTGGGTCTTGTAATTTTCGTATTTGGAATCATGTTCTGACTGAATGTGTCTTAGATCCAGAAGACCTCCAAATGGCGCCAGTATTTCGCAGGTAACTAGCAATACGATACCCTTATCCTACCTCACGATGAGAGCATGTTCTCAGGATCGGTTCGAGAGGATACTTCTTCTTTCTCCTCTTTCAGTGCTTCATAAACGGTGAGTCTCGACCGCTAGTTCTGCTGCTGACACTGATGTGGGCTTAGTCGAAATCGATGGTGTGGACGACAGCCCTGGGAAGCACGTCAACCGCTCTATCATTTTCGGGGGTGTTGGTCCTTACATCTCCTTGCCGTCCCATTCGTTCTTGGCGTACCTTGGTCCTCAAACATATATTCTAATGCTAGATTGTCGGTGGGTAGTCCCCATATCAGCTATCCGATATAGGCTCCTACGTTTACTATAGTGCAGAGAGGAAAAAGGATCAAGTATGTAGCGAACTTGAATACCAAAAGGTGTTCGGCCGTTTAAGGCAGCTACCACGGGGGGTTGAGCACTTAATTGTTCAACTAGGTAGGGTCGGGATTTACCACATCAACCGCACCTCTCGTACTCATTTGATCTCTACTCCGCAGGAATTCCAATCGCTTACCCGCGTATGGTATTCCTCGAGAAAGCACTAGGGTCGAAGTTCAATCCCCTCGTTGCATTGGGTAGGAATGGGTCACTTGGTCTCTCAGGATTCGTCAACAAGTTTAATGCCGAAGCTGAGCTATTGGACGACTTGGTAGGATTCTCATGCCAGCGTGGAGTGTCGTTTCTCTGATACCTTTTAGAACGATCATTGGACCGCGGAATCGCACAAGGTATGTGATGCATCGCTCGGACATTGAGGATAAGTCTAGTCTGGTCTGAACCCGTTTGTGTAGAAGGAGAGAAACTGGCTTGTTCAACAACTCCAAGTGTTTGCTCTGGAGAAAAAGATCCGGATAACGTTTGTATCCGGCGATGTCCACTGTGCTAGCGTCGGCGTGTTTAAAACGCTAACAACGAAGAAGGAACGAGCAATACCCCCTCGTGATGATCATCGTTACATGCTGAATGTCATTACGAGTGAGTGACACAGCTATTCGCGTGTTTTGGGGTACTGATGCATCCCAGGCGCCATTGTAAACACCCCTCCGTAAGTCGGACATGATTACAGATGACTGCGGCTATTGATATCACCCTTGTATCAGTCCTAACGCTGTCATATCCATGGTATCTTCCCTTGCCACTAAAGTTCATAGAACATTACACCATATTGAGACTGATGAATCGATGGTTCGCCCGTTTATCGGTTCCATGTTCGTTAATATTAACGACATTGGATCTCATAGATTCCTCTGTTCGATGTCGAACCCCACGATGGCTCAAAACGCTCCCAAAAGTTCATCATGGGCAAGCGGAATTGGTGTGGAGTAAGATGGGATGGACAAACGGGGGATCTCGTGTTCACTCTCTTTATCGAGAAGGAGAAAGGGGGCGGTCAAACGAAAGGGTATGTGTCAATTCCTTTGAAGATCCTATCGCTCATTTCGCAATAGGTATACTGTGCGTTCGCCGCCGCCCCGATGGTCCTCAGCTCAATAACCCCGTTACCGTTATGAGCGCACCATACCATTCGTCTTTATGTACCTCATTCCGACTGTACTACTTACTCCTGTTCTAAGATACCGGATGGCCCATCCGAAGGTTGGGGAGATGGCATGAAACGGTATTGTAAGGCTTCGTCGGCTACTTCGTCCATTACACCGTCCCCGAACTCCGAATTGTAGCCACTTGCTATATCCTGCGCTTCGGCCATTGATGCCACCGTTGGAGCAGGAGATTGTGCCTCTTTATCGAGGTCCTCATACTGGTAAGCAACACCATGTCGAAGAGGGCTGGGTTGGGCAGTCGTTGATGACAATAGGGACCCGAGATTTGGCCCAAACCTATCATCATCCAACGGTGGAGTAGCTGCGGGCTGGGCTAGTTTCTTTTTCTTTCGGGCTTCAGCTTGGGCTCGCTTCTTTTGCCTCTGCTCTCGCTTGTCCGCCTCCTGTTTCTCGACAAGTGCCCGCCGCGCAGCTTCGGCCTTGGCTTCCGCTATGTCGACTTCATCAAGGGCCCATTCTTCTTCCATAAACTCGGCGTAACGTTCGCAAATGGGGCGCCATGTACGCTGTTTACTTTCTACATCCATCTTGCTCTCCGCGTCACCGGTCAGGAGTGCATGCATATTTGGGGGAGGAGGGTAGTCAAAGTCGGGTCCAGGGTTTATACGAACTTTGGCATAATTATAGAGGGAGATGAATGGATAGTAGCCGAGCTGCCCATCGTCGAAAGGGTTTTCCTTATGTTCATGAGCGTTGTCGCGCGTCCGCCTCTTCTCTTTAACTTTACGCGACGAATCTGTCGCTTTAAGTGGTAGATAATCGTAGAGATCCTCGAAGGCAGCTCCCTGAAATTCTCCGTTTACGAAGAAGGCGATCGAAGAGTTGGATAAAGTCGGAAGGGGACGGGTGGTAGCAGCCTCTGGCTGTGTAGCCTTTGGTCGACCTCGCTCGGGGAGATTTTTAACCGTGGCAGATTTCTTGCCGGAGGAGGGGACAGAAGCGGAACTAGTAGACTTCCCGGAGTAGTCCATGAGGGAGGTCATTTCTTTGCACTGAGGGTATTCCAATGCCTCGAAATATGTTTGTCCTCTTAGGTCGATGGCAATTCGTTGTCGCTTGAGATGAGCGGGATCGTTGGGGTCCTTGGGGTTGGCTTTGCGACGAGGCGGCAGTGAGATATACATTCCTACTACATCCCCCGACTTGAAGGGTCTCCCATACGGTCGAGGGCGAGACAGAGTGACTTTCTCACCGCTTTTGTCACGTATTCCATAGCTATAGCCATCGAGACCCACCGGACCGTTCAAAGGTGCTTCGCGCCTCCCCCAACCTAGTCGTACATGGCTTCCCTCGGGCTGATTATTGTCTCCTGAGTGTTCGCCCCCTCCCCTCTCAATCTTCACTTCCATAAACCAACTTCCTTCGCGAATCGGAGCGTTACAGCGCGCACTCCGGAAGCCCTTATCTCCCAGTAGACCCAGCCCGTCCTTCGTGACTCTGACGAATGGACTTCGGTCCTCCCAGCTGACGCGGTAAGATGCCGGCGTAGTTTCAGTTGTATGACATGTTAGTATGCCATTAGAAAGGGTTGCTCCTGCCGGTATGTATCGGAATCCCATTCGATTCATGGGTAGCTGCTCGGTGTTGTAGTACTCTGAACCTTCTGAGATGGCCACGAAAATGGGGTCGCGATACTTGGCTAGCGGGCCAGCTGCTGATAACCGCGTTTCTGGAGGACTACATTTCTCTTGAGTTCAATCTAGCGACGGAAAATAAGACCAAGGGTATATTTACGGAGTTGATTGTGATGCATTACCAAGGTCTGAGGGAGCTGGAGAGGAAGCAGCACCAGGAACGCGCTTCCTTTTCTTTCCTGCAACCTTGGCATTGCTAGCGGTGAGCACTGTGGCTGGAGACTCCTCGCGCGAAGGGTCTGGAGATCCTGCAGCGAACATTTGAAGCAACAAGGCAGGTGGAAATTGAATTTTCGAAAGTAACTCAGCAATCTGTTCGGGTCATGCAACAAGCGCCCATTATCTCCCGCGCGCCAAATCCACCAAGCAGCCGCCCTTCCTACTCCCTACACCGCGATGTCTGCTAGTCCTGCGGTTGTACGGTGAGTCAAAATCTGCCTCTGCTACCCATACACGGTCTCATGTGTATGGATATAGTCGCCTCCAGAAGGTAAGTCTTGATCTACTGCATACGAATCAATCACTTATGTCCATTGTAGGAACTTCGGGATATCACCTTGAATCCTATCGATGTGCGTTAATATTCGTACCCCTTCTCAATTGAAGGGCCTTACGAGAAGCCGCCACCGTCTAGGGGTTGCACGTAGAACCGAATGATGATAACATGTTTCAATGGAAGTGCAGCATCAAGGCAGCAGTGCGTCCTCCTCTCCCCTGAGTTGATTAAGGCCTTAGAGTTATGAAGTAGCCCGATTCGCCATACGCCAAAGGGACGTTCCACTTTACCCTTGAGCTTCCAAAGAACTTCCCCTTTAAAGCCCCAACCGTATGATCGCGTCCCTCGTTATGAACGGGCACTTACGTTCGTTAACCAGGTAACGTTTACGACGAAGATTTATCACCCCGGAATCAACGACGAAGGTGCGATCTGTGTGCCAATCTTACGAGACGAAGTAAGCCCCGGACATTGCCACCACGATATGCTAGTTGCTGATTGAGATCCGCCGCTTCTATCGCAGTGGAAGCCTTCAGTGTCGCTATCTACGGGTATGTACCCGAGATTGCGTTTACATGGCAGCTTATTTTAGAGACTATATCTATTCAGTGCTCATAATCATCCAAGAAAAGCTCAACAACCCCAGCCCAGACGATCCATTTGAGCCGGATATAGCCGCCGTATGAATTCCCCTTGAGCCTCTTCCTTGTGCTTTCAAATGTCCTCATGATGGCCGCAGGTTCTCAAGAACGACAAGGCAAAGTTCCTAGCGACGGCTAAAGAGCATACCAAGAAGTGGGACAGATTCGCCGCTCTGATAGCACATATACTCACGCTGCATTTCTCAGGTATGCCATGTGAGAATGGCCGTTGAGTAACGTAGAGGAAGCAGTGTACCTATGAATGTCTCCAGTTATAATATCTGTGTTTGCTCTTGTTGAAGTCCATCTCCATGAAGGTTTGAAATCCAGATCAAGAGAAATTGTCGCGCCTCTGAGACAAGTCCCATCGTCCACAACCGGCGGTGCTCGTCACGCTTCCCTTCGTTCCTTCTCACTTCCACCAATGATATCTTCTCTTTCGTCGTAACCACCCTCCTCACGGACTTGCAACTTCTTTCCAAATTCTCATCAGACCTCCAACTCGTGTATACCACGTTGCGCATTTCCTTTCTCGTCCCCGTCCAACAATTACTATCTCTTCAACGTGTTGAAAACGAGGGAAATATAAGTACACTATGAATCGGTTTCGGTAAGTTCTGCCATTACGTTCGCCCTGAAAAGATTCTTCTATTGGCTCTTGTTTCTAGCAAAAAGTCCGACGCGAAACGTAGCCAGGTCCCTCTTACTGCGCGCACCAATTCACCTCCAGTACGAGAGATACTTCCAGAACTCCCCCCAGCCAGCGACTTTCGTACATCACTCATCCTTCCGGAGTAAGTAGTCGAGTCGTGTTCTGCCAGAGTATCGCGCTTATTCTTGTCTAGTCTCTCTCGTCGCTTTACTCTCCTACGGACATCAACTGGCGATCCCATAACCTTAGACGACTTGAGAAGTCGTTTTGCCGAACAGCGGGCCAAAGGAGCCTCCAACCACATCTCGGAGGAGGAGGAAGACATGATACTTGAGACTTTGGGTCGTATGCGGGGGAAGGCTCTCAATGGGAGAAATACACCAGACAATAGCCCAAGACAGACAGAATACTCCACAGGCGCGGGACGGTATTCAGTGCGATCCAACGACACCGAAGTGACAGAATCGTCATCAGTTGTTGGTTCCATCCAATCCTCACCCAGTGGGCGTTCCAACCGATATAGCAACAATTTATTCGGCTCTGGGCGCCTTCGCGATTACTCGTATGCCAGGAACGCGACGACGCAAAGCAAGACAGGGAGCACACGAAGTGCTCTCTCATTTACCCCCACCGAATCCTCTGCGAGTGTGAAGAACGTCGAGGATACACGCCCTGTCACGCCCGAGCAATCTGGTTCTGATTCCCTGCCTTCGTCTCCATCCGAGAATCTTCATTCTTCTCAAGAAACAGCTCATGCCGGCACCCCTCCAAGTTCTGACCACTCCATAAAGCCAGTGAACCCTTCTGCGCTCAGACGTGCCTCGCTGGCACTGGAGAAAGTGATCAAAGAGATTGAAGAGGAAGGTGAAGATGAGATCGTCATGCCTAGGTCAACACCTACAACTCGGTATAATGGAGCAATTGAAGCCGACCGTCCATTGGAAGTGGTATGTTTCCTCCGTTTCATTACAAGTCATACCTCTTCATTACAACCGACAGAGACAATCCATTTCCGAGACATCGACTGTGGGTGAGGTTGAGGCAGTCGTGGCCATATCCTCTGACACTCGCCCTGAATTGGATAGCCATAGAGTCTCGCCGGTGCCATTCCGTATCGCTCCTGGATACATACCCGGCATGCCGAGACCTATGACACCACGGGACAATATGGAGTTCGACGACCGTTCGCACTCAACCACCCCTCGCGCCACTTCCCCAGCTTACGCCGCCTCTATTGAAACAAATTCACCGACAACCTCCAAGATATCTAGTCTCAGCAGGTTTGGACGAAACTCCCCTTCATCCCCTTCTCCAAGGCCAACTTCACCTCTCACAAACGCTCCATTTTTGTCAAGATCAACGAATGGAAGACATACCCCGGAAAGCGGTTCTCGTTCAATAGACCCCGCCACGGAGTTTGACAGTCCACTCAATTCCTCCATTCTTGGCCGCCGAAGACCAGCATCCCCACTCTCTGGCCCAGCGTATCAGCCGCTCGCCGTTTCCTCACGCCCTTCAACGCCTTCTAACATAACCTGGACCCCGCCATCTCAATCCCAGCAGCCCAAAGGACACGGTCGCAATGGAAGCTGGATGAGTGATGGAACGTTCAGCAGCTCCGAGATGCACTACACAGATGATGTGTCAAAGTCGACGACACGATCTTTGCGATCGCCTGCGCTACCCGAGTCGCCCATGATCGAAGCAGTCTCTACGACGAATTCTCACTCCGCGAATGGATCAGATTTTAGACCATTTTCGCCAATAACAGGCATCAATTTAGGTCCCCCGCATATTGCTCGCTCGCCTACCCCCACACAGAACGTAACCCGATCACCAACGTCTCCTACCTTCCCAAGCTTTGACTCTCCTTCACGGACTGGTAGTAGACGTAATTCGAGGCAAAACGCCCCATCTTCGCCTACTGCTTTGGCTACCTTCCCTTCCCTCGCGTTCTCTCCCATTGCCAACTCCTCTCGATCATCACTGGAGTCAACGGGATCAAGCTATCATTCTTCCGATGTCGACCACCTGAAGGAACGTGGGCTAAGCCTATTCAATGATCTCGATCCAAATCAACCCGCTTGGCATGAATTCCCTCCCGAATCCAGTTCTACAACCCCCGGTGCATCTCCTGACGATGATTGGGACATGGAGGACATCATCGCGCGTTATGCTGGTCTTCATAGATCTGATTTCATGGCGATTCAAGAGAAGTTGGTGAGTGCCGCTGTTGCGAAGAACACCCCTCCAGATGTCCGCGAACGTGTTCCATCTCTTCGTCGGAGACGACCTAGTACGTCTCAGTCCAATTACTCGCTCAATGGGCGTATCGAACGAGTATGTACATCGTGGTTATCGTTGAGGCTTGTATATTGATTCTGGACTCTTTCGTAGATTGCCAGCCCTCCTCCCCAGACTCAACCACCATCTTCTCCTCCTACCGCGTCGAATACCGACCAAGTGGCGAAAGTCAATGCGCTGCTCAACTCGGTGGTTGATAGTATCCAGTCTACTTCACCTCCTTCTACGACGGCTACTCTCGTAGAAAGGACATCGTCGAATCAGTCGGACAGAGATATTTCACCGACAACGCGCAGAAACAGAGATCTCGCCCAGGTCTTATTTGGAGATGAAGCCGAGTCGAAGGAAAGCCCTGCTTCTCCCCCACCCGAGTCTACACCTGTCGTACCCAGCGTCGCCCCTTTACAGCCACTCGAGAGTGCGCCCTCGCCACCTCAAGAGGTTACATCCCCCAAGCCAGTTCCTACTTCCCCGCTGTTGTCCCCATTGCAGCAATATCGCAATGCTTCTACGCCGAGACTTCCCCAAAGTCCAGAAGAAGTTGCTGAGTTGCACAGGGCCGTCCAGATACAGGCGGAAGCCGCTACCAGGGCGCTCAGGATGCCTCCTCCACCTTCGAATCATAATGAGAGCACTGCAATACTTTCCAGCAACTCGATCTCGCGGAAGCGTATTAACCCTGGCCTGATTGGAAGCCCGACATTAGTGTCTTCTACTGCGAGCGTCGATACAATTCCCCTGCGTCCACCCTCATCTGGGTCCGGTAATTATGGCGGTCCCTCCAAAATCAGCCAAAGATTCAGGAAATTCAGAGGAACCCTCAAGGCGAAACCTCACGCCCCTGCTGGTGGCGAGATAACGCCATATCCTATGGATGTCAACGAGGTGTCTCCGACAGGCCAAGCCGCCGTATATGATCCTTCACGACTTAATCCACCTGGAAAGACCACACCCTCTAGTGCCACCGACTTTGGTCGAGCAAAGGTGACTGTCCCCAGTCCTCCTGCTTCCGCTGGTCCTGGTATCAAGGGCTTTATGGCACGCTTCCGGAGTAAAAAGGCACTCGAATCCCACCAGCAAGAGCCCGAGAAACGACCCGCTTCCCACTCGCCAGCTTCCTCGCATTTGCCTACATCACCGTTGTCCTATCGGCGACCTGCTACCGCTGATGCAGCCGGCTCGTACTCGTCTATGTCTCAGCTAGCTGCAGTCAATCCTCACCAGGAGCTTAGCTTTGTTCCAGAGAAAGAACCCGCGCCCGGTGCTGAGTCGGAGGCGATTGATCAACTCTTCAAGGCCGCCGAAGCTCTGTCTGTCGATAGACAAGCCCTCACCGCGTTGCTGCGTAGTGCGTCCTCCTCATCGAAAACGACTTTGACCAGGAACCCTTCCATGGCCCGCGCGCCACAACCCGATATACCTGAAGAGCAATCCTCTTCACCTCCACAGATTGTCACTAGTAGCCGCCCAAGTATCGACGGTTCAAGGCCAAGTGAAGATAATTCGGTCAAGAAAGGGTCTATTCGGCGTCACGTCGACGCGCTGCGCCCTCCACGCGAGTCGTTGGATGCCCCATCTAGCTCCATTGTCAGACGGACAATAATCCTTGCTTCGGACACGCGGTCTTCGACATTTGACTTGAATACCTTATTGAGGAAGTCCTCTAACAGGAGAAAGAGAGCTAGTGCTCAATCATTCTCTAATCGGTCCGTTCATGACCGTGTGCCTACTCCCCCTCCACCTCGGTCGAACGCTTCACGCCGATTTTCTCAGGACCCATCTCCGCCAGTCCCACACCTCCCCGGATCTTCCTCACCAGGCGACTACCTTGCAGTTCCAGCCCTTTCCAATGGCACCGAAAAACCTAATTCTGCCGCTTACGATTCACTGTACGTAGCCAAACCTGGGTTTTTGTTCGCAATTGACCACCTCGTGTAGCTACGATATGTATGCAGGTGATAGGGCTCAAAGTTCCGCCGGTGGGGAATACGATACCGCACAGTTGCCGCGCCACGAGACACCAGTTAATCCTGAAGCTGGCACGGCTTTAGAGGTGATTGAACTTGCCAACGGCGAAACTATCTGGTAAGGCCGCATCCTTTTCGTACAGTGACGCAAGACTGACCTTCTATCCAGGTCTATAGTGAACGGGCTTCGTGATGATGATGTCGAATCAGTCTACGCTCACCGAGCTAGTTTTGCATCAGAATACTCATCTCGCGAAAACGGTGATGGTGTCCAAGTGTTCTTTAAGGAACACAATCGAACAGGTTCCAAAGGCAGTGCATCTTCTTTTCTTTCTCGTAAGAAGTCGCAAGCTAAGCATCGACCGGAGACTAAGGTTAGCCAAGAACCCTCTTGCGTAACCACCGCCCCTCTTATTTGCTATCACCAGGTGTTCTACAGCTCCCCGGCCCAAATCGGCCGTCTTATCGAGGATCTTTCTCAGACAATGGACTCTGGGTCTTTCAATATACTACCTACCAAACCCGCAGTAGGTCACTCGACGACCTCCTCAGTATCGGATGCGAACTGGACAGTGGAAGAACGCTTGGAACACATGTTGGGCTCCATGGCAAAATAGAATCCTCTCCTTCCCTTTCTCTGCGTGGATTACATTCTTTTATTTGTGGTGGACTCGTTGAATCTATTATCGTTGTTATCTTTGCTGATCGTAAAGTATCCATTCCCTGTCGTTATCATAATACCCAGCATATATATTTTACATCCCATGAATGTCTATCCATCTGTTGAGCGACAAAGCGAGCAGTGATTCGAGAAGTAGGAGGTCGTGGCTGAAGGTATATTGTAGGATGCCATGTGCTGGTCCTACTGGCGTAGCCTGAGGCTGGAGAGTATATATGGCTATGTGGCGGTTACCAGGGGCGTATAGCTATCCGGGTGCAATTCGTTAGATCGCGGTTATAAGTTATGTATGACATGCAGGCGTACATGGTATGAACTCTGACTAGGTCTCCATTCATATCTTTGACCGTCTGCAGAGGTGAAGCACCGACCACTGTCAAGGGTCATGAACTGATGTTATCAAAATACAGGAGGCGCGGAGGGGGAATGGGTATTCACGTATTACTGGAGGCGACGAGCTGTGACATGGGGAGATACCGGCGGCCAATGGACGCCCGTCCTAGGTGATTGCCAGGGGCCCACTCAAAGGAAGCGACATGTTCCCTGTCATTCCGAAATACCTGGGCGAATGCTGGTTGAATGTGATACAGCCTCGTGTGGCGTTGACGGATGAGAAACTCGTACCGTGGTCTTGACCGAGGACATCCCACCCAGCTCGGGCGTCTCAAAACATATGAGGACGGGCTTGGTGTCCTCCCCTATGATGACCCAGTGCCGAGGGTCGTCTCTGCCGGTGAAGAAGAGATTGAACGTCGAGGGAGCCATGGTTTTCTGAGATCCTCATTGGAATGACAAAGTTCTCTACTTATAATAGATAGCAGTGGACTTTATCGACCCCTGGCTCGCGTGATTGCAGCGCAGCTGGGAATTTCCCATCGATGGTGGCGCCGGAAAAAAGTGGGCAATGAAGTGCTTGCTTGGAGGGAACGGACTCTCATATTCGCAGATGTGAATAGCTTGCCATGGTTTCTAGGCGCTGCGCTGAGTGTGTATGTTGCCCACATTTCGTCCTGTCAAACCACTAAAAGGCTAAACCAACATGGCTTACGACCGAATCTTGCCCCAATATAGTCTCCGCTGTTCCCACAAAACATTTCTCCAAAAAATGTGTGCTATTCCGTCCCCCTTGAGGGCATCTAGTAGAACACTCGCGGTGCGGTAGAAGAATCAAGCGTTCACCTTCCAGAGCGGCCGTTTGCGCATCTTCCTGGCCACATGTACGGCACTCCCATTCGTATTCCCCCCTCCGAACGCAAGGACCACCGTTTCCTCAGCTCCCTGGCCTCGTGCAACGCCATGTTTTCTCAATTCCACAGCCTCTTTGGCAAATTCGTACCGAGCACGGTCGGAACCTAAGGCACAACACAATAAGACCGGCGTCAGTTTAATTATCGCGTCACGCAGCTGACCAGGCAGGCACTCCCAAGAGGAGTCCGTGCAAAGCCGTGCAAGGGGCACTCACCTATCTGGAACGTGGGCGACTCGACTGCAGCCTTGAATATCTCAAACGGCACGCGCGAGAAAATCTGCAGGAGCACTTCACGACCGCTTGGGCCTTGGGGCTGTTGGGTTTGAGATTGGGGTGGGGACGTGGACGTGCCGCGCGCATCAAGGACCTCAGGAAGGGTGACTACCAAGAAGTGGAAGACGTCTTCGCGTAGCCTATCCGCATATGCGCCGAAGATAGTGGTCGGCAGGGGCTCCGGAGTTGTTGAGCCATCCGACGGCGGTGGGAGGCTGCCGATAAACTCTATCCAGTGCACAATATTCTCGACGGAGAGCGACTGTCGGCAGGTCTCATACGCGTACTGACATAATTCCTCCATGCCGCCAAGCAGGCAGCCTGCGGCAAGGACAGCACGCGCATTATCAGGCCGGATGTTATTCAGAGAGATTGGCGAGTAGAGATACCCAAGTGCTGTGAGTTGGTGCAATTATTAAGGGCCAGAAAGATCCAGAAGCCGCCCAAGTGCTTACCAATGGCAAAACCCTGGAGATGATAATCGCGGGTTTTAGCAACGAGCTGTAAGCGGAGATAGGGAAGAGTCGCACCTCTTGAGTTATTTCAGGTTCTTGCTCAACCTGCACGTATATGGTCCGCACCCCCCCAGTCTGGGGCGATGTCGACATCAAATGGACAAGGTACGGTGATCGTGACAAGATGATAGCATGCAGGCGATATACACTGTGATATACATGCTGGCGTGGAAGAGTTGAGTGCTCGTGTCCCCCGTTATGAATGGAATACTCACAAGGTGTGTATCAGCGTAATTCTGTTTTCCATATCGTGTTATCCAGTCAGTCTGGCCCATTCATTTGGTGAGAGACGAGACTTACACCTGTCTGGAATCCAGACTGATAGATGTGGTTGACGATTCCCTCGAACTGGTTCTGATAGACAGGTCTGCACGTTTACGAGAAAGCAGAGAAACGCGCGCCGACCAAGGTGAGCGTCAAAAACCACAAAGACATATATTTAGCAACTACGCCACGGTAGGCAGTGCAGCGAAAAAGCGCACCTGGAGTCTCCGTTCAAAGGATAGGCCGACGACGACGCGGGGGACCCATTGATGCTGGGGTAGGTCGCGCTATGTGAGGTTGCGCCGTTCGTAGTTACGCCGTTGCCATTCAGGGTGCCGAAGGTGGAGGGAGATGTGGACATGGCGCTTTTTGGGATGGATTAGGACAACACGAGAACAAAGTACAAAAGGAAAGCTGAGATTTTGAAGGAGAAGGACACGCGAGACGACGAGCAGCGAGTCGGTGTTGGTGTGGAACAAGAAACGTACAGAGTCACATGTGTTACGCGTTACGACGGACTCGAATGCTCATTTAGCGCCGGTAGCAAGACAGTGTCTACTGTACAACCGAAATCCAATGCACCATTTCCTGCAGTGTAAGAACTCGCCCGTACATTGTTCCTAAGCCCTGTGCATCCATAGCGACGAAAGATTGCATGAGATTGTTAGTGACACCCGCTTCAGCAGCCTTCTTCCCAACCAGACACGGATAGTCTGGCGGAGGCTTCGAATATTCTGGCCGTTGGCCTTTGATTTGCAATTGTGACGATGAGGGCGATAGCTGGTGTTCGGTCAATTGAATGGGGATGAGGAGCACTCGAGATAGTTCACCATATGTGATCGATCGCTTGCAAAGTAATCGATGTAATCCTGGCCAGGTACGACTCTGAACATACTACAGCCAAAAGGTGCCCATAAATCGCCGCATATTCTGATTGGATTTCAAGCATTCTACCTTTGGAATCGTGCAGGGCACGGACAGAATGATTGGGTGATATATTCTTCAAGAAGATTCGAGGTGAGTCGCACGCCTACATTCTATGACCATCCGGAAAGACTTACTCTCCGCAGGACACGGTAAGCCCAGGCGTGTATCAAAGTCGTACACCCAACAGCGACATATTGCGCCCGCGGTATCACCCTGATCATCAGCACCCTCGGATTGCTGTACCTCCGACGAAGGTGCCGTGCGCAGACGCAGAGCCATCACGACATGGTAATCCCATACGACTGGGTATAGATCCTGCTGTGCGAGCTTCTGGTTCCATAGAGCTACCTGGACAGAGGACATTACTCGGGAGATCACACATAAGACATCGATGGTGCGAGCGACATACGGACTTGTCAACATTCGATATGATGATTGCAAAAATATCGCAGGACGCAGAGATTTGGTGTGATAGAAGAAATCGCTGGATTAGGAGATAAACGTTCTCTTCGCACCAGAAGGCCGTGGACTTGAATTCTGCAGGCAACGGAGGAGGACACGCACAGCAACCAGCCATGACGTCACTTCCCTCTCAGCCCCGGAACCGGTCGAACCGCGGCCCCTTTTCATGCGCGTTCCGCCACGGTGCGCCGTCTCCAGCCCGAGCATTATCCTGTCGTCCAGTCCTGCTTTCTTCACCAAAATTCGATGACATTCCACCGCTCGCAATCAACTCGCAATCAATTCGCTTCATGCATCAGACGGATTCTTTTGCCTCCGGTCTTTCTCTGCTTCTCCAGCCGCGTTTGTCCACATTCCGTCAGTTTCCAACCACGAACCCTGCATCCAGTATCCATCATTCTCTGCAATTCGTATACAGCGACGACGGCCGTGTGCACGCGTCCGGGTCCCGTCTCCTCATCCCATGACGCGAATGGAGCAGTGTATCCAACGCGACGTGCTTCCGCATTGCGTTTTGGGACGATCTGCACCTCACATGTTACCTCTTTCAAAGACTCGAGTCACCCGTATTCAGAACGGAAAAAAATGTTGTACATTGCACCACAAATACGATAGTTTATGGACAGTTCATTAATGGTAACTGGTTTGGAGGTATACGGTGTTCAGATGACAAGCAGTCGAGCCAGAGGTCCTGTTTCGTCTCAGCCACAAGACAATACCGCTCAGGATACAGGTACTCACATGGGGTATGGTAATGCGTAACGGTCGTAATCATTGTGGGGTCCCTCAGTATCGGAGCCCCTTCTTCTTCAACACCAGGTCTGGTGACGACGTCTCCTGCCTGAATGGCACAAAGACAGGCTGAGGGGGCGACGAAGCGAATGGTCGCGGTTGTGGTGATTGGAGGGTGGGTGACGAGCCCTGTGATGATGATGGGGAGGACGACGCCGACGATGTCTGCGACGTGGACGCGCGGGGTCGCTGGGGGATCGCGTAGCGCGACGGTGCAGGCGGCTGGGGGATGACACCAGAAATATTGGTGAACGGGTGCGTGGCGAAGGGGTCGAACGAGTCGAGCAGCGAGGATTGTGCCATTATTTCGGACGAGTTCGAGTTGCGAGTTGGTAGAAAGGGCTAAAGTTCGCGTGAGGGGTTTTTGGACTTGGTACAACGGATGAAAGAGGTGGTCGGTTTATATAGTGGTCGTATGGGTCGTGAAAACGCAAAGCGGGGAAATTGTCCGACAAGGCTCCGTCATGAGGTCGCCCATTTCATTGGTCGAGCGGGTATAGCCCTGATTCACATGCCACCCCCTCACAGATCGCAGGCCGGCCTGTATAAGATCCGGTCAAAGTTATTTGCAGCGACGCAGTGGCATTCAAGCACGTGCCGGCTACTCAGTAACGCAAACGTCCTATCTGGTCGTGCACGCACACCTACGTAACGCACAAACTTTGCCTTTAGCTTCGCAGGCTCGACGAGAACGGCAGAAGCGAAATGTGGCTGAGATAGCTATTCTTGCCGGCGCCCTTGGGCCTTGGCGAGTTCGCTATCAAACGGCGAGTCGTTCGGCGCCTGCGTGGGTCGTAGAGTGTCACTTGCGACATTGGTTTCTTCTGAGTGCTGATTGTCACCCAAAGACGGGCCGTGCGGTGGATCCGCTCGTCTGGATATCTAGCGAGCGAGCAACGTGTACGGTGCCTTTTGATCTCATCTGTCTTCCGCCGTAAGCCTAAGCGAAGAAGGGATCAGGCTCAGGTCTCGAAGGAGGGCTGCTCACGAAAGAGAAGCACACACACCGGTCAGCTGGTGAGTCTATCGCACTGCCCAAGGCTGAGTGTGTATGTCGAAGGCACATTACTATCAGCTTGAGTATAGCTGGCGTGATGAATGTCCCAATCTCGAGATACGAAACAAGGTTAGCATGGCACGAACATCGAGCAGCACCCCAGGAAAGCAGGTTCTGGGCCCGCATCTCCATTAGTTTAGGTTCAATTGACTACAGCAGCTCGATGACAAGTGGTGCTGCTGTAGCGCGGATGGTATCAAAACTCCGTTTCAAGGTGGATTCCAGGAAAGATTAGAACAGCATAAGCCCCGATGGGAGAAACCAACCAAATCAGCGGGTCAGATTCCAGGGAGTGGTGCCACCCCCCGCAATTGAGAAAGAGCGAGTGAAAGCGGAAGGACGATAGAATGGGGCCGTGGATGGAGAGTTTGATGGAAGCCGCGGTATGTCTTTGTCCAGGCATTCATATCACGCACATGACGAGTTAAAGACCTCTTTCAGGCCGGGTGATTAAGTATACGATAATAGACATGCAGCACTGCCAAGCTGCCTCCGGACATCGTGGAAGTCAACGTCATGCGCTAAAAGGTTTTTGTTTTTGTGAGATATTCCTTTTCGGAACGAGAACACGCTCACAGTCTTCGACTTCTCCCCAGCGCTGGATTTGGCTGTCCACCTCGATCTGCGCAGCCTTAGCGGCCTGCTCTATGCTCAGCTGCTTCTTGACGAGGGCAAGGGCTATTAAGAACGACTTGGTGGTGTACGTGGCCCGCTCCATGGCTTCGCGTCGAAAGTTAGTTAGCTTGCTGCCCGGCATTCCGATATGAAGGGATGTGCACTAACCAGCCATCTCCCATGGATCAAACGTATCCAGCACCGCGCCAAGTTTGCGTTTAGTCTCCTCGGGCTGCTCGCTCAGCAGGATGGATTCGGACGTCTGGATCTCGACATCAAACGTCGATCTAGCCCATTCTAACAAAGGCACCCAGTGCGTGGACTGCAGCTCTGCAAGCAGCGGAGGCTCTTCTTGGTGAAAGCTATTCAAAATGGTAAGTCGGAGAAAGGTCGGTCCGAGACGGGAGACATACCAGATTGTATCGGTGTCCAAGTACTTTAACAACGCATCACGCACGTCATGGCGCGTCTGTTCATCCGACATTGCGTCCAAAGCTCGGGAAGCTATCGAAGTCTTGGCGTATGTAGTTGGTTAGGATAGAATATTCAGCAGCGTTAACTGCCGTCAACGTACCATAGGCAAAGCATGCGGCTTCAGCATCGTTTCTTGGCTGTCCCATTCCCCAGCGATGAGCGTTGCGACGAGCCGCTTGTTCTGCGGGAGCAGCATCTTATTCCCCGAGGGCGTTTTCAAGGCCCGTTTATCCAAGGTGACCGCAAGCGAGTCGCCGTGCGTATCGATTCCGACCGTCTTCCAGAACCGCTTCAACGTCGCTTCAGCACCTACGTTAGCCAGAACACGTTCAAGAGTATGAATGAGTAATAGAATTTGAGAAAACAGAATATGTCGCGTACGGTTGGTTTCTGAAATGACCGGCCCGTCTGGACGGGTGGTCTCTGCTGCGAGAGATGAGTTCCATCGCATGCAGCGCAGCGCCTGGCTGCCGACGGGTGCTCTCCGAGGCGAGCAAAGTTGAAGGGAAGATCGCAGCATTTTTGTGGCGGAAGCAGACCAATACGCCACGTGCTCTTCGCCGACGCGTCCAAGAATAATTGGGCGCTTATCCAATTCTTCTTATGTCGCACGACGACCAAAGGGGTTGTTGTGGCTAGTACGCGGTCCTATCTGTCAAGACTCAATCGAATGTTCCTCCTTCTATCGGAACCACCATGTCCCCTCGCGCGAGTAATTCCCAAATCCCCATTTCTAAATATTTCTCGCCGCCTAGCAGGAAACGCGCAGGCTCGGAGGTGATCGACCTAACGCAGTCGGACAGTGATGATGCGGAACCGCGCTCCCAGAGGGCTCAGAAACGCGCTCGGACTACGACGGCACCTGCTTCCTCGCAGGGCCAGCGTGCGGCTGGTAGACCTTCGGTGGAGCGATGGCGATTCACGCCCTCGCCCCTGAAGACTGTGACTACTGGTGATGCGACCGCTGTGCTGCCTGAGGTCCGGGAGGCATTTCGCCGAAAGCTGCTCACCAGCAGCCAGGTGGGTGGAGAACCACCGTCGACGCCGAAAGCCTCGAAGGGCAAAGGCAGAGCACAAGAACCACAAGAGGAATTCACGGCCAGTCCTATAAGTTCTGGCTTAGGCTCGCCGCCATCGGACGGTGACCAGGCTTTCAATGAGTTGACGGCATTGTTCCCCAAGAAGTCAAAAGGGAAGAAGATTAAGGCGCCCCCAGTCCGCAAGGTGGTATCAAAGGCTCCGGAGAGAGTTGGACCCAGTGGGCAGACTTATACACCGTTGGAGGAACAAGTAAGCACTCTCATGAATCAGATGACCTCACTTTACACCGTGGTGTATGTAGATCCTGAAGTTGAAGGCCGATAATCCGGGGACACTTCTGATGGTGGAAATAGGCTACAAGTACAAGTTCTTCGGGGAAGACGCGGAAGTAAGTAGCCATGATACGATGTTCTCTCGTGTGTTTATATTGTTACCTTGATCCATAGATAGCTTCGAAAACACTTGGTGTAGCTTGTTACCCCGACCGGAATTTCTCGGTTGCTTTCATTCCAGTCGACCGGCTGAATATTCATCTTAAGAAGTTCGTTTGTATGCCGTCAGTGCTTAAGCCATGCTAAGGGCAACTGTGTATAGCCTTCTGTCTCAAGGACATAGAGTTGGAATTGTGCAACAGACGGAAACCGCTGCGCTGAAGAAGGTCAGCGACACAAGAAACGATGTCTTTGAGCGAAAGCTCACGCACCTTTACACAGCAGCAACGTGAGTCCCGTTCTGAATTGAACAATATTGGCCTAAATATGTCCCGCAGATATGTCGACGAAATTGATTCCGTTGATGATACGGACAAGTACATATCTCCCCCGTTAATGTGCCTCATAGAGAAATCCAAAAAGGGTGCTACGAAAGTGAACGTGAACATCGCGATGATCACTGTCTGTCCACACACCGGTGATGTCACTTGGGATGAGTTTGAAGGTACTTCTCCATTATAGCTTAAACTTCAACCGGTGACTAACGTGGGGTGAATCACAAGATGGACCGATGCGGATAGAACTTGAGGTATGTTAATAGACTTCACTGCTCACTGTCGACCTGTGATGCTTGGGTTCAATCAAGACTCGACTCGCACATACGCAGCCAGCGGAACTCCTCCTCCCCGCAGAGTTATCAAAGGCCACGGAGAAGATGTTGGCGCATTTCACGACGTAAGTTCTCTGTCCGGCTGATAACCATGAGCAGTGGGTGATGCTACTTTAGCATGTCTCCAACAGGCCGTAGAACCCCCGTGGAACGATTCGCGGCGAAACTCAGCTACACGGACGCTTTCAAAGTGATTACCGAATTTTATACGGACAAGGACAATGCTGCGGGTGCTTCGGAGAGCTTTCGTTCCGGTATGAATGCCTTCACAAGTTGATTATGCTACGCGCTACTAACTCATGTTGATATCTAACAGGAGAACTGCTGGCCACCGTTACTGGCTTCCCTCAACAAGTCGTAGTCACACTCGGACACGCCATAAAACACCTTTCCGCTTTCGGTATCGCAGACGCGTTTCGCGAAACCAAGTTCTTCACCCACTTTATGACCAAGACGCATATGCTGCTGGCAGCCAATACCCTTGCCAACCTTGAAATCTACCGTAACGAAACCGACTTCACGACCAAAGGCTCTCTCATCTCGGTGCTGGATCGTACTAAGACCAAGTTTGGAGCACGGCTATTGCGGCACTGGGTGGGAAGGCCCTTGATCGACAAAGCGCAAGTATCAATTGGTAAACAGTTCAAAGTTATGTTGCTAATCTTGAATAAATAGGGCATTGGAGGCTCGTGTTGATGCAGTTGAAGAACTCAAGACGACAAATCACGGACATCTAGCCGGGCTACAGGCTGTTCTCTCCAAACTACCTGATCTAGCCAAAGGTCTTTGTCGAATACAATACGGTCAAGTCAGTGCTCTCGCTAACAATCTACGGCACCCTTATCTGACTAGCATTGGTGTTAGTGTACTCCTCGCGAATTAGCACTTCTATTGCGCGCATTCCAAAAAATCGGCGATGCATTTGTAGCTGTGGACACCCCTTCTCAAGTTGGCTTCAAATCTGACATCCTCAACGACATCATATTCGCGCTTCCGAAAATCAAGCAACCTATCAAGGATACGATGAGCCAAATCATTCTGAAAAAGGCGGAGGAAGGCAAGAGGGTCGAGATGTGGACTGACATCGAGAAGTTTCCCGAGCTCAATGACTTGACCTTGGTAAGTCTCTCGTGTGTAAGAGATTACAGATATTAATGCATTCCCAGGGCTTGGACCTCAACGAAGTAGACATCTTGGACGAGTTGAAGGCAGGTATATAACTCGTCTCCTTCAAATGAGTGCCTTCGTTGCTGACCTCTAAGCATAGTCCAGAAAGCTTTACGGCGGCCCTCCCTTAAATGGGCTTCTCATCTAGGTGAAGAAGTAAGTTCCTTCGCCATCTCTACGAGGATCCTCTATTCAGATGTCAGCCACGCAGTGTCTCATTGAGCTGAAGAAGGCAGATAACATACCAGTCCCTGATGATTGGATATTCATGTCTGGGTATGTTAATGTTGTTTGGTGTATTTTTCGCCGGCGTTGAATTGGTGGTCTAGGACGAAAATCGTCAAGAGATATCACACACCTCAAGCGAAGCGATTGCTTCAGAAACGCGCACAATTCACTGAAGCGATCCAAGTAAGTTTTCCCTGCCTTTACCTTACCATTGTTAATATTTTTCGGTCTGGCAGAGGGAGGCTCATCGGGCGTATATATCGTTCCTGAAGGAAATTACCGATGATTATTACGGCGTGCTCAGGCACGCTGTGAATCAGTTAGCTATCGCTGATTGCTTGTTGAGTTTGACGAAGGTTGCACTGGAAAACGATTACTCTCGGCCAGAATTTATAGATGGCGACGCCCTTGAGATCGTAGATGGACGTCATCCTATGATCGAAAAACTCAGTTCGGACCCTTTCGTAGCGAACAGCGTCGACATGGGTGTCCGTGAACCCAAGAGCAAGATCATCACGGGCCCAAATATGGGAGGGTATGGCTTTTTGAATGGATTTCTGGATAGTATTGATGTCCTTATTCTAGGAAGAGCTCTTGTGTCAGGATGGTGGCTCTCATTGTGCTCATGGCCCAAATTGGTTCATATGTACCAGCAGCTTCGTTGAAGCTCGGTCTTGTGGATGCAATTCTCACTCGGATGGGAGGTGAGGTCTTTCCAGTCATCACCCATGCTAACTTACTGACTGCTCGGAACTGAACAACAAGCCTCTGATGACTTGTCGAGAGGTCGATCAACCTTCATGGTCGAAATGACAGAAACTAGTGAGATATTGCAACTCGCAACCCAGAGAAGCTTGGTTATTCTCGATGAGCTAGGCAGAGGGACTTCCACGTTTGACGGGGTAATGCTCTCCCTATCATTCAGTTAATCACTCGTTGACTTGCTCTCTAGATGGCAATTGCGAGTGGTGTGCTACAGCACCTAGTCGATGTCACTGACTGTAAGACGCTGTTCATTACACATTACCCCTCTATCGCAAGGGAGCTCGAGGACAAATATCCGTCCAAACTACAGAACCTCCACATGCGTTACGATGCAGAGGATCGCGTGGACGGCATTAAAGATGTCACTTTCTTCTACTCTCTTACGCCAGGACTATCACAACGTATGTTCTCATTCCAACCACACGCTTCGCGAAGCTAATGTTGAACCATGCAGATTCCTTTGGAGTAGAGTGTGGACGGTTAGCTGGATTGCCGGAATCTATATTACAGACGGCTGCCGCAAAAGCGTCGTCCTTGCAGATCGATGTCGAGCGGCGGAAGGCCGAAAATCGGTGAGTACACCTTTCATGAGAAGCGAACCCCAGCGACTCATCATCATCACAACTACTTGCTCCAGAACACGCAAGGCCGTGGGCGCAATTAGAAAATGCTTCTTCAACCCAGAACCAGTAGATAGCCATGAAGTAGAGCAATTATTGGAAAGCATCAGAGCGGTACATCTCAGTATAACATTTAATAATTAGATCGTTGAGATGCATAGTTCTATTTTTTCTTGCGCTTTGGTTTTGGGGCGGTACTCTCCTCGCCCGTGGCTTCTGCGGCTTTTCGTTTTTGGGCAGCTTTCTTGGTCACTTTCCCCATCCGACCACACATAGTCGCCAGCGCAGGGGAACTCTTGTATCGTGGTGCAGCGGAAATTTTTGATTGTAATGTAGTCCATGTTTCAGGTAACCAGATACCCTCCGCGCCATCAGGAACATTGACAGATGTCTGTCGCTCAGCCAGCAATCCCAACTTGAAGAGCTCTTTCATTTGTGATGTGGAAAGGACAAGCTTCTCTTCAGCGGCGGATGAAATGACGTCGTACAAAGCCTTGCGTAAATTGGGCATGAAGCTTTCAACTTTACTTGGGCGATCAGCCTGATCCTAAGGAGTGTCAACTCAGTTACCCAACCCAGGGGAACGGTAGATTAGATACTTACGAGCTTGGGGAGTTGAGATACCATCACATGGACCAGATGATAGGCTTGGCACTGTCGATATACGTTGACAGATCTTGAAGATAGGTCTAGCAGATCGTCACCAAGCTTCCAGCCCGAAGAAGGGAAGCGTTGTATGAAATCTTGGAAGAAGGCCGGGTTGAAAGCAGATCCCTTTCGCGTCATGAAGTCGGTCAACGAGTCCTTGTATTCCTTGAGAACGGATGCTTCGGAGTCGGCAATAATCAATATTTTCGACGCATAAAGGCTGCATTGGCTGAGGGCTCCAAGAAGACTTGAGTAGCGAGGCTTCCTGGCGCGAGTGTGAAGTTCGCTGAGGGCATTGGTGGTGTCCTTCACGTCCGGCTCCAGCGGCAGCTCCTTGGCTTTGCCGATGCGAGATTGAAGGATGCCTCTTGCCTTATCGGCCAACTGTTGCTCGTCCGATCCGCAACCAGCGACAAGATCTGCCAAAGGTAATATAAAGCGTAGGACCAGTTGACTAGATGGTTGCTTCTTTATGAACATTTCCACGAGATCTAGAACACGATTTTTGAAATGCGTGGCTTCTCGCTGTGCGTTAGTGTCTTTTGACAGAAGGGTCAGTGTGTTGTATTGCGATCAGATGCGAAAATCAGTTTACCTTTGCCATGCTTCTCATTTGCTCGAGAGCGGAATATTTCTGCAAGCTGCTCGTCTATGGCCATCATCTGGTCGTCATCCATCAAGTCCTCGTCCTCGTCCTCGTCGTCTGCGAGACCATTAGCCCGTAACGCATCTTCTATCTTTCGCCGGGTTTCTAGGTCCTCTTCTTCCTCGTCCCCGTCCTCATCCTCTTCTTCTGAATGGTCCTCTTTTGTTGATGCCTCTTCATCAGCTCCTTCGTCTTCTTCTTCGTCTCCTTCATCATCATCATCATCCTCATCATCGACGGGTGCTGGATCCCGGCGTTCTAGTTGCTGAACGCGATCGGTGTAAACAGTAGCGCAAGGCCGTTGTCACTGAGCCACTTACTGTGAGGATCAGATCGACGGTCGTACTTGTGACAGATTCGGACAGCAACCCAAAGACCTGGCTGCCGACAGTACGGAGATAATTCGTAGAACGCTCCATGAATCCAATTATTACGTCGACCAGTATGTCAATGGGTTCGGGGTCGGTTGTCTCGACTTTATCTTTCTTCGACTTTTTCTTCTTCTCGGGAAACATTTTCGTGATTCCGTCAATGCAGGCCTGGAGGAACAAATCGTAGTAGAACGGTAAAGGGAATTTAAGAAAGTCATAACTTACGCTGAGGGTGTCAAAGTCAGGAATATCCGCACAGTATTGTTGAACAACCGTGGCTGCAAGTAAAAGCTCAGCGCCTTTGGCTGTCATTTGATCCGCCGATTTCTGGACAAGAATTTAGAGATAGTCGGCCTACGTGAAATCTTGAATCACCTTCTGCAGCATGACCAAAGTCTCGTTCGCTGATGCAATAACTTGTCTGTTCTCTTCGTCGAATGCATTACTCGGTTTGACATATTTTTTCAGGCCCTCCATCTTCGTGATTGTCGATAAGGCCCTGCACACCCAGAATTGACCATCGGATGCGACTCCGGGAATTTTGGCCGATTTAGCGTCGCCTATCCCAGACAACTGAGAACCAGAAGCAACATAGGAAGAATAGGCCTTGCATACCTTTAATGGTGGCAGTTTGGTTCGTAAGTTCCCCGAGGCATGTCAGCAGTCGCGTGCGGCAGTCCTGACGTAGTTCGTCTGAGAGATTTTGTGTCGGCAAGATAGCCGTTTTGTCTGTGGCCTTCTTATAAACAAAGAGACCGTTTACAACTAGCCAATCCAGAATATCTTGAACCCATTTGTCATTCTTTGGGACAGAACCGTTGCGGACCAACGCTGCTATCTGATCAATGACCCACGATCGTCTTGCGTCTCTTCCTTGGATGTCCTCCCTGCGTAAGATTAGTGATATTCAGCGGTGCCAAAAGTATACTTACTCGGCAGGGGTGTCGTCCATTTGCTTGAATAGATATTCGATATAATGTTGGATGCCTTCGGCGTCCATCGAGGTAAGGATAGTCTCGACTGTCTTGGTCTTTGTCAAACGATCAAACTGTCTGTTACCGTTGACGCCAGTGAGTTGAAGAACGAGCGCGAAACCAAGTCGAGGGTTGTTTTTGACAGTTGCTTGAATATCGGTGGCCTGGAAGATACGAGATGAGTACACAAATACAGAGTAAAGTAACGTAGATTGCCCTTACTACTTGCTTGGCAGCCTTGTGCAGGTACCTATCTTGATGTGATAGATGATTAATCCAAGTCCTCATGAAGTTCTTGGTGAACAGCATCGATAAAGTAGTCCCATCTAAGCGCGGCAAAGCCGCTTGAAAGACCTGGAATCCCCAGTATTTACGCTGTGGTGACGAATTTGAGGCAAAAAGAGATTCTGCAGCATTATAAGTCAATTAATATGGAATAAGAACTTCGTATGCAGACAACGTACCATCAACGACGACTCGGAAGAATTCTTGGAAGGATACAGGTGGACTTGGACTCTCTGAGGCAAAGAAGCGGTCGAGGATGGCCTTCCAAGCAAAGTGAATTTGAGGTTTCCAACCACCAGCCACGGATTTTGAGCCTTCATTTTCGTCGTCTTCGTGACTTGACTCCTGTACAGATGAATGGTATTAATATGGGGTATATCGCGTTCGGTGTCAACCATGCCTTCATTAATCGCGCTATATTCAGAAGGTTGGCATTGCTGAGAAGCTGTGGATTCTTGAACGTTGGTGCCAATAACGCTTTCCAGTCATGCGCAGGATATTGGGTTTGTAGCTTCAGGGCCAAAGCAATCTTCTCTGGTGACCAATGCTGCTGCTCGACGAGAAGCTTGTCGATAGTTGACTTGACTGCCTCCTTCTTCCATGGTACATCTGAGGCTTCCAACACGTCGACCGCCAAACTGATACTCCACCATGCACTTTCTCGCAACCACGATTTCTTCTCTCCCAATATCAGCAGCTGAGAAATTACTTCATTGAACGTTCCGATATCAGAAATAGCAGTGGTAGACGATGCTGAAGCGGATAGGGCCTTCGTGTTAACCAACAGGCGAGATTGGATTACAGATGTAAGTCCGAATAGACGGGCGAATAATGAGTCTCGTTCTTCTTGTCCAGTTGCCGAGGTTGGAGGTTTAGAGTTGTCCAGTATTAGGGAGAGGATCTGCGAGCATGTTACAGTCTCCAATTGAGACAAAAGCTACAATAAACTTCGCCGTGAGCATCACATGAGAATATTCCGAAATAACAAGTACCTCCGTCAAAGCGACCGCAAAACCGAGGCGACTGCTCTCTCTCGGGCTCGAAAGTCCCCTTATAAGTCTGCGAATCGAGTAAACCACATCATGTGCATTCAACGCGTCCAGCCCTTCGGCCTCCGCATCCTCCTTGTCCGACTCATCGTCGCCGCTGCCACGGGCATCGACCTTGGGCGTAAATTGAGCTTGGAATTGATTTAAAGCTGTGATAAGCTTCAGCGACGCATCAATACGCTCCTGCTTGGAATTCGAGGAGAGATGCCAGAAAAGAGGAAGCGTTGTCGACATTTGCCACGACGAGCAAAGTATCAAGCGCCCAATTTTTTGATGGTCTATTTACTGTTGCTTGTTCCGATCATCTTGATCGAGCTTCAGAGGTGCGTCAGGGGCTAGCAGTCTCGGCGCGCAGAAAGGAAATGTATGGTATGGTGGTATGTATGGTACAATGAGTGCATGAAAGCGAAAATACGATGATGCTATATGGTAAAAGGAGAATGCAAGTCAATAATCAAGTGTGTTTCCTACGATAGGTGCATCCAATGTCCTTTCACACCAAGCTGGCACTTTTCACAGCCTGCACGGGGACCCATGGTCATGCGTGGTCTCGGTTTGGGGTCCCCCTGGGGTTGGAAGCGAGGGACAGACGGCACAGCAAGTAAGGAAGAGTCCTGCTGAGCAAGCGGAGTTTCTGCAAGGAAGGGAGGTGGAAGAATTGCGCTCGCAGAGGTAGGGTTGGATGGTGGCTCAGCGTCTTCTTTCATCTGTTGGCTCGAAATCATGGCAACGTCCTAGTCCACCATGTGTGGGCAAAAGGATGTCAACACAAACGACAAAGCTCACCATCATAACGTCCTCATCAGTAATTGGATATCGCTCTACTATTGTCCCCTGCAATGCTTCATTCATTGGATCGGTCGTTAGAGGGCTGTCGATGCGCAGGTCGTTGGCTTGTCGCACCCAATCTTCGGAAGGTTGACGGCTACCATTCCGCGAGCTACCACTCAGCGACATAGGCGGAGTGTGATCGAAACCATTGAAGGCCTCTGACTCAGCGTGGTTGAGGAAGAGGCGTTTCTAGGAAGAATTAGCTGGGCAGCTCTCGGCATAGGGCTTCCTTTACTGACTGTAGGACGTTCATGTGGAGCAGGGCTGCTGGAACGACTTCGTTTGTTGGAGAAGTTGAGGGAGGGAGGAAATTCGACTTCCATTTGCATAGTGTAGTGGTGGCTGAGTCTCAAGCAGTGGCAATTTAGACGCGACGCGTTCTACAACGTCACGCGTAACTGTGAGTCACATTCGATTCGGGTGGTAAGTGCTACTTATACAGATTCTACGATGTACATTTACACATGAGATGTCTACGACGATACACCGCATCTCTATCCTTGCATGTCGAGTTTTGTGCGGGGAAGCTTGGTCTCGCCCTCCTTGTACGGCTCACCAGTCTCTTCACGGAGAAGATCTATACACTAATTCAGGGCTTGCCTTTTGAACGAGGCCAACAACGAGACGTACCGTTGATCCAAGCACCATTAGGCTTGATCTTCTCACCACGGCTGTACATGACAGCAAGGTACAACCAAGCGGCGGCGTTACCGACAGTGCCCACTTCATCAGAGACATGGGTTCTGGCAAAGTCGCTCATCCTGCGGTACAAAGCCTCATCGGTGTATAGATCGTAGAGATATCCAGCAACGGCGTCGTTGTCTCCAGGGGTAGTGAGGTATCCAGATTTGCCGTGTTGGATTTGGAGAGGGATACCGCCAGTGCGGCATGCGATGACGGGTTTGCCAGTGTGGAGGGCTTCAGAGACCTTGACTTCGAAACCTTCACGGGTAGAAAGTTGGAGGGCGATTCTCGAGTTAGCCATCATGGCGTTGAGTACTGGAACAGAAGTCAGTATTTGTGTAGCAAATAACCAAGAAGATACTTACGTTCGTCGCTGGGAGGGAGACGCATAACAACGATGTCATGGGCGTACTCCTTGTACGGGTCAGAGTTGACGAGTGCCATGATTTGATCGTAGATGATGCTGGCATCTGGATCATCGACAGCTCCGTGACCACAGATCAACAACTGAGGATGATCAGACAACTCCATCTCCGGCGAGCGGGTTCGCAAAAGGTTGCGGAATTTGTAGTACGAGTCGACAACGTTGGGAATACCTTTAGAGGGATCGAACCGGGCAACCTGGACGATATAGTCGCGAGTGGGCCAGTCGAGTTCAACCATCTTCTCTTTGGCACAAAGGCTACGGAACTCTCCCATGTAGAATTGGGAATCCCAAGGGTCCAAATCTTTGTTCAACCCATCGAGCCTGTGACACTAAAATCAGTAACCTAAATATAGAAATTCTGGAATTACCCTACCAGTCAGTGGCAGCACCGAGGAGAGCGAGCTTCTCAATAGGTACATCACTAGGCACAAATTTGCTGACGGGGTGACCTATGAGAAAGTGGTGAGCAACGACACAGGAGCATGGGAAGTGCCTCACTGATGAACAGGTCTGCGAGTTGGATGTTGTTCCAGAGATACTTCCATACTTCCTCTTGTGGTGAGCCAGCGACGTGAACCAAGTCACTACGGATCTCAATATGGGACCTGTAAACGATCGGCACCTCGGGGCGAACTTTCTTAATCAAAGGAATGAGGCCAGGCATTTGTGGGTCATCTGGCCAGCGCGCGTGAGCGTGTATAGATAACGAACAAAGCTAGATTTATACCGATGAAGACAACATCCACGCCACCAGGTGCTAGTGGACCTCCTTCAGCTGTCCAACGCAGACCATTCTTCAGGATCCACGCGTCGAAAGCGTCCTTCGCCTCCTGGGTGAGACGGAGATCAGGTGCTGCAACGCCTTGAAGGATGTTGTGGTTGTTCTTGGTGGTCCTGAACACTTGTGGCGAAGGGTTCGGGACGTACCTATTCACGTTGTGTGGAAAGATCAGTACAGCGCGGGACCTGATAACGGTGATATCCGTACCAAGCAACATCAACGTCGAGAGCAGTCAGGAATCGGATCAAGGCATGTCTCATCTACAATCACAATCAAGATTCATGTAATTTGGGAAACAGTGGAGATGCCTTACGAGAGCAACACCACCTATTTCCCAACATCGTAAGTGAAAGTAACTCGAATAGAACAATGGGCGACCATACCTCCTTGTGGAGTGGATGAGAAGAATCCAATCTTGACCTTCTTCTCGCGCAGCTCATCGGCAAGCTTGATTACGGCGTTCCAAGTTCCTGTTCCTACCGTCTTACGGTATTCTTCGAGATCGTCGATCAAGTGGATTTTGCCTCCAGCGTCAACGGTTACTTGGTTGCGAGCGCCAATGCTGAGACGCGGGTTGTTGTTAGGACCGAAGTACATCAAGCATTTTCGGGCGGCAGAGTCAGACTGTTCGTCGAGAGTGCGCGGAATGGGTAGCTTCTGAGCAGCATTCGGGCTCAAATGGCTGGGATCGCCGAGGTGTGCTGCTTCGACGTAGACCGTGGGTGTCTCCGAGCCAGACGGCACGTATGAACCGGTGGTGGAGGAAATACGGTGTTTGATGTTGGGTCGCGTAACCGAGTCAGTGTGGAATGGCTTGATGTTGAATACGATGGGCACAATGTCCATGTCCAGCCACAAACGGGTGCACAGATTGGGACACTACGCGGATAGGGGCCGTAGGGGTCAATGGGTGATCGAAGGCGGGGTCACTCCACACACCTCTTTCAGCAAGGCGAGAGTGATGCCTGCGCCGAGGAACTTGCAAAGATGCTCGGCAGAGAATTTGCGGATCAAGTTGAGGACCTGAGCCTCAATGTCCTTGCTGTTTTTCGCGGTATCCCCTGAGGTGACAGGGATGATCACCGACGCGAAGTCGGTACTGTACACACCATCGTGCACAGTGACCGCGATCTCATACTGGGTGTTGTTGTTGACGAGCGTGCCCGCGACACCAGCCCACATGGGCTACATGACACGATCTTGATCAACGGCGATCGTGAGTGGGGGAGTATACTGCGGCTCACGGTCAGGCTGGCGAAGGTGGTCGTCATGTTCGGCCTCTGCTTGGAAGAGACACTGGACGACAGCCTCCGCCGTATGGCAGTCGAGGGCTTGGATTCGAACTGGTGGTGAGTCGACATTGTTCGCTGAAAGATGGGGTCAAAAGAAACTCCAGCTGAGGAATATGGGAGGCGTGGATATTATATATGTGAAATGCGGCGCTTGATCAGCCAGAAAAGGCAGCCGCAATCCAGAATCCATGTTGCCTCCACGACCCCTGCCAGAGTAGCTCAGTCTCCAGATTTGTGGTGAGAAGAAGACCGTGTCGTCTCAGGGGCTCCTCGACTCCGTTTCTTCTCAGCGCCATCACAGCTTATTCCCGCACTTGCATGACGGCCTGTCCCAGATGTCCCGTAATTGTGGGGAATGCGGGGGAACCACCGTATGGGACGAGGACGCCTCCTCCTCCATCTGCCAGTCATGTGGAACCCTCACGGACCCTTCACAGTCTGTGCTTTCGTCCCACATCGATCAGCCAGAGAACACTCGCCAGAATCATTTCCTGAATCCCAACTCAGCCGCAACCACCCTCAAAAGTTTCCGCACCAGGCAAGGATGGGACCTCGCAGGTCAAGGGAAAGAGGCGAGAGAGAGCCGGAACACCGTAAGTCTCGACATGATTGGCACGATTGCCCTGAAATGTCTTTTGCTTCCTCAATTGTCTAATCTTGTCACTGACTCACGTTTACCTCATGTCAATACAGTACACCATGCACGAATTCATCAGATCATTCTGTGCTGCCTTATCAGTACCCGGTCTATCTCCACGGGTAATCATCTTGTTCACTCAAGCTATGGCCGCTGGGCAGTTTCGTTGGGGAAGAACAGCCAAACGCGTTGCAGGCGCATGTCTCGCCATCGCCCTTCGAGAAACAAATCGACCGGATGCAATACGTGATGTAGCTTCCATCTTGGAAGAATCCCCAGTTGTTCTAACTCGGACTTTCATGTCCGTTCTTACTCTACTCAACCACAACCTCAGCCCCGTGGACCCAGCCATGCACGTCCCTGCTTTGGAATTACACCTAAATTCCATTGTCCGAAACCCCGAAACGTCGAACATTCCATCCACGTTGGTTAAGAAGTTGCGTATGCTCCATATTCCCTCAGTCATTCGAACCGTTCAATCCCTCAGCGACATCATATATCGGCTAGGTGAAGACAGCGAAGTCACGACACTACCCACTGGTCCCACGGCTGCAGCTCTCCTCATACTGGCTGCAGAAGCCGAGACGCGTTCTTCATTGCCCAATATCAAAGAATTGGCCCAATGTCTCGCGTCGACAGCAAGCTGGCAAGCTTCTGTTGTGATGGCAAGATATAAACTACTTTCAGATCTAATTCTGGGCTGCGTGGACAAAATACCTTGGCTCGATAAATATGAAACTGTGAAAGGACGGGCGAAGGTCGCTCGGCGAATAGTTGTTGCTCGCTCCATCAAAGACATGATCCAGTTCTACGAGGATATTTGGGTCCAGAAGCGCGAAGAACTGAGGAAGAATGTATCCTTTGATCATGGTGAAGCTATCTGCGACTTCGATAACGATGTCACAGAAATGTCTTCGTCGTCTTCCATTTACAGTGCCCAAGATGACGCGGGTAAAGCACCTCTAGGGCCGCCTCGCAAAAAGCGTAGGGTCGACAAATCGCTCGAAGATGCTCATCTCTTTATTCTAGATCCTCTTGCCCATCGGATTCCCTCCTCGTTGTCTTCAGTCCCAGTCCCTATCGATGATGACGATGATAATCCGCGTCAGGCAGCTCCGCCGGGCCTGACTTGTACTCCGCCGCCGCTCAATCCCAGTCCCCCATCCCTCATGACATACATGCTCACCGTGCCACCATCTACGGATGTCGTGCGGGCCCCGACACGCCTCCAGCTCCTCGCCACTACGCGCGGTGGAGAGTCCGCTGTCCATGATGACGAACTCATATCCGATAGCGAATGGGAGCAGATGCTGCGAACGGACGAAGAGATGACGCAGCTGCAGGCAATATGGGAGCAGATATCGCCATGCGACACTGACATAAGCAAGGGGGACAGAGTACCTTCGCGATCACGCACACCAGACGCGGCGGGTAAGCACAAGCACCAAGTCCGGGTTCCAGGGCGTATCAACATGGAGGCATATTCGCGGCTAATGCAAGGCCTCGGTGACAACGACGACGAGGAAGAATCGGACAGTGCCGAAGAAGGCACCTCGTACCTCAAGAAGGCCATCAATAGCTCCATCGTCGACGCTTTTATTCACGGAGACGAAGAGGTTATTGTCGATGAATGGCGCCCGCTTTCCCCAGGTACTGGTCTTCGTGCAGAAGATCACTATGACGAATATAACGACTGATATTCTAAACTAATTCTCTTGAGCCTGGCTCAATATCACATTGGTTTCGGACAATCTGCATTCTAGGACATTTTTATCTATACCCCCATCATACCTCGCTCCTATGAACAAAGTCGTTGCCTATAGACTTCCCATTTGTACTATAAACATGCTTGACCCATCTAGATTTTGCTTGTCGAATCTTTATACAAGTTACCTTGTGTTCATCATGCTTCAGCACTGGCGACTGCATCATCAACAAAGGCACCCCTCGCTCGTTGAATATGCAAATGCAGAAGTGGATCAAATAACGAGCATCATGATAACTACATAACATGCATTAGGCCTGATTAAAACTTCAGTGATACAACGACTGGTCTATATTACTTGCAGTGAAGATGTCCGTAATGCAAACATGTCGAGCTGAACTATTGGGGTGGATGTGGGACGAACGAGGGTGAGGTCATTAGCGGAGCATTATTGTTGCGCCATTTCTTGCCTCCGCCTGCGTTCCATTTCGGTAATGAGCGTAGGTGTATTGGAATCACGACCATCTCTAGGCTCTTCTTCCCAGATCTCCTCCAATGAGCCAGGATTGGGACGGGGGACGGTGCTCTCCAGGTGGTCAGGTGGGTAGTAGGCGGTATCTTCTGCTGTCTCTCTGTACCCGTACCGCGCGGGTCGCCCGGTGCCAGGAGGGGCAGAAGGGGTACGGAAGGCAAGCTCCGTAGAAACACTGTCATCACGGGAGTGTGAGTGCACAGGTAATATATCGTCCTCTTCACGTTTAATCCGGGGCGAATAAGGCCTATGAGATAACTCGGTGGATAGACCGGGGTAGTATTGGCGGTAAGCAAAGAAGGAAAGCACACTCCCCAGAATAGAACCAACTAGGACATCGTGCCAGTGATCTGCGGAGGTCGTCAGTGGAGTTTCGATGGACCGTGTGCTATAGCTTACGGCGATAGTCCATAGTCCGAGATATGGCAACTAGTGCTGCTCCAGAGAACGGCAGCAATGCAAGCCAAGCCTTACCCTAAAGGATTGAAACCATGGTCAGCGGAGCAGAAGCATGGAAGGTGACCAAGTATACCGCATGCCCCCTCTTGTCGAATAAATGCAGCTTCCCAGCAAGATAGAACGATAAGAACCCGAGACCCGCGAATGACACTAATCGGCATAAGTCATGGGCGACGATGAATAAATTTAGACGTACAGCTGGAGTGCCCGCTGGGAAAACTCCTGAACCCGTCGCGCAAGATGGCCTCGTCCGTCTGTGTGCATATATTGAAGGTTGACAAGCCGTATGTCGGGTCAACAGAGCCTGGTATAGGCTGGCAACGGGAAATGACGTCTGTGATAGCCTAAGTAAACGCCCAAAGAAAGCCGGAAACGCCACACACCTGGCCGAGGACGCCCAACGGTGACCTTGGTAAATTGCGTTACTGCGCCTGTGAGACTTAGGCCGAGAACCACTGCGAGGAGACCATCAGGGGATATTACAAAGGTGACAGTTGTCTACGCACAGCCCAACCACGCTGGGAGGCAGTCAGTACAACACATCACGATCTCGGGAGCAGACGTACAGTTGTGCAGATCCCACCATGAGCGCACCGTCAACAAGTTAATAATAGGCAATAGCACCACAGGCGCGACAAAACATATAAATATCAATGCGAGATTCTGGCGCCAACGTCAATAGTGTATCAATCACTGGGGAAATCAAAGGCTTACAGGTACACGTTCATGTTCTGCGTATCTGAGTCCACAGGTTGTTGAGTTCCCGCCGTTGAATTCAAAGTCAAAGCACTCACGGGTGTCGCAATCTATACGATAGAGTTCAGCAATGCGGTCATACGAGCTTAAATCCACGCCACCCACGATGTATCCTCAAGCGAGAACTCACGCTTGAAGCCGTCAATTTTGTCGAGCAAAAAGAACAATGCGCTGGTTGTGAGGTCAGCCAACGATGGTGAGCGTGCAGCAATCACATACGCCAGCACAATAGTAAGAATCCTGTTCTGTTCGTCAATCAAAGAGCCTTTTGAGGTCGTGTGCCAAACACTAACCAATCAGGAGCGTAAGAGAGCAAAAGCTTCCTGCGCCTTGCCGGGGTAATGGGGGGCCTCTTTGGCTCAGCATTGGGGGGTCTGGCGAAGAGCGTCCTCATCGGGATGAATTCGCGGATACGTTGGGAGAGGGGGGGGAGGTGGGGTTCGTCGAGTTGGTAGTAGGCCATGGATCCAACCCAAGCCTAGCGTGTGACAGTGCGTAACGCTTGTTACGTGTTATTTTAGTGCCGCAGCTCCAGTTGGTCTTGGCCCAAGACCATCATGAGCTCGGACAACGCCTGCAGCATCGCCTCAGACTTTGAGTGGGTTCCTGGTCAGTAATCCTCCTCCTCAAATCACTATCAACACTTTTATCACGCAGTGCGCCAGATTACGACGCGTTGCTGCAGCAAATTGCTTCCACCGACGTTGTTGAGTGAGTGAACTGTCATCCTGATTATTCGTCCGCGACAGTCATTATGAAGCGTGTAGCTTCGAATGGTCTAAGCTGCGCGACATAATTAAATACAAGATCGAAAAGGTACGCGTCTCCATGCCCTTAGGCGTCTGATAAAGTGCAATTTGATCCCAGAACATCGCCCTCTTCCTGACGGATGAGAGTACGAATCAATCGCCTCCCACACCCCGGCCATTTACACCGATATCACTGGCCTCGGGTGGTCTGAAGTTACCCCCATTTCCGCCACGTAAAACCAGCCCAAATGGAACCGCAGTGGCAGCCCCAGTGAACTACATGAACAATGCACAGATTGACGAAATGAAGGAGTACATTTTTGCGCAACTGCATACCTTTGATACGTATGTCACTCTTATTATCACGCCTGACTCGCGCACCTACGGATCCCTAGCAACCCACCGTTCACTGTGCAGCGTCTATGCGAACTTGTAGTGAATCCGCAACAGCACTACAACTGCATAGGTAAATACCTTCGCGCGGTTGAAAAATCGATGCTTGTCACGTCTACATGGGACGCCTTCCCGATTCCCCCAAGTAACGAGACGGAGCCTACTCTTCGCACGGTCTTATCGACTGGAACTTCATCCTTGAACGCACCTGCAACACCGTTATTCTCACCGATCCCGTTCTTACATGAGGACGCGAGAAGATCCAAGTCTCGAAGCCCCCCACCATCCCCGCTTGTTCTTCCGACAGCAGGACTTGTCACTGGTGGAACGTCAGAAACTCCGGAGACAAAGTCCCTTGGTCTTGTCGACGAACTCGACGATCCGAGCCCAGGACATATGAGTGATCATCCAACTGCTCTCAGCGCAGTCACTACTGTCGGCCCCAATTCTGGAGCCAGGCCATTATTCCCCGCCTTGGAAGATCGCTTCGTGAAATCGGAAAACGCAGAAGGTGAATCAAGTAAAGCGATGCAGTCCGACACTTAGATGGACTTCGATCATCGTGTTTCATTGTACGATAACGAAATTATGCGTAGTACTGCGACTATCTTCGTCAGCGTCATGCGAAGTCTTTCTTGATCTTCTCCAGCATCGCCCCCATGCGCAGACCCATGTTCGGCTGTCCATGTCGTGTGTGTGTAAAAGTCGGCTTCTGCTTCGTACGCCCAGTTGCCTGCCTATTCGATGGATGTGGGGCTGGGGCTTTGGGTGGCTTCTGCGCACTGCTGTGACTGGAACTGCCTTGCCGAGGATGAGTTTGCGGATGGGAGTGAGATGATTTATTTCGCTTCGGTAAAGACATGGAACCTGAAGGTTGTGAATCACGATGCGGTATTGCCTCAGCTATGAATGTCTGGGGATCTCGCTTCGACTGGTTGCTCGTGACCTGCGAGTCCGCGAGGTCGTCTTGTACTTCTGAGTCGTTTCCATCTTCTTCAACATCATCTTGCGCCGGTCGAGCAGCACCGAGCAAATTGGCTTTCCGTTTCTCTGCTTTCCATTGGCTCTTAATTTTGGCAGTCTCGACCCAAGTTTTCTTCAGAGCCCTTGCTGATCCATGATAGCAGAAATTAGAGCGCAACTCGTGTGTATGAGCGAACAGCTCGGCCGACCTCTTTTCTCCGGAAAGTGTTGGAACGTTGGCGGCCGTTTCTTCTTCGCCCCGCTCTGCACAGGCGCCATCCAGGTTCTAGTCGTTTAAAAGCGGTCACAGCAGTGTGCCAGTGCTCTGCAATTTTCTCGGAGGCAAGTTGAACCCATTTAGATCAAACAGCTACAAACATCCCTCGTATTACTCGGAGCACAGCTATCAGCCTTTCATCTTCCAGTCCGCATCCTTCCTCTCCCAGCACCAACCTCCACTCAGTTCTTCCTTCGTCTCTTTATTGTTCCGTGTATATCGTCGCATGAGCGTGCAGAATCTCACCGCTTTCGGTAGGCCCGCCCTTCGCCCGCCAGGCGAACCAGCTTACTCATGCATCGTGGGGTGCAGATCCGTTCGCAGACGAGGGTGATTTAGGAAACAATCAGGACGTAGGGTCCCAGCAGAACTACATCCACATCCGTATCCAACAACGCAATGGAAGAAAGACCTTGACCACGCTGCAGGGGTTGCCCACAGGTGAGATTATCGCCGATCATTATCCAGGGCGGCAGCTCTAACTCTTGCGCAGAATATGATGCGAAGAAGTTACTCAAGGCCTTCAAGAAGGTACATGACCATTGCAGTTGCTCGATGATGTGTCTCAGTTTGGGCGTTTACTGATTCTTGTCCTGTAGGAATTCGCCTGCAACGGCACACTTGTCGAGGATGAGGAGATGGGTCAAGTCATCCAGCTTCAAGGCGATCAGCGACTCAAGATCTCCAATTTCCTCACCGAGAACGGTATAGACAAGAAGACCATCAAGCTGCACGGTTTCTAAGTTGGATCGCCTATTGTAGAAGTTGAGCGCTACCGTGATTGCTACTGTCGTTTACAATTACAATATTGTCCAGCATGGACGCTGTGTATATTGTAGCTAGTTCCCATATTATTTCATTCATTGCAACACTCAAGGAAAGGTACATCGTGCCTCGAAATAAGAAGTCAGTGGGACTGAAGACTGGGAGCTGGAGAAGGAAATGAACACAGCCTGATATTTCCCTAGAAGATAAGATTGGCGTAATACAACGACTTGATCGCAAGCTTGTTACTTGATCTTGTCAAGTGGCCTACGAAAGTGCTGAGTAGGAGCGACATAATTGACGAAGCCAATACTAACCTGTTGAAACCTCCGCGTCTACAGCCAAAGTCAGCCTCCGACATGTGCGAACAGTGAGTTTGAGACATACCTGTTCATATATTGTCGCCATGTCCTAATCTTCTTGATGTCTGCGCCGCCTTCTTGGTTGCCCTCGACTTGCTTACCCTAGGAGATGCTATCGTTAATTCGGGGTGGCTCACAAAGAGACTGACAGCATGCCTTAGTGGTGCCAAATCCACTCATACCCATCATTGCCATCATAGCAGAGTCGTCCTGTTCAACTTCCTCAGTTTCCCCCTCCTCCGCCACATCCATATGATCTGGGGTGGTTCGTTAGGGCCAAGCATGATGTTGAAGGCCGTAGGCTTACCTTTTGGGTCCCGAGTGTCATTCTGAGCGGGCGGTGGTGTTGCCTTCGGGGGTTGGTCCTGAACAGTATCCTCGACTCGTGAGGGCTTCTCGTGGTCTCTCCGTGATGGTTCTCGACGGTCCCGACGGTCGACATCTCTTTCACGGTCTCGTCTATCGTCCCGTCTGTGGTGATCGTCTCTGCTGTATCGTGATTTATCTACACGGTCATAGTCTTTGTCTGGACCATGTTCGCGTCTATCTGAAAGCCATCATGTATATCAATCATTCTCAGCTAGACTAGAATCAAAGGTAGACACATACCGGAGTCGTGCCTTCTATCCCGTTCGCCTCTGCGCGGACTTCGTGAGCGGCTGCTTCGTCTGCGAGGTTCATCTCGATAATTACCCCCTCTTCCACCTCGTCCGCCGCGTTCACTCCTGTGCGAACGCTCTCGGTCCCCCTTCTCCCAGCTGCGGTCGCGTCTGCGGTAGTCACCTCTTGATGACATCGTGGTGGAAGACAACGTACAAGTAAGTGTGACTACCGTGACTGCGTCACAAGGCGCGTTTATTTCCGTGCCATCTCGACGCCTACCTCAGTATGGCTGCTCAAGTTCGCCGGTTCGCTGCTGGCCTTGGTGAGGCCTCTAGGGCGTACAAAGAAAGTGAGTGGCTCCGTGTTTGCCCCCTCATGTCTAACACTCGGTTCCAGCTTGGGACAGATGCGTACACATTGAACTTCAAAAAGTACCATCGACGACCACACCGAAAGACATCCGCAGGGCCCTTGGCCATGCTCGGCTACAGGGTGTCTCAGATGGTGAGTACCGCTAGAATGCTACGAAACCTCCAGCTCACCTTTTGCCGTTAGTTGCAATAATATACCGCGGTTTCCGTCCCACCAATCGCGCCCTCCTCACCCTCGTTCACAACAGTTACCTCCGCCAGAACTTGAAAGCCCTCGAGAAGCTGACATTGGTTGGCCTACCAATCGATTCCGAGCCTGTACTTTTGTCGTCATCAGAAGCACAAGAGTCACAGGCGAGGCAGCGAGGCAGCAAAGGGCGAACGGACGCGGCTGAACGGGGAGCTGTCACTGGAGACGGCCCAAATGGTGGTGTTCCAAATAACGGAAAGAATGTGGTTGTCTGGGGCCTTCCTCTAAGAATCCACAGCGACATTTTCCGGGAGCTTCTAACAGGTTTCAAACTTGCTGAATTGGATCAAGGTCCAGACATAATGAGGGTTCACTCGTAAGTTCTCAGTACTTTCAGTGTCTACTACATGGTAATAATGATAACAAAGGGAGGAAGACTCGAAAGTTTCAAAATGGCTAATACATATGAAGTCCGAATCAGAAGCCCACCGGCTGGTACGACGACTAAATCTACGGCACTTTCAACCCGAGCGCCATGGGTCTGATTTTATGATGCGAGCGAATATCATATATTGAAGAATGTCGAGGCTCCCTCTCAAACGGTCGGAACACGGTTGAAACGTCAACTGGCAGTGAATAGAGATTCGTCTACATCCGCTCGGCTTCAATATCCTCGTCGATACGCGCGCGCTGGCCCTTGGAAAACTTCAGCATAGATAGAATATATAATGTTAATATTACTCACCATTCGACCTTCTCCGTCATCGTCTGGAGACCTCGCTCGTTTCTTGCTGTCGGTAACACCGCTGCCGCTGTTGTCCTTCCAGTCATCTCCACCACCAGCCACCGCACCAACCCCATCCTGGGCGTCCGCGTATCTCTCTTCCACTTCTCTTCGTCTCTCCATTTCCAGTCGTTGAGCTTGGGCGCCCCAGCCGCCGCGGCCTGGGTCGTAATCTTGTCTGTGTTCGTCGCGAACCTAGGTTTGAGTTATTATCAATAGACGTGCTTGCATGGACAGAAACAACATTACCTGACCACCACTTTTACCGCGTCCAAATTGTCGGCCCTCCTTATAACCCAAATCCAAGTCGCAACGAATTATCCGCTCGTCCAGTTTCGTTCCGCTGACGTATCGCATACTGGCCAGGGCCTCTGCATGGGTGTAGTACTCAACAAAGCAAAACCCGCAGGGTGTCCTAATAGAGTTTATTAGACATATGTGTACATGACTGACGACGATATACCAACCTCGTATTCCGGTCAAGCCCCATAATTATCCGCTTGATTCCCCCTCCATCCTCCGAGCTAGCACATTTCGAGAATATCTCGTAAATCTGTTCTTCTGTTGTGTAGAAACTCAAGTTACCAATCTATACAAGGAGTGAGATTGAGTGCCAGTGAGAATGGCAAGGACAAGCCGAAAGCGGAGAGCGCACATATAGGGTGGTCGATTTTGCGAGAAGGTCAGTATGCTTTTGCCGGTCCACCTTTGACTGCGAGTCCTTGTAGTTCGACGGCTGGTCCAACGGTGTTACGATATGGGCCATGGTGAGTATTACGAGACCGTAATGGAATGGAGGCTCGTTAGTATGAAGTGCTCTGAAACTTTGGGACAGGGTCCAACAAGGAGCTAGGAACAGCGATCTCATTGGTTCGGCCAGGATTTCTCAGCCCGCTATTGGCTGTCTGGATGTTTGACTTTATTTGCTCCAAAAAAAGCTCTTTCTCTTCTGATTGGCTGGGGTGAGCGCCAGACTTCGCTGCAAGTAAGTGGTCATGTGAGCCCCCTTGATACCCCCTGATAGGGCACCCAAAACTAACCAGGGGCCGAATGAGGCCAACCGTAGGTTGGGCGATGAGGCCCAACCTGCAAAGCAGCACTTAAAACAGCTTGAGAGAGTGTAATTAGTGTGGGGAATGGCCTACAATAGTTGCCAACATCCCTTATGCAGTGCAAGATGCAACAAAACAAGGTATGAAGCACCAAAGTTCAGATAGTTGCAATTGGGGATTCTGAACATGACCCAGATATATGTGTCCCAAGTGTTGAGTATGCACCAGTCTTCAACGGTCTCGTACATGCCGTGCTCCTAGCATCGGCCCTCAAGCCCAAGTATAGTTGAAGGACCTTCCGACGAAGTGAGCGTGAGGACTATTTGGGACTCTATTCTTCCCACGACCTGACATTACGCGTCTTGCAACTTGCAGCACTTCACCGACTCAGCTTTCACCGCAACGACCAACCACAATGGATGAAATAGGTATCGAACTGAGCAAGGAGGTGAGTGCGCGCGACTACTCGTCTTGTTGTCGTGCTTGACGGTGTGCACGCTAGGAACCGACCTTCGAATCCGTCGTGACGGAGAAGACGGCCTTATACCAGGAGTTGCAGGAGGAGGATTTGTACATCAAGTACAAAAAGCTGACCCGCCACCTCGAGATGCTGGAGATTCAGGAGAGCTACATCAAGGATGAGCAGATGAACTTAAAGCGCGAACTCATTCGGGCGCAAGAAGAGGTCAAACGGATTCAGTCCGTCCCACTCGTTATTGGACAATTCCTGGAGCCGATAGACCAGCATACGGCCATCGTTGGCTCGACGACGGGCTCAAACTATGTCGTCCGCATTCTATCCACCCTCGACCGCGAACTTCTCAAACCCTCATCCTCTGTTGCTCTACACCGTCATTCAAACGCGCTTGTTGATATTCTTCCGCCAGAAGCTGACTCGTCTATATCGATGCTTGGGAAGGAGGAGAAGCCCGATGTAGCATACCAAGACGTCGGAGGCATGGATTCACAAAAACAAGAAATCCGTGAGGCCGTCGAGTTGCCACTGACGCATTTCGACCTCTACAAGAAGATTGGTATCGACCCTCCTCGTGGCGTATTGCTTTATGGCCCTCCTGGTAAGTTACCTGGTCGGATGAAACGTTCGAAGTACTGATAGATGATTCTCTAGGCACGGGTAAGACTATGTTGGTCAAGGCCGTAGCACATCACACCACGGCTTCTTTCATCCGTGTGGTGGGCAGTGAGTTCGTGCAGAAGTACCTTGGTGAAGGTCCTCGAATGGTCCGAGACGTCTTCCGTCTCGCTAGAGAAAACGCACCGTCTATCATTTTCATTGATGAAATTGACGCTATCGCTACCAAACGTTTCGATGCCCAGACCGGTGCCGATCGAGAGGTTCAACGTATCCTGCTGGAGTTGCTGAACCAAATGGATGGATTCGACCAAGGCAGTAACGTCAAGGTCATCATGGCTACGAATCGAGCAGATACATTAGATCCTGCCCTGCTTCGGCCTGGACGACTGGACCGAAAGATTGAATTCCCCCTCCCGTCACGGCGAGAAAGGCGTCTCATTTTCCAAACCGTCACTGGCAAGATGAACCTTGGCCCTGACGTTGACTTGGAAGATTGTAAGGCCGTTTGCTTCAAACTTTCAATTGTCACTCATACAATCTCTTTCTCTTTCAGACGTTTCGCGGCCAGATCGCCTATCGTCAGCAGAAATTGCATCTATCGTACAAGCTGCTGGCCTTCAAGGTACTTTCTACGATTGTTTAATCTCTTGTATTTATTGAGAGCCCTTTGCAGCTGTACGCAAGAACCGATACGTCATACTACCTGTTGACTTCGAAGAGGCGTGGAAAGTACGTTATTTGGCTCTGCTTTTGCGAAGTTTTCAAACTCAATTTTCCCTTAGCAAACGGTCAAAAGGTCAGACGAGACATTGGATTTCTGTGAGTGCTTCCCCCACCATCTACGCTCCATCTGTACTGAATCGCTGGCCTATTTCTCCTCAAGATCGGTGATAAATTGGTTGTTAGGTACGTGAAGCCGCCGCCTCTTTCGATGCGTTTGCACTGACACGACACCCAGTTTTTCGTGTATTCTATTCCACTGCTATACCTTTTCCCTTCGTCCCCGCGTGAACCGAAAGTACCTTTGGAAAGCTCTGTCTTCACTTTGGCGCCTGTTCGATAACACACGGACTTGCGCCCATTAATCTGAGCGAGATAATATCCCCCTTCGCGACGTGGTTCGCGGGCCATCGAACATCGATTCATCGCCAGCCCCCTCCGAAGTCAAGGGACATACATTCGTAGGTAAATAGCCCAAGCTACGTTCCGTAAGTTAGGATGGTGAGTACTACTTCCCAAGGCGGCCCCGTCATCACTGACATTCCTCAGTATTCGACAGAATCAATATACGTTTTGTGTTATTTGCTTCAGTGCCATCGATTCCAACGAAATGCTCTTCAACACTCTGGACAGCGTTGTATACCCACACGACTGTTCTCATTTTATGAGAGCGAGATGAATGATTCCGAGGGTACATATGTACTTTCGACCTGTCCTCATCAACGCTCGCTTCCAAAAGTTTGAGCGTTGCTGGGACGCAGGCACATACATGTTTTTGATACATTGATAATATGATATTTGCATGCCTACTTCTTGCCTGGTTGTCCAAGCTCGCTTGCTCGTTCTGTAGCAATCTGAATGCCTCGTGCGATGGTGGAACGTACTCGTCCGTCTTCTAAAGCAAGTAGACCCGCAATCGTGCACCCTCCCGGGGCTAGAGAGGGAAGTGTCAATCCGAGTTCGTTGATTCGTGATTCTATACTGACTAGTAACTGCATCCTTTATTTGTGCAGGATGCGCTCCCACTTGCAATACCATCCGAGCTGCACCTTGGAGTGCTATTTTGCCGTCAGAAGACATCTCGAACGAAAGGCAACAGATAGGACGCACTCTGCGCAGCTAATTCCAAAGCTTCCGCTCTAGGCAAGCCCATCATCACCCCGCCGTCAGCCATTGCCTCGAGGAATATACAGGCGAAAGCGGGACCAGAACCAGATAGCGCGGTGCACGCATCGAAGTGTTTCTCCTCTAAGAATCTACATCTTCCGATCGAGGAGAAGATCTTCAATATTCTCGCGGTGTCCCTCTCTGCTTCCGCTGATTCTGGGATTGGTGAGACGACGGTCATTCCTTCTCGTATCTAACACCTGGGGATCAGCAACACAATGATACAGCAACAGGATTAGGTGTTACCTTGCAAGGGGTGTTGGGCATTGCTCGTATGACTGTCGTAGATGGGAGAATCCATTCGTTGAGTTGGGAAAGGGTGACACCAGCGAGGATACTGATCAGGAGCTTGCTGTCCAAGGCCTGCCTCATTCCTGGCTCTTCCAGGATCGTATGGGCGAGCTGAGGCTTGCAACTACCCACCTCCTTTGAATAGGGGGACGCGATATTGTAGGCAAGATACATACCATAGAAGAATAACATCAGCCTGCTGGACCGCCCACAGATTATTCGACACCACGATCTCGACCTGTCTTCCGAGATTGGCGAATGTCGCGGTCAGCTTCTTCCCACTTTGCTCCTTGCTGACACAGGCGATGAATCTGGTCGGCACTGTGACATCTGGGGTGTTCACGGGGGTCAAAGTGCCAGGAGTATGCGATTCCCACTTCGGAAAGTCGCTTTTGTTGCGATGTGGTTCCAAACTGGCCACGACGCCAGACAATATCGCGATGCCCATCGTTCCACATCCTAATCAACGCCGCAACGCGACTATCAGACCCTCGCGTCGTCGATATGAGGAATCGCCACACACCTAGCACGCAGAGAGTATAGCCCATTGCCACGTAAAAGTTCGAAAGCAGGTGTCGTTAGATCAATAATCCAGAGATTTTCCATTTTGTGCACAAATTAGCCATGCTTGTGTTTGTCACAGTCGGCTCAACCAAGTTCGACGCGCTCATCCAGGCTGTTCTTTCGGCCGATGTGCTGCAGTGTCTACAGGCGAAGGGCTACACGAGTCTGGTAGTCCAGTGCGGAAACTCGCGGACTGATGAACCTGTGCCAAATGAGGGAAAGACGAAAATGAGGAGAGAAGGGGTGGACATCGAGTTGTGGAAATTCAAGCCATCGCTCGAGGAGGAGTACGAGAATGCAGACCTCATCGTTAGCCATGCTGGTACTGCACTTTCAACGTAGATAATGCACAAGCTGACAATTCCTTAGGCTCGGGCACTATCCTAGATGTGCTAAGGAGGGACAAACCATTGATCGTGGTACCGAACCCAACACTGCTGGATAACCACCAGCAAGAATTAGCTCGAGCTCTGAGCGAGCAGTCATATTTGCTACGGTCGAGCGTCGACCCAAGGTCAGTTAACAGCGGCCCTTTGGTTCGCCTCCTGATGCTGGATCCACGCAGTGAATTATCTCAAGTGATCAGGGATTTGGTTCCATCAGAGTTGCGCAAGTTCCCTGCGATGGATGGAAGTCGATTCAGGCAGATCCTTGACGAAGAGATGGGTTTCCTGTAGAATTCCTGTGATATCTGACTATCATCCTCTCTTCATCCGTGACCACCATGCCCCCAAAGGTCGAAGCGACTGTCGTAGACCAAGACGCACAGAAATACGAGCAGTTGCACGTCCATGAAGTGTATGAGCAAATTGCGGGTCATTTCTCTTCAACGAGGTATAAGGTACCCCGAGACTCGTATTCTTTGGCATGGAGATCTTCACAATCGATATATCTTTCAGCCGTGGCCGATAATCGCTTGTTTCTTAGCTAGTTTGCCAACGGGATGGGTTGGATTGGATTCCGGGACAGGCAACGGAAAGTATCTACCGTTGCCCGCGGACAGACCTGGGTGTCTAATGACGATTGGAATGGATCGCAGTCAAAACCTACTGAATGCAGCCAGGACCGCAGGTGGTACAGATGTGATCAGAGAGGTTGTTAGAGGCGATGTGCTTGATAACCCTTGGAGGAGAGGTATATTCGTAAGAAACAAATTCCCGTCTATAGAAGGATCGTTCAAATGCTGTCTTAGGATTACTGTATCTCAATTGCAACTATCCATCACTTGGCAACCCACGAGCGTCGAAAGCTGGCCGTGCAGGTAGGAGGACTTGCGTCGTCGGATGATCTGTTAACTGATCACCTTTGGCGACGTACAGAGGACGTTGCAGGCGGTTTCACCGAACCACGGTCGAGTTTTGATCTACGTATGGGCCATTGATCAAGATGAACTGTCGAAACGGCAAATACCCAAGGACAACGAAACGCGGGCGGGCCAGGATGTCTTCGTGCCCTGGGTACTATCGACTCAGAAAAAGTCAGAAGCAGACAGTGTACAAACTCAAAGTCAAGTCTACAACCGATATTACCATATGTTTGCAGAAGGAGAACTCTCCGCTTTGGTGCACGAAGCAGCAACGGAATTGGGGATGCTGGTAGATCGAGAATCGTCAAATGGGGACCCTGGAACGAGGGGTGTTGAAGTCGTGCAGGACGGATGGGAGCGATCCAATTATTATGTGGAACTGAGACTTTGGGAGAACGGTCAAATATAGCAAAATGCAACAATGATGTGTATTTTCAATCCAAAGATAGCAACAAAAGAAGGTCAAGAAAGATCACTCGCTAGCAGCCATGACTGCAAAAGTAGGCTGTCAGAACTTTGAAACTAAAAAGAATGAAGAAGCACGTACTAGCATTAATGAGATCTCCTCCTGAATCCTTGAGTGCGCGGACAGCCTTCGCACGCGAGCAGTTGACTTGCTGCATGACAAGGTCGATGTCCTTTTGGTCAATACCCGTCTCATCTACGGGACCATCGTCTTCAGGAGCCTCGAGCTCTGGGATGTCGTCGTCGTCGTCGGCCCCACCAGCGGCAGAACGCTCGAGTTCAGGAACACCTCCACCAGAAGGCATTTGCTGAGCAGCCCCGAGCCCGGCTTGGGAGTTCATGTCTTCCATCTATGTTTGTGACAAATGAATATGGTTCAAGAGTAAGATGGCAACCTAGCGTACCTTGGCCTCGCCGAAGACGATGTAGCAGTCGCTGTTTGGAGACTTGTATACATCCGGGGAAGCGAGGACGAAGAGGACCTATTGGAAGCATTGAGTTGATTCTCTCCAGCCTGATAGTATGTGCCCTACATTCTTCGGTCTTCGCAGCGTCACTCGGGTGATGTTGGGAACCCTCTTCAAGCCAAGGCTGAGCAGAGCCTTACGGGCCTTGCGCTCGGAACGAGACTGGATTTTGTCGAGAGCGGCAGCGGAAGTGGGGTCCTCCTCCTGGTCGTGCTCATGGTCGTCGTGATCATGGTCGTGATCGGAGTGGTCGGATGCTACTTCTTCAATGTGTGACATCTGCGAGAAAGGGCAGTCAGCCAACGTGTCCACGATGCATCCATCGAAGGCGCGAGCGACAGAGTCTTCGCAGAAAGGGATTGCGGTCGGACATGGGTTCTAGAGGGCTCACCTGTAACGCGACTTATCCAAGGGTCCTTTTGCTCGCTGTTGGACACGACGACGACGGATAGCGCGTTGTTTACTTTGGCTTGGTTAACCCCTTCAATCCAAACAAGCGTTGCCCCTTTCCCCTATCGTTCCGAGGCAACGGTCACTCTGTTGATGAGAGCAAGCCTCAAAGGGTGATTGACGATCTTCAATGATTGGTTCTATTTCAGGACGAAGTAGTTTCTTCTCCAAGTCGAGAAACATAACCTACATTGCTTTGAATTTACCTCTTAGGATCGTGTGTTAGGAACTTGGAAGTAAGGACGGCCATGTGGTGGCTGTGCTGCGTTCTAGGGGTAGGTGAAGCGTGATTCTTGCCCTTTGCCATTGTGGCTCCTTGTGGCTGCCAGAGGCCTTGTGTCCTTGACTCTGTCCATGCCGCAGTCCCTACTCCTGCGACAACTGCGCGCGGTTCTGGATAAGAATGAGAGCGTTTCCCTGACTCAATTACTGACGACTGTAGACGATCTCGTGCTCGCAACTTCTGCGGATTCTGAAAACACGAATGACTCTGATCTCGACGATGAACTCCAAACTATCCACGACGAATGCGCGGACCACTCTCCTTATCACCTAGAGGTCTTCCTGGCGGTGCTCTTCCATCTATGTCCTATCACCCCACCAATCTCGATCATATCGTCTTGGTTTGACCTCGTATTACGACCTGCTCTACGCGAACCGAAGCTACCTAAAGTAGCCGTCAAGCATGCAAAGGAACTAATAATACATGCACTACAACAACCAGATCCCGATACCTCTAGTGACGATGGATCACGAGCGGGAAAGAAGGCGATGCCTAGCGAGTTGCGGAGGAGGCTGATGGACCTGTATCTACTCGACGCGTTTAATGAAGGTTCGGGGGGTGATATACTCGAATGGGCTGAGTTGGATCAAGAGCAAAAGGAGTCACGCGCGTGTTGGAAAGCCAACTTGGAAGATATCCTACTGAAATACGGAGCAGAGCACCCACAGGCGAGTGACTTCCTGCTGTACTCTGTTCAGATCGACGAACTTTAGGCAGGACCTCATGACTGAAGTGTACATGCACTTCTCGGCACCCTCCGCACGACTACAATTACTTATGTTCCTCAATCTTTATACCTCTGAGCCACCATTTCAGCAATCTGCAAGTATCCTTGCTCCTCATCCCCTCATGACCAGTTTATTATCCTGTCTATTATTGGATAAATCCTCGACGGTCTGCAATATTGCCCTCACGCTGATCGTCAAAATCCTCCCCATTTTCGCGGTACATGCAAACGACGAACTGGAGAACATGCTACCGAGCCTCTTCGCCATCCTTGCCAGAATGATGTGTTGGAAGGAAAGGCCACCATCCACGCACCTCGATGATCCCGACGACGATTATAGTGCGGACGCGGAAGTACTAGAGCCCAGCATGGAGGATTCTCTGCAGCTTCGAGCTGACCACGCATGGCAGCGGCTGGAGCTATCTTTTGAATCCACTTCATCATCCCCTCCTTCCCCTCGACAATTCTTCACCATGCTGTATTACCTTTTCCCATGTAATGTCCTTCTATTCCTTAGGAAGCCTGTGGGGCATCTTACCGCAAACAACCTCGTCTGTCCGTACACCGCCAACTGGGAAGACGTTCTAGACGAGAACAAGATCAGAAGTAAAAGCGAGGTGATTGTCTTAGTCAACAAGCTATTGATTGAGCTGCATTCTCAAGGGAGTTCTAGAGTCTCCTTCGCAGTCATGCGTGCCATCCGTCTATCGTGTGGCAGGATGCTGCAGCGGAAATGGCTGAGCCTAACTTCTGGTCCCAACATGACGTTGCGGGCATCGTCAGCGAGGCGAGCTTGCTTGATTTACGGAATGCCACGGTTAGCCTGCGTGCTCGTGTAGACGCCACTGCATCAGAAACGGTCTCGACAACCCACGGCTCTGAAGCCTCGGAAGAGGGTATATCCGATGATTTCCATATAACGAGGGAATCCGAGAGGCAGACGGTGATATCATTGGAAGACATGATTTCCACCTCCGTCGCTCTCAGATACGATGCAAATGTCGAAATACTGGCGCCGACCTCGGCATGGACGAGACGACTATTCCATCGCACCGATACGCCCCGCGATGTTCGCAGCTCACCCCCACAGCAGTCACTACCCGAGGACCAATCCTCCCATGTTCCTGAGGCCATCTCTGCGTTGCAGAGGGAAGTGCTACTACTACGAAACGAACTCAACCTCGAGCAGTGGCTGTCTCGGGAAAATGCCAAACATATTGGTAGGTTGTATCATGATCGTGTGCTATCAAAGAACGCCGAGGCAGAGCGGCAGGGCCTGGTGAGTGAATGTATATATCTGTGACAATGGTATATTCACTCCCGCATTTCAGTTCAACAAACTCAGAAAATACAGGGCTCAGGTAGTCCGTCTAGAGGCCGAACTCAAGGAGCATAAGGCACAGGCGTCTTCAGCCAAGAACAAATACGCTGATTGGAATACCGAACTCCAGAGCAAGCTGCGCGAACTTAGGGAAGAGAAGAAGTCGTGGATAACTGAGGCCGCAGCTTTACGGACTGCGGAGAATCAAGCAAAGGTGCCTTTCCTCGTTACTCCCAAATTTAGAACTCGAACCTTACCGCGACCAGACATTATTCCAAGCGCAGGAGAGCTTACTCAGTGATGCTAAAGACCAAGTTTTCAAGCTCAAAACACAAATAACGGAGAACCAACATAAAATCGACCGTCTCCGGGATTACGAAAAGCAGATCGAGCAGCACATTAGGATGCAGAGACTGTGGTATGTTCTATGAATCATCGGTAGACTCTTTAATTACGCAACCTTTACCTTTAGGGAGGAAGATTTCCAGAAATTTAACGACCGTGGCGAACAAATTGAACTCATGAGAAACGGGTGGAAGCAGATGGAATTGCGTTTAGAAAGCTACCAACAGGCGGCGATACAGTCTGAAGGAACCATCAGGTGCGATGCCGCCAAACAAACTTCTGGCTTGGGCTGTATTGATGTATCGCAATTTCCAGAATACAGCAGGCAGAAATCGATGAGTTACGTGCACAGTTGGATCAGCCGCAGCCGCCTACATCACGGTTCAATTTGGGCGAAGAGCAGTTAAAGCAGTTCACTGAAGAGAAGCAGCGGTTGATCTCGACGAATACGAGGTTGAGAGATGATAACTCTGAGATGAGGGAAGAGATAGAGGAGCTGCGGGCGATGGTGGAGTTGCTCAAGGGTCAGGTCTCTGGTAAGAGAGGACTTATTTCTGAACCCAGAGCCAGCCCAGTGCTGTACGTGTAATAGGTAGTCGGGATATAACTTACTTCAAGTTGGTTAGGCGCCCTAATCGATATTCTCACCGTCCAAATTGAGGAATTATTGAGCTGATCGTTCTAGCACTTTCCACAGGATGATCACCGAAACTTCCAGAACGATACTGCTAGAATTTATAAAGGCGCGCAAGGGCGATGGTATCTTCACCGTTTCTTTCATCTTTGTTACTTCCATTACCTCCACCTCCTCCCCATCGCAAACCCCACCAAGTGAGTGCCATACCCTAATCTGCCACTGATCTCGCCTTCTTATCAGTGTCTTTGCAGCAACATGTCGACAGAAAGCTTCGGATTCCAAGCTGAGATCAGCCAGCTTTTGGACTTGATCATCAGTACGCGTCCTTCCACTGCATCTTGCGTTAACGGTGCTGACGCGTTTGTAAAGACACTTTCTACTCCAACAAGGAGATCTTCCTTCGCGAGCTGATCTCTAACTGCTCTGATGCTCTCGACAAAATCCGTTACGCGTCGCTGACGGACCCGTCTGTCCTCGAGACTGGCCGGGATCTATACATCCGCATCGTCCCCGACAAGGAGAACAAAGTACTCTCCATCCGTGACACCGGTATCGGTATGACCAAGGCCGACTTGGTTAACAACCTGGGCACGATCGCCAAGTCTGGCACAAAAGTGGGTTTTACGGTTTTATTTTAATCTTCTGCTGAGCTCCGGATGTTAACATCTCTGATCGCTTAGGGCTTCATGGAGGCTCTCAACTCCGGTGCCGATATTTCTATGATCGGTCAATTCGGTGTCGGTTTCTACTCTGCGTACCTCGTCGCCGAGCGAGTGCAGGTCATCACAAAACACAACGACGACGAACAGTACATCTGGGAGTCTGCCGCCGGTGGCACCTTCACCATCACCCTCGACACCGTCAACCCACCTCTCGGACGTGGTACCGAGATGCGTCTCTTCCTCAAGGAAGATCAGGTCGAATACCTCGAGGAGAAGAAGATCAAGGACATCGTCAAGAAGCACTCCGAATTCATCTCCTACCCCATCCAGCTCGCAGTGACCAAGGAGGTCGAGAAGGTTAGTGTTGATCTTTTTGGGCGGGAGCACGTGCCTAATATTTACTTAATATTATAGGAGGTTGAAGACGACGAGGAAGTCGCGGAAGAGGAGGACGCTGAGAAGCCCAAGATCGAAGAAGTCGAAGACGATGACGACAAGCCAAAGGAGAAGAAGACGAAGAAGATCAAGCAGCAGGAGACCACCAACGAAGAGTTGAACAAGACGAAGCCCATTTGGACGCGTAACCCCCAGGACATCACGAACGAGGAATACGCCGCCTTCTACAAGAGTCTTACCAACGACTGGGAGGACCACCTTGGCGTCAAGCACTTCTCGGTTGAGGGTCAGCTTGAGTTCAAGGCTATCCTCTTCATCCCTAAGCGGTATGTTATTTTCGATTTTGCGTTATGTGCAAGGTCATTGACAGCGTCACAGTGCACCTTTCGATCTCTTCGAGTCAAAGAAGAAGCGCAACAACATCAAGCTCTATGTCCGCCGTGTCTTCATCATGGACGACTGCGAGGAACTCATTCCCGAGTACCTCAACTTCGTCAAGGGTATCGTCGACTCTGAAGATCTCCCTCTCAACATCTCCCGTGAGACCCTCCAACAAAACAAGATTCTCAAAGTCATCCGCAAGAACATCGTCAAGAAGTGCCTCGACCTGATCTCCGAGATCGCTGAGGACAAGGACAACTTCAAGAAGTTCTACGAGTCCTTTGGCAAGAACTTGAAGCTCGGTATCCACGAAGACGCCCAGAACCGAAGCAAGCTCGCTGAATTCCTCCGATTCTACTCCACGAAGTCCTCCGATGAGCAGATCTCCTTGAAAGGTACGTATCTCATGCACTAAGACTGTCTAGACCATCGTTAATGAATGCTCCGGATTAGACTACATCACACGCATGCCCGAGGTACAGAAGACGATCTACTATCTCACCGGTGAATCGCTCGCCGCTGTCCGTGACTCGCCCTTCCTCGAGGTCCTCAAGCAGAAGGGCTTCGAAGTCCTGCTCCTTGTCGATCCCATTGACGAATACGCCATCACACAGCTCAAGGAGTTCGAGGGCAAGAAGCTCGTCTGTGTCTCGAAGGAAGGGCTCGAGCTCGAGGAGACTGATGAGGAGAAGGCGGCCCGTGACGCCGAAACCGCTGCTTTCAGCGACCTCTGTGCTGCTGTCAAGGAAGCTCTCGGCGACAAGGTAGAGAAGGTCGTCGTTTCCAACCGTATCACCGACTCCCCTTGTGTCCTCGTTACTGGCCAATTCGGTTGGTCGTCGAACATGGTAAGTATCTCCATTTCACGAAGGTTAATCGTCCATTCTCATCATCAACATTCAGGAACGTATCATGAAAGCGCAAGCCCTCCGTGACTCGTCAATGTCCTCGTACATGGCTTCGAAGAAGACGCTTGAACTTAACCCCAAGAACCCCATCATCAAGGAATTGAAGCGCAAGGTTGCTGAGGACAAGGCCGACAAGTCTGTCCGCGACTTGACCTACCTGCTCTTCGAAACCTCTCTCCTCACTTCTGGCTTCTCGCTCGAGGACCCAACATCGTTCGCCAAGCGCATCAACCGTATGATTTCGTGAGTGTTTTGCATTTGTAATGGAGTATTTTTATACTGAACATGCGTTTCAGGTTGGGTCTTGATGTCGACGAGGAGGAGTCAGAACCAGCGCCTGCTGCTGAGGCTCCTGCTGCCTCAGAAGCTGCCGCAACGTCTGCCATGGAGGAGATCGACTAAGGGATATAGAGGCGCCGCATTTTTCTTTGCTTACATCTGGTTTTCGACACTCACGCACATACACATCCATTCAATCTGCATTCTGAATATTGTATAATCACGATACAAAAATAACATATCTTTCCTGACTCGATTTGAATTTCGTGTGATTTGAGTATGAGAGCTGTCTATCAAGCTCGTGTGAAAGCGTGTGACCATATATGAAGGGGTTGGGCGTGGAAGCAGCGTGCATCAGCCCTGTCCTTAACCGCGACCTTCCCCTCATTGTTCTCCCTTCCCCTAATCGACCGTACAATGGCCGTCCTTCCTTAGTCCCCCATTCATATAGTCTGTCACATATCATATACAATCATCTAGTATCGCCTCTGCAATCTCCGCTACCACCACAATGCCCACCGTTGTTGCCCCCCAGCCTACGCGTCCAATGGCCCTCCTATCACTTGTGAGTCGCTTTGGCCCCCCATTGTGCTCAGCCGGTCTAATACCACGTTTCGTAGTCGACACCACCACCCCCTATGCTGGGCTCCCCCATCGAGCTCACGCGTCGCGACACAGAATCCCATCGCGCTACTTGGGTAGGTGTTTGAGGTATTATTCCCCTAGACGCCGCTTAACAACGCGTAGGCCCCCAAACAGCGACCAGCTCGAAGGGCGCCTCGTCGACAGCTCTTCTCGTCGTACAGCCGATCGCACTGTTGCTGCGTCGAATGCCCCATCATTCCGTCGTCGCGTCCACCACTGCATTTCAGCGCGACTGATGCCCTCGATCTGCCGTTCCAGCCGATCACTCAGGAAGTAGACCTTCCTTCCGCCGGCCCCGGCCCCATCCGCCGACGCAAAGCTTTGACACGCCCCAGCCCCCTCGAACCGCCTCGAAACCACCCATATTTGCTTGACATCGACATCCCATCATTGCGCGATGCACGCCCGATCACGCCGACGCGTAGCGCTCCCCCTAATCACCAGATCCAATTTCGCAACCTCATGCCTGTATTATTATGCGACATCGACGACGAATCACCGTCGCCACACTCACCTGCTCTGCAATGAACAATGAATATCATCGAATCAACGATCAGTCAATCGAATCAACCATTTACTGCCCATCACGCCTTCGCAATCACTGCAACGATATCATCGCCAACAGGCCATTTACTACCAGAAACTGCATCCATCTAACGTTATCGCTCTGAATCGCCCAGCATTCGCATTATCGAATCTCCTGTTGTATTTTTTCTACGTAACGTTATTTTATCATCTCCAACGCTTCGGACGTTGACGTCTCGACTACCTCGTATCCTTGAATCCTCATTGTCTTCATTACCAGCTTACTTATCACGCATCATCTGCCACTGACCACGTATATTTATCCAGTATTTAGTAGCTAGCTCCATTGACGCTTCCATAATTGCCCATGTAATCACGACTCCTATACGCCTATATATAACGGCTTGCACTGCAACAGACACTTTTCCTAATTCCATACTTATGAGAGATCGAAGACAGCTGGGAAGACTCGGCGAGCGTTGCGACGCAACACTGAGAACACGGAGGGTAATGAACTAGTGTCGCAGTACTGTATGAAAACTATATTTGGCGTCAAACCAAACCAGAGACAGTGGAAATTATACCTTGGTGGTCTAACTCCCTTGGGTTCGTATTTCAGCATAATTTAGATATTTATACATGCAGGGGGGTACGACGAAGACGAAATGACGGCCACAAAGAATCGAAGAGGGCCCGATCATCAATTTGGGTCGCCCGCAGAACCAAGTAATGACCGGGTTTCCTCATTCCTGCCTGCGAGGTATTCCGCCACGCCGGCTTCACCTGCCCAGTCGAAAGCCACACAATTGCTAATGCTGAACGTTCAGCCGTCGACCGTAATCATGATGTTATTCGCTCGAAAGTCGCCATGCACGAGATGTGCGGTCTTCATTAACGAGATCTCCCGAAGTTCGATAGAAGCCTTAAGAAGACTTGGCGCTAGCGGGGATCCTTCTTGGGTGCAACAAGAGGAGAGTAGTTTCCAATCGTCAAGAGGCTTCGCGGCCGGTACCCCTTCGAGTGCTTGGCGGCCATACAGCTCTTTGGAGCGACGTCGTGGTGTTGGAGGTGCCGGTGCACATGTACGGAATATAGAGAACTCGCGCCAGCTCGACGCGGCGCGCGTGCGTACGATCATGCATGGCAGCATGGTTTTGCTAAGCATCGAGTCCCTCAAACAAGGCTCCTGCAACGGTGAAAATATTGCCTAAGTAGATCATATCATTCAGCGAGCGGCACAAACGCGGTAGACAAGAATACTGACCTGGGGACCCATCGGTTGGTCGGCTAAATTTGATAATTCATTCTAAACCTGAAAGACGGTCGGATGAAAGAGGTTCTGGCCCTGGGATACGACTTTCTCTCTTTCGACAAATTGACTGATAAGAGTCCTCAATGCTGTCAATTCCGCTTTCGAAAAAAAAGGTTGGTTGGGACCATTGAGGCTTCCAGGCAACGAACTCTTGCATAAATCATTCATTACGGAGGAACATTTTACCAGCAGTTACGGTCCTGTCGCTGTGTACTGCGCTTCGCTGGTGGGACTCCCGCTCCCGTCGACGGCGAGGAATTCGGAGCGTGAGCCTTTGTGAGCCCCTGAAGTTTGCAGACAAATATTGCCTGTAATGGGAGCGTGAGGGCTGCATGGGGTAACCCAGGGTAAATCCTTGGGCGCTACTATGAACGGTGGAGAACCTCACCAGTTCTCCTCACGAGTCACGAATCTTATCAGCAACCTTCATGACTAGAGTTATAAACTTCGGAGCTGGCCCATCTGCCCTCCCACAATCGGTCCTCGAAGAAGCAGCCAAGGGCTTGCTCAACTTCCATGGCACAGGGATCGGTGTAGCTGAAATTTCCCATCGGTCGAAGGCCTTCACAGGATTTCTGACCAGCCTTGAGTCGTTAATCCGTACACAACTCGATGTGCCAGCCACTCATTCAATTCTGTTCACTCAAGGCGGCGGCACTGGCCAATTTTCCGCCGTCGTCTTGAATTTACTGGCCCGACACCGTCTGCTGCATCCTGATCTAACCGACGCGGAGCGCCACCTGGACTATGTGATCACAGGGTCCTGGAGCAAGAAAGGTGCAGATGAAGCGAAGCGGCTCGGAGGGGGCACAGTTAACATCGCCGTCGATTCTCGTCCTTACTCAAAGGATGGGAAATCATTTGACAACATCCCCACTCATGACCGCTACTCTTTCTCACCCGATCCTGCGTTGATCTACTACTGCGAAAACGAAACTGTGGATGGCGTGCAGTTCGGGTACGAAGAAGGGGACCAGACGTCGTTCCCCTTCGAGTTGTTTCCGCAGGGCACTTTGCTGCCGCTGGTGGCGGATTACTCGTCCTCGTTTATGAGTCGCCCCATCCCGCGTCTCGCAGACCACGCGGTGATCTACGCCGGAGCACAGAAAAACATTGGCCCAGCGGGGCTTACTATCCTCATCGTTCGTCAGGACTGCCTCGTCGATGTAGATGCTGCTGCGAAACTCGGCGCCGTCCCTGTGCCGTTGTCAATGTCGTACAAGGTATTGGCAGACGCCAAGAGCTTGTATAACACTCCTTCAGTATTACCTATCTACATTGCTGGACTAGTCCTCGAAAGGATGAAGGAGAACGGCGGAATGCCGTATTACGAAGACGTCAACAGACGAAAGGCTGAGAAAGTCTACGCCGCGTTGAAACGGGGTGAAGCAAAGGGTGTCATGCAATCCAAAGTCAAGGAAGGCGGCGGGCGTAGTTGGATGAATGTCGTGTTTGACATCGTCGGTGGTCCCGATGCCCTCAGTAAATTCATCTCTGGAGCCGAAGCGAAGGGGCTGCATGAATTGAAAGGACATCGTTCAGTTGGAGGTTTGTTCTATTGTTGCAATCCCCATTCGCTTAGCGAACTGACATCCTTAACAGGAGTTCGGGCATCACTATACAACGCCATCACAGAAGATCAAGTAGATCAACTGGTAGCTTACATGGACGAGTTCACGAATGCGAATTGAAGAATCAAATTAATTGTAGAATTAGTGAGGCGATGGCATGCTTGTGATTCTCGAGTTGTATACTTCGTGGTCCTCGTCCCTCTGGTCACTTTGCCGGAGTGGTTAACGGGATCGCCTGCTAATGGAGCCACCTCCTTAGCTTAGCGGTTGGGCTTTGCCCGCGTGTGTTCGAATCGCACAGGTGACGCTTTTTGCTTCACAAATAAACGGGCCAAGGAATGAAAATAACTACAGCACAACATGACGTATCCTCATAGATGTCCTTTCCAAGCTTTCCATAAATACAATGTCGCAAGTAGAGCGACTGAAAGAGACACGAAGCTAGTCCAGAATGTTGGAATCCAGCACGAAGTGCCGATGCATAGCCCGCCGCCTACGCTTTGCTTTGCTGACACGAAGGCGTATAAGTAAGAGAAAATGGGTGTGCCGATGAAGGGAGCGTATGTGAGGGCCCCGAAGTTGCGACCTAGTGAGGGTACGCCCCATATTGCGGATAGGATGCTCGGTCTACAAAGGTTCGACGTTACTCCATTGAAGGCAGAGACGCTCACTTACAACAATGTGAAGATGGTACCATACGACATCCCGATGCCGGCGCTATGGATTTGATACCAAGTTAATATGGCGCCCCGAAAATATTTCATAGTTCTTCCTCTTTACCTAAGTATCCATATTTTCTGTGGTTCATCAATGGTGAAGATCATGACCAGACTGCTGATGACAAGCAACGCAGTGGGCACCGATATGAATGCGACCCTGCTAATGAAATGGTGACTCGGAAGGGCGCGAAGACCCGAAGGCAAGTGAGAAGCAACTGGCGAAATGAAATCAGCCAGGGGCCCTACCACGATTCTCGATGCCGTATTCGAGAAGGAGATCAAGCGAACTTGTTGTGAAGCTATCGCTTCCATTGATTCTTGACTGTGGACCGTCGATTTCGAAACCGAAAGAACGATGGTGCCAATGTTAGAGATGATCATTTCACACTGTTGAAAATGGTATGTAGGATGAACTGTAATGAAAGATCAGGGAGAATGGACGCACGTAACCGAGTGTTAGGACACAAGCGAGGAATAGTATCCAGAAGAATCGATCAGAAAGGAGGCCCAGGAGACTGTCGTCGCGAGGCTGCTGCTGAGTCCCTGGTTCACCTGGGGCCGATTGAAGTAGTGGCGTGTGTTCACTCGGTTGAGCTAGTGGTACGGGCGTTGGCTTGGGAATTCTCAGGGTAACAAAACCGCAGAGGTGCACGACCCCAGTGCAAATAGCCAGAAATCGCAGAAACGGAATAACCTGCAATCCGGATGCAGTGGTGAAGAGATTGGATGCAAGGAGCGACAAAAATAGGGGGGATAGGCCGAAAACGGCCGTGCTCAGCCCAGATGCAATCCCTGGGTGATTAGGAAAACACTGGGCCGCTGAGAAGAGCAACGAGAAGTACCTGCGAGCGCCGAGATAATATAAGCTATGTGCTCTATCGAGCCAGTGAAGACACTGACGAGAACACCGTGCCCAAGCCGGCGACGAAGAAATAGAGCGTGAGTTTGTAGAATGTGGCGGATGAAAAGACGTTGACGTCGTCAGGCGCCATTGATATTTCATGGGAGAAACACGAGAAAGCAGCTGAGAACATAACCGAGGCGACGAGAGAGCAGGCGGCCGGCCCATAATAATCAATCATGTAGCCAACGAGGACCGAGAAGGGATATTGTCCAACCATACCGCTGTGCGCACGCGCACATTTCAGATCGTAGTATATGTGTGGTTTCGAAGTTGACTTACGCCAGGACGATTGTAGTCAGTTGAGGCTGCGTCAATTTCAAATGAGACACCAGAGCCGGTGAGATGATGGGGAATATGAATATCCCGCCTGCGAAGAGGCTGCACCGTGGGTCAGTTTCTTTATTCCAATATTTCGATTCAGAGCTCACGCATTGACGATAATTGAGCAGCATGCTACACCTTTCCTGACAACAGGCAGTGATAGTCGAAGTTCCATAAGAGGATACGTATTAGCGCCGATCATGAAGCTTAGTTCGGAAGCTTGTGCGGGCGTCGCCTTTGGTTGCAAACAAGCCAAAATAGGGAACAATTACGGCCTTGTTCACTTCACAGAAGGGTCACTTCGATACAAAGCACACAGGGCATTGTTCTGGCGCACAATGGTTCTCAGGCCACTGGCTTTAGCTCAGTCTCCATCTCAACCTCTGGGAGGTAGCCGCTTTCTCTCTTCCTGGTGGACGGGCCTTTCAGTTTCTTCAACCCATATCCTTCAACTTTTCTCGTCAAGGCTGGTCCTAAAATCATGGAAGCTTTCTCGCCGTTGTTCGTGAAGTTAAGGACCCTTCTTTTCTGTGAGTTTTGCTCGTCTTGTCCGTTTTTTGGCTGCTGACCATAGTGTCTAGCATGTATTATCGGCCTCAGCTTTCTTTGGATCTTGTTGCTGTCCTTGGATATATTTCTTCAATGGGAGGTTTCGGGCACCACTGACAGTGTGTTGTATTTCCCGATTCTTAAGCATTCTCGCTCATAGCCATATAGGGTCCTTCCTGGTCGTGTTTCTCTTGATCAATGTTATCACGATAATAATGCTTCCAATCATGTACGTTTGCTTCCTGCATCGCCCATTCCCAGCGGATTAATCGTGGCTATGACAGGATGTTACGGGAGTTTCGGCCGTGGCTTGACGCCGCAAGGTTCCTATTGCTCTCTTTATGCCACATAGGTGAGCTATGCCCGTTTACTAACGGCAACGGTATCTCATCGCCGACGTAGGATTTGCGGTGATGTTCTCCTATTGGAATCCAAGAATTCAATGCCCCGATCGTAGTGAGTTCATTGCATCCTCCAATCCTTTGTAAATAGATTTTGACACGAAATCCCTTAGCCCCCGATCAAGAGGGTGTTTGCAAGTTGCTGAACTTGTATCTACTCGTTGCGAGCTGGATCATCCCGGTTCTTTGTACGTCATTTAACCAGGTCCAAAGTGGAAAAGACACTGACATAAAGTCGTTTTCTAGTGATAGTCTACATGTCGGGGCTCGCATACGTGGTTTCACGCCGTCGTGCACGCGCTAAGCTGGAGGAAGACATTGAAACACCCTCGGTCACAACCGAAGTTGACCGAACATCTACACAACTCACGCTGAAGTACCCTCTCCCCGCCGTGCATAGGGACTCCGTGCAAAGATCGTCCATTTCAAGTGACGTGGAGTCTGGAAGTGCCGAAAAATCGAGGTTTAGCACAAGCACACGGAGATCAACCAGGCTGTCTAAACGGCTCCCCGATTTCTATTTTTCTTAGACGAATTTGTATCAACAGACTTTCTTGTAGCCGTAGAACATTGTACAATCATTACATTTGCAGCACTGCCGCGTCTTGGCGTTATCCGTTAGCGCGATGGAACTTTGCCAGAGGCAGTCCTATAAATAATCCGACAACCACGTGAAGCCAACCAACGCCATGTAATGTTAGATGGTGTTCAAGAATTTCACCCAACGTCGTTGTAACTTTCCACCACCCCGCCCGTTAGCGGCCCTCCTTATTGTCCGACCCATCGGCTACATCTGATCCTGGCCGTACCCGCCGCCATCTTTCTTTCCGTTTCCACCATACTTCCATGGACGACCCCGCCTGGGATGCACCAAGTGTTAAGGTTGGTTCCGCCGCTACCAAGACTTTGGTCCGCTCGCTAACGTCCACAGACTTTGCTACGCCTCACGAGCCAGAAACTAGGTCAAATTCAAGACCGAAAAGATGCCCAGAGTCAAATTACACGACGGGATATTGCTACTTTGTTGCAGCAAGACAACGTTGGGCTGGCCCGAGCTAAGGCACAGAACGCCATTCTGGAAGACTCAAAGGGGGATCTACTAGAGCTCCTCGAGATGTATGTAGGGATGCTATTGGAGCATTTCGGCCAGCTGGAGCAGGGCTACGGGGTTGCTTCCCCACCAGATGGTAAAAGTCCTTCGCCTAGTCCCATTGTTACGGAGGCGGCGTCTTCCATAATATTCGCGGCACCACATACAGAATCCAAAGGTGTGTAGCTTGGAATACCCCCGCGACGATTTACTTACTACGTGTCAGAGCTCAACACCGTACGGGATATCCTCATACAACGGCTCGGGCCTGACTTCGCGCGCGCGGTGGCTGGTAATCGCGACAATTATGTCCCACCAAAGGTATGTGATAGATTCCATCGTGTATATGACCCCCTTAAGACGTCTAACGTCTATAGGTCGTATCTGCCCTGTCGACCCCGCCCCCATCTGCCGCGAAGCTGGATGATTACCTTCTGAATATAGCCAAGATATATCGCATTAACTGGGAACCAGACTTGCGTCGACAGGACACGTATGTACTCTGTTCAGCTTCTAGCCGTGCAAGAGCTCATGCTCCTCAGTGTGGATCCCTTGTCAGAAATCATGGATCCTGAGTTGACACCGGTTGTTGACCTTCCCAGGTTGCGCAAGCTGTGCATGCATGGTGGGTCGCATCATTACTTGTCTCCCTACGACCGTTCACGTGTATCACGACAAGGTATCCCCGATGAGCCTGTCTGGCTTCGTCCGCGCCTATGGAAGTTAGTAGCGTGCTATGCCTTTCATCGCTCTCCCTAACGTGTCAATAGGCTCCTTCTTGGGTTCCTACCCGTCGTCAAATCTTCGTGGTCAACAGAACATCAAAAGTACCGTGAAAGTTATTATGTATGCGTACTGAGTTCCATCAATACGCGTGCTAACACCATTGTAGGATTTGATACGCAGACTCTTACCTCCAATAGTAGGATCACCGCCCCCCTTAACACCTCCCAACTCTTCCGACTCCCTTCTACTCATGGTGCATAAACACTTGCTCTATGTCGCTCCCGGTTTATTTGCCGGGCTTGAGACTGGCCCAGAAGACGTCGAACGATGTCCTCTCGATCCATCGGCCCCGGAGGATATACAAATCTCCTGCGCTACAGCGTTGGACGATCGCCTAGTGAAGCTCCTTGGTCCAGCGGAGGTTGTACCGTCAACACCAGAAATACGACTGGAGCACGACTCCAGCGACTCACCCTCGATGTCCACTCATGACTCTGCCGAATCTTGGATAAGTCGCTCGACGACGTTGCTACCCTCAAAGCCGATCGGGATCGCGGACGTTCATCCTAAACACGCGTCAGCACTTCTCCGCCTGCTGTACCTTCACTGTAGTATCAACCCCGGCACACGGTCTCCCTACGTCCCGTCGCTTCTGGTACCAATGTATGCGGTTATGTGTTTCGAGGTGGAGCCTCGGGACGTCCCTCATATTGAGGCCGATACCTTCTGGCTGTTCGAAGCGATGCTAGGCGAGTTCTCGGAGTTGGAGGACGAGGAAGGCGGTCGTGTATGGACAAAAAGGCTGAGCGAGAGGCTTACGTGGGCTGACCAGGATTTGTCTGACACTCTGGTGCGTCTTGTCGGTACGTTAAGTGTCGCGTATTTGATTGACGTTATTGTAGAACGCGAAAGGACTGGATCCTGCACTCCCGCATTATTCCTAGTAGGTTTTCTTTATTTACATTCACCCCATTTCTTAACCTTCCCGTGAAGTCGATGGCTGGCTCCGATCCTAACACAAACACTGCCTCTGTCCTCTTTCATACTCGTTTGGGATGCTTTGTTCGCCTGCGCGATGAGAGACAAGCAAGCGAACCCCAAGATCGAACATTTACTGGACATATGTACGGCAATGCTAATCAGGGCCAGGAAGCCCCTCTTCCAGTACGCCGGCTCCTGTCACTTATGTTACACGGTTGTATTGATGATATCTTCTAGCCTTGGTAAGGGAGTCGACCACCCGGGTTTGTGGGGCGATGAAAGTGATGCGATCCCGCCTCCACCACTTCCACGAGCATGGGAGTTTGAGGATGCCTTTCGCGATGGTGTTTCACTCCTACAGAACTATCCTATCGAGGCGGCTGGAGGCATAGAGAGGATCTTGCAGACTGCCGCTGAGCTGTCGAAAAGGCGGATAGAAGAAACGAAAGCGGTCAAGTCGGAAAGTCTCACCCTCGGTGAACGATTACGGGTGTCCATGTGGAAGGGCTTCACCAACCAGGTTTCATCTCCTAATGAGTCGCCAGAACGGTCGCCTTCGCCAGAGGAACTGCAGGAAACTAGTGAAGAGGAAAGCTCTTCGGAGGACGATGGCAACGCCACCGAGAGGCCTTCGCGGGACGAACCTCCTGCACAGGAAGGTATTACATCTCGCTTGGCTACCACAGTGTGGAGAGGTATCACGAACCAGTCGTCCATGGAACCCCCTCCGTCGCCGGTCCCGCCTCCATCTCCCTTGGATTCAGCCCATGATACGGAGTCTACACATCCTTCAAGTGTCGGTCCAGATACGCCAACGAGTCCTACTGGCTCATCAGGATTCTGGAAATACGCAGAGAAACTTAAGGATTCTGATACAGTCGCAACGCTATCAAAGGTCAGCAGCAACTGGAGAGCCAAAAGCCTGTTGGGTTCTTGGGGATCACGGAGTACACCAAGTAGCCCCTTCCTGTCGCCTAATTCAGCGTTGAGCGGGAGTTCGTCAAGCGAACCACCGGAGATGCCTCCTCCCCGCGTCGACGAGTCAAGGCGCGGATCATTACCTCCAGCGGCGACAGTTTATTCTCCTCCCCCTCGGCCTGCCTTCTTTCGCCAGCCGAGAGACAGTTTCCTCCCGCATTCTCGCAAAAGCCCTCTACTCTCTCTGCCCAACAGCCCCGAAAACACTGACTCCGAAAGTATCGGCAGGGGGCAGCGATTGCAAGCATCATTGATGGCTTTGACGAGTGGTTCCCCTGATCCTCCCCGAAAGTCAGGTCCACGGCCCCTGCTACTTGGTTCGTCTTCCGTAGTAACAGCTTCCCCTCGTATTCCTCGATCTACCACGAGTACTCCTGCACCCGAATTCCGCCCAGGACTTGAAGCCGCTAGACATCTGCATCGGGATTCGCAGTCGTCTATATCATCCTTCTCCTTGTCGCCGGCAGAGGGCTTCGGTCGTCTGCATACTCAGGAACGAAGTAATGGATGGGATTCAGATACACTTAGTCGTGTTGTACCGCTGAATCGCAAGTCAGTGTCTCCCATGGCCCCTGGCTCTCGTATCCTCGGCCCTCCGCCTTCGGGATATTCTTCCGCCTCTGATAGAGGCGTCACTAGCCCTCCCTTAGCGACTGGAATTCCTTCAGCAGAACATCACGGTTGGACTCAAGTGGATTCACCGACTGCAACGTCTGCCCCGAAGACCCCGGCCTCGACGTCTGGGGATACCGCCATGATTTCTGTCGTGGATGACTTTGACAACGGGGCTGCCCCCATAGAGGAACACGTCGTCCAATTTGACCAACCAACGAGGAGAATCATACGGAAGAAAACTCCACCCCCATCAGCATTCATGGATCAGACCTCAGACTCCTCATCAACGCCTGCAATACCGAGGAGTAACCGCGTAAAGAGTCGACGGTCAGCCCGACCAGGAAATTTACGTTTACAAGAACCCACTGAACGAAGAGGCTCTAGCCCAAACAGCCTTGTGGTGGAGTGGCCAACAGAACACGACTTGGCGTCTACACCTAAAGCATCCAACTTTGAACCTGGGTATAAGCCCGTTTCCCCTGTGTCAGTGTCGCCTCGTTCACCTAGGCGAATGCGCAAAGTCTCTGGAGAACTTGTTGAGCCGCGACCTCGTAAACTCTCAGCTGAGATACCGGAAACTCGCGTTCGCAAGGTGTCTACGGGCTCTCGTGGTCGTAAAACTTCGACGGACAAGGACATTCATCGCAAGGAACGCGATAGTGCAGCTGAAGAGGGTGATGACGAAGGTTATGATGATTTATTGAGCGCATACGAAAGTGAAGGGGGCTACAAATCTGCTGAATAGACTTGTGCTTATGCTCTCTATGCCAAACTATATGATTGGATGTATACAGTACGTGTAGATTAATATATAGGATATATGCCGTTCCTATTCCCGAGGTTTGGTATCAAGGATCTCCTGTATGCCTTGGTAGGTCAAGAGAAGGACGGGAAAATACGGTAACACATTCTGGTGGGCGTATAAGCAAGCGACACCCGTGCTCGGTGGATACAACTCACAGGAAAGCAGACATCAATGTTGAGGTGACCATTTCCGACATGCCGCAGCGCAGCGAGGTAAAAGCGAACGTCCCATCTCTTCAGGCCTTCGTGGATAAATATGTCTTGTAGAGTGGAGAACGGAATGAATCGTCGCGACACTGCAAGGCGGAGAGGAGGAAGACCGCGGTGTGTTTCTAGTTGAATCCCATGCGACGGCATTACAATTACTGATTCTGAAAGCGAAAAAGAGGCAGCAATCAAACATTGTCAGCAGAGGGTAAAGACGAAATTCAGCCACCATAGAGAACTTGAGTGCATTTGCTATAAATGATCCAAATACAACACAGGACAATAAATATGGTCGCTAAGGTACTCCCTGAAGTCTACGAGAATATCAGTGTATCATCGCAAGACTAACGCCAGGAACTGAACGCACCTTCGGCCAAATGTATGTGAGGATGAAGGCGTGGCAGGCCTCACGCCATGTCAGACCCGATGTAGCGTGTATAATCTTGCCAGTTCCATTTCGCGACAGTCTCCAATTTTCAACTCGATATTCCTTGAATCCAGGGAATTCCAAGACAGTGAACTGAGGATGAGTGCTCGCCAACGGTCGGTAAATGTTCATGGCCAAGAAATACTCGTTACGTAACGCCACTTGGAATAAAGAACGGAAATTCAGCCTCCGCCCCTCATAACACATCTTCCCTTCTTACGTCCAAGTTCAGCTTCGATTTCAGTATACTTCGACCCGCCTAGCTCAGTTCTCCTCCTCGTCTCTGGAAACCACTCTCATCGAGCCGAATTGTACAATGGTTGCTACTAGTTCGCTATCGACGACTCTTGCTATGCTTGGGCTAGTTCCTGCCAGTCAGAAGCAGGTCTTCGGAGCTCCTTCTCCTCAACAACTATCCATGGATTCGCCCACAATGAACACTCATCAAAATGACACTTTCTTTCATGCTAATCAAGCCCATGATCAATGTTATGTGGAACCGTACATTGCAGCACCTGAACCAAATATACACTTTCCGGCGTTTAACCAAGAAGAGGCCAACATTTTTCGATATAGGCAACAGCAAGGCGTGAATCTTGGCTCTTGGTAAGATTTACCTTGCTTTGTCGAATGTAGTACTTATTGTGTTCAAGGTTTGTCCACGAGAACTGGATGCAGCCCACTACGATGTTTGATTGTGCTTCTGGCAACAAGGAATCTGAATACGATATCGCTTCTGGCTGGGGATCTAAGGCTTCTGCGCGCGCTCTTCTAGAAAAACACTGGGACACCTTCATTGGCCCTGCTGATTTCGCCTATCTAGCTGGCATTGGCATCAACACCGTGCGGTTGCCAATCGGGTACTGGAGCCTAGGTCCTGAATTCTGCAAGGGAACTCTCTTCGAATCGGTTGCTGATGTCTATACAAATTCGTGGAGCAGGGTTCTCCAGGCTATTAAATGGGCTGGCGCGGTGAGAATACAGGCCTGACAGTATCCCCTCGTTCTTATTGTTTGCATCATAGTCCGGCATCGGTGTACTGGTTGATCTTCATGGCGCACCTGGCAGTCAAAACGGAGAATCCCACTCTGGAGTCTCTGATCACAAAGCCCAGCTGTTCGACTCCGACAATAGGGAGAAGACCATCAAGGTCTTGCAATACATAGCTCAGCAACTGTGCAATATCAACCACATAGTAGGCATACAGATACTCAACGAACCTAAGGAACACGAAATGCTAGCCGCGTTTTGTAAGTCATCTCTCTCTGGATTAACCCCATCATCATCGCTTTTTTAGATGACGAAGCCATGGCGGCCATGAACTGCTCCATCCCAAAGTACATACACGACGCCTTCAACCTCGCCAAGTACTCTGAATACAACTCGCATCGACAGGATTTCGTTGTGGTTGATCATCACTCTTACTTCGTTTTTACGGACAAAGATAACACTGAGTCGGCATCTGGTCATACTCAAGACGTCGGTAGTTCGATCGCGGCTAACCTCGCCGCACACTCGTCACAGCAAAGGGGAAATCTCATCATCGGTGAATGGTCTTGTGCTCTATCCAGTCAAAGCGTGAAGAAGGAAAACGACCCAGAGGCTTCGCAAAAGGAGTTCTGCACTCGCCAGATGGAGACTTATGGGGCCAATACTGCTGGCTGGACATTCTGGTGTACGTCTTCTGGAAAAAGCGATCTAACTGGAACTCACGCAGGCCTCCTACCTAGCTTACATGAAAGAAGGATGCCAAACCGATCCGGGCTGGTGTTTCAAGTCCGCTGTGGGCAACATGCTTCCACCTAGTTTTCACTCGTATCCAAACGCAGCTACCAAGACCCTAGACGGCGTGCGACTACTAGTCAAACCCCTTGCTGGCGCTGCTCCCGGCCCAATATCTTCGGACCCTCAAGACTCATCTTCCCTCCGTACCTCCGCCGCTGGGGTTCGACGAGAGAATGGCACCTTTCGTCGTCGTCAAGCATCCATTCACCATCGCCATCTACACCAACGTGAGCCTCCAAGCTCCCAGAACGGCTCCATCCCATTCCAGACGGGGTACCGGGATGGTTATGATACTGCGCTCAAGTTTGCAACGTACTTGTCGAAAGTTGGCTTCAAGCAGCAATGCATGATGGATAACTGCGGCGGATTTGGAGATCAATATAACTCTATCGGAGCGCAGGATGAGTACGCGGACGGCTATCTAAAAGGTATAAGCGAGGGGGAGCACACCGTGGAAGCGACACTGGTACCAGCAAATCCGCTATAAAGCTACTCTAACCCACATAAGTATGTTACACATCTACCTTCCTCTCCTTTACCCCAGAATATATTACTGTTGTCATTGGCCCTTTGAGTTCATCGCGCGAAGTTGTGGATGCATCAGCGACGAGTCGAATAATTCAGTTTGAGCGCTTATGTTAATGTACTGCTCTTACCTTCGCCCCTTCACCTCGACGCGCCATGTCTGGTGAGCGCGTCCTAGTATCGTACCATGCCCCCAATGCGTACCTGGCATCTGAGAGCTGGAAGCAAATACGATCTGCCTTGGTCTCTCAATTCCCTCTTCGCAATTTACATTGGAAATCGCCTTCCAGGTCTATCAAAACCATTCAGGAGTTAGACCTTAACCTGGTCGCCTTCGATTCTTTACATGATGAGCACACCTCTCAAGTACCTGCCACGCTGCTTGAGAAGCCACTTCTCAATATATACATCGTCGCATGTGAGGTCCGTCAATCTCAGTCACTGAGTGTTGCGTTTGAGTAACCGTTGGTCGCGAAGGACACGGACTTCGACTCGTATAAGAACACGATTAAGAAGCAAATAAAGGACTGGCATAGTGTCGTGGCATCGAGGAAGCATCAAGAATGGCTCATTTTGCACGTTGTCCGACCTGACGCGAGGACTGCTGGAGGGAATTTCTTTCAGATGAAGTATTCCGTGTTTGAACGCATCAAGACCGACTTCAACGCTGAGAAGAGGGACAGGTGATTGCCCTCTTCGCGCCGTTCACTTTATGTGTTCATACCCGAATTTAGATGCGTCCAAATGGTGTGGTCTGCCCTCCAGGAGAATCCCGCAGTCTGGGCCGATTTGATGAGCAAAACAAAAGACGGACTAATTACTGCATTTGAGTCCGCCGTCAATCAGCGAGAGGAGGACGTCAGGCGATCCGAAAGCCAGCGTGCCATGCCTGGGTGGAATTTCTGTACCTTCTTCATCCTGAAGGTAGGTGGTCTTTTCTTTCCTAGCGAGGCCAGTTGCTAACCAGGGTGCTAGGAAAGTCTCGCGAGCTCAATTCAGGGCCTCAGTCTCTATGAGGATGCCTACATGCAATACGCAGAGTTAGAATCGTCGTTTCAGCAAGTTCTGAAGGAAAAGAATGCTTCTTGGTTCGGCACATTCATCCAACCTAGCCCTCGCGATGACTCCTTGCCCTTACTTTCGACTGACAAAAAGCCCTACCGCGATCTAATTCTCGCAAATACTATATCTGTGTTCGACCTGCGGACGTATATCCTTGCTCGCCAGTGTACTCTCCTCTGGAAACTTGGCCGTATTAACGATGTTGGGAGGGCAGTGACATCTTTTCTAAGCACCTTCGGGAGACTACTTCGTGATCACGAGGTGCGTTACTGCGCATACGAGAAACAAACCGATTAATCATGCAACAGACACCCCTGCCGGAATTCTTCGTAGAGTCTTGGATATACTCGTCATGTCTGAGTGTCGTGGAACAATGCGACTCTTGGACGAGCAATCAAACTCTAGAAGGCGCAAAGCTAGCCGTATACAATGCCAGCAAAGGCGAACTGCTTGAACTCGCACTAAATCAAGTAAGGAAGACTAGAGTACAATGCCTGCTTGATGCTAATCGACATTAGCTCAGTACCATCGGCGTGGCGGTTGGCCACCTTCCGTCCGAACCCCCGTTCAGCAGCTCGTCTGGCCCTTCATCTAGCGTAGCCGTCGATCTCTCCAAACTCTCCATCAGCAACAAGGACCTTCTTGCAGGTGTTAACACACGGGATGTATTCGATCGCAACTATATCGACACCACCAACCGTGCTATTGATCTGTACGCAAAAGCAGGTAGACGCAAGTTTGCTTTGAAGCTCCATGGCTCTTTGGCGGCATTAGATCTGTGTGTTTACCTCCAAAGTTTATATGATCTGTACTCTTGACACTACGCAGATATCGGGGAAGGCTCGATGCCGCGCAAACGACATTCGCTTCATTACCGTCACATTATGCTCCTCACATGTGGACGTCTTTGGAGGCCTTTATGCTTTGTCGTGCCCTTCATGCTTACTCCAAAGGCCCAATCCCCGATAGTAGGGAGTGGGTCAGTTTGGTGTTATCGTTTATGAAGCTGTGTATCGATGAATTAGGGATGTCCTTGGTAGACTTTCAAGGAGATGTTAAATCTCAGATCGATGATCTATTAGAGTCTGTCCAAAAGGTGGCCTCACAACTCGACCCAGGTAAGTTGGGGAGTCGTCCATACGTCCAATGGCTCATCGTTGTTTCTAGAATTGGTATATCCTGATCACCCAAGCATACAGGTCAAAACCGTGGGGGACGCACGAGTCGTAGGCTCAAAAGATGGCGCTTTCCTTGACGTCGTGATTCGCAACAGGTTACCTTGTGTAAGTCCTACTATCAGTGCTTTCGCCGACTGCTAAAAATGCAACGATGATAGGCCCTTCCATCTAGTGAGATAGTTGCAGTACTTGCGGGGCGTGATGGGGAAAGTTACCGATTCACTGCGGACGTTGAGAGTGCAATTTCTGGGGAAACTGCTCTGACACTTTTTTCTCCTGTAAGGAAGACGCCTTTCGGTTGCGGACACATTGACTAACTTCCCTTCAGAGTGCATCGCCAGGCATGTATCTTCTCGACTTCACCGAACTTCGAATATCAGGACTTGTGTTGCAATGGCTCCATAAGAAGACAACGGCGAAATCATCCAAGGCCTCAGCCAACGATCAGTATAATCCTGTTCCTATACGAATACCTCTCGATCACCGAGCTTTGAGTGTTCAATTAGCTCACCCAAAAGAGGGTCAGTCATATCCGAAGTATGCCTCCATCCCCTGCCTAATATGCCGTTCCTCTAGTCAAACTAGGTGAAACATCCCAAGCCCTCGTAATCCTTTCTACTGGTCGAAACAACATAAAACAAGCGACCTTAAAGATAACAGGCGTTGGTGGTGTTGGTCTACGTTGTCAGGAGACTTCCATACCAGGTTCCAGTCAGTCACCGGCAGTCGATTTTTGGTTCCTCTGACAATATCCTCCTTGACAGTACCTACAACTCCCCCAATACTGACGAAGGACACGATTACCGTGGCTGACGTTCCTGAAGACACCGAGATTGAATTCCTTATCCCTTATTCAACTACTACCGGCTCAGATACCATTGTGAGCCCTTTGCTAGTAACCTGATCTCTTTCATTGACGAGGATAGAGGGTCACCATTGGCGTAGATTACGTGACATCATCTGAACCTACTGTTCAGAGAACAATGCATGGGTCTAATTCGATGGTCACATCATTACCTTTGGTCATCAATGTTCAAGACTTCTTCCGCGGGACGAGGCGAGTTTTCTATTGCCTATATAACATGGTTCTAAACATCGTATAGGTTATTCTCCAAGTTCACGATATCAGCGACTACCCTACAAAGTGTCCGGGTTTTCTCTGTCGATCTTGTACCCTCAGATGGCACAGCGCAAATAGTCAAGGCATCGCATTCCAGAGGAGCCGTCGTTGTAGGTCCAATATTTTCATTTATCAGAGTCCTCCATTTGAATGCATCCAAGACTGTGACCCCCAATCAACCTGCTCATTTCTTGTTCCACCTCGATTTGGGCGCAGGTTCTGGTAAGTCTTCATCTTAGTCTTTGTGCCCATGATCACGACGTGATCTAGTCCCCGAAATAATGCACCTCACAATCAAATACAGACTTCTCCGTGAAGGTACGTGTCAACTGATGGCCATTTTCTAACTTGATACAACCGGAAATCAGAGGTGGAGCTCCTCGTAGATGAAGCCATCAAATCAGTCTTCGCGAATCATGCTGATGAATCTGAGTCTGGCCGTCTTACAGCAAAGGAGCAGGTGATCACGTCATTAGGTCGCAGTTCGTCTTGGGTGGAAAGGTACTGTATAACTGGTCAGTTGGTTGTGCCTCCCCGCGAAGATAGTGACTTGGGAGATACATATGCCGAAGTTGTTGAGGTACGTCTTGGATGCGGAAGAGACAAGCGCACGTTCTAACGTTTAATCAGCTCCTATCGTCTCATAATTTCGACATCGACTCACCTTCGAACTGGAGAAAGATGGGTCTTCCCGTCGATGTTCCAACCATGAATGTGAGCTTTGAAACAACTTTGTAAAACGTTGCTCACTTTTGCGTAGATCGTTGCCGCCGCAGAACTCAGCCTGACGACGCCTGGATCCGCCAAACCGCACGGCACAGCTCCTTTATATGCAGGCCAACCTATATCTGCATTCGTGACTATTCGCACAACCTTTGGGTGGGGCCCCAGCGAAAACCTCACAGGCAGCTATATCCTCCGGTATGACATAGAAGAGATGGTTCGTGACTGGTTACTCAGTGGCCCCAAGCGGGGAGAGTTTGAAGCCAAGGCAAGTCCTTGCCGTCCCATCACTCGCCGTACATCATGCGAACTCTTGTGCAGCACGATTCGTCTTTTACAGCGCCAGTCACATTGATTGCACTTCATCATGGTGAACTCGAGTTACCGAAGGTATCTGTGCAAGCCTTGCCTCTGTCGGGCGGTCACTTGCAAGTTTCTACGCCGAGTATGGATGTACACCAAGTTCATGGGGCAGAAAGGGCTCTTGTACTTCCTAGGGGAGGGCGAAGTACATTCGTTGTTGAGATGGGAGCGACGTAGAAAGATTTGGGATTCGTTTATATTCATTGTACACATAGCGAAGCCCGGCTCCTAGTCTAAGCTAGTACTTGAACATTAGATCAGAGCGTAGGATATACTTCGTGCCCTTGCGAACTGGGGAACCTTCATGAAGCAAGCACTCACTGCCGTGCCTTTTATTGAACGAATGAGTAGTATGAATGGACGGCGAGCATTGTAGCCTGACCTATGAAGAAGAGCAGTGCCACGAGTGAGAGGAGCTGCAATGGCCTCCCTTGCTTTGCCTTTCTGCTCAAGATAGAAGATTGTCTATCATTGCCTACGTCAATTCTTGATGCCATACATTATGTCCATTACCTACCTCTCCGCCTTCTACACCGTCTTCAATGCCAGATAAATACATCAGGATGGTCCATTCAGACTTGAGCCCGGTTGCAGGATCTCTGACCGAATCGTCGTAATGTGGTCTTCACACAAAGTACCGTCACGTCCATTAGCTATATATCTGGAGGTTAAGATACGTTGGCATACCCGAAATGCTGTCCTGGATTGTATTTATACAGTCGAATATTGGAATTGCAGCCAACGGGCGAGTGGTGGGATTCACTTGTGCGCCAAGTAGAAGGAGTAGGCAGAGAAAGGACGTATGGCTGGAACAACGAGTGCAACCGCTCAGCGAAGTCCACAGAGGGAATAGAGAATCGATCTAGTGGTTAAGTAGCAACGTCGATGAGAAAGTCAGCGACCAGAATTGGCAGATGCCTGGCTGTATCTACTCACAATTAACGCGTTCGGCTTCCCCTCGTTTCTTGGGTGGAGTCAGCTCGAGAGGAAGGTTATCGATAAATTGAATGTATTGTTTACATTCCGCAGCGGTTAGGAAATTCTGGAATCAAGGCATTTGTATTCGTCATGTGTCGCAACACGAGAAAGAGGGACTAACATCAATCAGTAATATCTGATCATCAAGCAGAGTACGACATTCCAGATAGTCTTTCGGCGCAATCGCGGGAAATGTATAGTTATGCTCAGGAGATGGAGGATTCTCTCCTTTCGTGCCACGGGTAGCTTTGGAAGTTTGGGCCTTTCCCTTGCGTTGTTGTTTGGACATGGACTTCACAGAAGTAGCAGAACAGAACAGAAAGAGGACGCCGGTGGCAAGGGTTCCAGGATGTATATTACGTAACAGTACTATGATACACGCCAAATCCCAGCGAGCAAGAGGCTGTGTGCCAGTAGTAAAATACTAGAGGAGACGTTCGTGGACGGATATACGTTCCATGCAAACTCCACAGCCACCAGAATAGCGAGCCTTGAGAAAAAGTCAGCATTCAAAACGCGTCAACAATGTATCAGGGAGAGCGAGCTTACTTGACGGGCATCGCATAGTGTGTTTTGAAGACCAGGAAAGGTAGTTGTTGTGCATACCAGGAGTAGAACTGGTAGTGGAGCGACCGAGCAAAGAAGATTCCTATTAAATTGGACGTGAAGAGAACCGTGGCAACATCTAGGCAAGTCTTAGATATGCATGTATAATGAGCCGAGGATGGCACTCACAATCTGGGGACACTGGCACCAGTCCTGCTGGAGTGCTGGGCCGTGAGATACCTCGCAAAATGGTAGGAAGTGGACCACCATCAGGACGACACCAACGGTACCCAACCGCAACAAGAACCGAAACGTGCCCCACTAGCAACCCCACCGCCCATCGTCGATCCAAGAAGAGTCCCTCTCCCAGTATTCTCCAGTTTACCGTCCATTTGAACAAGAAGACACGAGACAGATCGAACGCGCCGTTGAGATAGGCACTGAGATCGGCTTTGATGAATGTGCGAGCAATAACAGCCTGGAATGATAGTATTGTTATCATTTGCCGGAATGTGGTCAATAGCCCGCGGCGCTTGTACAGCAGAACGAGGAGTCCGGGAAGATATAGTAAAATGGACATCTTGATGGATAGAGCCGTGCTGCATTCCCTTCAACTTCATCTCCAAAACGTATATTTTGAACGCGTACCTATACAACAACACTGCAAGGTCGTCCATTTCAAGTTGGTACGCCAATACGGCCGCGAGAGCGGCGGTCACGGACCAGCAGTCATTGAATAGCCTCAGCACATAGATGGAATGCAACCGCTTGCTGAGCGGTAACGCAAGCAGGAGCCAGTTCGGCGCGCCAGCTTTGCGATAGATGCAGCAGGTCAGTATCAGCGAAGATACATATAGTCCGGCGTAGATTTGCTGAGAAAGTGCCATGTTCCGGCCAGCGTCAGTGATTTTGTACAATAGCTGGTGAATGTAGACGTGGCCAGCAGGATAACTATGCAAAGTTCAGCAACGACGGAGTCATTCGAGAAGGTATGCCGCACACCAAAGGTCCTGTGGGCCCAGATATCCTCGAGTAGTTGGTTTCCCCCTTCATTATCACTGCGATTTGGGCCATATATGTTTCCCAGTCGATTTCGGTATCTGACGACAGCTCTCGTCAATGCACGCACATATACACGCAACGGGAAGCTAACAGGGTATGAACCGCACGATGAGCTGCGTAAGGACGGCATCGCCAACGACGACGAGCGCAGCGACTGCCCCAAAGTATCTCGGGTTTGTGAGAAGCTCACAGAGAGCCTGAAACGGATGGCGTAGGAAATGGGAGATCATGGGAAGGGAAGAAGAGGCATCAGTGACTTCGGCGTTGTCAACAACTCAGCATTTCAGCTGCATTCGTGGCGCGCACATTTCATCCATTCTCTACCGCAATGGCCGCAGAATGAAATCTACAGCACCGACAAATGGACGGAGACTCGTGACATACAAAAAGTCACGTCTTTGACCAAAACTTCATAGTGCTCCCTAGTACTCCTTTCTGTAAGCCATGGCAGAGCAACCTACGAAACAGAAGCTATGGGGAGGCAGGTTCACGGGAACGACAGATCCTCTGTGAGTGCTCCATCGCGCCTGTGCCAGTCTCGAGCTCATCGAGGTCCGTAGCATGCACGAATTTAATCAATCGCTGAAATATGATCAGCGAATGCATGCCGCCGATATCAAAGGTTCCATCGCATATGCCAAGGCATTGAGCCTCGTAGGCATCTTGACCGCGCAGGAACGTGATAAGATCGTCGATGGACTCAAACGCGTCGGTAAAGAATGGGAGGACGGCGTCGTGGGTTGCTAGCTCAAGTATACCGACGGCATACTGATCTCCAACCAGTTCAAACCACAACCAGATGACGAAGACATCCATACTGCGAACGAGCGTCGTCTCAGCGAGCTCATCGGACCCCTTGGTGGTAAACTGCATACTGGCCGATCGCGAAATGATCAAGTAGCAACAGATATGCGCATTTGGCTTCTCGAAGAAGTCAAGGATATCGAGGAGTCTCTCAAAGGCCTCATCCGTGTCATGGTTGAGCGTGCCGATAAAGAGAAGGACATCCTGCTCCCCGGATATACCCACCTTCAGGTACTCATTCAATCGACTGTTCACCGCTTTGCTGTGGACTGATGGTCGTTGATTCACAGCGTGGGCAGCCCATCCGCTGGTCCCACCTTCTTCTTTCCCATGCATTCTCGTTCCGATCTGATCTTGAACGTCTGCAACAACAAGTTGCACGTATCTCGGTTCTTCCGTTAGGATGTGGTGCCCTTGCCGGAAATCCTTTTGTTGTGGACAGGGAGTTTCTAGCGAAGGAACTTGGCTTCCAGTCCCTTGCCGAGAACAGCTTGTGGGGTGTCGGAGACCGTGACTTCATTGTCGAATTCTTGATGTGGGGCAGTCTAACTATGGCCCATATTAGCCGCATGGCAGAGGATTTGATCGTGTATTCGACAGCCGAGTTCGGGTTCGTAAGCCTAAGCGATGCCTACAGGTATGCGATCCTCGTTATCACCACTGTGCTGCGCTTATGTCGATTGCTAAATAGCACTGGTTCAAGTATCATGCCTCAGAAGAAGAACCCCGATTCGCTAGAACTTCTGCGGGGGAAGTCAGGCCGTATCTTTGGGAATGTCCGTTGGAGCCCCTGCGCAATGGCACCCGTTTCATTTGGCTGACCAGATCTCCCATAGATGGCCGGATTCTTGATGACACTGAAGGGACTCCCGTCTACATACAACAAGGACCTACAGGAAGACAAGGAGCCCCTTTTTGATTCCGTCGACAATGTCTCAGCATCCCTGAAGATAGCGGAGGGCGTTGTAGCTACACTCGAGGTAATACAGCGACCTAAGCATCAGTGTTTTGAGTACTGAATTACAGCTCGTCTCAGGTACACGCTGACAGAATGCGCCAGGCGCTTACCATGGACGTTCTGGCAACAGATCTAGCAGATTACCTTGTCCGCAAAGGCGTAAGCGAGATAGTCCCAAGTAATTTCTTACGCGCAGTAGAACTGACTATCTGGGTAGATTCCATTCCGAGAGACGCATCATATTTCAGGACGAGCAGTCGCGCTTGCCGAATCCCGCAAGTGTCAATTAAACGAGCTTACGCTGGGAGATTTCAAGCAGCTAAACGAGAAGTTCGATAACGATGTTCTAGCGGTGTTTGACTTTGAAGCGAGTGTGGAAAGGAGGGAGTCGATTGGGGGAACGAGCAAGAAAATGATTGACCGACAGGTCTCCGTGCTGAGGGCCGCTCTCGCTAATTAGTGACTGGAAATTGTTCAAATAAAAGGTGCTTGTACACTGTACTTAGAATTATCCCAATGGCTCATCCGTAATGGCGTTGATTTTTGAGTCTGAGAATGTTTGGTCACGCGCGCTGCGGCGCTGTCAACCACTGGCTGAAACGCCGAGAAAGGAAGTGATCCCGTTTCTACACAGCTTCCTCCTCCTCTTACATACAATTGCCTGCGGTCTCAGCGCCAGCGGCCGTTCGACTTCGCCTTTTTAGTTGAAACCATCTAGTCCTTTTTCCAGACTTGTGGCCAAGGCAGCTGCTAGGGTACATTGTTTCAGTTTCCAAGTCTCAGCCGCATCCTCGCAGACACCCACATACAACCTTCACATCGCTCACCAGAACTAGTAATCTACAATGGCCCGAGACAGACTAGCAGCCATGAGGGTGAGCGCTTTGCTTCGTTTTTGCTCGCTGTTCCGCCTCATGGTGTATCTTCCAGGCCCAGCAACAAGGTGGTGGAAACAACTATTCGTGAGTCCGTATTTTCCGTCGTCATAGGCCCCGCTCAACCTCCTTTCGCTAGCAACAACTCTTACCCTACGCAGGCGTCGGGTGGAGGCGGCGGAGGCTACAACAGCAGAAATAACCCTTACGCACAACAAGACGACAAAACATACGAGATGTCGGACGTCAAGGATAGCCAAACACACCTAACAGCCGCAGCCGACTTTGGTGGAGACAACATGTCTGCATTCTACTCGGAGGTTTGTTATTATCTGCCACGGAGCAAAATGTAGCGTTATTGAAGATGGGGTGTAGATTTCGTCGTTGCAAGACAGCCTCCGTACTTTCAACGACAATGTCTCGAGGATTGGGGACTTGCATTCACGTTCACTCAATAACACGGACGACCAAGCCGCGCAGCGTAACGCAGCGCAGTTGGAGGAGCTGGTTGAGGATACAAGTGCGCTGAGTGCGACATTGAAGCGAAGGATCAAGGCGTTGGAACGCTCGCCTGGCTCTGGTCGCGACGGCCAAATACGCAAACAGCAGGTGAGTATCTTATCCCCTGAGTTATTGATGTAAACGCTGATTGATTGGGGTGGATAAGACTGCACTCGTCAAATCCAAATTCGTGGAAGCGATCCAAAACTACCAAACGGTGGAGCAACAGTTCCGTTCGAAATACAAGCAACGCATGGAACGCCAGTTCAAGATTGGTATGTCATAGCGATGGGCATAATGGTTACCGAGCTCTTCTGACCATCAATTCTCTCGTAGTCAAACCCGACGCTTCGCCGGAAGAAGTGAAGGCCGTTGTCAATGATGAGTCTGGTGGCCAAATATTCAGCCAAGCGGTGAGTGGGCCCTTTATCGCATTTGTTTTTCGGCACGGCGTATTCTGATGCAGGCTCGCGTAGTTGATCTCCTCGAACCGCTACGGTGAATCTCGTGCTGCTTACCGGGAAGTCCAAGAACGACACGAAGATATTAAGAAAATAGAACGGACACTTACCGAGCTTGCCCAGTTGTTCAATGATGTGAGTCGTGGTAACCATCAGGCTTGTTGCGTCGTCTTATACGTATGATCTTAGATGAGCGTGCTTGTTGAACAACAAGAAGAGACCATCAATGTCATCGAGACTGCCGCTGCCGGGGTTGAGAAGGATACGGAAGTTGGGTAAGTAAAGTGTGTTGCTTCATCTCTCCGTGTAGCTTATTCTTCGATAGTCTCGGCTACACCGAAAAGGCCGTCGATTCCGCCAGAGCCGCGCGCAAGAAACGTTGGATTTGTTTCATCATCTGCCTTGTTGTTCTCATCATTGTTGGTATTATCATCGCGGTTGTCATAACGCAGCAAGTGAACAAGACGAAGTAGCCGACCTTCCTTGTTTCTTCCTTCTCCTGTGTAGTATTGGTTGCTTTTCGGACGACGATTCATGGACTTTTAGCCTAATACAAGCATTCTTTTTTCACGACATCCTTTTGGATAATACCTCCTTAACTTATCGCTAGGTTCTAATGCAGTTACTTCCCTGGTATCTTGCATATGGCAGCGACGTGTGACCTGATCATCAGCAGCACTTATCGCTTGCGCTCTGGAGGCAGAGTCGACCGGGGCCAATAGAAGGTGACCAGAAGCGAGACTCGGTACGGTGGGGCTGTCAGAGTCTGAGTCCGTGATGGTCGAAGAGAGTGGATTAAGTCGGCTAAGCCAATGGTGATGGGCCAGCAGCAGAGATGCCTGCATGAGACCATGAGGATGTGAAGGTTGTACACTAAACCGGAGGCCCAGTCTTGAGCAGGCGATCGGTGCCGGATTTGGATGTGTCAGCACGTGGTCAGCAGCTCTCCTGCTTACGCGTCGCAGGACTTGTGGCAGTGGGCCCTATAAAACCCATTTCGACTCGGACGGCTCCCCTTGCTTCTTCACCCGTCACCCCCCACATCCCGCTCTCAGCGTGAGTCCTCCCTGCACATCGTCCCCGACGTTCTCCAAGCTCACAGTTCTTGATTGTCCCCGTAGTTCCCAGCAGTCCTCCTCCGTCTCCGCCTCCTCGTACACCACCACAAACCACATACTCATGGCCGCCAAGAAACGTTGTCAATTGCAGGCGGAGACCCCTTGCAATTCCGCAGTCTTGCGCATCGTCGGCGAATGTCCGATGTGTCGACACCAGTTCTGTGGCGAGGTGAGTAGCCAGCCCCCTCTGACTCGGATGCCGTTATCTGACCCCTTCACAGCACCGTCTTCCGGAACACCACAACTGCAATCAGCTGGAGGACTGCCGGAAGCAGGCCTATGAGCGCAACAAGCTCAAGCTTGAGAGCGAACGGACCGTTGCTTCCAAGATGGCCACTGCGTAGCTATCCTCCATATCCCCTACACACCCATTGCATTTTCCATCTTGCCATTTCGTCTGTACTTGCATCGCCCATTGTCTCATAATTCTATACGAATCTAGCTTGATGTCCATAATCTTACCATTTCCACGCTGGGACATTCTACTACCATTGCCATCCCCCCTCACGTTGGTTGCCTCCACACCGGAATTACCTTGTATTGTCGGCTGATACATGCGTACCTATTAATTGGCCTTGATATAACACACGCTTGCTTCATTTGATGAGAATCTGCTTGAGCACACGACGAACGATGCCTGCTACTTGTGAATTGCAGTTGCCAGGGCTCAGGGTTAGTGTCGCTAAGATATCGTTTATGCGCTGAGATCTAAGCGGCGGGGAAAGGCTGAACGTCGTGACAGGCTTCGACAGGGAAGGTAAAACGGAATCGCCTTTGCACGACATACGGGGGTTGAGCGGCGCTGAGCAGCGTTCTGGATGCCAGCCATTGGGTGCGGAGGCTCACGGAGAGCACTTGCCTGGCCACGCCGAACTGTATATATACGCGGCGATTACTGCATAATGCCCAGAAAGTCAACCTCACCCTTCACCGCCATCGATAAAACCCAAATCCTCTGAACTTTCACTTTCTCTCAGATTGTTAGACCTTCCCCCACATAGACCAGTGAGTAGCACCATTTGGTTATCCGGCCAATGGACGGGCGTATATTGTGCAGCCTCTGCGCCGGTATCACATGCAAGCGACCGACGGGGAACGGAAGGAACAGTTGATTTGGTGACGAGGATCACGGCGAGCAAGGTCGCCTGTTGCGGCTCGCTGATGTATCACCGCTGCGCCATTATATATCCTGGGCCGCCGACCGACTGCTAGATCATTCTCAAACTTATACCCCCTATCACTTCCTCATCATCTACCATGGCTGACAGACTGAAACAGCTCCTCAATCACGTCCTACCGTCAAATAACATGTCTGCAGGTCTGTCGTCGTTGTACAGTAGCGCCTGGATCGCGCTGACATTGCGGTAGAACTCTGGCAGAGCGTCCCGCTTGCTCCACCCGACAGGTACGTCGCGACCGCGTGAGAGGACACGGCTGTATTTGTCTGACGGCAACGATTTCAGCATCTTCAAGCTCACGGCCACATACAAGGCCGATACATTCCCACAGAAGGTTAACCTCGGTGTAGGAGCGTACCGGGACGATGATAACAAGCCTTGGGTCCTGCCTGTTATCAAGAAGGTGATTGTGTTCCCCACAGCGTCGTATACGCTTTGTACTAACCCACGGTTACACAGGCCACTCAAATACTATTGAACGATGACAAACTCGACCACGAGTACTTGCCAATTACTGGATTGCCCGAATTCACTTCGGCCGCTGCCAAGCTGATCCTCGGGGCCAACTCCCCTGCGATCGCGGATGGAAGAGTCTCGAGCGTGCAGACCATCTCTGGAACTGGCGCCAACCATCTTGGAGCGCTGTTCTTGAGTAGGTTCTACGGCTGGGACGCTGAGAAGAAGGTGCATTTGAGCAACCCCACTTGGGGTGGGTATTCGCCGTTTCCTTGGTCAACTCCTGCTCAGTGCCGTTACGTGTAGCGAACCATCAAGCTATCTTTAGAAACGTGGGGATTGAGCCTGTGGACTACCCCTACTATGATCCGGCCACCATTGGGTTGGACTACAAGGGCTTCATCAATTCGTTGGAGACGGCGCCCCCGCGCTCGGTCTTCTTGCTGCACGCCTGTGCGCACAACCCCACCGGTGTCGATCCTACGCAAGAGCAATGGAAAACTATTGCGGATGTGATGCTCGCAAAGAACCACTACGCATTCTTCGACTGCGCTTATCAAGGTTTCGCTAGCGGCGACTTGGATAATGACGCCTGGGCCGTGAGGCATTTCGTCGACCGTGCGGTCCCCATGCTGGTGTGTCAGGTGTGTGATCTCCACATTCTAGATCATGTGGGGAGCCTGATATTAAAACATCAGAGCTTCGCCAAAAACGCCGGATTGTATGGCGAGCGCGTAGGCGCTTTGCATGTCATCGCACCTTCAGCGGAGGGTGCGAACAGAGTTAAGAGCCAGTTGTCGGTGTTACAGCGGAGCGAAATTTCCAACCCTCCGTCTCACGGAGCTCGTCTTGTGAGTGAATCCAGTTGACCCATGTTTTGTCTCGTCAGAAAATGACTCGGGCGATAGGTCTCCCTTGTGTTGAATGATCCCGGCCTGTTTGAGGAGTGGAAACGGGACATCCGGACGATGGCCGGCCGAATTATCGAAATGCGGAAGGAGCTGCACCGATTATTGACGGAGGAGCTGAAGAACCCCCGGAACTGGGATCACATTTTGAACCAAATTGGGATGTTCAGGTGAGTAGATTGGGGTGATTGATGGGGCGATAATAACCTTTCCCCACGCAGTTTCACTGGGATTTCGCCAGATCAGAGCAAAGCTTTAATCGAAAAGGCGCATATATACCTGACTGCGAACGGACGGATTTCGATGGCGGGGCTCAACAGCCACAATGTGCGCTATTTTGCAGAGAACCTAGACAAAGTTACCCGCGGGGAATTGTAAATTTAAAATACTGTATTACAATGATGTCACTTGTATGCGTATGTTTGAAATACGTCATGATTGGTGATCGAGGATGATTCCTGTTGTGCCTTCCTTGTTTCTCCCTTCAACTTCACCACCAAAATCCAAATCCGTACCATCCGACCCAAATGCTGGCCTGACCCATGTTTCCTCCCTCCTCACCGTCAGACACAGCGGGCGCGCCTAATCCGTCGTCGTCTCCGTTGTCCGCAACGGCCCCGCCCTCATATATCCAGCTCCCGCCGCCACCGTGCTTCTCTTCGTTCGCATTCTCTCAATCGCCTTCCCATCCCTCCCCCGACCCTTTCGACAGAACACCCACCTCCCCCTCAATATACTACACGGCACCCTCGTCGCCGTACACAGAGTCCCCTACAAATTCAGAGCCGTCGTCCCCTCTGAAATCCCCTGGCTCACCCCCACCGTTGCCTGGGCTTCACATAACAATACCATCGGGCCCACTTCCTCGAAGCCCGAATTATGAACCGTTGCAGAACGAAGCTTTTCCAACTACCGACGTATCTATCGACATCGCTTTGGACGATGAGAGCTTGAGCCCGCTCGAAAAGATTTACCTGTTCTCCAGGAACAACGACCCGTTTCATCGTGTTTTCATCATCCATGCCATGCCATCCTTTTTGGAGCAGGTCACTCCACTCGAGGCTGACGAATACGTACTACCGCTACTGCGAAGCCTGGCCCAGGATGAGGGTAAGCGATTACTGCAATCATTGTTGTCTTGTGATAGTGACTACAGCTGGCAATGCTACATGTTTCAATAGATGAAACGGTCAAGGAAGCACTAGCTGCGGAATTAGTTCCTATCATATGGTGGTTCTTCACTGTATGTCGTTTATGCCCCAAGGTTTGCATATCTATCGAGATCACTGAACCGCGTTCTTGCCGCAGCATTGCCAAATCGTACCAGAGGGCGTCAAAGCGAACGAGTTTGGCCAACCATCAACAATACCAGTGACCACGATATGTGTCCAGTCGTTCACACCGATTTTTGGAAGGCTCCTGCTGAGCCCGAACCCTATGGTCGGAGGTCCAACTAGGAGTGCAGTTGTGGAAATATTAGCCAAGATGCGCAGGGCTGATATTAAAGAAGGACTCCTTCCAGCGAGCATGGGTCCCACAAACTCATTGGACGATCAGCCTCCATCAGATCCACAGTCTGAGAGTGAGGCGGACTCCGTCATCGGCTTATTCGGCAAGGTGGAGCGAGAATTGTTCGAACACGAGCTTCTGCAGCACGTCGTCATTGGCATGGGTAGATTGGATATGATGGCCACCGACGATTGCCAGGAGCCGCAGCCAGAAGATTATGCCTACGAAGACTGGGACGGCTCGAGTCAGGATATTTCTCCTGCGACAAATAATTTGACCGATGGATCTACGGCCGAAAGCTCTCCGGATGCTATGGACGTAGATGTTGAGGAGAGAACGCCGATGCTGGAAGAACCGGTGAATCCCTATTTTCCTCACCGTGCCCCGGCACCCTCACCCTCAGCTTCGTCGTCGTCGGAGTCGACACCCTCAATGATTACCAGCTCCTCGACCACGACATCTTCGCCTTCTTCGACAGGCGAGTGCCTTGAGGTTCAAGAGAGTGTATCCAACAACAGTGGCTCAACTGTATCTCCGCCTGCTCTTGACGGTATCAGAATGGAAGCCGACGAACAAGGATGGATGGATTACAACATGGAAGGGGACAAAGACAAATACTACGATGCTGAATACTACCTTCCCAATGAGGTATCCAAGGCTCTAGATCTGCAGTCTGGCCATCACTATACTGGATCATCTTTGTTATTTACGTGCTATCCTCAGGTTTCGACTATCGACCCATATGATTGCACAGAAGAGGTCTCAGAATCGTCGCTTGAATATGGCGCGTTTGAGTATCCTGAAGATGCAGCGGTTGATATTGACGACTACGGTGATGAGTTGGATTTCGACCAAGAGCAAGCTGCGGTGGGAAGGGTCTCGAGCATGAGCCTCATGGCGGCTACTGCTGCTAGTGGTAAGCTTTTGTTTCTGGCAGTATCGTTCATAAGTTCTTGACACGTCCAATAAATTTAGGTACATTACGCGATGAGACCAAGGTAGCCTTCGTAAAGGAAGTGGAACGTGTAGGCCGAGACCACCTGCATTGGGTGAGGCGAGAAGCTTCCTTCGCTGTTGGCGCTCTAGCGAAGGTGGTGCCCACAGAGCTTGTTGTCTGCTCCTTGGTATGGTCTCATCTTATGGCACCGACACTTTAATTGACCTAAGAACCAGTTCCCCTTGTTTGAATCCCTTCGTCAAGATCCTGTGTGGCATGTGCGCCAGTCAGCTTTGTTCGCGCTTCCTGCCATTTTATCCCGTTTGCCGCCACAGCGTCGACGTATACTAGCGATGGAGACTGTTCTTCCTCTGTCAAAAGATGCGTCTTCGAATGTGCGAACTGGGGTTATGGAAGCGCTGGGCGAGGTTATTTATACCTTCCACAAGGATGAGAACGGCCCCCCAGAGCAGCTTTTGCACCTTTTCTTGGGAAGAAAGGAAGACAAGCGATTGAGGGATGGGCAACAGGAGGCCAGCGGCCGGAGTGGCGTAAGTGAGGGGCATCAAAGCATCCCAAGCTCGACACTTGGTTCCCCACCCTCCGCTACAGGGCAAGGCAGCAATGGTGACACGCCACTGGATCCGCTAGAAGCGTTCTTCCTATATCCGGACCGGGCCATGGTTTGTGCCTTCAATTTCCCTGCCATCGCAGCAACACTTGGGCAAGCAAGATGGATCGAGATACGGGAGTACTACCTGCAATTGGCGCAAAATCGCATGACTGGCGTTCGGCGGACATTGGCGGCGAGTTTAGGCGCGATAGCCAAGATCATCGGAGAGGAGAATGCTGAGAGCGATCTCATGGATGTGTGGTGGGATGCAATTAGATGCGAAGAGGAGGATGTGAGGATGAAGGCAGTGGAGTGTGTAGGGGAATTTGTGTCGGCCCTGGGCTCAAGTGCTCGGCTTGAGATTATACGGGGGTTGTATACGTTTTGGTCAGAGGGCATTTTCAGGAATTGGCGGGAGAGGGAGCGGATCGCAGACATCCTTGGTGATCTTTCTCAGCTTGTCGGCTTGGCTGATACTGGCATAATGCGTGGCCTATTAATGCTGGCTTTACAAGACGGTGTGGCTGCCATCAGAGAGGCGGCAGTGTCATCTGTGAGTGTGCTTCTCACCAATCGACCTTCGCTCCAAGGGGAACAAACTCTGACTGTTGCCGGTTTGTAGCTGCCTGTGATTCGGAGAACATTTATGGCTGATGCACGGGTGCTACAAGATTTACATGACGATGTTCTAAGCCTGTCTAGATCAGCAAACTATCGTTGGAGGATGGCGTACGTTCTTCGTTCCTGGCTTCTTTTCCCAGAATCTCATAGAAGTTTTCGTCTCGAATCAGTTTCATCGCATGTCAGCAAATCTTGACTATATCACCGCCATCCCAGACTGCGGCCGTGGAGGTTAATGAGGCCTTCTGGCTCAGCCTTGAGCCTCTCACAAGCGACAAGATTGTTGGTGTCAGGATTAGCATCGCGCGCCTCATAGGTGTTTATCTTCGTGAGTAGTTGCGTGTGACTATTTGTGCGTCACTTTGACTAATCGACGGCGATATGAAGGCGCATTTCACCGAGGTTCTCATCAAGCTTCCAATGAAACACTATCGAACATGGTCAAGACATTGCAGGATGATTCCTCCCACGAAGTCAGGTCATACGTTCCAAGTGTATGGCTTGAGGACACTCGTGCTGATGGAAACGTTCCCGGCGTAACTCCGCTTCGGTCCAAGGGAGCCCAGTCGTCGATATTCTCTAAACCACCTCCGATATCGTCGAATCCGGTCGACACAGTCCTTGCGGTGGCTGCGGAAGCCACCTTACAGGAACAAAATAGTATGCGGGCGGCATCGAAACCCGTGCAAGCGCAAGAGGACATCGGGTCCATTTTGTTCAGCAAACTGCAGCAGATTGGAGAAGCTCGGGTTTCGGCAGAGAGTGCGGCGCTTAGTGGGACCCACCTCGAAATGGCGCAGCCTGTTCCCTCTTAGGACCCGAAAGTTACTCGGACTCTTGTGGTGCTCCTCCTGGAGCGATACTGATGCCCTAGTTTGACCGGGGCCAGTGACTGATACATGTAACATAGTATTGATGTTTTTTGCATTGACCCGTTCCGTTGTTCTTTACTGATTCAGCATTGCCCCTGCAGTGTATACCTACACATCCATCACTATCTATACCATCGTACATTCACTTATAATATACTATTCAGCATTAGTACCTGAGTGTGCTGCAGTGAGCGTTCCACATTGGAGGTATTCGGAGTTCCAACTGTCCACGGCGGCTGCCGCATTGGGAACTTCTTCGTAGGACTGATGTGAAGATTGAAAACACACTCTTGCCTGCCACCTATAATTTGCTGACGAGCTGGCCTTCCCTTCTCCGCTCCTTGCCCCGTCACCGTCGACCGGTCTCAACCCCCCACGCTCTCTTCCACCGGCTTCTCTGTACAATAAACGATGATGGACAGGGTTATGAGAATACTGCGATGCGTGCTCTTTGGTGCGTTCCTTAGCTTTTTCCATATGCTGATGGCTCATGTTGTGATTAGCGTTCTTCATCGTATGCAATGCCATAATATGCAGTGGGGCTGTATGGAATCTCAGCCTGATGCAACCATTAGGATGGCGCAGTGCGTACCGTCTTCTATGTGATGGCATAGCAACTAATTTCATCAATTCAACAGTGGAAGTAAACGTTTACTTGATAGTAATTGGCGCGATAGCAGTCACCTTTAGCTTCGCTCTGTAAGTACACCTTGCGCCCAGTTCCCCTCGACGATGGCCTTACCACTGGTGGTAGAATGTTTTGTGAACTTTTGCGACCGAATGGGTTCACAAGTCTGGTATGGGTCGAGTGTGCATGGGTTACGCTGTTCTTAGTTCTTGAGCTAGGTGTGTGCTTATCACTGCTAATTCCTCGTATAGAGCTCACCGCCGTCGTCATGATCAGCTGGAGCGTCCGCCTTCTTGGCCATCGTACCTGCTTTGACATGCCAACCCCTGGGAGTCCCCGCAAGATTGAATGATGGAAGGAGATCACGGCGTATGTTATCAAACTTTGTCTGCTCTTACAATAACCAACGCTCTTATGTTAGTCCTAACTCGCGTAAACGGTGCCTGCAGCTCCACGCGCTTAGTCCTTGCTTTCACTTGGATTTGTTCGTTGATGCGTAAGCGTAATTCGTTTCACCTTCGCCATATCCTGGTTAACTCTTCACTATGATATAGTCCTCATTTATGTCTGTTTCTTGACCATCTCTGCGGTCATTCAATCGAAAGATGATCCAAAGATTTGGGTTAGCTCGGTTCGGCATCTTCGGTGGTCTGAGGAACGGCGACAACTCTCCAGCGCCCCGCCATCTCCCACCAGACCTCGCTTCATCAAGAAGAACCCCTCTATAGTCGCGCCGAGACCTCGTCGGGTGCTACAAGCGCCTAACATCTACGCCTACCGCTCGGGTCTCAGCGATGACTATCAGATCGAACACTTCCAACCTCCGAACGCTATCCAATCAGAGCCAGTTGAACCGGAACCAGCTCTTCTGCTGCGAAACGATTCTCAACCCCCCGTCAACTACAATGCCTACCCGGCAGTTTCATTCTACCCCCAATACATGCAATCTGCGATTACTCCTGCAATACATCAACAATTACCCCCGGAGCAACAAGCTGGTCCATCTTCTCCTCCGCCTCTCGGTGACTGGCCGAGAAGGGATGTCCTATCACATCCAGCAAAGCCAAAGCGACGCCCGGCGCCACCGCTCGATGATGAATTGGCGGCGATCGCCAATTTAACATCTCCTTCAGCGTCACATACTCGCCGTCCCTCGGGACCTCGTACACGTTCGACAATGAACGCCTATAACTCCCGACCGCCGCCGCCGTTGGACTTGACAAACATAAGTTCACATCGGACATAACGTGCTGGCTTAGGATACTTGTACGACGCGGGCGTCGCTAGGGTTGTTTTACGTTAGATGTATTCTTATGGTTGTATTTTATTGGGTGTATCAGCACATGTGTCTGTATAGCTAGCTTAGTACTAATCTCTGGGACTTACTCATGTTTGCCATAGCGCATCATATGATATGCTCTTTCGGGAAGTGGGCGGGATCCGCGCTCAGCTCTCGGTTTGGGACTTCTGCCGCGTTATTAGCCTCAATCGTCGTCACGAACAAATCATCCACTCGAATATAAGAGGAGTCGAGGACCTTTTTGAGAAACTTCAGGGATGATTTCAGGGTCCGAACAAGGACTGCGAAGCCTTTCATTGTTCTCCCGGTTGACGCACAATGGCCTACGCTATTGTTATTGTGGCTCGATCCCTTTCTTTATATAAAGGCAGCAGCAGTCACGATGAGCTCAGCCTTTTGCTTCTTCCCTCCAACGACCTTGAACGCGCCCCAGGGATTTCCGCAGAGCGGACTGAATCCCGTTTCCTTTCTTACGCCCCGTCTATCCTTTACGACGCAGGATGCCTGCCTTAACTTCGTCTTCGAGTTCGACTTCATCAGAAAAGGCGAACACCAATGAACGTAGACTTCCGAATCCAGTTGTTGTGATTCGCTTCCTGGCTTTCGGTAAGATCCACTTGAACTATATATACGTTACTGGGATCACTGAATTTGAATGGAATGTAGCACTTCTTGTATTCCTGAACTTCCAGCTTCTGGTGTTCACGGCCTGGAATATTCATGCCGCGTTGTCTATTTCTTTGCCTGGTATGTATATGTTGCGATTTCTAAAATTACCCGTCATAACTGACCTGCGGGTTCTGTCATAGTATCAGGCCCTACGATTGTCTTTATCTTCAATTGCTGTTTTCTCTACCTCTTCATCGTCTTGTACGCCTTTCCACAAATGGCTTAGTGAATTCAAGCTGATTACGCGGACAGTGCAATGGTCGAATATATACGGCCCTATTCAAAGACTGGTCAGATCAAGTTTGAACTAGCTTGGTCAGGCGTTATCAGCTTAATGTATCTTGGTACGTTCAGTCGAGTCTCGCATGCTATCTACGTGCTGACTGCAATTCAATGACAGGGGCTACGATTTCTCTAACCGTCGATGGCCCTACGCAGGTATGCGAAGCGACAAGTAAGCAAATTGGCATTATCGTGTTCCTATCGAGCTAAGTTTGTTCACAGAGGATTCAAGCATCTGCGCGTCCGCCTCCTTGTTACTCCCCGTAGCTTGGGCGACTACTCTCACCCGTAAGTCCCTTTCTTAGATTAATAGCCCAGCACTAACATGTTTTCTCCCCTTTAAAGTACTTACGTATCTCTTTGGCTTAGTTGTTCTCTGTGCTGTCCACGTGCCTTCGTACCCGGCTATTTGGGACGACACGGTGTACAAGTTTCCGTGGTTCCTACATCCCGACGGTACTTATCAACCGTACGTCCGGGAGCGCAAGACGGACGAAGAGACTGGCGACGCTTCATCGCCTACCAGCATTGCGACCCACGGGACTCGCCGACGCTTCACTCTCGATCCACCTTCCTGGGCTAAAGCTCTCAACGTGCGAAGAGGAAGAGACTCGCCTTTCGCTACCAGTGGCGTCCAGTCCGGCACACCATCCATGGTCCCGTCTTCAGTGACCGTTGCACCGTCGGTACCGCCCAAGGACCTGCGTATCAAAGTACCTCCTACTCCATCACGCGAGGGGTCCCCTTTCCCAGATAGCGTCGACAACCAAGACATCCCCATACCTCTTCCACGTCTCTCAGCCTGGATACGCGCTGATGCCATCCGCGGCATCACTGTACACACAATCCCAATCCCCACTCCGTGATCAACGGCTGTGCGGCCTTGACGACCTCATAACGATATTTACGATGGCTTGGAAGCTGCCAGTCGGCTGGACCCTTTGATGTACTCTAGAAAGCTACTGTATACGCATGGCCCCTAGTAATTATCCACAAAGAACATGTATGTATCATTAATCACTCACACTATAGCTATCTTGTTGTTGTAATGGCTCTCTTGTCTTGTAGCTCCCATAGTGGTCCTTGACCGCAAGCAGCGTGCGCATACTTGCATTAAAACAGCGATTACAGCACATGGGCATGCCGGTCAGAATATAATTACGACAGTCAAGGACATGTTAGGATTGACGCCGGAGGACTGGGATGTCTCAGTACGACTTCATGTCAGGTTGACTCTAAACTTCGGCCTCTTGGTTGGCTGGGACCATGTCAAGGACCCACGCTCTGATGTTCATTTACTTCCTCATTTGAACTATGTTGTTGTCGGAGGTGCCCATTCCGGGACGTTCATGCAAGGTCGGAGACAGGTTCGCATTCTATACTTGGAACTTATCTCCTATACACACATTGAATCTTGGCCTAGTAAATGAATTTTAACAAATATGACCCACGGCCAGCGCCCGGTGTGATGAACAAATTGATGGATTGTCAGTGCCACAGTACATGTCGTGAGGCTATCAATGGCGTCGGTTACGCAGCACGGCCTCGAGGTCCTTTAATATATAGGCAGTCTCTCACAATGTATACCCCCAGGCAATTCGCTGTTTACTCTTCTGACACTGACTGGGTCAGTCTTTCTTTTCCTCAGGCCGCCCTTTCAGTTTCGTTCAGCGGTCCTGTTGTATTTCTTTTGAATCTTTCTTGAATCTTCACTCCTTTACACTTTGCTATTCGTTATCATGGGTTCTGCCAAGCTTTGGGCTGCTTTCACGAAATATAGAAGGATCACTTTTGGTAAGTGATATCTCCCCCCGAAAGTGCAGATACTAATAATTAATCAGCATTCTGCGCTGTTGCGAGTCTAGGGTGGGCTATCTTTCTATCCATATTTCTATCCCGAGAATGGGTGGAATATGATATATCCGAACGTACGCTCTCGTCTGATCTTGATGTAACGGGACTTGCCTGAACCGTGCCAAAGGTGCGATTGTAGTGGGTCTTGTTGCACACCACGGCCTTGCGACGATCCTACTGTACCTAATGTACGTCCACTTCTGGAGAATCGGAATCTGCCTAACATACAATCGTAGGGCGGTCTTGCAATTCCGGAAATGGCTCGATGCTGCTCGTGTTGCCTTCGTCTTAATATTCCAGACCGGCACCATTATCGTCTTTAGCTTGTTCAGCACCGATTTCCCTTGCAATCAGTTCTGTAAGTTCATCCGCCCGCGGCGAATTGCAGGAACTTACGTCGATAATCCAGTGGGATCCCCCGCAGCATGTAGGACTGGCATGATGGCCGCAATTATCGGTATATGGTCACAAACTGGAGTTCGTACGTATCTGTAGCGGTTGACTGATATTCAAAACTCACTCGTGCTCTGTCTAGTTCTCATTTATGCTTGTGTACTGGCTCTTATGACCTGCTTCCCCGCACCAGTTCAAGCACCTGTTGAAGTTGCAAAGGTCACTCCGTATGGTGTTGTTTCCAAACGATCGTCTGCGTCGTCAGTGGACTCGCAGACAAGGTTGCTACGCGTTGACAATAGCGGTTATTCTCGGGCGCCCTCACCGAGAACCCACTACGCCCAGCCAGTCAACTCTCTTTCACCGATGCGATCTGCTGCACTTCCATCATCCCCGTTGCATTCTCCGCGTCCGGACGGGTATGGTCATACTAGAGGATATAGACCGAACACCCCAGGTTTATCGTACTCAAGTACCGCCAGCTCTGCCTCCTCTGTCAGGGTTCCATCCACTGGGCCGTCCTACGGACCCAATTTACGGAGTCCCCCTCGGTCTCCCAGGGGACCACCTGGAACTCCTGCGCCTATGATTCTCAACCCGTTTTTGGACCCCTTGAGTCGCTCGTCATCCGCTGTCTCTTCTAGCACATACGCGTCCTCAGCCAATAATTGGAACCCATACGCCGCGCCAATGAGATACAATTACGGAACCCTGACACCGCCTCCCAATACTCCCAGGATGTTGGAGGCACAATACAGGCCTGGAGCACCACCAAAGAGTGCACCACCTTACTACTCGACGACACCTTTTATACCCGAAGAGAGATACATGCAAAATGCGACAGCATTCCTCCAGGTCCCGATGTCTCCATATGCTGTGCAACCGTCCGCTCAGCGATTGATGCCTCCCCGGTCTATGACTGCCACACCGGCTCATTCAATACACTCGCTTTCTGGGAGCATCCACGCTGATGAGCATCGACCACCTGTTCCTCCCTTGTCTTTGACCCCGTCGCGGCCGCCCAACTCGCTTTCTCCACCGCCATCAGCGCTGTTGCCTCTGCCTTCGGGCATGCAATTCTCTCACGTCGATGCCAGTAATATGTCAAACGGACTGATGGCCCGCCCGCCGCCCACACCTGCCAGCGATGTCAGCGCTCGCCCTTCGCCCGTCGACGTCCCAATTGACGGGCCTATTGACATGAAACGCTGGCACAAAGATGTCCTCGGTGCAGCGGCGGTCCGATGAGTTAGTGTAGACAAGACGTCCCGCTCAGTGAAGGTTGACTGCAAGGAGTACTTTATCCTCTACACCACTTGTAGGACTAAGTAGTGCTTTCACTTTCTTTTCATCGTGGTGGACAATAATTAATCCGTAGCTTTAATCCACTGGTTTATATAAATTATCTTGTATTCTTGATACTGTAATGTAAATGTAAGTACCAGGCGCGGAGCTTGTAGTAAATGGGCGCTAAATAATACAAGGCCCAGTATGACGTTAGGGGTCCCCCAGTAGCCGCAGCCTTCCACCCATCCACATAACCAAAATGGCATCTTTCGCGAGCGTGTTCGCCAGGCAGTCATGCTATTCGCGAATAATGTCGCTTCAAACGAGCTTTCGTCAAACCTCGGGTCTTCGAAACGTAGTGGCTAGGTCTCCTGGGCGGGGCATTCACTCCACTCCAGGGACGGGGAGGAGACTATCATCCTACAAGGCCTTTGGCGTGGCAGGAGTTGGTTTGGGACTAGTCACGGCAGCAATGCCTACTGTATATTGCGATGGTAACTGCCCGATTCTAATAGTCTAAGGAGTCAAGGTTATTGACAGATATCTTAAACATTAGTCTCTGACAATGAGAAGGCACAACGTCAAGCGGCAGCCTCTCCTCGCGCCGAGCAGCCCAAATCATCACTGCCACCGCCACCTTCTTCTGCAATTAATGTGTATGAACTCACCTTCGGCTCGGTATGCGGTATTTGCGCAGGCATCTTCTTGAAGAAAGGAGCAAAGGCCGTCGCATTCGTTTTTGGAGGGCTATTTGTACTTCTTCAAGTACGTACACTTTGATACACCGAGAGTACTCATCTTGACCCCATCTCCTCACAGTACTTCACCTCAGTCTCCCTCGTACGCGTCGATTGGGTCAAAATGGGCTCACGCTTCGAAAACCTGTTCTACAGAACCGACGCGGTGACAGGTGCTCGCAAGGCTCCATCTATTGTGTCTCTGTGGACTTGGTTAGTGGACTTCTTGACGTCCGACTTCCAGCCACGCGCGTCGTTTATCGCTGGCCTTGCGTTGGGTTTGAGGATCGGATAGAGGGTGAACGGAACGGAACAAGTATCGGGGGTCGTCAGCTTGTAGAATAAACACATGCATACACTGTAGATCGAATTTTTTGTTATGGAGCAGTAAACTACTGAATCCATTTCTTGCCATTCTGGAACGATGGGACGCCGCGCGAAGAATAAACAAGCAGCACCGGAACCATTCGAAGTTGTTCCTGCATCATACTCGCGGAAGAACGGCAAGCGGAAGGCTGACGAAAGAGAACATGAAATTGCCAGGCCGTCCAAGAAAGTGAAGGACGATAAAAAGGTTACGAAGGGAAAGCCGAAATCAATACTAAAGGGAGCCAGTGCGACCGCTCCGAAGAGGGTTGCCCCAAAGAAGAAAGCTGCTGGATCAGAAGACGAGGCTAGTGACGGTTGGGAGGATGTCGAAGATGAAGATGTAGAGACTCATAAAAAGTTAGTCGACCTGATTAAACAAGCTATCCAGTTATTGAAGATATGGCAGGTCATTATTTAATGACAGTGACGATGATGGAGGCTGGGCCGGCCTTGCTGGTGACCTAGGCGATCTGGACGACGAGTGAGTCTTAACGTCGTTGCATTCTCCTCGAGGATACTCATTTCATAATGCGAAGTGACGATATGCTCGGAGACGGTCCTGTTGAGGAGCTCGACCTTGGTTCTGACGACGACGAACCTCCTACAACACTCAAAATCAAAGGTAGCAAGTCGAAACAAAGCTCCCGTCCTGCAAAAATAATACCTGATGCCTTGGAATCCTCGGATTCGGATTCATCGAGTGAGGATGAAGAGGAACGTATTACGATCGCGAACATGGAAGCCCGTTCACGCGCCCTGGATGCGCAGGCCACTGCGGACGCCGAGATTGATGCAGAGGAAATGCAGAGAGCAGAGCAGGAAGGTGGCAGCGATGACTTCGACGAAATGGACGAAGAAATGGACGAAGGGCCTGATGGAGAAGCGTTCCATCTACCCACTGCTGAGGAAAGAGCTGAGGAGAAGCAAGCTGGTGGACCCGACGTAAATAGTGTGCAACGGCGCATGAGGGAATGTGTTCGCGTTCTTGGTAATTTCAAAAAACGGGCGGAAGCTGGACGGTGAACATCTCTCTTCTATCTCCTATGCTACGGAGTTGAACTGATTCAACGATCCATAGTTCGCGGTCGGAATACATAGAGCAGCTAACGTCTGACATTGCGAGCTACTATGGGTATAACGATTTCCTCACTGAAAAGCTCTTTCACCTCTTCCCTGTTGCCGAGGTAAGGTGTTATACTATCGGATCTACACGTATTTTTGACCACTTTCGTTAGGCCATTGAGTTCTTCGAAGCCAATGAAGTTCCGAGACCGGTGACAATACGAACCAACACACTTCGGACGAGACGGCGTGATCTTGCTCAGGCCCTGGTGAACCGTGGTGTTAACCTTGAGCCGATTGGAAAATGGACGAACGTTGGCCTCCAAGTGTTTGAAAGCAGCGTGCCCATAGGTATTACTTTCGATCACCGGTGCTGAATACAATTGTTGATTTACTCGTCTTAGGTGCAACGCCAGAGTACTTGGCTGGGCATTACATGCTACAAGCGGCCTCTTCATTCCTCCCTGTCATCGCCTTAGCTCCTCAACCTAATGAACGAGTCCTGGACATGGCTTCAGCGCCGGGTGGGAAAACCACACACATCGCCGCGCTCTTACAAAATACCGGGATCGTATTCGCAAATGACGCCAATAAGGCAAGGACGAAGAGTCTAACAGCTAACGTCCACCGATTGGGCTGCAAAAATGTTGTCGTGTGCTCTTATGATGGGCGCGAGTTCCCGAAGGTCATGGGTGGATTCGACAGGGTTTTGCTAGATGCCCCCTGTAGTGGGACAGGGGTGATAAGCAAGGACTCAAGTGTAAAGGTTAACAAGGTAAGGGTGCATTACTACTTGTAGGGCATATTCATTGCTAACTCTTCGGTAAAGTCCAACCGCGATTTCACACTTTTGGCGCATTTGCAGAAACAATTAATTCTTTGCGCCATCGATAGTGTCAGCCCCGAGTCAAAAACAGGCGGTTATCTCGTTTACTCAACATGCTCGGTTACTGTTGACGAGAACGAATCCGTCGTCGACTACGCCCTCCGGAAACGCTCCAACGTGAAACTCGTGGATACTGGCCTTGAATTCGGGAAGGAAGGCTTCACGCAGTACCGGGGCAAGAATTTCCATCCTAGCGTCAAGCTCACCCGGCGGTTTTACCCACATGTGCATAATATGGACGGATTCTATGTGGCGAAATTCAAGGTGGAGCGCAGGATGAAATCCACGCCGGCCTCCAACGACGTGGCAGCTGACGATGAGAAAACTACCACGGTGGCTTCTGGCGGCACCACTGGCGCGCACTCGGAGGACGCTGGGTTCAACTCAGATGAGGATCGACCGTATCTTGAAGGTCCGTTTTCTCTTCTAGCGTCTACTTAATATGTGAGCTAATGGTCTCGACTGTCTTGGCTCCAGAAAACAAACGGAGATGGATGAAGTCCAAGGGATTGCGCCCTCCGCCGCGCAAAGCCCATAAACCTATCGAGACCTGAGGGCCTCGGGTATTTTGAACCCTTTGTCCACTCCCCTTTTCGCCCACTCTATCGCGAAGTTGCGAAGTTATTACGCCTTTGAGGCGGAGAATGTATCACCCACTTAATGGCGAATCTATTGTAATCCTTTGCGTGGGGCTCACGACCGTGTCATGTGTGTCTTTGAGTCCCTTTCCAGTCGGCAAGCCCCTCGACTGCCCGTAAGTAATAAATGTCAATCGATTATCGGGGCATCAGATCAAGTACAACAACCGGTAGTATAGCACAAAGGCCAGAGGATGCCATAGTAAGTAGTATTACAGACGGCTGCACGAGCGGTCTAAGGGGATCATTAACATCGGGTAGGGATACAGCATCGTATAATCATAATCGATACACAAAGGGGGATAAGTCAGTGTAAATGGTCCTTGGCAATGGTGGAAGGAATGGTGGTAGTCAGCCTATCAGCATAGGCCTAAAATTGGGTATCTGGGTCGTGAGTGTGTCATCACCCGGGGATCGCTTTGGCTTTCAAGAAGTTTGATGGGCTATGATGCTTCAACGGGCTGGCTCTTGCGGAACCTAAGAGAATGACAGGGAAGCAGAAAGAAGACAGAATTAGCACACGGCGCTGATGACAGAGCCGTAAAGTACTGACCTTCTGCTGCCACCGCATGAGAAGATTCCACAACAAGCGCCAACCATTCCGATCCATATGAGGATCGCAGCCACAAGTGTCATCCACACCTGTGATGGATGGCAGGGTTAGAAATAATGAACATAGTAACCTGGACCCAGGTGTGCGCAACCGGAATACGAGACTTACCCCGTTGCCATATTCGACGTAGAGTACATCGTTGCTGAGATCCCGGATACGATCACGTACAACTGCAACGAATATGACGTCGATGAGGAAGCAGACTGTCGTGAACAGGCCTGCAAGCACGCCGAGAATAAGTGTGCAGAGCGAGGGTGCTCTGGCGGTGCCTGCTGATCCGCGCTTGACAACCATGAACACGGAGATGGCCATTGTAAAGAAGGTGAGGATAGCAGCTAGGGTTGTGGGTGAGCCAATCTGTGATCGGACGAATGATCGGATGGATATCACACCTAGAACGTGCATTACCAGGGCGCTGGTGACCGAGTGGGAGATGGTGTTTTCAAAGTAGAATGGATTGACCCGCCTGGCGGCATTGTTAGCTTGGGTTGCGGTTATGGAAATAAGAGCGGGGTCGCGTACAAGGCATTGGCGACCCAAGGGTCGAAGTAGTAACCAACACCTGGATGGGAACAATCTCCATAGAGTCCGCGATTGAAGCCACCAAACCTGGCGGCGTCTGTTGAGCACACGAACTGTAATATCAGAGCCTTTTCGAGCACTCACTGCATGTTCATGCGGTCAATGCAGTATCCCCAGACACCAAATGTGACATATCCATTGGCACCAGCGTTAGCAAAGCGCCCCCCTGTGTTCACCCCAATGCCAAACAAGTTGATGGTGTAGACGACGGGGACTGAGACAGACACGAGCAGCAGCAGGATGAACGCGATGAGCAGGAAGACTGGTGCGACAAAGATGAACACCATTGTTGACGGCGAGCTACGGCGGTGGGAGATCTTTCTGCTGAGCGCGCGTGCTGGGCGACGCGGGGAGGGAGAGCTTGGAAGGCATGCTAAAAAAGTGCTTTAAGAGGGAGAAATTAGGCTGTGACGAGAGCCTTGTCGCTGGCGGCGATGATTGGGCCAAGTCACGGTTGCAGAGCTGAGGAAAGTGCTCGGTGTCGAGGAGGACGCTAAGCTGGAAGCGGAGTGGTTCGAGCGTGGGAATTCTGGCCCTTAATTTGTTGGTATCAAGGAGGGAGACAGTCGTCTCGCAGGCGGATTTCTCTGCGAAAAAATAAAATAAAAGGCCAGAGTCATGAGGAATCCATGTGAAAGGAAATCCAGCAAAAAATGATGATCATCAGTCGCGTTTTTGAAAAGAAGGGACGGCCCTGAGGCTAGCGAGTAAATAGGGTTAGCCCTTTGTTTGTACACACCGAACCAGATAAAAGCCCAGTCTCACCGCCATTTGTTTCATCCTCTTCCTCTTTCTTCTCTACTCTCATCACCCTCTGGGTTAACGGCTGCGTAGCACGCACATCCCTCTTTGTCTCTCAACTTAATACCCTTTCAATGTACGACCTCCATCTCCTCCTCCGTAGTACAAAAAATACTCACCTTATCGTTTCAGCTCACTTTCGACTTTTTGCAATAATGTCTGCCCCAGAGACCGCCGCTCCCGTTGCCCCCGTCGAGGATAAGAAGCCCGAGACAACTCCCGCCCCAGAGGCTACCCCCGCCGCCGAGGCCGCCAAGGTTGAAGAACCGGCCGTCGTATGTTTTTTCTCGCTCATTTCTTCCTTTTTCCCGCTTTTAATTTTGTGACTTCTTATCGCAGGAAGCCCCAAAGGCCGAAGAGCCCAAGGCTGAGGTATGTGATTTTTCGCGTCTTTCGTTGAACTCTCGCTTAACATCTTCCCAGGAAACCCCCGCTACCGAGCCCGCTACCACCACGGAGACTCCCGCCGCTGAGGAGGCCGCTGAGCCTGCAAAGGACGAGGCCAAACCAGTAAGCATTCTAGACGTTTCCATCACTAGTCACACGAGACCCTGATCGTCTCCCTCATTAGGCTGAGGAGACCTCCAAGGAGGAGCGTCCCAAGAGCCCTGGCTTCCTCGCCAAGCTCCTTGCTCCGTTCAAGGGCGACAAGAAGGTGAAGGCCCCCAAGAGCCCCAAGAAGGAGAAGAAGAAGGAAGTCGAGGCCGAAGTGCGTCGTTTAGCCTATTAACTTCCTCTGTAATCTAACAAAAGGCTTCATTCTAGGCCGCCGCTCCTGCTACTGAGGAGGCTGCTGAGCCTGCTCCAGAGGCCCCTGCTGAGGAGACCGCGGAGCCTGCGAAGACTGAGGAAGCTCCTGCCGCTGAGCCAGTGAAGGAGACGTGAGTCATCTGATCTTGTGACCATCACATATATTGATTGTTGTCTTAGCGAGACGGCCGAGGCCCCTGCGGCTGCCGAACCCGCTGCTGAGGAACCTAAAGAAGAGAAGGTAATTCCCTTATTCCAATACACTAATTTTGATGCTCACGATTTCACAGAAGGAGGAGAAGAAGGAAGAGAAGAAGGCTCCCAAGGTTGGCCGCCGTCTCTCCGCTCGTGTCACCGACCTCTTCAAGTCAACGAAAAAGCATGAGGTGACGCCCCCTGCTAAGGTTGATGAGAACCCCCCAAAGATCGATGAGCCCACACCTGTTGCACCGTTGGAAAACCCCGCCTCTGAGTCTGCTGCTGAGACACCCGCTGCTCCGGCCGAGACACCTGCTCCCGCCAAGGAGGAGGAGCCTTCAAAGCCGGTTGAAGCTGCGCCTCCAGCAGCACCCGTCGTTGCCGCCGCCGCATAAATTCGGTAGTGTTTCACGACGCTTACGCAGGGATGATCTTTTATTTCTAATGCACGAACCCATCACGAGCTACACTTCACTTTGACTTATCATCTTGGTACCACAGCTTATTCTCCCTCTTTTTCTTTCCCCTCCCCCCGCCTTACCACATATCATAGGCATCGGATCTGGTCACCTATTCCGCTTTTCTTTCACGTATATCTACATACATCATGACTAGCGACTGATCCGTTCTTCACCACTCTTAATCACACCCGTGTTTGATCTGATTGCATACCCATATTCCCTTCAACATCGGATCGTTCTTCATGTCCTCAGACCTCTTAGGTTCACCTGTAATCAATTCGTTACATTCCAATCATTTGTTCTATCTGTTGCACACGATTATTCTAAGTGCCAGCATTCTCTTCGTGCAGTTCGTGCAATGCAATGAGTCATTTTGTGGCTTGCAAATTTTACCCCTAAGAACCATGCAGCGCCCTTGTACAATCCATTCACTAACGACTGAGAGGAAATGCCGCCCAAGCAGTCGAACCCCAAGGATCCCTTGATCAGCGACGACGATGAGGTCCTGCAGGCCGTTATCCTCTCTGACAGCTTCAACAAGCGATTCAGGCCGTTGACAAGGCGCAAACCCCGAGTCAGTGCAACCCAAGACATCCATTGATCGCGATGGATGTTGACACCGATCTCTACAGTGCCTGCTGCCGATTTGCAACGCACCGCTACTGGATTGGACACTTGAGAGCCTTGCGTTGGCTGGCGTGCAAGAGATCTTTGTGATCTGCCGCTCATACGCTACACAAGTCAAAGCCGCGCTCAGGTGCGCCGTATTCCATTCATCTTTGTACATCATCGCTTACTGATGCTCCTACTGTGCATTCTTGCGCATCCTGCGTCTATTAGTAAATCAAAATGGTCTGCACCCAACTCCGGGATCAAAATTACACCCATAATGACCGCGAAGGAAACGTTCTCCCCGGGAGATGCCATGCGCGATATATACACCCGTGGCCTACTGACAAGCGATTTCGTGCTGGTGTACGGCGATCTAGTGAGTAATATCAGGATAGACGACGTCGTGCGTGTGCACAAGGAGCGGCGGAAGGTCAACAAGGACGCCATTATGACTATGGTCGTCAAAGAAGCGGGCATTGGACACAGAACCAGGTAATTGGCCTGCTGGCTTTCCATATCATGTCTCTTCATTACATCAACTGAATGGCGCTCGTGCATGTTATGCTTATGTTCGCGTTAGGTCAAGAGGCGAATCGTCCGTCTTCGTGCTGGATCCAGAGACCTCGGAATGCTTGCATTACGAGCCTGTAATGGGATATCCACGTAAATCTGTGGCACGTATTCCCCGCGAGGTTGTCGCAGCACACCCTCGAATTGAGATTAGGAACGATCTCATCGACTGTCAGATTGACGTCTGCTCTGTTGAGGTACGCCTGTGATAGATATCAGACGAGACATTGGCTGACTTGACTTGCGCTCTATCTGCCATCTGCCTGTCTCCCACCAATTCAATATACCCCCATCACGAAAACCACAACAACACTGAAATCACGCAACTCGGACGCGTTTTGTTAATACGTTTTCCCTGGCCATCAATACACCTTCCCTTCGACGTCGACGGTGTAAACCACGCTCGCATCCTATGTCGTGATTGTCGTGATTTGGGGTCCCAGGTCCCGTCATTGTTTACAGACAACTTTGATTATGGCGATATTCGCCGAGACTTCGTCCACGGCATCCTGACCTCCGATCTGTTGATGAAAAACATACATTGCTACATTGCCAAGGAGGGATACGCAGCGCGGGTGCAGGACACACGGAGTTATGATTCCGTTAGGTGAGCCCCGTCTCCGCTTAATTATCCTATCCTATCCCATTCTACCCCCCGCCCCATGCCCGGCCTTCGGTCTTGCTGAGAGCGTTTCCATCCTGCATCATATCATTTCCCTCGCATAGATATTTTGATATCTTGGTTTATTAACGGACCATTTTATCATGCTCTAGTAAAGACATCCTCTCCCGATGGACGTTTCCCATGGTCCCAGACAATAACCACCCTGCTGATCACGCTTACGAACATATCCGCGGAAACAAATATATTCCTAAAGACAATAGCGTCGTCTTGGCACGGTGCGTACCTCGTTGCTGCTCTGCGTTCCCGGATCCCCATCCCCTTTGTACTTCCCGCTTTGCGACTCGAAATTCACACCCAAATGGGTGACACGCCTTCCTATTTCATTTTCGTCGTCCCTACTTCCGTGCAACTTTTCTGATATTCTCATTTCCTATTTTCTATCGTTCTATTTCCTCATGATTTGATTTTTGACAGAACGTGTAAAATTGGGCCCAAATCTCTCATCGGGCCCGCTTCCAACTGTTCGGAGGACACTACGATCACTTCCTCCGTTATCGGTGCCAACTGCGTTATCGGCCCACGGTCAACGATCTCGAACGCGTATATATTTGATAACACGGTTATTGGCGCGGATTGTGTTATTGACCGGAGCATCGTTGGGTCGAACGTCCAGGTGAAGGATGGAAGTCGTATTGAACGGGGGTGCCTTGTGGGAGATGGCGTTGTAGTGGGCCCTGGCGCGGTCCTGACGCCGTTCGAGAGGCTGATGAAGAAAGATGACGAAGGTGAAGATGCGGCAGGCGGGGATAATGAAGAGGAGGAAGAGGAGGAAGACTCAGACGAAGAGGATTTGGAAGAATGTAAGTTCGTTACTATTGGGCGTCTGGTAATATCTAGGTTGCATACTGATCCACGAATATACAGATCAGAAAAATGTCAAAAGTATACTGGGTAAAGACTCTAACGCACTAGTTTGGCCAAGAGGTCCCCCAGAAGACGAGGACGAGGAGGACGAAGAGAACGTCGAGAATTTCACCAACCAGCGGTTCATGCGGTTAGGTACGTTCAACTGTCATCCCTGGGCCATCGTACTTTCGCTCACATCGATCTAATCATCTAGGTGACGATCTCTCCGACCTCGATTCGGACAGTTCTGCAGATTCTTCCACCGACAATTCTGATTCCGATTCGGACTCTGACACTGAATCCGTCACCTCTGTCGCCACATCTACATCAGCTTCGCATGTACCTACGACGCCTACCATCGCTGTGCCCAGTAGCGCCGCAGTGGCAGAGTATGAATTCCGTGTCGAAGCTAAGCAGTCCCTCGAACGTGCGTTCGCGGAAGGGCATTCAGTCGACAACGCCGCAGTGGAGTTGAAGACTCTTCGTATGGCAAGCAATGTCCCGCTCAGTCGGGTACGAGAGGCCGTGGTCGGTGCTATCGTGGAGCGTATCAAGATAGGCGGCGAAGTAGCAGAGCAGAGGAAGGAGATCGCGACTGTAATCAGCAGATGGGGTGAACTGATTAACAAAATCGGAGGCGTGGACGCGGTGGAGACGATTACCGCGCTACAGGTGAGTTCTAGTGCCGTCATGCATGATACAGGTCTTCATTGTGTCCTGCGCCCCAGTTCCATTGTGCTGGATCAGATAGGCTTCCTCTATTCGGGCAAATTCTCGCAGCTTTGTATCAAGAAGACATCGTGGAGGAGGAGGACATCAGGGCTTGGCACGCACTCCCGGCTTCAAAGGGTGCGGAGGTAGTGCCGGGGCTAGATGCCGATAACATTAAGAAGTGCTGGGCTGTCGGAGAACGCATGATACAACAATTCGACGAACAGGAGAGCAGCGAGGAAGAGGACGGCGGAGAAACTGACGAAGGCGAGGGCACAACCGAAGGCGAAGGCACGACTGAAGAAGGCACAACCGAAGATGAAAGCGAAGAAGATAGTGATTGATATTCGCTTCAAAGCTGCGACAAGCAAAGTAGAGTCGTTGAGTCCTTATTAGACTAAGCTACAAGTGTACTAGAGCAGAGTATACATAATTGACAGGCGTAATTGTCGTGATTGCGTTGCTTGGTTCACTAGAGGCGACCAAGTGGATACTAGTACTTCAGGATGATGTACAGCGCTAAGAAGAACGCAAATTAGCAAAGTCCGGTGCGACGAAAGAGCGGGCTTACCATGGATGACACCTGGACTGTGGTCGTGGAAGAGGGTTAATTTCTGCTGAGAATGAGGCAACGGAGAATACATACATCCAACCAAGGATGGTCAAGAGGATGTTGATCAACTAGAAAACGTGCATCAGCATGTGGCCTTCATTTCAGGGTGGAAAAAACATACGAAATCTGCGTTGCAACCACGCTCAAGGAATACACCAAGAGGGGGCAGGAAAATGGCAAAGCTAGACATCGAACCATAGGTGAGTTGACGGAGTTAGTAGTGGGGAATTTGCGCGACGAACAGGATCTGGTTGTGGGCGCGGTCAGCTACATTTCTGTGGGGTATTGAGAGGACTCACTTTGCAGATATCGGAGGCGGTGAATGGCATGATGGTGATAGAGACGAAGGGGGATTTTTGAATTCTCGGATGGACGGGGTTGTTATATACCAACCAAGATCGGCATGATGATGTCATCAATCCAGGCTAATGACGCTGCGGACAAACACAGGCAAGCACTGCTTCCCAATGGCGGTCATACCAAATATCGATTATTCGCCCAAGCGCGATCCTCAGCGCCAATTCGACTTCTACTCGCCGCCCGTCCCGACGCGCTCGATTGTCGTCTTTGTCCATGGCGGCGCGTGGAGAGCGTATGTACCGTCCGATTCATCCCGATGCGCGTGTGCTCACTGCTACGCGCACTACGCCCACAGCGAAGACAAGGCCGATCATGCACCCCTGGCACAGAGCCTGTGCAAGCATACGCAGCTCGCCGTAGCTGTGCCAAATTACCGGCTCACTCCAAGCAATCCCCAAGCCGGAGACGATGTCTTCAGGCATCCAGGCCATGCAGAGGATCTCTTGCATTTTCTTGAATTTCTCATCCAGTGGCCTGGGCCTGATGGGATCACTGGGGTCGGAGGGGGCATCCGTCGGTTGTACCTCATCGGTCATTCCTGCAGCGCGCACATGCTGGCGTCCATCTTCCTCGACTCGTCCAAGGTCACACCGTCGCTCGGCCCGTCTGCCACCCTCCTCGAGGCAGTAAAGGCCATCGTTATGTCCGAGGGCATATACGATATCCCCTTGCTGCTCTCCAGCTTCCCGGCTTACCTTGGCTGGTTCATCGCGAACACCTTTGGGCAACACGACTCCTACGATCAGTTCTCAACCACGCGTCTCCCCCTCAGAACCAGTGATATCAGATGGTACATCATCCATTCCAAAGACGACACGCTCGTAGACGAGATCCAAAGCCAAACGATGTACGATCGCTTACACACGCTGCTGGGAAGTAAAGCGACCGAGGGTGTATCCAAGAACATGGATCAGATTACTGGCGACCACAATGCCATCTTCAAGGGCGATGCCTACGTCCGAACAGTGGGAGACTATATCACGCGTATAGACAGTAATTGATGTACACTCCCCTGTAGTAGTATTATGTATTATGTGTGTTTATACAACCTTGGATTGATGATTATTTGCTACTTGAGGCGTTCATGCCTCTTGTTCCTCGAACGCCTTCTCCAACCATGCAGCGCCCTCTTCGCAGTCCTTCAAGGAACCGTACAATGGCGCGGGCGTCAATCTGATGACATCCGGCTCTCTTTTATCCCCAATCACCCCGTAACTGTTCAACGACTTGAACACGTTACGCATCACTTCCGATCCTTGGGGCAGGAATAGTAGCGAGAGCTGAGAGCCCCTCATATTCGGATCGCTGGGCGTGATGATCGTGAACCCCAGACGTCCCTGGCTATCGTGCTTGATGGCCTGTTCAAGTGGCACGAAATACCTGGATTTCTTCAGGAAGGACTCCAGTGCACCCGTCAACTTGAGCGACCGTTCCCTCACGGGCTGCATCATCCCTACGGACTTGTATATCTGCAGGGACCCAAGGAGGGAAGCTATCGTCAGGGCCGAAGGGTTGGATTGCTGGAAACCTTGGGCACCAGGGATCGGCTGGAACGTCGGTGGCATTGCGAAGCGAGTGCTGAGCTCGTGACCCCACCACCCGGCCTGCCTGTGAAAGCAACGACAACACGGTAAGGAAGGGCTTTTTGAATATCCAAACCTAACCGCGATTGTGCAAGGGGGACGTCTCCGCCACAGTGACGGTAGTGACAGTAAATGACATGACGCAAACGCCCCCCCTGACGTCCCCTGGCAGGATAGCGGATAGGCGACGCGACTCACATGGGTTTCTTTTCGTCGTTCCACTTCTCGTGGATGAACAGGCCAGCGATGCCACCTGGACCAGAGTTGAGGTACTTGTAGGTACACCAGACGGCGAAGTCGACGTCCCAGTCATGGAGCGATAAGGGCACGTTTCCAACGCCATGCGCGAGATCCCAACCACATATGCAGCCCTAAAATATTTAGTAAAACAATCAGAATTCCGACAATGAGGGTAGGATGGGTGAGGATGCGAAAGGAAAGCAAGGGGCGGATGGATGATTAGCTATAAGGTCCTGTGGAGGCTAACGACATGAGGATGTGCGCTCGGAAAAGAGTAGAGACAACCGAGACAGGGAAGGCAGGGTTGACGGGAAGGGGTATGTTGTGGCGACCAATAGAAAACGCATATGGAATATGTAATGCCGTATACGAACGGTTAACGCACGATTTAACGGGTGGTTAAATGTAGACCCCTTCTCCATTATCCTTGCCGTCTGGTGCCAAAAGAAATATTCCCAAAGATTGACCAAAATCCCCGGATTCGAGGGTTGCATTAAGTCAACTGGAGGTGCTTGCTTACCTTGGATTTGGCCTTCTCCGTTATGCTGGCCATCGGAAACAATTGACCGGTGTAATACTGCACGCCACTGAATAGGACGAGCGCGATGGTGTCCCCTTCCCGGTCGATGATATCTAGGATATCTTCTTCACGGAGGTGGAATTCACCTTCGCGAGGAGACACCTCGATAATAGCATCCGCGGGGGCATATCCGTGGAGAAGGACTTGCGAGGCAAATGCGTACTATGGGCGGTTAGAACCACGACATAAATACAGTATTGACATGATCGTTCCATTAATGTGGTTCATAAGGGAATAAGGGATAACGATATGAGCATGTCAAACCGTGTGCAAATAATTTACATACCTGATCCGAAGGGAAGGCCTTGGCTTCGCACAAAATCTTGAATCTGTTTGGAGTTGGGGTGTAGAAGCTAGTCATCATGAGGTGTAGATTGGTGGTCAATGTGCCCATGCATACTACCTCCTTCTCCTTCGCCCCTGTTTGTGATGCAAGAAGTAAGTGATTGCGAATAAGCATGATATAACAGGATCCGGCCGATGGAGGACTCGACCACGGCGGTCATAGCAAACGCGAGGACGGCCCTCGCAGATGAAATCTGCTTCCGTCCATGGTAGCGCCGTTGGCGTGTTGTGGGGATGCAGGATGTCTGACTTGCCTACTACTTCCGCAAGAAGAGGGTGCACATGATCGGTAATCTTTGTCCATGGTCTATTGTAAGGATGGGAAAAATGACCCTCGACCGCACTAAAGACCAATGATAGGCAGAACCGAAGGCCGATGAGAAATGTGAATAAGTAAGAAAGCTGTCTGGCCTTGTACAATCGAAATTCTTTACCGATGGCGCCACGCGTCCAGCTCTTCGTGGACTAGCCTTTCTGAGGATTTGGATAAGGGCCCTAGCGAGTTGCCGCATAGATAAGTGCAGGAAGCATCTTGTTGAAGACGAAAGTTATGCTTTAATCGCAGAGCAGGGCATATCAGGAAAGAACGCACCAGGATCGCTGTGCTTTTCGCCGCCAACGTCCCTGTTCGAAGGTAGAATGAAGTCGTCGCTGAGGGGTTTGTAGAGGTCTGTCGTGGGCGACATGGTGGTTGGAGAAGAAGAGGTAGTGTCGAGCGCACTTGCATTCTGTGTGGATTTAATTACTGCTGATATTCTAGATCCGTGGCAAATCGTGATTCTGGCGGGAAATAGGGGCTGTCACTCTACGACATCCCAATTTGGTCGGAGACCATAGCGATGGAGGCAAGTTCCATGCAGATGCCAAATTACTAAGTAAGTGACCAAGCATCGATTGCGCCCGTCGCGTCTCTCTCAACTCAACCATGAACACAGCGCACCCCGCCCACCAGCGCACCGCCGCCGTCGTTGGCGCAGGCCCCGTCGGCTGTCTCGCCGCCATCGCGCTCGCCCATCGGGGATGGCAAGTGCAGCTTTATGAGGGGAGGTCAGGTGCGTTGCCGTCGTCAGGTTACATCTTCGTTTGCTCCGGATTTTCTAAGGGTCTTGCCAGACATGCGCCTCCCGACGTCCAAAGCGGTGTCTCAACAAAGATCCATTAATCTAGCGATATCTTCGCGGGGAATCTTGGCTCTACAGGCAATTAGTCCAAGCACCGCCCAGCGCCTATTGCAGGCAGTCATCCCCATGAAAGGCCGAATGATCCATCACATAAACGGGAAACAAGAAAGTCAATTATATGACAAGGATGGGCAAGTTGCGTCGTTTTTAATTATTCGCACCAAATCATTATTTTGACATGATCCAATCAATGCCCTGCAATCACCGTGTGCCTTTTCTCCAACAGTGTATAAACTCCATTGACCGTGCCTTGCTCAATGAAGAACTGTTGCAAGAAGCTGCCAACACAAAGAATATACGTATTCTTTTCGACCACAAGGTACAAAACGTGGACTTTGAGAAGAAGATCATCGGTGGTCGTAATGTTCGAACCGGCGAAGATGCCAGCTCCGCGTTCGACCTGATCATCGGCGCTGACGGGAGCTATTCTGTTGTTCGAAGGCAGATGATGAGAGTGGTGAGGTATGCTGTGGTTCCATTGGTCTACAATAGGACTAATCTAACGGGGTCTTTCTCAAACCTTCTTCTGGCGCAGGATGAATTACCAGCAAGAGTATATACGTGACGAGTATAAGGAGCTCAAGATGCAGCCAGGCCGGGACAAGGATGGCAACCCTACCTTCCTCATCGATCCAAATCATCTTCATATCTGGCCACGCCATTCCTTCATGCTCATAGCACTTCCAAACCAGGTCAGCCTATGCCAATTTATTAATTCGCCTTGCTGATTTAATATAAAAAGGACAAAACATTTACCTGCACATTATTTGCTCCCAGCGCCGAGTTCGACCATCTACAGACTCCAGAGACAATTCTAGCCTGGTTCAAATTAAATTTCCCTGACGCTCTGTCGTTAATTGGCGAGGATACTCTCGTAAAGGATTTCCAAAGGAATCCCAGGTGTCCGCTAATTTGTACCAAGGTAGGAGGGTTAAGCGTTGATTGGTTCCTGGCCTAATTAACACCCTTGCTATGCGAATAGTCAAGACCTTATCACTACAAAGACTGCGCGATACTCCTAGGAGATGCGGCTCACTCCATGGTTCCATTTTACGGCCAAGGCCTAAATTGCGGCCTCGAAGACGTCAGGGTCCTGGACGCTCTGCTCCATGAGGAGGGCGTATCCTCCACCGAACCCCCCGCCCACTCGTCGACTAATGGCTCGGATGAAAAACTGCACCGCGTGCTTGACCGTTATTCTGAGAACAGGCACGAGGACCTCATTGCTATTTGCGACCTAGCCATGGACAACTAGTAAGGACGATATTTCCCACCTTTAGGTTCGCGCCTAGAAAACTAATACGTCTCTCTCTCCCACAGTGCTGAAATGCGCCATTCCGTTGTCACCCCGATGTACACTCTGAAAAAGACACTAGATACTTTCTTCTACAAGCTGAGTGCGCGGAAGCCTATTTCCTTAACGGCTCTAGGCCCGTATCTGTCGCGCACACCGTTCCCTCCTGGCGAGCCGACCGGGTGGATCCCCTTGTACACGATGGTGACCTTCCGACCGGACATCAGCTATGCCACGGCTCGGACGAAAGCCGCATATCAGTCGCGCATCTTGACATACGTTGGATGGATAGGTACAACAATTCTTGCTCTGGGAGGGTCTTACTTGGCGGCATTTCTGATGCAATCAGCACGTAGCTGGTAGTAACAAGGGCCCCGATTGCATACTCCGTGAGGTTGGGATCATTGTATTATATTATTATATTCACTTAATGCCACCGCTTTACAACATGAGAATATTTCAGTGATTACATTGTTTCAGCGACTCGCGACTCGGTCACGGTGCCGACGTCGTAGACAGTAGCTATCATTTCACTACGGGAGGGGGGGTTGGGATGATACAGTCGCATTCGGTTCTAGTCGTGGCGACGTGTTCATATGAACAGCATAAATAGCACAAGACAACATGAGCAAAGGTATCCTAAAGCCTACAATAGTCCAATTGCGAAGGGGTAGCGAAAACAATGGAGGGGATAACGGGTGATAGATGGAATCGTGTCGGTCGTGAATCCTGAATACATGGAAACCATATAGAAACGGTAAAGATACGAGGCGAAAGATGGGCATGCGGTATCTGGGGTACAGGGGTCGAGGGTGTGGTGGGGGGTGGGGTGTACATCGTATGCGATCGGTTACGTTTTCTTTGTTGGAGGCCTGCCGCGCTTCCTCTTCGCAGGTTCAGACCCATCCCCGTTCGAAGCCTCGCCGCTAGTCGGTGCTTCAGGCTTAGGCTTGGGTGGTCGACCCCGCTTACGTTTCGCGGGCGGCGGTGCATCCCCACTGTCCTCCGGCTTCTCCTGAGAGGCGGGCCGGGCATAGAACGTATAAGACGACGCGACCATGGGGGTATATGATAACGTACCTTGCGTGGTCTACCACGTTTCCTCCTCGGCGGCTGCGTCGATGTAGACGCATCGGCCTCAGTAGCGGCAGCTAGGGTCTTCTTGTTCTTGCTACCCTTAGGCCGTCCTCGCCCTCGCTTTACGGGGGTTACTGCATCAGCGGGAGCACCTGTTGGACGGAGATCCCATCAGTCATCTGCGCGGGACGGCGGGAGTTGCGGTCGATCGCACGAGGGGCCGATGCGAGATATTCGCGATCACTGACCTGGTTCGGCGTCGTCGCCTGTCTGGGGATCGAGCTCATCCTTATTTTCTGCGGGGTCGTCTGCTGGATCATGGGGGGACGAGGACATGGGCTGCTGGGGGACGTGGGGGGCGAGGGAGGGCGCGTTTGGGCTGGCAGTAGGTTCGAAGGAAGAAGAGGGGAAAAGTGAGGGAAAAGCAATGTGGGCGGGGCTTTATTGAACAATTCACTGCCGAATATAGAATCGAATTCTATATTCCCTCGCGTGCATTTGGCCCAAAAGCAGGCTTTATTATTATTATCATTGAACAATCTTCCTGTTCGTAGCTTTACCCCTGATAAATTCGGGGGGCCTGTGTACGTAATTTCCAATATATTCATTTAAATTTGAGGGGAAACCAGATTTGGCCCGACACTCACGACATGGGACCGAGCAGTGTTCTCCTCCTCATCGCCCTCAATCCCAGCATCCCAGAACACCCACATGCAAATCGTCCGCAATACCCTCCTTTTATAGCAATTCAGGTCGTGTACCTTACGCTCGGATAATTTATATCCAAAATCTTACAAGGATTTAAATTTCCCGCCGCCGACAGCCCTAATATTACCACAATATATCTTTCCTTCTTCTCTCCAGAGCTCGCGGTCATAGACGGCCCGCGCACAGGGTGCCGTTTTGGGAAACTGTGTTGGAGGTTTACCCTGGCGGGGATTCGATCGGGAACCAAACAAATAACAAACCGCGATCACTTTGTAGACGTGGTCGCTGTACACTCCTTCCCCGCAACCACCACCGACGACATGCGACGCTGCCTGCTCGCTGCAATATATGCCCTGCCGTACGCGGCGGCGCGACTTCTACACTCACTGCCAGAGGATCCGGCCGCGTTTCCAAAGTACAGAGTGGCCTTTCTAAACGCACTTCCCGTTCTAAATCAGACCGCCGAGAAATGGCTACGTGACGGCCTGCGCGGGGGAGAGCTGGAATTCCTGGATAGTCAATGGAGTGAAGGAGATGTATCGGAGACATACACGAGTCCGAAGGAAATTGGGAGCGGCGACACGCATGAGGAATTCCATACTTCTCGGGTTCGTATCCTGTTCCACGACCGCTTCATGGCTCTCATTCTCGAATCTCCTGTGAATAGCATCAACCTTGGGACACCCCTTATTCTCTTGAGCACATGAAGATCGGACCGCGAGACTCATACATCTGCTTCATACCGAAACCTCTAGAAATACCTCCATCCGTTGACGACGAGGTTGATTCTGACATAACCACTCTACGCAGCTGGAGTCTCCTGCAACCGTTGGTCGGAACGTGTCTCTATGTGGGTCCCATCTAGTTACCTGTACGAGCTGATCTAAATTATGGAACAGCATCGACAAGGATGGTTCACATATTCGTATTGTCACAATAAAGAAATCCGTCAGTTCAAGGAACTCATACAAGCCCAGCCTCATGTATCAGGTGCCTATTGTCTTCTTGATTCGCTATCTCTTATCCCCTACTTCGATCTGGTATCTCCCAAGACGTGCTAAGGGACATACTTTCTCACATCGCTGGCTGCTTTGCATGTCCATTATACATTAACACGTTCTCAGGATCAACTTGCGACAGGCTTCCTCGGGCTCATCACTCCAGATTCATTCTTCTTGAACGTACTCTTCACGCGGCCTCTTTAATTGTTTTCCACTTGATCCCCTCCTCATAATAATGGTTGACTGATGTGATCCTCCGTTTCTAGGCGGCTATAAACCTGAAGAGGACCCCGAGGTAAGCTTAATGTATTTTTGCACCGATGGAAAAAGATTTCTGACGGTGAACTCATCAGTGGGAATCTTATACGTTAGGAAGAGCGCCTGCCAACCCAGAACCTGGTGCCGATCTAACCGTGACAGAACAAAACGCTCTGGCAGCCAATCTCGAGTTAGCCAAAGGTGCAGGCTCACGTTACCTTGTCCAAAAATGGAGCGACGGCACCTTCTGCGATAAGACAGGGAGGAAGCGAGAGGTAGAAGTCCAGGTTAGCTCCTGTGATACTTCGTGATAGATTCCTGGCCGACTCTTTTTTCTGCTAGTTCCACTGCTCGATGACGATGACCGATACCATTTTATTCGTTAAAGAGACCAAGACGTGCTCATATATTCTCGTCATCAACACCCCGCGACTATGTGGAGAGCCCGGCTTCCGTTCGCCGCGCGATACACGATCAGAGGCGCTCATCCGCTGTCGAGCAGTAGTCGATTCGCCCCAAGACTTCCCCGCCTTCGACAACAAACTTGCGGAGAGCGATTACCCTTTCAAACTTCCTCGCCAGAAGCCAGTGCTCAGTCCACCCCCTACGGAACCCAAAGGCACCAAGAGCGAAGCTAAAGACCCCAAGGTCTCGCTCTCCACCGAACAGGTCGATGAAATGGTTCGCAAGGCCCTGCAAACCTTCGCCGACAATAAGGCAGCCGGCAAAACGGACGAGCCTAACGTGCACATCGAATCCCTCGGAGAGGATGGTGGCTTTGTCGTCGAATTCTTGGATGAAATACCGTTGGATAATATCAATGAAGCCGACGAGCACATTGACAGGATAGCAGACATCCTACGCGCTGCTGGTTTTAACATCAAGGACACGGTGATTTCGCATAAGAAAGACAGCCAAGGCGCAGAGGATGGGGATGAAAGGAAATCGAAAAAGAAGGCAGGTCGTGGTGAGGCAGAGCCCGACCCCTATCGAGATGAACTCTAGGTAAGTACATACTTTTTCTTTGTGATTCTGCGCCCAATCACTCACGCTGCGCACGACTTAGAAACCATCTTACCCGATCATCGTAGCTTAGGCATATTAATTAACGCTTTCATCCGTGTACGGCTATTCGTGATGGACCGGCGAGACCGATGGTATGACTTGAATGCATCTGGTAATTATTTTCCTCCGTTCTGAACGCTGGGCCGCGTAACTGTCTCTGAGACTCATCCTAACGCCCTACCTCAAGCCCGACAGTACACTGACATTTCTAGCAGAAGTTCCCGAATACATGTGCTACGTTTACAGGGCCGTTCATTAGCTCCGAGGTGTTCCGTATGTATTATTTACCCTTCTGCTCGAACATTTGCCATAAATTGATTGCGACCGTCACAAAGGAAGGCTCGTACATTCCGGTGTTCGTGTGAATCCGAACGTATATTGTATCCAATATGATGTCCCATCGCATCGCAGCATTTGGTTTGTTTGATTTTTCAATATGAAGGATTTTGCGTGGAAAGTAACAAACAAGGTACTGGGCTTCCATCGATGGCTTCCGATTTCCTCAGCCGCAACTATGATTTTTCTCTCACAAACGTCCACATTCTTGGTGCGTCTTGTTTTACGCCCGATCGACCATGAGTACGTGTATGCCAGCAGAGCATCAACAACCCCTCCCACCACAGTCAACATCGATGAACCCCGAAACGTCTGAAGGGGGTTCCGTGTGTATGGGCGAATATCTCCATCTTCCCGGGCCTTGCCTTGCGTACGAAGCGTGCTCGGGTCTACGAAGGTGCTGAAGCCCTCGGCCTTCTGCCACTCAGGCATAGGAACTATCTCACAAATGGGCACACCTGAAGAATTCTAGGTCTGTTCATGCTCGCGACGCTCCGAGACCATGAACTTAATGACAGATGAGCAGCTACTTCGACTCGCATTTACAGGCCTGCCGTACGGATCCCCTCGCTCCTTTGAAACTTCTATATGCGATATTTGTGCGATAAGCCAATCGATTGGATGCAAGGGTGTAAGGCTAGGGATAATTGATCGTCAATGGTCGTTCTCCCTACACACGATATTTTTATTCGCGTGGCCATTAGCCCGTTCCTCAGCGAATCGATGGGGTTGACACGTTCGAATCGAGCCGGGGCGCTCCCCGTTAATCTTCGCGAAATAAACCCCCAAACAGTGCGCATTGACTTCTATACCCATGGTCTATTCACGTTTTTCGATTCCCAGCTTTGCCCTCGCTCCCGACCGCCGAGATAATTTATCAGATACGTCTAAGTAGGAAAGGGAGACGGACGAGGGATTATCGGATCCCTTGTAAATATTCGAGAATCAACATCCATCAGCTCCCGACGCAACACTCCGTCGTCACCACCCGAGCGTGCTTCCCCGTGTGCATCCCTATCATCCACGTTTGCAAAATGTGATGCACGAAGGACATCGTACGAAGGCTAAAATGCCTAGCTCATCGATTAACCGATTATCACCCTAGTTCTGCGTTATCCAAGGGTGCCAGTAATACCAAGGTTTAATGCCACCCTTCTGACACCTTCCTACCTCAAGCACATCAGCGATATGGGACGTATTAGGAATAAACGAGTCTGTTACCTAGAAGCACGGCCACGCGCTTTCTTGTGTTTGATCACTTTCCGCCCCACCGTCTACGGCCTTCCATCATCATCATCATCATCGCGGTGTGCTGATTGACGGGACAATATTACCTTTGCAACATCTTCTGGGGTCTGGACGGAAGAACTGAAGTCCCACCCTATTTACTTCCTACTACTTACTCCAAGCGACCAAGGGACCATGACTACAGATCCGCCATTTCAAATCTGCCAAACTCCGTTGCCTCCTTATGTCCACTGATGTGTTCGGCAGGTAACGCAATTAAATACGAATACCATCAGAATACATGGCGCGGAAAATGCGAGGGAGACGGATGAAATTTTGTGGTGTGGTAATCGGGCAATACAAGGGGAAAAGTAGATGAAGTAGTATAGAATTTGTGCAAGATCAAATACATCATGCAAATGCAACATACGTGGGACATTTGAGTACGTATGGAAGCCGAAGCTGTATTGAATTCAATCTGAATCCATTTAGTGGGCGCGGTTTGACAGAATCGAACATGACGGATGTAGCCTCCGAATAGTCACTGCCTGGATCGTCTCCATTGGACTCAGGTAAAAGAACTCTCGGACGCGGAAGCAGTCCTCCGCGTTGAACATAAATATACATGTCAGTTTCTCTGCATGGAATTATTTTGGTAAATATACAAACACATATGAAAAGAAAAGGATGCTGTATCTATGTAAATACCTGATCAATCACTCTGATGGTAGATAGATATAGTGGAAGGTTTGGTAAATAAGGCACGAAATATAAACATAGAAGATAGAATGATGGTCAGGTGGGTGAGAAACGCGGGAGGAAGTGCGTGCGGGAGACGAGTTCTGTGGTTTAGAGTAAATTGGGGCACGTATACAAGCTGTTTATCTGCTCGAGTCCTGCCGATGTACTGCTTACGCAGAGTAAAGTAATGTGTGTGTGTGTGTGGGGGGGGGACGGCGAATAAGGGATGATGACGAAAGTGATGGGTGGGGGGAGAAGGGAGATGTGATTCCATAGTGTTCAATGAGGCGAAGTCCCAACGTAACATGAAAAGGCATGAAGATCAAACATAAGCACCAAAAGGGGAGACGAAATGTATTTGGAACCGCCCTAGAAAGCGATCTGATTGTACTTCGTTTGACCCAGCGGAAGGGGAGGCATAAGAGGTCATGAGCACGCAGCAGAGAGCATGGAAAATCCCATGTGAGCGTGCCTAAGCTGAGCCTACCGCAGGACTAGAAGAACCTCCGCTTCGACTTCGTCTCCACTTGCACCTTGATGTGACAATGTTTAGGTTGTACACCTGGTAGAGAGCATGGTTCGATGTTCTTCAACCATTCGTCACCGTCGTCCTCCTCTTCAGGATCACAATCATGGTCTTCGCAATGGCCACCTGGAGTAGCTATACCACTACCACCGCCTGTCCGATGATTTCGACACCCACATAGCAGGAAGCTGGTCTTGCCTTTACCCTTCAGCAGATCCGTCAATGTACACCGGGCGCTTGGTTCGACGAAGAGCATGCGTCGAAGAGCGGGCCTCGTTTCTCGTGGAAGCAAGCGGAATATTGACTCAGCGCCGCCTCCATTGAACGTCACTACGCTGTCGGTTCGCTGACGTTTTCGTGGCGTTGCCTTGGGCTTTGGCTCTGGTTTCGTCTCGGGCTGAGGCTGGGGGACAGGCACAGGAGTGACTTCTGGTTCGGGAAGCTGTGGCGTAGGCGTCTGGGGCTCGCCTTGTGCACCAGGTGAAGTTTCGGGTTCGGCCTTTTTATCCTCCGCTGATGGCTCGATACCAGCCGCCGGAAGATCATCTGGTAGCGATACAGACGAAGCTACGACAACAGCCGCAACAGTGACGCGTGGGGTAGGCAACTCTTCGAGATTATCACTCGTGTTACCGGTCTCAGCAGTCGAATAGCTGTAGTCGGTGGGCATTCGGATGATGGGATATGCCCGGGATATACGGTGACCCTCAAGGAGAGGTGACGAAGGGTTGGATGAAAGGGGAAGGGACTCCGTTGAATTGCCTGGGCGCGCAAACTTCAGCACGGATGGGTCCATTTCTGTGGGGCTGTCGCTGATGTGGAGCGTTGGCACGTTGCAGTCGCTGATACTGGTCCCCAGAATAGGCAAAGTAGCGGTACTTTGCGTGGGTCGGACAACCTGGAAGGATTCACGGACTTTCTGTCTGCGTAGTTCCTCTGGAGACAGAGGCTTCTGCGGCGTAGAATGTGATCGAGAAGGCGGTGCGGTAATGGCAGTGGATGTAGTTTCACGATCTGATGAAGAGGAAGTGAGGATCGACGTTGTTTCAGAGGATGTGCTATTGTCCGCACTTGATGCCTCTAAATCCTCTAATGTGCTAGGATTTGGCGGTATCGTCAGCGGGGGCAAAGACACGGGTGATGGCGTTGGCGGTATTTCTGGGGGAGTAACCGCATGTGGTATCAATGACGACTGCTGGCGCTTGCGTGGCGGCGGCTTGACAGACAAGTCTGGATGGGCATTAACGAAGGCTCGGAAGCTGGGATCTGTCTTCGGATCAGGTATCTTCCAAGGGAATCGACGCAGCGTCATGCACAGAAAGATGATAGCGACACTCCAGACATCGGTTTTCCTCGGGTCATACGAATCTTGAGAGAGCACTTCTGGAGCGAGATAAGGATCGCTGCCGACAATGCCGGTGGCTGACTGCTGCGCCTTGCCTGGATAGTGGAAGACGGTGGCGGTGCCGAAATCAATAAGCTTGACGACGTTGTCATTAGTCATAACGCAGTTATCGAGCTTGAGGTCGCGATGAGCAAGACCCATCTCGTGGAGGTACTCGACGCCATCGCAGATTTGGCGAAAGACGCAATAGATCTCTGGGCGACACATTCTACCCGACATGACCACGCTAAACAGATCATAGGGAGCATACTCCATGACCTAGTGGTTTATTCAAGATTAGCGGGATAGGTTGATCCAAACAATGCCTGCGGACCTCATAGTAGTGACCATGATCTGAGACGATGTCCACAGTCTCTATTATGTTGGGATGTTTAAGAGTGGAACCGACACAGAATTCAGCGGTGACTTTTTTCTGGTACTCCTTTTCGCTTTCGTTGGAACGCTTCGGTCTGAACTCCTTCACGGCGAAGATGGACCCGCCGTTCTTGGTGCTGGCTTGGATAAGACGAACGGTTCCTCCGGCGCCACTGCCAAGGACCCTGCCCCATTTACCATACTTTTTCGAGAGATGGGCTTGGGTAGCGTCTTGTAGCGAATAGATGGCATGCGAGGGAGTGGTAGCACCGGCGGAGCGTGTCGACCGCTTGCGGTGATTCGAGATAGTGCCTTGGCTGTTATCGGGTGGTGGTGGTGCAGCCGAAGTCGGTGAGCGTGCTGTCGGAGAATGTGAAGTGGAGGAGGAGGGAGCGCCGGGCTTATCCTGTGGAAGTGCCGGTGGTCTCGTAGACTTCGACCGGCGAGAAGAGAAGGATCGCTTCCCCTCTCTCAGGGAAGGCTTTGAAGGCGAGCTGTCGTCAGGTTCTGCGGGAAACGGCACGTACGAATCCTGGAGCACTGCTGGAGAAGCTGGCTGGGACGGACGCGCTGATATGTGCCTCGGAGAGGTAGTGCGGGACGAGGCGGGGTTGTGCTGCTGGATGTGGTTGTTGAGGAAGCGTTTGAGGTCGTGGAGGGGGCCGTTTTTGTGCTGCTGGGGGACGGCGGGGACGATGTGGACGGCGGAGTGTGGCATTTGTGGAGATGGTGGTGGTAAGGGAGGAAGAGGGTTGAATCTGCGGTCGTGGGGAGAAGAGGGAGAAGAGGGCGTGAGTATATTAATAGTGTTAGCAGCGTCCTTTGGCGGGGGAGTTGGAGGAGCTGAGGCTGAGGTTGTGTGCAGTGATGGACTCAGCGCTGTCATTATGCGATCATATTATAAATTATTATAATCCCAATAATATATATAATCCGTTTCACACTCAGCTCGCTCCTTATCTGCAATCTTCCCACGACCAACCCAGCCCCTTGGCTGACCTTCCATGTGTCCCCAAGTATGGCCAAGTTCTTCTAGCCTGCTCGGCATACCAGCCCCTATTTCTCAGAACAGCGGTCTTTGTACGGACTAGCGGAATCCCTCACCACCCCGCTGCTGCCCGCTGTCGTCTCTATCGCCGGCTGCGAAGCAAGCAAGTGCAAGAAGTAGCTCGCTTGCCGCCCACGTCGCTACTCAAAGCGGTGGCGGTACAGTCCCTGGCCCCGCAAGGAACGTTCCTCAGGTTCAGCGGAACGTCGGCTCGTCCACTGCTATCGGGCTGCTCCCCCGATTTTCAGAGACGCCACCCCGCTCGAAAGCGCCGCAACTCCAATAATATCATTGGGTGGCCGTGATGAATGTCAAATTCTCACCCGGGACACGTCAAGCACATGCACCCATGAGACACGTATAATCATCTATCGCAAAATCAATGGGGAAGACCGGAACAACGTCTCTAACGAGCTAAATCCTCCCGTGCCCTTCTCCTCATCCATGACCCCTTCCTCGACGAAATCGCAGTCGGTGCTTTATAATTATCATCCCGACCTCTCCCCGTACCACCGGCATAGAGACTCGAACCGCATCCAACGCGTTCGGCAGCCATGTCCAACTTTATCTCGCTCCGATGATGCTGATAACAAGGCACCAGCCACACCTCGACGTATCTAATACGATATTCCTCATACACCTAGATTTTTCTTCGGAGCGTCGGGCGATATGACGAGCGTTCTTATTTTCCAATTGCTCATACTTCCGCCTTCACCTTCTTGCTCGTATAGTGCCTGGATGCCTGCCACCCTAGCCTATCCTAGTAGCTGTATTACATGAATAGGGGCCTCGGAAATCAATGATCGTCGAAGCCCGTCCATGGCATGATACACCGGTCCTAGTCAAAGCTTCAGGTATGCGATCGACACGAGAGGATGTAGTCCGAAGGAGATGGAGCCATGCTTTAAACGCATTCCATGCTATCCCTGCTCGTTAGGCAGATCTTTGAGTACGAGCTTCGGTCATCGGGTGGGTTAAACCCACGGCCGTCATGTATTGGCTCAACTTCCATGCTAACGGCCATAATGCCTCCACATACGCTGGTACTCGCGTATTTTGGTGTCCATGAGTCAAATCGCCGCGATGCGTTTCTGCCGTGAACTAGAATGGCTCCTTCGAGTTAGGGGGCAACTGGATTCAACATGCCGCCAGTCAGCTCGATCCCGATCGGTGTGCGCTGTGATCGCCACAACGGTCCTCTGTCAGTACACTAGTGCTTTCCCTGCTGTAGAAGGGGCTATGCCCATTACTACTGCCCGCCATCAGTACCACTTAGGAAACGTCCGCCTCGCTAGATATTTAGTTTGTGAAGTGTACTTTTCTCTCACAAGTCCGAGGTCGGACTGAATGACACAAAGCTGATGACACTGGTCGTGTACTAATAATGTCCCGGGACCCACCAAGTTTCACAATCCAACGATTTTGTTCTGTTAAGACATAACACCCGTCTAGCCGGACGACCTGCCGCAGTCCCGGTCACTCCGCGAATGTGTCGGCATCGTCGGAAACCCAACATTTACGTTCGGCTTGCATTTCCCCAGACTCCCACGGTAAGTAAGTCGTCGAAATACGTCGATCTCCGCGAAATCACAACTGCAGGCTGACTGAGGCAAAAGGAGTATTACTCCTGGTCACCAGTCGTTCGTCGGCCTTTCCAGCTCTCCCGTCCCTTTGCAAATTAGGCAGACTCGGCCCGTCAAAGCAACCGTGTCGTCGCCGAGTTTTTGATCTGGCGTGCTGGATCTGTGGGGCAACGCGCGCTAAGCTAAAGTAACATAAAACACTTTGGGCCCCATGCGTCGTTGAGTGGCTCTTGACGCACGCAGGCTTACTGATGGGGGATGCGCGACATGCCAACGACATGGTGTCATGGAGAAACGTTCTCGCGGGTGGCTGGGGAACAGAATATGCAACGTTATTGCCTATTGCCTCTTAGAATCTAGCATTCAACAAATGAAAGCTGGGCAAGATGATGATCTATTTACATATCCTCATGACCACTGTATACGGTACGGTATCTCTCGGCCGCCCTTATACGGTATAGCCACCAGATTGGGGGAAATCGTGGCGTTTGCAGGCTTGCGCCGCCCCTTGCTTACCCTTGGTCTTCAGCATCACGCTTTCGCTTCATCTCCCGAGATACTTTGTGTTGTGCGGATTCGTGCTTGGCCAACTCCGCAGGCACCTTCGACACGGGGCTTTTGGATATTTCTGTTCGAGTACGACGAGGAATATCAGTGGAAGGTCATGGAATGGACGAGGTAACTCCTTCAGGAACATACCTTGCTTCAAGTCGTACCTGAATCGAAAGAGAACCATATGAGCCATCTGATAAGAAGATAACACAGGGTATAATATAAAAACGTACATGACCTCATCGTCGTCATTTGTCAAGAAGGTGATCGCTGTGCCCAATTTACCAGCACGACCGGTACGACCTAGAAGGAGAAAGGACGGTCAGTAGGTCACGGCAGGGGACCCCAATGCAGAAACCCGGCGCACCGATACGATGAACATAGGCTTCAATTGTCCCGGCCATCTGATAGTTGATGACGAGACTGACATCTTGCACATCGATACCACGTCCAGCAAGATCCGTCGCCACCAACACGTCGGACTCGCCGCTACGCAATGCTTGTAGCGAAGCCTCACGTTGCTCTTGATTTTTCCCAGAATGTAAAGTAGCAGCGTTCCACTAGTCGTCCGCAACGTGCGTCAGCGAGCAATCACATTGACGTAGAAAGAGGAATGAACATACGCCTGCACGCGATAGATCTTTGGCAACCATGTCGGCCGTCTTCTTCTGATTGACGAATACGATAATAGGCGCGGCAAATTGACCACTGTTGAGAATTTCCAGAAGCTTTTGCCTGGAACGTGCAAGGTCAGATAGGCACTCTCCAGGAGGAGAATCAATATACTTCTTCTTCTCATCGCCAATCACGAACTCGACGCGCTGTTCAACAGTGTCGACCGCACGACCAGCCTCACCAATAGTAATCACAGCCGGCCGTTTAAGGTACTTGCGCGCTAGGCGCTCAACAGCCGCAGGCATAGTCGCGGAGAATAGTGTCGTAACGCGAGTACGGCCTTTCTTGACCAATGTCTCGCCGTCGACGTCCATCTGCTCGCCAAGGTCCTCGCCTTGCATAGTCTCCGCCGGCAAGGCATCAAGGATGAAAGTCAGGTCAACCTCAAACCCAAGGTGGACCATCCGGTCCGCCTCGTCCATTACAACATAACGACATTGAGACAGCACAAGAACGTGTCTCTCGAGGACGTCTTTCAAACGCCCAGGCGTCGCGATAATAATCTCGGCGCCTTCTCGTAGATTAAATTGCTGCTCCTCAACAGCACGCTATAAATAAGATTCAAGATCAATAAAGATTGATATTGCCAAGAAATAGAACACCTGACTTACCCCGCCAACGATGGAGACACAGTGATAGCCAAGGGGCGTGGCAAACTTCTTGGTTTCGCTTTCTATCTGCTGGGCAAGCTCACGAGTGGGGGCTAGGATGAGGGCATATGGACCTAGATGGCGGATGTCATCCGTGAAAGGCGGTAGTTTCAAAATGAAGGTTAACATGGGGATGACGAAGGCGGCAGTCTTTCCCGAACCTGTAGGTGTCGTTACAGCTTTACAATAGAAGAAAATATGCCGACATACCAGTCTCCGCGATACCAATAATATCTCGGTTCTGCAGTCCGATGGGAATCGCCTGCCGTTGAATGGGAGAGGGTTCCTTGTATCCGATATTCTCTATGCATTCTAGAATCGCTGGTGGAATAGCAGACTCCGTCCAAGAACGGAGTGGATGAGGTATTTGGCCACCTTCGAGAAGTAATAGGTAAACTTTGAGCAAAACCCAGGAAAGGGCGTACGATACCTCTTGCGGAAATGCTGAAATCTTCTCTGAAGATACGCCAATCACGCTCTTTCATTTCTTCTAGAGGTTTCTCGGTCCAATGGCGCTCGTCGAATCCAGCTTTGGCAGCCTTCCTACGTTCCATTGCGTCAGCGAGATGGGTGACTGTAGTTTCACTTTTCCTTGGGCCCGAAGGCCCACCGTCGTCCATCCCGGCAAGATGACCACGACCGAACATAACCTGTGCACCCTGTCTGTTACTTCCGACCGCAACAAACGAATCCTCGACAAGGGTGTCGTCCTGCGCATCCCAGTCAAAGACGAACTTCCGATCATTCATTTTACGAATCTTGCGCTTTTTCTTGTCTACGCCAAGATACCGTGATCGAATGGCAGAAAGATCGTTCTCGGTCATAGGTGGCACGTACGACCCGGAAGAATCAGGTATTGAGATTTGGGGAGCAGTGTCGGGAGGAGGCGGGGGAGGCATAGATGAAGGTGTACCCGGAGTTGGAGTTCCAGTGGAAGACGAAGGGGTTGGAGCTGACTGCTTGTTTCTGTCCGCCCGAGGACCTGTAGGCACGTTTTGGTACCCGTCTCTGTGGGTATTCGCCCCGCTGGGTGGACGCTGTTCCCTTTCCCTTTCCCTGTCTCTGTCTCGATCGCGGTCCCGTCCATCCCTTCGTCCATGGCGACCACCTCTGTCGCGCTCCGGATGAGCGTAGCGGTCCTCGTCTGTGGTGCAACAGTAAGGGAAAACTGGTCATGAGGGTGCTCGAAATTGGTTAAAGGGACTGACTGACATCGACCACCTCCATACCTATTGGACGAACCCATCTCCTTGCGTCGCAGCTCATTTGCTTCCCTCTCCAACGTTTCACGGTCCTTCTGTGATGCCTCTTCCCTCTCCTTCTGCTCTCTAATCTCCTGTGCGCGTTTGGCTATGGCAAGCTTCGCCCGTTCCTCCTTGGAGAGAAACTTGGGCTAAAAGACGAAACACAAGCGTGAGTCATGCAGAATCAATGTAGCATAGAGCGCGTACCTTTGCCGCAGCCTCCTTTTCTGCCTTCTGCTTCTGTAACAGACTCTCAATGGACAATGGTTCAGACCGCGTCGCCATGATGAGTTATATGGAAGTTGTACGAAAGTAGCAATTTCTTGGTTCTGGTTGATCGGGCCGTCTTATCACGTGCCTGAGGACTCTTTACGCGTAATCTTATCGGTGAAATTGCTGGCAAATCTAATCTCTTCTCTCTCTGACTCGCCGATTGAATGATGGACTTGAAATTCCAAGGGGTCTTCTCCTTTTTCTCTTCACTACCAGGTTCTGCCAGTCCCCCAGGATGTGTGGCATATTTGCAGTGCATGGACTTGACAAACCTTCAGCCGATCGTGCTCACTTCATCGCCTTGTCCAAACGACTTCGACACCGCGGCCCAGATTGGTCGGGATGTTTCGTGGGCAAGAACTGCACACTTGTACATGAACGTTTGGCCATCGTCGGCGTCGGTGAGCAACTCATCCAGATATTTATACAAGTGGATGATCCTACTATCTTCCGCCAGATACCGGCGCACAACCTTTGGTGAGCGAGGACGGCAAGATTATCCTTGCAGTCAATGGAGAAATATACAACCACATCCAACTTCGCGCGTCGGTAGGGCCTGGCGTCAAGTTCAAGACGCACTCTGACTGCGAAGTCATTATTCCACTCGTGAGCGAGATCGCCTCCTTGTTATCCCTACCAGCGTCTGAATTCAATACATCACAGTATAGAAAGTACGACAAAGATGTTTGCGGCCACTTGGATGGGATGTTTTCTTTCGTCCTTCTTGACGAGTCAGAGGAGAAACCTAGGATTATTGCGGCACGCGACCCGATAGGTATCACCACCCTCTACCAGGGCTGGAGCTCTAAACGACCTGGCGCCGTCTACTTTGCTTCGGAATTGAAGGCCTTAGTTGATGATTGCGACAAGATTATCTCTTTCCCTCCAGGGCATATTTACGACAGCCGGGATGGCAGCACCACTCGGTATTTCACTCCCTCCTGGTGGAATGGCGACAACGAGGTCAACCCGACGATCCCCTCCGCGTCCCCCGATTACAAGCTCATCAAAGAAACACTTGAGGCGGCAGTACGCAAGAGATTAATGTCTGAAGTACCCTACGGAGTGCTTCTAAGCGGCGGTCTAGATAGCAGTCTTATTGCTGCTATCGCATCGAGAGAAACGGAGAAAGTTGCACAAGCCCAGTATGAAGCTAGGAAGAAGAAACTAGAAGAAGCCCGTAGCGGGCCTCCCACTCCCGATCCTTCTCTAGTTACCGAGGAAGGCGAGTTCTTCTGGGTCTTTACGTTGCTGCATCGCTGATACCGTATTCAGTTACTCTCGCTGCTTGGCCTCAACTTCACTCCTTCTCGATCGGCCTGGAGAATTCTCCGGACCTTCTAGCCGCACGCAAGGTCGCTCACTACCTGGGAACAGTTCATCATGAATACGTTTTCACCGTGCAAGAAGGGCTTGATGCTATCCCTGAGGTGATTTATCATCTGGAAACCTACGATGTTACCACCGTCCGTGCTAGCACACCCATGTATCTACTAAGTAGGAAGATCAAGGCTATGGGTGTTAAAATGGTACTCAGCGGTGAAGGAAGCGACGAAATATTCGGAGGTACTGTTGTCTGCCGTCTAGTTGCTTCGTTGACACTGACTTTCCGCTTAACTTACCGTAGGGTACCTGTATTTCCATGCTGCACCAGACAGGGTTTCGTTCCACCAAGAATGTGTCCGTCGCGTCAAGAATTTGCACACCTCCGACTGTCTCCGTGCCAATAAGTACGATGGTTCCTCCCGTCTCATTAACTAATCTGATAATAAAATAGATCAACAATGGCATGGGGACTTGAAGCTAGAGTTCCCTTCCTTGACAAAGCTTTCTTAGAGGTTGCAATGAACGTCGATCCCGCGTCGAAAATGTTTAGTAAGGGCACCGCTCAGGGAGTAGACGAAGACGGCTGTCCGAAGATGGAGAAGGTGCTACCCTTAACGTTTCGATATACGTCCTACCTAACCTATTTGTAGTACATCCTCCGTAAAGCTTTCGACTGTTCTCCTGGCGGCAAGGTATGTCTGATCAAATCACTCTTGTACTTTTACTGATAATTATCAGCCATACCTACCCCGTTCAATTCTTTGGCGACAAAAAGAGCAATTCTCAGATGGCGTTGGTTATTCGTGGATAGACGGGTGAGTGCATTGGGTTGCCTTTGTGGTACGATGCCAAAGGCACCATTTAGAATCAAGGACCACTCGGCCTCAATCGTTTCCGACGAAGCCTTCGCCCAAGCTGCCAAACGTTGGCCGGAAGGAACCCCCGATACAAAGGAAGCATATTATCTACGAGAAATATTCGACAGTAGGCACCATTTTCTTGCCTTCTCTGCCTTCTTGCCCAGACCTGACATGCCCTAGACTTGTACCCGACGGAAACTGCGGCTGCAACAGCAGTTCGGTACGGCTCATCTTATTTTCCTGATGCTGTCCACTAACATGCACTCACTTATAGTTGGATACCTCGTGGCGATTGGGGTTGTTCTTCAGACCCAAGTGGAAGGAGCGTCAGCATACACAACGCAGCCTATCAGGCAGTTGATTCGTAATCCGCGAAGGGGGTAAGGCATGGATACACTCGGGGTTCTAGCAGATAAATGATAGTAGGTAGCTGGAACGTAGAAACCAATTAATGAGCGTTTATTCTGACGTTGGTCAGTCTGAATGATGAGGGTATAGAGATTGGAGGGAGTGTCAAGATATGCAGTGCTGAGTAAATTGGGCGCACGTATCAAAGCAGTGTTTAAGCACAATATGATGAAAACAGTCATGAAGCAACAAAAGGACATGAAGTAGGAGAATAAAGAGGAAGAAATACTCCTGAGGACTGATACTGTAATAGTGGTGTATGTCATGAATGCAGATCGTCGTGAAAGCACCATTAGAAGATAGTCTATGACTTCAGATTTGGTTTAGACCATCATTGGCAATCATCTGGCGATATAGGCCTACCCCAGAGTCCTCGGATGGAGCAGGCGAAGCCAATGGTTTATTAGTGACGACAAGTTTTGGAGTCGAACTTGTTTGCGAGGTATTGCGCGTCCGCTTTGCGCCCGGCGTTGGGGATAGGGCCGAGCGTGTACTTCCATCCCAAGCTGGTCTAGTGACAGTGGCTTTGGCATAATTGATATTGTCGTCAACAGCGACGGGCTTCTTTGACGTCGGTGTCCCAGCTGCGCGTCGACTGGCAGCACGAACCGTTGGAGAAGAATCCGATATCAGGCGTGTACCGAACTTCGCATTAGCAGACGATTCGCGACCGTAAGATGGCGAATTGCTAGCTCCACGTCGGCCCACACCCACACCCGTCCTAGGCTTGATGACCGGCTTCTGAACTGTGACTTTGTCAGCTCCCCAATACGAGAAGCTCATCTTGCTCTTCTTATCGGAGTCGTCGGAGTCGCCACCATCATCTTCGTTCTCGTCCGGAAGGGGGACGATTCGTGGTTGGTTGGAGTGTGCTTGGGCTCGAGAACGAACGACGCTAAGAAATGATTGATTAACAAGGGTGTTGTGCGGATGAGAACGATCCGCTCACTCTTCCATCGAGACCACACCTTCTCGGGCACTTGTGACATCCCCGATGGTCCACGTCTCGATCTGGGAAGTAAATCGCGTCAATCAGTCAACCTTGAGTCATAATGATGATATGCGTACCTTCAGGAATTTATACAAGTTGCGCGCTTTCAATTGGGCGTTTCGCCGCCCAGTTGTAGCATACTTAGTCTTGTTGCCTTGGAGCTCAGGCATAGAAGTGGTTCTACTAGAGCTCGAGCCCGATACTAGTGGTACTGACGTCGTGCCTGTTCGCTGACATTGTAAGACGACATCGTTGAAGACGACCAGCCAGAGGTCCTTCTTTCCGCCAATGCCGTTGCTGTTATTCGATAAAACGTCGCTGAGACGTTTGAAAGACGATTTCCCGCGCACATTCTTGGCGCTGGAAGGAGGAGGGGAGGATAATTTCCCAACTTGGCCTGGTTGAGGCGGTGGGGGGAAGCATTGTCGTTCTTCAATAAGCACCCTCGATGGCTTGGGCATAGCCAATTGCTTGACCTTCTCCAAGCCCTCGATTCGGGCGAAGACATCACGTGTCTTGTCACGCTCTTCCTTCTGGATCTTCTCGTCCTCGATACTCCGAACGATGGTTTCGACTTCCGCGACCATTTGCAAGGTACTTTCGTATTCGTACGTGCTCGGATCGGTGTGGAACAGAAGATTTTGGAAGAGGAGGGGATATTTGAGAAGTCGCTGAAAGGGTTTCGATATTGTGATAGCCAGGCCGGTTTCGCCCTTGTCTGCTGCGCTTTCCTCCACTTTCTGGAGCGCTTTGCAGACCCTCTGCCATTCACCCATATCTTGCTTCTTGGGCTTCTTCCCAGGCACGTTGGACAAAGCACTATCGACTTGCTCAAGCGCTCGCTCCAAATGAAGCACGTATTGCCCATAGCCGCCAAATATGTCGGACTTAAGATAGATACAGTGAGCGGAGGGAAGCGATTCCATAAGCAAGACTGCCTTACATTGGCAACGAATACGTCTGCGAGTGAGCGCACTAAAGGGAACTGGTCATCGTACCTTTTCTTGAGCGCCTCAGATAGTCGTTTGTGCCCTTCCAGTACACCATTATCAATGACTTCCAAACATACGCGCAAATCTTCTGGTAGCTGTTGGGGAGCAATGGAACCACCAAATACATCCTCGACTGAATTCTGGTTCTTCTTAAACTTTTTGAGCATGCCAGGCTTCTGGGAGGTCGTGTGCTTCGAGGACTGCCCTTGACTATGGTTTCTCTCTCGTTCGCGCTCTTGTGTAGTCGATTGCCTACCAAGAGATTGAGTTGAAGCAGCCATTGGATTCGCGCGGGCAGGAGGCGGGAGGGATTGGTGGGAACGGGAGGGAAAAGGTACTGACGTGCCGCCCTGTCGGGTACTCGTCTTGGTCGCCGTAGCGCGATATGGTGATCGAGGGTGGTCATGCTTCGAGCCATCTGGTCGACGAGAGGAATAGCCCTTTCCAATCCGGTCATCACCTTCGGCTTCTTCGTCTGTGTCCAAGGATTCGCCATCAATGTTTGGTGTGTCCTTATTCCGTATTGAGGATGGTCCAGAACCAGGTGGATGGCCTGTCGTGGGTGTTGGCGACATGAATCGGGCGGCGATGGGGGGTAGATGGTCTGTTGATTCGAGAGGAGATTCCGCGCGGTAGTAGTCATAGTCGAGATTAGGAGTGGAAGCTGACAATGGTGTACCAGCTGAAGAGAATGGATGCAGAAGAGGATCGATGAATGTCTCCTTCATTTTGATGAGCTCCTGCACATATCTAGGAGAGGGCAAGGGGTCAGCTACGTAAACATTTTGATGGTGTTATGATATGACCTTTCTTCACTGGATATGATTTCAAACAGAACTTCCTGCCGTGTGCGCTCTCGAGAACCGATGTTGGATACGAGGTCGTCTTCAATTACTTCACTCCATGATGTGGCTGCTAGGATGCGACTACCACTGCTCTGGGACATCTGGGAATAAGGTGTGCCGGATCGCAATGATTGCATGGAAACGCCGTCTCCAGATGTCTTGTGAAGACTAGGTGAAGTAGCTCGTGTCGATGTTGCTTTCACAGCGGTGTTGCTGCTGGGTGTAGCCGACAGATCAGTTTTCGAGGAGGAAGCGCCTGATGTAGATGTAGAGCCTCGAGGCTCCTTGCCATGCATGGCCTGAAAACGCGTCAACGTGGTTTTGAGCGGCGAAGCAGACGCCTGGCCGTTAGCAGGTGCATCGGGCAACGAGCGATCGACGTCGGTTAAATTCGGCGTTGGCGGTGGAGAGATGAAGGCGACTTGTTTCTTCTGGCCTTCGTTAGGCGCAGGAGATGTATTGACTGAAGTTGATGTCGGTTTCCGTGAAATCCTACCTGGAGCCTCTGGGTCTTGCTTGGAGGGTGAAGCGACACGATTTGCTGCTTCAGCGCTGGGGTCATCGTTGCGCAGCGTCGGCTGAGGTGAGGGTGTGTACGGCAAGGTAGGAGTTGGCGTCGGAGTGGGTGTCGTTCTGGTCGAAGTAGAAGCTGGCTCGTCGATTGGCGGCAGCAGTCGAGGCGAGAACTGGTCGGCCAGCTGGGAGGGCAGGAGTTCGGGCAGTGGCTTGAACGATGCGTAGGAGGTCGGGGTAGATGTCGCTCTGTTGTGATCGTCTGGCGGCCATGAGCGCAACGGCGGGAACTTTTCCTTCTGGACTGGCTGGGGGTCCCTTTCCTTGTCCTTTGCGCCGCCGCCGATGTGCAGCCTGGAGAGAAAAGCCTTCATGGGCTGATCGACCGTGGTGGTCGCAGGAGGAGACGGAGACGGTCGCTGGTCGGGCGGGGCAGTGCTGGACGTGAACGAAAGGGAAAACGTGACGGTCGATCACATCAGCCACAAACAAAAATGCACCCAAGCCCGTTGCCAGCCCATCTCACAAAGCACCTGCCCCTTTTGCATTATCCTTTTCGAAACAATAACTTCCTTTTGGCTCAGCAAAACGATGGCTTTTCGACCGGCACGGCGCTCTGGCTGGGTGCACAGTGTCTCTCTGCTTTTCTGGCAGAGAATTTCACTAGCAGGAACCGCCTCAAGGTTATCGAACTGGGAAGCGGTATCGGCCTGACTGCGTAGGCTTCTTCAATATCTACAGCTTGCTTGCAGGTTTTCATTCTCGACTACACCACGCAGGCTGGCGATGAGCTCTCTGGGGTGGGATGTCCTGGCAACCGACCTCCCACACATTATTTCTTCCGTACTAGCTCAGAATATCTCTCGCAACCTCACCCGTCTATCTGGTTCAATTCAAATTCAAGAGCTCGACTGGACAGCAGAGCTACCATGGGACGACGGGTCACCCGGTGTCACAATCTCAACCTCAAGTCATCCATCATCTGCCTCGCTGCCAGAAGCCGGCGCCTTGTCCCCTCCATTCGACCTTATTGTGACCGCGGACACCATCTACACCCCTGAATTAATACAGCCTCTGCTTCGTACCTTGCACGCGTTGAGCAAGATCTCTGTGGTCCCAGGTTCTCGTCCCCCTTTGGTGTTTGTCTGTCTAGAGCGTCGTGATCCCGAACTAGTCGATCGCTTCCTCGCATGCGCAAGAGATCCGTGGCATTTTCATACGGAGCAGGTACAGCGAAAGAAGATAACGAAGGCGATGGAGAAAAGCGGACTGAAGTGGCAGAGAGAGGATTGGGACGATGTAGAAATCTGGAAGTTGAGATGGGAAGCAGAAACTCAAGCGCATGGCCAGACAGCCACGTAACCGCTGGCAATAAACTCTCTCGTATCGCATCGAAACAACACGCCTCGGAGACAAAATAGCCCCCGCGTGTACGCTATTCGCAATGCAGTATGATTGTCCTTCTGTACTTCTCCAGCTATACCTACGAGGGTCGGGCGATTTTTTCCAACCGTCCATTAAACCCATGCGCGATCTGTGGTCCAAGAGAGTGAATTCAGTGAGAGCCACGGCGCAGTTGAAACGCACCAAATCTCTCCATGTCTCCGCCTCGTCGTTTTCTGTCTGTAACTGATAGAGTTGTATGAACCCCGCATACCTGCTTGCCCCTCGATTACTTCCGTTTACGCAACAAAGTAAAGTAGACGCACGTTAGGTGTCCATCATCATTTACGTCGAGCATCTGGAGTTCCTCTTTTTGATCTTCTGAGAATGGTGCGCCATTCGTCTCGCTTGCCCATTTGTCCAACCCTTCGTTGGTGAGATATGCGTCTTCAGGCGGCACAAGGAGCTCTGTTATAGATCCGGTGGGAAGGTCCTTTGGCTGCGGCGTGCAATATTTTGCGAATATATGTTTTAGGCATTTTTCACACTGCAGGAAATCCAGAGTGTCAATCGATATTGCCATTAGATTCTTCTATGGCCCATGCCTGATCAGTCAAGTCACCTTCTTCGTCTAGAAGACTGACGCTATCCTTTGGCTTCTCTTCTGTATATCAGCACACCTCTGCACTTAGCAAGCAATCACCGTACCAGTAGTCATTTTGATCCCAGGCGACGAGAGCGATGGAGAAAGTTGAAGTCGATCTTTGCATTCAGGGGCGTGTCCGACTTGCATGTGACGCGAGATGTTGTTGTTGAATCTGCATTTGTATACCGCAATAAGTACGCTAAGCTACTAAGACGCGGTGCGAGGTTGATTTCGGATGTAAGGAGTGGCTATAAGACTACCCTAGGTCGGGGTGCGGATTAAAAACCCCAGTGGGGAAAAGCTACCCCTTACATCGTGCTACGGAAATTGGAACAATGAGGGCAAGAGGGGACGGAGTTACAACATAATTTAAGGTGGGTTCGGTTTCCGGGGGGTCTGGTTGAACAAATGCATGTCAGTTATGCAGCAGTGAGATGAGAGGTAGAAGGGAGAGCTCAGCCGGGGTCAGAGGGGCTTTTTCGGAAGGCGGAGCAACGGTGGAGAAAGTCGGCAACAGCAGAGAGGCCCTTGTCAGTGCCGAAAAGGAAATCGAGGGAGAGGTCGGACGATACGGCCTGCAGGGCGCCGCGGGCATGCTTGTATAGGGGGCAAGAAATGAGTATGTGTTCACGAGTTTGCGGGTCAGCTCTGCCGCAGGAGCATTCGGTATTTTCAGAGGAAACATTGAACCGTGAGTAGTACTCGCCAGTGAACGCATGTCCTGTGGCAGCTTGCATCGTCCTTGAGTAGAGCGCGCGGGAGCCGTTGAATTCTCGCTGGAATTTTCTGAGGCGTGTAGATGGTGGGCGTGTGGTGGCAAGCGCTGCTTGATTTCGCTTGCGGTTTGCTTTCCAGTCATTGGTCCAACGGGCTATTGCCTGGATTTTTGAGTTTGCCTTTGCCCAACTAAGCGAGGAGGAGATGACAGATGGGAGGGTTGTGGCTGATTTGGCGAGTGAGTCTGCGCGCTCGTTGCCTTTGATGCCAGTGTGACCAGGTGACCAGTTGATTGAAATGGTTAGTTGTGGGTGAGTGGTGAGGAGCGTGTTGACGTGTTTACGGAAGATTATCGAGGCTGACTGGGCTGGGTGCGGGTTTGGGTCGTTAATCAAGTCTATGGCTGATGTATTGTCAGCAAACAAGCGGATAGCCGAGACAGTAGGGAACTTCTCGGTTATGTTGTGAAGGTGCCGCGCTGCATTCGCTAGCGCATACATCTCGCCATCGAAGTTGTCTGTTTTCGTTCCAAGACCTAGGCGGCGGCTGAGGATTTCGAGTCCTTGGTGATACATAACAAATGCGGCGCCTGTGCGCGTGATGTTCTCGATTGCGAGGCGCGAGCCATCTGTGAAGATAAGGATGGAAGTGGGGTCAGTTCTTGATGTTGCCTCCAGTGCTTGGAGGTTCCGTATGTACTGTCTGCGAGCTGGTTTGTCGTGGGGAGCGTAGCTGCTGATGCGCAGACGATTTCCCCATTTATTGTCTGGTTCCCATGGTGCTTGTGCATACGGGTCTGTACGTTCGTCGAAGCTGTCGGCAACATCGGTGCGTGCAGCAAGGAGGTGGAGGTTGGACAAGTTCTTAATGACGTTGGGGGGTGCAACTGGGAGGTCTGCGGGCAGTGGATCCCATGAGTCAGGGAGGCGGAGCAGTGGCTGGGAGTGGCGAGGGAGGGTTCTGAGTCGGATGGCTGCAGAGTCGAGTGTGCGCTCTAGTAGGGCTGGGATGGGGAGGATTGCACCCAGGTGGTGCATTGCGTCTACGGGCGTTGACTTGAATGTTCCTAATATGAGTCGAAGGCCCACATTTTGGACGCAGGACATCTGATTAGTTAGCTGCTTCTGTCGCTTACCAGTATACCACAAGGCTGTCCCATAGGTTAGCACTGGTAGGACTACAGTTTTGTAGACCAGACGTCGGTTAGCGTGGTTCATTCCGCGAACTGAGTTTCCTAGAATGCGGAGTGCTTGAAGCTTTGATAATGCGCGATTGCACATAATTTTGACATGTTCCTTAAATGTGAGTTTGCGGTCAAAGAAGAAACCTAGCCAGCGCATGGTGGACTTGGGGAAAACTGTGATGCCAGGGCCTGCCTGTGATGGTATGCGAACCGGTGGTAGATCAGGCTTCCTTGCACGGGTGAAGTGCATGAGGTCGAACTTGTCATCATCGGTAGCAAGGCCAATTGCACCAAGGCGTGGCTTGATCAGGGCAAAAGCATCCTGAAGGGTGGTGACATTCTGATCCAATGATCTAGAAAAAGCAGCTATCAGACCATCATCCACATAAAAATAGAGATGTTGCCCAGAGTGCCCGTCCAACGTTTGAAGGATGGGTCCTGTATAAAGGGCTGCCAGGATTGGTGACAGAGGTGAGCCTTGGGGAACTCCTACAGAGGAGGGGGTAGGGGCGCAGGTAGTTCCGTTTACGCGGACCTGAACAGTTCTATCTGAGAGAAACGACTTGACCCAGGTTTGCACCTGCTCTGAGAAGCCTGCGAGGCGTAGCACTTCCACTAGCCGGCCATGGTCAACATGATCAAAGAATCCCTTGATGTCAAAGGCCAAGGCTGAGGCAACAAGTCCACGCTGCCAGGCTGTCTGAATGTCATGAACCAGGGTTAGGCCAGCATCTAAAGTCGATGACTTGTCTCGACCACCAAACTGGTTGGTTGGCAGGAGGTTGTACTTCCCTACATCAAAAAGAATGCGGGTGGTTAGCATTTTTTCCAATAGCTTGGATAGACACTCCAGAAGGGCAATAGGACGATACGCGCGGGGGTTGGACATGTCCAGCTTTCTTGGCTTCGGGACAATTGCGATGATGGCTGTACGCCATGCTCTTGGCTGATGTCCAAGGGAGAGGGCGGAGGTGTATATGTTGATGAGATGGTTGCTGATCATGGGCATGGCCCATTTGATGAGGCGGTAGTTGATGTTTGATGGTCCAGGTGCTGAGGTGTTTGAGGTGTTCCGAAGGGCATTCTGGAGCTCTTCAGACGTGAAAGGGTGGAACGCCCTGGCTGGCAGGGGGTCGGGGTCACTGTTTTGAGAGACATCAACAGCGGGGGGATCTGATGGATAGAAAACAGAACAGAACGCCTGGCCTTGTTCCGCAGAGGTAGCTGCAGTCTGATTGTTGTACTTGATTGGGGGAATGCGGGAGGCACGCTTTCCAGCTGACCAGTTGGCGATGTTCCAGACATTATCTGGAGTGGCCTGTTCAATGATGTTGTTAGCCCAACTCGCCTTTGCTTTCCTGATCTTGCTATGAAAGCGGTTAACAAGTGTGGATCTCTCTTCTGGTGGAGCCGCCCGCATGTCATCTGCCGCATCAGAGCATTCTTGATTCCACCAACGAGCTGCCCGTGGGGAGAATGGCTGGCGGACTGGCATTGTCATGGTGGTAGCCCTGGTGAAGGCATTCATGAGTGTCACTGCTGCTTCATCTAAATCAGCCGTGGATGTAAAAGGGATAGGAGGGGGGAGATCTGCAACCAGTGGCTCGAAGGCCTTTACCCATTTATCTTGATTGTCAACATTGGTCCGGTATGATGGTTCGAAATACTCGGTGGGCTCAGCCTGAGCAGATAAATCCACAGACCATGTAATCGCTGCATGATCAGAGCCATAGCTTAGGCTTTCGTCTACTGCAAAAAGCTGAAAGCGGAGTCGTAGAGTGGCTGCAGAGTTGAAAAAAGTTAGGTCAATGGTGGAGTCATGTTGGTTACCAGTGCCCATGCGGGTGCGAACTCCCTTTTCATTCTGAAGGTCTAGGAAATTGTCAAGTGCCCAGTCCAGAAGGTCTTCGGCAGCCTGGTTGTTAGGGCTATCGTGAAGGGACCAGTGGTCATGGTAGAGGTTGAAGTCACCGCAGACTGCGGTTGGGATAAGAGGGTGGAGCTCTGTGAGGGTGAGTGCGCGAACAGCATCTGCTTTTGCCCCAGGGCCGCTGTTATATACGTTGATGAGCATAAAGGACTCTGACCCATACTTGACCTCCAGTGGTACTATGTTTGGATGCTTGATCATGTCAGCTCGGATCATCGCAGAGAGATGAGGAGTGTCCTTTCGGATGTACGTTACCGCCTTTGGATGGCCAACTCCAGCGGGATAGAAGAGCTCCCAGGCAGGGCAGCTTGTTGTCCCAAGAATCTGGGCCCCATCTGGGGAACAGTCTGACTTGTCAAGACCAATTTGGCCGTACCATGGTTCCTGAAACATGAGAATGTCAAAGTTAGTCAATTTGTTAAGCAATATGTGAGCGCGAATGGAAGAGCGAGCGATGTTAAGCTGGAGGACATGTAGCGGGCGTAGATTCATAGGTCCATGTTCATGGGGGTTGGTTGGGCAGGTCGGTTAGAAGCAGTCGGTGGCGGAACATCTGGAGATGGCTGAAGTTTTGGGGCCGTGGAGAATTTGCGCTTCTCAGGACAGCTCTGATCTGTAGCCCAGTGTTCACCGTCGCAATTAGCACAGCGAAGAGAGCAGCGACAGCTTGTACTGCCACCACCTAAAATAGAGCTGCAGTTCAAATGGTGGTCAGTGGTTTTGTGACGTTGGGCACATTTGGCGCAAACAAAAGGCTTGGTGCATGTTCTTGTTGGATGGCCAAGACCTTGACAACGGTCGCATTGAAGGAACTTTGGTTTTTCCTTCCATAGTCGAGTCGGGCAGAGGACGCCGCCCATATAGATGGGAGTCTTCATGATCGCACGAGCACGAGTACCGTCAGGGTCTTCGAAGGCGAAGACAATAGGCGATTGGGTGGGCAGACCTTCGATCGGGTTTGTAACGAAGCGGGGCTCTTGCGTGAACTGAGTATTCTTGAGAATGGGGTTGCGGCGAAGCATAACCCCCAGCGCGACTGGTTCCCAGGGTTGTCCTTCTGGGTCGTGGGCTGGCACGCGAGAGCAGACAAGCTTGGACCACTTTGTATCGTGGGATATGCAGACATCTTTGACGCCGTGGTCAACAATGGGTCGAATGATGCCAAGGTGGCTGTGGACAACGCTAGGGCGCGTGTTGGCGGGGAATACGAGGTTGATGTTGCCAGTACGATTCCATTCTGCACCCAGGATGGTGAGATTTGCCTCGCGCGCAGTAATCGAGTTTCCGAACGCGTAGTTGAGCGCGGTGGACATCAGGAGAGGGGTTTTCCGGGCAGTGTCTGGCGGGAGTCGACCTTGGAATCGGACGATGAATTTTACGTTGGTGTGGGGTCGGGTAGAGGGTTTAGTTGCACTGGGGGCGGGGGGGGTCTTCTGTGCACCATTAGCCGTGGCCGTGGCGTATGATGCTGTGCTGTGGAGGGATTGGGAGGGGGCTACTGCGTTTGGGCTGGTGGATATTTGGGGAGGGTGGCGAGGCTGGGGGTTGTTTTGTCCTCGGACTTGTCGTTCTATGTTAGCGATACGGAGGGATAGTGACGATTCCAACCCCTTAATCAGATCCTTGATTTCCCCTGTGGTGGTTTCGGCGGAACTGGAGTGTGTGTCTGCACGTCGCGCGCGCGCGCCTTTGTCGAGAGGGGGGAGCGGGCCTATATACTCCAGTGTCTCTTCGGGCACTAAGAACGAGAGCGCCTCAGCGCAGGTGCGGAGGCCGTCATATACATTGAAGATGTGTTGCATGGTGTCGAGATCGCTGTCCGGGTCAGTTATTCTTTGGGAGGTGGCACGCGCACCTTCCGCGATGAGCCCAAGCATTTGGGTGCAGTCGCGAGCCCATTCGTCAGCAGGGTACCCCGGGATGGAGCCCCCACTCTTGATGCGGATGCCTACGATGTGTCCTAGTGGGGTGAAGTCAGCTGGCTGTGAAAAGAAGGTGTCGTGGGCAGAGTCGGCACGGCTCGTAGGCCTGGACAGAGGGGGGGACTGGTTCCCATCTGTTCTTCGGCGTTTGTCCGATATCTCCTTGCGGGGTGTGAGTAGGTGGTCGTCGAGGGGTTGCATGCTGTGGGAACGCGGGGTTGGGCTTGTGAAAGGTGTAGCCGGACGTGAGGGCGCTGAAGCCAGCACCGTGTCAGGCATATTAGCCAGTGCGCTAAACGCAGACAGGTTGGCGGGGTCGCGAGAGATCAAGCGTTATCCCGTTAGAAGAATCCGGAAATAGATGGATGGCATGTGACGCGAGAAATCCGATCCCACGTGGATATCTGAAGCCGCAGCGGACTGTGGTCACCACCAACCTTTGACCGTGACCAGTAGCATGGATAGACTAGCCGCTGCAAGGGTTAGTCTATCTGGTATCTGTTTTGCCTTTACCACTAAACTGCTTCGGATTCTAGGCTCAGCGGAGGCAGCACGACGGCGCCAGCGAACCTCCTCATGAACTCAGCGGATATCAGAACGGGCAATACACGAATGGTACGACTAACGACGACACGACGGGGTTTCTGAACGAGGTCAGGATGCGAGGCGTCGATTTATGCTGCGGTGCTTAATTCCGCAATAGATTGTGGACATCCAAGACAGTATTGACCGCTTGCAAACCAATGTCAATCGAATCGCGGGACTGCACACTCGGTCGATGGACGCTGTGGGAGATGTCTCTCCTAAGGACGCGGCGGAATTGGAGGACCTCACTACGGAAACCCGGGCACTTGCCAATACCATTAAAGACCGCATAAAGGGACTGGAGAGCAAGCCATTGACTGGGCGAGACGCTCAGATTCGGCGTAATAGGGTGGGTCCACGTTCGTCTCACCTGTAGCCATTCTCACTTGTATCCTGTAGACCGGCTTGATACGGAAGAACTTCCTGGAGGCATTGCAACGGTATCAGCAGGTTGAACAACAATCCCGAGCGAAGGCTCGTGAGCGGGTCGAACGGCAATTCAAAATAGGCATGTCTAATGTCCATGCTGGAAATATTCTCGTTGACCGTGACTGTAACCATCCCAGTCAAGCCAAATGCCACGCAAGAAGAGGTTGCCGCCGTGGTGAACAATTCATCCGGGCAAGGCGACCAAATTTTTGCCAACGCGGTAGGCATTCGGTGTATACGCATTGCTGATTGACTAAAGGCGGTGATAGCTCACATCGTCTACTCGCTATGGGGATTCCCGAGTAGCGTATCGTGAGGTGCAGGAACGACATCAAGAAATTCTCCACATGGAACAGACATTGGCTGAACTTGCGCAGCTGTTTAATGACGTGGGTGAATCTCGGTCTGGTGTATGTGCCTCTAATGACGTTCAATTCAGATGGCTGTTCTGGTCGAGCAACAAGATGCCACTATCGTTGACATTGAGACAACTGCGGGCAAAGTCGAAGCAGATGCCAAGGCTGGGTAAACTCCTATGCCTGCTCGCAGCTGGCTGTTTTCTGACCTGAATTGCCTACAGGGATGAACAGGTTGCAATTGCTGTCAAGGTAAGTTTACGTACCCGCTCAGGATCTTTGCGCAGCTCACGATTCGGAACCAGCATGCGCGAAGTGCAAGACGGAAACGATGGATATGTTTCTTCATTTTCCTCTTCGTTATTGTGGTGCTGGGCCTGGCACTTGGGCTCAAATTCGGGCTCGACAATAACAACAATAATAACAGAAACCCGCAATGAGAGATTCGAATTCTATGTACATAGCATATTTCTTCGCAGTAGTGTAATGCATAATGACGTGATATCCCTCTCGTAAGCGCGTAAGCGCACTTCGTCACGCGCGCCGCCTTACGGCGTTTTTGCACCAAACATAAACCGCTCCGACGAGCAAAACTCGAATCCCATTTATTCTGCGCGCTCCGGACTCTACCCACGCCGTGGTTCTCCTTTCCCATTCCCATCCACTCACCATGTCCTCTGAACCAAAGCCCACGCACTCGCGACGTCGAGCATCCATCGAGGTGGTCGACGCCAATGTGGCACTCGACCTCGCCACCGCGCAGACATACTCTGAAAACGTATTTCTTTTTGTACCAAATATCATCGGTCAGTTACACAATTGATGAGCCTGAACGTTCACGAACGCTCCTTTTGTAGGATACACGCGCGTTCTGCTTGCGGCGCTATCTATGCATTATATGAGCTATCATCCAAAGTATTGCACACTAGCCTACGTCGTGTCGTGTCTCCTGGATGCGGTGGATGGACAGGCGGCGAGAGCACTGGGCCAGACATCGAAGTTCGGGGCAGTGTTGGATATGGTGACTGATCGGTGCGGCCGTTTAGCTTCCTAGCCGCAAAGCCTTCGACGTTCACCCTTGGAACAGATGTACCACGTCGTGTCTGCTCTGCTATCTCACCTCGGCGTATCCAAAATGGACGGTTCTATTCCAGTTTTTGATTGCACTGGACTTTAGCAGCCACTACATGCACATGTACAGGTACTTGTTCCCGGCCTGATTGCGTTCGTGTGACCGAGGATCTGATGATTGGCCAGTTCCTTGATAACAGGTTCTCGAAGCCACAAGACTGTGCAGAGCGACGTAAGTCGTATCTTGCGGTGGTATTACAATGATTCTGTGAGTCTTATCTTTCGGTGAAAATATTGACCGTAGTGACATTTGCCCCTCCAGACGACATTGTTCCTCGTATGCGCCGGTAACGAGCTGTTCTTCGTCGCGCTATATCTCATGAAATGGATCAAAACCCCGCTCGACCTCGATTTCCTTCCACCAATATTAGCAAGTCTGACCTGGCCGCAAGCATTAGCCGCCATCAGCTTCCCCGTATTCTTCATCAAGAATTTCCTCTTGAACACAGTTCAGCTGTGGAAGGCTTCCAAGATTCTCGTTGGTGTGGACTTGGCGGAGAGGGCGAAGGCGCGCGAAGAAGCTCTGGCTCGCAAACGATGACCGCGACCACGGAGACGCCATCTACGTATACTTCTACATTACGCTACACGACAAGCTGTCTGTTAGATAGGCTGTATATTTGCTTCACGCTCTACCAAAGAGTGATAATTGAATCTCGGAAATTCGAAGTACATAATGGGCGCCTTGAAGTCGTTGCCACGCGTTATTCGCACGTGCTCAGGTGCATTATTTCATAGACCCGCAACTTCGCAATTCGCAACTTTTCAAGGTTGTATGCGCTCCTCTCAGGCCCTCTTTCGAAGGTCGCGCTCGCTGTTCCAATCGACAGCACTCAACTCGGCGCGTCGCTCGACGACCAGGCTTGCTCGGCCATCGAGAAAGGACGTGACTGTTCCTTCGTCTACTGGAACACCCGGCATACGGCTTTCGTCTTCAGCAACACCCCCACCGAGCAATGAGCCTGTAGAACCCATTCCAGACTCAACGCCGACGCCGACGCCGACGCCATCTCCAGATGCCCCCGAAAATGAGGGGGCCCCGAGCGAGGATTCCGAGAAACCTAGGGTGCGCCGTACGAGACTGACACTTACGGTCTCAAAAGATGCCGAAACTCTCCAGCTACCAGAGGACTTGGATATTCTTTGGGCACCAGAATCCGAGCCTCCAGAAAGGGCTACCTCGGATTTATCAGCCTTACCACCCGACGACATCCTCGACGACGCCTTGCACAACCTACACATCGCTTTACATCCGCAGACGCAACACAAGGCGACGTATGCGACTGGCTCCGCGGCCATTGAACCTACATTAGCTTTATGCTGCCCAATTGAAGGTGGAGAGTACATCATAGATGCGACGGTGCGCGAGTTAGGACGTCGGACAGGTGCGGAGGTCATCGAGTTAGATGCGGTTCAACTCGCAGCCGGAGAATGGGGACATTTTGGTAAAGGTACGTCGGGCTGTCTTGGTTGTGCGCTCTAATCAACCAATTCCAATTAGCTGGTTCTGCCATTCAGTTACCACAAAATCCGCTGCATTTCGCTTCATCTTCTTCAAGCAGTACACCGACTTCGCGTTCGAATCACAACGACGAGGACGATGATCAGGACATGCCCGCTCAGATGTTCCCTCCGCAACAAATGACTCTTACATTGATGACTTCCGCTTCACCTGGTGGTCGGACGGTCATTTCCCCTCCCTCTCGACGCACATCTACACCCAGCAAAGCCAAAGTATTCTTTGATGCTCTGGTCAACACACCCCCAAAACAAAATACTGACGACCCACAACCCAGCTCTTCGACTTCTTCGCATCGACCACGGCTGATATATGTCCGTGATTTTCAGACGTTGGCAGCTACCTCGTCAACATGGTATCCCCCTCTCCTTTCTGCCGTTCGACAACGGCGCCGCGGCCCTATATCGCGCCCCTCGTCGCCAGTATCCAACCCTATGGTCATTGTCTTTGGGATTTCACCCTCCTTAACCCCTCCATCTTCACTTTCACCACAAGGCGCTGCTGGCTTTGTTAATCTACTTATGAATCGCTCACCCCAGTCCGATCCTTCGGTACCCCGGCCCCGGCCCACCAAAGTCGACTGGACAGAAGACCCTGCTGCCGAAAAAGCTCGGGAACGGAGGCTTCGTGACCGTATGCGCAGATGGGAACAAGGCGAAGCTAGCCTACAATTCGAGATCCCGAAACTTGCCTCTGGCTCCAACGAGTCTGAAGGCAGTTCAAAACCTGATGTAGTGGTCATTGGTGGCCCTCGGAATCTACCATTCCTCCCACCGTTCCTACGAGGCGCGTCCACGGAGAATGCGGACGAGAGCGATGAGAGCGACGCCTTCTTCCGCACATCTATTGTATTTCCTAGTAAGCGGTCACCCTCGGACGAACGCAACTCTCGAATGGCTCGTAGACGTGAGATCAACGAGCTGACGATGAGGATGGCTGTTGGGGGAGTGGGCGGCATTCTGGACAAGGAAGTGACCTTTGCTGGTGAAGAAGAGGACACTTCGGCTGGTACCAGCGCTCCAGATGAGCAACAACAGCCGCAAATTTGGGCAGACTGGGGCCAGAGGATAGAACCATGGTCGAACGTTAGGAGCATTGCTGACCGTGCAGTCGGCAGTGCGATGGGTCCTAGTCATATTGGTGATAAACCAACGTTGGAGCCAACGCCTATCTCTTGGGATGTTGTTCGTGGAGCTTGGTTAAGCCATCATTCAGGTCGGAAACTACGCAAGACATGGTCGAAGGAACTGACGTCTGGTACAAGGACACATCGGGAGGATGAAGATAAGGATGAGGACAATACCGAGCCGGAGCCTGTGGTAGATGAGGTTGTCGAGCGCGTGAAGGCTGATCCCGAGCTAGAATCTCATGAACAACGGTTGCTGTCGTCTATCGTTGATTCGAGTAAGTATTCGCTTTGGTCACTTCACATGGTGTTTCCTAATCTTTCATGTAGCTACAATGCCGACATCATTCAGTCAAGTCCACCTACCTCCACACACGATCGACTCCGTAAGAACTATCGTTTCCCTCCCACTACTCTACCCCGCTGCATTCCAGCAAGGTATCCTCAAAGACCACGCTATGACTGGGTGCCTTCTGTTCGGCCCTCCTGGCACAGGTAAAACACTCGTCGTTCGTGCTCTCGCAAAGGAAGCTGGCTGTCGCATGATGGTCATATCGCCCTCTGATGTGATGGACATGTACGTCGGCGAAGGCGAAAAGCTTGTCAAAGGCGTTTTCTCGCTTGCGAGGAAGTTGTCTCCCTGCGTGGTCTTCCTTGATGAAATCGACGCATTGTTCGGCGCTCGCATGTCAGCCCGCGAAAGTGGCGGTGCCTTTGCCCATCGGGGCGTGATCACAGAATTCATGCAAGAAATGGACGGCCTCAAGACATCGAAGGAAAACAGTGTTATTGTCATCGGTGCAACTAATAGACCCTTTGACCTTGACGATGCCATCCTTAGGCGACTGCCTCGTCGACTTCTCGTCGATCTTCCTGGCGAGAAGGAACGCGAAGGTAGGATTGTCTAGTTTATTCTTTGTTATTGAGGTTCATGGTCGTTCTGTAGAAATCCTCAAAATTCTTCTACGAGACGAAAGCTTGGCAGAGGATGTCAGTCCCAACGACCTCGCGAAAAAGACCGAGAGCTTTTCTGGTTCTGATCTCAAACGTATGTATATAACATCGTCTCCTTTGGGTCAAGACTCACATCGTGTTGTAGATCTTTGCGTTTCTGCCGCGTTGGACGCAGTCAAGGAGGGTGTCGATGTCCCTTGGGCCCCGTCGAAGGTAACCCCTCCTGAAACCAAGGCTCCGGAGGCTACCCCTCCTGAAACAATTGTTGAGGGGCTTGCAAGTACTGCATCTGACGTGAAAGTGCCATCCGAAGCTCCTTCAACACCACCACGCGTGCTACATCTTCGCAATTTCGAGAAGGCATTGAAGGAGATTACCCCGTCGTCCTCAGAATCCCTCGGCACACTCACTGATCTCCGCAAATGGAACGATGAGTTCGGGGAGGGGCGCAAAGACCGAAAACGCGTACACGTATGGGGGAAAGGGCGGTTCGGCTTCATCAACCAAGATACCAACGTCGGCGACGGCAGGGTTTCTGGTCCTGCGGCAGCATCACGAGTACAGACATTAGAAACACGGAGCAATGAACATCAATAGATGCAATGTGTATAAAGTATATACTATATCGAACTTATCATAGGTAATACATATATACAGCAAGGTTGAACGACGAACTACATATTCTGTTTCAGTAACGATACTAACGCCTAGACCGTCGTCTGGCTTGGGAGCGTTTGGGGGCTTCCTCCTTCACCTCAGGCTCCCCCTCCTCGTCCATACTCACATCTTCCTCTACTTGCTTCTTTTTGCCCTTGTTTCGAGATCGCTGACTTCGAGTGGGTTGAGACTGAGTCGCTTGAGTCGCCTGGCTCTGTGTAGGTTGTGATTCTGCATCGAATTCTTCTTCCTCTTCGTCGTCGCTGTCGGCCTCCTTTTGGCGTGTGCGACGCCGAGCGTCGTCTATGCTCTTCGCAGCCCCTTCACCGACTGGCAGTAGCTCCGCAGCCTGCTGAGGCCACTCCCTCCCGCAAGAAGCACAAACGTTGTGGCGTTTACGGTAGGTCGTGAAGCAGTGGAAGTGCATGCGGGTCTTGCAATTGGCAGTATGGCACGCGGCACCACGCGTGATGATCTTTATGATTAGAGTTTTTAGAAACTTGCAAGCCCAAAGATTCTTCTACGCACCTCCATGCAAATTGTGCATTCATTTACTTCGTCAGGATAAGTGGTCTTGAGATAAGGCAGCAGCTCCAACAAAGAGCGCGTCGAAAGACTATAGCGACCTTGTCTGAGGGCCGATGAGTAGATGAGTGACGAAGTATTAGATTTACACGTACTTGCTCTTATACAACCACCCGTTGGCGACGAAGCTACCCAAGACGACTTCGGCCTGGGACTTGCTCATACTAGTTTGGAGAACATGTACTTCACGTAATGCGGCTAACGAAGACACACAATACGATTCGTTTGGCGCCAACATGATTTGTTCAACCTAAACATTGAGATCAATAACGAAGACCACGAGAACACGCGAAATCATGACTACAAGAGCTCTGAAGAACGCAATTTCCGCGGGGCTGTAGTGTGAAGCCATCTGTGCGATTTCGTCACCCTTTCTATTGACCTTGGAAGGAATCCGTCAATACAAAATGACCAAGACCTCCCAAACAGGGGCGTACCAGAGCATACATCTCTCGACCAGTATGTTCATCGTGCAGATGCCTGAACTCCAGATCCAGATTGTCTATCGATGTATTAACCCTTGCCACGAATTCGTCCCATGCAGCGCGCTGGTTAGAATGTGCAATGGCCAAAGAGTCGTCGGCAGCTGCGACGCGTCTGGATTAGGGCAGATCTGGCCAGCATCGCGGTGAGATATACCTTTCACTGCGTCGACGCACTTGGCCCATATCGCTTGTGCAAGTTTGACTGAGAGAACGCCGCGAGACAAGACTGCCTGGAGGAACAGTCGCTGGACGTCGCCGGAGCTGACCATCGCGTTGAAAAGAGACGCGACAAAAGAAACGCGTCGCCTAATTCGGTAATGCCCGATATTGACATCTGTTTGTCACTCCGGAATAAGGATCAGAGGATGTGCCGCATACGACACACGACCCTTGCAGTACTTTGTAGTTTAGCGAACAATCACTCACAATCGTGTAATTATGGTACCTCTACGTATATATGAAAATTTCACAACTTGGGCACCCGGAGCGTCTTACTAACCATCGCTGCTGCCCAAAGCCCAAAGACGATACTGACCAGATGAAGTTCGCCACGTCCACCCGCGTCGCCCCACAAAGTAATTGTACCCCATGGAATGCCTTGCTTCCCCTCAATCCAGTCGTTCTTTACCCAGTACGATAGAACCGCGACAAGCCCAAGAGACGTGGGAATAGGCAACCCCTCGAAATAACTTGCTTTGCCCGCTTCGTTCTTGGGGACAAGTGCGACGGTCGCGTTGAAGCGAGCAAGACGTGCGAGGCCACAGCAGATAAAGCCGGTCAGGCAAACTGTGTCGAGGTACGTCCTCAAACCAACCACAAAAGCGAGTAACGCCGGAGCGACACCAAAGGATATCTAAGGAGTTGAGACGTTGGCAACTAAAAGCTTGAATGAATGAAAGAGAACACACCAGATCAGCCAAGCTGTCGAGTTCTTGACCCAGCAAACTAGTAGACTTTCTCCATCTAGCCACTTTGCCATCCAAAAAGTCGAACATAAGTCCAGCAAGAGGCAAGCTCAAAGCTGTCCAGAGGTAGTCTGGGTCGTTGCTGAGGAGGTAGTGTGCCGAGGAGAATATTGACAACGACCCGCAGACACCATTCATGATAGTGACCAAATCCGCTAGCCGGAAGTTCCTACAAGCCACTGCCACGATGAGCATTGCGTTCAGCTGCGCACGACACTATTTCTACGAACCTAACCAAAGAAAAGTGACCATCTGTGTCCGCGTACTGCTGGAGAGTATGATCTTTGGCCTTTGGTGGCATTTGTGAATTGTCGTTACTCTTTTGCGTCGATTTTCGTTGATTGAGTGTCATGAACGTCGTGGAGGAGAGAGCCAGAAGAGGGGACCAGGGAGCGACTCCGATGATATGGTGGCACGTGGGCACATATATTACTCCAAGCATTACATAATTGTTATTATCTCAGTCCACCACCATCGCTTCGGTCTTGGTCCCGCTTGAGGCCTTCTCAAGTTCGATGCTCACTGCTGCGTACTGGTTTGGATGCGTGACACTCTCGCCACCTCCTATGCCTTCCCCCTTCTTGATGCCCTGCGCAGCATGCGTGATCTCAAACACTCGTGTGCACGCAACATGTGGATGTCCGGCCTTGACTGTAGCCATCACTTCGGAGAGGTCCGTCCCAGCGAGCTGGTACCGAGCAGCCAGCGCGGTCGACAAGTTCTCGTGAGCAAAGTGCTTGTAAGGACACACCCAGTTCGAATCTTTATTCGAGGGAATCAATATTTGCGAACAGCTATAATGGATCCGTGAGCAAGGCAATAAAACCTCGCGTTTCTTATGGAGTAATCGCACCTGAGCGCCGAGTAATTGGCCTTTCTCCCTTCCAACCCGTACGAATGACGAATGTTGTACTTGTACTTCTTGTTGAATTCGTCATCGGTTATTTTACTGAAGGATCTTCGCCAAAAGGCGATAGCTTCATCTATGGGTAAACCCAGAACCTACCCAACGGTATCATCAAACCCGCGTTCCTGAGGCCTTGACCAATACACACCTTCAGGAACAAGCCATACTGCAGACGACCAAAGTGGGGAAGGTGACGATCCTTCGTGAGTTTGAAGTGTAAGTGTTGCATGCACAGAGGGAAGTGCTTTGAAAGACTATCAATCATGTCTGCTGTGATATGGTCTTTATCGGTTTGATCATCGTTCCATCCTGACGCGACGCCGGCGAGGAACCCTTTAGAGAGATTCGTTAATATGGGGTCTAGACGAGTATCTTCGTCGAGACGCGGTAGGGATTTAGCCGTTAGCTGAATGTACCCGTGTCAATTTAAGCAGTCTCACGGTGCTGAAGGACTTACAAGCAGTGCTTGCTCAAGATGAGACTCAAATTCTTGAAAGATGATACTTGACTGCTCGCGGGAGGGAACATAGGCCCACCCTCCTTTCAGGAAAACCTTCCTGTGAGACACTAAGTCGGGCACTCGCGTCCATCTGACCTACATAGTCGTCAATACCTGCTCGAGTTAGCTCGTGCAACAACCGCACCTTGAGGTAGGTTTCCTGCTTGAATAGTGCCTCCCTTGTCGCCTTTGGCCCTGAGTAAACTGAGAATAGCTGGGATCTAATAGCCTTCTTCTCTTCGTCGTCCACCTATGGTCACGTCAGAGAGCTCAATGACCACGGATTGCCAAGAGTGCTATTTACCTTGACCCAATTGAAATTGCGAGACTCCGAGAAGGCCTCCCGCTCTCCCATGTCCGAATCATCATATCTCACTTTGAACAGCGTCAACTCAGCCTTAAGGAACCGCTGCCTGAGTTCGTCCCTGTCGTTGCGAATAGCTCATGAGACCAGTGCCTCGTATCAGCGTGAATGCACTCACGATCGGGAGAATGCAAGCCTCAAGACAAAGTGACCAAGTATATCTTTCCTCCGTTCCGCGTCGCGGTCGATATATTTCGCGGTCGATGAATGAAGTGGTAGGTACTTGTTGCAGTGCTCCCCTGTCACACTCTTCGTCTCCTCCCAACTTCTGCCACGAACAGCAGACGACTCAATTTCTGCTAGCACACGAAGTCTGTCTAGAGCTGCCGTTTCGAATTCTTCCAAAGTCACGTCGAACGCCGGAGGTCTGTCATAGCTAGCGCGGCGAATCAGGACGTGTGGTCATGGCGAAGCAAGTGAGATTCTGACAAGTTGAGTCTGTGCGGGTATTCGAGTCCGAATGTATGCTCATCGAAAGAAGATTTCTCTTCGACATTAGTGGGTTTGCGGACTGTCCTCGCTTTCAGCATCGTGATACTTGAGAGAAGTGGATGAAACGCGTAAAGTCACGCGTGACATAGCGTGTTATAGTCACACTAGGGGGAGATAGTGAAAGTCGTGACTAAAACCACATAGTTGTATATTACCCAACACGAGTATTCTACTGCAACCGACTAGCGAAAGATATATAAATACAACAAATAGCACCATAGATGAGCATAGCGACTACATGCTACAGGACAGCAATAACGAAAGTAAGGTGAAACTAAGAGCGAATAGTATGGATACACCATTCAAGGGGGTATAGGAATTAGGACTCGGCTTGAGCAGTCTGGGTAGAATATTCTTGGGCTCTCTCTTGGGCCCTCTCTTCTCGCGATGGCCTGCGCCCCGTTCCGCGGCGAGTAAGCGGTTTCTTCGGCGCGGAGTCAATGCGAGATTCTTCGGCAACGTCGAAAACGACGCCTGGACGTCCCCTGTAGTCTGATTGAGCCCACATCTGCGTGGCAACGTATACATCCCTTTGCGGTGGAGGGGGAGGGGCTTGACTATGCATAGATACGGTGGGAGAAGCGACGGCGGTGTTAGTCTAGTAAGAATTAGCAAAGGTGAAATAAAACCAAGTCAAGTAGACTACGACTTACGGCAGTACCGTCAACAGCTTCCAGTGAAGCTGCCGACACTGTCCGGTAGCGTTTCGACGTCAAATATGAAAATGGATTGAATAATTTAGGAGGCGGTGCATGTCCATGTGGTTTGCTTGAATGCCCTGGTTGCGGGGTTATTCTGACCTTAGGGACATTAGGCGGAGGGACGGTGTGGTTGGGACGGTCATATGCAGAAGGCTTGGGTGGAGGAGGCTGGATAGGCTGAGTTGGGGGCACCCTGGATCGTTCGCGATCAGTGGGTGGTAATGCTTCTGGGGGGACAGTTGCGTTCGCAGGTTCGTTGGCTTGCTGCTGGGAAGCTTTCGGACCTCGCCTAAACATTCCAAGTAGACTAGTCTTCCTTGTTCGCTCCTGCTGGGACGCTTGTGAATTGGACCGAGATACTGGAACAGATTGAGCGAGAGAGGAAGGCGTTTGAAGCACAGATTCTTCTGAGGGCTTCCGAGCTAAAGGCCTGGCAGTGCCGTTGGTGGCCACATTGCCATTTGCATGCGAGCCATGGTTCACCCCAGATGGAATTGCTGTCTGTTGGGCCGTCGCATGCTGAGTACTCTGCGATGCAGACACCTGGGATGTTGAGGTTGGTTGTGTAGTTGGATGTAGATAAGAATTGTAAGCACGGGTCATTGGTGGCATGGTTGCATGGTCATCAGGATGTACAGATACGGGCATAGAGGAGGAATGGTGATGCTGAGGACGAACCAACGTGGGTGGAACGTTGTTATAGACCACCGAGGAACGGGAACGATGATGTGCTGCACCGTTGTTGCTCGTGTAGGCAGTTGGATAGCCGGGTTGCTCCACAGCACGGTGGGATCGGGATGGCTGGTTTGCAACAGATCCAGAAGGTGCAGTGCTCGGGTTGGTTGCATATTGCTGCAAAGCGGGATTGATGATCTCCCCTGCGTGAGACGCTGCGACGATGTTCACCTTCTGCGTACTATTAGAACCTTCTGCGTAACGCGGCTGTTGCGATCCAACCGTATTCTCAACGTACGCATCCCGAGGCTTCGTATTAGCGTAACGAGCGGCCGAAGATACTTGTGGATACGCTGTTGTCGAAGATGCGGGAGGAACAGGTTTCTGGGAGGGTGCTACTCGAGGGTCATGATTCCCCTGGGGATTTGAGGGGTCCCGCTGAGGAGGTGAAGCACGAGATTTCGTTACCGTGTTCTGAGAGCCATCAGTAGCCATCGCACTCGAGTTTGACCATTGCGATTGGAATTTCGATGGATAGGCAGGGGGATTCCTATGCGATTGTGAAGTGGGATGTGCAGAGTCACCCGGAGTAGGTTGCTGGGGAGCACTCCCTCCAACGATTGGTACAGGGAACGCGGGAGCGGAGTTGGCAGAGGGGAGCCGTTGTGCACTAGTGCGCCGTCGCAGATGATCACTTTGCGCTGAAACTGTATGTGAAGTATGATCCTCCCGGCCCGACCTGAATTCCTGGGGATAAGGTGCTCGTGGGGGAGGCATGCCTGCTGCTCGAGTGGCTTCTTGCCTCGTTTCCGGAGCCAATGTGGGTTGAACATACCCGTGAGGCGCATTGATAATCTTATCCGTCGAGGCGGGCACAGGAGAAGATAACAGCTCAGCCAAACGTTGGTTTTGTATTCGAGCAACTGGCGTAGTTTGACCTTGACGAGGATCCGCTGGTTGTGCTGAACGACTGTCCCGTGGCGGTGCCTTCTCACACTCAAAGTTAGTATCGCCATCGTAGTCAAAACGAGAAACATGCCTCTGTTGTGGGATGAGGGAAGTCATCACGAGAAGTACTACGATCCGCTGGCCTTGATGCACCATAAGGCGTAGTCGGGTCCGACAGCAAGTTACGATGTTCAGTGGCAGCGGGAGGAGCCGTTGGTGGGGCCACGTGTGGAGCAACCACCGGAGGTGCTGGATTTCGGGGGGTCGTGGTAGTGGTGTATCGGTTCTGCGTAGACGGGGGCGGACGATGCTCATGACGATGGCGGCTGCGAGACGTTGAGTCATACCCAGAGTCGGCGGGCGGAAGAGTGAGCGACGGTGCAGTAGGCAGGTGTTGTGTGGCCGCTACCGGATGCATGCTTGTTCTGTGGCGAGCTGTAGTAGACGCAGCTTGTTGCGAATGCGAGAGTGGAGGGGGCCTGGCTTCGGCTGGTGGTGGCTGAGTATACGTCCTGTTGTCGTACACAGGTGCTTGACGCTCCCCGAATTCGCTGATCTGGGCGTCCTTACCTGCACTGTGTTGCGTAGACATAGGATACGTCGGAGTGTCCTTGTGCCTTTGCGAGGAAGTCGGCTCATGAGGTTGGGCGAAGGTAACTGTGCGAGTTCCGCTGGGGCGACTGCTGGGATATGCGTTCGGCGCCGTATGTGACGATGATTGGGGTGGGGCTGCATGAGTATTTCGTGAATCCTTCGATGTGGACGTGTGTGGCACAGCAGCGCCAATATGAACACTTTCCGTTGAGCTACCTTTCTTATCGACTGATGAGGATTGGACGATGGTCTCAGGCGAGGAATCGGGCTTCATTTGAACTCGTAGCAGAATTGGCAGAGGTTGTTGAGGAGAATCTCCGCTATTCCCTATCTCTGCCGGGGAAGGCTTTGCCGCAGAGGTGGGGGATTCCTTCTGTACAGAGAAGTAAGTATAGCGATACCCAAGGGAAGATGTCGACTTACAGGCTGGACGGGGAGATCCTTTGGAGATCTGGTAGTGGTAGGTGGGGGGACATCCTTGGGCTTATTCCTGGTTGAATCTGTCGAGATGGTACGAGGTCGCATGGCGGCACTCGAAGGATGAAGAAACTGCCCGTACTGGCCGTTATTGGGGGACTCATTAGCAATGTTTGGGACGACCGCTGGAGATGGGGCCAGACGGGTTGCTGAAGGCGGCTTCTGTCCTTCACTAGCTCCGTTCAGAGGCTGAAGGCCTCCTTGTGGTGTGGAGTGTTGAGTAATGGGCGTCGGTGGATGCCATATCTGATAAGAAGGGCTGTGACTTCCTTTGGCCGCCTCTGGTTTCGATGATTCTGTATGGGAAACAGGCAATGGCCCAGAAGAAGCGGGGTTGTTGGCGGGAGACGGTGGATGAGAGCGAGATGGATCGCTAGTGTGAGAAGGAACACGACCAACTGGTATTGTCCCCGCAGCATATTCGCTTATCTTGACCATGGACGGCGTCCGAGAAGGCGCTTTGGTAGTTGTTTGAGGCGGATAATTGGACCTGCTAGAAGAGTGCTCTGGCTTGAGTACATCCCCGTGGGTGCCTGGACTCCCATCAGCTTTGCTAACGGTCTGAGGAGAATATCGCGCCTGGCATTGGAGAGTGTGAGTATCCAGTATCAAGTACTATCAAGATATGACTACTGACGGTCTGCGATGCGTTGCTCCCCTTCCGTGTTCTGTCGCCAGGTATCTCGGGCGGTCTATGAGAGGAAGACTCCGTGGGGCGTGGCTTGTTACACAAGTCAGAATGAGTTGGTGTGCAGATGGAAGCATATGGTACCTCTCTGTAACGATCATCAGGACGGTGGCTCCTTTCCCTCTGTTCGTCGCTGTGCCATCCAGTGTTACTCCTGTGCTCGCCATGCCCGGGTCGTGTGTCATGGTTTGCGGCTGTGTCATGAGGACGGCTTGATTTCTAGCATCAGATAGTAATACCTCAGAACAACCGCAGGTGAAGACAAGGACACACGCACCCTAGTGCGTTCTCGCTCGTTCTCGCTGCCAGAGGGAGGAACATTATCAGCACCTGCATCCAACCTACCACCCCGAGACCTGGGGTCAGCTGGTAGATGGACCTTCATTGAATTTGAAAGCGCGTGCTTTGAGGCGGAAGTGCTGCCCACTGCCGCCGGGATAAGAGACGGAGGTTCACGCACTTTACGGCTCTGCACATGTCAGTCAGCGACGTAGGGTTGCCATGAATGTAGGCTCACGGAGGGAAGGACATCCTCGAATCCCCTCCCACGATATCGGTATGAGACTTGGGGTTTGCGTCTTGAACTATCAGAGCTATCGCCTTCTTCCAAGAATTCCCTGGTTGGGTGACGACTCTTAGATCGGCTTCTGCTCTGAGGAGGTTCCGCCGTCCGAGACGCTTCCTTCATTTTGTCCCTCTCCGCCTGCTCGCGCGTCCTGGCGTACCGCTCTTCCTCCGCCCTCATACGTTCCCTCTCCGCCCGTTCATATTCGTACCTCTCCCTTGTCCGATCGCCTTCCCTACCCCTTCCGCTCTCCCCAGCACGGTCTCGCGTTCTGTCCCTGTCCCTGTCCTTCGTCCCACTGCTAGGATACTCCCTTCTCCGTTCCCTCTCTCTGTGCCGCTCTGCATCTCGACTCCTTGTGTAATCCTTCTCCGCGCCGTTCACGTCCCTCGCCCTATACTCCTCATCCCTCTTGTTCTCCTTCTCGCGTTTCCTCTCCTTCTCTCTCTCCCTCGCACGGTCCCTCTCCCGCTCACCATGTTCTCGATCTCGTCTGCCTTCTTCGCGATGTGGCAGCATCCTCTCTCTGTCTTGCGAGGGCCGCGATGGAACGTGATTGGTTGGTTGTGTCGTGGTGGAAGGGGGGATCCAAATCTCAGGCGCGGGAGCTGTAGCAGGAGGACCTGGTTCTTGACCGCCGCGTTGCCGAGAAGGACGGGCGGTTTTAGGTTCGTCGATGCCAGATACATGTTCGGATGAGGACAACGGAGTTGGCGGCTTAGTAGATCTTCGGCCTCTTGCGTCACGGTCATCAGGTGAGCTGTTCACAGGCTGCGTCGCACGAACTGGCACGTCCTGCGGCTGAGTTGGCTGGCTCCTCACATGAGTCTGGCCATGTATTGCGCTGGCCGGGACTCCTGGCGCGATCCCGTTCTGTGCGGTCGGACGGCTTGGCGCATAAGGTCTGTCTTCGCTATTCCGTTGCTTCTCTGGCGGAGCGCTTGCGATTGGAGGTGTAACTTGGACGGAGTCAACCGATGCCCATGGTTTGTGCCTTGACTTGGATGATGGTTTTGATGGGCCAGGACGGCTTTCTGAATGTCGTTGAAAGAAACTCTTCATTCAGAAGGTTTCCGCAAGGTTTCTGCCAGAAACACTCGGGCGCTTTCACCTTTTATTTCCGAAGCACAATGAACCGAAACCGCCAGGTCAAAAATGTGCTGCAGTGCAGACATGAGGCAGTTTTGGGAAGCAACCCACTTGAGGGTTCTGGAGTAAATGTGGCAGGGCCGACTCAGCGAATTATGCAAATTTGAACTTGTATGATATTTGTACATCGCGACTACGAACGAGAACAATGCTATTTAGGAATGTCGCCGTACAAGTCGCGAACCAACACGGGTTGATTTATTTACATAAAAGAAGCGTTGGCGGCAACCTGACGAAATATAAAGGCATTCCCGGCCAGTCAGGGAATCGTCAAACCACAAAACGAAGTCGACGGCCTGACTAGCCAGGAGTTGCTATTACACGATTTTGACTCATTAACGACAGTGGGACAGCTGAAAGGCTGGTGATGCTGCGAGAGCATCCTGTCGGAAGAATTTAAGGATCGTGTGGTGGGAGTTTTTGTAGAGAATCAGGCGAGGTACGAGGAGGAGGATCTGTGCATTGTGGATCGATTGCAAAGTTGAAGATCAATTGCGCGGCTGAGTGGATTTATAGGCTGGGCTTGTTTGTTCGTATTATTCTTGTAGCCCCCAACGCCCGTTTGTCATTTGTCAGTCAGTCAGTGTTTTGCTCATCACCTCGACTCATCACCCGACTCACCGCCGCAAGACTCGCATTCTGTCGGTCAGCGCGGTCCCCCTCCTCGTCGTCCACGTACAATAGTCTAGCCTGGATATGGTGCGTTACTCCACGACTTGATGACTGCATTAGACGCTCAAGATAATGACTTAGACTGATATAATGGATGCACTGGACGAGAAGCATTCAATGGAAATTGACGACATTGTATCAGTACAAGATCGTGAGTACAAATGCTCCATTTCATGTCCTATCCATCGATGGTGGATTCCTGGCCGTAGATGAAGCATTCGCGGCGAAGCATATGCCGGATCTGGGACACGAAGTCAAGGACTTCCAGGTGTTCACTTGGCGACTAACCAACTGGAAGAAATTGGAGAAGAAGATAACGAGCCCGGAATTCGAATGTGGGGGTCATAAATGGTTCGTAGCCAATTGCCCGGCGTCCAGGCGTTCCTTATTGAATGCGTTATTTAGGCGTATCCTGCTATTTCCTTTCGGCAACTCGAACGCTCCGCCAAATGATACAGTTTCTGTCTATCTCGACTATGCGGAACCCAAGAAAGCCCCAGAGGGCTGGCATGCATGCGCTCAGTTTGCCCTGGTTATCTCAAACATATACGACCCTGCGATATACACCGTCAGCCGTATGTTGGGACACAGACAGAGGGTTTGTAGACACCTGACTAACGTACTACGACGTAGATGCTCACCACCGTTTCATCGCCGAAGAATCCGACTGGGGATTTACTCGCTTTAGTGAACTGCGGAAACTTTTCCATGTCGCTGAAGGGCACAATCGTCCAACCATCGAAGAAGAATCAGCCGACGTCACTGTTTTCGTTCGTGTACTAGAAGATCCTACTGGGGTACTATGGCATAATTTCGTCAAGTACGTCGCCGAGCATTTCCTCAGGTATTGACATCAACCAACACCCGTGACCTAGCTATGACTCAAAGAAGGAAACGGGTTTCGTAGGCCTGAAGAATCAGGGCGCAACATGTTACATGAATTCTCTCCTTCAAAGTCTCTACTGCACTCGCTACTTTCGACGCGTGAGTCACTTCTCATTAGCGTACCCACTTGCTCATCCACAGCTTTCGAAAGGCTGTGTACCAAATACCAACGGAGGACGACATTCCCACTGAGAGTGTTCCATTGGCTCTACAACGTGCATTTTACCACCTGCAGACATCGGACCAACCCGTTGGTAGGCCTAGAAGGTTCCTAAGAAAGAGCAACAAGCTGATTGGTTGACCTACAGGTACTACTGAGCTCACGAAATCCTTTGGGTGGAAATCCCTCGATTCTTTCCTACAACACGATGTCCAGGAATTCAATCGTGTACTTCAGGACAAGCTGGAATCCAAAATGAAGGTCTGTCCTTTCTTAGCTCTTAGGTGCACCGCGCTCATCGCTCTGGTTTTCAGGGCACGAAAGCGGAAGGCGCCATTGCCAAGCTTTTTGTAGGCAAGATGAAGAGCTTCATCAAATGTGTTAATGTTGAATACGAGTCCTCGAGAATTGAGGAGTTCAATGGTATGTCTACCGTATCCTGCATCATGGCCTACCTGAAGGACGTTTTAGACATCCAATTGAATGTCAAGGGCATGAAGAACCTTTACGAATCATTCAAAGACTACGTAGCAGTCGAGACACTTGAAGGGGAGAACAAATACCAAGCAGAAGGATTTGGTCTTCAAGATGCCAAGAAAGGCATCGTCTTCGAATCATTCCCCCCTGTCCTGCACCTTCAGCTCAAGCGGTTTGAGTACGATATTCAACGCGATGCTATGGTCAAGGTACATTCCTGTTCTCGTGGCGTTGATGCATCAGTTTACCCTCATACCAACTCAGATCAATGATCGCCACGAATTCCCTTTCGAAATCGACTTGGGCGAGTTCCTCGACTCAAATGCCGATCGTTCACAGCCGTGGGTGTACAAACTGCACGGTGTGCTTGTACATTCAGGTGATTTGCACGGTGGTCACTACTTCGCTTTGATCAAGCCTGACCGCGACACGAGGTGGTTGAAGTTCGATGATGATCGTGTAACGCCGGTGACTGATAGGGAGGTGTTGGAGGAGAATTATGGTGGGGAAGCGTTGAATGGCGTTCCTGCTGCTTTGCAGCGGAACCAGGTGCGCGCCATGAAGAGGTTTACAAACGCATATATGTTGGTGTACATCCGAGAATGCGCCATTGACGAGGTATTGGCACCGTTCACCGAGGAGGACACCCCAACCCATCTGAGTAAGCCATATCCCCAAGTGACCACCAGCGTGTATTCACCCCGATCTAGAACGCCGGCTAGAAGAGGAGCGCGTACAACAAGAGGCGAAGAAGCGTGAGCGGGAAGAGCAACATCTCTTCCTCACTGCGAAGGTAGTTATATACGCATATTATCATGTCGTCGCAAAATTAACTCCCTTAGGTCATCACGGACGAAACATTCACTCGCCATGAAGGCTTCGACTTGGCGACATTCGACGAAAAGAACTGGCCGGCGTCCGATCTTCCAAGCTTCCGTGTCTTGAAGCAAGAAACGTACAGCATGTTTAAGAGTCGTGTGGCGCAACACTTCCATTATCCTGAGAATCAAATACGCCTCTGGGTCCTTGTAAACCGCCAGAATAAGACTGTCAGGCCCGATACTCACATCCCGGAGAACGAACCTACTCTGAGTGCGTGTGCTAGATCATGAACTTAAAGTACTCGTTACTCATTGTACACAGCGGTTGAGGTTATTCGCAACAATATGGCGGCGAGACAAAATGACCTTCGGCTATACCTTGATGTCATCCCCGATCCTTCAAAGGTTTGTACACATATTCATTACTGCTTGAACGCTGTTGATGGTTTAACGTACAGCCTGACCCCCCAGCCCAATCCATTATGATCTTCCTCAAGCACTTTGATACATCGAAGCAGAGTCTGTTCGGTGTGGGCAAAGTCTACATGCCAAAGAACAGCAAGGTCGGCGACTTGATGACCGTAGTGAATGAGCGCATGCGTTGGACACCAGGGACGCCGATCAAACTCTACGAGGTGCGTTGCCTGACGATCTATTTCCTTTTCGATGTCTGAACCATTGGTTAGGAAATCAAACCCGGAATGATCGAGCTTATGAAGCCCAAACTGTCGTTCGCTCAGAGCGAGATTCAGGACGGAGACGTCATTTGCTTCCAAGTCGATATATCGGAGAAAGAGTTGGTCTTCGTGCACATATTCACCCAACTGCGATACTGACTGAACTCTAGGATCCATGACCTTGAAGCTCAAGGCCTCTACTCGAATCCCGTACAGTACTACGACTTCCTACAAAACCGGGTAATGATAATCTTCCGACCTAAATTCGACGAACCCGATCACGACCACCCTGAGTTCAGCCTTGTCCTCAGCAAGAAGCAGAACTATGACATAGTATGTCGTTGCAACTACTGTCTTCTTCCAGGATGTTAAGCTTCTTGTTCGCAGATGTCTCAGAAAGCTGGAGAATACCTACGACACGACCAGATTAAACTACGATTTACTACGACCCATGCCACGAACGGTAGCCCGAAGGCGGTTCTCAAGAGAAGCCTGAACCAGAGTATCCAAGAGATCATGACCCCGAACTACATGAACCCTACCACCACTGTTATCCTCTACGAGAAGCTTGACGTCAGCATAGTCGAACTCGAGACGAAACGCAGTCTGAAGGTAGTGTGGACTGGGATCCACAATAAGGAGGAGGGGACACATTCATTCCTACTCCCGAAGACGAGTATGGTACACGATCTAGGCGATCACCTCGCCAAACAAGTCACTCTGTCGCCAGGCGGAACAGGAAAGATTCGCATATTCGAGATTTCGAAAGACGGCAAGATGCAAAGGGAGTTCACCGGGTCAGAGATGATTGGTAACATTCCCGATCCAGTGGAGCTATACGCTGAGGTACGATGCGCGATTCCTTCGCGGCTGCAACAACCATCCTGAATGATTATCCAGGAAATACCGCGTGAGGAGGCCGAAGCTGACGATTCGGACAAAGTCATAGGTGTCTTTCACTTCTCTAAGGAGCTCGTGCGGACGCACGGTGTACCATTCAAATTCGTAGTCAAGCGGGTTCGTTGTCTTCTTTCTGAGTCGCGTAACGGCTCAGGGTTAACATTGTACTCTTACTTCAGGGCGAGAAATTCTCGGAGACCAAGAAGCGACTCCAAGCTCGGATAGGTGTCTCAGACAAGGAGCTAGCAAAATACCGCTTTGCTTTGATACAAGCATCGACATTCAAACAACCTTCGTATATAGAAGACGGTAAGCTATCCGTTGTCCTAGTTCTATCACGTTCGATTAAGACTTCGTCTAGACGACACCATTTACGAACACCAATTCGCGCCAGAAGATGTCCTTGGGCTCGATCATGTCGATAAGTCTGGTAAAACACGGACGGGAGGTGCGGAGAAGGCTATCGTGATCAGAGGATAATTATGTTTCATGTCTTACACCATTACATCTCAATTGTTTTTTCTCAATTATTACCATTGTACTGTCTATTGCAACGACAAGTAAACCAGGACGTAGAGGTATCAGCGTACATGCGACAGAGCCTAGTGGAAAATATGTGTAACGTAGAGATAACAATGCAATCACTTCCGTTTCTTATTCTTTTTGGCCTGGGTCAGAGGGATTGAACTACACTGGATCCATGAAGTTCAATTGTTTGCACGCACAGATTTTCGGGACATGTTGGGGGAATCAGGCGCTTCACCGTCGCTTGAAGCTACACTCTCAGCCTTTGAAGGAGGAGCGAGGCCGTTTGGAGTTTTAGGTGTTGTTGGTGTAAGAAGGGAGGGAGACGGACTGGTGAGCGCAGGTGAAGAGGGCACGCTTGACGTCGCGACGGACTTTGACTTCACACCGTATTTGATTTCTGCAAGTATAAGCCAATTTGAGTGTAGGCCATCAGACAAGAAAGGTAGACAAACCTTTGGCCGTCCGTGTCTCGTTGGTAGACTCAAATAGTTGACGCATCCGTTCGTTGGCAATCATTTCGTTGGCTGTTGGAAAGATAACCTGGCCCCATCCTTCGACGTATGCATTTGCTTCCTGCACGACTTCCATAATTTCGGCCTCCAGTTCCTTCTCAGCTGCCAGCAGGCTGTTCCATAGGTCGTCACCAATTGAGCCCTTCTGCAACAAATTTTGAAGTGCGGGTTTGTCCTCTCGAAGCCGAATGACACGGTGAACATCTGCCATGGCGCGTCGTACGAGTGCTGATTTCAATAAGGCATCCGATACTGGTGGGTCGGATTTCCCAAGGAGTGTAACATAAAGATTGCGTTCGTGGTGAGGCGGGAAATAAGGCTCGACGTATTTCGCTGACGTGTTTGATTGCTATTGAGCGATCGAAAGCTAGCCAAGGTTGAGAAACACTTACAAGCCGTGTAATTTCTGTAGAAGTAGCTGAATACGTATAGTCCACCAAAGACTATTATAACATATGCGATGGGGACGAGTATCGAGGCCATGAGAGTTGAAGTCAAGTGCACCGTTGGCGATGCGCTGTCCTCGTGCAGTGTTTGCTCGTGTGTGGCAACAGACATACACGTGACCGGCTCAATGATCGAGCGAGCGGCCCCTGTCAAGCAGTTCCGTCCCGTCTACTGGTCTCTTTCTCCGGTCCTCTCCTTGTCATTTACCACCATGATGCTCTCGCGTTTCTCTGGATCCTTGACTCGCAGCTCTCGCAGCTTGCTCTACTCTTCCCAGCGATTTGCGTCCACGAAAGTAAGAATTCTAGCCACAGAACTTCATAATGTTATTAAATCTTCCTCCTCAGACTCTACGGGAAACCCTTCAGGACGTGATTCCTGCAAAACAAGAGCAACTCAAGAAGCTTGTTCGTGTACAATGGGCTTGATTGCGCTTGCTCTAACATCTTCGGACAGAAAACTGAGCATGCTCAAGCCGTCGTCGGCGACATCAAGGTCTGTCCGTGTCCAAGTTAGCATGATCATGTATACCTAAGAATATGTAGGTTGAGAACATCATTGGTGGCATGAGGGGCCTTAAATCGATGCTATGGGAAGCATCTGTCCTAGATCCCAATGAAGTACGTTCGCACTGGTTCCTACAGTAACATCACTCACGCGACTACGCAGGGCATCCGCTTCCATGGCCTTACAATCCCCGACTGCCAGAAGGTGTTGCCCCCAGCACCTGGCGGAAAGGAAATGACCGCTGAGAGCATGCTTTGGCTTCTCATGACCGGCCAAGTTCCTACAGCTGAGCAAAGTCGACAACTGTCGCAAGAGCTCGCCAGCAAGGGACAGCTTCCCGCCTTCATCGAACAGCTCATTGACTCGTAAGTTGGGAATATGCAGATCGCGTGTCTGCTAATTTCTGTTGCATGTGTATAGGCTCCCCCAGACTCTGCACCCCATGACCCAGCTTGGCATTGGCGTGGCAGCATTGAACCATGATAGCAGCTTTCAGTCCGCCTATGAGAAAGGCATGAAGAAATCGGAGTACTGGACCCACACATACGAGGATTGCATCAACCTCCTTGCTCGACTTCCTGCTCTTGCTGCTCGCATTTACCGCAATGTGTATCACCCTGGCAAAGAGATCCCAGCTATTGACAAGGACTTGGATCTCGTTGGTTAGTTTGCCGATCATCATGCCTCCACGCGCACTCTGACTTGATTTCCCAGGCAACTACACCAATCTCCTTGGCTTCGGAGGAAACAAGAACCTGACCGAATACCTCCGCCTGTACATTGCTCTCCACGGTGATCACGAAGGAGGAAACGCGTCCGCACATACATCTCGTATGTTGTCAGCTACTCAATGTACGGCTACGCTAATGCTATAGCTTAGATCTGGTTGGCTCGACGTTGGCGGATCCTTACCTTGCGTACTCCGCGGCGCTATATGCACTAGCAGGTCCTCTTCACGGGTAATTATACGATTATCAAATGCAAGCCATTCAACTAATCAACTAATACCAATACTTCTACTAGTCTTGCAAACCAGGAGGTCCTCCGATGGCAACAAGCCATGCAGAAGGAATTAGGCGACAACGTCACCCACGACCAAATCAAAGAATACCTGTGGAAGACTCTCAAGAGCGGACAGGTTGTTCCTGGGTAAGCTTGTTCGAACATCATGACCGAATCGCTTTGAGGATCGGCGCATATACAGATACGGCCACGGTGTTCTTCGTCAAGCAGACCCGCGTTTCATTGCCCTTCAAGAATTCTGCGAGTCTCGACCTGAATTGATGGCCAGCTCGACAATTCAGCTTGTCAAGAAGGTAAGCTTCTCGCTCGCGAATTACGTCGTTGATGTCAACACGCTGACATCTTTGCTCCTCAGACTTACGAAGTGGCTCCTGATGTCCTCAAGGAACACGGCAAGGTATGTGGCTCTTTTGTTCCATCCCGATCCCTTCTCACCGCCCCCTTCTTCAGACTAAGAACCCATACCCCAACGTCGATGCCACCTCTGGTAAGGCTTAATACACGTCATGGCTAAACATCCTCTTAAACCCGCTCTAGGCTGCGTCCTTTATCATTATGGTCTCACTGAGTACAAGGTAAGCAGATTGCTTCTCCCGCGACCCCCCTTTACCGATCGGATAAAAATCTAGTATTACACTGTGATCTTCGGTGTCTCGCGTGGTTGGTACACTTCACTTCATCCCCAGATTTGTTGCTGATTACACGGTTAGCATTGGGAGCAATTACTCAGTTGGTCTGGTCCAGAGGTACGGAATCCTCTCTACCCTTACTTCTCAGAAATCTAACTTTCTCTCAGCCCTTGGCCTGCCCCTGGAGCGTCCCAAATGTATGATTCGCGTTATCTGTCCTATGTTTAGTGTAGTTCTGACTGACTTCATTGCAGCCCTCTCTATGGATGCTCTTGAGAAGTTGATCAAAAGCTCATGATCGTCACATCTGCTGTAGTCCGATACGTAGCTTCACTCGCAAAATAGATGATAGGGGTATATGGGATGGCTGTCCTGGAAGTAATATTACATGCTTAAATGTATACAAACCTGCGAAGGAGAAACTACATACGACCTTTAAGTTGAATCAATAAGGAAAGACAACTCAATTGTCACTGATACTGGAACCCAAGGGAGATGAAGAGAAAAGAGCGTTGTACATATAATAAGGGTATATCAGTCTCAGAATCGACGGGGCTGGCCTTGCGAGGCAGCATGCTGCATTGGAGGGGGTGCGCCGCCGCGCATGGGATAACCTCCGCCTGGCATATGACCGGGACCAGGAGGAGGCATACCGCCGCGTGGAGGGGGAGGACCGCCGCGACCTGGACCGGGACCGAAGCCCTGTTGTGGTGGCGGGTATCCACCAGGTTGAGGTCCTGGGCCAGGGAAACCCCGACCAGCGCCCGGGGGTGGATATCCTGGGGGTGGACGCCCTCCTTGGATATTGACGGGAGCCGACTGAGTGTGCGGAGGTGGAGGCGGACGACCTTGAAGCGGAGGAACTTGCTGCTGTTGAGGTGGCGGTGGACCACGAAGAGCGGGGCCAGGACCAGGACCAGGACCGGGGGTTGGTCCTGAATCACGAAGTTGAACGGGCGGAGGGCGATTGCCTCCACCGGGAGGGGGGTTCTTCTCCACAGCCTTCATTATCTCGTCACTGAAAAATAGCATAAGTCAGATCCAAAAATAATGAAAGTGCTAACTCACTCTAGCAAATTCAAGGCTGCGCAAAGGACGACCCATTCGACACAATCTTCATTCCCTTCACCTAGAGTTTGCCACACGGCCTTCTCTTCGGGCGTCTTGCCTGTGATGCTAATCCTGGTTCCACCTCCATTCGGGCCAGGAGGATTCTTCTGGATCTTCCCGAACTCGATACGCTTTGGTGGGATGTTATGCCCGGCGTAGGCAAAATAGAACATACTCCAGAAAGCGGCGTTAGGGTTCGGTTTGGATATCTGGAAGAGTGGGAGATCCGGCGAGTCGGGCGACGGTAGGGAAAGTTTGTATATAGGCGATATGACACCGGTGTTGGCGATAGACCATTTCAAGTTACGAGATGCTTCGCAACGCACTACTCGGGAACTGGCCGACGAACCATGTCCTGGGTCAGAAGCAGACCCCTTTCCGGGTTCTTTAGGGCGAGGCGGGAATAATTTGGCGACACAGAGATCACCTTGAGGCGATGGTGTCAGAAGATAGTTCTCTGAGTTCTAAGCATCCATTAGCGCGGGTGTCCACGTCGATTAAGGAACGGCGTACGAAGTTTGTATGGAGATAAGAATAGAGGATATTGGTGGGTTGACCTATGCTTTACGCATCAGTCTCGCTCCCAATCTGATGTAGGATGGTTCTCGGGCATTACCATGAGGAGTGACTACAAGAGTTGGGAGGTGATTTGGGAGGGTTGGATGATTGGGCGAAGTGTACACAGCGTATATTGCTGCAACGATGGCGGGGGTGAGCTCGCTGTGGCGGACGGCGGCGAAGAGGCTTACCTGCCATGATGAGAGTCAAGAAGAAAGAAGACAGCAACGCTTAGCTGGGCGAACTCAACCTCAGAAATCACGCTGCTGTATGCCCTTATTTGGACAAATCAGCTACCGTTTCCAAGCTGTATTTCTGGCCACGCAGCGACCCCAGACCCCGCCTGCTGCGGTTCATGTTCTCTTGGTGCTGGGACAAGAATGCGTCCTTGTCCGTGGCATCTGCAGCTAGCGTGAAAGCCAAATTTATACTGTGAATACATCGTGGATTTAATACTGTGACTGACACGCTATGCACCTGTCCGGCTTGATAGGCTTGTAACGGTCAAATAATTCTAGGATGCTGTCAATAGCCGAGCCTATATCAATGCTACTGGAATTGAGCTTTCATTTGTGCGGTCGCCGGAGGCTGGCGGCGCACGAAGCACTAGCATCGCGAGCTGGTGCTGTGAGCTGAGAGTGTCACGTTTTGTCACAGGCTGTTCCGCGACTTGGTTGTCGAAACCATCGATACCCAGGACGCAGACAAATTCCTGTCTGCGCTGGTTCTCCTCTGACCACCATCTTGTCTCGCGATCAACGCACTGAACTGGATTCTCCTAAATCGTCGCTATGAAGGGACTCAAGAAAACTTTGGTTGGTTTTCCCCTCTGCATCAGTTCTGCCAACAAACTGGCACACTCATGCCGCCATCTCTGTAGCTCAGGAAGAGCTCGCAAGACTCGAATTCTTCAAAACACAAGGACTCCAAGACGAATAGCGCCGCCGCCGCGGCTGCTGCTGCAGCTGCAGCGGCTCCTCCCCCGCCTCCAAATACGGGCAAGCCGCTTCCCCAACCAGCCGCTTCTATAGCCACTGCCCACAGCCATCCCAATAACAGTAACCATTATTTGCAACAGCAACCCGCCGCCACTCGTTCTACCCCTCTCATTGTCCCCAGTTCTTCTGATCGGACCAGATACTCTTCAGATAGTGCTTCTGCTGCACCTCCAATAGTCGTCGTTAGCTCAGATGCAGACCCACGTCGCGGCGGGCCATATAGCGGCTCGCCAGAGAGATCGTCTCTGACGATTGATCACGCCGTGGGCGGCGCTGCTACCCCTCCTCGAACGGCCTTGAAAGGCTTGAGAACGGGCCCGAAAGACACCATTCCCATCGTTGGAAAGCCGCCACGAAAGCAGCGAAGCAGTAGGTTTGTCGTCACGGATAAAGCAGAGATTGAGAAGCTGCCTTCTTTCATGGGTGCGTATTGCCGCTATGTCTTCTGTTATCATCTTAACACCATTTGCAATTAGAAATGCCACCCAGCGACCGTCCGCAATTGTTTATCCGCAAACTTCATCAATGTCGTGTCTTATTCGATTTCAACGATGCTAGTTCTGACCTCAAGGGCAAGCAAATCAAGGCTCAAACACTTCATGATCTCCTTGAGTATGTGACCACTCAACGCGGGGTGATCACCGAAAACGTGTATCCTGAGGTAGTAAACATGGTATGAGTCTCACCTACTTACAGTCGGCTAGACGCTGATCGAGGTCGCGTGCAGTTCGCAGTTAACCTCTTTCGTTCTATCCCTCCCCCCGTTAACCCAACAGGAGATGCATTCGACCCGGAAGAGGACGAGCCCGTCCTCGAACTGGCCTGGCCGCATCTCCAGATCGTCTACGAATTTTTCCTCCGTTTCGTGGAAAGTCCCGATTTCAACACTAATCAAGCTAAACGGTTCATCGACCAAAGCTTCGTTCTCAACCTTCTCGAACTTTTCGATTCAGAAGATCCAAGAGAGCGCGATTTTCTCAAGACGACTTTGCACCGAATTTACGGGAAATTCCTCAATCTGCGCGCCTTCATTCGGAGATCCATCAATAACGTCTTTTTCCATTTCATTTACGAGACCGAGCGTCACAACGGGATTGCGGAGCTCTTAGAGATCCTAGGGTCTATTATCAACGGCTTTGCGCTGCCGCTGAAAGACGAACACAAGACCTTCCTCACGCGCGTCCTCATCCCCTTGCACAAAGTCAAGAGTTTGTCTATGTATCATCCGCAGCTGGCGTACTGCGTTGTCCAATTTTTAGAGAAGGACCCTGTTCTGGCGGAGGATGTTATGATGGGACTCCTCAGGTTTTGGCCCAAGGTCAACTCGCCAAAGGAAGTTATGTATCTAAACGAGGTGGAGGAAGTTCTGGATGTGATCGACGCGGTGGAATTCCAAAAGATCCAAGTACCTTTATTTCAACAGCTCGCCCGCTGCATCAACAGCCAGCATTTCCAAGTGGCCGAGCGCGCGCTATTATACTGGAACAACGAATATGTCGTTAATCTCATGAGCAACAATCTCCCCGTCGTCCTTCCCATCGTCTTCCCCGCTTTGTACTCCAACTCAAGATCCCACTGGAATAGGTACGTGACAACCTTTACTTCTGCGGCGTGTTATCCAAACTTGGCCTTCTCTAAGAACGATACATGGCATGGTCTACAACGCGCTGAAGCTATTCATGGAGATCAATCCTGATCTATTCGACGAGGCAATGCAACACTATCGACAACAAAGGATCGAGTATGTTTTTACTTATCGTGGTCTTTGCCTGTTGATATCGTAAACTCACTGCTTATACTAGGGAACAACAAAGTGCTGTTCATCGATACGAGGCATGGCAGAAACTCCGGGAAGTTGCCTTGCAGAAGGCGCCAGGCGGGCGTCTGCCTGAAGGCTATGTTGAAATCCCTCACCCACCTCCCCCACCGCCTCCACCTGCCGATGATATGGATATCATGGATCTTTCGATGGAGCTGAACGCTGCTTCGATCGATGATATCGGCCTAGATGAGCAAGGAATCGAGAGAGTTCCTACCGCTGATCCTGGGTTAGATGTAAGTTTGGCCGCGCAAGCAAGCTGTAGGTTTTACTAACCGCTTTGCTCCTTGCTGCCAAGAGTCCCATACCTGACGTTGGGACACCGATCGATAACTCACCCTCGCAAGCACCGCATGTCCGTCGAAAAAGCGTTCTACCAGGTCAGCACGATTGGCAGTCACTTCAGTCTGGGCTTGCTTGGTTTACATCTTCTGCGTAGTGGATCCAACTGTGTTGCGAGACCTGCAGGCGCATAGAAGCCTGGACGATACCGTTGCACCCAATTCTCATGTACTGCTTTGAAGCATAGAAGTATCTTCGAAGCCACATGTTCATAGCCCTGGCCTGTTGCATATGTTGCATATACCCCTACTGTACAACCTCGTGTGTGCATCCGTTGGACATACAGATCTCACCATCGTGTTTTATAACGGCTGAATGCTATTTAATTTCTCCGTGCAGTGCAGCAGGGCACCCGTAGCACCCATCACGTCGGAGTGGGTTCTCGAACGGAGGTAGAAAACTATGGAAAGCGACATATCGCGATGGCGTGTCACGTGACGCACAGAGAACTTTCTGGTAAATGGTCGATCTTTCGGGATGGATGAGGCCAGATGTATATAAATCCGCGCGGTCGAGGGCTGCAGTCAGCAAACTTTTCTCCTCTAGACTCTATCCACCCATCTCTTCCCCCTAAACCATCATGTCGTCTTCAAAAGCCATCGGAATTGACTTGGGCACCACCTACTCGTAAGCGCACCGACAATCTCTCCTCATCGCGCTCGACGATGCTGACGATCTTTTGTAGGTGCGTCGGTGTCTGGCAAAACGACCGAGTCGAGATCATCGCCAACGATCAGGGTAACCGAACGACACCCTCATATGTCTCGTTCTCGGACACCGAACGTCTGATCGGTGATGCCGCCAAGAATCAGGTCGCCATGAACCCCCACAACACGTACGTGCACCAACCGAGTGGCCTTGTCTTGGATATGGTTCTGATATTGTCTTTGTAGTGTCTTCGACGCCAAGCGTCTCATCGGTCGCAAATTCGATGATATCGAAGTGCAGTCCGATATCAAGCACTTCCCTTTCACTGTCTTCAGCAAGCAGGGGAAACCATACATCCGTGTGCAATATCGCGGAGAGGACAAAGAATTCGTGAGTTCAGCCATTTCTGATGTCTTTGTTCGATTCTGATCTTATGTCGCGTAGTCACCCGAAGAAATCTCGTCTATGGTCCTGAACAAGATGAAGGAGACGGCTGAGGCGTACTTGGGCACAACAGTCAACAACGCCGTTGTCACTGTCCCTGCCTACTTCAACGATTCTCAGCGACAGGCCACCAAGGACGCTGGTACCATCTCTGGCCTCAATGTCCTCCGTATCATCAACGAGCCTACCGCTGCTGCCATCGCCTACGGTCTTGACAAGAAGGTCGTTGGCGAACGCAACGTCTTGATCTTCGATCTCGGTGGAGGAACTTTCGATGTCTCCCTCCTGACCATCGAAGAGGGCATCTTCGAAGTCAAGGCCACTGCTGGTGACACCCATCTTGGTGGTGAAGATTTCGACAACCGTCTCGTCAACCACTTCGTCCAGGAGTTCAAGCGCAAGCACAAGAAGGACCTCTCCTCCAACCCCCGTGCTCTCCGTCGTCTCCGTACCGCTTGCGAACGTGCCAAGCGTACCCTCTCCTCCGCCACCCAAACCTCCATCGAAATTGACTCTCTCTTCGAGGGTATCGACTTCTACACCTCCCTCACCCGTGCTCGTTTCGAGGAACTTTGCCAGGATCTCTTCCGCTCTACTCTCGAGCCCGTGGAGAAGGTTCTGCGCGATTCCAAGATCGATAAGGCCAACGTCCACGAAATCGTCCTCGTCGGTGGCTCCACCCGTATCCCTCGTATCGTCAAGCTCGTGTCTGACTTCTTCAACGGCAAGGAGCCCAACAAGAGCATCAACCCCGATGAGGCCGTCGCTTACGGTGCGGCTGTCCAGGCTGCCATCCTCTCCGGAGACACCTCAGAGAAGACCCAGGATCTCCTCCTCCTCGATGTCGCCCCTCTGTCATTAGGTATCGAGACCGCCGGAGGTGTCATGACCGCCCTCATTAAGCGTAACACCACCGTCCCAACCAAGAAGTCCGAGACCTTCTCCACCTACTCCGACAACCAGCCCGGTGTGCTTATCCAAGTGTACGAGGGTGAACGTGCTCGCACAAAGGACAACAACCTCCTCGGCAAGTTCGAGCTCAGCGGTATCCCACCAGCACCCCGTGGTGTTCCTCAGATCGAGGTCACCTTCGACATTGACGCCAACGGTATCTTGAACGTCTCCGCCTCGGATAAGACCACCGGAAAGTCGAATCGCATCACCATTACCAACGACAAGGGCCGTCTCTCGAAGGAGGAGATTGAGCGCATGGTCAACGAAGCCGAGAAGTACAAATGTAAGTTTGCGTTAATAATTCTAGGCATCCTTAAGCAAGATACTAATATTACTCTTTCTAGCCGAAGATGAGGAGGCTGCTGCTCGCATTGCTGCCAAGAACGGTCTCGAATCGTATGCCTACAACCTCCGTAACTCCCTCACCGACGAGAAGCTCTCTGGCAAGTTTGAGGCCGATGACAAGTCCAAGCTCGAGACCGCCGTCAACGAGACCATCTCATGGCTCGATGCATCACAAGAAGGCTCGAAGGAGGAGTACGAGGAGAAGCAGAAGGAGCTCGAGGCTATCGCCAACCCCATAATGCAGAAGCTGTACGGCGCTGCAGGAGGTGCGCCCGGCGGCTTCCCTGGCGGCGCTGGTGGCTTCCCTGGTGGTGGTGCTCCTGGTGGCTTCCCCGGCGGCGCTGCTGGTGGCGAGGACGGCCCAAGCGTCGAAGAAGTCGACTAAACTACTCGCTCTGCATTCCCTTCCCCTTCATCCATCACTTCTCCGGAGTGCCATGACTGTGACGACGTATTAAAATAGTTGCATCTTTTGTACTCACCGCATCACTTAGTATAGACACAAAACCAATTTTGTAATATATAGCATTTTCTTTTATCATGTTACTATGATTCAATGATATGGAAGAACGATGGTATAAGAGACGTGCATATAGTAGATCTGAGCGATATGAGCGATTATTCATTCCTCGCGAGTAGATTTCAATGCTCCTGCGTTTATCTTCCCTCCTGCAATGGGTCGTTTCAACTTATTGGCACCTAAAGAAATATAAGAACGTCAATCGTCAATGAAGTGAGCAACACAAAGCATATAGGTACTCACCGTTTTCGACAATGAAGCTTGCGGATACGAAGGCCTCGAGATTTGGAATAGCTACACCGACACTTTAATTAATTCCCCGGATGCCTCGATGCCTACTTACTGATGTTCCTCATTGCGAAGAAGTCGGCTTTGATTTGGTGGACATCGACGGTAAGCGTGTAAAACCCTCTGAAGAATCCTTCGCTCCATTGTAAGTCGGGGTTAGCTTGTACCAATTGGCGTGAAAGGCCCTCTGCTATAGACTGATTGGTATCAGCCCCGAAGGTGGACGTAGATGTCACCGCAGTGCCCGCGAATTCAACACCAACGGCACCCGCGCCAGTGATGGGGTTGTAACTGGGACAAACATCAGACAAACCATCGGTTGGGTGCGAGAACTATCAAACCTTGTGGTGTCATTTGGATCTGAGCGCGGTCAGCACGTAATGTTCTCGAAGAATGACTAACTTACGGGCTAGATCAGAGACCCAGTTTCCGTGGCTGTCCCCTGAGAGGATGATCGCATTATCGATGTGCCCGCCAACTAGATGGTCCAAGATACGATTGCGATTGGCCCTGTACCCATCCCAGGAATCCTGCGCGAAGGTTCAATGATAGAGCGGGAATCACCGTCTCGGGGAGTGCTTACAACGTTGACTTGTTGCCAAGCACATTTTATCAGCAATCGTAGGTGGAGATAGAAGCTGCTGACTTACAGAAACCGCCAAAGTCCAGTTGTGTGAATACGATTTGCTGCCTGATCAGAGAAGTGAGAAGACTGGAGCAAGAATCGACGGTACTCCATCCTTACCCTATAATGCGCCATATCGCACCACGTTTCTTTGATTCTGTCAACGTCTTGAAGAGCCCTGCGAATCGATAGTCACTTCGAACTTCTAATGACGCGCATATACATACATTGCTCTTGATCAGCACCCATCAGCGACCGATTTTTCTCATCCGCAAGCGAGTTGATCACTATCGCGATCGTTCGACGTCACTCTGCAAGCCCTGAAGTATGAAGCAGGTTCAACCTACATTCTGTTAGGGTAACGTTAAGTCATGTCTGTTTATCGCCGAGGATATCAAGACGACCAACCCACCTGTGTTGTAGTACAACTAGAGGATGGGGCGGAGGGGATAGCGGGCTTTCAGTAGGACGACGATGTCAAGAATGGTACAACTTACGTCTGTTATGTCTCGGTTATACTGTCCTGTTGTGAAAGGCACACGTCAGGCTTCTGGGTATGCTATGTTCCAACAAACATACGTGTATCCAGCATGGTCAGGTCCTAGGACGCATTCACCATCAGGTGGCTTGACGATGGAAAAACAAAAGGATCGAACGCACAATTAATTTGCCGATCTGAAAATTTCTCCAAATCCTAAGTTGGTTGTTGGGATCGACTTGTCTAATGGGCATCCACTCGTGGTAGGCTCTGACCGCGGCAAGTTTTCGATCAGTAAAGCAAGCACCGGAAGGAGAGAAAGAGCAGCCAATAGCCGTGTCGTTCGAATCAGCTGTCCCTGCCTTCCAGGCTTGGTCCGAAACCTGGCGGTAACGAGATAAGTGACACCAACGGAGCGGATTGCGACGAAGCCCCCGTACCTCGTGGTCATCCTGGAAAGAAGAGAAACGATGAGAACGCTCCCGCGAAAGGAGGTATTCAATAGAGGGCTCAGCAGCTTACCCTTTTAAATCCAAATGTCAAGTTGTCAGCGCCACGGAATCAAAACGGATCGACTAATGCTTTTTGGGTACATACCAAACAGTAATCCACGGACCTGCTGCGTGAGCATCTACCAAGCTCACGTCAGTCCTATACTGGTTCAGTCGTAGACGATAGTCATGGATGGTTGCGGTTTCCCGTCCTAGTACCATTCGCCCAATGGCAGCACTAAGTCACATCGAAGTGAGGCAGGACGATCATCACAGAAGCAAAGAGTACAACCCACCCTGGCCCATCTCCGACAAGGGTTTCATATATCTATCAAACAATCGTGATTGGGGCAAAGAAGGATGATCGACGACTGATGGTCCACGCACATAATCCCCAAGGTGAATGAACAGATCGGCAGTTGTGTTGTGCGCGGCGACGCCGTAAGCGTTGAAGAACCCTGTGAAAGAAGTAAATTTTGAGCCGTGGTCTAGATGAAAATCGATGACAGACCATTTTGATATCGGGAGCATGAGAATACAGCGAGTGTCAAGGCCTTTCCTCCATTGACAAGATGAGCAGGAGCTTTACTTCATATAAGTATATGTACGCCACATAAGCACCGAAATTGCTGACTGTTTGGGCGTGGAAGTGTTCTCGTGGTCCCAATGGGACTTACAGTCTTTGGATTGGTGCAGTCGGAAAACTGGAAGAAGTACTTGGTATCGGGCTCCAAACCTGTTGCTTCCACCTTGACGGTAAAGTCAACATCGAAAGTAGTGAAAGCCTCTCCGGAGTCAATTATTCGACCGGACAAGGTGGGGGATCGCGATATTTTATAGGCCACGCATACCGGAACACTTTCGTCCGGTGTAGGGCCTTCTGATATGGGCAGTGCCCTGGTCCACAGGAGTACGGATGTATCAAATGGGTCACCCTAACCACGCCTTCAAGGTCTAGTAAGTGGATTTAACGAGGCAGAACGCACGCTAGCCACTAAGTGGTTTGTGTGAGCAGAAATCCAATTCCCGTGATGACTCTAAACTGCAAACCTGAATGGGTAAAGTTTATGCCTCCATTCCGCACAAATGGGCTCTTAAAGCGATGTTAGTGACCCAAACCTAGCAATACGTGGGACAATTACATTACTAAAATCGCCTCCATAGAACGTTGGATAATGTTCATCCGTGAATGATCCTGCATCAACTGTCTGTCGCCGAGCATGCTGGATGTGTCGAGCTTGGATGTTTTTGGTATTGTGACCTAGCTGAGAACGGAGAAATCCATGATGAGTACATGAGAGTCCGGCTCAGTTCAATTCTTCAATAGGAACACTTGCTTGCGGGTCATTTGAGAAGGGCGAACAATAGGCTAAATTCCTATCCAGATGCTGTGTGCCATAGACATTAGTGGCAACAAGGGCCAACGTCACAAACGCAGAGAACATCGCGACGAAATCGTCACGATAAGGATATCTCATCCATTCCGTGCGTCAAGCGTATTTCAACGAACTGAGAACGCACGTTCGTTCATTAGGAAGCTTGTTTGTCGTTCGAGGAGCATGGCTCTCAGCGGCCATCCACACGCAATGATAGAGAAGCGTGTCATGCGTGAGAGGGAATAACCAAGTAAAGGCCACAGAAGTCCCAGGTAAGTCGCTGTTCCTTCACGAGTCACCATTCATAATAATCAGAGAGCATAATCGTAATCTCCTGGTAAAGAATTGGAATGAGCGTCAAGTAAGAGTACAAAATCGGGTATTCGTGATGCCACTGAGGCGCCGCCGCCGCCGCCATAGTACTAGTCCATGGATCAGAGTTGAAGCATTGATGGCCGACATCCATAAACCAAATTACCGATAAAGGGCACGAAGTGTCGTCTATGTTGACGCCGTCTGTATCGTGCATGATGATGGTAAGAAGTAGAAGTTCACTTGCTGACATAATGCGCCACCGAAGAAGCGTTGGTGAACCTGGTGGTACGGTGCCTAGTAAGCTCCTTGTTTAGACCAGTGGCGTGCCGCGGCAAGAAACGTCGGATGTACCCGCAATTTGGCCAAGTGCGCGTTCACGCTTGGCCTAGTGCGCGTACTGACTCCTTGCCCACTTCTCAAAACGCGGCGCGTAGGAATTTTCTCAGAATTTTCGGTACGTTAACTTCGAGTACGTACACCTGCACATGGTCCCAGGCCCAACGCCACGGAATCTATGTGATGGCCTGTTGGTTGCCGATTGGGTGACATTGACATTGCGGAGGGGCCTACTGACATTTGAGAACGGACCGATGGCCCTTTGAATTTACTTCCTTATCGGCTGGCTGCTGAGCTCTCTTTCACTCAAACACGATGTGTGGCTCTTCGTTTGTCATCGTACCACATCGAAGGTCCTTTGCTCACCGAAACCCGAAAGGTCCGTTAGCAATCACTGTTTGCCCTCCATGATTATTAATAACCCCCACAATCTCCCCACAACATCACTAGACTCTCACACCGCTGTTTCTGAGTCCATCCTGCACTCCATGCGGGCAAGGGTCTGCGCCCATATCTGTAGTTCAAGTGGTCACCATCTGCGCTGTTTCAGCTACGGCCTCCGCCCGGGGAAGAACATAGGATTTCTGGCGAGGGAACATGTATGGGAGGTAGCGAGCGCTATGTTACCTCCATCGGCATTTGGATTCAGCCCTGCAGATGTCCGTTCTCTTCGGCAAGTCTTGGAGGCATTCTCCTCTTCGAACTTAGGATTGGTTTGCACTTACCCTACGGCCACAATATAACATTTTGGTATATAAGCCGAGCGCACCATCCTCACAAATAGCTGTGCATTGCCCATCCGCTCACCGCCCCCGTTCTACTGCCATCAGCCAGCCATTTATATCTCATCACATTAAATCCGGCCAATCTTCCCTCAGCCCAATAGGTTAGGCACGTGAAGTGGAGGTTTTATCCACGGTGAGCCATTGTTCCAAAACTAATTAGTACACCGTCTGACACCTCCGGCGATTTATTCCGGCATCTGTGCTTCTTGATCATACTGGAACCTTACTATGATCTACGAAACCCAAATATCTGTACAGAGGAAGCCAGATTCTTCCATCGATTCTCTTCCCTCTCCTCAACTAGTTCCTGCCCCTCTATGACTATGCCAGCCTCGATCCCTAATTCTTTCTACCCCGTCGCTCCAAGCAACGAAGGGAGCGACACAGAATCCAGTCACCGCACGCAAGGCACTCAATCAAGGCAAGGTTCACGCGGTACTGGGAAGCTGTATGTATGTCAGCTCCATCCTCGATCTCCGGCTAAGACATTCCTAGAACTGGCGCTTGTGTTCATTGTAAATCCTTGAAGGTAATTCAAACGAAGTTTATAAGAGACTCTATATAACCCGCTTCCTCCAGGTTCGGTGCGAGTTTAGCCCCGGGGACAGTGCGTGCCAACGGTGCCAGGCGGGGAACTATCAATGCATGGCACGGACGCGCAAGAAGCGCAAGCCTGCTCCGTAAGGAACGCTTTATGGCTCTATATGACAGTAATGTGACGCTGGTTCAGAACGCACGAAGATCTTCAAGAGCGTTCTCTAAACCAGGACCTGCAAATCAAGTCCTTACTGCTGGAATTCGACAAGATCAAAACCGAAACCAAGATACGCGAATGGATGGCGAAAGCCCACTCTGACACATCATCGGAGGCTTCTGGTTTGTAGACGCTTCCACTCTTCAAGGCTCTCAGTCTCAGATATCATTCTCAAAGATCCCAACCAGTGGAGAGTATATGAGCACGCTGGCATCGAGCACCCCCGGTACATGAGCCACAATGTGTCCGCAGTAGATATGGCTATTACGACGTTCTTCCCTCAAGGTAAGTGCTCTTCCTATCTGCCCTCTCGCAAGGCTAACTCCACGGTGCAGGAGGAGGATTGCACGCGCTATCTCCTCCAAATATAGTGAAACACTGCGGACTTTATCCGCCAGAGATAGTCGAGTTATTTCGCATGTGTGCCTTCTATTCATTATCATTGCCTTCAATTGGCTAATCATGTTACAGTTTCTTCGACCGAATCAATGTAAGTCCCTGATTGACATAAACCATGTTGCTTCCTAATGTCCTTATTCCTCCGTCCTACTAGCCCTTTTTCTCCATCCTTGACCCTGATTTGCATACCCCGGAACGACTAATATGGACGTCTCCGTTCCTATTCACAGTCGGTAAGTGAGGCTTACCGAAGTCCGAACGGTTCTTTGACCAGCTGCTCCACAGTTTGCGCCACCGCGTCCCGGTACTACACGGAACGACCGAATCTATATCATCTTGCGAAGGACTTTGCGCGAGATGCTGCGGGGAAGGCATTGATCGACGCTTCTAAGAGCGTCGATGTCTGCCAGGCCTATCTGCTACTCGCGGTGTACCCAGTTCCGAAGAAGAGGTGGACAGAAGACAGAAGCTGGCTCCTCATGGGAGTGGCAATAAGGTGATTGAACTGCTGGGTAATCTAATGTGCGCTAAACACGTTGCCTGACGTAGGATGGCACTGGAACTGCAACTAAATCAGCCTCCGCCTCCTCATCTTGACGATAGGGAGGCCCTGAACCGGACCCGGACCTGGTTAAATTGCTTTTGCGTCGATGGATCTCATGCTATTCAGTTTGGGAAGCAACCCATGCTGCGCTTGGATGATTACACTGCCAAGCATTCCGAAGACTGGTACAAGACATCGTCCATAAACATTGATTTCGATATCCATCTATGCGGCTACGTCGAGCTCATCATCCTCATGGCGGAATGGCGGAATGAAATCGCAGAGGAGGACTTAAGGTTGAAACGTGGGGAGGTATAGCTCTTCCCCCTGCCCGTTTCCAGGTTTCCAGGGACGTACTCACCATGTGCATAGAGCTTCGACCCAGTCTCCATTTGTGTAAAATTCGATGGCCGTTTGTCAGCTGGGATGAATAAATGGATACGAAGATATGCTCAAGACTCTGCTGGTACGTGTTGCCTTCACACTCCCTTCCAACGTGACCACTAACTTTTTTTAGCCACATCTATTTGCATCTATCGCGGAACAACCACGCAAATGTGAGTTATGTTATGCTGGGTAATATTTCTTCAAATAGCCCGCTAACCGCGATAAAGGATCGCTGCGTACCTCCGCTTGGTTGTTTTATCCCTGGCTTTTCAGCAACAACTCAAACGAGGCCTGAACCGTGACTCATATGTGGTCCAGAAGGTAAGTCTTGGAGTAACTGTGTTCCTAGAAACTTTTCTAATTATACGTAGTCGATCGATGCAGCACGAAGTGTGATACGCATAATGATTGATAAGCTCTACCCGACAGGAACTCTGCGCTATGCCATGGAGGTGTGTGATTCGTGTTTCTTTCGGCAATATGGACTTCACCAGTCACACAGGCGCATTTCCTATATGTTTCTTTCGCAGCCGCATTCCTGCTCAACGTACGTATATCACAGGATGCTGACGACAGATGTACTGACTTTCCGCTAGTTTCTGAGACCAAAGCTTCTTCCCCTGCTCGATGAGGGCCAATACCAAGGCATAGTGTCCCTTGTAGGGCAATTGATCGACGTTCTGGGCTCGAAAGAGGTGGCCTTGGACGGGCGACACACTCCAGCACTGTACTCCCGGTTTCTGTCTTCGCTACTTGCGAAGCATAGGCCAAAGAAGTCGGAGGCTACCGACACTATCATGAATGATGACCTAAAGATATATCCACAGTATCCCGCTGACCGGCAACAAACCCCTCCCAACCAGTTCAGTTGGCCCGATACCACTGAATATAGGGGAGATGTTTCGCCCCCTTCTCAGTCCGACCTACCGGATGGTACCGTCTTTCAACAATCTGGCGAAGCTACTATGGATTTCAGCCTCACATACTTCATGCGAAGTGTCTCCCAAGACCAACCAGCCGTTGGTTTTGACCCAAACACGCGCCCCGTGGTAGCGCCCATGCCGGTACAGTGGGAAACCTACGCGCAAGAATTAAGCAACCTGTACAATGAAAATGCCTCAGCACAGTATGCGACGAGTTGGCGTCCTCTCTTCTAATTTTAAGGGTCCAGGCGAGTGTATAGTATAATCAATTGTAATTAGACTTTGTTTCGCCTTTATTTAGTAGTAAGTACTAGAATATCTGTATCTTTAGTGAGATTGTGCGGTTGTACCCTGTACTTTTGCAGGCCGTAGTGTCGTATATGGCCGTAAATTGAAACTCATTCTTGTCAGTAACTTGCGGCGATCTCGATATTCAAGGCTGCCCATCTCCGATCTACATGTTATGTAAATAATATGGAGGTAAGCGCCGCTGTCGCCCCGATGAGCGCTAAATCCCAGGGCTTGCTGTAAGTTGCTACCGTTTGGTTACCGTGACCAGCCTTATACTACACCTTCGACATCCTCGTTGATTTTTGTTCCCAGAACGTTTGATGGTAGAAGCAAGCTCACATCGTCTAGAAGCCATAAAGTTGGCTTTATTGATCTTGCTGTCTTGATCATGGACTCAATTGTGTCTACACAGGACTGCATACCACAGTCTCTTTGCGTCTGGCCGCACACTTTCAAAGCTCAGGGATGATGCTTTAGGGGATAGGTTACTCAGTCATCTAGACAAAGATTTCTGTCGCGCCGGGAGGAGTCTTGCTTGGAAGGTAAGTGCGCCGCCTAGTGCCCCACAATTAATCTGATCTAACGTGTTAGGTAGCTCTTCTTCTTAGAGGCTTACGGTGGCCCACTGCCAGTGGTGGCCTCTGGGGTATCCCCCGTATACATGCGGGATTCGCTGCACGCTTCTCGGAAGAAATTCGTCGATTCACTCTTGAAATTCATGAAAGCACCAGATGGCAGTTATGAAGCTGGGCTTCAAGTGCCGGGGCTTCCTGTTTTCCAACAAAGCAAAAGCGTCGGCGATTTGGATTTGAATAACCCCCTTAGTCTGCACAATGACGTGCGTAAGCTCAACGAGTCCTTATACCCTTGCTCACGATGCAATCCCTCACTAGAATCCATGGACGGAGTGGTTTGCGTCAGTTGAGTTAAGGAAGACGATCCGGCAAGATGTTGAGAGAACGTACGGAACTTCTCTCCACAGCTGCCAGCGATTTACTGACCTCTTCTAGTTTTCCCGAAATGGACTACTTTCGCGACAGCGACGTTCAAGCCCAACTTACCAATATTTTGTTTCTGTATGCCTCTGCGAATCCGTCGATAGGATATCGTCAAGGGATGCATGAACTTTTGGCACCACTGTATCACGCTGTGGAATTTGACTCTGGACCATTTCAAGGACAGACACAGCCTTTCGACGACGCTGAGCTTTTGGGCGACATCTGTGATCGGTCCTGGGTAGCAGCAGATGCATGGACACTTTTCATCTCCTTAATGAAAGGCGCTTCTCGATGGTATGAATGGCGGGAAGCCCCTCCACAAGCAGTCGTAGGACAAGCGTCACCTTTGTCTACACACGTCAATATCAATATTGCAAACGGTCCAGCTGCTCCGGATTACGTTGCGCCTATCGTCAAGGCCTGTAACAACCTCCAGTCAAACTTGTTAAGGAATGTAGACCCAGTACTATTCAAGCACATGCAGTCTGCAGGGATCGAGCCTCAGATCTACGGCATGTGAGTGCGTACCATACTCACCGGAGGCTCTTCATGAACCACTGGACATTTATAGACGCTGGCTTCGGTTGCTCTTTACGAGGGAGTTTCCACTTCGGGATTCGATGCTACTTTGGGACGGCTTGTTCGCCGTTGACCCAACATTGGACCTCGCACAGTGGATATGTGTCGCCATGCTAGTTCGGATAAGAGCTCACTGTATGTGCCTCTTCGGTTCGAGGCGTCTGGCTTACACTTGCTCCCAGTGCTTCAGTCAGACTATAGCGGCCAGCTGACCGTGCTTCTGCGCTATCCAGCACTACCGTCTGAGGCGGAAGCATCCTCAGATGGCATGCCCCACCACACATCTCTCCTGCTGCGGCAGGCTTTGGCCTTCCAAATGTCGCCTACACCAACGACTGGGGTATCGGTGGTCTTAGAGAATAGGAATTTGCTCAATATACCCTTGGAAGTCCAGGAATCGCCTTCAGCTTCCGACCAAGTTCGCCGTCTAGGGCACACGCCGCGAGAGAAATCTGCCTCCACTTCTGATCTCAGCCACGGACGAGGACATCTTCCCCGTTCACCTCCTCCTCAGTTCGGCTTCCCTGAAGGAATAGCCAGAGGCTTGCTAGAACGCGGAGAAACCCTCGGCATTAACAAATCCTTCATGAACGCTGTTTCGGAATTCAGGGTAAGTGTGCTGCGTTGCTGCGATCTCTCCTTGCATAACGATCCCCGTTTTTTAGAGAAACATACCAGATTTGGCGGCCTCCCTTGTCCGATCACCTAATGCCACTTCCCCTTCAACATATCCACTTACCGACGAACGACCACACGAGGACCGACCTCCTTGGGAACCACGAACACGTTTCGAAATGGAACGTGAGATTGCTCACTTCAGGGCGAACAACAAGAAGCTTGCAGACTCCGTCAGTTGGATCGTAGACACACTCCTGCAAGATGAATCCGAATCCACGGACCCTGTCCGGGTAAAGAACATTCAAAGCAGGAAACGTGACGCATTGGAATCGCTTGCTTATGTCCGGGACGTCCTTAGAACTGGTCCTGAGTCGGTAGATGACGAGCGGCTCTATAGCGAGGAAGAATATCATAGGCGTAGCCAATCCACCTCGTCAGCCTCTCACAATAGAGGCGATTCTTTGGGTTCTACCACTCCAGGCGAAGTGCGTTTCAATCTTCCAAGGCCTGCTGCTCCAGCCCCCGTGTCAATAGCGGATTCCCGATCCCGGTTGACAAGTCCGCATACCACCACATTCTCTTCGGGCAGTACAGCAGCCACCCCTTCGCAGAGAAAGCCTGTCCCTCGCATGTCGTCCAGCTCTACGCTGTCGAGTTCTCGGTCTCCTCCGAAGAATGACTTAACGACAAAGGCCCCATGGAATCATACTAAATCTAGTTTCGCTGACACTCCTGCGCTGCCCGCTGCAGTCCTCCCACGTCCACCACCGCCAACATCTACATCTCTCCTTCCGCCTCCGTCCTTGGACAAACTCAACAGCGATCAAACTCCGCGAGCGAGAGGCAGAGCCTCTCACAGCGACCCTCTTGGTGTGCTCAAGTAGTGCGCGAGATTGGAGTGATATAATACATCTGTACCATACTGTATATTGTTTGCAACTGCGTTTACTTGAGTTAGATACCTGCGGCGGTAAGAAAAGGGGTTGCAAACCGGAGGGCCAGTGGAAAGCCGAGACCGGGAAATCACGCGCCTGTGATTGGTTGCCGCTCGGAAGATAACGTTCTGGGTGCTTGAGGGCGTCGGAGCCAACGGACCATTATTCCAAATTCCTCTCTCTTCTCGTCGCCATCCTCGTCGCCCACAACAATGTTCAAAAGGTCCCTCCAAAGGACGCTCGTTCGACGCCAACGGGCATTCCATTCCTCAGCTCCTGCACACAAGGTTGTGGCGACAAACCCAGTCAAGGCTGAAGAGGTCAAGGTACGTCAAATTAGCACTGCAATATACCCTGGACGCTCACCATTCGTGCCAGTCGTGGTCCTCAGGAAAGTACCCTCTGATCGAACACGAATACGATGCGATAGTAGTGTGAGTCTCGCGATGCTATTCCTCGATTCAGCGTCCTTACAACGTTCTCAGCGGTGCTGGTGGTGCTGGTCTTCGCGCTGCTTTTGGTCTTGCTGAGGCAGGATTCAAGACAGCATGCATCACCAAACTCTTCCCCACTCGAAGTCATACTGTTGCTGCACAGGCGCGTATAGTGATTTTATCCATATTATTTGACTTACACACGGTATAGGGTGGAATAAATGCTGCATTGGGAGTAAGTAACTTGCCATTGAGAAACGACCTAGGTAATAACAGATCTGCAGAACATGACGGAAGATGATTGGCGATGGCACATGTACGATACAGTGAGTTATTGTGTGCTCCTTCCGAAAGGCAAATTTTTACGTCTTTTCAGGTCAAGGGTTCGGACTGGTTGGGAGACCAGGATGCCATCCACTACATGTGTCGTGAGGCACCTAACACAGTCATTGAGGTATGGATAAAGTGCTCTGCGTTTCAAATGACCTGATCAGTGTTTGGTTAGCTTGAGCACTTTGGTGTGCCCTTCTCTCGTACGAAGGAGGGCAAGATCTACCAACGAGCTTTTGGTGGTCAGTCGCTAAAGTTTGGAAAGGGAGGACAGGCCTATCGTTGTGCCGCCGCCGCCGACCGAACTGGTCATGCCCTCCTGCACACTCTTTACGGACAGTCCCTTCGCCACGACACGAACTTCTTCATTGAGTATTTCGCCCTCGACCTAATCATGCAAGACGGTGAATGCGTTGGTGTCATTGCTTTGAACATGGAAGATGGTACATTGCATCGCTTCCGCGCGCATAAGACTGTTCTCGCTACTGGAGGCTACGGAAGAGCATACTTTAGTTGCACGAGTGCACACACGTGCTCTGGTGACGGTAACGCCATGGTTGCCCGCGCTGGCTTGCCTCTCCAGGACTTGGAGTTCGTCCAGTTCCACCCCACAGGAATTTATGGAGCTGGCTGCTTGATCACAGAGGGTATGTTATGCTACGTGTCACCCTGGCAAAGTGTACTTATACCTTGTTCTAGGCTCTCGTGGTGAGGGAGGTTACCTCCTTAACTCGGAGGGAGAACGTTTCATGGAGCGTTACGCCCCAACGGCGAAGGATCTTGCCTCTCGTGATGTCGTCTCTCGTAGCATGACCATCGAAATCCGCGAGGGCCGTGGTGTTGGTCCTGAGAAGGATCACATTTACTTACAACTCAGCCATCTTCCCGCTGAGGTTCTCCACGAACGTCTCCCTGGTATCTCTGAGACCGCCGCCATCTTCTCTGGCGTTGATGTCACGAAGGAACCAATCCCTGTTCTGCCGACAGTCCACTACAACAGTACGTTCATTGTTGATTTCACCGAGATTGGATAAGTCTAATCATATATAGTGGGTGGTATCCCTACCAAGTACACCGGTGAAGTCCTCACCGTCGATGCTCAAGGCAACGACAAAGTCGTACCCGGTCTCTATGCTGCTGGCGAAGCCGCCTGCGTTTCCGTCCACGGCGCGAACCGTCTCGGTGCCAACTCGCTACTTGATATTGTCGTTTTCGGTCGCGCTTGCGCTCACCACATCAAGGACACACTCACCCCTGGCAAACCTCATAAAGCCATCCCTGAGGAAGCCGGCCTTGAAACCATCGAATACCTCGATGCGATCAGGTATGTCTATCCTCTGAATTCAATGAATCGCATTTAACTTGATGTTTTAGGAACGCCGATGGCCCCGAGCCCACTGCTAAAATCAGACTGGACATGCAGAAGGCCATGCAGTCCGACGCTGCTGTCTTCCGGTAACTACACAATCCCTACCATATCTTTGCCGATTACTTATGTACTTCAAGTACACAACAAACCCTTGACGAGGGTGTCGTCAAGGTCAAGGAAGTCTACAAGAACTTCGTCAAGAACGTCGGCATTAAGGATCGTAGCATGATCTGGAACTCGTGAGTACATTAAACTATCGTGTACTTCGTTTGCTAACTATTTCTTATAGCGATTTGGTTGAGACCCTCGAACTCCGCAACATTCTCCAGTGTGCTATCCAAACCATTACCTCTGCCGCTGCTCGCAAGGAATCTCGTGGTGCTCATGCTCGCGAAGATTTCCCCGATCGTGACGATGAGAACTGGATGAAGCACACTCTTTCTTTCCAACGCAACCCTGAGACCCCCGACGTCGAGCTCTCGTACCGCCGTGTCATCGACACCACGTTGGACGAAAATGAATGCAAGGCCGTACCGCCTTTCAAGCGAGTGTACTGAGCTTTGATATTTCTGTATTTAGCATCGTCCCACTTTGTTCTTCTATAGCATCATTATGCATAAACAACAGATAGAAAACCCAAGATAAATGGTTCAGATTACATTATGAAACCGGTTCACCAGAAAGGATATGAGTCTCTGCGCAGGATTCACAATGGCGAATCTAGGTCGGAGCGGTTGAACCGACTCTCCAAGAAATACCTGGCTCGTACACTACGCCCACCGAAATAACGACCATCCAACTCTCGCACTGTTTTCCAAGCACCAACAGGGCCTGCAAAGAGTACGAAGATGCGTACTGCATCTTCAGGGTTCGGCGGAGCGGGATTGACCAAATGCACCACAACTCGTTCAACTGTACCATTCTTTGAGCACTCGTCCCCTGCGACGAAACGTCAGAATCTACGGCTTGCTAGTGGTGAGAAAAATCGCGCATACCTATTTCCTCTCGTAGCTCTTCATCCTCTACGTCTTCAGGTCCAACCATGTTGGTCAAGACGATTACCCTGCTTGGTTCGCCAAATCGTTCCTTGTCTTCCCTCGTCTTCGCGTCCTCGTTGTTGTTTACAATCTTACCCATCTTCGACCCGACTCCTTTGGATCCACCGCCTGCTTTCCCCGCTTTGACTTGTTCAACGGCCAAAGCGTTGACAATACCAGATCCATCGGCACCAAGTCCCTGCCCCTCCTTATGACCCCATTTTGCCATAAGACGTGCGGCGAATCCGTGTGGGTCAGGCCTATTTCAAAAGATTTATATCAGTATGTGAATACAGGCATCGGTGACCGATAACGACATACTTCTTGGGAGCTGGATCAGGTACCGGGGAACTGGACCCCGATCCTTCTGAAGCGGGAGCAGCAGACAGCGCGCTCAGTTTGGCCGCAATAGCAGCAGCAGCCTTGATTTTATCTTGGATATCTTGGAACCCTGCGGGTACGCTTCCCGGTCCACCAGGAGGGGGCGGGGGAACATTTTCTGGTGGCGCGAAGGGGTTGTACGCTAACTCCGGGGGAGAGGGTGGGCGCACGGGAGGGGCGAACGCTGGCGCGTTTATCGCTGGCGCAAAGGTCGGCATATCAGGTCGTTGGCCTTGAGATAATGCAACGCGACGAAGATATGCTTCTTCGCCCGAGAGCGTTGGTGGGGGAGCAGCTACGGTCGGGACTAACCCCGGAATAGCATTAGGATCTTCTTCCATCGCAGCTGGCGGATACGACTGAACTGGCAGCGGAGACGGTAGTCGCATGCCCGAAAGCGCGAGGCGTCGCATGTACGCTTCGTCTCCTGTCAGACTACGATCCACCGCAGATGCGGGCGCGGTGGCCTGGTAAGGTGGCCGACTATCTTCTTCCATGGCGCTCTCGTGGGGTTCCTCCGTGTAGTCATCGTGGCGCCCTATGAAAGTTCTAAGCGCATATACTCGACGTTGGGATGGGCGAACCCACCCATTTTTCGAGGAGGCCTCTCATCATCATCATCGTCGGTATTTTCGCTATCCGAATAGCTACCGTCCCGTCTGTAGCGTTTGCGTTCCTCCTTGCGACGCTGTTCTGCGAGCTCTTCACGTTTTTGTATGCGCTCTCGTTGCTTCCACATTTTGTATTCGTTGTAATCATTGGGCCGTAGAGGATCGTATTGCTCCGTAGGATCCCAGACGTTGACGAGGGGTGCATTTTTGTTCTATAATCCACTGCCTTCCAGTATGTACTCCTGCTAGCACCCAATCAACAACGCACCTTCTTCCCTTTGCCTTTCTTTTTGTTTCCCCGTCCACCACGAGATGATCGGAATCCGTTCACATCTTCATCGAGCACCATAGAAGGGGGTTTCACTTTCTTCCCCCACGCCTGAGTCGTGCTTTCAGCTTCTTGTGCCGCAGCAGATGGGTCGACCAGCTCCGGAGGCGCAAAAATAACGGCCGTCGAGGAAACGGTGGCGGTGGCGGATATCGTCGCCGATGTCGTAGCAGTGACCGAAGCGCCTACAGGCAGCCTATTGATCGGCGCCTTCGCTTTCTGTGCGGGATTCCGACGAACGGGAGCAAATGCCAGAGCAGCCGACCAAGCTTGAGTTCGCAGGTGATTATGCAGGGAACAATTCGTTGGAAGTGCCATTGTGAACGCATCAATAAGCAAGCTCTCCTAGTGCGCGAGGCAGGTAGAGAAAGATGGAGATACCGGCTGTGGGTTTTCCTGCAGCTCCCTGGGGTGTTTGAGCTGGTGCAGGTTCATTCTTGGTGCTCTGGGCGGGGGGATTTGCGGATGGTGGTGGTTGGAAGGAAGGAGGCTGGACGGAAACTTCGGGGGCTGGTGCGGCGGCTGGCACCTGGACTGAAGGGGTCACATTTGTGGAACTGGAAAACTGTATGCCTCCGTAGAGGCCTCCAGCGCGACTCGACATTGTAGCGGTTTGTGATTGAAGGTGGTGCGTGAGAGAATCTCGTTCTAATGCACTTCCATTCCCACGGTCAGTACTTCATTCCAGTTCTTCATGCAGGCTCTACGACGAATATGCCGGCCCACACAGAGGTCGCTCTCCACAACGCCGTGGTTTGTTGACACGGAAGCATTTCTTCAGCGTCCACCACCTCCTCATTTGACCGAAAATCCCCTCACTACGAGACCACCGCCACTGCCCAAAGATGTACCGCATTCGATCAAAGAACTTCATAGCCAACTAGCATCGTCCCCCCACCTGGAGCCGTCGACAATTGTTGTAGATCGCTCCTTGGGACGCGTCATGGGACCCCCGTTACCTTTGCGCAAGCCTCAAGGAAGGCGCAAAAGAGGGGGAACAAATGCAGGCGAGTCTGCGTTTGACATACCTGGCGGGGTATGGAATTGGGTAGTCCTGGCCCAAGTCAAGGAAGGCACGGAGAGCAAAGGGGGAATTGAGTCCGTGGTGAGGCTTGTTAGGAAGACTGTGAGTGAACTGCATCATCCATTTCCCGACTACCCTGACGCGCCGCAGTTACTCGGGATGTCACCACCTTTGCCTCTTGGTGTGAACCCCAAGAAAAAGATGCACAATGGGTGGGCGATGGTCGACGCCGGAGATTTTGCTGTACACGTACTCAGTAAACAGGCGAAGGAGCGATATTTCACGCAAATTGAGGGAGACCAGTGGTGAAACAGACTTCCGCCCCTTTGGGAATGCCTATATCCTCCACTCAATACTCAGATTGCGTCGATCCCATTGCCACCAACCGGAATGTAGCAACACACCCAACACCTCGGTTTCGGGCTTCATTCCAGTTGTAGAATTCGTTGAGCACGCTACAGTTATGACCAACAATGATAATTAGATGCTTCACTCCACCACTCTGAATACTTTCATCCGTAAGTAATTGTGGAAGTCGCGTCCGTGTTCTACGATCGCCTCTAGTTGACGCGATGGGATTTGACACCACCTTTACTGTACTACGGTACAAAGAAGGTATATGGGGTTGCGAGACTGGGCTAAACGTTGCTTTCGGTCAAAGATCCGTCGTTAAAGCTCGAGCAGAAGAGGTGCGGACTCCGCGCAGAGTGAATAGGGGAGAAGCTCACGTGATCTTACAATCATATGCGAGTGAATTGCCCGATCGATCTCTCCACAAAAATACCACCACCACCACCACCAACAGTCATGGGCATTCGCGCTGGTGTGGTCGTCTGTACAACAAGTTTCTTGCTTGGTGAGCACAAACAACGGCGCAGAGTCCCCCCAATACTCACATATCTCCCCAGGTGCCCTCTTCACGAACTGGATTGCCGATTCAGTCACACTATGGAAGTCGCCAATCACTGACGAGCACCTGTGGACCGCAGCATCCTACTACTCAATCCTCGCGAAGGCACCGCAGGAGCTGCTTTACTTCCTGGGGTGTATCACCTTACTCGGAGGCACAACCATATTATGGAGCCTGCGAGACGGCGAGGCTGGGAATCTCATGTTCGACGGGGGCAGCCTCTGTACGTGCATTTTCTCTGTAACCCCCAAAACATATACTTACCCATGCACTCAGTCTTGTTCGCTTCGACCATGGGCATGTACTTGTACTCGGTGTTACCCAGTGCGCCTTCTCGCCTAAAATGATGAACCCGGATTTATTGAATCATTCATTGTATAGGCATCTTCGCGAAGTTTGCTCCGCTTCCTACACACGCACTCAAGGACCCCATCCCCAGCAACCTCAGAACCGCTGCCCTCGACCTAGCGTCGAACAACCTCATCTGCAGCGTCGCTCTGACCGGCGTCCTCGCACTCCAGGCAGGCCGCTTCTGGGCGGATAAACCCGAGGAAGAATCGGATGACGACGCTCCCCAAGCCGTCACCACTTCATCATCCACCAAAAACGCAGCCGAATATTACACCTCCGACGCCAGTGAGAAACTCGAGAGCTGACGTGGTCGCCACGGCACGGCAGTTTCGCTTGTTCGGAACCTATGGACAGTTTCGTTATGTTGAAAAGTAATGCCTTTACGAGTTTGACGCGTGATGCTGATGCATCGATGATTGGATTGTTATATTTTTCTTGTCCCAAGTTGGTGTATCATATTCATAATAATTGGTTTATCAATCTCGCTTCTCACCGACTGCTAAGCAGAGGGGATCTATTAGCAAGGAAATAACTATGCCTCGAAGTGAGACGGAGAATCCTAGGTGCAATCCATCCCGCAATTATTATAAGAGGTCTATGGGCGACTATATCATTCCTGTACAATATCCTCCTTGCGGGGGGCTTTTGCATTTTTTAGTTCTGTGCCTTGCCCAAGAATCGTCTGAGCGTCATCATCCAGTACGAGACCTACGAAGGAAGCGTTAATCAGCTCAACAATAGTTCCAATGAATCGCAACTCGACTCACCCAAACCCTCCTCTCTAACCAAACCCAAGACATGCTCTAGCTCAACATACCCGTCTTTATCCACGTCAAGTTTTTCTATGACCGCCCTGCCGACGTCATCGTCCGGCTTGTGTTTGATCACAGTCAGGGCCTTCTCAAGGTCTTGAACCGAGATACGGCCTTGTGGATCGGCCGATATGAGTTGCAGCGAGGAACCGACACGCGAGTCGTATTCCTGGAGTTGTCCGTCGATCTTGGTGAGCATGGAACGAATACGCTTGGTCAAGGCACCAGAAGGAGATTTGGGGTCCTGAAAAGGAAGGGAATTAGACAAAGAGCCAATGACAGATGGATAAGGCCTTACTTCTTCAGCTTGGAGATTCTCTTCCATGAGCGCGCGAAGTTCATCACGTTCCTTCAGTACACTGGATTTGGCAGAAAGAATTGACAAGGCTTCGCTAAGTTCTTTCAGTTGCTCGGTTGTCATTCTGGCGTCTTCGTCTTCGAGCTGCTCAGGCAGAAGCTGGTACCATCGCAGATTAGCCCGGTGTTACACCGATTACAGCGAGCCGACTCACTTCAGAATCAGGTAAGAGGGAACGGGCAGTACGCGCTTCCAATTCCGCGGCTTCTTTGGCGGCACGGCGAGCATCTTCCTCCTTCTGTTCTTGTTCTTGTTCGTCCTCGATGAGCTCCTCTTGTTGCTGCAAGACCTCGAGTTTCTGTTTGTAGCTCGCCTTCTCGGAATCAACTTCGAGTTCGGCTTCATTAAGCTATACCGAGTTTCCGTGGGTTAGTGCTACCGCCCTTGGGTAAACAAATCATGAAGTACTCACGAGATTGTCAGGAAGACCACTCAGGACGCTTTCGATGCTTCTTATGACGTTTGTTTTGCCATCCTCTTCATCACCAGGCTTCTTGTCAAAGTTGAACGCACGGCCAAGAACGAGGAGTACACCAGAGACACGGTCATGGAGATGAAGTTGGATCCAGGTCGTCAACTCGTCGCGGAGACGTGCAGGAGAGACACCACCAGTTCGAATACCACGAGATTGACACGCCGCAATAAGTTCAGCAACAGACAGCTCGTCTACGCCTTCGGAGTAGATGAGCTGGTCGTCCCGTCTCAATTCGCGTAGCCTCGCGCGAATAGTACCACGAAGGAAGTTATCCGTGCCGAAAGCGTTCAAGCCCATATACCGTGACATTGAAACCAGTTGTGGACGTGAGAGGTTGTCCAAGGTGAGGTCGTCATCGAAGAGCTTGGCGACCTGGATGACGTCTTGAGCGGAGGGGGATTCACCAGTAGACCGAACCTTGCGGAAGAACTCCTTGAAGGCGTCGCTACCGACTATGTGGGCGTTGGCCTTCAAACCAGACTCGCGCAGCGTTTCTTGAAGGAATTTAGCCATCTCAAGACGAGAACGAAGGAGTTTGCGCTGTTTCTCTTCCTACAGGTCGCACAAATATGAGAAGTATCGTAGGGGATGTTGCTGATGCGAGACTCACAGCAGCATACTTGTCCTCAAATGTAGAGGGCAGCATATTGGGGAAGAGCTTCAATGCGACGGGTAACAAAAGCTCCATGAAGGGTACAATTATGAAGACTGCGAAGGGTACGAGCCGCAGTAGATCCTGCGTCGTTCGCTTGAGCTATATGAGGATGTATATATCAGATTCGCTCTGCATTGTCACCAGTGTCAAGAACACGAACCTGTCTGCGCTCTCGTCGCGTCAACGTCTCTCCATGCAAGATTTTCCACTGAAGTCTTGCTGAGATGCGGACTTCCGAAACAAGAAGCTTCGACCCGTGCCAGTAGTGCTGAGCTTCATGCTTAACCTTCTTCCATACCCTGGTCATTAACGGACCCTTGGGTTCCTCCTTGTTCGCGGGCGGTGAGGGTTTTACCTCCGATGAAGTCGCGGGGTCCGCCGGAACCGTCGGGGAAGCATTGGCGGCATTGGCAGTCACCCTAGCAGGTGCAGACGCGGGTTTAGTGCTCTGGAAGCGGTTCCCAACGATCCCCGCACGTCGTGTCGTGTCGAGCGGGATATAAGCAATGCGTGAATACGAAAGTCTAGTAAAATAATGGGGTCTGCTACAGGACGAGCGGGCAATAAAGGACGGTGGAGGGCGGGGTAGCCATAGCGACATGGAAGAGCAGGTCTAAGAGGAGGATTAATTGAGCGTCAAGTCGCTGTCGGGTGCATATGCAGGACGCTTTTGGCTGAACGTCATTCACTCGGCAGACGACTTCAGTAAACTCCATGTTTGCGCGTGTTTCCTCGAGAGGACAATGCCTTCTGCTACTACTTCCATGATCGACCTGCACGATCCGTCCACCAAGGCGTACAAGAAAGCAAAGAGGCAGTACCAGAAGGCCACGAAGAATAGGGCAAGTGATACAGAAGCCGACTGGACGCCGTTTAGAGCTGCAGAGAAACGATACAAGGCCCGATTTCCACCCCCTGACCTAAGAGATGTCCTGGACATTGCGACACTGGATCCAGCGCGAGCAGATGAAGTAAAGCAAGGAAGCTGGACCGGCTCTGTACACTCTGTTGAATACAGAAGTGTACCATCTTCCGCGACATCGAAGGCATACGCTATCCCTCAAATACCTGGTGCGTGTAACGTACGATCGCCGTTCAAGCTTGTCTTGACTTGGACCATGATAATAGGATTGGTTATCATACCAGGCTTTCTGTCCCATGAAGAGCAGAGACATCTCATACGATGGTCATTAGCCGATCACGCGAAACACCCGAATGACACCAACCTTGACACCCACTATCTACTTCCGCGGCATGGTCTATGGAATACTTACATCGAATCACTGAAGGATCCAGAGCACGATGAAACCATACAACCTCGCGCCATGGTCTCCACCGATGATCCATCACCTACGCAGTATGAACCTACTGGTCCTCGCCAGCTGATCAACAACACCCCAGCGGCCCCGGAGACCTTCACGACCATTTCTCTGACACCCAAGCCTCCCCCACCCCCATCCCAGAACGCTCTCCCATCCAAGGCCTCTGAACTTCTTCCAAAGCTACGCTGGGCCAACATAGGCTGGTTCTACCACTGGGGCGTGAAACAGTATGATTTCAGTAAAGGGAAGGTCGAGGTCGATGGTAAACTACGCGATATTTGTAAGAGTGCCGTTGAGTCTGTTGACTGGGATGCGTTATATAAGGGTACGGAGGACTCTTGGGGGGAAGAACGCGCGGCTTGGAGGAACTGGAATGACACTTATGGTACTTATCTTGAAATATGATCGAATTCACAACATTGACCCTTCGACGCAGAGCCCGACGCTGGCATAGTCAACTTCTACCAAACGAAGGTATGCAGGCCTCGAATAGTGCCACGTTTGCTGCTTTGCTTACGCCGAGATGAAGGATACGCTCATGGCACATGTAGATCGTTCAGAAGTCTGCGCGACTTCCCCTCTTGTGTCAATATCGTGCGTTGCTCCGCGCTTGTCTTCATGATACATGACCGATGATATATGTAGACTTGGAAACGCAGCTGTGTTCCTTATTGGGGGCTTAACAAGAGACACAGAGCCAACTCCAATCCTTCTTCGATCGGGAGATGTAGTAATCATGTCTGGCCCAGCGTGTCGTCGAGCCTATCACGGTAAGTCATGAACACACCGTCGTATTATATTGTCAATCCGCTACCCCAACTGTGCAGGTGTTCCGAGGATACTTGAAGGCACGCTCCCCCGTCACTTTACGGATGATGATACTGAAGAATGGGCTGCGTTCGCAAAGTACATGTCGACAACCCGCATAAATATTAATGTACGACAAGTATTCCCCAAGGGATTTGCGCCAGATCATCTGTAATGTAATGATACTCCTGGACAATTGAATAATGTAGCCCCTAACTGAGGAACATAGGAGCTAGAGTAACTGTACAGTTGCTTGTTTCGCTTTCTCACGAGTCTCATTCCACCGACACCACCTCACGCGCTCACCAAAAAGTAGATTATCAGTTCGCAGCCATGGAAAACGATCAGGTATGTTGCCCAAACGCCGTTTCAATGGGCCCATTCTAACCTGCGTGTGCTGTAGGGTGTCCTCGTCGATCTCTACGTCCCCCGCAAGTGCTCTGCCACCAGTCCGTGTCCCCCAATCTCCATTATATAGTAGAGTGGAACCTGACTGGAGACGCTTTGAATGTTCCATCTGTTAGATCGCCTCATCACCTCGAAAGACCACGCCTCTGTCCAGATCAACGTTGCTGATGTTGATGCCACCGGCCGTGCCCTCGGCACCTCAACCACCTTCGCTCTCTGTGGACAAGTGCGATCGCAAGGAGAGAGCGATGATTCGCTGAACAGACTGGCTACCAAGGCTGGGCGTAAGTCGCATTACTTGATTCACGGGGGTGAAGAGTGCTGATGAATCGTGAAGTTCTCCGCAACGTCTGGTCATACCAGAAATAATTACTGTATCGAGTATCCTTGTCTACCGGTGTCAATTCATTCTGTTCCACGAGTTATCGCGAACTCAGCTTGTTGAGAGCATGAACTCCTACCTCACCCAATTTCAGTCGAGATTCCACATCGAGTGTATGGATTCCTCGATATCTGTTCGAGGTCATTGCGCGTAAATCGTCCTTCCGTAGGCTACTATGACACCAATCACATATGAAGTCTTCATATACATAGACCATTCACATCTTCTCTTCAATTTCACCTTTCATGAGGTTTCGTTTGGAGAGCATTCTAGCAACCACGTGATGCTACATCTGAATTCGTGGTGCGCAGTCTCGCAGCTGCCACCGCCGGCGGGACTTATATCTTGACATGAATCCCAGTCCCGTTTCGTCCCCATCCTCCTTTGACGGTTCGCTTTCCACCATCTCCGTGCGTTGAAGTCGCCTCAACCGCCCCAGCTCTAATATCGTGACTGCATAGTTCGACTCCATGGTTGAGATCAAGCGGTCGGATATCCCTAGCTCGCCAGAAGTCGTGGCGCGGCGCCCTGATGCTGAAGACGACAAACATCGGCTACTGTACACGCGCTCAAAGGTCTATGTGCACCCAACGGCTTATGCACGGGACAATATCCCTGGCTTTGTAGCCTTAGTGAAACGGGTATGTCTTCATTGCGCGCCCCTGAGCAGCTGTACATGTACTGATTCGTCGATGTAGGAGGCCACGAATGCCGTGTATTTCCTTGCATGGATCCCGGAGAGCCTCTTGAACGAGAAGGGAGACGACGAGTGGAAGAAGTTCACTAAAATAGAAGAATCATCGACGCTCGACGAGGAGGACGATGGTACGCCACACCTCGTCGTTATTCGCTTCACTGACTGACCTGCTTGAACTGTAGATGTCGTCTTCATCGACCTGCCAAACCACAGGCCAGAGTCATATGCATTCTCGGTGCCTCTCACCTCGATATACTCGCTCATTATACATCCGCCTTCCTTGTCGTCGTGGTGTAAGCTCCAGACTGCCATTCACAGCAACGAGCTAACAGCTAACGTCCTTCTCTTCATTTGCAGACGGCTCGATGGCCATTAATCTCATCAACGGAGACACTCTGCCCACACTCCACTTCCACGATGACGAGTCACGATCCTTCACCGCACCAACCCCTAAGACGCCTCAAAGCAGTAAGGCTGGTCTCAGTTCGTATCCCCCGCCTCCGACATCACCCTCGCCCCCTCCGAAATATAGCGGTTCGTGGGGAGGTGATGATCTGCTCAACAAGTTACGATCGTATTCGCATCTCCTTCGCTCTACGCTGCAGCCTTCTCTGTATCTAGTCGACCCCTCAAAGGCAGATATGGAGACACATACTACACAAATATTTGACGACGATGCTGTGGATGATATACTTGCTCAGTCTTCGTACGCCAACTCGCATTCCCCGGTCCCTGCCCACAGAAGGCCGCGCCCGCTTTCGTCTTCACCTCTGTCACCGAATCCATATTCTCAGAGATCCTCAGTTCTCCACAGATCTCTTGGCTCTCCCACAAGCTCAAGTTCCTCACCACCAACCCAGGCCCGCATGGCCCTCCTTCAGTCTTTCTCGAATATAACTCGAGCGACGCGTCACGCCGCACAGAACATCCTCTCTCACCCACTAGCCAAACCCATTGTCCCCCATCTTCCAGATCCTGTGAGAAGCCTAGTCAATGTCACTGGTGAGACCGAGTGGGGTAGTTGGGTAGAGAAGGGTGGCGTTGGAGAATTCGAAAGTGCACGCGTTTATCTGGCGCGATGGGCTCGTATTGTTGCCGAGGAGGGTGAGCGGGCACGTAGACGAGAAGCGCAGTCATTGCCTTCATCCTCAGCATTAAACGACGCGGAGGAGACCTCGTTAGGCGTCTTCGAGTTGTTGCACTCAGCAGCGAATCTGCCAACACCAAAGTCATCTCGCGACCCCGCGCACCCGATTGATGAGGCCACTTGGGAGCGATGGTTTGGGAAAGACGGAAGGCCTCGGGTAAGCAAGGAGGAGATGAAAGGAGAAGTGTTTAGAAGAGGAATTTCTCCGCGCGGGCATCTTCGACGCAAGCTCTGGCCGTTCGTATTGGGCGTGCATGAGTGGGATGTAACTTCTGCTGAGAGAGAGAAGCAGTGGTCGGAGAAAAAGTAAGCCCTACTGACTAGCCAATGGAATATTCTCGTAATGTTCTCCCTGTTACAGGCGACGCTATAAAGAACTCAAGACCCAATGGTGCGGTGTGGCCGAAGTCTTTGAACGGCAGGACGTCGTAGACGTATGTTTGACACTTATCGACGCATTTCATACTCACTCGCTTCAACAGGAACGGCATCGAATAGACGTAGACTGCCGTAGAACAGATAGGACCCACCCCCTCTTTGCCAGCAATCCCTCACCCAATCAGCCATCATCGCAAACATATTCCATCTCGCCGCAAATCGTGGATATTGGCGCTCAGTCGCCCAGCAATGAACACGTAGATAGACTAGGCAGCATCTTACTCACATATAATTTCTACAACACCGAGCTTGGTGCGTCCAATTCCGTGGCTCTGACTCGGTAACAGGTCGACTAATATTTGGTGAAGGTTATGTACAGGGAATGTCGGACCTCTGTGCGCCGATATACGTTATCATGGCCTCGGACGGCGAAGCGGAGGAACTTACGTTTTGGTGTTTCGTGGAGGTGATGAATCGGATGGTACGTTAACGTTCACAAACGACTCATGTTGCTTTCTTACCAGGTTTTCGTAGAAACAGAACTTCTTGCGTGACCAAAGCGGCATGAAGAAGCAACTGCTGACACTACAGCAGCTAATTGGTTTCATGGATCCAGAGCTCTATCGTCATCTCGAGAAAATCGATGGCCTCAACCTTTTCTTCTGCTTCCGGTATGTTTGCACTGACGCGACTATGTGAAACACAGGCTAAATCCAGCATCAGATGGGTGCTCATTTCGTTCAAGAGAGAATTCTCTTTCGACGATGTTTTGAAACTTTGGGAAGTCCTGTGGACCGATTACTACAGCATTGATTTCGTTCTCTTCGTTGCTTTGGCCATCCTTGAGTCTCACAGAGACATGATACTCCGTTACTTGGTCGAGTTCGATGAAATTCTGAAGGTGAGAGCATTCATTGTTACCTACCGTGTCAGACAGCTCCTGACTATCGTTTAGTATTGCAACGAACTCAGCATGACAATCGAGCTCGACTCGACAATTGCCCAAGCCGAAGTTCTCTTCCTGTCGTTCTCCCAATTAGTCGCAGACATGGACAGACGGCGGGCTGAGGACCTCGATGTCCCATCGAACCAACTTCGCCAACGCCATAACAGAGGCAGCAGTGGTCTTTCGGGAAACAACATCGTAATGCCCGTTCTGTCCGAAAACCTCAGATCTTTACTCGATAGATAGAAGCAATCTTATCCATCACTTCTGTATTGTACTTACACACATTGTACCCTACTGTCACATGATGCACTAACTTCATGAGTCTTACCATCTTGCGCAGCTACGCGTTGAAAGAAGACCCTTCGACGCTGCCCCCAACGGTCCTTTTCAGCCGCGACGACCATCACCTCGTCGTGTTCGACGCGTTTCCCAAAGGGATATTCCACTTCCTCCTCTTACCGCGCGTCCAAGAACCGTTCTCAGCTGCAGACCTCTCGAACTTGCGCTCTCTGCTGAAGTGTGATCGTGACTCCGTTAAAGCAACATTGGAGCAATGGAAAGAAGACGCGAAAGTCGTGGTCAAGGATATCGAGGATGAGATGGTCAGCCGTTACGGGTTCAAGTGGGACATATGGGTTGGATTTCATGCGGTCCCCTCCATGGAGTGATTACTTCTCTATGGTTTAGCGGCGTGATGGTTGCTGAATTATCGGTTTGAAGGCATGTACACCTCCACATCGTCTCCTCAGATTTGTGCAGCGAGAAGTTGAAGCATAAGAAGCACTATAACTCATTCCATCCGAAACTCGGATTCTTCTTACACCTGGACGAAGTTCTGTCCTGGTTCGAGTCGGACTCTTACTTCACCACAGTAAGTCCATATACAGCGTTCAACGACTAGTTTGCAATAAATCGACGCTAAAATATAGATGGCGAAACTTGACAAACACAAGTATGAGGCCCTGCTAAAGGAAGACCTAGCGTGCTGGCGGTGTGGCTCATCCCAGAAGAACATGCCTACACTCAAAGCCCATCTGCAGACGGAATTTGACGACCTAGCCAAAAAGGAGAAAGCAAAACAGGAGAGGAAGCGCAAGTTTGAAGAGAAACAAAGCGCCAGTAATGATACCGAGGAAGAAGTGTCCAAGAAGCCAAAGACCACTGCTGGCTCTGATCATGAAGCCGAAGAGTAGAGTATCCAAAAGCTGTCTAAATTTCAATTGTTATATGTACACGTTCCATACCCATACAACTCATCCTACTGCTTTGATGTTATGCAATCTATGCGGCAGTGGCGTCAGGTTCTTCCGTAGCTGTGGCCTTTGACTCCTCCGCGATGGCGTACAAACGGTCAGCACGAGACCTCTCACTAGCCTCGCGAATCGCCCAAGTGAGTTCGTAGGTGCGGCAGGCATCTGATGCAGTTGTCAGCACAGCCCAACGGGAGAAAACATTACTATCAACCTTCGAATGAGCTAAGAATTTGAGACGCCTCCGGGTCTTCTTCAATGTCTTCGATGATGTCGATAAAGTTGGAAATCTATGGGTGTTCAGTCAGAGAACTTCCAATGAATAGAGGGTGCCCTACCTCGGAGAAGAATGGATCATCCTCAGGGAACCGAACTTGCTGCTCATGATCATCACCGGGTTTGCGCATCACCAAGACAGGCTGGACATAGGGATCGAGCAGCCTTATCAGGGGCGTCAACAGGAGATTGTAACGTTCAAGGGCACGCTCTTACTTGAGCTGATAGCCGTCCGCGTAGACCTCAAGTTCACAGCTGTAGTTCGTGCCTTGGAGGGCGACGAGATGGGTAAAGGTGCCTACTGCACCACTTTCATATTTCCTGCACACGCGTGTTAGTCACCACCAGATAAATCCCAACAAAAGTGACAGCAGACCAGGTAGCAGTAGTCACACGGGGGATCCTATTCTCCGGCGCAATCTTGCTTTCGTCGATGCGCATGTGCGATAGCTGCCCTGCATTCTCGTTCCATTCCAGCGAATGTGCGGTAACTGAAGTGATGTCGACTTCTCCGCCGAAGTACCGCGACAAATCACAGAAGTGAGTGCCCTGCTCGACAACGGGACCCGCACTAAACGCGGTCATTAAGTGGGGTTGCGTGGGGTATTGAAGTTATTTATACTGACCTTTTGGACTTGTCCCACCAATCAGGCTTCGCGATGGACTCATACGCGCACGCATATCGGGCGATGGTGGCCATGACAGTGAGATTATTATCGTGGATGATTTGTTTCATCATCTGGACGGCTTTGAGGTATCGAAGCATGTATCTAATAAGCGGTTAACAAGTCTAGCGATGGGTCGCAGTTTATGACCACTACTAACCCAACTGAGCAGATGGTCTTCGTGTCTTGGATGGTTTTGGCGATCTGGAATGACTCTTCTAGTTCATGGACCGGGCCAGTGGCAATTGGCTTCTCGATGAACAACGCGACACCAGGAAAGTGCTTCAGAATTTGCATTTCAATGTCGCGACCAGCTTGGAGTGTTCCACGGAACATGGGGGGACTCCCAACGATCACAGCTCTTGGTCGTTCCTTGGGTGTCATCGCCCTGACGAAATCGTCGAGGGTCTTGTAGACACGAGTATCTTGATAAGCCGACACGACGAAGGAGTCGCATTTCTTCTGCAGGACGGCCTTCGCGCGTTCTACAGCAGGGTCAATTAGAGCGACGACCTTGAGACGCCGACCGAGTTTGCTTTGAGCACCGCATGTGAGTAAAGCGCGTCACGAGGAGGAAGACATAAACCCACTGCTCTAAACGGAAAGAGTGATTCCACGGTCCTTCATCCGAACCTACACATCAGTGGAGCAGATTTTATAGTCTGTGATTAGAACTGATAACGAAGAGGCGCACCAAACATAATGTTCCCGGCGCCGATGAAGACGACGTTGAAGTCGTCAGCTCCTCCGATATGAATCGTTCTGTGGGCACAGGCGTTAGGTCCTTCTGAACACTACGTACATCGACGCGATCGATGAGAGGCATAGCCGATAGTGTATACGATGCGGTACGGTGATTGAGAACGTGAAACGACGAACTTGTCCATCGGTATCAGCCTGGAAGGGTCAATCGAAGGTCGACGCGATGCAAACTCGGACGGTCGCCGAGACGCGATCTGGGAACCACGTCGGTCGGACATACGACGCTCTGAAGGGCGTCGGCTCGACAGCGGCGAGAACGGAGGAGAGTTCATGATTCTAAACAAGGTAGAATAGGTCAGATAGATTCGAAACAGTGATCCAAGCAATTTACCAACGATGTCTGATTTCCTGTGGATAGCAGAGGTGATGGGGGGTTGAGACGAGAGTTGCTTCAGGGGGAAAGCTCATATAAATTACATCAATAAGCGCCCGGCACTTAGATCATGATTCGTGACATAAACCGTGTTTGAGTGCAATCCAATAAATAATAGGAACAGGGATGATGGGTATGAGGTTATCGATATCGCGAAGAATCAGAATCGTGCGTTACGACGAGCTTTCTCCTTCTCCAGTTCTTGACGACGCTTCTCAGCAGCTTCCAGCCGGTCTGACATCGCCTTTAGCTCAGCCTTCAGTTTCTCGTGCTCTTGAGTTAGCTTCATCACATTGCTAGCACGCTTCTGTACTTTCTCGGTTCTGGAATGTTGTGTTATCCTTTGTCCTCGAGGGTCCGAACCAACAGAATCCAAAACAGCTCGTCCAATGGCGGAGAATGGCGGGGCTGTAGATGAAAGCAACAAAGACTCACTGGACAGGCAACTCTGGTTCTGCAATAGACTCCCAGCTGAAACCAAGGCCCGAAGTCGGGATCTCAGTTCTGATGGGCGACCAGAGGTGGTCGGCATCCTGCTCATCGCCCATGGTGACCTCTTGGGACAGTCTGGGTGGCTGACTTCTTGACCTGATCGAAACCACGCTCAGCTCAGGTTACCCCTGTCCAACAAAAACATGTACGGACCCAGTCACGTCGTTATTGGATGGGTTCTGCGTGGAAGAGTTCATAGCGGGTATAATAAAACGCGCACTGGTCGTCGTCGCGGTTCGTGAAGAAGAATGGTGGTGGTTCGAGACAGAGTGGAATGATTGCAGCACAACATATTGCCTTTGCCACATTGACAAGTTCCCACGCCAATAACCTTCTCTTCAACCACCATCGCGATGCTCAGCTTGGGGCATGCGATCATTGGTCTCACGGTCGCATTTTTTCTGGTAGCCAGCTACGCTATCCTGCTGAGTGCATGGCTACCGCTTTCTGGAAACTTGGTATGGACCTCCCAGAGTGATAGCCACCGCGCGTACTGATTTTGGGCAGATTCTCGATACCCTAGCACAAGACAAACACTACAAATATCTCGTGCTATTGATGATACCCACAACCAGCTACTTTGTTATTGCGAACTGGGTTGGATGGCAGTACTACCGCAATTCATAGAGAAAACAACAAGTGGCATAAACATACTGCAGCATACGCATAACGTGCAACGGACATACAAAACGACAAAGCTATGGACCCAGGAATAAATATCTCAATAAATACTGAACACTGTTCATCGCTCATCCGCGACTCGATGGTGGACGCGACCTTCGTCGGACTTCCTGCAATTCCTGCCATATCCGACTTTTTGGAGGTGGTTGCTCACTGGTGACGGAAGTTGGGGGACGTGGGCGGCGAACGGGACTACTACTCCTTGCCTCGCTAAACGGTGGCCTCGAGCGTATCGGACTGAGGTCTCGGACAGAGCGAGCTGGTCGAGAGGATATCACCGACCGGGTGGGGCTGGGGTCTCTAGCAGGGGCAAGGAATATGGGAGACCGTGGAGAGGCAGCATTTCGTGTGCGGGCTTCAGTTGAAAGAAGCTTCGCTATACCATTTCGAGCGGTGTACGGTTTAGATAGCACAGTTGTATCCACACCCGATTCCGCGTCGCTATCATCCTCAATCTCTTGTCGACGAGATTGTGGAAAGGCTCTTCGGGTTGCCGACGTAACGGGATTCGAAGATGAGGCAATTTGTCGTGGAGTGGATGTAGGTAATCGCAGATATCTTGCACGACTGTACAAAGTCAAGTTTAGCACACAGGGCTATACCGCCAGAGAAATCACTTACGCTACTGCTTTCAAAGCAATCTTCGTTCGATACACTTGAAGCCATTTGGCAAGATGGAACGATAGTACGGAATGCCGGTGCTTCTCTCGCGCTTCCTTCGCCAGCATAGCTTTGGGCATAGTGGCTCGCCATTTCTCCCAGTACTTGGATTTAATATGGGAGGCGTGGAACCGTATCGCAGGTAGAGACTAAGAAATATGAGTTAATGAGTCCCGCCAAAAAAGCAATCGCCCACTTTGGTTCTCGCATGCCATATTCCGAAAGCACGGAATAGTAAATTGCGTTGAGTTTGAAGTACTACATCTTGTTCCTAAGAAAACGCGTCAGCATGAAGGGCATGAATACCGATGGGATATTTACAATGGGTCGTAACCGCTCGGCCTTGAAACGGCCCCTCCACTTATCCCAGATAATGGAGAGCGTTGCCAACTTCAATTGATCCTCCTTTTTCTGGAGAATGAGCCGGCGATGTCTTGAAGCTCGAGCGGCAGCCAACCACCGGTTATACACGCGTCGAAGAGTTTCTGCGAATCGGGTCAGCAGCTGCGACTGCCGTCAACGGTTCAGCCTACCTTCCCGCTTTACAAATTGATAACTCTCCATGAGGTTAAGTTCCTCAACGTGTCTCATACAAACCGTTTTCCATTTGTTGAAAGCATTGCTGGTAGGGCACCGTCAACTTTGTTGCATTAATTGAATAGATATACTCAACGTACCTCAGGACCATCTGATCGCGACGTTGAGACACGTCGAGTTCCTGGAGTTTAACGTTGATAACCCGATTGGTCCAGCGGTTGAGTGCGTCAGACATGACGCGCTGTACGCATGTGAGTCAATATGCTACCGATGTGAGGAGCAAAGAACGACGAACTAGGTTTATAGCGGTAACCATCGTCTCTTCGGCGATTCTGTATTCTCTCGACCGATGGGTGCGTTGTGCCCACACTAGAGAGATATCAGCACAGCTGTGAGGGCGAGATAAGGAAAGGCTAACAGTTGTAATATCTTGCCAGACGTTTCGTTTCCAAACCCTTCAACTGCTTCTCTCGTCGCAGCTCCGCCAAACGTTCTTGCCAGCGATTCCAAGCTCGACGCGTTATGAGATGCTTTTCGACCATCCGAGCTTGCCGATGTAATTTTAGTTTCTCCCGAAGTTGAGCCCGCCATATCCGGAAAGCATTTTGCATTACTAATTTTGAATGGTACTGGACGGCGAATCTGTGCGTGCTCAATTGGCCTGCATACGCTCTTTTCCACTGTAGCAGCGCGGACTTCGCGTCGTATGAATTTACACGCTGCGAGAAGGCGTCCGCTTTAGCTACAATGCCCACAATCAGAACAACAATATGATGCGGGGGAAGTCCCAAACCTTCATGTTCCCGTTGAACAGCAATGAAGTTCTGCCAAGTTGCCCAAGCGACTTTAACGGCTCGTAAGGACTTTACTCGTTCCAATAGCTTTCCTCGTTCACGGGCCTTCCAAACGCGCATCACAGCCCTGAGCAAGATGTCGTCTTGACGGCCAAGATGTTTGTCGGCGCGGGTGTCCAGAGCCTACGAGACGTTGGAAAAACCCATGACCCCAGAGAATGGATTCACTCACATGTATTCTGTCTCGTGCGGCCTTCCAAGAGTGTATTGCTCGTTTCATTACTACGGTGTCATAAAAGTGGTCCGCGTTTTGCGTTGTGTGCCTAGTAGAGGTGAGCAGAAAGCATAAGGAACCCAGGACCGACTTACATGCGCGATTTCCATTTCGTGAGCGCGTCAGCCATGATACGCACATTGACTGACTCTTCAACCGCCTTCTCAGCTGAACGTATCTCCAAGGCACGCCTCCAACGATACCAAAATCCGCTCAACAGGCGAGAATCCGTTGATTTTAGGGCATTATCCGCAATGGTATCGAGATGGTCCAGGTTAACGAGCGAGTCCTTCCACCGTTTGTGAAATCTCAGAAGTAACCTCTTGGAATAGTACTCGTGGGCGAGGCGAGATCTATACAATTGCCGCCATTGCATCCAAACCTCCTTCTGCAAATTTGTCTCCCTCCTTTCTCGGATTATTTTCATCTTCTTCCTCATGTCTTGCCGCCATTTATTCTGCCGTTTCACTTTCAGTTTAGCCCTCCAGACGTCCAACATGCGTCGGATGAGCCTATTGTCAGAGATGGTAGCAATACGGGCATAGAGTTCCAACTTGGATGATGTTCGGCTTCGCCAGCGTTGAAATTGAGTTTGGAGAATGATGTTATCTCTTGCTTCGCTGATCTGCTCGTTGGTGGTCTGTTATCGCACAAAGAGAAAATAAACTTGCAGGACGGATTGAACGTGAAGTAGGGTTAACATACAATTATCCAATCAAATCCCTGCCTCCAAACATCCCAGCAACGTTCCATCAGCCTCTCTTGATAGAAACTATCAGCCTCCTCTTCATCCCGACGCATCTCTATTTTCTTCCATGCGTCCTCTTCGTTGATCACGCTACCCCTTCGCTGCCTGGCTTGCGCGATGGTCAGCCGCGCCGCAGCAACACGATCATGAGGATCATTCACGGCCGGTTTGATTGGCAGGACCTTCTCGATGACCTTGTGCGTGGGCTGAGGGGGCGCTCTGGTAGAATATGACGCTTGTTTTCCACTAGTCGGGGTACGGTACGACGGTGGTGTCGATGGACGACTGGCTGATGGCTCCTCATACCGCCTCGAAGCTCGACCAGGGGCAGCACGTTTAACGGCGGTCGGATTATTTATCTGAAGAGGTGGCCTGAGGAGGGGGTGATTCTGTGTTTTGATGATGTGGTCTTCTGTGCTCTCGGAAGTGAGGACGGGAGACGAGGATTGTCGGAATACACGAGGGGTATCAAGGTATCTAGTTTCACCAATATCGGAAGCGTCGTGCGATGGTATAACACCGTCGTCCGTGGAAAACAAGGTGAAGGACTCGTCGTCACGACGGAGAGTGGTGGTAGACCTCTTGACCGGCAGTGTACGGACCTTGCTCTCGAACCCGTTTTGGCGTTTCACCTCCGCCCATTTGTCCTGCCAATTCTGCCCCTTCAGAGTACCCAGTTTTAAGAGTTTGCCGTAGTATACAACTTCGTTAGGGTCGAGTCCTCGTTCTTGCAGGATGTCGTTATATGCCTTGAAGACGGTGAGGAAAGTAGTAGCGTTGGCCCCTGCACGTTCCACTACGGCATCCAGGAGTTCTACGTCTTGAGGAAGAAGGTTCGCAAGCTCTGGGACCGTCAGCGTTGATGCGCGGGAGATCGTGCTCGACGCGGTGGTCAGGCCCTTCTTCGTAGAGGTCGACGGTTTGGTGGGGGAGGCCCGAGTGGGTTTAAAATCCAGCATCCAGCCTTATATGGCCCCGAAATGTACACAGACACGCTCCAGAATTGAGGGATGGTGGTTCTGCCACAAGAGACGCGAAACTAAGGATCTTGTTTATTGATCACGTGGCCGATATTAATGAGTCGTGGGAACAATCGACAACGGACTCTGAAGCCACCAACTATGAACTTGTGCCACAACATCGACGCGATTTACTCGACATTGGACAAAGATATTCTCAGTTGCTGTGATTGGATGCACACCTCAATGAGGGCAAATGAAACGGATCGTTTTGATTTATATCAAGTAAAATACATCCAATCCTCCCGACTTTGACCAACGAGTTCTTGATGAAGACGATCCGTCGACGGGCGGTCGAGTCGACAATCTCATACCTGGGTATGCTCCTGTGTCTCAATATGATGTTTATTTGACGCTTCAGGATAAGAAGTTTTGTGGTCCGCATCAGCGTGGTTCTCCACTTCATGAAGGGCATCGCCGTGTCGGCGGTGATTCTTGTGGACAGCGAGGTACTCCAGTGTTGCTCGGGGAAGAACTAGGAAATGATACGGTCAGATATGTTTCGACGTGCTGAACCGAATAATTACCTCGGTCTGAATCAGCGAACATCGTCTCGTACACCAGCACTGCTAGCAATGTGGCTGGTATGCTGGTGAGGGCCGCGATGGCTGCGTACGACCCGCCGCTGGCTAGATGATACCAGCTGTTTTAGCTCCCTAGCAGTGTTGCGTACAGTCTTGACTGACCTTTGGTACCGTAAATCGACAATGCAGCAAATCTACCGCCAAGATCTCTGGCAGCGTTCGCGGCAACTAAAATATGTGTCAGACGAAGAATAAACCGCCGGTCAACATATACGTACGACCCATAGGTGAGAATCCCCAAATCGCCATTGCACTGCGATTTTGTTTCTCATAAGCTAAAGGGATCTTCCATAGGGTTTTCTCACTTACTATGCGAAGCTGATGACCCATGGCGCCGCTTGCGGAGGTACAAGGACATTCGTTGGGTCAATGCAAGCCCATATCGCCAAAGCAAGGACGAAATCCTGTGCCATACCGTCAATACGGTGGATCCTAAGTGGTTTATCCCGGGCACAAATACTCACCGTCACAAACTCGTTGACCCACGTCAATCCCAGATGTGCACCAGGCGGCGCGTATAAAGCCAGGATCCCACCCGTACCCGAGGACGAAAATTGCACAGCCTCAAGCCTGCCCGCGGCGGTGAGCGCTGCCTCTGCCGCATGGATCAAATCCCTCCATTGCGCGTAGACGAGCAAACACGCAATGTAGCCGCCCAAAATTTGGAACACAATAAACCTCGCCGCCTTCATTGGGGGAAATCCGCGGAACACAACCTGCGCAATTGAAATACATGGGTTAAAGTGGCCGCCCGAGGTAGCACTGCATATCGACAACGCCAGTAAGATGCCAAATGCGTATCCAAAGCCGATCCCCAGCAGCGCTGAACAATAGATATACTTGGTTAGTGCGAGGGTGCACGAGTCGCACACGAGATACTCACAGCCAACGCCCTCCAGCCCCAATATATTTCCAGTAACAAATGCCGCCGTCGCTCCGGCACCTATGGGACATGGGCATCAGTATCGAAAGGACTAGTAACTCATAAGATCTCTTCATACCCGCCCACGTATAAAGGAACACCCCCATCTGTAGATATCGGTGAGACACGCGCTTCTGCGAGTTATTGTTTCCACTTACCGACTCTGCAAAGCATTCGATAAACCAATGCACCGGCTTAGAATGCCTCGTCCGTTCCCAAGACTCGAAGAGACGTCCGCGCGGCAAGACGTCGCCGCTATAGACGATAGCTGGGTTGCTTGTCATGATAGGTCTGCTTGAAGGCAAGGATGATAATGCCTCAGTGCTCAAGATTTTACGGATCAAGTCTACATTAGTTTTTATATCCCCAGTATTGTGGCGGATCGGTGCCGCCTCTTTTGCGGAACATTCGGCCCCCGCATTCAGACGTATTTCAGATCGGACATGCGCGATGTGTTCTTACTCATGGAATTCCCGGTACCTTACAATTTTATGCTTGCTTATCGATCTGTCCCTGCGCATGTTGCATGTGGGTGTATGGGGTAGATTCTGGGCCATTGGAATATTCCACCCCGCAGCGCAGGAGCGGGGATGATGGGGCCCCGATGAGGGGGCGGCTAATCTGAAGCCCGTACAGAGCCCGTACATCGTAATACGTGCAGTAGGTCAATACCAGAGCTGCCGAGACGGATTTTGAGGCCACAGTGAGCAACAGTATGGCAACAGTAAAACGATTCAAGATGTAGGTTGATCTTCGCCCAACAATTGATTCTTGGCGGGGGTTTGGTACCTCATACTACGCCTGCCCAGTGCCTACAGGTACGTCCGTCTATCAGCGTCTACCCCGTACAATTTTCCGAAGAACTAGCGAAGGCAACATATGATTTTCTTGACATATATATTATTATCATTGGAATATGAAATTCTGGCAGATTTGTGTGATTTCGTCATATAAATTGCTGGAGATACAAATGTACAATGCGTATTACAAATAACAGCGAGACTACATACTCGAGCATAGGAGGGTTTCCGTCTAAAAATACACCCGCAATGCCGCACTAACAAGGGATTCAGTTGGGCAGTAAGGGCATTTGACGCGTCTGAAACCAGGTCAGCGATTGACCGCGAGTGCAGTGGTAGCTTACTTACCCTCCAGGTTTGTTGAGTTTCTGCAAACTATCCTTGCTAATGACATGTCCACAAGTCATCATCATGGGAGGATTCTGTTCACTCGACTGCTCTTTCGAGACAGGACAAGCGAATATAGAGTGATATCGGTTCTCCGGTTGCAACGAGATTTCGATCTGGATCTCGTTAGCATCATCACGTAATCTTCATGCTCGCAAACCTACAGGGAGCTCATCCGTCTGACTCCATTCACTCTTCCTTTCTCTCATAACCTTTCGCCCTTTCTCTATTCGCGCCAGAGCTCCTCCTCCACCAATGTCCCCCACTACCCGCAACGGTAGCTGCCTGCTCATGCCCAGACTCGCACAGTACTCTTTCGCGAATAGTGGCTCTAAGTCGAAATGCAAGTTTGGTGATGCGAGGTCTGCGTATGGTGATTCCTGCAAGCGTGACAATGGCAAATATGCAATACAACCGCAAAGCCGCCTGAATTCCGTTACATGGTCCGGGTAGAACGGACGCAACGATTTGTTGAGGTAGACGATGGCGGGGAGGACGTTGGGAGGATGCGAGGCGAGAAGTAGCCGTATATACTGTGAGCGATGAAGGTTAAATTCTAGGGGAGACGAACGCTCCCGAAGGAAAGTCCGTTTCTGCTGCACCCATCTATGGTCTGTGTGAGCTGGTGTCTGCGTTCACTCATGAGGAAGGACATTACTCTAGTGCAGGCGTGATGTCGTGGTTTCTCAAGGCTTTCAGTATCTCGTGCAATCCAACAAACTGAGACCGTATTTCCGGAGGGATGGTTGCATCAGACTCCTGTAGCGGTGTCATGGTTATGAACGTGCCCTTGATTCAAGTACGTTAACGTACTTGGAGGAACGTCTCTGCTAGATCGAATTGACCCGTCCTGAGGAAGTGCAGGGCAATGGTTCTCTCCAGCGCATTCACAGAGTCCTTTGAACTAAACAAGTCGGAATATGTAGGGAGCGGATTCGTGAATTTCTGTAGGCGACGTTAATGCATCCACACACTGGATACAGTCCCCATACCTACTTTATCTAGGGTCTTCCCAAACCTCGCCAGAGAGGAGTATATCTCTTTGTGGCGATCGTCCACATCTTTCTTGCATTTCTCCACTGCGCTGGGAAGCTGCATGATTTGAGATACGGGTACTTCCCCAGCTTCACATTGGGCCTTGGTATTGCGCAAGGTTTGTAAGAGGGAGTCAAGCGACTCTATCATGGACGGTGCCTTGCCCTTCGAAGACGAAGAGCTTGCTATCTTCTCTATCTTGTCGATTTCCTTCAGCAAGGCGTCCATGGTGCTCGATGTAAGTGGTGGTAGGAATTCAAGGTGGGATCGGCGTGGCACGTGATGAATGGGAGTGCTAAACATTTTTTGATCTCGGAGCTCTTTACTTCTGACTTCGCTGTGCCCTTGCTCAAGATGGCTCAGTTCCTCATTGGAGATGAATTGGGCAATATCAAACGATTGCACTACAACTCCAATCCTTCGAACACCGACGATCCCAAAACAACGATAAAAACGGTGCTCAATGGATCTACCTCTGCCTCTTCGGTACAAGCTTTGTCGACTTCGGGGGATTCTAGGATGGTGTGTATCTGCAATATGGATTTCGCTCCTTGTCAACGTTTAAGCATGGTTATAATCAAGCATAGGTCGTCGCCGCACGCGCAAATAAAACCGTACATGTTTACAAGTGGAATGAAGACGAGACTTTGGAAGCTCGATGCTCGTGGTCAGAGACACGAATGAAGCCTGAAACGAGATTCGTTGGCCTTGCATTTTCAAATGAGTGGGTCTCCCGAGCGTTCAAGGAGGGTGATATAACTCATAACCCATTCAGCACTGTGTATTCTTGCACGTCAAATGGGGCGTTCAGGAGGACAGATCTACCAGAAGCCTCCTCAGCCGATCCAACACCAACCCACCAGCTCGCTGCGCTTCCTTCGAATCTTCACGCATGGCGAATGTCCCCTGATAGCGAAACCTTCGCGTACGGTGGAGACGAAATTGATCTATCTGTTTGGAACGTAGAACAAGCATTTGTGGATCGTACTAATTTAAAGAGTGATAACCCTACGTCCAAAAAACGCAAGAGAAACGCCCAACTACTTCCAGGGGAGATATGGCGAGCTAATAACGTCTGTCTATTATGCAATACATGAATTTACGTGACTTAAATCGTTATGTATAGGTTCCAAATGACCATCTTGGCCTCAGGCAGCCTATTCGTATATCATCCCTCACATACCTTCCAAACACTTCCCCTCATCACCTTGCTACCGGCACACAGTTCGGAGATGTCCGTCTCTACGACACAAGGGCAGCTAGAAGGCCCCTGTCCAACTGGAAAATCTTCAAGGATGGAAGTGGTGTGAAGACAATAGAAGCTGGGCCGTCTAACCAGTAAGTCAAGCCGCATGTCTCTTCTACTGCCAGTAGACTGTCATCCCCAGCCAGATCTTCGTCAGCGATAGCCAAAGTAGGCTCTTTGCCGTAGATATCAGGAATGGCTCTGTCAGCTATGGCTACAAAGGTACCATACTTTCTCATATCGAGTATGGCAAAAGCTAAGACCTAGGACAGGCATAGCAGGCGCGGTATCTTCTGTCGCGCCCTCGCAGTCGCTGATGGCATCGACTTCTCTGGATCGTTATGTCCGCATTCATAGCATCTTCGCTCCGCCGCTTCAAGCTGGCAAAGCACAAGACGAGAAGGGGGACGTGCTAGAGAAGCTTTTTGTCACAAGCATTCCTACTGCTATCGTTTGCGACGAAGAGGCGATGTTGCCAGCAGACGGAGAGCACCAGGATGAAGACGAAGATGAAGACGATATTTGGCAGAATATGGAAGGCGTTGATGACGAACAAGATGAGCCCCAATCAAGAAAACAACGTAGGAAGTAGGATACACAGTTGAAAAAGTTAAATACGATACAACAGTGTACGGAGCTCAACGACGACGGTTTCCTATCTCGCTTTTCCAGGTATGAGCCTTTTCGAAGCCGTTCATGCCCAATTGATCTAAGAACAATAATGGGCAACAAATCCACATTGCTAAGATACGACTTACAGTCAATCATGGTCTTCTGGATTTCTTCGCGAGTAGTCATGACGAATGGACCGTGCTGGTAGACCGTTTGATCCAGAGGTTCGCCCGCAATCTAAATGATTATCGTGCCGTTAAACATTGATGTAACAAAAGTATCCAAGGTATGACGCACGACAACAAACTCAGTCCCATCTTGTCCTGCGGCTAACTGCACGCCTGTTTCGCCTTCTTCATGCGATAGGACGAGGGTGTGGAAGGCTTCATGGGGGATCGTCTCGGAGCCAACGAACACTGATCCTTTGAGAACTAGGCAAAGACTTGTTAAGGTTTCAGTAAATCGATGCCGATATAAATTCACCATAAACAAATGCCGTCCACCCAGATGCTGTTGACAAAATGTCAGAAAGGGGACTAATCCTATTGGTACTACACTCACGAATGTCTTGGAAGATTGAAGGGCCTTTCTTGTTATAGATGACATGGAAGAACCAGTTACCTCCGAGAGGTCTTACTGGGGATTCGACACCGTAACTTTTACCACTGATGACCTTGATCTTGACTGGTCCATCCGGGCCCTCTGGAAAAGCCGTTGGAATCCTGTAGATCGACGTCAACGAGGCTTTCGGCGAGGGTGCACGAAATTATGGCTTACTCGTTGGGGCCAAGTTCCTGGTACGAAGGATCCTATAAAAGTTAGGGTGAGATACATATCGAGATGATAGGCTGGGGCAGGATACATACCACCATTTTGAACTAAGGGTGAAACGTAGATAAGTACACGGCCATCCGTTACCTAGGTCAGATGATGGCGCACCTCCTTGGGAAGATCAATCCAAAGTTGCAGGCCTCTAGGGTCGGGGGCACCATCTTTGTGCACAGGCATTTCGGCGTGGATAATGCCTTTGCCGGCGCACATCCATTGGACACCTCCAGTTTCTACGGAGAAGGTTGAGATATTGCGCAACCGAACATAAAGACATCATAGCGTACGTACCTATGGTACCCTTGTGACCAGCAGAGTCTTCGTGCTGACTTGTCCTATCGATATGTTAACCATGATCACGTATCAAAAAGGAATTTGTGGATGCTCACCCTTCCAACATGTACGTGACGGTGGCTTGCCCACGATGGGGGTGATCGGGAAACCCCTGCGTGTCTCGTCAACTTTACCGTATCGTTAGAAGTCCCCTCTTATACGTACCGCGCCCTTGGAAACATGGAAATGGTCGAGCATCAGGAAAGGGGTCAAGTTGCGAAGGCTCATCGACCCAATTGACCGCCGTACAAGGGCACCAACACCCTTTCGAATTGATACGGTTAGTTCCTTCGAATCCAATCCCGAAGGTAGGTACATACCTCTGGTGTCTCAACTGCCAGAACTTTCTTGATAACGTGTCGGGAAACAGATGCGAGGGCCATATTATCGTCGACTGAGTGCGAAGTAGGAATTGTACGATAAGTGAAATATGCTACGATGGCGACTAAGACAGAGATGCTGACGCTTTTATACATGGAGGAGGAGAGCCTCCTAATCGTTGCTGGCCGTGCATGACAGACACTTGCCCGATCTGGCACAAAATACTCAGAGTCGGCCATGGTCGGTGTAATCACTCTAGTCACCGTGGATGACTAAAAATCATGAGCTTGTGAAGTCTAATCACAGAACAAGTAATCTACAGGGAATCCCAGATGCGTTGCAAGCGCGTCTGAGGCCCCTTTGCCTTTTCATGCATCAAATATTTCTCTTCTTCGTCGTTAATTTGTTGGAGACCGGAGACCAAATCCACGTGTTCGGATGGAATGACCGTGGTCTTATATATGAGCTTGTATCCGAGCCAGAGGACGAAAAAGGTTGGGACGGCGATGTATGACCTGCAGACGCATTGATTAGTACCGGATTCGGAATAACATGAATAAGCCCCACGCACGTTATAAACGTATCGGTCGTGAATGGGAGGAAGGTGTCGAATCCCTTGAATAGAGTGATGATGCCAGTTACGACCAAGGCGAACCAGCTGCCCCATGGCTGGAAAGGTGCCTTATATGGCAGCGTGTCTCTTGAGATACCTTGGGCTTTGAGGGCTTGCATGAAGCGACTGGACAAGAGGCGAGCTTAGTGTCAATTGCAAATCCCATGATCAAACAACGTACATGTGTGAGTATGAAACACACATCCATGTAATCGCGCCGAACGTCGAAACAAGGTTGACGAACCAAGTGAAGACTAGACAATCGTTAGCCAGGGGGTAGGTACATATATATAAAGTCTTACCTCGGGCACTGGATGAACTAACATTAAGGAACACAAGGCCGCAGAATGCAGTGCAAAGAATCAATGCAGGGTATGGGACACCCATCCTATTGACTCGGGCGAAGATTCGAGGAGCCTTCCCCTCGACAGCGAGACCGTAGAGCGTTCGGGAACCGATATACAGATCAGAGTTGGCGGCACTCATTACAAAGAGAAGGATAGCAGCATTAATAACGTGGTTTAGTGTCCTGATTCCGACGAGAGTTGTGGCTGTCATAAAATATGTCAGAAGAGGAAGGGTAGGTTTAGACAATGGCGCATACCAACAACGAACGGTGACGCAGCAGCGCCTGCCTTTGACTTAGTGGCTACAAAAAGGGACTGAAAGCAATTAGCTGAGAAATTCCACACACCCGGTAAAACTCACATTATCTGTGCTAGGCACGACAAGGCCTTGAGGGGAAGGTCAGAACTTTGCTGGAAGTAAGGCCGTCTTGGCTTCCTCACCGATTACAAATACACCTCCCACCTATGCTTGATGAGCGAACGATTGTTGAAGCAGCAATGAGATGACATACATAGAATACGAGGATACGATAGAAAGTTCTGCGGATAGCAATGGGAATGTTTCTTCTAGGGTTTTCTGCTTCTCCGACGGTAACCTGATAAACGAGCAATTAGTTGGCGGTTTCCGAGAATATGGATACGAGGCTAGACATACACCGATCAGCTCAGTACCGATATAGGCGAATAGGGCATTGGTCAAGGTACTCCAGAATCCCAAGAAGGTGGCCAACTTGTCGTTCTTAACTTGGTTTAATAGGTACTTTCCCATTGGCCCATAGGGCGGTTCCCAGTATCGGAACCCAATACGATCGTGTTTTGGATTGCCACCCAGGTCGATGATAATGCCCATAAGAAGCAACCCGACCAAGGCAATGACTTCATGGTTGTGTGAGATTTGTTTTGCTTAGTAGCATCATGGCGCACACACCTTTTATACTGGAGAACCAAAATTCTAGTTCACCGAACACTCGAACGCCCAATAAATTGACGATAAAAACTGCAAAGATATTAGTTCACGAACATTTAGAGCAAATATGGCTGTATCGCACTGAAGGCAATGAAAATAACTGTGATCATTCAGTTCAAGGGGCAGCAAGGATATAATTCACTCGACTTACCCATCCAAATAGCAATATGAACATGCCGGGTCCAGTACTGTATAACGACTCCAGCAGCATTGATATTATTGGGCGTGACGATAAGCTGCGGTCGACAGATGAGATCAGCTCCGCAATGGACGGAAAAAACGAACATACATATTTCATGAGGTAGTTCCAACCCATGGCGAACCCCAAAGCTGGATCCACGAATCGCGTGGCATATCCGGCGAACCCCTTCTTGTGAGGAAGGAATGAAGCCATCTCTCCGAGACCAACCATAACGAGATAGCACACAAATCCGACGAAAGCATATCCCAGGAACAAGCCTAGCAGCCGCGTCAGCATGCAAGCGATCGATCAAGAGACATCCGAACGACTCACCCAGAGGACCACCTCTGGTCAGAGCTGTACCAGATCCGATAACGAGACCTGTACCTACAGCACCTCCAAGCTATGAAGTATATTAGGAAACCAGGGAATCAGGAAGAAGCAAAGTGACATACGGCAATCATGGAGATTTGCCTTGCTTTGAGGCCACGGTGCAAACTCGCCTCCTGCGCGGGCTCGAGGAGGTCATCGTCGTAGTTGTTGTTGTCAGCGACAGTACTAGATGATCCCTTGACATTGCGCTTCTCCTCGTCGAAATCCATAGTGTGTGAGCCGGCTAATGGAGAAGAAGAAGGGGAAGCGTGAGCTCTCGCAGAAGCACTATTAGGGTTTTTGTACTATGGGAGTGGATAAGCCCCGCTTTGATGGAGCACATGAATGTGCTCCTTGCGTCTCGTCAAATGCGGGTGGAAGGTGGCACTTCGTGGGTTGATAACATAGGCTATGCCAGTGCCAAGCCTTCCCCAGGGCACTGTACAGCGCCTCGTCCCCGTCGAATATTTTAAAATAGAAGCTTGTTGAGTCGCTCCGAACTGCTAGTTTGCGAGCAATCCAAGAATACGCTATTCCTGATGCCGATGGCGACAAGCAAAGTCTCGTGCTGCAAAGCATGAAATTCCAGTGCAACGGAGGTATATTGCAGTCATGCATGGATGGAGAAATTGCAGTGAACGTGAGTGTCGCGATCAGAGGAGCACATGGACACTTCAAGTAGCATCCGAGTATCTTCATTTGGTAATGCATGTATCTGGGCGCCCGTAGAGCGCCCGTAACTACACGTTAACTTCTCTAGTACAATACACTTAGGGCTCACAGCTTGTGCTTTATCTCCTTCTTCGCGATTCTCTCAAACTGCTTTCTGGGTCGACCACTAGCAAACCGTTCTGCTTGAGCTATACAACCCATCAGCATGGGTCCCGGGTGGCAAGGGAAAACTGGGAATTACCGTAGCCTTCACGCAATAGAACCGTGTCGAAATGGTTTTTCTCGTCTAGAGCTGCCCGAACTAATCGCTTCGCCCCGAGGACGGCCACTGGATCGAGACCTTGCAAGTTCTCGAGCGTGTACTGTCTGACCGCAGCGTGGAACTCTTCGGTGGATTGTTGAGGGAATATTTTGCTACAAGCATCGGTTATCAGCACTTGGCATGGAGTAGCCATTGTAAATGACTTGCTTGATGAACCGAGATTCAAGGAGCTCGTCAGCTGTCATCTTACGGCCCCATATAAGCGCTTCGTTGGCTTTTGCCCACCCCACTGAACGAGCGACGGTGAGCTCAGGGCAACGCGTCAGGACTTTGTCATATGAACGCACTCTTATTCACGAAGGTGACGCTGGATCCGGCCTCAGGTATTATACCTAAAATCAGCGTTTAGCGATTGGGTGTGCTAATTTTGACACAGGTACGCACCAAGGAACGAGAATGGCGTGGATAACCAGGCGTTGGGTAACGCGTAGATGAAATCAAAATATCCCAGGAAGGCTGGATCTGTATGAGCGCGGCCAAAAAGGAGACTTCATTCGTGCACATACCCGCCGCAATACCTTAGGAGGGCTGTAAGTAATTCAGGACTAACAAGCGGCTGCAAACCGGACGTACCCATCGCAGGTCCATTTAGTACCGCAATGAGGATCTTGCTATGTGATGCGAACTTGCATATGTGGTCAGCGCGCGGCCCTTACGTGTTCTTCTGCACTCACGGCATGTCCACAGTCGAGGTGTGATTTAGAGACCTGGTTGACCAACGCGTGCCGGACAGTTGTTTCAACAAGCTTGGAGCCCGTGCTCTTGACATCCGTGCCACTTCAAAGGCCACACGACAGTGAGGCCTAGTTCAAAGCCAAAGCAACAATACAGTCAGCTTACGCGCAGAACCATTTCCCAGTAGCTTTTGTGAAATAATGAGTTTATCTAAACGGAATGTGCCATGTGCATTGCCGCCCACCTTGCCAGATTGTTGCAATCACATCCTCACGCTTGTCGACCTCTCTAAGAGTATTGGCAAGCTTGTCGTAATCTGCACGGGGCCAATCAGCATGGCCTCCCGGTCAATTATCAGAACAAGGCGCACCGTCTGCAGTAATCGCATTCAAGCTTCTGGGACGGTTCATTGTGATAGTCGCGATGCCCTGGGCAACGCTGAGAGTGACTTCGCTCATGATTTATCAAGTAGAAGGGGAGGGCAATTGGATACAAGTCCCCGATCCCCCTGGGGTGTCGCATTTAAGAACGTTGGAATGCGGGGTAGAGTGCACTTCCGGGCTGCTTTATTGCCGGAAAAAGGGGCCCCAGGAGTTGAAATACGCCAAGGTCCATCTATGTAACTCCGAACACAAACAAAATCAAAAGGAAGATCATATACAAGTCATCATCAAGTATAGAATCGTCACGACCACGAGTCTAACAGTTTCTGAATAGCCTTCGCTAGCATTTCATCCTTGCTCTGAGCTCCCGCCAGTTTCTTCAACACTTTCTCTAACGCCGGCTGCAGTGCAGTCTTCATCCCTTCAACAGAATCTGTACCGGGGGTATTGCGACCAATTTGCATGAGCAGAGCGCAGGCGTTCATGCGAACCTCGACAGGGAAATTCGCCTGGTTATCTACGTTTCTCAGAACCGCTGCGATCATATCTAAGGCATGTTGTGGAACCACGATCCGGGGTGGCGACTTCTTCTGTGACACATTGTCTCCCTCTTTCTCCTGGACAGCGGCATCCTCAAGTGTCGATGTAGGCTCAATGATTGCTGGAGGAGATGGCGAGGCCTCTTTGGGCAAAGGGACCGTGAGTGATTTCCAGACGAGCAACGCTGTACATGGTATGTCAGATATGGATAATATGCTATAGTCGTCCACCTACCACCAGAAGGGTGCGTGCTCAGTAAACTGAGAGCGACAATGCCTTCATTGACAAGTAAAGGGAATTTACCACTCCGCGTGACAAGGTTGGCTAGAGCCTCGGTGCACTCGGGGGTGCGCATCTTCTCCATCGCGGACTGTCGCTTTTTCTCATCAACCGTCTGCTGCGTATTGTCTGACGCAGGGCTGGACGCAGTAGACCATATTGACTTGATAACGTTGACCAATACTCGTGTGCCTTCGCTTTTGACGGCGACAGAATCCGAACGCTTGATCAAGGCCAGCAACTGGTCCAAACCAGAGGAGCTGGAACCCGGAAGAATCAATGCATACGCATTCTGAACTGTAACAGAACGGGGTCAAGTGGATCATCCCATGGATGTTTGTTTCGCTCACCACTTGTATTACATAGATGCTTAACGACACCGATGGCCCCAACTTGGACAACTTCGACCATGGCATCATGTTGTTGGTCCCACACGCCGCTTCCAACGATAGCTTCGATTATTCCAGCATTTCCAAGTTCAACGGGTATGATTGAAGTTGGCGTAGCCGACTGAGAAACGTTCTTGAGGAGACCAATTACGGCATGTCTGAGCTTGATGTCGCTATTAGGAGATAGCAGATTCTTTGACGTTAGGACAGGGGCCAAGCTGTGAGGTGGTCGAAGTAGAACGATAGCATGTTTCTCTGATTACACTGGTAAAAGTCTAGCCCAGTAGGCGATATATGAACGACGAACCTCGTCTTGCCAAGTTGCCTAGAGCTAGACAAGCACAAATGGCCAAGTCATCCCGGTCGATGGCAGATTCGTCTGCCGATTTCTGTGTCTTCGTAGAGACATATTTCTTGATCCACCCCACCATCATGCATACGAATGGCCCGCCAGGTTGCTCAGGATCCGAATCGTCCCAGAGGACATCGTCGTTATGCTCTTCACCAGCTACTTCGACGATGGTCTTGATTACAGCTGCCTTACAGATATCGAAAGCTCGTTCCTTCCTCTTGATGTCGGTGGCATCCCATCCCAGATCTTCTTCGTACCATAGCTTCGGATAGTTGCCCTCCTCAATGAAATCAAGCATGACAGAGAGGCAGGGTACACCGCCATGCTCGGCTGGGAAATTGTACCCCCGAGCCAGGGACAGGCGTACGTCTTCGATATCAAGCGAGAGGGATTCGAGCAGCATGCATGTCTCCGCCAACGACTCTAAGTCTGAGTCGAGAAGCCCTGCACGCGCCTGCAAATCAATGTCTGAGACGACGTCTGATTTGTTCGCGTCGGGGATGAAGGCTTGCAGTGAAGGGATGAAGAAGGGTAGCACATCAGGATTAAATACTGTAAGGTCTTCAATTTAAGCCGTCAATACCATCTTTTCTGGTCGGGGGATCAACGATGGCTCACTGTCGTCGTTATTTTCCCGGAGTTCGGAGATGGTCCTCCACGCCCATTCCGAAATTCCACTACGTAGCTCCCAAACGTCCTCATTGTCCGGTGAGTGAGGAGTGCGTTTCCATAACCCAGGGGGATAAATTGCGACCGATAGCCTCATAATCGTGATTGCTGCTTCTAGGGATATCAGCCTGTGCCTAACGGGGCCTACAAAGCCATTGGCATACGAACACACGGAGGGAGGTGGAGGGTGAATAACTTACTGTAACCGAGCGATGCGTTCAGCAGAACCCCAATTGCTGTCCTCACGATCTTCAGCTGTGATACGTCCAAGTCAAGGGGCTCTGTGAACGGAGGGCCTGACACCTTCTCGGCATATCCTTCGAGGATTGCAACCATTTCCTGAGGAAATCCTGCTTCCAGGAGGTGCCCTCTGTTCTCGTCTAATGTTTGGATTGTCTGGAGTGATTCGATCACGCGATAGATTCTGAACGCGTACCATGGTCCATGCACAGATTAGCCCCTAGTCGTAATATCTCGAACAAGCTCGCAGAATCCTCTTCAGAAGGAGTCATGGCCCCATGAAGGCATAGAGACACCAATAATGTCAGCGTTTGGGGTAGCTCTGTCCGGCCGACGACGGTATGATTGTCCTCTGCGCCAGAGGTCAGTACTATTACAGGCCGCCCAACGAGTACATACCTGGGGTGTCTCTGACTCTCAAGGCATTAGCCAGCTTCTGTGCAGTCTGTTCGATCTCCTTCCAGAGGTCGGCTGTATCGGTTAATTTGATCTGAACCAGGAGTTCTTCTAGTTGCTTTTCTAGCTCAAGGCAGGACGCAAGCGTGGCCATGACAAATGCAAGCCCACGCAAAGAAATTTCTGCGAAACGGGCGACTCAGCGCGGTGTGGGAGGCGATTGTGGGTGAATGAAGGAGACATGGGCGGTTCACCAACTTATCATCACTGATCTAATCTCAATGTGGCTGTGCATTTCAACAATTTACCAAGTCGTCGGACAGCGAGCGTCACGGTCGATTACGCTAACCTCTTTCAGCGCCAGTACAAAGGAGCACTGCCATGCTGAACGACAATCCTGCGTGCCTCGTCAAGTGCCTTTACAACTTCCTCCGGCAAAGGGCCTTTGGCGCTGTCTAAGCAGTTCTGTTCCAATTGCGCGGCGCTGCTTGCTCCCAAAATTATTCCATCTTCTGGAGTGAGTACGGAATGATGCTGGCACCAACGAAGGGCAATCTCCGTGAGGCGTAGCTGATTCTTCGTCTAACAGCCATGTCAACATCGTGACCTTCGACAATCTGATACACTTACAGCAATAGTCTGAAGTTGCTTCACCGCATCAAAGTAACCGGAGTGGAGATACCTAGCACGGTACATTTTACCCATATTCACACTAGGATCAAACCGGCTGCCGGGCTCAACTTCGTCTGCGACTGAGCTGACTTTGCCGGCCAGGAGGCCACCCCTATTACGCGGTTAGTTCAACAGGGATGGGCGAAGACACAGGTGGTTGTTTCCATACGCTAGCGGGTTGTATGCGACGAGACGAAGTCCGAATTTCCGAACACATGGCAGAAGTTCTGGTTCCATCTCGCGGGTGATGGCATTATACATCCTAACGAAATGATCAAGCAAGTATCCACCAGAATCGTATTGCACTTACACCTGGTATATCTTGGGTAGTACCCAGCCCTCAGCTTTGCAAATACCGACTATCTCTGCGACCTCCCATGCGGCATAATTACTCAGTCCAAATATCTCACTACAGCCGTATAATCAACACCGAATTACGGTAGACTGTGCAACTTACAATAATCCCTCTTCGTAGAGCTTGTTCATTTCTTCCAGCGTGTCTTTGAATGGTACGCTGCGGTCTGGGGCGTGAAGGTAGAGAACGCGGACCTTCTTCCTCTTGAGCAGCGCTAGAGAGGTGAGGAAGGTGGCCCGAAGCTTGGCGGGGGAGTGGTCGCCAGGATTGGTAGGGTACACTCTATCGAGACGCGTGAAATTTATACCGAATTACCACGATGCAATGTGCCGTACTTGGTGTCAATGCTGGCATCCTTGAGATCCAATTTCGAGAGTAACTGTCGACGACATTAGTGTCCCTCGACGGGTGCATGGGATCGGATAGTGCGATCACCTCTTCCGTCGTTCCTTCAGCATAGACACGAGCTGTATCGAGCTCCTTGTGGCCATGGCCGAAGAATACGTCCAAGATATCCTGGCAATCTTGCTCCTTGGACGTGCGAACGCCATTCTTCCCCTCAAACCCGAAGGTCATGGTTCCCTAGATGGACATATAAGTGAGAATCTAACACAAGGGGTGTAGTATCGCGTACAAATAGTAGTGGGATACGAGTGGACATAGCCGAAGCGCTGACGGTTAATTCGCAACAAGGAAGTAAGTAGTCGAAATTGTGAAGGGTTGCCAAGTAATCAGGCGCCCATGCCAGAGATCTTTGCTGATCACAAGTTGACGCCACTTACTCATATCCGTACTGTCACTGTGGGGGGTGCCAGGGCGCATGCTCGACTCGGACAATGGCCAAGAAGAAGAAAGCTGCCCCCCGCGCCATGACTCCCCCCATACCCATTTTAGATAATGCCGAAGATGAAGACCTAATGAACGATCTACTGGCTCAACTCGATTCGAAAGACAATTCGATGGACACTGAGTCGGCGAAAGTGCTCAATGATATGGAACTGAACAAGCAGGCTGATAATATCGACCGGGACAATGCTAACGGGAAACGCAAGGATCCGAAGGGACGGTTTATTGCTCGTCAGGTCAGTGCGAATCTTTGCTGATGTATCATACAATGAGTCTCATCACTAGTAGGCCAGAAAAGCTGCGGCGTTAGCTAAGTCATATGCACCCGGCAACAAAGATGAGGATGCTAGACTGGAACGCGAAGCCAAGGATGAGGAAAAGGCCATCAATAAAATCTGCAACGACCTGAACGTCCATCTCCACGAGGTTAACCTTACTTGCACTATAGGTGATCATGGCATGGTACTGATGTCCTTGCATTCAGATTAACCCTGATGGCCACTGCTTATTCTCTGCGGTCGCCGACCAGCTAGCGCTCCTGGGCATCGTACCAAAGTCCCAAGCCACCTACGTCCACGCTCGGAAGCAAGCTGCGGATTACATGGCCAGCCACATCGACGAATTTATCCCCTTCCTCCCACCCCCGGGCGACGAAGATCGGCTGATGACTCAGGAGGAGTATTTCAGCTATTGCACGACCATGCGTGATACGGGGGTGTGGGGAGGCGAGCCAGAGATTCTGGCATTGAGCAAAGCGTACCATGTATCAATCCACGTCATCCAAAGCTCGAAGCCGTCAATCGTAGTCCACGAACCCGAAGACATGCCGCCCCCGATACAGAATGGGCGTGTGGTGCGGATCAGTTACCATCGCCGGATGTATGGGCTTGGAGAGGTCTGTTCCATCTTACTCCTACGAAGAGAAATAAATGTTGAATCGGCAAATGCTAGCACTACAACTCTTTACGTCCGAACACGAGCTTCTCAGGTGCACTGCAAGCAATTATGCCCTGACCGACGATACCTTTCCTTGGGAATCCGGGTGATTTTGGTCAGTATAGGTGGTATCCCAGCAACAGCAATAGTCCATGTATCTTATATGTACAGCAAGTTATCCTGACAACTAGAACAACAGGTCATCAATGTCACCATTTCTGCCGGACCCCATGGGACGCGGTTCGTCAGTAACATAGCCGCCAAATGCTCCACCCAAATTAGCGTAAGGGTCGTTCGATTTTGCTTGAGGGGGAGCATGATCATCGCCGTCGTCCCCAGCTTCATCGTCCTCTGTTGGAGAGCTTGTTGACTTGGGAAGTTCAGGCTCGGGCTTCGAAGTCGTAGCTGGTGGGGGTGGAATAGGCGTTTCTGGATTGTGTTGTTGATCCGTCGTCGGTTCTACGGGGCCTGGGCCTGCTACACGCACCGTTGTTGGAAGCTGAGGTTGTGCCAAGTGTACGAGGACAGCGCGAGAATGAGGATTCAAAGCGGGGCTGTCTACCAAAGCTCTGCCAACCGCATTCCTTATGAATGTCTTCGAGGCCATTAGCAACAAGATTCTGCTATCAAGTACGGTTGCTCCTCACCTCAGGGTTCTTGTGGTATATACTTCCCAGAGTGCCAGTGTGGAGCAATAGCTGATCAAGAGCACCTCGATCCATCCGGTCGGAGTCAGTCGTTATTGGTGGTTTCTCTGCCAGAACGATTTCTCCCGCTACGGCGGGATTCAAGGCGAGGAGTCTCCAATACATGAAACCTCGATCTCGTAAGTCGGGATTGTCTACTTCCTCCGTCGCCCACTTGAGTACTTTGTGGACCAGTGCCTTCGTGGTTTCGGATTTGGATTTGTAGATGAATAACTTGACAGCTGCGGTCAATAGAGAGAGCTGAACCTGCAGATGCGTATATATTGAGCGTATTCATTAACTACAAGATAAAAATGACCGTACCTCGACACTTTCATCCAAGAAATTATCAAGCAACGCGTCAAGTAAATCGTCTGCATTCTCTATCCGGTCCGCGAACTGGCCGAGGATCCAGATCATCGCGGCACGGGCTTCTGGCTCGTCCAGAACATCAAGGTGTTCGCACAATGTAGGGATGATCCCTTCGTATTTCCCGGGATACCGCCGAAAGATGTCCTTTATCACGATGATGGCCTCTTGTACTACGTATGTAACCCCAGTGTCGATCAGATCCAAAAGGGCTTGTATGCAATCATCCGCGGCTGCTTCCACCTTAATCGCCAGTCGGCCTATGGAACGAACCGCCTTGCGAACGAAGTCGATATCCACTTCTGAGGCGTATCTATTTTCATGAGAACAGTTAATGCCTCAAGAGCAAGTTCAATGCCAAGCAGACTGACTCCTGGAGTTCAGCAAGCACCTCTTTCGCGTTTTCTGCTCGGGCGAGACGATACATAATTTCCAGTTTCGCGAGTTTGACGTAGATAGGGTCGTTGTATTTGCAAAAGAAGACTTTCACGTCGTTCTTGAGAACAGTAGGCCGGCGTTGAATGATCAGCAAAATATTCCGCAAGGCAACATACTGGACCTCTGGACCTGAGGACAGAAGTGTCACTGTAGATTACATAGTCAGCATGATATTGCGTCTATTCAAGTTGATAATAACCTAGCGGGGGACCCATCTTCTTGCAAATGTAATCAATTCGTTTCCGATCATCCATATAATTCATGAAATACAACAATGCCTTGATAGTGGTAAGGACCACTGCCGAGTTGGCATGTTGGAGTTGTACGATGATACGCTCTGCGAGCAAATCAGCATCTGAGTGAGACTCCGGTACATAGCGTAGTAGAGAGTCGAGAATATATATTTGACCCCATCTGTAAACGTGTGTTTGAGATGATCAATTTGCTCACGAGGTTGTACTCACTCTGAGCTTTCGCCCAAGGCAGCCAGGAGCCTGTGCGCGATCGAAAGGTTGACCTTGAACATCACACCATCCTGCCGATCTCCAATTTCCGTCAAGGCTGCCACGGCATTGGACACCACAGTAGCGTTCGAATCTTGCAGCAAGCCTCGCAGCAGCTCGACAAATCCCCCCTTCTCCGCTTTCCGTGGATCGGCGGTATAAAGTTTTGCTACGCATATCGCAGCGGTTTTCCGGACGTAAGGGTCGCGATCCTTTAGGCAGTGGCGTAATGTGTCTCCGAGAGCATCTGTGACGACGGGTATGGGTATATAGGACATTGTGCGAATAGCCAACGCGCGTATAAGGGGATTTCGGTCGTTGCAATCCTGTCTACGGATGAGTGTTCCCACTATAGACGCCCCGATTGGAAACTCACCTGAAGAAAGTTAGGTATAACGAGATGTATTTGATCAGGTTTTGAACGTCCGTAGCTGACGAGGAACAGGTAGACCACTGGAGCCATGTATCAGTTGATGGCAGCAGCACGTCGTGCACGGCCACTCACTCTTCTTGATTTCCAATAGCGGCGTCCCTAGACATTGCACGACATCCGTGAACAGCAGCGACACTAGGAATCCATGCATCAGCCTCCTCGTCCTTTTCACGATGTAGCATGGATATACCAACTATCGTTGCCCATGGTGATGTTCGCCACTATCTTCTTCAGAACCGTCTTGCGCTTTACGAATTTCTTGTCCTTCGCTTCTGCCGCCTGCAATTCCGTTCGGAATTCCTGGCCATCACGCAAGTTCAATTACAGTGCGTGATTGGGAGCACTTTGGACTGACCTCGATCTTTCCGCGCGTGAAGAACTTTGCATCTTGTCCAGGCGTCGACATGGCCGTCGTCTACAAGTTCATAGATCAGTGGTGGTAATTTATGTAAGGCATCATGATGATTGCTTTTCCCTAAGCGCCGATGACAAATACGGTACGACTCTATGCATCCTTCTCGCCAATACAAAGTTCCCAATGTCACTCAGTCTCCTCGAACATCGTTGCCGCTGCACCTCCACCCCGCTGTAGATGGTGCCCTCAAAGAACTCAAGTCTGCACACCGTCGTCTGCACGTTGCCTGCGCAGAATTTGGCAGGGAGCTCCAGATCCTCAATAAATTGTACTACAAGGGCTACAACCAGCATCGGCTTGCTTTATTCTGGAAACGGACGGCAGAAATACGAAAATATGCACGACGCGTAGACGATGCAGACATTGCTTCGATAGCAGACGTTCTGCGACGCTCATTCTTTGGACCTGAAGCTCAAGTCAAGTACATATACAATACCGTTGCGCGAGGGAGAAGTGAGCTGACACCTGCAGCAAAGCCCGAAGATGTTGAGGGGATCATGGACGCACCTGCCAGACCGAGATTCTCTGCTGTCTTTATTGAAAAGAGCGAGCGATTATCGCCAATTGCTTGACAAGGTACGTATACGTGCCGTACATCGTACGAGCTCTCTAACCCGACATCGTAGACGCACGAACGGTTCGTGAATGCATACCAGTAAGGATATCACCGTGAACCATGAGAATATCTCGAATTTAAGCATTAGTGTAGGCATCTCAACATCGCAATGCAAACGGGCGCCTTCATACAACTCCTCGTAGTCCTCGCAGCCGTCGTGTCGAGAATGGACATCCTGGTCGAAGAAATAACAGATGCCCTCGAGCTCATGCGCAAATCCGGTCGTGAAGTCATGAACGTCATTGATGTGAGTCCTCATAATCTTCCCAGCATCTGCCGGCGAGCTGACTTATATTCCCAAGCCTGCCTCGGCTACGGAGACGCGTTCGACCCACTCGATGCCGGGTGGCAACGACGTTCCTACAACAACGTCTTCGATAGAACAAACTGATGTAACTGATGAGGATTTGGGTGATGTTCTCTCAAGGCCCTCAATACTCGCTTGGCAGGATAATCCCCCTCCACTTGACCCCAATCAAGCCCTCTTGTCCGTATACCAAGACACTGGAGGTAGGCACGCCCCGTTCTGATTGGTGACACCTGTCCAAACTCATTTCTTCAAAGTTGTTTCTATCACAAGGACGGTCGTTACCGTGGCATCCAACGAGGCAGCTGCGTCACCACCTGACCCGCCGCGCCAACAGAAGGCGAAGAAACCCAGACGGACGAAGCGCGATGAGATTGATGATATCTTCGGTTTCATGTAACCTCAAGGTGATAAAATAAACATTTGAGGCACTTCTGCGTTCTCATGCTTTATGACTACATGTTTTTAACCCCGTTGTTTCATTCAAGAGGGTAGTACAAGAAGCTTGTGAAGGCTAAATGTACTCGGTAAGGTGGCGTAGACCACGATAGGGTAAATGCAGCAGTAAAAGTAAATAGTAATGAAAATAGTCCAGGAAATCATGAACAACTATCGACAAAAAATATCAAAATGGTATCCACGTAAATTAATCTATCAATGGAGCGCCGGCACCGTGCAGGTCGTAAGTTAAGCAATGACACATGTGCAAGAAGTTCATACACACAACTGAATGTCCAGCAGCATACCCTCAAGACTCGTCAACTAGAGCGTTTACAAAGCAAAGAAAGTAGCGACAGCGACGACAGCACCAACGAGGAAGCTCGGTGATGAGACGGAGATGGCTCCGCTCTTGGCTGCCTCAGAGGAGGTTGCGGGGGCTGGCGAGCTGACTGGCGAGGATGCTGCGGGGGCAACAGATGCAGCTGGCTCCGGTGTGGCAGCGTTGTTGAGGGCAGCACGGATGTCCTGGGGGATCATCATGGGGTTGGCGCCAGCAGCAGCAGAGTTGATGGAGCCGTCTTCGTTCATGAGGTCGGGGTTGGCGGCCAAGACGGTACGCATGTACATGACGTTCTCAGCAACGAGCGGGCGAGACCAGTCGGGCATGTCCTTGAGGTTGATGCTGCCACCCCAAGTAGAAGCCTTGGTACCTTCGCACTTGGAGTTCGAGTAAGCAGCCATGGCGGCCATGTCGGAACTCTGGAAAAGATGGGATCAGAGTTGTCTATATACGTTAATCTATTCAGGATGCTCACGTTGGAAACCATGCTTTGCATCATGCCGCTGACAGATGTGGGGTTGTTGAGTGCGCTGGGCGGGTTACTAGCAACATAACGATTAGATGCATCAAACTTAAACTCTGGATGCGTTTGCTCACATGATACCGAACATGCCCTTCTGGCAATGGGTAGGAGCAGCGCAGTAGAAGTAGAGGGGGTTCGTGTCGTTGATAACTTGGGTGACTATTTACGGCAAGAGTCAGAAAGTGTCTTACTTGGGGTATAATAGTACTTACAAACGAAGTCCTTGACTTGGAGGCCCGAGGCGAAGGTAAGAGGGTCAGCAGACTTGTTGCACGGTGTGAGTTGTGTTCCCTTCGTGACGGTGTGGTTATTGGCACCCCACATGAACTTGACAGTGTCGCCGACGGACGCGTTCAAGGCGAAGGGGATGTAACGAAGAACGCCCTGGGATGGTGCGACGATGACAGTGTGGGTAGCACCGGTGCCGGTGCTGCCAGCGTTACCACTGGTAGCGGTGGGCTGGTACTTGTAGGCGGGGGCACCGAAGGAAGCGATGCACTGGTTGACACAGTCGTTGTAACCCGAGTTACCCCAGTTGGAGCTACCTGAACCGTAGCTTGGGGGAGCAGAGCCATAGCTGGACGAGGACGATGAACCGGACTGCGAATCCCAGCTGCTGCCGTACGAGGCAGCAGAGACAGTAGCAGAAGCCTCCGCAGCAGATGTAACAACCGATGTTGTCTCAATGGAAGAAGAAGCTTCAACGGTGGCGCTCTGGACAGAGGCCGTGCTACTAAATTCAAGTGTTAACACCGAGAGACCCATAGCAGATCGCGTCGAGACATACGTCAAAACTGCAGTGATCGGGGTACCGTCCGGTGCGGAGACGGCGGGCTCGTTAATAGCGCTGTCCGCGGGGCGGGCGGCAGCCAGGCCGGTGAAGAGAGCGGCGGCGAAGAGAGGCGTGAAGTTAACCATTATGAATAAATGAGAGGATTTGTCGCTGGACTATTGAAGACTATCTAAACCTCGCGGAGGAACTGCTCGAAATAAGCCCCTGTCAAAGGAGGTGATCTGCAGGGACGGAATCAGTGCACGGCGACGGGAGGTACGAGGAGGAGCATACCAACGATGTATGAACGAAAGAAGGGCAGTCGAGGATCAACTCTCGACTAAAGGCGGAGGGGAATGAAACGAACGAGGAAGAGGGGGAGAAGAACGAAGGGTGGGAGACATCGACTTCAATTCTGCGCGTATTTGAATGTTGCCCAAATCGGAGTCATGGTAACACTTTGATTGCCCAAAACATTGGGACCGTGACGCTGTGACTGTCACCGAGTGACCGAGCCAATGACAGCCCTCCCCTCCTGATGCAAATGGTTTGCGATTGATGTATCAGCGTGTTTCACTGAGCTCGGATATCCATGGCCTCGTCAAAGCGGTGGTTGTTGGCAGAGTAAATCGATTTCTGCTCAATGCCCATGAGACCAGTGCTCGGGAAGCGCGTACCAAGAACTATCAAGAAAAAGTTTCTGCCGCCCAGCATCTCACTCGTCGTCAAAACGGCCTGTTCGGACGATACCCAGAGGCGACATCACATTCGTTGTCAAGTAGGAATGCAATGAGGAATCATGCATGCCCTCCATCAGGCACTTTCTTTTAGCAGGCCAATCAGAACAACGCTCGCAACGTTATATTTTGCACATGTACATACAACCACTGGAAAAAAATTCAAAGGTCCAGACTCTGCAAACATGGATATCATTGGAGCATCAGTCAACGGCACCATCGCAGACTGTTCATCAACCCGCGTATCATCCCTTTCGTGCTGGTCTTGATGGAAGGCCCATACGCGGGACACGTCGCTCACCATCGTCTGAAGTAATATTACGGCGACCATCCACACTGCCCTGCGGGGATCGTACATGACCACCCACTGTAGAAGCATCAGGACTATCCCCCCGGACAACCCCCCTTCTTGCCTGTCGCATGGCTTGCAGGCGATCGGTTGCCCTCGATGGGCGAGCTTCATTTCCATCCGCTCCTCTAATAGTTCGAGGGGTGGGAGAGGACGTAGCTGCTGCTGCTTCATAAACAGCTCGCAGACTTCGTGGCTTCGGGGGCTCTTTATATGACGACGCTCTCGGATTAGGGTCCTCCTCATCACCACCCTGTCGATCCTCACGTTTAAACCGTCCGCGTTCATGAGGCTCAAACAACCAACTCGGTAGGTCAGAAGGGTCGTGGGCTTTAGCAAGGTGGTATGCTTTCATTCCCCGCAGCAAACGAGACTCCTGCCCAGGTGGTGTGTCTATATCAATCATGGGTCAGGTTAGGAACGGAGGCAAATGATCGACCGAATCGACGTACATTCGCCGGTATACGTTGCGATGCTCGCTGCCCATGTCTTGCTGACATTGATAGTGAGGTTGCCCGCAGCAGCAGCAACACGACTCCAGACGGTGGACCCGTCTCCGTTTGATGAGTGGACGCTGTATCGTACGTTGTCTGCGTGCGACGTGATAGTTTAGTGACTGCGGATCTATGAGTACACGTATATCATTACCTTCTTGTGAGTATGGAGGTTCGCCTTCGCCTTTAAATCCGGCATTAGCTCCATCATCTTCGATGCTGGTCCGTGACGATGAATATCCCATTTGCCCTTTGATCCGGTCAAAGAACGAAGCTGATGAAGCAAAAGAAGATGCTGAAGATGCTGATGCTGACGCAGAGGGGGCATGCCTTGGGCCAGAGATACTTCGCTTCCGTGTGGGCATTGGAGGAGCCGGGGAACGATTACGAGTGGAGAGTGCGCCCATGGATTTCTGAGGACGTATGGACTGATGGGGTGGAGCTGACGCTACTGCGCCGCCTCTCACGTCCTTCGAATTTGGCCTCTCCAGCGAGGCCGCCCGCTGCGTGTGTCTCTGGGCCGTCGGGCGCGCTCCTGCACGCGGATTCGACGGCAGCCCTCCTGGTCGTCCAGAATTTCTGTTTCTCGTATTCATTTGGGTGGAAGGGTACAGTCACAGTAAAAATACACGATTGTTTAGCCAGCCCAGCTGGTCGGGCGTTGATAAAAGAGTGTGGGGAGGAAGCAAGAGGCGCCAACAACGGTAGCCATGATATCTCTGGCTGAAATTGTTGCTGTGAGAGCGTAGCGATCACACTCACACAATCAACGATCACATTCGATCAAAGTTTATGTCAGCGCTCCGGAAATAGTACAACGTCGCTAATTGGTGCAGTAGACGATTCCAAAAGATCACCCTCCAGGAGGTCACCTTGTTCCGCAATGTGTTGTCTTGACTTCACCTCGATGAAGACCGGGAATACTCTGGCGATTTGCTGATATTCGGCTGTGCTGGTTTAGCAACTCCTCTCCAGCCCCTAGGAACGTCAACGTTAATCACCGAAGTTACTCTCCTACTAGCAGCGATCCCAAAGACTCGGTAGTAGCTGACTTAACTGAGGGACACTGTAATCTACCGCCCATCTTTAGTATATCAACTAGACATTGAGTCCACAAAGGAATAATAAACAGAGCTAGTAATATGCCTGTCAAGTGGATTACACACGACAACCTGCTAGCATACTCAGAGTGGTCTTACTGCTGTGTCAGTATATATACATGGCCTCGTTCAAGCTACGCCAAGCTACCCATACCCGAGCTGCTGTGTTTGCAGTTTTAACAGGAGGCCCCTGAATGGGTTGTTCCATGTGACCTCGGCGGGAATTTGAACCGCGCGGCGCTGATCGCGCTCCAAGCGCACCAACTTCGCAACAACATAAAACGGACTTGAGTGAAGACGCGCGAAAGCAGCGCACTGCGAGTACTAGAGCTCTTAGTCGATGTCAAGCAGTACTGTCAACTGTGCACAACGATGGGGATGGATGTGGCTCCTCCATTCGTTTCCCACATGTTCTCCGACTCTTAAACGTGATGAACACAGTTAGTACCTCACGCACGATTCAAACATGCTGTCGACTACTAGAAGCTCTCGTCGACTTCAATCATGCTTGACTACGCTGACGCGGAAGATGAGCTCCACAATTCAGAAGGATAAGTTCAAGATTGTTGTCGTAGGGGCAGGTACGCAGATCAATCTTTCGCATGTCCATGACTGATGTGATGGTTGTGTAGGTACTGGGGGTCTGACTGTAGCAAATCAGCTATATGACCGCTTCAAAGCTGCCGGGAAGGCCTTGAACAAAGGGGATATTGCTATTGTTGATGCTGCCGAGTATCACTACTACCAGGTCAGTATTGATACAAAATGTCTCTACTTATGATTCTCATCTTCAATCAACCTTAGCCTGGATGGTGAAACTTTTCAACCCTCGTGTACTGCGTGTGCATGGGCTAATGAATTAAATGTGTAGGACGTTGGTCGGTGCCGGTTTAAAGCCGAAAACAGATTTTCGGAAGCCAGTCGCGTCCTTGATACCCAATTATATATCCCATATCACAGAAAACGTCGCTTCCTTCAACCCATCCAGGTCGGCGATTACTACTACTTCTGGACGACAGCTGTCGTATGATGCGTTGGTGGTCTCGACCGGCTTGCAGATCAACTGGAACGCGGTCGAGGGCTTGCCCAAAGCCCTTTCAGATTCATCATCGGGGGTATCGTCAATTTTCTCCTATGATACGTGCGACAAGGCATGGCAAGATATTGATGCCCTGCAAAGTGGTCGAGCCATCTTCACGCAGCCCTCCGGCGTCATGAAATGCCCTGGTGGTGAGTGGAATCATTAACAACTACAATATTGTTGACCGATCGTCTGGGCCCAGCGTCACAGAAGATCATGTGGATGGCATGGGATAGATATCGGACGACTGCCCGTGCCGATAACGTCAAGGTCAGATACTTTACAGGAAACCCTGGCATGTTCAGTGTCAAGAAGTACTCGGACGCCCTGAATACACTACGTATTGAACGTGGAGTTGATGGGTATTTCCAACATAACCTAGTCGCCGTCGATACCGCGAACCGAAAAGCTACCTTCAAAAAGGAAGACGGGTCCTCCATCGCCGTGGATTACACCCTGTTGCATGTGACACCCCCAATGGGCCCGCTGGACGTATTGAAGGGCTCTCCGATATCCGACGCCGCTGGGTGGGTTCAAGTGGATAACGGCACACTCCAACATGTCAACCCGGAATACAGCAACATCTTCGCCTTGGGGGACTGCTCGTCTTTGCCTACAGCCAAGACGGCTGCTGCGATTACTGCCGAAGCGCCTGTCTTAACGGAGAATCTATTCTCCGTGATGGACACAGGCAAGTTGAGTGAGGCGCGATACGATGGATACACCAGTTGTCCGGTCAGTATTGTGTTTATCGAGGTCACCAAGAATGAACTGTATTTTTGTGTACCTAGTTGTTGACAGGCTACGGTGAGCTCATGTTGACAGAATTCAAGTACGGATTTGTTCCGAAGGAGTCCTTTTCGTCCTTCCTTGGGGATCAATCGAAGCGCAGTCGGTACGTCACCTACTACCTTCATAGCCGTAAACGATGTTTATAGCATAGCTCAGGCTGTACTATCACTTCAAGAAGGTCGGTCCGAAGCCGCCGTGTATGTATCATGTTACTCATTTCTCTTCTCCAGGACCTTTTCCCGTGGGCGTATTGGAATGCAATGGTAGGTCCCCTTCTATGCGCCCTCCGCGCTTAACAGGTCTAACTCTATCGCCGAATAGGTGAAGGGCAAGTGGTTCGGAACCAACGCCTTCTGGCGGCCGAGTTTCCGAGTCTGAGTGTGCCTTGTGTGTACTACTTGACCAGCAGTCGTGACCTCGGAGCATATGTTTGTACACTAATATTGGTTTCACCCAAAATCACATATACACTATACTTCTTTGCTTTCCTCAGCGTTGCGCCGCTGTACTGAGTAAACTTACGAGGAAGTAAGCTTTGCCACCCGTCACGCGACGAAGTCAAGTCACGTTGCGGCGCGCAAAGGTTCCCACGGCCACACGTTGATGTGCCGCGCTGTCTGAGTCGTTGAGGGTCATTCCACGATCGCCACCATGTCTCGCCTGACTGCAGCACAAATCATTGGGCTCGGCGAATATCTCAAGCCAGAGTTCGAACCCTCAACGCTGACCGTGTCGCAGCTCCTTGGCGTGCTAGGGTACCACAACATCCCTTATCCACAGCCTTACACGAAACCGAAGCTCATTCAGACATTCAACGATGAAATCAAAGCAAACGCAAAGAAATTGACGAAAGAAAGGCTTAAGAAGGAGAATAGTATCGCGAGTGATGATGGTATCACAGACGGCATCACTGGGGAACCCGTTGGCGGGCGAAAGGTATGTTCTTCAGTGGAGTTACGGGAGCGTGATGTGGATAATACTTGCAGCCCGCACCAGCACCAAGGAGGTCGTCACGCCGTCTGTCGCGTGCGCCAGCGGAGCCAGAAGAGATAGACCTTCCTCGACCTGATCCAGTGCGTCCGAGCTCTTTGAGCCCCTTGTCAGTAGATAGATAACACAGTTGTAGCCGAAACGTCGAAGGTCTTCAGCACAGCCTAACCTTGGTGGCTCGTCACACAGAGCTGCACGCACCCCTACTGTGGATGCCTTAGCCGAAGAAAGTGAGCCAGACGAAGACGAAGAAGTACCTGTACGCAAGGTTGTGAGGAGTAAGAAAACTGTTGGTGCATTCCATTGAGATAAGGCGCCGATCGTATAGTAACCGTGTATTCTAGGCACAAGCTGCAGGTTCACAAGCACGTCGTGTGTCTCAACCAGTCTGTCTCCGATTAGTTCGCTACTTGGCCGATAATTCAAATTGCTTCATTTTTACTAGATGGCAGAAGAAAGCGGATGGGAAGATAACAATATTTTCCAATCTGGAGCAGAGTCTTCCCCAGCACGTCCGTCCCCAACTAGGCCCAAAGTGCCCCGAAAGAGCGGGATTGCGAGGAAGTCGCGTAAGTCCATGTCAGCGCCTCCACAGATTCAGCCATCACCTTCGCCGACGCATCCACGGTATTCGAACGACTCAAATTTACTTATTTCTCCGCCTCAGTCGAAATTTGAACCACAGTTGCCCCTGGACGTCTCCCGAGAGACTCGCATCATGGCGTCTAGGATGTCACAGACACTTGTTTCGTCGTCAAAGAAGGCCGACGTCATCGTTGCCCAAAAGCAGGAGCAATCAGACGACGAGCTGGACTTCCTCAGCCCGAACCGCGTTGGTCAGGACCAGGTGGCAAAGCAAGAATCGGGCGCTCCATATGATAACGAAGAAGCCATTGACGAGCAAGCGCCTGTCAGAGATGGAGATGGAGTTCTAGCGCCGTCGACTCGTGAGGTCGCAAGACGGCGGCCAGCAGTTCTAGAGCCTACGTCAAGCTCTATCGTGTCTCGGCTTTTGGTCTACTTACTCGCTGCAGCTTGTTTCGCATTGACTGCTAATTACCAGTCCGAGTCTGCACCAATTGGCTATTGTGAGCCTGGAACACGTACCAATTCTGCGCTGGAAGTCCACAAAGCCAAGATAGCGGACATGGGGTCGTGTCTGCCGAAGAACATCTCTCTCTCCGAACTACCGGAATTTCTGCTAGAGCACTTTGCGCGCGATGATCCTACCGATTGTTCTCTGTCACCCTTATTCGCTCTCCCACATCCAACGACGTGTACCCCTTGCCCAGAACATGCCTCTTGCACACAGCACAATGTAGTGTGTGACAGTGGCTACCTCCTCAAACCCCATCCGCTCTTGTTTTTCCTCCCTCCTGTATCCTCGCCGTCTTCCATCAAAATATCTACATCATCACCACCATCAGATGTGGCTTGGAAGATCGTATCTAAGCTTACCGACGGCCTTCCATTGTTTGGTAGCGTGGGTTTGCCCCCGAGGTGTGTGGAGGATCCTCGCCGGAGGAAAAATATTGGTAAACTCGGAAATTTGACGCTACGGCGTCTAGGACAGGAGAGGGGTAGGAAGCTTTGTATGGGGGAGAATGGAGTCAATGTTCCAAGTGAACAGGCAGGTGGCGAAGCTAAAAGATGGGGTTTACTGGTTGATGAATTGAGAGAGGAGCTCCGAGTGAAAGTCAAGGTCAGCTAATCAATTTCATTAACCATTCTCGGTTCCTCAATGATTAGTGCACAGGCGACACGCTCGGATGCGTTTGAAGAAGAATTCAACGAAGCCATCCAACAGTTGATACAGTGGGGTGGCGTTATGTTCTCGGAAGACTCTGAGTAAGTACCTATCGCTCGAGACGATCGAAACTACTGAGTATCGGCTGCAATTCACAAGGGGTAAACGATATGTAGCCCACAAGACCCCTGAGTTGACCTGGAGCTGCGCGATCCTTGTGAATGTCCGAGAATCTTGGAAAGAATGGCGAAATTCTATCTTTGGTGGCTATTCGACCCTTGGTAACCGAAGAAGATCGTATATTGACGTTTCCGTTGACTTACAGGTGTCTTGTTGACGATCCTCGGTCTTTACGCCGAAAAGCTGCGCAGAGCCCAGAGGTATCGCGATCGCGTACGTGCTGCAGAGCTGGTGCAGGTTGCTCTGGATACGCTCCGAAACCAAGAACTAGCTCACCACATCGATCCCGTTACTGCGCCACAGCCATTCTTATCGTCACTGCAACTCCGTGACCTGATACTCCAGGATGAGCATTCCATCGACACGCGTAAACGCATATGGGATCAAGTCGAACGTGTGGTCGAGAGCAACGCAAATGTCAGAACGAACCTAGAAGAAGTCTCCGGAGGTGATGAAATGCGGGTTTGGCGATGGGTTGGCAGCACTAGCACTGGAGCAAGTCCGATCAAAGCTGCAGTTCCACAAGATGTCGTTGATGGACATGACGATCGGGAGTAAAGAAGAATTGCGATGCAAATCCATTTTAATGTGTATTTATGAGCGTTTCTCGACAATGATTATTCTGGCCAAAGACCGTACATACAGTCCGTCAATCGGACAATCGGTGGCTTGATCATCAATGGTCTCTGATCAGTGATGATTGTACTTACACGACGATGACATTATGTGCCTTTGCCACCGTCGCGATATTGACGGTTGTTGGTGTTTCTTTGCCGCCGGGAGAATGGACGGCCGACTGGAGTGATGATTGCGACGCCATGTAAAGTTCTACAGCGTCAAGTTTTGTGATCTCCACGTGCACAGTAGTTAGCAGTTCATTTGAGGTGGTTCGTTCCTCTCTCCCACGTACCCCCCAATCCGCGGTTGTGACAGTCTTATGATTATGCCAGTTCGAGCTGTTGGTTTGTTCTGTGCGAGAGTGGCTAACCAGAAGCATCGAATGCCCTATCTGAGCTGTGAATCGGTCTACCGTGTGATCCAGCCCTTGGAGTTTAATGACGCCCACATCTCTTTGTTTAGGATCACAAGACAAACGCTTGACATACCAATTAGGCAAAAACTTCACCGAGGCTTATCGTGAACCACGTCAGCAAAACGAGCGGTCGGGCTTGAGCAGGTACAAGGGGCACAGACAATAAGGTAAAACTGGGGGGCTAAGTTGGGTTACCAACTAGACCCCGTTGGCGGTCCCATAGGAATACCGTTCTGGATCTTCTCAACCAACGCTCGCTTCATAAACTGTTCTTCCGCTAGTATTCGTGTAGTCTAGCGCGTGAGGTCAGATGATATGTTCTCCTTCGCGGCTATATATCCCTTCAGGGACTAAGCCACTCACTCTAAGGAAACGGTCTAAGTCGATCCTGCCCGCATTCAATGCACGGTGGAGGTGATAAATTGTGTCTTCGATAGCGTTATCCTCCGCAACCAAGTTGATTAATCTAAAAAAAGCGAGCAACACGAATTGCCGCGCACGGTGGGAGACGCCATTAATTAGTGGTTCTGTGACAGGAGAGACGGAGGGAAGGGAAGAAGAACAAGACGTGGAATTTCGAAGCGGTGGTGGAATCTGTGTTGAAACAATTTGGGATGACTTACTGATTGTGTACTATTGTCGTGGAACACACTAGCTCGTCAACCTCGGGATCTTCCTTACGCCGAAGTTCAGTTACGTTTCGTTCAGCCTGTTCGACAGAGTCTCTCAACCTTCCGGCGACGTTTTGGCATACATCCTTCACAGCCTCTAGCCTTGCCATCTCGTCCCGGATGGCAGGCTCACCCGCCAACAGGTCGCTCTGATGAGCACGTAGACGCTCGGCGTCTAAAGAAAGGGCTTGGGTAAGTGATGCAAGCTCGGAGGTAAGCTTCTGGTGGACCTGGGCGTGAAGGCGGAGAAGTTCAGGGTTAGGAGGTCGCGGTGGTATACCTGTCGGAGTAGCGGACGGAGGTGGCCCGGCGGACGTGAAAGGGCCTGTATCGTTATCCTCATCTAACAAATTAGGCGGCGGTATGGAAGTATGAGGAACGATCGTAGGAGCCTGAACCGCGATAGAGAGGGGGGGCTGTGGTGGCGATTGAGCGTAGACTGGTTGGTGGGGAAGCTGAGGAGGTAACGGCGGCACAGGAGGTGGAGACACAGAACCGGAAGATGGAGAAGCATCCCGGTTCTGATGGACAGGTGGGACGTTTACATTGGTAGTCTCGGGAACAGTGGTAGGCGGACGATATGTTGGTGGAATTGTCTGGTAGCCAGCGTGGTTGTGGTGATACTGTGGCAGGTTAGAACGAGGCGGAATAGGTGGCGGTGAAGACTAGTACACGGATACAGTTTCGGTCAGACAAGATGCTTATCGTAATTCGGGGGACATACAGACAGTTGATGAAGAAGGCAGTGAGTTAATTGATGACGATGGAGTGGCTTTGACATTCGGACTGTAAGGTAACGGCTGCGTTGGTTGATTGACCAAGGAAGGACCGATGGATGATCCGGGCTTTGGGGGTAAAGCAGGACGATCATGAGGATTCGGAACGGAGGACTGAGGACTAGCTGGGAGCGGAGGTGGCTGCGCAGGAACAGAGGACATTCCAGCCGGATTCTGCTTCGGTTTGGCGTACATTGGCGGTTCTCGTGAAAATTGATCTTGCATGGCCTCCAACAAAGCCAATATACTGCATCCCTTGTATTTATTTTTCAATCAACCGTTTGCTTGAGATGGGAAAGAGAAGGACGCCTGTACGTACCTCGCTCTTGCGCTCCCACTGCTGCATGTATTCGAGATTGCATCTGCCACTCACGTCAACGAATTTGCCTGCCTTGACAAACATGTCGCTTGTGGGCACGACATAGGCGATTGGGGGATGTCTTGGATAATCTCTATTGATCCATACACTGATCTGGATATTGTACGAGGCCTGCCGGTACGTGATTGGGAGTAATCCGTGCAGGCACAGCAGGATCTGAGTCCTCCCGTCGTCAAATGCTGGAACGATGAAACAGTGAGCTTATCCTTGCGTCGGAGGCAGAACTAATTACTGTGCTCGTCCGACTTTGGACGAATCGTATGGAAACGCGCTAGTACCGCCTCGATATCAGCCAGGACGCGATCCCGTTGGGCGTATAGCTGGACATTTTCCACAAGCCAGCGACGGATGAGGGACTGTGAGTTGGTTGCCGACATGAGATGGTCGCTGCGGCGCGGCGGTGGTAGCGCAGCCAAGATGGCTAATCTGGGATCCCCCCTTCGCGGAGTTTGGCGCTGATTTCTGGGGTGGATAATGCCTTTCTGGAAAGGGGATCTACTTCCGCCGCAAAAAAAGAGATCTGATTTACCCAGATTGTGCGTCGGCCAGAGTGATCGGAGGTGTCTTTTGTAAGCGTCACAGCCGGATTTGGCATATTGTATCGAAAGTGACGAGAGGTCGGAGGTCCGGTTCGTACCTGCCTGATATAGGCATGGTTACCACTGGCTCGGTTCACCCCTGCCGGTTTCGGATCTTAACTCTAAACGCCCTCAGTAGGACTCACAAGTGAACCACCCCTCGTTCCCAATTTAATCACCAGTGTAGCCCGGAATGAACCCACTTCTTGTATATATATCTCCGTGTCCTCCCTGCACTCACTCCCCATCCCTTTCCCCTCCTCCTCCACCACCACCATGATCACGCCTCCCGCTGTATCCTTCAAACGGCCAGAAGCCGGCCCCAGCAAGACCCTCACCCCCCAGCGAAAGCATAGGAAGCTGTTGAAAGATGGCAGTGGCACCGAAGTCTGGCCAGAGCGCATAGAGAAGGTGTTTGTCCAAGGTACGCGTCGTTGGCCGCGTCCTCGCCTTTGTCCGACTCACGGCGCCCAGGTCTCAGAGAGTACTGGCACTCTCCGTTTGCAACCTACTCGCGTGGTCGCAGTCGATATCGCAACCAGTTCCTCGTAGAGCATCTCGCAAAGGCCGGCATCACCAGATCAAAGAAACAAGTCGCCAGCCATATTCAAGTCCTCAGAAACATGTGGAAGGGCGAGCCGGGTATGACTCCCTTGTCCTTCGGTGTCTATTGTCTTGATCTAATCAGTTGCCCATATTCAGAATTTCACCTCGTCGCCGGTGGCGAGGAACTTGCTGATTCCAGCCCCCTGCCTTCGACAAAGCTAGACGAACGCGCCATCGACCATCACGGCCTTTGGAGCTTCGATTGGAACGATTGTGATTCAAGCAACACTTCCCCCAACTACTCTCCAGACGTCAAGCACGAGTGCTCACCCCCCCTGCTTCCTCATCTCAGTCCTGGATCAGCCTCACCTCCGTCTCTATCTTCGCAGGACTCCTCACCTAATTCGATACCCTCTCAGTTGGATTTTCAGTACCAACTATCCCATGGTTACCCGGAATTGCAAACCGCTTCGTCGTATGCCCAGCCCCCCTTCTCTGACAACGCTTACCACACATCTGGCCCCAACGACATCGCGAATCGAGTTACCGCCTTTTATCTAGTCGCCACCGGCGCGCAGCCCCTCATAGTCAACTTTGACTCGTATGTTCCGCCTGCAGAACTTCCTGGGCCTTCTTGGGAAATGAAGACCAAATTATACATGACACCTTTCGACGGCATCTCTGTCGAGCCCCAGGGTTTCACCGGTTCAGTCGTGCTCGCTTCCCCCTTTAGCTCAGGGACATGCACTACTCAAGTATTCCGTGGCCAACAACGTATCCTTCAAGAACACGGGCCATTGTGCCCCTCGCAGTCGGATCCCCTAGCGGCATTTCTACCAGCCGAAAGTCCTCTGGCCAAGTGCCGTAGCTACTGTGAGTTCTGATCTTCGCGCCAGTATTCGAAGACTGCTGACGCAACACTTCCAGTCAATGAAGCTTCCGGCGCCACCATAACACTTACGCAACAGTTAATTGTAGATGGAATAACTCTACTCTATGCCGTTCATGTTCTGTGTAGGGGGGACGGCTATCCAACGCCTTCAGCCCGACTAGTAGCATGCAGACCGCACCAAGACAACAATCGCCGAGACTCCATCACCAAGTCTGTGAGCCAGTCCCCACGACCGACTTCCACAGCATATCACACTACAGCACCATACTCCACGCTGTATCAGCCCACAACAGCACCTCTCACATCATCTCCCTCGTTCAGCACTACAGCTTCAACATCATACCCACTGGCTACTGTTCCGGTGACAAATTATCAATACTCGCCCCCGCTATCACCTCACAGCACAATACCAACCAATTCAGCGTATACCTATGGTTCTCCTGCCCTGTCACATCCTTACCCACAGCCATCTTCTTTGACTGGCTATGACGGCAGCAGTTTATACGGATCGGTCTCTTCCAGTTCCATCCAATCACTTCGACGTTCCTCTTTGTCACAGGGACTCCCTCTACCGAATTACTAGGCGCCTTCGCGCGCTTTGTTCGACATGCTTTATGTCCAATGCTGTTGTCGTGTGGAACTTCGATACAAATACAGTATTCGCTTTCGTTTGCTTCTAGTGGGTCGAATCACAGATGGTCAATCTAGACAAAGCAGTGACATGAGCCCGGACCCCTCTTTGACGCGCACCGAAAATTTCGTTCTCACCACATGGTCGACTCATATTACTCCTGTGTCTTTGGCGGCACGCGGATCTCTCCGCCTACACATCTTAATCGATCCTCGCTTACCCACCGCCCTCAACCTTATCACCGCCCTCACAAAATGCCGATACCCTTTAACATACTCCTTTCGGTGCTCTAATACCGCCTATTCTCACTGCTCGCTGCTTTGGACGCTCTTGATCTTTGGTGATGATGTTAACGCGGTGTTCTATCAGAGCCCCGCCAATGTTTCTTCCCAAGTTCATCAAGAAAAATGTTCTCCTGCTTTTTTTACTTATTCTACCTTCGTGATACTCCTTGCCTCTATTTATAACATTTGGTTCGTGGATTCGGTATGGCATGTGGAATGGACGCGTCGTATCTCTCATCACTTCTTGCTATACCACCTCGCTTAGATTCCTGTATCATAACTTGGATTGGCGCTTTCTTGACTTACGTTTCCCGCTCTTTCGGGGACTCCACTTTCACGTATAAGCTTTCGATCCAGCCGAGGCAGTGGGGGAATATTTCCGTCTCCATCACCCGACAATCTTACCCCGACACCTCGAATCTCACACCTGTATAACTAGCAGTATAACCCCCTCCATGTAGGATTACAATTTCCTTAGTTGCTATGTTCCAACGTGGGCCGCAGCTGATCCGTCTGTAAAGTTGCAGTAGATATATCAACCCATCAGTGATCTGATTTTCACCCCGAGGAGAAGGACAGTATGCATGTGGTTCTTAGGGACCGAGGAGGGCATCACGTCTCACAAAGACGGCACGAATTCAGAGGATAAGCGTATCCAGTGGATTGCCACTGATGATGTGTGACTTGCGCCGGTGGCCCAACCAACAGAAACATTCTATCACCGTGACATCGTTGTGATTGAACTAAATAGACGATCGTGCCTAGGAATTCCATTATAAAGATGTCCATTATAACATCCTGTGTATTTACATTACAACAATCGTTAGTGAAACTGATGTGGGCCCGTGCTCTGTGAAGTCGGGGCCAGGCGTTGTAACCATTGGTTCCAGGCGGATGCGACCATGCGAAGCCATGACTTACATCTTGGTTCGCTACCCCAACCGGAGATGGATGGACCGATGCTCTGGCGATGCTGAGGCCGCCTGTTACTCACACCAATCGCGCCTGCGCGAGAATTGACAGAACACAATCAGTCACATTAAGGAAAATCTGGAGGTTCTTCTTCGGATAACCAAAACATCCGCAACTATTTGCTTCGGGAGGGAAGTACTAAACATTTATAGATAGGGCGGCGACGACTACGCGGCGACAAGTTGATACGGAAGCTAGCTTCCAGACTGCTCCCGTGAACTGTTGTCGGCATGTGAAGAAGGAGACGGCGTAGCGGAGTAGCAGCGTAGCGAACAAGGCGATGTTCCTACGCCTGTGAATTCAGCATCAGCTTCTTTGCCTCTTTCCTCACCTTCGCATCACCATGGAACGTTGCCAGGAGATTGAGCTCCCAGAATGCCGTTCCAAAAGGATTGCACAACTGAGGGTCGTCCACATCGGGGCGATATACACCGTCGAATGCGCGATCCTCAGTCGATAGCAGGGCCTCAAGCTTCGGATCCTTAGCAAGCAGCCCCTGTGTAAATTCTAACGCTCTAAGAGCGCTGTGAGACGGCCAGTGAAGCGCTGCTGAGAGAAGGCGCTTGCTGAAGGCCGCTGAGCGCCAGGCTGGTGGCGGGCCTCCACTTGCAGTTTTTCCATTGAAGAAGACGATCGAGAGAGCGTGGAAGAGCAGATCCGACAGGGACGCTTCTGTTGAAGGCTTATTCGAGGGTCTACGTTGATGGTGTGGGTTCGGCTTGGCTGGCGTGCGTGTACTACTTTCGATTTCGGGGATAAGCGACATGGGCAAGATTTGGGCATAGAGACACGCGACGAAGTCACTAAGGTCAAGATTCAGGGCTTCACCTATAGGAATAGATTGATGTTCGCGGAATCAGACGGTTGACGGGAGGAAGTATGTACCTTGTCCAGAAAGTAGTTCGAACGCTGTGATGATGCAAAGCAAGCGATGCTGAATATTGTGAAAGTCAACCCGCGCACTGGACGGATCAGGTACGCCGAAGGACTCTTCACAATGGTCCCGTAATATTAAATTCTTCAGGACCTGCATCAGATCCTTGAAGAAGTCAATGTTGACTAGGTGTGCAAATTTGGCAATTCCCCTTAAGGCAGAAGGAAGGAGCGGGGTGGGGCGGTCGTTCTTGAGAATTCGAAAGTACAGCACGAATAATAGTTTGAGCGTTTCAGTTTGCTGTTCGGTAACGGTAAGTTACTTGGGTCTAAAGCGCGCAGAATATTCCAACGGATCATCATTAACTCACCGTGACAGCTCGTTCTTCTTTATCAACCTCGGCCTCAGCCTCACGAAATTCACGCTCTATCTCCTTTTTCTCTTTCATGACCTTTTTCGCCTTTTTGCTGAGATGAGGTTGCTCCTTTTTGTCATTTTTTCTCTTCGGGGGAGGCTCGTTTGGGTTGGCTTTGGAGTCGGACGCGCGAACCCCAAGCTCGGTTTTGAGGCGGAGTGACAGGAGACATGTCAAGACGTTGGGATGCACATTGAAGTGACGTTCCTTGACCATCCTATTCAGTAGGCGGACTAGCTCTAGTGACGGTTGACCCGTAAGATCATTACGGAAGACCTTGACGAGGGTGCTAAGGCAAAGATCTGAGGTCTGTCGCGTTGATCAATTATAAACCGTATCCATCGGCGGCGGGGGGGCTGCGCACCTCATCCCAGCTTTTCTTGCTTAGCGTGGCAACAACAGAGTGCATAATGTTGGCGCGGAAATTGAAATGAGTGACATCTACTAGGAGAGTACACATGCACTGCAAAGCTACGGCCGATAGATCGTTCCTTGCTGCGTAAGGTCAGAATTATGGATAAATGTCGTGACGGCTAGACTTGCCTTTGAGTTCTGTTTCTAGCGACTGAAGGTAGGTCTGGTAGACACCGACCAGGCCTTGTTCCCATTCCCGAGTCCGCGCCACCATTTGACCGACCTTCTCGGCCTTTTCTTTGTCAGTAAGGGAACGTATCCGATACCCAGGGATAATGTCTTTGAATACAGCTAATTGCGAGAGGATCGCTAGCTTGCGTATTATCTGATCATTGGCAACGGGCTCTGGGTGCGTCGTGGAGCTGATCTCCGCCAACGAAAATGTGTGGAGTCGTCGCAAAAGGCCTAGCTACACGGGCGATTAGACGCGACAAGGTGGCAATCTTAGGGAGACAAAACTCACACTGTTTTCTGGGTCAGAGATGATTTCCTGGCACAAGCTAGCAATTTGCTCTTTAGCTCCCTGTATTCTGGCCTTTCGGGATTTTGTACTGATTATATCAACGACAGCTACTCGACCAAACCGCGAGCCAGTAGCAATATCATCCCGCCTTGGTGGCTCCGGCTCGTTCACAATACTGGACGCGTCGCTTTCATCAGAGTCGTCCTTGGGTGCTTGCAATTTCTTATTGCCTGTTTTCTGTATCCGTCCATCAGCCAGCTTAATGGGTAGGCTCTCTACTTCGTTCTTCTTCTCTACTCGCCATGCGTCGGGGAGTTGCCGGGGCTTACTTTCGTAAGGCATTTCAGCATCAGAATCACTGTCTTCATCGAGAGATTCGTCGTCATCTATGTGCGCCTCGTCATCCGATGATAGAGGGTCCTCTGCACCGGACGTCCATTCATCTTCCTCCTCTCCCGAATCAGAGTCCAGAGATGGTAGATCATCTTGAACGTTTGGCCGTCGGATTGGTTTATTCAATTGCTGAAGCCGTTCGGTCTCCTGCTTACTCCTGCTTGTAGTTAGAGGATATCCACGAGCAAGGACATTCAGACAGACCTTGCAATCCCCTTGTAGTCTAGCCGATCCAAGAACATGACCGCATCTCCGTATTCATCGAGGACCCCCATATCATCGTTCGGCACGTCGGTATCTTCATCGTCGTCTTGAGAAGGAATTGGAATCAACAGTCGCTCCGGAGCTTTTTCTTTCTGTTTTCCTTTTGACTTCAGAGTTTGCTTTTTCGAGCCCGTAGTCGAAGTTTGTGCATCTGACTTAGAGGTCAGCTTTCGTTTCTTATGCACAGGAGCTGCCTAAGGATGAATCAGTATCAGTACCCAGTGGGAATAGTGCATATACATGCCTTTGAAGCTGCTCCGGGCCTCTTTCTAGCAGCCATTCCAATCTTACACTGCGACAGTGATGAAGTTCAGCAACGCGGTCAGGAGCCAAAAATTACACCCTCGATCACGTGCCAGAATTATAGCAATACGATCGCCCAGTCGATCTTAGACTCTACTACGCGACATGGAACATCAACCCACCGTTCACATTCTGAGACCTCACCATATCACTCTCCTCGCCGTTATACTGCTTGCTTTGAAGGAGATCGACTCAAAGAACCTTGCGCCTGCCTTCAGTCTCCATATCTATCGCGTTCTGCTGAATGAAGTCATAGAGGTCTGTCTCGGGCTTACAGTATACAAACTCTGAATATCTGACAAGTATGGAAGATTGTACCTCCAAAGACATGGTCAGAGCTACTAGATATACTCAGCGCGGGCCCATCGGCGGGAGAAAAGTCCGGGCCACAGTTGATAACCGTGCTCAGAGGAGTGGTAAGTCGTGAAAGGTCACCGTGGCCTCGGCGCGTCTTGATCTCTTATCAGAATTCCGAACTGAGCGATCCTACCCAACTAAGCAACTTCTTTGCCAGTAAGTCTCACATTTGGGCCCGTAACTCGTATTCAACGTGCTACAGCCATACCGTCGCTCTTCCTCTCCAATAAGGCCTACGATGCGGAGGCAGGTGGAAGCTATTCTGAACCAGAAAGTTTTCTAACTTTGGGGTAGCCTGCCCTTCTTGTAGGTCTAGATCAATCTAGGACTCATGCAATGCCTTACTGCGCTGTAGCGGAGACATATTTTTGGCTACTTTTGTCGGCGGTGCTTCGTTAGCTTCCTGAAGCTCTCTTTCGAGGGTGTTATCAAGTATCATCAAGACTACGAGGCGTGGTGCAATGGCGACCGGGAAGCAGGTTACGATATAGTCCATAAAGATTCTCTCGACAATTGTGGGTGGCTCCAGCGGGTGGATAATCTAGCCTTCTCAACCTTGTTCCCAGCGTACCTACTCCTCTTCAAATCCAACGTTGACAAGAAGACATGGGCGGACTCGCGATCCTATGAAATGTAAGTTCAATGCCAGCCGTTACGATCCAAGCATTTACGAGGATATAGCTTTGAGGCAGGGTTAGCTAATGGCGACATGCTCACAGGTGAAGAACACCTTCGTTGGTTCTTTGAGCAACGGTTCCACGAGGGCCACGACTCGTGAGTTAACCTTCAATCCAAGATTACTCCCGCTAACTGCTGTTTAGCGGGCTTCGGCAACACGCGGTCCTTAATCTCGCCCGGCATCATTACATTCGGGAGGAGTACCCAGCTGCGCGAAAGGTGTGACTCTTCCCTTTCCCCTCACTTACAGCATGTGCTCAACTAATCTCGAAGTATCTGACAGAAGGTATCACGACAGCACGGACAGCCGGCGACAGGTTTACCCTACAGCATTGTATCAGGTATATTAATTCACTCCGCAGAGGGCGCGGTCCGATTGATTTGGTTTTAGTTTGCTTAATCGGCTACCTCCTGTTGAGGTTGGCCGCAAGCCTGTTCTCAATGAAATACAACCCACCTCGCATCCCCTTGAGGTTTTATTTGACGCCAAAAAATTAATGGATACCGATAACGTATGAACCCTGTTGCGCCAACGATGCTCGTCCCGTTTGATCATCACAGCTTGTTTACAGGATCAGAATCTGGGTGCTACTTTCGCTAAGCTTGCTGAAGTCCTCGGCATGCTGGATCACTATAGTGAAACACAGCTAATAGATTCTGAGATATGGGCTCACCATGCTGTACAGTCTGTCGCGTGGAACGCTATCGGTGTGGGCGTTCCTGTGATGCTGTTGTTTTTGCTGAACAGCGCGTTTAGGTTGTGATAGGCTTACTGTGATAGAGGAAGATATAGTGACTGCATTCACTATGGTCGGCGGAGACGATAACAATCGGATTACAGTCATACTCAACCGAGCCTACCGCGTCAGTAATTACCCTGTTCACATCACTAATATTGAACCCTACTCCTGTAGCAAGCACGGCAAGGCCAGTATGAAACCGCACTCGCTAAATTGCTAGAACCCGATATATGGAGGGGTCTGACCATACGCGACTACTCACTATGGGCTAACCAGGTGTGGCATATTCTGGCCCTGAGAGCTAGCCGTCGGTTTGTTGCCTTGTCTTAATTATCTACTGTGCGGCTGTTGAATATATGGTCACAGCAAGCAGGAGCGTATTTACCGAGAGGTTCTCCTGCCGCGACAACCCCTGGGCGAGGTGGATTCCAATGACTATTTCTTCTACACTTGCAGCATGAAAGACAAGATACGGGGTCAGCTTTACGAGGTCCTGCGACTGAGAGTGAGTGTCGAGTTGCAGACGATCAACGGCTCCTGACTTTACACAAGGAATTCGGACAAGCTAGCACGGCGATTGAACAGCTTCTTACCGCGCTCTGGCACGCAGAATTTCAAGGCCGTATGCATCTTTATAGGACCGGCATTATACTCTTAGCAGACGTCGGTTTAGAGTTTGGGTTGACCAAACGGTGCTGCACAATCTTGGACGAAATAATGCCTCAAGTGCAGTCCATGATTCGTCTTCCTGGTATCATTCCTGACCATTTTGTTAGATCATCACTGGCTGTGATCTCGAGCAACGAGCGCTAGCTTGTTTCACGCTGGGGAGGTGTATCATAGCAGCAAAAGGAGGCTCAGGTAATGCAATCCCCCAATTTCCTTAGCGCCTTCTATTTATGCTATATATACAGAACCCGGCCTGCAAGAGGCGCTTAAGTATTTGTTGGTGGCGGAGGCCGACTGCCAAACCATACAACTTATCGATCCATTGGCTGACGTGCAGTATTTGATTTCTGTGGTCTATCATAACCTAGGAATGGTGGCTGAGAGGGATGAGGCCGCCATGCGCCATAGTAAGACCCTTGTTGAGGTTAAGCGGCTAGAGAACGCTGGTACGGATGACGAGGTAGAGGCTATTCTGGAAATTCTGGTTCAAGTTGGTTCGACTATAGCTGGTATTTGAGAATTATTACTTTGCTTCTTATCTCAAGGTGATTCGAACGCTTCAGAAGCCTTGGGTCAATCAATAGTAGAAAGCAAAAATTGATCACTGGCTCAGCTCTAGAGAGGCTCTGGGCCCGGGACTCCATCAAGGGCGATACTGTAAGATCTATACACTCCTCATAGGACAAGCAAGGTGGGGTGGAAGAGCACGATTCCTCAATTTAGAAGAATTTGGAATAGCACGAACGCCCCTGAAGTGGGTCTACACGTGATGTCGCGTTCCAAAACGCCAACTTTCCTAATCTCGTTTAACTACTTTCCTCCACACATTCTCGGGGGCGATGGATGGCCCAGCACCGCAAGAAGAGGACTTCTCTTCGATCCCAATAGGAGACCGAATCACTCACAAGAACTGGAAGGCTCGCGTACATGCATATGAGTCTCTCATCAAGACCTTTCAAACAACGGCATCAGACACAGATCCTGCGTTCAAACCATACATCAATAATTCGGATCTGCTCAAGAAGATTGTGACAGACTCTAATGCAGTAGCTCAGGAGAAAGGCGTCGAATGTGTCGTGAATCTCGTCCGGTTTGCTGGGGAAACCGCGGCGAAGACACGAGACACGGTCGTACCAGCTTTGGTAGACAAGTCATTTGGATCAGCGAGGGCTGGCACAAAGGCACAAGCGGTAGAGTTAGTCCTGCAATATGTGGAGATAGAGAATGTTGGGACAGGCGTTGTGGTGCGTGCCACCAAGGAACTGAAGAAGGGACACTAATTTCGCGGTTACGTAGAACGATATATTACCAGGACTCGGAGCCAAGCAACCCAAGATTGTTGCTACTACGGTAGTGGCACTGAAAGAGATAGTTCGGTGAGTAATATCCCGTGTGCACGGATGAGGCTCATCTGTTGTCTGTAGCTTGTTTGGCATTCAGGTCACGCCGCCGGCCCCCATACTGAAGGCATTGCCCAAAATCTTTGGTCATAGCGACAAGACTGTTCGTAGCGAAGGAACGCAGCTTACGCACGCGTTATATCAATGGATGGGTCCCGGGATAGAGACTTTCCTCGGTGATCTCAAGCCCGTGCAGGTGAAGGAGCTAAAGGAGGCTTTTGATGCAATGGAGAGCGAGGGAAGGGGGAGAGGGACCCTGAAGGCGGAGCGCTTGACACGGGCGCAGGCTCGAGAGAAAGAAAGCAATATTGATGCAGATATTGAGGATGAGGGTAATCAGGAAGAAGGTGCGATGCATCTCCTTTGTGAGTTCGTACTTCTACAACTCGATATCCCCAGATGCAGCGCCTCCCGATCCCAGAGACTTTGCAGAGGCCGTCGACGTCGTTCCTCAGCTCCCACCATCATTCCAGGCTGCTTTAACATCGTCCAAATGGAAGGAGCGCAAAGAGGTATTAGACCAAATGTTGGCGCTGTTGTCCGCAACGCCCAAGATCAAGGAGAACTCGGAGCTAGGAGATTTGGCAAAGTCACTCGCCGTTCGAATACAGGGGGACGCCAATATTAATTGTGTCATGGTCGCCGCCGGTTGCATGGAGGCTCTAGCCAAGGGATTAATGGGTTCATTCGCGAGGTACCGCGAAATGGTCGTTGGGCCCATGTTAGAAAGGTTGAAGGAACGTAAAGCTAACGTGACGGATGCAATCGGCGTCGCACTTGATGCGATATTCACTACTGTGCGTCGTTCGTCAGGTCACCTCTTGTTGTATTTTGACGGATTTGATAGACTACCCTCAGCGATATAATCCCTGACTTGTCTTCCGCCCTGGCTTCCAAGAACCCGCAGGTGAAGGAGGGCACGTTGAAGTTCCTTGCACGCTGCCTTTCCACAGCTAAATCTCCCATTTTGGGACCACAAATCAAACCCATGGCAGAGTCGCTTTCAGCGCTGCTGGAAGATAGCCACGAAGGTGCTCGAAACGAGGCTGCCGTTTGTATGGGAACTTTGATGAAGATGGTTGGCGAGCGACCTCTCAATGCCGTAGTTGATTCACTCGCGGATGTTCGGAAGGCCAAGGTCAAGGAAGCTTATGAGAAGGCCACTGTGAAGTGCAAGAGTGGTGCTCCCGCACCCCCCAAGCCAGCCGCCTCTGCGCCAGCTCCATCCTCAAAGAAGGCACCCTCAAAACCTACAGCTAAAGCGGCGCAGCCGAATGGCGACACTGAGACCGAGCCTGCAAAGAAGCCAGCTGCGAAGCCTCCCGCACGTTTGACAGTGAGTTTCTTCCCCATGTTTATCCGAATCCAATGCTCATTTATATCAGGCAAAGAAACCTCCGGCCGCGTCAGCACCTGCAGCGGCAGCAGCGGCGACTAAGAAGGCGCCACCTGCAGCTTCAAAGTCTGGCAAAGCTCAAGCTTCCGCTGCCGCTGCCGGCTCTCTGGATACCTTCAAGTATAAACACACACCTGAAGATGCTGAAAGCCTAGCGGCTGACCTAATACCTGCTCAAATCACTATTGATTTAGCCGATAGTAATTGGAAAACTCGCCTAGCTGCTATCGAGGAAATGACCAACTGGCTGGACTCTGTAATTGGTGATGTCGATGCTGAAGTTGTTGTTCGTGCAATAGGGAAGAAAGGTTGGAACGAGAAAAACTTCCAGGTTCTATCTTGCCATTATCCATATCATTCTGGAATTTGCTAATGACTCTTAGGTGTCCGCAAGTTTATACGGCATATTGAGCAATCTCGCTGAAAATTGTCCCTCGTTCGGACGATCGTGTATAGCTCTCTCCGTACCGCATCTTGTAGAGAAATTAGGAGACATGAAGCTGAAGAAAGCTGCTGGTGACACATTGTCGGTGTTCGCGGAGAAGACCTCTCTACAATTCGTCCTCAACCAAGGTTAGCTGGCAAAGACGTTACTTGTTAAAATCTACTCAACAGAGACTCTAGTGTACGACCCACTCTCCAAACAGAAAGCACCGAAAGTCATTGCAGACGCCATTGCTTGGATTAACACAGCTTTAACAGATTTTGGAATCGCTGGTCTTTCCCTGCGAAGTCTGATAGACTCCTTGAAAACCGCACTCCAAAACTCAAATGCCGCTGTACGTACCAGTGCCACGAAGACGCTGGTGACCGTGAAGCTTTTTGCTGGCTCAAGTAAGTTGGACCAGCCTTCAGGCCCACACCGGTGCTCTTGACTGTCATTTCATAGGCATAAAGGACTTGCTTGAAGATTTGAATCCCCAGCTGATGAACACGATTAGCGGTGAATTTGATAAAGTTGAGGGCCAGCCTGCACCTGAGCCCAGCAAAACGTCTGCAGACCTTGCAAATATGGCTTCGTCTGGCTCGCAATCATCAGGCGCTGCAGTGGCTGTTGACGCTTTAGACGATCTGTTTCCTCGAATCGAGGTAGATAGCTTACTCAAAGGGACAACAATACTCGCCGACGCGAAGAGTGACGCGTGGAAGACGAAGAAGGAAGCCCTCGAGACTCTCCAGGCTCTTCTGGATCAAGGTTCCAACAAGCGATTGAAACCGACTATGGGTAGGTGTCTCTGGACGTTGCAATATTTCGAACTTGCTTACACGACACAGGTGAAATCGGGCAAGTTCTTAAAACGAGGGTGACTGATACAAACAAAGCAGTGCAAACTGCTGCGTTAGACATTGTCGCTCGAATCGCAACTGGAATGGGAAAGCCTTTCGAGAAGCATTGTCGTTTATTTGTCCTCCCTGTCGCAACAGTCCTCTCGGATCAGAAGGCTCCTATTCGTGCGGCGGCTATCCAAACCCTGGCTGCGATCGCCACCGCCTGTGAGGGTTTAGAACCTCTTGTTCACGGCATCACCACAGCTTTAGAAACCTCGAATCCGCAACAAAAAGGGACTTTGCTCAACTGGCTTGCAGATTGGTTCAAAGAACACGAATCGACTTCGTCTGTGGATCTCAACAGCTGGGCATTGCCTGTGGTTAGTTGCCTTGATGACCGCAACAGCGAAGTTCGCAAAGGTGCTCAGGCACTACTGCCCGCAATCGTCCTACACGCTGGTTTTGATTATGTCATGCAACAAGCCAACTCCTTGAAGCCCGCGTCCCGAGGCTCAGCGATTCCTCTCATTCAAGCTGCCCGTCCCGCTAACGTCCCTACTCCCGCCCCTCCAGCTTCCAAGTCCGCCCCGAAAGCCAAGGCAACACCCCGCGGAGCTTCTCCCGAACCACCTCCACCTCCACTCTCACCGGTACCTGCTCCAGCAACTAAAGCAACAAAAGTGACTGGAGTTCGTCGCAAGCTTCCTTTGAGTAGCAAGCCAGCTTCGCGCTCTGAGACTCCCGATAGTACTGGGCCACGGGCGTCGGGCAAACCAGCAGTAGGAGGAGCCAGCAAGGCAGGTACCAAGCAGGATGAAAGCCTGCCTTTCTTCAGTTCGAACCCAGAAGCCAGAAAGGCTAGAACAGCGAAGGACTCCAATAAGTGGATCAACGAAGGTGGCCCAACACGCAAAGATCTGGCTGAGTTGCTTCAAGCCCAGATGGAAGGTCATGCTTCGAAAGAACTATTGAATCGTTTGTTTAGCCACGATCACAACGCTGTTAACGATCATATATTGGGCCTTTCGACTTTATGCGAATTTTTTTCCTCGCAGAATGGAGACAAATCATTGGAAGACATCTGCTTCGCCAACTTCGACCTTCCCCTCAAGTATGCTTCCATCAAAGCCCACGAGCCTCAGCCAAACCTCATTTCCAAGTGCTTGGAAGTTGTGGAGACGATGGTTGCCTTCCTTCGTTCCTTGAATTACCAATTGACAGACAGCGAAGCAATGTGCTTCATCCCAACTTTCGTCCTTAAAGTGAGCTCTTCTTGGAAGGTCAATCAATTCCATTTCTAATGTATGTCAGCTCGGCGACGCAAGGGAACAAGTTCGCAGCAGGGTGCAAGCTATCATACAAGATTTGCCCAAGATTTACGCTTACAGTCGGCTCTTCCAACTCCTTTCGGACTACGGCCTGAAGTCGAAGGTCGCGAAAACTCGACAAGGTTCGCTAGACGAAATGGCTGGCTTATTGAAGAGGTTTGGCATTGGGGCTTGTGAACCCAACAAGGCTTGCCCTATCATGGCCAGCATGATAGCTGATAAAGATTCACTCGTCAGGAAAGCTGCCCTCGGAGCTCTCGGGTACGTACGACTTTTGTCAATCAAGTAGAATCCTTTCTAATCTCGGTGTTCTAGTGAGGTTTACACGCTGGTGGGAGACAAAGTTTGGAGTTTAGTTGGGCCCCTTCCTGCCAAAGACAAGACACAGCTTGAGGAGCGACTGCGTCGCGTACCAGGTCCCCCTGAAGTAGCTAAAGCAGAGCCTACACTTGCTCCCCCACCTCAGATCTCTCGCATCGCAGGCGGTATTCCTCGACCAAACTCTCCTGCTGGTGCCTCACGTTTCGGCCTTCCCCGCTCAGCTAGTCCAGCCCTTGTATCAAGGTCCAAACTCGCGCGCCCCGCGTCGCCAGCGGCTCCTATCCGAGCCAACTCCCCGAACCCTCGACCTCAGTCTCCAGTCAGGCTACCAGCATCTCAACCCCCAGCATCTACTATCCCTCAGTCACCCACTGGTCTCGCTCGACCAAGAAGTATGCTACCATCCCGTCTTGGCCGACCTCGAACGAACACCGCCTCAACGTTGTCTCCACCAGTCGACACCATCCCCGAATCAATACGACCCACTCATCATGTAACACCCTCTTATGACGACCATTACGACGATCCGAACGAACCACCCCCTCCTGCGGCTGATGATATCACGGTCACTATATCAAGTATCTTGAGTAGCGATCCCTCCAGAAGTGTTGATGCCTTGAAGAAGTTCCAGAAAATACTCGCTGTTAGCCCTGACGCTGGTTCTTCGTCTCCTCAGTACAGGGAACTCGCCGAACACACAGAAGGGTTGATAGAGACCATCACGCTTCAAATGACGCACATCTTCGACAGGCCCGAGGAATTCATCCTAGATGAGAACTTCCGCCTCGCAAAGCACCTTATACAGACTCTCAACAACTTCTGTGATCATCCTTTCCTGGCAGAGTCGTTAACCGTCGATACGCTCACTTCTCTGCTCGAGGAGCTAACACTGAGGTTGCTAGAGACAGACGATAGCCCAGTGAAGAAGGTGAAGGACTTGTCGAGGTTCATCAACATGATCATCTTGCGGCTATTTGCTACTGGCAGGCGTATGTCAATATTTCGGTAGGTTTTGCTCAACTCCAGCCCTTCCATACCCTAACGTAGCATCAGTGCTCTATTTGCACTGCTACTCCAGATCGTAAAGCCTTTCCCGACGAATGGGACCTCGCCGGACTCCAAGGAAGCGAAGGTTGCTGAGTTGGTGCTGAAGTGTATCTGGAAATTAGCGAGAAATATACCACAGGACCTTGGCGAGCAGCGGCTTGATCCGGTCGAATTATTCCCTGCCGTCGAACACTTCTTGCAGTCTGTTCCTCCGAATGAATGGCGAGCTCGAGCGACAAACAAGGTTCCCTGTGGCGATATGCCGCTACGGACGATCAAAGTCATCATACAACACGTCGTCGGTAAGATCTACGTGGTCCCCCATTCAGGATATATTTACATTTTCATTCATAGCTTACCACGGCGATGGTGTGTACGATTTACTCTCTGGCGCCTTCGATGACCCTTCCGCAACGATTGTGTACCCCTACGTCTACCGAATACTGAACTCCAGCAATAGCAAGGCTGCAAGCGGCGACCCTGTGACAAAGCTAACCATGGAGCCTCGCCATCATCCATCTCAATCACCTTCCTCGAGCAGACCTCTTTCTCCGCAGGAAACCGCTTCCAATGGCTCGGCAGGTCATCATCGGTCGCCAAGTCATCGCACAAGCCCTAGTGTATCCTCGGCCAACGACAACGGTGGCTACCCCAGCGAAGAGCCGGACCCAGATGCGCAATTGCTAACGATTATTGGTCACATTTCGTCCGAGACTACCGGCGCACTACACAAGGAGGGCATCACTGAGCTTCACCATTTTTTGAAAGCATATCCACATAAGCGCCCTCGCGTTGAGAAGATGCTCGAGTCCACCGGCGCGGCTTTCCGCAAGTACATTAACCGTGCGCTTGCCAGCCGAGCAGCTGAAGACCAAGAAAGGGACGTCGCGGTGGCGGATACACTATCCAGTATGTTTCTGAATTTTTCCTGTGCCGTGTTTCACTGATCCATTTATTTAGAACTAGAATCGAATCAACGACCACCTGTAACTACTCCTTCATCGCCACCTCCGCGAAATGGCATCATGCCGAAGCGGACCAGTCAACCAGAAGATTCCGGGACGCAGGAAAAACTTTCCAGATTGCATGACATTTTCCAGTATAGATCTAGCACGCTCAGTAATGGTTCCTCGCAAGGTCGAGGTACTGAACGGACATCCCTTAGTTAGTTCACCTGCCAGTTTCTGTTATCACCGTCTCTTGCTCGTTATTTTATCCACTGCACAATACTGTAACCAATAGCACTAACAATCACAGTAATCGGCCTTTTTCTGGGGTGTCCGCGTCTTTGAGCATGAAATTGGGGTTCACGTGACGAGCGGCACCCAGAGGAGACACTGACGGACTCAGTCGGCGACTACTGCTCACTTCTTTCCTCATTCTATGCTCTTTCGTTGATCGCGATTTTCTTCTCTGTAACATTACTGCTCTAGGACCCACAAGATGCTGTCCTTTAATGACCCTAATCTCACATACGACACGGCCTTGATGTTCTGGCGTATCATCACCCAAATATTCTTTCGTGAAATACGACCCCGAGGCGCGTTCAACATACCAAAGGAGGGCCCTGTCATATTCGTAGGAGCCCCCCACCACAACCAGGTATGAGCTTAGATTCGATTTCTCGTTACGAATCTAGTTGAGTAAAGGCTGTCTCAGTTTCTGGATCCTCTTCTACTGACGCTGGAAGTGCACCGCGAGACACGGCGCCATGTACAGTTCCTCGCTGCGGCTAAAAGCATGGACAGGAAAGTTATCGGTTTCTTTGCTCGCCTAATGGACAGCAGTGCGTCTCTGTCTACTCACTACACAGCTGTTTGGCGCTGAAACCTTTCATCTAGTACCAGTCGTTCGTGCTGCAGACCGGGTCAAAGCGGGCACGGGGACAGTCAGACTCTCACCGGACGATCCATGTTTGATACTCGGCGAGGGTACTTGCTTCAGAACTGAATTCACTCCCAAGATGCAAATAATGCTACCGAAATCCGTCAACTCTGCCGTCGCTGAAGTCCTCGAAGTTGTCTCAGACACCGAATTGAGAATTAAGAAGGAATTCGGTGGAGACAGTGGGAAGGTTACAAATCGTCTTCGAGAGAAGCAGCAAGAACTTCACAGCGAGGGTCAGCCTGGATTCACGTTTAAGACGCTGCCGTTCGTCGACCAGCAAGAAATGTACCGACATGTTTATCAATCCCTTACGAACGGTGGCGCCATTGGTATCTTCCCTGAAGGTATGTCGCATCTTCATGTTTTGCGATTGTCACTAACGATGAACAATAGGTGGTAGTCATGACCGTTCAGATCTCCTCCCTTTGAAAGCTGGTGTATCAATCATGGCACTCGGCGCCATGGCCAACGATCCCAGTGTTAAAGTCAAAATTGTACCTGTCGGCCTGTCCTATTTCCATGCACACCGATTCAGATCACGCGCCGTCGTAGAATTCGGCTCGGCCTTGGATGTACCGCCTGAGCTCATAGAAATGTTCAAGCAAGGAGGCCCGCAGAAGCGGGAGGCCGTATCCAAGTTCCTGGATTTGATCTATGATGCTCTCAAGACTGTCACAATCAGAGCACCCGATTACGACACGCTAATGGTCTGTTCTTCGCTTCCACTTTACTTCCTTACATGACGTCAGCACGTTTAGCTCATCCAAGCAGTACGGCGATTGTACAAGTCTCCTGCTCAACAATTGACTCTTGGTCAAGTGGTGGAACTGAACCGACGATTATTGAAAGCATACACACATTTCAAAGATGAACCCCGCGTCCAGAAACTTCGAGACGATGTCCTCAGATATAATCGCATGGTGAGAGATTTAGGCTTGCGGGATCATCAGGTTAGTAGCATGTCCCATGTTTCGTTTTGCTTTGTCTAAGGGATTCATAGGTTCCTAGAGCCAAACCCGCAGGATTGAAGACCTTCGGCTTGCTCTGCTACCGGTTGGTGCTTCTGATTGTTTGGACGCTACTTGCATTACCTGGGACACTCTTGAACGGCCCCATTTTCATACTTGCATCTATTATTTCTCGCAAAAAGGCCAAAGGTAAGACTTCTGAAGAGGTTCGTCGGCCCTTGTTCACTTACTCTTATTTTATTTCAGAGGCACTCGCTGCTTCGGTAGTCAAAGTTGCCGGACGTGACGTACTTGCTACATGGAAAGTCCTTATCTCACTCGGAGCCGCCCCCATCCTCTATGGATTCTACGCCTTCCTTGCGACGTGGCTTGCGATCAGGGCAAATGCACCTATGAAATATAGGATTGCTGCTCCGTTCGCAGTCAGCATATCACTACCTTTTATGAGTTACGCTGCTCTGAAGTTCGGCGAAGCCGGCGTTGATGTTCTCAAGTTCGTTCTGTTTGTTTTCGTATCCGTCTGCTGACTGAACACATCCGGATCAGATCGTTAAGACCCCTCATTGTGGCTTTGGTACCTGGACAACAGCGCTCTCTTGATAAGCTAAAGGCTATGAGGGTTCATCTTTCTAACGAACTCGCCGAATTGATCAATGACTTCGGGCCGGAGTTATATGAGGACTTCAACCAGGTACGCCCTCGCGTTTTCACTAACGTAGACGTACCAATAATGAGCGGCATAAATGCAGTGGAGAATCCTTGTCCCATCCGCTAGTGTGCCACCCTCAGCAACTGCTCCAGGGCTATGGCGACGAAAGAGTGGCAACGGCATACACTTGGGCCTAACCCATCCGATGACATGGGTCGATGAACTTCTGTTTGGATGGTCTCCCAGCGCCAAGCATGGGACTAGCGCTTGGGGAGGAGCTTCGTCAGAAGACGCAAGTCGATACGCCACGCCCGACGACACGGATGAAGAAGACTCTGGCGACTACGACAACGTTATTGGGATCGTCCAGGAAACTCAACCTAAAACGCGGAGCCGGAATAGCTCATATGCAGACTTACAGCGCTTGCGATTGTCCGCACTGAATCCGGCTTCATCGACGTCAACGGGCGCAAGTAGTTCGGCTGTCTCCCAAGAAGAGTCAGAGGGTCTGCACCTCCGCAGTTGCCACCGCGAACGACGACCAAGCCTTACTGATCGTGTGCCCGTTGAAGTGATTGCGGCGGTCAATCCTAAAGAACAGTTTACTGAGGCTACACAGGGACTTAATGATGAGATACGGCGGAAGAAGGACGAACACGTCGAGTAGTATGTCTTCCTTTGCATTACTAGTATATAAGTTGGAACGTTACCGCATAGTCACCGTCACCAACAGTATGAGGAACGAGCGACGATACGAAGGGAACTAGTCAGGAAGGCCTTGGACTTCAATGTAAGTTCCTTGCCTGAGATAGAACTTCGAGAAATCATTGCCGCATGAAGTGCATCTAAACATAGGAGTGGAGCGGTCAGACGGCGAACCGCATGCTGAGGAGACACCTACGTTAGGTCATCTGTATCGTTGAAAAACTAAGATCAAGCAAGTCGCGTCATTATTGGGGGGAAGGCGCGTGAACTACCGAGGAGACGTGCCTGAGTATGGTGACAGCCACCTTGTTGAGCTTTGTAACTACCGAACGCCTCACCAACGAGGTCCATGCATCGGATCTCTTTCTGCAAAGAATCGGTGATTAGGGCGCGTCTCGACGGTGCAAGGCTGTAACACCCACGGTTTGATCCCTCTGGCCTGGCTTACTGAAGACAGGCGGAAAATATCAATGAGACTGTGCAGTCGATGAGCCTAGTACGCACGGGATGTGCTTTGTTACGACATATATAGGCCTGCCTCTGGCATTACCTAGTTTCTCTACAACGAGGAATGGCTCTAGAGGCGACTCTGACATGGGGTGAGAAGCAAGCCAAAGAGGGAGGTTCGAGGCATTGATAAAGCCGTCGCCGTAGCTCGGAAGGAGATGGACCGATAACGGGGAAATTGCGACACCCTTCTCGCAAACCTCATTCCGAGAGAATGCTGTGATAGGCTCAACTTGAAGATGCTAGTTACTCGTCTGTTGTAAAGATAAGGGATAAGATGCTCTCAAGGTGCACATGACGCGGAAGCAACAGGGCGGCGCGCCGCTGAGATCGAAAGACGTTTATATTCTGAGTAGATACCATTGCCATTGTGCGGGAATCGAGTGACTAGTCCTCCTTCTTCCCAGCCGTCAGAATCTCAACGCCGGTTTCAGTGATTCTTCAACCGAAGAAGTCAGTCATCGTTTGAATTGAGATACTGGGGGACCTCACAGCAGTGTCTCTTCGAATTGAGCGCTTCGTCGTCCATCAACGGTGGTGGCGGTCCAATTATCCGGCCAGTGGACAGTATCCCAATTCGAGCCGAGGTTGATCATCTGATTCAGTATATTAGGGCGCCTGCGCTACGAGATGTAAGGAGAGTCATACAGGCTCAATGGTGAAGCACTAATCGGAGTCAGTCTTGTGTCATCATCACAGGTCGAGACTCTGGTACCCACCATTCCTGGCTTCATGGTCCCAACAGCCTTGTTCTTGGCATAATGTGGGATGTTGGGTGCACAATGGAATAAATCATTGATTCCGTGACCAGTATAATTCCGGACAGTTGCGCAACCGTTGGCCCGAGCCTTGGGTTCACTGATAAGCCACACAATTAATTTCTGTCCGTGAAATGCCAGTACCCAACAAACTGGACCTACATTGCCTTGCCTAGGTCACGGAAAAGAGCACCTGGTTTACACAGCTTGATCGCATCGTCCAGACACTCTCGTGTGACTCGAATAAGTTTTTTCGATTCTTCATCGATCTCGCCCACGGGATATGTCGCATTCAAATCACCATGGAATCCTGTTATGGAAAGGTGAGGGTGCCATTAGTGAAGATTGATGTGATACGAACCATCGTGGTAGAGGGTTACATCTAGAAAGACCACGAACATCAGGCTACTGGGGAGGTTGTGGAGACTAGTAATATCCCACCTATGTTCACGATGTCGCCTTCTCGAAGCTTCCTTTTATCAGGGATTCCGTGACAGATGGACTCATTGATCGACCTGGAGCACCACTCAGAGGACAGGCCGCCGCATCTTAGATGTAGGCTTACGTGCAGACAGACTTGGGAAATCCACGGTAGTTCAGCGGAGAAGGATACGAATTTCGCTCTATACACGCGTTGTGAACGATTTCATCTATTTCGTCTGTCGTGATCCCTGGACGGACATGGGATGCCGCAAGGTCGAGGACTTCGCGCGCGAGCTTTGTGAAGAACCGTCAGTCATTGCGCTCTCGATCAGTCGGCTAGATACGCACCCGGCACACTGTTCTCATCTTTTCTTGTTCCTCCACATTCAGAATACGCGGCGGTTGTCCGGCAGCTCTGGACTCAGCTCTCGGCTGCCCTGTTCAATGCCACAGGTGCGATTAGCTTACAGTGTGAACTGTACGTCACGGAAGACGCGTCGAATCCTACCATCTTCGGCATAGTCAGGACGGTTTATGTGCTCCGGCACAAGTCGTTTGGGCGAAAGAGGATAGACAGGCTTCAAAGTGCCAGTGTAATCGTAATTGGGAAATGGATTGTATGTGCCATCTATGCGGCGAATGAGCTTTGAGGGAAATACATCGAAATATCACTCACCAGCATAGGCCGCAGCACCGCCCGTCTTAACGATATCATGTACGATTTTGTGAGTTTTCTGCCACACTAGTCATTATTCGGACCTAGATTAACGACGAAATCGACGCATACCCCTACGGTAAACCATCAGACCGTTGAATTCGCACATGGCAGCATATATGCGGCTTACATCCACCCTTGAAGCATGCTTGAGTGCAGAAGAATGATCCCTGAATTCCAAGCCTATTGCGGGCGATGTTCATAACAAATTGACGCAAGGAAAGCTATGCGGCGTACTTGTTGCAGGTTGGACATTCGAGGCGAGAAACTGGATTGCCGTTGGGACAAGACGAGCTCTGGCAGGCAACCGACATGGACGAGACGAAGATTGAAATCACTAAAAATAATCTATCAAGAACTCAAGTTCACACGTGACAGACAGACGAAAAGAGCAAATTAGCCTCATGATAAGGTATAATGGTACGGCACAGATGATACACATGAACGTCAGAAATTAGCAAGATGAGTATGACATCGCAAGCAATGGATTATAAGTATAAAATCGGTAGGTGATGCGTGAGTGTTGGGCAATGATGCGGGATGAGTCGATGAAGATGAGAGCAAGATTTCGATGACAGCGATGATGGGGGGAGAGCGGGAACAAAAGGTCTTCAACAACCTGCGCAGCGATTCAGTGAGGGAGTCAGCAGAGGGCTAGCTGCATGACACACCTGTGATCAACGACGATTCGGATATGGAAGCACTTCGAGCTTGTAAGCTGCCTTCACGTCTCTGCAGGCCTTCCGTAGAGCTTTGAAGTGCGCCACGCCAAATATGTCCACCAACTGAGCTTCGTTGGCATTGATCCATGACTCGGGTGGAAGGCCGCGAGTGGTTCGATGCACGCCTTCAGGGAGGTCCTCCTCGCAGACAACAGTGACGACGCCGGTGAGTAGGCATTGAATGAGGCAGAGTATGTCGTTGATGGGTGGACATATTTTGCGGACGGACTCGAAGATGTCGGAATGGAAGACCATCTGCCATTGTACTCTGCGCTCGGGCGAGAAAAAGGAGCTCGCGTGAACTGGTAATTGTAGTTTCAGAGTCGGACCTGCTGGCAAGCCGACAGATGACCGCCAGATGGATGATGTCTCGATGGCGAATAGCATGCGGTGGTCCGACTCGGAGGAGTCTTTCCATTTGTGCTGGTGGATGAGCTGCGAGCGAAGCGCTTGCAGCCAACGGTGAGCGCGGGCGTATGTGGTGCCGAGCGCGTCTGCGGTAGTGAGCGGTATGTGCGTGCGCCGCGCCCACTCGTCCATGTTTCGCACGTCGCTTGAGAAGACGACCTCGAATCTGGCTTTTCCCTGCATGTCTGGCGGCGAAGAAAGAAAGTCAGAGATGTGACAACAAGCTGAAAGAAAAGCGGGTACCTGATGAAGTTGATGAAAGGGTGCAGGCAGGAGGGGCCACGGGAAGCAGATAAGATATCTGCGCGCAGCTGTGAGCGCTGCGTTGAGATAAGTCTGGAAGAAAGCGAACTTACATGGGGAGGAGGAGAGTCAGTGGTGGGGGACGAGGGACATTACTTTTTGGGAGAGGTGCAGGAGACGAGCCGGGCTGGGCCTATTTATATAGGCCGTCGCCGATTTCGGCGGCATACTTGTCTAGCACGTTAAACGTGTCTCGACGGTCGGGCTGTTGAAAATTTCACCCCAATTTTCCCAGGATCAAGGGAATCTCTTGTCTGGGTCGTCTGGGCGCTTAGCCTTTTGCACAATCTCGCCCCTTTTTAGTCACCTTGTTTTCGTCCCAATTCCTCATCAAGCGAACAACGCCTGCTGCCCAGCAACAGTGACGAAATAAATCCCCATTTCATTTTTCTCCCTTTCACAAATCTAGATTCAAATATTTTTATAGTCGGCCTATAAGCGTCTCGTTGGCAACCGCTGCTATTCTAAAAAAACAATTGGTCAAATTTTTTAACGTCATTCCCGAGACAAGGCACCGTGAAGGGCCCACTGAATTGCACTGCGCTAATCTGTGCTAGTCAATCATCATGGATTTTAGTCGTTCAAAATACAGCTCAGCAATAATCTCAGCTCCCGCGAAGGTACTCCGCCTAAATGTCCCTATCGGCAATTTGTTACGATGGAAGAAAGGGGAAGACACTAGCGGAGGCATCGCGCTCCAGCACTCGTCACCTCTAGAATTTATTCGGTGGCTAGGCCATAGGCTAATCTGTACTGCACACTTGCTAAAAGGTCTCCCGAAGCTGCTTGCAGGCCATAACTTGTTTCTACAGCGACTCCAGAGTTTAAACGTTTACCGACCGACGAAACGGTGGCAAATGCCGCCAGCACCACCACGGCTCGGACGAAACGGTGGGCTATCGCGCCCAACGTCTAGCAGTGACCCTCGGAGAACAGTATGCCCGCTTGCTCGTCACCGCCGAGATTTCATCCTGAAACAAATACGCCCAGGCCGCCCTTCCGGCACCGATAGCTCGCGTTAGGCTAGAAAGAAGCAAGGGAAGTCAATCCCATCAATAAGCTTATAATTTTATGTTCGTTGACCGGACGACTCACGTTACTTCCTGATTGAAACTATTTTCTAAGCAACATGGCGTGAATCTAGGTTGAGAACACCAAGTTGCAGAGAAATCAGGCAAAACAGAAGCGCTTTCCAGACCACAAAGAAGCTAGAATTTCGACCACCTCTGAACTCTGGATTTCTTCTGGATTTCTTGAACTCTCAGCCAGATACCTCGAGTCCCAGGCTAATTAGTCGAGAAATGATTACGTAACAGCTGTTAAGTCATTCGCCAAGGAGTCTGTGGGACTTTCAGCTCCTTCTTGGTTTGCATTGTTCGACCACTGTCCCTGTCTCACTTTGTATTTTAGCGATGCCGGTGAAAACCCCAGTTGCTGAGGGGGCGCAGCAGCTTGCTAAGCAGGCGGACGCCGTCTTCGATGTCTACGCGACATATCAGAAGATATCCGCTGACGACGAAGTAAGCATCGATCGCGACTCGGACGCGATTCGTCCCAAGGAGTTGTATGAATTTTACATCGCAGCTATCGATCCCCCTCGTCGCCATCTTGACGCTGGCCGAGTTAATTGAAAAATCGCATGGTGAGTACGTCCGAGTCTTGCATCATGATCATGACGTTGAAGCAAAGCAAACCGGTGTAAACTAGCCGGGACAATGTTCGAGCTGGTCAAAGAACTCCATGAAGGGGCCGCGGTCCTTGAGAAGCGGTCTCCAAACCCAATAAGCCTGAACGCAGGCTGCCAGCTATTCATTGCATTCGTTACGTTATTCCCCCACGATTCAGCGGTAAGGGAGACCAACTTCCGATATCCTTGTATCACTGAAATCGATCCGTCTGAAAGAGTTTCTCCGACCTAAAGACGGAGCTTGTACAGCAAGCTAGAAGATACGCGGCAGAAGGCTTGACCTATCGTAAGAAAATTGCGGAACTCTGCCTCGGCTTCATCAAAGATGACTCGGTCGTGCGTGAAAGATAGCAGGGCCCTGCACAATTAACCCTTGTTGACTTTAATCTCGAAGATTTTGACCCACTCTTACTCACGCGTCGTGATGCAAACACTTCTTCGGGCTCATCAGCAAAAACGGATATCAGGTTTGTCGCATCAATTGCTACCGTGGCGTTTTGTTCCTCACCTTTTTGGCAAGTCTACGTTACCGAAGCTCGACCTCGCTCGCTTGGGAATAAAACCTACGAAGCACTAACTGCAGCAGGTATTCCCTGCGCTGTCGTTCTAGACTCTGCAGTTGCATACGTTATGGAGAAAGTTGACGTGGTCCTCGTGGGGTCTGAAGCTATCGTGGAAAGCGGAGGGTAGGGTTTGGGTCACTGATTCGTTATCACGAACACGCTGATCCTTTTGTTGCGCCGCAGCTTGATTAATGCAGTTGGAAGCAATCAGATTGCCATCATAGCAAAAGCTGCGAACAAACCATTCTACGCGGTTGCTGAAAGGTAGGCACGCGAGAGGATTGGCGGTTCTAGACTGGCTAAACGTCCACTTAATAGTTACAAATTTCACCGGCTCTTCCCGCTGTCGCAGTACGATCTTCCAAGTCACAAACCTGATATCCTGTCTTTCACAAATCCTCTCTTTAATTCGAAACCGCTAGCAGCTGACGCGGAACACGAGGACGGCATCACACCCTCCGACATTTCGAACGCAGACACCCACAAGGCCCGTTCCGTACCTTTATCCATATCTCAGGAAGACATTTATCGAAATAACCCCGATGTCGATTACACGAGGTACTCGTTCGTTCTTTTTCCTAGCTGTCTAGTGTTGACCTTGCTTTGTTTCAGACCGGATCTCATTTCGCTTGTCTTCTCAGATGTCGGCAGCCTCACGCCGGAGGGGGTTAGCCAATATCTCGTTGGCATGTTCGCAGGTTGATTTCCGTGGTGCGGCGAAATTTGTAGAATATTGGTAAGAAAATGTACTTTAAAGTTATTATAAGAACCTTAGAATCATACATTCGGGATCTTGTATTCAATCACGTCGATGATTCGCTGGACTAGAACCTAAGCCTTACAAGGGAGGTCACCGGAGGCAGATGTGTTGCCAGATCTCATCCTCATGTTCGTCCAGTCCACAAGATCGTCTTTTGAATTGGTGGTTCACAACAAAGTTTCCATCCGGCGGAAGTCCCAGATTTCTCCCAATTACCAGGCGGCAGGGGATTCAGGGAAGCGTTTCTACCTCGATCCTTATCCTTCGGGTAGCCAATCGTATCCCCCCTCGAGGAATAAGTAGCTCGTCGACCCTAAAACAGACGAACGACGGATCTATACACTATGGCGGAATCAAAGTACTGCGTGGGCGAATCGGCCACCGAGACCGACACACATGCTTTGGGGACACCATGCATATACCTTATCGTTGTATCGTTGTAAGCAATAAACACACGCGTACAGCTATGCATACTTCAGTTTGCATTTTTAGCGTTTTAACGGTGCGAAGCTGATGTCACACACCATCCCTCTGGGCAGTTTTGGCTCGATGTGGGTCAAATACCAGCGATTGGTTGTCGACCTCCGCTTTCATCTTGATATGCTGGGGACCAGAGATGCGGCCCGAGCCAGGATAAGTAGTATCGAATCAGCTGTACGATCCTTTGGATTTGGGATTCTGGAATCTTCACTTCGCGTATAAAGCCATTGCTACTTACCTCTGAAAGTACATCAACACCCCGACCTCTTACCAACCCAAAAGAAACGCGTTTTCTGAGCAACTCCACATGTGTCGCTGGCGAACGTATGTCCCCCACATCCAACCCTTGCGATATCCCTGACAATCCACAAGTGTTACAAATCTCTATACGCTCTGCGGTCACCAAGTAGTAATCGTGAGTGCATGGTGTAACTACGTAGTGGTGGCGCGGGACTCACCTGCGCCTATCTAGGTTGACGAGGAGGTTTTTGGATTCTCCAATCATACGAAGGAGGGAGGAGTACTGATGGTTGTTTCCCTCAGCTGAAGTGCGACGACAGATATTGCAAATTCAGCACGACTCACCCTCCCGAATGTGGTCCCAATTGCTCGACGACGTGCTGGCAGTAGTATGTTCGCGGTTTCCTCAACTTGAAGCAGCAAAGCTAATCCACCTTAACCAGTCGCCAATTTCCTGAGATTTACAGTAAGCGGCCATTCCGATGTTTACGCGCCTCGCGGCTTAGTTTTGGTTTTTACGTAGAGCCTCAGTTGCCTCGTTACTGCCCTGATTGCGAAGCCAGACTGGGTTCTGGCGGCAGGACGTCTTAATTTTCTGGATTTTCATCGAACGAAATAAATAGCGTAACATGTATCATAAATAAACGAACCTTGGACTGCCATGGGACTAGACTTTGACTAGAACGGAGGTGTTCAGGGAAAGCGAAGTGGGGGGGCAAGCTCTGATGCTGTGATGGCTTGAAAATCTCGAACAGTTATGGTCACTTCTGTCACAAGGTAAGTGAGGTTACGAAAAAATAGGGTAATAGTGAGACGGATGCTAGGTCTCCACCGGAAACTGCCAGCTCCTCGGAGGGTCAACCCATAGGCTTTGAGATATCAGATGCTTAGCCAAGACAAGTACAGACATGCTTTATCATGGCAGCCATCTTGCAGCGTGCGAAAGGGTACCAAGAATGTGGAGGAGGGCATTCGTCCATAGCTCGTGGAGTTCCTGACAATCGATATCATTGAATGACGCCGAACGAAGACATTTGCTCAGGTGACTGTTTGAGTGCTTAACATTCGAAACACATTTATTCTCTGGAGGGCTAGATTACTGGTTAACCATGGGGCCAATGGGTGGAGTGGAGTTATCATCTAGAAAATTGCATCATGTTAGCGAACCGTAGAGCAAAGAGAACTGGCGCAAACCGGCGGGAGGAACTAAGGATAAAGAGGCCGCTTATCTCAGTTCAAGCAGACGGGGACCCTTGATTATTGAACGGTTCCAAAACCCTCAAAAGCCTGTCGAGTGCACGGTAATGTCAGCTATTGACCCGAGGTACCGAAGTCATATTAATGCACCCTTGCAAAAGCGGTTCGCATGAATATTTCAGAAGACGCGGACGGCCATGCCGTCACCAGGCCGTCACAGGTATTCTGGTGTCCGCGAGCCGCGAGGACACTGTTCTGGTATCGTATTGCCACGGTAGTGGCCTCGCGCGACTCGCGTGGGCCGCGAGGTGAGCGTTCGTCCCTTTTGCTGCGAAGGCGACCCGTAGCCAGCAGCTTCAGATGTGTTTCTGAATAGAATATTCAAGGCTCACGATGTGTTTTAGAAATAAGCCGCTAGTTTTTAGTATTTTCTGAAGTGAGAGTGATCGGTTGATCCAACTTGGGTAGTTTACTCCCGGTGCCTGAGCAGTGAGAAGCCCGGAGCACGTGTCCTGAGCTTGAAGTTCCAAATCAAGTAATTCTCTCGTCCAGTTCGTCTGTGGAGTCGGTCGCTATGTTCACTGCCACTCAGTCCGCCACTCAATGGCTCTTCCCCATTTCTGCCTTGGAAAATACGCCGACGGGCTGGACGCTGCAAAAGGAACTTTATGACCGAGCGAGAGGGGTCGAATTCCTGTTCCGTCTGGGCTCATCTCTGCAACTGTACGTTTTCATTGTCCAAGCCTCGCTGCTGGACTTAACGCAACGAACACAGCCCTACTTCTGCTATGTTGACGGCAGCAACGTGGTTCCACCGATTCTACATGAGATTCTCTATGGAGCACTACCATCGCCAAGTAGGCACCCCGATACTCACGATTGCCGGGCCAGTATTAATAGTTACTCGAAGGAAGTTGCTGCTGCGTGCATATTCCTGGCTACCAAGACCGAAGAGTGTGGCAGGAAGCTCAGAGACGTCGCAAAGATTTACTGCTCCAAGGTCAGCAACATACCAGTTTTGAATGTACCCAGCGACAGTAAGGTACGAGGGAATAGTCGTGTTCGAGATGCTCGCTCACTGACCAATGTACAGGAGGTTGAGCAATGCCAGACGGGCATCCTGCTCACAGAGGAGGCCCTTCTGGAGGCCCTTTGCTTTGACTTTCTCGTGATCAGCCCCCATGCCGATCTCGTTGATCTTTTCGATACTTGCCAAGATGACGATCCAGTTTGTGAGTACGCCTGGAGTATCGCCCACGACTCGTAAGTCCTCTGGAGTTGGCTCCTCAATGACAACAGTTGCTGAATAAAGTAGGTATCGCACACCCTTGTGTGTTTTATACCCTCCAAATATCATCGCCGCGGCTTGCTTTATTTTGGCGCAATACTATATTGACGGCCCGAACTCAATATCTTTAGACGCCCGTGTTTCGCTGCCAGCACCCTCTGCATCCCTTCCAACACCGCCCTCATATAAATCAGCATCGCCTGTTACTTCTCGGTCTGCCATCGACTTTTTTGGGTTCAACGAAGGACAACTGCGCTGTGTTGCAGGTACGGGGCCTTATACACGAATTGTGTATCCACTCATTCGCATGCGTGTAGATGCACTAAGTATACTCGTTGAATTCTACTCCGCTCAGGACGTAGAAATTGCACACCCATACTTAGCAGTAATGACTGCAGTAAGACTATACTGTGAACGACGAATTTCGTAAACTCTGATACATCCTCGTTTTGTAGATTCCTCCTCCTTCCTCGACCACACAGCGTCCTCGCTTCTTTGTGCCGGCAGCCCACCTCTCTCAGCTAAATGCCACCGCGGAATCTCAGACATCGGAAGAAACACACGGGAGAACTCCCATTTCTTCTGATGGAGGCAACACGCCGTCGCACATGGCCCCTGATGGGAGAACTGCAGACAAACCGGGACCCCGCGTTGTTTCCAGGCTCAATGTCGTTTGATTCTCGGCCGATACAAGTCCCGTCTAGCTGCTACATCACCCAGTCTCCCATGAATTGTGGTATCTGGTTTGTGACATTTGGGATCGAGATGTTGGAAGATGCTGGACTATTGGAATTCTCAAATCCCATTGCGTTCGCTTGTGCGCTCCGTATCCAGGCTGCAATGCTATCGCTTCGATTCAACGTTTGGAATGGCCTGGGTTGGTAGTGGGGTAGTCCCACTTCGGAGATGCGAGGCGTCAGCGTGTCAGTCAGTCCGGCGGAGGATCCGGCATCTTGGGAAATGAAATCGATACATGTCGTTTTTGATATTGTGATGCAACACGAGTACTCACCTTTGCTTTTCCCGTCCCAGTTTGATTCAGAAGGTGCTGGCGTGGAGAAATCAGTGTAGATGGTCTGGGGTACAACCTGTGGGCCCAGGCTGCTGATAGGCTCAGGTACCTACACGTTGGGTAAGTCTTCTGGTGATCATTCAGAGAAGGTATATTGCCAGTGCCGCCGCCGGGTCGTAACCCATAATGTCATAGACGGTACATGGGAGGACTTTGTGGAAGGGCTGGGGCTCCTCACACACCTGAGGGATACGAGCTGAGCCCGGAAGTCGCGATGCCGACGCGACCCAGTAGAGTAAGTGCTCCAGAACGGTAGGCCCATAGTCATCGAAGGTATACACGGCTGTCACAAAGGCAGAGGTCCAGCCTGAAGAAGATTAATGGAATGGAAACATAAATATGAAACAAGCCTTTTACCTTTGGTGAAGACACCGAATACCCACTGATCGTATGTTGTAAGGCAAAACCTATTTCGCCTATCAGTTGACTACTGACACATAGACACGGGAACAAACCATCGGCAGTGCTTTGCAGCACAAGTATCCCACAGCTAATGTTTCTTGTGAGCACGGATCAAGGACGCCTGATCAATATGTATGTACCTTTGACCATAAGCGTTCAGAACTTTGAAGGGGTCTGAAATTGGGTTCTCCTTCTCGACGAAAGGGCGGGATCTATAGAGGATGCATTAAGCTACACTCAATCCTGTGAAACGAACTGACAAACCGAACGACAAGATGCGAATTCTTTCATATCCTGTGGAGATAATATCCAAGGCGGCTGGTACGCAACGAGCACCGAGTGGTATCCCACTTCAAAAGCTTCTTCTGGAGAAAAGGAATTTTTCGTCCAAAGGAAGTAGTCAAATAGCTCTTTGTCATCGTCATTATTATGTCCTGGATGGAACCCCCAATCCAACGTAGATGCGAAGAGGATGTGCATGACGCGTTGGGTAGTCGTAAGCAGGAGGTTTTCCAACCACAGAGAAAGTCTACGAAAATGGTTAGTCAAAGTTGGGTAGCCATGTTGTCACATTAACGAAGTACGTTACCTCGAGATGTCAGCTGGTCGTCGGAGCTTTTGAGACGGAATGTCAAAGGTCGGCGGACACGGAATGGAGAGCATTTCTTCCGATTCTTTGTCCTCGTCCTCAATTCCCAGAGATTCGTCTGGAATATATTTATCGGCCCCTGTGGATTTCGTCAGTTATCATTAGGGATCGACTTGGCTAGATATCCTGACAGTCGCAAATACTTCGTTCCCAGCGATCCTCCTTAAGCTCGTGGATGGTTTGTAATTTTCTCCAAGACTCCGGACGAATCTTCAAGTTGTTCAGGTGACTTTTGTGACCCTCTGGGGGCATCTGAGGAGTCGAGGGGTGGCAGAGCATAGGGGGAAGCCCTGCCTCTCGGACGTAGCAGCGGAGATTATCTGTACCACGATACGCCATGAAGGGAGAGAGAAGGAAAACGATGGCCGTTTCAATTTTCGCAGTCTGATATAAATCCACAGGACTACAAGACTCGCCGTTTCGGTAACAAGGTGAAAACAAACGTATCCGAGAAAGGAAGGTCGATGACCTTGTATGTAAATAGATAATTACGTAACGAGGAAGCATAGCTCATAGCGAATAATATACAGGGATCATTGGTTGGCCTGCCGCCCGCACGTAATGCCTTGTACTTGGAGTTGGAGAGGCCGGCCTCATGGCTGAACAACACCGGCGCCCATCCTTTGCCTCGATAAGCAGTCCCCGCAGGTGGTCGGGCTGATTCTGATTGGATTTCGGACAGGGAGTGCCATCAGTCGGATACAGCTGGTTGATTTGCAGCCTGCGAGATAGATGTCAGCACACAAATTCGGATATTCGGGCAAAGATCTCAGAACGCACCAACTGGGTGTATGTGTCGCCGACTGAACAAGCAATTGGTCGCCAAGCAGTCTTGTAAGCGAGTAGACATAGACACGAAGTGTCCGCATTCGGTGTGGTAGCGTCCATCGATGATCTGTGGTAGCAAGTTTGGGTCATCAAAAGGCACAACAAATCACAGCCAGTAAGCACTAACATTGTGACACATATTGAGTTGCCGCTGGAGGGAATATGGGTGTACGTTGAATGTTGAAGGATTGGACGATGTTGGAATTCTCTTGAGAACGGTCGTCGAATTTATCTACTACGCCCAATGGCTGACCGCTGCATGCAGGCCTCATTTACCTGGCGATCTGACCGACAAGCAAGGTGAGGCTGTCGGAACATGCCGCTGCACGGCTGCCAACAAAGCTACTGACCCTCCCAGCGATCTCCAGACGACAACTGCGGCATCTCCAATTTGAGGATTACTGTTCTTCCATCCCAGCCCTGACGTCGTTCGCCGGTAATAATGAGTGTCGAACTTCACCGAGTCCGCAGAGCCTACAGACCACACGTAACTTAACGCACGCAGGTTCCACTTCAAACCTGGAGCGCGACGCGGGCAAGACTCAAACTTGATCACTTCATTTAATGCGATCATGGAGTCGTGGAAAGGGATATGGCAGCTATCGGTCCAGGTCAAGAAGGGGAGAGTCTATTTCCTCTCCACTTGATCTCCTACTCCCCAACAACGTTGGGATACGCGGAGTCAATTTGAGAAAAATCAACCCGCGGCATACATGAGGTTTTGGCATGCTGCCTCGTGGACCTGTGGGTACGCCAGCCTGGTGGATGAAGTGACAATAAGCAAAGAGTCGAAGGCTGGGTCTGATAAGCAGCCCACCATGGCCGAAATTCTGTAGGATGCAGAAAAGCGAGAAAATAGCGACCCATGGAGGTATTACCAATGCATGCACATGACGGCCGGAATTGACGGTGTGCATTGCTGTTGGGAAGGCTTCAACCGAATGAACATGCTACTTATCAACTCGAGGGATCGCAATCGATAATCTCATTAAACCGGAAGCGAGGGGTTCTAATTCATATCACATCTAGCCTTTATGCACCACGATTGCGGATTTCCTTGACAAGCTGTACCTTCTTCCGCACCTTCACAGGGATGTGAGCGCTATTCACAAGACGGGAGTTCATGGCACAAAAAACGCACCTCGTTGGCAAACTGCCTTCGCCATCTTTCACTACTCAATCTGCGCCGCTTGACTCCCTTTTTCTCGTGTCGTTCCGCCATTCGCACAGTGGCTCTGACTTTGTTGCGACTAAGAATAATGTCCAGCCGTTTATATGCTTCGCCAAAGCCGTTCTTTCCCACAAAGACTGTGCGGCCTATTGAGAGCGGTGTGTGAACGACATGCGAGTACAAGGTTCTGATGAGCATACCTGTATACGCGTTAGCTGGTGGAGGTCTGTTCCTCATCCCGTCGTGGTTCATGGCCCAGACCTCGTGTGGGGATTGAAGGGCTCCTCGTCCGTTTTCCTTTGGATAGCTTTTCATCAGGGTACCCCAGGTAGCGTCAAGGGGTCCAGAAGACCTGGATTCAGTTGGGTAAGGAGTGTCTCTTGGTAATGCTGGCGACGAATATGTCCGTGAACCAAGTAGTGTACGCGATGCTGAAGCAAGGTTTGAGAGGGCCAACGTCGGTCGAAGCAGTGTTGAGGCCTTTTGGACGACGGCAGCGAACATGATGTCTGCGTTGCTGGGAAGGGAGGAAAGGAAATGTGGCTTGGGCGCTAAAGTGACCCGGACGGTCACTTTACCATGTCCTCCGATGTCCTACTCGAGGAATTCGAGGTTTGTGAAATTGCCCTAGAAAATCGCGCTTACACTGATTCTCAAGTTTCAAAGGTCCTTGAATCGATATATCCCACTGAGTTGTCCAGTTCGTATTGCCTACAACCGATTCCTTCAGGCTATCTCAAACTGAGGCCCATATGAAGAACTCTCTGATACCGATATCCAGATCGAGGCAGAGCCAGATGATCCAGGAGACAGCGACGAATCTGGTTCTGTGTATTTACGAGACATCCATATCGATGTATTTATTGATTTCAATCTATAGTGAAACTCCTGCTAAAAGTACATTACCCCAACGCGTATCCAGACGTTCTTCCAGAGCTCTCGCTAGAGCCCGTAGACGGCGAGTTCGAAGATGAGGAACTGGACGCGCTGGTCGCTGATATGGAATCTGTGGTGCGTCGTTCGTTCCGATGCTCAGTGTGCGGTCGATTTGATCAACCGTAAATAGGGCAAGGATAATCTTGGGATGGCGATGACCTTTACGCTGGTGTCTCATTTACGAGAAATCTTGTCCAGCCTAATCCGAGAGAGAGCGGAAAAGAAGAAACGAGAAGAAAGGGAGAAGGAGCGATTGGCTTTGGAAGTATGAACCTTGGCTATTGCATGTCGGCCATGCCGCTTACTCCAATCTATTAGGCGGAGGAGGCAAGGACTCGTGGAACACCAGTGACGGTGGAGTCGTTCAAAGCATGGAAAGCCAAGTTTGATAGGGAGATGGCAATCAAAAAAGCTAAAGAAGATGAAGAGAGGCTCAGAGGAATGACGGCAAAAGAACGCGAGGAGTGGAAGAGGATGACGACGAGGCTGTCTGGTAAATTATTTCCCCTTCTTCGTCCCCGATCCATGGATGCTAAGTACACCTTGTTTAGGGCGGCAACTATTTGAACGTGGTAGAGACCTTGAGGATGAAGCGCTTCTGGAGGAGGGCGCCGTTTCAGTAGATATCAGCCAGTACGACAGATCGGCGGTAGAAGACGAAGCAGAAGAGGAACATGTAACATTCAGTGATAGCGATTAACACCATGCCATGTCCATGTTGTACATACAATCTAGGAAATTAAATATGTGTAGCCTATAGACCCTGTAATAAGCCTGCCTCGCTCTCCATCCCCTCAAATTCCCCACCGCCGTCGATCTCACGACAGCCGATGCTGTCGTTTCCTTCTTCCCTCAGGAATCCGTCTTCAGACACATGTAAAGGGCGCCCTCGAGGCATATCACCATGGATAACATCAGTTCCCATCAGACGGAGCCACTGAAGAACTGGTTTAGTGACCCATCGCTTAACGTCCAAGCCGTGATCCTTCTCGAACCAGCCCAGGTGCCCGCCTTTTGGAGTGAGTGCCATAACAACATAGCCCGAGTCTCCGCCATGCATAGGGACGTCTTGAACAACAGGATCGTCGGCGGCGTTCACAGCCAGAAACGGCACCTTGACATCTCCTAGGACTTTATGACTAGATGCCCAGTTGTAATAGTCCGTCGCCGAATCAAACGGGAATGTAGGAGGAGATCCGCCCGCTATCCGAGTGAATGTGTTGTCGAATTCCTCCATAGTAGGGTTATTAAGCTCGAGTGCTGTGATAAGTGCTTTCGCGACACGATGTTCGGGGTCTTTTGAGAGAGGTTGTATGTGCTTCTTGAGGAGGTTGAGCAGATTCGAACCCATCCCTCTGGCATAGATGTGCTTTCCTATGAGAGTACTGTTCAATCTACATACGGAGGCGAAATGATTAGTAGTTGACAGCCGGTGGGGATATGGGCGTCCTTACGCGTTATTATTACATGCCAGATCCCATGGCTGAGGTGAGGTTATGTCAGGTGGGCTGGGTATAGTATGTCATAATTAAAAAGAACTCACACAAGCAAGGGCACACCCTGCAACAAGTCTGCTCTTTTCGCCCTCTTCAGCAATATAACGAGTCATGACATTGGATCCCAACGAGAAGCCAAGACCCAATAACGGAGCTTTCGGATAAAGCTTGCTTATATACATCAACGCTAGGCGGATGTCATCTGTATGTCCGGCTGAATATAACTGTTGGCTAGTAATTGGCACGTTAGCACCTTGGCGAAAGTGCGTCGTTAGTAATCTGTTATCTCATGCGACGAGAGGCACATACATCCTCTGAAGTTAACTACAACCGCCCGGTAACCGAGTCCACCTTCTGCCTCCGGCGTGCAGGCAGGGTGTACGATACATCTCACATACGATTCATAGGAGCCTGAGGGGATGTCAGTTCGCTTGTAGCTCATGCCAACTTGTCCGACACTCACCGCCCGTCAAACCGTGCAGCACCACTATTACAGGTGCATCTTCGCGAACACTAGCATGAGAAGGCGCAAAATCTAGTCCTCTAGTTATTTCCGTCAATCGATTATTGATTAGGATAACACTATCATGGAAGACGAACAACGTGCCGCCATCTTGCAGACGGAGATACTTTCTGGAAGAAAGCCATTATTAGCAACAAAACGATACATCTCAGACCCTCGTGTCGCACCTATCATATATAACCTTGTCGGTCTTTGTAAAGTCTCCAAGCACGCAGTATATAGTTTGCAGATGACCACTACGGAAGCGCCATTAGCCTGGAACCAGGGATTCTAGCCCACCACTCACTTGAACAACCACCAGGATGGCACGAACGGTTCAAATAAACTCGGGCACTTTGTTTCGAGGAGGTTTCGCAGGGACAGCCGGCTTTCGGTACACTCGTCCTTCGCCGCCACCGAGACGTAGGCTGGCTTGTCAGGGAAGTGAATGCGAGTGGCCCTCGAGCTGAAGATAACCCCCATTGCCGATTTTCAACTGGGGGACAATGAAGTTTGATGGTAAAATGATTTGGACATGGCGGTGGACCGGCAGCGGCTCAGGAAGCTCTTAATTCCTTCGGGAATCCCAGAGGCCAGAGTAAGGCAGAAAGAAGTGTCACAATTGCTTACGCAATATCCCGCGGTGGCGGCAGCAATTGTACTTCCTCCATCCAAGAAGGATGAAAACCCGTGAGGTCAGAAATTTAAATTAAATAATCAATGTGGGGTTTATCTGCCTCGCGCAGAAGCTTATTCTTGATTGCGACCATTATCCTCAGGCGACGCGTCTCAGAAATGTCCAAGGCCAACAACTCCTCTGCCAAACTCGGCGCGTACAAGAAAGTTCCGTGTCGCGTAAAACAGTCTCTCTGCGCTGTCCAAGGGGATACTCATCTCTGTTTCAGTATTTTGATAGTCACGGTGGGGCATTGGACCCTCCATGCCCTCAAGGAGATATATGCCGGTGGGTGTAATCTCGATACAAGAATGAACGTGCACACACCAGGAACAATATAGATTCCTGCATCCTGAAGATGCTGACTGGGGAAAGGGGAAGCAAAACAACAAAGGACGCGACAGGAAGCTACCCCAAAAACCAGAGAAGTACACGCGCAGCAGTGGGAAGCACGACATTCATGAGCGGAAAGGAAATGATAAGATATTCGATGAATACCAGGCCAATCGACGATCGGACGCTCTAGTTCCCCAGTCGGACCTTTTTGAACGCTACAAGGTCGACACGGGAATCGTTAATACCGAACACGATGTCCAGTCTCGCTACAGGGGTGATAATGACTTCAGCCCTCGCAATCGGGAAGGGCATGGACGTAGGAAGGAGAGTCGAGGAAAGGACAGCACTCTCCGATCGTTCAGCGGAGGAGAAGAGCGATACGGCTTCAAGACGGAGGAAATCGAAGATGCATCTTTCCATACTCAAAACCCAAGCTTAACCTGGGAAAACGAGGTAGATCTTGCTTGCACATATACGAATGTTAATGATCCAGAACATAAATACAGAGTGGTGATGGAAGTTTCCAGACTAATCGGGGAAGGAAACTCGAGGCGAGGAGATCAGAGAATGAAGGTCCTGCAATCAAGGAAGTCGTGTCCGCTGCTAGGGGGTGTTCTACACCAGCATCGAGGCGAAGCTGGCCGAAAATCCAATTACTGCACGATGTCAAAACATCCGAGACGTTTTCGAAGATGTTCAAAGATATATCCAAGTTGGTAGAACATGTGCTAGACGCTAGACAGGCCAACTGATGAATATGTCTCAATATAGACTCGCCAGCGCGGCCGTGATGAACGCGGCCCAGCAAGCGGTGGAAGAAAAGAAATTATCTGCATACACCGAATTATCCGCGTCCGTCTCCAAGATCTCCTCTTCTGCGTCGAGTATGATGGCGCCAGCATTGGCTGAAGTATTCCTCCACCATACAGAGTGCAAGCAACGAGCGGACCAGAGTTCTGCTGCTCTTGGGGCTGCATGGACCAAGATCATGAACGAGTTCCTAAGCGAGATAAATCGGAACGTAGAGGAAGGATTACGGAATATCGTAGAACGTTTGGAAGGTCAGGATATCACCAGAATGCGCAAGCAAGGTTCTCCAGGTTTGAAGAGGGCATGGGATGGGCACGAGGCCACAGATGTCGGCAGGCATCCGTCACTCGAGGGAGGCTGGCAGGGAAAGATTGGTGGTAGGAACAGGGCCACCAGCGACAGCGACTATGGCGGAATAGCACCGGCCAAGCGACGTCGAACAGGAGGATCGAGCCATACGCCAGAGGCCAACGATCAGCTCAAGGATGATCTGAACCCATACACGACGTCCTTCGTGGAATCGTTGAGACAGCAGATGAATATGCAGGATCGACAATTGCAAGCCCTCCAACGCGAAAATAAGGAGGTAGGTGATCACTTCATGCATATCGTTTCAAGGCCCATGAACTGTATGTTTGTCACAGCTGAGAAGTACGATCGTCCAAAGGCGGGCGTGTAGCTGATTCAACGCAAGGCTGTGGAGTTGCAATGAAGCTGCGCAAGGTCCGGGATGCGGAGTAGGCAGCTTCATGTCGGTGTGCTGACACGAGTAGCGTTTGCAAGCTCCTCTTCCAAAGATGAAACCGGCAGGAATGTCGCCCGTAGTCGCTGGTAGTAAACGCTAGAATGTTTAATCGTTTGCTGTGGGCATTTGGTGCAAGGCAAAGGCGTGTCCCATCGGCCAACCGGAGGTTTACGACCTAAAAGAGCGTTGGCAGTCATGGAGACAGGTAGAGCCTAAGGCTGATGGCGGCTGCACGGTTGTGCAAGTGAGGTGGGAGTGTGTGTTAGCATCAGTCCTCCGCGTTCTGTTTCCTGTGGCGGGGAAGGCAGAGTTCAGGTTGGAGTCAGTGATCCTCGATTTGGGCTTCCATCTAGTGGTCATGTGATTGGCAGTTCATACGCGACGAGCTGGCTACTACCTTTGTTCCCGACGCGTTGCATTCGTATGGAAGAATTGAATATCAGGCCGGCCTCACCATGACTCGTTCTGCATCCATGTCACCCCTTACGCCGCCTCAGTCTCCTCCAGTCCAATCGATCCAACTACTCGAAGTAGCCGACACACAGACACCAAGGAAATCCACCCCGCCAATCACGAAGTCGAATCCTGAAGGTTCTCTCATGCGCCGCTCAAAACGAATATCAAAAGCAGCAGACGCTGTCGATGAGCTGGCCCTAGCAACCGAGGAGATTGGTAGTTCTGGTGATGAAGGGGATGCAGACGGTGCCGAGCGTGGATCGGGCGAGGATGGTCTTGACGCTATCGACAGTATGCAGATACCTGAAGATGGTGAGTAGCATCGTAGCCCTAAAATTTTATCGCTCTGTTGCGACGGTAATTGCAACTAGAACCGACATCTGCCCTTGCCTCAAGGATTATCAGAGCTCATGATAATCCTTCACCACCACCCGACGCTGGATCGATTTCTGTCAGAGGAAGAAGGAGCCGGAGTCCGGAAGAAGAGGACTTCGTTGCAACTAGGCAGTTAGAACTCGAAGAACTGACCGATGCCATAGCCCCACTCATCGTCGCAATGTCTAGGGAATCGTCCCCCCTGATCCACCATGCTGAATCCTCGCCTACCGTTTCGCCTCCATTAGAAGTCAGCCCCTCCGACGACCCTTCTAACAGCGACAATCCTTTTTTGTCACCAATATCTAAAGTTTTGAGCCTACCACCCGTTGCCCTGGATTCGGAAATACACCAGCTGCCCTCCTGCGTGGCTGACGTCGACGAACAATTAACACCCAAAGCTGCTGCTCTTCAATTAACTCCACAGTCGAGAAGTAGCGCTGACGGTAGATACATTAATCCTACGTTGACTTGCCTGCCAGCATTGACGGCGATCGTCACAGACAATGTTACTCAAGGCTTACAATTCGCTCGACCTGACGATGAGTTACAGCCACCGCCGCCAATGCCTTCACAACATGCTCCTTCCACACCGCTGCCCAAGGCATCCTCCAGCAAATTAAACTATGACGAGACGACGTCCGTTCTACGAAGATCGCCCCGACGAAGCATAGCGCCAAAGTATGCAGTGTCGAGTATAGTAAATTCATCTGACTCCCCGCATGTTGGAACTGCGCCTTTCTTTTCTATGACTAGAATTGAATCACCAGCACGAGACGAGAGGTCGACAGAGGCTTTCTCCTTGAACGATCCCCATGACCTCGCAGCATCTGGTTTACAAGCGGCGAAGAGTCTCAAAGGAAAGGAGAAGGTCACTAAGGATGAGGGCGCTGAAATCCCTCGCGTAGCCAAATTCTCTAGAGCACTTGGGTCGCTATCCCCCGACTCGAGTAGAATGCTTTCCCAATTACGATTTGAACCCGGGCCCTCATCTATCGCTCAGGTCCTGGCCGAAGACGGTGGTAGCAAAGCATCGCCTCGTAAAGAGAGTTTTCTGGCGGAAAGACTTGTTCCCGCTCCCGTGTTTCCCCATCTCTTCGAAGGTCCGCAACGAGTTCCTATGACTCCGGGTAGACAAACTAGTCCGAGACGCGATGTTGGCTCATCTAAACCGCAATCCATTGACCTTGCTTCCTCCCCCGATACAATGCATTCCCCGGCTCGCCGGGTGCCAATTGGCGAAGCCGTCTCGAAGGGCTATATCTCGCCGCTCAAGGCAGCTCAGCTCAGCTCGGCCAAGGGATCTATATCCAGTGGTGCATCCCGCCTTCAAACACTGAACATTCCCCGGACAGACTCACCCGCGCGCCGAGTGGTAGCTGAGTCGAAGGGGGGCCAGCGCGCCGGAGACGCGCCGGTTGCCAGGTCAGGCGCCAAAGTTAAACCAAACATCTTCGCGGCCAGTCAGCGATCTAAGTCAACAACAGAGACGGCTCCGCGGGCGTCATCCAACCCTCCGTACACGCCCAATCATTTACCATCCACCAACCTTCCATTTCCTCTTGTTTCTGCAACGGCGAATCACAAACTTTCGAAGATCGTTGAAGACAAGGATCATGACACCGCCCCACCCGAATCTTCGCCGTCAAAGGATCCTCCATCGTCCCCAACGAAGTCGAGCCTCAAACAGGTTAGCAGTAAGATACCTCGACCGGTTACTAAGCCATATGCTCGCCCCATCCCTCCCATTATCAAACGAGGGGATGCCTCTGACACTCAGAGGACCACTGCGTCGACGTCTCGTATGGTACGTCTGAATTGCGCCCGAGGGCGAATAGTTTGTGACGTCTATCTCATTGTAGATAAACCGTGCACCGTCAACAACCTCCAGCTATTCTGTTAGCAGTGTGGCACCCTCACCTCTCAAGCGGAAACGGCCTGATCCTAAGCCTGTAAACCGTCGACCAGTCCCTCTGGCCAAAGATAAAACCTCGGACAGTCGAACAAAAGAAACTCTTTCAACCGTGCCCCCAGCCTCGCCAACTAAGTTCAGACTTGTGGTTGATGTCCCGTCTCTCCCCGAGGCCCCCAGCCCAATGGTGATCAGCCCGTCAACGGATAGTAGTATCCCTCTTCCATTACCCAGCGAACAACAGGCTGTTGAACTTGCCGTACCGTCATCTGGAGCGCCTGTATTTACATCGCCGCCACCGACCTCTGACAACTCATTACCAATGGCCGAGAACGCTACTGAGCACAGTGCTGTGGGCATTCAGGACTCCGATACGATGTCTAATGGTCGGGTGCGACGAACTACACGCACGCGGAAGCCAGTCCAATACTTCCCGCCTGTTGAATTAATCAGTCAGCCTGAGCCTCGGGCAGCTCCGTCACGGCGAAAGGCCGCTGCAGCACCAAACGAAGCTGAGGGTTTTGCGGGGTTGAGCACCGTTGCACTTCGAACGCTAACAACAAGTAATACCGCCCGAAATCAAGAATATCTAACGGTGAAATTGGAGACACAGGTTATTCGTAAGGAGGGTTCAAGGCCCGAAAGCCCTGTCGTGAAGATCAAGACGGTTGCTGAGCGACAACAAGAACAGCGCGGTCACCAGAGGGAGCAACGTGCGCTCAGAAGGCGCGCCCGTCGTATTGGGAGCCCCATTGATGAATCTGATGACTCCTTGCCCGTAATCACAACGCCCGCTGAGGGCACTGGCTCACCGCAAGATCGTAGTTACAGCGAGGATGATAGCGATACTGCCGATCGACCCGTGAAGCGCACCAAGGGAGCTGAGGATCGACGTGTAAGGTGGAGAAAGTCGTTGACTAAGTTCGTCATCTTGGATGATATACAACCGGGGACACGATCACGGTCACAAGCGAATGCTTTGGGGAAGGGTTGCCTCGCTTCAAAAGCAAAGGTGCGTCCAGTATAATGTCGGTAGTGCCATCATTGACCGATGGGATAGACTGTCGAGCTTGACGCCCTTGGTAATTTACCAGCTGCGAAATCACCTTTGAATGATCTTGTTCAAGAAAGTATCTTCGTACAGAAGTTCGTGTATGACGACGACGAAGTGGAGCCAGTAGAACCCCAGGTTGAAGTGATAGTGAAGACTACGCGGTCAAGGACAAAGAAGGGCAAATCATAACTTGGTTGTTAAGCGATCTACTTTGTTGGCCAATGATCTTGTGGGAAGTTGTCGTTATTGACTTTGCGACACAACATTATACATATAATTGCATATACTTCCAGGGCACTTACTTTGGTGCCCTGTAAACCACTCCTGCTCCCGCCTGATTGACTGGGAAGATGAGCATTTCTGCAATGTTGACATGGGGTGGTCGTGAGGCAACCCAAAGGATTTCCTCAGCGATATCGCTCGCTACCACTGCGGATGACGTTGAGCGTGTTTCTGATAACGTGAAACGTGCGGCTTACAAGGTTGCATGCCATCATACACTGTCTTCGCGCGGTCTGTATCACCTCGGAACCTGACAATAGAGAATTCGGTCTCAACCATACCTATTCCAACATGAGACTAAGACCGTTGCCAACTGTTGCAGATGAAACCTACCAGGCTGGATTTCTGTCACTCTGATTGGCGTGTTGACCAATTCCTTGAGCAACGAGCCATTGAACGCGCTAACAGCAAATTTCGTGGCACAGTATATTCCACCACCTGCGTATGCCTCGCGACCAGCTACGGAACCAAGATTGATCACATGGCCAGAATTCCTTGCCTTGAACTCTGTATCAATCAGCAACGAGTACCCCACGGCTCTATGTTGAGCCGTTGATGAATCAATTAGTCACCTTTGACAAAGATTTGGGTGAGGCGAATGAGGCCGAGGACGTTGGTCGCGAACATCCCCTCTACGTCGATATCAGCAATGTCACCGATGTGTTCAATACCTTTGACGAATCTACGCAGAGGGATTAATAGGTTGTTGATACCAGACGGCGGGATATGACACTTGCCCAGCATTGTTCACTGGCAAGCGAGGAAATTAAACAGAATGAAGGAGATTTAATGAGAGAAATACCTAGGACATCTACAGCCCTTAGGTCGCTGGGAATTTTATCGAGGATCGACGCGACTTGCTCTTTATCTGCGACGTCGGCCTGGATAGTCGCAAACTTTCCCCCCTGAGTGACTCCGGATTCTTTGTGGGCAGCGACACATGCATCGGCGACGGACTTCAGTGCATCCGCCCGTCGGGCCACCAATATGACATTGGATCCAGCCTTGCAGCTCGGTTAGAGATACGTTTCCCTCGAGCCTCCAATACAGATATTCACCTTGGCGAAAAGGAGTGCCGTTGCCTGTTCGCCCATCACAGTCAATGAGGCTTTTAGACTACAAGCCCAAGACTCGACTCACGGCACCTATCCCGGAGCTTGCCCCCGTAATGAGGACAGTCTTTCCGAGCAGACGAGAGACGTTGAATAGAGACATTTGGGATTGGGAAAGTCGACGGAACGGCGGCGCGGGGAAGTGCCCTGGCCTGGTATATATATAATCCTTATCTAATCGCCATCTGGGATTTCGAGACAGAAGGATGGTGCAATATCGGCGTGCCAGTGAGCAGCCTGGGATGTGCGATGAGAGTCGTCCGGCAAACATATGCAACCTCGCATGTTGTGCTCGGCGCGTCGCTCCAATTGTGCCCGGAAACTCCCACCACCGTGTCGTCGCGTCCCTCGATGGCCAGCGTCACGGATTCGCGCTGGGGTGCTCTTCTCGCGTGGCTGGGTCAGCATGGCATGGACCTCGGTGAACTCTGCGTAGAGCCACGAGAAAGGCCCGGTTGAGTGGACTGCAACGCGTTCTTCGCTGTTCCACTGATGGCGTTATCAGGTGCTGGATATGGACTTTTTGCCTCAAAGGACTGTCCACCGTCGCGGAAGCTCTTCACGATCCCGGATAGCGCGTTGTTGAACTGGAAGACTCTGTCAGCCCACTATCCCTCACCAAAAGACCTGAATGCCACATGCTTGATCTCTTTACATCTCCTCCTGCACCGGCCTCAAGGAGCAAAGGAATCCAGCGATCCACTGTTTGGCCCATACATCTCTATATTACCACGAGACTTTGACAGTCATCCTTTGGCATGGCTCGCGCGGAGTAAACTGGCGTCTGAAGAGACAACTGAGCATTATCTACTTGGGGCCTTGCCTCGGGATGTTGGAGAAGCGTTAAACGCATTATGGAATAGGTTCGTGATGGATTGGAAGAAAGTCTGTCAGTATGTGGTGGGTGTCTACAAATTCTCTGTGCAGTAACGACGCGCTAAGGTCAACGCACGCCCACAGAGACACCATCCAGCAAGCTTGACCCGCGCAAGCCTGCCTTTAGAATCAGAGAATTTCACCACAAGTGACCAACTTCTCTTAGACTTTCTGTGGGCATGGCTCAACGGTTCGGAACAATCGTCTGTATCCTTGCAGTATTCCTTGAACTCCCGCGTTCCCAACAGTCAATACACGGTGTATATTTCACCGCCTGCATGCAAGCATCTCGAACCCTGATAACTTCACGTTATGTCCGATCCTGGATTTCGCCAACCACACACCCGACTTGTCTATGAGTATGCAACCTATGCCTACTAGCGCGGACATCTGGGGTTCTCCCCCAAGATCTAGAGGGGGTGATGACTTTACTCTCATGGCTCCGAGGGAAATCACTACGAGAGCCGGCGAAGAATTATACCTCACCTACGGGGCTCATTCAAACACCACCCTCTTGATCGAATATGGGTTTATAAACATCTTCACTCCGGATCTGGTTGCAGCAGGTACCTTCAGGGGTGAAGTCAATGTACAGGATGCGATGGCGGCTTTATTCGACTCAGGAGGGCGGGACAGGGACACATGGTTAAAGTCGACATTGGAGGACGAGGGGTACTGGGGGTACGTCCTATAGCATGGCCTCAACACTGCCGGCTGATGCTGATTGCAGAGATTGGACGCTGCATGCTTCTCCCCCTCCTGCACACCCCTCCTTTCGGCTGATCACAGCTTTGAGGCTGCATAGCCTAGTCGCATCTACATCAGAACCCACAATGACTTGGGAAACTTTACAGCCATGGAGAGCTGTTCTCCTAGGTGAGACAGAAATAGTTTCGGAAGAGAATGAGGGTTCTTGGCGAAAGGCTCTGTTGCGGATCTGCGAAACGATACGAACGGATGCTGAGAAGCAGCTTGCTTCGGTCTGTGGTTCGCGTCTGGTGGAAGAAAGTAAAAGCAAAGACTGGGGGCCGTGGATGGTAGAGAATATTCGTCTACTTTGGCTTGAGCGTATATATGTTTCAGGAGCAGTGATTCGTAGTGTAGAAACGGGAGCACAATTCTAATTCTGAGCGCGGGCGCTTGTGCCTGCCGCAACCCGGTGACACCGCAATGGATGCATTAAGCGCTTGGCTTCGGCAGGGACCCTGTCAAGCATTTTCCATTTACACTTTCACCGCCATCAACTGGAACTCGTCAGAGTCCTCACTCCCCTTCCTTCTCACCAGATACCCTATTTCAATTCAACGTTCTTGGGGATCCTCTTCAGCAACAATGGCCGTCGAACCCCTTCTGGCCACTCGCGCCCAGCGCGCTTTCATCTTGACAAGTAAGTTGCACTACGAACATTATTGTCTTGGACTGTGCTGATCATCTCTTGGAAGTTTCAATACGTGAGTGTTGGAATTTCTTTTCATCGTGACAGCTCTTGATGAGACTATGCAGAGGCCATTATTGTTCTCGTAATGGTTGCGATCACATTTCGACTGGTATGTTGAAGTGTAAGCAGGGGTTTCATAGGGCTCTGTTGACACGAATCTCAGGTAGAAGTGGAGGTCGATTTCGATAATGGATACAAGGTGCGCATGTCCAATCTTCCCATCTTGAATCAGACACTTAGCTTGTCTCGTACAGACATTGCCTTGTTTCCTAGCGCTTTTCGCGTTAGCAGAGTAAATTACATCGGTTGATGTATTCTCCCAAGCGTGCTCATCTCATTATTCAGGATATTCGAGCTTATCATGGCTTTCGATGCGCTTCGGCTGCGCAACATAATTCAACTCATCGGGATCCTGGGTATGGCAAGGCCTCAACTTGCATCCAAGTTATCTGCTTCTCACGCAGGTTTTGTCCGTAGCCTTCCATCTCGGCATGATGATATTTGCTGCCGTCCAAGTGGAACAAACGAGGCTCGCGTTGGTTATAGGTCAAGACTGTGACGACAACTGGAATTCAGTGGTAAGTCCCCGTCGTTATATATTTCCATCCGACCTTCAACGTCCACCCCAGACTTGCGATGGCCCAGGGAGTCTCTGGAGACGAGTCCGACCATTCCTCATCGTTGCACCGTGTGTCATTGGAGCGTCGTGGGCAATAATGCTCTTCTTCGTCAAACAGCTTTACGCCGAATTTGGGTGAGTGGCCCCATGAGCTTGGTCAAGTGCTATCCTTTGACATGGCGCAGTTGGGCTATTTTCCACGTTGTGGGGGCCAATCCAAAAATGAAGTGTTTGTATTCCGTTTAGCCTCGCGCAGTTCCCGAACACGAGGACTAACTGATAGTCTATTTCTAGCTATGTACCAATGGTACCAGATTATGATCTGTCTTTTGAAATTCGATTTCTTCTGCTTCACCGGTGTCACGATGCAGGCGAGTCCTCTTTACGCTTTCACCTTGCTTGTTGACTGACTTTGCATCGCAGCTTCTCATTATCGTCCTTGCAAGGGACTCCGCTGAGTTCGGTGTCACGATAGCTGCCATCCCTGTGGTTCTTTTCCTCTTAGCCGCCTGTGGCTACGCCGTCCAGCGCGAGATCAAATGGTGTGTTTTGCCATGGACCATCTCTACGCCAACAGTCATTCATGTGACTCCACACAGGTTAATGTCGCTTTCACTAGTTATCATGTTGGCCGCCATGAGTTACTGTGAGTAATCACGTCCTATCCTTGCGCCGATACTGATTGATTCTGACTCGTCGGCTTTTAGTCAGTGAGTGCTAACCGCGATTGTCCTCGGAGCACCGGTCTAATATTTTTCATAGTCTACAAGCTCGTACGCTTCTTCCAGCCCTCATCGCGTGATCAATATGCTACCACTCGTGTTTCGCTCACGATCTTCAGTTCGTCTCTTCCAAAGTCGCACTCTATGACTTACGACTAATTATTCATTCCTACAGCCATTGTTGCATTCTTGATCTTGTTTGCCTCTTTTGTTGTCGGTCTACGATGCTTCTCCGACTTCGATCAAGGGCTTGACTCATCGAAAATGCATGGTACGTTGCAACGCCCTAGCCATATGTGCAATTGATTCTTACCTTCCCTTAACCAGCTGTGCACTCTCGACCAAAGATGTACGGCAAGGAGTCAGCGACAAGCATGACCGAAGGTCGCAATTCATCCTACCTTGCAGGACAACCCCTAGGACCCCGAATATCGATAGAGTGATCACGATCTTCTCTCTCCATCATGCTACCTATTTGCGCTTTCTTCCGTTCCGACGATTCAACCACTGTATCTATTGCCCATCTTTGTTTACCCCTTACGATGTCTTTGGAGACTCTGAAATGCACAACGATTGCAAAAGGACGTTTACAGCTGTTACCGACCGACTTACGCCGACGATATTATTTACTACCACTATATTGTATCCATTCGTACAGTTTCTTCTTTCCTCCCTTCTATGCGTGTTGCGTACATTACACTCCTTCTCGGTCGCGGTGAAATAAAGTGGTTGATCATTTCTGCTCATGCCGCGATCGGCGGCGCAGAGCTCTGGTGTTCGAATCTACCATCATGAGTGTGTGCAGTGTCACTGCGCGCCGGAGTTGTTCGACTCTCAAATTACATTTCTTGCCTCTGCCTTAATTTCGTTCCTTGCTTCTGCCTCATTGATTGTTGGCACTCACTGCATAAATACTTCTGCAGACGATGAAGCAAGGGGAACAGCGGACCGGACAAACTAGATCGTGGTGGCTTGCTTTCCTTGATGAGGTGCGGGACACATTCTGTTTTCCATTTATAACTCTAAAACGTAGACCGACAGACCAACTTCGTTGTGACGGGCCTGTCGGCTGCATTTCTTCTCTACACTAGGTCGGCTGGCGTGCTCTACTTCACGCTCGGCGCGCTGCTGTGCTCAGCGACGGTAAAACTCATCAAACGGGCGATACGGCAGCCAAGGCCCGTTGTGGAACATGCGGCAGGCAAACGGAAGGTGAGCTATGGGTGAGTCCGTCAATACGACTGCGCTATTGCCAATGCAATGTTTTGGACGGAAGCAAATTTATATGAGAAGAAGCACTGAACTCATGACATGTGTGCTACAGGATGCCTAGCACGCACTCTGCTACGATCATATACTATGCGACCTACATCCCCCTTGCATGCGCCAAACTTCCCATACACCCCAGCCTCCCAGCAAATTCGTTCGTCACGCGTGTCCTGCCTGTCTTGATCGCTGTGCCTTACGGGTATGTTATTGCTGCGTCGAGGGTATGGTTAGGCCATCATACGTGGAAGCAAGTGGTCGTGGGTGGGTCGTACGGTGCGGCACTGGCCGCGGTTTGGTTCGAACTTTGGATCCGCGGGGGACACGCGTATGGGCAGGTTCTGGAGAGGGAGGTGAACGGGTACATAGACCAGATCTTTGGGAGGGCCTGAGTCTAGAAAGGGGGGCCGTAGCCTAGCTACATTGGCGGACAGGTGTGTGTAAGGAAAGACTTCTCTATCGCTAGCACAATTTCTAACCGTGTCATATCTTAGAATGCAGTGATTTTGAGTATTCTTATAGAACCAATTACATTTTCTATCCATGCTTGCCGAGCCCTGCTCTATCCTGCATCTAAATCCGCAATCGTAACAAGGAGGTTCACCTTGAATCCTTGGGGTATCGCGACGTTACGAAACTATTTGCCGACGCTATTATGTACAGCGGCCCTTCATCGCTTCCGCGGTTACAGCGGCATTTCAAACATCAATGTTACCTCCTCCTTGAAAGTATTCGCACAAACGTTGCCAAAGAATCATGCGTGGTGTGATGTACTCAAATAGTTCTCTCAGGAATTCTGCTCGGAATTTTTAACTCTATCACTGTCGTCTACTAACGACGTGTCTCGTCCAACCTAGATGGTCAAACTGAATAGAAAGCGGCTCGTCGAGGATATATTTAGGTCAATCTCGACCTAAATACCTCCTTGGGCTTGTATCGTGACTTATCTCAGATGGCATACGCGTACGATATCGAACACTAGCGCGTAATACTTCGAGCGTCGCCCTGACAGCCCCGGACCATCATAGATTTACATTACAGTACATGTCAAAAATGAAACCCTTTTGTGACTTACGCCAGCAGTTCTTTCCGCAATAGAATATCTCAATTATATTTACGCGTACTTCTCTCGTGTAAATCTGAAAAATTCAACTCTCCAAATTGGGTCCAGACTCCAGAGCGTCCATTTCGCGTTGCCACAAACGCACGTGACCAATATACGACTTGACCATGGACGACAACGATCCGACTCGCCAATTCTTCCCTGACCAAGATGAGGTCGACTTGTACGACGTTCTCAGCGTCGGGAATGATGCCAAGCTTCAAGAAATCAAGAAGTCATACCGCCGGCTGGCATTGATTTACCATCCAGACAAACACGCTACAGCTGACGAGCGCGCCAAAGCCGACGCGTCTGTCAAGTTCCAGCAGATAGGTTTCGCGTATGCTGTGCTCAGCGACGAAAAGCGTCGGAAGCGGTACGATACGACAGGGAAGACGGACGAGGGGTTCGACATGGGTTCTGGTGATGACGGTTGGGAAGCGTACTTCGCAGACATGTTCGACAGAGTGACGCGCGGAAAGCTGGATGAGATGAAGAAGGAATACCAAGGTCTGTCATATGTGTAGCTTAGTGGACGATACGCTGAACCACTTTGTAGGGTCTGCTGAAGAGATTGAGGATCTCAAACAAGCATACACTACGACGAGCGGTTCAATCGGGGAGATGATGACCTACATTCCTCATTCCACTCATGAAGACGAAGACCGCTTCATCCTCGTCGTCTCAGACCTCATTAATAAGGGTGACCTACCCAGTCTTCGTGGATGGGAAACCAGTACCAAGGACGAGAAGTCGCGGCTCGTCCGTAAGAAGCAGGGGGAGAAGGAAGCCAAAGAGGCTGAGCAAATGGCCAAGGACCTCGGCGTCTGGGATGAGTTCTACGGGAGCGGGAAGACAGGGAAAAGGCAAGGCAAAGGCAAAGGCAAGGATACTAAGGCGGATGATGCGGAGGAGGAAGACACCTCGGTCTTACAGGCGTTAATATTGAAGAAGAAGCAGAAGAACATGGATTTCTTTGACGGGCTGGCCGCGAAATATGCTGAGCCCCCCAAGAAAGGCAAAGGGAAGAAACGCGCCAAAGCTGCGGAAGATGATGAAGATACGTCGCCGAAGAAAAAGGGCAAATACGCGCCGCCTGACATCGACGACGAAGAATTTGAGAGGTTACAAAGCCAACTTTTCAGCGACTCCAAGAAGGGAACAAGCAAATCTGCGAGTAAGAAGGGGAAACGTAAGGGGAAGGCGTAGGGGTTCTTTTGCTTTTTGCTACACTGTAATCTATTCCATGTATATTAGCACACCAATAGTATTGGCAATTGATCTAGATATAGCGGACAGCATCAATTCCAAGACTTCGTCTAGCATGTATAATAGCAGCCAGCTCCTTGATACTCTCTTCCAGAATGACAACGCTATCCAATAATTGAGACAGTGTTATTGTGGCCTTTGGTGGGCTCTCATTGTTCTTGGGATGCTCCTCTTGTGCGGATGGCTTGGATTGCGACCAACCTGAAGAGAAAACATCTTCGTCGTCTGTTGACCACTTTGCCGTATCAGACCCAGCCCATGGCGCGGCAATAGGTGACGGAGCAGCAAACGGTTCAACAGTGATGGCGGTGGTCTCCTGATAATGTGCACCGAATGGGCTCGCGGCCAGATTCCTATCGCTTCGAGAGTCGGACGTAGGCTCGGAAGGTGGCGCGGTCTTGCCTGCCTTACTCTTCCGCGGAGTGAGGAAAGACACGATAGAGGATGCGGCCGACTTGGCCTTTACTTTGGGCTTTTCTGGCGTGGTCGGTGGGGGTGACGATATAGTTGACGCATCGTCAAGATTCAGCCCAAGGCTTAGGGCATCATTGAGATTCTCGGAGAATAGTAGTCCCTGACGACGCTCAAGGAGGAGCTTGTCAAAGTTGTTTACAAGCTGTCTGTAACGTTCCAATTGCGACACGAGGGAGTGGAAAATAGTGTGAACAACTGGGCGGGATTTATCGTCCATTCGCAACGCAGGGAGAATGTTAGATTCCGTTGCTAGGTCTTCCTGAATCTTGAAGTCAATAGAGCGGTCATCATCGCCAAGGGATACATCATCTTCAACGCTCTCAGCCTTCAACCCATCCGTCGCGTCCTCTTCAGGTGTTGCGAAGGTGAGCCACCCAGCAAGAGAACGATCTGGGTGAATAGCTAAGGAAACCAAAGCGCCTGTGAGAGTCATGTTGAATTCCGGGGTGTTGGCAAAGAAGTTTCGTAGTGAGTCGAGGACAAGAGATGTTAGCGGATCGTTGACATTCATCCGATGCTTCCTTCGTTTACGTGCTTCGTTGTCAATATCCATCTGGAAGGCAGGGTGTGATTGAATGGACATGAGAGCATCGTGAAGGTAGTGTTCATAGCCCGTACTGAAGGCTTCTGTACTGTGGGATGGGTCAACACGAGAGACCAACGTCAAGTAGAGGTCCATCTCCCGCTCGTGAGTGTTGTATGTCGTATCAGGCTGTGGGAATGGGAAGGCCTTAAGCAAGCCAGAAGGGTTTTCTAGTTCTGTATCGTCAGCACCAGGGTATTTAAAAACCTCGTCTTCTTCGGCATCGTTCGGTAGAGGTTGAGCTGGGATGACAGATGGATAGGGGAAGCAAGTGGCTAGAGGGTCCGGGATGACAATGAGTAAGCGATCTTGACATAATTGGGGATGGCAAAGGAGCATTGTTCGTAGTAACTGAAGGGCCGAAGTCGCTGTGGCCTGAGACTGCGAGCGAAGGTTCGTTAGGAGTAGATCCTTGAGAGTAAAGCGTCCCATAGACGTGAAATATTCCGATGGACGGTTGGAATCAGGTGCCTCCATTTCTAGCAGAGCCATCGCGCTGCTCTTTCGCCGCTTCAGTTTCGTTTGTCTGCTCGCGGGTGGACCACTCGAGCGTGTCTGGGGTGGGGCGGAGTTAAGTGACAAGAGAGATGCAGGTCTCGGATTCGAACGTATTTCATCGTTGTCTTCGCTCATCAAGAAGTTAACAAGGAGGTCGGAAAGTTGACCGTCGCGTAGTGTGCAGATCATGACCTCGATGTAGGACATGACTGCTACAGCGCTGCCATCCGCATCTGAGCATTCTAGCACAGAAGGGTATAATATGTTCTCCAGGAACACTTGACGAACGGCGTCCAGTATACTCTGTGCGATGGCTGCTCCAATCAGAGCTGATGGTTCTAAACTCGAGTCCAAACGACCTTGTGTCACGTTCCTCTTCAGGACGTCTTGAAGGAACTGTAACAACTTGAGGAAATGTTCGAGCTGAAGCTTGAAATCCGGGCTCGACGCGTCTTCGATACCCATGGCGCGCCGTTGATCCTTGGCTACCTCGCGTCGCTCTTTCTCATCCTCCACTGCGGGTCCCGTGCCACCGATGACCATCCCGCCCGGCGGAGAAGCTTCAGATTCGGCCATAGGCCTGAACTCCAATTTGGTTGGAAGCAAAGAGTAAACGGCGCCGAGCCCAGCAGCCAGAACTTCGGAAAAGTCCCCATCTAGGATGTATTCGGCCAGTGCTAGGGCAGCATCCATGATAGGGTCAGAGCCAGCGGCAGGTAATGAGGATTGCGTGTCGCCGAGTCGATGTGTGGGTTCGCAAGGAGACATTGCAACGTCCATCAAGTATAAGAGACCGATACGTGCATATTCTCCGATGTTGCCTTCGCGATGCACGAAACGCAAGAGGTAGTTGAATAATAGAAATTCGTATTCTGTGCGTTTGGTCACGGATGATGCTGGGGCAGACGTCACTGTAGACTGGGAAGACGTAGGTGAGACCGGTGGGGCTAAAGTGTCCGTCGAGTGGGCTGTAGATTCGTCGCCAACTTCCCCATCACCATCAACATGTTCGTTTCCTCCTTCATCCTCGTCTTCGTCGTCTTCATCTTCATCTTCTTCATTCACAGAGAACAACGGTTCTGATCTGTACCAGTGCTTGTCATGGAAGAATATCATGAGAAGTTCCCTGTACGTAAGGATACGGCTGCAGAGGAGGCAGAGGAGGTGAACCACTGTTTGATGATCGTGAGCTCGTGAGCAGCAATATCGTAACGGACCACGTACGATCCTCCTCGTATTCAGAGGGTTGGCTCCGCACGGAGTTCTTCGCCGCTCCCATGAGTTTATTTCTCCCATCCAACTGTTCCTGAATATCGTCCCCCACACAATTCCTGAGCAACCTCAGCACAGCGCGATGAACCGCCGAATGAACCAGGAACTGCTCGTCCAGCATTATGACCATATTTTGCACAGTCTTCAGGACATATGCTTGCACCCCAGACGGTCTATCGGATTCGCTAAGACGCACAAGGGTACCAAGAACATCTGGAGTCGGTATGAACATAATTATCAATCCAAGAGACGATGCTCACCATTCTTGAGCAAATACTCCATACATGCGCCCGTTGCACTTCGAGCGTCGTTAGGATTCACTCTGGCTTCCTTTGAAGCATAGTGCTTACCCCGCTTCGGTTCGTGTCGTCTCCCAAACCAGCGCATCGACCATGGCCTTGAGAGAAGTCGGAACATCCGTAGAATCGATTCCGTATGCCAGTTGCCGTTCGTCGGGGTGCATCAAGGTTGACTGCGAAATAGACGTGAACTTGAAGTTGTTCAAAGTAAACGATGAATCTACACGCACTTTCACGACGTTCCACGAGAGTATAAATTCATGGGATTTATCATTTTCGACCTTCGGAGATTGCGGCTGGTTTGGTTTATTGAGGAAGCTCGCGAAATAATCTTTGGTGAAGTACGACATATACGGTTGGATTAGGAGGGAAGTATATCCTTAGGCGCCCATATAAGTTGGGGTCATGATCATCACTAGGCGATTCTGCCACAAGTTTAGTTCACATCGCAGGAGTTCCAAAGTCATGATATACGGTGTATAAGTAAAACGATAATCTAGGCGACAGTGTTCGACAACAGGTTAGCTAGCAAATTATATAAGGGCATGTATCCTAGAAAATATGAATATATATCGGAGGAAATAATCATGAAGTCTCTCTAACGAGGGCAACAACGACGGTGACGCTGAAGGAAAGGATCAGAATAATGGTGTGCAATGCAGTACATTCACTTACTCGTCAGGTTTCTAGAGTGGGAATTGACAGGTTAGAAAACATCACGAATTGAATGATACAACACTTACCCCTCCTTGGAAGAATATTCCTTGTCTAGCAGCTTCTCCTACACAGATAGATTGAGGACGCTGACATAGAAGCAAAGGAACCTACTCACTCTCGAACGGGCTCACACGAGTTTTATTCTTCATGCACTTCCTCGCGTAGTCGACGATCCTATCAGCCATGGCCTGCACTTGCTCGTCCTCACTTCCTCCCGAGCGCGCTACTAGGGAGCAAATCGTAGACATCTCAGATGGGAAGACATTATCAGCAAGCCCGTCCGTCTAATTACATCTTCAGAGAGGCCATCGAGATCAGAGAGATGGAACATACGTATGCGATGACAATATCCCCGTCGCGAAGCCGAGTTTGATACGTCTCTGCTTCTCGGGGAGAGTCTACGCAAGCCCGCGTAAAGCGCTTGCGAGAACCTGATGGCATTTTGGTCAGCTGCCTAGATGAGTAGATGTTGTTAGCCTATAATAGTCCAAGACATGTGCCATAAGCCGGGACGGGATGAGATACTCACTTGGGGCAGTTGAAGAAGTGCGTTTGCACCGGTTGTTTATAGATGACGTTGGAAGAGCGGATGATTGAGAATCCGCTGTCACCAAGACTGGGAGATGGCGAGTGAATATGGCAGGTAAGGATCGAGTAGATGCCACATACTTAGCGGATCGAAGCAAACCAGAGGACGCGTTCAGAGTAACCAAGCAGGCAGTGCTGGAACCTGTGATGCAAGACAAGGTAAGTCGTTGCTCGGTTGGATTCCACCAGACCGAGTACGAACCGGCGTTCACAAACCGCTCGCGCAGCACGCCACCGTAGGCCAGATCCAAGCACTCTATCGGTGTCATCTCCCATCCCTCGATCTGTTCCCGTTCTTCATAGTCGAGTGTGGGATCTACCTCTGGTTCACCTGCCCACGCATTCCGCGCATAACGGTGTGCATGGTACATCAATGCTTGCGAGAACAAAGACGGGTCAACGCCAGAGTCAACCCAACCTCCCACACCGTCAGCTACACCGAACGCAACGCCCTCCGAGAACTAAGTAATCAAACAGAGGGAGGCTATTCAAAGGAAAGCTCACCTACCGACTGATTCCGCATCTAGTTGGTAGGACCGTGCAATGATCGCAGAAATGGGGGATAGAAGGAAATAGCATTCAGAAATTCACGTCCTGCAGCGTCATGACCTGGCACTTACCTCTTGTATGAAAAAGAAGTCCTCCCCAGCATCCTTTGATCCGGATGACTTTGGCCATGAAAGCGTAGTGTCCCTCCATTTCCCAATGATACTATCTGGAGGAAAAGGTACCTTGATCATCGAATCCGCCGCGGCCGGCTTGCCAGCCCAGCTTGCGCCGATATGAAAGGTATAAGGATGCGGAAATAGCGGGACATGAGATGTGCTAGCGGTCGGCGCCACTGAGTCTATCTGGGTCGAGTATGGCGGATTCCGTCTCGATGTATTCGCGCGAAAGGTGAATTTTGGCTTTTGGGAGGCTTTCTTTGAAGACGTTGCGACGCATCTGCGAAACCTTGTCACTGCCCCTTGGTGCGCATCCGGCACCAGATGCGCATGCGAGGGCGCTGAGAGTGTCGCTGGGATTCGTCGGGTCACTGCTGTGTGCATTGACCGCGAGCTTCGCTTCGCCGCTATGCGCTGTGGACCGCGCAGTGCCCCACGGGCGACTTGGGAGTTCCGTACTAGGTTGCTGGCGGTGGACATGGAGGCGGAAAGAAAAGACTAGTGGCGGTCCGGGGTATTGAAGGGGAGATGGAGACAGTATAATTTCGAACGGGTTTAAAACGCGCAACTCGCTCACTTGTTGTCGGTCACGTGGGTATGACGAGGCGAGGACTGGCATCGCCCTCATGGAAAATTGCATAGCATGGAAAATCTTGAGGTGGATATATGGTACAGGAAGTACAGGGAAGTGTATTTTAGCAGCACTATCTCATCCCCCAGACCTTCCAATCAAATTGAGTCGACTCTCGACGTGATGCCGTCTTCTTCGCTTTGTCTAAAGAACTTGAAGTTTCCTTCTTCGTCCTCTTCGTAGGCCGCGCAGACGGTGGGTCGTCAGCTTTAATTATGAGGCGCTTCACGGGACCATCTGTCCCAGAACACCGCATATCCTCTCGCCCGACATAAGCCGGAAGTGACGAACGGCGAGAATATCTCGCCAACGTTGCATCCATTTCCGCGTGAAGGTCCGTGCCTTTGCCTTTGCCTTTGGTACTTCTCTGCCCGTTCTCTTCAGACGACGATAGCTCCTTGGGAATACCTGGGGTAGCTATTTCCCGAACAACCGTTCCTTTCCGAAGGGGCTTGACGTCGTTTACAGAGGGTGGTAAAGGCACCGAAAGCGTTGTCACTGGTTTGAGTATTATACCAGGAGTCGATGGTATTGATGCCGTAGACGGACTTTGGGGCGAGCCCGATGGGCGAGCTAATTGTTTGTGCGACGAGGCTTTTTTCAGCGACGTCTTATTAGAGTTGGAGGGCGGGAGTGGCGAAGGTTTCGATGAAGTATCACGGGCACCATTCGGTCCGAGCATAGGCCTCGTGGATGTGAAGATACTCGAGGGGCGCACGGACAGTAGGCTAGGATGGGGGCCAGAGGCAGGATTACTTCCATCGCCATCATCGCCGAATCTCCGAGCGAAAGGATTGCGCGAGGTTGAAGCAGAGGAAGGTCCAGCCGCTGCACTCCCCTCCTGGCGGGTTGAGGTTGATCGTAGGCTATGTAGAGTGCGCCGCTGTGCGTCCCAATCCATCAAAGCTTGCTTAGCTTTCATCACTTTTTTGGCGTTGATGGCGGTCGGCTTGGTGCCAGAAGGCTTATCGTGGCCTTTGTGTAAGGAGGCGGTCGAGTTTGATGGTTTAGATGTCGATGAGAATAGGGCTCTCGTCGTAGATGTGTTAAGGAAGTGCCACGGTGGAGGTTGGCGGAGGAGCATGCATTCATTACGGCGTTCTGCTGCACTTGCAGCACATTTGGGATCAGATGTATGTCGCTTTCGATCGACACCACGCCGATAAAAGCTCGTGGCTTTATCTCGAGCAGCTTCGAGTCGTGCTTCCTCTTCTAGGAGTTTTAATGCATATCTCTCAACTGCGGAGGACTCGTCATCGTATTCATCTTCAGGCATATCTGCGATCTGCTCGTCGGATTCGAAACCATCATTCATCGAGTTGGAAGATGAGTCAGACTCATCCCACACAGTGTCTATTCTTTTGGCTGCGAGAATGTTTGGTGGAAGAGCGACATTACGAGCGAACCCTGAAGCAGAGGGATGTTCCATGCGGTCGACAGATATGCTATACACATTCTGGGAGGAGAAAAATCCTGGTTGAGAGAGGGTCAAGAGTATGTTTGGAAGTACAGAGTCGAACAGTGACGAGTTCTGTGAAAGGCGGAAAGGAGAATGATCTGCTCTGGTATACAGGGTGTTCCTGAGGTCTAACAGGGAGTTAGATAGAGATAGAAGTAGCAACATCGCAACACTGACCAACAAGGCAGAGAAGGGGAAGCTTGAGAAGCGAGGCGTAGACACTATTCGTCACCTTGGAGCACCCTCGAATCTTCAGGACTCTCAGGGAAGAAGGTCCTCTGTAAACTTGATCCTCGTCCGACCAGACAATCGTACCTGCAAGAGACTTGACGCCGTAGTCACTGAGTGAGGTATAGCTAGCATCAAGAGCAGCTAGAGTCGTTAAGGGTTTCAAGCAAATGACATTGTTGTCAGTAAGCACGTTGCACTTTGCCAGGTTGAGGACAGTGATGAGCGTAAAGGTGGGAGTGGATGGAACATATTGCAACAAGGGCAAGTATTCGTCAGAAAGCGGGATATTGTAGGTCCTCAGGCATTTAGGTAGTTCGTCGTATATTTGGATCAAGGTAGCCCACAAGCGCGGATCGAGCTGAGTGGAGGTGTATTCGGCTGGACGGAATCCTGGGATGAGGGCGCGAAGAAGATCAAAGTGACCACGGTCGTCTGCAGTCATGTAGTTGAGCCGCAGACCACCGAGAAGATGAAGCTGGTCGGGCGTAGTGTATACGCGCAGGATGCAGAGGAGAGAGAGAGAAGGGACATACGTGTAGCGCGCCGTGGATGGGTCCGGATATGGAAACTGGCGGGGTACGGGCGGGAGAGTTGTCTTTGTTATGGAGACGCCCGCGTCGTCTGAGCATACTGTGCTCGACGGTGTCCAAAGAGTGATCATGGTAAGAGCCAAGCCGTGTGGTGCTGTCCGTGTGGCAGACCGCGTTGTGATCACGACAAGCTCACGTGAAGTCCCTGGACCGTTGACAGCGTAGAGACGGAATTCACACGCTATTCAAGTGTTTCTTGTTCCTCCAGTCCGCCATCAGAGTTTGCTTCTTTCCTTCTCCACGACGAGGACCCCATCATCCAACTCAATCCACTTTTCTCTCTTTTTTACTTCACCACTGGCGCATAGCCTCGCCATTTCGCTCTTTTCGTAACGTTCCGCTGCAACTCCAATGGCAGCACCGGGCCAGAACCCTCGCAATCCTTTTCACAACTACCCGCACCCACAGCAGCCTCAGTACCAGCAGCCCATTCAACAGCCCTACCAGCAAGCCCGGTCGGAATATGACGCAGAGTCAGAGCTGGGCGATCATTATAGCAACAGCGTAAACGGTAGCACTACCCGTCTCGCTGGTAGCCCGGGCTACTATGATCAATCTGGTAGGTCTACTGCAGCGCTTTAAGCTTTTCTCGATCTTTTCTTCCACCCTGCTCGGCTTCTGCGACGTTTAACTTTCAGCTTAAACCTTTGCACGGTGCAAAACTTTCAACTGCTTCGCTTTGCTTTTCACTACGTTGTCGTTGATGCTGAGCGACTCTTCTCTCTCTCCAGACTCAGACGTCTATGGCCGGCGATACAACCCGTCGGTGGACTCACACAGCAGCATTCCGAGTATCTCTCCATTTGCTGACCCCGGCGTGGGCTCGTCAGAGCCTTATCCGGCTTGGTCGGCAGAACGCCAGATACCAATGTCCGCAGAAGAGATAGAGGATATTTTCTTGGACCTTACGCAGAAATTTGGATTCCAACGGGACTCGATGCGAAACATGGTGAGTAAGGATTACTTGATGTTTGACCCGACGCCAACAGCTTCTCCATCAGTACGACTTTCTGATGCAACTACTCGATTCCCGCGCCTCGCGTATGACACCGAACCAAGCCCTTCTGACAGTTCACGCTGATTACATCGGCGGTCAACATGCCAACTACCGCAAGTGGTACTTCGCTGCACAACTGAATCTGGACGACGCCGTCGGTCAATCAAATAACCCCGGTCTTCAACGCCTCAAAAGTGTAAAGGGTGGTGTCAAGACAGGAGGAGCGAAGTCCCTGGATAGCGCTCTCAATCGTTGGCGCAGTGCCATGAATAACATGAGCCATTACGACCGCATCCGACAATTGGCTCTATATCTCCTTTGCTGGGGTGAAGCTGGCAACGTTCGTTTCGTCCCCGAATGCTTGTGTTTCATCTTCAAATGCGCCGACGACTACTATCGCAGCCCTGAGTGCCAGAACAGGGTAGAGCCGGTTCGGGAGGGTCTTTATCTCGAGAACATCATCAAGCCTCTGTACCGCTTCATGCGAGACCAAGGGTACGAGGTCGTCGATGGAAAATTCGTGCGAAGGGAGAAGGATCATGCGCAAATCATTGGCTACGACGACATCAATCAGCTGTTCTGGTATCCTGAAGGGATCGCCCGGATTGTTCTCAGTGACAACGTAGGACAGCTTCTCCACGTTTATGACCGAATGCTTACTCCGTGACAGACGCGACTTGTTGACGCCGCACCCGCCCAGCGATTCATGAAACTGATGAAAGTTGACTGGAACCGTGTTTTCTTCAAGACTTACTTTGAGAAGCGATCAATAGCCCACTTACTGGTCAACTTCAATCGTATATGGGTTCTCCACGTCGCCGTCTTCTACTTCTACACCGCCTTCAACTCTCCGAAAGTCTACGCCCCTCGGAACAAAAACAGTCCTTCTGCACCTATGACTTGGTCGGCGACCGCCCTTGGCGGCGCTGTCGCCACCGGAATCATGATCCTCGCTACCTTGGCCGAGTTCTCGTACATCCCCACGACATGGAATAATGCCTCTCACCTCACCACTAGATTGATTTTCCTCCTCGTTATCCTCGCCCTCACCGCCGGTCCGACTTTCTACATAGCCATGGTCGACGGCCGTCCTAATCAGGGCAATGTCCCTCTAATCATCGGCATCGTTCAATTCTTCATCTCCGCAGTGGTGACAGTCGCATTTGGTATCATTCCTTCTGGTCGTATGTTTGGCGATCGTGTTCGTGGAAAGAACCGCAAGTTCATGGCCAGTCAAACGTTCACCGCCTCTTACCCGACATTACCTGGAACGGCGCGCAGTGCTTCGATCGGCATTTGGTTGCTCATCTTCACTTGCAAGTTCGTGGAGTCATACTTCTTCTTAACGTCCTCCTTCAGCAGTCCAATCGCTGTCATGGCTAGGACGAAGGTTCAGGGCTGCAGCGATAAGTTCTTTGGTTCGGCCCTCTGCAGCAATCAGGTCCCATTCGCCCTCGCCATCATGTATGTGATGGACTTGATCCTCTTCTTCTTGGACACGTACCTGTGGTACATCATCTGGATTGTCGTATTCAGTATTGGTCGTTCATTCTCCCTGGGCCTGTCGATCTGGACGCCTTGGAAAGACATCTACACTCGGCTGCCGAAGAGAATTTATGCCAAGCTCTTGGCTACGGCGGAGATGGAGGTTAAGTATAAGCCAAAGGTCTTGGTTTCACAAATATGGAACGCCGTTATCATCTCGATGTACAGGGAGCACCTCCTGTCGATCGACAATGTCCAGCGACTGCTTTACCACCAAGTCGACAGCCCGGACGGACGTAGGACGCTTCGAGCACCCCCCTTCTTCACCAACCAGGAAGGTGGCAACTTCTTCCCTTCGGGAGGTGAAGCGGAACGACGGATATCATTCTTCGCTTCTTCTTTGACTACGGCACTCCCCGAGCCCCTTCCCGTTGACGCGATGCCCACTTTCACGGTCCTGGTGCCTCATTACTCTGAAAAGATCCTGTTGAGTCTCAGAGAGATTATTCGTGAGGAGGACCAAAACACCCGTGTTACCCTACTCGAATATCTGAAGCAGCTTCACCCCGTCGAATGGGATAACTTTGTCAAGGATACGAAGATTTTGGCTGAGGAGAGTGAAGGGATGGACGGCGCGACTAGCACGAATATTGAGAAGAAGACCGACGACCTTCCGTTCTACTGCATCGGTTTCAAGACCTCGTCTCCCGAATACACACTTCGCACGCGTATTTGGGCGTCTCTCCGAGCTCAGACTCTTTACCGAACCGTCTCCGGGATGATGAACTACTCGAAGGCAATCAAGCTCCTTTACCGTGTCGAGAACCCTGATATCGTTCAGACATTTGGCGGCAACACTGAGCGTCTGGAACGTGAACTAGAAAGAATGGCACGACGGAAGTTCAAGTTCGCCATCTCCATGCAACGTTTCTCAAAGTTCAACAAGGATGAGCAAGAGAATGCCGAATTCCTGCTTCGCGCGTATCCCGACCTGCAGATTGCCTACCTTGACGAGGAACCTGGACCAAAGGGTGGAGAGGCAAGGTTGTTCTCTACCTTGATCGACGGACACTCAGAGATCGATGAGAAGACCGGCAAGCGAAAGCCGAAGTTCCGCATCGAACTTCCAGGTAACCCAATTCTCGGTGACGGGAAGTCAGACAACCAGAACCATGCGATTGTCTTCTATCGCGGTGAATATCTCCAGCTCATCGACGCCAACCAGGACAACTACTTAGAGGAATGCTTGAAGATCCGCAATATTCTTGGCGAGTTCGAAGAATACTCATGCTCCAGTCAAAGCCCGTATGCGCAGTGGGGACACAAGGAATTCTCGAAGTCCCCGGTTGCCATCGTGGGTACGAGAGAGTACATTTTCTCGGAGAACATTGGTGTACTGGGTGATATCGCTGCTGGCAAGGAACAGACGTTCGGTACTATGACGGCTCGTGCATTGGCGTGGATTGGTGGCAAGCTGCATTACGGCCATCCTGATTTCCTTAACGCGACGTTCATGACAACACGAGGTGGAGTTTCCAAGGCTCAGAAAGGTCTCCATCTGAACGAGGATATTTTCGCCGGTATGAATGCCTTTGGTCGCGGTGGTCGCATCAAACACTCGGAATACTATCAGTGCGGCAAAGGTCGAGATTTGGGTTTCGGTACAATTCTGAACTTCCAGACCAAGATCGGAACTGGTATGGGTGAACAGATGTTGAGTCGAGAGTACTACTATTTGGGCACGCAACTCCCCATCGATCGATTCCTCACGTTCTACTACGGTCATCCTGGTTTCCACATCAACAATATCTTGGTGATTTACTCCATCCAGATTTTCATGTTGACGCGTAGGCCCCTTCTTTTCGGCGTACAGCGTACTTGTGCTGACACTCCTCATAGTGCTTTACCTCGGAACTCTCAACAAGCAGCTGGCCATCTGTCGAGTCGACTCATCCGGGAACGTGATTGGAGGCCAACCCGGGTGCTACAACTTGGTGCCAGTGTTTGACTGGATCAGGCGTTGTATTGTGTCTATCTTCTTGGTGTTCTTCGTTGCCTTCTTACCTCTTTTCCTACAAGGTATGGCTAACTTCAGACTGTTGAGGCTAATTTCTGACTTCAATGTATAGAGCTGGTGGAACGAGGAACGGGCAAGGCGCTTCTTCGTCTAGGGAAGCATTTCCTATCACTATCTCCCATCTTCGAGGTGTTCTCCACGCAGATATACTCCCAGTCCATTCTGAGCAATTTGACATTCGGTGGCGCACGTTACATCGCTACTGGTCGTGGCTTTGCCACTACTCGTATCAACTTCAGCATCCTGTACTCCCGGTTCGCTGGTCCTAGTATCTACATGGGCATGAGGAACTTGCTGTTGTTGCTTTATGCCACCATGTCACTCTGGATGCCGCATTTGATCTACTTCTGGGCTTCCGTCCTCTCCCTGTGCATCGCGCCATTCGTATTCAACCCTCATCAGTTCTCCTTTGCCGACTTCATTATCGACTACCGGGAGTATCTCCGTTGGATGTCGCGCGGTAACTCGCGGACGAAGGCCAGCAGTTGGTACGGGTACTGTCGACTCTCAAGGACTATGATCACTGGTTACAAAAAGAAGAAACTTGGACATCCCTCTGAGAAGCTTTCGGGCGACGTACCGCGGGCTACCTGGCGCAGTGTTATCTTCTCCGAAGTCGTCTTCCCCGTCTGCGTTGCTATCGTCTTTGTGGTCGCGTATATGTTCGTCAAGTCATTCCCAGACGCAAACGGAGACCTACCTCCAAGTCCCCTCATCCGAATTGCCGTCATTGCCATTGGTCCAGTTGTTTGGAACGCGGCCGTCCTGATGGCCCTTTTCTTCATCGCGCTATTCTTGGGACCTATGATGGATTCTTGGATCAAGTTTGGTTCAGTCATGGCTGCCATCGCCCACGTTCTTGGGCTTGTTGGCTTAGTGGCCTTCTTTGAGTTCTTCGTGAGTGTTCACTGTTCGGTGTGTTGTAGCCCCTGCTGAGCATTGATCGTAGTGGTTCCTTGAGCTTTGGGACGCGTCTCACGCCGTGCTGGGTGTTATTTGTGTAGTCGCCATCCAGCGTGCCATCCAGAAATTCCTCATCTCCGTCGTTCTCACCCGTGAGTACAAACATGACGAGACGAACCGAGCGTGGTGGACTGGAAAGTGGTATGGTCGTGGCTTGGGCAATTCCGCAATGTCGCAGCCTGCTCGAGAATTCATCGTCAAAATCGTAGAAATGTCTCTCTGGACTTCAGACTTCTTGATTGGCCACATCCTCTTGATTATCCTGACACCCCCGATCTTGATTCCGTACTTCAATCGATTGCACTCGACAATGCTTTGTGAGTAATATGTTCCGTGTTCTACTCGATACCTTGACTGAACCGCCCTCCACAGTCTGGCTTCGACCGTCAAAGCAAATTCGGGCACCCCTCTTCTCGACGAAGCAGAAGCGAACGCGACGATGGATAGTAAGTACACCTGCCATGTCCAGTGGCCTATCTTACTGACCGGTGTTGCTACCTGTAGGTCATCAAATATACGTTTGTTTATATGGTCGTCGTGTCATGCATAGCAGCGCTGATTGTTTTGCGTAAGTTGCCAACGTTTTCGCTACTGGTCATCCTTGCTTACGTCTGGGATACAGCTGCACTCTTCCGCGATCGGATCACATTTGAATGCTCTATCTGCAAAAGCATCTAAAGATCTGACGACCCCCGCAGTGTGGACTGCTCTACCCATACCCCCGTACAATATGCTGGCATACAATTATATAGACACAAGGATTCCTTCTTCCATCTCGTTGACTGCTAGTGTTATTAGGCATCCCTATCGTTGACACATCTTGTACCATTACCATACGATACGACAGGCGTTAATGTCATACTTATTGTTTAACACTAACGTCAATCTGGGTGACTATTGGTGTTAAAAAGCAAAGCAGTGAATACATTTAATTTATTTCCATTGACAATGGGTGCTATATTTGTCCTCTCAAAGAGAACGTTCAATGAAACTTTCGATAACCCCAGCGGGGGTCAGGGGGTACTCCTTGAATGCCACTTCGTCACCAACAATAAATGTGTTGGGTTGCACGAAGAGTTTGCGCGGCTACAACATGTTCTAGTCAAACCGAGGGAGCACCTGGTTAATGATGCTTACCAGTTTTTTCTTCAGTACGATATCCCGGATTTCTCCATCCCAGCCAGGAAGTGGGTCAGTCAACTCAGTATAGAACTTCCTTGCGCCGGCACCATCTGCTGTGCTCTTGCGAACTTGAAGCTCCACCAGCAGTTTACCTACCACTTCCCGCCCTCTTGTCAGAACTGCCTCTCTGTCGACCTGGTGAGAAGCACTGAGTTCGAAACTTGATCAGTCCGATGATATGTCTTACTCGGACGTAAATATTCTCCAGCTTCCCATCAGCGCTGCGCACTTCTTCCAAGCGGGCGATCCCGTGGTTAATCAAGAACTGTGTTATACCGAGCCTTCGTGCGCCCATCTATCAGCAAGAACCACATATACATGAATGGTTGGCTTACCGCGCTTGCATGTGCGCTTGGCCGTGCTTCTTGGTGGCAGGGTCATAGAACTCTAAAGCACGGAGGCCAGCGCGGGCCATCAACAGGAATGTGATGTATTGCACTTCTTCCACATCTTTTTTGTCGGTGTACTTTCATCATTGCCCTATCAATCAGCATCACCGATAGAAGAGCTAGGAACGCTGTACCTTGAATATCTTTAGAATATCAGAGTTGCTGACCACTTGGAGGCGGAAATGTGTGAGAGCCAAGTGTTAGATAGGAATGTATCACACGTACGGTAACATGCCACCGTCTCAGCGCGGCATTCCTCCATGGAGGATGATACTTCTCCTAGTACCGAGTCGGGGGTTTGGCCTGGTTTGTACCATGATGTTCTAATATAGTTGGGTTAGCCACATCGCGGGTATGTACCTCCTGCAATTACACCTACATGGGTTTCCCTGTAAGAGGGTTCACAACCTATAGTCCAGGCGAATCAGTGAGCAAAGTTTGGGAATGGAGCGCTAGCATACTTTCTCGGGGTCGAAGTTCTTCTTGCCGTCTGCGTCTTCCTGGAACAATTTCCCAGAACCGTGGCCGAGGAGTTCGTGGTTAGCGACCTGCAATTCAAAGGCGCGCGAGTCCCACGCATTATAGAGTTCAACATCATCGGGATGGATGAAAGTCAATTCTTCATCTGCAATGTCCCGATATGGTCATTAGTTCGCAATGACAGGCAAATTAGATCGTGGCGCACTTGGTGCTTTGGCGGCGAGAATGTTCTGTGGAGCCATGTCAGTCGGAGGAATCTGCCGTTAAACATTATGGCAATTCTTACAGCCAAGGATACATTCTTGAAGCCGACAGAATCCCGGACACTGAAGTAATTCTGGAAACATGGAGATATGAAGAGTGCGATCAGTGCCAGTTACCGGTGTATCTGAAACTGGCGACTTACAGGAATCTAAAATCGCCCGTGTCTTATTAGACACCACAACCCAGCAAAAGACAGCACCTACATTGATCCCGGCGGGGATGCCTAACACCTAGGGTAAACAGTAGCACTTCATAAGGAGGGTAAGACATACCTCCTGTAGCAAACGACACGACCTCCAATGCGGTAAAATCGGGCTTTCTGAAAACGTCTACTTCGAAATCTTTGCCCCAAGGTAAACCTTTGATCAGTTCCGGTGCGCCGTTGACTAGGCTTTCGTATTTGGCGCTGAGTTGCTTGTCGACGATGGCGGTAAATCCTAGAATCCCGAAATTAGAGGTGATGCTTCGCTTCTTGCATAGGGACCCGGTGGCGCACCTTCCCATTCAGCACGGCCGCCATATGGATCTACGTATGTTTCGACAAATCCGATGTAAGATTCCACTACTGGGCCGATGTCCTTGACCCAAGATGTTGATGCCTCCACATGCGCAGGAATGGAGCCAGTTTCGAAACTAACAAACCCAATCGAAGAACATCATCCCTGGATATCAATAAACGACTTACGACTTGATGTAGCCGTCAATCATAGCGGCTTGGTGATGATTAGCAACATATTTCTTTGCCTCTTTCAAGGCGGCAACAGCCTTGCCTAGCGCATCAGAGAAGTCTCCGTACTCCACTTTTAATGTCCCTTTTCCTGACTCAAGCTCTGCTGTAAGAGGCTCTCCATCTTTCCGGGCTGACGCGACCAAGAGGGTAAAATCTCCTGGACCATTCTTGAGCACTCTGGGCGCGCGTCGGTAAGTTTCATGACCAACCCTCAGTATTAGAGTACCTTGTGTTCAAGACGTCTGTCTTTAGCTTTTCAGCTGCGGTTTGAACAGCAGCAACTTCATCATCCGTGATGGGCTCTCCGAGGTAATAGTTTGAGACATGACCGAGGCTGCGCTTCCCGATGAACAGGCTAGACTCGGGGGAGAGGGCGTATATGTGATCTTTCAACTATAAATGCAGGACAGCAATGAGTAATTCTGATTAATTATCATTCTTCAGCTCGGCACATACATTGTCCCATAACAATAGTGCCTTCTCAGCATTGACCGAAGCTTTGACTACGGCAGCAAACTTCTCAGCAGGTATCCGGGGGATGATTTTGGTAAACCCAAAGGACTTGTAGTTTACGAGATTGCTCAAAACCTGCAATGACCCGGTGTGAGAATCCTGCTCAATTCGAGAGATAGAAGGCCATACCTGACTGGTGTATTGCAATAAGGCATCCCACTCCTCCGCAGATAATCCGGAACGGGATTGCAGTTGCGTAAGGTCCCCCAGCTTGGCGTCTGTGTTACTGAACGTCAAGATCAGTAGATCGTAGAGATCTTGAGCCTGAGGTGTCCATTGTCCCTGTATGATCCTAGCACCTGCCCATGAGGCCTGTCCCAGATAATGTGCGTATTTCTTTTCATTCGAGCTTCGCAGTATATCCAGTCAGTATAGGGATCAATTTCCTGTATCTTGGACTAGATGGAACACACCTGAGCAACGAGAAAGACTTGCCGACTTCTAAGCTACAGATAGGGGCGCTGCGGTCAGCAAGGAAACGTTCTGCTTGAATGGAAGTGGAGGAAGTCATTGCGCAGTATTGTTGAAACAATATACGATGGCACGTCTACTTATAACTCGTATACACGCAGGAGGGCGGATCGCAGCTGATTCGTTAACAGATAGCCTAAGCGCCTGCATCACATGTACATGTTCTCTCGCACGGTCTGTTCAAAGGGATAATATGGCGCAACCACTCAACCGCGAGAACCTAGATTTACAGCGCAATACGTTGCCAAAGCCGGGCAGAAGACCTGGAGATGCGTCCGCTGTCACAACATTATAGCAAGAACATAATACGAAGCGAGTTACTCAACAGCACTACGTACTCGTGTGTGATGTGCGACTCCATACGATTGCGTAGAAGTGATTTACTCAACCACATGTGCAGCTGTGTCGCATCTTGAGTTCCGGCTTGTACGATGTGCTAGGTGGACGCTTTAGCGACAAACGCTGACAATAATACAACCGAGGGCCGTGGTGCACAGTGTGTCAAAGCAAACAATCCCGAGTGTCACATCTTCCCCCGTAACCGGCTGTAATTCCTATGCAACAACCTCCATTCAGATTCCGGAAGTTCCTGTCTTGCGTCATCCAGGCTATTTCCAGCGCAGAGTATAGCTCGTTCGTAGTATCGAAGCGCCTCTTTGGGGTTCGAATCTTCGGTCAGGATTCCCATCAAGCTCCAAGCTTCAACGGCAGTGCGGCGTGCATCTCGGAGAAGATTCGATGCAGGTCTCCGAAGTGATCTGGATGATAGGTAGGCTGTCGGTGGCTTCGCGTCGGAGGAAATAAACTGGGGTGGTCGGTGTTTCGTATTATCCATCGGAGCGTCGGCGAGAATGAGGGCAACGCGTTCCGAAGATTCAGCAGCATTGCTCAGCCATTGGAGTACCATGGGTGAGGTGTTTTGGCGCGAATGCAGCACTTCCGCAAGGTGTATGGATAATAAAGATGCGCGGTGAAGTATAAAAAGTGAATGAAGGGCCTGGGCAGGTGTTGCAGATGTGAGGGTGTCTGGTATAGGAATGGAACGCATAAGTCGCAGGGAATCCTCCTCTACTACCTGAGCTTCTTGTAAGTGACCAGACGTGGCATAGAACGCAGATAAAGAAACAAGAATCGAGGCCAGTACACGTTGATCAAATGGCGAAGACGGTACAGTTGTTGGTATGATGGGTGTTTCGGTGGCTAGTGCCGGTTCCGAGGGCTGCATTATGCAGATCGCCCGCGCCCACCAAGCCAACGCATCGTTTGAGAGCCCTAAGCGACGATTGATATCGCCCAGTCGGGCGGCGACGTAAGTAGCGAGATGGCCCTTCCCTGGAGCGCTGGCCCAGCTGCGAGTGTATTGGGCCTTGGCTTGAAGCGCGTCGTTCATTCGTTCCAACACGTATCCGTGCTGTGCGAGAAGGGTAGCCATGGTCTGCGGTTTTAGTATATTGCTAGCGGACCTGGGCTCGGCGATAGAAACTGCAGTGTTGAGGAATTCATTCGCGCGCGCTAGGTCTGTATTGACCACGCTAAAGCCACCTGTTCCGCTTGCAGCCTCGTTTGTGAGGGACCCCGACCGCCCACTGCCCCAGTTCATTGCCATCCATGCTGCCCGTATTGAGTGCCTCCCCTTGTATCCTAATGCTGGATCGGTTTCCCCCCAATTATCTGGTTCCAGGTGCCATTCCCATGACCGGGCGTCCTGATCCTTTTCTGAAGCAAACTCAACGTGCTCGACCCACATTTGAGTACCTTCAAATACGCCCCAACCTATCGCAGCAAGAGCACATGTTCCAATGGCAGAGAACTTGATGAAGCGTCTCGCCAGATCAGAAAAAAATGAGGCATCCTGTGCGAATGCGCCCTCCGGGTAAATTGGGCCATCTGCATCTTTGTGCTGGTTTGAGGAGATATTCCGTGTCCCAACTACACGAAACGACGGCCGGACGCGACTGGAAAGTCGGAGTGTGCGAGGAGCGAGCATATCGGCAGAGATTAGCGCTGGAGCCAGTGTCTGTGTCATGGAATTAGCGCCGTGACATTTCCTGAATTGAGCAAATCTTCCACCACGACCATCATGGGCCCTGCAGGTAATTTGTACAAAAACGCAACTAGATTCTGATTGGATCAAGCCTTCTAGCCCTTACAGCCCTAACATCACGGCGTTAACCTCCACGCGTTCTACAGTCATGGACGCCGAGCGAAACAAATTCGTTTCACGTGTGCGATCCTTGCAATACAGCCGAACTAAATAAGTTTAAGGGCCCAAGGTCAATGATGCCCTTGTCGTTCGCCTTCCTTCCCCCACGAAGACGCGCCCACTCTTTCTGCGGCCTCCATTGCCATGAAAGTCTCCCAGTACCTCCCGCTGGCGTTGACGGCCTTGGTCGCATCGGCGGCCGCACCCCGCAAATACAAGAAGAGGGCCCCTTCGCCGTTTGTCTCGACGGAGGGTGATCAGTTTGTTGTGAATGGAAGGTGAGCAGATTTTTACGCGCCCATCATAGTGTCGCCGTTGACGAGTCCCCCCAGTGCATTCCCATTCATTGGCACGACTGCTTATTGGTTGCCCACTCTGAACACCGAGCAAGATATTATCGACACAATTTCGAACATGTCAGCACGAGGTATCAGAGTTGTACGAACATGGGCGTTCAATGGTGAGATTGATAACCATCGTACTGTCTATTGGTGTTCTGAATATACCCAGACGTTGAGACGATTCCCGAGAATGGCACCTGGTTCCAACTAGTTGCCAATGGCACCACGACTATAAATGACGGTCCGAATGGCCTACAGAAACTTGACAAGGTCATCGACATTGCAGAACAGCACGGCATGACCGTCCTTCTGTCCCTTACGAACAATTGGAATCCACGACCATTATTCGATAATCTCACGGACTTTGGGAACTTGACTTTGCGTCGGGATGTCACTCCAGGCACTAATAATACCCACCCTCGAAACTTCTTATCGAACGACTTCGGTGAGTGCATGTGCTTGGTGTAAATATGGAATCCTGAATTTTGGCAGGTGGGATGGATGTTTACGTGCGACAATTCGGGGTTTCCGGACAACATGACGAGTTTTACACGAACGAAACGATATTGTCCATCTTCAAGAACTATACTACCCAGATTGTATCACGATATGCCAACCGAACTGGCGTCTTTTCTTGGTAAGTGGATTCCATCAACATACCTATACACGCATTTATGGATATGTAGGGAACTTGCCAATGACCCGAGGTACGCGCGTGAAATGTTTTGGTTGATGTAATCCTAATGCCCTCCCCCCCAGATGCCATTCTTCTGTCGCCGCCAGCGATGATTGCACAGCACAAACCGTGACCAGATGGCATTCGGATGTCGCGCAACACGTCAGATCGATTGACCCTAATCATCTTGTATCGTCGGGGTGCGTGGGGATTTGTTGTTGACTACTTAGGATAGCTCACAAGTGCCCCAGATCTCAAGGCTTCTTCTGCGTCGATTGTCCAAAATTGTTCCCTCGCGTCACGCCTCCTCCACCCCAAACATCGCCAGCCCCCGGCCAAAGGCGACGAAGCCTCCCCCCTCCTCTGACGAGGGCCAATCTACTGAAGAAGCGTAGAATTGCTCGTAAACGCAATCGTGAGGCGAAGAGAGCGGCAGCTGCGGGATCGAAGTCCGCTGTGCGAATCAGAGGGAACTGGATTGCAACTCGTGAGTCCCTAATAGCTATCAATCAAGGCAGTAGTACCGAAGTCACTTTCCCAGCAACACGGCGCCAGAATGATCAAGACCTTGGCCCCGCCTTTGATGGATCTCAAGGTGTAGATAGTGAGGACATCTTCAACATTCCAGAAATCGGCTTTGGCACCTTCCAACTTTTCCCGGACCAAAATTCCTACGGAGTTGATGATCCAAATCTGACGCCGTTCGAGAACACTGTTCAACAAGGCATCGATTGGATTCAGCAACAAGCTGCGTCTGCTGCTAGGCACGTCGCTTGTCATGCTTTGATGATTAGGAACTAATAACGCATGGTTGCTTTATATATAGTATGGGGAAGCCATCAGCACTTACTGGGTTTGGTCTGGTAACACAAGAAAATTCGCCTTTCTTCACACCGTTCAATACTTCCGTCGCACCCTTCGGTTCGGATAGCGGCCAACCCATCACCCAGCAACCCTTTGGTGTCACGGATGAACAGCGTGATGATGCTTATCAGCAATGGATCAGCAGTAAATATTTAATCATTCACTGCTTTACCTCTCTCTTACAATTTGATCAGCCGGAATTGAAGCTGGTTTGCGAGGCATGATTCAATACCAGTGGGGTCAAAGTGGCTTTACGGCACAGGCTGGCACGACCATTTCTCCGGACAACACGGAGACTGGCCAATCTGCCAACGATGACGAGACCGGCCAGTCGCCCAATGACGGTTATTCTGCCCAGGGGTACGTAGTCCGTTTGCAGAATCACAGACCGTAACTCACATTCCTCACAGTGTCAGCGGAATAAGCGTTATGGATATTCTGGGTCAAGCAGCCCAAAGCTTCGCGGGTGATAGTTGATCTGTTTTGTTTCGTTAATCTATTCGCTTTCGATTTCATGGACAGTTATCAATGTTTAATAGTGTTGTTGTCCTCAAGGGCGTGGACTTTTCGTAACCTACATATAAACCATGAATTCTGATTGGACTTGCTGATAATCTACGTCTCGGTTCACGGTTCTCAGTGGGATGTAAATATGCAGAGTTGAGGGTAGGTTCAGAGCTGCACGTGCTGCCGGATTCGCTGAGTCGATTGATCGGAACCTGTGGAAGCAGTTCAGTTACGCGACCGACGTGACTTGCTTCACGCATCCATTATTACCTCTATACTTCCTGGCTGGTCCTCTCGATTTCTACCTCTTGAAGCTTGAAGCTCACCACCATGAAGTTCTTCATTGATGATTTACCGGTACATGGTCATATCTTCCATGCATAGAACCAGAATATTGAGTAGCAATGAGATTATTTTCCCGTATGACCGAATATATCCAGGTATGTGGCGGTTGAAGTTATGCCAGACGAGGGAATGCTGACATGTACTCCGCTTAGAGCAATACATGTACATGTGCGATCTGAAGCGCACACTGGATGCAACGGTAACTGGTTGCTTCCCGATGCACGACCGACCAGGAGTCCTAATCGGCAATGGATGCCCTAGGGACACTGTGTTTTGGAGATGCCGTCGGGCACAGGGAAGACCGTATCGCTTCTGTCCTTGATTGTCTCTTACCAACAGGTAACGCACCATGTCCCCTTTCAAGCCACTGAAAGCCTTAATTCCCCTCCAAGTTCTACCCTACCAAGCGCAAGCTAATATATTGCTCGCGTACTGTCCCCGAAATCGAGAAAGCATTGGCCGAGCTCAAGAGACTGATTGAATACCGCATCAAGTACGCGGAGAACGAAGAAAGCGCAGCGAAGGAACGTAATTTCATGGGCCTCGGCCTGACCAGTCGCAAGAACTTGTGTATTCATCCGGACGTGCGTTGTCTTCGTTAGGTTACTCTTGCCTGGAACTTCGTAACCGTTCCATTCGGATTCTTACAGGTGTCAAAGGAGAAGAAGGGCAATGTTGTTGATGCACGGTGCAGAGACCTGACGAATTCGGCCAACTGCGAGAAGGGGCGGGCCAATCCAGGTTCTACCGAACTATGCGACTGGCATGAAGTGCGTACTATCGGCCTAATATATCCCTCCGCTCTCATGACATTCTATCCAGAATCTTGGGAAACTGGAACCGGGAAGCCTCATCCCAGCCGGAATATGGACACTGGCAGACGTCCTAGAGTACGGCAGAGAGAAAGGAATATGTCCTTACTTCGCAGTTCGCAGAATGGTGAGTCGTTGCATCAAACACTCCAGTTTTGCAGACAGCAGACCTACTTTATTACCTTAGATGCCTTTCGTCGACATCATTATATACTCGTTCCATTACCTCCTAGATCCAAAGGTTGCAGATCAGGTATCAAAAGAGTTTTCCAAAGACGCTATAGTTGTATTCGACGAGGCCCACAACATCGGTAACCAATTTTATTGGTGTGCCATGGTATACTAACGAAGTATAGACAATGTTTGCATCGAGTCTCTCAGCATCGATATCACTCGTCCCATGCTTGACTCGGCCGTTCGCAGTGTTACCAAACTCGGAGAGAAGATCGAAGAGTTAGTTCGTTTTTATGTCCCCGAGCGTCGGACAGCTGGTTGAAATGTATTCAGGATCAAGACTACTGATGCCGCAAAGCTGCAGGACGAGTACTCAAAGCTCGTAGAGGGCCTCCAAGAGGGAATGTCAGAAGAGAATGACGAAGACTCATTCATGGCTAATCCAGGTAGGCTGAACTTTTCAACGGAACCCCATTGTTCACAATGCGATCAGTGTTACCGGATGACCTTCTCAACGAGGCTATCCCTGGCAACATCCGGAAAGCCGAGCACTTTGTGGCGTTTTTAAAGCGATTTGTCGAATATTTGAAGGTACTATTTCCTATCCGAGGACATTACGTCTCAAGAGGAATCATGCCGTTACTATACAGACTAGGATGCGTGTACTGCATGTTGTGGCGGAAACGCCTTTGTCCTTCCTACAGCATCTTAAAGACATTACTTATATCGAGCGGCGGCCACTACGGTAAGCAAGGTACCACACTAATTTCCCCCCACTTCAAAATTTATCACCAAAGGTTTTGCGCCGACCGACTGCAATCACTGGTCCGCACTCTGGAGGTCAGCCGTTTGGACGAGTACTCGGCCCTTCAGAAGGTTGCAAGCTTCGCCACACTTGTGTCCACCTACGAGAAGGGTAGGCTGGTATTCCCCGTATCATGTCACCCCACACCCTCATTTTTGTTCAGGGTTTCTTCTCATTCTTGAACCGTTCGAGACCGATAATGCGACCGTGCCCAATCCCGTCTTCCATTTTACGTGGGTCCCTCCTCAACGAAGCGGCGAGCGACATTAATAGCCCATTCCAGATGTCTTGATCCCTCCTTGGCCATCAAGCCAGTCTTCGAGCGCTTCAGCAGCGTAGTCATTACATCAGGGACTATCTCCCCGTTGGACATGTACCCGAAGATGCTGCAGTTTACCCCCGTGGTACAGGAAACGTATCCCATGACGCTGACGAGAAATGCCTTTCTACCATTGGTGGGTCTCACAAGCTTGTTCTTATCGTCGGGCCTTGATCGGATCCTTCCTAGGTCATTACTCGTGGAAGCGACCAGGTCGCCATCAGCTCGCGTTTCGAAGTCAGGAACGACCCAGCTGTGGTTCGCAATTTTGGAAGTATCCTCGTTGAATATAGTAAAATCGTCCCAGATGGCATAGTGGCTTTTTTTCCAAGCTATCTCTACATGGAATCGATCGTAGCCGCATGGAATGATATGGTATGCAACAGATGCCAGACATCTTCTATGACATACTCATGGTGCGAATTAAAGGGTATCCTGAACGAAGTGTGGAAAAACAAACTCATTTTCGTCGAAACACCTGACGCAAATGAGACAAGCATTGCGTTAGAGAATTACCGTCGGGTGAGTCATTCCCAGAACGGTATGATCTGGGCTTGACCACATTTATTTCAGGCTTGTGACAATGGCCGTGGTGCTGTGCTTCTGTCGGTAGCCCGAGGGAAGGTATCAGAAGGGATCGATTTCGACCACAACTACGGACGTGCTGTCATCATGTTTGGGTAAGGTTTACGTTCCGCGTGCTTACCCGTGGCTGATAGAGGTAGGGTGCCATATCAATACACGGAGAGTCGCATCCTCAAGGCCAGACTGGAGTACTTGCGGGATGCGTACCGAATTCGAGAGTCGGAATTCCTCGGCTTCGACGCTATGCGAAACGCAGCACAGTGTGTAGGGCGTGTCTTACGCGGTAAGACAGATTGGGGGCTCATGGTATTCGCGGACAAGGTGAGACTTTCCGGGGGGATGGGGTTCCTTCGTTTAACCGTGCGCGCAGCGCTTTGCCAGAGCCGACAAGCGAGCCAAGCTGCCACGGTGGATAAATCAGTATATCACTGAGACCTCTTCCAATCTATCCACCGACATGGCCATCACTCTATCCAAGCTCTTCATGCGCACGATATCTCAAAATCCCAATGAAAATCAGACAGGTATCTCATTATGGACTATTGAGGACATCAATAAGGCGCAAGAAAAGCAAAAGGCACTGGGTTTAGAGCAACGACAACAAGACAGGGACACAGGAAGCATTGACGATGGATACGATGATGGGGGAATAGAAGACCAGATGTTAGTCGACCTGGATGTATAGTTTGCATAGTGTCAATGGATGCGATTGAATGGGATAGCCGACTGACCTTCGCCGCATCGCGCTCGCGCTGCTGGCAGGTAAAGCATTTCTGCTAAGGGCACAACTTGGTTAGTGGGGCGTCGTCATTATTGTGATTTGGGGGCCTACCCACTGAATCAGCCGATCCGGCTGGCTGCAATCCTCCCCACGTAGGTCAGCATGACGCCGAGGCTCACAGGGTAGAGCTACTCACGTCCAGTATCGGCGGCACTGACATGGCGCCCCAGGCGCTCCACAGGTGGGAGGGTGGGCACTGCTATTAAAACATTCCGGGCTGTTGCAGTCGACGTTGGCTTGGCCGGTGAATGACTTCGAGCTACAATCCTGGGTCGGGCACTGGACGAAGAAGAGCTCGCGGTGGCACATCTAAACCAGGTGGCATCTATTTCAAGGACGGACTCGCGGACTTGGTAAGGAAGATCTCTCACTGTTGTTGTCGTCGGCGGAGGTAGGAGAAAGACTATATCGATCACGAATCGTGATTTGACGTTGGATCTGGCGACGCTGGATACATCATAGATTGAGCATTTGAGCATTTGGCATACGTCGCTTCAATGACCGTACCTTGACGAGCGGGAAAGTTGAAGAAAGAAAGCTGGTTCAGAGGGGACTGACCACAGGGTGGCCGTAAATGTAGGAAAGACCAAGGTTCACGGCCCGACGTCAGGCTTATACCGCTGGTCCACCGGCTGGGTGCAGGCCTTTATAATCAAAAAATATGCACGGCAAGATGAGACTGTTTTGGCAAGGTCAGAGCAACGAACATAGTAAGCTCCGTGGCAGCGAACCGGCAGCCTGGTCCCTTAAGATGTAGTAGCGGGCACAAAAATACGAAGGCAAGTCAGATGGAAATTCCGATAGGACGTTAACAAATCTAACCTATTTCATCCATACGTAAAGGAAACATCGCCAAGGTTCACTCCATATGCTACCAAAACGAGCAACTCGCCACATCAAACGCCTCTGGTCCAAACGACCCATTAGCGTCCAGTTCGGGAGGCTGAGCGGAGAAATACCTTCCCCCTTGTGAACTTTCACTCGTGGATTGTACCACGCCGCAAACGCACGAAATATGTGTCTTGTACAAGATTATTCGCTAGTCCCCTTTGCTCAGGGGCCGAGAACCTCGTGCATTTAATGGCAACGGGAGCTGTAAATGTTTACCACATCCGCGATTGGGAATAGCGATTGGGATAAGTTATTCCTGTTATGCGGCAATTTATTACACCGGAAGGTGGGTTCGGCGATGTATCATTGAATCACAGGGTGGCCGAGAGCTACCGTGACGGCGGTCCTGTTGGTGCAATGACAATGAGTCCGACCGTACAGTGGCGCGTGTACTGAGCGTCGGACCCACCTGAAGGCCGTCGAGCACATCAACAAGGAGCATGGAATCAAAATGCGATTCATTCAATGATCCCTCAGCTAATAGCAAACTGGCTCGCCTTGGAATGAATATCTAGAATCCTCTGGTGGAATGCACCCTAAAGTGATGGCTTTGTTCTTAGTTGCCAAATTTGGCGGGCGCTTCCATCCGGCAGGGAAGAAGGTGCTTCGCAGTGATGTTCTTCATCTTACTTCTTCATGTAAGTATAAGTGGCGTTCGGTGATATGCTATCGGTTGCCCATCGTTCGGTGCCTAGTGCACATTGTTCTAGGGATTTGTGAATTGTGCAACTGTTCAGCATTGAAGTAATTTACCGACCAGAGGCTTCCAGGCGTACCGCCAATCAGAAGGGAGCAGTATTACGGCGAATCCCGTACCTGGCACAGACGAACCGAGGCCAGCGCGCGCTGCGGCAGCCCGTGCGACGTTCAGGTTCCCTGGACCTTGGCAGTATCCAGTGTGTTGATATCACGGTGTAGTTATCACATCTCAGATGATGGGAGATTCTGCTTATCGATGAATCAAAGAGGAGGCCGTATTGAATGATCAGCACAAGCAAGCAATGCTTGCAATGTGCTTCTCTCGCCTATACTTGTATCGCGGTGGCGTCGTTACAAGCAATTCTACGCGAGATTTATAAGCCTGGACCCTTCTCATCAAGATTAACAGAAATGTTCAAGCGAACGACCCGACAGATCAGATTGTTGACTTCAAAGTCAGAGAGGCAAAATGACCTCTTTCCTGAATGTTAAGGGTACAGTTCACGGAAGAACATCCGATCGAGGATTCTAGTATTCGTCAGGGACGGAGGTTACAGCAGTGATCTATAGTATTATATATCTGCGAAATGAACGCGATTGCCCGATGGACCGTTGAGCTTGGTCAATCGATGGATAAGTTACCATCAGATATCATCGTCACCAGTAAATACTACGGTGTCGTTTGAGACAGCTCTTCCTGGAGGATCTCAGAAATATTGCGGATTTGCTCTCCCTTGATCACCTTCCTGACTTCATCAGCATCCAAAGTTTCGTGCTCGACGAGAGCATGAGCAAGCTATCCAAGACAGTTAGCAAAGGGGCTATCGCAGATCGAAGAGAGATTACTCTGTGCAGTTCCTCTTGCTTCTCCTTCAGTAGCTTGGTTACTCTCTCTTCGCTGTCTTGTATTAGTCTACCAAGAGCGTCAGCGTATTGACGATCAAGAGAGCAAGGCACACATACTTCCTAATTTCGTCCTCAATCTCTATCCTTCGCTGAGGGCTAATATTATCCCGATCACCATAGTATACTCTGCCTATTTTATCCGAGAAACCCCAGTACTGGCGAGGTAGGCTGATTAGCATAGTCCTCAGACTCAATTGGGTATTACTTACCTTCACCATAGCCGTCGCTGTGCCAGTCGCCTTCTGGAGATCGGAGCTTGCTCCGCTCGAGACATTCTCAGTACCGTAGGCTATTTACGATCGGTACAAAGAAATGCTGCGGAAGTTTTGATTGTTACTCACTTAATTCTTCAGCAACGCGACCGCCGAGACAAACGTCAATGCCCGCTCGATACTGCTTAAAAGACACCGAGTATTGGTCATCCTCAGGCAGCTGCGACGTCTAAATCACGCAACGGGTTAGACGTGAATTGTAGGAGGCGAGGAGGTGACGAAGGCTCACCACACCCAGAGCGTGTCCCCTGGGCACACATGTGACCTTATGGAGGGGCATCGCGCCATCGGTATACAATGCTACAAGAGCGTGGCCTCCCTAATCGAAAACGCCGTCAGCGCTGTGAAAAGTAGGAACATAACAGACACTAGCCTCATGGAAGGCAGTCGCTAGCTTCGCTTTGGGGTCAATATATTGACTCTTCCTCTCTGCACCCATAACAATACGATCCTAAAGTGGTCATCAGCGCACAACGTAAGGATAAGAAGAACAAAGCACATGCCTTAGCCCATTCAAAGTGCTTCAACGTAACTTCAGTAGCACGTTCCTTGGATGCTTGTATTGCCGCTTGACTTAAATGGAAAGTATGGAAGATCAGAAAAATACAAACCACCACGGTGTCACGGAGCAAAACTCACTTAACCATGTTTTGTAGATCTGCTCCAGAAAATCCAGGAGTGCCTCGGGCGAGTATGGTCGGATCAACGTCTGGAGAAATAAACCCAGTTAGCACGCTTCAATCTCACGACTGCGGGATATCTCGTGAGCGAGCAGGTCTATACCTGGGCTTGTGGTGACACCCTTCATGTGGTGATTCAGAATTTGGACTCTGCCGCGGATGTCAGGAAGCGGAACCGCTATCGTTCTGTCAAATCGACCTGGACGAATCAATGCGCTGTTCGGGAGCGTTCGCATCAATTGGTGTGGGCAGTGTGGCGTAGATTGTGGAGAGTAAAGCACTCACGAATCAAGACTTTCGGGAAAATTGGTGGCAGCAATAACGATGATCCCTTCAGTCTGCATAAACCCGTCCATTTCGACCAAAAGCTGATTCAGGGTTTGCTTCATGTATTGCTGGTCCCTGCTGCTTCGCTTGCCGCCGACGGCATCAAGTTCGTCAATGAAGATAATGGCAGGTTGCTTCTTCCGAGCCGCGGCAAAGAGATCCCGCACGCGTTTCGCACCCACACCAACGAACATCTCTTCGAAATCAGAACTATGCGGCATGTGAGTGAGTGGGCCTCGCTTAGTTTGTGGGAATATCATACCCCGATGCGAAGAAAAATGGAACACCAGCTTCGCCTGCAACGGCGCGTGCGAGGAGGGTTTTGCCAGTACCGGGAGATCTAGAGCTCAATTCAAACAACGAACTGAGGTACCCCACTTGCATGACAAACGTACCCAGTCAATAGAATACCTTTCGGAAGTTTGCCACCAAGCGTAGCGAAGGTAGTCGGGTCCTTTAGGAACGCCACTACATCTTTCAATTCCTGTGGATACCTTGAGATCAGGATCCCGAGAATTCAAAGTAATTTCGCCTACATCCTTGACCTCATCTACACCGTGGACATCGCTAAAAGTGACCGTCTTTCCTTCAGAAGGAACGAACTCCGCTTGGCGAGGGCCTGCCTTCATGAGGCCAGAATTCTCCAAGAGGACGGCGAAGATGATAAGAATAACTGATGGGCCAATGTCAAAAAGGTTTAGTAGGTAAGCTTGAAAGGAGGCGCGTACAGAAGCTGCCGAGAGCGGTGAGTATGATAAATCGCGTCAGGCGAGGCGCCCAGGCTCCTTTGCCTGGAAGTGATGTGAGTTGGGAGGCAGAGGTAATGAACGACGTTACTGACGTTCAACTATTGAGACTTGGACGGGGGCAGCCGCGCTGCCACCCGCTGCTTGAATCGCAGCGGCTAACTTTGCCATATCAGAACCAGGAGGCACAGGCGTTCCCGTCGATCCCAGGGCTTGGGCAGACAAGACTGAATCGGCAATTTCTTGACTTTTCGATACCGGCCTCCCAGAGGCTCCCTCGAGAAGGGATCCTGAAGGGTCTTTAGCAGACGCGGCCACAGCCTCACCTTCTGCCACGACCTGTGAGCCTTCGGTTTGCGAGGGGATTGTAGTTGCGCCTGTGCCGACAAGAAGCGAGTCGCGCCGCCGAACAGCAGCGGGGATTGATGAGGGGTTGCCTAGCCTGAGAAGAGCCGTTAAGTATAGCTGAAATGCTTCGTCGGATTTTAGTAACGGGGACGAGGAGTCCTACAGGGTGTAAGTTCAATTGACCTGACCACACCATTTATTCGCAGAACTCACGAATTCACACATCCTCTCCCAACGTGTCGTCACCAACTCATATCCAGGCTTCAGGTCCGTTTGTATCAGCGCCTGAAACAATGCCAGTTGTTTTGGTACATCGTGGTTATTAGTGTTAGCTTCGGACTCCAGGCTGGTTATATGTGCCACGGTTAACGGTGAGGGTGACGGGGAAGGCTTGTTACGCGAGAAAATAGACCCAAGGGAGAGATATCGAGGAGAAAAGGGCTGTCCCAGAAGTTTACAGCGAGAAAATATGCCATAGTTGGAGGTTTTGAGAACGGACTGCCGAGGGACGCATTGCGTGGAAAGGCTCAAGAAACGGCGGCATACGGGGGTAAAGGACGGTGTCGCGGCGCGCCCAAAGACGGTGCTCGACGCGAAGCGCAATGAGCCCACACGCTGGTTGTGGCCGACAGTGAGCAAAGGGAGAGGACAGAGGCAAGAATACTCACAGCGCAAGAGGTCGGAGGCATGCAGCTTTGCACTGAGATGCCGAAAGTTAAGGTAAGCCAAAAGCTAGGGTTAGGGTCAGCCCACCCTCAACTCATGGCCTCCGACAAACAAAAAGGTTAGACAAATCAATCGTCGTCCTTTACGTCCATTCACCCGACCTCCTCATCAGCACTCACAGCCTTGACGCTGCTCCGCGCAACGTGCTCCGATGCGCTGACTCTCTTATCTGACGGCGACGGGCCTGTAGAGAAGCCCGACGAGCGGCCCACTCTGGGTATCATTCAGAAGGACCTCTCGTCCCTTCTTAGTTTGATATATACGGCGGCAACGAAGCTCGCTTTGTCGTTAAAACCCTCTTCGCCGACGTACTCAGCTTCTCTCACTCCCATCAAAGAGATATCGGAGCGCGTAGCCGCCGTTGCCCACTGTGTTCTCTTTATCGATCCAAATCATCATGGGGCTACCTTATTCAAAGAAGCCGTTGAGACAGTAAAGGACGTGATCGAAGCTACATCCTCTCTCGCAGATGCATTTTTGGCGGCTGCATCGACCCCGAATCCCGGGGACGAATATCTATCGCGGACGGGTACCGTTCATGAACTTGCAGAGAAAGCGAAGAATCTATCACTTAGCAATGCCCTCGCTGTCCAAAAACGCTGGAAGCAAGACAGAGCTTCTCTCGACGATGCTGTTGGTGAACTACACGACATGATAGAACGGGCAGAGGCAGACGACGGAGCCGACCAACTGGACGCAGACTTTGACGACGGCTGGGCTGAATTTGGGATTGGCTCAGATAAGAAGCTGGAAGTCGACGAACTAGCACGAGCCAAGAAGGTACGCATTGGATCTTCGTGAACGTCCACATCTCCTTACAATGACGCTTACAGGCCTACACTTTCCTCCGCTACACGTCCCTACTCCATAAACGTGTGCTTCAGGATATCCTCACTTCTCAAGCATCGAACACGGACAGTCCCTCGCCCGGCGTCTATGACAGCATGTGCAACGCGTCAGCGACTCTGCTCGTCTCTGCCGATGACTTTGTTGCCGCTCTTTATGGCCCACAAGAACCTACTCGCATCAAGGAAGAACTGGATACGCTCCAGGGCATTGACAACATACTATGTGGCATCATCAAAGAGAATTTCCTCCCTGTAGAGCAACAACTCTCGGCCCAGCTTGAACAGTTATCGCTTTCACAACCGACTACGTCTTCACTGCAGAGATTAGCTCCATCTTCAGCGAAGTGGTTCCGTACGTGTTTCGAACAGCTAGACAAATCCATACGGGCACTGCGCAATGACCTAGATCCAAACGTCCCTCATGCCTAACCACCATCCGGTCATACATTTCGGATAATCCCCGAAGCTACGTACTTCCTGGATGGACGCCGAGCACCCCATTTGGTAGTGATCTGACCCCAAATCAGAGACGATCTTCGAGGAAACCCGACTCCATCACGCGAACGCAAACCAGTCCGCCATCTCCTCTACATCTACCTGGGATAGTCGGTCTACCGAGTCTTACGACTCTTTTGGAATATAGCCCAGTATTCCTGGTAGTTGATATATGCTCAACAGAACTATGTTCCAAATAGTTTGATTACTTCAAAATACTGAATAAAAATCCTTCGCTCCCGTAATGAAGCATCGCCCTAGTTGTTCAAGTATCCGCCACATGAAGTTGACAGGGTGAAGTCTAGATATTGGCTTCCATCCTTTGTTCGCGTTTGCGCTTCAACTCCCAGTCGTCTCTCCACCTCGCGCCGAGACAGTTTGGGTACAGCGCTGAGCTGCGATTTACCAGCCGTTGTTCAAAATGATATATCTTCTCCACCTGGGCTTGCAGGTCGAATGGAGGTTTCTAGATCCACCTTTAATATCAAGCGACATAGCAGACAAGACGACGCACCGCTTCTTCCATGCGCTTGGCTCGAGCCTCATCCCTCATTTTGTCAAGTTCTTTAAGTCTCTCTTCTTCTTTCTCGCGTCTGTTTAGCCCTGACCGAGGTGTATTACCGCTTGCCTGAAACCAGGTGAACAAGCTGCAGAAAGGGGAGCTATGGCGATGTGTATACGCACGGTCTTGAACAATTCTGAGTAAACGTTAGGATTTCGAAGATCAAAGTCGGTCATTCCGACATAAGCTGCTGGCCGTGGCAAATTCGCAGGTTTGGAATCGCCGGCTCCTTGTTTTGCGGGAAGCCCTCCTATCGCCTTTGGAGCGGACGCAGAGGCCATGGAGGGAGTGTTCGGGCCTGAGGAAGTTGCATTCTTGTGTTTCTTGATTGTAGGCAACTTGGGCTTCTTTGGAGGAGGGGGACGGGCTACCTCTCCTGCCGTGGCCGAACCATCAGCCTGAGATGACGCTCCCATCGAGTTACTAGCTTCCATAGCTGACGCTTCGAAGCTATCGAAATCGAGTTCTGCATCCTTTGGTCTGGCACGTTTGACGCCACTGGCTGACTCGCTTGTCGGCGTACCTTCCTTGAGACGTGATCTACGTTCGTCCTTCATCGGGATGGGCTTCTCTGGTACTTTAGTGGCTTTGGCTTTCGACCGCCTGGTTGTGAGTGCTTTGGCGGAACTCCGTTTCGAGCCAGCTTTCCCTTTCTTGGGCCATTTCGGTTCGTCCGCGTCGTAAGTGAAATCTGCTTCCTCAGAATCAGAAGGCAGAGGGTCGTCGTCAGGAACAGCGTCCACTGCAAAGTCGTCATCTTCCTCATCTGAGACTGCAACTTTGATAGCTCGTCTCTTCCTGGAAGGTTTGGCGGCCACTCGTGAAGCTGGTGCAGCCTCGTGAGATGTCGATGCCAGAAATCTTGAGTCCTCAGCATGATCGCCTTCGACGTCTACGTCTGCATCAGACGAGTCCATCCCGTCTAGGACCCGCTGACTTGGTCGCCTGACGCGTTTCGACCGACTATTTCCAGACAACGTGCTCGATACTGTGGCGGGAGAGTGTTCGTCGTCGTCGGAGTCTACAATCCGACGTTTGGTTGCTTTGCGTCGCGCGAGTTCGTCCGCCTAGATTCCAAGTAAGCGATAATGTTAGCCCTGTGAGTCGTCCAAATATACCTCACTGCTTCCACGGTCTGAGGGTTTTGCTGATATTTTGATACGGAGAGACATAGAGCTCTGTGGTCGGGAAATCAGAGATGAATTTGGCGGAGTTGTGGACGTTGGTGAGGATGTCCTGTGCTTCAGAAATGTATTTGTGTGCCATATGACTCCAGCGCTAAATAGATACAGGGGCTAGCGATTCCGAAACATATCCCCGACTGTAGAGATTTCAAATTTGGGTGATCATACAAATTATGGATAGCCTGAGTTAAATTACGAAGATGCGGCTGCTTCCTGGTAGAACTTCATCAAGTCCTGAACATCATCTTTGCTACCCAGGAATACTGGGCATCTCTCGTGGATCGATGTGGGTACAATGTCTAAAATGCGTTTCGTGCCAGTCGTGGCGATCCCCCCGGCCTGAGACACGATGAGAACGAGCGTACATGTAAAGGAGATGGATGCTCACTTGCTCGGTAAGGAAAGCCATCGGGAAAGCTTCGTAAAGCAGCCTCAGCTTTCCTGATTTGCTCTTCTTGTCGTCCGGATATCCGAAGATGCCACCATATAGGAGGGTCCGATGTACGTCGGCGACCATGGATCCAATATATCGCGCACTGTATGGCTTTTTAGGTGCAGCAGGGAATTTGATAGACTTGAGATAATCAGTGACCGGCTGGTAGAAGTACATCGAGTTACCCTCGTTGAATGAGTAAATCTTGCCTCGAGGAGGGATTTGAATCTGTAACGATATCATTGGATTAGACATTATCGTTATCTTTAAATGAGAGGGACGCGTGCGTACATCCGGATGCGTGAGGATGAATTCTCCCAAAGCGTTGTCAAGAGTGTAGCCATTGACCCCGGAACCGGTGGATAAGACCAGATTGGCAGACGATCCGTACCTATTGATGTCATGAGCGAAACAGTATGCATTGATAACTGATCCCGTCTGACATAGTATAGCCGGCAGCAACCATCTCGCTACCCGGACGCAACACATCTTCAATGGTCCCGGTCGAGTCAGGGCGCTGGATGAATGTTCAACACACGAGCTTGAGAGACAGGGAGTAGCACGTACGATCTTGTAAATGCCAAATATTGTGCCGATGTTGACACCAGCATCGATATTGCTGCTACCGTCCAAGGGGTCGAAGACCACACAGTACTTGCCCCTATTCTTCTCCTCGATAATGATCGCGTCCTCCAATTCCTCAGAGACAAGGACAGCGGTTTTGCCGGAAGCTCTCAAGGCGTTCACCATGATATCGTTAGAGAGGACATCGAGCTTCTTCTGTTCCTCCCCCTGAACATTCGTTTCGCCGGCAAGGCCAACACTGATAGCATATTTAAGCAACCGCTTGCAATACAATATAATTCCACTCACAGGTTGATCAGACGGGCCTTTCGTACGTTGGTCGCGATGAACTTGGAGGTGACCTGGATAGCAGTGAGAAGGAGAGTCAGATCGCCAGTTGCAGCAGCGCCCAGGCGCATCTGATCATGAAGAACATGTCTGCCAGGAGGACGATTAGAAAATGATATCCTTGTATACTGTGGGACTGCACACCTAGTGAGGGTAATGAGATCGACGCTGGGGGGCTCTTCTGTAACTGAGGCCATGGTGCTGGTAGATGCGAGGATCGGGGCTGGTAGGCGAATATATATAATATATGTGCGCGGAAAGATTCGGGCAACGGAAGGAGGTTGCTTGTTCCGTGTCGCAGTGGGAGGTTCCACAATATATGGATCGTTTGAGTCGCATTAGGGGCCCCTTTTCACGTGCGCCAGTCGGTCCGGGGCGGTTCCGCTCCGTCAAACGAGGGAAAACGTCGCAAACGGAATTAAATAACTAGCAGAGCGTACGATAGAGTATTACATACTATACAGCTCACAGATCCTCCCTGCGATGAGCGCGATTCATCTTTTCCTCTTACTTCCCAGTACAGGTATGCTGTCTTTGCCCCTCCGCGTCCTTAGCGGAATGGGAAACGCATCGCTATCATCGTCGTCGTCCCCCGCTAAGAGTGCAGCCTCGACAGCTCGTGGACTATCGGTCTCATCTTCCTCGTAAGGATCCTCCCCGCGGATTCCGCTGGTGTTGGGTCCAATCGTCTCCGGCCCGCTCACCTCTTGTCCCGATCCGAATACCTCTTCCCGGTCGCCATAGTCATCTTCTTGATATTCTCTGGCGTGGGCTTGGGCGAGCGCTGCAGCTATCTCGGTGCTTATGCTAGCTATTTGAGCGGCTAGAGGCGCCTGGGCTTGTATAGTCGGCGGATGCCCGGGGTGCAGCAAGGCCGAGATGCTTCGCATGGATTCCTCTAAATCGTGGGTGTCCTCGCCCACCTTTCGCTTTTTTGATTTAAAGCTATATCGCCTAGGTAAAATGGTGAGACCAGAGGGTGGGTTCAGAGGTCCGAGGTACTGACACGTTAGGATCCGGTGCCCAGTTAGGATCATGAATTCTCATGTGCTGGGTTAGGGTTGTACGTCTCGTGAACGTCTTTTCGCAGCCAGCATTATCGCATTTATAAGGTCGCTTGCCGGTGTGGGTCCTGCGATGACGCGCAAGGCTGCTGGAGTCGCCAAACGTTCTACCGCATCCGGGATATTCACAGCAGTGGGGTTTTTCGCCGGTATGTACTCGGGAGTGGACGTGCAAAGCTGACCGCTGGAAAAGAAATGCGTTAGTCAACACTAGGCGTGAAAGGGCTACCATACCTGTATAAATGTCTTCCCGCACCCGTCAAATGAACATATAAAGGGACGTTCACCCGTGTGTATCCGCTGATGCCGTGCTAAATCGCTGCGGCGAGTGAAGGTCTTCGAGCAGTCTTCATAATTGCAGATATGAGAGTGCGACGGGGCAGACTCTTGACCTTTCTTTTTGCGAACCCTCTTCGGTGGCGCAGATGTCGAGGGAAGAGAAGAGGTCGAGGCGACGGGCGCCGCAGGGGGACGATTCGAGGGTGATAGAACGACTTGACCAGGGGAAGAAGTTGATGCTTCGGGAGGTTGGCTGTGGGGTACGACAGGTGATGAGTCAGGTGTTTGTGACTCAGTTGCAAACGGTGTGGACAGGTGCTGGAAGATATCGTTTATGTCAGTCAGTTCGTCTCCTCCTGACGTTCGTATACCGGATCCGATGCTTGGACTTGCGGCTCGAGATGGAGTCGCCGAATCCCGTGTGTCACGCAGAGTTCTCCTCGTTTCTACTGCATTCCCATCATCACCGTCCGAGGTGTATAGATAACCTGAAGCATCTGGGCGGCTTCTGTTTTGGGCAGAATCGGATGTCGAGGACTCCTTTGCGGTGAGTGAGTGGAATGCGGGGGCGGAACGGGTGGGCCTAGGTTCATTCTCTCCACGAAGGGTGTCTTGACGGTGTGGGGGAAAGGTCGAGCCTTTCGCAAGGTCTTGGGCAGAACGGTCGGCTTCAGCTGCGTGGGCTTGCGCAGCATGGAGCATTGCAGCTAGGCTGCCAATATTGAGTCCCAGAGAAGCGATTTGATCCTCAGCGTTGGGACTGTCCTCCCCAACCTCATTATCTGAGCTAAGGCTGGCCTGGCGTTGCTGAGCGGCTGCGTGAAGGAGTGCTGCAGACGCGGCAGTCGCGTTTTGGTTCAGCAACGTGGCTATTTCGCGTTCTAGGACTTCTACAGAGAAGTTTGTGACGCTGCTGAACCTATCTGGGGAAGGGGAAGAATCACTATAACCATTGTGCAAGTTGGTGGAAGAGGAATGATCGACGTGTAAATGGGGAGAGCTTGTTCCTTGGTCATGGTCATCCATAGTCTCGTCATGGACAACATCTGAGAGGTTCAGAAGGGGTTCTTCGTGGTCGTCGTCCATATTGTTCGGTTTCCTGTAGTATCGCAAATCTTTGAGGTGTCCTGATTGATCAGACTCGGGCGCAGTAGTAAGATTTGACGAGACCACTGACACCTTAAGACGCTACAGCTCCCTGTATCGACTTGGACGGGGACGGACGCGTGTAGATGGTGGTTCGGAATGAAGCCACTTGGTGGATGATTGGAACGCCGAATCGGGCAAAGTCACGCTTCTCCGCCCAATCAGGCAGACGAGGATTTGGGGTCCGTCGACAGCGTGGAACGTGGACCCCTTACAACTTACTCTTGGCTTTCATGGTCAGGACCTGCGCTCACTGTGCACCATGGCCCCCCACTTCGATTCTACAAAGGTTGATTTGAAACCGAGACGCCATCACGGTTATGCCGTCGTACTCTTCATATTTGGGACGCTGTTCCCCCCACTTGGTAGGGCTGATCTCAATGTCGTAAACGTTCCAGCCTGCTCATGACTTCGAATCTCCCAGCTGTCGCCGCAAGGTTCGGTATAGGCAAAGATTTCTGGTTGAATTTGCTTCTAACTATATGTGGCTACATCCCTGGTACGAGGTTATGACATGTCATGTCGGAGACGCAAGTTGCTTAATCGATGCAGGGCATGGCCATAACTTTTACATTCAGGTAAGTCGAGAAAGCCTCCCGTTGTCGGCTCATCTTCTTACCCAGGAGTTAGAATATTCGAAACAACAAAAACCATGCACGGACCCCAAAGTGGGCCCAGCGATACGGCCTCGTCGACACGTCCGAGATCAAACGCAAGGAGAGAAAGTCGCAATGGGCTAATCGATACAATGACCGTTTGCCTGAATCTACGTACGAAGGGCAACCACTAGAAGAAGGAGAGGTCGCTGGATCTAGCACGAGTTTGCCAGCAGATGCCCAGCGGCAGTCGGGCAAGAAGCAAGCCAATGGAGACCTATGGCGTCCAGAAGATGAATCCTACTACAATGCAGAGCAGGACAACAACTCTACTCGCTCCTCGGGGCGATGGCACTTTCCTGCCAACTTCGACGACGCAATTGCAGACGAGCCTATCAAGAAGAACAAGAAGAAGAAAAAGGACAAGAAGGATAGATGGGCCAGGACAGAGGATGCATACTCGCTATCGGAGCAGACTTCGAAGCGTAAAAAGTCGAAGAAGAAGCGGTCGTCTGCTGTCGGAGATGGGGCGGCTAGCACATATTCCAACAGCTCGACGACAGAGTTCCCGGAAGATCCAGAAGGCGGACTTTATGCGCCAAGGCCAGACAGAGCGAAAGACACGACTTCACCGAAAGAGAATGGTCAGGCCACGGATGATACGCTCTTCACCCATCAGTTCTGAATATCCTTCCTCTGGTTTCCGTTCAAGCAAGACACCGACCTTGGCCATTGGTCCACTTACTACATGCTACTGCAGCGAGCTTTCAGCTTTCGTCTATCGTATGCGTATCCTCCAGGCGCGATCATTATATCTTTCGTTCTACCGTTGGTTTCCACGACTAATTCTTCTCCACGTGTTACATTACTGAGAAATGCCATATCGTTTCCAGCTTCCCGCCACCTGAGCGGCTTTAGTGCCTTGTGTACACAATTCCACCAAGATTTCCCGCCTTCCATACCTGCATGTGCTCATGGAAGTTATCAATCATATTCTCATTGGACCTCGCTTCTATGCATCACACTGTACCCACGGCTAAGATAACCATGGTTTAAAAGGCCTTGCCACAAGGGGGCTTACGCCGTAAGCATGCTGGCAGGTTTGTTGTCAGTGCTAATCGCATTCGCGGCGTCTTTGGCGCAAGCCACTGTCCTTAGGAACTTCCAGGTTGCACAACCAGTACCAGTACCTCAGGACGTGAAGAGCTGTACAATCCAAGTTCTGCAGTGAGTGCAGTTAGTGCCGAGAGGTTAGCTCATATAACGTTCCATTGCGCGATCAAGACGAGACTTTGCCTTCTCTTTTGGCCTGTGAGTCACTGGATAAGAACGGGAGTCGATATTGACATGATTGATCTTCTAGGGCGGAAGTTGTCCAATTGGTGTAGGTCATTCATAGCGCCAGTCGCCCCGAATGTCGATGACATACAACAACGTAGCCCTCCCACCGATTGCGGTGCACCCGGTACCTGGTCAGCCATCACACTGAACTTCACAGTCACCTCCAATGGAACCCAATTCGACCGGCTAGGCATATTCACATTCCAAAATGTTGAGAGTAAGCACGGTCCCGACTGTCTATTATAGCCTAACGCTTACATTATTCTTATCAATTCGTAATCACGCAGTCTGGCGTACATCGACGCCTGAGCCCGTGCGAGGTGACGGTATCATCTGGACGTATATCAAGGATATTACGCATTATGCGCCGCTTTTCCGGAAACCCGGGACATTCATTTTGCAATTGGATAACTTGATACAGGACAATCTTGACGGCGTGTATGCAAGTGCGCAGTTCAGCTGTGTTGGTTCTCAGTGTTATGACTGACAATACCTCTAGCGATCTTACATGCGACGTTCCATGCTCCAACCACTAAGAAACAACGACGCAAACAGGCGGATGTGATCCTTCCATTGTCGACGATGCGGAACGATACCGGCAACGATGCCTCCGTTCCGCCTGGGTTTTCGGTGAATTCTTCTTCCGAACTTGGACCACAGCACTAGCTGAGCCCTGGTAGACTAACGTCACTTTCCCGACGAACACTATTAAAGTGTTTGCAGAGTTATATGCTTCGGGCAATGGTCAAGAAGAGTCTTGGGTATGTGCACTCTACGGTGCTCATGCATTATGTCTATCTGATACAACTCGACCGTGCCAAAGTACTTCAATGTACCAAATCGATTCTTCTCCAACATCCCCCCAGATATAACTTTCGGCAACGGCCCATTCCGGGAAGTTAGGTTGCTGATCGACGAACGCGTCGCTGGTGTTGCCTTTCCATACGCAACGATCTTCACAGGAGGGTTTGTTCCCTCAGTATGGAGGTAAGTACGACTACATTGCCGATGTCAACGCATCTCAATGCGGAAGGCAGGCCCATCTCTGCGTATGGCGCTCTCGACCTCCCGACTTATTTCATTGACGTTACGCCCTTCGTGCCTCTGCTTGCTGACGGAAAATCCCACAACTTCACCATTGACGTGGTCTCTGCCGAAGCGAATCACTCAACCCTACAAAATTGGTTCGTCTCTGGAGCGCTCTACGTCGTAACTGATTCCTCCACCCGGCCGACAATAGGCAAGATAGTCTCGTACGACGTCAGCCCGTTTGCTCAGTCCGCCACAAAGGGGAGCATAGGAGACATAGGAGAGGTAGAATTCATTTTGAAGGCCAGTCGAAGGCTTCGAATCGAATCGGAGATCGTGAGTGGCAGTGGTGTCAAGTCGCACATCGTGTGGTCACAGAGCCTCGCGTATTCCAATTCTCAAACATATCGGGTGAATGGAACCGTGCAGGTGAGGACATAGATGAGTCATGATACGACGATGGAATTCACTAAGGCAAGTTTTTGCAGTCACTGCAGCAAAGTTCGACGGGAAGAATCACCTCTTCTCACGATGGAGTCCCAGTTGTTAGAGATGTTTTTTCCTATCCGCTGGACATAAACTTCAAATACCTCACCCCCGACCTACAACATTGTGGGTGTGCTTTATTTCGTCGTTTGTATACTCTCTCATCGTCTTCCCAGGGAATTTCTCCATTGACCACACGTACGACCGATCTGTCTCACCTAACCCATTCATGATCACTTCCAAAATACATTCCCGACAAGAGGGAGGTGAGTTCAAGTTGTCATTGCTTAGCACGGAAAGGCGATGTTGAGCCATTATGCAGCTGGTTTCTACAACCTTGCTGCTACAGGTAACTTTGGAAATGGGACAAACTCCAACAATTTCGCCTACGAAGACGCCAATGGGAACACATATACCAGACAGGTCAACGTTGCCTTCAATAACATTACTTTGGATCGAATAGGTGGATCTTTAGCGTCAATTAGTACTTAGGCGCTGAAAAATCGATGATCTTTAGTTTACGTCTGCTGTGGTTGAACAGTGTACACCAGCTACAGCTGGCAATGAGCTTGCCGAGTTGACCAGTTGACGACTAGAACAATAGAAGTTTAAGGTGAGACTCACCGAGCGCATGGTCGACGGCAACTGATTCCCACATCGACGATAACGAACGCTTCCTTCCTCATGGATTCACATAAATAGTCGACATGGTTGTGCTTTTGCCGACCCCCCATTCTCTTGCCTTTCCCCTTGTGAACTGGGTGGAGATGCTGCTACAAACTTTGCTACTTGTCCCAAGCTTCTTCCTTACTATCTTTTCGAATGCAGCGGTACTAGTTGACTTTCAAGTCGCCAATCCTCCACCCGTGCCCCAGGGTACAAAGCAATGTACCATACAGATATTACAGTAAGTTTACTGACTGTACACAGTATAATCCCAAGATACTTATATAGTGTCTCGCAGACGAGACTTCGCGTTCTCTTTTGGATTGTGCGTTCTCCGGTCACCGTTGTCTAGTGATTCCACTCAACTGGATTCTTTCGTAGGTCTGAAATTGTGCAATACGCGTAATCATGCCACCATCTTCCGTGTTCTCAGGCTGATGAACTAGACAGACCTCCCACGGACTGTGGGGAACCGGGCTCTTGGGCTGGTATTACTCTGAACTTTACCGTGACTTCCAATGGGACTCAATTCGACCGACTCGGCATATTCACGTTCCAAAATGTCGAGAGTACGAGTGGACTCAGGTACCTCCCAATGCTCAACTAACCTAGTATCGAAATAGTTTGGCGCACATCGACCCCCGAACCGACTCGCGGGGATGGTATAATTTGGACCTATGTGAAAGATGTTACGCGATATACACCTCTCTTTGCGAAGAGTGGAACCTTCATATTGCAGTTGGATAATCTGATCCAAACAGGCCTCGATGGTGTTTACTCTAGTACGCTTTTCCTTCACACACTTCCATAGTTAAATCGATCCAGAAGTCGTACTCACCTTCGATTCGAATAGCCGTACTTCACGCCACCTTCCATGCTTCCTCTCCTACCCACCCCCCAGCGCCACAGGCAAACACCATTATCCCGTTGTCTACGTTGGCTAATGACACAGGAAACGACGCCTCAGTTCCTCCGGGATTCTCTGTAAGTCTACCTTGAGAATTACAGAGAAACATTCGAATGTGATTGATAGATCAATGTTACGTTACCTCGAAATGCTGTCGAAGTATACGCCGAGCTGTACGCATCAGGGAATGGGAATGAAGAATTTTGGGTTAGTTTGTGCGTAATCCTACGTATTTCCGGGCTGACGGCCTCCATACTTTAGTATTTCAACGTCCCCAACCAGTTTTTATTTGCCCTACCCGCCGGGTTCGCCCTGGGCCAAGGTCCATTCCGAGAAGTGAGATTACTCGTCGATGGACAAGTGGCTGGTGTCGCGTTCCCATATGCCACAATATTCACCGGAGGAATCGTCCCAACCGCATGGAGACCCATAACGTCCTATGGGGCGATCGACTTGCCGACATGCTTCCTAGACCTAACGCCTTTCGCTCCAATACTGTCTGATGGTCAGCCACACAATATCACTCTCGACGTGGCCTCTGCAGACCCCGACCGAACGACACTGCAGAATTGGTTCGTGTCGGGGCTGCTCCAGGTCGTTACCGACTCTTCTTCCAAGCCCACGACCGGACGCATCACTTCGTATTCGGCGGACTCGTTCGCCGAAGTCTCGAATGACGCGTCTATAGCATCGAACCGCGACACGGTCATCACCGTCAAGGCTACGAGAAACATCCATATCGAGGCTGATGTCACCAGTGGAAGCGGGAAAACCAAACATGTTGTCTTTAGCCAAAATCTAAGTTATTCCAACGTGCAGACTTATCTCAACAATTTCAACATTCAGGTAACGTACCTTCATCAATAAACCGAAAAGCCCTCCTCATTTCGCAACAGAATGTATTCCAAACTGCGACCGGAGCCGTTGTTTCAACACATAACCAAGTCCAGAAAGTAGTCGACACCTTTTCCTACCCTTTAGGTATAAACATCACCAACATTACACCCGATGGGAGAAGTTGTGAGTACACAAGCGTCTATTGGTGGGACAATTACTCACTCGGCTTTTCAGTCAAATCGGTGTTCGACCATTCATATGATCGGGTACTCTTACCTGCACCATTCATTTTGGGCTCAACAATACGCGAACACCAGTTAGCGGGTGCGTCCTCCTACCAAAATTTCTACTGCCGTTGATATACTAAACCGATCAATTCAGACGGGTTCTTCAATGTAGCACCAACTGGCAACACTGGCAACGGGACAAGCCAGAATCAGCTCAGCTACGTTGACTTGTCGGGGAACACTTACAGCAGAGAAGTGAACGCGGCATTGAACATCATCACGCTGGATAAACAGAGTGGTTCGCTTGCTCCAGTGCAACAAACTTCGCTCCAGAAAGCGACGGTATCGCAGAAGGAGGCAACTTTCGGAAGCGTTAGGTTGCCTGGTGGTAAACGATTTGGTGTATGAGCCGCAAATTGATGAATACGTGATGTGATGCCCGTTGAGAGGCCCATGAAACTATGATTACACCATCTAAAATCTATGGTACACCGAGTTAGGAATTAGATCTAGAATAAGCCGACAACTCTTCCTGTGTCAGGGTCAAGCCCAACTTCCCAAAAGCCTACGCGACATTTCGATGAGTTTCGGACATACTGCATTAGGGATGGCTAGACTTACCAGGACGTGTTCCGAGGCCAGGCATAGTTTGCATGTCACCAAGCAGAGGATATAGGAAGCCGGCTCCAGCTGTCAATCGAACAGCTCGGATGGGGACGGTGAAACCAGTAGGTACACCCTTCAATTTGGGATCGTGCGAGAAGGAGTATTGGGTCTTTGCCATACAAACTGAAGGGGCCGGCGTCTCAGATACTGTGCTCAACGATGAGAAGCGGCACTTACTGGGAAGGCCGCCATAACCCTGTCTAGTATATGTCGCGATCTGTTTCTGGGCAAGCTCGCTCAGCTCAATGCCATCAGCGCCGTAAATCTCCTTGCAGATGATGCTGATCTTCTCCTCGATGGGGAGGTCCAAATCATACAAGAACTTGAAGTCGGATGTACCTTCGCAAGTAGCGACAACAGCTTCAGCGAGAGCCCGAGCACCGGCACCACCCTCCGCCCAGTGGTTGCTGACTACAGCAGCATCGGCTCCAGCAGCTAGAGCCTCTTCGCGAATGAGGGCAAGTTCAGCAGGAGTATCGGATCTATTGTGCCAATTCAACTTTTTTGTGATTTGGCGAAGAACAAACAACACATACGAGAACTGGTTGATGGCAATAATGACCTTGACACCGAATTTGCGAGAGTTCTGGATATGCTTAGCGAGATTCTTACATCCCTCCTTCAACGTAACAAGATCCTCTTTGGTATACGTCTCGTGAAGAGGCTTTCCAGGGGAAACGTCGGGGCCGCCGCCATGCATCTTCAAGGCACGAGTAGTCGCGACAATGACGACGGCATCCGGGCTAAGACCACTAACGCGACACTTGATGTTGCAGAACTTCTCCATTCCCATGTCGGCGCCGAAGCCACCTTCCGTGAGGACATACCCCACACGATCAGGAGAATCGCCTTCTTCCGTCCCGGCAAGTTTCAGAGCTACACGATCGGCAAGGATAGAAGAGTTGCCGTGGGCGATGTTTGCGAAAGGACCGGCATGGACGAAGACAGGAGTGCCCTATACTCACCCCTGAGTTTCGTAGACATACATGAAAGGGGGGAAACTCTACCTGGAGCGTCTGCATAAGATTGGGTTTGATAGCATCTTTCATGAGGACGGCCAACGCGCCAGTGACGCCAACATCGTCAGCGGTGATCGGCTCTCCGCTCTTACTGGTTGCCACCACCATAGCCCCAAGTCGCTCCTGCATGTCTTGAAGACTGGTGGCCAAGGCCAAAACTGCCATACATTCACTGGCGACAGCAATGTCGAACCCAGTTTCACGTTCATGAGGTTGTTCGGTGGAGTTTTTGCCGATAACGATCTTCCTTAAGAAGCGGTCATTGGTGTCCAAAACTCGATTCCAAGTAATCGTGTCCAAGTCGACATCTAAACGAGCGAATCGTGTGATCTCTTCCGGTGTTAGATCGTTGGGATTGGTCTTGTCGATACCGAGTTTCTTCAAACGCTTAAACATAAGGGGCGCGAATTCGCGCTTTCCCTTCTTTGTGGGAACCAACCGACTGTACAGAGCCTGCGCTGATTGTCAGCCCGCGACACAAACCAAGGAGGAAATGTACACGCCTTATCAGACTGAGTAGCCTCATGGTAGATTCTCGCGTCCAAAGCAGCGGCTATACATAGGTTTGATTAGTTGATGAGTCCTGAAATTGAGCCCAGAGTAAGTTACCTAGAAGGTTGTTCGCAGCAGTGACAGCGTGGATATCACCGGTTAAATGGAGATTGAACTGGGCACCGTGGATTAGGATCATCGAGGGGTCGGAGTAGAGTAGCATTTACCTCGTCCATAGGGATGACCTGACTGTACCCGCCACCTGCAGCACCACCTTTGATACCGAAGGTAGGTCCTTGACTTGGCTGACGAACGCAAGCAAATGCTGGTCTACCGAGTTCCGCGCCTAAAGCCTGAGCCAAACCAATCGTCGTCGTAGATTTACCCTCGCCAAGGGGAGTGGGTGTGATGCTAGGGAGCGCGGTGAGGTTTGAACGTGATCAAGATAGATTCGCACATACCCGGCAACGATAATATACTTCCCATCTTTGCGATGCGCGAGGCGATCCAGAACGCTCAGCTCAATCTTGGCCTTGTATTTACCGTAGCTTTCCACTTCGTCGGGAAGCAAACCCAGCTCATTGGCCAATTGAGTGACAGGCTTTGGTGTTTGAGCCATAGCGATTTCGATGTCTGAGGGTACTTTCTCTAGGATGTTAAGCTTCAAAGGCTTGAGGACGCGGTTTCTGGAACTCTCCCATTGCCGTTGGGCGGCCTTGAACGTGTTCTCCATGAGCATTGCAACAGTCATTGGGCCTACACCTCCGGGAACGGGAGTAATGTGTGATGCAACTTTGTATGCAGACTCGAACTCGACATCACCGACCAGACGTTGACCTGATTTCTTGGTGGCATCTATATGCGGTTAGGTATGGTGACGAGGTCTCGCAACGTGTAGCTCACCTGGGACGAAATTGATTCCGACATCAATAACCGATGCTCCTGGTTTCAACCAGGAACCCTGAACGAACTCAGCCCGACCGATTGCAGCGACGACAACGTCTGCGGTCTTGACGATGCCTTCAATGTCTTTGGTACGGCTGTGGCATTGGGTCACTGTGGCGTCCTTGTTGCGAAGCATGGATGCAACTGGGCTGCCGACGATATCGCTGCGACCGAGGACTACAGCATGTGCGCCGGACAACGATTTCCCTGTCTCCTCGAGTAATCTTATCACAGCCGCGGGAGTACAAGGTGAGAACAACGGATCAGAAGCCTTGGATGAGAGGTGGCCGATGTTGTACGCATGAAAACTTTGAGATCGTCAATGAGCAAGCAACGCAGCGACGATCGTGTGACGCACCCGTCAACATCCTTCTCCGGACTAATGGATTCCGTAACGGTACGCTCACCCTGAGCGTCGATATGTTGGCCGAGGGGAAGTTGTACCAAAATACCACTGATCGCTTCGTTGGCGTTGAGTTTCTGGACGATTTCGACGATTTCTTCCACGGTGGATTCCGCCGGCACGGACACATGATTGAAGGAGATACCAACTTCCTCTGCAGCCTTCGCTTTCATACGAACATACGTCGAGGAATCGGGGCGAGCGCCGGCCTGCACGACCGCGAGTTGAGGCCTGAATCGAGGGAACGTGCTTTGAATGGACCTGATACGGCCTCCGACTTCATCGCGTATTGATCTGTAATGGATTCGTGAGGTTTAGCAAAAAATACGGGATGGGCGCGACTCACTTTGCAATTGCGTTGCCGTCCAAGATGGTAGCCATGTGAGAAGGTGGGTAGCCGTCGTTGGGCATGACAGTATAAAACCGTAAAGGGGCGAAAATGCGGTTCCAGTGACCACGCATCTGGCCGGTAATTTGTATATGGAAACGGGACCCACGTTATTTATCTCAAGGGGGGACGAGTAAAGGAGCGTCGCCGTCAATGCGAAGAAGGCGTGGAGGTTGGCGTGGTGAGAGTGGATGTCAGGAAGGGACGGGGTTGATATAGAGGACCTGCCAGCGACGCATCTCACCAAAATTTCAGTCATTTCAAGTCCATGGCTTTTCCTCGCTCAATGGAGCCCCTGAGCGATCCTCTCACGCTGCAGCTTCACCGAAAAATTTGGCGCGGATGTGCACGGGATCGCACCCTCAGCGTATTTCCCAACCGTCTCCACCTCCACCTCTTCTCTCCAAATGGCTTCAGTTCAGGCTCTCCAGGTCTTCCGTCAGTCGTGCAGGGCGCAGACGACCTTCACCAGTCGTTGGGCAGCGCGACGAACGATACCGCTTGCAGCTAGACGGCATTACTCAGCCGAAGCCACGGAACCCTCTGCAGAAACCAAGCAGAGTGAGACGAAGGGCGAAAAGTCCGCTGAGACTCCTCCAAATCCCCTGGAGGAAAAGCTCAAGGCAAAAGAAAATGAAGTCGCTGATTTGACCGTGCGGATTCTTCGTATTTTCTTCGACCGTCCCGAACTGACGCATACCCCGTTTTCAGAGTCGACTACGCTATCTCCAAGCCGATTTCTTGAACCTGCAGCGGAATGCAGCGCGAGAGAAGGAGCAGACGCGTGACTTTGCCATCACTCGCTTCGCTTCAGACCTTCTTGAGACCGTAGACGTGCTCTCAATGGCTCTGAAGTCGATTCCTCCATCCGCCTTATCACCCCCAGAAGCCTCCTCCGAGTCACCCGCTTCCGAATCGACTTCTTCCTCGACGTCGAATTCAAAATCGGCCCTGGAGTATCTTCGCGAGCTACACCAGGGAGTCGAGATAACCCAGCGGCAGCTACTGCAAACGCTTTTCAAATACCACGTCAAGCCGTTTGACCCCACTGGCGACCAATTCGACCCGAACCTGCATGAAGCACTGTATCAGGCTCCGATACCCGGGAAAGAGCCTGGCAGTGTGATTGACTGTCAAAAGATGGGATACATGATTAAGGACCGTGTGCTCCGTGCGGCGCAAGTGGGTGTCGCTCAGGATACGCAGTCATAGTCTTAATGGTGGTGGGTGTCGGTGGAGCTGAGGATATTTCCTCTTTACGCGCGGGTGTGTATATGGATCCCGTTGGTCCTCCGGACTATTTGCATAGAACGTTACCCTAATTCCTATAATTAACGAATCTCTACTCCGAACGCATCCTTCAGCCTTGACACGACCAAAGATTGGATTTCGTTGACTTCCTCGTTCGACAGCGATCTGTTTTATGTTTTAGCACTCCACGTTTCGCTTAGGCATTCATAGATATACCTGTCCATAGAGCGGTAGTTTATACGATAGCACAGACTTGTACGATTGGTTTTGGGATGAACAAAACGATCCACCTTGGGTCGACATAATCAGCATCTCTGAATTTGACTCGGGCTTCGACGAAAACGTACGGTCTTCACATCTTCAACCAGGTCTCCAGTCACGTCCCGAATAAGGTCACAGAAGTCATTCTCATGAAGATTCGCCTCCTGCGGTAGCCAGAAGCTGACGTCCTTGAAACACGACGGGTACTTGGAATAGGGCTTGAATGTCGTAATGGCACCTTGTTGGAATTGCGAAAGGAACCGCTCGTCCTTGGACCAGAATAACCGAATATCGGGAATGGAGTATAGAATCATCGCAATGCGTTCTAACCCGAGGCCAAATGCCCAACCGAGCTTATTTGGAACCTCTGAAAGTGGGTCAGCGGAGGATAGATAAGAAATGTGCTACAACTGACTGGCAGTATCCAGCGTAGCTTGCCTAACCACGCCAGAACCTAAAATTTCGAGCCACTTTCCCCGAAAGAACACCTCCACTTCGAAGCTTGGACTTGTGAACGGGAAGTACGCTTCAATCCACCGAACCCGGAGTGGTTCTGTACGATTGGACGTCCCAAAGAGCGTCAGCATAAGAGCATTCAACGACAATTTCAGATTCTTCGCCACCAGCTCGGAATGTAGGGGATTATGTTCAGGTTGATTGGGATTTGTTGGTGCAAGGTGCGGAACATCTTCAATAACTATGTTCGACCTTGCCAAATGGTATGACAAACGCTCGTTGTCCTCCTCCACCTCTTTCATGCCGGTCGGCGTGGCGTCGAATATCCGAGCTCCCTCCATCTGATGGAAGACCGGATAATGCGAACCATCTATCTCGTCGCGCCGATATACGTCCGCCGTGAGCAGCCATTTGGTTTCGCCCTTGCCGAATACCTCCACTTCGTGTGCGGATGTATGTGTTCGAAGCATCAGGTCCTTGTTGACATAGTAGCTGTCCGTCACAGAGCGTCCAGGATGATCTTTCGGGAAAGACAATTCGTCAAAGTTTTTGAAGGGAGTGACCAAGGGAGAGAAGGAGGATAGGTGAGTATAGTCCGCGTAGTGCCCTTCAATCAGTGCTCGGAGCGTGCTCAACGGGTGTCCGTGTTGAGTATGAAGTCGTTCGGATAATTTGGATATTATAGCTGGTGTTATGTTTGTGATCTCGTCCGTGGCGTATCGTTCGCCCAGAATATCGAGATGGGTAGACTGTCCTAGTGGACGAGACGGGTTAGAGGATTGGCAGAAACGGCGACGACCCAGCGCACGCCCGAGAACTGCGGGAGTCGACTCCGCGCGAGAGAGCCGGACGCTGCACGAAAGCATAGTCACGGTAAGGAAGTAAGTGTATTAGTTTAAGAACGCGACAATTCCGGCCGTAAGTGCATTGTTCTCACGATCAGAAAAGTTCGGGATGATTGTATGTATTTCACGGGATGTAAGTAAGGTGTCGCTAAATAGTACTCTACACTACTACTGTATTCGTAAGTTCGTCATCGTCGTGTTCCATCAGAGCATGAGTCCATCCCAAGATCAGTACCGTCAACGCGAATACAAAGAAAAAGGAAGGCAAGAAGTACAGGAGGGTTTAGTCGTTCGTGAACAGATAAAGCATAAGATATAAGAGAAAGGGCGAAGTCAAGAAGAAACAGGTCACCATCCACCAAACCAGCTCTTGGGAGGTCTTCGGGCTCCTCCCCTCGTCACAGTAACTGTGCGCATGGGCTTCTCTTCTTCCTCTTCCTCCTCAGGGCCAACCTCTTCAGTAATGATCTCCACTGAAGTGGTTCTTGGGCTCGACGACGTAGATGGTGAAGGGATGACAACAGGAGTAGGATTAGCTGCGCGACGAGTGTTGGCGGGGGCGGGCACAGTGACAGTTTGAGTTTGGACGACAGTTCTTGTTTCAGTTTCATAAGCAGTTTCGGACACGATCAACGGTGGAAGTTCTTGGAACTAAGAGTGAAGCAAAAAACAGTCGTTAGCATTGGGTTCGTAAATAATTAGGGGAGAAAAGGCGAAGACTGGAGATCGGAATCAAACTGCTATCACGTGTACGAAGACGCGAGATCGACTTTGAGCAGACGATCGATCACTTCATCGAGACTAAAACGGGACGCGTTCCAGGATTCCGATCTCCAGTTCCACGAGGACGAGGGGGACGAGATAAAAACAACCGTTGTCCCCCAAGCCCGGACGAAGGAGGGGGGAGGGCACGGAGGGGATTATACGGACTGTATATCATGTATGGTAGGATCCTCCTTCGTCTCAAAGCTCTGAACGGCGCGGAAGAGGCGGTGGTGGTACCTTGGCTTGTCTGCGCTTCGCGCCCGGGGGTGGCTGCTCGTACACGTACTCTTCTTCGACAGCGGGGTCATTTCCTAGCGAACTGAAGTGACTGTCAGTGATAGTCTAGCTACGGTGAGGGAGAAACGGCACATACATGAGTTGCTCCATGATCCAGCTCTCGCGACGAGAGGCATCATGTTCGCGGCGGTTTACACTCTCTTCGCGTCTGCTGATCTCGCGCTCGCGCTCCGTAACCTTGAGCTCCCGATCGAGAATGTCCTCAACCCGTGGGCTACCCCAACCAGGGGGTGTCAACGAGTCTTCCTTGACGACTTCCTTGATGATGGTGGCAGCAGGTGCTGTTACCGTCTCAACAGTATGGGAGACTATGCAAGGGGGGCAAGCCGTAGGAGAAGGAATGACGCCACCTGGCGCCCCAATGAGAAGCTCAGCTTCACGGCGGGCAACTTCAGCCTCACGAACAGCAACAGTGCTTTCGCGAGCGAGGAGAGCTTTTGTTCGTTGTGGGGTCAGGTAGCTCAACAGCCCAGTGGCATGGGGATCAGCCGGATCGGCACCTGCTGCTGCACTAGGTGTGGGTCTTGAGGTCAAATTTGAGGGGAGCGATAACATGACCGATAAAACGGCCAAGACGAGTGACAAGACGAGGAGAAGTGTTGTGGACGAAATGGTCCTATGGTGGTGGTGATGAGAGCGCTCACGCTCACGTTCACTGCGATGATGGCGCTCGCCGTGATGAGACGAAGAAGGGTTGGCCATTCTGGCTTGCGTGTTGCTTACTGAACTTGAGGGCGACAGAGACGTCGCTGTCCGGGCGCGGAGGATCGACGTGGTGAAAATGGTGGGAGAGGATGAAAACGCGCGTGGACTATTGGCAAAACAAAGTGAATGATGTTTTGAGGATTTTACGGCGAGGGTAGCACTTGGGAGGAGGGAGAACGATGGGGGGATGAAGAAAAGAGGGAAACCAACTTGAACCAACCTTTTATTTCCCTTTTCAGATAATGAACCGGAGCCAAACATCCCATAACAACACGTGCCCTCAGCATTGCGACAGGGTCGAACAAGCGCCGAGCCATTGTTTCCGCTGTCACATGACCATTGTCCTCCGAATCAGGTGATTCGAAGCGTATCGCGTTTCTGATACACGACTGCAACTCATTCTTCGACGTCGACCACATGGCTCTTCGTCGTTTTGCTCAGACAAACCACGCTTCCACCGCAGATGGCTCTCCTCGTCCCAAATCCTCTGCGTTTGCTTCCCCTGCGGGCTCTCCGCAAGGCCTTCCGACGACACCGCGCAATCGTCTGAGCTTTGGACTGCACCGTTCCCCTGCAGATACACCATCTATTTCATCTTCAGTCCCCTTCGACTGGGAAGCAGCACGCGCTCTTAAACCCCCACCATACGCTTCGCCGAGAGCAAGAGCTAACGGACGCGACAGTCTTGCACCAGGCAATGGACCTAAACAGCCGATAAAACGAGTAGTCAAGAAGAAAGGCCTTTGGGAACGGTCAGTAATCCTCAACATCTCGTAATAATGAAGCTCATAAATCTCTCAGTGTGACTTTGATTCCGTCTCAAATAGCTCTCGAGATCTCTCTCTTCCCAAGCAACGTGCCTCTGCCAGAACCTAAAACCTCCGCCTATATATTGGGTGGCCTCATGCACTTCACTCATCTGTGCACGCGTATCAGTGCAGTTCGAAAAGTCCCCGACTCGGAACAAGGATACGAGGATATGTATTATGAAACTGAAGGCACCCCTTGGTTCGATTGGGTGAGTGTAGAGCATCCTATCCAATCGCTACCTGACCTGACGTATACGAAGACTATGCCCATGACACTCCTTCTCATTGGCGCGTCAATCGGTAACGCTGTGTACCTCTTCAGTCGCATCCAAGTCTACCGCCTCCACCATCGCCCAGAGCCCGTTGGCTCTCCTAGTGCAAAGTTCGTGCCAGATGACGTTGACTTGGAACCATTAGTCCCTACCCCCCTTTCCACCCGCATCCTCTCTTTCCTATGGCGCGCCTTCGTTGCCTTCTGGCGCTTCCTGTTAGGATTGAAGCCACCAGTTACGTCAAGTACAACTCCGGGGAGCAGGGCCAGAGTGCAGCAGATGGAAGTATGGGCACCAGGGGATTTCGAGTTGATGCTGTTTAGCATATATTCCCCAGCCCATTCACTTCTATGGACGGCCACAACGACCTCAAACTGGATGATAATGCTGATTATTATGGGACTTCTTGGTCTTCAAGTGGGTCTACCACTACATTTTCCTTTGATGCGATACTCAACCATGCCATAAAGACCAATGTCCTGTTTTTGTCATATAAAACCCTGCTCAAAGATAAGGAGATCATATCCGCAGAGGTGATGAACGAGTACAACAAATTGGTATTGTTCGCTCCCTCTGTCCTTACGTGTGTGACTTACACAAATCACGTATAGTTCGTGTACCCTCGAGTCAACCCGATCCGCAAGGATGTCGCCGTCATGACACATCAGTCTGAGGTCGTTGATGTTTGGGAGGATCGGTGACCACGGTAGCGCACACACTGATGCCAGTCCCATATACTTCATTGACGCTTTAATGGCATAATTACGCACCCTGATATATAAGTTGAGATACGCTACAAATGAGTATTACTATTGGTGGGTGCGCGACACAAGCGAAGGCCCAAGACTTCGTCACGACTGCAAGATCTTCTTCTCTAACTGTCCTATCCCCATCCTCAAAAGCTCAAATCTCTTCCCAAATACCTGCTGCAATTCCTCGTTCCTCTGCTTCACCGCCCCTTCTACCGTCGTCTGCATTTTCTGTAATGAGGGGAGCACCTTCCGTCTGATGCTATCCTCTAACAACCCTTCGAGTGACTCGATGATTACTTCAGAATTCAGAGGGTAGGTGGGTACTGGAGGGAGATTCTGCGGTGGTGGTTGTGACATATGTGCGGCAAGAGCTGCCTGTATGGCTTGTATCTGAGCATGCTGATTGCTCTGGAATTCCTCCGCCTTGATGAGTCTCTGCTCCACCTATACATCAAGTGAGTCCCTTCGAACTGACAATTTACGGAGACGACTCGCATTATCTGGTTCAATCACTAGTTGGTGTAGCGTCTGCGCCAAATCTGTTATACCATTAGCAACGTCGTCTGCCCCCGAATCCAGTTCCGCTACGTGTTCCTTGAACTCTTCCAAGTCCCTAGCGGCCAGGTCCAATTTCTGTTCTACACCATCCAACTTCTCGCCCACGTCGTCCACCATCTTCTGACTAAGTAGTTCGTCTAGCCGATACTCCAAACGCGCGCCGAGATCATTGTCTACATCATTCGTGAGGGTCGACATGTCGTTCTCGAACGCGACGAGGCGGTCCTCAATGTTGGCGAGACGTTCTGAGAGAGAGTTGAGAGTAGCGGAGGAAGGCGAGGATGAGAGGCGCGGAGATGACGCTGTCCCTGAATGGTCGATACGTTCTTCGTCAGCATCTGACAGTCGCCGACGCTTCGCTGGCGGGCCACCGTTAGTGTCCACTCCATTTCGAGGTTGCAGAGGTGCAGGCCGGGGTTGTCGGCCGGAGATCCCTGAAGACATATCGGAGAGTAGAGCATGAATTTCAGCAGCTGTGCCTTTTAGTTCATCAATGTACTTGGACACATCTTGGGGAGACGTCCGGGCTTGTGGTTGCGGTTGCTGTACAGGCCATGTATCACTGCGAGCAAGCTTCTCAACCTCTTCTTGCACCTTTCGTTCTACCTCTTGCTTCCGCCTGGCCAACGCAGCGAGGCGATCCATGTGAGCAGTTCTGTCCCTCTCGGGCAACGTTTCAAAATGGGTGGTGTTCATTGTCTGGCGCATGGACCGCTCCTCGTCAGCAATCTTTGCTATTTCAGCTTGAAGGCGGACCGCTGTGGTGACAAGACTACAGAACTTTGCCTCAGATATTCGTTGAGTAACCAATAGTGCACTCACCTAATCCGCTCACTCCATACATTCACTTTCTCGTCCATCGACGGTGCCTTCTCAATAGGCTTTCTATGGCTTGTTGACGCGACCGGCATATCTGGTGGAGGGGGGGGAAGAGCAGGCATAGCGGGTGGGGATGATAGCCTCGGTTGTGTAGGGTTCTGGGTCCCTGTCCCTCTCTGTGAATTGTTCGGCGTGGGTGCATTGACCGAAATGGAGGACCGCCGACTGCCCTCATCCCGCGAATCTGACCTCTTTGACCCGTTCTCATAAGGCCTTGGCTCTCTGTCTCGCTCCCGCTCCCGCTCCCGCCAATGATCTCGTCCCTCCTTCGACCTACGCCGACGAGGAGGCGACGGTGAACGGGCACCGTAGCGCATGTTAGGCGGGTCGTGTCTTGAACTGAAAGATGACCTCCGGGGAGAAGCGTGTCCGGAGGCGGAGGAGTATAAGCCCCAATCCGGATCGTCTGGGTGCAGAAATCTGCAACTACGTTGCCGTGGACATGGAGGGTCCTTGGGTTCGCCATTTGAGTGGAAATTCTGGGCAAAATGAGCAACATTGTGGTATATAAATGTGATTTTAGGACATACACGGCAGCGTTTTGGGGCTTTTGGGAAGGCCATTATCGAATTAGCACTGAAAAGGGGTGCCACTGATCGAACACAGTGATGGACGACAGGAACCTTCAAACTTCAAGCCAGACGCTACAGGATGACTTGCGGATTATTGACGGGACGAAAGCCACGCCGGAAATGAAGGATATGTGTGTATTCTTCTGGAGAAGCTCCAACCTTCCACAGTTCGTCGACAACGGGGCAGGAATGGCGGCCTCGTGCCGCGAAGTTGCGATAGGGCGTCAGAGGCGAAAACGCATATCGCCCGGCTAGCTCAGTGGTCAGAGCTTCGTACTTATGAGGTTAACGTGATGCGAGGGTCACCAGTTCGATCCTGGTGCTGGGCACTTGCTTTTGCATCTTTTTGCTCTAACAAAAAAAAACACCCGATGTCACTTCTCACAGCCTCAAGATCAAGTATACAGTCCAGCTGCTCTGGTTCGCATCTAAATTAACTAATATACAATGTTTTACTGACTTCCTATTATGATTTGAACATGCCTTGGAATTTCCGTAGACATGAAGCCGGTTGATAATCTTTACCGCGTCATTAGCTGCATTGCCGTGGTACAGAGACAAGAGTTGAAACGCACCGAAGCTGTCTTGAGGATTGCATGAGCACCTACCTTTGACCCATTCTGACCCGTACGGACAATGTTGAAAAGGCGGATGCATGTACCCCATGTCGCTGAAGAAATGGATCTGGTCTTTCCTAGCGAATAACGCAGCAGCCATGCTATGCACGGGAGCATCACCCCAGCGCTGGTTACGAGGTCAGGCGTGCCCGATACGGTGGCCGAGCGGCCTACCTCGTAATAGAATCCCCCCTTCGAGTCAAGGTGTTTGAAGAACGCTTGGTAGGCGTCGCCGCGCCAGAAGTCCATATCGGCAATTTCGAAATTACTCCAGACTGAGGAAATGCCGAGGTAAGTGCCACGGCCGGAGGCTACATGCAGGCTACATGCTTACAATGGCAAAGATTGTAATTTAAGCCACCGTTATCCGAGAGGAACTCCATGGAATTATTGGCCGATACATACTCAGGGTGCTCATCCATAAACTCTGTCAGGTCAGAGGATTTAGCATTGACTAGGGCCCGCTTTGTTCGCGGAGCAATCACCTCGAACAGCAGACCACAGCGTCGGTATTGTTGGTTGCCATTCTAACAATGACAGCGTCCATCCTACGAGATGATGAAATGCACACTCAGTACGAGGCCCATAAACTCATGGAGGGAGATGATCTTACCATAGACTTTATCGTTGTCTTGCATAAATAGGAATGGATCGTAGTCCACGTCACAGAAATACGTTACATCCGGTCTGGAAGTTATTCATGAGTAAGTATCTGTTACCACGCCAACGCCACACAGCATCACGCATCGAGAGATGATAACGGAGACACTTACTCCACTCTAATCCACATGAAAGTTGGAGTTGAGCTGGACACCGAGTGAGGAATCATCGGGGTTATGCTTACCTCCAATAATAGCGGTAGGGCTGGAGAAGTTCGTGTTGGAAGAAAAACTGGACACACAAAGGCGGAGAGGAAGAGTAATAACGGTCAGGGATGGCGTATAATTATGGCGCGGAGAACCCACCCCAGAATTAAATCGGCACATGTTCCGGTATCTGTAAGTGCGAGAGAAATCGGACCCGGGGGCCGTCTTGGAAGAATTGGAAGACTTACGGAACACTGTCTAAGAATGGTCTAAATTATAGTCCGACTAGATGCAAGATAAGGTGAGACACACCTGCATAGATGATATGCTGGCGCATCATTGCTAGCCGCCCTTGTTCGGCGCGCTTCTCGTCAATCCACGCCGGTTGATACCAATCGTCGGGAGATATCTGTCCGAATTGTATGGGTGCATCTGTGAGAATACGAACGCGACTGACCATGCTAGACGTGAGCCATGTGACGGAGAGAGAAAATAGAAGTGAAGGCATACGTCTTAAACTCGTCGGTGAAAGGCTGCTCGTTCAGAAGGACCCATGGATACTTGTACTTTCTATTGAATCGGTCTTCCACATGCCGTATGCTGGAGATGACACCCTTTAGGTCATTATTCCGGCACAGTAAAACGAATGTGGCATTAGCACGGCGTGTCGCGAGGGCGGGTGAGACGGCCAGCCCAGATACGTTGGCGGGCATGAGGTCAATACGAGGTTGAGGGTCTGTCGTTCCATTGAACGCGTCGAAGTCCATAGTGTAGTTTTGTTGCAGCCATGTCTTCTGCGCAATGACAAGTTGCTGACGGATGGTGTACAATGAGAGTTGAAGATAATCTTCGCGGATGAAGCCTATCAGGATGTGCAAAGACACCTATAGTGGATTATATTAGGTTGTGTATGTAGACAGACGAGAGTGCGGCACGTACAACGACGGCCAAGGTGATGGCCACAAGCCGCCTAGGGGACATGACAGTGGGCATGATAACGTCTTGAAACGAATCTTACAATTGCCAGTTCTTGTAGTCCGCAGTTACATGAGGGGTGCGGTTTGCCGGCCTGGCGATCAAATTTGGGTGGAGCCAACTGAGCAACTGCACGCGCTTCCCTGCTAGCGAATATAGGACCGAATCAACAGCCCTGTTCGGTCTGTAACCACGTCTGACACGGATGGGTGGAGTGTGAAACACTTGTTTATCATTCGATGTCCTTCTTCTAAGCTTGACATGGGGGCGACCGAGGTCAGCACAAGCTCATTGTTTGGTATATGTCCGAGAACGGGCCCTTTTGGGAGCTACCGATGGGATACTGTCCATGCCATGTCCGCCGACGTCGACGTTGTTCCACACAATTTGCCAAAGGTCTCCGAGAATAAACCAGATTTCGACCAGATTGGAGCAAGAACCATCGGGTACATTAACCATCTGTTGTGTGGAGACCACAGCGAGATTGAAGAGCTGATGAGCTCTTGTTCGTGAACAGCATTGCTGATGGTGGTGGAGGTGATGAACAGAGCGTGAGTGGCGCATGAATCTTTCATCATCAAGTCCATCCTAGTCCCCCTGAGTTGGGTGGTAAGCGCGCTTCTGGGCGCCTAAAAGTATTGACATTTGCTTGCGTGCGTGGTTTTTTTCGTTACACACTCAGTTACATCCTCCCATTCACTTTGGCGCAGTAATGGCCACAGCCGACTCGACGGGCAAGGATGGAATCTTTGATCCCTACGCGCCATCTGCGCCGTTGACAACGAAACCGTCGTACTGGATACCTCTGTCGCCCTTTAACGACATGTACGACCGCTTCTCGCAATGGCGCGCTGACCTTGGCCTGCCGCACCCGGGGACCGTGGAGAATCTCCAAAAAGAGGTGAAGAGTGAGTACAGCTGCGCACCGGCGGTCGGACAGGTGACTGAGCATTTGTGCAGGTACTCATTTGTCCAATTTCATCTTCGACGGTGCCCGGGCGGACTTGACGAAGAGTTTGTCAATGAACCCTCTGTTCCAAGTGACACATTCTTTTGCTTTGGGCTCTCAAACGGCTCCTTCATCATACAACTTTGGGGCCATATTTGCCAACCAAAACGTACGGCACAACGTGTTCGTTCAATGGCGTCAGTGTTGACCTTTCTATCAGATCTTCCTGCAAGGTGGAGTGGACCACGACGGAAATGTCAATGCACGCTTCAACCAAGGCTGGAGTGCGCAGAATGTCACGAAGTTCCAGGCTCAAGTACGTGTTCGCAACAATTCTGCCGAAAAACTCGTTTGAACCCGAGACGTCCCGTATAGTTTTCGAATCAGCCCGGGCACAATATGATACAGATAGAACATGACTACACCGGTTCCGATTTCTCGCTGAATGGCAAGGCCCTCAACCCCTCGCCAACGGACTTGACCGGCATTTACGTCGGCAGTTACCTTCAGTCCTTCACTAAAAACATCGCTCTCGGCCTCGAGACCGTGTTCCAGCGACCATCTCCCGACCTCTCGGACACCACGACTTCCTTCCTCGCTAAATACACCGCCGATGACAAAAACTGGATAGCTACTGCGCAGGTACAACCCGCGGGAATTGTCCAGGCTACATATTGGCAAAAGTTGAGCGAGAAGCTGGAGGTTGCTGCGGATCTACAGCTACTTGCCATGCCAACGCGTCGGGACGCTGTGACGACGCTGGGAGCGAAGTACGACCTTCGGTTGGCTAGCTTCAAGGCACAGGTGGACTCAACGGGTAAGGTGTCGGCGTTGCTTGAGCAGCGGTTTACACCTGCGTTCGCATTCCTTATTGCTGGTGAAATCGATCACTTCAAGGTGCGCATTTCACTGCCTGTCGCCGTTCCCTGCTAATTTCTATCTTCGCACTTTAGAACTCTGCGAAGGTCGGCGTCGGTGTGATGATTGAGAGCTCGACTCTGACACCAGAGGAAATGGGCCTGCCTCCTCAACCATACGGCATATAATGTTATATCTTAGACTTATTACGGACGTTCGTGGCACCTATATCATAATTGCGCTACATCTGGGTCTTTAAGCCTGGCAATATGCTTACGCTGCTTCACGTCGGCAGCACTCGCTTTGTCATAGTTTGGAATCATCTATTGCATTATTACCACCCACTCTCACACCTTGCCATGGCGAACACGGATACTCTGCTCGACGTCCACGGCCTCTCGTGCGTCAAAGATGGGCAGCCGATTCTCAGCGACGTGAGTTTTGTGGTGAACGAGGGTGATGTGTGTGTCGTCCAGGGGAAAAGCGGTTCGGGGAAATCGACGCTGTTGAAGTGTCTAGCTCATCTCACATTATATGATGGCGATATTCACTACCGAGGCAGGTCAGTTCGTCAATGAGCCACGATGCATTGTTGGATAGCTTATCGTGATGCCCCACAGAACCCCCAAGAATATCGGTAATTAATGAAATGTACAAAAGTTGAAAGTCCTGTATTCATACCTCACCAGGAATACCACAGTATCGAACCCGAGTGCTATACGTCCCGCAAAGACCATCACTGCTGCCTGGGACTCCCCACGAATTCCTGCAAGCCATAGGATCTTTCTCCGCACGGAGATTGTCCGGAACAAAGAAAGCGGTCGCGCAAGCACAATCGGACTTGGAGGAGCGTGCAAAGGGCCTCGCCAAGGCATGGGGTGTCGATAACGGCTTGTGGTACAGAGACTGGTCGAGTTTGAGCGGTGGAGAGTCGCAGCGAATCGCGCTCGCTGCTGGGCTGGGATGCGACGCGGCTGAGGTCTTGCTGCTAGATGGTGCGTCCCCCTCGATGCTCGCAATTCACGATTCGCACTAACCGTAAGAATTTTGTAGAGCCGACATCTGCTCTGGATGCCGAGACGTCGCTGCTGGTCGAGAAATCGTTAACGGGGGAGGTTAAATCTGAGGAGGCGGAGGTAAAAGCAATAATATGGATCACGCATTCTGAAGAGCAGGGCGGCAGAGTGGGAACGAGATTTCTGCAAGTCCAAGGAGGAATCTGCAGCGAAGAGCGACTGCCCGACGTTTAGCAGCAGCACTAGAGTAGCCCCTGAATAAGATGCCACGTGATGATCTGCATATCGCTTCGGTGGCGATGCGCTCGTCGCCAGAACCATTTCAGAGCCAAGTCCCACACTGGCTTTCTGTTTCCTTTCCTTTTCTTCCATCTCCTCCTTGTTCCCGCAATTTCAGCGGTCTCGGGGACCCAAGATGATGACCCCCATGCGCTACGTGCTTCTCGTGCTCGTCCTGATTGTATGCACGCAGTTTCGCCACGTACATGCCGAATATTGAATCCTTGCTTCTTAGATCAGCTTGCACTACATTCTCAGCTTCTCTCATGAGGGCTACGGGGAGGCCACGTCTATCACACATATTAAGGAAAAGCTGCAGGGCAGCAGTTCGACGCAGAAGCCAGAAACATTCAATGTCGATGATGGGTTGGCTCCAGGTGCCAAGGCTAACGCAACTTTCGTGATTCTTGGTGCGCAGTTGTCTGTAGATGATGAGCTGGACGGTTCTGACACTCTGTGTATGTGGCAGCCCGGAACAGTGATCTGGCAGGTATCTCCAGCAGCATGAAACAGATGGAGGACCGCTTCAACAAGAAGTACCAATATCCTTACGTCTTCCTCAACGAGCAGGAATTCAGCGAAGAATTCAAGAGGTATGTGTAGCGTAATAACTAAAGATAGTATACTTATCGACCGGCAGTCGTGTCACTGAACTCACGGACGCAAAAGTCGAATTCGGACTTATCCCTCACGATGACTGGTATCAACCCAAGTCGATCAACGAGACCAGAGCCACGGCAGCTAGAGAGAAGATGGTACAGGAGTCTGTCATCTATGGAGGTGCGTGTCAATCATTACCTTGCTCCATATCAGGTTGCTCATCCGTTTATTTAGGTAGTGTGCCGTAAGCACTTTCCATGGCTTAGCTTGTCATTACACACTGACATGAACATGCATGATCTAGGTATCGCAACATGTGTCGCTTCAACTCTGGCGTATGTCCCTCCTGTTGACGACGTACGTCTATCACTGACGTCGACATTAGTTCTTCTGGCGCCACGAATTGCTCGCCAAATACAAATACTACTGGCGTGTCGAGTGAGTTCTCAACATGTTATAGCGAGCTTGAGTTTCGCTCATTGTGTGTGCCAGGCCGGATGTCACATTCTTTTGCGATCTGCACTACGATCCTTTCCTTGTCATGCAAGAGCAGAAAAAGGTTTACGGTGCGTTTCATCCCAGGAAATATAACCTTCACAGAATTCATCGCTGCACCACTAGGCTTCACCATCTCTCTTTATGAGTACGAAGCGACCATTCCTACGTTGTGGAACGCTGTCAAACGTACGTACCCTTCTCACCAATCCGCAGTCTCGTTGAAACTGACAATTTACTTTACACCTGCAGAATTCATCCACGCCAACCCCGAACTAGTCGAACCAGAAAACGCAATGGCCTTCCTGTCTGACGACGGCGGTGAAACGTATAACCGATGCCACTGTAAGTACCTTCCACCTACCTCTCCCTTTTTCCCGTACATCCCACCTAACGACGTATCTCTCTCTGTTTCAGTCTGGAGCAACTTCGAAATTGGCGACCTAGATTTCTGGAGAGGCGAGGCCTACCGCAAATTCTTCGACTTCCTTGATGAACAAGGCGGTTTCTACTACGAGGTACGCCCCTTGATCCAATTAATCAGAATCGAGCACTGAAAATCTTTCCGCAGCGATGGGGCGACGCGCCGGTACACAGCATCGGTGCTGCGCTGTTTGCTAAGAAAGAGGAGATTCATTTCTTCAATGATATAGGTTTGCTGTTGATCGTTTCTTACCTTTCTCAGCAACTCACCTCAATGTGATGCAGGATACCGACACAATCCCTTCCAACATTGCCCCCAGCAGCCAGCGCACGCACACGGGAAGTGCTGGTGCGACCCAAAAGACAACTTCGGTAAGTCTATGTATATACCAGCGGTCTTCAGTCCTTACATCCCATGGGACAGATTACGAATGGTATTCTTGTCTGAAGAGATACGAAGGCCTTTTCAAGTAGACTCTCGGGCTAGGGTTGCTGGACTTGCTTGTAGTATATAGACACGCTTCGTAATTATTGCTTGCTATCGCTAGGAGTCTCGTGCTGGAACATCCCACGTAAGTACCAACGCGAGGACGGCTTGACGTGCCGCATATATGCACCCTTCGTGGCCGACTAGGATGAGAGGAAAGGGAAGATAAACAGTCAACCCATTGGGATCAAATGCCTTGCGGGAGCCGAAAGGTGACTGCGAAGCCGAACATCCCTGTCGATTACCTCTTGCTGTCTGAGCCTCCAGTTGTTGTTATCCTTCCGAGCCCTGCTGTGGGTTAGGTTGGCATGCAAGATATATTTCGCTACGTGCGCAGGGGCGGGTGGTACATACGTGTGCCAGTCATATGGACGCACGTTTCGTGGCACTCCCGGCTGGAAGTTTCTCAGACAATCAAATTACTTTCACAGAATAGATTGTGAGTAGTATTGATACTGTTGTACGCACATTCAAGTTGAGAACGATCGTCATGAAATGGATGCACAGAAGACTCACTGAGTCGTACAGCCTCGTCCAGTTAGACCCAAGAGAATTATCGATCAAACGTTCAACGTGTTCAGCAACGAGGGAATGTGTGAGTGCTGGTTGGAAACGTTCGCGGAATTGTACAGCTGTTTGTTCCCCGAAGGCGGCAAAACATGGCAGTGTCGAATCTGATGTTGGTATTGGTTAGTATGTCCTGCTCAAGCCCTTTATATAGAGATATGCCTGCCTTTCTGCATCAATTCAACGAGAGCTGTAGGAAGTGAGTATCAACAGAGACGTAGAAAATGCAGACAAAGAGATTCCGTACTAATCAATTCATCACAGTGCTTGCGCGCAGCTTCGAATCCTTCGCGGAACAACCGTCTAAACTCCAAGAAAGGCGCCCCTGTCACGCCTCCTAATATTTCCACATACTCAGGGGGCAGTTTGAATGGCGCGGCCTCGAAACCAATGTTGCCAGGGGAGTTCGATAACATGAAGCCAAAATCAATGTGTATCAGATGCCCGTCGCGATCCAAGAGAATATTGCCATTGTGACGGTCTTTAATCTGCAGAAGGTAGGTCACCACAGAATAACCTAATCATACGTTAGGAGGGTCCGAAGCGAAGTCTGCAATGATTACGGTTCCATACCTGCTAGTGATTTGGCGAAATTTCTCTGAGCGCGAGCGAACTTGGCTGAAGATGGGTCCCCGTATGTCTAGAAGAACTGAGTCTGGCACAAAGACGCTTCGTATTTCCGACTTACCGATTTAAAGTGATCAAGCAATGTAACATGTCCGAATCGACCCTCCGCAAGCCGACGGGCGTATTCCGCTTTCTTGATGGAATGAATGGACACTGCGTCTGTAATGGTCTCCACCAAGCCCGATGAACCGCCCGTTATCAATATTCGAAAGCTATAGGTCTAGTAAGTGTTGCTCTCCCCATTCGAGCAAATCAACGTACTATCGAACCCAGCACTGGCAATTCTCTTCCTTCCATATCCGCTCAAACTGCTGTATCAGTTGAACAGCTAGTTGCTCCTGCCTGAGATCGCCGCCAGTCTTCACAATGACAGAGACACAATCCCAGTTAGCTAGTAGAGAATGTAACTACTATTGTACATAATGAAGGGTTTGGCTCACCTAAATGGCCATATGGAGAACCGTGTCGTATTCTGCTCTGCGAGTGGGTCAATTATGTCTCGATTAATGAGTGTCACATATTGACTGACTTTCTTGACTGCCCAAGATTCGCTGAACACGACGGCAGAGGGATCAGCTTTGTTGAGTTCACGCCGAATGATGCTCTCATCTTCGGCTGATTTCAAAGAACCACTGATATCCATGGGCATGATATCTTGAGGATCCCCGCGCATTCGTTCGACGCGTTCTTCTTCCAAAGCAATCATTTCCTTCATGATGCGATCTCGGATAGCATACGCCTCGGAGGGTTGCAATCGCATCCTTGTTGGCGCGGGCTGCGGATGATCAATGGGGGAGTTCACGCCATTTTGTGAGGGTGACGAGGGTGTTGAATGATCAAGCAGCCAGCGTGAGCCAGGAAGCCAGCTCAAAGGTCCAGACGATGATTCCGGCAGTATAGGTTGGCCGTTTGGTAGTGTAACAGACGTTATGGGTTCGCGAACAAGATTCAAATTCAACTGCGCAAGCATTACTGCCGCTGTACGCATTCTTTCTGAATAGTCGTCCAGCGTCAATATTTGGCTCTGTGGTGTCACGGATGCCATGGTTGGCGTCGCCGCGGGGGAAGGTCCGAAAGAAAAGCTGGGAGAGATATGGAGATTCGGGCGGCCTCCAGCGAAGGGTGTTCCCTGAGAAAGAGCAGGAGTGGTTGGTTGTGAACCTAATCTTGACCAGGCCGCCATATCGAGTTCCTTATTCTTTGGAGCTGGCCGCAGGACGATGCTGTCAGAGAGGTCCACTGGGACAGAACGAAGTGAATGTTCGGCGCCATACAACTGTTCCACCAAATCAATCTCTTCCTCATCCGCGGGCACGGACGTGGAGGTGATCGGCGACGCAGCGAACGCGGGGCCTGGAATCGTGGAAGCGTTTGCATCTGCTTCTACACCAGTGCTGGGCTCTGTCGGCAAAGTCTTGCTTTGCGACGATGGGATGTTGAAAGGGATCAAGTCCTTGGAGGCACCCTTGCGCTCGGATTCCTTGAGAACTATCTTCCTAAGCACGTCCTTGTTATTCCGCTTGCTTGGATCAAAATCCAAATCGTCATGCAATATTTCGATGAGAAGCAAGTACGGCGCCCTCTCAGCCGAGTTGAGAACCACACTTTCGCCAGGAGGAATGCGGACTATGCGGTGGTGGGGTTCTGAGGAATTGCCTTCCCGGGGTGTGTCCGTCGAAGAGCACCACATTGGCATGCAGACCTGCGTCGTGTTAAATCTGTAGGATATTTTAAATATGAACCATGCATACCTCTGCTGGGAGTTTATGGTTCAAGGCGGTTAGCTCTGCTCTCAGTGCACTAACACGAGCAGGTTTAGGTATCACAAGAAGCCGGTTGGATATATTCTCTAACGCGAGTATGAATTGGACCTGAGCAACGTTTCAGTTCACGTCCAACCACATATGGAACACATCAGGATACTAACCTCTGATCGACAAAAGTGGCCGCGGAGTAAATGGGATTGTGCAAACGGGTCGTACTTCTGCAAGAGGCTATCACCGTAATTATAAGTCGTATTCCGCGACGGTACGATGCGCGAAGAAATGGACGGCGAAGACTGATACGGAGCCTTGGGAGACGAAGGCAACTCATCGTCGGCCAAACCAAGAGGATCCTCGGAGAAGCGTGACGACTTTATGTCGGCGAGGAGGTGCAACGGTAATGCGGGGGTGGTCTGGGCCGCGCTGACTGTCTTACGATGAGGGAGTTGCTTTGGACGATCCGCATCATCTATAATCAGTCCTAGGCCCCGAGGTTGATTCTGGGGAACACGAGTAGCGGTCCCCGGGCTGTCAGGCTCGTCATCGTCCGCATCTGCGGGTTCGTCGACGGTGGAGGCGTGTACAGTGGGTTGGGGCGCCGTGTCGTCATTTCTGCCGCCTATATCTCGAATAGATGCGCGCTCCTGGTCCGCCCTTCCTTGCTCAATAGCTACTTGGCCCATGATTTCGGTCAACGGTGGCATGGCCGGTACCCCCGCCAAAACCATACCGATCCCTACCAGCGCTGGTTCTGCATTTGGCTTGACCTTTTTGCGAAGTAACCTCGCCTGGAAAGGTAAATTCAATGATGCGTACGGTGCCGTCGCAAGCGGCGGAAGATCTCCGAATATAATTTCATGGCATTGGTGCAGGACACGCTGGCAAATTAAGAAAGACAGGCTATCGTGGCGGGAGACGGCCAGGTCCTTCAACGCGGATTGCATGAACCATAGCGTCTGTGAATTAGTTGAGCGCATTTATTTCATCTATTTGGGATGATTTGATCGCAAGAACGTACCAGAAGCGCAATATGGGTAGATCTTTGGGCTGTTTCTACCACAAAGGCCTCCAGCGCACGCGACTTGGTGTTTCTAGTGACAAGGAGATGACTTGAATCTAGAAGTGAGACGCAGCGAACGATGAGGTGGTGGTAAGCTCACCATACGAAACCCCAGACGTCGCGCAATTCACGGGTATTGAATTCCCTAAGCCTACGGGTAAGGTAGTAGGTGATTCCTATATTGTCGGCGTAGTGGTTGAGGTACTGGAGGGCGACATGGACGGAGAAGAAGGAGGAGGAGAGGAAGAGGCGCAATAGGAGAGCATGGGACATGAGAGAACACCTCCAACCGATCACAGGTCCCTTGCTTACCGCCGCATTTGGAAATTTCCACCTTCACTTCCTTCCACGTCAACACTCGCATAGATGAGGTTCACGCACCTCCTCCCCCTCCTGCCGCTGTGCTGGGCGGCCTCAAAGGATGCGCTCAACACGCTTGTCGACCTCGCTGCTGCAAGCAACGGTCTCATCAACCTCGACGGCAATACCTTCGACCTGTTGACTTCGCCGAAGCGCAACTGGTCGGCCTCCATTCAATTCACTGCCATGGACCAACGGAGGCGATGTGCACCTTGCAGGTGAGACCAGACTATGGAATCCACGCTCAGCATCATTTAGGACCGTGTCGCAGAGAATTTGACCCGTCGTGGGTTGAGGTAGCCAAAGCATGGTCCAAGACGCCAAAAGAGCATCGTGACCAGCATTTCTTCGCGACGCTCGACTTTGATAATTCCCAAGCAACCTTTCAAAAGGTGCGTGCTGTCTGTAGTGCTGGTCACCATAACTCTGAAACGTGCATATGCAAAGCTCGGCCTGCAATCCGCGCCTGTCGTCTTCGTGTACCCTGCCGCAGAGGGACCTCGTCAATTGCCCAGCGGGCGAACCACCCCCTCGAAATATGACTTCTCACAGTGCGTACCAATCTATGACGGCACATATTTGTAGCTTACAGGGAGATTGCAGTGGCTTTGAAGCCGGACCTTTGGCAGAACACCTTTCCAATCACACCCCCATTCCTATTCCATACAAGGCACCTTTCGATTACGCTGGCTGGACGCTCACTGCAGTCGGCGGACTTGCATTCCTTTTAACACTGCGCTTCATCTCCCCCATCCTTCAATCCCGCTGGACCTGGGCCGCCGGTAGCATCGTCACCATGCTCGTCATGGTCTCAGGTTTCATGTTTACTCGTATCAGAGGTTCACCTTTCACCGGTGGGGACGGTTCGTGGATTGCTGCTGGTTATCAAAACCAATACGGACAGGAAGTCCAGGTTATTGCCATGATTTGTGAGTGTCTGAGATCAATGCCGCGTCAGGTTAGGTGACGTGTAACTCTTTCCAGACGGTATCCTCGCTGCGACTATTGTCATTCTAATTGTCCAGACACCCAAGCAAGCTTCCCCCAACAGACAAAGAATGCAGATTTACGCGTTCACCGCAGCAAATCTCCTCGTATACTCCATCTTGGTGACCATCTTCAGGGTCAAGAACAGAGGTACGTTCGCGATAATATGTTCTATATCTGACTTCTCATCGTGAAATGTAGGATATCCATTCAAACTATTATTCTAAACTCTGTATGAGTGATAAACGATCTTCACATTGCTCTATGTCCCTACTGAATGCATAATAAGATCAATGCTACTCACATGTAGATGCTTGTGTTTAATTTATGCGAAGAAGAGCAAAGAAAGGTATAAACTATGTCAATAACCGTGCGCGTATGTTAATTCGCCCCCTCCCCTGAGAACACGTCCACGTAGCGACTGCGGATGTTACGCTTCGTTGCTTGAGATTTCGGCCGTGGTGGTGGTGGGCCGCCGTTTGGTGACAATCTCATGCCAGTTGGTGTGCTAGGAGCGGACTCCGCTGTAGGGGGAGGCGCTAAGTTGGAACGGACGCGCATCACTGTTTTGCTCGGAGGCGAAGTGCTCAGGTCGATCGCAGATGCTGCGCGAGGCGGCGGTGGCGGGGCAGAATTTCCCCCTCCCATCGAGAAATTGGACGTTCTCCCGGGGGAAGCTGTCTGCGCTCTTGACGGTGGGGGTGGCGGGGCAGCTGGTTTGGGTGCATTCTCCGCACCCGCCTTCTTGTTAACCCAGCGCTTTGTTTCTGGGTCATAGTAGAAGGACGTCTCTTCTCCCAAATTGGCTTTGATTGGTCCAGGGGCGTCGCTCTTTTTCCAGAGTCGGCTGAGACTGAACCAAGATCCCGTCTGGCCTTCATTCGGTTGAGGGTCTGAGAGAGCGTCAGAACATACATCGATGGTCGCTAATAAAAACATACCTGATTTTTTGGGCTGCTCTGCAGGTGGCGCAGGGGAAGAGGATGACTGAGCATCTAGACCCTTCGCGTCTTTCTTCCTGCTACCATTATTACCCAAACCTAAATCGTCGTCGTCGTCCGCTGGGGAGTAAGACTGAGGCTTCCCACTACCACTAGAATAAGTGGGCGAGGGTGTTCCATATGATGGAGTGTCCATCAATGAGATGAAACCGTCTGCCGACTCAGTGACGGGCGCATCGACCTTCATGAATGAGCTGGCCGTGGGGGTTTGATTGGAAGCGTTCTGTCCGTAGGAAGATGCGCCCCACCAACCGACTTCCTGGCCAGCATCCTCGTGATCGTCACCCACAGGCCGTGGTGTAGCCATCTCTTGCCCAGGACTGGGGATTCCGTTCGGACTATAAGGGCTTTGATAGGACTGTCCGAACGAAGGAGCCTGCGCAAAGGTCGTTGCCGTGGCACTTGCAGATGCTATGCGTGGCACAGGCGAAGGTTTACGCCGTATGTAATCCATGGCAGACGATGCACGATCAATATGATTGTGTCCGTTGGGATTGGGAAGGCCCACAGGATACGCGTGCAACGACGGCTGCGGTGACGAACGAGCGGATTGAGTAGCGGATGAAATGGAGCTATAGTGAGAGAACGGTCCAAATGGTTGCGAATCTGCCTTAGGTTCCGCTACTGGACTGCCAGGATCCGTATCTCCCGTCACAAGCTTGGTAAATCTTCCCTCCAACCAACCGCCAATCGAATCCAGACTGGGCTTGCTTAACTTCGAGCCTATCCATGAGCCGGTTTTATCGAGATTGGGAGCTCCAATCAAACGGTCCATTAAACCTTTGAGTTGCTCAACAAAGATCGGTGTGAAGTACGGAGACCCTCGGGTGAGAGCAGCTGTGATCGCTTCACAATACCTGAAAAAAATCAAGTTCAACATTGGGAACAGTATTGGGCAAGTAGACAAACCTGTTTGCTTCCTGGACATGGCCAAGTTCGGCCAGAGCCATGGCGCGCATGAATCGGTAAGCCTGTAGATGAGGGAAACCATTGAAAGATTCCTGTCCTTTCGCTGGTGTGACAAGAGACAGCGCAAACTCAAAGATCTCAGTAAAGACGATAGGGTCGGAATCTCTTGTAAAGCCAGACCAAGTCTGAGGACTCCGACTCCCAAGCAATACAATACGGGCAGACGGATTGCCGATGCCACCTATTGGGGATGTCTGCGGGGAGAGAAGATAGCTTGGGGGAACAATTAGTCCCGTTCGTACAAGCGGTGCACGACTACTCACCAAACGTGAGCGGCTTCTATCCATTGGTTGGCAGCCAACTGATCACCCAGTGCAGTCAAAGCAGCGGATATTTCCGATGTCAATGGGTTGGTCAACATCATCGCAATCGTTTCAGGCCAAGATGCCAATGTATCCGAAGGTATTGGTGTAGATGGGATCGGAGAACTGAAGTTCGGGGTTAAAGGTGTCGGTGTGAGTTGATTCAACTGAGGTAGTGTTAGGGTTGGTTTGCCTTGAGATAACAGTGTATGAGGATGCAACTCTTGTACTAGTAGGATGAATATAAATAAATTAAGAATGTATATGAAGTGACGATCAAAAGCAACATACCAGCAGCAGCCCCTTGACCGGAGAAAAGACTGTATGCCACTCTCAGAGCTTTACGGCCGTGGTTAGACTGTCGGGAGGACGCGTGCATTGACGGCGCTGTGCCATTAACGACTTTCGATGCAAGCTCGACCTTCAAGAACTCGTTCACTGCTTCCTTCCACGACTCCTTATCGATGCCACTTGCGATCACCAAAGCGTGGGCCCAGAGTTTTTCATCAAGAGCATAATGGTAAGCTTTCTTGCGTTCACCACGGACGAGGAAGTCCTGGATTGTGTCCAGAGCGGAGGAACGTAAGACCGTCGTCGAAAGCGGCGTCTCGCTGTGCACATCCGGTACAACAGATAGTCCAAGGCCAACCATAGGCACTGGCGTTTCAGCGGCCACACCTACACTGTTCTCCAAATGAGGAATCAACGCTGAGCGGACTGCCGAGTCGATCTGAGAACTGGAGACATTCAACACTTGATGACACTTTAGAATTAGGAAGCAACGCACGTTCCAGACAGTTTCCCATCGTTCTCAACCATGACCTTCAACAAGTTGACAAGAGCAAGTTTCCCCTCTTCTCTGCGACCTTCCGTAGTTCCGGCATGTACATAACTAAGTCCCTGTGTAAGTTCCTCCGCCCGTTCCTCTAAATACTTCACCACCCGAGCCTTCTTATTCTTGGTCTGCGAGCTGGCGCCAGTACGCACAAGGCTGGTTGTAGGTGTACCAGGATCAGAGAACAAAGGCCCAGGGAAGGAGGCTGAAGATGCATTCAGAGCTGATTGAGAAACCAAATTCTTCAGCACTCGTATCTGGACGCCTGTTGAGTTTCGTGCAGCTAGCGCCACATCGAACCCAGTGTTGAGGGAGTCGGCGCCATGGAAGCATGTAACCACCTTCCCTCCAAACCCAAAGCTGAAGATAGGGACGCGAGCGGAAGTGCGACCCAGAGGATCATTGCTACCCATTAGTGAGGGGGAGGGCGCATATGCAGACTGGTTGGGCTTGATTATCAGCTCTTGTTCACCACTCACGAAGGAACTATACGCCGACGTTGGTGTATACCCATACTGTGAAGGTTCGTTGAGCTGTGGCGACATATAAGGAGGTTCGCTGATGGGGAGCGTCTGCCGACGATCAAGCTTTGCTGGAGCGTATGGATCTTCTTTACCTTGCAAAGAGTAAACCGAACCGTTGGACATGGCTCTATTACGAGCATCCGATAAATTCGGTGACGTGACTAGAGGCTGCGGTGGGCTATACGTGGATGGTTGATATGCAGGAGCGTATCCATTCTCATCGACCGAAGAGGGAGCATACGGGTTGTACGGAGCCGGCTGAAACTCCGGAGAAGCAACGTGATTCAAAGAGGCGGGTGAAGCAGTCCTAGGGATGGAGCTGGGACTAAACGCTCGACTGACTACCGGAGAACTCGAGTTCTGTATTGATCTGGAATCATTGTAACTCGGGGTGAAGGCTCGTTTCGGAGGAGAGATGTCTTGAGATGCTCTCCGAGAATGAGTTTGAGGAATGTTCGGTGACGCTGTTCTCGGAACAGTAGCATTGTGTCCTAAGGACGGAGAGTAATGCTGGGTTGGCGGAGATGTGGATAGGCCTTGATGTCCCATGAAGGGGGACGTGTGTCCAAAGACGGGGTGGTCATGTGAGACGGACGGGAGCCCAAGGTCGTGCATTTGAGAAGTTTCCAACGGCTGCTGGGCAGGAAGTCCGGACACGGTATTGAAGAATGCTTCTGGGTTGGCGACGCGTGCCTGGTACGCTGCTTGAGTTTCATGAACCACTGCTGGGGATCCATTCGTAGAGTATTGTGACTCGTAAGAAGGCTGTTGGATATGGCTGTGAGTGTTGGTAGCTGGGTACGTATTGAGTGCAGGACGGGAGCTGGTCCGTCGAGCAGGCTTAGTGGTTGTGGGAAATGGTGGATCATAGGCGTTCACAACTTTAGGCCTGACTAGAGGTGCTTTGGGGGGTGGTGGCGCGGAGATGGAAGGTGGTTCAGACGTGGCAGCGGTAGGGTATGGTGTATGAGCAGGTGGCTGATACGGCACATCGTATTGGGAAGTTGTAGTAGTCCCCCCCGCAGTGGATGCAGCCGGCGTGTACGAGTGAGCGGGAGCCACCGTGTAACTAGCACTTGTCGCCTGCGTGGGCGCGTAAACGTCGTACATATGACTTGCTGGTTCCACGAATGCCTGTGACACGGTCGGGCCGGCGGAAGCTTGGACAGGCGCATACGGGTCATACGGATGAGCAGAAGAGTTTGGGGTAGACTGAACCACCGAGCCATTGTCAGCGTGCGGCGGGGGTGCGTACGGGTCATATGAATGAGAGGGTTGGGTTGGCGGAACTGCCGCCGCCGCCGCCGAACCATTTGTATACGGCGCGTATGGGTCATACGGATTAGATGCGGGAGCTTGGAACAACTGAGACCACATATACTACCTTATTCACTAGGTTCCACTCACCAGAAGACCATGTATTGGCCTGCTGCCCGCCGTAGCCATGGCCATTCACTTGCGTGTCTTGCCATCCGTGGCCGTGACTGTAGTTTTCGTCGTAATAGTTGATGCCACCGTTCGTGGCAGGTATAGAGTAGGACGCCTGTGCACTACCATAGGTCCCTGCGACTTCAGCCGTCGATGGTAGGTTTGGTGGCGGGGGTGAGTTGGCCGCCGACGGTTCTAACCAATAATCCGAGTTGGTTATGGATCCATTGCCGTTGTCAGTTTCCTCGGGTGCACCCAACGAGGCAAATGGATCTGGCGTCGAGTCGTCCGACCCAAAGAGTGAAGCAGCGGCCTCGACAGTGGTCATAGTTCAGCAGAGGATGCTAGTGGAGAATGACCGAGGATGTTTCCCTTACCACGTCAGGACATGTTCGATTTTCCCACAAAGGCTCAAAATGAAAAATAGTGGAGTGATTTATCAAAGTACTGCAAAATCTTGCCTTGGGATTGGCCTCACAGTATCATGGAAATACAACCGTTATTAGCTGCTTGGGACAGCCTAATCCGCGGAGGAATACCATAAGTGCCCATTGGTGACGGTATCGGCAACGAATCTACAGCTCACTAACTTCAACCAGTCAGAAGTGCACGAATAATATCAATTGGTGTTCTTGGGTAACCATTAACGCTGGTATATAGGCTGTATGTAAGGTCGATGACAGACGGTCCAGCGCGAAACAACTATTAAGGTACTATCGTAATCGGGAACTCATATAAACGACCGTATATACTAGCGAAGTGACGGGGGGAAGGAGTGTATTCCATATGGACAGTTCGAAGATGCGCAAGGTAAAACTTAGAAAGCAGTGATAGTACCCGGAGGACAAATGGACACAAAGCAAGCTGAAAGCATTACGAGTCCGAATAGTTTATGTATGGATGGTAGTGGAAAGGGGGACGTGCGAAGATAACGTGTAGAGATATGCTAGCGAGGCGAAATAAGGACTAAGGTCCATGAGACGGATTAAGAGGTCGTAAGAACCTTATGACGAGGAGGTAGTAGGTGGGGCGGGCTCAGAAATTAATGGACCGTGATACTTTTCAAGCAGCCGTTCAACTAGGAAACGGGGATCAGCGATAGTGACAAGAGCTCTCACACAACACACTCACTGGCGAGAAGGTGCTTATTATAAGCATTTGACACTCGACGCATAGTCGCGAGCTGCGGCTTGACGGCATTGAACAGTTCTTCGCGCTGATCTCCTTCAGCCACGGTCATCGCTCGCTGAAGAACATAGTCTGAAACATTCATGAGCGACAGTTCCTAAGGAGAAAGGACGCCTTGAAAACTTACTCCCAAACTGATCCTTCATCATGACAACGACAGGATTGCTTCCATCAGACTGCACAGTCAGAATCTCTTCGATAAGGGTGCGGCGACTTTCCGTGGGCGCGCAAACCAATGCCTTTTCCACAACGTTCGATGCAAATTTGTGTCGAGCCATGTGGAGTAGCTGTCCACGAAGCTTGTTGACAACAAGTGCTCTATCCTGGGGTTGACCATGCTCCAAAACAAATTGGATAACATAATTCTGCAAAAATTTGTTAGTCTGGGAAGACACGGCGACCAAGCGCAGATCTTACCCCGAACTGATCCTGCATTAAGTTGATTGTGTACTTGTGTAATTCCTCGATAATCGGGTGGGTGAGCGTATGTGGGAGGTGCTCAAGGCATCGTTGAAGTACTCGGCAACCGTACGCGTGTGTCGAGAGCTCGAATACTGCCCCACGGAAAACGTCCACGAATACCAGTCGCTCGGGAGCGACACGCTCAATTATCTTCTGAATAACCTGCAACAAATGTGTTAGGCCAAGTAGAGAGGCAATCAACGGGTTGACTTACATGATTACCATTAGCATCCTTGACGCATCGGAGAACATGTGGTTCTATCTCCTTCAGCAGTCCCGTTTGCTGTTCGGGCGTTATGTACTCGACAGCCTAAGCGAGTAGTCGTTAGATAACCTGCCGTATAGGAAGAACACAGAAGACATACCCGTTGAACAACGCGACAGCCATACATATGAAGCGATAGTGTAAGAATGTGACCTTCCATAGCATTGACAATTATTGTGCGCTGAGCAGGAGTACCGTGCTCTAATAATTTTTGGATAACCTGTCATTCGGATGATTAATAAATAATAACGAAAATCATGAAAGAAATCAATACTCACATAATTACCAAACACGTCAGAAACGAGGCCTATTATATGTCCTGGCGTTATCTCGTCGAATACGCGTTGCTTCTCTTCGGCGGTGGCCGTCTCGAGCCGCTGTTGTATGAAACGCGACCCATGCTGATCACCGCTGAATTCCACCACGAAGCCGAAGATATCCTATGAGAAATACCAAGCTCAACGTTGGTGATCGATGACATTCACATCATGACACACCTTGATGTCCCATTTCCTCGACCTGTTGGCCCGGAACTCTTCAAGTCGGGCACTGCGGAGGCCCAAGACACCCTGGCCTTCATCTCCGGGACGCGTGACACGAATATGCCCCGTTGGGTAGTATTGCATAGCCTGAGGCATATACACTGGCCCGCCTGGGGACACGACTGGCATTTGCATTCCCCCGTAATCCATGACAGCACCAAAGGACTGCTGTATAGGTGACGGCGACGATCGCATGGCCCCATACATCATGTTCTGAGGTGCCAACTGTTGATGTCCGCTATACTGCGAGAATATTAAGAGGTAAGAGGTAAAAATGATTGCACAACGCAGTGAGAAATACCTGATCCCGCTTCTTGGAAGCACCCATAACAGGATTTGGGGCTGCTTGGTGGTTCATCGGCGAAGTAGGGGAGTACACCATGGTAGCTGGGGCATAATAATACTGGGAGGTCGGCCTTGGTGCGCCAGAGTAATCATAGAAGACGTTGGTAGTCTGCCGATGATCGGGCATAGGATGCTGAGGGACTGCGCCGGGGTAGACCGTGGAAGCCGTTGCGCTGCTCATCGCCGGTGACAGGTACATGGCAGTAGGGTCAACTTGAGTCCGGTAGGCATCGAAGCCCAGAGGATAATCCACGTATGCCTCCCGTGGTATCGATGGATTGCCATAATATGCGTAGTCTGCCTGAGGAAATGAACCATACGGTGGTCGCGTCTGGTGACTGGGCCCTCTGTTCCCAGGACTCGAAGAAAGTGGCTGCGAGGAACTGCCTTGTTGCCGGCTATGCACATCATCCTCTACGGCCATCCCGCGAAAGGCCATTGCAAGATCGTCAGCAGAAGGCATTGACTGCTGTGGTAAAGGTTCATAACCAGAACCGGGGCCATTTTGGATGCTACTCGTCGTCGCATAAGGTACGGTAGGGAAGGAATGGGGAGGAGACCCTGAGGTTGTGTATCGCTGTTGTTGGTTGGTAGTATCTTTGCTAAGACCAACTTCATACTGAGCGAATTGGCCGCTCTTAGACCCTGTGGCAGATCGGTCGCCCTGACAGCCAAACTGAATACTGAGTTAAAATTTTGAGTGACCATGACATACACTTCTATTTCCAGAAAAGGTCGCCGCGGTGGTCACATTTGCCTGTCGTTGCCTTGGGTGGTGGAGATTCAACGAATCCTGAAGGATGGATAGTCAAGTCTATGTGCTCTCCATGATCCATGCCAGAAGATATAATAACTTACGATATTCGAGTATTCCTTCCGCTGAGGGCTAGCGTTTGCATCATCCCACGTAGCGCTTGAAGACCTTGGTGTGGTCCAGTTCTCGTTGATGGCAGAGCGGAAGGCACCTTCACCTTGCGATGAAGCAAGCTCAGAGATGCTGGCAGCCGAAGAAACAGAAGCGTTTCTCTTCGAGGGCCAAACCTATATCGCCATGAATGAAGCCGATTCTGGGGGAAAAGGACTGAATGCACGAACCTGCCAGCCAGAATTCAAGCCTTTCATAGCGTTTGACGAGCCACTCATAGCAACGCCCAACATATTACTCGCAGCAGTCGGTGTCAACTTCCGTTGAGGCTGAGCCTACACAAAGAAATAAGACTCGGACAACCTATTGCTATAGACCAAGATGGCGCACAATACTTGGTGAACTGGTACCCGACCGAACGCCGGAATGGCTAGAAGAGCCAGATGGCTTGCGTGCTGTGTCACTAGGATTGTGCGCAGACATTGGTAGAAGTAGGCAAGAGGAAAGCGAAGTTAAGCCGCGCCGCGCTGGAATACAGTAGTGACTGCGGGGATGGGTTCAATTAAAGAGATGGCAGTAATGTACTGCAAGAATATATATATATAAGTAGACTAGCCCAACGAGCTGAGACGAAAGGGACGTACGCTGGGAGCGATAGTTAAGCCACAGAGCCACAAATGGACGTTTGTGGAACACAAAAGACCAACTTGAGTATGGAGGGGGCTTGAGGCGCGACGACGAGGCGCTAGAGATGGGAGACTACAGCGAACACTGATATGGTCCGAAGTGAAAGCAGTAGGACACTCAAGCTCACTCAAGCTGCCCGTTCGTGGGGAAGTGAGCGGTCACGAGCTAACGCGCCGCCGTCGCGTTGGAGGAGATCAGGGGAGAGCCAGAAAGGGTAAGCAGGGAATTTTGATATTTTCTTCGAAAAAAAACCAACGCCGGGGATTTGGTTCCGTTAGGTTACGCGCGTCGGGCCCTGAGGTGAATTGATTGGGAAAAGATAATATTTTAATAATACCTCCGTTCGCAACCATTAAGGGTGCAGTGGCAAAGGACTTACCTCAGGATCTGTGGCAGATTCTAAGCTCGGCGACACATTTGGTCCTTGTTTGTCATTTAGACGGCGACCGGGGTATGCGCTTACGCTGAGAAGGTTGTGAACCACCATTGAACCACTCAAACGGGCTTCTTGCCGTCGACGTGTTCTTCGGAATGTTGACTGCTTCTCGGCCTTCTTCACATTTTAAGGGCGCATCAAATGATGTAATCATTCCTGTCCCTGGTCGGAGTTCACAGCCCTTTCGGTTCCGCTTCGACGCGGAGCTTAACATGGCTAGGGAGTCCAATCTCCGTCCAGCCCCGCCAGCTGGTGGGCGGAATCAAATATGTCGGTGGTGCGAGCACTTTTTTCGTAGGGACATCTCTGATCAACTTCCCAATCTTGGCCTAAAATCATGTCACACTGTCCGCTGTGCTTCAACGTAATTCCCGTCGCCCAACACACTTACCGGGACGGTGCGCCGAGTACTTGCGCCGGCAAGCAGACAATTTACATAGATTCAAGCTCGCCCCAAGGACGCATGGTGATGGGCAGAGGATCTCAGCAAATCTTAGGCTTCATATCGGTAACCGGGCTTACTCCAGACTCCCGCTGCTAAGTCCTCGGTTAAGCTGTTTCAGGACGTACACTATATGCTTTCCTTTATGCATATGTACATGGTGTGTTTAGATCGTCATACGGAAGGCGTTGCATTAGGGTGAGTATTATGGCGGAAATGATGCGAGGGTATATTGATAAAGCACTAGAAAATAGGCTAGCCATGAATGTGACGGAAACAAGTCAGGGTTCAGCCAGACACATCTAACAGAGGGTGAAATGGTTCGGACTTTATCGAGAATTGAAGAACCAAGAAGCCCGTTTCGCTGTTACATACGAAGATATCAATCAGCCAAGCGACAATTACATGATGAAGGAGAACCTCAACTCACCAGAACTGTATGATTGCCGGGAAGAAAGATTTTTTTCACATTAGTAGACTAACCTGAGGTATTGATACGAGATTGACATACCCGGATTCTTCAGTCTGCAGCCGGGCCAATGGGTTTGCCGACCCGCCTCCGCCAGTGATCGGCACTGGAATACTGCCAGGAGCAGCCCCTCCGCCGCCACGAAGTGGTTTCTGGATTCGGCCGAATCCTAGCGGCGAGGCCGTCGATGCCTTTGCGGCTATAGGATAATATGATACCATTCAGTGTGAATCGCAACCAGAAAGAACAAGCGAACGTACCCCGGGCCTGCTCTAACCTCTGTTTGACAGCGTCAAGCTGCTGTTCGAACCGTTGATTCTGAATGGAAAGTCGTCGATCCGCATCTTGCAACAATGACTCGAGGTTTTGTATACGTTCGTTGCGCGCAAGTAGTTTACGTTCTGCGATACCCGCCTCCTTCTTCAGCGCGGAATTCTGATCGACAAGCTGTGATAGTGTGAGCGTAGGATAACATGGAATCGGTATGCTGCGCACCTGTTTCTGCACAAGGGTAAGTTGCTCAAGATTGCGCTCTAAGAATGCCATCTTTTTCTGTTGCGCTTTACTGTTGCTGTTACGGATCACATTGTTGTATTGCTCTTTGATCTCGTCAAGCTGTATCTCAAGTTCCACAACCTGATGAAATTAAGCCACGGTTAGTATTGTGAGTAATGTATAAGAGTGGTGAACTCGAGAGAGCGGCGTCTTACTTTCTCACAGCGGTTCTGCAGGTCTCTCATCAAAGACTTCTTGACTCCATCGAACTCGGCAAGTTGTACATTGATAGCCTTGCGCGTTCGCTCTAGATCTTGGGCACTCTCTGCAAGGTTCTTACCGCCTTCAATTCCAGCGGATGTAACAGCGAACGCGCGCTGAATTCGGAGATAGTGAACAGCAAAGGTTATCAAAATGTGACTAGCCAAAAAGTGGGGTGCTTACCTTGAGCTCTTCGTTGACACTCTTCAGGCTTTCTATGCTGGCATTCAAGCTTCGTATTTCATTGACCCTCATTTCAAGTTGGGCCTTAAGGTCGGTCACCTCCATCTGGTGGGCATCACGCTTCGCAGCATATTGAGCTTCCAGTTTGTTCTGTGCGGGAAAGGGCGAATAAATATAAATTAGATATTTCGTTACGATGGAGATTAGAGACCTTGAGGTCAGCCACTGATTCAGCGACGTCAACGTTGCTCGTCTCTTCGTCAAGAATTGTCTTCTCTGTATAGATAATCAGCACGGGCGAAGCGATGCTTAACTCTCTGCGTACCAAGTAATTCCTCATACTCAGTCTCAAGGGTCATAACCCTACCTTCCAGCTCATCCCTCCTTCGAGTGATGATTTCATTCTCCTCCTGGCTCTGCCTCAGCCTATCGACAGTTTCTCTCATCAAGCTCTGACCCTCGGCGAGTTGCCTTCGCACCGCGGTGAGATCCTCGGCTGTGAGGGTCTCTCCAGAGTCAATGTTATCCAGCTTGGCGAGGAGAGCTCGTAGCTGCTCCTCCTTCTCTGAAAATCCGCCCTGCTAGATACATCCGTAGGGTATTGGTAAGGAGTTAGCGATAGAAATAACGGAAAGACTGACCGAATCGAATTTAGCCATCATCATGGCCATCTTCTCTTGTTTCTTCTTCTCCTTGTCCTCCGTTGAGGCGTCCTTCTGCGCAGTTCTGAGCTCTGATATTTGTTTCCTCAACTCCTCAAGCTCGTTCTTGGCATCTTGATTCTGCTCTTTAAGGATGTCGATGGTGATTACACCCTCTTTAGCGTCATAATCCAGCCGTTCCATTTGAAGACGGATCTCGTTAAGCTGACTAGACATAGCTTTGTTTTCCTGTTGACCGACAAAGGTCAGCGGCTGAGGTAGATACGGCGGGCAACAGGAGTTACCTTGCTAACGGCGGCCTCTTGCTCTTTCAAGAAGGCGAGTTCTTCCCTCAGCTCCTTGACAATCTTCTCGGCTGCCACAAGGGCGCTCTCCTTCTCGGCAAGCGAGTCGCTGAGCTCGTTTTCTCGCTTCAAGAACTCTTCACGTTCATCCTTATCTAGACCAACAACGGTGGGTGTTTGCGGTCGACTATCCAAGTTAAGATCACTCTTCGCCAGCCCTTCAATGACAGGGTTGACGGGTGTCTGACTACGAGGCGTCGATAAGGATGTGGATGACGTTGATGACGGCGCCGACTTCTTCAGCGCGCCCGCAGCATTTGCTTTCCCTGGAGCAGCCCATTCACTTTGGTCGACAACACCACCAGCGCGCCAGATAGCGACTTCGGCTTCCAAAGCAGCAATGTACTTTTGGAACGAAGTGTTTGCAACGTTGGCTTTGGTGAGTAGGTTCTTGAGTTCGGCTGGTGAGAGTTCGGCATTGACGCGGGCGGAATTCTTGATGGATTTAGCGCGAATACCGAACCGAAGAGTTGAAAGGGTTTCGGCTTCGTTATACGACGACGGGGAACAATTGATGATCAAAGTTGTACGAGAGTTACCTCCCAGGGACTCTTGCAGGATACGGGTAAGTTTCGAGTCACGGTAGGGAATGTGTTTCGCCTAATGAAGGTTAGTAAATATATACAACAGTTTCCACTATTGAACACTACCTTTCCATCCGTTAACGCATTGATGACCATACCGAGAGCGGATAATGATTTATTGATCTTCTTCGCCTCTTCTAGCGTCTGCCCTGAGGCCCCCGTTTTACCAACCTTCTCTGAACCAGCCAGATCTACAAGGTAGAGGTTCCCCGTCTTCATCGTCCCAGATTCGGTATTACGCTGCTGTATTGTGATCAGGAATATTGAGTGAGATCGAGAGGATTCTGCGTTCATATCTAGGGAAAGCAAGCGCGAGATCTACGTTAGCGGGTATGAGAAGCAAGAGTGCGGGCACTAACTTGTCGAAGAAACCACTCTAGCTTGTCCACCCGTCCTCATAATTTCATACACCTCCCTTGCGCTACTCACGTAGTAGTCAGACAGGTTCTTGACATACACGCCCTTGGACTTCTCCTCGTGCACCTGCAGGTTATCGTTCTGGGCTATTTGAAAGAGATCATCACAAGCTACTGGCGTTATGTAACGAAGTGCTCACGGCATAAAAGGTCTCTGATTCGCTCTAGGTAAATCTCCATGTATGACACCTTGACTAGATATTCGAGATGGGGATCGCTTTCGACAATCGATTGAAATATCTGTTCCGTTATTCGCGGTATTATACCCTTGAGCTCGGTAGAGTCGATGTCCGCGCCCTTTGAGAAGCTTCGTCAGAGAAACGCGGCTCAGATGGGGAGGCCGCGTACCATCATCGTGAACGTCTTTCCACTACCTGTCTGACCATAGGCAAAGACGGTGCCGTTGTAACCGTCCATGACATCTACACGCGCGGTGGGATCCCGTTAACACGACTCTACGTGATGTTGTCAAGCTAACCTTTGACGATACTGCAGAGGAGGATAGCACGGTTAGTCGTACAGCTTCGACATCAAAGCAGAGTGAGTACGCACTCTTTCACGCCATAATCAAAGACTTCGTGTTGCTGAGTCCCCATAGGAAAGACTCTATCAAAGGTGAATCCATCCCTCTCGGGGCCAGTGGCCAGCTGCGCGGAGCGCATCTGCACCGTTTGTAGGTTGTCATCAAAGGACACGACAATTTCGCCACCTTCGCGAGCTTCGATCGCGTTGACTGGTCGAAATCTTGAGTTTACGGACTTTGGGTGAGCGAGAAGCTCTATTCTCTGAACACGATGCAAGGCGACTCACCGACACACAACCTTGATATTGGTCGGGCTGGCCATACTTGGCGCAATCTAAGTGTGAAGTAACACTATATCTGGCGAGAAAGCTGGGTAGTAAATGTGTGAAAGAGGGAAAGGGAAAGGGAAGGAGGAATTCTAAAGCAAGCGAAACACTCAATTATCTAAAAGCATCATGATTCCAATGCATGTCAAGCGCTGAGTCAAGTATTTGGGCGCTTAACTACTACATATAATGCTACAGAAGAAGATTCTGCACTACTCCTCATCACTTCCATACGAAACAGCGGGAGCTGGTCTGCTTGAAGACGCGGCAGGCCTCCTAGAGCTTCCCCCTTCCCTTTGCGCAGCATCTGCAGCATCAATCCACTGAGAGTAAATGTCTATGGGCTCTGTCAAGTCTAACAACGAAATCAGTCAACGAATTCATGGGCAGGCAAGAGACATACGGTGGGTTTTGCTCTGATATCTCTGATCGCAAACTTTGCAGACGAGCTGTGCAACGCCCTCTTTTTTGTCTATCCGAACAGTAACAGCCTTGTCATGGTGGCAGAACAGGCAGGTAAATGTTGTATCTAACAAGATTTATCAGTAGCATTCAAGGGGGGGAACAAAATACCCACCTAATGGATCCTTCTGCCTAGAAGGCGCTGGTTTGCGAGAAGATTTCTTACGCTTGCCCATGACCGGGTACCAGCAAGAGGAGCACACGAGGAGGAAGGAGGCAAGAGATAGTGAGTCACATGACCAAACGCGTCCAAAGTTGATGTGACGCCTTTCCTTTCTTGTGACCATTTCTCCGTTATACCATCATGGCCACAAGACGCCCTCCCTCATCTCGCTCAACAAAACCCCCACCGCAGCCAATTCAGAGATCGCGTTCAGCATTGGCGAAACCCGCGTCGCGGCCTTCACCCCCGGATGATGGTTTGGAAGCTTCAGGTTCAAGATTGGGCCAACGGAACGAGGATTCAGAAACCAATATTCAAGTTGTCGTGCGATGCAGGCGTCGATCAGAGCGCGAGGTCCAGGATAACTCCCCCATAATCGTGAGCTCGTCCGGAGCAAAGAGCAAAGACGTGTCCATCGAGACGTCCGCACCAATATCAAGTCTAGGGGTTGTCACCCTTCCACCGCTGCGAACGTATCCGTTCGATGTTGTCTTCGGACCAGAAGCAGATCAAGCTCTGATATATCATGAAGTCGTCAGCCCCATGCTCGAAGAGGTTTTGATGGGCTACAATTGTACTCTATTCGCTTATGGTCAAACGGGGACAGGAAAGACGTGAGGTTCAATGGTCTCGGAATCCGGTTGCGCGTTTGACTGAGCTTTATTAGATATACCATGCAAGGCGACCTAACACCTACACCCATGGGCAACCCATCTGCGCACGCAGGCATGATACCTCGCGTGTTGTTTCGACTGTTCCATCAACTCGAAACATCAACCGCTGACTACAGCGTCAAGATATCCTACATAGAACTGTATAACGAAGAACTCCGAGACCTACTTGCCAACGAACCACCACCCTCCGCAGGATCGTCCCAGACCATGGGAGTAGCCTCGAACTCGAAGACTCCCAACGATATTGGCCTTAAAATATTCGATGATGCGTCCAAGCGCGGAGTAGTCATACAGGGCTTAGAGGAGATCAGCGTCAAAGACTCCAAAGATGCCCTAGCTCTTCTTACCAAAGGCAGTCAGCGTCGCCAAATTGCTGCCACCAAATTCAACGACCACTCATCCCGTTCACACTCGGTGTTCTCTGTCACAGTGCATATAAAAGAAACTTCCAGCATGGGCGACGATCTTCTCAAAGTTGGGAAGCTTAACTTGGTGGACTTGGCTGGATCGGAGAATATTGGTCGTTCCGGCGCTGAGAATAAACGGGCAAGAGAAGCGGGAATGATTAATCAGAGCTTGCTGACCCTCGGTCGCGTCATAAATGCGCTTGTTGACCGTTCATCTCATGTGCCTTACCGGTATGTCTCGATTGCTCCTCAGTTTATCCTGCTTACATGGCGATGTAGCGAATCGAAGCTTACGCGACTTCTACAAGATTCATTAGGTGGTAGAACGAAGACCTGCATCATCGCTACAATCTCACCAGCCCGTTCCAACATGGAAGAAACACTTTCTACATTGGATTATGCTTTGCGCGCCAAATCCATCCGCAATAAACCAGAAGTCAACCAAAGGATGACTCGCAACTCACTCTTGAAAGAATATGTTGCGGAAATAGAGCGACTCAAAGCAGACCTCCTGGCCGCCCGAGAGAAGAACGGCATCTTCTTTAGCGAAGAAACCTGGGAAGAGATGTCGAAGGAGCAGGAGATGACTCGGACGGAGCGAGAAGAAGCGTTGAAGCAGGTAGAGGTCGTGGAAGCGCAACTACGAGCAGTCAGGGAGGAGTTTGAGCAAAGCATCGCCTTATTAATGCGACGAGATGAGGAGCTCAAGAAGACCCGGGCGAAGCTGCATGGTACTGAGCAAGTACTACAGGTGAAAGAAGGGGAGCTCAAGGTCGTGAAAGTGGCACTGGAGGAGGAAGTTGTCGTCAGAGAAGCTTTTCAAGCCACCGAAGGTACTCTTGATCAAGTTGCCCATGGCCTGAAAGATGTCGTTCAGCAAACTGTTTCTGACGTTGGAGGGTTGTTTGACAAATTGGGTAAGATAACGCTCTGCTGGCTCGAATACACCTACTTAACCAAACGTTAGACCGCAAGACCAGCGTACTCAAGTCCAACACCAAGGCCGTCACTAGTCACGGACAATTGATAGCATCGGCATCCAATGCATTATCCGACCAGCTGAAGAACTTTATATCATCGTCGACTCAACGTATCTCCCAACTTCAGACTGACGCAGGGCAACTAGAAAACCGTGAACTCGAACTTCTGTCCTCTTATTCCGCTCGGATCGATAAACAACTCGGTCAGCTCCACAACGTTCTCGCCAGCATTCGAGCCAAGGATTCCGCCGAAGGGGATGTTATCCGCAACATCCAGCACTCCCTGACACATGCTAACGAGACTTTCAAAACGCATATAGACGGAGCGACGGAAGAATTCCATAGGAACTGCGAAGATATTTGCGGTGAAGTCCAAGCGAAGGGCATAGCTTGTTTTTCCCAGCTGGAAATGACGGTCCAAACTCTTGGTACTCTCTTCGACACTGTGGTACATGAAGCACAAGAATACGTTTCCGCGGAACGTACCAATCTGTCCGAGCTCACTGATCTCACGAACCAAACGATCAAGGCCGAGTGTTCTCGTCTCCAGACACAAAACGCAATGCTTGGGCAGATGCTCAAGAAAGAGCAAGCCCAGACGCAGCAAGCGAAAGAAGAGCTCGTTCAACTTTTCTCCTCAATGTTATCCGACTTCATATCGAAGCGACAAACTATTACGCAATCAATCGTGTCGAAAGCAATTGAGGGGAATGGGGTGACAAGCGAAGCAATGGAGGCATTTGGTACTGGAACACACGCCGTCATTACTTCGATGGACCGCAGAGGGAATTCACTTGGCGGGAGTCTACGTTCGTTGGCAGCTGAAGGTCAACAAGTACGGAGCGGAACATTGAAGGCAAGTATCAAAGTGATCACATTGGGATGTACTTGACGAACTCCTCGCAGACCATCACAGAGACTACAGCGACTTTCGGAACAAACCTATCGAAGCTCAAAGGTTTTGTGCAGTCATCTACCGACTCATTGGCATCTGGGTTCCAGAAGCAGATGAGAGAGCTACAGGGCGAATGCTCGGAAGGTATGTTGTACCAACTTTGATCGTTTTCCTCTTATTAATGTACTTCTCAGGCTTCGAGCAATACTCCCGCGTAAAGAGGGCTAGACTCGACAGCACTGCCGCCATGGGTACCGAAGTGCAGTCAACGTTCAAAACATTACAAAGCGGACTTGCTTCTACTTCGAGGGGTCTTGGAAGTATGCTCGGCCAAATGTCCACTAATGTGAGCATCGTCTGTCTGTCTTTGTCGTCCCGCGACGTGCAACTCATCGTCGATTTAGCTCTCGGTCCTTGACGACAGTGTCCTCGCGTTCCACAGTGCAGCGGCTTCACAGTTCTCTTCGCAACAGAAGGCCATCGTCGCTCTAATCCAAGAAGGTAGTCGCGAGGATACACCCACTGGAAGCACTCCAAGAAAACGCAAATGGGTGTACGATGACAGCTGGGATCTGACGAAGAGCCGCTCAGAGATTCTATCCTCGTGGCGAAAGCATGCGACTCCCGAGGCATCCAGCGACACCTTCGTCGCGCGACATTTGCCTATTCCAGAGGATGCCGACGAACCACTAGACGACGAGATTGAAAACTCAGAACCAACCGTTAGGCTAACTGATTTCGGTGTACCTGACCCGGAGGGTACACCCGGGCCATCTTCTGCGATACCTTCGCTCTCATCATCTGTGTCATCATTGCCTTCCAGCAGCACTTCCAGCCCCCCTGAACCGTTGCCCCTAATTCGCGACAAGGCAATCGCAGCACCCAAACAGAATGTACCCCCAACTGGTACATTGATCACTTCAAGAACATCAAATATAGCTACTAGATCAAGAAGACGGCGATAACGTGCTACTTTATCATCATATGTATTCTTTGTGTATTACCCTACTATTCTGTGGCAATTGACTCTTGAGGACTGTTCACCGGACTACCCTTGATGGCGAGGCTTTTGACTGCCTTTGCGAAGGGTTCGAGATGCAACCAAACGGTATTCGTGATTGAGCTTGCTGAGTCGTGGATTTGGCGCAGATGGCGGGCTTTAGTGTCGGCAAGTCTTGGTCGCAAGTCTTCCATGAAGCGATCGACAATAGTATCGACGCACTCTTCCATCTGCTCCTTGGTAAGAGGCAGCTGGGGTTCAGAAGGTAGTGCAGACGTTGTCTCCTCCTTTATGTGCAGGTCTCGAACTTTGTCCAACAATTCATCCAAAAGCTGGGTCTGTTCCACATGTGTTTGTTCAACTTTGGCGGCTCGCCTAGCGTTCTGATGACAACCAGTTAGTAACATCTCAGACAAGTCGTATGAAGGAGGCAAACTGACGTTCAGGCGTTTCTGCTGCACAACGAGCACATTACCCTCCAGCATGCGTAGGCGGACCTTTTGGTCTCCTTGCTTCGTAAATAAGTCGGCCGCTACATCTGTCACCTTGTTGAACTCGGCTTCCATCTGCGCCGCCGCGTCCACCAACTCTTGAATCCTCACCCCTTGCGTGTCTTCTGCTAATTTCGAATTGATCATCGTATCGAGATGTCTGGTGACCGCAAGCGACTCAATTTTCACTGAGTCAAACCCTGGTAGAAGATCTTCGAATTTGCTTTCCGCTGCATCAGTAGATCTCAGAAGTTCGGTGGTAGGCGTAGTGGGCGCGGAAACCTCCTCGTCTGGCGGAGGGTCAACCTCCGGGGCAGGTGTTGCTTCTGGTATCTCCTGCATCTGAGCAACCATGTTTTTCTTCAACGCAAGAACGTATATCCTCGTCTGCTCCATCCATCCTTTCAGTTCTTCCGCGTATGTGAACAACGCCGACTCCTCTACAGCAGAGTCCGCGTCGCCCAACCCGGCTAAATCTGGCAGGCGACTGAGATTCCGTAGAGTGCCAGCCAGGAGCTGCTTCTGTCGATGAATCGAGTCGGAGTACTCCTGCAACATCTTGTTGAATTTGGTGCGGCCAAGGTTGTTTACGCGTGCATATTGAGGTGATTCCAGATTACGATGGAGTTCGCGATAGAGATGTTGGGCCTTGTCAAGCTGTATTTTCAGATATACTGCTTCTATCATCAGTCTGCAATGAAATAAATGTTAGCATTCAGATATGTGCCCGTCGTTGAGGAACACGCACTTAATGATGGTTCTGGTCAATTCCGTTGTAGGGCCGCTCAGCAATTTCGATACTTCGGCCTCATCGAGTTGGGAGGTAAGGGAGGAATCAGGAATTGAGCGTCTGGTAGATGATTCAGTTCGCGAGACCGAGCTTTGGCGACTAGAAGTCGCCTTGTTCCTATTTGGAAGTGCGCGTATAGGGCGCAAAGGATCCGTCGCCTTCCTGTCAACGGCGGATGGAACGGAGGACGTTGGTGAAGGACGTGAATTCCGCCTTGAAAAATGTACATCGGCCGAGAGATTGGTGTCAATTTTGTCCAATCTGTGAGAGCGGGGAGAAAGTTGTGGTTTCATGTCTGATCGTGAAGGAGAAGAAGCCGGCGCTTGGGGTTGTTGCGGGCGCGATTGTGGACGATTCGGTTCTTTAGCTGTGTCTGGCCATCGCGTCGTGGGGGCATCAGAGGCTGCTCCCCCACTGGATGTGGACGTTTCCTTCTTGTCAGGAGCATAAGAAGTGTCACTGGAGCCCCAACTAGGCGCAGCAGAACCCCACCCTCCGCTACTAGATGCCCAACTAGATGTAGTAGCCTTGGGAGATCCCCAACCCCCGCCGGATCCCCAGTCTCCACCGGCCGCCCAGTCATTACTTCCAGAATGACCTACAGGGTTGCTAGTCGAGGTAAGATCCTTCCAGCCGCCAGTGAAGTTGCGCAAAGTCGCTAGTAGTCCTATTAGCCCACTCGTCAGATAACTGGGGACAAAGACCCACCCATGGCCTGTGGTATGTTGTTCCTCCCACTTGAAGGGTTTCCCCAACTAGATACATCGAAACCAGAGCTCTGGTCATCTCTACCCGACCGCATGGCTCTAGGTGAAACTGGTGCGCCCCTTGGCTTTCGCGGTGGTGACCTTGAGCTAGGCGTCTCTGCCAAAGTCAATGTGAACGGAAGAAAGGGGTGGCTGGTGAAGTGGTACGCACGATGAGAGCTTCCTCCCCTACTTTCCAAGTCTTTTAGGGCAGCATTTGGTCGCTTCTGAGGGGGCACGTTCAGAGGCACGTTCAGCGTCTTCTTCGATATGGAATTCAAGAATGCACGTACCCTACATTCTGGCGCTTTTGGCCACTCCGGATGGTCGGGATGAATAAATTGGCAGTCCGTGTCGCGTCTGGCGCACCCACCCCGAGGACCAAGGGGCGCACCTGTGCTGTCGTACCACTGATTTTGTCAACGATAATATTTCGAGAGGCGGGACTGTGCTACTCACCCCGCATTGAACGAATGGCATTCTGAAATGAGAATAAGCGCTCATACCCACCTTCACGCTTCAACCACATCAGTCACCAACCTCATCCTCGCAGCCATGGCAGCTGGTCTCAAAAGTGAGTGAGCTCCAGCTCTTGGATTTCAAATACAAAGCGATCCCTTGCAGCGGTCATTCTTCTTTCCTTCGTCCTCGCCGTCGGTTTCTTGATGATCATCCTGTCGTGCGCCTTATGGCACAACTGGCTGCCCTTACTCGTCGGTGCGTGGACAACTGCTCATCTGACCAAGGAATACATTGAATTGAAGAACAATACCCCCAAAGCACTCATATTCGTTCTTGCTCCCCTTCCAAATGCCCTCTTCTCGCACTGCGGCGCAGACGACTTCTCGGGACACTACGATAGCGCGGGACCAGTCGACCTCGGCCGCTTCATAACCTCCATGATCGTCGTAACCGGCTTCGCGCTTCCCATTGTATTGGCACACTCAGAAGTCATCCGGCCAGCGGCTTGTGCAATGTCAATTCTTGGCGGAGGGTGCGTTGCAACAGCTTCGGTAGAAGCTTGTCCTAGTCTAACTCCCTTCACTCCCAGACTTGTATATGGAACTATCCTAGCATATTCAGCTGCGTTCAAGCAAGAAGAGTCGGACTACGACTAATCCCCCACGATGTAGAATACCATGTCTCATTGCGATCAACCCCATTCGGTTCCCTGTACAGTCACAGCTTGCCTCTGTCCGGGAATACAGCGCGGACGTGTAGCAATACGAAGACCCAAATCTAATCATTACTGTGATATTTGTGTATTACATACATGGCTTCAAGAATCCGGCTTGCCGAGAATCGCAGTAAGTGAACCGTAGCTTACTCCCCTTTCAGACGTGCCACTGTCGATCATCCCGACTTGCGCTCGGATGTCAAACCTTCCAGAACACAGAAAGCAAATGGGCAGCAAGACTTCCCGGGAATCTCCTTGCTTCAGCTTGCCAATTGGTACGGAAGTGAGTACTCCTTCGTAAATGACATGCTGGAAGGGATGCAGGTCGAAGTCCAGCACGAAGATTTCCGGTGTGGCTAGTCGACCGTCAGTCAGGGACAGAAAGTCGTCGAAGATAAAAGACATACGCGAGAGGGAGGTGACTTTTCCTTGGAGGTACACGAACTCGTGAATTGGGGGATAGAAGACGTTGTCTTGATACCGAACTTGCCGCTCATCGCCGTCTTCCGTGCGATGAATGATGGACAGTTGAACGGTCGCCTTCTGCATTCGTAGTGTATCCAACATGTGCAGTGATATCCGTTGCTTCCTTAGCGAAAGGGTACCATGCCGCGTCCCAGAGGCCTACACAAATTCGCTCAACTGCCTGCTCCCTTAGGCGAACGAGGAATACGTACCTCCCGCCATCGTCCTTGCACGCACTTGAATAGCTCTTCACGGTGCCAGAACAACGCCCGGTTCATCGACTCTTCTTCTGAAGATAACTTCGACTTCGAGACGATGAACTGCCTGTCAGAAAGAGTAGGGATCTCGCGAGAAACATGTTCTTGCGAGAGGAACATCTTCTTCAACGGTAGTACGATCCTGAAGCTCAAGTCAGCGAACGAGTATTTTCTAGATATCTGTATGAGGGGTACCTCGCAGTGGAGCCTGGTGAAATGATAGTAGTGGTCGACTCGGGATCGGTGTCTATGCGCAAGTCAGGCCTGTGTTTGGAGGCCGGAAGGATGTCGAATACTTACCCTCTTGTGATCGTTCAAAAGTCACCTCGAACGGCACGCCGTAGGTGTTCCGCACATCCACGGAGAACAAACACCATCCAGCGTCCCCCGAGGATCCAGGTGTTCGATATGAAGAATGGTACGGCAAGATATCCATGTTGTAGCAATCCAGCATTTGGTATACCGTAACCATAATCGGGTACGATATCTGCCGCGTATGGAATACCTTTGGTGGGTCAGGCACATCAAGTGCCGAGCGATGTATACAGCCATAGGATATATGGATAGTGCCATATGTACTAAATAGCTGCTGCATCAGCTAAAGCGCAGCTGTTGAGAGGAGCATACATACCATCCGCCTTTACCAAAGCAATCGACGGCTAGGACGTGCTTTTTGTTCGGTTTAATGTTGATAGTCGACTTGCTTGACCAAGTGAAAAGAGGATTGTGGAGAAGTTCGTACTCGGTTTCATAGGTCTCGAATATCGACATTTCCCCTTCAGTGAGCGCTTGTTGCGCAGCCGTCATTGTAGAGTCCTCAAATGCCAGGCGCAGGAAATCCACGGGAAGAGATGATACATTCTCCAACGTCATCCGGAGGGAAGACCTACGTCGACTGGTCAGCAGAAGGCAAGCGGAGAACTAGCGGATACCTACTTTTCGCCCTCGTAAAGCATTATGGCGCCGTGCGTCACTGACGTCCTTCGTATCCGGAGCAAAGGTTGTTCTTGAACGACTTTACACTCGAGGAATTTGAAGACGGTCTCAGAGGTTTGGGGCTTGCTTTGGTGCCTCCTATGTAGCTTCTCCCAAGGTCTAGCATCGAGACCAGAGTACTTCGCACGTTCCGTTTCGCACACAATGACGCTGCGTTTCTGCGACAGTCTGACTTCCTCCGCCTCGGTCGCTAGTGGTAATATGAATTCGCGGGGAGCGCCGCCAGGCGCCTGTACTATGCAACCCCGGATGGTGAGACTACCAGTCTCGAGGGGCTTTCCGGTAAGGACAACTTGGTGAAAGGCTGCAGCTGGAATAACGACGCGAGTTGGTTGCGTCTCGAAGGGCACCCCTGAAGTGCTGGGGGTTATCAGTATTAGTAGGAGAGTTGTTGAAAGACGTAAGTCCTCACCTAAGCACTACAGACTGAAGCTCAAGATCGAATACATACGGATTCTGCAAAACAATTATAAACTCGAGTTCTTCGTGCTGCACCACTAACGTTTGCCCCTAGACCAACACTTAGCCCTTCAATAGGCTCGTGAGGAAATGAGGGAAATCATCATACTTGCTCGACTCCCCTTCGTGGGTTGTACAAGAACGGGTCTTTGCTTCCTGTTATGATAGCGTTGGCAGATTGGGCTCGAGTTGACAATGCAGATATGGGCTTCTCCACTGGGACGCGGATGAGTGGGAGACTGAAGGATCGTGAGCACACTTAATGCATGTGTCTGTTTAATCACTCACGGTGATATTGTGATGCTAATTACAGGTCTTCCAGACCAAAATTCAAGTGTAAGAGGGTCGCCCCGACGCTGGGCCGTTGTGATTGCTCGAGAGGCGGTAGAGTACAGATGATATTGATCACCGGGACTAAGAATGGCTTGCAATGTCTTCAGAGCGGAGAACGCGAACTGCGCGACGGAAATATGGTCTTCGGAAACTCATAAGAATCATGGCGGCGAGGGCGAATATATTACAGACCAGGTAAAGCTTCAGCGACAGCAATTGCTTCGCGCATGACTCCAACTTGGAGCTCGGGCAACCCGAATGGTTCCTGAAGGTCCTCCGCAATGTCCTCGTCGTAAGCCTGGCTTGACGTCGGTTTAGAATCTTCCCCTTCCACTTGTGCTTCCCCATCTTCGCTGCCAGAGAGGCGGACGGCTTCGAGATTGATGCCCAGCACACTACATACATATTTGAGAAGACTAAGAATGCCTGTGTTGCCCGCGACGCTCTCTGATATCCTCATGCTCACATTACCTATCCCATCGTCCTTGCTGTGAATCGAAGGTAATGCGGATCTGAATGCGCCATCCTCTTCTCTCCCACACACAATTAGATCCAATATGCACCCGAGGACCTCGCGTAGAACGTATACTTCTTTCCGTCTGTAGCCCAAGCAGGAGTAAATCCCAGCCGTTGTTTCTAGGACAGATATCCTCTCTCGAGCGCCGAGGTGGAGAAGCCATGGACCATGCACGGGAGCTAGTGTATTGGAGATGGCTGCTCGCGATACTCCTGAAAGAATTTCTAGTCGCTCCAGGGTGACGGTGCTATTTTTCGCGCCCGCAGAAAGAGTTGGAGGGAGATAGGGAGTAGGGCCAGGCTGGATCAAGGTAGTGAAAGCGAGGACGCCCCAACCTTTCGCAGACCAGATTGCAAACAAGAGAGTGGCGTGTCGAAGTATGCAGCAACAATAGAGATACGAGAGAGTGCCGTAGTCATGACCTGCGTCCGAGGCAGGGGCTTTGCTATATAATGCGGCAGCCTGAGTTAGTCTTTCCGTTGTGTCGCTCCACGGTTCTTTGCTTGGGGCTGTCGAGGTATTCTGTGGCGTATGATCAAATTGCATCCGCGAAGAAATCAGAAACAACAAACGAGTCCGTTACCAGCTGCCCATGCATCAAGCACAGGGATAGTGGCCATTCCTTCTAGAGCCGATGCGTGCCACGCGGTGTCTTGGGGAAGCTTGAAGAGAAGTATGGCCTCCGAATACCTGCCAGGGTACAATTGACGCGTCGCAACAGCTGGTAAAATCACGTAACATACCACACTGTTGCATCCTCCGTCCGACCAGCCAGAAGAAATAGATCCCCAAGGACTTTGAAGAGGCGGCCATGTGAAGATGCAACACCTATACCGCTAGCACGCTTTTTGGACGCAGCCGGAGGGCCGAACTGAGACTGTCTGTGGGATGGACTCGCCTGAGTGTGCGTCGTCGCAGCGGAGCTGTTGCGCTTTAATGGTGCAGCCCCAAGAGTAAACCCTGATTTGGATATTTCTGGTTGGCTGTCATACGAGGGGATGGATGGTCGTGAATCCGGTTTCAATCCATCAATAAACGGCAGAAACTCCGAACGAGGTGGGAGCGTGGGCATCAGCGACGCGTTCAAGTACTCATTACCAAGTGGACTTTCAAGGGTTTGTACCTGCTCACTTGAGATGAGCAATAATAGAGTCTCTTTGGTTGAAGGACTAACCAAAACGCCAAACTCTCCTAAAATCTGAGAACAAAGGTTTTCTAGCAAAGTACCTATGTATCCCTTCTTATTCCCCATCATATTCGGAATGACGACTACGCCTGGGCTGCTTTCACCGAGGGTGAGAGGAACAGCACTCCCAGGGCTTTCGAAAATGAGGCAACTCTTCGCCATTGGGTGGATACCACCCGAAGGGAACAGATCTGACACTAAAGTGTTGAATTGCTGGGCTAAGTTTGAGATGTCATCAGCCTCAGAGCATGATGAGATGCCTATGACACCGAGCGGGAAGTGGGATATTCGGAAGAGGGACAATGGAAGTTGTGACTGCGGTGGCGGATGTGAAGGGAAGCTCAGATGAAGGTGTCCAGTCGAAAGCGGGTTGGGCATGAATCTAGCTAGAGATGGGCATTTCAGACGGTGCCGCCACAGGATACCATATGCAACATACCTCGCTCATCCTTATTGGTAGTCGTGAGCTCAGCGAGCCTAATCTGCTCGAAAGTTCGAATTTCTGCAGCATACTTTTCGAAGACTGGTCTCGGGATGGACCCCACGGGAACGAGAAGGATTCGGATATGCGCTAGGGATGCAAATGCATGATTTTCCATAGACAGTGACTTTCAGCGTTGAGGACCTCAAATGCGTCGGCGATCTACGCTGTGGTTCAAGAGGAAGAGGAGGGACGGTGCAGTGTCGAATCGCAGTACAGTACTATGGGCGCTTAACTAAATCAAAGTTCGCGCGACGCGTCTGACTGACACGTAACCTGCTTTCGACCATCTCACTTGCTGAAATATGGTGAGTGGTCTTTGGATTTGATTGTGGCATGAACTCAGAATCTTGGTAGGGAACGAGCGACAAGGCTTTAGGAGGACTCATGCTGCTGGCAGCTGCCTTCGTCTTCACATATTACACCACTTGGGCAATACTGCTGGTGCGTCTCAAACACTGTATCCGGACTGCATGCGTTAATCTGCCCATTTCCAGCCATTCTTGGACTCGGATAGCCCTGTACACAACTTCTTCCCTGCCAGGGAGTGGGCCGTTCGTATACCAGCCTTTTTACTTGTGGTCGGACTCTCAGGCATCGGCTTCTTCTTGGGAGCAACCATCGTCAAAGAAAACCGCATCAAGGCCCACAAAGCTAAGCTACGAAGTGCTTGATAGTGCATTCGCCTGTGGTTCCCCCTTATTGAATCGTATTTATTCCTTTGCAATATTATTGTAGTTCAATTACATTAAGATACGGCCCTGTGCTCTCGGCGATGTCTATCTGGATTCCCTCTGCGGTCACTGTTTTCTCTCTCCCAAAGGACTTTGATTTTCTCTTCGGCGATTATATCCTTCCCTGCCTGACTCACAAGGACCTCTAACGACGGCTCAGGCGGCGGCTCCGACGCACTCTTTAAGGCCTTGATTATCTAGTACCGTATCAGTTCCTTTTATCAGAAAGCACTGAGTAAAGCATACCTTCGTCGATGATGAGGCCTGCGTCGAATTCCGTACACGCTCCAGCAAGGCTACCATGGAGGAAGTTGAAGAACTAAGCGGACAGCGTAGAGAGTTGATGAAGAATAGCAAATCCGCGATCAATCCCCATGTTACCAGTGAAAGTGTCTAGCGAATACTTTAATAGCAGTAGACTGAGACAGGGTGAACAAGACCCACCGTAGACACGCCAGGCGTGTTTTCCGCCTCTATAACGTCAACAAGACTTTCGAAAGGTGTCCATAATCCACTCCAGATGGCAAGCCATGTTGCACCATCCACTTCTCTGCGTAGCGATACTTTGTGCGCCAGGAGAAGCCAGGCCTTCATTGATATATAGGCATAGTTGACCTCTGTCTTCGCATTTTGAGACAACGGCCCGCCGGCGTTTATCAAGCCCAGAATGGTGGTCTGATGTGCAATCGTGAAAGCACCTAATTGCGTGAACAGTATATCTTCCCAAGTTCCCGTAACCTCAGTCATCGCCGCCAGGACCATGATGTTCCAGCCACGGACGCTCAAGCTAGTGCGCTTCTAAAAACTGATCAGAGGAGGTATCTGAGGCAAGACAAGTTTGTCTACCTCGGTTACGTGCTCGAAGAGCCTAACCATGATGTTTTTGTCAAGGGTCGCTGCCTCAAGCACCATTTTGGCCACAGATATTGATGCATCAAAATCCTTGTCGGCGCGTTCGTTGGTCCATGTGTGATGCGAGAGGAAGTGAAAGCCACTGTCGACAAGACCCAAAAAGGATAATGGATGCGTCTTCGCCAGCGAGTCAATGCCATGCTCGGATGTCGTGATTACCTGAGAAAGAGAGAAGTTGAATACCATGCCTGTGTAAAATGTACGCGCTAACCTCTAGCATAGAGGCAATTGTAGTGGGTTGAACACGGGACTTCAGGCGTAGGCCGTCACCTAGAATTTCGAAGACGACTTGAACGATGGAATTGGGAGGAGTTTGTGTTGAATGCGTGTTAGGCTGGTAGGGTTTCTTGACGATGGTTGCGGCTACCCGTATCAATTGCGACAGACTAGATGACTTAACATCTAACCGATTTAGTATGATCCTCAGCATCGTTTCTGTGTAGTTGAACATTTCCTAGTATAATTCAGTCCCGGCGTGCTGCTTTCACAAACGAAATACTCACTCGACTATGCACTTTATTGAATTGCATCAACTTCGCGGGGATAATGATCAGAGGCGATGTATCCAGCGACTCTGCAGCCCACTCTGATGCTCGACGAGCTAAATGCGTCAAACACTGTCCTACGACTACAGGAAATCCTCCATGAACTCTCGTGTGTCGTAGATGAAGATATGACCCACATTGCATCAATTCGGCAGTATAGTTTTCGTGGTGAACAACATCAACATATGACTGCAAGTTGAACAGAACGTGCTGGAACGATTCCCGGTCACTTTCTATTGCTTTCATTAGTGTATCCCGCAGCAGAACTTCGCGTAAATGCCGCGTTGATGGTTTCGCATGTGCGTCGGTGAGTTGTTTGATGACGACAAAGAGCTCGTCGTCTACTTCGTGCTGTTGCATTGGGTAAGCGAAAGTGGCAAGAAATTGGATGGTTATTCACCTTGCATATGCTGATGAAGAGACCGTTCGGGTATCTGTGGAAACCAAGTGAGTTAGGGGCGAATTAGGGGTCGAAGACCAACTCATACGCTGTAAGAGTAGTCTCTAGAAAAGACCGCGCCTGGGCAACCAGAAGGTCGTTCATTCCGTGATGACCTTGCGAGGAAACTAGTTTGGTCGCAGTTTCAACCGAAGATCTACGATGCTCCATGAAGTCAGTGGCAAGCTGTCTTCAAATGACTTGCTTACATTATGATAGTGCCCATGAAAGTCGGGCATTTCTTAATGAAGGCCTGGGTGACAGAAAGGGCAAGTTGGCGAACTTCATAGCTGCCTTCACCAAGAAGGACTTCATGTAGTCTATGCATAGCCTTCCGAAGTGGTTGCTGTAGATGTCGCATCGGGCGCTCCTCAAAGTCTTGTTTGTGAATTATGATGCCCAGCCCTTCTACGAGACCCTTGAGTACCATGACGGGGATCGAAGTAAGATCGTCAAGGGTAGAGAATATACGGATAAGGACGTCAGAGAAAACAGCTCCTACGAGGCCATAGGACGACCCATTCTGGGGAGCGTTGACGATGGAGGCTTGCCAAAACTTGTGGTGTGAATCGAGGACGGCGACCAACTCGGTGACAAGAGGGTACATGTGAGCATCCATCACTCTGACTTCGTTAAAACGAACGTCGAAGTTGTGCCCATCGGCGGTGGTCACAGTGGAAACGCCGTCGAATCCAAGAGCTTGTAAGAGATGTAATTTGACCTTCATAAGTGTCTGATTGTCGACGAGGATACCGTCGGATACCATTCGGAGGCTCAATAGTAGAACGCCGCGCCGAAGCTGGGACATTTCGTCGTCGAGCCCGACAACCGAACCAGCGTCGTCTTTTTCGGAGTGAATACCGTACATCGACTAGACTCGAGGGTAAGTCACTAGGGTACTGACCTATAGGCCAATACTCACAAGGTGGGCAGAGGCTGGACCATCTTCAGCATCCCCGTGTTTTTCGGTGTAGTTGAGCTCTGACAGTATTTCGGTGATGACCTCCCAAGACAGGACTAAGGATGCACAAAAACAAAAGCTCAGCAACGGGTATGTTCGAACCGTAGACAAGGACATACGCTGCCACTCTGGGAAATGGGAGTGAAGCTCGATCAAAAATGAAGTAATGCCGACTCGTTCTGACATGGGGGCTTTCATAAGAGCTTCGTTCCAGCAAAGTGCGACGGCTAAGAGATGAGTAGGGAGCAAGGTTCTGGAGAGGCTTTTGGCCTCCAATCTCACTTCTTCCTGTAGATAAAATGATGATGAGGGCCGCACTCTTCCCATGCATCAGCATAACTCACTTTTTCGTCTGACCAAATCGCGGAGAAGAATTTTCGAAACACATTTGCTACCGATGATCGCCATTGTCTCCCTTCCACATTGAAAGAAGCGCTAAGGGTCTCAAGGATAATGCGGAAGATACGACTAACGCTATCCAGGCTGATGTCCTCTGTGAGTCGAAAGCATCTGAAAATTGACGTTCATATCGTACCGAATCTTCCAATCCACGGAAGACTGGTATAGACCATCTAGTAGCGCTTGAAAGGGTTCCTCATCAACGACCAATGTCCTTAGTAAGAAGGCTGGGCGAATCGCAGAAATATCAAACTGTTGGATGTCATACGCTTTCCACGCCCTGTAAGGTTGTCATTGATATCCTCCCGAGGTTTCGGAAAGAGACCCACCAACGGCAGAGTACTTGACCGTTTCGCAGCACGAAGTTGTCTACTTCGTATGATTCCAGTAAAGGAGACTCAGCCAAGAACGCATGCAAGAACTTGATGATATATGAAGAGAGTTCATCGATATCTGTTGTGATATATGCATCGAGGACTTCCATAATTTCAGGATCAATGGTTATGGGGTCAGAGATTTCTTCAGCTCTCGTTGTTATTTTTCGCCTGTAGTTGTGTCAGGGGGCGTATTTATTGTATGGCGAAAGACGAACCGCGAGGGTATGTCTGCAACTTCCGCTTGGCTGATGAATCCAAGGGTAATGATGTTCTGTCTTTCGCAGCCGTAGAGAATCAAATTGGCTGCTAAAGAATAACGAATGAAGCGCATACTGCTACCGGTCAGTCTAGTGTGTGTATCAACAATGAAACACGCACGTTGTCTCGAGCTGTGTGGCACTCTTTAGGTTGTCCCATACTGTGCTAGCATGTTTACTCCAGAGCCTGGCAATGGTCCGCTGGAGACTCTGTCGCCCCAAAGATCTCAGCCAGAGTGATGTAAAGATAGTCTCAATGAAGAAATGTATATCTTCGAAAGGAGTACCGTAGTTGAGCGCGTAGTCACAGATTTGCTCAAACGTAGGTGCAGGAATATCAATCCCAGAGCGAACGAGGACATGTAGCCACTTGAGACCACGTTGGAGACCCTCGACGTTCTCTTGCGCTGTCTTCGTCACGACGCGCCATGGTTCAATCGATGTCGTTGAGGCGTCTTGCTGAGGATGGGCATCCAAGAACACACTCGTCCGCTGGAAAGAGTCGACCTCTTTGGGGAGCAATCTGAGCAAGGAGGGCATCGGCTTAAATATGGTTAGCGAGGAAAGGATAGTGAACATCAGGAAACTTACCTCGGTGTATACACAGTCAGGCAGAAGGGACTCCAACCAGAATAGAAATAGGTCATCGCCAACTGTGAAAGTGACGGAAGCCCGCATAAATCCTGCAATATTGCTTAGTGTTCGGTCATATGTAACTCGCTTCCCAGTCTAAATTACAGGGGAGTGTTAGCAAACCTCTAAACCTTGATAACAGGTTTCCTGCATACGTTCGACGAATCAGCGGGTATGTCCCCGATTTCCGCGATTTCCTGAGCAAGGCCGAATAGTAAAACTGCATACTGCGGTGGATTTTGATCATGAAAGGCACGGAGCCATCGACATGCGTAACGACTCAGCATACCCCGTCTGGCGGCAATGTAATCACCCCCGTTGTTTGCGGAGCCGCTTGGCGATGGGCGAGAGTCTTGTGTATATGGCCATGGATGAGAGTCCATGGCGGAGCGAATGCCGGGCAAGGGCTTCTGCTTCGCTAAGAAATCCCTAAGAATGGCAGCTAAACTGACATCCTAACTAGAGTGAGGAGGAGATCGTGTGGCAGTTAAATCGGTAGAGCTCACTTCGGCTAGGATCCAACAAAGGACACTCTTGCAGAGCCGCCTGTGAGCATAATCGGAGAGCAAGCCATCAGGCCACAACTTCCTAGTAAGGATCAGAAATCCGAACTCGTTGACAGAGAGATCGAGGTCAGACAACGACGCCTCTATGGAGGAGAAAAGAAGTTCCACGTTGGTGGACAAGTCCAGACCAAGAGGCAGAGGGAAGATGCAGTACGTTTCTTGCGGATCGCCGGAGAAGATATCCGGGTGCAGTCGGGACTCGTAGAAGAAACCTAAATGGTGCAGAAGGGATAAGACATGCTTAGCAGCATAATCGGAGAATAGATGAAAGTCATATCCTAAGATATCGCGCAGTTGGGATAATGTTACAACCTCATTCGGATGCGTAGAATCATCATCGGACGACGAGTCGGAGAGGATGGGGACATTGAGTGTGTCGCTAGGGACCGCTTTATGCGTCGCTCGAGGTCCCTTGATCACGCTCGCAATATACAATAAACTTGTCCATTCGCATGTAATGAGAAACTGAGTAGGATGAACGCCGTTGTCCGCAAGGTATTCATCCATTCCAGGTGAGATATCACCGTTCCTGGAAGAGATGAGGTCTTCGCACCAAGCGATAACTTGGTGAAGTTCGAACGAGTCAAGTATCGGCGCATCTTGCTGGGCCACAAGTTTGCCTCTTTGGCGAACCACGATTGAACCCATTGCAACCCCGTTGTCAAGAATTTGCTTTTGGATAAATAGCATGGTGAGAAACACGTCCAATTCTTCGTAAGTCTTCTCCGAGAGATGATCGCGGGTGGCCTTGAGGAGATCGTCATAATGATCGATGCAAGACTGTCGTAAATCGGTCCATGGAATCTCTAGGCTATCACTAGTAAAGTCTGCCATTGAACAAGAGCTCAGGCCCTCTGGATTATTGCGATGGTTCCGGAGGCACTTGTCGTGGACCAAGGTCGTACAAGTGACGCATCGGAAACACTGAGCGAAGTTTCCCCAAAGAGGTCTGCGGCACAAAGCGCAAAGGCTCAGTGTGAACAGATTCGTTAACCGAAATGCATGGCCCCTGACCAAGATGGTCATCGGTTCTTTGTCTCTTCTTGGTGGCAGTAAGTCGGAAAAACGATACATTGCAATTCTTTGTACATTGGCATTGTCTGCTGAACGGTGTTGTGATAGATGACAGCCGCTGGGATAGTCGTAGCAACCAAAGTGTACGGCACACAGGCAATATGGACAGTATAATCCAAATTCGCGTATAGGCTTGGAACATGAACGACAATCAGTTTGCGAAAGGTTGGGGAGGTGTTGGGAGGAGATAGCGCGGAAGCACCAGGGCACGAATTGGTGATCATACGGGCTGACGCGAGGGGACGCGGGAGGGTAACTTGTGACGGGAAACGGGCAGCTAAGGGACGAATGGCCAACAGCCGTGGGCCACAATGTGGTCAAGAAACTGACGGCAGCATATCTGGCCTTACTGGGCTGGCTGGCAACCACCTCAAGTAGGTCCGTGTAGAGGTCATGTTTCATCCGGCAAACCAGGTCGACGATGTGATGAAGTCGATGCAAAACCTCCGGTCGAGTCTCAGAGTCTTGGCTAGTACCAATTGTGCTAATGATTGTTGTGAAAAGATTGACCAAGGCTGACGAGGAGTAATAAACCGAGGGCTGATGTGACGGTGCATTTGTAGACAGGACAGTGTACGGTCGGGATGACTGACTTCCCCACGGTGTCCATCTCATCGCAGGCCTGGCATCGTCTCCGTCGAACGATTCCACTTGAATGGAAACGGATGGATGCTGGTTGTCTGTAACGACAATATTGGCTTTTGCAAGGCACGGTATTGAGCCTAATAATGAACAAGGGACAACACGAAAGCAAGAGCTTACCATCTGCCTTCTCCTGTTCTTTCGCATCTACCGATTGATCCATGATTTCCAAAATAATAACTACTACTTCCTCGAAGAACGATAGTAGTCTGAGGTGCATTTCCTTTCCGAAAGTACTGAAAGCTGGCGTTAGCGCGACTAACAGTAGGTACACGGTTTTAGGATCGTGTCGATGCTTGAAGACCAAAAACCTGGTTATGAGAAGAACTAAAGCTTGCAAGGCGTTTGGTGGATGGGTAAGGCTAATGGGACGGTATTTGAAGCGGCAGTCCTCTAGTACAATTGAAGACAGCATGGATATACATTCAGTCAGGAGCTCCGACCCTTGGGCAGAATTGGAGACAAATGCCGGGGAGGGGGAGCGCGAGCGGCGGCCAGAGGGTGACAGACTATGGCGAGAGCGTCGAAATGACGAGGCAAACTTCTGGTCTATTGACGACCGGTCTTGAGATTGGGGGCTAGAAAGCACTGGTACGCTTGGATTCCTATACACTCAACAAGGGTGGGACTTACCCTACGTCAAACACATAGGCACCTGAATCGTCTGACTGTTTGATTATTGTCCATAGATTCGACAATAAATGGTGCGTCTGCTTCGTATCGAAACCATGTTCGCCGCCGTCAGTAGCATCGTCCTGCTCCTCGTCAAAAGCTCGAGCTTTCTGAGAGCTGTCCAGACCTTCCTTCAGTTTGACGACCCCCTTGACCGATTCTACTATAGCCCCAAAAACGTTCTCGTTCGTTTCATCCACCTGGATTTTCAAAGACTCGAAGATGGGCAGGGGCATGAGGCGTGCTTGTAGCTCTTGAAACGACTGCATGATCATATTTTGATACCCAATCCTACTACGATCCCTCACGTCCTGCGGGGCACGAGAACGAGGTGTCGGCTTTAAGTGGTTGGTGAAACTGGACCGGCGAAGCCCAGGTGAAGTCGGTGACGACAATTCCACAGATAATTGTGGCCCATCTTGTATGTTGAGTCGTCTAGGAGTATGGGGTTCATTACTAGGTTGCTCTGGAGGATTCATGGACGTGTGGAACGGCTAAAGTGGCGGTCACAGTTGATCGTGACCCCTATGGGTTCCTTACGTAAGGAACGCGTCCATCAATTGTGGCTTCGCGCCCAACTGGCACACGCACGGTTAACCTTCATCCAAGCACAGTCATGCCAAAACCAAGGAAATCCATTGCGCCGAAGAAACCAAAACTGTCTCAGGTGACCCTCGACGAGATATTCAAAGGTGCGACGCGAACTAAGGAATCCCGGTCCAAATGCGATGCCAACTCCTCGGAATCGGAACCGGGCGAGAAATCCGATGAAGGTCTCGGCGACATTCATTTCGAGCGCAAGGCCAGTGCTGTGACCACAGACGACGATGTCGATGACCTTGAAGTCATGTCCCCAAGACGTTCCTTCAAACGACGAAAGGTCGTTAACAGCGATGGCGATCAGGCCATGCCTCCACTTAGCTCACCCACAAGCCATATTCAGATTACTGACTCAGAAGATGAGGTTATTCCCATACGTAAATCGAAAAGGAGGAAGCAGAACGTCGTGGCTGATTCCGACGACGACGCCGACGACGCCCGTCCCAGCAAGCGCAAGTTACGCAAGAAATCTCTAAGCCCTGCTACTAGTGACGAAGATCTGGCTGGTGAAGTAGAGGAAGAACGTGCGATATTTCGACCCAAACGTCAGTTTCATTTGATATGAGCTGATCTACAGGAATCCTTGACTCGCGCCTACGGCAGAGGGGGAGGACATCATTATTCCAGAAGAACCTTGAAAAATTGAAGCGTACGTTGAACATTGTGTTTTGTTGTTATGTGACACTATCATTTTAAATAGGACGAAAGCAAGGGCGCATGGTCTCGGATTCGTCAGAGCAGGATTCGTCAGAGGAGGATGCGACAACACGCGGGGTCGTCCCCTTCGACGGTGCTAAGCCCGACTGCGACGATGAATCAGAGGGAGGTGAAGATGAAGAGCAGGAAGATGATAATTTCATCGTAGACGATGATGGCGCAGGCTTCACTGAGCTGCCTGTCGAATTCAGCATGTCTACACATGAAGATCTGGCTCATCAGTTCAAGATAATATTTCAGTTTTTTGTGCATATTGCTATCCAGCCACCTCAAGATCGACATGAATTCATGTCACGGCAGATGAAAAGTAGGTGTGATGAGCTCTTCCCTTGCTTCTTCTCATCGCCTTGAAAGCACAGCAATATTTCTCGGTACCCCTGCAAATTGTCCGAAGGAAGCTTTCGGGCCTCAGAGACTCTCTTGTCGCCTCTTCTGTTTGGCGCGCCGACTTCAAAACAGCACTTTCTACTTTTCCAGAGTTTGGATTGGATGACCTGCAGTTCGCATTACCTCAGTGTGATGCTTGTCACCTAGGGGGTAGGCTTTCGACATTGATTGGACGACTTAGTGGACATCCATATGATCCTGTCGGGTTTGAGGTCCGTTTACTACGTCGATCGGACTTCATCTGCTTACGATGTGGCTAGTCTACGACGGGTGATTCTTCGGACGAAGATGAATCACCCATCCAGTTCCATCTGGGTCGCTTCTGTGCGAGGCGCACGAGAGTATTTCATCAATTTACACATTGGGAGGCATGTATGACACCTCCATTCCGCGGTTTATGCTGAACGAATCCCTACAGTACACCCTGTTTGGCGCGATTCGTCGCGAGATAGATGAGCTGCATGAACGGTCTCGTGTCGGAAGCTCCAAACGCAACTTTGTACGTATTGCCTTCGCCGGTGCAACGCAACCGCCCGACGACTTGACGGATGCCGATGCAATTTGCGAATACCTCGACTCGCGCAAAGTTATTGACATGGAGTGGCAATCGATCAAGTTGATGATGGATAGTGCACAAAACCTCGAAATGGCCAGGAAAAAAGGTGACGATATAGAAGGGTAGCCTTAGGTCACGTTTATCTTTCCCAATGGACTGGTTGATGTTTCATGCGGTGCAACATATCGTTGTAGACCGCTTATCCAGTTGAATTCTCCGCGAATAGATTCGCTTATCCAATTTCTTGGTTTTACGAGGCGCTTCGGCATGATTGCCCTCCCCACTGGACATCATTACTGATCACCCCACATCAACCACCGTCCATTGGAAGGCGCCGGCTGTGGTCACACTGATGTGGGCTATATTCTGACCGTTCTAAAAATTCATCAGCATTTTGATACTTCACCGGAACGAGGTGTTCTTAGTGTTCTCAGTACGTGGCACCATGAAACCCCGAAAATAGGTGCTATTGACGCGTGTTCAGTCAATCATCAATCACGCAGCAATCAATATCAAGACCAAGGTTCGACCCGCACATAGGCTGCATCGTAAAAACCAATTCTTCCCCCTTTGCCTGCCTGTGGCGTTAACCCTAGCTGACCTGGCTATTTGCGGTAATCGTTTCCTCTCGATAGCCGCGTTCGCCATGGGCATTCTACCTTTCTACCCAGCTGGGGTCCTTGGTTGGCAGAAGGTTCACGCGTTGGAATGTCAGATCGCTTACGACTGTTCGGCCCTCCTCTTGGCTAATGACCTCAAGTTACTTATTGAGCAAGTATGGAAAGCCAACAGACACGTCGACTATAATTCCAGAACATCGATCTTGGAAGTGGATTTAGGACTTGCTCATCTATGGGTTTGAACTTCGCACGACTCACGGAGCTGATTACACGTGCTAACACATCTCTCCTCAGTTTCCCCAAAAGGTAGGTAGTACTACACCTATCATTCATGAGCATATAGACATTGATTGCGGCACAGGTAATAGGCTATAACAGCACCACGTTGTTTGCATGGTGCCTTTCGCGGAGGGCTGCTCACCCGTGTGGCATGGTCTTGCTATTAACATTTTTACTTCAACCTGTCCCTATATTTGTCGTTCTGCTTGCATATCCAAGATCAAAGGGGCGACAAGATCAATGGTACGTTGTGGCCTGAGAAACACCATCCCCTTCTTTCTCGGTCGACTCACCGTCTTGCTTAATTAGGGAAATTCTTTCTGTGCTGTTACAGTCCGTTACAGTTGGCCGGTTCTTGGTCCCCGAACGCCCTGTCTGCTTTATTCTCCTTTGTGCGATCGTCGGAAACCAGGAGCTTCGCCTGTGGACGTCCCATACTTCCCTACACTCGCTAGCTCTTTGATCCCCAGGGCCTCGGATCGCCTTATATGGAGGTTTTCACGCATATGCTTAATTACCAGCCAGGCGGACCTTGAGGAACTGCGAGTCCAAATCACATCCCTCAAGCCACGAACCCCAAAAGGAGCCGTGTTCCCCTCTCGTATACTGATTTATACCAGCGTTTCAGCTTTCCTACTCTTACACCCTAACTACACCCCACACCTGCTTTCCCGTCTATCTCAATGGAAACGGACCTTTCTGATTATGCTTCCTCCCCACCATCTACGAAATCATCTATCGACGAAGACGAAGTGAATAGACGCATACGTCCATGCTGGCACCGATATAGACGTCTGCTAGAAAGCAAGGGGTTCCACTTGGAGACATTTCGCGACGTGAAGTCATTCTACGAACACTTTCCGGATTACCAAATGCCCGCGGCGCCAGGCCACATGCAAATTCACACACGGATGGACGAAGACGCGCTCTGCCCAGACCCAGGACTTGTATGATCATCTACTGCCCATGGTACGCTTGTGTTGAAGTGATTGTTTCGAATAGCCCGATAACCTGTTTCGAGGATATCGGACCTGTGACGGGCTGAAGGTCATGGTTAAGGCAGTTCATGTGCACAGTCGGGAGTTGGACATAATACGTTACCTCTCAACCCCGCCGCGTAGAAAGGATCCTATGAACCACTGCATCCGTGAGTACCCGCATATCTAAGTATGGCTTTCCACGACACGTTGCCGATCATGACTTGGATTAGCCGTTCTCGACCTTATCGAAGTTCGCGACGATGGCCTAGCGTTCTTGGTGATGGAACAATGGTCGTCTCAACTGATTTCTGTAACGCCCTGCTGCTTGCGGCTATTCTTGGCTGCCCTGCGGCAATGCATTGAAGTAGGTTGCTAGTCTTCTGATAGCCTTACGCTACTAACCATTCCTCGGTAGCATGCTGTGTTCATGCACAAGCACCGCATTGCACACCTTGACATCTCCATTCGAAATCTCCTCACTGACTACAACGGACATTACGCGTATATTGACTTTGAGTTAAGCCGTCGATTCAACGGTGAGCCAAATCCTCGGGTGCAAGGGTATCGCGGGACCGAGATACCTCCTGAGGTGGAGCATGGCGAGCCTTCGGATCCGTACAAGATAGATGTCTGGGCCATGGGCGTATTGATACTGCGTGCGTGCAAGGTATGTGCTTCATGAAACAGCCGTTATCGACGAGATTAAGCATGTACTCTAGTTGACAGGGTTTTTCATTCCTCAGATCATGGAACTGGTTGAACCTATGCTATGCGAGAAACCAGATACGCGTCCTTCGATGGAGAAAGTGCTTCGTATGTTCGACAGCATCGTACGGTCCCTCGACCCAGCCCAACTGCAGTCATCTTGTCCTACTCAACGCTAGTGACGCTGGACATTCCACTATGCTCTATGTTCATCCCTCATACATAGCTATATTACTTCGCACCGCATCGGATATAACTGCTTGGGTTATTTACAGTAGCTGCTAATGACTACAATAGATATGATTGTGTAACAAGCCACTAGGTGTCGGGGTCATGAGGTGGTTCTTCCAACCTTTGCCTTTTCCGCTGAAGGTAACGTTCGCGCGCGCTCTGGACGTCTTTCTCGTCGTTCCGACGCGCTACTATTCTCTTAGTCGCTTCCTCTTCCGCCCTTTGCTTCTCCCTTGCTAAGCGTTCCTGCTCTGCCTCCATTTGAACCTGTATCTCGCGCGCCCGCCTCTGGTTAATCTCTTTCCTGCTAGCCGCAGTTCCAACTGCGCGATGCACCTCCACCTGTTCGGTGCCATCCGCCTTCTCAGATGACTGCGTCCGGGCGCCTAATCGCCGAGTATTAGGCAAAGCCAAGTTAAGTCCGGCGCTGAGGAGTTCACGCTTGTCTACGATTTGATTGTCATCATTTAACTCGACGTCTTTACCCTGTTCTCGAGCCACGCGGGCGAGCTCCACATCTGACTTCGGCGTAAAATCGGGTGGCTTCGTGATTGTGAGATTCGGTGGCGGAGCCTGTGGACCAATGACGGGCTTTTGTGTTGCTGCAACCGTAGCTTCGTGGTTCTGTTCGGATTCCTCCAACAGTTTGCGATAGAAGTGAGCCATTCCGGTCGAAGCGCCTCCCTTCTTTTTCTGCATGGCTACAATAATCAATCAACGAATGCTCGATGGAGTAGACTCGGTATATCATACCTTCTCTGAGCTTCTCCTCCTCTTCGGCCTTACGTACTTCAGCCATCTGATCCTTATAGGCTTGTGTAACGAACGCTTCCTTGTCATTGAACTCATCACCTTCGGCCTCACGTTCACGCTGCATCAGCTTTTCTTCGGCGCGCAGGTGGTCGAGTTTCCTTGTGGCAGCGGCGTTTAGTAGACCATCGATGTATTTGGGCTATACAATATCTGAGGTGAATTTTAAGCGGACAAAATAGCTGAACGCAGCACGTACTTTCCGAGTCTTGGCATCTATTTCTTTGGCCTCTTTCTGTTTCTGCTTCGCCTCCTGCATCTTGTCCCAGATCTCATCGTATTCATATACACTAGCGTCCACTTTCTTCTCGGTTTCCATGCGCTTCCTGGCGGCCTTGGACGACTCGGCACCGAACGCCATTAGCTGTTTGTTCGGCGCAACATTAGGATTCGACGAGGATGCGGTGGGCGCAGCGTCGACGGGCCCATCGTCGTCGAGCGAGGCAAATACGGCCGACCGCTTGAGTGACGGTGGATCTGCTTTTGGGGCCGGCTTGGATTTGTTGAGGGAGAAGGAAACCTTCATTGGCGGTAGCTGAATGTATACCGGAGTTTGAAATCTCCTTGTATACCTGTTGTGATGCAGTCTGGCTTCGACCGAAGACGAATCAATGGCCCAGAGGAATCCTTTCCTCCAATTTTTTACGATTCAGACAGCGACGACGATGCACCACCCTCCAAGAAGCCATTGCGAAATGGAAGATCTTCGAAAGACATAAGACCCATCTGTGCGACTTTTATCTTCCATTGATGCATCACGATTCTCATACACGACATACAAGTCTTGCAGCCAGGACTGATAAACCAGTCCAACGGTTCTGCATATATTGAAACCGAGAAGACAAAGATTGCCTGTGCAGTGTTCGTTTGTTTCCTCGTGATGTTCGGTGTGCTCAGGCTTCGCTTATACGCATCGTAGTTACGGGCCTCGTCAGTCCAAAAATACCGCGTACAGCGAGCACGGTCGGCTGAATGTCGAGGTAAAATTTGCTCCGTTCTCATGCGGTCGTCGGAAGCAGCCTCTTAGGGTAAGTCAGTACGTGGGGATCAATGCCATGTTCCTCATTTATCAGTCATAGGATGCGGAAGACAGGTCCGTAGCCGTAGCGATACACCAGGCCCTCGTATCTTCCGTACGGCTCGAACTCTTGCCAAAATCCACGGTCGATGTGTTTATCAACATAATCGAGGCGGACGGCATCGAGGGATGTATCGCGTCAGGGTCTGTAGCCGCTAGCACGGCACTTGCAGATGCTGGCATAGATTTATTCGGTTTGGTTGTCTCGTGCTCTGCGGTATGTCCATGTTACCCACCGGAAACACCTGTTACTCATCGTCCTCGTAGGCCGTGGTTGGAGACGAGATATGGCTAGATCCAACCGAAGAGGAAGTTCAGTCGTCTAACGGAACCATGGTGGTATCTACTCTACCCGCTCTCAATACCATGACTAGTATATGGCAAAACGGGATGCTTTCTCCAAGCCAAGTTTTAGAGGTAATAAGACCGCTGCAAATTCTTGAATGCGAGCCTCACACTGAACTCATTTCAAGGGTATGGGAATTTGCGACGAGAAGTGCAAGGACATCCATTCCATCGTAGCGCAAGCTATCCGAGATCATGCCGTCCAACAAGTATAAAAGATGATATCGCCAGTCCATCCAGAAACATACAAAATACAGATCTATGATATGTCCAACATGTCGTAAGTCCGCGCTCGTCGTTTTCTATCGTAGTCCAAGCGCAAGATCCTAGTCGAAGAATAACTGCCCGTAAAATCAAAAATCAAATTCCTCAGAAACAAGATCGATGAATCCGCTCATATCCCCTCCCCTGATTTTAGCGGGATCTATTTGTTTCGCGATTTCCTTCCGGACCATGGCATTCAGTGAAGCCGGGCCGCAAGTGGCTACGATGACAGGTCCTCGAGCCATCCGAACTTCGTCGGCAAGTATACGATCCAGCTTCGGCTTGCCCAATCTAGCGTGTTCGGACACGACTGATATGTCGTGCATCTCTCGAGCGTCAACCAGGATTTGAAGGGCTCCAGGCGGTGCCTCTGAATCTCCATCAAACACTTTGGACGGCGAGGGCGATGGTTGCTGAAGACGAGGATCGGGAGGATGACGAGGAGACGTGGGCCTCGACGACGAAAGTGGCCGATATGCAGTGTCCTTCAGACTCTCCGCTATCTGGTTCGCGGTCCTCCAGGTAGGCGATAGAAGCCCGTCAGGAGATGAGGCCTGGAACTGCGTGATTGCACCCTTAGAGGTCGACGGCATGGGTTTGACAAGTTCACCATTCCCTTCCTTCTTCGCCATCCGTGACTTCGCTCTACGCATTTTCCCGCTCTTTCGAATGCTCTTGTTTAGAGCAGCTTCGCCTGGCAGCCGTATATCTTGGTCGCCCTCGAAGTTAGTCAGGTAAAGTGTGTAAATCTCGCACAAAACCGTGTTCCCCGACTCTGTGCTCCCTTCGTCGCCGTATGTGGTGATATCAGGGTTTGGGTCGATGTAATCGTCCTGATGATAGTCACTGTCCACCGAACCCACTGAATCCCTCCTCTTGCGCCCCGTTTCGTCTGAATGATGACCGCCCTCAGATGCGGCTTCAAAAACGATATTTGGTAACTCGATATCACCAGTAGTAGGTACCTCCTTTGGCAGCGACGTTGTCGGGTTGGTGACGAAGATGTCTACATCGAGACTCGGTGCCGGCATCATTGTCATACAGTGCTGCAGAATGGAGGCACACCATTGAACGTGGGCTGTTTCATGAGTGGCTTTCAGAAATTTGCACTGAGAATGAATAGCACATAACTTACAATATTCTCTGATGATCCAGACGAACCGTACGCGCCTCACCTTAAAGTCCTTCGAACCCCAGCCCCCAGGATGCCCTCCCAAATATTTGCCGTCTCGTCCAGCAAGGCATAGAGCCAAGAACTGAAGAATAGACACGCCAAAGCTCACTCCCGATCCACCAACAACTACTAAGACCGTCGAATATTGTCTCCATTGCGTACGGATTGAACTCCCGAAAGGACCATCAACAAGCGTTCTCAGCAAGACACCGTTGCTGGGGACTTGCTCGGAGAAGGGCACTTTTTCGCTTGCTACGTGAGTTTCGCCGTGGCTTAACATGGCGAAAACGTGGTTCCAAAGGTCCTTTGTCCATCCCTCTTTGGCACGAATGTAGAATACCAACGCACGTCCAGCCGCAGTGCTTGCCTGTTCGTCACAGATAGATGCAGCAGTAAAAGGGTGAGTATCGAGCCGTGAAATCGATGGGATGGTGAGAAGGAAGTGTTGTCCAGGGGCCCAGGCGAGGGGCCCAGGAGGTAGAAAAGTTAGCCGGACGGTCGATCCAGAGAGGAGTTCAGCATAGGAAAAGCCTGGTGGAGGTGTGTATGAGTGCACGCCTTCTAAGCTGAGGAACGGCGAATCTTCAGTGGCAACCATTCCATACGACGACCGTAACGGAGGGTAGATGTGGCGCTTGCCCCTTCCGTAGTGCGCTTCTGGATAAGATGCGTCTAGTCTCATGCGATTGGAAGTGCGGCCTAATGATGACCCCAGAAACCCATTGTTGTAAAGCCACCAAGTTGCTCTCCATATACGCTCCCCTACCCAAAGACTCAAAGCACCCCAACACCACCACCAAACAGGGGGGTGATGTAAAGCGGCCATGATTATGGTGAGAGGGACGAGCATTATATGGCAGGCGTAGAACACTTGGTAATACTGTTTCCTCAGAGCCGAAGTGGAAAGTCCAATGAGTGCGGTCATTGTCATGAATGCCTAGAAGATGCGGTGTAAGTGCACGCCGTGGAAGATTTGTGGTTAAAAATAAATAACAAACCGTCCATCCGTAGATAAACTTAGGATATCGCCAAATGTAGACGTATGGTGCTACACCAGTTCCTTCTCGTCGGTCCAGGCTCAGCTGTACGCTCCACAGCAGGACGTGCAGGGCGGATACCATCCATATCAACCTTCCTGACCACCGATGTAGCCAGGACAACTTATCAAAATAGAACTGGGTGGTAAAAGGGATCGCGAAAAGGGCGAATGGGGGTGCCTTCAAAGCGAACAGGACGCAGAGGGGTAGGAGCGCGAATGCGAGTACACCCGTCCTGTTACCTGACGTCCACCAAGCTTTGTTGATTTGGTATTGAGGTTGTAAGTGGATGAAGTCGGAGATACTGTAAGCGGGTCTTCGCCCGTCCCTTCGGGCAAAAATGGAGGAATGGCTGCGGCCTATGTAATCTGGGCCAACAAAGCATAACAGAAGGACGGCAACGAAGAGGACAATCGTGCAGAATATTTGACCGTTGGAGGGGAGTGATTTCGGCTGGGGACGAGTTCCCCTCTTCTTCGCGATAGCTAGAGCATGCTGACCTCGCCAAGTTCGTTTCCGAAGGGCCCATTTATTCCATCGCGCACCTAGATACCCTCCTGAACCTGTCCAGCGCAGAAATATGTACAGAAGGAAGATGGCTGCCACAACGAACCACAGGAGGTAGGCATACCAGAAGGAGCCCGGGCTCAGCATATGTATGACTAGATACGCCGTGATCCATTGAATGTCGTCGGGATAATTGGGCGTCGTCGGATTCGGGATCGGTATCACGGTCGCCGTTGGTGTCGAATTTGGTATCGGCGTCGACATGGCTTGTCCATAGATCGGATTCGGGGTGTGGGCCTTTTATATGTAGTACATCTGCATCAAATTTGATACCGCTAACGAGGGAAATCGAAGTTGCAAGCGAATCAAGAGAACGGTTGTCGTGACTCGTCTTTAAGCGTGGCTGGTTGAAGAGTCTCAGTGAGCAGACCATGATTGAATTAGTATTCATGCGCGAGGAAGTATTTTGATCTCCGATCACCGCACCCCTGATCCTCGTCGGCCCTAAACCAACGAAACAACGGAACCAGGGGCGGCGCAGAAGGCTCTTCCCAGACAAAGGTACTCCACAGTAGATGATAAATTCCTAAGTGCATACATATTCACAGCATAGATAGAAGGCAGTGCTTTAATTTACTCAATGGTTGTGCCAGAACGGACCTATGGGCTCATTCAGTCACTGCAGGCACTGATTGTAGCTGATCGACTCACCTCTTTGCCCGTCTTCTTAATCTTCTCCAGGAGATCGTCGTACGGGATGCTTCCTTTGACGAGAACTTCTTGCTTCTCGAGGCTTATGTCGTAGCTGGACACGCCTGCAACAGCTCACAAAACATATTTCAAAGCAGTGGACTTGACTCACCGTCTGTCTTCTTGAGAACTCGCTCAACTGCTCCCGAACATCCAGAGCAGGTCATCTACAAATCATCAGGGCAAGCCGCGTTGCACGCCACAGAAAACAAGGACCTTGACATCGAACTTGTACGTGTGATCGGACTGGACAGATGTGAGCAGGGCGTCCGCAAGCGTTTGTTAACGGTATACACGCACCATGGAGATTGATGCCCGTTTGTTATCGAGAAGGCCTAGAGCAAATCGTCAACGGAGCTCCTCGAACGCCACAACGAAGACACGCACAAATTGTCTGAGGATGTGGGGAACGGAGGAATGCTGTCCATGACTTGAATCAGTAGCTTATAAAGGAGAGCCCATCGCGCCATCTGATTACGGAATCTGGACTGTTGGGGACAGATTAGGCAACGCAGCAGTGTCAGTTCCCGACGTTGATCCTGTTGCCCGAACCAGCTCCGTAAGCATTTTGGTAACAATCAGCACCAAGCCATTAGTCAGTATTATATACAGTTGTCTAAAGCTAATAATTTGAAACTGCTGTGTCAAGACGTCCGTTGTTCTGACATTTCCATAGTTTCGTCTGTAGCGACTGCTTGCCAGCCGGCACCAGCCGCTGGCTGCCCCCGAATCCGTTGTATCCACGATACGAACCATGCTGTTGGTCGAATGAGATACGATTTGATGACAAGCGGAACGGACCACTTCATACCTAATGGTCTAGGCAATTCTTCACTCTTGCGATGGGTAATGTAGTAGACCGGAATGCCAGCAGCCACGAACCCTACCCCGTTGACTCTCAGTACCAAGAATTTGAGGATGGGAAGGGATGCAAACCTAATACCGCCATAGCCTCAAGGGGCGCCGCAATGATGGGCATGCACAACAAAAACAGCGCGACCTGAACGATTCAATGGTCAATAAACCAAAGGACTGGTAGAGAAACCTGTGCACGAACGCCGCAGAATGTTAGAGGCGTGATAATAAAAGTCTTGTACGGCCTGAGTGCAACATGATTGAGTCTTATCCTGAGCATCGACGTCACTCGGAGACACACCTCTCAAGATTCGGTTCCTTTACGCGTAGGATCACAAGTCCTAGTACCTGAAAGCGATGCTCATAAGCATCCCGGTAATCCGAAGGGTTGGTAGTGTGCTCACAGTGAGGAAGTAAAAGCCCCACGAAGCCACGACGGAGAAGTTGATCAGTGATCTGAAACCCCCACCAATCAGGATGAACGTTATGGTGATTGCAGCTTGCAGAAGGGACGCGTTGAGGGGTGTTCCGCGGCTTTTGTGCAGCCGACCGAATACTTCAGGAAGAAAATGCTCCCTCCCAGCAGCGTAGATAAGGCGTGATGTCGTGAAGAAAGATCCTAAAAGAGGTGAGTATCATGATCTGCTTTGAGACGAGCTGAGTACCATTTAGAGCCCCAAAGCATGAGAAAGCGACCATGAACGCAAAGACGAAACCCCCAACGGGGCCAAACAACTTTCGTCCGAAGTCCATCGCCACCGTATTACTCAAACCAACGGTCGCCTAGGAGAGCGATGAGAGACAAACGTTAGCTAGTACGATACACCATACCTTATCAAGGACGACAAAATATGATACGTTTGCCAGCAAAAAGAGTACCTAAATGAGGGAAATGGGCTACTAATCCTCATCCTGGTGTGCTCAGACGGCTTACTGTCACAATGGCCATGCTGGAATGGATAGCGCGTGGTATATTCTTCTCGGGATTCGTAAGCTCTCCGCCGACATAATTAGCTTGGTCCCAGCCATCGAAGGCCCACAAGCCGGAATAGAGGGCTAGGGAGTAGGCTGAAGGGCTCCGACTTGAGCCTTCAAATAACGGTGTAGTGAGTGACGTCGATGCACGCCCGCGTGCTAGTTGGACGATGCCGAGAATGGTGACGGACACAAGCGCCAATACCTACGAAAGATCAGGTACTGCAATAACCTCTACCTTCGGCTTACTTTGACACTAGTGAAGATGACGGCTGCCCGAGAGCCCAAATTACGTGCAGCAATACATAGCAATGTCACGAAAAGAACGGCGCCTATCGCGGTCAGCTTGATAGCCCATTGAGGGAGGTCGTCCGGTGATACATCATCGCGAGTGGTATGCCAGAATATGCGATTCAAATATTCTGCGAAAATAAGGCTGATCACAGCGTTCCCTCCTGCGTGGATTTAGCCAGTGTTTTTTTTTTGGAAGAACGGGTAGCTCACCAGGTTTGAGGGCTATGATAGCTGTCCAAGCGAACAAATATGAAATCAAAGGGCCATACGCGTATGCAAGGTAGGCCTGTGCTCCACCGTTCAAAGGGATGGCAGAACCTAGTTCGGCGAAACTGCTAGCACCGGTCCAGGCAAGCAGACCAGAAACTAGCCACACAGTGAGACTGGCACCGACGCTATGTGTATTCGCGACAACAACACCAGGTGATGAACTAAGGAAGGGGGGTGAGATATGTTCCGCGCCGGTCTTAAATTCTTACAAGATGCCAGAGCCAATCTACTTGGGAATATATCAATGAGAAATATAGTCAGCCGTAGGAAACCGAACAACGCGTACTTGTAGGCCAACGACAAGAGCAATTCCTTCGCCGAGTGGTTTACAAGTCAGGCATAGAGCAGAGGTATTGTTTCCAAGCGCACCGTTTATTAGTCCGAGATTCTTTTCGCCTGCCTCGGCGTGTATAACAGCTTCCGGATCACTCAAACTGGATGTAAGCGGTAGTAGGTCTTGCTGGAAGTCGAACCCCGATATAGAATAAGAACGCCCTCTGCGTCAAAAGTAAGTGAGTCGCGTCCACAGAAGATGTCTTCAATGCTCACCGTTGCCTCGGAGACATCGAGGTCAATGGACCCTCAGAGATTTCGAGAGCACGGAGAGAATCTTCTGAATCGCGTGACTGGCGTGGTAGTAGTGGAGGTGAGTAGACTTCTTCTTCATCATCTACGGGAGATTTGAGGCGTGTATATGAGGCATTTCGTGACATGGGTCGTAGTGCAGCAGTGAGCGAGCTGGGCTGCCAGTGGTATAACTTAAAGTTCGTGATTGGGTGGGTTTGTGGGCGCTTATTCCCTTCATCCACGACGTCGATCATTTCTCTATTAGCGGTGTCGCGGCCGCGCCTCCGCCTCCGCCTCAACAAGCAAATTTCCTTTTGCTTGCATTCGACGCCGTGCGGAATGGCGACAGAGAAACCCACAGAAGTGCCGGCAGGCTTCAAGCTTCACACCGAAAATTCAACCCATATCTTGCTCCCCGACAACAATGAAGCTTTCTTGAACCCTGTTCAGGAATTCAATCGTGACTTGAGTATCGCCTGCATACGGGTTTGGAGCGAGGAGCTCGACAAATTCAAGCAAAGCAGATGGCAGGCCGCTCAGGAGAGGAAATCTAAAGCCCCGGCCAAGAAGGCGCGAAGTATGTTGCTCGGTCATAAAATCTACGCGTCTCGAGCAAGATATTAATTGCTCAGGATCAAGGAACTGAAGATGTAACTGAAGCAACGTCTTCCATGCCAACTGATTCCACCACAGACGAGGCCAAGGACACTACAGAGCCTCAGGAATCAGTACATAAAGAGGTAGCACAGATTCTCGGTCTACAATGTAACTTGTTGACGTTATCTTCCATGATAGCCAAAATACCACCCTTATAAATTCACTTTGCTGGAGGCACTCTCTGCCACGGGTCTTCGTTCTATTCGATATGCCAAAGAGATACCCCTGCTCAAGTATGCTCGTCCACTTGTCGAGATTTATTTTGCTGCATGTTTTACAGATACGTTATTGCTAACGATTTATCCCCCTCTGCCGTTGAGGCCATAAAGCGGAATGTTGATTTGAATGGACTTGGCGCTCCTACCCATCCAGACGAGTCTACACCACCCAAGAAACCCAAGGTTCAGATCAATGAAGGAGACGCATGGTAAGTTCTACATCTATTGCAACGGAGCTAGTTATCGATGGACTAAAACAGTGCGTTGATGTACAACCATCGAACCGAGAATGCAAAAGTTGATGCCGTCGACTTGGATCCGTATGGTACTGCGGCTCCGTTTATCGATGCAGCCATTCAATGTGTAAACGACAATGGTAAGTAGAGACGCCTGAAATAAAGCCATGGTAAGATGTACTTGCTTTTAGGTTTGCTCTGTATCACTTGCACGGATCTGGCTGTGTTGGCTACCACAAACTATCCAGAGAAATGGTATCCCATACTCCTTACTTCCTCCAGTCCAAGCGTATTAACGCAAGGACTAGCTACTCGAACTACGGCGGTATTCCGGTCAAAGCAGAATATTGCCATGAAGCCGTTCGTCCTGGTGTTTTGTCTCGACCTAGCACACTTTAACGCCCAAATTACAGGCCCTACGGTTGGTTTTGAACACTGTGTCGACGTCAGCAGGAAGATATGGCCGTTATATTGAACCAATGCTGTCCCTTTCGATCGATTTCTACGTGCGCATCTTTGTTCGGGTAAAGTCCGCTCCTCTGGAAGTCAAAAAGGCTGCATCGTCAGTCTTTCATTATTATTATTCTCTCGTGTCTGCTTGACCTTATCTACTTCCCAGAAAAATATCTATGTATTACATATGCTCAGTCTGCCAATCGTTCTACGAGCAGCCTCTAGGAAGGGTCGTGGAGAAAGTCCACGAGCCATCTGGCAACAAAAACTACTTGTTCAAAACCCACGCAGGTCCCCCTGTCACCGACAAGTGCCCCGAATGCGACTCTACCTTACATGTGAGTTCCTCGCTACTCCGCTATACGATCGTTGACATCCGACCCAGCTTGCTGGGCCAATGTGGTCTGGACCTTTGCATGATCCTGCATTTGTAGGCCAAGTCCTGGAGCATCTTGAGGCTAATCCGACGCACTATGGAACCGCTACCCGAATGAAAGGGATGCTCACAGTCGCCAAGGAGGCAAGTCCTGAACTTCGTTTGTAAATTTACCTCCATTGATCAACTATAGTAGGAGCTGGACACACCATTCTTCTTCACGCCCTCAAAAATTGCCAGTTACTTCCACTGCATTAGCCCACCGCTGGAAGATATTGCGTAAGTCGAGGTATGACTCATCTTTGCTTTCAAATTCTCATCTGGGGGCAGATCTGCGCTCCTTCATGCTGGACATAAGATTTCACGATCGCACGCCGTCCCAGGTTCGCTAAAGACCACTGCCACTAGGCACGACGTCCATGATATCTACCGGTCGTGGGTCAAGCTTCACCCCGTAAAGATGGAAAATATATCCCCTTCCTCTCCTGCCCGAGGGTTGCTAGCAAAGGAACCTAGGTTAGTGGCCTGCTTGTCGATACTTAGCTGTGCTCATACGTTGCCCTAGCTTTACTGCGAACTTCAAGAAACACCCAGATTCAGTAACCCCTTCTGCAAAGGTTAAACTGGTCCGTTACCAGCAGAACCCCACAGCCAACTGGGGGCCGGCAGCAAAGGCCGTCTCTAAAACGAAACGGAAACGAGACGATGAGTAGCATGTACCTAGCTACTTTATTTTACTTTATATCTATAAATCGGGCGAGATGTCAACGGTTGTGAGCAGCACCTTGGACATGGATTATTAATTATTGATTAAAAATATACAAAGGGCAACCATAATTGCATACAGCGTGAATAAAAAGGATCGACCGCGTAAAGGAAATAACCAAGTGCCATGTATCTAATATCGTACAGATGCTCCATCAGATCGTCTCTATGTACAGCGTTGATAGTAATCACATAGTCCCACAAATAAAAAATCGAACGAACAGCGGGAAGGTTATGCGTCAGCGGCGGAATTGGACCTCGCCGCGCCGGCTTTCGTGACGGGTGGTTTCTTAGCTATCCACGAGTGCAACAATAACTCCGTAGCCGACGGTCGTGCTTCATGGTTGATTTCGAACGTACGAGCGAGGAAATCCTGAGCCTCAGCAGAGATGTCGGATGGGATAGTAGGTTTCGCCATAGAGCCGATCTGTCAACAGGTAAGTACGCAGGTAAGCACAAGTAGAGTGATTCAAACCTTGAAGATAGCTTGCATTTGGCTCAGTTGAGCCCACGGGTGCTCCCCGGTCAACATCTCAACCACAAGACAACCGACGCTCCAAATATCGGCCTTGTGAGTATGACCGGTTTGCTTGACAACTTCGGGTGCCATCCAAAAGACGGAGCCTTGGAGAGAAGGTCGATGAATGCGGTTGCCGCCGGTGAGGAGATCTATGGAAGCGTGAGACTCGTCCACAAGGTGATTCCGAATGGACTTACTGTCTTCAACTTTCTTGGAGATACCGAAGTCGGATATTTTGATGCCTCCCTTGTTGTCTACGAGAATGTTGGCCCCCTTGATGTCGCGATGGATGATATCCTTCTCGTGCAAATAGTTCAATCCTTGTAGGATTTGGCGCACAAAATTCTTGACTAAAGGCTCTTCAAACGCGCCGTAGTTCCGGAGAAGAGCTGATACGGAGCCACCAGGTACATATTCAAGAAAGATATTCAAGAACTCTTCATCCACAGAGGAATCTGTTGCTATGTCAGTAACTTTGTTCGCCAAGTGGTTGTACGGATGAGATACCCACAGAGATATTGCACGATGTTCTCATGTTGCAAATCTTTCAGGAGCTCGATCTCGCGTTCCAGGGCGCTCAGCATGCTCTTCTTCCGTTCCTGGTTGGGAGCAGACCCGGTTGGCAGCTCAACTTGCTTGACGGCCATCAAAAGCCCGCTTGACGCATCCATCCCTAGGTAAACCTTCCCGAACGAGCCAGCGCCGATGAGGGCACCTTTGATCCATTTCACAGCTATGATACCATCAAGATGGATGAGCAAAAACCATAGGCTATAAGAGACAGTGCTTACCTCCTCGCGAGCGCACAGGTTTCCCCGGCTCATCTTCATACTCTTCCTCGTCTTCGTTGAGAGTATCCTCCTCTGTCTCGACAACGGTAGTTTCCTCCGCCTCGCTGTCAGCGCTCTCTACCGGATCGACTTTCAGCCAATCGTCGTTGTCCAGACCAGTATCGGGCATCTTGCTCTCCCTGCGGCTCTCGACTTCGGCGGTAATCTCGTCGACAGTCACCATACTGGCTGTATCCGAACGATCCCGCTTACTTCGAAGCTCTGTCATGTAACTCATACGCCTGGAGGATATAGACATTGCTCTGGATACCGGCCGCGATGGCTGGCCGCCTGTCAAGCTCTCCATTGACTCTGACAGTGACTCAGAAGGGAAAGGTATCGGCGGCAAGAGTGGCTGCTGGGCGCCTGATCTAGATGATGACGGCTCAATAGCATCCTCGGGTTGGATGTCCATAGAGTTGCCATCCTCCGTCGATAGAGATACACGGGGAATGTCTTCCAAGGCCGACCTTGGGGACGCAGAAAGGGAGTCTCGTTGCGGGCCTACATTCGATATGATGGAGGCTCGTGGCGACGAAGACATGCGTCGTTGAGAACCTTGTGTGCTGACGCTAAATCTCGACGGTAATGGTGGAATGAACGAAGCCGAACTATCCCTTTTTGAAGAAAGCGTCCCGTTTCTCATCATCATACTGTGTCTCGCAGTCCGCTCCAAGACCTTCTTCTCCGTGAAGGGGAAGTACTCCGTCAAATGTGTCGTGATGAGTTCGCTCGGAGGGCGCTGGCCGAAGAAGTTCCGCAGCTTCTTCAGATTTTGTGGTACTGGGCTGCGTCGTTCTGGCTGAGTCGTAGGAGACGAGGGATCGAGTGCCTTCTCGGGATCATGGACACCGAGACCACTCAATATGCTGATTGAGCTAGCTCGTTTCGTGGCCTTCGATGTCTGGCCCATACCGAGAGAGCGACTCTTATTCACCACCTTCCTTAGCGTTAAGCCGTGTTCTCGAGCAGGACTGTCGGGCGATCCATAGCAAATAGCACATATCTCCGCCTCCGTCAATGGTTCACCTTGTGTGAGCATATAAGCATTGGAGTCTGACTGAAGAGAATTGATATACCTGGTCCATCGCCCTGCCCCCAATCAAGGAACACACCCCAACCATCTACAATGAGCCCACCTTCGTCGGTTTGAACGTGTTCCGTTGAGCTGTCTGAGTCAGGGCTCCGAGACTTTCCAAACTTCTTCAGCACTTTTTCGAGCAACTCCACGCCCCCAACACAAGTCGAAGGATCAATGGTACATGAATGCCCTTCCGCTGGTAGTAAGAATTTGACAAGCTTCCTACGCAGATCATCCAACGATGGCGCATTGGCGTGGGAGGGTGCAGTGGGGTTGAAAGGCCCTCGGCCAACAGCGTAAGGCCCAGTGGGTGGAGAAGGGGTCCCGGTGCCTGCGCTGTGTTGGGAGACAAACGATTCTGCAATGGGCGAAAGGTTGTAGGGCTGGCTTGATGGTGGAGCTTGCAACGCGGAGGCAGTAGCATATGGATGGCTATTTGATGTGGAAGGTCTAGGGGGAAGCTTATAGGGCGAGCTGACTGGAGAATTGTTACCAAGGGAGACATTCCGCCCGTGCGCAGGTTGCACTATCGGCCGTCCATTGACATTCGGACGATTTTGCAGGGGCGAAGTAGACCTAGGTGTCGATTTGCCAGAGCTTCCAGGGCGTGGATCAGCCGGAAGGTGATAACCCATCCAATTAGATGCAGACGACGGAGTAAGCAAGCCCTGATTCTGCCCTTGAGACTGAGGAGCGGCGGGAAGCGCCTGGTTAGTGAATCCAGGCGCTTCAGCTTGAGTTGGAGTTCTACGTCCGCCGTTGGATGCGTTGACCAATCGAGGTGGTTGTCGGCCAGGAGGGGGGAGGGGAGGCTGGCCACGAGGAGGTGGTGGGAGGGGCGGTAGATTGGTACGGGGACCGTTGGAGTGCGAAACGCTCGAATTACCATTACCGCCGTTAGAATGATTTGGATGTGGCAAAGGGCGGGGGCCATTGCTAGTATTCGACCTGGCTGAGTCTGGGGGATTTTGTTCGCGAACGAGGCGAGGAAGGTCGTTACGATTGGGATTGTTGCCCAGAACGAGGGGTGCGGGTCGGCCACTTCGTCCGGCCGGGCGTTTGTTGGGAGGGGATGAATCTTGTCCATGTTGATGCTGCGCGGCAGCGTCATTGATGAACATACGGTTGACCTCTACCATTGGGCTATTGGTAGTTGTTCTCGTCGAAGCTTTTTGTCTGAGGATCTTCACAGCATTGACGATACGTAACCTGTCCCCGATACTCGATACCCCCATCTCCTTCAACGTAACCTGATCCAGTTCAAGTAGAATGTCGCCTCTGATATCATTAGCTTTGAACGTAGCAGCATGGTTGCCGCATTTGATATCGGTGAGCCAACGAGCGACGTGAGAGTCTGACCATGTTCTTATAAACTCTGCATATGGCACGCCAGAAGGAGGATCGAGTGGTGTGGTCATTTGGCCTGAGGTAGGTGTCGCAGGGAATGGTGAAGTTTGGCCTCGAACTGCTGAACCGCTGAAATTGATGAACGAACGCGCAGGAACTGTCTGTTGATTCTGAAAAGATGAAGAGGGAGATGCAGGAGAAGACGGTTTGGATCCTGGTTGAGCGCCATCAAGGTGCAAGTTCCCATTGATAGCCATTGCAGACATAATGTTTCAACCGAAGGCCGAGGTACTCAACAGATGATGATGAGGTTGGGAGGGAACTGGATTGCAAAAGTTACAGAATGATTGTGGTCGTCAATGGGTATCTTCAAGATCAAGTATCGTGGAGGAAAGCGAAGAGATGATGGGAAGACAAAAGGACCTGCTGAGGAGAGAACAAGGGCGTATATGTGACCGAAATGGTGAGCTGGCGCGGTGTACCTTGTTGACAGAAGGACAGCTAAGGCATCCAGCGCGACCCTTTTGCTGTCGGAGACGATGGGCGTTGCTGGTCAAGTTGTTGACTCGCTCGTCGTCGCCGTCGTGCTGCGACGTGATGAAGGCGTGGGAATATCATCTCATCACGTGAAAGTATTGAGCGCTAGTGAAGGCGCCTAATGCAAGCTTTACGAGAATTACGACTTCTAATTACGGAAAAATATCGGTATGGTGGGTCAAGCCACAGTATCGCTCGCTGTCAGGTTTCTTGGTGAATTTGAAGTCTGAACAATCCTTGGGCTTCGCATCAACTTACATCCCGCCTGCGCCCATATGATTGCTTACGTGCTGTGTGAGCAGTCCCTAGATCAACAAATGCCGCTGAGATAGCATTCCTATTGCCGTCGGATCGACAGGGTTATGATGCTCTTTGTGCCTTTTGGTAGACCAGGTATATTTTCCCAAAGTCCCTAGATGGTCGGCATGCAACATGCATAACTTTTTTGTTACGGTGACGGTGGCCGTTATCGTCCATCGTCAGTCGCTTACCGGGCCAATTTCAAAAGAACACCAGAAGCCTGATGGTGCCTCGTGGCGGTATTATCTGGCTTTTTTGTCAATGGGGCATGGAACGCGTTAACTTCGCCCACTGAGTGCGCCGACTGTCACTCAGTCTTACAGGATTCGACAGCTGCAACCCCGTTATCAAGGTTTCGCGTTGCAACTGTCTACTAGGCTTCCGTTCGTTTGACTGTTTGGCTTTGCCTGTTGCCGATCGGGCTCTGCTTTACATATATCGGCATCCGAAGCCCTTGTAATCGGCCCAGCTTCATTACACTCCTTTCCCTCCTTTTCTTCAACCACTACATCCTTCCCCGCCACTTCTCTCCCCTTCTCCCCTTCGTTCGGGACAGCGTCTTGAAAAGGTACCAATATGCGGTGGAAAACCGCTTTCATAGCGTTGTCTCACATCGCACACCTCGCTTTTGCCTCGCCGTACCGAGACGAGTTGGCCGACTACAATATAAATATCAACAAGGATGCTCAATCGCCTCTCGAGTACAAGGCGGAACGGCCAAATTCCACATACACTCCTTCACCAGAAAACTGGCGGTCGCTCCCTGTTTACACAATCCTCATGGATAAATTTGCCGACGGCGATCCATCAAACAATGACTTTTTCGGCACTATGTTCGAAAACGACTGGCGGGAAACCCAACTGAGATACGGCGGAGACTTGAGGGGCTTGGAGGCGCGCTTGGACTACTTGCAGGGCATGGGCATCAAGGTCATCTTCATTTCTGGCACTCCCTTCCTGAATTTGCCCTGGCAAGCAGATAGTAAGCTTTCAACCTCGTGTCCTACATGCATCTTACGGTCGACGCTGCGCTTTAGGTTACTCTCCTTTGGACTTTACTGTTCTAGACCCTCATTGGGGCACTATTAGTGAATGGCGGAGGGTCATCGATCAAATACATGCGCGTGGCATGTATGTTATGGCCGATTTTACAGTTGGCACCATGGGTGATCTGCTGGGGTTTGAAGGGTAATTATAGTCTATCATTGACGTGTCACATCACTGACTTCTCATCATCGCTTTACAGGTTTCTGAATGTCAGCACTCCTTTCGACTTAAATGAATACCCGACTGTTTGGAAGAGCCCTCGGTACACGCCTTGGAATTTCTCCAAATATCAGGATTTCGAAGTAGGGCCTTGGCGACCTGTTTCTATCCAACAGACTGACTGTGTCGTAGATCGGGAACCAGCGGGACCCTCAATGCGTGCTCCCACATTTCTGGCAGGATGACGGCACTGTCGTTGATATCGAAACGAATGGATGCTTAGATTCGGATTTTGATCAGTATGGAGACATGGAGGCTTTTGGTGTCCATCCGGATTGGCAACGGCAGCTCGCGAAATTTGCTTCAGTGCAGGATCGACTACGAGAATGGAAGCCAGAAGTGATGGCCAAGCTCAAAGTGTTCTCGTGCATGGCAATCAAGACCCTTGACATCGACGCTATCCGTATCGACAAAGCGACGCAGGTTACTCTCGACGCATTGGCGGAATGGGCATCTAGCGCCCGGGCGTGTGCAGCAGAGCTGGGTAAGAAAAATTTCTTCATACCAGGTGAAGTTACTGGTGGCGATCGATTTGGTTCCCTCTACCTGTAAGACTACTCTCTATTCGTCGTGCTATGTCTGCTAACTGATAACCTCCAGTGGTCGTGGACGAACACCAACGCAATTACCACCGGGCTTCCTGGCCGCCGCAAATGTCACGCAGGATATGAATCAGTTCTTCCTTCGCCCCCATCCTAAGAACGCGTTGGACTCTGTGGCTTTCCATTACTCCATCTATCGTGCATTAACTCGTTTCCTCGGCATGGATGGTAACCTCCAAGTCGCATACGATGTCGACGTCAATTTCGTCACTGCTTGGAATCAGATGTTCGTAAACAACGATTTCCTCAACCCTTCTACTGGGCAAATCGACCCTCGACACATGTTCGGCACCAGTAACTTCGATGTTTTCCGGTGGCCCAGTCTGGAAAATGGCACTCAGAAGAGCGTATTGGGGACCTTTATCACTACTTTGGTGATGCCTGGTATTCCATTAGTGCGTCTCCTTCATATACAAATAGCATACAATCACTGATTCACATCTAGCTTTACTATGGCGAAGAGCAAAACTTCTACCTGTACGACTCGGGCGCCAGTAACTATCTATATGGGTAGGCTGCATTGCCTCATCTGGCCAGCATTTCATCACTCACCTTTGTTTTCCTAGGCGCCAAGCCATGACCAGTAACCTTGCATGGCAACGCCACGGCTGCTACACCCTCGGATCCGAACAGTACTTCAACTTCCCGCTCGACAAGTCTTTGATCGGATGTTACGACGACTGGAATTCACTTGACCACTTCGACCCTACAGCTGATGCTCGCCGCACCTTCACCCAGTTCCATCATCTCCGACAAGTATATGGAGCACTGCAGGATGGGTTTAACCTAGTCCAACGTGGTAATTGGACCTACCTGATTGAACGCGAGGGATCCAATCATACGGCCACGGAAATGGGGCTCTGGTCAGTCTCAAGGGCTGGGATCGCTGGTGTTCAGTCCCTCGGCGGCCAGTTTCAAGACCAGGTCTGGCTACTCTATACGAACGAGAACAAGACGATGGACTACGATTTCCCCTGTAAAGAGAGCTTGTGGATATCCTCACCTTATGAATCCGGCACCACCGTCAAAAACTTGTTTGCTCCATACGAGTCGTATACGCTGGAAGACTCCTTGACTTCGTTCCACAATGACAGTCAAGCCCCCTGGCAGGGTTGTTTGTCGCATTTGACAATGGAGCCATACGCTTTCAAAGTCCTTGTGCCCGAGAACATATGGACAGCACCACTCCCTCAGCTAACCAAGTTCGTCCCGGGACACGACCATCGCATTTTGGTTACCAAGGACCAGGCAAACGCGACGACTATTGATATCAGCCTGGAGTTCAGTATCGAGATGAACTGTGACAGCGTACAGCAGAGCATGTCGTTCAATATGTCGTCATCTGGCAAGGGAGGCACACCTCGCTTAGTGGACAGCTCTATCAAATGTGCCAAGATGCAAGGAGAACGGCCCAAGATTCCCGGTTTGCCGTCCTCAGCATGGGCATTCACCGCCACGTTGGAGAACGTTCCCGATGGTGTCCTCACCATCAATTTGGACAACCCTACGGTACAGGGTGGCAACCAAACTACGGGGGTAAGTAGTGTATCTCGTATGCCCAGGCATGACTCATGTGTGCATCATCCAGGCTATCGACCATTTGATGTTGAGGAAAGGTCTGACCGATAACGTCGTCGTGTTTCCTCGGAACGAATATGACCGCTCGTCGTTCACTCTCTCTGATGGGAAATACATATTCGAGCACAAGGCGTTTGGAGCTGACATGTTCAGGTACTCGTGGAACTTTGGGAAGAATTGGACAACCTGGGCAGACTGGGAAGACAAGACTACTATCGATCAGGGGGTCTTCCAGAATGCGGATAATTGGTGGTCGGGTGCACATATCGTTGTTCAATGTAAGGTTGTTTCTTTCTAGTGAGAGTGGTTGCTGACCTCATGGTGGTCGCTAGACTGGAGCCGTGCAACGCTCTCGACTGCCGCTGTTGTTCATGCTGACGTTGGGTATTCTGGCCACGACCGACGCGTCCCTCAGCTTTTAGCTCGCGGTCCCTTCAACAACTGGGGTTTCGACAAGGGCATCCCTGCGGAAATGACACAAAACAGCGACGGCAAGTGGGAACTGGAAATCATGGCCAGCTGGCCGACCTATGTTCAGCTGAATGTCTGGGGCTACGACGATTACTACTACGGTGACACTGACGGAGACGGCATTCTGGACCGCTTGCCCCCTAATACTGCGGCACCCAACTATCTCAACATGTCTGCTCCTCCGAGTCCTCATCTTGCGTGGTCGCTGTTGGTTGACGATGCCACTATGACTTGGACGCTCGAACCTCGTGGTCAAGCCTCTGTCGGTGCCATCATGTATGCGCTGCTTCTCTCCATCCCGCTTATCACCGGTACGCTGGCTGTGGTCTTGTTCATGTGGACGTTCTACGGAGTCAAGTACAATCAATTTGGTGTCAAAGCTAAAAGCCAGCACTCCAACTACTTGCCTATTTTCGGCGCCTTCGGAAACAAGTCCACTACTGATCTTAAGGACGCGACACCTTTCTCCGAGAAGTTCTTTGGCCACAAGCAAAATACGGATATCATCGGATGGCCTGAGGACAAAACTAAGCGCCGCAAAGTGCTCATCGCGACACTCGAATACGAGATCATAGACTGGAAGTTGAAAGTCAAAATCGGTGGCTTGGGTGTGATGTCGAGTTTGATGGGCAAGGCTATGACGGATGTGGACCTCGTTTGGGTCATTCCCAAAGTCAAAGATCTCGATTATCCCTCAGGCGAACCTGCAGAACCTATCGAGGTCACCATCTTCGGCGAACCCTATCTGATCGAGGTAGAAACTCACGTCCTCGATAACATCACCTATGTCATCCTCGACTCTCCAGTTTTCCGCGCTCAGACTAAATCAGACCCTTACCCTGCTCGTATGGATGACCTCAGCTCTGCAATTTTCTATTCCACCTGGAATCAAGCCATCGCAGCAACCATCCAACGTCAGCCTACGGTCGACATCTATCACATCAACGACTACCATGGCGCCTTGGCTCCCATTTACCTCCTGCCAAAAGTGATCCCAGTGTGCCTGTCCCTGCACAACGCCGAATTCCAGGGATTGTGGCCTCTCCGAACCAAGGAGGAAATGAAAGAGGTCTGCTCGGCTTTCAATATCAGCAAAGAGCACTGCACCAAATATGTCCAATTCGGAAACACATTCAACTTGCTACATGCTGCCGCGTCCTTCATTAGCACACATCAGAAGAGTATTGGTGTTGCTGGTGTCTCTGACAAGTACGGAAAGCGAAGTTGGGCGAGATATCCTGCACTATGGACCCTGAAGCACGTGGACTCCTTGCCAAACCCCGATCCTACAGATATCGCAGCCCTGGATGAGATACCAATCAAAGCGCGCGACGTCCAGATAGATGCTGAGGCTGAGGCGGCCCGACCGGAGCTGAAGCGTCAGGCGCAGGAATGGGCAGGCATCAAGCAGGACCCCGACTCCGATCTCTTCGTCTTCGTCGGTCGCTGGTCCAAACAAAAGGGTGTCGATCTTATAGCTGATGTTATGCCTTCTTTGTGAGTTAAATAAGTGCCATGAGACTGTTCATTAAACTCATCCAAAATCTAGGCTGGAGAAACGACCGTCAATCCAATTGATTGCTGTCGGGCCCGTCATCGATCTTTATGGTCGGTTTGCTGCTGAAAAACTCGCCAGGCTGATGGAAATGTACCCGGAACGAGTATACTCCAAGCCAGAATTCACAGCGCTTCCCCCGTATCTTTTCAGTGGCGCGGATTTTGCTTTGATTCCTTCTAGAGATGAACCCTTTGGTCTGGTCGCTGTTGAATTCGGTCGTAAAGGTGCTCTCGGTGTTGGCAGTAGACTTGGTGGTTTGGGACTCATGCCTGGCTGGGTAATTATTTTGTCTTGTCCTTCTGAATTTGCTAATGCTCGTTGTCCCTAGTGGTATCCAGTTGAATCGAGCGCAACAGCCCACATGCTGTCACAGCTCACGAAGACTATCAAAATGGCGCTGAAGTCGACGGAGGAGGAACGTGCCATCCTTCGTGCACGGTCAGCTGTCCAACGATTCCCCGTCGTCGAGTGGCGTCAGAGAATGGAAGACTTCCACAAGCGTAGCATCACCATGAGTCGCAACATCGCCGGACCAAACGCTTGGCGAGAGTCTGATTGTGAAGATCAGAATGCATTCGCCGCCAATAACAACTCGGACGACTGGAGTTCCATCAACCCGCCACCTTCGCATCAGGACTGGGACGCTCAAAGTACTGCTGAGAGTCGGGTAAACACTCCGGGCTCTCCAGGGCAATGGAGTCAAGATAACCTATCTCAGGCCGACCACCTGATGGCTCCCTCTCTTCTCGCCAATGGATCTAGGAAAGGCTCATTTGAGACCGATACGTCTAACGAGGATTATTTCTCACATTCCCGAGCGGCAAGTTCTGCCAACGAGACTCCGCAGGCATACGAAGACTTTTTGGAGAGAGCCAATCGCGCTATTGCTCGTGAACAGAAAGGCGTTCCAGATCCATTCGTTGACGCCACTCTTATGCCCAATCGACCTTTCGGCGCACATTCTCGTGCTCATTCCTCTGAATCCATTGCGTCTATCGTAGACGAGAAGTCCAACTCTCCTTTGAATAAAGCTATAGCTTCGGTAAATTTCCAGCCCAACTTCCCCATGTCTTCTCTCTAATAATCTGGTTTAGTTCACTGACGCAGACGGCGGTGTTGCCACTAAATTCGTGCAAAAGCTACAAGCCTTAAACGCTAAGAATTCTGAGCACGAACTGTCCATCGAGAAATTCCTTGTCAAGAGCGAAGAAGCGTTTTTTGGAAGGGTGCGCAAGGAGAAGCTTTCAAGTGCTGCCAGCATTATCTCGCATCGCGATTCTGTTGTCGGGACTATGGCATCATCATACTACGGTCGCCCTGATTGTAAGTATCAAAGAACATCCTGAAGGTTATCCACAACTCATGGTACCACAGCACCTAATACGCCAGGCTTTCCTAGCTCGTCTGACTTCGATGCCCCGCCTTTCAGCCATCCTCCGGATGTAGTCGTTATGACAAGATTGCAAATCCTCATGGCGAGAGAAGTTGCGGGATGGCCACTCTACACCATTGTCATTGCTCTTGGCCAAGTAAGTAATAAGAGTGCTGCGAGTCGCCGAAGTGCTCACCAGCTCCCTCTACAGATGTTAAGCGCCACAAGTTTCCAAATCACATTGTTATCTGGTCGAAACTGGCAAGACGATGTTCAACTTTACGTCCTGGGTGGTGTCTTTCTAGCTGCATCAGCCGTTTGGTATCCCCTCTTCCGTCTTAAACCTTCGGTTTATGTCCTATCGGCTCCCTGGGTATTTTTCGGTATTGCGTTCTTTTTAATTGGTCTTCCCTCTGTCGCTTCCGCTCTTGCACCTGCCCACTATGCGCTTTCGAACGTTGCAACGTGGTCCTATGCCGTGGCATCTGCTGCGGCCTTCCTTTTCTTCGGTCTCAACTTTGGAGAGGAAGCGGTACGTGTCATCTCCCCCTGCACCGATACGTTATGCTGATCGTCATCAAAAGGGTGCCGCCACGGAAGTCTGGACCCTTCGCGCCTGTGTCGTTCAAGGTTCTCAGCAAATCTGGGTCACCGCATTGTGGTATTGGGGCAACACTCTGAACGGCACTAAGGATGATGTGTTGCCGCCGTGGTGGATCGTATTGATTGTGTGGCCATTGGCCATCATGAGCTTCGCCTTTGCGTATCTCATGCTCTATGGGCTTCCAGGTTCGTCAGAAAGACTTAATGTCTACATTTCACTAATTCAAGAGTTTGTTTGTAGAATACTACCGACAAACACCACCAAAGGTTCCACACTTCTTGAAGACACTTTTCAGGCGAAAGCTGGTGTTGTGGTTCTTGGCATCGGAACTCTTACGCGACTACTGGCTGAGTGGGGTACGTTCCAGTACTGAAAGTTTATCGCTTGCGCTCACATCTCAATAGCCTTACGGCCGCAACTGGAGTTTCCTTTGGGCTGTGCCGATACCTAAATGGCAGATTCTACTACTCGTCATCGTCTTCTTCATCGGAGTCTGGGGAGCATTGATGTTGGTGCTTACACACTTCAGCAAAACACACACGTGGTTACTTCCAGTATTCGCCGTTGGGCTCGGCGCACCAAGGTGGTGCCAGGTAGGGTTCTTGAAATGCTGTCAAGGGTTGTGTTGATCTGAATCCCTAGATGCTCTGGGGAACCTCTTCCCTTGCCCTATACATTCCATGGGCTGGTAGTGGCGGCCCATATCTTGGTGTCTCACTTTGGCTTTGGCTGGGTGTCTTGGATGCCATCCAGGGCGTCGGGCTCGGCATGATTCTTCTCCAGGTATGTTTAAATGTATGTCCATTCAATATAACATACTAAGCTCTCATAGACACTGTCACGGTTACACGTTTGCGCAACTCTGGCATTCTCACAAATCATTGGCTCCATCTGTGTCATGGTTGCAAGAGCCACTGCTCCGAATCGAATAGGTCCAGGCAGCGTATTCCCTGACGCGGCCAAATGGGACTTCGAGGATGGTCTCAAGGGTTTGTCTCCTTTTCTTTCGTGCGCAATTTCAGCCTTAACTGACGTTGATTTGGATGTAGGGAGTCCCATGGCAGCGCCTCTGTTTTGGCTGGCATTGGCATCACAATTGGTCATCGTTCTTGGTTACTTCTGGTTCTATAGAAAAGAACAATTAGGTATGTGTCCCACTGAGTACACGATTGACTGCATTTAATGATTTACTCCTAGCTCGCCCATAATACACGCTCGTTATGAAAATAACAATAACTTAAGGGACAGATGCATATTCACGTACCCTACCTACGCATGCGCTTTGTGGATTGCTGTCGCTCGTTACGCGGACATTTGGACACTGTATTCACATTATCATTATTGTAGAAAAGAGCTATCGCGTGGTGGCTTATATTATATATACCATACATAAGTAGATAAGCTGGGACTTTCAATGCTTCGGACATATTGCATCTTTCTTGTCGTTGTCCTAACTTTGCCATAAGAATAGTGATCCGTGCAAGCATAAGAAACATGATTGAGTGGGGATTGCGGGAGTTTGCACTAATACCAAATTACATGTGACGAATATGCGAATAAGATATGCATCTAAGAGGCGGACGTCTAAGCGGCGTCGAACCAGTACCATATGAGATGTAAGCTAACATTGACCTAAACCGTGAACTAGTCGACCTTAGAAGCCGCCCATACCACCCATGCCTCCCATACCTGGCATACCACCAGCAGGCTTGTCGTCTTCCGGAGCATCAACGACACAGCACTCACTAGTAGTGAGAAGGCTGGCAACACCGGAGGCATCAACCAATGCCGTGCGTACAACCTTCAGAGGGTCGACGATACCGGCCTTGATCATGTCAACATATTCCCCTTTCGCAGCGTCATATCCCCAAGTGAACTTGTCCTCAGTGCCATACTGAGACAGGAGAGTGCCGACGATGACAGAGGACTCCTCGCCAGCGTTCTTGAGGATAGTACGAGCAGGGTTGGTAAGGGCACGACGGATGATGCCAACACCCAGTTCCTGGTCGAAGTTGGCGGTAGGAATGACTTCAGCATTCGGTGATGTTGGCGACGACGTCGATGTGCTTCCCGGGGAGTTGGTGGCGAGCATTAAACTGGCTTTGAGGAGAGCAACACCACCACCGGGGAGAATACCCTCTTCAACGGCGGCACGGGTGGCATTCAGCGCGTCGTCATAGCGGTCCTTCTTCTCACCAACCTCAACTTCGCTTGCACCGCCAACCTTAATGACGGCGACACCACCGCTGAGCTTGGCGAGACGTTCTTGCAACTTAGTGCGGTCGTAGTCGGAAGTGGTGGTATCAGCGATGACAGCACGGATTTGTTCACAACGGGCTTGGATGGCGTCCTTGGAACCTTCGCCATTAAGGACGATGGTGTCGTCCTTGGTGATCGTGATGGAGCCAGTTGAGCCCAGGAGGTCGGAAGTAGCACGCTCGAGCTTGATGTCGAGCTCGTCGGTGAACACAGTGCCGCCGGTGAGGATAGCGAGATCGCCGAGAATAGACTTGCGGTTGTCGCCGAAGCCGGGAGCTTTCACGGCAGCAACCTGGAGTTGTCCACGGAGCTTGTTGAGGATGCAGGCAGCAAGAGCTTCGCCGTCAATATCTTCAGCGATGATGACAAGAGGTCGTCGAGCCTGGGCAGCTGCCTCAAGGGAAGGAAGGATATCCTGGAGAACGGATATCTTCTTTTCGCTGAGGAGGATGAGGGGCTTCTCAAATTCAACTTTCTGTGTCTTGACATCGGTGATGAAATAGGGGGAGATGAATCCACGGTCGAAGCGCATGCCCTCGGTGATCTCAATCTCGTCGTCGATGGTACGTCCCTCCTTCACCGTAATGACACCCTCCTTTCCGACTTTCTCCATAGCCTGGGCTATCAAGTTGCCGACGTGGGTATCACCATTGGCCGAGATGGTCGCGACTTGGGCAATCTCAGCCGTTGTCGTAATGGTTTTGGCATTAGCAGACAAGAACTGGACGACCTTGTCGACGGCAGCTTGCGAACCTCGACGGAGGTCCATGGGATTGCAGCCGGCCGCGACATTTTTTACACCCTCCGAGTAGATAGCACGAGCAAGGACTGTGGCTGTTGTTGTCCCGTCACCGGCAACTTCGTTCGTTTTTTGGGCAACGTCTTGCACGAGTCTGGAACCAAGACGTTAGTCACCGTGCACATGGCTCCCAGGGAGACAGACATACCGAGCACCAAGGTTTTCGAACTTATCCTTGAGAGAAATGGACTTTGCAACCGTAACACCGTCTGCAAGACGCGTTAGAAGACGGAACGGCGCGTAATACCCACGCGTACATACCCTTGGTAATTTTGGGTCCGCCAAATGACTGTTCAATTATCACATTACGACCTACACGACTTCGTCAGCGACACTAACCACAATGGGAAGAACTGCAGCTACCTTTTGGTCCAAGCGTCACACTGACTGCGTTGGCCAAAACATCCACACCCTTCAGAATGGATGCCCTGCCCTCATTGGAGAACTTAATTTCCTTGTGGGCACCGCGAGCCAGTATGGGCTTTGCGGCTTTTGCGGCAGCACGACGAACGGCGCGCGAAGAGGAGGTCGACAGGTGGTGCATTTTTTTGGCAAAGGGAATAATACGGAGGAGGAAGAGAACAAGTGAGAAACAGAAAGTTTTGCGGAACCCTGCCGAAAGTTCGACGCTAAAAGCCCAAACGGCAATACCTTCTAAGCATAACATAGCCAAATAGGCGTCTCCTGCAGTGCGCCGGCAACGATTGTTCTCGAACCTCGACGTCGATTCAACAACACTGCGACCCCCATATTCAGCAAAGTGAAGACACATGGAGAATTTGAATTTCCTGATGATACTAAGGATCCCTGTCAAGCGTATTTTCGGCGCCCACTATATGGCTCTGGCTAGAGTTCAGTCACACAGCGCTTCGAATACTTGACAGCGCGTGGTTACAGCAGGATGCGCTTCCCATTGTATATGTACGCCTTCAATGTCACGAAGCTACCCATTGGCCTTGCGCGCCAGCACAGCAGAGTGGCCATGTAGCGCTCAGGATTCGATCGGTTCTCGCTGATCGATCGTTCTTGGACCATATGTGCACTGTGAACGTTTGACTGTTACAATCACCGTGGGTCGCTGGCTATCTCTGAATGGAGCCCTGGTTCTCAAGAAGAACATAGCGCGTATGTGGGTTCGTACCATGTGGACCGATTCACCGCTTCCGTTTGCTCATATATTTCTCCACAGAAGAGCTATATGGGCCTCATTCTCTATAATTGGACCGTCAACCATGCTTCACCACCGGAATCCAATTAGCCCTCTCGCTATCTTTGAATTCTCGCCCCTCAGAAGGCACTTTATATGTTGCGCCATAAGTCATTTGCTGACGAACGTGCTCAGCACCGATTCCATAAAGCCTCGAGGTGACTTGAGAAGACGCGAGAGTGACCGACATACAATATGCGAAATCTTCTCCTCGTATCCATCGCCCTTGCTGTTGGTTCCCATGCTACACTTTTGCTCGATCGCAACTTAGCCTATCGCTCACCTTTCATTGACCACCCAGAAGTAGGTGCAAATACAATCCTCTGTATAACAATGTTATGAAATCACTGCACAGCACGGCCTTGACACCAAATCGATTCACGCCCGATATGTTCAACACTCGAAGCGTCAAATCATAGACGCGACTCCATTCAAAGATGACCATTACCCAAATTTCTATGGGAGTGACTTTAGCAACGCAAGTGGCCCATACAACGTCGTTTCCAACGAGGCTGATACCTATGATACAGAGTCCCTTCGTTTGGAACGGCGGACTGAATTTCACTCATTCAGGTTTTTACACTCCACTCTCTTCACCACATTGTCATAACTAATTTAGACCCTAGTTGCCAGTGTATATATAACCTATCTTCCCTTAGTAGTGCCATTCTAACCTAGTCCATAGGGCGACCCATTTGATACCAGCGTACTCCTCTGGACTCGCGCTGTTCCCGCCTTAAGCACAGGGGCCCTTCCCGACCAGAGCGTACCTGTCTGCGTCTCGTTCAAAATCTCCACGTCCAACACACTGAGCCCAGTAATCGACTCGGGAGAGGCCTTCACATCCTATGACGTTGATTTCACTGTCAAGGTAGAAGCGACAGGTTTGCAACCCGACACAAGATACTTCTTCCAGTTCTCGGACTGCACTAATGCCGAAAGCGTCAGTCCAGTTGGAGCAACCAGGACGTTTGCGAGCCCGGATAGTAGGTGTCGCTACAGATTAAAGTATTTACGCAGCGTGATTTTCGTCATATTATAGCCCCGGCGGACCAAGTGAATGGTGGAAAACCTCTGACTTTTGCCGTGTTCTCCTGCTCTCAGTTTCAAGCTGGTCGATTTCTCACTCGTGCTCAACCAATGCGTTTTACTAATCGGTGTCTAGGATATTTCAATGCATATGGCTTTGCCGCCCAGAATACCACTGCAGATGTGTTTGTTCACTTGGGAGACTACGTATGTTTATGCCCCTACTCGTTCAAATGCAATGTGGCCGAATCAATTTCCTAGATTTACGAATCAATAGGGAGTGGGTAGGTGCTACGCAGTGTATATGGAGAATCATTGATGATGACTATATTGGCCGTAGGGGTGCCATTGGCCGAGCAGTTCTCGGTAGGCAGCTTGCTACGATCCATGATTATCGACAGCGCTTCCAGCAATATCGAACGGATGTTAGTTTGTCACTGGCACATCAATCCGCGCCATGGATTACCACTTGGGTCAGAGACAAACTGGTTGACATCGCTTTGGTTTTTCTCATCTGTTTTGTTTTCGTCTCTTTAGGACGACCATGAAGTGGCAAACAACGCATGGAAAGCCGGGACCTCCAATTCGAACGACACCGCGGCTGGATGCTCCTTCTCACCTTCAGGCGCCTGCTTCACCGACAGAAAACTAGCGGCTATCAGAGCATATCACGAGTGGCTCCCCGTTCGGCAGGTTGATACCCACGACCTACTGCGTATATGGAGAAACTTCCAGGTTGGCAAACTGTTGGTGAGTTTATGTATGTCTGCGTGGAAAACAAGGATGGATGATTGACGGAGGGACGAAGGATTTGTCCATTCTTGATACTCGTGAGTAGGTCATTAGTACTATCGGGGCCGTATCCAAATCTCCTGGTAGGTCAGTACGATCGAGATATTACGGATGTAAGCCCAACGGACGCTCAACACTTAATGGTACTAATTATCACTGTCCTTTCAGCTAACGTACAATAGAGGTGATCACTTCGTTCTTCGATACACATGCCATACGCTGACCCTCTTATTTGATAGCACGTGAGTCTACCAGGCCTTGACTTCTGGGCGTTCCTTCAGTTAAACGTTCGACGCAGTGGTGGCCACTCTGGTGGATCAGCCCAATCGCTCCATCATGGGATTCACCCAAGAAAAATGTCAGTATGTTTACTCTGAGAAAGGAACGCACCCGACGTGTTTATTGTAATAGGGTTCGCCGACACATTGTCTGAATCAAAGCGCCGCGAGGCCATATGGAGAGTTGTAGGGTGAGCGTCTTCGTCATCCTAGACCAATTTCCTACTTGTGACCCAACAACTATAGTCAGCAAGTGGTCTTCAGCCAGCTCAACGGTTCGAGTTGTGAGTAACCAAACTCCGCGTCCCGCTCCCCCGCTGAGTCTCTCATCGATATAGTCCGCTTCAATACGGTAAGCACTGAATTCGGAAGCGACCTTCCCGGTCTTTTACTGTTCTTAGGACGCTTGGGATGGGTACCGTGCCAATCGAGCCAGAATCTTGGATCACCTCTACAACAATGAAATCAGTAATACTGTTATTTTGGCTGGCGATAGTCATGCGAATTGGGTGTCAGACCTCGCTCGTAAGTTTCGTATCTCTTTCAACACTCCATTTTGACACCTATCTTAGGTCCCAACGACACAACGACGTGAGTGTGGGATTAGGATTATCCCTATGTACGTCGCGCCTAACATCCAGCCACAGGTATAACCCGATCACCGGAGATGGCGCCATAGGCGTTGAATTTGCTGGAACAGCTGTGACTTCTACTTCCTCATTTAGAGCTAACATCGCACCCGCTGCCGCCGATGTGATTTCGCGTCAGTTGGTCGATATCAATCCCGACTTGCAATGGAGTGAAGGGTCGTTCCGTGGCTTCTTCACCCTCACCATCGACCCTCAATGGCTCAATGCGACATACTATGCGATGAGAAATATCAGTACGTACACGAGTCGAGCTATCATCCAGAGTATATGGTTTAACCATTCACAGCTTTCCCCAATACTGACGGCTTTGCTTCTGCTGAATTCCCTGTGAAAAATGGTACATGAAAGACTTTTGAAATGAACCTTTACTGATGCTATGGGTGTAGGCGAGAACAAGTTACACCGTCCCGTGGCAGGGGGTAAAGTGAATGCGGGGGCATTGAAAGTGACAGTGCCATGATAACAAGTTGTGTAAGAGGAGCCATGTAGAACAAGCTAATGTATATATCATTGTATCGTCCACGATTTCCGTAAAGTTGGACCTAGCAAGCTCGAGTTCGGAGCCCCTGACCCTGAACGTGTTTGGCGCGCATCTCACCTTGACCACCAACTCACTTTCAACTCAGAATGCTTTCTGGGCTGGGGGACTATGGCAGCGGTAGTGAAAGCGAAGATGAACGTGCACCACTTCCCGCACCTGTGAAGCCAAAGACCGCCGCAAAACCTGCGGCAAAATCCTCATCTCTGGCATTACCTCCTCCATCGGCAGACAAGGTATCTGCGCCCAAAGCGAGGAAACCGAAGAAGATTGCAATTGGCCTACCTTCACTGCCTAGTCTGCCGCAAGACGACGACAGCGATGACCTGAAAGATGATAGGCCTCCAGCCAAGAAGCCTCGGCTGGGATCTGGAGCTGGAGCGTCTTCGCTACTGTCGATGCTGCCGACACCAAAGCGCAAAGTTCCCGTAGCTACTGTACCGGAAAGGGTACTTGGAGGGGGGAGAGGCCCAGGTCTGGTCTTCAACACTGCATCGACACCCGCTCTGGTTCCTACGTCTAAAGAGCCTGAAGACGAAGAACAAGACAACGCGCCCGGGCCCGAGGCGACGCCCTCGAAGGATGCTACTCCATCAACGCCCGTCTCGTTTATGCCCGTGTCTATTTCGAAACGAAGACCAAATATCTCGGTGGAGGAAGAAGGGAGACGACCCATCGCCCCGCCGAGACCGAATGCTGCACCAGCTATGGATTTCTTTGGTTTAGGTTCGTGATTCTATCAGTCCAGACAGTCACAGAGCTCAAGGTTTATCAACTAGGTGCCACCTCTTCTTCATCATCGGCGAAGGTAACTGCAGCTGCTGCCAGTTCATCGTCTCACGTCTCGATCACCTCTGCACCTGAAGTCATAGAATTCAAACCACCTACTCCTACGCCTCAAGATCCATATCCTGGGTACTACCTTCTCCCATCAGGAGCGTGGGCTGCTTATGATCCCGAATACTACAATGTTTACCTCAAGAAATGGAAGAAAGAGTACGACGACCAGGTTCGGGCTCTCGAAAAGGGCGCCATCAAGGGATTCGAGGGGTCCGAAGAGAGCGCGGAAGAGGTGAACATGGTGACGGAGATGGAGAAAGCGAGAAGGGAAATACAAGAGAGAGAATCACGCAAGGCTGTTACCACAGATGCCACAGGCGAACCAGCGAAACCCAGGATGAATATCGATGTGAGTTGGAGATACATACTCATCGTTGGCTGTAGGACGTTGCTAATCTTTTCGGTAGCCTGCCAAGCAGAGCGGTCGCGCGAAATCTCGTCACCAATTGTCCTCGCTACTTACAGATGCCTATCAAAACCGCGCAGCCCTCGAGGAAAAGATTGCGGAAGGAAGACGGAATCGCAAAGAAGCTGGTAACAAATACGGTGAGTTCATATTAGAGTATATACCACTGATCTCTCGTTTATCGCTCAACCCGCAGGCTTCTGAGCTCGTTGTTTCAACTTTGGGCCATGGGAGTACATGCTGTTAGACACATTCCACCGTCCCAGTCATACCCACTACACCATCTTGGTTTACACACCACACCTTCGCCGTCTTTGCATTCTCCCAGCTCCCAGCAAGAGTTAGTTCACTGTTGACGAAGAGAGGGTTTTGCGCTCGATATGCGAGAGATCTCAACTGTGCATCCTTCTCTCCACTGAACCCAAGCGATTCGAGGAGCATCAGCGCGGTGAGAGGTCCGTGGACAAGGCGTTCTGACAATATTGTTCGCTTCTAAGGGAAGACGATGGACATTTTAAGCAGTCCTGCGTACCTGGGTAACCTTCTTCACTTCGGGCGTACTCTTTATCTAGATGTATGTGATGCCCATTAAATGTCAGAGCGGAGAAACGAAAGAGTGTTGTAGGCGTTGGGGTATATGAGAACGAGAAGTCATGTGGCGATACTGGCGCGTCCTTCACTGGAAACATGGATGAGAAAAGGGCCATTTGCTAGAATGGTATAAAACGGAGCACCTTTCCTGGGCGTGTGCGCGCCGCCAGTTCTGCTTCCTGTTGCAATGGGGAGATAGACATGAACCCGTTCCTCTTCGACACTATTCTCCGTTTCCTCGTCCATTCTCACAGCAATCCTCTGTGTGACGAAAAGCATCGGTGATCCCTTCTCAAATCCCTTCTTTTCGATGGAGCCTATTGTGGACGTCGCCGTGGCTGCCCGACCGATGAGCAATGGCTTCTCCGTGTTCCAACTGATCTTCCCTCCAGCCCACATCCTCCGCGTGAACGGCTCGGGTGGGCAGAATTCTGCGTCGGTTCCGTCTTTGCGCAGGTTAGCCTCGGCATTACGGGGGTGGAAGAAAGCGAGGTGGTGCCCGTAACCTAGTGGTGCGCCGTCTTTAGGCTCGGTCCACTGACGCCTTGTACCATCGCGGGTTGGTAAAGTGATGTACAGGTCCGAGACGCGTTCCCGATGAAATGTATCTCGCATAACTAATTGCTTGGGGGACGCTATCCATTCGTCGAGGGCCACATCGCTGCAGAATTGTCGGCGCGACGAACGAAGCAGTGGCGAGCACCGAGAAGCTTTGATCGACAACATGACCGACGTCGAATATGGTGTTACTGGAACAGCTGACAGTTTACAGCTGACAAATTCCAAGTTCCCAAGTCAAAGCTATGAGCAAACCGACTACATAATCTATATAAATCTACCCTTTGGACTACTTCTGATGCCTGCTGGGTGGCCCGTCGAAGTCTGCTACATACACGCCATGTGGGCTGAGCAGTGTGCCCAATCCCTGGTGGACCTCCACTTGGTATTCTTCAAAAGGAAACGGTTCTCCATCTACAGACAATGCACCATTGGGAGTCAGAGGCTTCACGCGATACGCATGTGCTTTGAAGTACTTGAGCTAGATGGCCGATGCCGTTAGTAGAAGCAAGGTGGAACTGTACGAAGCCACGCGCACCTTTGGACTCCAATACGCTTCACCTCGCGGAGCACCCTCCATTTCCTTCAAAACATCACTGCGCGATGACTGAGATACGATAAGTCATTGAGCAGTGTTCATCCAAAAGGTACTCGCCAATGGTTGAATGGTAATATCTATGAGGCCATCATCAGGCAATGACACGGGAAATGCCATGAAGTCTCTGGAATTCGAAGCCAATCAATGCGCGTCTCTGCGGAGGAACTCCTGTCTCTACTTACCGCCCGACGTATGGCCCTTTGCCAGCGTAGACGTAAAGTAGAGGCTCATCAATAACCGTCCACCCATCCTTGTCTTCAGGCAAGAACTTTAAGGGTGGCAAAGAGGAAGACGAGGAGGCATTTGTACTGCTGGAAGCACTGCTCTGAGTTTGTCGTCGAGCCTGAAGTGCTTCGAGCATCTTTGTCTTGTCCTGTTCTGCTATTTTGACGGAGAGTTGGATAGGACATGGCTTGAACCGCAGGACTGATGCGTTCTCAGCTGGCCGCAAACTTGTACGAGAAGTGAAAGCAAATACCTCCGCGAATCAATCCATACATGAACCGTGTCTCGCCCATCCACCGTAAGTGGTCCGTACCAATGTCCAGGTCCGCCATCAGACCAAGTGCTTGCGACATGAAGGAAATCGAGCGTTTCTTATTCTGTACGAAAGAGAATAGGTCGACTTTCATAGGAGTCCCTGAATGGTCATGTAATGAGCTTTAGCGAAATTAGTTGAGGAGACGACATCCGTACCTTTGACCACGTTCAAAGCGGCTTCGGCAACATCAGAGCCAGCCTCTAAGCCAAGCAAATTGAGAGACAGGCCATTGCCGGAGCCGGTGGGTATTGGGGCTATGGGAATAGCAAGGGCTCTGACGGGATGTTCGTGATGCGCAAAACCGTTGATCACTGAAGTGGAGGAGAACATTCTCAGAAAGCGGCATGTTACAACACAAATAATACACCAACCTTCATGGACAAGTCCGTCGCCGGAGACTGTCACTATGACATCGAATTGGTCTAGCGGAAGTGTCTTTGCTATCTCATAAGCATGCCCACTGTGGGTTGTGTCTTGATCACCCCTGTGAGCTTAGTTTTAATGGCTGGGGGTTCTAGTACTCACAGACGACGTCTAGCATGCACCCGGCATGCCTGAGTATTGGTTCCACCTTCTGCATGAAGATAGCTCGCCCCTTTCCCTTCATCCCCTCAGTCAGCAGCGGGAGTTGCGGACAAACGCTCTCTACTCACCTTGCCGCCGAACGGATTCACCAGAACCTTGATCCTTCGCCCCTTCTTGACCCCTCGAGTGCAGATCTGTAAACAAGACGCACGTTACAATAATGGGACGAACATACCGCTATAAGCTTCGGTCATGGCCTTGTCAAGACATGCGGATGCCTCTTCCGAGTGACTGTCATGGACGACGTGATGGACCTCGGAGAGTACGCGACGGCCCTTCGATTTCCTCACGAACGCGATTCTGGCACGTTTAGCTTCATTGTCGAACGACGCATGAAGTATGTCTCGAAACGGAATGTCATGCACCCTATTCTTGTCTGCAACAACCCCAAAGTCGGTTAGCAACCTCAAGACGTACAGAGACCACGGCCCCCTCACCTTTGACATTGACCGACAGCGCATTCGTACTCAACGACACCGACGCGGTGGGTGTGGAAGTGGTCATTGAGGAAAGATGGTCGAGCGCATTTGTTGTGGCCGATCACGCTTCCGGCCCCTAGGCGCACGGCTCGGGCGCAGTGCCATACGTTCCAGTCTGTTCCGGGTGGTCTGCTTATTTGATGCAATCCCACATGACGGCGTGCATGTGAAGTGAAGAAGAAAATGATTCGTCTTCCGTCTTATCGCGCCATAATCCAAGTCGCCCGGCATGCCGGCGAGGGGAGTCACATTGGGGCCTGTTATAAGGCGCACACTTCAGATCGACACCGACATAATTCTCAGATGGTGACTGTCCACGCCGTCGCACAAAGTGGGTTCGGGAAGGGGACAAATGAGCTATACGACAAGTAAGTAGTGCGCCAGAACTTCAGCGCAAGACTACAATCTTTCGCATAGGGCTCGGCCGTCTTATCAGCCCTACGTGTTATCTCATATCCGAAATGCCGTCAAAGGAGAATCCCCTCTGAACATAGTCGAGTGAGTGATGTACGTACATACCAGCGTCTCGAAGCCACTGATGGGGTGAAAAGACTAGGGGCAGGGACAGGGATATTCACTAGAGCTTTGCTCGCACACCCGGACTGGGCATCTTCGATCAAGTCGTTGCGGGCGATAGAACCCAGCGAGGGTATGCGAGAGGTCTTCAGTAAAAGCGTTAACGACGAGCGCGTGACCGTTACTGAGGGTACATTCGACACCACCAATGTCGAAGACGGATGGGCCGACCTGGTTGTCGTGGCCCAAGTAAGCGTCACTGCATCCGACGCTTTTGGAGAAACTCACCATGATCAGGCCTTCCACTGGTGTCCAGACTATGATCGGGCAGCTGCAGAATTCGCTCGCATCCTCAAACCCGATGGGGTTGTGGTATTGGTGTGGAATCTCGAAGATAGGTGAGTTTCGCGGCGGATTGGGCTGTGGCTGCTCGATCTCAATTGCTTTTTCTCAGGGAGGGTGCAAGCTGGGTTGCTCAGTTGAGGGATCGATACGAGTCCTATGAACAAGGAACGCCTCAATTCCGCCTCGACTTGTGGCGTCAAGTATTCGATACCCCCTCATACCAGAAGCATTTCAAGCCACATGAAGAAAAAAAGTGGCAGTATAAATTAACTTCTGACCTCAACGGCGTTGTCAACAGGGCATTCTCCAAAAGCTACATCAGTGTACTTCCAGACGAAGAGAAAGCCGCCGTCAAGTCAAGCATTCTTGACATCGTGCATCGTGGAGACGATCTCGTGTGGGTCGACAAAGAAGCCGGGATTTTCGAATATCCGTACAGGACGCTCGTCGTGGTCGCCAGTAAACGACAGTAGTCCCTAGAAACTTCAGAAATAGAATCTATGAATGCCGTTATGAGGAGAGGTGTGACACCCATCAACGCGTGACAGACGCGATCCGTTGATCAATGTCGCTCACGTGAGATTCCTTATTTCAAGCTCCGCATCTCGAATTCCTCATAAAGCGACGCTCGCGTCCGTAGTGGCAAGACACACCTCTGCTCCTCCCCCCCATCTCCACACACCAACCAACTGTGAGTAACGCCTTATACTGGTGCTAGTGAAGCGATTGAATGATATTGCAGCCTTTTCATCAACCCTTGTCGCGAAATCCTCTAGAAATGGCTCCCAAAGTGCGTGACTCTTACAAGGAATCTGACGCGCCTTGTACGAATTATCCCCTTCTTCCCAGCCCGCATCCACCGCTGGCAAAGCCCCTGCATCCACTGCCTCCAAGGCTCCGGCCAAGACTGATACTCCCAAGGCCGCGAAGAAGACCGCCACCAAGAGCGGTGGCAGCGCTCCTGTTGACGGAGAAAAGAAGAAGCGCAAGAAGGCTCGCAAGGAGACCTACAGTTCCTACATCTACAAGGGTGCGCGTGCTGAACCCGCCGCTCCGACCGTCCATCCTAACCCTTCTCCCGCAGTTCTGAAGCAAGTTCACCCGGACACGGGTATTTCCAACAAGGCTATGGCCATTTTGAACTCTTTTGTCAACGATATCTTCGAGCGAATTGCCACTGAGGCCTCCAGTACGATTGCTTCTTCCCGCGGCACATCCTCCCATTAACGCGTTGACACAGAGCTCGCCGCATACTCTAAGAAGTCTACTATCTCCTCCAGAGAAATCCAAACAAGTGTACGACTCATCCTTCCTGGTGAATTGGCCAAGCACGCCATCTCTGAGGGAACCAAGTCGGTTACCAGTACGTCGTCGTCAGCCTTCCGCGCGTGGCACTTGCTAACAATCTTGCAGAGTACTCCGCTGGTTCCAAGTAGATTGTTGTTCACCGGATTATATTATTATTGTACTACATGTTCTAGATCATTCATATAATCGCTATCTTGCACGACGATGTACTGCACGGTATTTCTGGGTTTGGGGAGAATGAATGGTCTGAATCAATGAAGTTCACACGATAAAACACCAACGAAACGCGTCTGTGGCTCCGCTTTGACTTTCATGGCGACATTCTCGTCCCCCGCTCCCCGGAGATCAAGTCGACTGCGCACACTTGCCACATCTCCTCCACGCCGACCATGGGTCGCTAGCAAGCCAAGTTCTCAACGTGCTAGCCCTGCTCCGGGGCCTGTGCCAGTGGCTGAAGATGAGGACCTTGACATTATGGAGGTCGACGAGGCCGCTTCCGTGGTATCTGAGCGTGCATCACAGCGCGCACCGGGGGAGACTGTATATGCAAAATCGGAGGAGTTACTCGTCGCTTTCTACACCCATCTCCCGGCGGAAGTGAAACAAATACTGACAAGTGCAGGTGCGCCGGACGTATTCATCTCTCTTCTCCGGCTGATCATATTCAGATTATGTGCACGACTTTTATACGGGTGATATTGACACTTTGACTGGATTCGCACTGGTCGCTTCAATACAAACTTGTTTTGTCTGGCAACATGCTCAGGTGAGTTCGCGCGAATCTTCTCCTACTGATGCTCAACCCAGACGCAGGCAGTGAAAGGGACCCCGACTTGCTACATCTTCTCGTGTCCCCAGGACGACGAGCCATCCGGACCCCCTCTCCACGTTCTTGTACCCTTCGTCAAGACAAGAGAGCCCGGGCTTATCCTCGTATCCCCCCTTGGTGAAATCAGATACTGGGACAGCATTGGGATTGGGTTGGCTGGGGGCGAGAACTATGTTACGCTGCACCTGGATCTATCAGAGGACGAAAGTGTGACAACGCTCACCCGCGTCGATGTACGTGTTCGAATCGTATGTGAAAGACCACTGACTTATACAGTTTCGGTCCCAAAGGCGCAGACGTTCGTCGTATCGACTACGCTTGGGCGTTTCTATCGATTGACACTCACATCCGCTAATGGGAGACACAACCTCGCGTGGCACGTCTTCGCGAAGCCCGCTCCGTCTCTCTCCTTGTCGCGCCTTATTCCGTTCTTCAATGCATCTACGTCAACCAATCAATTGGCTGAGCCAGGGAACATCAACGCGGTTGCTTTGGGTTCTAAGCATGCCACGGGGGTGCAGGATATCTGGGCGCTGGTCGATACGCGCGTGCAGAAATGGGAGATGAACCCTGGGGGATGGGAGGAGCCACAGGAAGACATTGAGGTTGCGCCAACTGTTCTTTCGGCGCTGCGAAGTGAGTTCGGTGACGCCGTTGAGGCTGACGACGCGAAGTTGGACCTCGAGCTAGTGGACATGGCTGTGGATAAGTAAGTGGTTGTTTGTGCTGAGAATTGTGGTGTATCTAACGAGGTGTTAGAAACGGAAAACTGGTCATTTTGGTTTCGTACGCGGGGAAAGAAGAGTTCAACTCCATGGCGGTCGACCTCTTGGGTGTACGCAGGGTGTACGCGCTGGTATTTATGACCCAGCAAATAGACATCCTGGCGGTGGATTCTATCAGGATCGTCCCTTATCAAAGTGTGCGTATTGCCGTGAAGGAGGGGAGACTAACACAGCTCACGGATCCCCCTCAGACTTCAGCTTCGGGAGCTGCAATGCATGCACGAATTCAGCTCATCTCTGATGGCACACTTGTCACTGTTCAATTCGGAGATGTCGTCGCTATATGTGCAAGAGGTTTGTTCTCTTCTCTTGTCTAAGCTCCTTCCTCTCATGCTATAACACCAGATTCGAATTACAGAGACAGACTCGAATTCAAAGCCAAGTCAGACCGCACTCTCGGCGTTGGCGTCGTAAGCGAAGAAAGCACTGTGCTCGTTCTCACTGCGACGACGATGGTCAAGGCGTACTTGGACATTGATAAGATTCGAGCGTTTGATCCGGAGTAAGTCCATTTCTCTTATACAGGGTTCGTACCTCATGAAGTTTAGGACCGGGCGTCCTGGTCTCGTCAAGTCGATAATGACTCAGGCTATTCTATATGGATCTCTACTTGGGGTAAGCATAAGTTTCACTATCACCAAAGACCGGAATTTTGAACATCGCATGTAGAACCCCTTGCATTTCAGTTTTCCTCCCGAAGTAGAAGCAGAGAGCCTCATGGAAGGAGCCGAGCAACTAAGCCGTGCCATCCTTGAATCCGGTACGTTCTCCACCTGTGCATCCGTTACGCTTATTGACATATACTCATTGGGTAGACCATGAACTCGTTCAAAGAAGCCATGACTTGAGCATCCAGATGAAAGGTAGAATCGACCGGCTTGCTTGGCTCATCGCGTTTATCAACGAGAACGCCATGCTCCTCAAGGTAACGCGGTCGCTATCCACATCCCAAGGTTACCGATACCCATTCATGCTTAGATGTCCCAACGCAGCAGACAGCGCCTGATGATGAACGCGGAGAAACTGCAAGCGGGCCACGACTTGTGGCTATTTTACAACGAATTCCTAGCGTTAGTCCCCTCCTTCAAGTGTCCGCCTACTCTTCGACGCTAACCTCTGTTCGCGTGCGCAGGACGTCGCACTCACGCAGTGTTCTGTATGACGCAGTTGCGTTGTACATGAAAGACGTGAACGAAGACCACCACGCCGACATGATGCGCGCGTTCTTCCGGCTGCACATCGTGAATATAGGGAAGCTTCTGCGCAAAGTAGAAACTGTCGTGAAGAGATCGCAAGGCCCCCAAGCTGCGAGCGTCCTTCCCGAAGCGACTCGCATCTTTTTGGTACTCTAATACCATCTTAAGTCTTCCTGTTAAAATCTCACTACCTCCCGCAGACCGTCCTCAAGTCAGCCTTCAAGTTCCGGGAAGAACACAAAGGCCAATACAGCCTCGAATGGCCAATTATCAACCCATGGACGAGCAAACCAACGGTGATAGACGTTGCACTTAGCTTGTTCGAGGCGATAACCGACAAGGCAGATGTCCCCGGAGCAGACGGCCAATACCACCAGAGTCAGAGTGAACCGGGCTCTCAGCTCCCCGAGTTGGCAACTGTCCTTTTCGCTTGCATTCAAGAGCGATTGGACTGGCTCGGCAGGTATGCTTTGCATTGTGCTTCTATCGCTATACACGACATTCTGACTTCTTACAGCACAATTTCTAATGGTGAGGCTGGGACAGAGCGTGATCGCGATGAACTTGAGCATCGCTTCGCCCTTCTCAGACCGGAAATATTGGAGACGCTCAGTAAGTCGTCCCCTCTTGCATCTTTGAACCTGTATCTAACTTGTATGTTAGGAAGGCTTGGATACCCACACCCAGCGCTGAGTCTGGCTGAAACATACAGAGACTTCAGCAGTCTAGCAGCGTTGTGTCATCGGGACATGGTGTATCCACCGCATGAAAATCCGTGGATCACTGATATTCAGCGGTATATCGAGAAGTTTAAGGACGATTTTGCTTTCGAGCTCTTCCGATGGTATATACAACACGGTATGTTTACAATCCCATGCCACGTGTCGCATTACGCTCAGGGTTTGAACAGGAGAGCTGAGGATTATGTTTGCACAAGAAGACCTCTATAGTATCTACTTCGACAGGTTTTTTGCGTCGAATCCACATCCTAGCATTTCTTGGCTACACGACTTGGGCAAGGGGAGGTATGAAACGACCGCGCAAACTCTCTTGGAGGAAGCGAACAGGTCGACAAACCTCCCAAGCAAACAGGTAGGCACGCATATCCATCATATGGAATTATTGCTGGATGTTACTTCTTCAGTTCTTACTCAGCGTTGGCAAATTGTCCGAGCTTGTTCATCTACAGGAGCAACGGTTATCAGCAGACACTGGGCTCTTAGACGGTTCGTGATTGCTACTTGAACGAATTTCGTCAGCTCATGGAATAATGTGTTAGCTTTCCATGACGGCTTGGACTTCGTGAGCGTCCATGAAGCCCTCATCAGTGAATTCAAGTCGGTTCTGCCCACTCGAGGCAAGCAATCACTGGATTCCCAAGTTGACACAATCTTGCAAAAGAAAGGAAGGAGGTTGTCCTCATTCCCTGCTTTGACATTAGTGAGCTTTGGTTCTTTCTCTTCAAACCGCTTTTTCTGTAACTTCTTTTCTAGCTGGTGAAACAGTTCATACGGGAGCTCCTTCAAGGAAAAGCTCTGTCCATGGAAAATGTCGCGGACGTGCTATCGCTGCAAGACAATGAAAATTCCATTGAGAACTACATTACTGCTCTCCAGTTACTCATCCAATCAGAGGTACGCAAATAATGTACGAAGCGATCTAGTAGCTAAATAATGACAACAGGAGCTACCCGGGGACCGTAGATTGTTTGCCTTCCGAAGTATCTGGCGACGAATCTACATCCACGACGAGTAAGCCTGGATCTCTCCTAACCGAGGTCGTCTCTAATCGCAGCGCAGCTGGTCACAAATACTCCAAACTGCGAATATCACTGACGCAGAGTATACCGAACGATTACAGCAGACAGCACTTTTTGCTACCCTTGCTGCTATATCACCCCAAAACAAACGTCCGGATCCGGGATTAGTGCTGACACCGGACGCGGCGGCGATGATCCCAACGGCGGCTGAAATCGGCGCGCGTTGGTCAGGCCTGTCCAACGATGAAATCGAGGCTCTCGAGCACGATTACCAGGCGGAATGTGAACGACTCAGTTCGTATGAATTGACTGATGCGTATACGCGTATACAGGAGCTAGTGCAGCAGATGGTGGCGTCGGAATCGTTGTAGAGTAATTATCAGACTCGGACTTGAATGAATGTGTAGATGAAGACTAGTACATAGCTGCGTTCAATCTGACTTTGGTGCACTGGCGAATCGAGATTTGAAGCGATGTATATGGACGCGTATACCCAACGCCATGCATCCCACTAGCCGCTTCCGCCATTCGGTTGTATATGCATCTGTTCGTGGCCCCTCCTGCATCAACCACTGCGTGCAGAAGTCTGACAGGGCGCGTTCTTTGTCGAGAGGCGTGGACGATTCCGGAAGGCTGGAGAGAATCGCAGCTTTCCCTGCCTCGAAGCGCAAGTTACTCTAGATATCCCATCTCCTTAGCATTGAACTACTAGAATGTCAAACAGGCCACGCACATCCGTCCAGAACGTTTGGTGGAAAGCATCTAGCTGCTGTCGCTGGAGCTTGTATTGTAGCTCAAGGTCGTCTTCGTGGAGTACGGTGGCTGGAACGAATTCGAAGAGGGAGTAGGGATGGCGGATGTTTGTGTTGATTGTCGGAGGAAGAGAGGGCGCATCGTCGTAAACAACTGGCCGCAGGTTTGACAGCGGGTCGATAGGCCCAACGAGAAGGTGCCGTTTCGTGCTGGCCACTATACGGGGAACTCGTCGAACGAGCCCGGACGACGAACGGGTGAGCATGGACTTTGATCTAAATGGTTTGTGGCAAGCGCCGTGCGCGCTACCGCATATTTCCCAACAACTTCAAGCTTGCGACACTCGCTACTATTACAGGGTTATGATACTTTGTCGTGTAATGCACCGTACCGGTGCAACATTCTCTTTTGCGGCAACAGGTACTACTTGCTTATAGTAATTGACTGTAGTACACATATATAAAGACGCGACTTTACGACTTCATTTGCGACGATGGAAGCGAAGTACTACTACCAGAGGAGAGAACGTGTGCGACGCTGCCACACTACGTACCGCCACCCAGTGCAAGTGAGAGAGTAGTGTTGATTAGAGGCCAACCTAGCGGATATCCTTGACAACGTAGATTCTTCGTTATGCTGCAGTGAGCATTGCGTACCTCGCAGAAGCAGCGCGCCTCTTCCAAGCATGCGGTGCTCTTGCTGTCGTAGAGATCCTCCATTTCTTGGAGCCGCGAAACCCAGCCATTACAGACTTTAACTTGTCGACATAGAAGAGAGGGGCTAAGAACACAACTCGAAGCGCAAGAGAACGACTCTGACTCTGGCCGTCGATCATGAAGTCAAGGCAAGTGGCTTGTGAACAGGACGATAAGAGAAATATAAGTAAGAACCGCCTACTTAATGCGAAGAGTAATATACTTGATCGAGGTAGTACTAAGTCATAGCTGTAATAAACCATACAACAAAAGAAGAATCGATACAACTAGTAGCAGAAAAGTACAATAAGAGAAAGAGGAAAGATGCAAGCCAAACCAAGGCTATGTAATTTCTAGCACGGTCGTTTCTAAGACCCTAAAGAGGGTCGAGTCTTTCGAGTCTTCAGACCAACCAACAACTTCCCGCCAATTCATCCCATTGGCCTCCTTCTCTCCGGCACCAGCGAACAAGCCCAAATCGTCGTCTGAAAGGCCGCGGAAGATGAGGAACATCCGCGTAAATACGCAGGGCTCGGTTGTGACAGATATATCGATCGCTGCTGCGATTTTGCTGGGTCGTAAGAAGCGATATGCGATGTTCTTGTGTTGCGAGAAGGCAGCCATGTTATTACTATCGCGGCAAAGGCCGTCAGTTTCGGAGGTCAGTAGCTTAGGAAAGAACCTACTTGATGAACGTCGTGCGTGCATGGACGGACATTCCAAGTTGGTTGAGGACATTGGTGAGATGGGGAATGAAATCCCGGAAGGACATAGCAAAGCCATTTCGTGGGGCAATAAATTCATTAGGATCAATCATGCTTGGATCGGGTCTGCAAAGAAACTCAGTATCCGATAGTAATGACAGGGTAAAGGGTTCACTTACACAGCTTCGTAATACAGTGCAGTTGTGACAACTTCGCTTTCAAAATGCTCGAGGGCACCGCCAGGATGCACTCGAAGGAAGTACTTGACTTTGTTTTCGCCGACTGGCTCCGCCGGGGGCCATGTCGTGCCAATTTTCCACAGCGGCGAGAACGACAAGATGACGTCGCAGTATTGTATTTCGGGAGTCAGGACGCTCAGCTGGCACTTGGCTGCGGTGGGTTTTGCGGCGACGGCGAGTTTGGTCATTACTCTGGAGTCGAATAGGAAATCGGGGGAATATTCTTGTTGGTTGTTCAGACGTGTGCCGCTGAACTCCATCTTATGCGTGTCCCCGTCGTGGACTATATCCAATTTCCCCCAGAACATCCCATCAACGGTTGTTCCGTCCTCCATCCGAGACATGTCTAGCTCGTCCGAGTTTACAGAGACGTCGAGTGCTATATGCTGCCCAGGCGTTAGCTCCAGGTTGAATGTGGCGTCCATTTCCAGCACGGGAGGAGGACTGGGGCAGCAGTTAGTCACATTGCGTGGATGAACACTATCAACTTACGGAGGTGGGCTGAAATAAGAACATGAGTGTCAAATAATGATCAAAGGAAGGAAGTCGGCGTACGGTGGCTCATCAGGTGGAGGTGGTGCATCGCTAACAATTTCGACTCGAAGGCCTTGCACACCTGTTACGGCAATTTGGAACGAGTCATCGCTAGTGAGCTATAAATCTGTGAGATGCAACCCCTCAATTTGTGGTCCAGCGACGTACGTATATGTATGGCCCTGCTACCAAACGCTAAGTGTGGGTTTAGTAGTAGCCCATAAAGATGATCGTGGATGTGAACTCACAGCGGCATGGAGTGACGCATATTCTACTGGCACTCGCAGACTGAACATGGCGTCTGGAGGAGGGCGTGCCCATTCACGGGCCACTGCATCTAGTTCCTGCATTACAAGTTAAGTAATCTAACTTGAATCGCATATCAGTTGGACAGTGTAACTTACGGCGTATGAGTTGGGGAGCTGTTGCAAAAGGTAAGCAAAACCGAAGAAAGCTGTACGAGTCCACTCACCATCCGGATCGTCTCCATTTCCCCGTAGACGAGGGTGAGCAGGCGTTGGCGAGCTAGGGCCATCTGTGCTTGTCTGTCGCGTGTATCGTCCTTGTTTCCCTTTGGTCTGAGCTTGTTCCAAAACGACTGAGAGGGCAAGCTTGCGCTTGTGGAGCTAAGCAAGAACATTTTCCGGGTGAGCAGTGAGAATCAGTGGCGGCGTATATGGACGGGGAGGACATACGCTGGCGAAAGGAGCATTCTTGAGGGTAGATACAGGGGTATTATATATCAGAGGGTGAGGCTTGCGCTGATACGAGAGTCATAATATTAAGCTGCAACGAGGGAAAGATGAGGTGCCGTCCGAATCTGACAAGTACCACGCACAGAACACGAGGCTGAAACTCCGAGCGCTTTGGGACTATCACAGCAAAATCAATTGTCTGCGAACAGAAGCAGATGAGCCAGATATCACCTGCGATCCTGCCAGAACCTTCGATGTGCTGGGATGGCCGCAGGAGGAGAAGGGGGACTCGCTGCAGGCTGATCTCCCTTTGGCTTGATCGGCACGTGAACCTCAGTCCCGCCCAGTCCAGCGTTCTGCTCCGTTGCCTTTCCTCCGCCATCTACCTCCGACAATGTTCGCCGTCGCCCTCCGTCGCTCGCTGGCGAGATCAATCCCGGGCCACCGCCGCACCTTTGTCTCGTCCGTGCTCTTGTCAAAGACCTGGGAAAATGACACCGTCGCCGAGCTGAGGCAAGAGGCGAAAAAACGAGGCCTATCTACGTACGCAGCCTTCTCACTGAACCCGTGGCTGCTCTGAATGTCCTATGAAGTAGGGGAAACAAAGCCAGTCTCGTAATGCGTCTCCAGGAGCACGAGAGTGCCAACGTATCAAGCGAGCGGATGCCTCCACCGGCCACCCGAAGTGCCTCGACGAGTGCCAGTAGCTCACCAGTGGTAGAGCCAGAGGCACCCGGCAGACCGCAGCTACCCGAATCTGCAGAGGAGCCTTTCTTCAACGTCATTCTCCCAGATGCTGCACAGCCAGAGCCAGAGCCTCAAGTCCAAATAGTAGGCATCCTATCAACTCCCCAAAGTTCGCTCGATTAACCCATTACTCAATAGCCTTACGTCCCCGACTTGTGGCACTCATCTGAAATCACAGAGTCTGCCGCCGCTGAGGAGATAATTCCCGAACCTATCCTGCCAAAACTTGTCGTCGTTGCTGGCGAAGAAACCCATCCCGGCGGCGGTCCATCCCACAACCTCCTCGATGAGCACGCACTCGCGGCAGATGCTGAGACTTATGCGTCGGAAGATACTGCGCCATCGTCTTCAACCTCGTCTACCAAAGCCCCAGCTGAGCAAGGCTTCTGGGGAGATGTTGCCGAGGATATGGGGATACCGCTCAAAGAATTAAAAGGCTCAATCTCAAAACTCTTCTCTTAGATATTCGTCGTGTGCATTGTCTAGATTTGGTAGAATAGAATGGATGAATCTCGTTTCTGTCCATGTTGGGCACTAAAATTCAGTTAGGGGTCTATACTGTGACATGCTATCACGTGAATGTGACACTTCGTTCGAGTGACATACTCGGCGCGTACCACTTTTAACTTTACAGCTGCTGCCACCCTCATCTACAAAACCATATCAATTTTGGACCTATTTTAATTTCTATATATGCCTCCTTTATCTCAATAGTAAGGTCCCCTATAAGAGCGCGCTTGTCACGACTCATGAGACTGCTACAGTGAAATCGAGCGCGAAGCAAATATCGCAAGAAATCGCGCTCTCCTAGAGCAACTTGAGCTCACCCAAGCGGTTGCTTCTCTTCCGTCGAAGGCGCCCAAGGCGGAGCCCAAGGCCAAACCTGTTCAGCCTTCAAAACGAAGCAAGGCGAGCAAGGAGGCTGAGGCACCTCGACGACAATCTGCCCGCCTCCGGAGAGGGGCGGTGGATCCTAATGAAGCACCGTCACAGAAGAGGAAGCGAGAAGCGGAGGAGGAGGAGAGACTCGCAAAGGAAGCAGAAGAGCGTCTTGAAGCCGAGGAACGCGCTCGTGCGGCGAAGCGTCCGAGACACCATGATCTTGATATTCAGGCGTTGGTGGACGACTTGGGCGCGGAGGATATATCGACATTAACTGAATCTCTCCAGGCTATTACGAAGGAGGAATACCCTCGGAGGGCCGCCGATATTCATTCTTACGCAGACCTGGACGACGAACAGGAAGAGCGGGAAGTGGCTGAATTGAGGAGTAAACTACGGGGTCTCAAAGTCGTCGCTCGAGCAAAAGTGACGGAAGACCGCGTTTACAGCGCAGTGTATCACCCAGGTACTCTTTTCAATCATTCGGTGTTGGCGTGTCTCATCTCTTTCTATAGAACCTTCCAAGGACTTAATATTCTTTGGAGGTACGCCCCTATTAACCCGGGTCCGAGTTAATTTGGTTTACCCAGAATATCACAGACAAACATGGTCAACTTGGAATCTGGGATGCCAGAGCCGCGCCGGACGAGGTTGCAGACGAAGACGATGATGTAACGCCAACGAATAAAGAAAGCGGAAAGTACTGGCGATTGCAGCTTCATTGGCCCGCTACATCGAAGTCTTCCATATCATGTCTCAAGCTTAATCCGGTCAATTCTCATAGCGTAACTACAATCTAAATTCTCTCGTACTGTGGCCGATTCTGATACCCGTACAGCTCTACAGTACTTCGTATGATTGTACTATTCGTAATCTCTCTTTCGGCTCGGGCGCGTCTACAGAAGTATTTTCGACGACCGACAACACCTTAATTTCGAGCATCGATCTCACCCCGACAGGTGCAGATATGTGGATCTCTGATGCACTTGGAGGAGTCACTCACTTAGACTTACGTGAGGATAAGTCTAAGGCTCGATGGTATGGTCTTTCAGATCAGAAGATCGGTTCACTCAGCTTGAACCCAACGCAACCCAATTTCATGGTCACCGCTTCGAATAGTCGAGCCCTGAGGTTAGTTGACATCCGTCTTGGTGTTCTACGTGCGTGACGCGCCCCACAGGATTTGGGATCTTCGTATGCTCCGGAACATCTTTCGTAATCTTGATGATGAAGATGCACCTATAACACCTCCACCATCATCGCCCGGCGCCCCAGAAGACGGGAACTCTGTGGGCACAGACGAAACGTTGATTTTCGACTCGGCGACAGTGTCGGAATACACACAAACCAAACGAGGCGAAGGGTGTTTACGGGGAGAATGGAGACACGACAAGTCAGTGAGCTCGGCCTACTGGGACCCACGAGGTCGTTCTATTGTTAGCACAAGCTATGATGACACCCTACGACGTGAGTTATTTACTCACCTCGTGCGGACGTTATACTCAAAATTGTGTTGTAGTCTGGGATTTCAATCCGTCTTGCTTCGCAAAGAATTCGTCGTTCCCATCAGCACGCCCGTTCAGTCGCCTTCGGCATAATTGCCAAACAGTGCGTGTCTTCTAATGCTGCCAGTATCAAGAATTCATAGTTCTTTTGCTATTAGGGGCGGTGGCTGACGATTCTCCGTGCGCAATGGACACCTAACCCCGATGTCTACCCTCACTTCACAGTGCGACTACTTCATTCTTTGTTGTAAGCAACATATTAATCGCTCACTTCCTAGATCGGCAATATGGATCACTCCTTGGACATCTTCACATGCAAGGTGAATATGACTGCAACCGTATATTATTCGCGTCTGGACTGATTTCGGTGTGTCAGGGCGATTTGATTACCAGGCTGTCCGATCCCAAGAGGTGGGTTCTATTCATATTGCTAAATGTTTACCAATAATTAATGTTCCCCAGGATTACGGCTGTCCAAGCTGTTACTTGTTCGCATCCAAATGTCCTGGAACGAGCAGCCAGTGGCAATGGTAGCGGGCGCTGTGTGCTTTGGGCACCTGCTTAAGTTCTTCCTCATCATTTCATCATTTCAGTTATGGTGGCGCCCTCGCCGCAATTTCGCAACGCTGATTTACCTCAATGTTTCACCCACTTATTCACTGTATATGGATTGCAGTACCCCTGGGATCGTGCCAATGCGGAGAGTAGGTATTGGTGTTATCGCTATTCCAAGGGTTTACCTAGCTACCTGCATTTGATGTACCCACGGGAAGGATCAGTCGTGACAAATCTGCGAGCTTCGAAGGAGGCTGTCGCGACCGCAGTTCCCCTATAGGCATAGCTATGTACAACCGAGAGAATATCTTTTGTCGGAATTTCAGCACTCTGTGAGCTCTGTACTCATGACCCATGGCACGATCCCCAGGAGGCCATGTGGTTTTTGGGAGTTTATCGGACTCTGTACAAAGTTGACAGGAAAGGGAGTTTCTTTCTGAGAAGGGTATGTTGTCGGCAAACTATTTCCCTGATGAGTTCGGGGATTGCCGAAATTGGGACCTGTTGCCCTTGAATGATCAGGATTTTGAATTAGCTCTCAGCCAAAACAACCATGGCCCCGTCGCCGTCCTCGACGACGACCTCGGTCCAAGTCGGTGAGTTTTTTCGCGCAGGTCGTTTGCGAGAACGCGCTGCTAAGGTCTTTGCTAGCCCTTCGTATCCGCCCTCCTACTTCCCAAGACCTCGTCTCCATCCCCGCCAGGTTCCAGAAAACCGTGATCCACGCCCTTTCGCCCACGACCGTCGCAGTCGAGTCTACAGGTGTATCACAATCAGGAGGCAACACGCCAACATCGACGGCGTCCGGCTCTTCCGCCGCGAAAGACAAGAAGCAACTGTTTACATTTGACCAAGTCCACCCACCCAGCGCAACGCAACATGGGCTTTTCACATCAACTGCTGAACCACTCCTGGCCCGTTTCCTGGAGGGCTTTAATTGTACCATTCTGGCGTACGGTCAAACAAGCAGCGGCAAGACCTTTACGATGACTGGCATAGACTTGGATGCTGACCCTTCTGACCCCAATAATGGGATGGGTATCATCCCTCGAGCGGTCTCTACCATTTTCTCCAAAGCAAGACAGCTGAAAGAAGAGCGGGGCGACACCTGGAACTTCAGCATCAAGGGCTCGTTCATCGAAATATACAACGAGGACTTGATCGACCTTCTCAGTATGGATGAAGCTGGTGGCCGAAGAGAGGTTCAGATACGCGAAGACAAAGATGGCCACATTATCTGGGGTGGTCTTAGAGAGGTCAATGTCAAAACTTCTAATGAAGTCATGTCGTGCGTATCACATTTAGAGTCTTCTGCACTTCCTGATGTTCTTACGGCTGTGTCCTTTCCTAGGCTGATTCGCAAGGGCACATCCATTCGTAGAACTAATGAAACAGACATGAACGCCCAATCTTCGCGTTCGCATGCGATATTCTCCCTCACTTTCATTCAGAAGAAATTCGTTGGCAGTGGGCACCCTCCTCGTTCCAGCTCACCCCTTCCCCCTGGCCGTTCACCTTCTCGACTAGCGCGTCCTGGTTCGATGTACAGTAACACTTCGATGGCTGGTAACAGAGCTTCTTCCCCAACACCTGGACGCCCAGGGACTCCAAGCTTTGCTTCAGCGATGGGACGGGGAGGTCTACGACCTTCCAGCGCTCTCGGCCACATAACCGAGCGTCCGAAGCCTGGAGGAGATGATGAAAGCGGCGAATGGATCACAATAACTTCCAAATTCCATTTCGTTGACTTGGCTGGTTCCGAGCGTGTGAGTGCGCTCAATGCTCGCAGCTTCAAAAACTTACCTTGATATTTCGTAACAGTTGAAGCGCACGATGGCGGCTGGAGAAAGGATCAAGGAAGGCATATCTATCAACAGCGGTCTTCTCGCCTTGGGGAATGTTATTTCTGCCTTAGGCGATCCATCCAGAGCGAAGTCACACACTGCAACCCACGTCCCCTACCGAGATTCAAAGCTCACTCGCTTGCTCCAAGATTCTTTGGGTGGCAACGCGCATACCCTCATGATCGCCTGCGTTAGCCCTGCCGAATGGAATACCGCTGAAACAGTCAATACGCTGAAGTATGCGAACCGTGCTCGTAATATCAAGAACCGGGCAGTAGTCAATGAGAAAGAGGATGGTTGGGACGATGTCGAGTGGCTGCAGGGGACGGTTCTGAGGTTGAGAAAGGAAGTGAAGGTGCTCAAGGATGGAGGCGTGCCTGACGTTCGAGCAATAGAGCCGCCGGCACTTGAAGGAGCAGGAAAGAAGGTACTTGCGCAGATGAGCGACCTCCAAAGTAACTACGAGGACCTGCGCGAGAAATTCGTAGAGAGGACGGAAGAACTCACTCGTCTTCGTCGCGAGCTAGGCGAGCGGCATCGCACTTCAAGTGCAGGATCTGTAGGGGGCACTGCTAAGTACGAAGAAATTGTGGGGCCGGTTATTGAGGAGTACGAGAAGACCATTGCTGCTATGGAGGCCGAACTTAATCTGAACCGGGCGGCTTTGCGACACACGAACGAAATGGTGGAAGAGAAGGAGGATGAGCTCGCCACCATCACAGAACGACACGCCGCCACCGAGCTGTACGTCGAAGAGCTTCGGACCAGAGTTGCCAAATTGACTGAAAGGGAAGCATCCACGGAGGTGAGTGCATTGTTTACCCACCTAGCTATCCTATGGGTCTAAATAAGCCTTCCAGGCATACGTCCATGATTTAGAAGAGAAGATGAAGTTATACGACGAGACTTCTATCAGCTCTAGTGAATCAATGACGGACTTGAAGAGGGAGATTAATCGGTTTAAAGATACAGAATCTCACTCCGCGAAGTATATTTCGGACCTAGAGGCTCGATTGGCACGTTCGGACGAGTCTATATTGGACTTGCAAAAGGTCATAGAGAGGTTGGAGAGCGAATGCGAGAGACGTCGAGACGAAGTGGAAAACCTACAATCTCGTCTGGAGTCCCTTCGACAGGATGGAGAGAGCTGGAGGGCTGATTTAGAGGAAAGAGAGCAGCGAGTAAAGGAGCTCGAGGGGCGAATGGAGGAGTGGGAGCGGAGGCGACAGGAAGCTGGTGAGACCCGTGCTCGGTTGGGTGCTGTTGTCGGTGAGGTAGCGTTGGCACGACGAAGCCTCGAGCTGGATCTCGCAGGCGTGAATGGGGCGTCGTCGTCGTCTGTCGGTTCAACTCCGGTACATACCAACGGGCATACGTCTCCTATTCCGGAGGAGCCGGCCACGCCTACACGGACTGAGCAGTCATTGGAGGGTCAATTATCATCCTTGCAACAAACCCATACTGCTACTCTCGCCGACTTAGCCTCTGTCACCTCGAAATATCGTGACGCTCTTCGTGAAATATCCGACCTTGCAGCTCAGATACAAGAAGCGAAGCTAAGTAGCTCTGCGATTACCGACTCTCCGAGGTCCGAAACCCCCGTCGATCCTCCCCGCCGCAGACGACTTACTGGTGGACGAAACCGAGAGGCTAGCGACCCTCAAATCCAACCCGCTCTTCCTGGGAAACGGCCTTTTTTCAGGCAGGCGGCCTCAGCGGAGTCACTCCACTCGAGGTCGCTCTCGCAATCGCTCTCACTCTCGCAGGAATTATCATCGGCGCGCTCTCGCAAAGCCTCCTTCTCCACAAGTAGCTCGCATTCACCGTCAAATTCACATTCCAATAGTGCACCCTTCGCAAGTCCCCGACCGAATCTCTCAATTTCTCTTCCAGCATCCAATGAGCGCTCAGTGGCAAGCCTAGAGTCGGAAATAATGAGGTTGCAAGACGTACTGAAAGAGCGCGAGGCCGAGATTGCTGCATTAGAGATTTCTTTGCGAGAGAAGCCCAAGGTCCCGTCAGGGTCACCCACATCCATAGACGACATCGACACTCCTCCGTCCACGCCTCCGAACGATGTTCTTCCAAATGGTGACCAGAGCCTTGCTTCTTATCTTACCCCGAAAACTATGGGGCAGTTCGAGAATATCCGTCGAAGCATGGAACTCAACGGTCGCGACCATCTGTTCGAAAACGGCTCCGAGGTAGCGAGTAATGTATCCGAAATGGACGAATCTTTGGATCGATTGAATGAGCTCATGCTGTACGTACATTCCAACTTTTCCTTTGCTAATGTTACTCAATCGTTTTATCCAGGTCGATGGCACAGAAAGAGGCATATCACAAGGAAGTTGTTGACACCTTGAACGACCAATTAGGCCAGGTCAAAAGGCAGCTTGATGACCTCACAACACTGTCCCGAGATCAGGTAATTGCATGGCATCATTTTCCCTCTTTAAGGCCGCAATGCTGAAAGTCATCTGTTGTTGCAGGCGCTAAACATGTCAACGGAGATTCAGGCTCTGCAAGCGAAACACTCTCATGACTTGGAACTGCTTGAAGAGGTTCGAAAGCACGAAGCGGAACTCGTCACCAACCTCAAAGAAGCAGAAGCAACTCATCTTCAGGCCGTCGAGGACATGCGGCTTGCCCATGAAGATGCCCTCAACGCTAGAGGTATAGAGGTTGATACCCTTATAACGAGCATGAAGGAAGAGCATGATTCCGCGTTGGAAAAGCTTCGTGCCGAGCTATCTGAAGCTTCTACGGAGATCGAGAAGCTGCGGCACCACCATGATCAGGCACTCGCAAAGGCCCACGCTGAACACGCTGAGGAGCTACAGCGACAGGGTAAGGAGGCTGAAGACATCCTTGACGCCGCGCAGAAAGCACATGAGGCCGCCGTGGCCAAGCTTGCTCGGGACCATGAGGAATCTCTAAAGCAGAAAGAAGCCGAAGCTACTGCTGTACTCCAAACTACCGAAGAGGAGTACTACAACGCCCTTACGAAGCTTCGATGTGATCACGCTACCGCTCTGGAGAAGCAAGCTACGGACGCCGCCGCCACTCTTGAGCGACTACGTGAAGAGCATGCTGGCGAGCTGCGAATCACCGAGATCACGAAGCAAGGTTCAATTGCTGCTTCCGAATCATCACGTACACTAGCCCTACAGGAGTTACAGGACGAGCACGCTGCCGCTATCGCACGGAAGGAAGCATCACATGCTGATGCGGTTGAACAGCTCAAAGCAGAACACCTTCGCGCTCTCACGACCAAGGACGAAGACTTCACTCTGCAATTGGATCGGTTACGCGCTGAACATGAGAGTACCACATCACGGCTCAAGGAGGAGTGGAGAGTTGAGACCCAGAAGCTGAAAAATGCACTCGCGGACAGCGAGGAACAAGTCCAAGCTGCAGCGTCAACCTCGACTAAAGTCCGTTCGGAGATGGAAGCCAAGATTCAATCGTTGCAGGAACAGCAGGCTCTCATTCTGAAAGAAGTCGAGCAAGGCCATGAAGAGGATGTAGCTGCTTTGAAGCGCACTCATGACGCCGCCCTCTTGTCCGTAGAAGCAAAGGCCCAGCAAGATCTTGTTGACCTTCTGAAATCTCATACAGAAGAGAAGGTTCAACTACAAGCAGAGCACCAACAAGCTCTTGCGGACCTTAACGCAGAAATGGTAGCTCTCCGGGAACAGCACCATGAAGCGTTGGCCTTGGCTAGGTCGCATAGCGAAGGTGTACTTGAAGAAGAGCGCCAGCGTCTACAAACCACCCTCGCTGATCTTGAACGTCAGCATGCCGAGGAGCGGGATATTCTTCGCAAGGACCATGATCTCCTTGCACAAGAATTGGAGAGTCACAAAGTCGCCGCCGACGAATTTACGCTCATACAGGAGAGCATGCGCGATAGTCACGATCAAGCACTTGCTGAGAAGAGCGCTTCGCTTCAGCAAGTCCAGAATGAACTGTCCAATGTGAGCACCGAACGGGATCAGCTCCAAGCCGAGCTTGCTCGATTGCGAAGTGAGCTAGACAAGACGCACTCCGAGCAGTCCAAACTCGTCCAAGAGGCATCGAAGCGACAATCATTGGTTGACGAATTGGAGAAGCATCGGTCAGAGCTTGCTGAAAGTCAGGAACTCGCTCAACGCCTCAGAGATGAGAAGGACAATCTTCTGGCAGAAAAACAACGGCAAGACAGTGTTATCCGCGATCTGCAAGCACAAGTCGCTCGTAGCTCCTCACCACCCAATGGAAGGCCGTTAACTGGGTACAACAGAGGCACTGGACTCCCCACGATGAAACTCCCCCCGCCGACCCCACCTCCCTCGGTTCCACCACCACCCGCTCCCCGCTCCCTCCACCTCAACGGCGATCACAATTCCAGCATCAGCTCCCAATCTTCATCCGTCACGATGTCTAATTCCTCCAAAGAATCTCAGATGGATTCTCCAACTACCTCCGTTGGCGGTTCGATCAATGGCATGGTCACTCCTGTCCCTGACGCCAAGTTCACGATACGGCTGGAGCAACAGGCGAAGCAGATAGAAGAGCAGGAAGCAATGATCAAGACTCTGAACAAGCAGCTGACGCATTGCGAAAGTGACCTCCAGACTCACATGGATCTCGTTAGTACGTTGGAAACTTCACTAGGAGATTCTGAAAAGAATCGTACGTTGCGCCTTGTATATTTCCTATTTCTAGTACTTACCATTTTCCCTTTTAGTTCGTAAAGCTCGTATGCATGCCACAGAGCTTGCTCGTGAGCGCGATACGCTGAACGTTAAGATCGAAGGGCTGCGCTCTGAATTAACCGAAGCGAGACGCGAAGTTGCCACTGTTCGCAAGTCGATACAGGAAGAGAAACTGTCTCTTGAGCAACGATTGGACGAGGAGCGCAAGGCGAAGGAGCGCGTGCGCGCTCAGCTGGACACTCGGATGGAAGAACTACAACGAAAGAAGTCCAAGTTCGCTTGCCTATAGCCTCATCCCCTCCCTCCTTGGCTCCCGAGGGTATAGAAATCGCCCTCCATTCCTTTTTACATGCTTTCTGTTCATTAGCTCTGCAGGCCCTATGGATTGGCCCGCACATCATCACATGCACACTCTCGTTTTTGCTCTGTATCTCTGCACGGTGTTGCAGACGGATCGCACGGAATTAAGACCTGCTCGGTATACCCTCCCACCTCCCGTGTCTACCGGTAGTCCCCCTCATCTCTATACCTTTTCGTATATGTTAGCAGTATCCTCGTATTTTTGGCTATATATGTTGCACCTATTATCATGACCCCTCCTGTAATCAGGTACTAGAGCAGGTCACCTGCGCCGTGGGGAGTGTGCAATCAGAAGTTAAGAGGTACTCTCCGCAATCAGTCCCCTCCCACGTAGTCCACTTAGAACGCTCCACGATGGTGAAGATTCCAGTGGTAAGCCTCCCTGAGGCCTGGAGCTGGAGACGGCTTCCGCGCAGGCTTCAAGCATGTTGAAGGTTCGCTTCGCCAGGTAATTCGCATCCCACATGCTTTCCAACTCAGTAGCGGGTGCATCCCACGACTCGCTGGAGCTTGGGCTTTGCGGTATCAAACACTCCAAGAACCACCTAAACGTTATTATTCGAGCACTCCAGTGAGAATGGCAGACAATGAGCCCAAGAAGGCGTACAGGACGCTCCCCTCGCTTTCGATGCAAGATAAGGTAGGTACCCCTGTCATTCTATCTCCGTAGCATGCCTCCTGATCTTATGCATTAGGTTTGTGTAGTTACTGGAGCCGCTCGAGGCTTGGGGTATGAATTCTGCAACGCCTTCCTTCAGTCGTGAGCACACCGGGCTTCTGCTGTGCCTTAGATTCCCTGGGGTGTTGAAATCGCGTCATTAGGGGATGCACATCTCTTGCCGTTTTGGATCTGAAGCACGACGAAGCTCGCGAAGTCGCCGATGTACTCGCGAAACAGAATGCTTGTAAGTGGACAAGGCGATCCACCGTACATCATATCGAAGCTAATTGCGTGTGTATACCTCAGTGGACGGGGGCGCGAAGATCGATGCCATTGGTATTGCCTGCGACGTCTCCTCTGAGGAGTCGGTCCAGGCAGCGTTTGCCGCTATCAAGGAGAGATTCGGCCGCTTGGACGCCGTTGTCGCATCTGCTGGCATAGTCGAGAACTACTCTGCTTTAGAGCAAGTCGCCCGATCCATTTTCTCGGTTGATGTATTTATCTGACTGGAGGCAAATAGGTACCCCGCTGATCGAATACGCAAGCTCATGGACGTCAATGTGCATGGCGCCTTCTTTACAGCCCGCGAGGCTGCGAAGATCATGATCCCTCAAGGTTCAGGATCCATCGTCCTGATATCCAGCATGAGTGCCAATGTCCGTACATCAGGACGACAACCTCTATTCATCACTGATGAGTTTGTTGTAGATCGTGAACATTCCTCAACAGCAGACGCCATATAACTTCTCAAAGGCTGGTACGACTTCCCGTTGCTTGGGTGTAATACTCTCTTGACTGGACTCCTTTGCAGCGGTCAAGCATATGGCGTCGAGTCTAGCAATAGAATGGGCCAAGACTGGCGTCCGAGTCAATGCCCTGAGGTGCCTACTATTGTGTCATTCTCTGAAGGGCGACTTATTGAACCTATAATCAGCCCCGGATACATGCTTACCAAACTGACCAGGACAATTCTTGCGAACGATTCGCAGCTTAAGGTCTGCCTCTTATAATTATTCAGTTAACAATGTGCTGGTACATAACAACCTGAACAGGAAACCTGGGAGAATTTGACGCCCGTTGGTCGGGTAAGCTTGCTTTTTCTCGCTATCATGTTCAATATTGAATGATTTTCCAACAGATGGGTGATCCCGAGGATTTGGCGGTATGTCTGGTGATGATTTGTAGTGTTGCCACTAACACTGACATTCTGCGCAGGGAGCCATCGTGTATCTGTGCAGCGACGCTAGTAAATTTATGACTGGAGCTGAACTTCGAGTAGACGGAGGCTATTGTGCTATATAAAGGATTCTTGTATATGTTGCCCCTGTTTACTGGGACAGGAGGCAAGGAGGGGTTAAATAACGTCACTTGTGGCCGAATAACGTTATATTGGTCCTCATGTCTGCACCACAACCATCAGGCTCGTCGTCGTCGCCGGCAGCGACGACAAGCTCTTCAAGCGCACCGTCGACGTTCGAGTTCACGAAACGGAAACGATGGGCGGACTTGCTCATCAACGAGCTTGCTGACGCTATCATTCTTGTTTTGTCATCATCCTGTACGATCCTGTTCTCTGGTGCCGCTGTGACTGAAATTCTCGGCTGGCGAGATGTGGACTTGGTGGACAAGGACTTCATGGACCTGGTCGCATGCGAGTCGTCTCTCAAGGGTTGGTGCAGATGTAGCTGATCAGCGTTATCACTGCTACAGACAACGACCAAACGAACTTCCAGAATAGCTTCCACGAGTCGTTGAGGACGAGCGAAGACTTGTTGTCCTATACACATCTGAAGTGCAAGACCTCGCATTCGGCAACGGTACCTCGGGAGATCCTCTTCGAAATCAAGGGATATCCGCATTATGTGGGGGATGAACAGACGTGCCGATGCTTCTTTGCGACAGCGAAGCCGTATCCAAGTCGAAATGCAGCAATGTAAGTGAATGTGACTGATGCATGAACTTCAGGGATCTGACTTCCATACTCTGTAGGCTAAACACATTCTTGGATTTGAAGACGGAGAATGAACGGCTGCAACAAAGGTTGGCCCACCTGCGTGCTACTGTGCCGGTTGCTACCAATGTCGACATCGGTGCAACAAATGCAATGTTATACTCCAATCCATTAATTCATCCAACGCGATCATTGTCTTCCATTCCGTCACTTCTACCCTCCTACAATCAGCCTTCAGGGCCCGGGTACTATGTCCCTCCAAACATGGGCCAGAATAGTTTTGGGGCCCTGGTGCCCACTGTATAGTTGTTTCTCATTCACGTTTACCATTTTGTGACGTGAACCTTTTACAGGATGGCGGCGAGGACGACTCGGAAGATGCTCTCCGTAAGAAACGGGTAAATTCTGCCTCGTCATGTCGACGACCATTCATTACTGATTGTTTCTCAATTCAGCTGAAGAAGAGCCATACCTCGGAGCAGTATGTGTGTATCACATGCGGACGAACTGATTCTCCCGAATGGCGAAAGGTCGGTGGGCAAGCCTTGGCTTGGTATGACTGATATTCTGATCATCATCGGTTGTGTTTCAAGGGCCCTCAAGGTCCCAAAACTCTCTGCAATGCTTGTGGACTTCGCTGGGCAAAGCAGATTCGCAGAACCGACGAATCAAATAACGACGCCGCTGCCAGTGCTGCACCTGAGAGGTCCTGACTATACCCAACTTGCCTATCTACCATACAGTAGTTGGATATGTTACCTGTACCATAGCGCATTTCTTGACGAGTTCAAGTTGGGCTTTACATTACCAGGAGGTCGGACTGGGCTTGGCGCCCATCCACATCTCATCAATTGACGACCACCATCTCGCCATCTACGATAGTCGACTGCTAGTCCTATCGCGAATCATAAACTCACTCAAATTCAATAGTCAAAGAGAATATGCCGCCTTCGGTGTTTGATCTATCGCAGGTACCCATCACCGCGCACTCGTTCAACGCAACTCGAGATCGTCAGTGCTGGCGTACATGACCGTGTTACAGCTAGATAACGTAGATTCTAGAACTCGCCGTCAGCTTGAACTCCAACGACGCTGTGGTCTACGCGCGTACAGGCAACGAATGGACGGCGACCGAGACGCTTGCTGAGGTACATCCATCTCTTCACAGGCTGCCTACCTGTACTTGATGCCGATTACAGCACGACAAAATTATCACCTCCATTGATTGGGCCCCGAATTCGAATCGCATCGTAACTGCATCCCAAGATCGCAATGCGTACGTCTGGCAGCAAGCTCCCGATGCATTGACGGGGGCGTTGGTGTGGAAGCCTACGCTTGTTGTGCTGCGGATCAATCGTGCTGCGACCCATGTGAGATGGAGCCCTAAGGAGGACAAGTTCGCTGTAGCCAGTGGCGCGCGGTACGTCTACTACCTACTCTACTAGGAATCGGGTCTAAATCCACCGATGCTGTATATAGCGCCATCGCGATTTGCTCTTTCGACACCGAGAACAACTGGTGGGTTTCGAAGCATCTGAAGAAGCCGATCAGGTCGACTGTGCTTTCCGTGGACTGGCACCCCAACAATGTCTTGCTCGCTGCTGGGAGTGCTGATATGAAGGCAAGGGTCTTCTCCGCGTATATCAAGGAAGTCGACGAAAGGTTGGTGTCATGTCTCTTACACTATGAATGCAGTTTCACCATTGTTCTCATCTCCAGGCCTGCTCCGACTGTTTGGGGTTCCAAACTGCCATTCAATACAGTCTGCGGCGAGTACACCAGCCCGAACGGTGGCTGGGTTCACGCGGTGGGGTTTTCCCCTTCTGGAGACGTCCTCGCATTTGCCAGTCAGTGGATTTGCTTCCTTTCATGTGCATACGCGAAGGCTGACGCCATTGTTCTCCCTCAATCATGCTTGAATTCGCGTACCTCTCTGCGTTTCAGATCACGATAGTTCCATCAGCGTCGTCTACCCCGGGGGACCTATCATCCATCACATCAGGATATCCACGCTGCCACTCGTTACTCTCACATGGACCGCAGAGGATACCATCATTGCTGCTGGACACGACTGTCAGCCACTAGCATTCTCTGGCAATGAAGGCGGCTGGCAGCTTATCGGCACCCTTGATGATTCGAAGTCCTCTTCCGCTGCTAAATCTGGATTCAACAGCCCCGTTGGGCGGTTGAACAGTTCTGCTTTCAATACGTTCCGTGATGCGGATACTCGTGGGCAGATGAGCCCCGGTGGTACGGGTGGATCGCAAGATACGAAGGTGTTGACGGTTCATCAGAACACGATCACGAGTGTTAGGGCATACGAGTGGCAAGGCGATAGAGTCGCGAAGGTCAGCACGACGGGTGTCGATGGAAATTTGGTGATCTGGGACTCGGACGAAGTTTCTGCGTTGACCACTAGTGCAGGAAATGGACTCGCAGGACGTCTTGGAGGCATGCACATCCGATGAAGCGTTTCTTTACAATAATACACGAACTGTAGTAGCTAGTACCTGACTGTCATGTCTCCCGAGTCCTCTTGTGATGATTCTGGTGCTGGCTGTTCGTTTATGACACCCCATACAGATGCTTTGAACTGTCGCGTCGCGTTCGTTAGCCAAATGGCCCTGCGTCTAGTGAGACACTTACTAGAGTCAGGACAAGTCCCATCTTCTTTTCCAGGTCCCTCAACTGAGGTAGCATCCTCTGATCAGGCTGCTCGGCCAAAGCACGCGTCTTCTGGGTAGCCTGATCACAAAACGCCACAGTATCAGACTCCAGATCTGCTGCTCCTGCACACACCCTTGCCAGCAGTGAACTGATATGCACGCACCAGCTTCACATGATGGGCCAGTTTCGCATATTCCCAAAGTACTTCCGCTTCCAGAGGCGACAAGCTTGGATGTGACTCGTATGGATTCGTGGTCAGAATGTCGCTCGTGGAGGCCATGAAGAAGTGATCGTGAGTAGTTCAATCGAGTCCCTGCCTTCAACTTGGTTCCTGAAGCAGATGCGCCACTACGGCTTAGGTCCATCCTTGAAGTTCTTAAATTTCAAATCGTCGACTGCAAGGACCCTCTAGGTCGCGTCTACACCTTTGCTGGATCGCGCTGTGGCGTCAGCACCATTTTCAATAACAAATGACAGGGTAATCTGGTATGTTCGAATTCAGTATTTTCCATTCGATACACAACAGACGACGCCCGACCGCACGCCTACCTCGAGGTGAGCTCATAAGTGTTCGAAAGGTCTTTTGTGTGGACCTACACTCTTTTCCCCGGTTCCGAAAAATTCCAAACGCCACTCGTATTATAGGTGAGACAAATGGACAGACTGTATCCTCAACATGAGGCGGCCTAGTGGCGTACTGACGTGTATGGTTGTTATTCTATTCTACAGGAATCTGCACCAAAGGATCTTGGGTGTAGGCCCCTTTGATTACCCCACAAGCATCGCCAGGCTTTATGCGCGTCTGACACTGCGGAGCCGCTGCATGCGGTCGGCTGCACCATGGCTGGATCTCAAACATGTATCAAGGGCCTTGTAGAAGAAAGGCTTCGACAGTGTGCTCATTTCCGATATAACCGTTCTTTGAAGAGCATTTCAAACATCCTCGATTGCGATCGGCGCAATATGGTGAAAGCGTGATGGCGGGCCCTGAAATGCCACAAGACAATAAGAACAATAAAGTCTCCTAACCAACAAGATTCCCTTGAAACCAAGACTACCCAATTGTGTGAGTATGCGGGAATGTTTCTGCCAAAAAGTCGACTGATCGTTGCCTTATCAAGTACTTCCTGCGCAGAAAATATTATCTGCCAGAGGCCGACTATTTCAACAGCCCGCCTCGTGTTTACAGGAAACCGTATAAGGGCCTTTGACCCGCACTCTCTCATTGTTGCCTTGCCTCTCTTGCCTAACATATTCGCCGCCCATTCTCTGGGTTTAGTATACTATTCTGAGCGTCCCTCCCGCGCTCCTCTATTGCCATCCAACAATGCTTTCAAACAATAGCCCCCCTCAATACTCAGACTTTAAAAGCCTGGAGGTCGATCCTTCATCCCCCAAGCGCAGCCGCGGGCCTGGCGAATTTGTATCATCCTTTCCACCACCACCAGAGATGGTTTCAGCTCCAGTCTGCGAACCTTCTCCCTCTTCTATAGCTGGCTTTCAACCACGGCCATTTCCCCCTCCTTCATTAACCGGCGTGCCAGTTGAATACATATACGAGCAACTTCGTAATCTTGCTCCGGCCTACTGGGATACTCCAGATACGGCGGACTGTACCATTAGTAAGTATTTGTGCGATCAATTGCCGTATGAATAGGCGTTGACAACTCTATCAGTTGTCCCTATTCCTGACTTGCGTTCAAAACCTGTTACTCGCTTCCCCCTCGACTCTTCAATGCACATTAATGGGCACGGGCTCGGTCGACGAGTCTCGGAACCCATTCTCCACTCCGTTCCCCGAATCACAATAAAGGTGGGATGACTTCTAGATGGTTCAAAGGCGCTTGACTTATAGCCCCTATTTTAGCTCCATATTGACTATCTCTCTGCCCATTCGGCCCTCTTACGGGGTCTCTTCAGCGGCGCCTCTCCTCTCGACCTCATCAATACTTCGTTCGATCCCACAGGCACTAATACACCAGCCGATCGCAGCCCTCGCCTCCTCCCATGCTCACCGTCTCATCCCATCCTCTTCCTGCCGCTCCCCGACCCGTCATCGTTTCATCTTCTTGCCCATTGGATGTATTTCGGCTCTACAGAATACATAGCCGAGGCCTTGAGTGAAGGCACCGTTCAATGGGAGGGCATCGCCCGCAATGTCGAGTATCTCGGCCTTTCTACCGACATTAAAATATTCTTGGGGAAGTGGTATGGAAATTGGCTTCATACCGGACGCTCTCGCTTCGACTACGAAGAAGCATATGCAGCCGACGATGACTCCGATACCGCTTACGATAGCGACGAGGAGGACTTCGATGGTGATTGTTCCACCTCTTCGGACATGGAATTTGACGAACCAGAAGAAAAAGTCCCCGAACGAGGGAGGACGCGAGAGCTCCGACGTCTATCATCTATCACATCCCAAATCGACAGTCTCTGAACGTTATTCCTCTTCACCCTCTGTATCACTCCTCGGATTCACCTTTCGATTTCTCACCCCAAATACCTTCTGCGAACTTTGGTATCGGACTTTGCCTGACACAATATCATTATTTCGTTGAGGTTTATCTTTGCTCTTTCTCCTTTACTTCGCCCAAAGTCCTTCCAGGCTGCCTTCACACTCCTTTAGACCTTCGCTCCCTTTTGTCCGCATTTGTTCCCCGTTACTGGGATGGTTCTGTATTTTAATTGTGAAGATCGGTTAAGTCAATTGTAACAAATAATTGTAGCGTACGGTATACAAAATCAACAACAATATCTCGCCTTGCAACGAGGCTTTAACTATTGTTTGGAGTTTTAACATCAGATCTTGCGAGTTCCTGATATGGTATCATAGAAAGGGCTAAGAACAAAACGCAAAACAAAAGAGTTGATCGGTGTATGAGAACGATGCTGGGTTCATCTTCGTTTCGGACCATTTCTCCAGAATGTGAACACGTACGAAGAGACAGGGTGGAACCAGCGAAATTTGTTTCATTGCGAGACAAAAGTAGGTCGAACACAATTGAAGCGAGAGGGAACAGTGAATGATCGCTCTTCTAGAATGCTTCAATGGAACTAGCCTCCAGGATGAATGAAGTCCCTTTCACAACAGGACACGCCCCGCAGGCATTCACTCATGGTGGTTCCAGCTCGAATGAAAGCCGCAATGCTTCCTTCGAATGGAAGAGACGCAGGATGTCGTTCAGCAACGGCAGCGCGCCGTTGATAGATGCAGGATCTGCTAACAATTGGAATCACTCCAGCAACTTGGGGTCGGGGAATCGGTTGTCGTTGGTGTACTCATAGGGCGGTCGAACCACCGCGAGTCCGGGAATTTCGTGCTGTCGGGGCATGGGTTCGGTGTGCCACTTCTGTAGGTTAAACTCAGAGGGGATATATGGAGCCTGTAGACCGATAACAATTAACGGCTGAAGCGATGGCGAGAAAGTCTCCCCATACCAGATACTGTCGATCTTTCATCTTGCCCCAATTAACAGTCTTGAACCAGGGATGCTTACCGACTTCTGAAGCACCGTTGTATCCCAGGCGTTTACTTGCATCTCGGGTCAGAAGTGCGGATATAAGCGACTTGAGAGTCTTTCCAACTCGGATTTTGGAAGGATAGTGGTAGTCATCTGCCAGGATCTTTTTGTGCACCTGTGGGTTGGTCTCTCCACGGAATGCCTGATTCGGTTACTGAGTACGAGTTAACCGTATTGATCAGGGAACACTACTGACCACCGTCCGAGTGACCATCTCGAATAGAATACATCCCGCTGCCCACCAATCTATGGCTTTGCTGAAGCCCACCGTTTGTCCCTCAGGACTCAACAACTCTGGTGCTTGGTAACACGGTGTCCCAATCATTACCCACTCCTTTTCGGAGTGTTCAACAGTTGCGGACCCAAAATCAACGAGGGTGAGATAACCGCTCTCGCCCAAAAGTATATTATCGGGCTTGAGATCCCGATGAGCAATGCCATGCGCTTCCAGGAAGCTTAGTGCACAGATGATGTTGCTGAGGTAGAATAGACTGTGTGTCACTGGGAGTGGACCCCTAGCTGAGATCAAGGACCGAAGAGTACCACACGGGGCAAGTTCGGTGAGCATGTAGAGATTTCGCTCATCGTAGAAAGTCTGGATAATTGTGCTGACGAACGGTGACCATGGGAGGGTCATGAGTACCCGCCGTTCATAATTCTTGGCCTGGGGGTCTTCCTAAATTGTTCACATGGGTAAGTAAATATCCGATGAATTAGCTGGGGTTGCAGGGACTAACGGCCTCATCCATTCGAATGTACTTCTTCCTTAGGACCTTCATGGCGTACATTGATCCGGGTTTATCCATTGGGTGAATATTTCGGCGTGTGCGCACGAGGAGGACTCTGCCATAAACACCTTTCCCTGCAAGTAGCGAGATAAGAATATGCTTGGAAGCTTCCAGGTGGACTGACCTAATGAACGGACACACTCTAGGTCCTTCAGCTTGAGGGGTGGTGCACGAGGGTCGACCGGCCGTTTGATACTTGGATCGGGTCGGCGGTGCATCTGCACAAGTAGACAATTTAGCAACGCGATCTTGCCAGGCTCGAAAGGTATGTACCTCTGGTTCGGGTTCAGTGTATAGATGACTGTATTGCCATCCATGGATAATGCCGTCTACCATCATGATCATTTCGTCACGCTTCCTCGGTGCATGAGCTTTCCGTGCGTGTGAGCCAGTAGCCTCATCGGAAGGCGTCAATGTAGGTCGCGTCGGCGTTCGCGAACGCGTCGAGCGGGTGTTACGCGTGGGAGGCATCTATTGGTTAAGAGAGATGGTGGTGGTCGGAAGGAAAGAGGTTGAGGCCATTGTGGCACACAACCTACAAACAATATAGTTTCAGCCCGAGCTTTGACTGAGTGGCCACTGCTCTGTTCACCGGTGCATTGTTGACGATCGTCCGTTTCAGGACAATGCGCGTTCACGTGCATAAGTCAGGGGTACTCAGGGGAAGAAGTCTCCTGCCACCACCAAAGTCGGGTTCAATCTCAACTACCTCGCCTCATTGGTGTACGAGAAAGAACTGAATCACTCCCTTGGCTCAAGCGAACTGTAGAGTATGCTTTGGAGAGCGGGCCCATACCGTATATTCTTAGCGCTTGAGCTGACAGCCTTGGCATCAATAAGTTGAGGATCGCTTTGTGTTCTTAACCACAACACTCTATCTTACATCGCCAGGCCGTTCGGGTTACAGAGTAGCGCCCATCAAGATGAGCGAAGCAAACAAGTTGGTGAGGTAGACCTCCACCGCGAAAGGTCACTGGCGCCCTATAGAACTTAGTTCCAAACCACATCGGATCCTCTGCGATGGCAGCTCATCAGGTTGCGTCTGTCGCAGATACACTCCCATTGGAATGGAAATACGTCTCCGAAGGCGGCGCGACGGCCGTATTCTCGTATGTCGGCCCTTCAGACCCTCAATTCGACGGCATGGTGCTCCGATTGCGAAAATGCCCACTTGGCCAACCTTTTCGCAGTGCAGAGGAAATGACGCAGGAAGAACCGGACGATGCAACTGTCGAATTCCAACAGCGATGCATGGAGCGTCTAGTGCCGCCGATCCATCTTCCTCGCATGGTTTCGGTGAAACTGAACGAGCCATGGTTGAGGGCCTTCTCAGAAGCACATAATATTGATCGGCGAGCGGAACGGAGGAGAGTAGATGAAATCGATTGGAGTAGAACCAAAGGTGTCCTGGCTACTGATCTCATTGGTACAGACGGCTTGGCCGTAGAAATCAAGGTATGCTTGGAACCAAGGTCATGAACCACCACTCATCGGGTCGTTAGCCTAAATGGGGTTTCCTTCCTTCTCCCAAGCACTTGACGACGACGACGTCCTCAGTGAAGGCGCGCACATGCAGATTCTGCATGCATGTCCACTTGAAGGTATTGCAAGGTGACACCGACGTATCTGTGGGGTACTGCCCTCTCGATCTCTTCTCCGGCAATCCTGAGCGGATCAAACTAGCTTTGGAGTCTCTTTGGTCCTCTTGGTTGGCCACTGATGGCACAGTCAACAACTGGAAAATGTTTGTCGCCGGGATGATAGTCAGACCCCAGGTACGACGGTTACATTCTCTCCGTCCATATCGCTCAGCCAATATAGACGATACACGACTTGAAAGTCACACTCTTAGGTCATGGATCGGACGAAGACGACCCCAACGTTCTCCGCGACAAATGCGTGGAACTCCTCATGCCCCTATTGACCGACACGCCCGTATTGAAGGTCCTTGCTAAGCTACAACGCACGCTAGATATTCTGGACATCGAAGGTCTTTCGTCTTTATGGCATCGCACTCTCGTCTCGTATGCCGACCCCGCGGCCGGTCCCGATACACCTCTGTCTCCGGTAGGACAGACTTCTTCCTTGTTCGAATCACCCGATCCAACAATCGACGACTGGTCTAAATTCATCGACCAGTACTTGATGCAAATTGGTACTACGACAGAAGAGGAGAAGATGAACCACGCTCAACCTTTAACATCGAACTTGCGGTATTACTTGATGGCCTACTTGCTCTCAGCGACCTTTAAGGACTGTTCTATCATCGTCAAGCCTACCATGCCCGGGATGCATGGGAAGGATAGCATTACCATCATCGACCTTGACCCCAAAGGGATGGATAGATTGAGAAAATGGGAGAGACTGGATGCACAGATCGCGCTTGCTTATGGTCGTATAGACGAAGCAAGCAGGAAGATATGTGTCGATGCTGGCGTGGACGCTTGGTAGCGGGCTCAAGAGCAGAGGTTATTGATTGGCAGTGCACCGATGGCTTTCATGACTGACTGGTTTATGATGATTGTTGTATCCACGAATGCATATTAGCATTGATATTGTTCCCGTATTACCTATGGATTGGATTCGGCGCTCAGCGCTGAGCTTGCGCTAGTACTTTCAGTTGGCTGCTCACCGTCGGTAGCGACCAGAGGTACTACCATCCGGGGTAACTGAGTCCGGCGACTTCGTTGACATGTTGTTCCGGCCACCATCTGCACGGAAGCTATGATCCGCGCCGCACCTCTTGTCTCTGCTCACCACGACATACGATGGCGACAATACTTTGCGCACGAAACATATCCAGGCTCTCGAGCTCTAGCCTCCGCAGTGCAGCGAACAGAAGTCTTGCTCCGATAGGTCAACGGTGTCAACGTCGTAACGCGTCGTCTTACAACGCAAACATCGCCGGGCTCACTGAAGATCAAGCCGAGGTATGATAATGTGCTCATAAGTAAGTACGTGACCGCTCAAAGCTCATGATATGTCCAGTTTCGCAATGCTGTTGCAGAGTTTGCCCAGCGCGAAGTTGCCCCGAGAGCAGCAGAGATAGACAAGAGCAACAACTTCCCTGCGGTAGGCAACACTTTGTCAATTACCATACAAACTCTCATATTATTATGGGCACAGGATCTATGGGAGAAGTTTGGTTCTATGGGTTTGCTGGGAATCACTGTCTCTTCAGAGTACGGTGGATTGGATCAAGGATACTTCAACCACACTCTAGCAATGGAGGAGCTGTCCCGGGCCTCCGGATCCGTGGCCCTCTCATACGGGGCCCACTCGAATCTTTGTGTCAACCAAATTCACAGGCATGGCACGGATGCACAAAAGGCCAAATACCTCCCCGACCTGGTCAGCGGGAAGAAAGTCGGCAGTCTGGCCATGAGTGAACCCGGGAGCGGAAGCGACGTGGTCAGCATGAAGTTGCGTGCGGACAAGATTGACGGGGGTTGGAGATTAAATGGGAACAAATTCTGGTGCGGGGTGTAATCCATGTCTTATATGTGCCGCCTAACTTGGGGTTCTAGGATAACGAATGGGCCAACTGCGTCGACCCTTGTTGTATACGCCAAAACAGCCCCCGAGAAAGGTTCGAAAGGGATAACGGCGTTCATCATTGAGCGAGGTTTCCCTGGCTTCTCTACTCACCAAAAACTCGATAAGTTTGGCATGAGGGGTAGCGACACCTGCGAGCTAGTGTTCGAGAACTGCGAGGTCCCCGACGGTTCGTTGCGACTCCCTGGCCAGAAGCAGTGGACTAATCCCGTCGTCTTATACTTCTAGAGAACGTATTGGGTCCTCTGAACAAGGGGGCGGGCGTCCTTATGTCTGGATTGGATTTGGAACGACTCGTGTTGAGCGGAGGGCCTCTTGGGTAGGTGCAATCCTCATCTCTTCGAATCGTACATTGTTAAATCGTCGTTTAGTCTGATGCAAGCCGCTTTCGACTACGCGATTGAATATGTCCACGACAGAAAGCAATTTGGCCAACAAATTGGCACATTCCAATTGATGCAAGGTGGATATTTAAATCCTGCACGTATTGATGGTGGCTGACCTACCTGACAGCCAAGATTGCCGACATGTACACTAAACTCAGTGCAAGTCGCGCATATGTATATGCGGTAGCCAGAGCTTGTGATCAGGGCCACATTAGCAGACGAGTAAGTTAGTCCAGTTCCGTATACACGCCCATCCTCAGCTTGGAGTAGGACTGTGCTGGCGCCATATTGTATTCCACTGAAAAGGCCGTCGAGGTCGCGTTGGAAGCGATGCAGTGCCTTGGCGGGAATGGGTACATCAACGGTAATGTCTAATACTCCGTCACCGAAGACTTCCGGCTGAATGGAAGAATCTCTGGGTTAGAATATCCCACTGGCCGCTTCTTGCGAGACGCACGCCTCTATACGGTGGGCGCGGGTACGCAAGAAATCAGGCGTATGCTCATTGGGCGGGAATTCAATCAAGAATTCGGGACACGATAGTCATTTGCCAGGGAGGCGTGGTCTGGAATTAATTCATAATTGGGACGGAATGTGTCAAGAAACCTTTTCGGGATTTTTATGACATTCAACCCTGTACATACGATCTTAGAAGTAGCCGGGTCAATCAACAAAGAGGTTCGTAGGCACAGCAAGTCAGCCACGGCCTGTAAATTCAGTCGTCGCTGGGAGGTGCCTCCTATTTCACTCTTTGTCTCCAACCACCATGGCGACAACTGACTTCATACAAAAAACACTGGCGCCCCCTTCCGACTCCGGACCGCTCAGTGATGAGAACAACAGCGCAAAGCTCGGTAATTCACTCAGCAATTTGAGCGACTTGGCTGGACAGGCGGCTGGAAATGAACGCTCCCCACCCACATCGACCGACTCGCCGAGACTGGCACAGACGGCGGACTTGGCGGCATATCCTATGGATCTAAGCTTTGAGATTATTCCAAACGCAACCGGAGAGGCCTTCGCTCGTCAACTAGCTACACAGATCGTTCAAGTCCAACACGAATATGACCTCCGGGCCAGTGCAGGACTGTCTACTCCCAGAATGGCTGGCGACTTTATGAACCTGGTTTTCCCCGCAAGCCCTCAGACTGGAACCATTGCCCCACCACAGTCTCCTCAAGTCAATGGCACGTTGCCTCGATATTACCACCAACTTCAAGGGGTGCCGTACGAAGAAATGTACACCATCAAAGATAGGCAACGCGTTTCGCAGGCTTGTGACCTTTGTCGGCGTCGTAAAGCCAAGGTACGCTCGAGTTCCTGACTTAGCCATCTTTTTTTACCTTTGATTTACGCAGTGTTCTGGAGGACGCCCTTGTAAGAGGTGCACTGAGCGAGATCTCTCCTGTGAATATGCCGACGCACGATCTCGTAGACGGGGCAAAACAAGAAAACGTGTCGACGACAAAGACCTATCAGAAACGTCATTGGAAGACCTCGCGTCCTCTGCGCTCCCTGTACAAGACCCTTCGGACAATGCATTTACCGAAGCTACTAGTCAAGGATCGGTGGTTCGTACTAAACCTCGCAAGAAGAAGCCGGCACCCATTCTGCCGTACACGTACAAACCCATATACCCCCATATCCTATCTCCTGTTACTTCAGGCCTTCACGTGGTAGATAGCAGCACCCAGGACCGTGGACAAGACTATGCAGATTACTGGCCGTTCGCGCAATATCCAAGAACAGCTTCTGATGCTGCTTTTGATTACTCTGGGCCTTCCACAGGCATCTCACCTTCCCAGGCTTCCTTCGGTGCCTTGGCTCCATCAACCATGTCGGCATTGTTCGACCATGTTCCGTCTGCAGTAACGTCCGATATGAACTACAACTTTGCGTCTGCTCAGCCTAATGGGTATCACAACTCGTCTGGCGAACTTCAAGGCAGCGTTCTGGCGGGTTCCTCTGCCCCTATTGACCCCCAGAGCCCTTGTTCCAACACCCAGGACGTATTTTATACGATTGCTGCTCCTCGTCCTTCTCTACCCTTTCCAGCTCTAGGACTCAGGATCGATTCCCCGAGCATTTTCTGTCCGTCCCCTGATCTTGCGCATTCGGCTACAACTACTGAATCATCATCAAGTACGGGGTCACCTTTCAGCGTTTTGGGGATGCTCCCTCCTGATGTTGCGGAAGTTTCACTGGGTGAGGGAGTTCATGTCGGGGATAGGTACCTAGTTCAAGGAATCGACTCTGCTACCGACGAGTCCTTTATTAAGTTGCTATCGAACTCCCCACTTTTTCCTTGAGTTTGTCATGTAGCCGCTGTAGCGTTGGTTATTGAGGACTTGTCGACATTGAGCATTGTAGAGAATGGAGAATACAGAGCAATTGGATACAAAACGAATAGCGTATGTCAAAACAGAATGATATGAGTATGATAGCGATACATAATGGATAGATGCATAAATGAGCGAACGGGCCGGTGAGATGGCGGCGGCTAGTCTGAGAGATCATGGGGATAATAGGTAGTGAAACTACTTGCAAGCTTCTTCAGCGATCAAGTCTATGTGTTTCGTGATATCGGCATTGGCGAGGGCGGAAGGATACTCTCTTAAGGTCTCGAAAGCCAAGTCGAAGTTGAGGCCGATTCCGACATTCTGGAAGTGGAAGTGCGCTTCGGTAAGTTCCTTGGAAGCGTTGCCAGCTTCGCTGCGAGCGAACTCGAGCAAAGGCGGTACGCATCGGACGTAAACGCTAACTCTGTCCTTGATAGAGAGATCCTTCGTGAACGCGATGAAACTGGCGAAGAATTGCATGGGAGGGGTCCGCCCGGGATAGAAGACAGGTCCAAAGACAGGAGCCATAGGGAGAGTTGGAGCGGTAGGAGCTCCATCGAATGTATGGTGTCTATAATAACCACCTTGATCGTTGCGCGTTTGTTGTACGCGCGGCGCTGGATTTACAGCCCTCTTCTGGCGCTTGGTAGGTGGTGCCTCGAAAACTGGAGCGGGAGGAGGGATGACTGCATCATATATCCTCCCCACCTTCCAAGGATGCCTGTCCATGATGTGGGCATTAAATGCTTCCTGAGTCTTGAGTCTGGCAAGACGTTAGTTAAGAGCTAACAAGTGCTGGGTCGAAGAAGAACATACACGAGAGAGGGACAATTCTCGCATTTGAAGGGAACCTTCGAGTGCTGATTCTTGATGTGTACAGAAGTGTTCTTGACGACTTGTTTGCAGGTGCAGCACTTGTACGCATCCTAAACTATGTTCAGAGGCGTGTACAGATACAAATTCGGCGAGGACTTACATCCAAGCAGTAGAAGTCCATAGTAATCGTGGTTCCATCGACTCTGTCTATCTAATGAAGAGAAGATTGTTAACACTAGATCACCAGTGAAATGTCTACGACCTACCCCATCGCGTGCCACCACTGGGGGGTCATCCGTCGCTTTCCGCTTGTTGTCTCGGGGTGCAGACTCATCTTCGGGAGGAGGAAGGCTGTTTGCGGTGCTGGTGCGTCGAAGAAGGCGGGCCCCAGCTTGAGTTGGCTGTCCTTGGTGGTCACCATTGTTCGGTTGAGACGCGCTTGCAGGCGCACACCGAAAGCTTGAGAACATGGATGAAGATGAGTGAAATGTGGTTAAGTTGATTTAATGCCGAAGGACAGGAACAATTGGGAACTGTGCGGCGGGGGTGGGGATATTTAAACTGTCGTGAGAGGCCGTATGGTCAATGAGAGAATTGATGGCCGGCACCGTTAAAATTGTGTTTGTGGTTGTGGCGAAGGAGAGAGTAGCGCAAGTCAATTGCGCCTGTATAATGTAAGTATATACCAGATTGCCACTGGACAAAGACGGAAACATTAGCCTAAAAAGGACAGTGGCATCCTTATGTTAAGGGTCGGTGAATAGGGGCCTGTTTGCAGATACTTTCATGGGGGTTCTTCCATCTAGTGTTCGTACACATTTTGGCGCGTCGTGAGCGTCGGGGGAGGCAGACGTTCAACCAGGAGGTAAACTTTCACGCGCCCCGACTGTTGTGATTGATGGGGAGTTAATTGGCTAGCGGCTTGATACCAAACAAACGCCGATCACAGTGTACCCTGTTAAATCTGGGCTGAAACTTTCGGTCAATTGCAGCATGAGTCTTTCTTCCGTCCTAATAAAGGCAGCTGGCGCATCGAAATTGGATTCTGAACTGGATGCCTTGTTTCAGTCCAGCGTATGTGATTTTCACCCGGGTTGCAAGAAAATGGCTTACATTTCTCTCAGTCTGCTTCAATACCCAAAGTGGTGACCCCCGTGGCTAAGTCCCCTCGTTCACCCTTGCCGCCTGGCGAAGAATCTTCGAAGAAGCGAACCAAGTCAGAGGCCCACTCAAGCCAGCGAAAGAAGGCAAAGCTTCAGCATGCCGATCAGGTTGTAGGCACAGGCGTGCCCTCAACAGATCAAGAAAAGGGAAAGGGAAAGGCGAAGAAGGTCAAATTAGTATTGCCTGAGGAAGCTGAGGAAGTCGCTGAGGTTCCTGTGCGTGGTGAGCAGGATGTCTCAGATGCATCTTCAGATGAAGCGGACGTACCACCTATCCACGAATCACTGCGGAAAGGGAAGAAAAAGACTAGGACTGCGCGCCAAGTTATCCATGTACCGCCAGAAGAAACGCCCACGAAACGCAATATGCGTACGATATTCATTGGGAATCTCCCTCTTGCCGTTGCGCAGAAGAAGGTATCGTATATTTGGCACTGATCCCATTTATTTATTATCAGCCACTCATATGATGATTAGTTACACCGAAAAGAGCTTCAACGGCATATCCTATCATTCGCCCCTTCTGCCCATGTCGAGTCCATTCGTTTCCGCTCCATACCTTTCCAAACTCCCACCACAAAACTACTCGACGACGACTCAAAGCCCTCGAGTTCAACTCCAAAGAAAGCCCCATCTGACTTAAAGCAACCTCGAGACCATACCAAAGATCGGACAACTGCTTGGCGAGACAGACAAGATGACGAAGAACTGCAAAAAGACCAAAAGAAATTCATCACTCCGGAACAGAAGAAGAAAATCGCGTTCATCAACAATGATTTCCACTCGACTGCTGATACCATGAATGCTTATCTGGTCTTTGCTCATCCCATTCCTGAAAACAGTCGTTCATCTTCTCTACCTGCCCTTCCCCCTTGCATGGACCCATACGAAGCTGCCCTCCTCGCGGCAAAAGAGGCTGACGGGACGACATTCATGGAGAGAATAATTAGAGTCGACGTCGCTGAGAAGAGTAGCAGTCCATCGCTGCGTGAGACCATGGGGGATCCCAGGCTGTCCATCTTTGTCGGCAATCTGGACTTCGCCAGCACCGAGCAGGATCTACGGGTGTATTTTGAAGGTGTCGTAGCTACCGAGAGGGGACCTCCGCCTGAGAGTGACAAGGAAAGCACATGGGTCACACGCGTTCGGATTGTCCGAGATAAAGATACTCAACTAGGGAAGGGCTTTGCCTACGTGCAATTCATAGTGAGTGCAATGTCAGGCCTGTGCTCCCGAATCTTACGCCTTTCTTTTCAACTTCGCAGGATCGGGAATGCGTGGACGAATTGCTGTCGATGGAAGAGGGTAAACTCAGGTTTGCTAAAAGAAAACTCCGCGTGCAGCGTTGCAAAGTGCTGCCAAACAAGTCAAACCCCTCATCGTCATCGAACGAGAAAGGTGTCAAAGGCAATCGACCAAAACCAGAACCAATTGTAATCCCCAAGGGCGATCCTTCACTGGGAGACAGGATTGCGACACTGTCGAAGGATGAACGCAAGAAAGTCAAGGCGTCCAGCACCGACCGTGTCGCACGTCGTTTAGCCAAAAAGAAAGCCAGAAACGCCCTCAGTGTTGGAGGCGTCAAGGTCGTTACGAAGGACCGGTCTAGAGTCAGGAAACCCATGAAGAATGGAGCGACCGACGATAAAGACAAGAGACGGAAAGGCCGCATACGAAGCGATAATGCCTTGGCTAAACGAAATACCAAGAAATAGTGTCTTCTGTAGGCGCTGTTCGCGTCGAGGGACGTACATATTGCATAGTACTTGGTATTTATCATGAAGATGGATCAAAAACAGCGAAGGCGGCCTTAAATGCTGTTGCATCTGCGGTGTCCTCCTCTTGAGATAGAACACACTCCTTCCAGTCTAATCTTTCGGGCATGTTCAGCAGTGTAGTCAGCACTTGCCTATGGATAGTTATGATCAGGTAGGGAACACGCAGGAAGCAGGCTACGTACCTTCCGAATTGGATACTGAATGGCACATGGTCTTTCAGCAAGTGTACCATGGTACCACCATCAGGTAACTCGACTTTGAAGTAGCTTCCTCGTCCATTCTGGCACGACTCCATGGCGGCAACAGGGTCCTCTTCAAAATCGATCCCCTGCATCCGTCCTTGCTCTAGGAAAGTAGTCTTTACGTCTTCTTTCATCTTCTCGGGGATGGGGACCGCTTGTACGTGTGCATGTCCACCCTTCATGCTTAGGCGACCGACTTCAAAGAATACTGCGGCACTGCGGTGCTTCGCATAGAACGCGCGGAGTGCCGTTTTGTATCTTGTGTCGCAAAGTACGTTGAACTTATTTCAATCTATCGGAAGGCAGGAAACGTACCGTTCAGTCTCCTCTAGCACTGGAGGTGCCAAGTCAGGCGGAATTGTTGTGAATGTTGGGTAGTGAGCTATGGGAATGATCAGAACATGGCCTCCACCCGGAACGTCGACATGATCTGCGGATGACTGTGTGGGTATTATCTGACCCTTGGGCAACGTCACATAGCATTCCATGCCAATTGACACGATGAGATGTTTTCTGGTTATATCGGTTCAGTACGGCAAACATGCACGGAGTTCGTGTCACTCACGCTACACTCGGGTTCGATAAACAGAACCAGCATTCATCAGCTGTGTAGGGCGTGAGCATCGAAGATACACGGGCGTTCTTTGTGTGGTGGAGACTTACGTCCTATCTCTTTGGGGGGACCCCGTTTGCCGCGACGATCTCCTTGCGGGTGCCGTTGATTGGCCACAGGGCAGTCGTCGATATAGTGTCCCTCGCTACCGCATGCACGACAAACATATCCTTCTCTAGGTTTCCGCCCCCCCGTATCGCCAACAGCGTGCTTCGTCGGGCAGTCCCGCACTAGATGTCCAGGCTGTCGATGTTGTTATCCCTTGAGATGGCACGAGAATATGGGCGCGTACCTCGTTACATATTCTACATATATATCCTTCAGGGGGCTTCACGCGCTCCGGACAATCGTTGATGAAGTGCTGTGTACAGGCAGTTTGAATAACCTGGCGAGCAGACGACGTGAGTACACACCTCGGTAGACTCGCAACGTTTACATTTATAACCAGGAGGAGGCTTGCCGCTAGGATCTAACGATGATGAGAGCTGAGAGGAACTTCGAAGCAGAAAAGCGAGGAAAACCTCACCCCCCATTCGATTACGCTTATTGGGGTGTTGCACGCTGCCAAAGATGAAATTCTCGCCGTTGCCTTCTATTGGACGCTTAGTGCTTGACTGAAAGATGTACTCTGTGAAGGGATTTTTTGTGGAGTTTGGAGGCTTCACAGCGTTGGCAGTATCAGCGGAAGCGGGCGATATAGAGAACGCATAAAACCACTAATAGAAGGATCAATTCCTGAGAGGAGATACGATGTATCGCACACACTCTTGGCTTCTTACCCGTGGTGACCTCGCCGCCGAAGGCACCCAGGCTCACGAATCGGGAGACTCTGTCGCTATCTCTATCCCATGTGTAGGGTTCTCGTTCCCAGAACACTGGAGGTTGTCCTCCTTTTGCAGCAAAGTGGTACCTAGGTTTGATGTTGCGTATAACTTCGTCAAGGGGAGGAGCGCTGTGGGCTGGGAGGTCTGGCGAGGGTAGGGGAACGGAGGAAAAATGGGCAATGGAGGAAGGCCATGCGTTGGTCATCAGTATATCTACTAGCTGGGTCGGAGCAGATTGTGAGCGTATGGCTGCTAGGGAGGTGTAGTTTTGCGGCTTGGAACTTGCTGAGTTAGTCATGGTGTTTGCGAGCAACTTCTCAGTCGTTTGTTTGCTGAAGAATGGAGAGGCAAATCCCTAGAGCACCGTCAAAAGCCGAGAACCCAGATTTATACGACACATACAGGGGCTGCTTCTGCGGAGGCAAAGACACTCGTCTCGTAGACACCACCGAGACAAGCTATCCGGAGCCCATGGGGAGTAGTGAGTATTCCGGACTTGCCTGGGACATGGTATGTTAAACAATGGTCACGAATGAGACAAAATACTACTCACTGAGAAGGAAGACATTCTTGCACAGTTCACCCCCGGTCTGCGCGAACTTTTGTATGACATTGTCTGGCAATGGATATTCTCCTTGCATGATATAGCACTCCAGCGGAACTACATTACGCGAAACAATTGAGTATCGCGAGTTCAACAGGTCGCAACTTACATACCTTCGAGTTTCCCGTCAAGAAGCTGAGTTATCTGGTCATCTCCGCTGGTATTGTCGGTGGAAGGGGGGCCAAAGAAATCTCCAGCGCAGAGAACGAAGTCGAATGGCCCGTGCTTAGCATTGATACCTTTGACCTTGGAGAAGAGGTCGCGCAATGCCCCCACAGCTGAGCCGACCGTTAATCTAAGAGCAATAGGGTCTCAGCACGGTCAGAGGGACTTCAGAAGGGCTTCTCTTACATTTTAGCTGGCTTCGTTGTTGAAGTCGGGGCCATGATCGCGAGATGCGAGACCGAGGCAGGCGCTTATTCACAATTCTGACCTTCGCGTCGTGACTCTTCGCCACTCCAGAGCCTGAACCTACTCCTGATGTCTACCGACGGCCTTCCAACTCCAGATGACAGGGCTCGCTACGAGACTCTGCGTGCTGAACTCCTCAAGTCCCTTGAGAAGAAGCGAACGGTCGACAAGCAGCTTGTACGCAATTCTCTCCATTCGCCACTCGGAATTGAGGGACTAATGCCGAAGATTTACAGGCAAATATAGAGCTGCAAATCTACAATCTAGAGTCGCAGTACTTGACCGAAACTGCTGCCCACAGTGGTGGCAACATCATCCAAGGCTTCGAAGGCTACCTCAAGAACCAAACCGTTACTCGTCGCAAATACGAAGTCAGCGAACAAGATCGGATATTCTCGAATAGCAGCTCAACATTGCAGAAGGTGCGGACATAGCAGCATCTTGCCTTGCAATGCAACTGATCTGAGTCTTGCAGTCACTGGAACTCATGGCAGATGGCGACGAATCTCTAATGCCAGATGAATACGGGAAACAATCTACCCCCGGGCTGACTACTGTAGTGGTTCCCCCTGCTCCGCGGACACAGGAGCTCACTCCTGCCCAAAGCAAGAAACTACGCGACAAAGAGTACCAACGCAAAAAGAGGGCCAGCGTTAGCCGTCGCAGCACCGGAACCATAAGTGATGATGAGCAAATCAGTGCGAGGAGACCAACGAAGCGTGCACGGCTAGCCGACGACGATTGAGCCTCCTCGTCCTCATTCTACGTCGAGGGCGTTCAAAAATTCCTTGACACCTCTCTCATCCATCCCACCTCCATCCGGATCAACCGCTTCGATGCATCTCGTCGCCGCAATAGTGTGCTTCATCTCTTTGGTATTCACCCATATCCGCCCGTTCATGCCCACAGCTGCTTCAAGGGGGAATCGATGGCCTAACAGAGGGAGAAGGAAGTGCTTGGGATCCAATAATCTACGGGCATCGTCAGCGAGCAGTCATGGGTGGTGTTGAGGGGGCATACAATCGGCTCATCTTCAAACTACATCGCACCAGGAATCCTTCTTTTAGCTCTCCGAATCCTTCAGCTTTACGCGTCTGCGCGTCGAAGCACTCGAGTTCAGGCTCCATGTCTTTGTGAGCCAGCGACACTCTTGCATAGACTAGACAGCCGATCTACGCGTGTATTTAGTAGATAGTAGAGCCTTGTTTCGATGCTATTGGTCCATACCTTGAGGTTGGGTTTATTCCGTTTCGTTGCCCCTTCGAAAGCCAGGCCATCCAGCGAGGCTGTATGTGCAGACCCAATGTCCACACGAAAGCCTTCCCCGCTGCGGAGGATAATGACCCCGATGACGCTCTCTTGTTGTGCTGGTACGTACTGCTCTTCATCAGTAACCACTTGGCCTGAAGATGGATTGGACGCACACGCCGTGAATTATTTTCGATCCACCATTTGCTTTGATTCGTTGAATGGTGGAGTGTGCCAGCTTTGGTGGAAATTATACCAAGTCCCTCGTCTGCGATCCCTCTACGTTTATCCGGGCTCGATAGTTGAAGGAGACCCGGTCCCAGCTTGAGGTTTACATGGCGCGCCGGCACATGTTCGCCAGGCAGGATGATGGACATGGCGATAGCGTGAGACTGACTGACGAGCTCGCCAGATCTTTCAAATATTAGATATCGCCACTTTCGTCCTGACCACGATGAATACACAACTGCTGCAAGATTTTCCAGAGCTCAGTCACCTTCCGTATGGTTGCATCCAACATCTCAAAGCCCACCAATTCTGATATTGAATTCTTCAAGGCGAGAAGACCTGGAAGACATGCTCGCCGATCCCATGTACTTTCAGGCGGTGTTTTACTCTCTCCCGAGGGTCAAGGCCTTGTATCAAGCACAAAGGGAGTTAGGCATGGCGAATGAATCCCTTGCTAGTTCGTCGTTATAGCACGCGGTATGCGCGGTTTCGTAACGACGTGACTATAGACAAGAACCTCGCGCTTCAACAAGACCTCTACAAGCTGAGGTCGGACACCAAGAACGCCTTCGACGAAGCAAAGTCACTGGAGGCCAGATGGAAGGATCTGGAAAGAGAGCAACGAGAAATATACCAGGTGACTACCCAACAATCTATGCTCTGCCCTATTCTGACGAATAAATCAGCGATTAACTCCACAATTCCTCCTAATGAGACTGCGACACGCAACGACCGCTCAAGATGAATTATCCGAGACCTTGGCATCTGCATTTATTGCCTCGTCGCCTGGTCACGACGCTGCTGGTGTCTCGAACGCATCAGGGACGTCCAATGGCCGAGACGTCGAAGAATTCGTCAGAGATTTCAAAGAACTACGCAAGGTTTACCACAAGAGGATGATGTGGGCTGATCGCTGGACTTCCGGGCAGGTGGCTTGGAGAGACGATTGATGTTTGGTCACCCTGCGTGCTCCTTACGCGGCCTACCCCTAGATCTTGGTATGCTATATCCCGCAAGTTTGTTACTTATATCTGTATGTTTATTGATGATTGGTTTAATTGCAAAGATTCTTTAGATTCTCCGGCTCGCGTAAAGGGCTCATGAGTTTCGGCGAAACTCACCCAACTCCTTCGGAATGAACTCTTGAACGCACTTTGATGCTCCACGCAAAGCTTCCCCCGCCCCCGTATCCATATAAGATGTATGCTAATGGTGCGAACATAATGACCACCCATATTCCCCTCCTTTCACAGACTTTCGATGCTCGCGTTGACGCTGGGTGCAACCTCGGATAAAGTTGGGCCAAAACCTCGCGTTGTAAGGCTTTGCTCTCTATCGAAAGCTCCGTCTACCCTTACCATACTGAGGCATTTTTTCTGTGATCTACAGACCACCCGTGTTTTCTATTCCGACATTCCAGCGGCTCCGTGTTTGCAGGCACAATACCCTTCGATGCAGCTGACTGCCACTAGGCCAAGCACTGCCTAAATCTCATCGTCATGCTCATCGTCGCCTGCAACTCGTAGGCTATTGTACCTGGTAAGGGCGGTATTTGTGGTCTTGGCCCTCCGCTGAGCTGTTCGCCGTACGCAGATCGATTCGCTCATTCTCCATGCCCAGCGTTCGAGCACATATAAAGGAGGTGGTCGACACCAGTGAAATGAGCATCTCTTCATCTTCAACATGAAGTCCATTCTCTCAATCGCATCTTTGGGGTGTTTCCTTGGTAGTGCATATGCGCATACGATCTTCCAGGTATGGCGTTCTTTTCACCTACTGTAAAATTGACTTATATCGTGTAATTAGGAACTCTGGGTGAACGGTGTTGCTCAAGGACATAAAGTCGGCATCAGAGTACCAAGCTACGACGGGGTGTGTTTTCCAGCAGCGTATGTGATCCCTCATCTAACGACGCGCGCCAAATAGCCCATCGAGAACGTCACTACGAACGATCTCATCTGCAATGGCGGAATCAACCCTTACTTCCAGCCTATATCCCAGACTATCATCGATGTGCCAGCTGGTGCAGAGGTGACCGCTGAATTCCACCACACGATCCACGGGAAAAATCCAGGCGACTTGTCCGATCCAATTGATCCTACTCACAAAGGCCCTCTTTTGGCATACCTGTACGTATATGCTTGAGGCTAGCCTGAATACTCCTCACGTCAGAATAGCGCCAAGGTTCCATCCGCCCTCCAAACTGATGTTACTGGCCTCGACTGGTTCAAGATATACGAGGATGGTTACGGACCTGGGACACAATGGGCTGTAGACAGACTCATTGCCAACGAGGGCTTAGTCACATTCACGATCCCTGAATGCATCCCCGCCGGAGAGTATCTCCTTCGTGTTGAACTTATTGGTATGTTTGTGCCATAGATGGCTCTCGGAGCAAGGACTTATTCACTCATTCACCATCTTCTAGCCCTCCACTCGGCGTTTTCTTACCCTGGTCATTCCATTCTATTGTCTTACCCGTATCCTTGATGCTGATACCTTTTACTAACTACCAGGCGCCCAATTCTATGTAAGCTTACATCTTGTTTTCAGAAAGCTGCCGGTCGACTGACATCTCGAATAGATGTCGTGTGCTCAGATCCGAGTCACTGGAGGGGGCAACGCAGTGCCCGCTCCTATCACTCACTTCCCCGGAGCCTACAGCGGTATGTCTCGTGAGGGAGCCCAAACGACCAGAATGCTTATAGCGAATCTTTCATAGGCACTGACCCCGGCATCAAGTTGAGCATCTATTATCCTCCAGTCACAAACTACGTCATTCCAGGTATGTGGCAAACTTTGCTAGAGAAACCTCAACTTAGCTTGTTATTGTAGGACCTCCCGTCTTCTCTTGCAACGGGACCGCCCCTAGTACTAGTTCTGCCGTCGTTCCCTCGTCCCCAGTATCCTCCACGGTAGCACCTCAGCCTACTGGCCCCACGGTCGGACAATGGGGACAATGCGGTGGCATCGGGTGCGTTTGATATACTGATTATCTGCCTTTATACCAACGATCTGCAGGTACACTGGACCTACGACGTGCGTCGCTGGTACTACTTGCTTCGCTCAAAGCGACTACGTTCGTACCTCGCTTTTTTGTTTCGACGCAGGCTAACAGTCTTTCTCAGTATCATCAATGTATCTAAGTCATTGCCTTGACTACGCAAGTTGCTACCCCTTTCTACGTGTGCTGCGTCTAGCCAATATCATACCAATCGAATTTTGCTCTTCTCTCAGTCGTTCATTTTCGCTTCTTGAGAGGCCAAGAATAGCTTCGCTTACCACTCAAATTCAATTGAGTGGACGTCTATTCATCGCTAGACTGAGACAGTTGACGATGATAACCCACGAAAGAACTTCGTCCGCCGGGATAAGAGCGCGGATTCAAGTCAGTATCAAGTTGGACCCTAAGACTTAGGTGATGGTCGATGGTAATTGTTTGAATGATAAACGCCTAGTATGATGTCTGATCAGATTATCCAGCCAACGTTGTTCTTCTGTCAACCTTCATAGCTGGCAGGCTGGTCGCTGTTGAGTTGCCTGCTTGGTTTGCGTCAGACGAACTTGGCTGTAAATCATGGTTGAGTACCTAGACGTGAAGCCAAAATCCCGCGGCGGCTCCACAACTTACAAGTCGTTCGCTTCGGTCGCCCGCGGCCTCCAAACAAACGGTGCTCCACGCTCGGGATACCGTACTTGAGGAACTACCTCTGGCTAAAATATTCTATTTGCTTATTTGCTCGGAGAAGCCAAGCTTAAACCTCGCATTCTCCATCGTATGTTGCTTCTTTTCTTACTCATTCAAACTGTGCCTGACGTTGTTTACTTCGTCGAACCTACCCCGCTTGTGTCATATGATACACTGCCTATGTGCCACGCGTGGCTAATAATTTAGCCTCTTCGCGATATCGAACAATATCCCGACGTTGACGCGTGGGCTGCGGTGTGGTACTGCAAGGTTGAACTGGTCATGTCCTATCATGGGGAACCCACAGCACGCTCCTTAGTATTCTACGGCAAAAAGCTGCTGCCGCAACCCCCGCACGGGGACACGGTCAGTCTTATGATGCGAAGTACTTCCAGAATGCATCGAAGTGGGTTGTTTACTCGTATAAAAGTGATGTCGGAAAGCTTGGATTCCCCGCCACTAAACTCATCGCCCTTGCTTCACTATGAGAGCCGTCGTCGCCTCGTTGGGACTTTTCTTGTCCGCCGCTGCCGGACACACTATCTTCCAGGTATGCTTCAGTGTCTTTGTCATCGAGACTTCGAGCCTAACAATCGACCCAGGAACTGTATGTCAATGGCGTCTCGCAAGGTCATCTGAATGGGATCCGAGTTCCTGACTACGATGGGGTCAGCTTCTCCAATCCTCCTCAATTTCCCCGTGTATTCAACGTTTCTATCAGCCTATCACCGATGTCACTTCTAATGACGTTATTTGCAACGGTGGCATCAACCCATTCCACCAACCTATCTCGACCACCGTCATCCCGGTCGCTGCTGGCTCTCAAGTGACCGCTGAATGGCACCACACATTGGTACGCCATAAATTTCCCTGGTCAGACCAAATATTCACGTTTAATATGATTATTCAGTCCGGTGCTGCTCCTGGAGATGCTGCAGACCCGATCGACGCGTCACACAAGGGGCCAGTCATGGCATACTTGTAAGTAACCTATTCTATCAGTGATTGCTACTGAGAAATACTCACACTCGCAAAGGGCTAAGGTTCCCTCTGCTACACAGTCCAGTGTGACGGGACTGCAATGGTTCAAAGTTTGGGAGGATGGTCTTACCTCTGATGGCAAGTGGGGTGTCGACAGGTTGATTGCCAACAAGGGAAAGGTCACTTTCACCATCCCAAGTTGCATCGCTGCAGGTCAATATCTCCTGAGGGTCGAGATTATCGGTATGTATCCAAATACTTGCCACCGTGAAATGAAACCTAACCAAAGTTTATCAGCCCTTCACGCTGCGGGCTCATATCCAGGTGAGTACTTTGTTATCAGACAATATGCTGCCCTGCTGACCAACTACATACCAAGGTGCCCAACTCTACGTAAGCCCCTCTACACACAATTCGGATTATGTCTATTCGTGCTGAACTAGGTTACTAGATGGAATGTGCTCAACTGCAAATTACCGGAGGAGGAAACACTTCGCCCGCTACAGTCAGCTTCCCTGGCGCGTACAAGGGTTTGTTTACTGACACCTCCGTTTTCTTTCATCATCCTCACTACATTCTAATCAGGCAGCGACCCCGGAATCACGATCAACATCTACCAGACCTTGAGTGGCTATACGATCCCTGGTAGGCCATTTCCCAAGGCCTCCAACGTTCCACTTGGATAACGTACATACCTCTCTTCTGTAACCAGGCCCTCGTCCATTTAGCTGCAGCGGCTCGCCGCCTCCCACGCAGGCCCCTACTCAAGCTCCCCCTGCATCGACACCCGTCACCAATCCTCCACCGGCCTCTACGTCCGCTGCCAGTGGAACAGTAGCCCAATGGGGGCAGTGCGGTGGAATCGGGTGAGTACCCGACCCCTCAATTCAATTCGGATGATACAGAAACTCATTTTCCCCTTTAAACAGCTACACTGGACCTACGGCCTGTGTCTCCCCTTTCAAATGTACGAAGTCCAGCGACTACGTGAGTCTCCCGTACCCTCCCTTTCTTTGGTAAATAATCTAATATCTATTTCTTGTCCTGCAGTACAGCCAGTGTTTGTAAAACCTCAATACACAATCAGTTCGCGAAATCTCATTATCTACACACGTCGAGATGTATTCAATATTTTCCAGTCAATTCCCATTTTTCTCTGGTCTTTGAGAACGCAGATACGTAGGCGCGGATAAGCTGTATATGAGACGCACATCTCGGAGCCGTGGGGCTCATGCCTCTGCCCGATGAGATTTTGCCCCCTATGATCCCCTTATCTTCGCGTCTGGCCCCTGATGCTGCCACGAAGACTTGTACATCTCTCTATTCGCCGTCCCGCACCTATCGCGTTGATGATTTACATTTATAATGATCACCCCATGGGAGTGAATGCTTCATTTTTGGGTACAACCTGCTCTATGGCGCATCGTGTCTGCTATTCTTCGGAGCCAGGACTAACTCAAGGATCAATACCCAATTCTTCTGTCATTCCAGTAGGATTCTGCCTGCACTGGCTTCGCCACATGCCCTGCCCCGCTGGTACTCATACCTATGTCATTCATGTCATCTGACTGTAAGCATCTCCTTGCAGATAGCCCACCCGGCAGAACTCTGACTTTGCAGCGAACTCTGGACTTCTTAGAATCTCCCCGCCGGAACCTCGCGACCGCAGCTGGAGTCAGAGTTCCGAGATGCTGAATGCGCATACCTTGCTGTCTGATTTGAGTGCAGGTGCATGTGCTGTAGCACGAAGTCCTTTCGTGTCGTGTTCTCTTTGGCTGGTGAAATGCTTCCAACACCGACGTCAATATCGTCAGTTCTTAAACGCGGCGAAATCCTCCTGGTAGACGGGGGTTCGTGGGCTATAAAGGCCTTCAATAGGACATGTCTAAATCTGCGTATTCAACAGTCAACTAGTAGTCCTCACCTACTCGTCGTCTCCAAAAAATGCAGATCCCTCTTGTGTCTTTTGTCTCGCTTGCCCTTCTCACAGGCTCGGCCTCATCCAAGACCGTTTTCTCGGTGCGTCTTCAAAGGCGCTTTGTTCAGAGGCGCCATTCCTAATTTCTTCTTTCCCCATTGTGTGACACAGGGTCTTTCCGTCAACGGCGTCGATCAAGGCCACGCCGTCGGTGTGCGAGTACCATCGTCCAACAACGTAAGTCTTCCCCCACCCACCTCAAGCAACCCTAGTACCGAGTGGAATGATACTGACGCTTCGTTGTGCCTGCAGGCGATCACAGACGTCAACTCAAACGACATTATCTGCAATACCAACTTCATCCAGCCCGTCTCTGACACCGTAATCAAAGTACCCGCCGGCTCGCAAGTGACCGCTCAATTCCACCACACATCTGCCGGCTACACCGGTTTGGCGGATCCCTCTGAACCGCTGGACCCCACCAACAAGGGGCCTGTTACCGCCTACCTGTATGTTTCCTGTGCTTCAAGGATGATTGTTGAATTTCTGATGCAGTATTTTACTTCGTTCTGTGTAGGGCCGCTGTCCCCGATGCCACGCAGCCCACCGTCACGGGCCTCAAATGGTTCAAGGTCTGGCAGGATGGCTACAACTCTGAGACCCACCAGTGGGCCTCCGACCGCCTCTTCTTGAACAAGGGAAACGCCACGTTTACCATCCCGTCGTGTATTGCGAGCGGCCAGTACCTCCTCCGCGCTGAGGCCATCGGTCTCCAGAACGCATACACGTACCCCGGTGCTCAGGTAAGTGTCCATATTTTTTGTTGGGATATTTGATGTATGCTGATCGTGGCCTTTAATTATAGTTCTACGTAAGTGCTGCCACCAATAAAATGAAGGGCGTACTTGACTTATGCTTACGGCTGTAGATGAGTTGCGCCCAAATTGAAGTGACCGGTGGAGGAAGCGCTACGCCACAGACAGTCTCCTTCCCAGGAGCCTACGCTAGTACGTATCTAGGATCTTGCTCAGACGTATGATCCATTAACGCCCGTTTAGCCAACAGCGCAAGCATCATCACCAACATCTACGGCATCACGGACTACACCCCTCCAGGTTAGTACCACCACCAGCAATTGCCGCCACCTTCGATTGACGATGGATTTGTTTGTTTGACAGGCCCAGCAGTGTTTACTTGCTAGATATGGAGCGATGTGATTACAGATTAATACACATATGTATCCTATTATATTATATCTAGAGCAGAGTCTCGCCTAAAGACCTCGTTAGTGCCCGTAAACCGCGAAGATGAAAACACATCTACTCACCGAGAGCTGCTCTCACCAACGAGCACCCGACGTTGACAGTCTGCTGTACTGCAGCAGCATCCGCGAGCGATGGATTGACTTCCATCAGATCAAACGCCACCAAGCTCCCGGTTTCGTAAACCGCTTCGCAGATGTAATGCCCCTCTCTGAAAGTCAACCCGCCTCTGACCGGGGTGCCGGTAGACGGGGCGACGGTGGGGTCCATGGCGTCGACATCGAAGCTGAGATGGATGGGACGCTGTCCGTGCGCGCCTTGATAGTCCTTGTTCAGCCACTCCATAGCCAGCTCGACGACTTTCCCGATGCCATAGCGGTCAACTTCGTGCATCGAGAAGGCTTTAATACCATGTTTCTTGAGGATGGCCTTCTCACCGGCGTCAACATCGCGCAGGCCGATGTAGACCAGGCGTGAGGGAGTCAACAGGGGAGGAGAGGGGATCCAGGAGAACGGGTGCGTGGCATGCGATGAGGTAGGAGCTGCTTCGGGCACGGTGTCGCAGGCAGTGAGGCCGAGCAAGAAGGCCAGGGGCATGCCGTGGATGTTGCCAGTGTCAGTCGTCTCAACGGTGTTGATATCGGCATGTGCATCGACCCAGATGACACCTGCGTCGGGGTACGTGCTGTTCTCAACGGTAAGTCCTCGGTGAATTATTTAGAGGCAGATGAGGCATTACGTCAGTGTCCCAGAAATAGTGCCCATCGCGAGCGAGTGGTCTCCGCCGAGCGTGACGGGGAGCTCGCCCTTGGCGCAATGCGAGCCGACGGCCTGCGCGACGCTCTCGGTGACGCTGGAGACCAAACGGGGGTTCTTAAGTAGGCCGATGGGCGGGTCTCGGACAAGACCTGTGTCGGGGTCATTGGCATACTGTGCAGAGATCTCCTCAAACTGGTGGTGCCCGTCGAATTTGACCTCCCAGCCAAGCCCTTTGAGCTGGTCGACGAGGCCCGCCTCGACAAGGTGAATCGGACCTCTATCGACACCTGGTTTAGGCTAGATAAGGATGTCAGCCCTCTACATCGAACTTGAACTCGAGCAGCAACGCACCTGGCCTCCACTGCGAGCATCGCATTGCGGTCGATCAGCTATTGGTCAACGAAGAGTGATTTAGATGAAGAAAGCACCTGAAGGGGCAGCCGACGATCTGTGAAAGGGCGTCAGGGGTGGCCCGCGGGGCAGTCAGAAGGCGCACGTACGGCAGCGGTCTTTGGCTCTTTGATAAAACGAGAGACGGAGGCCATGGTGATGATAGTAGTAAGTCAAGAAGTTCAGCAAGCGAGTTTTGGCAATAAAAGTCGGGCAAGATCCGCGCAATACCAGTTCATTGGGCGGGTAACGTGACACCGCCGACTCAGGCGACTGCGTCAGCTGAAATCGCGTTCACGAGCAAAAAGTTATGGTTACGCAGCAGAGAAGAGAAGGAACACAGCACATATGGGGACCGGAGATACTCTGGTCTTGCCGCTGATAGGGGCTCGGAGCAATATCGTTCTTCCACGAGCAAGACGCGCTGCAAAGAAGACGGCTGAGCTGGAATGAGAAGAATTTGCGGTTGGAGACTGAGTGCTGGAATGCGACCTACACGATGGAAAAGGCTACGCGTATCTTTCTCTCTCGAACACGACCACGATTCTCTTTTGCCCGCCGTGATTCTGTCTGGACTCAATTTGCTGGTGGCCGTATCATGTTCAAGACGTCTGGGGGATCATTTGATTGGTGGGCGACTTGGAGACAAAGTGCTCGTCGCGACGGAAGCAATCCAGGGGCTAGGATGGCATCTTCTGTTTCATAACGTGTACGGAAGCAAAAAGACCTTGCTCGCTGCTGGCCACGACGAAGAGACGCGTTGTGGAGAGCCATGGCGAGTTCTCAGAGGCCTGGCGGTGAACACGACCTCTGGACCCACCAATTCTGGTCAGTAAATGGACTGGTCCAGTTTCGGGCCAACCTCTGTCATTGGTTGCCGGTGATATCTGATCCACAGGCGCTGTTTTCTGCCAGTCATGATCTTGAGGTGCATGAGGGAGGCTAAAAATACACGGCCTTATAATATCCTGCGCTGGACCGTCCATCTGCATCACTTCAACCACCGCTATCATCATGCACTCGCCCTTCGCCTCGCGGCCAAACTCGCGTCCTACCACCCCATTTCGCTTTAAAGACATCGTGAGTCTGAGCTTCCCCCCACTTTCACTTTACTGACCACCTCCTTCCACAATGCCCATCCACTTTCCCAAAAAATCACCTTCGCGCCCGAATCTCAATCATAACCATCACTCCTTCTCATATATCGTGGATCAGGTCCTCGATGTCATGAAGCACTTCACACACGAGCGCGAGTCGGAGGCGCACCAGATCTTTCGGCAGCAGGCGGGCCACAAACCTAAGGGCGTCTTTCCACAGACCACGAACCCAGACGAGGAGACTGTGCCGGGTATCGAGCATCCTGGCTCGACCGGTGTCATCTACTGCTCGGATCGCGCAATGGCGAATGGCTTCACATACGCTAACGCCCATGAATGGGCAAACCTTGGCCAGGGCGCGCCTGAGGTTGGTCCAATCCCTGGAGCTCCAACACGCCCGCTCGCCATCCCCATGCCTGTCGATTCATTAGAGTATGCTCCAACAACAGGCGTCAAAGGTTAGCGTTGATTCCGTGCCTGCGTACATGAGAACACTGATTGATCATCAACTTAGCTCTCAGAGAGGCCGTAGCACGCCTCTACAACGAGACCTACCGCAAGGGAAAGTCTAGTCAGTATACCTACGAAAATGTCTGCATCGTGCCTGGCGGCCGCTCCGGTCTATCTCGCGTCGCTGCCGTCGTGGGTGATGTCTACTGCGTAAGCGATGTATCCAAGGCTACGCGGCGTACTCTCGCTAACGCATGGTTGCAGTCTTATCAAGTCCCTGATTATACCGCCTACGACCAAGTTCTCAGCGCGTTCAAACGCCTTGTTCCTGTGCCCACTGTGTATGGTTATTTCGTGTTACATTGCTGTAATGCTCGCTCACGGTTTCTATTTAGCCTCGAATCCAAGTCGAAATACCGTCTAGATATAGAACAGACCAAAAAAGACATCAACACACTAGGTCTCTCCGTCCTCATCGCTTCCAACCCTCGTAATCCCACTGGTCAAGTGATCAAGGGCAATGATCTCAAGGAGCTCGTGAGCCTCAGCAGAGAAGGTAGCACACTCATCCTCGACGAGGTAAATATACTCTTTCTCCGTTGCTGTGCATCTCCATTGCTGTGTATGGGTTCTCATCGCTCCAACTAGTTCTATTCATGGTACATTTATCCCGACAACGAAAAAGATTTCGGCAAGTCGATTTCGTCTGCCGAATACATCGAAGACGTCAATAACGTGAGTGCACTCGGGTTGACCTTGAACCGATCGCTCCATGCTGACATTCCTGCCAGGACTCGGTGGTCATCATCGACGGTTTAACCAAGGTCAGCTATCATCTAGAATCTCGGCACTGCCAGGTGACCTGATCATGCGTAATGCAGAACTGGCGTCTCCCAGGCTGGCGTGTCTGCTGGGTGGTAGGGCCCAAGAATCTCGTCACTGCCCTCTCACAATCTGGCTCCTTCCTCGATGGCGGTGCCAACCACCCTCTTCAACTTGCTGCCCTCCCCCTCCTCGATCCCCAATACATCCGCCAAGAGAAAATTGCTCTCCAAAAGCACTTCAAAATGAAACGCGACCACGTCCTCGCCCGCCTCAAAGCCATGCATCTTGAAGTCGATATTCCCCCCACCACAACCTTCTACGTCTGGCTCAACCTTGAGAAACTCCCGCCCCCAATCAACAACGGGCTTACGTTCTTTGAGGAGCTATTGAAGGAGAAGACGATCGTTATTCCGGGTATCTTCTTCGATATCAACCCTGCGCACAGGAGGAATCTGTTCAACTCGCCGTGCCATCCGTATGTGCGCCTGAGCTTTGGGCCGCCGCTGGAGGATTTAGATCGCGGATTGGATGCGATACAGAGGGTGTTGAAGAAGGCTAAGAAGGAGGGTATGCAGGCGTTTGGGCAGGGGTATAAGAAGAGCTTGGATGAGTCGTATACCCCCAGTACTGCCAGCACGGAAGGCAAGGGTGACTTCCAGCTGCAAGTGCCCCCGCAGACGGCGCATGCTGCTGATCACGTATAGATTGCATAGATGTCTGGAGATTGAGGCTTCCTACTTTGTCGTGCCCTTATAATTAGTAGTACAATACATACACGATTCTTATTTTGCCTTCATTTTGGTGAGGTCGCGTAATCTCTATAGACGGGTCACGAGGCTAAGTGCAAGTAAGTTCGTCGATAAGTCTGTCCCTGAATCGGACGCGTCTTAGTCACGGTCTCGCTGTTGTCTCACTGTGACAAACTCTGAGATAGTTGCTGCATACGAGATCCCGATTCTGATACAACTGACTGGCATCGCTTTATGGCGCACAAGCTCGATGGCCACGCTACAAGTCCCTTGAAAGTGTATTTGTCGAAGGAATCTCTTGGCCCCAATACACATAGCCTACTGGAGGTCCCACCGAGCAACGACCTGCCATGCATATACCTATATGCGGTGCTTCCTACACAGGCGAGCGTTGTAACTGGCATGGGGTATTGGTATTGTATTGACTGTCTTAGAACCTCAACTTTGAATCCATAGCCTTGTTCCCTCGCCTCGTAAAGGGTATTTGGCAACCCGCCGCTTCTAATATTATTGCTTTTCGAGGCTGTCGATCTAACAGAAAGCAGTATCTAGTTTCAGTGGGTTTGCTGGAGTTGTATGAAACCTCCACCGCTGGCAACAGACCGAAGACATCGAAGACAGAGATTGATATAGGTGCCACGCAAGATCGACTTCTGGGGAATGGAGTAGGATCCTGGCCTTGAACAAACTCCTCTCACTTTAATTGAATCCTGCAGCCTCGATCCCATAGCTGGGAGAGGGCTCTTCGACATTCATGCGCCACGATATGCAGTGACCCCAGTGCAAGACTTGAGTCAAGGTTCGAAGCATACAAACGTCGCTGCCGCTTCGTATCAACGGTCGCATGGTTGTATAGCACGATCAAACAACTCGCACCCGTCGGCACAATCACCGAGAGGCTTCTTTGTGGCTCATCTTCTATCCTTCCTTGACGGGCGGCGAGGAGACGGAGGTTGCTTCCACAGTGTCCCGACGACTTGCAAGTGCCATGGTGTAGACTGGGTGGGTTCGTTGCCTTATTCGCACCATGGCCACGGCGTGTCCCGACCGGAAGATGGTCTCGTATTTCATCGAACGCTACACCGCACGGGTCGCTTCCGTTGCTAGCCTCTGAACGTCAGGCATGCGCCATAGTCGACCCCTCCTCTGTTTCTGGGGAGCACCCAGTCGCATTTCTCAAATTCTCGGAGGCCGCACAACATTATCCACCTGGGGCAACAGTGATCGACATTTCTTGGTGCTCTGTAAGCTGTCTTGTCATACAGGACATCATCACCCGAGCCAGGCTTGCGCCTGTCCAGATCATAATTTAGGCACAATAGCAGGGCGGTCCGTATTTCTGGCCATCGAATCCGCATATGTACCCCCTTTACCTTGACTTGGCCAGTATCCCCGACCTCGGCGACCGCTTGGCTATGTTGGCCTGGAATTTCGTATCTACCATCTGATGCCCCAAGCTAAGGCCACCAAGGAACAACGCTGGCATCGTGACTCTCAGCGAGTGCGCCATGGATTTATAATTTTAACCGTCGAAGTTCTCTTCGTGACACGGTGAATATGCTTCTGGGATCCTCCAGCACGCATTCGTAGGCTCTACTTAGTCAAATGCCATTATGCACATGGTGAGAAGTGAACGTATGAACGTGTGAACACCTGATATTTACGTCTCTCCGAGAAGAACAGAGTAGAAGAACAGAGTAGAGCATGCGACAATTTACGGCGCCAAAACTTTATAGCAACCTATTATAGGAGCCGTTCAAGAGCCGTTTCATCTTCCTGGGGTGACGACAAGAGATCCTCGATGCGTAAGTTAAACCTGGCTTCCAATAAATCTTGCTGATGCCCTTTTCCCATTAACCTTGGTGCCTGCCTTTGTTCAGCGATGTTTTCCCTTCTTCTCCTTTTACTTCCATCCGCCCACGTGGCGGAGGATGTCATCCGTGATCGATATCGATCGAGGTACGCACATGGAAGCATCTGAGATTCACCCCCGGGTGAGCGACACCGTTACAATGCCAGAGGCCGTATTTTCGTCTGGACATTGTGTGGGACCAGTTCTCAAGGGCGTGGGTCTGATGACAAGCTGTTCGACCCGTATGATTTAATTGATGTCTTGGGCTTTGGATTCTCACCTCCGCTGTACCTGGTTTTGCAGACGAATCAGGGGATTCCTCGGTGGATGTTCAGAGAACGGGATCAGATGAATTTATTGGATTCGCCACTGATTATTGCACCTTTCATCTCTCAATAGACGGTAGTCAGTCAACAAAATTGGACTGCGCCTACGGGTTGGAATACAAGAGATCCATCAAAGGTGCTTGATCCAAGTTGATTCAAAGACGCGAGGCAGGGACCATCAAGTAGGTCCTCGAGTGTCGCCCTCGGGGAAGGACAAGATAGAACAAGAACAGACGTGTGCCCTGGAAAAAGCAGCGGGAAAGGCGCGCCGTACCGTAGAGTTGCTGGAAAGGGAACAAGGCCTTTCCTAATTTAGGGCGCTAACCACATTGTGGATGAACTTCTTCTTGCCCTGCTCGCTCGCCTGTCATTACCGTAATCTTTCCTCAGTACCTGATTTTTCTTCCTCGCAGGAACGAGGGGATCTCAGAATCCTACTTAAGGCCTTCGAATTCCGTATCGACGCCTCACCAGCAGCAAGCAAGAGCTACTCTGGTGGTTGAGTGCGTCTTCGTCGTTCGAAACAGCCCACGAATCACACAATGGTCGCCCTGAACTATCTGACTGCCTTCCTCTGGCTTGTCACTTTCGCTGCCGCCTCCCCGATTCCAGATGTCGACCGTAGAGGTCCATTTGGTCCCATTCGGTTCCCTCAAATCGACCCCCGCGGCCTACTGTGTAAACTCCCATTCATCAGGATCATTTGCCCTCGCGGCGGCTCCAGCAACCCGACGTGCTCGACACCAATTGGGACGGCTCGTGGTGTAGTTGACCCAGACGGCGCCAACCGGTATTCAGTCAAGTACGCCAATGCTAACCGATGGCAGCCATCCACTGTCGCGACCACATGGAGTTTACCGTGAGTACCCGTTGACCTTTGCCCATGGCGTATAATAACCGTGTTATATCAGGAATGGCAGCACCAACATCACTGCTCTTCCGCTTGCATGTCCTCAAGTTAATGCCGATGCTTCATCTGTGTCCGAGGACTGCTTGTCTATGATACTCTACGTCCCAGCGACATTACATGTTGGGTCTAATGCACCTACGTTTGTCTGGTAAGCTCACGCTGCGGCATCTGTCTGTGATAGTTTCCTTATGATTGAACGCACACAGGATCCACGGAGGATCATTCTTTGTTGGCTCGGCCAATGGTCCTGGGTTGGATGGCTCTAAACTTGCCATTGCGACCAACTCTATTGTCGCTGTTATACAATACCGTCTAGGCGCAGTAAGTTTATCAGTTGGCTTGACACCGGCTTTCATTGTTAACTTGTGCGTCCCCAGCTGGGATTCATGGCACCTGATGGCAAGACCAACTTGGCCGTTGGCGATGCAATTAACGCGCTGAAGTTCCTCAAGAACGTGGTCCCATCCTTTGGCGGAAGCACTTCAAAGATTACCATCGCCGGTCAAAGCGCCGGGGCTACCATGGTTAGAGCACTCCTCGCTGCCCCTTCAGCCTCCTCGCTCTTCAAAAATGCCATACTCCACTCTGACCCTATGGTATGTCGAGAGTTATTTTTCAGTCGCTTTGACTAATCACGGTTGCTTCAGGACTTTGGTTTCCTTTCGACAACGGCCCAACAAAATATGCAGAGCCATTTCAATACTGAGATAAACTGCGGCGCCACAGATACCGCTTGCCACAATGCCCTCTCCTTGTCAACGATCACCGACGCATCCTTGGAACTTTTCTCATCAGCGGCGAGCTTTGAGCCCAGTGCTGGCATGTCCCAGCCTATGCGTCCAGTCCGCGACGGCTCCCTCATCACCTCGTCTCTTGACTCGGCATCCTTCCCTTCCATGAGTAAGCCCGTCCTCATTAACACCGTTGTAAACGACGCCGGTCCTGCTATTTATGGGAACTTTGATGAACCTATGGGCGAACAAATGTTCCAGGCCGTCGTGTTTGGCACCCTTGGTGAAGACCGGGGAGACACCATTCTCTCCTCTACCCATTACCCATTACCACCAACCGTCAACGGCCAATTGGACGCTCGACCTACTTTAGAGACTATGGGAACTGATCAAATGTGGAAGTGCCCCAGCTGGACATTTGCCCGCAACTATATCCAGAACGGCGGTACGGCATACATCGGAGTCTACTCAGTGGGCGCCACGTACCCAAGTAACGATGGGGTTTCGTTTTGTGCCCAGAACGGCGTTGTTTGCCACGAGGACGATATTCAGATTGTGGTAAGCTACTTTCCGACAGTCCGCACTGAAGTTTTCAAGCTTATTGTCCTATTACCAGTTTGGGACTACCAATAGCCCAACCGCTGCGCAGTCCTCCCTTACTACGGAAGTTCACAAACGATACAAGGCCTTCATGAACAATGGTAATCCCAATCCTTCAGGTGTTTCCGCTTGGTCGGCCGCTACCTCGTCCAACCTCAATGCCAAGGACTTGGGAGGTTCGAGTGCAATTCCCATCGGTGCATGCGACCCCAGCTTCTGGGGAGCCGCGGTGCCATACGACTACCAAGTTTACCCTTAATCGATAATCCTTCAACCCTCTGAGAACTGTTGTCATCCCTTCAATCTTGAACGACGCTTCCCCCGTTCTCTTTCCTGCCCCCCGTCCAATCTAATTAAACGGCTGTGATCTAGTTATATCCAACTGTATCCATATTGTTTTCGGAGCTTCTCTATCGGTAATACGCGATGATATATGTAGCTTATAGAATTCATCTATTAATGTGGTAGTTTAATAGTTGTGGGTGTTATCCCCTCCAATGCTACGATTGGGTCATTTTGCATGGAATGTCTTGGACTTGGGGTGAACGATAATATGAGGATATACATATACGAAACTGATTCAAGGTAGATTATGTATCTTCAATGTAACCCCCGTGGTGCTTACAACTTGGGTAAGCCCGGTGTGTGAAACGCTTGAGGTTCGACTTCTGTAAATATATCAAAGTTCCGTTGCAAGATGATCTCATGTGTAAGGATCTACGACGGGATACGTTAATAATATACCCAGAGGTGGACAAAGTGCAAGAGGAGCTCACTCCAGCTTTGTCAAGCCTTACTAAAGCTCGATGCAACCTTCCCTTGGACCCACCACGAGTTTCATCGCCTTCATACGTTAAAATAGCGCGTCCCTCACTGTCGGGCTCTTTGAGACGCCTAGGATTGATCACCATTTGGCCGAAGGCACCCTGGGAGAGTTGCTGCACCGTGGCCCGCTGCGCAGCAGTATTCTTTGCCCCACGAAGTATGCTGGCCAGAGTGGTGATTATGTAGAACTGAGGCGGCATGAACGTGATCTTCCCTTCGTTACATTCGGCAAGGGCAGCCTCAGGTGTGATAAATCGGGCTGATATTACCTCCAGGCCACCATCTTTGTACAAGAATGAGTACACGCCATCCAACGGTTGAGAAAGACTAAAAAGACGCTCGCTGACCATGTTTGGGGAGGCGCTCTTCTTTGTCACCAGAAGAAAACCCTGACGCCGAGGCAGCGGGGAGGAATGTCACGTAGAATTGTGTCCGGAACCGGCTGCAATGCGATTGTTTAGTAATATTGCCTTGGCCTATAGGTATCGTCACACATACCGTGGTGGGCCAACGGGTGTGATCCAGCGAGTGAACGGTAGTAGCGCTGAAGTATCTGGTTCTAGTAGGTGCTCCTGGAGGAAGGAATTGAAAGCAGTCTTCTGCGAGTGGATGGCATGCCGCGCTTCGTCAAGAACAGCATTGCTGGGAGAAGCCCCCTTCTTAGAATGGGCTAGGAGCAAGCCAGATTCTTCGAATGTTTCTCGGATTGCAGTGATTTCCAGCGTCGGGTCCTGCTTAGCATCATAGTTCCCACCGGGGAAAACCTGGGATCCAATATTTCAGCAAGGCCTCGTTGTGCAACTCAGAAACTTACAGTGACACCTCCGAAATGACGGGCTCGAGGGTTCCGCTGGACGAGTAGAATCTCGTTCCTCTCGTTCACTACCACTACACTAGCCGACGGGCGGGGCTCGGCGGGCTGTTTAGTGGATTTGGAAGTATTAGCTGACATGGCAGTGATAAATGGACGACGACTTTGGGCGGCATCGCGACGCAGATAGCGACCTCGTATATAACATGTCGGTGTCCGGGGTGAATTTGAATTCGGGAACTTATACACCCGGTTTAGCATCGGTCCTGAACGGATTGATGACTAGAATGCAGGAGCCAAGTCAGCAGATTGATCTCAGTGGGGAACTTGTAACATGGGGCAGGCACAATGAGGCGCCGACGGCGTCGGAAACTGAAGCTAGCCGTAAATACAAGCACCCATGCTTGGATCTCATAATATCCAGGGAAAGAAAGCCGTTACAGAGCAAAGTATACCAGGTATGATGGATATGCTAACTTAGGAACTAGTTAAATCCCGCGTGCTACGGCGGAGGCAGCTGGCGCAACGTCTTCTTCCAATCCTGATCAATGGGCGCCCCCACTGGAGTCAGCAAATGACACCTACATCATCTTCGAGAGCACGGTGCTTACATTATGACGAAGAGCACGGAAATCGGGGACACCCGTAATATGGACGAGATAACGGGCGAGTTTCTCAAGCTCTCTATCGGCCATAGCGGCAGGAGTATGGGCGTCCTTGAACGCGCTGATCTTCAGTCCAGAGCCAGGGTTGAGCGCAAAATTCCGACTCTAGGCTGTTTGAGTGCAATCGAAATTATTCGAAATGAACGTATATACCAGATCATCGATATGTATTGTGTTCGACGCGTCGCTTTAGATGGTCTGTTAGTTCTCCACGGGGTTTCATCATTTCCTGGACGTACAATTGGGGGAAGCGATTCCAGATGATTTGGAGAGCTTTGACCGAATGATCCCATGGCTTGCCGTCGCGTACAGTGAAAACCTTGAACATCGCTGTCTTGTCTAGCACTGTTATCCAGTACACAGTGAGCAGAGGGGTTCAAGTGATAACAACGAAGTACCGACCAAATGAAATCTGTATAACTACGGCTCTTGGGATATTTTCATTTCGTCAGGGTATCTCCACGTACCTGATAATTCTTGTTGGAACCGATCATTTGCAGTTCGACCAGTTTCGTTTCAAGCCATATCCAACTCGTCTGTGACCTGGTTTCACAATGAGTAGGTAAAGGGAATACTAGCGTGAAGTTCACCAGATGCAAACTAGTATTCACTAAGCATATGCAAGGAGAGAAAAGCGGAAGACTACTCACTGTCGTAGTGAGGGTAGACAGCCTCCAGAAATTCGTGGAGTTTGGGACGAGCACACTCAGCAGGAGGTAAACTTCCTGTAGTCAATGGCTTGGTATCAAGAATAGCTGAATCAGGACCCTTATTTTTAGCGATCAAGACCCGGGAACTGAAGACCGGAACGTACTGTAATCTATGTCTAGAACCAAGAGGCGCTTTCCCGACCTGAGAGGGAAAATGATGTTGACGTTTAGCTTCTCGGTCGCCTCTCTGATCTTGCGGGCATTGCGTCGATCGCGCTTGTATGCCTCCAGAGCTGCGTCAGTGAGCTCGACATCAAGGTCGTTGATTAAGTCTGGTAGGTTCCCCATCTCTATCAGCAAGTTAGTATCATAGTATTTGATTGATCAGTAGAGCAGGGACGAACGCGATGGGTCCTTGATTTCATGACCCTCTGGTGTGCCAACAAGTGTGAATTTCTTGCCAGAGAAACGAAGGTCAGAACTTGTAGCGCGTCAATTCATCCTTGTACACGTGTGATGAAGGATGCCAGGGCGTACAGACATTCGGGCCTCCTCAGGAGGTAGCTTGCCCTTGACGAGCCCAAGGATCTTCTGCCGTTCTGGTGGGACATCGGTCATGCTGTACAGCGTAGCCTTCAAATCGAATACTCTACAACATCAAAGGTTGAGACTGATTGCTCAGGGATTCATTCAGGACATGGAAACATGCCTATCAGAGTCCGCGACCTTTAATGAAAAAAGCTTTCCAGACCAGGAAAATTGTAGCTCTGTCCATGTCTCTGGAATGCCAGAGTCGTCTGCCACAATTGTCTGACACGAAGTCCAACAAGGAGTCAGGGCTCAGTTCAAGAAGAGATATAAGTGTGTCTTGACTCACATCATGCTCTTCTGCTGCCGCACTCGAAGTTGCACTGACAGAAGCCCCTTCTAGCTGATGTTCTTCAGAAGACATGGCAAGCAACTGATTCTGGCGGTAAGTACGTTCCGGGCTCTGCGGAAAGGACACACGGTTGGAGTTGGTTCGGAAATCAGGCGCCCACACTACCAAATATTTCTTGTCAGATCCCGTCACCAAACGGAAGGGGGTCGACCTCTGGTATGTTTCTGCATTCGACTGCAGAGCCCGCGGTTCTCAATCAACATCCCTTCTACCAAGGACCCAGGATTTGAGGGGGTCGCTGGTTCATGCTTACCGATTTTCGTTGGGAACGGGTCAACCTCGCGAACTTCTTCGACTACGCTCGGCGCACGAGAGAATACAATCAGGACAAAAACGAACCTGTTGGTGGCGATCCCACCTTCGATGCCGGGGAGATAGCGCTGACAGATGGTGGTCTCCCCCTCGCTTTCCTCAACTTCCTGAAACGACGTGGTTACCAACTAAGTACACAAGAGCAGATTCTGCTCGCGAGACTAAAACGATACAACCACAAAAGATACTGCCTGGTGCTGCGGAGGCTTGATAATGGCGACTACATAGTCTGCTATCTGGCTACTCACGGCAGAGCGTTCTTTGGTAAGAACATCGCAAATCCCATTGGACGGTTCTTTAGCATCGCTCTCGGCAGCACCCCCGAATGGCCACCCGGTACTGACCCCATCAAAGTCAGCCCTCGCTGGATTAAGGGCTCTTTCATCTACGGGGTCCCGGTCGTGCAGTCCAAATTAACTGTCCCCAAATACGGAACGGCGCGTCGCTTTATGGTGCAGTCCGGAGAGCTTCAAAGGCTGATGACATTCATTGAGAAGCGAATCAAAGTTAGTTTTCAGCCCATACCGTGCGTCGCACTCACTATATCTTACGTCCTCCCAGCTCTTTGATCAACATCACAAGAGGCTACGCAAAGGACATATAGAGCGTTTGTTCACCAACTTTGATGAGGACGTGTCTGCGGAGGACCTCAAACTTGCTGATTCTCTCGCGGCGAAGATCGCTGCTGAGGAAGCGACTCTTGCAGTGGCCCAGCAAGTCGACGACACAGAACACCCCACCGCTTTACCGCGAGATCCCGACAATATACCAACGCACGAATATCGGTCTAACAAACGACCCATTCGCTGGTTGAAACCAGATGGTTATTACAACAATGGGCGATATCTTATGGCCAACCTCAGGCACGACGTTATGCAAAGTTCGATTTACCTCAATCGCGCTCGTGTGATGTTCCCTAAAGTCAAGTTCAAGACGCTACCCAAGCCTTTCTACGCCCCAATGCTGCGTCGTGTAAATACCAACAGCCTGTTACGCATCGTTCCATGAGGTGAGGGCACTTCGCGATGCATTACTTCCAAATGTACCAATTGACTGATATAGCTAACAGCCTTTTATCCCTATTTACACGAAATAGCATGCGTATTCTCAGGCACATCTACCCTTTCGTCCCATCCTTTTCGAAGGGTGAAGCTTCGCCTCTATCTCGACAGGCCTGCCTACATTTGACAACTTCGACGAATTCTTTGACGGGGACATCGGAAGTGTTGAATTTGGGTTTGTTGCGCGAGCAGCACTGGGTCCGATGGTCGCTCCGTGAATCATCTCGGTCCGCCAATTGGGCGACTAGGAGGACATTAGGGAGTACAACATGGTTACCAAGCAAAGCCAGACGCTTCTCAATCAATATGAATAGCGATGATTTCTGGCGCTGTTGGGGTGAAATCGGTGCGGAAATAGTGAAATTTGTTCAGTATCGACAAGTAAAGAGCAGCCTTATCTAACATTACCATGATGGAGCGCCACAACGCAAGTAGGAGAGTCGTCCTACCCCATATACCCAATCGCCTCCATAATTTTCTTGTCTCCAAGGTATCATCCAGTATTATGCAGGTCAGGATAAAGCCAGGAAAAGTCGCTAGGTCGGTGACCTTACGACCTAACCTTTTCCACGGTCGGAGGCAATTATCCACGCGTTTGCCTGGGAAATAAGCACTGCGTCGAGGGCGATCTCAGCTCTGGTAAGTAAAGGCACCTGTTGGGCATACAGTGGGGTGAGCAATCATGCATCATGCACCATGAATGGTACAACATAACTCTTCTCATACCTCAGGCTGATTCTCAAGACCCCAAGGCTTACGTCCGTCAGTGAAAAGTGTTGAAATAAGCTGGTGAGGTCGCGCGAATTCCGAGTGAGCAAGTAGATATATTGCGTTTGGCTGGGACTCCAGCAAACGCATGAAGAAAATAATACATGCGCGCGACATGATACTACAGTAGTCACGTGCATCCCCTATACCCCTGTACCGCCAAGATTGCTGAAATCCAACAAAAAGGACTTCGCGGAAGGGTTCCGCCCTCGGGGAAGGGTTGTTCAATGAATGTGCATATTTTACACGAGAGAAATTTGCTGCGGGCTCCGTTAAAGTATCTTGAATACGATCTACCGTGTGGTGGATATCGTTTACCGTGTTTGAAGCTGAGCGAAGGTGGTGTTATTCCAATGCACAAGTCAAGGCGCTGAAGTAGACATTAATTAGGGGTATCGAAACAGATGTCAAGACTTAGAGCTTGTATGGAGTTCGTTATCTGCAGCTGCCATTGAGAACCGTGTGTTAAAGCTGCATGCAAGCCTTGAGCTTGAGGTTACTGGTGTAGTGCGGTGATCCTGTGGGGTGGCCCTGGACTACATTTGCGTAAGAACACCATCAAAGGGGCGGCAATCTCAGGGGAATAGTGATGCTTACGCCTTGAATGGAGCATTCCACTATGCTGTCAGGGCAAGACGGACGGCTCTAGCAACATCACAATCGTTCTGGGGGTCATGAAGCGCGTCGTGCAATGGGATACCGCCGTAGGAGTGGTCGCATCTTCAACTAATAAGTTGATATTTCAACTCGGCCTTGGATATACTATCCATATTTCTTAGTCCTTTCATGTCTCCCATGGGTTCAAATCGACCCTGATAGTATCTGAAGCTGGCGTTTGATTGGTATAGTTAACAAGCATTGGGTGGACAAAATATACAGGACGTGCGGCCCGAGAAAGCTAAAGTTGGATCCTTGTGTTGTTCATACTTCAAGCCGGGCGACGTTGGTCGCCACCACTGAGAACGTCTCGAGCGAAGACGGTCCTGCGATGCAATGGATCAACATTTTGCCAATGCTGGGGCAACAAGGTGCTACACACCAGCAACACTTCGATTGGCTGAGGTGAACGAGCTGCTGTCTGACGGGGGACTCAGCACTTTGGTAGCTTGGTCATACGACCATCCCTCCTTTGTAACGGCTGAGGGATGTTAATTCAGTTCTGCAGCAAACGAAGGGAGGGAGGGCGTAGTACCAGTCAATATCTGCTCAGGCTGCCAGCCCAAGTAGCTTTGAGCGAGGGACACTGGCAACGATGAATATGCTTTGGAGAGGAGAACGAACGTGCGACGACGGAACGCCTCTAGTATCGTAGTCAAACATGATGAGTAGTTTCAATCATTGATGAGTCGTAAGCACACCGCGCACCGACGAACGCCGTTATCATAGAAGCTACAAGCGATCCCAAGTTAGCATCCAGGAAATTGGGTTGTTGCGCTTGTTTAAACAAGGATTCTGCTCGGGAATATACAAGCGAGTGTTTCCTGTCTCTCGTCGCGCGAAGAAGATCATTTAGTGCTTTGACCAACGGTTGGGATGCGAGTTTATCGGGAAGTCTACTCAACGCGTACCGAGCAGGCGCGCTGTTTGAAACGGTTGAGGTGAGTCGTCCAGCCGAGTTCACGGTAGGCTCACAGGTTATCCACGATTAGATATGCGATAACAAGCGGCGCAGTAATGAGGAAACGAGTCGGACTAGTATCTCCGTCTCCCTAAGCAAGCACAACCGCTTCAGTTCGAGTGTTTCACGGGTTAGATATATCCAGAGTAACAAACATTAAGGTCACATCTCTCGCAAGTCTGAATGGCTGAGATATAATCTCCCTGGGCCACTAGATCGGTAATTGTAGGCAGTGTACTTTGATAGCAGTCAGGATGCGATGGGGGAGCACCAGGAGCAGGATTTGCATTGGGCGCTGCTGCTTCAGGCTCTGATGGGCCAGCTAGTTTGGCTGCGTCGCTGAGTTCTATCGCTGAGGTGGGTGGAGGAGTTGGTGGGGCGTTCACCATGGTCGTTGCAGAAGGAGTTGTTACTTGCATCGGACTTGCATGATCAATATTGCTGACTAAGCAAATCATGCCGTGCAGTGCTGTAGTGTACACTGACTGCTTGAAGATCGTGACTGACGGCGACGACGACGGCAATATCGACAGTCATGGACGACGAAATTGAATCCATCTTGTACATTGCCAGAGAAGTATCAGGTAATCGGACTCTGCAGGCCACCGCAGCCTTTTAATATCCTTCCAGTGTACAAAATCCCCCCAATGAAGGCCAACGAAGGCCATCGTGCCAACGAATGGGGCGATCTCAGCCAGCCACTGTGGAAAGGCAGGTTGAGGATTATGGAAAGGTCATCCGGAGTCAATATTGTGTTCGAAGATAGCCAAACTGGTGCGCGTGTACCTGTATCTACCCAAGCTCACCCTTGACCATGACGCCGACTATTCCTAGGCGAATGTACGTGATTCAGTCTTCAACTCGGAATCTTCCTCATTAGATTATAGTATTTGCAAGTGCAGCCTATGATCCAAAGAAGCCGTGTGTCGACGCCGTCCTAGACTCTTCTAGATACTTCGTCGTTCGCGTTGAGGATGGCGGTAGGAAGGCGTACATAGGCATGGGTTTTGCTGAACGCTCTGAGAGTTTTGACTTCAGTGCGTACTCTTGACTGCTTGCGCCCAATCATTGATCACAGGTCGCTCTGTAGATGTTGCGTTGCAAGATTACACCAAGTATGCCGTTCAATCATAACGCTGCAGTCACGCTGATTTCATGACTCTCCTAGGCGATGGAAGGCAGCTCAGAACCCTCCTTCATCAGAGTCTGACCCAGTAACGCAGGGTGAATCACCTCACATCCCACCTGGCCCGAAGAAAGACTATAGTTTGAAGGATGGCCAAACCTTTTCGATTTCGATTCCTGGTCGCAACAAGCCTTCATCTACCTCTCAGTTGTTGAACTCTTCATCGTCAACCTCGACGAGCAGTGGTATTCCCTTGCTGCCTCCGCCTCCAAAGCGTGGTTAATCGAGGCAAGGAATCTTCGGATCTTTGTCTTGGATATAATGTATTCCCTAGTCGACTTGAATGTCACCGAATCCCACCCCGAGTGCAATTCCCATTTGAAGCTCATGACGGCAACCAGTTGTTTGGATCGTCGGAATGGAATATACCTCGCCCTGAATTCTGACACCCATAACCTTGGGCTCAACTTCGGGGCACAGTCACTTCTTGATCGGCGATTGAGTGACTTTATGTATCACTTACCGCCCCATTATGATACCATAGACCTGTTGCGACACAGGGTTCTACTCCCTCAGAGTGAGTTCTGCACCTTTTGTCACGGTAGAATAGCTCCAGAATTGATCTTCCTTTCGTAGCAAACATCACGTTTGCCCGTTTCTACCGAGGTCGGAATCACTTCGGTGAGGTGGCTGTCAACGGTTCCACATACACAGAGCGGTAAGTAGTCTAAAAATAACTAGGCGGTAACGACCCTAGAAGCCCCAGGATCCGTCAGTAACTTTGTGTTGTCGAGCACGTGTGTATATCAAAAGTACCGTGAGCATGAGACTGGTCATACACACAGGTAACATAGCTGAATATTCCTTTACAGAACAAATTTTCACAGCAGGTCGTCACGTATGTGATGGGAAGGTTCACAATTTCACTTGTTAGCCGATGCCTGCATTAGCTCCATTTCCCTCGCAAACCGCACTATCAGTCCTCAGCGGCAGCAACCTGTCTCTGTCCACATTACCTGCTGTAGCCGACAATCTATGTTGTTCGAACTACACCGATCTTCACCCGAAGTGGACTATACTCAATGATATGTCCGACAGAAGCAAAGTCGCAATTCACAGTTTAGACAAACTCGGGGGAAATACCTCATGACCCAGTAGAGAATGTTGCGTGACCCTCTTCTTCCTCCTCCCCGACGTGTTTCCGTTCGCTTCATGCGGGTCAAAACCGGACTTTCAACCGATGGCGCGTTGGCACTTCGAAGTTCATGAGCCTCTGACTATAAAGGTTGATCTGCCGTGCTGCCAGATGCTGCAACAAGTCAAGGCAAAGCTTTATCGTCTACAAAATGTTCAAGTATTCTGCATTGCTCGCTCTGGTCGCTTTGATGCCCGCCATCGCCAACGCTCAATCACCACTCTACGGGCAATGTGGCGGTATTGGCTGGTGTACGTTCTCTATTCATTTGATAGATAGTAGGGATGGCTGAATCGTTCCTAATCTAGCGGGAGCTACGACCTGTGTCTCTGGTTCTTCCTGCCAGAAGCTCAATGACTACTATTCACAATGCCTGTATGTCCACTGTACTTAGCCCTCTTTCAGTTTGCTGATCGAGCATCGCAGTCCTGGTGCTGCTGCTCCAACATCTGCTCCAACATCTGCCCCGCCCACGTCTCCCACAGTTACGCCCACAGCCCCTGGCTCAAGCGTACCTCTGCCGTCTACCACCCCGACTGCTGGAAATCCCTTCGTTGGATACGAGGTAAGTCAAAGGTGCTTCGCTGTGTTGTGTATATTCCTTATGCCCCATTTTAGGCTTTCCTTAGCCCTTACTACCAAGATGAGGTCACGGCAGCTGTAAGCGCTATCAGCGACCCTACCCTCAAAGCCAAGGCTGCCAAAGTAGCCTCTGTGCCCAACTTCACTTGGTTCGACGTCATCGCCAAGGTTCCAACCCTAGGCGACTACCTCTCGGCTGCCAGTGCTAAACAGGCATCGACTGGAACCAAGCAGCTCGTCCAGATTGTCGTCTACGACTTGCCTGACCGTGATTGCGCTGCGCTGGCCTCTAATGGTGAATTCTCGATCGCTAACAACGGTCTCAACAACTACAAGGGCTACATTGACCAGATCGTGGCTCAGGTCAAGAGTGAGTGAATTAATCATGCTTACATTTGTCAAGGCCTAACGAAACATCACTATCCTTTCAGAGTTCCCTGATGTCCGCATCGTGGCAGTCATCGAGCCCGACTCGTTGGCCAACTTGGTCACCAACTTGAACGTCCAGAAGTGCAGTGGGGCTCAGACCGCTTACAAGGTTAGTCTCCGTCACTGCCGTTCTACTCACACATACTGATTTGTATTCTAGCAAGGTGTTACTTACGCTATGCAACAGCTCAACGCCGTCGGTGTTTACATGTACCTCGATGCCGGACACGCTGGATGGCTCGGCTGGCCCGCCAACTTGACACCTGCTGCTCAGCTCTTCGCTCAGCTCTACAAGGATGCTGGCTCACCACAATTCGTTCGCGGCCTTGCTACCAACGTCGCCAACTTCAACGCCCTCCGTGCCTCTTCCCCGGACCCAATCACCCAAGGCAACCAGAACTACGATGAGATCCATTACATTGAGGTACGAACTACGATATCTTGTACATCATTTCTTCTGACATATGCTTCCAGGCCCTGGCTCCGGCTCTCTCTTCTCAAGGATTCCCGGCTTCGTTCATCGTTGACCAAGGTCGCTCTGGTGTACAGAACATCCGTCAACAATGGGGTGACTGGTAAGACCATTTTGATACGACGAACGATGCGATACTGAACAGACCTCTTAGGTGCAACGTTAAGGGTGCAGGCTTCGGCATGAGGCCAACCACAAACACTGGCTCTTCTCTCATTGACGCTGTCGTTTGGGTCAAGCCCGGAGGAGAATGTGACGGCACTACCAACACTTCTTCCCCACGTTACGATGCCCACTGCGGTCTTTCGTGAGTGTTCTTCTGTGGTTCGATTAACTTTAACTTTAGCTAACGGGCTTGAAGGGATGCTGCACCCAACGCGCCCGAGGCTGGTACCTGGTTCCAGTCCTACTTCGAAACTCTTGTCAGCGCGGCCAATCCGGCATTCTAAATGTCTTCTGAACGCTGAGCGTGTGGCTGGTCACCGGGGGCTCGATAAAGTATTTACTAATGTATTATACCGCATTCGACAATTAGTATCTTTTTCTAGTTGACCTATAACCTTGTCTACTACGGAAAATATATGGAAACTGTGATAGGAATTTTACTTCAACTGAAGCGCTTGACACATATGGGTTGGCAAAACGCAAGTACTCGGGAGCCGCGCTCTAGCAGCCAACATGCGCTAAAACGAGCTCCTATGTTGAAGAGGAAAGCGTAACCGCGATTACGTTTATCGTGGGAAGTCGGCAAGCCGCCGGCGCCAACGCGTCACGCGTCCGTTTGTAATGCCCGCCATTTGAATTTCATCTCCACCACTCGAACGGCTGCAGGATCTTGCTTCATTCCATCCTATCTGATAAGCCTCAACGCTCTCAACATGCTGTCAAGGACATCACGGAATATTCTGCGTCAGTCGTCGAAGACGGTATCTGTGTCGGTGCGAAATGGCCGACGGGGTTTTGTGCAACCTTCCGGTGCTGAACGAGCGAGTGTCATGGATGTCCCCTCGACGTACCAGGAGGAATCCCATTTCACACCGCGGCCTGGTATGTACCCCATATACTACTAGAACTTGTCTCATTCGCAACTAGACATGTTGGGTTTCAAGCTAGATGTTAAACGCCGCGAGGGCTCGGTGAAGGAGAAAATACGGCCAATCTACCTTGACATGCAGGCCACGACGCCTGTCGACCCTCGGGTCCTTGATTCTATGCTTCCATATTTCACTGATCAGTACGGAAACCCACACAGTCGCACCCATGCTTATGGGTGGGAAGCAGAACAAGGTGTAGAGGAGGCACGCAAGGTATGTTGGTGCGGGTACAAATGTGTTCTCCACCTTACGTTTACCTCCTCTAGCACATTGCAGACCTCATTGGAGCTGATCCAAAGGACATTATTTTCACTTCTGGGGCGACAGAATCCAATAATATGTCCATCAAAGGCGTTGGGAGATTTCACAAGGAGAAAAAGAAACATATAATAACAACACAAACTGTGCGTCTTGCCCTTTTACTTTGCGACTCTAGGTGTTTACTACGAATTAATTTAGGAACATAAATGTGTACTTGATTCTTGTCGCAAACTGAGCGAGGAAGGTTTCGACGTCACTTATCTCCCAGTCCAACAAAATGGACTCATCTCTTTGGACGAGCTGGAGGCCGCAATTCGCCCCGATACGTCGCTTGTCTCTATCATGACCGTCAACAACGAAACGGGAGTTATCCAGCCAATCAAAGAAATCGGCGCCCTTCTTCGCAAACACAAGGGAATATACTTTCACACTGATGCTGCTCAGGCTGTGGGGAAGATACCCGTGGACGTCAATGAGATGAATGTCGACCTGATGAGCATATCGGGTCATAAGATATACGGACCAAAAGGAATCGGAGCTTGCTACGTCCGAAGGCGGCCGCGAGTTAGATTGGAACCCATTTTAAGCGGTGGTGGACAAGAGCGCGGACTCAGGAGTGGCACACTCCCTACACCACTCGCGGTTGGTTTGGGGGAGGCAGCTCGGATAGCCAAAAGGGAAATGCAAGTGAGTAGATTGCTTCCTGTTGGCCGGATGATGATACTTTGCATAAATATCTATTTCTTTACTGAGCAGAGTAAACCGGGTGTCCTTGATGCCGTCGTGGGTTTGGCTCTGCTTTGATTTCAACGCAGGGGTACTGACCCGAATGCTGTGGCTACGATTCTGCACGGTTTTATGGAAACTGACTTGTTGCTCCCACAGAGAGACCACGAACGCGTGAAGGGACTATCTCAGCGGTTGATAGATGGCATAAACTCCCAAGTAGAGCATGTCATTCGCAATGGCGATGTTCACGGCTATCCTGGATGCGTCAACTTGAGTTTCGCCTATGTCGAGGGAGAAAGCTTGTTGATGGCCCTCAAAGTAAGTTTGGGACATCTCATCAGCAGTTCCCCTCACTCACCTTCCTCCCTCAGGATATTGCGTTGTCGTCAGGGAGTGCTTGCACTTCTGCCTCGTTAGAGCCCTCATACGTTCTCCGCGCCCTAGGTACGTTTCAATACTCGGTTTCCTTGAGAAAGATGATTGCTTACCCTCCATCTGCAGGCGCTGCTGAAGACATGGCTCATTCTTCCCTTCGATTTGGCATAGGCCGCTTCACCACTGAAGCCGAAATTGATTTCGTGGTCAAGGAGATTGTGCGGGTAGTCACCCGCCTGCGTGATATGAGGTAAGATTATATCAGGTCCCTCGTTGAGCATCTCTGATTATGTTTCCCAGTCCACTCTGGGAGATGGTTCAGGAAGGCATTGATATTAGCAGTATTGACTGGTCGCAGCACTAAATAATTTTTGGCTTTACCCCTTGTATCATATACTATCTCTAAGTGTCCATTTTTTTGCTCGAGCTGTTCTTGACAATGGACCAGCGGACACAGAACAAAGGGGCTGCGGACACGCACGGACCAGTCTTGATATCAACCACTGATTTCGAACTCAGCTGATTTTCAACTTCTTTCTAACCAACATGGCCAGACGTCTTTACCTAGGCAGTAAGTTTTTTGGATTCACCACTGTCGAGTTTAGCTCAGCAGTATTGCGACAGGACTCCCCAGTGATACCCGTTCAGACGATGTACAAAAATTCTTCGAAGGTTACGGCCGAATCGTCGACTGCCGTGTCATGACAGGTACCAGGAGCGCCCTATGAACCAGAAGGTGACTGACTAACTCTACCCTATAATCCAGGCTTCGGGTTTGTCGAATTCGAGAACTCTAAGGTATATTAGTTTCGTGTTGGCCGTCCATCTTCTAATCTTACGACAGGATGCGGAAGACGCAGTGCACAACTTTAACGGCAAACCTTTCATGGGAGCCAAGTGAGTAACTGGACCACTCAAACTGTATAGCCAACTGACCTTCGCGTCCCCTTAGCATTGTGGTAGAATTTGCGAAAGAAAGTCGCCCCCGCCGCGATCCCTACGACGACAGACATGGGTATGACGACAAGATATGATAGGGCTTTCCTTTTGATAGACCCTTCTCCCACAGTGCGCCACGTTCTCGCAGACCCCCCGGCATCCGCCTCATCGTTTCCGGCGTTTCTCGGGACACAAGCTGGCAGGTATGAGAATTTTCCCTTGGTGCCGCCCCGAGCGTGGAGTTCCTGGTCGCCACCGCATTCCCTTATTCGGACGGTTGCTTCTCGGTGTTTCGATATCGACCCTCCCTGCTGTCAATCCACGATTTTCGCCAGAGGATACGGGGCCCTGGCATCGGTTGACCATTCTTGGACCCTGATTAACTTCCTCGTGGCTGTTAGGACCTCAAAGACTTCGGACGCGACGCCGGCAGTGTTTCCTTTGCAGACATCGACCGCGATAACGCAGGCCAAGGGTTGGTGAACCTTCGTTTGTTCGCTCTCTTTGCGTCGCTGACGCCCTTCCAAGGATTCTTGAGTACCTTTCTCGTGAAGATGCTGACCGTGCTGTGAAAGAATTGGATGGACGGGACTTACGTGGACGCCCCGTTCGTGTTGCCATCGATGAAACTGTGAGTTCCAATTAGTCCTTTTAAGGATATATTTATTGAAGAGCATTGTTCAGCGTGGTGGCCCCGATAACTATAGGCGTGATGACCGCAGAGATGACCGACCACCGCGAGAAGACAGATATCGTGACGATCGCAGGGAGTCTCGCAGAGACCGATCAAGGTCCCCAGCACGTAGAGCCGACTATGATGATCGTCGCCCACCCAGGTCTCCCCCTCCCAAGAGGGAGTATGATGATAGAAGGCCTGCAGGGTACGATGATTACCGACGCGGCGGTTATGATGACCGCAGACCACCACCTGATTATTATGAACGTCGCAGGGATGATCATGATCGTCGTAGGGATGACCGACGCCGCGACGATAAGGATGAATTTTACGAGGAAAGGCCCCCCAGGCAAAACGGCGAAGGTGGATGGGCCCGATAGATGGTGGTAGAGACCCAGGATTATGATCCCGACGGACCTCGTTCGATGGTGCTCGTCTTGGTTTGCTTCTCGTTCTCTCGAATATGCTACTATCTGTATGCGGACGGTGTACTGTGCTCGATACTCGTTGGTTTCCGCAAGGCTACTCGTCCCCCTGAGGTTTCGTCGTGCCGCTCGCCCACTGGAAGGCGCGCAACCAGGTCCTTTCTGTCCTACGTTGGATCTATAAGACCACTTCAACTCTTCCGGAAGAACTAAAGGAACTGGTCCATTACGTGGGCAAGGCTGTCAACAACCGCGGTTCCAACCAATGGTGCAACCAAATGGAGTGTAAATTACTTGGTTGTAATTAGATGATGGTAATTCAATCATAATCACCCAAGTACTAGAACAAGTTGCGAATCGTTTTCAATCCCTAGCCAATCTAATGAATGACCATCTTCGTCCTTACTAAGTTCAACTGTAGTTGTGCCCTCGTCAAGCAATATCCAAAGAAATGCAGTCTTCCTGCTGGCTTTCAGGGATTTCCCTATCTTGTTACGAAGCATGCGCAAAGTCATCGTGGGCAGGACTTGAATTACAGCGTCAGGCTTGCGAGTTGGAACTGTCAGAGTGCGTGCAGGCGGCTCCGAATACTGATATACTCGTATACCTAGAGTGGAATAAAGCACTTCGCCCAAAGAATGCAGAGACCCACGCACCGATGAGACGAGTACTCAATTTAGCACTAGACTCATGATTGTTGGTGACCACCGATGGCTCCCCGTGTTCTGAATGGATCATGAGCGAGGGATCGAGGAACGGATTTAAATGTCCATACTCGCACACAACTCCTGCCAACGAGGGTAATCTGCGGGCGATAGGTGGGACTGAAACCCATTTTTCGCCACATACGATAAGTAGAATAATTCACAATCTACCCGCTCTTTTGCGGATATCTAGACTTGTTGGTCATTCGGAACGGCTCGGGCAAAGAGGCTTCATGCCCACATTTACGCCATCGAGTATGACCAGAGAAGGCATGAGAGCGACTGTGATCTGCTTGGAGTACCTTGCATGAGCTTCACCTATTCACATATAGTAGTCAGGAACCGACGGGAGCCGTAATTGAGTGGCGTGGCGGGCAGACCAACAACGAATGGATTCAATCCTAGAGCCAGGGTTTTGAGCCCTGGGCACCAACGAGAAAGTGCGTCGATGTCACTCCAGGAGCAGAGCAAGTTGGATGGCAACGCCAAATGGTGAAGACCCTGCAGTATTTCGGATTGGCCCTCCGCGGGGTAAGGAATTTGGGCAATCCCATTTGAGCTTAGTAGCAGTCGTTGGAGACTAAAGCGAGATTGGCAACAGTTTGGATTGATTAAAAGGAAAGCGCACTTACGAAGGGAATATCTGCATTGCTTGACACACGGCGGGCCAGTCCTTGCATTCGTTGCTATCCAAATTGAGAGATTGCAAAACACATTCTCCCATGGCATCGCTAGTAACCAAATTATTCTCTAGATGAGTGAGGTAATTGTATCCCATTTCCAGAAAACGCAGTTTGGGGGTGTAGCGAATGACGTCAAGCATCGCACTCCAGGATGTGAGTGTGGCATTTAACTGTAATTCTTCCAGGTGCTGGAATGAAGCCGCCATCTTGGCGAGGTCCGATGGTTGCTGCAGACGGTTATGGCTAGACGCGGTTGCATGAAAAAACGCACAGGGACGTAAATGAGAACTTTACTTCAAGGCCAGGGACTGCAGGCCAGGCAGCTCAGCCACGATCGCGGCAACAACGTCCCAGCTCGGTAGTAAGCTATGAGACAGGTCCAAATTGCGTATGTCTATAAGGGCATCTACAACGGAGTGCTTGAAGGAGCTTGCTTCCTTACGTACTAGAGCAAGTTCTTCGTACGGTATCGCCTGGATCTGCCCTAGCGACCCTCTCGCCGTCGAGACTGACATCTCGCAATCGGTCCAGACGAGCTAATTTCTTCCGAATTTTGTCTAGGTGAGGCCCTTCGACCTCGATGGAACCGTTGGAGGAGCCCAAAATAACCTTTTCCTGGGTCGCGGCTCCGTGCAGCTGCTCAACATACTTGGCAGACAATGCTTGCAAGAACGAAACGCCATATGATAGATTCTGCGCCGTTGGGCGAATAAACGAACCCGAATTAGGAACGCTGGGGGTCGTATCGTAAACTCTAATGCCACTAATTGGACGCGATATTGATGCAGCCCACCTACAATTGAAGTAACGTGTCTCATTGTGGACGCCATCGTGCTTGCCCCGAGTTGGATCGTCCCATTCAATTCCTAGCCAAACGCCAGACGTGCCTTGGACATTGCCAACAAATCTAACGGTTCCGGTATTCCCAGCAAGGCTGATGCGCGTTCCCAGAGATGAGTCCATGAAACATGGAAGTAAGGAATCAAGATCAGTTCAAGATGAGCGCTCGCCCCATGAGCGCTTGTCTCACGGTCACGGGCGGTGACCCGGCATTGGTCTTCCGAAAACGGCGTAACACTCGAGTTCGGAGTCGCGTCGATTTCGAGTCAATGTTGGCCAGTTCCTTCAAGAGGATGGCTCGCAACGCCGCAGCCGCAAGCAAAAGAACCCAATCAATCTCAAGGCATCTCACGTCTATGACCTCGGCGTCGTCCGAGTCTTCGGAGGTACTCATTTCAGCTTTATCTTGTTCTCCGCATCATGCGCTCACATAGCCATTTGTTAGCAGCCCCCGGTTCTGTTCGAAAGCAAGCTTGCCATGAGAAAATATACTCTGAACCGCCCGGAAAAACTCAATGCCCTTGATGAATCCATGCTTGACCTTCTACGACCAAAAATCGAGGTTCGTGAACTACATGGCTATAGATCTTGCCTGCCTGGTGCTAACGCTACTTCTAGGAGTGGAATCAATCAGAACTTTGTGGGTCCGTCGTCGGCAGCGGCGTCGGTCGTGGGTTTTGCGCTGGTGGTGATGTCGTCAGTGGGTGTCATTGACTCTCAAAGACGACCCATATACTGATTTGGCACTCTTTTATTAGATGTCGTCGAGAATGCCGCGGAACCTAGCACACGACACAAATCTATAGAATTCTTCCAGAAGGAGTGCGTTCATTCTATGACCCTCATCCATTCCAGCTAACACACCAAAGGTTCGAAACGGATTACATTTTAGCAGCTCTGAAGAAGCCGTATGTTGTTATAATGGATGGCTTTACAAGTGAATATTCCGAGTCTCTCGCATCAGGTTGCAGATGCTAATGATGTTATCTAGTGGGGGGCGGCGTGGGTCTTGCCGTGCACGCTCCTTTCAGAGTGTCCACAGAGAAGACCGTCTTCGCCATGCCCGAGACAAAAATTGGGTACTGTCCCGACGTCGGTGCCAGTTACTTCTTGTCCAGGCTTGACGGAGAGATAGGCACATATCTCGGCCTCACATCTCAGATGCTGGGTGGTCGTGATGTCTTGTAAGTAGCTCAGCCATGTCTTATTTGTCCGACGTAACCACGGCCTTTGTCACAGTGAATCCGGCTTGGCCACGCATTATATCCCCTCGCGGCGCGTTCCCGTCCTCTTACAGCGACTGGAAGCTCTGGAAAGCCCTTCCCATGATGCAATCAACAATGTCATCGAGGAGCTATCGGAGGAACGGCAACCTAATGAATCCCTTCCTCGGTTGTCGGGTAACGTTCGATCAGCTCTGGACTCTGCGTTTGGGCATAACAAAGTGGAAGACATCATGAAAGACTTGGAGGCCTTTTCCATGGATGGAAATACTGAAATCCGAGCTTGGGCTGAAGAAACGCTTGCCGCGATGAACATGCGCAGCCCGACCAGCCTCAAGGTCGCACTTGAGGCCATCCGAAAAGGGAAACAGTTGTCACTCCTCGAAGCCCTCAACATGGAACTCAAAATAGCCACCGCGTACTGCGTGAGTCTTGATTAAGTCGACAGCACCCGGCGTGCCACTAATTCCGTACCGTAGAATGGAGCCAGTCCAGACTTCGCAACAGGCGTTCGGGCAGTACTCGTCGAAAAGATCAAAACGCGGCCTGCTTGGTCGCCATCTCGCCTCGAGGATGTCTCACCAGCGGATGTTGCAAAGTTCTTCTCCCGCGATTCGGCGTATCTAACTTCTGCACCGCGTTTGACACTTCCGGGCCATCTCGCCACTACACTTTCGAATCCTATGCAATATGCATTGCCATCTGAGGAGGAGATTGGTTCCGTTGTTCGTGGCTCTCACAAGTCAGGAGGTTCTAAGGGGCTACGTTTGGACGAGTTGATCGCGAGATTTGAAGACCTGCGCGGTGGTAAGATGGGTGTTAAGGAGAAGGTCACGGAGGTTGCAAGTCGTAAGTGCGAGGTTGTTGATAACGCCGATGGTAACTTCGTATGGCTCAAGTGGAAGTATCCTGCGAAACGGAGCGCATAAGTTTGATCATCAGTTGTAGTGTGCTTTGTTTGATCTAGTAGTACGCCAATTCCAACTCGTAACAATGAGGCATCGCGATGAATGGGGCATTGCCTGAAGTATCAGTTCAGTTCATCTGTCTGTTACCGATCTAGCTCGCGGCGCTAACCTCACGTACCTTACCTTCGGGCGTGTGTGTGGTATCATTGCAACATAATATTTGTGACGTCCACAAATTTTAAGCCAATAAAGAAGAGATGTGCGGGGTATTGGATGGGGATACCACCGATAGATGCCAAAAGCGATATAGCGTCATTCAGTAGTGGTCGTCGAGGCAATTTACAGACTAAAGGTTGCCAATGCGGAGGCAAACTGCCGACGGTGCAGGCTTTTTTCAAATTGTTTTACAGTGATAGACAGCTGGGCCCAGCACTTGGAGGTACAGCGTTTTTTTCCTGATCAAATTAAGTCACAAGACACTGCAAGGCACGCCAGGAGGAGTAAACTGTCCGACATTTTCTGGATCAGTGGCTACTACAGGTGACTACAGGTGACCACCAGCATCGCCCATAGCCATCGACACTGGCTATCAAATCATAATGGAATATGATGCAGATTCTATTCGTGCTGAATTGGTCATTGAATCTGAAGGATTCCGCAAAATATATTTGAAACAGTTAATTGAGTCTGCTGAATCTGATCGCGATCCATTTTATGACACAGATGAACTAAACGGAATCAAACCAGGGTTGCGAAATAAGCAGACGCGCACGGCAGTGGTCCGGCAGGGTAGCAGAGATCACCACCCCTTAGTATCGCAATACCACTCCGTAAGTGAGAAGGCATAATGAAGGGAACAGCTAGACCCAACCATTCGATCAGTGGCGTTACCTTGTCCGAAACATATAAAGAGTGTACTCAACGCGTCCATTTAGCTCTAACTTCATACCAAGATTCCTCCTAATCATTTCTACCATGTCTGCATACTTTACTATTCTTCCTTCGGCGCAGGAGCTCGGTCGTTTTTCATTGTCGCTGCTTAACTCTACTATCTTCGCCCCGCATCGCAGAACCGTGTTTAATCATCCGTCGTTGGCAGAGTTTGACATAGACGGGGAATCGGGATTCTTCCCCAGAGACCCTCTTCCCCCATTGCCAAGACCATTCGACATCTGGGAAGCCGCCCTCGATGAAACCACGGAACGCGTCAGCCTTGGCGAGGACGAATCAGACGCAGCGCTAGAGAAGCGAACTAATAGCGAAGCCTGGCGGCGAGCTATCAAATCGGTATGTAGGCACTTTGTAGCATCCGAGGAAACAAGATTGACCGGTGACCCTTCGTGTAGTGGCCGGTCATCGAGACGGAGGTTTTACACACCAATCCTCGCCTCTTGCAAAAGGCGCATCAGGTTCTGGCATGGCTAGTGCATTTCTACGTCCATTCGATCCCTCCAAGCAATGAAGACGCATCAATAACTGTCCCAAAGTCGATCGCAGTACCTCTTGTAGCCGTGTCGCGAGTGCTCGGAATAGCGCCAGTCCTTACTTTCGCGGACACCGTCTTATGGAACTGCGAGCCCGTGGACAAGTCTTGCCCCATCTCCTTAGAGAACATCCGCCCCAAGTACACGTTTTCTGATACCGACGACGAACGCAGCTTTTACATTGCATCAGCTCGGGCAGAAATACGAGGGATCGAGATTCTACGAATCATCGATGCGTTCCATAGTTTGCCGAACATGTCCGACTTCACATCTATTTCCAGAGTATCAAGGGATCTAGCGCGGCTAACGAAGGCAATCGAAGATATCAGCGAAATTATTCAATCGGTGCGAGCTGATTGTGATCCGCACGTGTTCTACTGGGAGATTCGTCCTTGGTTCGAAGGGAGCGACGCAAAGGGACCCCAGGAGCCTGGTTGGGTGTACGAGGGGGTGGATATGAGCGAGAAGCTCGACCTCAGCGGGCCTTCGGCCGGCCAGAGTACAGTAATACACGCTCTGGATATATTCCTCGGTATCGATCACAAACTGCAATACCGCCGATCACCTGCGCCATCGCCGGAAAACAAGAGGGCAGACAGAGGGTTTATGGCGAGAATGAGGCGCTACATGCCAGGGAAGCACAGGGAGTTCCTCGAGTACCTTGCTGCAGCTCCACGCCAATTGCGCGACCAGGCCCAGGAGACGACTGCCCTCAAGGAGCCCTACGATGCCGCGGTCATGGCGTTGAAGAAGCTTCGGGATATGCACATGCGTATTGCCTGCCTGTACATCGTCACGATGTCCAGATCAGCGCCCTCCGATCGGCCTGGATGCCCTGTCCTAGCGGCGATGGAGCGTCAGAGGGGACGGGCACCTGAAAAAGGCCCAATACGGGGCACTGGCGGGACCGAACTGTCCCTTCTTCTCAAGGCTGCACGAGACGCAACTAGACGGGCGGCGCTCAAAGGAAACTAGATCAATACGTTAAGATCAGCGTATTATAATACGGTACGATGATAATTTGCGGGCATACCTTACAATTCTACCGCAGCATCGGCCAAACACTGTGTAGCATAGAAGCCAAGATACTACCAGACCTGAAACCTAATTAGCAGAATAATCTAGTCGTAGCTTTGCAGAGTCCTTTTTCCGTTCGCTTTTTCGCTTTGTAGCATATCTTCTTGTAATTTGTTGTCCAATGATAGTGATCGTTCGAATCAAACAGTGGCTCCAGTAACACGTGAGCGGCTCATTACAAAACGCGTTGAGTAACACTGTGACTGTCACACAGCTTTCGCGACAACCACCATGTCCTTCCAACTCACTTCAGGAATCTGCGCGCGACTTCACAGCCCGGCTCCAGGCGACGCGGACATCTTGAATCAGCCATGCACTCTTCAGTTGCTATCAGTAAAGAAAGTTTCGCTCGCGTCGGCGAACCAGCCAACAGACCGCTACAGAATCATCATTTCTGACGGCGTCAACTACGCACAGGCCATGTTGGCCACTCAGCTCAACAACTATGTTACTGAGGGACGCATTGCAAAGAACACGGTAGCTAAGCTCACAAAAATGACCTCGAATTCCGTCCAAGACAAGCGGTACGTGTTCTCCTTTGCGCTAGTTTGCAAACAGAGTGTATCATTTCGCGTGCAGATTGATCATCATCCTTGGACTTGAAGTGCTTGCTCTGGACGTGCCAAAGATTGGGGACCCAAAAGCACTGCCTGACACTTCGGCCCCCGGTGGTTCCACTGCTACCACACCATCGAATGTCGCGTCGCCAGCTCCACCTCGACCTCCTATGCAACCTAGCAATCAAAACACGCCTCAGCCACAAAATCAAGTTCCTTCGAAGAGCAGTCGTCACGGGTCAATATATCCTATCGAGGGTCTTAGTCCCTACCAGAACAACTGGACCATAAAGGCCAGAGTGACTCAGAAATCGGATATCAAACACTGGTCTAACCAACGAGGCGAGGGCAAGCTCTTCAGCGTCACGCTTATGGACGACTCGGCTGAGATCAAAGGCACCGCGTTCAACACCGTCGTAGACGACCTTTACCCAAAACTCGAAGAGGGGAGAGTATACTACATCTCGAAAGCGCGTGTCAACCTGGCGAAGAAGAAATTCTCGAATCTTACAAATGATTACGAGCTCAGTTTCGAGAAGCACACTGAGATTGAAGAGGTTTGCAGGCCGCTTGCTTGGCGTCAATTCATTGACGTAATCTTGTATAGTGCCACGAAGTCTCGAATGTCCCCATGGTCAAGTACAATTTTGTCCCGCTTTCTGGACTCGAGGAGTTGGCCAAGGATTCTACATGCGGTACGTTACTAGCTAACACTGTGCACCTTCGTTCTAATGCTTCCCAGATGTCATCGGGATAGTCAAGGAAGTGGCCCCGCTGTCCGAGATCATCTCCAAAGCCAGCAGTCGAAGTGTAAGACTGGTTTACCTTTGCTCAGAAAGCACCTCAAACTTAGCCTCGATTTAGATCCCCAAACGAGAACTCACTCTTGTCGATAAGTCAGGCTTTTCGGTTCGGCTTACTCTTTGGGGTAAGCAGGCGGAGTCCTATAACGCAGATGATGCACCTGTGATTGCTTTCAAGGGTGTCAAAGTTGGTGATTTTGGAGGTACTAATGTTGTTATCTTTATTGAGCCTTTCAGCTGACTTGTCCTCATTCTAGGTCGTTCTCTGTCAATGTTCAGCTCGAGTACTATGACCATCAACCCTGACATCGAGGAAGCATTTGCTTTGCGGGGCTGGTATGATGCGTACGGAGCCGACCAAAGCTTTCATTCCCATTCAAGTGTTGTGTCCACGAACTCCGGTGGAGGTTTCAATCGATCGGAAATGCGGAATTTCAGTGATATCAAGGAATCTCAACTCGGGACTGAGAAGGTGGATTACTTCTCGGCAAGGGCCACCATCATGCACATCAAGTCCGACAACATTTCTTACCCTGCTTGTCCTACCCAAGATTGTAACAAGAAAGTTGTTCAGGAGGGTGACCAGTGGCGGTGTGAAAAGTGCGATAAAAGCTTTCCGCGCCCTGAATACCGGTAGGAACACAGCATAAGCTGCGGGGTTCGGAGGTACTGACACCATCATGGATAGGTACATCATCTCCATGGCCGTGGCGGACTGGTCAGGGCAAGCCTGGCTTCAGGGCTTTAACGATGTTGGTGTTGCTATCTTCGGCATGACCGCAAACGACCTGATTGAAAAACGTGTATGTGGTTAATATCTTCGAGGCTTGACCTTATTCATCCGGTACTCTGCAGGATCGCAACGAGTCCGAGTTTAACTCCGTCATGCAGAAGGCCACATGCCAAACGTATAACTTTGCCTGTCGCGCGAAACAAGACACTTACAATGTATGTCATTACGATTGGCTCATACCTTGAGCTGACATCGCGATCCGCATCATAGGACCAGACTCGTGTTCGTTACGGAATTACAAAGATCAGCCCTCTAGACTACAAGGAGGAAATAGCGGCGCTTGTTGGTCTTTTACGATCTCCTTGGGCCCTGTAACTTGTCCAACTTGGAAGGGCGTTTGGCGTGGCACTCCCCTGGGTGAACTTACGTTCAGATGCCAGTTTCGATAATCTCTTCTTGCTCAAACATGTTTAGTACTTGGCAGTGTCATCTTAAGCCCCATCCACTCCATCGGTCTTGTTATTCTACTTCCAACCTCTTGCCAGAGATCATCGGTCCAATTATGTATGCTACTGATTAGATGTTTGCTTCCTCGTATTGATAAACTGTACTATTACATTTCCCTGCTTCAATCCGAATCGTATCAATCAATTAGGACCAGATTAGGACATCATCGCAGGTGCAGCCAACAACGAACACGTGGGATGCAATGATTCAGAGTTCCTGAGCTCGTTGCGAAAGACGATGCCCAATCTTGATAGCAACGCTGTGAGTATGGCTGCCTGGCGTCGAGGCCGCACCTGCTGCCAAAGTGGCCCTTTATGATTCCGCTCGGTTAGGGTGCCTGGGAAAGCGCGCAGAGTGTTTCCCATTGTGGACGCGTCTCACATGATGCACCTGCTTCCTCTGTTGATTTGCTGACGCTGAGCAAGTCGCGCTGTTTCCTCCTCACCTCGACCCCCACGGTGCTTGTGCTCATTTTTTATTGATTGCGACGCGTCTCGCTTTCCTTTGGACCCACATTGCGCCTCAATGTCCACCTATTCGCGCACCAGCCGACGGACCGAGTTGATTAACGGCTCAGCCACTGCACACCCTTACCCACGTACCCCATCTCGGGCGAGCGCTGCTCGTACAACGAGCCCAACTTCCACGTTCTCGACAGCCACGTCGGGGAATCCATCGAAGTTGAATGTGGTTACACGCGTCGCAATTGAGGGGAAGTTCCGGCCTTCCAAAGAGACGGGCGCGGAAGTGAAGATGTTCCTCAGAGTACGTGTGCTTTCCAGCTTCCGGAGAGCCCAATAATGATGGCATACGTGTTCGTAGATTGCCTTGCCAGTGGAAAGTGTAACTCCTGGCATGACTATTCCACTATTCCCTGGTACGCGTCTTCTCAGCGCGTCAGAACTTGGGCTTACCACAGTGGAAATAGAGGACAATGTAAGAATAACCTTAAGCCAGGTTCACCCACTAGATCAGCAATCGGTTCCCTATGCTTTTTCGACCACTTATCATCCGTTGCTTCACAAAGCCGCCAAACTCCTCAATTTACCCGCACCCTCTTCCGTCCCGTACCAGTCCGTCTTTGGGTCCCTTCGAAGTGATGCACCCTCAATGTCGAGGCCGACAGCTTCTTCGCTTGGTAATAGCGACGATGCCGCCCCCTTAGACGTCAATTATACAGGCCACGTTCTTGTCTCTGGCTACCAGGTGTGCTATATATTGCCAAAGGAATTCCCACCTCTACAAGAACATGGAGGTCATTCGTCCCGAACGCCCTATAAGAACAGGCGGTCATCATTGGGAGAAAAACACGTTCTTCAGTTTATGGCTGCCATCGAGATGTATATTCCATATACGAGTATGCCACCCCGGAACCCGTATCTTGTATGTAGATTCCACTGTATTCTGAACCCAAGTAACTTATTGTCTTATAGCTATCAATACCAACCCCGCGGTGTCTTCAAAACTCCATCAAGTTCCGAGTGATATCGAACAAACCTGTGTCAGCTTCAATGGCATCATTATCCTCGGTCGAAGAGGATGTCGGCTGGGACTTCAGTGCTGACCCCATCATCAGCCCACGAAAGAACTCGCGACTCAGCAGAACAGAGTCTCACTACACTGATTTCGCGGATGATGAGTCCAGTGATTCATCGGTCACCGAGAAACTCGTTTCTTGCTGCCAGGGTTCGTTTCAAAGTACAGAAAGAATCCGTATCCGTTGGGCGAAGCCACCCAAATCGATCCCGAATTTCGTGGGTGCTGACGATGGGTGGAATCGAGCTGGCGTGGACAAAGTCAAAGGAGAAATGAGATGTTCGGTGATAGGGAAGGGGATAGCTAGCGGCCGGCAGGATGGTCGAGAAGGCATCATCATGAAAGTGGAATATACAGGCACTTGCACTGGACTATGGTTCCCAGGTGTTGCCACGCTCGTCGGCCTGGACGTTGGTCTTGAGGCCAAGGGGTCAGACGTTTCATGGATCGATGGCCAGGATACGCATTGGACGGTATCTGGCGGACATGGATTCACCGGCTCCAACGTTGGTAGCAGGCTACCACCGTCAGACACTACTTCGCTGGCGACAAGCACGATCACCGAAGACAACATATCGACGAACCCTTCTCACACCACTTCCTATACGTCGGCAAACTCCCTGCTGCGCGCCCCCCTCCCTAATCAAAGTCTGGCGGAGTACTCGTTTGAAGGGTCAACCGCATTAACTCCATCTGCGACTTTGTCCTCGATTGGCTCTTTGACTCCCTCATCCGGGGCCGAAGCCTCGAGTGGCAATGTAGCTGACAGGATTAAACCGCCTGGATCTCCGGTCACAATTCATGTCAACATGAACGAGTTCATACCGCCAGCGAAGAATTCATTTGTATTCAAGATCTCGGGTATCTGCCTCATCACCCCCAGATACCCACATTTGACGTCTGCATCCTATCGTGAACCCGCATCGTCCTCATCAAATACTGAAAGTGACATGGAGCGCAACCAGAATCCTTTGATCGCTCTTCCCCGTTTCACCGTCCTTGCAGCGCATTCAGAAACAACAACAACGATCATTGACAATAAGCTTGACTCAGACTTACTGAAACTGGTTGTTTACAATCCCTCGGGAGATATTTCTACGGATGCCCAGGCCCTCAAAACAGTTCTACAGAAGGGCGGCTCGACTACATGCAATGATGACGGAGGTCGAATTACCTTGCGCTCTGCCGCTAGACACGGTATAATGCATGGCCACGTCAATTCGATAATGCGAGGAACACGTCGGCCAACAATACCCAACAGCAAGCTCAATGGATCTACTAGCCTGATCTCTTCTCGAGCTATCACTGCTTCAAGCGCTGGAAGGAGCGGCCCGCTGCTGATACCTTATGCAACGGCGACTGTAACACCTCTACTTCTCGAGCGTGGAGGCGGTGCTCCATTGGATTCATACGCCGTCCGCATATCTCTTCCTGTACCACTGGATCCCGATTGCAGTTACCTGGAGTTCGGCCTTGCCCAAATAGAACTCGAATCAGGCCCTGGTGGCGAACCGCCCAATATCGATATTGCCAGCGCTAGTGTTGACGGCATTCCCGTCCGTTGCGAAATCTCCGTGCCAAAACAAGACAAGGACGCCGGTCCGCAATTCGAACAGATGAGTGGCCAGGAGTGGCTGAGCTGGGTTACTGTTCATACCCAAGGGCTTGGAGGCGGATCCTTAGTGGTGGACTATGTGGTCCATGACGTTCTGCACCGTCAAAGTCCCAAATCCAGGTGGAAAGGCAAGAGTGTAGATGACCTATCAATGGAAGTGTTTCTCCCGGCGTTCGCCCTACCGGTGGGGCGCCTTGAGGTTCTGTTTGACGGTGTGCCAGGTATGTGATCATTCATCGTTAATTAGCTTCCCGTATTCATTCTCATGCTCTAGGACTGGAAGTCGCGTCTCTTCGATCGAACCTAGTATACCAGCAGTCCTCAATATCCGGAGGAAGGCTGTTACATTACTCCCTAGATGCATCATATCTCCCGCGACTTTCCGTTCGGATACGACCGAGTCGGTTGCGCGGTTCAGCGCCATCATTGTCATCTATCTTTGGATTCATGGTCGTATTGGGTTTACTTGCTGGTTCACTCGCAACGTTATCGTTCTTATTGGGTTTGGGCACGGAGGTTGAGCAACTGCAACGCTCCTTGGAGACTTATTCGCTACTGAGGGATGCCCCAGAGTGGCGCAATCATCCAGAGGCAGTCACTGTCACGACGACTGCATACACCACCCACATAGCCAGCCCGCAGTGGTGTCACAACACGTCTCAGCAGAACTATGACACGTTCGTCACTGCTGTTGCACCCGCGGCGTCCGTGATTAGCACCAATATTCCCGACGATAAACCTCAGGAGGTCGTGTCTGAGGTCCCAGATTCTGGCGACGGAGATTGGGATTCTGATAGAGATGGAGCGCCGGCATTGCTACTGCTCGCGTATCACAAGATGGTAAAATGGCCTTTATCCTTGGAGAAAATTGATATGAGCGTGGCCTTGGACAAAGTCGCAGCCACCGTGGACGTGATATGGCAAGTCCTACGCAAGATATACCATTACCCATTGGATCCCCCATAGACCCGCACATCCCAACGCATTACTGTATTACCTTGTAATTGATATTTATGATCCACAATTTAGTTTCTTGTTGTAGGAAATAGGGGTTGCGTGACTTTCAGCAGCGAATGCCGAAGTGCGCATTTCCTTCGAGCCGCCACAATGCCAGTGGTCCCCACCGTCGAAGAAATTGAAGAATATCTCGAATCGTTGGAAGAACTCTTGTTCTCATCTCTTTCCATCCCAGAGGTTCCCAGCGTGCGCGAAGCCGTCAATCGGCTATGGCTTGATATATCACGATACGGCCCAAGCATTCCCTCGCTTCAGGAAGGGCTACCGACTCTGGGTGTGTTCCAGGTTCCTCCGCCTCCACCGCCTCCACCGCCTCCGCCGTTGCCCGAATCGTTGTTCTCGCACCCTCTTGCATGGGCCGCGCAAAACCCTTGGAAAGCATCGGGATTAGCTGTGGGAATCGTCGGCACTGGCTTGTTTGTAGGCTATAGCAGTTCTCTCCGAAGAGCTAGTTTGTCTCGAAAGAAGTTGAAGGCTTCGTCGAATGAACGGCGCCAGGTCGTTGGTGAGTGCCCGTGTTGTACGCAGCGAGCAAGAACCGATGTTTACAACTGTTGCATTAGTGGTCCTTGGAGGTGACCTACCCCTTGGGTTGCCGCTGATCAGGGAATTGGAGAACAAAGGGTACATCGTGATTACCAGTGTTACTACGCCGCACGCTGTCACTGAAATTGAATCGCAATGCAATGGATATGTACGGGCACTGATTCTCGATCCATACGAAGTACGTTGGCCGAAGCTGTAGCCATTCGGAACATCACTGACGCTCCCGTGCCCAGCCTGCCACCATTCCTGTATTTCTCCGTTCCCTGACATCCACTCTTGCGCGCCGATTCCCCTTGACAGCATCAGGCGATCTCTACGCGTCGGCGCGGTCCCATCCTTACATACACTCCGTCATCTCGCTCCTTACCCTTATGGAGCCAGTCTTCTCTGCTCCGCTGGAACAGATAGCGCTACACATAGACTACCTACCGTACCTCACTGCTACACACATTACGCCGCTGCAAGTTTTCCAATGTCTCTTGCCCCTCCTGCGCACTGGTGCCGCCGCTGCTCAAGACAAGGGGAAGAAGACCATGATCGTTTGCCTCCCTGTTACGGCTGCACGCGTTGGCCTACCCTTTGCTTCCATGCAGGCCATGGCTTCAGCAGCCACGCTACGGGGGATCGAAGTCCTTCGTCGCGAAATCGACGTGGCAGCGCTCACCGACAAGACTGAGTCCATGAAGAATATCAAGGTGGTAGCTGTCGATGTCGGCGCGTTCGATCTCGAAACGTCCGTAGGACCCCTCCCACCCCACGATGTCTACAGAGCCATGGAAGGATGGAGCGCTTCCGAGAAGATGGTTTATGGGCCTGCATATGCATCGCTGCTGCACCAAATACCTCGTCAACCTCGCCGTAGTAATTGGCTGCCGGACTTCTGGAGTCGAGACCACCTCCCGTTGACAAGAAGCGGCGCTGGCGTGCATACCTTCGTCGAGGCTTTAGCCAGTATCGTGAGCGATGGCCGCATTGGCTTGTATCTGTTTGGTTTGGGCCCTGTCCTTCGGAGACTACACAGCCGTATGGTTGGCAAACGAATTGTCGTTGGAGCTGGTGGTAAGCATCCGTCCTCAGCTCAAACCCAGTAGTAATTGCTAACTAATCTTGGTAGCTATGACATACAAACTGGCTTCTTACCTCCCGACAACCCTCCTGGACACGCTTTTGATCATCCCGCATTTCTTGATCTCTGTTCGGAACTCCCTGTTACCTATGGAGCCCTTCGTTCAGCCCCCGGAGACACCCGCGAATCCGCCACCTGGTCGTTTGCTTTCAGACAGTGAGCACGAAGACATTTCCGAAGACAGTTCCGATGCCGACGCGGAGTGTTCGCCAGAAAGTACATCTGAGAGCTGGGTAAGCTTGAAGGACGAAACGGCCGACCAGAAATGAGCAGGCGTCGACGTTGACCCCCAATTTACATCATTACCCCACCACTCTTTTCCCTGTGCTGCATATCGGATATTTATCATCGTTACATTGTGAATTATCTACTCATCGTGTTTGTACTAGTTACAAAGGATTTAAGCTCTGCTCAATACATATCGTTAATCACGACTTGTAAAGGCTGTCTATTTGGTACATCTTCGACGCCGTTGGTGACAGAGCGGCCTGCTCTCCGTGGATACTGTTCATCCGGTACATGGGCGATTTCCATTCATCTGACTTCGATTCGGTGGGCGCAGCAGCAGGAGAGGGCTTGGCCTCAGCAGCTGGAACATTGGCTTTGCTCGCCAAGCTCGCTGCTTTTCCATCGGGAATGCGAATAAAAGATGGCTTTCCGTCTTCGCCGGGTCCGTCGAAGGAGAAGTATCCCTTCCTCTCGAACTGCATGATATCCCCCTTCTTGAGGTCCTTGACACCCGCGTCCGCCACCGCTTCCTCACGGAACTCAGTCACTGGGGTAGCGAAATCCTCTACGGAATCGTTTTCTTCGAGCTTCTTCTTAGTAATGAGATAGTCGTAGTCAAGAAGGACAACGTCGACGAGGGGGTGTTCGTCAGTAGGCTGAGCGAGCCATGTGATCTTCTTCTTGGTTTTGCGGAAGTCGCCCTCCAGATTCAGATCCATTTCGATAGAAGTAATTGCACCAGACGTGTCGGTGGCTTTCGAACGCACGATAGCGTTGCCCCAGTCCATGAGCGTAATCTACACGGATATCAGTTGCAACACATGGTATATCGCGGGAAAAGGAACAAACCTCTTCTTGGTCTTCAAAGGAGGCGGCATCGGCTTGCTCCACAAGTATAGTCGACGTGTAAACGGTTTGCTTCTCTCCTATCTCCGCATTCTTCTTGTGTTTGGGCACCATCTTGACTTCGGGTGTAGCGGGCCCACCTTTAATGGTGACCGGAACTCTACAAGGGGTAGTCAGTATCTACCAAAGAAACATTTTAGGTGCTGTACTTCCGGTCCTTGACGATGGCCCAGTGGCGAGGGGCAAATGTGTCGATGATCTTCTTATTCAAGGCCCAGAGAGAATCCCATTCTAAAGAGACGACGGCTTGGGAGGGGCCTTGCAGCAACATGTACTGTGTGAGGGCCTCGACAGTAAGACCGCGTCTACGAATACCTGCAGCAGGCGGTTAGCCCATGCTGGCGGTCTAGAAGATGCCAAGTATACCTCGGACGGTGGGGAAGCGTGGATCATCCCAGCCTCGTACAAGCTTGTTGTCCACGAACCAGTGCAGCTTGCGCTTGGAGAGTAGGGTGTACACAAAGTTGAGACGGCTAGAAGTTTCAGTCAATGCATGCCGTTCCTTCAGCAACAAAGTGTATACCTAAAGTCCCAAATGTTGACCGGTCTCAAGCTGAGTGCTTCAATCATCCACTGATACTGGGCATTTCGGTCTCGGTATTCATTAGTCCTTAGGGCGTGTGTGACACCTTCAACTGAGTCGACAATGGGGCATGCGAAGTCATAAGTGGGGTAAACTTTCCATTTATCACTGGAAAGATGTCAGCGAGCCCACCAACCTGAGACGAAAATAGTTACCCCGTTCTGTGGTGAGGAATAAGATTGCATCTGTAGATAACCGGATCGCGCATGGCCTTATTTGGGTTATCAACGCTAATTTTGGCGCGAATACACCATCGAAGGCCCTCCGGCGTTCCTTTGGTCATCTCTTCGAAGTGTTTGAGATTCTCCTCGACCGAGTCGTCACGGTGTTTAGACGCAACGCCGTTCATGCGCTCATCACGCATCTTAAAAGGCAATTTCGGTTAACTGACACTTCCATGTCTCTCGCGGTGACTCGACCAACCTGCGCTTGCTCGGTGTCGTCGGCATACGCTTTCCCGATCTTGATTATTTGTAGGCCAAGTTCGTATAGCTTCTCAAAGTAATCGGAGGTATGGGATACACCGTCGCCGTGAACGTCCAGCAGCTTGAGATCTTCTAGAATGGTTTCTTCAAATTCCGTCTAACCTTGAACTTAGGCAGGATCCCAGCGGTAGACACGGAGCTGGCTCACCCGTTCTTTGGAAGGATTTGTGTCATCAAATCGGATAAGCATCTTGCCTTTGTACATTTTGGCAAAATACTGATTGAGAATGGCGGCCTTTGCATGACCGATATGAAGGTAACCACTTGGTTCAGGTGGGAAGCGAGTGACTACTTCTCCTTCCTTTGCACCTTGAAGCCCTAGAGCAAATCCAGCTGCTGTCTTGTTCGATCTCGCTTTGCTAGCTTTCGCGCTTGTGAAGGTGGCGAGTGCAGTCTGTGTCGACTCCAAGGACTCGAGATGGGAGAACCATCGCGAAATGTGGGGGTGGCTGTTGTTCTTGAGCAGACCGAAAGCTTTGATATTCCCTGTCTCCTGGCATTAGGATGCGATCTAGGGTCGGGAATGCATTACCTTTCAGAGCTCCCCAGACAATCCAATCAGCAGCTGTGATCGTGTGGCCAACGAGGAAAGAACGAAATGCGAGGTGATCGTCGAGCGAGTCAAGGGCAGCCACGATCTCGTTGAAGGTGGTCAACGTAGACAATGTCTTTGCCAGTGCAAAGAACGTTGGGGTCTGCCATTTGGGTCAATGTACATATATGCGGCTAGTATTTCAGGAAGCACACCTTCACGCTGTCCTCCGCGAGACCGCCAGCCTTTGCCAGACTCTGGACGATCTCTGCATCGTCCGTCACGCGAGTGCCGTCAATCTCAAGAGATACATCTGTAGAATCCTCGTCAAAGTTGAGCTCGGCCTTGCCAGTGTACGCTGCGATGGCGATGGCAGCAAACGGGAAAGGGGCCCTCTTTGACGACAATGTCAATAAGTTTGACATCGGGGCAGATGATGAGGAGACAGATGATTGTGATTTTGATTAGATGCTGATTGTCGGACGAAATTTATATCGGACGAAAAACTGAGTCATTTGGCCGTCTCCTTTACGGACTTTTTCGTCATGTTGCCCAATAAAAAGGATCGGCTGCTGATCGCTTTCTGTTATATCTTTCAAAAATGCCCATGATGTGAGTCGCCCCGTTCCAAGCCTTAACTCACTGCTGACCACGGTGTGCGGTGCTCAAAGCTCGGACCCCTCCCAAAAGTACCGACCGTACACCCCCTTGGACATCAAGGACCGCCAATGGCCCTCAAAAACATTCCAAAAGGCTCCCATCTGGCTGTCGACAGATCTCCGCGATGGTAATCAAGCTCTTGCCAACCCGATGACCATCGAACAGAAGACCACGTTCTTCAGGCAGCTGATCAAGTCTGGGGTCAAGGAGATTGAGGTGGCATACCCGGCAGCCAGTGACACGGACTTCAATTTCGTCCGTGGGCTCATTGAGAACAAAGAGGTGCCCGACGATGTGTGGGTACAGGTGTGTGCTCCACGAATTGCATAGGTGCTCGACCTCTCAAGGAGCTTGCAACAGGTCCTTACCCCCGCACGGCCTGATCTCATCAAGCGGACAATTGACTCCGTGGCTGGTACGAAGAAGGCTATTCTACATATGTACAATGCGACAAGCCCAACTTTCCGCAACGTCGTATTCGGTAACTCGAAAGAGAAGACCTTGGAATTAGCCGTCACGCACACAAAGCTCGTCCGTCAGTTGACTGAGGAATGTACGGCCAAGTACGGCACTCAGTTCCGTTACGAATACAGTCCAGAAACCTTCACTCAGACGGAGCCTGACTTCGCCGTGGAAGTATGTGAAGCAGTGAAGGCGGCTTGGGGAAAGGCTGGCACCGGCGATGATCGTATCATCTTCAATCTACCTTCAACGGTCGAAATTGCTCCACCAAATCACTACGCCGACCAGGTGACTAGTGTCTCCGGTCACCGATAATACCCAATTAATATCGGATTCCTTAGATTGAATATTTCGTTACCCATATAACCGAGAGGGAGAAAATAATTGTTTCCCTACACCCGCATAACGACAGAGGTGGGCGAATTCTGTGTCTTGCAAGTAATCAAGCTGATCGTCTACCAAAGGTACTGGTATTGCCTCGGCCGAGCTAGGCATTCTAGCAGGTGGCGATCGTATTGAAGGATGCTTGTTCGGCAATGGGGAGCGGACTGGCAATGTCGACCTCGTTACCCTGGCACTTAATCTCTACTCGCAAGGTATTCGGCCTGAGCTGGACTTCAGTGATATACAATCTGTCATCGACGTCGTTACACAATGCAACGACCTCCCCGTTCACCCCCGACATCCTTACGCCGGCGAACTGGTTTTCACGGCTTTCTCTGGGTCACATCAGGATGCCATAAAAAAGGGCTTCGAGGCCCAGCGAAAGCGCCATGCAGAAGCTGCTGCTCAAGGCCAGCCCCAATACTGGGATATGCCCTACCTCCCCATCGACCCTGCTGACCTAGGAGAATCATACGAGGCCGTCATCCGTGTCAACTCGCAGTCAGGCAAGGGAGGAATCGCATACATCATCAAACAAAATTTGCTTCTCGATCTACCTCGCAAGCTCCAGGTCGCCTTCTACCAAGTCGTCCAGGCTGTCGCGGACCGGGAAGCCCGAGAAATGACCGTCGAAGACATTACTACGGCGTTCAGAAGTACCTACCATTATGGAGGTGGCAAATACTCTGGACGACTGTCTCTTCGTCACTTCAAGGTTTCAGTAGAGCCGTTGGAAGGTGAAAATGAATCAGGGGATGAAGCCGCTGACTCGAGGCGTAGATTCGATGGTACGTTGTCTGTTGACGGGCAATTGCGGGTTCTACGCGGTGATGGAAATGGCCCTCTTTCTGCTTTATCCGACGCTCTTCGTACCCACCTCGGCATCGATTTCGCAATCCGCGAATATACCGAACATTCGATATCGGAAGGACAGGAAGCCAAGGCGGCGTCTTACGTCGAAATCGTACCGTCAAACGATCGCAAGTCAACCCAGTCATGGTGGGGTGTCGCCGTGGACTCAGATATTGCTGCATCTGGTCTGCGTGCACTATTGAGTGCCGTGAACACTGCCATTGGCGACCGCAAGCTTCCTGAACTAAAATTGACCGTTGGCTACAATCGTCGTTCCGACCAAGCTGACATTGCACACGTCCTCATCAACTCCCTGGGTCTCGAACTGCCTCGCAAACTGCAGAGCGCTTTCTTTGAGGTTGTTCAACGAGCAGCGCGCGACTCTGGTGGCGAAATCTCGATAGATGCCTTGGCCGAACTTTTCAAAAAGACCTACAAGTTCGACACGAAGGAGACACCAAGGTTCTTCATGAAATCATTCCAGTTCCAGCACGTCGGGAACGGCAGTGGCAGGGAATTATCTGGCGAACTCATTGTTGATGGACAATCGAGGACGGTCCGTGGATTGGGCAACGGTCCCCTGTCGTCGACTTTGGCAGCCATACATCCCCATATCCAGGGTGTCCTACAAATCCGGGACTACACCGAACATTCCATTGGGGAAGGTACCGAGGTTACTGCAGTGTCGTATGTCGAGCTTGTGTACGAGCAGGAGACTGGGGAGAAGAAGACTGCCTGGGGTGTCGCTGCCGACACGGACATCACAGAATCCGGTATCAAAGCTGTCCTGAACGCGGCCAGCAATCTCGACGTATCGGTGGTCAATGAAGTAGCAATCAATGGAAAGTAAAAGGACATGTTAAAGTAACTGTATCTGCACCAATCTGTACCGATAGTAATACAGCAAGGAATTCGCCATGCTATCATTGCAACAGAGGACACTGTTTGTATGACAGGGAGTTGACTAACAACACGTTCCAAATTGGGAGAGCCGTGAGTTAACTCCATACCTCGGGCAGTGAGCTGCTCTGGCGGCCATCCAGCTCTTCCTCGTACTACCACGACGATGTCGACCACATCGAACCGTTCACCCAGACGTCTGCCAGGCGTTCGGCAGACCTCATCATCTCAGTCCCATTTTGGATCTGCCTCGCTCTCGGCATCCAGTTCTCGTCCGTTCCTCAACATGATGAACCCTATGGCCCGACAGTACCAGGGGTATACGAGGGCCAACGAATCAGTGGTTGAGGAAGAAGAGACTAGCGGCAGCGGGGAGGACTTGGAGATGAATGCAAACCAAACTCCTGACGCGGCCTCCACATCACGGTCAAAGGGAAAGCGAAGGGTCTCGTGGGATGCTGGGACCTCGCAGATGAACGTGCTACATCCGAATATTCACAAGGAAGATAAGATGAATGAACACAGCGGCGAATCTTCCGATGATGAAGTCCCCCAGAGTTTCATGATCGAGGCCTCGAGCAAGGCTCCAGCCAAATCAAGAATGAGGGACTCCGCCGCCACGATTGGGAGAAGTCGGCCACTACACTCGGGGCCTAGCAGACATACAGGACCGATATTACCTGTGACGTCGGCGACATCGGGGACTTCAATACCTCCTAGGCCGTCTGAGATTGACCCTCCACCAAGCACTTACGCGCAGCAAAGGTCGTCTAGTACACGAGGCGTGCAGCCGAACCCAATGCGCGGCTTAGACGCATACGAACGCGCACTGTGGAACTGGGTTAACGTCTATAGCTTGGACGCATTCTTGCAAGAAGTCTATTACTACTATGAGGGGAAGGGGATATACAGTATTGCACTGTCTCGGGGGCTGAACCTGCTGTTAGTAGATATTTTCCGTCTCATTCTTGTAACTTACATATCGTTTGACAGAACAGTGGGCTTTGTCATTGGCTTTTCGACCTTCTTGCTCGGGTGCATTGATTATTCTATAATACGCCATGGAAATCCGACGAGATTGTCTGAGGCCGTAATAGACCATTGTGTGTCCCGGTAGGTTCCCGACTGTCTTCTATTGACTGGTTGTTGACTCCGTGTCTAGCTTCTCCGGGTTCACCTTGCTCTTCTTCATTTTATTCGCTGCTTTCTACCTGTGGCAAATCTTGCAATTTATACTAGACGTCGTACGGTTAAACGATATGTACAACTTTTACACGTATCTGTTGAAGATTCCAGACGTAAGTCATCTGTTCTTCTCGCCAGAGCGCCTCTAACGTAAATTAGGCCGACATCCAAACGATATCTTGGTCGGAAATTGTTCGTCGTATTGGAGCGATCCGTGAAGAGAACCCCATGTTAGCAATATCCTCCAAGGCCCGGCGTAGCACGAATAATACATCCACCGCGAAGCTTGACGCGCACGATATCGCTAATCGCATAATGCGGCAAGAGAACTACTTGATTGCACTATTCAACAAGGAGTTGCTGGATCTTAGAGTACCCTTGCCGGACATCATGAAGCGCTTTGGGATGGGTGAAGAAGGCAAAGGTCGTGTCCTCACTAAGGCTTTGGAATGGAACCTGCGTTTCTGTTTGATGGAGTATCTGTTCGACCGTAGGGGAAGGGTGAGGAAGATGTTTCTCAAATCGGCGAATCGTGCAACGTTGGTTGAAGGGTGTGTCTAACACTCCGTGAGTGCGCGTGGCAACCAAAGCTGACTTGCGTATAGGCTGAGACGCCGATTTATCTTCATGGGTATCCTTAACGCTATCTTTGCACCGTTCATCGTCCCCTATCTTCTCATGTACTCGTTCTTCCGGTACTTCGAGGTGCGCAGTGTTCCGTCGTCTCTTGAATTTTGTTTGACATTTGGAGTAGGAATACCACAAGAATCCCTCGTCTATTGGCGGCCGCAGATATACGTCGTTCGCTCAATGGAAGTTTCGAGAGTTCAACGAATTACCCCATTTCTTCATTCGACGCCTTGACGAAAGCTATCCCATCGCCAGCATGTACATAGGACAGTTTCCGAACGAGAAGCTGACGATCATTATGCGGTACGCGTGACGCTTTCACTTCCACTGTGGCTGGTATGCTCATACCTTACATATAAAGCTTCGTCGCCTTCGTCGCTGGTTCATTCGCAGCCGTTCTGCTTCTTGCAACGGTGATTGATCCGGACCTGTTCGTTCACTTCGAAATAACGCCCCATCGGACTGTGTTGTTCTATCTTGGTATCTTTGGGTCGGTTTTGGCTGTAGCGAGAGGGATGATTCCGGAGGAGAACCGAGTGTTCGATCCAGAGTTGTTGATGACGGAAGTGATTGAGTACACTCACTACATGCCGGACAACTGGAAGGGGGAGTTGCATAGCAAGAAGGTTGGTCGTTGTATTTCATGTGCAGAAATACTTACGGAGGAATAACAGGTACATCAAGAATTCGGCGAGCTATTCGCGATGAAGATCTTGATATTCGCTCAGGAGATACTCTCTGTTATCTTGACACCTTTTGTGTTGTGGCTTTCACTCCCTGCCTGCGCACCTGCCATCATAGACTTTTTCCGCGAATTCACAGTTCATGTCGATGGAAGAGGGTTCGTATGTAGCTTCGCCGAGTTTGACTTCGAACGTCATGGCAATGTTAAAGTATGGGCTATGTGTATTGTTCTCGTTCGCTATCACTAACATGCAAATCCAGTTCGGTGCACCCACGAAGAAGCGAGACAAGCGATGGATATCCAACGAGGGCAAGATGGAGAAGAGTTTCCTCAACTTCAAGGCAACACATCCAGAGTGGAACCCCACAGATCCTTCTGGCTCTCTTTATCTCAGTCGCATGGCTGAGTACAGTATGAATCGCCCACACAACACCCAACTTCGTCGACGCGCCGTTGGCCTCGAAACTAGCACGCTTCTTACGCCTACGCCAGAGCGTCAAGGAGAAACCTCTTCCCTCGCCGATCGGGCGCAAGAGTACGATCGTGCTCTGCTGCAGAGCCAAATGGCAGCATCGCGCCGTAAACCCAGCGGGAGCATCCTTATGGACCCTGCTGCTTCGTCATTTGTGGGCGGGATGAACATGGCGCAAACTGCGGTCCTTGGCGATTCGCAAGGTAGCGTTCATTTACCGGAGGTCCGAGGGAATGTTCCTTCGAGCACGAATGCTATGGAAGAAGAGGACCTAGATGCCGTGTCGGGTAGTGGCCTGGGTGGCTCGTATGTTGATGGCGCGAGGAGGGCGCGGAGAGATGATGCAGAGGAGGAAGACGAAGACGACCTTGATGGTGGTGTCTTAGGACTACTGGCCGAGATCTACGGGCGCAGGGAGGGACCTGCCAGAGCCATCTAGATATTTCAGCATATAATTCGCTTCTTATGCACATCTCTTGCATTCGGACTGATAACAACCGTGTAGATCCAGACACTTGTGCACATCTGCTTGGCCAGTATCTCTAATGATGAATGTGATGAAGTTCAGATGAAAGGTTTTTTATTAGGACGAGACTAGTCTATAAAGGACTCTAGTCCCAACCCTACGAAACAACTGCAAAGTTCCACACAGACGACGCAATAAGTATAACTTCACGTTTAGTTGCCCATCTCCTTCGCGAGTTGCTCAGCCTTAGCCTTCACGTCCTCGATTGTGCCAGCCTATCGAAATAATCAATAAACGAAAAGGGAACGAAAATATCATGAGCATACCATGTAGAAAGCGGATTCGGGGAGGGAGTCGTGGGTGCCAGAGAGGATTTCACGGAAAGAGCGCACGGTGTCCTTCAATGGCACGAGCTTGCCTTCGTAACCAGTGAAGACCTGGGCGACCTGGAAAGGTTGCGACATGAAACGCTGGATCTTACGGGCACGTTCGACCTGAATATAACGATGAACTTCGTGGCATTCATCGCGGGAAGGATATCTCTTACAGTAAGTTTGTCCTCTTCTGACAACTCGTCCATACCCAAAATAGCAATGATATCTTGGAGGGACTTGTAATCTTGGAGAATCTTCTGTACAGCGGTGGCGACTTCGTAGTGCTCAGTTCCGACCTAATTGTTCATTTGATTAGATGCAAACATGTTCGGTTTATGGTATTATACTCACAATACGAGGATCAAGCATACGCGACTTCGAGTCCAAAGGATCGACAGCGGGATAGATACCGAGTTCAGCAATACCACGAGACAACACGGTGGTGGCGTCCAAGTGGGCGAAGGTGGTGGCAGGAGCGGGATCAGTCAGATCATCGGCTGGGACGTAGACGGCCTGGACGGATGTAATTGAACCCTTCTTGGTGGTGGTGATACGCTCTTGCCTGTGAAATCAAATAAGACACCGGGATGGGAAGAAACCGAAAGCCACGTACATGCCACCCATGTCAGTGGAAAGAGTTGGTTGGTAACCGACGGCGGAGGGGATACGACCGAGAAGAGCTGACACTTCCGAACCAGCTTGAGTGAAGCGGAAAATGTTGTCAATGAAGAGCAGCACATCCTGGCCTTCCTCGTCACGGAAGTATTCGGCAATGGTAAGACCGGTAAGGGCGACACGGGCACGGGCACCAGGGGGCTCGTTCATCTGACCGAAGACGAGAGCGACCTTTGAGTCACCCTCAAGGTTGATGACACCGGTTTCAATCATTTCGTGGTACAAATCGTTACCCTCGCGAGTACGTTCTCCGACACCTGCAAACTAAGCTAAGTATATAGCGAACGTTCAGACATGTGCGTACATACCACAGAAGATGGAGAAACCACCATGGGCCTTGGCGACGTTGTTGATGAGCTCTTGAATCAACACGGTCTTTCCGACACCAGCACCTCCGAAGAGACCGATCTTTCCACCACGGGCGTAGGGAGCAAGAAGATCCACAACCTTGATACCGGTTTCGAGAACCTCAGCAGTCGTTGACTGATCAACGAATGGGGGAGGGTCGGCGTGAATCGGGCAGAGCTTATCACCCTTGATGGGTCCCCGCTCGTCAATAGCCTCACCGATGACGTTCATGATACGTCCGAGCGTACCCTTCCCAACAGGCACCATGATGGGGTTGCCGGTATCGACAACCTTCTGGCCACGAACGAGACCTTCCGTACCATCCATAGCAATGGTTCGGACTGAGTTCTCACCCAAATGGGAGGCAACCTCGAGAACGAGGCGGCCACCAGCAAAGTCTTGCACCTCCAGGGCATTGAGGATAGGTGGTAGGTTCTCAGTATCAAACTGAACGTCGACGACGGCACCAATGACCTGTTTTATGGAACCGACAGCGGTCTTTGCCTCGGTAGCATATGTACGCGCTGCACACGGCCAATATCAGCGCCAACGTCGCCTACATGAACCGCAGAAGCACTGACCAGGTTGTGACGCGGAAGCACGAGCAGGTCGGGAAGCAGACGACTGTTTGCGGCTGGCGGGGAGGGAGACTCTGCTGGCGACGGCAGCGGTGGAGAAGAACGCGTTAGTTTTTGCGCTGTTTACTGCTCTCCTCGAGATACGAGCGACACCGCGAGAGGTGAGCATGGTGGGCGACGACGACGGTGAAATGAAAGTTGAGAGTTTTGCAGAGAATTTGAAGGCGAATCCGTTCAACCTCCGATTTTCAAGTACCACGGTTTGTCCCGAGTCATGTGACTCTCCTATCTCCCTCCGCCATGGGTGCGTCGCTTCCACAGAGTCCCTTGCAGCTCAGTCGATCAATTTTTTCCTGACACAGGTGTCACCCTTTGGCTTGTCCCGCCGCAACGAGATGCGGAGCGCCTGCGGCGAATTATGCGTATACGTCCGAGCTCGAAGCCGCTCACTAGCGACGCGTCGTACCCTGATTTCGATCCCCACATAACGCTACTGGCCCTTCCAGCAGACTCAGAGATCACCTTAGATGCTCTGCGGGACGCCATCCCCGGTGACCAAAAATCCCTTGCCATCGGATTCAACGCCGTTGAGACCAGTGACCATTTTTTCAGATCGGCCCTTATCACGATCATACCGACGGCCGAACTGTTTGCTTTGCATGGGCACGTTCACGCATCGTTGAAGCTCGATCCGCGTACCCCGATGTTTCCTCATGTTTCTTTATGTTATATTACGGACGATGACGCCCAACGTGGTGAACGGGACAGATACTTACATGAACTCGAGACTCAGGGAAGAATCAAGCGCGAGGTCGGATCGCCACGAGTTAGCTTGGACTGTAGCGAGGAAGGTGATCAGGACTGGATGGACGGGTTCAGTGCCTGCGAGGTCTGGGTCGCGGAATGTAACGGTCCTGTGGCAAGTTGGAAGATATTAGACAAGATCCCGTTAGCGTAAGACAAACTGTTCGCAGCACACAGATGATCAATAATGTGGGCATACTTCAACGTTCCCGCTTTCAGGACAAATACTCTTAGTACTGAAGACTCGTGGGGTCTTTGTTTCATTTTTCTACCAACCGTTGTTCTGGCAATTCCAGATGCACTGATCGAAGTTGCGCTCTAGGTTACATCTCAAGTTGTCCCCACATACACCCAAACCAGGTTTAGACCGCTGAAGTAAGTCCATCCTATTTATTCTTTCGCAGCAATGATCGCTGATTAATGGGGCTCAGTCAGAGTAAACGACGGCGTAAGTGTTTCACAGCATTGATCTCGCTGCGCATGCGCACCACCTGGCTTGCTATGTGATGCAACCCCCTCCCGTCCGCGATGGTACCACTCCACAGGCGGCGGCTTGCCGCGGCGCCGCATCAGTCAAATATGTTGCGCACTCCAGTCTCCAGTTATTTCAATACAATAGGCTGGAAAGTAGCATATCCGAGTTTAACCGCTCCATTTCGTGAGAAATCGCAGTCGTTCTGCACACTCTCCTTGAGGAAAGCTCTTACTCAGGCTGGCTAGGTAAGTATAAAGAGGGAGGGTGTTAAGGGAGAAGAAAAAGCAGAATACTTGGTCTTCATCGACATCCGTCATGCTTGCAAACCAGTACTTCCTCTTCATCATCTCCGTCGTCACATCCACATGTGTGTGACCCTCCTGATGACACAGCGGCCAACTGCGAGACCTCGGATGCTAGTCCGCTGGTAACTACCGTTTCTTTGCTGCAGGCCTGTCCCAAACGCTCATGTACATATTGTGTATTCGCAGGTCTCAGACTGCCAGATTGCCATCCAAAACCTGGGTGCCGACAACCAGTGCTTGAATACCAATGGATTCGGGTCGGAGTGTACTACCGTGACTACTCATGGAACCTGTAAGGTGAGGCTGATACTGTGATGAATGCCCTCTCCGTTTACTAACGTGCGGCTTCCTACAGATCGATGCCTGTTCCATCGGCAACACCTTTGGGCTCCAGAAGGGTGTGGACTGCGGGGGCTACCTACAAACTATCCTCAATCAATGTAACTCCAATGGGAGAGTTGGAGGCACGCTGTTCCCTATGTTATGCAACCAGGCCCAGGGCTTCGACGTTAGCTACAAAGTCCAGTTCTCCCATGCTTGATTGGAAATAATACGCTCATCAACGGCCTTTTATAATGGGCGCTGAAGCCATCACTGTCATCCTTTCCGACTGAAATAAATCGCCTGTGAACGTTAATGGGACTCAGGGGATTTCAGGGAGATAAAGTACGGTCACATGAATGACACGTGGGCGCGTCTCATTTGGATCTGTGACAGTGTGACGGATACAGGGCTGTTATTTTTGAGTCAACTGCCCATTGCTTCTTGCATTCTACCACCACACTGCAACCTACTCAGAAGCACACACCTCTCGCGCTCACACCCATGGCAAAGCGCAAGCGTATTACGAATGGCGATGAATCCGCCCGAGAAACCGAGGGCGCGGGTCCCAGCACTGTAAAAGTTGAAGCCCCTGTTCAGTCATCGCCCAAGAAACGACGTACGGTCGCACAGGGAAAGAAGCCGGCAAGCAAACCCAAAGGGAAGGGGAAGGGTAAATTGAGCAAGATGCTGGAAATGCCTTACGATGTTCTGTGCGAGGTATGTAACTCCCAAATTGCTGCGACGTTGTTCTACTGTCTAGCTATCTCATAACGCGTAATTTACGAACGCTTCGTAGATCATATTACAACTCAGACCAGAGGATCTGCTGGCGCTGTCGCGAACTTCGAGGGGCTTCCGAGAGATTCTGTTGCTCAAATCGAATAGGTTCTTATGGACGACTGCGTTTCGAGACGACCCTCTGTTTCCGCATCTCCCCTCCGACCTGAATGAGCCGCAATTCGCATGCCTAGTGTTTTCTAATTATTGCTATGTATGTTAGCAACCCCACTCGATTGTGATGAAGCGCTCAACTTAAACGCTCCTAGTACTGCTTGAAGGCGACTCCGGATAACCAACTTATGTGGGCATTCCGCACACGCTGTTGTGGTTCGTGCCTCCGTACGCAGTAAGAAATAGACTCCCATCTACTCGTTCTAAGTCTTAACGTTGCAACTGGTCTTCAATAGATTCGGCCCGTTCAACGATGTGCTTCGTGGGGTACGCAGCACAATCACCTCAGACATACTCTTGTCTTCGTCCGTCCTTGGACGTTAGTATCCATCTTCATTTCTTGTCAATTAGCACTCATTGTTGTATTCGTAGCTAAAAAGAAGATCGTCTCCGTTTATAAACATAGCGAAGCGAGAGATATTGATATCCTCCTCAAGAGCTTCAAGCCAGATTCGCCGACGTTGGCTGAATTTCTTCAAAATCGCAGGAAACAAGTCAGTCAAATGCTCGCTGTGAGTGTTGTACACGATACATTTCTTTCAATGATCTCAGTGGCAGTAATTCTTGTCTTAGGGAAACTACCCTATAACAGCTGCTCTTGAGAGAAGAACTCAACTAGCCAAAATGGACAAGGAGAAGGAGAGAGCGAAATGCAAGGAACAGTGAGGACTGCTAATAATCTTGATATCCTTTGTCTAACTCGTAACATACAGGATATACAAAAGGCTCAGAGACTTGGGCTACGCTGAGGAATTGGCTTATATCCGCGAGTCAGACTACTCGTTTCTAGATAATTATCCTTCCATTAGCTCCCGGACTGAGCTTACCGACCGTGGTAAGTCCTCCCCACAACACTCCAGCCTGTATCCACTGATTTGCAATACAGTCTGGAACAATATACAACGCACTCTGGTCGACTTGCTCGAAGATACTCGTGCTAAGAGACGGCGCAAGCAGCGCAAGACTTTATTGAAGGCCCGTCAGAGGTTACTCGGTGAACTCATCAAGGACCATCCGTCGAATGCACTAGCGGGCATCAAACCTGGCCCTGCAGATATTTGTGCGATGCCACAAATCAGGCAGATTCTCGTTGATACTCCAGTGGATGTGGTGGTTACTGCTGAACATTTCCAGGAAACGATACAAGGACTCGAGCAGCTTTTCGCCCAGTGGATAACAAATAAAAGCCGGGAACTCTTGAAACTCCTACCCAATCAACCTGGGGCAGAAGATGAAGTTCAAGACGATACTGACTTCTCTCGTCTGAATCTTGCCACCACGTATTTCACTTGCACCCGTTGCGTGGACCCCCTTTCGTATCCCAGGATCTTGCTGCACAATTGCCTGACGGAGCTTCCGCATGGCTTTCGCAATCGCGAGGATGACGATGCTATCATGTTCCTCAATGTTGGCAGTGTGCCTTGGAACTATAACCAGTTGCCCATCGAGTATCGTCAAGACGCTGAATCCGCCGCGAAGAAAGTTGTAACGGCCTTTGGCTTCGACTTCAGGACAACAACGCATGCGGATATGAGGCTCGACAACCGTTGGATGGAATGCAGGGCGTGCAGACATCCCAAAGATGGACGAATGGTGTTCCGTTGGGAGAAGGCGGTAAGAGCTCTACTATTCCATTAAACTGGCGGTTGTTCAACTCGGTGTAGGTATTGCACGAAATATTCCATGATGTTCAAGGCCGAAAATCCCACTGGATCCCGTTGAGCGACGCAGATATTGAAGCTGCCAAGCAACAGGAATCAAAAGGCTTCCCAGAGCACCGTGATAAATCTGCGGGCTATTGTTGCGCACACTGCGACGAGAGAGGCTCCTTTGTTGAAATCCGGGCTCATTCGCGTTGGGAGTGAGTCATGTTAGTCATCTCGCATCAAGGGCATCTCTAAACCATGTCATCTTGTAGACACGCCATTCAAGAATTCAAAGAGACGAATTATTTCCGTCACCCGGATGCTTCAATGGACCATCCTCCGTTCTTCGTTCACATCCCTGTTCCACCACCAGTGACGATCGACCTAACCGATGATGAGGCCCCTGAGCATAAGATTATCAGCATAGATGATTGAATACGATATGCATACCAGTGTGTTACCTATATATGTTATTTCAAGTATGTCAGTGGAAGTTGAAGTCAGCGGCCGGTGCACCTCAAGCGCGTGGCTAAAAATAGCTCCGCCATGACGGTATTGTTGGCTGTGGCAGCCAACACTGAACCACTTTCTCTTCCTCTCCCCCATCATGCTCGCGACTTCATGGACGTTGCGGGCTGCAATCCACACGAATCGCAGGCTCGTTTTGCAGATTCAGCGACCCCCCAAGCTTGCATTCACCCAAGCTCGAACTCGAGGATTCGCGTCCGAGGGTCCCTCAAATTCAACATCGTACCCGAGTCGAATCCTTAGAAGGGCCAAGACGACGGCGAAGTACGGGGGATATCTGTGTTTGTCGACTGTGTTTGGCGTCCTGTTCCTCGGTGCCGGCATCTTCGTTCACGACGCGTTCACCTACACCGACAAGCATGTTGAAAGGGTCCCTGTTTCACCACTTGCACTTCACCCGGAGCGTGGAGGCCCCAAGAACCTCCCGGTCGCCAAGGTCCTGGTCGCGGACGAGGAAGATGAGGAGAACGTGAAGCTTGCTCATAAACCAAAATTGGTTATAGTAGGTGGTGGATGGGGCGTGAGTGCTGCAGGCTATTGTACTCACCGATCATGTACGAATTGATTGATAGGCAATGGGAGTTCTTGAAACGTTGCATCCAGGAGACTATCATGTCACGATAGTGTCCCCTGAAACCTTTACGACGTTCACGCCACTTTTACCTTGTACGTTTCCTCGAACTCTCTTTGGTGCACAACAACGTCGTAACATGTCTTTGCTGTATAGCTGCTGCTGTTGGGACTGTTCAATTTCGGTCACTCATTGAACCTATTCGGAAGATCATCGCCCGTCTCCGCGGTCATTTCGTTCAGGCAAAGGCTATTGACATCGTGTTTGCCGACCGTTTATTAGAGGTAGAGACCGCGGACACACAGGGACACACCAACAGGATTTATATACCGTGAGTTTATTGCGCCGCGTTGTCCCAGTGTTGAGTTTAATACCCCCGTTTAGATACGATAAACTGGTTATCGCCGTCGGTTCAGTATCTAGCACTCATGGCGTCCCCGGATTGGACCACTGCTTCCAGCTCAAGACAATCTCGGATGCCCAGAAAATCAGGCGCAGAATAATGGGTTAGCAAATTCACTACTTCTTATACATGGCCTCACCCTGAATCTCTGTAGATAACTTCGAAACGGCATCATTGCCTACTACCACGCCTGAAGAACGCAAACGATTATTGAGTTTCGTTGTTTGTGGCGGCGGGCCCACTGGTATTGAGACAGCAGCCGTTTGTATTTTGCCTACTTCGCGTAGCCGTGGGCTCACAAGGCATTCATAGGAAATTTATGATTTCTGTCAAGAAGACATCACGAATTATGTGAGTAAAGGTCTTTACGGAATGCTGATCCTCTTTGATACCCTTAAAGTACCCCAAAATTCTACGGAAGGAAGTTTCTATACATGTCATCCAATCTCGCGAGCACATTCTCAACACCGTGAGTTAGATAGCATCCTGCTTGTGATTTACCTCTCACAGTCATGTAGTATTCTGAAGCGATCTCAAAGTTTGCTGAGGTATGATAGCAAACTAATACAGAACAGGTACATAACGACCGACATTCACACCTTTTTCTCACAGGACAAGTTCAAAAGAGATGGTGTAAACCTCATCACTTCCGCCAGGTACATATTCATTTGCATAGCATGCTGATTCACTAATGACGCGCTGTTGATTAGAGTCAGTGCAATAACGCCCGAGCACGTTATCTACACCAGTCGCGATGCGGAAGGGAAGACGGAACAACATACAATTCCTTCTAACTTCATCCTATGGTCTACTGGTATTGCCATGAATCCATTCGCCAGCCGCGTGACCGACCTCTTGCCCAATCAAGTCCACCGAAAGGCAATTGAAACGGACGCCTATCTAAGGGTGAAGGGTGCGCCGTTGGGAACGGTCTACGCCATAGGGGACTGCGCCACAGCAAGTAGGATGTTTGACATCTACTATCTTGTCCTCACAAATATGTCTAGATCGAAACCTCCATTGTAAGCCACATTATGGAATTGGTAGACGAAGCCGATCAGGACAAGAACGGCAAGATAGACTTCGGTGAATGGGAGATTATGGGTAAGTATTTCTCCCATTAGGTGCCTGCAGTCCTCACATTCCTTCGCAGTCGGTAAAATCAAGAAGCGAATACCCCTGGCAGAAGACCATATATCAAAAGTCAGTCCCGAACCTGGTAATACCGACTGCGTCAATGACATCTTTTAATAAGGTCAAAGAACTGTTTGAGATGTATGATTCAGACGCCGACAATAACTTGTCCCTCAACGAACTTTGTCAACTATTGCAGGACATAGGCAACAAGATTACTGCTCTGCCCGCGGTACGTATATCATATAGCCTCATCACTAATTTAACTAAGGGCGGCCCGCTGATCCATCAGACGGCCCAAGTTGCTGCTCAACAAGGGAAGTACGTCGGCAAGAAATTACACAAGCTCGCACGGCGAAGCAGTGACTTGCCACCCGATCAACTTTCCGATGCAAGCGATGAGGACATCTACGGACCATTCAAATATCTGCATCTAGGCAGCTTGGCATACATTGGCAACGCAGCCGTCTTTGATCTTGGCAACTACTCCTTCATGGGCGGCCTGGCTGCTATGTATGCCTGGAGAAGTGTGTACTGGAATGAGCAGGTGTCGGCCAGAACAAGGGCGTTGCTCATGATCGATTGGATTATTCGGTGAGCGCTTAGTTGTGAAGGCTGTACGTTGGGACGGATGGCTGACGGCTGATTGATTTTGACTATATTAGAGGCGTGTGGGGGCGAGATTTGTCCAAGCTTTGATTCTTTGGACGTCAGGGTTCCACGACATTTCGTCCGCGAAGAGTTTACTATGGTTTGGACTAGAGAGGACACTAATATCATTCTTATGCCTTCTCGAGAGACATCAGACAACCGTGTTCTACTGCTCCTGCCATTCGAACGTTCCTATCACTGCCATTTTCCCGATCACCGAGCCCTGATTAGGCGAAAGGATGGTCATCTTTCGTCCAGGAATATCGATGTTTGTCCTAGATAAGCATGATATCAAAATAGTGTCTTGGTTCCACATGCAAATGTGGGCGCGAACGGGGACACAGAATAGAATAGATGTCATCAACAAATGAGAGAAGACGTACACAACCAAGAATCCCATGGCGGGTAGGTCCAGGATTTCTTCATCGTATCGCTCATTCTCGTCGGTGGTCGGGGAAATGAGGACGGCAAGGATAGCGTTCTGAAGCCTTGATCCTGGTTGAGAAGGGTCTATTCTAACGGGCTGCATTTCTGATACAGCGCGCGTAGCGCCGATTGGGAGGGCTGACGTGGGTGCCATGGTTTCTTCGAGGGAAGCGCCGTGGATAAGTATACTTTCATTCTCATGTCAGGCGGAAATACGTACCTGCACCGATGCGGTATATTATGAGGTCTTCGAATTTGCAAACAGTCGACGACGGCGATAGAATGAAATCAGAGGGAGCTTCGCCACCAATTGTGGCGGAAGTGACGCCAGGTGGGGGTTCTAGTACCTGACCATACATGTATGTGTGCAGTTGGTAGTTGTAGACGCGTTCTCGATAGCTCTGGTCCAATTCCACAACCTAAGAAAACAAGCAAAGATGAATTTGCACATGAGAGACGAGTGCGATTGGAGGAAGCCGTTCAGGTCAAGACTCAAAAACGGGGGGAGTGAACACCTACGCCTCCAGATTTCGGGATTTTGACAACCGTTAGATGGGAGCCATAGGCCCGCTGTAGCTCGACATTGAGCTTCTCATGCCCGACAACGAGAATGACATTGACTGAAGATACAAAGTACAGAAAGGGGAAATGAGCTGTTTAGCTCTCCAAGCGGAATGGGAAGTATCCGACGACGGACTTTTGAAGGCTTCGACGCAGGCCCGAATGAGCCTTTGTCGAGTTTCGGTTGTTGTTCCGTGTCCAGAAGCGAATGAGGAAGGCGTGTCGACGATCAGACCGGATACAGCACCTGTGAAAGTTTAGGTATGCGCGTCTGCAGAGATATATTCCGTGGTCGACCAGGCGTTACCTTCGGCGTCGAGGTCCCATTTATCGTCCATAACATGACCAAGGTTGCGAATCAATCTCTCGAACAAGAGAGGATTTTTACCTACACTTCCGTGTCCATACCAATATACCAATGGAAGGAGGGCGTTGGAAGTTATTGCCGTAGGTGCAGAAGTAGCAGCAGCTCCCAAGGGGTTCGACGGTGAATAGGTGGCAATCGGGGCAGATACTGGCGCTGCTGAGATCGTCCCGGGGATTGCCCAGGCTCCCTTACAGCCAGGCAATTTTCTCAACAAATCGGACATGCACCAAAATAACATGTACGTACTTGGCTGGGATCCATATTCGCGAGGAGCGGTGTCCAGTTCTGGCCGGCTCGAACAGCATAGTTTACAAGCATCTTACATATGGAGGTTGTACCGCAGTTTTCGGGCCCTATGACAAGCACTCTCGGGGGTTCTGGGTGTACTCCGGGTCCGTCATCTGAAGACGGAGACCCATGGAGCGTTTGGAGAGCACGAACTCGCATTTGCTCCAAAGCAATATGGAGATTCGCATAAGCCGACATAGGCGTTTCCTCTGAAACATACTCTGTGGAGGGATGGCCTGTAACGTGTTGAAAGGTCAGCTATGGTCGTGGGCCAAATCAACATCGCAAGGACTCATCTCAATGGTACATCCACGCCAAGTGTATACGGCTGCTTTGCATTCTGAGCCAAAGAGGTAGACTTTCCCCTCGACCATCTCTGCACCAAAGACTTCGGCTTGTCCATGTCCGAGCTATGTGATTTAATTTCCATGGCAAGCGGTTGTCCGGTCACAAAACGAAAGGGCGATGGGAGAGACATACCTTTATGGCGAGGGTAGTACCAGGATCCAATTCAAATCTGTATTCTGTCTCTGGCGACAGAGTCCATTCGCGTTGTTCAATCTCTGCACCAGCAGAATCCATGGTCACCGTCAGGATCCAAGAAGGAAACTCGTTGTTTGGTCACGACTCTGTTGCGACTCTGACCCTCGAATTTGCCTCAAACGCACTCACTCGCTAAATTTGACACTTACAGCAGCTTGAGCATATGGAACAAGCTTGTATAATCTCCTCCCTGATCGCGAAATGATGAGAGCTGATTTCGAGCCGAGCATCAGATTCTGTGTAGGGATGCTTGCACGTGGAATATCTCCAGTAGCTCAACCACGATAGCTCACCATCACAGCGCTAAAAGAAGTATGTATAAATGCCTCCCGAGAGACTACTTCCGGGTTTCTGAGGCCCAATTTCTTCCTGACCTGCCACCATGGGTTCCAGCAGCGGTGACTTCCTCGGAAAGCACCAGCATGATGATACGCAAATCGTCGACCGCAAGCTTGAGGATGTTGATGTCGCGGCCCAGCTCGCTGCTGGCTCTGACGAGGTCATTAACCCGGTGATCGCCGCCAGACTCAGGTAATTACCTGAAGGATTGTCTATTGCTTGGTACTAAGATGCAATTTTACAGACGGAAGATAGATTGGCACCTTATGCCTTTGATGTGCAGTAAGTGCTAGTCTTACGTCTGTTAAGAAATGCTTACTGACGGGGTTCCTCTAGTAATGTACCTGTGAGTGTGCAATGTGTTGGATCCAGACCACAAGTTGAACTGGTGTCCAGGATGACATTTGCGGACAAGACAACTCTAGGACAGTCTGCGGTGCTAGGAATAATGTAGGTCTTGCACTTCTTGCGAGGGCATAAGCCGGTTCACACCTTTACCCCAGTCCGGGGGCCCACCTCAACCAAAACCAATTCAATTGGCTTGGTACCATATTTTACCTGAGTTATCTTGTATTCGAATACCCGCAAAACCTTGCCCTACAGTATCTTCCTGTCGGCAAATGGATGAGGTCAGTGGCAGCAATTCATTCAACTTCCAGGTCGAGGACTAAATTTCAGATCATAGTATCAACATTTTCATTTGGGCAGTCGCGTTGCTTTCGCATGCCGCCTGCAAGTCATTTGGGGCACTGTTCGCCGTCAGGTTTATTCTCGGCGTCTGTGAAGGTGCCATCACTCCGGGCTTCATGATAGTCACGTCCATGTTCTACACACGGGCCGAACAGACACGTCGTGTTGGCTACTGGTGTGCGTGAAACCCTTCTTTGCTCCTCCTACTTCATTTACGATCTCTAAAAAATCAGTTCTCATGAATGGATTCGCTATAATATTCCTTGGCTTTGTCAGCTTTGGCGTCTTGCATACGAAAACCCATAATTTCATGCCATGGCAATGGTACGCTTGATATGTCTTCCCGTTCATCATGTCCTTTAACTTCCATTTCGCCCAGGCTCATGATCATCACTGGTATCATCACCCTTGCGACATCAGTTATCTTCTGGTGCGCGATTATTTCTGTCCAAAGTGATGATGAGCCAACATTGCGTTTCATTCCGACTTCGGTATTTAGGTTCTTCTTCCCCGACTCTCCCACTAACGCACGGTTCTTATCGCCTGATGAACGCCGACTTGCCGTCTTGCGGATCAAGGACAATCAAGCGGGCGTAGAAAACAAACATTGGAAGAGGGAACAGTAAGTACCTACGCCAAGACCATAGCACCAGTCCTGACAGAGACTCCGAAGATTCGTGGAGACTCTTGGTGATCCCAAGATATGGGTTATGGCACTGTTTGCCGCCATCTCGTCAGTCACCTAACCCATGATCTTCTTTCTAATCGTTTTCTGATCACTGCGTAAACATCACAGACAAATCACCAATTCGGTACGGCTTTCGTCTATCTTTGCTGAACCTGCATTCTTACTTCAGCCACAATTCCATAGCTTACCAACCAGAGACAACTTATCATCAATCAGTTCGGCTTCACACCCATTCAAACGACCCTGCTCGGGTGTGTCGATGGTTTCATGGAAAGTACGTGAGCCCATTGAGTGATCGTCACCCGCGAGGAGAATCTAATGCACCTATGTAGTCGTCACCATATTTCTTGGTGTTACCATGGCTAGCTATTGGACGGGTGGACGTGGGTATACCGCGGCGCTTTTCTACATTCCAGCTATTCTTGGCGAAGTACTGGTCAACACCTTACCATCACACAACAAGGTCGGATTGCTCTTCGGATACTGGGTGTCAAGTATGAGTTTCCCCGTCATCATTCTTCTCCATAACCTTACCGTTTGTGCCTAGTTTTCGCTATCACACCCTTTCCGATTTTCCTTGGGTGGATGGGATCCCTCGTAGCAGGCCACACTAAGCGTACGTCGCGAGCCCATCATCGTGGCTGTGTGTCATTTCTTAACCGAGTTTGAACAGGAACCACTACGAATGCAATCATAATGTGCGCCTATGCCATTGGCAACGCTGCCGGTCCATTCATGTGGAAGAAGCAATACCAACCAAGGTTTGTTTACATCCTTGTAACTCCCGTACATCAGTAGTCTTAACCCATGTTTTGCTAGGAATCATGTTCCATGGGCTGTTATTGCTGCATGCTCACTAGCATCTGCCATACTCCTCCTTATCCTCCGTTTCATGCTCGCACAAGAAAACAAACGACGAGATGCAGAACCTCGTGATGACTCCTACGACAATGTATATATAAATCAGGTCAACGCTCAAGGAAAAGTAGTACAACAGAAAGTCGATAGGGTACGTGTATGCTACGAGAATCTCTCCCCATGCTGACCACTTGACACGCGTCCAGGCATTCCAGGATCTTACCGACATGCAAAATCAAGACTTCAGATACGTTTTGTAGTCACTTCTTGGTTGTACCCAGTTTTGATTGTACATATTATTCTATTTTATGTTTGTATTCGGTGTTCATCTCCCCAGATATGATTTCCGAAGTGTTGGCTATTCTACTAGTGTATGATTGTCCCTGAATAATACAGAATTGTTTGAAAGCGACTACAGAAAGCTATCTAGCTTGACGGGACGTCGCACTGCTGCTGAGTTACCTTCGGCAAAGCGATAGGATATCTTGAAACACTTGGCGGCGTGCTTCTTCTGATGTGCTTGGTTCGCTACGGTGATTTTGGTGAGATCTATTGGTCGTCCAAAGAAGTCGGTCGGAGGCTAAGATCACATTTGTATATTAGTCTCGCTGAAGAGCCATGGTCAAGATTAGATACTTACCTTGTCAGCAAGGTCAACTTTGATGCGTTTTGACGGAGGGCCATCTGCATGATCACCTAGTCGAGTCCGAGACGGGGCATTCGACTTGTCGGATGAGCCAAAGAAACTGCGGAAACTTGGTTTGCTTCTCTCGACGATATCAACTCGTTGGCCGGTCAACTTCGCCTCAACCTAGACATTTGTAGTAAACTAAGTTGCACTTGGGCTATGACTGGGAGATATGGCCTACCTCGCCCGCGACAATGTGTCTGACAGCGTATCGGGTGACAGTAATGTCCACCGCTCTCTTCCCGTCATAATTGACGAAGACATCGATTGGCCTGGAATACATGTAAGTAGGCAGACAACCAAGAAGAAAAAATACGAACGGGTCAAGACGGTATGTCAACTGCCCATCTTCAGCGCGTTCCTGCATGAATCGTAGTTCCAACGAAGCCATGATATTAACAAGCCGCGTGAGGAGAGTCCGTTCCTCTGGTCTGACGATTTGACTATTCACCTACACCAAGTGTGAAAATACACCAAGGAATGAAAGAGAGGGCGAACGTACGGGCCGTAGAGGAGGCGATATTATGCGATTGAGATACGGCGCAAACTCCGTTTCTAGCACCGGTGAGGACATGAACTGTCTGTATGACCCTCCGAGTTTGCCGCTTGCTATGCGTATGCAACCTGCAAGCGATTTGAAGATCTCTTCGTTGGTCCTCCTTGTTTGCGAATGCTGTGATTTCATAGTAAGGAATATGTGGCTTGCACTGATTAGAAAGCTTATGGACTAACCTCCCAGTCAGCCTGACTTCGTTCCACCCTTGCTGACCCTCTCTCTTGGAACAGAGGGTGGAAGGGTATCAGTAGGTATGGAATATACTGGCTCAAGGCAAATTCGCCCTCGGAGTACATTGCTGAAGTCATGTAGTCGTAGACCCCCAACCACTCGTTGGCCTTCTCATATCGGGAGAAGTTGGCATCAAGTTGTCGAAGATTAGCGTAATGAGCAAAGCAGCCTAGTCCCAGTCAGTCGTTGAGCAGCGTCAAAACGACCAGCAACACTGACCAGTGGCGATGCTGCTTTCTTTGCCGACAGCATCTATCTCTTGACTTAGCCTTGATACATAGCGACCTTCCTGGTCTTCAGTTAAGCCGAGTTCCTTGACGCGCTTGCGAGTCATCGGGTTGAATAAGCTGTTGAGGACAGAAGATATTGTATTGTCGGCTTCTCTTGTTCCTGCAGTTGCGCGACGAATCATTGCCTCGGTGACCTCATCACTCCGGGACTTGATGAACTAAAAGTCGGTTGCTTAGTAGCCTGCTTAAACCAAGACAGTGACAAAACATACCTGCAAAGTATTGAGACAGCTACGGAGATCGCCTCTAGCGATGCCGACCAGCGTACCCAGAGCGCGTGTTTCTGCCTTCAGACCTTCAGCGTCGCATATCGTTCTCAGTCGCTTCACTGTATGTATATCCGCCGGTCGGGACATGCGTATTTGATATGCATAGGGCCGAAGCTTTGCGAGGCTCGCGGCGTTATGGTCGTTGCATATGCAAATGATTGGGCGTAGAATGGGTTTCTTTACTTCTGGGCCATTCTTCTGACCATTGCCTATACAACGTGAGATTTAGATCAACACGGATAGTGGAAGAAGAGCAACGTTTGCGCACGTTTCTTTTTTGATTTCTGCTGGGTAAGTTGGACGAGTTTATGGATGAATGTCGCAGACTACAAAATTTGCATTGAGCATCGTTTGGAGTGGGGAGAGGAGGACCCACGCTATCACCAGCTCCAGTAGCACCGTCAATTTCGTCAATGATGAGGAGTACAGGCTTCTTGCTGCCTATCGTTGCTCCCGCCTCAAGGGTAGGCTTTATACGATCATCGACAATTTGGCCGGAACGAGCGTCGCTGATAAGAGTGTGAATCAACTACCGTAAGACATTCGTGATTATTACAAACCTGGCATTGATCTCCATAACCTCATAGCCAGCCTGGCGAGCAATGACATGGGCTAATGTAGTTTTACCGAGCCCAGGTGGGCCAGATAGAAGCAACAACTTCTCAAGTGGTAAGCTAGGTGAAGCCCACTGATCTAAAACGAGACTTACTTTGTCTCGTGGTCTATGATACTCATCGTCGTCATATAGCTCTTCGTCGCCGTCTCTGGCTCTCTTCTTCCCTTTCTTCCGTCCGAACACACACCAGTCCCACATCTTCACCCACGTCATGGTGTCCCGAGCCACACGTTCACTTCCAATCAGCTCGACGTACCTGCGGGGACGGTAGCGGTCGACCAAAAGCGTGTCTTCTGGTGCGGCATTCTTAGTGTCTATCTCGCGACTTGGGAGGGCCCTATTGAGAACGTATTGCGCTTGAGAATTGAACGCGTATCTTTAGAAGTGCTGTGCTCACGCGAGTCTAGCAGCAGTAGCTGCGGACAACTCATCCATCAGCCTATGAATTGGGACATCGAGCAGCTTTCCAATCTTCTGACTTGACAGTTGTTGCGTTGGCTAGTAAACCATGCATTAAGGAGGGCAGCGCAATGTAAAGCCTGAGACTTACTTGATTCGTCAAGAGTTTTGACTTCTTCCTAATATACACGGCTTTACCACTAAAGGTACGGGCCTGAACGTTGAATCGAAGGGTGCTGGAGGAAGCTTGAGGAGGTCTATCCATCGGGAACGATGATGTACTCGATGCAATATTGGACAACAAGCCATTGGAAACAAACGAATGCGATGCTGGGGTAGTTTCGGTATTCGGCGCAGGTGTTTGAGGACTTTGGTCTTGATTCGCCTCGATTGGTTCAGTGCTAGAAAGAAGACCGTTGGAAACGAAGGAACGTGACGCTGGCGTAGTTTCGGTATTCAGCATAGATATTCGGGCACTAGGGTCTTGATTCGTGTCCACCGGTTCTGCGCCAGAAAGTAGACCATTGGAAACGAAGGAGCGCGACTCTGTCATAGAATCCTTGTCTAACGTAAATGTTGGGGGCTCTGAAAGGCCTTGATTCGCGTCCGCTGGGTCTATATGGCGCGTAGAAGTCGACGTATCTTCTTCGATGGGGTTCAAGAGGTCTGTGGGTACGAAAGAAGGGAGTTTTGCGGAGGTTGAGGGCTCAGTGGCGGGTTCCTTCTGCTGCCCGCCACCAAGTAGGCCGTTGGAAAGGAAGACGGCCATATGGTGAACTCGTTGAGGTGGATCAGTGAGAAGCAGTCGCGTCCATTATCACGCGTTGCACGAAATCACGCGATCACGTGTGAGCGATGGCCGCGCTAGGGGCTTTAGGAGCTTTGGGAGGTGACTACAAGTTTCAAATCAAGGCTCAGAGATTTATATCTTCAGCTGTCCTGAGGGTATAGAAATACATTCCTATTGGATACAATGTGGCGGCGATAACGAAGGTGTGTAGTATGGCAAAACTAGTGATGCCAGAATGCTATAAGTGGATAATGCTTATGAATGAAGAGCAACATAACGAAAAGGTGGGAGATGGGTATGGACTAGGCAACAGGTTTAAATAGTACTCCGTCTAAGCCGCCGCATGATAAGATCCCGAGCATCCCATTGATGCTTGGGGCGTTCAAAGGAATATGGAGTGAGCAAAAAGCGGCCCCGCCGAACTATTTCTAGCATTATAAATGAAACTAAGGCCAATCAGTCAGTGAACCATGCTTAAAACAAAGTTGACTTACGTATGAATTCCACAGGAGAAATAGAGTCATGTTGTGTAAAGGACAGGTAATTATGCCCAAGCCCCGGGATATGCGCCTTGATGAGGTGGCCTTTTGTAGGGCGAACAACGTTGTGGTGGAAAGCACCTTTAACTGCTTCTGAGTTATGATCGTAAAGCTAGAGAAACTGTAAGAATGATGCTATCTCATTTTTCAGTGGAGCAACACTGACAACTAGTGAATTCGGGGTAGCAGTCCAAACACAATCAGCGTTGAACCGGCTGGGTATCGTAAGAGCGTTATGCCTTTGGAAATCGAGTGAGACTGGGTTTAGGCATAAACATACGGACACATACCGGAAAGGAACACCAGTCGAGCCAAATAGCTGCTTCAACGGCCCGACTTTTTCATCACCAAGCGTGATGTCGGGTATCCGGCCGTTCCATGCGATTTCGCAGACGACGTCTCCCGCCGCATCAGATATCACCGTTCGCCGTTTTGGTACTTCAGCGCCGTCAAGCTCCCCATCCGACCCGGCTGCAGAAGTCTCGTCCGACCGTGATAGCTGGGTTATCTCTGAAGACGATCCTTCGGGGATATCTGGACTTGTTACGATTTGGTATGTCGAAGCGCCGGTATGGACATCGATCAGTGATGTGTTGAGGATGTCCACCGAAGTGAATTGGTAGAGGAATTGGGTAGAGCTAGACATTGGGAGGATGAGGAAGGGGCGTAGCTACGAGGGGGGATGATTTTGACCCCATGTCGATATTTGATGTCCACTGGCCGCCCCAAAAGGGAGTTGAGTTTATCTTTCCTAGTTGAGCATTTTGTTTATTCGTCCGCCCTCAACTTGCGGCTAGGCCAATGACACGCTTATCATAGGTCAGATGATAAGCCAGTCCAATCTATGGCCCTTAAGTTGCCATGCATGTCATGGCCTGAAATGGGCCAACGTTTGCGACGAGGAGAGGATGGTCGCAGAAGGGCAAGTGCTGAAACGCTGACAAATCAATATTCAGCCGCCTTGACTCCCTGAAGTTAGACCTTGTACCAGAAATATTTTCGGGTGGATTACCGCTTAGGACGGCATGCATCCGTTTTGGCAGGGAGGATAGAATTCATGCAACTCCAGAACCGAGGAAGAGTGCGTTTATTTTAGCATCAGCCCCTGATAGCTCCTGAGGATCACGCCGTGGGAAATCGCATGTGCTGCATCAACAATTGCCGTTGCTTGTCAGTGATTGGACAATGAAGGCCACAAACACAACCAGCCTTCAACGTCAACTTCGACGACGACCTCGACGACCTCCTCGACGACAGCAACCAGCTTGCTCTCTCGCAGAGTCTCTGAGTCTGGCTTAGACTAGCTTTCTTGGTCGGGTTCTCGCTCTTTCGGGCTTACAACCTCCTGCATGGTTATGGCCCAACGCCGTCCGCAACATAGAGGATCGCATACGACTGCTCTGGACAGCAGGAGGTATCCCTGCCGTCGATCGCCTCCTCAGAAACGCGCTTCAGCCCACCCAGCGCCCTCCTACGATACTGCGTTCCACGAAGTTCGACCAGTCCTTGTACCTCTACACCCGAATCTTCGACGATTGCCATCGCGGCTGGTGAACTCTGAGAAGGAAGACATGACGCGATATGAGAACGGACACTCGGACGTGCTGGCCGGTTCGAAGCGCAAGCGCGTTGTTAGCCGCAATGAAAATGTGAACGGTAGCAGCCGCGGCTCTCCGAAGAGGCTCAGGTCTGTCAGCTCCAGCTTTCGCGAGGACAGCAGCGAAGAGGAAGAGCACAGTGCCATGGAGGTTGACAGGTGGTCAGAGAGTCACGACACTGAAACTGAAGATGAGGAGTCTGAGGCGAACGCTGATTCCAGTAAGTTTCTCACAGGCAATCACTGAACGCGCTTTTCCGATTTCTTGCATGCAGGCGACGAACACCTCATCAACGAGGCTCCAGCAAATCAATTATTGCGTATGCGCAAGGATGAACTTGTCCGGTTGTACTCGTCTGCTGGCCTACTCGACGACGCGGAGGCGCTCACCAAACACGAGATCGTAGACGCCATAGTTGCCGCCCGAGACGACGTTGCAGAGCTGCCGCCATCTTCGCCTCCTCGTGGCGACGGTGATTCTAGTGATGGCTCCTCTGATGATGGTAATGTCGCCGGAGACGAGGAGACTGATTTCGCGCCTCGCCGCGCTTCCACTCTGCGACGCAGAGTGACTATCAACGACGTAGCACGCACCAGCAGCAAACCTCTACAAAAACGTAGTCTATCGATGGGACATTTTACCGGTGGCGATATCTCCGTATTTCCGTTGAGGAAAGCGAACCGCGCCCTCGGCGCTGATAAGAGGGGTTCGCAACGGTCAGATAATTCCAGGTATATTACTTTTGCGTAAGTTTATATATCATGCTAATCTTCTGTCGATAGGCGAAGAACTGTATCACAATGTTCAAGTGATTTACCCGCCGTTCCTACAGACCGATCCCCACCAGCCACACGTACCCGCTCAAGAAAGGTTTCTGCCCCCACTCATCCCATAACCCCTGTCTCCTCCACCTCCTCTCGAAGCAGCACACACAATTCAAAGGGTAAAGGCAAGGCGAAACAAGTCGAATTCTGCGATGAAGTATCCCGCAAGCTACGGACGCCAGCGAAAACAAAGAAACGGGAACGAAGCGCGGATAGCGAGTCAAGCCGCCGCGCAGAGTTAGATTTTGGTGAAAGTGATTTAACTGATTTGGACGACCAGTACGATGAGGTTCGTGCTGTGGAGCCGAGCCCACGGAGACTGAGGAGTAAGGATCGGCTTCCTTCGTACGGGGCGGAGAGCGCGCCTGTGAAGTCAAGTAGGGCTCGCACTAAGGCCGATAGCCAGGGATCGAATCCTGGTCGGAGAATTACGCCGATGCGGAAGGCGAAAGGCAAAGCTCAGTGTCAGAGAGAAGACGTTGATGAGGACAGTGGCGAGGATGAGGAAGACGTTGATGAGGTTGACGAAGATCAGATGGACGACGACGCAGAAGAAGCTGGTGTTGAATCCGATGAAGAGGCTGAGGTCGATCAACTTGTCTCATCTGCCTCAGTCACGCCGCCTCCACCGACTGGTCGGAGAACCCCCGTGAAACGCCGCTTGAGACCTCGCAGAGTTCAAACGTTCACCCCACCTAGTGATGGAGATGATGAAGGCTCGGGTGGGAATAGCGAGGATGGGGACGATGGAGAAGATGAAGAGTCTGGTGATGAAGAGGGCAGTGCTACTGAAGTCGCTGAAGAGGACCTGATTTCTGAACCGAGGCGGCTAAGGAATGGGAAGGTTGTTGGCGAGGATGATGCGGGCATGGAGGTTGAGGAAGACATTGAGGAGGAAGAGGAGGGGGAGGAAGACGTTGCTGGTGAGGAGGAGGAGGATGCCACAGATATGATTGAGGATGATGAGACCATTGGAGACTCTGAAGCAGATGCGGATGGAGAGACCGACAACGAACCTAGTGAGGAGGATGGTAGGTGTCCTTTCGCTGTCAATTTACCTGGCGCTAATGTGTTGCCTTTAAGTTGATCTCACCATTGCGACTGTCAAGACGTTAGTACGCCTCAAGCGTGACGACCTCCTTCGTCTTTGCGAGAGTCGTGATCTTGACGCCGTTGGGACGAAGCCCCAGCTCGCCGCGGCCTTGCTTCAATGGCGAGATCGTCAATCTGCCAGTATCTCTTCCCCGTCGTCCACCGGTACCGTGCGTCCTCCATCCACGGTCCGGCGTCGTAGGCACGGGAAAACATCAGCGCAGGACCCAACCACTCCAGTGTTGATGCGTTCAGATCGAGTGCACGTCGACGAACCGCGTACTCCTCCCTTCTCTAAAGACCGCATCAAGGAGCACGAGCCTGAGCTTGAACTCGACCTTGAGAGCTTGGGGCTAGAGGATAGGGAGATTCCGTATGAGAAGCTAACGAAGATGGAGAAGATTGGGAGTGGGGGATTCAAGGATGTGTTTATTGGCAAACTCAAGGGCAAGAAGATTGCTATCGCAGAGTTTAGGGGTCAACTCAGCGCAAGTATGTTGTCTTGTGTCCCTCTTGTATACACACGCAATGCTGATAGATCGCTTTCAAGTGGACATCAAGGAACTCAAACTATTGGGCGGATTCAATCATCCCAATATAGTTCGATTCGTAAGTATTGTATGGTGGTTTCTTATGAGTCCATGACCTGAAAATTTATTCAGCTCGGCGTTAGTATTCCTGAAAATACAAAGGAGACTCCGGTCATGATCTTGAGCGAGTTGTGCTCAAACGGCGATCTGTTCGACTACATTCGGAATGTTTCGCCACCATCTCTCCGCAAAGTGGTGCGTCCATCTCCTTTGTCCGCCTCGTAATTTGTTTAGACGTGCCCTTTTTCAGTTAAACATTATGCTTGATATAGCCAGAGGATTGGAATACCTACACCTACGCAAACCATCGGTGATCCACAGGGATTGCAAATCCTCGAATATCCTGATTACCTCCAAAGGCACCGCGAAGATAGCTGACTTCGGGCTCGCGAAAGTCAAGCAATCTACCCGATCCATGGTTAGAAGTCTCGTCGGCACCGTTAATTGGCAGGCGCCGGAATTGTGGACCGCACATCCCAAGTATAATCATAAAGTTGATGTCTTCTCGTGTGCTATGGTTTACTGGGAGACCCTTCAATGGCACTTGCCCAACAAGAAGTTTCCTTGGGAGGTGAGTATCCCTACCACTGAAGCTACAAGTAACGCGGAGCTCATAAGCGGCGCAGGGTATGAACGAGCACGCCATTTATGATATCGTAGGCGCTAAGCGGCAACGGTACGTCGCTTTTAGTGGATAGAGACTTCTTTGTTCTGATAGATAGTGTGTTAGACCATCGATATCAGGACTACGAAAACAATGGTGCCCCGAAATTGTTGATCTCATAGAGCATATGTGGGCACACGAACACCAAGATCGGCCAACCATGTCGCAAGTCGTGGAACGGCTAGAAGAGCTGATCCAGATGTATTAATTTCGACACGTTATTTCTTCTATGATTATAGTTGCACCATCTCAACTTTTCCTTTTTTTCCCATCTCGCATCACGTAGATGGCCTTCTGGTCCGTTTCGTACTCTATTCAACCCCCACAACTATTTCCTTTGCCACGCAATGTCATTATACCTGCAATGTATCATAGGCACCAATCCAATACAAAAATTACGTATAGTAGTAAGACTACTCTGTCCTTTCCCGCATAAATCGCGAAACTTTCTTAGGTGCGCTTTCGGTTGATTGTGGCGAGGCAGCTCGCTTCTCGGTTTCGAGGACCTTGGAGGACATGACCGTGGGTGGTCTTTGAGGACGTGACAAGACTTGGGGAGGGTATGACGGCGAATCTACAATCAATGGGTTGGATGCAGGGGGTGCAACCTTTGAAGTAGAAGGTTGAGCCACTCTTGTTGGTGTTGCACTCTTTGGAGGCCGTGGCGGTTTTGCGTCGGAAATCTCAAGTCGGTTGAATGCCGTGATGACTTTGTCGTTTACAGATCCATCCGTCGAAGACTTGGCATCCTGCTTTGATCGACGCGACGGCGGAACCACAGTGGAATGTACAGTACTTCCCTGCGGACCTACGTTGACCGCTTTACCCGTTTTTATCAGATCCAAGACCTCAGACACGATTGCATTTGTCTCTTCGTCAGAGCTTTCGCCTGTCGCACTAATCAACCGGCCGTCGTCATCGAGTTTGCCCAAGCGTATAGCGCTTTGTACGGTCTTGATGCTCGATTCGGGTATTACGGTTGGTAGCGACTGCGAGGGTGCAGACGCGCCGTATGCCGAAGCCATCTTAGCTGCACCGAACCGCGAAACGGACGGCTTTGAATCCTTGGCCAACTCCGGATCCTAAATCTCCAGTAAGTGGGTTATGTTGCGAGATGAAGATGGAAATATACCCTAGGCTCGTCGCCTTCAAGTTGCTCTATAGCTTCACGAGCAGCCGCTCCTACTGTTTCCCGTTTGGCATAGTACGCTAGCGCTATCTCGCGGTTATGCTGGGCGGTATCTATGTCATACTCTTCATCTTCCAGCTGAGGTGCCCCATGGGCATCCTCGTCATCCTCGCTATCCTCCACCTCGCTTGATCGGGACGAGTCGTCTTGGTGATGCATGCCACTTTCAGATACCTCGGATTGTACACTTTCGTCGTCTGAGTCTTCCTCTGCGATACTTGGGGCGATAGGTTGAGATCCACGTATTCCGCGCTCCACGACCTCCGCCTTCATAGGTGTGTTCTTGGACAATTGGGAGATGAGATTCGGTCTATCGAGCTTCTGCAAGCGAGCCAGGGATATGGTACTCGAATCGCCAGCGTATGTTCCTTCAGTCGTAGGATCTTCGGCGAAGGAAACCTTCTTCGAACTGGTTGATGCTGCAGCGGAGGGCTTTGCGGGCTCCATGGGTTTCGTTGACTTGACATCTCCCAAGGTGTTCAGCAGCGCCTTGCCCATCTTCCTTTGCATTTCCTTCTGCGCACGCATACTATGCAGGCTTGTTTTAGCAGCACCCTTCTTCTCCATACGCTCTTCCCGTTCCATTGATTCGGCCGCATCAATTCTTGCTTGTTCCAACCTTTCCTCTTCCTCTAGAAGATCAAATATTCGTTCTTGTTCGCGTTTCCTCCTTGCACGCTCCTGCGGGGAGAGCATAGACAAGGGGGTCAATTCGTCATCATCGAGCGAAGTGCCAGAGGTTTCGTTGAAGGTATCGCTATTGGCTATTGGTTCCGTGATCTCGACAATCGGTAGTCCCTCCTCATTCAAACGCTACAATCCAGTACGCTTCGGTTAATGCACATGCCATCTAACGGAAGAACCTACTTGCGCAGGATTATCGTAACTACTGGCAAATGCGTTGGCGGCATCTTCACCGACCAATTCGCTCAGCTTCGCAGTCAGCTTCTTCATGACATCTGAGTCTGGCGGGACGGCTGAGCCCTCTGGTAAAGGCACTCCAGCAATGGACCGAACGAGCGCATGAACAGCTAGCACCTCAGTTTGAGTCACCGACTAGGTAGAACAGAGTGGCAATCAAATACCTTCGACTGAACCATCTGCAAGGTTTTGCGTCTGGCCAGTTGACGGTGGCATCGTAAGTAGCTCGTAGTGCAAGAGTCCCCTATACACGTGACTTCCACCCTTTTATTTTCTATACTTCCATCTGTTCTGCGAAGTTAGAACATCGTCGAGCCCCCCGAAGCACATAACAAAACTGTAGAACGATGGGCGTGACACACATTGCTCAAGGTAACGCGTCGTCTACTTCTGGCCCCCGCAAGAACCGCCGACGAACGACCAAAAAGGCTCCCCGATTAGCTGACTTGCAGCACAACGATGGCGACGAACAAATGGACGATCTCGACCAGAAAGATAAGCCAGATGTACTGGAAGCATCAGGCTCGGGCGACAAGAAAACCACCGACGATGACGATGAAATTGTGATCGACGACGATGCATCATCTATACCGCAACCATCTACCCTACCTGCATTCGCCCCATTGCCTGCAAATGCTGATAAAACTACCTTGAAATCGGAAATAAGGAGAATACCCATACCCCCTCATCGAATGACACCCATCAAGGCGGATTGGATCAACATATTTGGGCCGTTGACGGAGATCCTGGGATTGCAAGTGCGCATGAATGTACAACGGCGAAGCGTTGAAATTAGGGTATTATTCTACCTTTTTGTCTCGATCTCAATCTAAGAGTGTACTAGACATCAAGGCACACAAAAGATATCGGTGCACTTCAGAAGGGCGCTGATTTCGTGAAGGCATACGCCCTCGGCTTCGACGTCAAGGTATGTGCAACCGTACTTGTAATGTATACCTGAGCTCACTAGTAGAGAAAAGGACGCTATCGCACTACTACGTCTCGATGATCTTTACCTTGATTCGTTTGAAATCAAGGATGTCAAAACCTTGCACGGTGACCACCTGTCTCGAGCCATAGGTATCCATCCCGCCGTTCACGAACCCAAATCATGGCTAACTCGCATTCTATATTCTATAGGCCGTATTGCAGGACAAGACGGCAAAACAAAATTTACCATCGAAAATGCAAGCCGCACTCGTATTGTACTTGCCGATACGTCAGTCCTTTCATCTCTCTTACGCTCCCACCTCTGCTGAACATCAATTACAGTAAGATACATATTATGGGCTCATTCCAGAACATCAAAATTGCTCGGGATGCCATTGTATCCCTCATCCTAGGCTCACCTCCAGGCAAAGTCTACGCAGGCCTTCGAACAATCAGCAGTAGGATGAGGCAGCGCGCTCTTTAGAATTCTACTATACAATCTACATGCATATGAGAGAGGTACATTTGTAATAGTTAACATACAGTGCGAAGGATGGTGTTGTACTAGCAGTGTGCAAAGCGGTATCGAGTTAGAAATGAGATTACTCTGCGGTGTCATCTTGATTGCTCTTGGGCGTTTGGGCGGCCTTAACAGTTTTGCGCACACTGCATCGGACGATTGAGTGTTTTGATAAGGGATGATGATCGAAGGTCGTACTTAGCTATCGCAGCTTCGTCAACAGGAGGGCTGTGTCCGTCCCCAACCATGACTCCGACCAGTTGGCTGGGCACGCCATCCACTACAACCGCGAGCCAGGCAGGACCAGGCGGATAAAGGCCCTCGTCTTTGGGCCCAGATACTACGAAACTGTTCGCCTTGGATGATTGATGCTTGAGATATACCAACCGAGAGTTGGCGTGAACAGAATGGGTTATGAATCCTAAGTCCATCATGACAACTACAAGTATGTCAGCATGAATAAGCACAGAATACATATTCACTCCTACATTTGACAGTATCCGCATCCAAGTTGTTGGGGATGCTAACGTGGAGGTCGAATGTTTGACCGTAGTGTATGTTCTTCGTGTATTTAGGCGATATTGTAGGTCTCTCCTTGGCCATATAGGGAGGGTTTAACCACTCTACCCTATATTCGGTTCCATATTTCATCTCGCTGCGATCGAGATTTGGGTTGCTGCCAGCAATCATGACTGAACCATCAGGCGTCAGCGTTGCGACGCTGTGGTACAAACGCGGAATGTCGCTGGTTGGAAGACCCTTCGTCGAGAAGCGTTCTCCCTTTGGTGCGCGTGGATCGTAAAGAACAGGAGTGAACCGAGGATTGGCAGCGTTTGACTGGCCCACTTGATGTTGAACATTGCCGTACCCGGAGATGCCGCTACCTGCACCGTTGACGATAAGAAGCTGACCAGTAGGTAGTGTTACTATGTCTAGCATAACCCGACCTTCAGGCATATGCTCGACTTGCCATCCCTTCGATATGCCCTCATCCGTGAGCACCATTCGAGAGCATTGCGAAGAAGCGGCGGTCAGGGCCGAGAGTTCGTATCCAGCTAGTCTATCATCGATGGTAGACCCTCCGCAAATCAGAATTTCAGGCGCGTAGTTTGTATCAGGATCCAGAGGCAACAACTGGCCCGCGCCCGTCATTGGGTACGTGACGCGGACTCCGTTCGGAAGTTGTGGTAAAGCACGCTCGGAATTGGTTTTCCAGTCATAGATTATCGCATCTCGATTCGCAGCAATAAATAGGGTTCCGTCTGGAAGCAAGAACACAATTGGGAACAGATTGGAGTTGAGAGTACGCTGAAGGAATGGGAGTGGGATAGGAAGGCCAAGATAACCGTGGATATTCTTCGGAGGGTAGAATTCAACCGTCGGGTTGTTCACCGTGGCATTATTGATCCAGCCACCCTTTTTAGAGCCACCGACAATGATCGCGCTACCGTCTGTGAGGCGGGTAACGGTATTGTACCATCTAGGAGAGGCCATGTGCAGTGTATCGTGGTTTTCGTAGAAGGCGCAGTCGACAGAAGATCCAGAGTTACAGGGACCAAATAGCCGTATGGATTGAAGTCCATTGAGATCACCAAAGCTTGCAGCTCCAACGCGATCCTCTACGACCGGATTCCCGCCTACGTTGATCATAGTTCCGTTACTTAGATACGAGCCACCAGCGCAAAACGAATTGGAATCCATCGCGAGTGGCCGGACGGAATGAGTTTTTAGGTTGTACAGAGCAGCCCAAGCTGGGTGGCCGTTGATCGCCAAAGGGTTGTGCTCTACTTTATCAATTATTATCGCGTGCTCATAAGAGACAATGGCGATCTGCATGGCCTCGACACCCGTAGAACCTTTCTGAGTCAATCGCCAGGCAGCGGTAACACTTGTATCGCGGCGAGGCAAAGAGGCGACCTGAGACGCTTGCGCTGGGGACTTTCGGTTCGAAGAGCGTTTTGAGTTTGTAACAACGAAGGCGGATATATCCAGGTACGGGCCACAGTTGATTATTTTGATGGTATGCTTGTCCGGCGCAAGGTCAAAAGTCCAGAAAATACGTTGTTGGGCCAGAGTTTTCTCGCTCCAGGGCTTGATAGTTTCCAGGAGGACGCCGTCGATGTAGATCCTCGCACAGCTGATTGTATCGCTGGTAGTCCCGAAACCTTCGATGCCATTCCCATGGAAGGAGAACAAAACATAGGCGTCTATTCGAGGCGTCCAACGAGACGTGTGATGCGCGTAAGAGGGAGAGTACGAGGTTATCCATCTTCCTGAGAATTCCAGTAAAGGCGAGTTTGCATCGTAAGCCTTTGCTCCAGGTGGAACATAGTATGGCGTGAATTGCATATCGCGATCCGAAGAGGGAGGGACATAGCCATTCCAAGCGGATTCTCGCCCTGCAGAAACTGTGATCGCATAGGCCAGAGACTGCCAAACGAGCATCGCCAATGGGAAACGTGCGCAGGTGATCATGATGGGAGAAGAGCAAGAAGCCAAACTCAACCAAGCCGTAAAGTCAAGCGTCTATATAAGGGAATCGACGTCGCGCCGACGCCAAGACCAACAGGTAACAAGATATTTGTACAACTATTCTAGCTATAGATTACGACAAGAATACATATGATATAAGATACAGCAAGCTTTCATGCGGTATTGAACGTGTTGTATAGGCCAACGGTGTCGTCAGCTCCGTTGGTTTGGGTTCCATTGACACGCATGTTGTCCTTTCGACTCGGTCCCACTTCATTTCCAATGCCTACTGAACCGTTTCCATTACTCTCAGCGCGTCCTTGCCCTTCCATGTCACCCTGCCCGGATCCTGACAAAGCCAGCTTTCCACGGGTGTTATCTGCCCTCAAAGATTCCAGATGCTGTAGATAGCCTTCATCCACGCCTCCAGTGACGTATTCACCAGTGAAAACGGAGCAATCGAAAGTCGTCAACGAGGGATTGAATTGGCGGACGGAAGAAATGAGGTCGGGGAGTGTTTGGAATATAACTAGGTCAGCGCCGATGGCCGATGCGATCTCAGACGTGTCCCGATCGTGTGCCACCAGCTCCGCCCTCGATGGCATGTCAATTCCGTATACGTTTGAATATCTTTTTAGCCGGTCGATGTTAGTGAAATAGGTGACGTGTCCAGATGTCACACTCGCCGTATAGGTGGCGCGCAGCTAGCGACGATAACCTTTTTTGCCCCGACATCTTTCGCCATCTGGATGATTTCCCTGGATGTAGTGCCTCGAACAATTGAATCTGTGGGTGTGGGGTCTTTAACCAGCGCACGGACTACTACTCTGATCTAACGTACCGTCAACAAGGAGGACATTCTTGCCACTAAACTCCAGGGCCATGGCGTTGAGCTTTCTTCGGACATTCTTTTTCCTAAAGCGACACAGTGAGTTTGCATCAACATTTCAAGATTTATCACACACCTCATTTGCTGGCCAGGCATGATGAATGTGCGACCAACGTATCGATTCTTGATGAAACCTTCTCGATAGGGAAGCTTCAACTTTTGCGCGAGATTGAGAGCGGCGACACGTGAAGTATCGGGGACCTGGAAGACAATTCAGTATTGTCAGCTCTAGGAAAAGATAGGTTTTCACGTACGGGAATCACAACATCGACACTGAGGTTCTGCTCCGTAAGAACGCGTTGTACTTCATCGGCCAGAGCATCTCCCATAGCCATGCGGCTTCGGTATACGCTGACGCCATCCAAGACGGAGTCTGGTCGAGCGAAGTAAACGTATTCAAAGATGTCTGGAGCAAATTGAGCAGCAGGAGCGACTTGGCGGCGAGAGACATTGTTTCGTGTTATGATGACGGCCTCACCTAAGGATTATTCAGTACGTGGTGATGTACTGTAAGTGTATGAGCATACCGGGCCGGACATCCTCCCACTCCGAGAATCCACTTGCATCCGCCACGACACTCTCGCTAGCAAACAGATAATCTTTGCCGTTTCCTGACTTCCTCGAAGCCATACCGACAGGCCGAATTCCATTGGGGTCTCTGAACGCGATGATACCAAACCCAGCGAGCATGGCAACACAAGCGTAAGCGCCTCTGCACTGTGACATGAGCCCTCCGATGGCTGTGAAGATATCATCTTCATTGATTCGAAACTTTCCTGTCTGCTGGAGGTTGTCCGCGAAGATATTCAAGAGCAGTTCTGAATCCGAGGAAGTGTTGATGTGCCTGTGTGCCGTGGCGTCCATAAACTGGAGCAGGCTCGCGGTGTTAATCAGATTGCCATTCTACGTGATGCACACTCAAGTCAGTAATATTCCTGGACTCATGTATGATGTTACACCACGCACGTGTGCAAAAACAATTCCATATGGTGAGTTGACATAGAATGGTTGCGCTTCTGCGTTATTGAAGCTTCCGGCGGTGGGATAGCGCACTAGATCGTGTAAGATTTTGAGGTTCCTAGGCACGTTTTGAACATACCATGACCAACGCCCATCCCACCAACAAGCCTGGATAACGACGCGCCATCAAAGATATCTCGAACCATCCCGTTGGCCTTGCATTGAAAGAAGCGTCCCTTAGGGCCACAGGTTATTATTCCGCAGGCATCTTGACCTCTGTGCTGCAGCAATGCAAGACCCTCGCATATTTCAGGGGCTGCATCAACGCTGGGATCATGCAAGAGTAGTCCCAGAATACCACACACTAGGATTCAATTAGTTTGTCTTCGCGATTTCCAGAAACGAGGCGACTCACTGAGAAATTCTATCCCAGAGATCTGAGCAAATGGACGAGAGAAGGATGTGCCGGTGACGAATTCATTGAAAAAAGTGAAATTCTGATAAGGAAAGAGGGCGATCGATCAGTTCCGGTCCTTCTCGAAACTGATAAGATAACGAGATCACTCTTCGCCACCATCCACGATAATGGCCACCAACTACACGAGCAACGCCTTTGTCGTGTCTGCCGGCTGCCTTTTAGTTCGACTAGTAGATGGCGTTGATCTTCAATTATGTATTCTATACAACACTACACGGGGGAAATGGGTGTTACCCAAAGGTCGGAAGGACTGCGGCGAATCCATTGAGGCCGCAGCACTCCGAGAAACGTTCGAAGAAACCGGGTACTCCTGCGAATTCTTGCCATGCACGATGGAGACCCGTGCGCCTTTACCTGGTGTTGATCTCCATCCATCCAAAGTCCTCACGGTGGAACACGCAATCGAGCCATTCGCCGTGACACAACAGACGAAGAATGGTGCGATGAAGTTCATCTGGTGGTTCATCGCGCGTCCCACGTCCTCCAAAAAGGTCCTCGGAACTCAAACTACCTCGGAGGCTTATGATTCTCACTTCGTCTCCATCGACGACGCCGTTGGTCGATTATCAGACCAGCAGGATCGAGAAATAGCAGCAAAAGCGCGTCAGATCATCGGAGACACAGCTGGACAAGGCGAAGGGCTGGCGGCACTTTTCCAGGACAACAATGATATGTTGGATGTACGCGGTTGAACGCGATATATTTATGCTAGAATTACATGTCGTCTAAGATGCTGTAACGAAGATAGCGATGCGTGTAGAAGGTGGTTATGCGTGAAGAGTATAGGTATATAACGGTAGATGCCAGGTGTGACGAAATGCCCATACAGAAGGATGAACTTCCAAGACGACAGTGGTGACCAGAGGGAGATCAGAGCTTGAGGGGCTTGGGCTTCTCCCAGGAGTACTCGGGGTTGCCTGTGGACATGAAGGTCAGCGAGTGTTGATTGAATAAAAGTAATATCGAGATGCTGACCGAAGTGGCCGTAGGAGGCGGTCTTGAGGTATTGTGGCTTTTGGAGACCGAGTTCCTGGACTGTACGACGCGTAAGCATGCGCCAGTGGTTCGAAAACCAGATAGACATACCAATCACACCAGGTCGGAGATCCCAGTTGTTACGGATGACTTCGACAAGGTCCTCATCGGACTTCTTGCCTGTGCCGTAGGTGTCAACGTGAATGGACAGCGGTTGAGCGACACCGATGGCATAGGAGAGTTGTACGAGTGCGCGGCGGGCGAGGCCAGCAGCAATGAGAGACTTGGCTAAAATCGTTGCACGCGTCAATATAAGAGCGTAAGGAAGTGTAGAAGCACGTACCAATCCAGCGGGCGGTGTAAGCAGCAGATCTGTCGACCTTTGAGAAGTCCTTTCCAGAGAAAGCACCTCCACCATGGGCACCCCATCCACCGTAGGTGTCGACAATGATCTTACGACCAGTCAAACCGGCATCACCCTGGGGTCCACCGATGACGAAGCGGCCAGAGGGTTGGATCTGAGGAGAAATCACGTCAGGTCTAATACCAAAGATCAAGAGACTAGATAAACATACGTGGTAGACAGTTCGGTCGTCGAGAAGGTGAGCGGGGATGACTTTCTTGACAACTTTCTCCAGGAGTTCCTTGCGGAGGTCCTCAGTGGAGATTTCTTCGGCGTGCTGGGTAGAGACAACAACGGTGTCGACACGGAGGGGGATGGTGGCACCACCGTCCTTCTTGTACTCAATGGTGACTTGAGTCTTGGAGTCAGGTCGGAGCCATGGGAGAGCACCGGAGCGGCGGGCAACGGCCATAGCGGCGTTGAGCTTGTGCGCGAGCACGACAGTCAGAGGCATGTACTCCTCCGTCTCGTCGGTGGCATAACCGAACATGATACCCTGGTCACCAGCACCAAGGTCCTCGAGCGAACCGTGGTCCAACCCCTGAGCAATATCAGGAGATTGTTGCTCAATGGCGACAAGAATGTTGCAAGTCTTGTAGTCGAAGCCCTTCGACGAGTCATCGTAGCCAATCTGCTTGATGGTCTCACGAATGACTTTCTGGTAGTCAATGAGGGCCTTGGTCGTAATTTCTCCGAAAACCATGATCATGCCGGTCTTCGAGGCGGTCTCGCAAGCAACCTTGGAGAAGGGATCCTGAGCCAAGCAAGCATCGAGCTACAAAGTAACAGGACAATTGAGCATGCGGCCAAACGAAAAGGACGCGACACTCACGATGGCGTCCGAGACTTGATCACAAATCTTATCTGCAGAACTGCTATTAGCGGAAAGACGCGACTAGCAGTTGTATTCCCATACCAGGGTGACCCTCGCCGACAGACTCAGAAGTGAAGAGGAAGTGACCAGGAGCCAAAGACATTGTTGAAGACGAGAAACGGGGACTTGAGTAAGGTTAGAGGGGATCAAGTTGATGTTCCTACTTCGCGCAACAGTTCACAGTTTTATTGCACTTTACCTCGCCCTTGATTATGTCAGCTTGTCGTGATCGCCGTACGCGACATCACGCCATTTGACAAGTTCGGGCTCGCTAAAGACAGCGAAGAGGCTCAGTACGGGGAAAATTATGGACCCGCAGTAGAATTGAGCACTGAACTGGGTTGAATATACAAGAATCACGTATGTTACAACAGTCCAACCCCAAGAGGATCAGATTGACTAGTAATTGCGGCGGCAGACGGTTGCGCGCTGGAACCAGAGTCAGAAGGCGAAGGGGACGGAGTAAACTGCCCCACACTCTCTGCGCCCGTAACCTTGCTCGACTGTGAAGATACAAGTGAGGCGGACCTGGGTGTGGGACGTGAAATAGTTGGATCGTGAGGGAACAGCCCTGGCGATGCAAACAAATTTGTGTCCGATACGGACGTTCCAATCCCAGTGCCACTGATTCCGACAGAGTTCCATGGATTCTCACTCAGTATATCTCGAGGTAACGGAGAACGTCGTGCCGTGTTGCTGGCCCACGGGTTCGACTCCAGTGGGGGAGTGACATTATTGCGCGCCCTCTGCTCGTCGTTCCAAGAACCCAAATCATTCCGACCAAGTAGTTCAGCTGCTTTAGAGGTTTCAGGAACCTTGGGATCTTTCCTGACTTCCTGGTAAACTTCCTGCACGACAGAGAAGGCGGCCGTTGCATTAGAGGATAACTTGCCCCACATTGACCTGACGCCGCCACTAGAGAAGAAATCACCAGGTTTGGTCGGAGTACCTCGAAGGGAAGCACTCGATGGAGGCGAAGGTGAGCTCGGACGCTGATAATTAAACGGGGTTGAATTAGTTCCCGAAGGAGACATCATCTCCCTGGACGAAGATGCAGCAGGTAGATCGAGCATCTTGGACCCTATACCCCGCGAGGGAGAAGTGCTGCGAGAAGGCGGTTGCGCGGGGCTAAGGGAATTGATAGGTGGCAATGAAGGGGAGGCAGGTTTGGACGGAGAAGGTGGCAAACGGACGGAGGCAGGCGTAGCTGTCCGTATTACCGGGTCATCGTTGGCGTCTTCGATAGGACCCACTTCCTCGACGTCCCGAATCAAAGGCGCCACGATTGCTCTTCCGTTCATTTCTTCATCAGTCCGACCATAGAGTTCGTGCCAGAATCGTACATCTTTGGGATTTGGGAGAAGTACGCCCATGTCGGCACCAGTGTCGCGATTGGTGGGATCATCGAGGGAAGGGTCGTACTCTGGGTTGCGATTCTGTTCCATCTCTGGGGCGGAGTTGAACAAATCCCATACGCTGACCGTCTGCTCACATGGAGGTGGTCCATCTTCGCTGCATCGTCGGTCACGCTCGGTATTGAACAAGAATGTGCCGAACTGGCACGAGTATAGGTGATAATGCAGCCTGCGAAGGAAACGTTCATTGAACTCAAACCGCTTCGGAAATTGGCGTTGCAATTGTCTTATGGACTCCAAGAACTGGTGGAAGGTTGGGCTTGTCTCTTTCACATGGTGTTGGGAGGCGAAGCGATTTTGGACAGAGGCCAAAAACGCTTGAGCAGCTTCGGCTCCCCCAGCTGCGTTCCCTGACTCTGGAGGCGGAGTGACGAAGAACTTGTCAGAGGATAGATGACCGCATCTGTCCAGAAATTTGTGCCCAAACGAAACCCAGTCTTTCTCCACCAATACCTGGAAGCCGCGTATTGTACGGTAATACGGATCGAGGCAAAGTTGAGCCAAGGCTGACAACTGGGATGTGCGATCCCATCCATCCGAGCAATGAATAAAGACGTGCGAGTTGTTGACGTGAATATTGCGAACAATGATCAGAGTTCCTTCCAAGAGCGCGGTCATGTGTCGAAGCCATCCAGAGCGGCGAAGGGCTTGCTTATCCAAAACGAACGCGGGCGTCGACTCCAAGTCGTTGCTGACGGTGAGACTGGAGTCTGCTTCGCGTAGTACTTCAACAACCTTACCCAACGAGTCTCTCATCGTGTGTATGTGGTCGATTCCCAGGTACACTTTCTTTGCATCCTTGTAGTTATCCATGTTTTCTGTGCCAGCGCCCTTCGCAGTATTCGCTACAGCATTGGCAGTAGGACGGGCATCAACTATCAAATTCGTGGCCGTAGCCCCGTAAATGGGTGCAGTGGAGACGCGCTGAGACGGTGCGTGGTGGGAATGGAAAACGGCCTCGAGGAGTTTCTCGTCCTGAATAGACCGGTTTTGAGTGATTCCGACCATGGGTTGACTGGCCCTGGTTATTGAGGCCTACCAACAAACCCGGTCAGTGGACGTCAGAGGTGAGATGGGTGGGGATTACAAAGTTGCCCCAATGTAAGTATGTCAGCGCCGGGATTCGGGCTTTACTTCGATATTTAGAAGCATATTGTAGTGTCGCGTCGCTAATTTTGGTCGGTACGACAAGGCGTGCGGGATATGTGGGACTAAACTGGCGCACGTTAACGTTGGTTGATAATTCGGCGATCCTTTGAGCAGAGCCAACCCACAGAGTAATCCTTGTTGAGATCTGTGAACCGCCAGGCCTTCGATCTGGTGCCCATACCCATGCGCATGAATTCATCTCGGGGTGAGTATATCGACCATCCGTTGTCGGTGGTCAAGGGAGGTTCGGGTCTATAGAAGAAGGCATAGAGTTGATTCACGGAGGCTTGAGGTTGAATGAGCTGCGCAGCGTAGCTCTAGGGTTATGGTGCTTACTAGTCACTGTAAGGGCTTTGACGCTTTCAAAGACGTCTCCAGCATCGACATCTCTATCGAAGAAGATAGTGAATGTCTCAAAAGTTCGTGAGTGGAATGTAAGGGGGCTTTGTCCCTTCAGCGTCTGAGGTAGACGTGTAACGAGGGATATCAATGGATACGGAACCTGGATAGATGCAGAGTAGGCTGACGATCTGATTAGAGGTTGTATCGTCGACTTACCCACATCTCCTCAACAGTCTGGTCATCGTATCGAAATATGAGGTGGTGAGCAGTCAAGTGAACTGTTCCCAAAAGCGTCGTCCCAGACTTTGTGCATGATACATGCTCGACCTAGGATCCTGGTGAGTTCTCTTGCTTTAAGGGGCGCGATTATGCGTGCCTTTGAAACACGAATCGAATCCATGGCCTCTCAAGCCCTAGGTATGTCTGCGCCGGGAAGGATGTGGTAGAAAGCCAACGATCATGATACTGTCCTCGAGCGACAGTGGCAGAACAATCCATGAATAGATGGACTCTTAGAGGCTTGCATTCCCACGGTAACTTAGCCCAGCTAATTCTCTCTGTTGGTCAATATTGGTACGGACGTAGCTCATACGAGTCCAAATGTACTGTAACAGATCACCACAACAATCCAGCAGCAATGCCAGCAGCCACCAAGATACCAGCTCCCTTGCCTCCGGTCCCTGCTGCACTAGAGCTTGATTGTGCGGGAGCCGCCTCCCCTGTGTTCGTGGGAGAGCCAGAAGTAGTATCGGAGGCAGAGGTTGGGGCACCAGTAGCAACGCTGAGCGGGGCACCAGGAGCCCCAGCAGAGGTTGCGCCAGCTGGTGGCGGGGTAGTGGTGTCGTTACCAGGGTTTGTCGATTTTGCAGCGTTCTAAAGAAGACAGCATGCTATTCAGACAGTGTCTCTGCTTATATGTAGAGGTAGCCGTACCTGGAATGCATCAAAGCTCTTGTCAGCTGTCGGGTTTACAGCGAAGACCATGCCGTTTTGACAATGACTACAAATCATAAGTGAGTATGACCAAGGTAATTAATGTCGAGGTCGTACTTGACGGGGGCGGTCTGCGCGCAGAAGAACCAAAGGGGTGCGCTAATGTTGTTGAGCGTGAAGCTCCATTCAGGGAGGGTTGTTGCGGCGGGGTCGACACTGAAGAATCCTGAATCGATACCTTCCACAGGCGTGCTCATCCGCGTGCATGGTGCGAGGAAGGTGGATTGAGTCACAGACTAATTTTAGAGGGTCAAGGTCATCACTACCCAAGTCCCAACGACACAGCTTACGTGGTTTTTCGCAACACTGCACAGATGAGGTGTCAACGCCGTGGAATTCCAAAAATGTCACATAAAGTACTCACAATTGGAATGCAATCGTGTCGCCTATTTGGGCATTGTCGATACTGAATCCGACAGCTATCATTAGTGAAGGAGTCGACTAGATGGCATCCATTTCCTTACGATGGTGGGCTAAACGCAAGTCCTCCCTCGCCAACCTTGACCGTGAAGTTGGTGGCGCTGACACCGAGAGCACCAAGGAGGGTAGTTGCAATAATCGTAGAGTACATGGTTATAATTCGGATTTATGAGTATGAAGCTACTTGAAAGACCGACGTCGAGCCTATGGGAGACATGAGTAACGACATGGTGTTGAAGCCCAAGGAAGAGCATTACCCTGCTCGTGAGTGAAAGTAAAAGACTGGCTTGGGCGAAGGAAACGAAAGAGGGTTCCAGGAAGGAGAATTCAACGGAAACAAACCTTTATACTGGGAACATTGCCTGCATAATCCAGTTCCCATAGCTACATATGATGGGCTTGAAGCGCTTCTCAAGTTATTCTTAGATGTGCTGCGTGTGCACAAAACGACATCACATACCCACAGTGGCAGTTCTGACGGAGTCCATTAATTCGGAATGTCTTGGATAGACAACGGGCGACCTACATGATGCAAGGATCGCAATGATTGGCTGCGCCTGTATCATCTAGTGTAGAGAGGGCTATGAGACGTGCTTGATATGTTGATGATGCAGATGGTAGCGGTTGCCGAAAATACGATTTGATGGCTTCAGTGGGAACTGATATTTAATGAATGTGAAATGCGACGGGCGAATCAGATGAGGTATCGCCATGAATGCGGCATAGTTGGTATTCCTAGTGTACAAGAAAAGGGAAAATGCGCAGCAACCACAACAGGACGTAAATGCATACATACTGAGAACAGAACTGAGTGAGAAGACATAAAGGAAGGATATAGCAATAAACTCAGCAGGATATACGGAACATGGATAAGTGTATAGGCTCCCAAAACTCCGGCCAGCACACGGAATCAAAGGTCAAGGTGGCTTGATGATCATTGGATCGAGCACTTGCAACCCCCCGTTTGCTGACCATACGGGTCTTCTGCTCGCCCTACTGTACCCCACACAGATGGTACCTGCCGCTCGTCAATAAGGTGAGAAGTCAGGTACACTGGATGGAACTTACAAGGTAGTCTTTTGTCGATTTGCAGTATTTGATCAAACTGACGAATGAATGCGTCCATACGCGTCCGAAGAAGACAAGAAAAAGAGAGCACACACCTGGCACTGGCCTCGCTAACTTTTACTCTAGGCCTGGCCAAATCCTCCCTCAGTCGTTGATTATGCTCTAGTAGCCGCCGTAGCTTCAGCTCGGACATTGACTGACGGCCGCCTGTTCTCGAGTTCATCGTGGTTTTCGCTATAAGTTGGGTTTTATGCTATAAACGCAGGTCAGATGGCCCGAGATTTGAACCTAGCAGAATACGCACGGAAGCAATGATTGGTGTTAGCGGAAGAGACAGACTACAGCGCACAAGGCCACGTTTGCGCGTCGGTGAATGTGGTGGGTTTTCTCCGAAATGCTAAGAGTAGGCGACAGAGCCGACTAGCGAAATTGAACGTCGTCGCCGTTGAGGATCAAGTTATTTTCAAAACTCTCCCAATCAAGGTCATGGGAATTATGCCAAATTACAGACAGGTCAGCAATTTGCTACAGTTTCCCCGATACGTTAGGCTCATCAGAGTACTGACAGACTCAATTATCAGGCCATTAACGTATTCCAGAGTCCAGACGTCCAGTTGTTGATATATAGTATTAAAGAAAATATGCGACAGAGATAAGACCGACCGAAAATAAAAGATGAAGCACATGCGGAACAAGCGAATCAACTCATGATGCCAACTCTAGTTATACTTAAACGAGCGTGATTTGGATGGGTGCGAGAGGGAGTTGTCGATACAGATTATGCGAGGCTATTGTTGGCGTGATGGTTGCGATGATGGACCGGAATGCCATACGGCGGTGAAGAACACTCCGTCTTTGTCCTTCAATCGTGTTCTCGCAGGTATGGAAGACGGGTGTCGATGGGCAAGAGGATATATGGTCACATTATCGTGCAATTGCATCCCTGCGCTGGAGGAGCATAAGGATCTTCGCCTTTGCCCACTGGTCCCCAAACAGACGGTACCTGGAACGAGTTAGCAGGCGCTACAGCAGAGAGCTGAATCACAGAAGTACCAGGTGGTCTTTGGTTGTTTTACAGTACCGAATAAGGCTTGGGAGAAATTTGAGATGAAGTTCGGGACGCAGACCTGACAACTCACCTGGCAGACGCTTCACTGACTCGCACACGCGGCCTGGCCAAATCTTCACGCAGCCGTTGGTTGTGCTCCGTCAGTCTGCGAAGCTTGAGCTCAGACATGGATTGCTGTGGGCATTATTGTAGTTGAGAATGGAAGTCCTGGGTGTGAAATTTGTCTGCTCACCTTGTGTGGACGAGCGTTCATGGTGGCAAGTCGAAAACAAAGGGTGGGCTAGGGAATGGGGCCAACGACGATGGGGCGCACGCAGCGGCACTGAGGACGAGCAACGATGGGTGAGAAGGAGAGAAAAGTAGGAGCGAGGTACGGGAACTGACAAACCGCCTCAGAGATAGGACCTCCATCAGCGGAGTTTCAATTTCTCTCTTTACCGCCCATCATCCAATTGATCTCATGGTACGCGTGCAGAAAGTCCATCACCAGCCTCCCCGTGGCTGTCTATCACCTCTGGATGCCCAACGGCTGCGGATCAAGTCACCAAGATTCAGTGAGTTGATTGATGCCCAGTGTCGACCAACGAATGATTGTGGTTTCGTTCCAGGAAACAACGCGACACGCCGTTCCGAGCACAGCAAGGCGCGTAATTCCACACGCAACGGGGAAGGCTATGGCAACAGCCCATTCAATCATCAGCCCAAACATGATCTCTCTTACTTTGGGCTCAATGACAAGACTCTGCAAGACGAGGAATCGAGTGAGAGCGAAGACGAGTTGTTTCAATGGGAGGAAGAGGAAACGCTTGTTAATGCCTTGATCAACGATGGGTAGGTGGATATCGCGCATATACGATCTTTCTGTTCATACGCTCGCCTATCAGCGCGCCAGTGCATCTCGAGAACCAGAGTTTGATGACACTAGTCGACTCTTTGCAAACCTCATTTGCAGCGCAGGGAACAAAGGTCTTGCATGGTCTGGCCCAGAACTTGGTACCCGCTGCGAAACGCGTAAAGGAAGTCCATCGTGCACTCGAGCAAGGAATCGACCTCATGTATGCGCAAGGACTTCTTACCTTCGACAATGCTTGTCAATCTGCAGAGGCCGCCGCGACACAACAGGAGGGCCAGCTACTACGGTCCTACTCGGAAGCCCAGGTCCCATAACTACATCTTCTGATGATCCTCGATTAACCCGGACGCTCTAGACTAATTTACAGAGCCTTTTCGACGAGCTCGAAGGACTATATGCGCAAAGAAAAGAACTATGGAAGACTCTTGAAGACAACATGGAGCGAATTGGTAATTCAGATGGATCTTGCCTCAACCTAACATTGCTCGGTCTGTCTAATAAGGTCATGAACATATAGATACCCCCATTCGTAACGATCTGAAGGACCTCCCCGCTCGTCTGGAACGTACCATGACTGAACTCGAGAAGCGAAGCAAATCCTTGACGAAAGACGATACGAAGGCCTCGAAGGACGAAGCTGCATACCTCAAGAGTCTCATCAGCAAATTCGCTTGATCGGCTGTTCCTCTTTTTCGACTGCTGTATCCTATCGCCCGAATGCTGTCTCTTTTCCCCCAGACGCTGTCTTTTTTGCCTGGATGCTGTCTCCTTTCCCTTAGCCGCTCTCGTCCTTCTCACTGCTGCTTAGTCAAAGTCATTCCCTTGTCACCGGTAATCATGACCCTCGTAAGTCCTCGTTAGACCTGCTCTCTGACTGTATAACCACTCGTAATGCTCCATTTTTCAATGCTATTTAGTTGTTTCTCGTAATTCATATTACACGGCGGTAGCTCCGCTGAGTTTTAAACAGTTTTACCGCAGTTGGATAGGGTTATACTTCACGAGCGCTGGGAAATTGGATTGGATTGTGGACGTATCAACCTTTGTGACTTCCATCCGTTCTTGTTGCATGTCAAATGGGCGACGTCTTGTCAGAGTACGCCAAAGGGCTACACGACGCCTGTGCCAACGCCTCAAGACCCGTCGCTGACTTCCTCGGGGCTTCAAAACTCCCCGAACACGCAGACACTATTTTTCTCTCTTTCCTGCTCTTTCTGGCCGTGCATCAGGTTCTTGCCCCACATTTCAGTAAAAAGTGGTTCCCGGTAGCATATGGCACCGCCAATTCGAGAGGGAAAAACAACTGGTACGTCAATCTATGTAATTTTGTCTAAGCCTAGGCGGCGTTGACGCACGCTGAATCCGTCAGGTCAATCCACGTGGTGTCACAAGTACACGCCGTTTTGATCATAAGCTGGGCATGGAGGTGCTTGTGGCTAGAGGAACTTGACAAGGACAAGGTGTCTGGGTGGCATCATCGCGTCGGCGCACTCAATGGAATTGCTTGCGGGTATTGTCAACCTTTTTTGTTTCTTGACGTTGAGACTGATGGTTGACCGCCGTTAGATATTTCTTATGGGACACCCTCGACGCGATCGTCAACTTTGTAGACCTGAGTTTTGTGATACACGGTGCGTTGGACGTGCGTTTGAGGCTGTCATCGCCGCCTTACGTTGGCATACCCCTCCTCGTGCAGGTTTCGCGTGTTTGCTGATCTACGCGCTCGGATATGTAAGTGCCGCGCATCGTGTTAGTCATCTTCCAAGTCTTCACAAGTTGACGTGAACAGAGGCCATTTGTAGCGTACTACGGTGTACGATGCTTGTTTTGGGAAACGTGCGTATCGGTTCACTGTCGCGACTGATGCTTACTTGTGGTGCTCGCACAGAAGCACCATCTTTCTAAATATCCACTGGTCCGTACTCAGTAACCGTGTATGCAACGGCGTTCATTAATATCATACGTAGGTTCCTTGATAAGACTGGACGTACTGGCAGTACTTTCCAGCTTATCAACGGAATAGCTCTGCTCGGCACCTTTTTCTTCGTGCGCCTTGTTTGGGGCGGCTACATCGTACGTGTATCCCTATCCACGGTACTTCGCGCTCACGCCTATTGTCGTAGTCGTATAATTTCCTGGCAACGCTCTACGCTACCTACCGCGAGTTGCCTTTGACGTACACCCTCGTGTATTTTGTGGGGAATGTTGTACTTCAATGTTTGAACTGGCTTTGGTACGTGACTTGTTTACCCTGAGGCGTCAGGATATTCATGCAACGCTGCAACGCGTGTGTTAGGTTTGGAAAGATGGTGGCTGCGCTGAGAAAGCGTTTCGCGGGGGCTCCGAAGTCATCGGCAAACGGTAAGACCCACAACGGGAAAGCGCACTAGCACCCTAGATAGCTATAGCGCAGGTAGTTATGTCACATTTCTATGCGACCAAGAGCTTGCACCATCTACTTCGGTGCCTTGTGAAATGCCGCCCGTACCACACCTCGCACTCTCCATTCCCAAGCCACGAGATTGACGCGTCGTGTCACTTCCACACGTATCGAATCCTTCGAATGTAAGATGGTATGGATGTACGCGAATAGCAGCGCGTCTAGAACAGTGGCATTTCTGCAAGGGAAGTCACGGTGAGATACTTGGATGACCAGGAAGGCAAGAAGCGTACTCTGAGCCCAAGAACCATTTATCCGTGCCTAATCGTTCTGCAAGCGCAGAAATAGCCTCACGATATTCCGATTCAACGGCGACAGTGTTTACGCGCGAACCCATTGGGTGAACCAAAGAGCTGTAGCCGGTAAGGGGTGGAAGAGGTGGTGTTGTGATGGAGGCCAATGGGTCGGTATCATGGTCACTGTACGTCAAGCTCAAGAGTGATTGGAGATAAGAAGGGGATGGTTTCGCTACGAGCTGGTCGTGTGCTGCGTGAGCTGGTAAGACCAAGTGTGATGAGCAGAAAGACGTACCAGGGCTGCTCGGACGCGTGTTTCTAGCATTGTTGTCCACGCAAGGCTCTCATCTTTCGCAGCCTGGTTTATGTAACCGTCTAACGCGTCGACTTGCTTTTCATCGTTGCTTGTGAGCCGATCCGCTACCCAAGAGGGAATCATGGAGGCTGCCAATAATGAACCATCCTCCGGCTCAGGAATTTTGCCATCGAGCGGAACATGTAGATTTGGGAGCTTCTTGTCAATAGCGCCTTCGCTGCTCACGACCCATTCAACTGCAATACCGACCAGTCCCTTGAGTGCTAGATATGCTTGCCATTTGAGACAATCGACGTCGCTACTGAAAACGCCGGACTCCGAGTCTGCGCGAGGCGGGGCAATCCATAATGTTGGCTCTGTAAGGGGTTTCTTACTCGGCGGCTCGATGGAAGGGTACGAGTAAAGTGGGAACAAAGCAAAGACTTTGAGCAGAGGAGGCGGCACTGGAAAGAGAGACATCTAGCTTACATAAGCCAATCGGACAGTGGTGTGCCACCAGAGTCGCCGCTTCGCTGCATACACCATCGACTTGGCTTAGCACCACCATCAAACGGCGAGCGCAGGCGCACATCGAAGTGTTTCTGCAACACGGCCTTCGCTTCCCAGCGCATGACACGTCCCTCGCACTCATAACTTAGGAGGAGGCTATACGTTACGAACAACTCGCACTTCAGCACTATGTCGGAGTGCTCTTCGACTACACCATCTAGAGCTGGTACGCCAGTTGCTGCGCTCCCAGAGACCATCACTGCACGAGCGTATCGATTTGCATGGGACCAGGCTTCGCGTAGGGGCCCCGAAAGCGTCTCGGGGACCACCGAAGGCAGGGGAGACTACATAACAGCGAAGCCACGTCTGGACTTGTTTGGCGCATCCTCTTCGACACTACCTCTTGGATCAATACCGGCGGAGTGGAGCAGCTCCAAACATGGGTTCAACGGTAAGCATAGACGAACCGTAGCACTACGCGTGGCAACTAAATACTTGAAGCCATATCTACCGTCCTTAACAACCCTCACAAACGCCAAGCGCCTCCCAAAGCGCACTCTGCATTGCCCGCCGTGCCCCCAGCCGATCTCCCGCGCGTACGTCGGAAAGACTTTGATGGTTACCTCCGCGTCGTTGGTCCCGAATGGACACAGTTCGAGAAGAACATGCAGCTCGGGCAAGAGGGTGCCGCCCATCTTTCTGATAGTCTCGGTGAAGGGTCCTCTTCCATGCTGCGAACGCCGCCACGGAGTCTTCCACCCCTGGATACCGTTCCATCTGTATTCTTCAAGCCTGACTTCAGTTTGGGAGATGCACAGGTATTTCGCGAAGTTACTGAACAAGGGGAGGACGGCGGAGAAGGGCTTGACCCGTCGTCACTGTCATATTCCCTCCCTCTGCTAGAGAAGCTATCGCATTACGCGGATACGGTCGAGCAGCATCTGGTGCAGGAGATATCCAAGCGCTCTTCGTCCTTCTTTGCTGCACTGACGAACCTCAACGAGCTGCAAACGGAGTCCGAAGAATGCCTTGATCGGATATCGAAACTACGTGGGCTGCTGAAGGATGTAGACGAGAAGGGATCGAAGAAGGGTCTCCAGATCGTACGGAAGGAAGCGCGGCTGAGGAATATGGGCAGGGTGAAGGACAATGTGAAATTCATCAGTGGGGTAATGGAGATGTCGAGCGTCGCCAAAGGGCTGGTAACTGCGGGGCAATGGAGCGAAGCCTTAGACATCATCGAGGAGATAGAATCCCTGTGGGATGACAGCGCGCTCTCGACTAGCGATCCTCCACCATTGTCTGCGACAACTTCGCGACCTTCGATGCTAGAACCTGTCTCTGAAGCGCCCGGCTCCTTGCAAGAACCTTCGCACAAAAGTATTCGAAGCCGCCCGCATCCTCCATTATCCACGCTTCATGCATTTGCGTCGCTTCCAGAGCACCTGCGCGTTCTGTCCCTCAATATCACCACTTCTTTATCGTCAGAAGTCGTCGAAGCCCTTCGCTCAGACTTACTTGACCGAGTGAATACACCTTCTGAGCATCCTAGCGAATCTCCGACATGGACAACCCGAAATGAATCACTCGGTGATCGATTACGACCGCTTCTGAACAATCTAATGCGTACGAAAGGTGTCAAAAGCGCCATGCTGGCCTGGAGGGACGTGGCTTTGAGTGAGGTTAAAAGTATTGCCATACGGGTACGTTTAGGGTGATTTGACGTGGCGGAAGCTCCCTAACCGTCTGTTCAGCATCTGTCTGGTTTCACTATAGATGATCTAATACCAAACTCTGACTCCGATAACAAGAGCGATTCTAGGTAGCTGCATCTTCCTCGGTTTATACGCAAACTCATCATCCCTTTCTTATGTAGACCTGGACTTGGGAACCACCTTCGGAACCTAGAGCAGCCCGAGTTCCTCTCACTGATATTATCCGTGTATCACAGCTATATAACGTGTGTGGAAGGCCTGCAGGCACAGGGACGCATCATTATGGAAGGGCTGAGTTGCGTCAGGTAAGTGCACCTTCGCTTCATAACTGCCTATTATCTATATGCGTCTCTCAGCTCGATCACTTCCTCGACTTTGCAGAGCTTGGAGGAAGAGCTCGCGGATATACTGTCTTCGGCGACGGAGTTGAGCAATTCAGTTGCTGCGAGTCTCATAAGCCCACGGTCCGAACGCCACGCGTCCTTGGAGTTGCCAGAGTTCATGCAGTTTTTCGACGAATCCTGGAGCTTCGTGGTGAAATGCGAGGTAATTTGCCGTCGAATGATCGTTGGTCTGCGAGGCGTGGTCGTTAGCCAGGTAATTTTATTACGCGTATATATCTTCCGTGCTGCTCATAATTACTCACTCCAGGCCAAAGTTTTCCTGCAAAGCTTCCATCAACAGAGATTGTCACGCTCGGCGAAGCTTGTCGAAGACGAACAATGGAACCCTGCTGAGATCTCACCCGCTGTCCAGCACATGACAAACATCATCATTGATTCCGCTGTGCACGACTCTGCAGAGCTGGTTTTCAAATCCAATGGTTCTTCTGCGGTGCCCGATCCTTCGGCGAATGGCGCTCACCCACCGCCTCCAGAACCCAGCTCCCCTATCCCTCGTCCCACAAAGGCAAACGGTACAGCTTCGAAACATCTCCATATCGAAGAGCGGACGTACTATGCCGTCTCTGCCACGACAGCATCTCTCGCGCTCCTTCTCGACTACATTCGTCTTGTTGTCAATTTGTCTATACTGACAACCGATGCAATGAGTCGTGTGATTGAATTTATGAAGGCATTCAATTCTCGGACATGTCAAGTTGTGCTCGGAGCTGGCGCCATGCGATCAGCGGGCCTAAAGAATATCACAGCGAAGCATCTGGGTGCGTATTCTCGGGACGGTCTGTCCTTGGTCGTTGCGGATTAATCTGGTTCTCTCCCCTTCCGGCAGCGCTCGCGTCACAGTCATTATCTATAATGATCGTGCTAATACCTTATGTGCGGGAAACCTTCAGGCGGCATCTGAGTTCAAAACAGGCCATCATGCTGGTGGAGTTTGACAAGTTGAAACGAGTAGGTGGGCCAGGTGCATGCAAGCTCACGCAGTTGACCGATGTACGATAGGACTATCAAGAACACCAAAATGAGATCCACGACAAGCTTATTGCAATCATGGGAGATCGCTTGAGCGTGCATATCAAGACATTACAGGCGAGTCACTCATAGATGCCACCAACTTGGCTATTTAACTTTAGGGCTAACTTGTTTTGGCTACAGGCCGTGGACTGGAACGTTCCAAAGCCGGGGGACGGCGTGAACGACTATATCGAGATACTCGTCAAAGAGACTGTCACGCTGCATAAGGTATTAACGCGCTATCTGCCCACTCCCACCGTTGAGGTAAGTGTAAACCCCTACTACAAAGATTATTAATATTGATTCGCCCGAACCGAATTTCTTCCGTTTTGTTATGCTCCCTTTGGACATACAGTATGTCATGAGCCAAGTGCTGGCAGCCATCAACCACCGCTTGTCAGAAGAGTATGGGGGGATCGAGCTACCCCACCAAGAGGCTAAGAATAGGTGCGGGTAAAGTTCTCGAAACTCGGTTCATCACCGCTTACGGTGATATATTAGGCTGCTCGCGGATGCAAGATATTTGCAGCAAAAGCTGTCGGCGCTCAAAAATATTAGCACGATGAGTAGTATGCTCGAGACTGTGGTTTCAGAGAAGGGTGTGCCACGCCCTGCTCTTCCCTCGCCCACGCCATCAGCCATCTCTTCCAGCGGGGGGCAGAGTGCGAGTCGCCTCAAAGGATTTTTATCGGGGAAGTCAGTACCGCCAACGCCAGCACTCGATAAGGATCTTCCGACACCCGTGCCTACCCCTACGCCCCCTATAGTGTCAGCCACACCAACGTCCGTCCCCTTGCCCACTTCCCCATCTCCCCCGGTTATGAAAAGGGCTAGCACCTTAAACGGCAGGCTAGAGCAGTTGATGGGGGGTCTAGTTAATCACAACCACAACCTTTTGACAGAGAAGGCCCTGCCTTCCCCTCGGGAAGAACTCCTACCTTCAAATGGGTTCAAGCAGGTGGAGTCACCTAGGCTAGGTGAAGCGCTCGATCGGGATCAGGACGAGAATGACGGAGTATCCCGTTCTATGTCCACGACACCTTCTGGTGAACCACGACAGTCGGAGGCCACTGGGGAGGTTACTTCTTCGCCGGAGTCATTGGTGCCTCAAATAGAGGGCATCACTACCGTTGGGGTAGATGGTGTTATTTCCAATTCCCCCACGCAAGAGGACCATGACGGTTTGCTTTCGTCACCGTCACCGTCGCCGGCCGCTGGCAATTCCTAAGCTCCGTATATGTTTTCGCTCTTTTTTGCATATTCTCCGGATGTCGTAGCACCTCGCACGTATTTGCTAAAGTAATTCTACCGCTAGTAGCACTCGCACATTTAATCAGAGATTCGGGGGTCGATAATTTGGGGTGGATTCACGAGATGCCTATCTTTAAACGGATGGTGTTGTTTGAATCAAGGTTGTTTGTTGGGAACGGGCGCAAAAATATAAACGGCGGCAACCCTTTAGGAGACCTATATTTAATGACGCACGCGTTGCGCCATGTCGCTGAGTCGGACTGCACGAGGAATGGTGACCGTATGACCGCCCGGATGCTGCTTAGCATGCGCCGTGCTAGAGTTTTGGCATAATTCTGCCTTGGGGGAAGCACTCCGACTGTAGGTCATAAATACGTACCCTAGAGTGAGACCGGACGTTTCCATGCCCTTCTGCTACTTTCACCTCTAGGCAAGGGATATTCAGGGGTGGAATAGAGCCGTTAAGGGCTGTGTCGCATTCTTGTTCAGGGGGGTACAAGGGGAACGTTTGCAGATGTGAGATGATTGGACCATATACGCATATTCGCGCGCAATTGGGGATCATTTAGTGATGTTCGACTCGTGACTCCGGACTGCTCAAGAGTACCCCAATAGTGCCACAAAGCGCACCCACAGGTACGGTCGCACAATTGAGGGTAAATGTTTCATCAATGATGCTACTAGTACGGTCCTCGACCCAGCTCAAATGGAGACAAGGTATTTTACTTGGAAGACAAACACGGTCGCGGCCGAACAACAGTTGATGTGATACCAACGTGTGACGGTCGGAGGGCCGTCCGAAGGTTGTACACGTTCGGCGGTGTGTCAGACATCAGTAATGGAGACAACCCGCCTCATCACTAGCTTCCCAATCTGGGTCACTTTCGGGCATAGTAATATTCTAACACTATGGCGACAAGAATCGCGTCACGCTTGCCGCCCCACACGTAACGTCACGCTGACATGGCGAATATTTACTCTATGTTTCACAGCTTGGAAGCGCTTCGAATTCTGGCAGCGCAGCATCAGCTGAGCATTGTATTGGGCACGTTCAAATGTGCAAATGATGGATGAGAACAGCAACACGTTTCCCCTCGGTCAGATGATTTCTGGAAATTTGCGCCAACGTGTGACCCAGAAGTGGAACGCTTTGGCTGGACCATGCCGGTGTTCTTTATTACTTTCAAGAAAGGTGATGTGACGAGCGTGACAAGATCATGAAATAATATTTTGGCCCTGCTGCAATGTCCCGATTTGGGGAGTGACTCGAAATTATCGCGACTGCTCCTTAGAATAAAAAGGCCTGTTCCCTTTCCACCCTCATCCTCGCTTCCATCCACGACACGTCCTTTATCTTCAACCACCATGTTCGAGGACGTCTGTCTCCTCTGCGGAAAGCATCTCCTCGATGATGGGTAGGCTTCATCCCCTTCCCGTACCGTTCACACCACATATCCTCCTTTAGCAGGGCGTATTGCAGCGATGAATGCCAATCTTTGGACTCGGTTTCCCCGTCCATATCCTCAGCGAGCAGTGCCGTATCCTCACCATACCTCTCCGGAAACCCTTTGTGCGGCGATATTCCAGCCCTTGTACCCTCTGCATTAGGCTCCGCTTTCGGGGATTACCCGCATTACTCGGCGTCATCATCAGCGTCCACTACATGGTCGGTAGCAGCCGATGAGGACGACTTTGCAGGAATTAAATTGGACGGCGAGTACCTCCACAAAGGAGATCCACGCCTCGGCGACGGTCCCTCCAAATCCGCTACTTATTTCCCTGCCTTCGTGCGAACCTCAGTCATGACATATGCTCGCCGTCCTTCGGGGACCAATCAGCATGCAAACGTCCCCATCCTACACCGACGCACCTCTTCAGTCTCCACTACTGAACACATGCAGGGGGCACCACGTAGCGCACCACTTCACAGCCGGTCCAACGGTTCTTCCACGGACGAAGAAGACTACAGTTCTGATATACAATACACCACAGCCGACTCCCCCAGTCTCGCCCCTGCATCGAAGGGCTGGAAGAGGAACAAAGATCCTGACTCCAAGTCGACTCTCACCAAGCCGAAGCGCAACCGCAACCGTGCCAGTCTTCCTGCGTGCTTCTCGCTGCTACATATCAACGGGGAAACCCGTCCGTCCGTCTCCTCCCCTCGGACCGCTGCGCGACCTTCGCCGCCCACCCCGAAGCTGCCGCTCTCGAGCCTGACGACAACCGCCATTCGCATGACTCCGGAGGTGCCGCCCACCGCCCACACATTCACAACCCCTCGAGGGCGTCGACGTGAACCAAGGACATCCCGTAGTAGTCGGCGCTCGGAGGCTTCCCTTTCCCGGTCAGCCTCGCGGTCCAGGTCCCGAAACCTACCACACCCCCGCGTTGATAGCAAGGGCAGCGTAACTCAGGTGTTTGATTTGTCGTCCATGCTGGTACCTCGCGGTCGTACTGCAGCACGTCGAAACTCATCCCCTCCGTCCAAAATGGTACTTCCGGTACCTAGTGATGGCCAGTGCCGCTCATCCGAACCCTTCGCTACTTCGAGGGCTAGGAGCGGACGGTCCGACAGTAGGCGCTCTAGAGGACGGGCACGCTTGGAAGAGCTGGATGGAAACGGCAGTACCGAAGCTGCCCCTGGCTATGGATACGGGCGAAGCGGTCTCATAGATCGAGAACGCACCTTCATTCACCGGACTGTCGCCGAGTATTGTTGACGCTTTGCGGCTGCTCTCTTTCGCAGCCCGTGTCTCCAAGGAACGCCACATCCACAAAATCCGCCAACTAGACCGCCTCTTGTCGACCGGATCTTCCACTAAAAATTGCATCGCATCATTTCCCTCATCATCCTTCGTTATTTTGCATGATCAAGCTATTTTGTCTATCAAACCAGCAATCACTTCATCTCATCTCAGCACAAACATATTTCGCATGATTTGCTCCGTCGTTTACCACATCAAAACCGGTCATATCCCAAGTCAATAATATTCTAATCAGCACTATCGAATCGATCTCCATGCCCTCCATACCACCGCGATCTCTACCTATAAAACCAGGGGAGGACGTGTCGACGAAATTGTACCACTCCTCACACACGAAACGAAACTTCCACCAGCTTTGAATGTAGTCGTAACCACAGTCGTAGTCGTTCAGCTAGCACACCATCATCAGTAATGAATCAGCTTTTGTTGACCCAGGATTAGGGACTGCCATGAGGCCTTGATGTACATTCGAGGTGTCTTTATGCACGTCGACCACCACGGGGTAAATGCGAGGCGAATTATTCTGATAAGCCATCATGTCTTGCTTGGGGCCTAAAAACGTGTTCCTCTCGTTTTCTGTTGTACCAGAGCATAAAACCCTAGATAAGCCGTTTATCCAGCAGAAATACAATGGGTGTAAAGGTCGATATATCTGGCATATTTCGTGCGAAATGAGACACGCGAGAGTAGGAACGCGCAGGAGTACCCTGAAGTCGCCCTCAGCCTTCCAAGTCACCACAGACGAGGTGCATCGTCTCCTCACCGCTCGCAGAACCGCAAGAATCAGAATCTCCCCCAATTGCTCAATATTGCTGTAATTCAAAGCCGTCGTCACCATTGATCCCCCTACTACTCAGCCCAGTCGGGACTCGTTTCCCCCAGCTCCTGCCCCTGCTGTGGACGCCGCGCCATTCTCTACAGACTCCCGTTCTCCCCTTCGAGGGGCCTCTGCACGCCAGTCCGCACCAGAGTCAGTGATCCCGGCAATCCGCACCAGGTCTGAACTCGACGCAGCCAACACCACCGACCCGTCCCCCTCTGCTCATATCGGTACCGCTCTATCGGTTTCTCGAATGTGCTGAGTTTACTGATTATCTGACATTCGTTTGTTTCTGTACCTTTGCGTCTTGTTTGCACATAGACACTGAGCCACCACGAGCTAACAAGCGACAAAGGATTGACAGCCGCAGCTCTACCTCCACCTCGCTTAGCGCAATCGATCAGCGTCTCCAAGTCTTCGACCAACACACAAGCAGAATGATGCTTCAAGACTTCGACCAAGACTCAATACACTCGAGCTCCCCTGATCTCAACGGTCTAGCGGGGCCTTCGTCGATGGGTGTAGGTGGGAGTGCGGGTCTGGCGAAGAATGGGATTTCCAATGGCAATGGTCATTCTGCAGTGCCAGCGACAAATGGTTCCTCGGGATTTGGGAATGGTGTGGGCAACGGCATAGCAAAGCGGGAGCATGGGTCGATATCCAAGGTGTCACTACCAGGCACGACATTGTACGACGATTCTACAGTCGATCGAGAGGAATTCGTGAGGTTGGTGATACAGAGCCTGCGGGATGTTGGATATATGTGAGTCTATTATTATGTCGTCGTGTCCTCTAACTCCCCTCATTGTCCCCTTGCTTCACAGGGAGTCGGCTTCAGCACTAGAAGCGGAGTCAGGTTATACACTTGAAGCCTCAGAAGTATCACAGTTCCGTCGGTATATTCTGGAAGGTCAATGGACCAAGGCTGAGGCCATCTTGATGCACATAGGAGTGGTAGATGAGGAGGGAATGCTGGTACAGACGCCTTTATCTCTATGCGCCACCCAGACTCGCTGAATACTGACCCACTCAGGACGCGAAGTTCCTCATAAGTCAGCAGAAGTACTTGGAGTTGCTTGAGGCTCAGAAGACAACCGCTGCTCTCCATGTTCTTCGTACTGAGCTGGCCCCGTTGAATGTAGAAGCCGAACACCTTCATACGCTATCGAGGTCTGTCCTTTAACATTCCTGCAGCTACGCGACTCGGATATTGACGTCTCTGCAGTCTTATCATGTGCTCAGAAGCTGAAGATCTAAGATATCGAGCAGGTTGGGACGGTGCAGCGGGAACTTCTAGGCAGCAATTACTCTCTAACCTTCATAGTAAGTATATCTGCTTTACTCTGTACATGGTGACTGACGCGTCGTGAAGGGTACATACCATCATCAATCATGATTCCTCAACGGCGCATGGCTACCCTCCTTCGTCAAGCCCTTTCCTACCAACGACAGCGATGTGTTTACCACAATTCGAACTTCACCAATTTCTCTCTCTACATGGATCACCAGTGCGACAAGGACGCATTTCCACGGACGACGACAACGATATTACAAGTGCATGACGATGAGGTATGGAATCTGGAATGGAGCCACGATGGACAGTACCTGGCGAGCGGGAGCAAGGACAAGACAGCCATCATATGGAAAGTTGGGGTACGTCACGCGCGCGAAGTCGTGTTCGTTTTGTTAAGAGAGAAACTTATCCTCCTTTACTTCGTCAGCCTGTTTCTTCACATCACCCTCGGGAATGGAGCCCGCACCATATATTGCGGGAACACCAATATGCGGTTGGGTGCCTAGCGTGGTCTCTGGACGACTCCATCCTTCTCACAAGTGCAGAACAAACCATCAAACTATGGAACACAAAGGTGAATTCGTTAACGCATATATTGCTCCCGAGCAACAATCCTGACTTTGTGGGCGTTAAGACAGGTGTCTGTTTCCGGACGATAGACGGGCATTCCGATGTTGTCACCGCGCTCGCATGGCTGCCAGACGATTCGGGGTTTATCTCAGGTAGTTTGGACCGCAAGGTCATCCGATGGGTACGTAAACCGGTCCTATCGACCGTTCCGTCTTCATTGTATCCTATACCCCCACAGGACCGAGAGGGAAGGCAGCGCGACAGTTGGGGCACCACGGCGATCCGGGTAACTGATCTCGCCGTCACTCCAGACTTCACGCGGCTGGTGACGATTGGCATGGATTATGTGCCGCCACATTCGGTCACAGTGATAGATGCTAACCCTAGAGCCAGTATGGCTGGCTCACACGGAGGAGAGGCGCCCATGGGTACACCGCAAAGTGTGCCAAAGAAGCCAGACAACCGGATGGTTATCTATGATCTGGCGACAAAGCAAGCGGAGTCGTGCGTTATTGGTTCCCCCTCTGCTGGTGTATCCCCATCTCAACCTTATAACTACCAGTTCCATACGGTTGGAAGGTGAACTCACGAGCGTCAAGATCTCACAGAATTCTCAATACGCATTGATTAATCACTCCCCAGACGTGAGACCATTACGAGACTATTCAGAGTTTGCTTCTCACTATGTACTGCGCTTGTTTGCAGGAAATACATTTGTGGGACCTACACACTGGCCGACTTACCCGCAAGTTCACCGGTCAGCGTCAAGGCCGGCACGTTATCCGAAGCTGCTTTGGAGGCGTCGATGGCAATTTCGTAGTCAGCGGTAGCGAAGGTCGGTATTGACTCTTCCTCCCGGATTCTATTAGTGTGGACTGATCGTCCGTGTACTCAACCTCAGACGGGAATGTCTATGTATGGCACCGAGACACAGGAACGCTGCTCGAGGTACTTCCCGGCCACGGAGAAGGAAGCGTCAATTCTGTTGCGTGGAACCCCAGAAACCAGCAAATGTTTGCCTCATGCTCAGACGACAGGACGATCCGCATATGGGAAGCGAACGTGCATGAGGAGCTTTATCCTGATACATTCACCCACCCCGCCCTAGACTCCAGCTACTCATCCGTACCCACGGGGAAGGGAAAGGGAAAGCTACGAACCCAGTACGAAGACGATAACGCGGAAGCAGTCTCGAGGACGTCAGGAACAGGGATTTAAGGCGAACAACATCGCGGGTTCCGTTATCCAATCTTATCATTCGCTTTCGTACGCATTCGCATTCAGTGATATCTATATTCACATCACTTACACTCTTTCTTCGTGACGCTTATTTGATGACTTGACATTACGACTTATCTTGCATCGTTAGAATGTTACACTAGCATTTGTATTCACGCATTCCTACCTACCAGTCAATAGCATTTTGCATTGCCCCGCGCATAATTTCAAATAATTAATGAAGTACTGAAATTCGCTGCATTCACTCGACAACTATGATGGCCATCGAGTGGCCATTCATTACTGTTTCCCCTAGTACTACATACAAACACGAAATCCACATTAATGGTGTAGCCGACGAGAAATGGCGAATACTAATGCTTTGATTAACAATCTCAGTGAAGTCCGAATGACTACAGAACCCTTTGCTCCGTGGATGTACGATGTTTGTCAAGAAAAGATAACAACCCAGCATGTAACACCGAAGGCAGTAATTACGAACTTTGTATAGACTATTCTCATCATCAGAATCCTAACTATCTCTATGACCGGAGGATGACAATGCTTCTTTCACGCATAATGTCTAGCTTCGCGGCTTACATTGGAAATAGTAAGGTGTATTTCAACCGCCGCTCTCTGTACCCGTATCTGAGTCTCAGTATCGTGAGATTGGAGGGTATTTTAGAGTGTCTTCCGCCCCGAAAACATGAGAAAAGGCAAGTAAAATTATAACGACCAACGTGGTGTCGAGAAATACTAGCCCGGCAGGTGCGCACCTTGTTGTACCGGTGCGATCGAGGACAGATGGGATCCATGTATGAGATAGTTCTTGATAGTAGGACATAAATAGATACAGATTCTAGCTGTTACTTACGTGTCATTACAACAGATGCCGCGAGTACAGAATTCGACCCAGTGCGATGGTATGATGAATAAGTATGTCGAGTAGATTCCGCAATGGATTGTGCAATACGATACAGATGGAGTCGCTTGGGGGCGATGTACACGGAGAAATATGATATTAACCGGAAACCGAATGCCGGAATTGAAGAGACTGAATGAGAGGAGACACCAGACGGCGGGCATCAACGATATACCGATCATTTGGTTCGTTGTGAGTAGGCTCGATGTTTGGGTATGAACAGAGCAGAGGCCGGATCCTTTTTTACCGGTGCCTTCTTGCGAGGAGTAGTAGGTCCAGGGGCAGCCTGGGCTGTGGTAGGAGCCTCGTGAGGTGTTGAGTGTTGAGTATGCGGCGGCGGCGGCAGCTTCCCAGGTGCTGGGGCAGGTGAAGAGGGATAGGAAGTAGCCCTATCTGAGCACGAAGTATCGGAAGACGAAGCACCAGAAGAGCTCGGAGGTGTTAGAACGTGTCGCACTGTCGTTACAGTGACACGGCTTGACAATGGCGTTGAGGTTGAGACAGGCAGCAGCGGGGGTTTCGGCGAAGGAGGGATGACGCGATAAGTCTTCCCATTGACCATGGGAGGGACTGAACGAAGGGAATACATGGTCCTTTGAAGTTTGAAGGCCTCGGATTTCGTTTTCTGGAATAACGTCTTTGGTTGTGGGTTTATGCCCCCTGTACATGATATCAGAGGCAGAACCAGTTACTTGGATGTAAGTTGCCTTACATCCAGAGCGTTTCGAGGCGGCAGGTGGAAGGCGATCAGTGAATTTGACTTTTCTTTCTTCTTTCTTATCTTCAGCAGCCGTGCGTTGTTTGCGCATCTTATGGGCGAGCTCTTCTAGCCGGCGGGCTTCAGACTCACGGAGTTTCTGAATACTTTAAGAAGTAAGATTGAGAGAATGTTCTGGGTTAACTTACGAAATAAGTATCTCTCCAGCATTCGATTAGACTCTCCTTCAATCTTTCAGCAGCCAGTGGGTATGTTTTGTAACACAATTCTTCCCATATACCTGTTTACAACGATGATGGAAGAATCAACCCAGGGCTCGAGGTATTTACCTTGGGTTCCACTTCCAGCTCGAAGTGACTATGAATAGCATAAGCGCCCAAAGCCCGTCTAAGCACTTTGTGGCCACCTACTGGGTTTGCATCTTCAATCCTATAGAGTGTCGCAGCATCACATTGTTCTAAGATTGGTTTCACAATTTCGAAGCGAAGTTCCTCTCCGAGGCTTGATATTGCTGAATAAAAGAACCGTTTACTTATCTTCTTTATAGCCACATAGTGACACTCACCGTCCGCGTTGCTGATAGCCACTACCGTCCTGCATTAGATGCGAATTCGGCGACCACATAGTAGTCTTCCTACTTACCACGTTGACATAAGTACACAAGGCTTGGGACGGGGCACTTTGAGGAGTCGAGGGAGGTGTTCATCTGGATGGAGAAAGACGAAGGTTTCTCAGCGCGCTACATGACATCGCGCAGCCACATATTCGCACGGTTAGGGGCAACCCACCAGTCGCCAGACATAGACAACCCCAGAACAGCAGACGCTTCTCATATCCAACGGCCTGCTCGACGTCAACCAAAAGAATGGGTCCAGCATCAATCCTTATTTGTGATGGGTTCCCGAGGAAATGTCCACGAGGAGTATATCTTTGATACGGTAATAAATATTTCAATATATATCATAGTGCCGTTTGAGTGCAACTGCCCCTCGTCGTTTCCACAATGCGAACGCGCCGGTCGGTGACCTTTTCAAGCGAGGGAATCTATCCAGTGTCAAGGGCCGCATGTTTAGCTTTCCCGCAAGATAAGCGTTACCAGAACCTCGTCTTGACTGACACAGATAGGCGAGACCTTGAGCAACAAAGTAGATGAGGCCATCCTCCTACAGTCCATCGATCAAGCATGGTATGATCTCACGGGCGAGATTTACGGCTCCCGGTGGGGACATATATAAGGGACGAGCTACGCACCAGTCTATATCCTAGCAAAGTATGCAGTCGGCCACTCATCCTCGCCTCCATGTTCGGGACATGCGTGATGCCCATACAGTTCTAGAAGCTGTTCGACTCGGCATATTAAGACCAGTCACTCGCAGACTCAATGAAATGGAACGCTCCATGCACATCCGCTCTGGAGCGATCTTTGTTTGGGAGGAGAGTGATGAAGAAGTCGGCCTCAAACGATGGACAGGTGACCTTCATTAATCTCGGCATTGATTGAATCAACTAACCAAGGTCCTTCCTAGATGGTCGGGTGTGGAGTCAGTCAAGAATGCGAGAGGTAATCTGGTCAACGGAGCGTACGATGTAGAGCACTAACATTCCACCCACTTAGCCCTATCTCTTCTACGACGAGAAGTTACCAGGCGAACAAGACGTAGAGCCTCCCAAGTAAGTCCCACGTTCACACCACAAGTTTTGATCTAACGCCGTAATTGAAACAGGTCGCCAACGTACCGTTTCGTTGACGGTGTTAACCGCGGCACACCGGTATCATCTGCCATGTCGCATCATGATCGTAGTCCTCGTCTCCCGGCTGGATTGATCAAGCAGGCCTATTCAGCATGGGTCATCGTGTCCCCAGGCGCGCGACCAAGAAAATGGCACTTGACCGCGTACTTCACATACGCCGACCTGCAAAATATACCAACCCCCGACAGAGATCCCATGCTGAGAGGAATCAATGTACCACCAGGGATATATCGTAGCGGAAAAATCAGATCAAAAAGCGGCGACGAAGATAGCATGCCCGAATACAGCGCGTTACCGCCTACAACGCCGCCTGGGCCGAGTCGTGCTACCTCTTATCCAAATGACCGCGTGTTGCCATCGTTGCAGTCAACGGTCGGAAATCATGGAGGTCCTCCTATGAATCCGCCGAGGCATGGGATGAGGTTGCCAGAGGACCAGCGGTTGATAGAAATGCTGAATTCGCGGCTAGTGTTATAATGGACAAACCACTGTGGTACCGTGACGCATCAGTAGCAACTACGCGTAAAGTCACAATAATTAGCTAGGAGTATGTGGAATGCCTTTTGTAAACATTACATATAATCACAACCACATCCGGCATTGGGTCAGTCTTCTTCGTCCTCAAGCGAGTCCTGTGCCTTTTGCTGGGCTCTCATGGCACCAACGAGATCATCTGACTCTCCGTTCTGGGCCGCTAGTCTTTGCCCTGTAGTAGCTTCATCAATAAAGGTTTACAGGTTGGTAAAGTCACATACGGATCAACGTATGGATTGCTTCTTGAGTTCGTCGTTCCAGGCGTGCAACTTTCTTGTCCATCTCGCGTTTAAGATCCCAGTTCGCGCGTTTCGGAGCGATGTTGAAGACGTCCTAAAGGTTGTTGTGAGGCCAAAATCCTGCTTCGCAAGAGGGAAAGAGATACCAATTCTTGGGCGCGTCGTTGCTCATCTTCTGCGATGATGGTCTCAACTAAGCCGCTAATGTCCTTCTCCACGGTGTCAGTCATATTAGCATCATCGTCTTTATTATGCTTGCGGAGAGTTCGTGATTCTGGGTCGAAATTCCTGGTTTTAAGGAGAGTTTGGTTGTCGCTTCCTCGTTTGGATGTCAATTTGTTGCACCATTCTGGCGAAATGAGAGTAGCACACACCTGCCCTCGTCTGCTTCGCCTGCTTTACGTCTCCTCAATGCCAAAAGCTTGGCTTTTCTCTCTTCAGAGGCCTCTGCTAACGACATGGACGCAGAGCAAGATGAGCTGCTGACTAAGCGCTGGTCGCGTCTCGTCGCGTTCACCTGACGCTCTTCAGCTTCCTTGCCGATGAACTTTCAAAATGCATGTCTACGCTCCTTCCAGTTGATCTTTCGCGCTTCGCACCTTAGGACAAGGTCCATCAACACTTCAGCATCGCGAAAATTTGATATTACAGAGTTTACCCCGGATGTGATACGGTATGTGGCACCGACGTCTGCCATGGCTGTTCTGGAGCTCAATATTTTGCCTCTGACGCAGCAATTTCTCAATAATTGCTCATATAGGTACTGTCTACCATGGGGAACGGAGCTTGGGCTGATCAAGAACTGCAGATCACGGCAAATCGACATTGGCCGATAGGTATGTTCTCCAACATTTGTGGGCTCTCGTTTGACCAAAACTAGGTTATTGGAAGTCGGTGCCAAAATCCCTTCATAGGCGGAGAAATTCACTGATTACCGACAAAAAAGCTCACTGGAACGATTGCAGCACAGCAAATGGGCAAGAATGAGCAGGTGTTAGACAAACTTAAGGTTGAGCGAGAGCGGGGCATCACAGGTTCGTTTCTTCGTCTTGTGTCTTTTCTCTTATGGCTCACCTCGGGCGGGATTCAGTCAAAGCTCAAACCGCTAGGTTTGTGGGATTCCCATCGACTATGTCCCGCAGCTGATGAGAACGCCAATAGCATGATATATGATCGCCAAGCCTCAAGATACATGCTTAATCTCATCGACACTCCTGTAAGCCCATGTTGTATCGTGGCACTGTTCTTTATTTGAACTTCCACAGGGCCATGTTGACTTTGCATGGGAGGTCTCACGTTCCCTGGCTGCGTGTCAAGGAGCACTACTTCTGGTGTGTTTTGGTCTACTCGACATCTAGCAACTATGTGACCCCTCTCTAGGTAGACTGTAGTCAAGGTGTTCAGGCTCAAACCATCTCCGTGTTTCACAATGCGAAGGACCGTGGCTTGACCATTATACCTGTACTAAATAAGGTTGGTTATATTTATTGCATGACATTGTGTGTGTCTCATTCTTGCTAGATTGATTTACCAGCTGCAGACCCGGATCGAGTTATTGCTCAGATGCAAGCCACGTTCGGTATAGACCCAGAAGCTGTGATACCCATATCTGCCAAAACCGGCAGAGGCGTGTCTGAATTGCTGCGGGCCATTGTAGAACGAATACCTCCTCCTATCGGCCTCACATCGTCTCCATTTCGAGGATTTCTCTTCGATTCGTTGTGAGTAACTCAGTTTAGAGGATAATGCTTCCATTTCCCATCGGGTTTTTAGCTATGATCGATACCGGGGTGTAATATCCCTTCTGAACGTCAAGGAAGGCACCCTTCGCGTAGGTAAAGACAATATTTCTCTCGGATGCTTAATTTACTTAACCACATACCCAGGGGATAAGATATCTTCCACGTTCACGGGCAAAAGATATGAGATCATGGAATTAGGTATCATGCATCCCGAAGAGACATCAACATCGGCTCTATATCCAGGGCAGGTTGGCTACATGGCTTGCAATATGAAGGAACCAACTGATGGTTAGTTGAGTTCAATGGTTAAACGAAAACCCTGGCATCTCAAGCAAGGTCCCTGTTACAGCTCATGTCGGCGACACTCTTTACCGCGTCGGACAGCCCGTGGACTCCATCCCAGGATTTAAGCCGGCGAAGCCCATGGTTTTCGCTGGTGTGTATCCCATTGACTCTGGTGATTTCCCTAAGCTAGAAGAATCGATCAAAAGGGTGCGAAATAGAAATCCGCTTTGCAACCGCTGGACACTCACCAACATATCAGCTAACACTTACCGATCGCAGTGTGTCCGTCCAAAGAGAATCATCGTCGGCTCTCGGTCAAGGCTGTAGACTTGGCTTCCTTGGTACACTGCATATGGATGTCTTCCGCCAACGACTGGAAGACGAATACAACGCAAACGTGATTATCACCGCACCAACCGTGCCGTATAAAGGTTGGATAGCCGTACGCTAGAATGTGACGTTGCTCATATTTTCGCAGTGGTCTACAAGGACAAAGAAGTGATCGTCAGCAACCCAACCGATTTCCCAGAGGTAACGGACACAACATCCAAAGTCAAGGAGATACAAGAACCAACTGTCAGCGCGTCAATTATCGTCCCAGAACGTGAGCATTTACTTCCAGCACATGAACGTGATCTGAAATAGACTTGTTCTGGGCAGAGTATTTTGGCGATATGATGGACCTCTGCTTCTCGCACCGAGCGGAAGATCTGGACCATCGTTACCTAGACTCCACTGAGGGCTCCGCTCGGATACTCATGACTTGCACAATTCCTCTAAGTGAAATTGTCACCGACTTCTTCGATCAATTGAAAAGTCGTAGCTCAGGATTCGCTAGCTTCGAGTAAGTGTTTGGACCTGCCTACGGTTGGCTGTACCTTTCTCACATCTCCACAGTTATGAAGAAGCCGGCTACAGAAGAAGTGACTTGGCTAAGGTACGTTCGCACTCTAGATAGCCAATCAGGATATACTCACTCCCGTGGAGATGGTGTTCCTCCTAAATTCTAAGCCGGTAGATGCACTAGCTCTCATCGTTCACCGATCGGCCCAGGAGTCCGTTGGGAGAGCGTGGGTCAAGAAACTGCGTGAGTTCGCAGCGTGTGTTACTGATTTTTCCCACTGAGTTCTGGACAATAATAACAGATCGAGTGATACCTCGCCAGCTATTCGAGGTACCTATTCAAGCGGCAATTGGGAAAAAGGTCATCGCTCGTGAGACGTTGTCGGCGATGCGCGCCGACGTAACTGCGGGTCTGTACGGTGGTAAGGTATTCGACTTGGTAGGTTCCCACTCCTGCTGACATATCTTTAGGCCACTACGAGCGCAAGATGAAGCATTTAGAAAATCAGAAGGCAAGCAAGAGAAAGATGAAGCGTATAGGAACCGTCAATCTTCCTCAAGAAGCCTTCTTCGATATTCTATCACAATCTAAGTAACGATAGAAGGAATGGAGACTACAACTCAATGTCCTCGTCGTCGTACGTTTCCTTGATCAACCTAGCCAAGCGGTTAATACAAGTGCAAGGAAGGGAAAGAGACTTATCTACCGGTATATTGAGGATGGAGGGTGGTCCCCGCTATCAAATGGTCAGTTTCATCAATGTAGATAGGATACTCCCTCCTTACTAGTTAGTTATAAAGACATCTATTAGTTCCGGGCGAACGTAATCGTAGTATGGATTGACGACGTCGACTTTGTCCACCAGATCGCCCTCTTCGAATCCCAAGACGTTGCTCGGATCGCCGAAGTCGAGGGCGCCGTATTCGTGGTATAAATTCCACAAGGGGGTGAACTTGAATTGCCCTGCACATACCACTATCGGCGTACTGTGTTCCCGTGCTGCTGTCGCGGCAAGGAGTGATCCTGAAACGGCAAATATACCACCATTCGCGAGAATAGCGTGAGCGCCGATTATTACTTTGTTCACTCGGGACATCAAGGCAAATATTGAGGAGTCTGGTACCAAGAAGGTCGATATTCCGGATGAGGATAAGGCTTTCCCCATATCGTGACCGCTATACCTACGCAGAGTATGAGAGGAGATCCGACCGACACACGGATGGACTGACGATGGACCTGTCTCCGCCACAATGACAGTATAGTTTCGATGGTGCGCGGCAGATTTCAGAAAGGCTTCCACTGTTCGCGACATCCCAAGCGTGAGTATTATTTCGCTGCAGTTGAGAATGAGTATATGAGAAGCCATAGATTAGCGGTACTGACTCAGAGTGGATATGATCTTTGGCATTTTTTGACACATTATCGTAGACTGTCTCCAGTTCGTCCAAAACGTCTTGGATAGCCTCCATAAGGACAGGTTTGAGGCCTTTAGCAAACGAATCAGGGTCATCAGCATCGTTCTCCTTGAGTGGCTGCTTGTTGTCTGATGATTTGAGTGCAACATTTTGCTGTCTAGGCTGGCCTTGGACAAGGAACTTCGCTATAGAGAATGCACTACGGGGTTGCGCCAAAGCACCTCCATGTGTTGCTGTGTTGTACTCTTCTCTGATATGATGTAGTACTTTGCGCACAGTGTTCCCTACGGTATGCTCTGACCATTCATTAGCTTCAACGCCGATGTCAAGCCAATACGACAGGTACCTTTCGGTTGAGCCTCCACTAACTGGCGGCCAGCATGTCTGATTATCTCCACCAACTGATCGATATTGGAGAACCGGGCTTTCGAGACGATTTGTCGAAGAACGAGGAGAGTTTCCAATGCGGCAGCTCGCGAGCCCACGATTTGCCTATGCGTCCCAGATTGGAGACCAGAGTCTGATAGGTAGCCAAATATTAGCCGAACCTTCGTCTAAGCTTGGCTGAAAGGTTGTCTACGAGTTTTTGAGTGGACGCGCTATGAACTTCGGGACCCATGGCGTTTGATGTGTGTTTTCTTGAGCACGATTAGGATGGTCCAATTCAAGTCGTTACATCGCTGATAAGATTACAATTCCACTCGGCAATTTATCATGGAGCCGAACCATTCAGGGGTTGCAGAAATATACATTGTGTTGACATTGTGTACACGTATATCAAACTACGGGGAAGGCTTGACGGGCTCACGGAGAGGTCGTTTCTCTACATAAGCTGCGCTCGTGAACATTGGGCCATATGTGGTACCATCACCCTAAACACAAATGCATCAGGATGAGATACGCGACGAACGAGGGATATTCTTACGATCAGGAAGTTAGGGAAGCCTGGATCGACGGGGACGATGCTCTCGAGGTAGGCAATTTGCTCCTTGCTGAGGGTAATATCAAGGGCCTCGAGGTTTCCTAGAAGGTGTTCTACTTTACGACCTCCAACGATAGGGAAAACAAATGGCGCCTTCTGTAGCAGGTATGCAATTGCAACTGTTCCCACAACCATCAACTTGTGCTGGACTCATCGGGAACAGGCAACGCTTACCAGCAGTGATTTGCTTAGCACCGACTTCTTTCGCGACCTTTTCCAATGCACGGGACACCTTAACTTCGGTGTCATTTCGCAGCCACTCAGGGCTTGCGAAGGTTCGTCCCTTTTCTCCAGATTCCAGCCTGCGCTTCTCTTCTTCGTCAGTGCGAAGTTTGCCACCACCCAAGACGTTCCAAGGGGCCAATGCAAGGCCTATATTCAGATCAGCATGCAGTCAACAATTATTCGCGGGAATTCTACCTTCGTCACGAGCCATGGGGATGATGTCGCGCTCAAAGCTTCGGTCCATGACATTCCATGCACCTTGGTAGATCGAGAATGGCGTCTTTCCATGGTCACGAGCATATTGGTTTGCTTTGGCGACGACCCATGCTGGGGTATCGGATGCTCCCTTTATGAAAGTTTGTCAAGTTTGGCCTAGACAGAATTGAGACTGACACGTACCAAGTACAGAACCTTTCCTTGGGTGACGAGGTTATGGAGTCCGTTCATCAACTCAGGAATGGAGGTGTCGTAATCCCACCAGTGGACGTAGAAGATGTCAACGTATGTCGTGCGGAGCTTCTTCAAACTGTCGTCCAAACTGACGGACATGCTTTTGACGTTGTTACCGAGATAGTTTACGCCAATGGTGACGTTAGGGTCTGCTCGCTTGTAGAAAGCCGTGTACTGGTTGTAAGTGATGGTGAGCAAACTACCATGGTACGTCTGTTCACTTTGCCCACCTTGGTCGAGATAACCAACTGGTTGCGTATCCCTCTCTGTTCCACCCACTCACCGATGAACTGTTCTGACGTCTCATCCTGGCTGTGTTTCCGGTGCGTCAGAACCTGAGGGCGAACGAAGTCCAGTTTACTCACTAATTATTGGCGGTGTCGATGAAGTTACCTCCAGCGTCAAAGTACGCGTTGAGCAATTTGAAACTCTGTTCCTTGGTCATGGAACCCATGCCAACCGAGTCCCACTTGTCTCCGATGCTCATCGCACCAAGCTGCAGGGGCGAGACGCGAATTCCTGCATTCGGAGACAGCAGCCTGTAGCGACCAAGCTTTGTTGGAGGAGGGGGAGCAGGAGCGAATAATGACATTGTCGAGACTGATTCTGTGGTGAAGCATACTGTTTCCTGTCCTTATAACAGAACCTCGTCGTTACCCGTGGTATCTACCCTCTATATTCACGTAAATCGAGAGGTTGAGCAAACGGATTAAAGGAACGCACAGGCAGATGATCGATGATCGAGGAGAAGCACAACCCGGGTTCATGCACACGCTAATAGGGGGGAGTCCACGATTTTAGGGGGATCCACGCGAAGTCCTTTGCAGCATTCGCAGCAGCCCCGGGTCACAACTTGGCGGCCCCGCTCTTAAACCGAGAAGTAAACTAAAACATACATTTCGGATCACATCATCCTTCAGGGAGCTGTGTCATTGAATTAACCGTCCACAGGTTGCCATATGATATCTACGACAATACCATGAATCCATATGGCAGACCTAGTACATTTTACTCGCTGACGTGCCAGTCGAGCTTGTCAGCCCACTTAGGCAAGAGTTCTGATATTTGTTCAACATCTTTGTCGCCACGACCTGACAGGCACTGGAACGGAGGGTAGCTTAGACGGATATGGAAGGATGGAGAGAGTGTGGCTTACAATGACGATATCTGATTCCTTGGGCAACGTGCCAGCAAGGCGAACGCCCTCCCAGATGGCATGGGAGGATTCCAGTGCTGTTACAAAAGTGGGTTAAAACAAGCATTGCATGATCAATGGGGGGGGTCGTACCGGGGATAATACCTTCCATCTGTGTCAACATGCGGAAACCCCTCAACGCCTCTTCATCCGTGGCGACGACGTACTCTGCACGACCAGAGTCCTTCAGCCAGGCGTGTTCAGGTCCAACGCCAGGATAGTCAAGACCAGCGCTGATGGAGTGGGTCTCTATTATCTGACCAGCGGATGACTGTAGAATGTACGTTCGCACGCCGTGTAGGACTCCAGGGTTGCCCTTGGAAAGCGTCGCACTGTGGCGATCTCCATCAAGACCTTTGAGTGCAATCAGCGTATTAACACAGGTGAGTGAAGATTACAAACGTACCCTCTCCGCCAGCTTCGACGCCTACAAGGCGAACAGAGGTGTCCGGAATGAAATCGTAGAATGTCCCGATTGCATTACTTCCGCCACCTACGCAAGCCACAACGACTTCAGGAAGCTTGCCTCTGGCCTCTTTCATCTGTTGCTTGATTTCCTGCCCTATGATTTTCTGGAAGTCTCGCACGATGGTTGGGAACGGATGGGGTCCAATGGCCGACCCTACAAGATAATGCGTAGTGGAGAGGTTGGTAACCCAATCCCTCATAGCTTCGTTGACAGCATCTTTGAGAGTGCATGATCCAGAATGCACCGGTATAACCTGAGTATGGTATTGGTCAGGGGAGAGTAAGACGGGAAATACAAGAAGACCGACCTTCCCACCAAGCATGCGGATTCGGAAAACGTTCAGAGCCTGGCGTCTCACGTCCTCCGCACCCATGTAGATTATACACTCAAGGCCGAACTTGGCACAAACTGTAGCCGTCGCCACCCCATGCTGTCCAGCACCAGTCTCGGCAATAATTCGCTTCTTCCCTAGCCGGCGAGCAAGTAATATCTAACGTGGAAGTTAGCATGGTCGATCTCGGCAAACATTATCAAAGCATGAGTGGCCTACCTGACCAATGGCGTTGTTTATTTTGTGTGAACCAGTATGGTTTCTATTCGAAGTCAAAGATCACGTATACGAGGGAAAGACACGTCTCGACTTACAGATCTTCGCGTTTAAGCCAGATTTTAGCACCACCTGCATGTTTTGTAAGGTTTTCCGCAAGATAGATACCAGACGGGCGGTTCATGTAGCCGTAATGGCTTTGGAACTCTTTCCAGAACTCTGGATCGGCCATGGCAGTTTTGTGGGCTTCCTCCAATTCGGCCAGACAGTCGACAAGCGATTCTGGGACGTATTGACCTCCGAATTGACCGAACCTTGGTGGGAGAACGTTCTCTGATACTGAGGTCTTGGCCGTAGTGTCGCGATTGGCATTGACTTCAGGTGAGGTGAGACGAGCTTCTTCAGCCAAGGGCGCACGCGCTCGAGGGGTGCTCTCCCCTTGGGTGATCGAGCGACAATATTCTTCGACTTTAGCGGGAACCTCTCCCAAGGGTGTGCTCTTGACGAGACTAACGAGTTTGCTCCCGATCACTACGCCATCGGCACCCGAATCACCGACGAAATTGAAGTGGTCCCGGTTTGCAACCCCAAAACCAACAGATATGGGCACGGAGGTATATTGCCGAACCCGAGCGATGATGTTTGGTAGATAAGTGTTTATCGCAACCTTGTCTGAAGAGCCGGTTACTCCCATCTGTTTCGAATACTCAGTAGTTGCATCAACGGGGGGGCTAATAACGCCTACCTTTGAAACGACATAAACAAAGGTGTCTGCAATTGAAACAAGGAACTCGATGCGAGAGAGAGTTGTTGAAGGGGCGATCAACGGGACGTATGTGAGACTAATATCTGTCGGCATCCTGGCATCAAGGAGAAACAAACACATACTTTGATTTAGCACATTTCTCTCTGAAGCTAAGGGCTTCTTCCGGAGGAAGGTCAACCATTAGAAAGCCATTTGCACCCGCTTCGCGCGCATCTTGAATGGCCTTGTCCTCCCCGTAAGCAAGCAAAGGGTTATAGTAACCTGTAATGACAATGACATTCGCTCGCAGTTCCCTAATGCAAATGACGAGATGGCACGTACCCATCAGTAAGACTGGAGCGGTCAGACCTTGATTACGGGCTTCTCGCAGTTGTCCCAGCACTGTCACATAGTCTATATCGTTTTTTAATGCAATCTAGGGCCGATTGTCAGTGCTGCACATCGGGACAAATGTCGAAACGAAGATGAACACACGGTGTTGGACTCCTGAATCGCAGGACCATCGGCAATAGGATCTGAGAAGGGGACCCCCAGCTCGATGATATCTGCACCACCTCTCTGCATAGCGAGCATGATGGGGACGGTGGCCTCCTTCGTGGGATAGCCAGCGGTGACGAAAGTCACCAACGCTGGGACGCCCTGGAATCCGGTCAGCTATGAACGCTTCTGGGTAATTCTGGTACAAACTTCATCGTGCTTTGCCTTGAAGACTTGCTTGATGGCATCCATGGTCGTAAATGGGGGATTTGTGGAGGATGCGGAGGGACATTTTCCAATATAAGCCCCTCAGGATTACTATGTATGGATCGATCACTCACAAATGAGTCAAAGTCATGTGCTGGCGTGCACTTATAGGGCAGTCCACTCCTTGGTTTCTCCGTGTTCGACGCTTGCCCGGTCATGGAACCATCTCAGGTCTCTGATGAGTCGAGGGTTCTCGTCATCTACACAGGCGGCACCATTGGCATGCTCGTCGGCCAGCATGGCTACGTTCCAGAGCCCTATTTTCTGACAGAGACACTTCGCAGTCAAACCCGCTTCCATGATCCGTTGCAGGATTCGTTATTTTCCAACGCGGGTTCTGTACAAGGCTTTAGACAATGGAGCAGCGGCAGTGGCAGGAGCAGTCCGCTTACCAGCAATACACCGGACGCGCTGCCTACGCCGCCCACCCACCAGCCGACATTGTTAGTGCGATCAGCTCGTTTCATTGGTGATCCATCGGCGCTGGCACCAAATCAGTCGGGAATGAAAGATAGGCCTACTTGCGTTCAGGTCGCAGATAACGTATTTGAAGCATACCTACCGAGCCTCGTAACTCCTAGGACGACGATCGCGGGAAAGACCAAGCGAATTCGATACGCGATTTTAGAGGTTTGTTGGCGTCTACCTTTCTTGATGCATGTACTGCCGATGACATAGCGGTAGTATTCAGTGGAATCCCTTGTTAGACAGCAGCAACATAGAAATTGAAGGTGATCAAATTGCCACCGTTGCTGAACATGCACTAAAGTTTCGCATGAACAGATTGGATACGCATCTCAACTGAAATAGAACTCAACTACCACTACGATGCATTCGTAATCTTGCATGGCACAGACACTATGTGCTATACTTCGAGCGCCCTTAGCTTTTTGTTAGAAGACCTCGGCAAGACAGTGGTACTGCCTTCTTTCCCCGGTAATACCATACACCGTTCACCGTCGGATTGCCTAGATCATAACTGGGGCGCAGATTCCTCTCTCGCAACTTCGGAACGATGCCGTTGATAATCTGATGGGAGCTCTGACCATTGCGGGTCGCTACATTATCCCTGGTACGCAAACACACTCTACCAAGCTCAAACAACTCTCATTTTTGCTCAGAATGTTGCCTTTACTTTAACCATACACTTTTCCGTGGAAACAGGGTGTCGAAGACGTCCTCCTTTGACCTAAGTGCCTTCAGCAGCCCAAATTTCCCCTCTCTGGTGGACGGTAGGTGGCGTCCCTCGAGTGGCCGTTATATTGGTGTCTGATTTGCTTTCCATCAGTTGGGATTGATATCGTGGTGAATTGGAATAATGTCCTTCGGCAAGCAAGTCTGCAGAAGTTTCGAGCCCATAAAGGTAAGACCCTTACCAAATCCGGTTGTTTGAATTCAACATATATATGACAGCGATGAGCCCGAACGTCGGTACGGACATATCACTCGATCTAATAACCATCTAAATGAAATTGGTAGCGACACTCCGTCTTTTCCCTGGCATCACGGCCGCTACTGTCAGAGCCTTTTTGATGCCGCCCGTTCGAGGTGTTGTATTGGAGACCTTCGGTGGGGGAAATGCACCGCAGCGGTCGGATCTGATGTTGGCCCTCAAGGAAGCCTGTGACAGAGGCGTCATCATTGTCGCCATCTCGCAGTGTTCTAAAGGATCCATCTCGGACGCGTACGAAACTGGAAGAACCCTGATGCAGGTCGGCGTTGTATCAGGCGGTGACATGACTCCAGAGGTGACCTATATCAATCCATCACAATTGCAGCCTGCTAATGTATTCCACAGTGCGCTCTGACAAAACTGGGGTATTTGTTGTCAAAAGATGAGTTGTCGCCAGGCGAAGTGCGGAATCTGATCGCGACCCCTCTGCGTGGAGAATTGAGCCGACCACTGGGATCCACAGGCGAATTCTCCGACGAATCGTTGGCCAAACTACAGGGGGTCGTATCTAGATTCATTCAACTATCTCAACCCAAGCCAATTTTGCCGCATATTACTATCACATCTGATAGCGCTGGAGCCACCGCCCGAAATGCTGCAGCTGCCTGGTCCGAGACCGCCGCTGAGATTTCATCCACCGAGGCTGCACTCCTTCCGTTTTTGACGCATCTCGCTGTGGCTAGAGATGACCTGGACAGTCTCCAATTCTGCATCGATGCCGACGACTACGGAAACGTCCAGTCCGCCAAAGGCAACAATATGGGTACCTCAGTCCCGGGCGGAGTGATCAATTGTCTTGATCCTGCTTCTGATCGCACGCCGCTTCATGTTGCTGCTCTCAACGGCGCCGCCCGTTGTGCGCACAAGCTACTAGGCTCCGGGGCGCTGGTGCACTGCAGAGATAACCTAGGGCACACTCCTCTCTACTACGTATGTCTGTATTCTCGGCATCCGCACAACAATGACTTATTTTCGATCTTGTAGGCCGCGCGGCAGGGGCACATGGAGGTCGTACAAACACTCCTTCAAGCCGGTGCTCGATTGGGTGGTATCGATATCGAAGGAGGTTACGCTGCACTAGCTGTACGGGCAGCTAAGAATATAGGCGACAAGCATTGCCTTGATATCTGGAAGCAGACTGGCTTGCAAGGATGAACTAATGTGTACATCATCAAGACTAGATTACAAAACACCCATCCAACATGTCACATTCTTAGTCTATCTCAATCGCAGTCCGACTTTCCTCCTGGTCATCCTCCTGAGGCGAGATGGCTTCTGTGAGCGTGTCACGAAGAGTCCGCAAGAACACTGCCAATTGACTACGCTCGAATGTGAAAGGAGCCTTAAGGAAATCCAACTTATCTACGACCTCGGGTTTTTCTTTGTCGAGGCTGAGAGGGATGTAGTGGAGTGTCTCTTTTGCTTTACCCTCGGAGGAAGGCTCGAAATGTGTACGAATAGAAAAGTCGAGGGCTGTATGGGTTGAACAGCGAGCAAAGATACAAGGATGCAAATACTCACAGAACGAGTTCTTCTCTTCGTCACCCGATACTGAGTAGACGCAACGTAGCAACCATTCGTCGTCACCTGAATGCTGAGATGTGCCCTGGTGATTTATGCTCACAACTGGCAACTCCGTCATATCTTCATAAAAGCGGATTATTTCTCCAGTTTTGGGGTCTGCAGGCGCATTATGACTCCGTGCTGTTGGCTTGTTAGATGGCTTTCGCTCCTCCAACATTTTTATTTCATAGCGTAGCTCCCTCTCTGTGTTTCTGCATGAGCAAGCTGGGGGAGAGAAGGATGCAGGATATTTACCTTGCTGTGTGTAGTCCAGGATTCGTTTATCTCTTTCGGCAATCACAGAATCTTTCTCTACGATAGTGGCTTTCAACTGTGTAATCTCTGATGCAAGAGCTTTCTTTTCTTCATCCGCAGCGTCTCTCGTTAGCAAATGTAGGACGGATCCGGTCCCACTGCGACTGAGAGGTTCGACGCGTGCGAGATGGGAGGTGAGTTCCTGTATCGTCTCCTGTTGAGCTTTTGCAACAAAATTAGAGTCCTTTCGTGTGGTTCGTCTCGGACGTACTAGCTAAACGCGTCTCCCAAAGCTGGCGTTGCTCTTCTAGTATTTGTTCGGCCTCAGTGTTTCGAACAGCAAGGACCTCTTCAAGTGTCTGGCGATGACTCGCAATGATTCTTTCGAGCTCGAACACTGTTCAGATTGAGCGGCATGAGGCAAGAAATGCAAGAATACCTCATGCACTTTCTTCCTCAGGCTCTCTTTATCATGATCTACCTTTGATGCGGTTGTCTTCTGGGTACGTGTCGGATTGTTGATTGTGGTGACTGCTTCCGTATCAGCATCTTCGACGCCCTGTTCCCCTACTTTCAAGTTGTCCGAAGCTACCGCTTCGGCAACATTGGGGGCTTTGTTCTTCCCTCTTCCGCTACGCGCTGGCTCAATCACGGCCGGGTCGCTATGATCGATGTCCACTGGACTATCTTTCGAGCCGCGCCCGGAAGGTGGCACCTTCGTGGGTTGCGCACGACGCGCTTTGGGCTTGGTGGAAGTGGCGTTCGCTGGTTTAGAGTGTCGTGCCGTTGAGGATGGTTTCGGAGCGCGAGGCGTTTTACTGACTTGGGAAGTCCCTGAGGGGGAACGGTCAACGAAAGTTAAAACAAGGAACTTGAAGAATAAAAACCTAATTCATCGTCTGAAGAGGCCATGTCCAATGCTCGTACTATTCAAAGTTCAATGGAAATGTCTTCGCGCAAGTCAAGAGTCACGTGTGTATTATAATTCGATGGTAATTGTTACATTTATGTTAACTGCGTTTACAATACTCTACAAACAGCGATATGGAACGAAAGCACGCTGGACAACATAGACTGAACAGTATAAAGGGGTATTAGTGGCTTGCATCATCAACATAGTCCTTCGCAACGTGCGAATGAGTAGGACGTGGAGTATATAAAGGCAGGGGAACAATGGAATCAATCCTCTGCTCCCCGTTTTGATGATATATCTGAGAATATGGGGGGAGGGTGGCTGAGGGGCGACTAAAGGAAAGACATTCCTGGGATCCTACGGCTTCGAAGGAGCGTGGCTTGCACGTTCGACTCGCCAAGCGAACAGGTATCGAGAAGTGTATGGTGTCTGTTAGGGTCGTATCACATTGCGTAGTGCACGAATACGTCAGATAAACCGAAAGAGTGTGTCGGATGGTAAACAAAGGATTCGTCACAGACGGGCGAAGAGAGTTGGTCTGATGATGTCGTGATGTGCCCTTCGAAGAAGTGGATGATGTAAATGGTGTATCCACATTCATGGTAATCCATGTAGAGGCGCTCCCAGTGTTCGGTGTCGGCGCAATAGAGTTGTCTCCAGCAAGGACGTAGTGCCCGGAATCTGCGGGTAGAAACGATCGCTCTGAGTGCACAACAGGCTGGAGACATGAGTCCGTGTCATCTAAGCCCAGGTCATATAATGCGGCGATGGGGTGAGGGCGTTTGAGGGGTAGATTGGGTGGCTGACAAGACTTTGGAGGTAACAACGCCTTGTAAAATTCCGGTATTTGTGAACTAAAGTTCAATGAAATGAGTACGGCATCTTGGTTGATAGGACGTAACAATCGTACCCTGCGCTTTCCAGCTGCAAGAAGTCGGTGCGGAGCGAGAGAATCTGCACATCCTTATAGACTTCCGCTTCGACGTCCTTTGTGCGTACCCTGAGGACAAGTGGTATCTGCTCGTCACTGATGTCGATATAATCCGGCAGTGAGGCAAGGACTTGTAGCTTCAAAGCAGGGTCGAGCAGCGAATCAGGACTCGGAGAAGAGTTGAAAACGTATGACGCGAGAGGAGAATTGTCGTATTTGTTGGCAACGCGTTCCAAATTGATTTCACTCATGGCTCGGGCATAACGAAAACGCGACAACCACGGCATGCAGTAACCAAGTATAGGCCAATCAAATGTCAGATCTTCTGCAGAATGGGTGTATTGTGCGGAAGCATGAAGGGAATACGACGTCCCCAATTCTCGGTCGGCGCCAAAGGGGCTGGTGGCGGGAAGCCATCCCGGCAGATTCACGTCAAAAACAACGCGCCATTGACCTGTTACTGTCATCAGGAAAACACTGATACGAAGGGCGTTCTCGTGGACGTACTGGTTTCGTTTGAATCTTCGAATTGAATGTGATCTAGTTCGAGAGGTGCGCCAGGAACCAGTTCTTGTGTTATCGAACAGACGCGGGCACCAGCATACCCAGTTTGAGTGGAAGCGATCTCACATTGTCCCTCAAATGTGAGGACTAGCGAATGAAGAAGTAGGGAGACAGGTCTCGAGCCACAGAAGAACGAAAATGGAGAAGAGACAGAAATTTCGACATGGCCTGAAAGGGAGTATGATGTCCTGTCGACTGTCGTTAATTTGTTCTGATAATCGCAACTTATACTCAAACGTACATAGCGTCAGGCTCCCCATACATAACGACGCCGTTCGAGGAAGGATGTACGGAAATGGAGACTGACATCGCGGAGGAACGAATGGTAGTAGAAGAGAGAGACTGACTGGACGACCGTTGGGATGAAGGTGGTAGGGTAATCCGTATATATATGAGGGCGGCGGTAATCTGTCCGGGCTAAAGCAGAACAAAAGATATTTGAACAAAGGGTATTCAACTAAGGGGTTAGCCAATGATCAAAGGCCCGCCGGCTAAAGATGTGCGGGAGATCTCACACAACGTGCCTCGAAGGCATACTGATAACCATGATAACCATTAGCACGAGCATCAGTCAATAGACTGTCATTGTTTCGGTGTAGTTTACCTATTAGAGTCGTTAGTTTGATGACAAAGACTGATCATACGCACTCACAAGCTCAACGCAACGTCAGGGCGACCCCGCCCAGGCGGAGAAGGAACCAGCTGCTTGCATTGTTCTCTAAAAATTAGCGCCAGAAGAACAATGGCGAATCTTCTCATACGATCTCGTATACGTGCGATGCAATGCGTAGCATTCTAGTTAGAATGCCAGGGCTATTTACACAGGACGAAAGGCCCGAATAAGCTGAACCACAATTAATCAAGCGAATACCTTGGACACTGCGAGTTGATCTTCTTCTCTTTGTCTTCGCTCCTTCCTGCGTATAGTCTCCTCCTCCGTATCCTTCCTTTGGTTGTACTTGCCACCCTGTTGTCGCCTGATCATAGAACGTACTGCAGCAGGGGAGATAAATTCTGCATGGATATTAGTATACAGTTCCACAAAGCAGCGAGACAACTCACCAGGGTTGGAGTATACTGTGGCGCCTCCGAAAGCTCCTTCAAATATACGTATGGGTGTCAAGACAAAGCGCGGGCCGATTTCGACGAGGGTGGTCTGAGGGGGACCATTCGGTTGTAGGGGGTCCTTCTCAATGATCTAGGATATCGTTAGACATAGTCGCCGGGGACTAAAAGACGCGTACTTGGAAATTTCTAAACCATATTTTGGAGTCCAGAAGGGAGAATGTAAGGATATGATCGATAAATGGTTTCGACTTCCGTGCTGTCGGAGGGACGCCGAAAATCTGGATGTGACGGTGAGATCGTGTGGGTTGTGCAAACCCATCGTACTCACATGAGTGAACACCTCTTTTGTTAGTCTCCCCCACTCGGAATCCTCGAAGCCCTTATCAAAGCTCAACAATCCGCGACTCCCTTTCAGGCAGTTTCCGGTCATCTTCAGCTCATCCATCGTGTGGACATTTTGTACATGCATCTTGATGCTCGGGCCATTTGGTGTTTTAGCTGCCCATAGATACAGATCCTCGTGTCGGCGAGCCTCGAAGTACAGTGTATTGTTGCAATTATTGAGGTCTGCCAATTCAGGAAGCAAGTGAAGTTGTGACTTCGAGTCGAGTTTCGAGTCTACAGCAAAGGTTCAGAGATTTGATGAGGAAGAGTGCCAGTACACACACCTTTCTTTACGTGGGGTAAGAGCGCTTCTATGTCATTCATGAGATGTCTCATGCGATGTGTTACACCACGCGACGAGAGGAGGAGCACTCTCTGCTTGTTCCTCTTCTTGGGCGCGGGTGCGGGATCCTCTACTGAGTCCATGTCCACACTTTTTCGCTTTTTTGAATCTTGCTTTGCAGCATTGGATTTCTGGGCCTTGAGTATGGAGGCCATTGAATATGTGATGAGAGGATCAAACTCAAGAGATACTCAAGCAGGTGGCATGAAAATGCAGTCGGTTATGTAATACGAGCGTTAAGCGCTCGTTCTTCGGAGGCCTACAACGGCAAAATCACCTCGGTGTAGGCCTTCGGAAAAGATAAGAGAAAGTAATCGACATATGAAGAGTAAGAGGTTAACGGGGCCAATGGGGGAGTTTTAACGGCACAACTATCAGTACATGGCGGAGAAGCAAGCGACGAAATGGAGGATGACAGCCATATAGAGGAAAGCAAACGACGAGGAGGAGCGCGAGGGTAGTTATCGTTGGGTTAGGTAGATGATTGAGCGCGAAGCTGCTTTTGCTTTTCTTGTTCCAAGCGCTGGGAGACACAAATCAGTCGAGTGTGAGATATAGAAGTAGAATGGCGTACGTGATACAATAGTTGCACGGCCATCTGTATGTTGGCAGGCTGGCCAGTGATAACCACCAGACGTTCGCCTTCCCCGCCTGCAGGTGCAGGCGCACCATTGACCCCGACCCCGACAGCACCAGGCTCCATGATTTTGATCTGGCTTGCACTCATATGTCTGATCTCATTGATCTTGCTGCCCCCCTTCCCAATGATACAGCCTACAAGGTCATTCGGGATGTAGATCTGCTGTGTCTGAAGTTGCTGCGGTGGGTTGGAAGGTGTCGAGCCTGGATAGGAAGCGTAGCCTGGGACATAGGACGAACCTCCATGAGTAGGGCGGCGTGAGTTGGAAGTCGGGCGATAAGTAGAATTGGATGAGGATGGCATGCGCTCCTGCGCCTCTATAAGGATATTGCCGATGTAGTACGTAGCGATATGGATAGCGTCTGCGACACCAGCTACGCTGAGCACACGCTGCGGGGTTTAGGGTTAGTTGGGAGGCAGAAATTTACACGTATACACGAACCTCTGTCGACCCCGGTAACATGCCTTCGCTTGCATTTAGCCTCGCCCCACTGGCGTCCTGAATCTCCTTGATCTTGGAGCCCTGCTTGCCAATGACCGAGCCCATCCGAGAGTTGGGGATCATGAACTTGATGGTGACTGCGCGACTTCCCGGCACAGAGGGGACGTCAAATGGTTCGTCATTGATACGGCGAACTATCAATCCAAAGGCCTGAGTACATTCGGTATCAATAACTGTGTGCAGGGTAAGGAAGAGTACGTACCTTGGACACTGCGTCGAGAGGACCGCTGACGTTCAGAATGCGTTCGGGATTGCCAGGGATGCTCTCTGAGACAACCACCCGCGCGCCGCTCTTCTCCCTGATCTCGTTGACATGCGAACCACCTTTCCCAATAATGATCGAGGCATCCTGGGTTACTATCAGGCAACGCATGTGGATGTTGGCGGAGGGCACTGGTGTTGGTGCGGCTGAGGCATCTGCGGAATTTGACTTCCCGTTGTCGCTTCCCTTGGAGTCGTCCTTGCCCTTGTCCCCGTTGGAAGGAGTGGATGCAGCGGTGTCCTGGACATTGGACGGTGCGTCTGCCATGGTCACGTCAGATGCTGAGTGAGAAGCGGAGCTATTATTGTTTGTTTTTGAGTCATTCGAAGTTGATGGTGCGCCTGTATTGGCACGCTTATGATGCTTTTGCTGTTCGCTGTCAGAAGGGGAACGGGACCGCTTGCGATTCGAGTCAGCGTCTGGCATGGCCAATTTAGTTTAGGTGAATGGTTAGAGTCAGAGGATTGAGTGTGTTCTAAGCCCTAGGAATGGGAAATATGGCTTGGGGAGGGTGGGTCTGGCTAATGGATGGTGATGTGGTCTGATGAAGAGGGGTTGCGATGATGAGGGGGCGCAAGGATGGAGGAGGCGGAGAGAATACGCGAGACGAGACACACCTTTATGCACCAGCGAAGAACATAAACCTGCAGCCACGGTACCCTTCGGCGCGACTTGGTTGGGGGAGGACGAGTCTGGACGGAACGCTCAAGTTGAGGGCGGTGAGGAACCAGGCTGCAGGCGTTCAATTTCAACATCCGTCAATACAGCCACACAGCCACGGACACTACAGCTAAGTTACGCAACGACATTTTTCACAAATTTTGCCCACTGCCTTTCCCAAGATTCCAGTGCACGCTGTTTCTCTTCAGGTTCAAGCATAGAGTACTAGAGGGATATTAGTGTCTTCCAGGTTTGCTCTACACAAGGACTCACTTTGATGCTATCGCGCGCAACCTCAGCAAGTTGGACTAACCCTGTAACTTCGCTAGAAACAAGGACCTAACGCACGTTAAACATCGGAAACCCCGCTGAGGGGCGAATAATTACTTGGTAAAAATCAAACGTGAGACCCATATTCCCGAAGATTGAGGGATCGTCGCAACAGAGCGCAACAGGGACCCCGTTGTTGAATAAAATCGGGAGAGGGTGCATTGGCATGGACGATGTCAAGCGCTATATAAATTCTGTGAGAAGTTATGATAGATAAAAAGAATCACCGACAAGAATCTCATTGCTGGAATCGTCTTGTTCGTGAGCTCTCCTGGAGTACAGTGCAAATCACGTACGATATTGGACACACTTCCAAAGCAATTCCCCGTTCTCGGCAGATTTCCATTAATCTGGGATGCCTTACTAGAGAAAATCTACGCAACGTCAGGCACTTATAAGACGGTAAACTCGCGGAGGAACTCACCCATGGCCAATCCGCTTCGTGCCCAGGAGGATGGCGTCGTACATATTCATATCAGCTTCAGTGCCGTCACCAAACGTTTCGCCAGCATGGAATAGGAAGGGAATTTCAACGCCCTCTTCCTTCTGCCTCTCTCTGAATTGCAACAGAGGTTCGAGGTAATCAATTAGAGGCTTCAACTCGTTCTCATTTCCGACCAGGTCGAATCCTACAACGGTGATCAGCAATCGAACGTGTTCGTGGTATCGAGGAATAAACCAACCTGCAATTAGGTGGGGAAATTCCTTCTTCAATGCAATACAATCTTCGGTGTACCACGTCAGCTCCTCGGGCGTAATGAAACGAAGGGTTGTATAAATGATCTAGCATGACATCGATATCTGAGCAACATTATAATCACGGGAAAAGCTGGCACTCACCTTGGCTCCGATGAATTCATCTTCACGACCTTGCTTCTGCAGGTCTTCTTTGACCTCCTTCAGAACTTCATCAAACATGACGAGCCATTCACGATGAGGAACACATTCATTCCCGTCGGCATCGTCCATGAATCTGGACCACGGGCATAAATAATTGACCGGTGCAATGTATAGCAAGAAGTATACCTATGACGGAAGTTGATACGAGGTTCAACATATGAGATACCGTCGGCGATAGAAGTCAAGAGGAACTCTTTGACGTAGTCACGGAATATTGGCGCGTAACGTGTCAAGCACTAGACAAGCCAACATCAATCCAACGAATCTGAACTAGCAACGGCACACTTACGCTGGCAACCGAGAATGTGTTGGTGAATTTTTGCCAAATCTAGTCACCAAATCACCAAATGAGTCATCAAGCCGCACGCGCTTCAGATCTATATACCTTGGCCACTGTGTTATGAGTTCCATACGCTTCAGACGGATTGATCATCATGGACGCAGTGAGCCATTTGTCGAAGCCCTGCGCGCCACCAAGAGCAGCGGGGAAGTTCTCCCTCGCTTTGGATAATTGAACCCATTGCATCGGGGATTGGGATAGCTCATGCACCTCGGAATACGCCTGCTTCGGGAATGCTTTGAACTCTGGTAAGACCGTGTGGACGGATGTTGCATTGACGGCATCGGGGACTCGGATATGCAAGGCGGGGTGTTTATACGCGAGGCTCAAGAGACATTTAACGTCGACTGTCGCGTCGAGATGCGCGTGCAGAAGCCCTCCCTTTGGCATCTTCAAGCACAAGTATGTCAGAGTAAGTCCAGAAATTGATCGAGGGAATGACCTTCGATAGGATTTTGAAGATCTCCGTCTTGACGATGATACTCTTTCCTGGAGGTGGGGAATTCCATTATGGTCCTATGCACGCGTGAGGCTGAATGTACCTGTCAAGAACTCCATGCCAGGAAAGGGATGAGGTATGTCGGGATGTTCAGCCCCCCATACCGACACTGCCTCGGCTGCGCGAATATCTCGAACTACCTTGTCAGCTTTCAGCTCGTCCTCAGAAGGTTCACGGGAGCTGTCACGGCGCAGACGGCGGTCTTCTGCTATAAGAGCCTCCCTGGCCTTCGCATATTGCTCAAGAGTATCTGTCATGGATAGAGGGCTTGGGTCTGGGAAGTTCTCTGGCTGGGAGTAGGAGTCAAGAGGTTTAATATGTCCATATGCATCCGATATACATGGACCATACGGTTCAGATGACTGGTGCCGATGAGCCTTCAAGTGATTTTCTACTGTGAATCGTGATGGCACAACGCCACGAGCGCCCAAGGCGGCTAATCACGGCCACATGTTTGAAACAGTTGCCAGCCCTGCATTGTGTTATCTCCAAGTATGAACAACCAGGTCCTCCTGGCCTTGGTGGTTAGGATATCCATCGCCGTGTTTACTAGAACATTCTTCCAGCCGGACGAATACTTTCAAGCCTTAGAGCCTGCACATGCCCTTGTGTTCGGATATGGACATGTTACTTGGGAATGGTTGACCGTCCTACCGATCCGAAGTGTCATTTACCCCAGTTTGAACGCGCCTCTCTTCTGGCTGGTGAAGGTACTGCATCTGGATGATGCTGCCATCGGAGACCTACTGTTGGTATGGACTTGTATTGGTCTTTCTGCTTATGCTGAAGTCTGCACAGATCACAGGACCTCGGCTGCTTCATGGATGCATTGCGGCAGTCACGGATATCTGGATTGCCTTGCTAGCTAAGAAAATTGCTGGTGAGCGATATGCATCAACCTCGGTAAGCCCGTTGTATATCTTACACGCTGCCGAACTCTCGCTCATAGATGGCAAAGCTCGTCCTTTCATTGCTCTCGACCTTCAACGCTCTCAGTCTGTCGAGATCGCTTTCTAATTCAATGGAAACATCTTTAACGACTGTTGCGTTTTCCTATTTCCCATGGGATAGTAGTGCGAATCTCAGCCACGTACTGCTATTTGACAGGTTAGACCGTCATCGTACCACATGGGTTAGTGGTTGAATCCGTATGTAGGAAGGCACTACGCAAATCCCTTGCATTTGCTGCTTTGGCTTGCGCAGTACGGCCGACGAATGCCGTGATATGGGTTTTCTTGTACGGCAATCTGGTCTGGCAACTACGGACTCGTCCCAGAGCCTTGGGCGCATTTTTGGCAGACGTAGCAAGCACAGGGTGATATACATCCCGCACTAATTTTATTTTCTTCGTCTCACTAATGCATCACCAGGTTACTTATCCTAGGTCTTCAGTTCGTGCTGGATTCAGCTTACTATGGCAAGCCAACGTTCACACCACTGAACTTCTTTCTGACAAATCTATCCTCCGTTTCGAACTTCTATGGCGGCAATCCATGGCACTTCTACCTGAGCGCTGCGCTGCCAATACTGGGTGGCACTTGTCTCCCTTTCGTGCTGCTGGGTGTGCGGTCTGCTTTCAAAGATAGCAAAAGGGACTCTGGGTCTCTGCAACTAGCTTCGTACACCATTGGCTGGACGATTGCTATATACTCGCTCTCCAGGCATAAAGAGTGGCGGTTCATACACCCGATCCTCCCACTTCTTCATATCTTGGCTGCAAAGTGGCTCGTGGATAATTCTGACCAGCATAGTCGCGCGCGAGGCAAACTCAAGCCAAAAAGCGCGGCACAAAGTTGGACGCGTGTGCTACCTCCTCTCCGAAAGGTCCATATTCTCATCATCCTCATTCAAGCACCGATTTCCCTATTTTTGGTTCTGGATTACTGTAGTGCCCCGATCAGCGTCATGTCGTATCTGCGTGGGTTACCTGCAGAGGATTTGTCAAGAAGCATTGGCTTCCTGGTGCCGTGCCACTCGACACCAGGTTATGCGTATCTCCATCGGAGTGAACTCAGTGCGGGGAAATGGTGGATGCTGGGGTGCGAACCTCCGCTAAGGTTAGCTCTTCACTTATTCTTCGTTTATTCCATTAAGCTACAACCGTTGTACAGAGGGGAAGCACTCGACACGTATATGGACCAGACCGACGTATTCTTCCAATCACCCATCGATTATATTGACCGATATTTCCCCTCGAAGGTCAACACTTCTTTTCCAGTATCGCCTCATCCTGCTTCCTTGCCTGGTACCAAAGACGACCAATGGGAGCATGAGTGGCCCAAACATCTGGCATTCTTCGGCCAATTGTTATCATATGACGGCGTAGAGTCACGGCTGAAGCAACTTGGTTACCATGAAGTGTGGAGGAGGGGGAGAGACTGGGAAGGTGAAGGAAAGCGCAAGGGCGGCGTGCGTGTGTGGCGGTGGGATTGAATGCATTGATGTAATTCACGTAGGATAACTTTCTATAATAATTGCTATACTTGATATCTACGGTCTGGAGCTCGGCGTCTTGGTGTAAGTGTGTTGTGTGGCGTTGTTTGATACCGGGACCATTGGCTATTGACCCGACCGTCACGCTTGCTCAGTGACTCTACTTCCTCGACTCGGACTTGTCCCTTTGGACACCAGGATGTCCTCCCTCCCTCGAATCCTCAGGTATCTGCCTGGGGGTCATCGAAATTACTCCTTTTTCTCCTCAAAGTCTGGTGGTGGCAGGTACTTCAACTCAGCCAAGCCACCAAAACCCTCCGTGGTTGCGCCGTCGGCCAATAACGCTCAATCAGATTCTGCCTCCAACTCGAAAGCAAGCGATGGAGCGACGGAAGCTCGCGGTGCGTAGATTCAATGTAGTGATTCTGGAGTGTGCGCTGACTATTTTGAAGAAGACTCGGCCGCTCAGGCCTCCTCGAGCACCGTCGCAGTCCAACAGCCCGAACCCCCTCAACCAGTTCTCTCATTCCATGAAGCTGTTCACCACAAGCTCGCACACCACCCCGCAGTAAACCCCAAAGAGTTTAAACTTCATCAGTTTTTTGCGTTGCATAGACCCCTTCTTCACCTTTCCGACCCGAGCATGCTCTTGCAAGCCGCGCCTGCAAGGGGTCCTCTATACGCTTCGAACGCAGAGGATGCAGACCCTCTCCTCCCACCACCGCACGTTGGAAAGTACGGTGCGGTGTTTGAAGATAATTCAATTTTCTCGGCAGAAGCGGACGCGGAAACAGCCAGACAACTGATGCGCGCTCTGACCATAAACCGAGCCGGGAGCACTGCTGCGTGGGAGCAGACCATGAAGGGCCTGGGGTTGACGGTGGAAATGGACTCGCAAACCCTTGAGCAAATGGAACGCGATTGGAACGATGTGATGATGGATAGCACGAAGCGAAAGCGGCGAAAGAAGATGAAGAAGCACAAGTCAGTACCGCGTTCCTACTACTTCACAGTGCACTGATACTGCTTCCGTGTTCACGTAGGTTGAAGAAGCGACGTAGAGTGCGTATACCTCCCTTTCAACTTACTGAACAACACTTTGACCTTTGCTTTGTAGGCCACCCGTGCATCTCGCATCAAGATTGGACGATGATCTCCATGTCTATATACTCTAATGTCTTGCATTCTAATGGCCTGAATTCGATGCACATTGACCATTTCCGCTGTCAGCAGTGACTGCGAAGAAGATAAGAAGTGAAATATGTATGGTCAGTACTCTGCTATATCAGGACGATCTGACGTCCCAGAGTGCGCACAAATAGTATCGCTGCATCCACCACCGGAGAGTAAGTGGATACTTGATGCCAACACATGATTATTATTCTTGATTCACCCTTCAGCCTTGCATCCTAGCGGAGGAGGCCCACATTGACAGAGCACATGTTCTGGTACTACGCGTATCTCACGTTACTGTAACAATATCACCCTTGCCATCCTTCAGAATCACCAGTTCACACTCTATTTTCTCCCCAGTGTCCATGCAGACCACATCCGTAGGATCAACGGCATTTGTCCGTATCTGTCTGCGTTCGAAGAACGATCGTCCCAGCACGACGTCGAAATGAGGTTCCTCTGAGAGGTATACGGGCATCATCGTTGGCTGTGGGCCACCGTTAGCTTTGTCTTTCAGCTTCCCGTTCCGCTTCTTTGACAGATGCTGGGGTGGAGGAGGCGGGTCGTTTGGATGGGAAGAAAACGTCGAAGAGGGCGTCAATGAGATTGGCCAGGTCCCTATATTGACCAAGCCGCCATATCCATATAGTCCTGGGGTAGCATCCTCCGGGATGAAGCCATGTTGCAACGCAAACTTGCGAGATATGTAGACGTGTCTGTACCCTGACTTGAGGAGCATCCGAACTGTGGAAATCCTGTTAATACGCGAGTGCCTCGAAAGGACGTTTGGGCTTACCGTTCTGGACCGGACCAATGCTACCCATGACGGTGCGAACCCCATTCTCCCCGTGGAATTTCTCAAACTCCTTTCTGAATTGAAGTAACCCACCGGCCTCAGGCTTGTCGTGCTTGCTTCTCTTCGTATGCTTTGTCTTTGTGCTCCCGGCCCCGCCTTGAGACGAGACTGAACGGGAAGCGGCTTCGCGCGCAGTCGATGGACGGAACGCGTAATAAGAAGGATTGATGTATGCTGGGGGACTTGGAAGCGGTTGTGTGGGATCGTGAAGGTACAAAGTGGGCGATGGACTTTCTGATGGACGTGCCGTCGAACTCGAAGGCACGTCGAGACCTCCGCTCATATCTTCCCCCTGCAGCCTCCAGTTGAAGATAGTGTAATCGGATTCTGTATCGTCACATTCAGCGGGAAGCGTAGAGAATCGTCCCAGATGGGATGGACTCACCATCGTCGAGGTTCCACACCGAATCCTTGAACTCATACTTGAGCCACCCAGGTCCTACGCGCTTGCCATGGTAGTCTGTATGCGCCTTTCGACTCAATTTGTCGTAGAGCGTCTCAAGTGGCTCCGTGGCAGCTAGAGATCAGATACCGTTAGCAAGTCCAAGTGAAGAAACGGAAGGAAGCACTTGAATGGATGATTGCAAATGATGAAGTCGGCGTGTGCACGTTTAAGATGGAGTGTTCGGAAGACATACTGAAAAGCGGGCTGCGCAGGAAGCCCGAGTTGCTTGCTTGCGGGCTACTCACGGTACTTAACGACGCAGCATTGGATAGAGAAGCTGCTACGGACACTCAATTATACAATTTAGGACAACGACCAAAGTAAGTAGCCATGGAACCAACATATATGACGCTTATATAGTGACCGGAAAATATAGCACCGATAGCACAACAATTACTTCTGTGTGTTATCCCTAGCTTGAGCTCTTACTCGTTTCCTATAAGAAATATGTTGGGAAGGAAAGACATAGAAGAAACAAAATGGATCACGTACTCATATGCGGCTTTGTCGTTCCTGAGCAAATGGTCAATATTATGTTCTTAGGAGGAAGAGGAACAGCTCACTTGAACATTGTGTAGGCATCGCTCTGAGCTGGATCATTTACGTTCGGATCATCAAGGAGATCCTGAATTCCTAGGAGAATCTTGATGACAGTGAATATGTGTATATCTTGAATCTATGAGGTGGACATGCCTGCTTAATAGTGATCGCAGGCTTCCACCCCTTATCTTCGTCAAGGATCGATAGACATACAGTTCCTGACGGATAGACGTTAGGGTGGAAAAGCGGCGGGGTGAATTTGCCTGTATTCCGCTCCCTTCTCAGCTCAAGAGGCGGGAGTTCAGCTTGGGCACGTACATTTCGGTGGTTTAGAGGGATAATCTGAACGAGGGAATTTAGCAGAGGATCAGATATATGAGGGACAAGGTTCACCGTCGGGAAAGTTCATCATCAGTTTATACGTGCCGCCCTCCCAAGCTGTCTAAAGATGGAGAAGTCACAAATGCGAAATATAGGTCGCAAGCTACACTGCTCACTCCGGCCTTTCCAGGAATACCGACCTCCCACTCAAGTAGGTTCATCGATCCATCTCCCGCTTTCGTGGGCTTCGCGTAAAATCCCTGTTACCGTGCGTCAGAAATCGCGTCACAGTAGAACATGGTAGGAGAAGGCGTGAAAGTGTGATTTCGCGACTCACAAAGGGGTGATCTTTGCGCCATTGCTTGCGCTCCTCAGCTAAGCGTGGGCGACATATCCCAGACATTATGATAGGTTTGTGCGACGAAGCTTCGACTGTGATGGTGGTAAGAAGTCAGTCGGCGTCCGCGCCTGTACCGCTACAGTGGTACTGGCACCATCACATGACTGTATTTCTACCGAGAATATATCGTTTATACGTGTAACTGATAGTAACCGATCCTCTTGTGCATGCGAGACTGATTATGGAGAATAAGAGAGACCCGGTGGTCAACGCATGAATTGAATGCCATTAGAGGGTGGGGTTTCTATCCATTGGATCGTGTTTTACAACAAATTAGACCAACAGCTTCTCAATCGCGTCTTTGATCGTTTTTATCTGACTCGCCAACTCTCTCGTATCACTTGTTGTAACACTGCATGCGATCACGGGCCTCGATACGTCGCATGCACGGCCGAGGGCAGCCTTGGATGGTACGAAGACATAGGGAACGTTCTATGCAGCGGTATTAGTAAAGCATGCAAATCAATCGACCGCGCCAGGACACACCTTTTCTTCGCATAGCAGAGGTAAGTGCATCAGAATCTCGATGGGCTCTGTGTCGGCAGTAAGCACGATGAATTCAGCAATACCACGATTGAGCGTCTTTGTTGCTAAGGAAGACATTAGAACACACAAGGCGGAAAGCTGGGATGTAATGCATACCTTCGTTGGCTCCCTTCTTGAGCTGCTTGTACTGCCCAGCCTGTTGAACAAGCTCCAGGATCTGTAGGTAAAATAAGCGACGAATATATGAGGCGGCGGACTAGACTCACTGAGTTAGTAAGGTCGGCATCAGACAAGGGGAATGCTTTCGAATTTTCTTCGGCCATTTTGATATCAATAAAGCGACCTCAACGCGAAACGATCCTTGGTCAAAGTTTTCGGAGGAGTTGGGACTGAAGATGAAGAGATGCCAAAAAAAGATGTATGATCGTATTATCTAAGGCGCTTGATTCATTTCACGATCGCTTGGTACCTGAGGCTGCGAGACCAGATCTCGTACAAAGCTCCCGTGTTCCTGCTGTTCTACTAGCTGTAAGTACGAATACTATATATTGATCAGCTCTGACATGTATGATATGGCCATCCTTAGGCCACGAGTAGCAATTGGACATCAAAAGCATGGAAGCCCCTTCGTCATCTAACCAACGGGTCCAGCCCAACTTGCAAACTGGCTTGGCGCGGCCCGATGTCCTTTACTTTGGGTACGGTAGCAACATGTGGCTGGAACAAATGGAGAGAAGGTGCCCCCAGAGCACGTATGTCGGCATCGCGATACTGGAGGGTTGGCGATGGATGATCAATGAGCGTGGCTATGCGAACGTTGTCCCCTCAGCAGAGGATCACGTCTACGGGTTGGTGTACAAGCTGAGCGAAGAGGATGAAAAGAGCTTGGACGTATACGAAGGTGTCCCTTTGGACTACATCAAGAAGTTCATGGCCGTCAAACAGTCGGGCAGCGCACCACTGTTGAACAAGGAATTCAATACCTTAGTATATGTCGATGAAATTAGGTTGCACGACGACTTGCCACGAACGGAGTACATATATCGCATGAACATGGCTATCAGGGATGCCTTGAAGGAAGGCGTGCCACCGGAGTACATGGATAAATACCTACGCCCATTTATACCTGCAAATGCTTAGTAGATGTTTAGGAAAGCGACGTTTGGTAGTGATACGGGCTCGATGACGCGTAAATGCTTGTAGAACAAAGTTATTTCTCACATAAAGTACACACTCCTAATCTGTGAATTTGCAATACGATTCTATGAATCAGCCGAGCTTCGTCCCTCAACGCGAATATCGTAGCCGTAAGCAACCCCTGCAGATCCTGGCACATCGCCCGGGCCCTCGTAATGCATTTTCGACACGTCGTAATTTCCTAATCACCAGGTAAGTTTCACATCTAAATGGAAGTTATGGCACGTACCAATGAACTTCCAACCATCTTCCTTGACATGGTACAGGTTACATGTATTACCAGAGAAAGCATCACGGTGACCGGCAGCATAGATGCTACGCCTTCCAAGTTCTTGAGCTTCTTCATCCGAAAGATCCCAATGGTAACCTTGATCGAGCACACCATACGCGAACGTGCTACCTGATCCGACAGAGAAGAGGTCCCCCTTCAACCGGGTTCCATCTGAGTCGACGTAGAATATAGCTGGGCCCTGAAGATACTCAATTAGTCTCGAGACGCAACGATTATGCGAACTCTATCCTACCGTTTTGTCCCATCCACAAATCATCGTGCCCTAATCACGATTCAGAAATATACCCAGGAGTGTGTTCAGGCCACTGACCATGCTCAACCCCATGCCCTTATATCCGTAAACTAAGTTACTAAGGTATTTGCTCGCGGCGGAGACAGATATTCTTTCCCTGTTTCGCAGTTCGTGAAGTCGGCAATGGATCCCCAGATAGGTTTCCCAGTACTGGCAATCGGCTAACACCCTATAAGTCGAGTATACAGATACAAGGAACAGATAACTGACCAGCGCCACCAGCCATGGTTCCCAAGAGATACGGATTGATTTCAATTACCTTCTTCACCGTCCCAGATGCTACAGAGCGATGAGACGCGCGTTACACGACTTGTTACTTTCACACTCACCGACATAGCTTCCTGCTGTAGCTCTGGAATCCACTGCGACGATCACACCACCCTTGAATCTGAAGGCCAGCGTAGTTGTTCCGTGTTGAATTTTGATCCTGCAGTTAGGATCGGAAGAGTCGTCGGTATGTAGTCGAAGGAAGGCGGTGGGCTAGCTAGACTGAGCATCCTTGACGTTCTTAAAGTTCAGAGACTACTCACATCAGCTACTGAAGGGATTGAGAAAGTCGGCACGCCTTTCGCAAGACTGCCATAGCCAGCTTCTGAGCCCCACGATGCATCAGAGAAGTCATCATCTTCCATTGCAATAGCCTTGGCCTTGCTGAGCTCTGCGCCCGCACTTGTGGAGGAGAAACGCGATGCGAAGGTGTTCATGTCGGGCGAGTAAGCTGTAAGTAGAATACGCAAGCTGACGCGGCGCGTCCATTTACTGAGTCCCCCTTGTGGATAAAATACGGACAAACAAAGTGATGGTATATGGGCGCTTATCTATATTGGTTTTTCCCCTAATGCCTCCACAGTAGTTACACTTCGCAGCAACTTCACACTTGACGATGAAGACTTTCCTCGCAAAAGCCAAGAAACCGTTCATCAACCCCAAGGTCTCCTCAGGAAAAGATAGGCCAGGCGCCGATTCTCATTCCACGATCCGTCAGACGCATCCCGGCCTCAAACCGAAGTATACAGTCCCTCCAGTACCACACCCGTGTCCATACGAGCATATAGCCTTACTGGCTTCTGGAAAGGGTATTCTTCTTCGCCCCCATGGTGTAAAGCATCCAGCAAAGCATGTTCTTCTGCGGTGGGGCAAGGAAGTGATAATTGACGAGGTGGATGGACCTGGCGATAGCGAAGGAGCATCTTGGTCCGACGCGACCATCGTTTATGGCATAGTTGGTTTGCTGAATTTATACTCTGGTTAGTGAGTACTACCTGGGGTGGTCGGCTCTCTTAACATTTACCTTACCAGGACCACATCTTCTTGTGATTTCATCCAGAATGGATGCTGGTAATTGTAAGTGGTTGTGTACGTATCAACTACGAGCATGATTTCTAAGGCGGTGCGCCAGTTCTCGACGCACGTCACGCCGTCTACGGAGTGAAAGGCGTAGTTGCTATTCCAATGGTGGACGAGCAAGAAGCTAGAGTCGTGATCCACACTCTAGCATCTCGAAATCTTGCCCTTTCGCGTCCTTCCTTAGTGGCTTCTACGACGGCCGACACATCGGTTTCTATAGTCTCTGTAGAAAGTGCAACACCGACGTCGTCCGACACATTATCCTCGCAGGGTGGCCCTCGAGTCCAATTTTCCGAAGCCGTGAAGCCAACGACCGAATCCCAGACGCTCAGTGACGACTTAAGAGGTGACAGACCGACATCCCCTACACCATCCACAGCTTCGGCCGCATCGTCGGAGAATTCCGCAGATCCTTCCTCAGTAGCGAAGACGCTAGCAGACCGATTGTCGTTCTGGAGCCGGCTGTCCAAACGAGCACCAAATCTCAAATCACCGAACGGGGATGTAGTGTCCGCTGATATTGAGCCCGACATGCCCGACACTCCTTTAAGTCCAACTTTCGAGCCTAAAGTATTAGACGGAATCATCAAAGATGCCAAAGGTGAACCAGGGGAAGTCCTTGGCTCAATTATTGCATCCACTGCTCCTCCCCCAACATCATCAGAGGAAAGACACTCAGAACTCGAGACTAAAATCATCAAAGAATGTATTAAAGAGTACACCAAAGGTGGCATGTATTTTGCATATAACTTTGGTATGCCATCGTTTTCGACGGCCGAACAATTGCAACAATGGGTCAGTAATCTGACTTGGAATGGTTTTCAGATATTACTCGTTCCCTTCGCCATAAACAATCCTTGGTTACCAAGAGTCAGAAGCAACAAGCCCTCTTGGTAGACCTGAATGCCATTCCGACACCGGATTCCATCGACCCCACTCACGTAGCACTGGCGGAACCCAACCCTACACTTCCTTTATGGCGCCGAGTAGACAAGGAGTTTTGGTGGAATGAATGGCTCAGCAAACCTTTTATCGATGCCGGTGTGAGCATCTACGAAATTTATAATTTGCGACGTGCTGAATTCCATTCTTACCCAAGCTACATTCATACGTTCTCCCCATAATGCAAGGATACTATCAGGCGACTAATTTTGTGGTGCCACTGGAATCGACTGACCCGGAAGCTGAAGATGTCGCTTCCGTACAATATATAATCGTATCTCGCAGGTCGAGGTACCGGGCTGGCCTTCGTTACCAGCGAAGAGGGATCGATGACGCTGCACATGTAGCCAACTTCGTCGAGACCGAGACGGTCATGAGCGTGGAGGTACATTATCCTTCGCGCCGTTGATGTCTAACCCGGCATATTTTTTTGCAGCGTGAAGGCACTACGAATGTGTTCAGTTATGTTCAAATCCGTGGATCTAGTACGTACTTTTGATTTCCCCGTTCTGTCTTTTTTTTTCCAGCCAGATCTGTTTTCCCCCAGTACCTTTGTATTGGCTTCAGACCGGGTACGGCCTAAAGCCGCCACCAGTAATCGCTACTGATAGGACGCACGAACAACAAATGGATGCGCTGAAGCGTCATTTTCTTCGAACTATCCCTCAGCATGGCCCACATGTATGTGCCACAGTCCACTTGCAAGAGTAGTTGTGAATGATAGCTGTATTGAAAAGACTATCGTGAATCTCGCGGAGCAACAAGGCAGAGAAGGCGAAATCACAAGAAGTTACAAGGAACACGTCGCTGAGCTGGGCTCCAAGGACGTTCGGTGAGGTTCTCTCATTCGTAGTGTCTAAGACAAACTAAATGACATCTATTTCTCTAGCTACTATGAATACGACTTCCATCGCGAAACCAGGGGCATGAGGTTACTCCGGTCTTGCATGTTCTTCAAACTGAGGCTGATGTTTTCCAAGATACGAGAAGCTATCTTCTTTGATTGACGCCATGGAACGTACATTTGACCAGCAAGGGTGCGTATAGATCCGGTAGTCAAGCGTCATTCCTTAGCTTGCGTTCTAGATTTTTCTGGATGTCAGGGAAAACTGTGTTATCTGACCAGGCGGGTGTGTTCAGAGTCAATTGCATAGATTGCCTCGATAGAACGAATGTCGTTCAGGTACACCCCTCGATTTTCTAATTTGTATTTGCTGTAACTTATCATATCCTAGTCCGCTTTCGCCCGTTATGTTTTGCAGAAGCAGCTTGGGGCTGTTGCTCTACTGAATCGTTCTCCAACCGACAACAAATCTGACATCAACCTCATATTCAACGACGGTGCGCACTTCGCACAGAAATAGTCATCATGGAATGAACACCGCCCACAGTATGGGCTAATAACGGTGACGCTATCAGCCGAGCTTAGTACGTTCGTTGGTCTTTGATAAGTGCTGAGTCACTGACAGGGCAATAGCGCGGGTACTTCGGCTTTGAAGGTGATACCTCTTCCACTGGTGCCTTTTGAATTCACTGACGATTTGATATCATAGGGGGACTTCACTAGGTTCGCCAATTCTTTATTAATCTCCTTGCCCTGGCGGTACTCAAACCAACTCTAGAACCGGAAAACGGGACCTCAGCGGAATGCTAAATGACGGAGTCAACTCTCTTGCTCGGTCAGTAGAAATGCATCATCACCGTCAATAGGAGTAACAATGCCTTACCTCCCGAACACTCCAGGATGTACACATCTACTTTCAGCGACTGGTTCAGCCAAGCCGTCATAGATTTTATGCTTGGAAACAGGACGTTATCCGTTTTCTCCGAGTTTCTACTCAAGCTTCAGTCCAGCGATCCTCGAGATCTCATTAGATTATCAAAGATCCGTGCTGAGGCCATCGCCACTTCGGCGTCGCGCGTACTATGTGAGGGCGAGAGCCTGGTGTCAGGGTGGACCCTATTTGGTCCGGACAAGTTCAATGTAAAGATGAGCGACAAATTTGAGGAGAAAGTGCTCCTATTGGTGAGTCAACAAAACATGCTACTACCATTGCTAATGTTCGGTCAGACCAAACGCGCTTTGTATATTATCGTTCGTTTGGTTACTTTGTTCTACTCTTATCATAGCTAACTCCTAGCGATCAAGACCTATGATTATACCTTGGAGAAAGTCAAGATGTATACCCGTGTCCCACTTGGTGACATCGTCAGTATCACCAAAGGTGAGCTATCTGCGGTGCTCTCCAACTTGTCTTGCCAACGATCATGTGTAGGAGCATATATTATATCACCCTTAGAAGAGGCGAGCCGCGATCCATTACAGAATGCCGGGTTGATCATCTCATGGCTCAATACCCCACACCAAGAAACCAGAGTAACAAGCTACTCCATCCGAAATTCTGTAGACTTATCTAGCCCTCCCGGATCCCCCCTTCCCTTCGCATCTGCTAATCGCTCCTCGTTGAATCGCCCTCGATCTTCAATGATATTGTCTCTTACGCGCAGAGGATCCCAGCTTTCCAGAATACTAACGGATGCCTCGCTGACTGCCAGCTGCGAGAAGACATTTGCCGCTTTCAAAGTCCTCCCCATCGATCATGCCCGAATCCGACAAGGATCGACGTTGGGATCAGCATATTCCGAAGTTGCTGATGAACTGACGGGGGCATCAAACTGCAAGGAAGCCACGAACTGGATCGTGGAGACCATATGTCAAGCTTGTGAAGACATAGGAAGCAATCCGCATGGTCGACGTATGGTCAAAGAAGAGGATATCGTTAGGTGGGGCGCCACATCATGCATCTACATTCCTATCTCACTTCTTTCCATCAAGTCTGGCCGAAGCACAGCGCATGACAAGCATGTACGCAAAGATGGAATATGGTTTAAAGCGGTTGTTATGGTTAGGGAGTTAGGTTATTTAACATGATTATTCTCATATACCCCTTCACTTGTGCTCGTGCTTGTGCTATTGTATATACATGGTAATTCGAATTAGCTATCCAAGACATTAACAAAGTAGTAGTCCCATAGGATAGTTGTAAAGAATAGATGCTCCGGTTACTGACACGTTAAAAGATAGTATGTGAAGAAACAAAAATCCCGGGAAAAAATGAAAAAAGTAGCATTATAGGCATAGTCTGTGTCCGTCCATCAAACACTGGTATCAAATCACCGCAATCCACCCTCTCCGAGGTCAATAAACCTCGTCACACGCTTCATCGCCCGACCGCTCATCACTAGATCTTGAGCACCAACGTCATCCCCGTAATCGCTATCGCCATCATAGGTGCTTCTAGCGGCGTGAACATGTTTGTCACAGAGCATCCTGCCATCGACTTCCCAATATTCTTCCAATCGAGTCTTGCATGGGTATCCGGGGTGCTCGCATGTGAAGTGTTCGGGATGGTACCGGTCGCCTGAATGAGAAACCGCGCAGGGCCCTTCGATGGGTTGTCCGCATAGAGCTGCAGCGCAAAGCGAGTCATTCGCTTCGTGATAATGATATGCACAAAATGGTTTGCCATCGAACACATAGAAGGTCTTATCCGGAAATGGTTTCTGTACAAATTCTGGTTAGATGAAGTCTATATCGTCGATAGGCAATATACGAACCTGGCATGTAGAGCAACTGAAGCACTGCTTGTGATACTTGCCCTTGAGCTGACCATCCGAGGACGATATCGCAGCAGTTTCAATCGGTAAATTACATCGTCGACACTGCGTGCGTAACGAATGATCAATCTCCCGCAACAGTGGAAAGTAGCAACGGTGGACTTACTTTAGGCAAATACATATTCTTCCAACATGCCTCACAAAGCACTCCACCTCCACCACCATCTATAGCTATCCACCGGCCATCGTCGATTTGCTTGTCACACTTCCTGCACACACGAATCTTCTTCGGCTTCACACTCTTCTCTGGGACTTTAGCGTTCAGATCATGGTCGTGTGCGCTGAGACCGGATCCAGGTGTGGTGCGAGAACGAACGATGGTTGTAGGCGGGGGAGGATTCTTAGACTCGGGGGAGGATTGTGGCAGCAAACTTCCACCTGGAACCGTGTTACTACGAGTAGGGAATGTCCTCCCTTTGTCGAGTGGCCTCATCTCCGGGTCCTCATAATCCTTCCCGCTACTAAGGTCTTCAATTAGAGTCTCCATCACTACCTCTAGGTCGGCGCCACCACGAGCAGTTGCATGGCTATTCGCAACTCTGTCGAGTAACGATAAACCCTTCGAACTTTTAGGGCTATCTCTCAGGGCGCGCTCATCCACGGAGTCGTCATCATCGCTATCTGAATAAACAGAATTAGAATTGGTACTCATTCGTTCACGCCTTTTCTGGGCACCAGGCTTTAGGGCGGCCGTCTGGGGCAATGAACCGCTGGAGTCTGTCGTCATGGAAGGGAAGCGGATATGATTACGGCTAGCATCACGTTGAGGGCCACTTCGTAAGATGGAGCCTTTCCGGGGAGACGATGTGGGACTTTTCTTGATAGTACCAGGGAAAGGTAAGAGTCCTTTGTCTTCGTCTTCCGCATCAGAATCCGCGTAAGCCAAACCATACTCAGAACCAGAGGAAGGTGACATTGGGACTGGAATGGAAGGTGATTTCGTATCCGAGGCAGTGGTGGTCGTTGTGTTCGAACGTTGTCGGCCGGTTCTTGCAGAGTAAGACGATGCAGACGATGCGGAGCGTGCAGCAGCGGGAGAAGTTGGTAGACCATTGGTGATAGAAGGAGTTGCTGAATGAGAGCGCTTGGGAGGGGTCGAAGTTTTACTCGGGCTGGAGGCTGGATTATCCAAGTTCCGATTATTTGAATCATATAATATTTCATTATCCTGTGTGCTGGGCTGGCCCTTCTTGTATTTTTCAAAGAACGGAAGGCGGGCATTGCCCAAAGGTGTGATGGGACCAGCGGACGAAGGGTTTGACGAGTTAGAGGTCGGGGATGTAGACAAGTTCGCGAATGTGGTATTCAGTGGTGGTATCGAAGGGGGTATGTTGCTGGTGGGTATTGACATTGGCGAAGGTGTTCGTGTTTGGGGTGCATATGGTGTCACTAGAGGAGAATATGGGGCATTAGGGGATGGAGCTGTAAACGATGATGTTCAGAGCAGCAAGGACATTGGAAAGGTGCCACATACCTCCTACTCCAGCACGAGGGCCGGTGTACCCAGACGGTTGTGCGTTCAAATATTCAGGTCCATTCTGTCGAAAGGGTGTGCTCCTTCCGTCGTCCCATCCGCCGCCCCCATCGCCACGCTGATTTGGAGGTGGAAGAGCAAACATGGCTGCTCGTGCAGCGGCTGCAAATCCGCGTCTACCCACTCCAGCCATACCCGCTTCACCACCGGACTTGGTGTCGATAACCTCCGGCACAGCAGGCGGCTCCACCATTGGGGGAGGCGTGTATGATGCTGGCGGGGGACCTTGAAAACGAGGATTCGGAGGCTGCATCATCGGGGGAGGGCCACCGTAGTTGGAACTTGAAGCGAAGGGCTGGGCATTGTTGGAAGGCGTCCGAGCACGGGCGTCCATGCTAGGTCGACTTGATTGGTCCGACGGCGTTCGAGCGCGTGCGTTGGGGTTTGGGCGGGGCAAAGAATTGTTCGAAATGTTGGAAAAAGTGCGGGCACGCCCATCATGGCCAGGCGACATGGCCAGCGGCGAGTTGTTTGAGGGCGTGCGGGCACGCATGTTTTCCAACGGGGAGCCTGCAGACGGTGAACCACGAAACGGACCATTGCGAGGAGGCGACGTCGCCGTGTTCGTGTTTATACGAGGTGAATCTCTTCTCTGGGGAAACGCAACGCTTGGCGAGCTGGAGGAAACCGAACTAGCGGGCGATGGCGACCTTGGGTTGCTGACCAGGTTCTGGAGTCGCGTCGGTAAAAGGGCTGTTGCAGCCGACGGGGTCAACGCAGGCTTTGGCAAATTGAGTGCGGCTTTCGACTGAGTTGGCAGCGGTGGGGGCTTTGGGCAGATATGGTCCCCAAGCTCTGCGAGAGGGACTGGATTATTGCAGGACGAACATTTTACAGTAGGAAGGAGCTGTGATATTCTAGGAACTTGTTGGGAGGACGCAGACGACGGGCTCAACAACGGAGCCATCATCGTGGCAGGTTCTGAGAAGGAATGTTGGGTAGTACGTCCAGCGTGGGGTCGGGGGATGGGAGGGGAGGAGGAGATGGTCGTGGAACAATCACAAGAAGGACCACGCCGACGACGTGATGCTCGGTTGCGACCTCAACGCTGGATTTCACGCATCAATTAAAAACCCTAAAATCGCCCATCTGGCTTCATTTCGATCATGATCTTTGAAATTGCCGTAATCTCAACGGTCCCTTCTCACTTCTGCACAATTTGTAGAGCACAGCAACCCAGAACTGGTTATCCCATCACGTGGAACCACACCGCACTCTTTCGAATTGGGAACAAGGTTACTTCCAGCGTTGTTGAAGGAACCGACACTGCTCGTCCTCGAAGATGGGTACGTACGACTACGCTATCCCGACTATCAAACCCATCATCACAAATAGAAGCACCCTTCCAGTCGCGGCCGAACCCGAGGACAAAGACTAGACACGCGATTTCTATGAACGATTGTGTGGACGCGGATAGGTTACAGGTGGTCGGGTTGCCAGGCTCGTGGGACAAGGATATCCGAGGGGGAGCAAGGGAAAATAGGCTATTACATAGCCTGTCGAGTCTGCTGTCCATCCGGTTTGGTTGCCGCTGCAGATATGCGTAAACTTGTGGAGCGCAAGGATCTCGGAGCGTTCTGGAGGGAACAAGCTACCATCGGTGGAATGGAAGGTCTGCACTCCTTCGCACGAATCACGACAATGTCCCGGACTTTGGTTTAACGTAGTATCGCATGGTACCAGCACCAGCGCTCAACCGAAACTTGTTTCTCACCATCATGTTTGCATCAGATTTTCAGAGTTTGATTGGTGCGGGAGAATAGTTGTAGCTATTCTCGCCAATCATCGTCATCTTCCAAGAGGCTGATGCTTGCTGCATATGGTTAGAGTATGGAATGACTTGGATGTGGAGGGACTAACTGTTCGCTGGTCTGCCAAGCTTCACGTAACCGCCCATCGTGCGTGCGGGGAGGCAGACGCTCCACTTGAAACTTGCGATGCAGGCTTGCAAACGACACATGGGTGCCACTGTATTGTAGTGTGTGGTGCGTGTCTCAGTCAACCGAAGTAAACCTACGGACCGATGAAGCATGTTGCTTTCCCGGAAGGGACACCCCGACCGCCCATCCCCTGTGTCTGTAACCGAACATCTCCCGCGAAGAGAGCAAAACTCCCACTCATCTAAAGTTATGACCGCTCTCTTCGGGGTTGCGTCGTCGAATGTTACTATGCCACGAATAAACGCTTCCGCACAACTTCACCTCGAAATTGCGCTATTACCTCGAAGAAAAGCTCGATTGCAGAGATTTGCAACCTGGGGTACGGAGTGCAGAGGTTCATGGAAACACGGCTGAGAATAGGATCGTACCGCCCAAACCTTCCTGATCCCCACCCAGTTAGTCTCAGTAACAACCGCCAGTACTTCCTTAAGCAAGCAAGAACACTAAACGAGGTTGAAAGCCTCGATGACAGAGAAAATTGACCGCAGTTAACTTGGAAGCCAACGCAAGCAGAGAGACGAAGAAGAGATGACATCACCTTTCATCGTGCGGGTATTCTACGGGGCAGATCGATAAACTCATCTGATTGCAATTGCGATAGGCGGACAGGACAGCGACAACATCGAACGGGTGGGTGGATTATGGACTGTAGTCTGATCGTGCTATAAGGCTGCTAAAAGAAGAATAAAGGTACAAGGGAGAAGAAGGGTCAGGTAATGCTCATTGGGGAGGGTAAGGTAATGGCGTTCGGCTGTGGCTTTCCTGCGTTTGGAGGCCAGAATGGTTGACAATCTGCTGCTGCTGTTGCGATTGGTCGGTGAGTTGCTGTGACGGCGTTTGGGCGAAGTTGGAAGCCGACGGGCCCGCGCCAGAGTTGACCCCACTTCCGGCCGTGGCGTTGAACCGAGAGAAAAATGTGTCCCATTGTCCTAGAAAATCGGCGGTAAATTAGAAGACTCTAAGCTATGTAAATGCGCTATACTTACCCCAATCAAACATGCTGCCTGGTATGCCTTCCAAGAATCCTGTATCCGCGATCGCAAATTGCTCCAGCGTATTGGTACCTTGGGGCACGTCTAATACATTCATTACCTGCACATTCCCAGGCACGGTTTGACTGTTCATGGCAGGGTTCACGTTCGGGAAGTTTCCGTCGCCCTTACCGCCCCACAAGGGTGTAATATTCACCATAGAGGAGGGTTGAACGGGCAGCGATGGTTGCGCTGTCGGATGCGAATTCGAATTCGACGGGCGCGCATCGGCGGGAAGCGGGGGTGCGAACGGGGAGGAAGAGAAGAGTTGCGCGTTATTCGACGTTGTAACAGAAGACATCGATCGCGTCGGGGCCTCACCTTCAGACTCCTCATCTGAACTGGTGCTGATGACGGTACCAGCAGGGAGATCCTTCAGGTCTTCCCGGGCATCTCCCTGGGCGACGAATACCCCGCCACCAGGCCGTGATGGATCCTTCTTGAAGTTCAAGCCACCCAGGACCTTCTTACCTATGACCCCTCCCGTAGGGTTGAGAGCCGGAGTCTCTATGGGCAGAGGGTCACCTTGGGTGGACTCAAACAGCAAGGTTATGATCTCCGCCGTCTGGAATTGGGTCGTGTCAGTTACAACATTCCTGCAGCAGTTTACACTGTCTGAGAGAACAAAGACCAGCCTTTCTTCTTGCTGACATATGATCAGGCGATAACGATGCTTCCCACCGGCGGACACAATCCCTCAGCTTTCTCAGCTTTGCCATGGCGTTTTCATCTTTCCGCCGTGCCCAAGTATGGATCTATTAAAGAATGTTAGTTAACGTACAGGCCTGGAGGAGAGCACATGTACCTGGACTAATGCACACAAAGTGGTGGCATAGGCAATCAATAACCACACATCGTAAGTCTTCTCATTGGCATCCAGCCAGTCGATGAGGTCACCGGTCATAGTCACCAATTGCGTCCATTGTTCCACGGTCAATCCAAATTTGAGGTGTGCAGGACATGTGTATGATATCCGCATGAAGACACGCCAGAACAGGATACAGACACAAGCATAAAGCATGTGGAGCAAGCCTAAAGGGAGGACGTTAAGTCATAGCTGGAAGCGATATTAAATCATGACTCACCAGCATTCCGGGGTGTGTTAACTCCACGGAATTTCAGATCTTCAGGTAATTGATCCTGCCACCGTTGTATGTCGGCGAGTAGTTCGACGAGGACCTGATCGGTCATAAACGTTAACCCAGACGGACTGAAATATGATGAATTGGTAGTTGATGCGAAAGTTTGTGCAAATATTACCTGTAGATGGTCTTATGCACTCGACCTAAGATGACACTCAGTCGAACGAGTTCATCCATATAGAGATCATGTTGATCGCCAGCGGAAGGCAGGCGGGCATCACAGTCGCGAACGTCGATCATATAAGGGTGGCCGTACGCTACGCTGATCCTAGAAACTGTTGGTCATAAGGATGATATAACATCAATGGGAGCGTACCATCTGTCACTGATCACACACGCGGCCCAAAGACGCCGCCGAAGTTCAACATTTTGCTTGAACGACTCCGCGCGATGAAGACCAAGGTCTTGCGCCTGCCACGCAAATGCTTGAGTGGAAGGGGCAATTTGATGAAGATGAGACGAACCATTCTAATTGCCGCGCCTAGTCGAATCCACAATGCAGACAGTGCGCTTGGAACGAACTGCGAATGACAGTCGCCCGACATGCACAATATGAGCAATGACTGAACATTGACGATCGAGGCCGTAGACAAGACGTCTTCTTTCTGTATAATGTTGTTGACCGCGTAACGAATTGTATCGAAGACCGTTTGTGGTATTTCCCGACGAGCGGCGGCCACCAGGCACATAGAATAGAGGAGGATGGGCGGCGGGTTGGGGTTCGCCAAAAACTCTGCCTTCGTCACAACGGGTAAAATGGGGGCAACATCAGCAAAGTACGCGTTAATCAGTTGTTCGACAACATCGCGCTCGATGTGTAGATCGACGGGTTTGGAAATTGCTTGCTTATGTTCCTCGTTGCTCGGCTTCTGGATCTGGATAAGGCCATCTCCCGTTTTAGTGACTTCCCATGTATGTTGGTATCTTTGATCGTAAGACTCGTATATGCGCGAGGAGATCGTAGCTTGTGAGTGCAATAGGTGGGCGGGTGAGGTAGGCCCTGCACCGTCTCATCAGTCTGAACCAAAGATCTTTGTGGAACGATCAGAAGGAACCAAACTCACCTAGCACCCCAATATCATGTCTTGGGTGAGAGTCTGCCTGAGAAGAAGCCGCGCGGACTGGTTCCGACTTCTCTTTATCAGCGCCCTCTTCCTCAAGCTTCTTCTTCTTGAAACGGGTCTCCGTGATGGGCAGAAAGAATGTACATTCAAAGCCATACTGCTTGCAGTGTTGGCAGACCGGTGGGTCCTGACAATATATGTCCAATGAGCCCAATGCCCGGTATAGCGGACAAATCACAGACCACGTCGGTGATAACATCACATCTATGGGAGGAATGATCAATTTGCCGCGCATTTATGGAGGGCACAGACGAACCTAATTTTACGCGCGCGACAGCTATCGCATGCACGCTGTGTTTTAGTTCGCTTCTTGAGATCAACCGGAGTCTGTGCTGTTGGGTGTGGCTGGGCACTATGAGCGCGAGCGAACTCGCTGCCCGATGCGCCTGCCTCATCATCAGAGGGTTTGTCTGAACCCCTACCACCGCCTTTCCTCTTACGTTTGGAACCCGACGACGTTGCCTGCGGACTTGGCTGCTGCACTTGAGGCTGCTCGTGTGGCGGGTGCGCATATACGACCGCCATTTGTGGGTGTGGAATTTGGGTGTAGCCGTACGCGGGTGGATGCCCGTACGACGCGGGATGTATAGCATAACTGTACTGAGCTTGGGCCATCGGAGGGGGACTTGCTGCATTGGGCTGGCCTTGTTGTGGTTGCTGCGGGTACTGACCCTGTTGTGAGTACGGGGGACCGTTTACGGGGTATGGGGGATTCATGAAAATGGCAGGACCAGGATACGGTTGAAGAACAGAAGTTGGAATTGGCAGAGGGGGTGCCTGGGCGACTGCATTGGACAAACAAAGACAGGAAGCAGGCAAACGGGTAAAGCAGATGAGCGGAGGCGGACAAGGTGAATTTTGAGAAAATAAAGGAACGAAGCTGACCTTGAGAAGAGGGATGTCGGGGCTTTGGTTCGGCAGCTAGTGTTCGCTTTCGTTGCCGCGGTTTCTTGTCAGCGTTTGTTGTCGGCTTGTTGGCAACGGGGGTCGGCTGGGCAGACAGAGGTTGCGGAGTAGCAGACGGCAGAGACTGCGGCAACGGCTGGGTGGTGGATTTGGGTGAAGAAGGAGACGCTTGTCCGTCCGGGGGAGATGCCATGTTTGTTTGTGCGTTCCTCCTCCGACAATCGATTCTCGATTCCTAGTCAAACAGTTTATGCTTGAATATAAAGCTGACTAAACCGTTGGATAATCCTCAGCCGTACTATTTACCAATTACTTCCTGCCTCGCAATCTACTTCTCAGTTCATACTTGGCTTTAATAAACGACGGACCTGCCACCTTGCGGATCGACGACTTTCGTGGAACGCTCGTTGTGAGAGACGAGGAAGAGATGCCGGATGTTCACTACCCCTCGGAGCGCGCCCATGCCGGCCCTCGTTTTCAATCTCCGAATTGATTACAACCTCCGCGATTCACCGTGCTCGACAGGCACGTCTGCTCGCGTTGTTGCTCCACGACGGTCCGTTATTTGCAACACCAGTCCGGCCTTGTCCTCAAACAAGACACATATCCATCGCAGTATTCCAGGCCTCGATGCTGACATTCATCTCACAAATTCTCTGTGAACCTTGATCGCTGCGTCACAGGAACCCTAGACTGGCAATCACTAATCACTAGGGACGGATTTCGAGGCACCCACTGCGTCACAGGGGTATGTATGGCATTCCGGCGGGAAGTTAAGCATTTCATACTCCTTCCGAGCTCTATAATCGAGTAGAACAATCACTACGTTGTGCCCGGTCACGGTGGGCACTCGCTATAATGAGCGCTCTATTTCCCTCTCGCCACATTCATAAATGTTTAAACCCACGCTTCTCTCGCCAGGCACCGTTCTCATCTCGTGACACGTACTTACAACGACCCTCATGGCGGTGGAGCCGCAGTGATAGCAACTTTCTGAGAAGAACGCTTCCCATATAACCCTAGGGAAGTCGGTTCAAAACGAATGCAGTTTGATCGATAACAAAAATCCAGATGTAAATACTATAATATAATGCCACTGCGAATATAAGGATGTATGTAACCTTGCGCCCATTGAAAGTAATAGAAGGCGAGTCAAATATCGAATAATGATCTACGAAGTACGAGGCCCATCCCAGACACCTTCCCCGTCGAGCCCAGGGTTGATGTCTCTCTTGTCCTCGGTTGCAATGCCCGGTCCATTCAACCACGAATAGCCAGCAGGTCGGCAGAGAATTGCCACAAAGTTCCTTCTCCAGCTTCCGTGAGTAAAAGGATTCGGTGGCGCAACGTCAGGAACAAGGGTTTTGTGCGCTTGGTTGCGTATCTAAGAAAGAATCAAAAATTTTATCCGTCAGTATTTTATTCACTGTCCATAAGTCCTATCAGGAAGACGGAAAGATGAAAATAGCGGCAGGGGAAACGGATAAAAGGGAAGATGCCAAAAGGATCCATTTAGCTCACCTGCTCTATCGTCGTGATATTTAGTAACAAGAGCTGAGAACCCCGTGAGCTTAACATGCATCTGTGTGAACATGAGACGTACCCGAAGATGATAGCTCAGCAGTGCTGCCACCGGCCAGATAATTGCGATGGAAAGACAGAAGACCACAGCACTACCGGCCCCTCTGTTCAGCGCGTGCCTAAAGTCCAGATGCTCTCGTTGTGTCAGCCACCAAAGGTGCAAGGCCGACGTCACAATAATCAAAATAAGAGTGAGGGTCTTGAAGCCATTTTTAGTTGGATTTGCACGGGGATATAGCTAGAACAGAAACTAACCGCAGATAGAAGAAGGGCGAAGAATGATGTATAGTTCCGGCGCCCTACGCAGTTATTGACCCACTGACAATGGTGGTCGCAACCGTCCACACAATTATCACACTGGCCAGACGGTGTTAGAACGCCAACCAATCACTGTAGATGAATTTGAAATGACTCACCATCTTGCAATGACTGGACCGTGGCGGACGGTATATTTTACAAGTAGGGCAGTACTTCACCCGGACGCTGTAGGGATCAAGAGCTTAAGTGAAGCTGGGAACAACAAACCGGCGGCGAACTCACACATCGGAGCGAACTTTGAGATCTCTGGGCATAGGTGCTCGCACACCCCCATCTGAGGGAGAGGTAGCCGGATATGGTGGATCGAGGTCGAGATTACGAGGCAAAATTCCGGGATCGGTGAAAGCCTAGTACGTATTCACCGAAATGAGCGGCAAAACAAACGAGTTCCTCGAGGACTTACCGTGGACAGCATAGTCGTAATTGATACAAGTGTCAGATAGATACCAACGGCGGCAAGTGCTGGACTCTGATTCTGCCACCAATATACGCAAGTAGTGCCTAACCAAACCCCACCGACAGTAAGAAGCAGTGTGAACGATGCTACAAATGCCCAAGGCGAGTCGCCGCCAGTCAGCAAACGCCCGCGCAGGAAGAATCGGTTTCGCGAGGGATGACGTTGGTAATTTCGCGATGGTTTACCAGAAACAGGGTCGAGGATGGGGGTGTCGTAAAGTGGGGGATCGCGCTGGGGAGGTATAGGGAAGAATGATGGGTCAGGTGATATGGACGGGGAGGGGTTGAAGGAGTGACCGAAAGTGCCTGGAGAAACCGACTGTTTTCCTCGAGGCGGCGGGTAAAATCCACGTTCTTCATCAGGGAGTTTGCCCTCGAACGTCTGTCTTCCTTCTGAAGCAGCCGGACGAGAACTCGTGGATTTGCGAATAGACTCAAAGCTCATACCGCGACGAAGGCTGAATACTCTCTCAAGGCTGCTTCGCACTTTACTTCCCCGACCCGCCTGCTCTTCGCTCATAGATATGCGAGGCGCTGCCGACTGACTCGGTTTGCCTGCGATAGGTAGGAGCGGTTCGCGACTCTGCTTCAACCTCTTCAGCGTAGAGAACTGCATCTGCCCAAGCCCCTCCACCGTCGAATCAGGCTGACCCGCATCGGAGCTACTCGTCGAAAGTCTTTTCGTCGCGAGGTCGCCCAGTTGATACCCATCAGCTGTGTGCACATCTTGGGACGAACGATAGAGCGACTCCGTTACAGAATAGCGATGTTGCTGCTGGTCAGGCCGTGCCGGTCGAAAAAAAGCTGCTGACGGCTGGATGCCGCCTGCATGAGTAGAACCCGCGTGTTGCATGGCGTTGGACGGAAGATACGAGGAAAAAGGTTGGGAGTCGGAAGGTAAAGTGCGCGGTGATGGCGGAAGAGATGTTATAAAGTGGTTGCTGTGCCGGTTCAGAGCTGTGGCCGCATTGGTAGACTGACGGGGAGATGATGGTGCACTGCCGCTGGTTCCGGTAAGAGATTGAGGGAGCGGAAGCTGAGGAGGAGGACTGGCCACTCGTTTCGGCGTAGCTGCGGTGAGATGATCAGGAAGAAAGGAATGTGATGTCGCCATATGCTTGATCGCAATAATGACTTGAAGAAATCAAGCCACTGGAAGGAGAAAACATGCAAGTCACGCATGTCACCACTCCGCGGTGTGACTGCGTGACGATCGTGACCCGATTGCTCGTGAACGCGTGACTAGTGACCGTGACATTAGGGACGCGACGATCGTCGGGCCGTTCAACTTTTTCCTATTGGAATTACTCTCTCGCTGCCTGGACGTCTCGTCTCGACTAACAGCGCACAGACAAGATAAATCCACATCGGGGAATGGTCACCGTGGCGGATAGCGCTCAGCTTCTGTCCGCCGGAGCGGCCAACTGCAGGGCCGAATAGTCTTATCAAGAAGGGAGCTAGGGAGCTGTTGTAATTTATGATATGATGAAATAAACGCGTCGAGACCAACACCTCTTGGCGAGCAACCACCACCTTCCCCGAACCTCCTCGCCTGGGGATGACTCGTATCACAACCCTCCGTCTCACACTCTCGTTTGCCAGTATATTCATTGGGGCCACATTCTACTATGTTCTTGTAAGGACTACCACTGGGGCCAATGAACTAGTCCCATTCACCGACGGCGTTGATGAAGCATGGGTGCCAAAGGATGTACACGTTGATATACAAGATGACCTGGAGTCCACGGTATGTGCACATGTCACTGATATGAAGAGTTGCCTTGCTGACACACGCAGGCTATACCACCGACATTATCGCCGGCATTACCAACACTAGTGCCAGATATACCGCGACGAAAGAAACATAAGGTACCCAAAAACAAACCGATTATTCACTATCTTTCACCTGCTCCAAAGCTCACCATCATTGCAATATGGAACCCTTCACCCGATAACAAAGAACCCATCTATCTTCCCAATTTCTTCGCTTCTGTCGCTGCCAACCCCTCGATTGACCTTCTTTTCATCAAATACGACCGCCATCGCGTCGGTACTCCGCCATGCGAGCCCTCACACGTGAAGAACATGCGGCAAGTGTGTCTATCGTTTGAAGAATACTGGAAGTTGCATGCCGACTTTCTGTGCAAACGGTGGGGCGGCTGCTCGACTACGCAAAGGCAGCAATTGGTTAGTAAACTACATGAGAGAGCCCCGGGAGATCGGGTACGTGCATATTCACCACCAAGTTTCCTCTATCTTCATTGACATTTGGCTGCAGGTCAATTCGTACTTCAGACCCTTCCGAGCCGCTGTCTTCGCGAAATGGATAAACCCCGAGACACCCATCTGGGGTTGGTGTGATATGGATACTATTCTTGGCTCGTTTGAACGTAACTTTCCTTGGGACATCGCCTCCGAATTCGACTTTCTCTTTCCAGGGCCTCCTATTGATGGTGGTGACATCCTTCTGTTCTTCCCTGGGCACATGGCCTTCTTCAAGAATAAAGAACATGTCGTCAGCGCGTTCATGGACTTCCCTAACCTCAAAACTTATGAGAGCTACATGGACCTCCCTTGGGTCAGCACCGATACTGGTGCGTAATCTTCTATGCTCTAGGTTGACATTCAATTGATTATCTTACACACAGAGGAGTGCGAATACTCGCATTTCGCTTTAGCGAAGACCAAACTTACCTTTCTTCGATTCCCTGGGATCGTCCACAGTCGGATCCATTTCTCAAGCATCACAAGCGGCGTATTCGCTACCGAGAACCCTGGACATTGGCTTGCTGTATCTGCCGTCAACATTCCTTCGACTTCCTCCAGTTCGGACTCATCTGAATTGGACCCACTTCGCTCTAACCTAGCCGCCTTTTTCACTGAACACACGAGGAACTGGGTTTCTCACCCAACGTTCTCAGAGGAAGGGAAGGAGTACGACGTCGAATTGCGAGAGGGCGAATGGGAAGGGTGGCTGTGGTTTCCTAAACAATACGCCGTGCACTATACGGCAGATAGAAGTAAGGGTAGGCAGGAGGACTTCTCCAAGAGGTAAGCGGTGACATTTGTTTAGATTCGAAGCCTCTCATCAATCCCTTTGCTGTATTGGCAGGTATACCATGCGCCGCCCGTCTGGAAAACTATACGATCGCACGGAACCCTACCGTGACAGCATACTGGAGATACCGACCACTGCCTACACTCCCTTGGGAGCGGACCCAGTACGGAGTGGCGCGTCACTCCTCGTGTTCGATATGTTGTACAATCACTTCCAGGCAGAGAAGTACGCTAGTGAGTATTCCCTTGGTTCCTGGAGTAGGTTTAATGGTTGATGAGTTGCTGTAGAGTGGTGGTCACTTCCAAAAGATCCCATTGCGGCTGAGGAGCTGCTCTTCGTTGACCGAGAGAACGGAGCTCAGTTGTGGGATCCCACTGGCAAGATTATATTTGAAGTCACGTCTGAAAGTAAACCCACTGACACCATCTCACCGTAAATATATACCATCCCCCGTATTATAGATATACATAGAGTACATACATACCAGCATAGACAATTCCTACATACTGACACAATATTCTACCATCTCATCATCATCCGTCGAGTTGAGCAGTTGAAACTCCGTGAAGAATCTAATCTGATCGAGACTACCCTCACAGTTCGGCTACCCCATTCCCGGCAGCCTCTCTCCCCACAATCCAATTACACCTACCACGATTTGCCAGACGCACGATGAGCACGCCGCCGCTGTACACCAACTCGCTCCTCTTCGCGCGCCTCCCCAACCTCTCCACCCCGCACTTCCTCTCCACCCTCATATCCGACGCCGCCGCGTCCACCAAGGAGCGGCTCCTCATCATCCTATTCTCCCCGCTCTTCAAGAACGGCGCGATCTCGCACACGGAGTCGTGGGACGCGGTCCAGTGCATCCTCACCTTCGTGTACGTGCAGGCGACGAAAATAGCACAGGATGCCGACAGGGTGCTGATGGACGTGGACGTGCTGCTGAAGGCGAGCGACGAGGAAATAGGGGAGGACGTCCTAGCGGAGATGGAGGCGGTATATCTTGTCCAGGGCGGTCAGTCTCCTCGTTATCAGCGACGGACAGGGAAATTGAATGAATGAATTAATAGACCTCATAACTGCGCACCTCCCCCCATCCCTGGGCTCTCTGCCCCATATTTACCTTCCCCGGGATCCGTTCTCTCACCCTGGTTCCCCCGTCGTGTCCAATGGCACCGACAATGCCACCCATAACCACAAGTCATATCCTCCAACGTACCCCGTAGTTGCGCTTGGCGGCACATTCGACCATCTCCACGCCGGACACAAGATTCTACTCAGCATGGGAGCGTGGATCGCGTCCGAAAAGCTCATTGCCGGCGTAACAGGTTCATATTCCCTCTCATTACACACAATAGTCTCTTGACATACATATAATACAACCATCTAGACGACGCATTACTGGGCTCCAAGTCGAATAAAGACCTCCTCCAACCTCTTCCAGTCCGTATATCCCGCATCCTCCAATTCCTCCGACTCTTCAATCCCCATATCCATTACGACGTCGTACCGATTAACGATGTGTATGGCCCAACTGGGTGGGACCCCAACGTTCAGGGACTCGTGGTGAGCAAGGAGACGCTGGGTGGTGCTGCTGCTAGTGCGTATCTACATCTCCCCCTCTTCCCCCTCCCCCTATGCTGGTACGTGACTGACACTCTCGTAGTTGCCAAACACCGCGAAGCCCACTCTCTCCCCGCGCTTCAGACCTTCGTGATCGACGTGATCTCATCGAGCGACGCCAAGTTGGAGCACGACGATATCGAGATGCTGAAGCAGACGAAGATGAGTAGCACGTTCATCCGGGAGTGGATAGCAGCGAAGAAGAGGTCAGAGGGAAACCAATAAGAGCAGAGTATGTGAACAGAGGTAATGCGGGGAAGCTGTGTGCAGGGAAGACCGGGGAAGAAGCATCATCATCACCACTATGCATAATGTAACACAAATTTCAGGACAAAGTACAAAGTAGAATATGTATATCACCTCACTACTCAAAAGCTAGTCTTTCAACGCAACGCAACCGTGTTCAGGGTTCAAGTGTTCGTGGTAGAATATGGTAGAGAGAAAGTAGGTTGCTACTTGAATTGATCAAATCAAATATTGTATTAGCTACAAAAACCAGTGTTGTTCGTTGTCGTGTCGTGTCGTGATGATAGTAAGTGCGTCAATATACTAGATAAATAAAGATAAGAAAGATGATATAACCGTCTGTCCGCGTAGAATGACCGCAACCCCCAATGCGAAGACCGTCTCAACAGAACAACGAAGTCCATGCAAGTCACCAATGGAACAAGGCTTCACGAGTTAGGTTCACATCCGACTTCTCGGAGAGACCTTGCTCGCGCCCAGATCCTTCACACCAAAGAACAGGCTCGCGCCGGAGCACACCGCCAACAGACACGCAGCTGCCAGCGATGTATTATATGCATCGCACCATCCCTCAAAGCTCCCACTTGGACACCCCTTCTTCACCTCCTTCCCATCCTCCCCGGTGCTAGCAGTCTGCCCAACCCCACTCAACAGAAAAACGAACTCCGCAGCCCACAAAAGCACCAGGAGCCCGTCCATGACCGCCAGCCGCTTGACATACTTGCGCGCAGCGAGCCAGTGCTCCTCCATCGCCAGCCCCGTGAATATCGAGCGCCTCTTCTGCCTCTTCGCCCTCGCGCGATTGCGTTCGCGGCGCCTTTGGCTGTCATACCCGCCAGGAAACTCGTACGAATCGTCCCGGGACTCTGAGTCGGACTCCGAGGATGAGATATCCGGGGGTGCGAGAGCGCTGGGGTCGACGATGAGGTTGACTTGGACGTCTTGCACTTGAGGCGGGCCGTAGCCCTTCTTTCCCTTCTTCCCGCCTTTGCCTTTCTGCTTGTTCTGCTTTCCCTTACTACCGGGGAGCTGGTTTACAGGCAGAACCATCATACCTGGCGGGCCCATACCTTGGCCTATACCCGCTGAGGGAAGCTTGCGCCTGAAGCAACAAGGTCGAAGGACAAAGAGGTAGATGAGGAGAAGAGTGGTGAGGACAGAGAAGACGTAGAGGACATAGACGGGGGCGGTATTGGACGGAGGGGCGGGTGGATTGGGTTTAATCGCCTACAAACAGCGTCGTATTATTTAGAAAATCGACAAATGAGATGAACGAAAGTCTTACGAGGGCAGCGTATAACGCTGGAATGGCCGCGCCCAACGCAAGGATTATTTGTAACGCCCTGATAACGATTCTCTTTCTCGGGCCTTGAGTAACTAGATTCCCCTTCTCATCGACCGTCCCGACAATCGGTCTACCTTCGTCATCCAGAAACGCGGGATCCATCTTGCCATTGCCCTTGGGGTCTTTGAATTTCGGGCGCTTAGGGTTGTCACCGAACTCCCGCTCAAGCATGCGCATTCGTTCCTCTTTGATCGAGGAGTCAAGTGGGAGATCGTATGACGGAGGGTCTCCAGACCATGGCAAGAGGTCGCGGGATGACTGATGGCCGAATGAAGGGGGGCCAGAAGGGGAATCCCCTCTGTATGGGTTGTAAGATGAATGGGATGGTGTATTAGACGGGTCAAATGGATCGCGGTCACGATCGTTTCTGTATGGCAGAGGTTCTGGCAAGTCATATCCATCGTCTAGTGGGGACTTGTTGCGGGACTTCGAATTGTACCATTGCCGGGACCATCTAGGGAACTGAGAAATGTCTATTTCTGCTGATGATGGATTGATGTGCGGTGAGTATTGGCCATTCGGGTCATCCGGGAACTGAATAGGCCGCTGGGAAGTATAGAGAGGGGATTGGCGATGACGAGGCGAAGGGGCGGATGGCAGCGAGAATGGCCTTCGTGTCGGGTATCGCGATGAAGAGGACTCGTGCGTGCGAGAGTTGGAGGAAAGGGTGCCGACTCTAGATGTCAGCGAGGGTAATGAAGGAGAGTCTGTTCTGCTGGCAAGTACATGGGGAGACGGCGGATAGAATGCTGGGTACGGTTGGTGAGGTTGTTGGAGGGTGCGCGCGTAGTCGGCGAGGTCGAGGGCCTCGATGGAGGCGTCGGACGGTTCCCGACGATTGACATTAGGATTTGAGGAAGCTGGGGGAAGAGGATCGTAAGGGTCTGGAGACCATGGTCGACGAAAACGAGACGGAGGGGGAAGGGAGTCGAGGTTGACATCGAGGTAATGGTTCATGACATGGAGAACAAAAAAGAGTCGTGGCGGTCGTGAAGGATAACGAGCTCGGGGGTGAGCTCGGCGTGGTTGACGATGAGAAGAAGCTGTTGGCCCGAGTCTGCCTCTGTCGACATAAATCACGCACGTGCTTCACCCAAGGCGCAGCGGCAAAAAGGTTGGCATCTCCGTGGATTGAACACGGGACCTCCAGATCTTCAGTCTGTTGCTCTCCCAGCTGAGCTAAGACGCCGGTTGCAGGTACTTTCAATAATGTCCTGCTCACTGGGATTCGCCGTCAGTAAATATATATTACCAACTCCAGCTGTTGTCCGTTTGATGCTTCCAGCACTCTTCCTCTCCCTCCTCATCCTCACTTCCGCAGCAGATGCCCGCCACGTCCACTTCAACATCCAGCATCCCCTCCTCCTCGACCAGTATCCCACCCCGACACCCATATCGCAGTCCCTGCTAGCCAGACCCACAACAGTGTACCGCCCTCGGGATCCCGCAGCACTCGACCGCGCGCGCATACGGTCTCTGCGATATGGCCAGTCAGAGCCTCTGGAATGGTACGAGAAGGAAGTCTTGGCTCCGGATATCGAAGATCGACATACGATCGAGCAGTTGGCGAGGATGGCGGGGAATGCATATGCATTACCTGGCCAGAAGAACTGGTACGATGTGGACACAGCTTGGAACACTGTACGCCTCATCTTCCGTTCCCACTTTTCCAAATCCCTAATCCTCAGCTTTCCAACGTGACAGAGTTTCCCGTTCGGCTGGGAGGACCATGCAAACGGCTTCAGGGGCAACGTTTTCCTCTCTTCAGATAACTCAACGGTCGTCCTATCAATCAAGGGGACCACGATACAAGGCCCAACCTCCAAGAAAGATAAATTCAACGACAACGTGCGTCCCTACCACTGAGCCTAATTAACCTCATTGCCTCACCTACCCATATACGTATAGCTGCTGTTCTCCTGCTGCTGTGCCCGAGTCGACTTCTCTTGGGTATTCCGAACCGTGTGCGATTGCTACGCCAACCATTGGAAGTGCGACGATACCTGCTTATCTGATGCACTTATCCAAGACAGTTTATTCTACACAACCGGTGTCGTAAGTTACCATCTGTTGATGAGCATCGTTCACGCGATCCTTACGCACAGTTAGAAACTTGTCATGGATCTCACCTTCCTCTACCCATCCGCCAATATCTGGCTGGTGGGTCACTCACTGGGCGGATCGCTAGCCTCCCTCCTCGGCGCAACATTCGGTCTCCCGGCTATCGCGTTCGAGGCGCCGGGCGAACGGCTCGCTGCCCAACGATTACATCTCCCCCTCCCACCCCCCGTGTCCTCCCCCAACTCCACATCTCCCCCTTCTCCCACTGCATCCCTGCTCCCTAACATACCGCGGAGACGAATCCCCAGCACCGCACCGCTCCCCGTCACCCATATATACCACACGGCCGACCCGATTCCGCAGGGTACGTGCACCGGTCCGCTCTCCCCTTGTGCCCAAGGCGGGTATGCGTTAGAGACGCGGTGCCACTTGGGGAAGAGCATCGTGTATGACACAGTGGGTGTGTTGGGGTGGAGGGTGGATATACGGAAGCATGTTATAAGGGAGGTTGTCGAGAAGGTGCTTGGCTGGGAGGATGGATGGCCTGATGAAGATGCTGAAGGGGAGGCGGCGTCCGAGACGGAGATGTATAGGATTACTGGTGTTTTCCGTTGGGTCAAGAAGATCTGGTGGGGTTGGGGCGGCAAGAAGCATAACAGCTCTGACGATGGAGAGCGCCCTCCTCCTCCCCCTCGACTTCGAGATGTGCCACGCGCGAAGGAAGAGGTCGACTGTACAGTGAGTATCCTTTTGAGTATGCACCAGTATAGGACACTGATATAAGAGTGCAGGATTGTTTCAAATGGGAGTTCGGTCATTTCAAGGACGTTCCACCCCCCGAAGACTTTAACCCGAAGACCATTGACATATGACTATGAGGAGTGCAGTGTACATTATTGTAAATTAGATACCACTATCCTAGCAACGCTATAGATCTAATGGACGGAAGAACCAAAGTACACTAAGGCCAAAGAACCAGCGTGACAACCCAACGCGTCACTATGCGAACGTCTAAACGGCTAAAAGTCTATCTAGCCCGAGAACGCAGTCCCACCAATAAGCCTTCCTTGCACATAGACCCTCCGAATATTGCGATCGTCACCGCAGAAAAGGAATTTCTCCAGCCACCCGTCCAATTCCTCCTCCTTCGACTTCGGCTTCGTATGGTCCCCGCTTTTCGGGGTGGAATGCGGCACCCCCCAGACTGCGGCAGGATTAGCGTTGTCCTTTCCGACGTTGATGACGAGGGCGTCAAAGCTCTTGCCGACGGAGAAGTTGCCGATTTGCTTGTCGAGGCAGCAGACCTCGGCGCCGCCCATGGTAGCGAGGTAGAGCAGCGTCGGGATTGTGAGAGCGCGGTTGGCGAAGGATCCGTCCTTGACGCTGAGGGTATCCCGCGCGTTCATAGCGATGACCTTTGACGCAATGCTCGCGTGTTGGACTGCAGACAATATCGACGGAGAGAACCCGCCCGATACATCCGTTCCCAACCCCACCTTGATCCCTCGATCCAGGAAGTCTCCAACAGGAGCCACACCACTGCTCAAATTGAAGTTGCTCGTCGGGCAATGGCTTATCCCCGCCTTCCTCTCCTTAATCAGCTGCTTCTCCTCATCTTGCAAGTGCACCGCATGCGCGAGGATCGTGTTCTCGCGCAGGAGCGAGAACGAGTCGTAAACCTGTGCGTATGAGGAGGTGTTGGGGAAAAGGGAGAGCGTGAAGGCGATTTCGGAGGGGTTCTCGGAGATGTGGGTCTGGACGGCGAGGGAGGGGTCGGAGAGGGCGAGGGATTGGAGGGATTGGAGGAGAGGGGAGGTACAGGAGATAGCGAAGCGGGGGGTGAGGATCGGGTGTACGAGGGGGGTTGTGGTGCGAGGAGAGGGCGGGAGTGAGCGGATGTAGGTGATAAGTTCTCGCGTGCCCTCAACGGAAGCTTCGGGGGAAGGCTCGACATAGTAATTGGGAGAATTACGGTCCATGTTGCATTTCTGTGGCCGTATTCAGTTCATCATCAAACTCACAAGTCAAGAATGAGCACGTACACCAACATACGCCCGTTGACCTGTATATGCTTATGTTGAGTGATCATGGCCGAGCTATTCGGGTTAAGCGGAGCATACCTTTAGCGTGTATTATCTCTGCAAGTATCTTGGTGGCCTCCACATGCAGTGTACCGTAGTAGCAGCACGTTGTTGTCTGTCGACAGCATTTCAGCCTTTAATCCGGAAGCGAACACCAGAGGATAGACATACCCCGCAGTTTATTACCCGCCGGACCACTTCAACGTAGGTCTCGCGAGCAAATTCGGCATCGGCGAAATTGGCTTCCATGGGGAAGGTCACATTGTCGAGCCAATCTAGGAGCTCGTATTGCTGACCGCTGAGCGTAAAGCATGTATTAGCCTCATTGCATATATGAATGATGAGAAGGTGGAGCAAACCTCCCCATGTTCGGAACTTGAGGCGCATGCTATGGCACCGTGTTCATGTCAGTTCCTATACTTCACCTCGATGGTGACAGATAGAACATACAGTATGTGTATCCACGAAGCCTGGCATCAGGAACTCGCCCTCCCGCAGAGGAACCACCTCAGCATCCACACATCCCTTCTGTGACATCACCTCCTGCACCATCGAATCCTCCACATCATCAACGGTCCAATCAATCGTCCCTTCGGACGACACCGCAAGGAGACAACGCGGTAGCGCCTGATAGGATGTGAGCGACTGGGGGTTGACGACGGCGCCGTAGTAGATCGTTGGTAGGCCTGCCATGGTTCTGGAATCTGGATGCTGCTATTTAGAGTGCGGTCAAGTGCGGCTGCAAAGGGGTAGTGCTGGTGATGGTGATGGTGATCGCAAGTGAATGTGTCTGGTGCGTGTTTGCCGTGATTGCTCGGGCGGTCTGAAGGGCCGCATGGTGGTGATGGTGGTATCAGGCAAATGGGTCAGGGTGATAAGATAAGCAAAGTAAGCACTCTTCACAGCGATCTCTTCCTCTTCTCTCCTTCACCACCCCGCTCCGTAGTGACCCTGCCTTCAAAACTTCACACTTTACGGCGGAGGCTATGTTGAATATCGTTGGAACGACCCTCGAGGCGGAGCTATATGCCAGCAGATGCCAGCTCGTCCCGCTTTACCTCTGACACCCGAAGCACCCCTGGTATGCATCAGACTGTGGCTCTAACACACGTCCCACTACGGCTCGGACCAAGGCTCATCGATTCTGTCGACGTGGCGAATGATTCCGAGCAGATTGTCTCTGATAGACGCAGATTGCCTCGTTCTTAACTGTCTTTCTAGCAACGTTCGGTGCCACTACCCCAGGCCACTTCTAGTCTCAATCCAGTTTACCCGGTAATGGACTTCAAGAACGTTGAACGGCGCGAAAATCAAATGATTGAGTGAATCACTGCGCAGATAATACGTACTACAACCTTCTCAAGCATCTCATGATCCAAATCAGCAAGCATTTTCGCCGTCGACAGATGCCGAGAGCAGTGATGACACGGCGTCGCGGTCTTTAGTGGGAAAGGTGAGATCTTACGGCCCGCCTAATACTTTCTCCTGCACCAAGACATTGCTTCGACTGGGGAATGTCGTTCGCCGACCAATGGAGGATCTTATATTATTCTTTGCTGCTTTGACAGACAGATCAGAACGCTATGATCGCCACCCCCTACATCCGCAACATCACGAACGCTCCCGGGATTGAGGCGTAGCCTGACTGATGCCGGAGTCAAGCATCTTCCTCGTGGCGAGACTGATTGAAAGAGTAGAGTATTGAAACCGCAGGTGTACAAGCTCTTCCGCGCGACAACGCAAATGCGAGTATCATCGACATCGGCATCACCTCGTTGGCCGCCATTCTGTTCTTTTTAGACTCAGCTCTTCGAGGCTGTCGAGTGGGCTACTGGATGCGTCTACATGATGGGTAATTCTGTAAGCCGATATATACTCGTATTATCGGCATCCTTAACCCTCTCTTGTCCAAAATTATGTTGTAAATGCAGAGAATTCAGCAAGGACAGCACATCGTTTCGCCCCTGATTCACCTTTAGACTTGCCATATATGGAACTAATATTACCGGTTCAGGCAAAGTAAGCGCCCGGCCCTCGGAGTAATTGCACGGAAGCCGCAGCGGCGGAAGCTCAAGGATTCGTCGTTGTTCAGAAGTTCAAGAAGGAGCACGACAATTGAATGGAGTTTGCATCTTTTCCCTGCGCGCGTGGTCCTCGTGAGTCCGTCGTCAAGAGTCCATGCAACAAGGAACGCCGCTTTTGCGGTATCTCAGATGCATCATTCCCCGCAAACACCACCAGGCCAAGACTCGTATTATCACCGTTTCCTGCGCCTCAAATTTCCTTACGAAAAGTACTAAATACTCTACCTGCAAGGTCTCATTGGAAATATCGTCTTGTCTGGTGCGATTACACGCCACCGATGATACATGATGCCTTGTTTGCGTCATCAGAAGGGGTACACCCACGAGCATTTCCCAGCGGGAGTCCCTGGAGAGTACAACGACAAGATAGCATGGTCAGCGGGCCCCTTGACGTTGGTGGGAAGATGCAGAGGTCTCGCAAAGGGCGCAGAAGGTCCTTGTGGGTTACCGCTTCCTCTGCAAACTGGACCCGAGGAATTGCCTGGGTGAAGTCATACAACTAGAGCATCGATACATAGTTGCAATGTGCTTGTGTCCAATGCTCTGCGTCTTCGCTTCTAAAATCGCGTTTGCCAATTGATGGTACGCGTCTTTTCGCGCCGACATCTATTGAATGATGAAGCATCAGGCGTACACCTAGAACGACGCGTCCACGGATCAGCTGAGGGGGACTTCTCATCGCGAAGCCTTTGCTATGCCTGGATCATTTAAAGGGCTTCCGCATGTCCATATCGCGGATGAGAGCAGTCATCGAAGCTTGGCTTCATCGACGCTGATACTTATGCAGATAGAGGATCGATAGTAACCCAGTGGATACGCTCCCTTCAAGCCGAAAAGCGCGTCCTGAGAGCGGTGGTAAGGGCTGAAGAATTCACACTACTGTCGTCGCACATGGGAGACACGGCACCAATGGGAGTTGGCCTTGTGATGTGATGGAAATGTAGACGCCCTGCGCTGCGGTGAAATTGGAGGAGAGACATTTGTTCAAAATGACCTGAGCTGTCTGCATTCTGGCAAATCCTTGAGATTATGAAATGCAAAGTGAGACAACAGACTTTTGGGATGATTTTTCGGATTCAAGCTCAAACTTGATGGGACTCTGATAGATGATCGCGCGCCCTCCGTCGACAACTTTCACAATGTCACATCAGGGTTCTTATATAAAGTCTCAGACGAATTTCGTCTCTCTCACCCTCCTTCCTGTCCCCCTCCTCAACGCCAGCGACGCACTGCACTAGGCAGTCGCGACTCCTTGGACGCCGCCCTCAGCCATGCCTTCTCTCCGTCGTACCTTTTCTTCTCCCTCCGTTCGCTCGTCGCCCTACCCCAGCTCCTTGTCGTCCAGTCAAGCAGGGGCCCGTGCTCACGGCCACGGGCACAGGCGATCGTCCGGTTCAGAGACGAGCAGCAGGAGAGTCCTAGCAGACATAGAGTGGTGGAGGGTCTCTGGGGGACAGCGGGACCTGGAGTCCGACGACCGCGTTGACGGAGCATTAGGCGATGTCATAGGGAACAGCATCGGGGTCCCAGCGACGCCCGAGCAGGAGCCCAGTGTTGAGCGCCCGACGACGCCCTCACCGTGGGCAATGTCGAACTTGGAAGAGGTGAATACACGCACAAATTTTTACGCCCCCTTTTGATCTACGCGCTGACCCATCTTGTCAGGCCAACCACGTTCTGCCTATTCCTTCATTCGCGGCATTGGGTATTGCGCCGCAGACCCCTCCACGTCGTGGGCATGGCTCGGAAAGCTCAACCTCTTCCGTCGAATCCAGCCCGGCCAGCCCGGAATGGGTTGGCCCGTCTCTTGAAGGATTACGTCGCGGTTTCGCGGACCTCAGTCTGGGTTACCCAGAGTCCACTGAAAAGAACTTATTGCCAAGATTCCAGCGCAGGGGCCCCATTCCTCCCCTTCGATCCCTTTCCTTCGGCGATGCTTCCTTCTTCAATGAACCTATCGGGCAGTACGCCGACTTCAGCGTTTCACCCCTCTCATCCAGCGCCCTCGATTTCTTGAACTAGCTGGGAAGATGCCCCTTCTACATTAAACAACACTCGACACATCGACTCAAAATACACCGAAGGACCCGTCGTTATGCATGCTCTCGCTTTGTTAGCTGTCATCAATTTCCGCTGCCTTCCATTTACATTGCATTTACCCGCCCATCTACCATTTATGATTCTGATATTCATTCATCTCTTACTTTTTACACGTTTTTGATTTCCTTACGTTTGCATTTGCACGACGTCACGACCAGTTTCCCTTGAGACTAGTAACTGGATCTCCACATCTCTATTGTGTGCATTCGCTTTCATGTACAGATGACGACTTGACGACCTTATCTTCACGCGTACAGCTTATTCTTCACTTATTCACGATTGTACATATATCATACACTTCTACAGCACTTCGCCTTCGATCGATCATATATCAATGTAACGACTAGACATGCATTATTCATTTAGTACACTGCTTCGCGAAATACTTGTTGTCTGTACAAATTCGAATGTAGACAAAGACAAGAATGACCAACGTTCTCATCGTCGCGACGACTCGAAATAACAACAACAAGATAACCCGGCAGGGCGCTGCGATCAGTCGCCCATGTGAACTCTTGCACATGTTTGCACCCTAAGTTTGTAATGCCGTCAAGTGGAGAGGAATGGAAAACAAGACGATAGGGCGGTGGCACGGCACTCCGGTAGACGTCAACTTTAGCCGCGAATTACAAACGCTGCAAGGGAGTGCCAGGCCCAGATCACCGTTGCATGCCCGCAATGGTCTGAGGTCCACTGACTTTGCTATATCGCGACGTCTGCAAGGGACCATAGCGAAGCTCAAGAGGAGCAGGTCGCTGGTTTTGCTTGTCTGGGGGTCGGGAAGCAGGAGGCTGATTGGTCGCAGGCTGGGGCTGTGATGGTTGGCCAAGTCGAGCCTTCCACGCACTTCGGATGGCATTTGACCTTGCCAACAGCTAGGGAAGATGGATAAATCGGAGCCGAAGGAAGCATTAAGACCGCCTCTCACTGATTCTTTTTCCACGCCGTCAATGATAGTTTGAATGATGTTCTCCACAACGGTGCGATGATTCCCTTGGGGTTTATCGTCTCTAAATCGCATCATTCGCCAATGGGAGGAATGTGCATCCCAGTGCACTTCCACGATGCGGTCGTCTATCTGTTCACCTGACATCTTCATCCTGGAATACATTAAGCGTGTGGAATGATGGATGAAGTTTCTATTGCTTACTTTTCCCATTCGTCGTCTTCCACATGCATTGTATCATATAGTTCGTAATTCGCCGCTCTTCGGTCCCCACCGCACCATACATGTAGTGCAAAGATAGGTTTGGCGTAGAAATCAGGTTGCTGAGAGTCCGCCGGTAGCGGCGGGAATCGCAGTACTAACTTGAAGTCTATCGAGTTTTCGGACGGAGGTTTCCATTTCAGACTACAACGAGTTCGCCGTTAGTGAGATGCGGGAATTAAACCTGATCATCTTACATGTTCGTATCAGTTCCTGGGGAATATGGGGCGTTGACACACGTATAGATTAGACCATCATTGCCGTGCTGTAAAGCGGGGATATCGAGGGCGAATACTTTCTCAACAGAATAGGAAAAGTTGATTTCCTTGACCTTGATTCTAGTGAATTGTTAAAAACGCGAAAGCAGAGGCGAATACGAGGCCTACTGAAAAGGCTGACTAGCGGCCATATGAGGATGGTCCTTCATCATCTTGGCGTATGGCTTGTAGAACCATTCTTGAAGCCTCTTACTTGCAAGTCAATAATGCAAATCTGGAGAGGGTAAGAAAACGCACCCCATAACGTTTATCCAGCGTCTTGGACATAACGTTCTGCTCGTTCACTACTAAGCAGTCAAAGGCTAGCAAGCGGAGTGTTTCCTGGCTATCCCATCAGACGACCGCTCGGGGAATACATTCGTTCTGCGTACTTGTCTCGTTTGAGGATCGTAGTCTAATACGAGTTCACCATCGACTAGGGTATCGCGAAGTGGTTTTCGAGGATCTTCGAAATGGGGGAAGTAGAGGCCATTTAGTTGGCGGTATGAGTTATGGCGGTCAATCTAACAAAACTAGGTGAGGTTGGCGTCCTTGGCTTCCATCAAAGACGTGTAATATACCAGATAGACCATCTGGTCGCCTGTTTGCAAGTCCGTTTGAATCAGCATAAGCACCCGGATGCCGTCCGACTTTTCGCAGACCCAGTAACTGTGAAGCACGTATTCATTGACAATAAAGCTACAGCACGAGAGTAAGGCTTACTCCTGGCGTTCCAGCTTCATCAGATCTCTCATGCCAAAGCTAACGGGTTGACTCCCTGGAAATCTATGGAAGTCAAACATCCATAGCGGTTCCCCGAAACCCCGCACAAAGATATGAATACCTGTCGTGGTCCAGCTGGCAAAGTCTCGCTACATGTCGCTTGAGCCATATTTCTTGCTCAGAATGGCGAGGGACCTGGATTCCAGGCAGTTCTGGTACGCGAGGCACATGCGACATGCTCGTTGCAGGAAATTAAGATTGGTGACATAGCCTGCTGAGTAGCATTGATGAATTGAAGTTGGGCCTCGGCGCTTATGTAAACGATGGTACACATCTTCAGCGGCCAACCTCGGGTTGTCAGTGATTGCTACCAGAGCGCGAAGGCACGCAAGGAAGATGAGACGCGGCCTGACACCCACTTCACGTTATCAATGCCACTAGAGTCTAGATGTGTTGAAAGCATGCATACGCCTAACTACGACATGACCGTTCATGGGGGTAATGTAAAGGAGAGGTAAAAGTAAAGGATTGCCATGGTCTACAGAAGCACAATGATGTCGCTCAAATCTAATGGAACGTAGTCAGTAGATAATCAAAGTAACAGCAATCGCCGACTTACATATTGTGAAACCCATCGGAAGCCTGAGCAATTCTTTCAGTGCGTGAACTGTGGTTATGAGCAGACAAAAGCTCACCTTCGCCGTAGCCTTGTCGTTGGACAACTGAGCACATGAAAATCTCGATAGGTCTGATATCATTCAATGGAACCTTGCCCTATCAGAAATGATGAGTCGTTGTGAAGCTAATGGAATCGTTGACAATACCTTGCCGGTCGTCTGATAGAGACCAAGGTGATGGCGCAGCTCCTCCTCGCTGACGGCGCCGGGTGCGTCAATCTTGTTACCGAGGATCAAGAATGGCACTTTGGAGAGCTCTTCAATCGAAAGAAGAGCGTCGAGTTCGGCTTTGGACTCGGCAAAGCGTTCGAAGTCAGCGCTATCGACGAGGAAGACTATCCCGTCGACCTCCGGGAAGTAGTCACGCCACAGGCGTCGAGCTACAGCCATATGAGAACGTGGAATACGCAGTAACAGAGGGACTCACCCTGTTGATGTCCACCTAGGTCGTAAGTGGTGAACTTGACGTTTCCGATGGCAAGTTCCTCCGATGCTACGAGGCATTGTCATTAACATTGGTAAATAACTGAGCAGGGGGTAACCTACTAGGGTGGAGGGTGGGCTGCAAGGTGGCGAGCCTATCATTTTTCAACATATGAAGCAGAGTCTTGGCGATAGTCATTAAAATGTGCGACATGTGCAAGGCAGCGGCGTGAACTCACTGTCTTTCCAGCATTATCCAAGCCTAAGAACAGGATTTTGGCGTTCTTGTGGAGCAGGCCTGCAGACCGAATAAGACAAACAGCACATGCGGTCCCGACAAAGAGTACTCACCGAGCTGAGCAAGGACGTCCCAGAACCAGTTGAGGATGAACATGGTCGTGTGGTGGAGAGTGAAAATGCGCTTGTGAGGGGGAATGAGCAGCCTAACAGAAGAAACGTGACGGGGTGACGTGGAAGCAGTGACACTCCCAATATGGCAAGTGCACCTCGACGTTGGGCGCTGTCACCGGGACTGTGGGAGAAGCTTCAACCTATCCATTTGTTTCACTGCCGGGCCAGATACAAATGCAATGTCGCTACGTCGCCCCATAACTCTCAGTCCAGTCGTCTACGATGCAATCCTCGAGGCTGCGATAAAAATACAAAGAATACCAAGCTGTATAGACAAGCCGGTTATCACAAAGCGCAGTGGCGTCGTTGCCATCAACGTATGCAGGAAGTAACCAGTCGCCAATGATTATTGTTTTGTGACTTTCGTCGCTCGTGTAGTTGTGCCACCGCCTTGAACATGGCGAATCCAGATTATTTCTTTGGCTTATATAGCTCTTCCATTAGAGACCCAGTCATTACAGAATTTTAACCTTACAGATCCACTCGCAATGTACCATCCTAGAAACTCAGTAGCAAGACTCCCGGCCGATGTTCTCCTCCAGGTTGGGGATCACCTTGACGGCAAGTCTTTAGCTCGTTGGTCTATGGTTCGTTCCTTTCATTGCTTCGAAGTGCACCGATCTCAAATAATGTTCGTTAGGCTTCCAAGGGGACGCATAGTCTGATGAATGGACCTCACGCATCCCAACACCGATACACGATGGAGCTGGCAAGGACAGGGCTGATCGACGGGCGATCCGGGGCACCCCACGGAGAGCTAGCCCAGAGACTAGCTTACTACAACCATTCGTGGATGAGTGGTGGACTGACTATCTCGCACTTATCCCTCCCCCTGGCTGGTCGACATACCGTCTACATGGGTAATCAGAAGACCCCCGGAGGTAATTCATTCCTTGGAACTTCCGGAGGTTATTTGTACCAAGTTACTCGATATCATAACGCCACCTACCTGGACCTATGGGAGCTACCGTCTCATCGTAGGGCTGGCTTGGGTTCATTGCCGCCGATAGGGAAACGGCAGTTCATCACACATCATGTCATTCAAGCCGTTGCGATAGACCCCTCGCAGAACCTTCTTGTCATCATGGATAGCCAGTACGCCTATTTACATTAATAGTCTTGGTATCGCTCACCGCTAGACCGTTGCCATAGGGTACCGGAGACGTGTATTTGGTTCTTGGACCTCAGAACATTCAAACCGCACCCGGAGGCCGAGCTGGAAGATGTCATGCCTTTTGGTGATGTCGACGGAAGCCTAGTCGTCTCCCAATTGGAGATTTGTGGAAACACGGTCGGCGTGCTGGTAGCTCCAAGGGAAGGGCACAGTTGCCGCTTCCCAACAAGCACGCCCATGCGGTTCTTCCTCTGGCGAAGTGGTTCATTGACCAATATCGTAAGTGAAGGGAAGACTAAATACATAGAGCTAATATCCGCGTTCACAGCAAGATGTAGCGGCCCCTTGGGCCTTCCATTTCCTCAATGAATGGCAGATACTTATCGCGGAATTCCGTTATGGTAGTAACGGAGACAACATGCCTATTCTGCGACTCTACGACATCAGGTATCCCTCGGCCAGAAATCGTGGCCAGAAGCTCCTCCTTCCTTGGTATGGCCCGGCGTACAAGACCCGCCAGCCGACAAATATCTCCTTTGTGAAGAATCTCTCACCTGTTCCTTCAAGCTACCACCCTGTGCAAGCACCTTTCCACCACGACACTGCAGCACAGTTGATGGGAATTAAGTTCACCTTCGGTAGCTATCAGGATGAACGCCCTTTAGATTTCCCTCAAGTCGCTCTCTGCATCCTCAAAGCCTCTGTCTTCACCTCGGGTAACTGCAAGGACTACGACTGGTTCTCCCAGTGCCTTGCCGTGGCCCCGGCGCCCGGGATAGACCTGGCATTTGCGGGGAATCGCCTTGTTTCGTCGTATCACGAGCCTAAACAATATCTCTCTAAGATCGCGGTTCAAGACCTAACTGAATTGGCTGCGAAGAACCACCCCTACCCACAGATTTGGTACCCAAGTCGATGCGACAACGCAGACAAGTTCAGAGTATCGCCCTTCGGTCGTATTATCAGTTGTGTTGAACCCAGAATCAAGAAAATCATGCCGACTGAAGATCATCTTATTTTACTTCCCGTAGGCTTAAATTTGTCTGAACTACGACCACTGATTATGCTAACCTCAGTACACCAATGCAGGATAATGTCAATCAACTTACCACCGATCCTCTAGAGGTCCATGTCGTCAACTTCTGAAATATTGAACTGCTTGTTATTTTACATACATAGTCACTCCTTGCATTGTTCTAGATTGTTCCCCGCCTATGGCCCGCCCGGACTACTTGTATTGCATCTGTTTACCTTGCATAATACGGACCTGTAGATGTTACAATAGTACTTGCTGTATTCGTTGTATTGATGCTCTAATGGACTTTGACATGGTTACGCGAAAGTACAAATAATGTCGAACAATTGTAACAAGTAGATGTCGGGAAGGTCTGACACTCACAACACTATGTAAACTAAGTGTGCAAGTTCTTATACCCAACCAGTCCTTCTACGCTTAACCGAATCGCCTCGTTTACCGTGTAAACATAGTAGACGGGCACTGTCTAAGAGGTAGCGATGAAGGAACAGTCGTCGCGAAAATTTGCTTCTTGTACCCACCATCATGCTTGTCGGTGTTTGGTCAAACGATCCAGGAGAAGGCCAGTTTAGCGCCACTGCCAATAATCTAGATGCTCGGGAATGGGCTTGAATACTCAATGGATAAGTAATATATGATAGATAATATACATCAGGTCTTCAGAAAGTGTCCTCTAACCATTCCAAGAGGGGAGTCAGGCCCTCGTTTTCATCTAGCGTCTTTTCTGAGGTTTCGTTACGTTTCGTAACCTTGCATGAGGTAGCAATGAAAGACACATCGCCCCCTTCCCAGTCGTCAAATCTGAACGGACCGTTGCCAGCACACTCCAAGCCGCCTATGTCTGATGTCTCACCGTCTTCGCCGAGATTCTCTATCCCCACCCCATTAGATTGAGAAGACCGACGCTTCTCAAGCTCTCGTTCTAGGATAGTTTTGACTCTGGTGATAGCAAACGCGCCTGGAGAAGAAGAAGGTGTGGCCGAACTTTGGAGAAGGTCTGTTTTGTGAGCCACGATGAGGAGCGCCGGGGGAGTTTGAGAAGGAGGCAATGAAGTCAAGGCGTGAAGGACATTGTGAAGGTGTCTGGGCTGCATTAAGTCTATTAACAAGGGATTTGGTTGATAGCACTCACTCGGCGACAGCTGCTCCGTTTCGCGAGATGGTGCTAACGTCGATGACGAAGGCAATCGCCCCTGCGTCTGGCAAGAAATCCTTGTATTGATCTCTGACGCGAGGGTGTCCGGGAACGTCGAGAGCGCGTATGCTTTTCCCTTGTGGAGACAGGCTCACTATAGACTGGTTGGTTTGAAGCGAGGCATGGGTGGGCAGCGTCTGTTTGTAGACCAACTGCATATTCTTTGAGATCAAAAAAGTCTTAAATCCGTATGGTGCTGGACACGTACAGTGGACAAGATGGCTGTCTTTCCCGCATCTTGGCATCCCACCAGCAACAGGGCACTGCCTCTCGTAGACCGTCCTCTTCTGTTGACGAATACGAAAACTATGATGAGTCATTAAATTTCTGAAAAGGAGGAGTAAGTGGCGTTCACGGACCAAGCAGGACGATGAGTGCTGCCGCAAGAGACCACAACGCCAACTCTACGCCGTCGATGGGGAGTCGGAACGCTGATAGAGATGGCGCGAGGTGGGTTCCATCCATGGCGTGAATTGAGCGTGGAGCGAGGTAAGGTGCAAAACTCGGAGTCTGATCCCGTCGCGGTGTCAATGTTTGGTCTTGTTATCCGGGTTTAGATTGATTCCCTTGGTTACTTCTTGGATGCTGCTGGGGTGTTAGAGAAATGTGACCTTCCAAAGGATTACACGACGTGCAGTTACACACTTTCTGTACAGACCCCTTCAGACCATGCGAGCTAAGTGGCTTTGACCTTTTATTATGGCGCCCATGCACGACTAGTTTATGTAGAAATTATATTGACAAGATCAAGTAAGTATATCCCATCTCCAAGTTCCGTATTCAATCCATACAGCACTAGCAACTGCGAGAGTCAAGTTACAGTGGATCCCTTGAGCTACTAAGGCAATGGACCTTCATCAAAAGCACCGGCACCAGACGTAGGGAGGGGACCCTCATCAAATGACGCGGTGGGAGCAGCGACAGCCCCACTAGCATCGGAAGTGGGAAGAGGTCCATCGTCGAACGACGCTGTGGAATTGGTGTTGGACGTAGGAAGAGGCCCTTCGTCGAAGGACGCCGTAGAATCAGCGATCGCAGCGCTGGCACTGCCTGTAGGGAGAGGACCTTCGTCAAAGGACGCCGTCGAATTGGCGACTATCGCGTTTGCGGTGGCGCTGTCGGTAGGAAGTGGACCTTCATCAAATGTTGCCGTAGAATTGACGGTAGCAGAAGGAAGGGGGCCTTCGTCAAATGTCGCTGTAGCGTTTGCGGGTGCAACTATATTAGTGGCATTGCCGGGGATGCAGGAACAGGTTGCGACATCAGGTGTAGTCCCGAAGGGGCATGTTCCAGCTATCAGACCCAGGATATTAGTATGCGAATGTAAAGATGCGTCGCGACCACGTACGAGCTCCAAAGGACACCATAGGCGAGTTTGGTCCACCGAATACGCCTGGATCAACACCGTCCAGTTGAGAGTTAACTATGCCTTTGAGCTCCGCGTTTCTCGGCGGCTTTTGGCAGTAAGGTGTGGACGGCACAACGCCCAATACATTGAGGGCATTCCTAGCATGCTTACGATACTGAATCGCAAAGTTGATGAGGACATCCGAATTGGAAACGCCAGGCGATTTGGCGAAATCAATCATTGCGTCGGCGTTGTCTTGCTGATCACAAGGACCTGCGTTTGCAAGTAATGCGTTGATTCCATCGAACCCAGCGAGTTTGACACATGGCGAATCGTCACCAGTAGGTGTGAAAACGTCTGCCCCGCTGATCAAGCAAAGCTCCTGCCACGCGGTTGCAACGTCGGGCAAATCGAACTGAGCAAGGCGCTTTGTGAGGTTGATCGTTGAGTTGGCGGTACCATTGCCACCGACAAGGGGATCGGTGACGGTGGAATTGACGGCGCCCGTCGGTAGAGGGGCAGATGCGTTGACCGATGCTGGAGAAGTGACTGCTGCTGCAGTGACATTAACTCCTGTTGAATTGCCGTTGTTGAAGGCCACTGGGTCCACCGTCGAGTTCGTGGTTCCACCGAGAGCGGTGGTGATCACGTTCGTAGCATTGGAATTGGTAGAGTTGGCCGAGAGTTGCTTGCTGGCACAAGCAGGGGGTGCATCGGCTCGTCTAATCAATGTTAGTGGGGCAAGTGGTGGTGCTTGCTTCGCAGACTTACGCAATGATCACAGAACGATGTCTAAGACTCAGATATGGAGGGTGGGCAGGGGCGAACGCTCTCGCTGCACTCGCACCCAAGAGGACGGAGCAGAGACCAAAAGAAGGGGATATAAACTTCATCTTGTCAAAAAAAGGATGGTTGGAAATAAAGGAAGGAATCGACCCAAAGAAACAAAGTGAGCTACCGGGCTCGAAGAAGGAAAGAAGAGATGGAAGTTTAGTAGAAGAATGAATTGTTCCTGCTGCCTCCTTCTTATACTTGCACCGTGCATCGCCAAGATTTCAACGCCCAATTTAGCTTTGTGCGACTGAGACTGATGCTGGATGTGTGAAATATCAATCCATTCAAGGTTCGTTGTAGGCCGCCCATCGTCTCAGCAAGACATTGGTACGCCGGCGAGAGGACGAAGTCCGCCGTTCCTATGGTGAAGTCGGAACAGCTGTCATCGTTGGAGTAGTTGAGCGAGCGGAATGTTATGAACCGGAGAGGTCGTGTCAAGGTTATTTACGGAAGGTGAAGATGGGCGCGTCGTCCGATACCCCAAGAATCGCTTTATGATAAATCCATCAGCGCTGAAGCATGTCAATGTACTCACAACCCCATGAGTGCTAAATATTTAATGATCGGGGTGGAAGAGAATACTACGAGTCCCAGATAACGACACCCGTCAATCCTGGCGGCGCCTTACAGCGCCTTACAGACCCGGTGTCTTGGGTGAGTGCAAACGGGCGCCAGCATATTGAACATTCAAATTCATGAAATGCCGGAACGAGGTGCTTGACCCAGGGAAGCTAATCATGCGTTGGGTAGGTTAGTTATAAGCATGTCGGAGTGACAGTCAGAGACTTATATGACGATACTAGACGATAAGCCTCAAAGTCCTCGGTGAACAAGCTGAACTTCAGAGTCCAGTCAGTGGTAATTAGGCGCTAATTGTACTTATTAGCGCGTAAGCGCCCAACACTCAGGAGCGAAATTTTGCCTCCACTGGACTTTATTGCTATGGCACTAACTAACGCACTCAACGATAGCCCGCCGCCTCGAAAACGCGCTCGCCAGACTTGCGACGACAAATCCGATCACCAGGCAACAAATCCGCGACTCTTCGTGCCATTTCGAGCTCTTGGTCTTGTAACCAACCATGTACCATGCGTTCTTCAGACTCGATCTTTTAAGGGGGCTACGGAAGGCCCCCGGGTTCATATTCTAACGTGCTTGGATAAATCTTGGGCACTATGGGAGGGCGGAAAGATGACTTTGCTATTCGTCGGTAAGTGAGTGGTGTGGTGTTAGCTAGATGGAAGAATTCAATGCTGATATTTACGTTCAGGCCCGGAGGCTCCTGCCCCAATCTCCAGCCTTACAATGGAAGGCGACTTTATCTGGGCTACATCTGGACGATACATCATAAAATATCTACGAGGGAAAGAGGTCAGTTTGTTCACAGTGCATGAAGCATCTACTAAATTTCCCAATAGATTCAAAGACTTACCAATCCCCTCGACACAACACTATCCTTTACCACAATATTTGGCCCTCAAGTTATATCATTGCTGGAAGATGGCTCTAGGATGATGATATGGAACAGCACAAGTGGAGGTTTGTGTCATAATTGTCTTGACATCGCGCGAAGCTTGATGGATTACTGCAGAACTTGAATCTGAAATTCGCTTCGAGTCGGATTTCTCGGCCTCTGGGATTCTACACCCTGCCACTTACATCAACAAAATCCTAGTGTCCAGTCGTCAAGGAACAATGCAACTATGGAATACACGCACACAGTAATTGTCACCTCACTTCATTCACTCTGACTGACGCTCACCTAGCATCCAGGACTTGCATCTATAAATTTACTTTATCCAAGCTTTGTTCCAGTCCAACGACAGGTGGTCCTACGTCTATCAGTGCTCTTACCCAGTCCCCAGCTATTGATGTTGTTGGTATTGGCTTCTCGTCTGGAGAGATATCTGTTTATGATGTCCGCGCCGATGAACGTCTTATTCGAATATTTATGGACGGAGGGCAAGTCACTGCGCTCGGCTTCCGAAGTGGTACGCCAAGCTTCTTCTTTTCGTTGATAAATCCTCACAGCAGCATTGTAGACGGACAACCAATCCTTGTATCTGCCTCGTCGGCAGGCCACCTCGCTGTGTGGGATCTGAACTCGGGTGGCACCCTCCTCCACATGATTCGGGGCGCCCATGAGGCTGCTATAAACTCCGTTGAATGGATTCCCGGACAACCTGTCTTGGTCACTTCCAGTGAGGATAACAGTGTCAAGGTGCGATCCTAGACGCCATCATGCCATTAGTTGACTGACATAGAGCAGCAATGGTTGTTTGACTCGCCCGATGCTGCACCTCGGGTACTAAAATACCGCGCTGGCCACCGTGCTCCTCCCCATCTCATCCGTTATTATGGTGACGATGGAAAGCAGCTTCTCACAGCTTCTGGCGATCGAAGCTTACGGTGCACCTCGGTTGTTCGTGATTCTCGATCTTTCGAGTTGTCCCAAGGTAACTTCGCCCCTTGACCTGCGTCCTCCTACTTACTATGCCTCAGGGTCTCTGGCTAAGAAGGCTGCGTCAAGATCAACACCTCTTTCGTCACTGAAGTTTCCCCCAATCACAGCGATATCACATTCATCTACGCGAGCGAAGGATTGGGACGACGTTATAACCGCTCACTCTGAAGACGCCTTTGCCAGAACTTGGACCTTGCCATCTAAACGAACTGGGAAACATAGTTTCAAAGCGCAGGATGGTGTCAAACTGAAAACAAAAGGGAAAGAACCTGTAGATGCTTACGTCAAGGTACACCGATTTGTCAACTCTACGCCATCGTACTGACGCGTCTCACTTAGAGTGTTTGTGTTACAGCTTGTGGTAACTTCGGCCTTGTTGGCTCCTCCACTGGTGGCATCTCGATGTGGAACATGCAGTCTGGTATCCTCCGAAGGACATTTACCGTCGGGCCATGTCCCCCTGAAGTGATGGGCAGACTGCATGCCTCTGACACTGAAAAGAAGGTTGTTCCTCGACCTATTACTGGCTTGGCAACAGATGCTCTCAATCAATTAGTACTTGTGAGTACACTGGATGGTACTATAAACGTGAGTCCGCGATTTTTTGAAACAAACGCCATTGAACAAATCTCCTCAGTTCTTCAACTTTCACTTAGCCAAGTTGGAACATACTCTGATATTACCCTCAGCTACATCCTCGATTTCTTTACATCGAGATAGTGGCTTGTTGGCAGTTGTATGTGAGGACATGGTCATCCGTATCATCGACATAGAAACTCGCCGCATCGTCAGAGAGCTCAGCGGATTCAAATCACGAATCCTAGACATTGTATGTTCTCTATCTATCATAAGAGATCTCGGATGGTGATTGTTTTTAGGCTTTCTCCCCCGACTCACGCTGGCTAGTTGCCTCATCCCTCGATTCTATCATTCGGACATTCGACCTTCCATCCGGGTGTCTGATTGATGCCTTCCGCACCTCGAGCGTAGCAACAAGCCTGGCGTTCTCCCCAACCAACGATTTCTTGGCCACATCACATATCGATAGCGTTGGAGTCTATCTATGGTTCGTACCAGACGTTAATGTCCTTCACCGTGGTTTGACGGTTGTACAGGGCGAATCGCGCACAATACGCCGATGTGGCCCTCAAAAGCATTCAGGAGGTAGATGTATCAGACGCCTCGTTACCTACTATGCATGGTACCGCTGAAGACGATGAAGGTTAGGATCCAATGTCTAGCCTCTAATCAGCGAACTAACATCATTACTTGGTTAGTCCTGCATGGACTATCGGCGTTGACCACAGAAGACAAGCCAATTGATCCTTTCGCTACGCCAACTCAACTCGACGGCGACTTGATTACGCTTACATTACTCCCTCGTTCACGTTGGCAAACACTTCTTAATCTGGAGGTGATACAGGTTTGTCTTCTTATCCGCACCTTGTTTTGCAGATACTGAACGCGTGTTTACAGCAAAGGAATAAACCCAAAGAACCCCCAAAGGCTCCAGAGCAGGCACCATTCTTCCTGCCCACCCTTCCTGGTGTTGAACCGCGGTTTGCGGTAGAGGACAAGGCCACGGGGGACCAGCAAACCGAAAAATCGCGGCGTCTCGAGAAGAGCACGGCGCACCTTGAGAGTCACTTCTACAAGAAGCTGACTCGCGAAAAGGAGGATGGTGACTGTACGTCCTCGTACCCTTTTGCTGCGGCGATTCTAAGCGTTTTTCCAGATGAATCATTCTTCAACTACATGAAAACGCTCAGTCCTGCGGCGATTGACCTGGAGTTGCGATCCCTCGTCACGATTCCAGCGATCCGCGTATTCCTCAACGCACTCAGGCAGCGGTTATTATCCCATCGTGACTTCGAGGCCACACAGACATTCCTGAGCGTATTCCTCCAAATCCATTCGGACGTCCTGATAGCCAATTCAGAACTCCACGGTGAATTGGAAAAGCTCAAAGAGATACAACAAAAAGAGAGTGGCCGAGTACTCGAGCTCATATCATCCTGTCTAGGGACTCTCAGTTTCTTGAGAGACAACATGTAACATGTACATTTATACAGTCCGAACATAATGCATAATGAGTACTTGGCATTGAATAATTATACTACGAATGACTGGGCATGTAGGTGAACGATCAGAATGTTTTTGGTTAATGGGGACCATGTATTGTGAAACATGCCGTCTGAGCCTTCCGCGATTTCGACACGGATACCTCTATCTCTGCAAGAATCCATCCACTCCTCCCAGACCGAAACCGTAGCCTTGGATGCGCGACCGTAGTTCAGGCGGGTGCTTGTCAACAGTGAAGGCAGAACGAAACGAAGACGCCGCAAAGACGGAAACACTTCTCCCGACGTAAGCGTACGGAGGGTCCTTTCGAGATGCGCCAATGGGAACAAAGATAGGTCCTCGCGATGATAGCAAAGTTGCCGAAAGAAATCCGGATGTTCCAGCGTTAAGGTAGAAACGTTTGGATGAATGAGACCCAAAGGTGGCAGGATGGATAGCACGCGGTCAGCGCAGCTCACTGAGAGCATCTCTAATTTCGGACAAAGTGCCAGTGACACGGCGGATGTTTTAAGGCTTTGGGCGGAAATATGCTTGACCGTTTCACCGCAGCGGCGCAGAACGTCGTCTCTTGCCAGTTCGTCTTGAGTAAGAAAGGTGTTGACAGAGGGCATATATGCGGTGCGGAAGATGTTGCTCTCGGGGAAGGATGAAATGCATGTGTGGAGCTTCGGCAGTTCTATGTTGTACGGGACAAGGCAAGTGGAGACCCGGCGAGACGGCTGCACCCAGAGAACTTCCAGAGAAGGCGAGAGGACGCAAAGGAGGGCTGCGATGATGGGTATATCCGCCCTCAGCTCCAACCGACGGATGGGCCTTTCGCGATATATAGTGGTGGCCAAAGCTGATAATATTCCAGAAGAAAAGAGGAAATATGCGTCCGTGGTTGAGAAAATGGTCGAGAACACGGAAATGTTTGGGCAGGCTCGAATGATTGAGGTAATGGCTAATGAATGCTCGCGATCCCAGATGTGTATGCCTTCTAAAGCGATTTCCAGCCGAGCTGTCCTATGTCCGTAGGCCGGTTTCGCGTCCAGAAGCTCGGCAACGCGTAGAACCTGTCGTCCACTACCAATTACGACGTATTCGAGAAGGTTTCGGAAAATCAACGCGTGCCAGCTCCGACAAACCAGACTGATGGCGTGTTTGGTGTCGATGGTACGTCGGTAGTGGGCTTGAGCAAGGATTCCATAGTTATCTTTCGTAAAGGCAGTGATGGCATTTTGGTCCTTGGTGTCCAACGCTCCGGGGACGAGAGTCGCAAGAGAAAATATTTGAAGCCAGATTTCGACAGGCAGAGTAGAACTACTCGGCGCAGCCATGGTGTCAAAATACAGAATCCGAGGTGGTGGTTAGGAGTCAACCCATGGGAAGTAAGTAAGCGCCCACTACTCCTCTTTGCTCACACTCTCTACAGTCGGCATGGATCCCACTGCGGTATCGACCATTGCCCAAGGAACGCTCGTTACATGCAAGTACGACTTCTACTTTATGCCCAACTTCCATTACTTAACAGCAGGTTCTCCACCTCCCAGCTGCCATTAGCGCGTTCGTGACCGGGCTGAATGGCATATGGCGGCGATACCCAAACTACGGCATATTGGCCGGAGCAGCTGCGATGAATAGCGGCCTTACTGCCTTCACTTTCTTTGGTCCGTCTTTTAGCTTGTACGACGCGTCCAATTGTGCTCAGACACGCCTCACAGGCATTCGGGAGTTCGCTATAAGCCCGCTGTTGGTTTCAAGTCTATCTACAAAAGAATACCAACGGCGGAGGCGAGCCTTGGAGCCACTGTCCAGCGACATATCAGAACAGTCACCCGTGTCATGGGGTGATCTACGGCGGCAAAAGCTCCTCGATTCAGCGGTCAGCGGTGCACTCACTGCCGGGAGCCTTCGAGCCCTCAAAAGTACGCGGAATGTAATCCTACATGGCTCTGTTTGCACTCTAACGTGGTATTGTTAATGTATAGCTGGTCCGAAAGGCATTCTATCCGGGGCCGTCGCTGGCGCAGCCGTATGTGCCATACTACAATATAGCTACAACGAAATTGGGGTACAGAGACTAAAGTACATAACACGGCCTCAATCGTCACAAAGCAAGCCAACAACACCTGCAGACGACAACACCCCTGTATTCGAACGCGTTCTGTCGAGCCTCGGTATCGACAGGGTTCCCGATGATAAGTATCTGATAATGCTGAAGGACAGGCGAGAAAAGCATTTGCGCCGAATACAAGAACTCGAGGCACAAATAGCACAGGAGGAAAGTTTGGGTACAGATGAAGAACAATTAAAATAGATATAGTCCTCTATACTACTGTGGCGTTATTCCATATCTCAATGATACCACCTCCCTTTTTATCAAGTCCCCCCAGAATGATTCGAGTCCCGTCTGGGACTATGACTAGGGAGTTCACTTTCTCGATATCCTTTGCCTGGATGGTCCACTCAGTCTCCAGCTTCACGCCACCTTTATCGTCTCGTTGAACCGCCAGCCGAGTGATAGAGCCCATTAATGTGCAGACAAGCAAGTGTGAATCCCCAACGAAGGATCTAATGAACCTTCAGTAAGGTAGTGCGGTTAATATAGGAAGATATTGCTGACACTGCCACAATTGGGCCTTCCGCAGGCTTGAGCTCAATTATGTAGTCGGTCTTTAAACCATCCCATTTCTTACTTCGTTTGTTACGAGCATGGGCCGAGCCCTTTTCACCACCGTAACCCAACAAGAGGCGTCCATCCGCTGTACCCGCCGCAAATGTGCCAGTAGACGATATCGCAGTCGACATGACGAAAGGGGGAGACAAAGTCATCCCGCTCGCGGCAGCTGACGGTGCTAGTAACAACAATCAGCATGATACTGCTTTGAGATGACGCGCATACTCACGGATATTATACACAGAGAGCAACTTCCTTTGTGAGAAGTCGAAGTGGTACAGTGCATGATCATAGCCTGCACTGAATAATTCTGACGGCCTATTAGGGATGAATTTGACACATCCACAGATCTACGCTGTAGAATGAAAGGGTGGTTCCTGTGGCCGAATAGTGAAGGTACGCACGCTACTGTGCTTGGCCTTCATCGTAGAGACTACTTTGGATGCGAGGTCGACGACGCCAACAGTTCCTGAGTCGCAGCAGAACGCGAGACGATCTTTGTTACCGCTGAGGGACAACTGGTTAATCTCGTAGTACGACCCCCCGAGTTACAGACGACGGCAGGCTCTTACTTCATTCAAGACATCGTCGTCTTCTCCTACGTTGATGCTCATCAAGGCATCGCTCGGTTTTTGTATCAGTTTTTGGGACTCTGAGGGAAACCCAAAAGATATAATCTACAGGTGAATAGTATCAGATCAGTTTACTTCTAGTCGCGATAGTTTCAGACATACTCGGCAACCGACACTGATATATATGTCGTCAAGGACTTGATCTGGCTTGGGGCAGCACACAATAGAGGCAACTTCATCCCCCAGCCCTTGTATCGCTTTGAGGACCTTTAGCGAAGTCGAGTCGTACACGCGAACGGAGCCATCGCCTGCTACTTGTGAGCCTCGCGTAAGGTGACATGTGAGATACACCCACTCGAGCCAGCATAGATATGCCCGCCGCCACCCAGATTCAAGCATGTTACCTGACCAGGTAACCGCAAGCACCGTTCATAAGAAAATGGCCATAAGGTTGGCAGCTCGGACTCGTGCATGAGTGGTGGTACTGAGGAAGAAGCGCCCACGTGAAAGTTCGATCACAATTTATATTGAGGCGATCCTCGACGTCATGCAATCAATCAACTCTGATAGTGCCACTCATGGCCAGCTCCCCCGCCCCCAAGAATTTCGATGAACTGAGCAAATTACTCGAGAACGACATCAAGGTCAAGGTTGCTGGTCAGTAGTGTTTGAGAACTTGCGCTCGATTCAGACTGGAATGACCAACGATACCGTTGCAGGCGTTGACGGTGAGACCATTGTCCAGAAATGCGATGGAGAAAATAAACGATCCCTTTTCTCAGTTGATGGCGTACTTCGTGGAAAGTTTATGGTACGTGCCCATAGTCGCGTATCACAAGCAAATGTGAACATTTCGCTACCAGTCGAAGGAGAAATTCCTGAGCGCCGCATCATCCGATGGCTTTGGCTTTTGCAGCGTTATTTTGTGCGTGGATATGCACATTTCATGGACTTGTCTGACTCGCTTCTTCAGTGGCTGGGATATTCATGACGCCGTTTACTCTCGCGAGCTTTTGATCTCGAACAGGGCGAACGGCTACAGGGATGTTATGGCGTACATCGATCTCAGTACTTACCGACGTATTCCTTGGGAGAAGAACGTTCCCTTCTTCCTGGTTTACTTCCTTGACCCGGACACCAAAGCGCCCATCAGCGCCGATCCCAGAGGCATGCTCAGTAGCATCACCAAGAAGGCAGGCGAATCAGGTCTACAATGTTACGCTGGCGTAGAATACGAGGTACGTATTGAATTGCTGCCTAAGAATTGTTTTGATCAAGTTTTCAGTAGTATTTTAACTTCAAAGGTGTGTTGCGATCCGTCGTTTGATGCACAGACAGCTGGACGTCTGGTAGAAACTCCTGCTAGTGCGGCCGAGAAGCAGTTCAAAGACCTTCAACCGCTGACTCCAGGAAGTGAGCATTTGGCTTGCTTCTGCGCACCCTTATCTGATAGCATGTAGTGCACGGCTACTCCCTTCTCAGGACACAGCTCAACAATGATTACTTTCACGAACTATTTGACGCCAGTTCAGAGTTCGGCGTGGCTATCGAGGGACATCGTACGGAGCTCACTCCTTTGGTTGCTCCTTGTGTCGACTAATCAACTGCTGATAGACACCGAAACTGGCCCAGGCGTCCTTGAAACTGCGCTGGCGTATACTTCCGCTCTCCAGATGGCAGACTCGGCTATCTTGTTCAAGTACACCGCCAAGAGTGTCGGCATGAAGCATGGGATTATCCCGAGCTTCATGGCTAAGCCGTGGGGCAAGCTCCCGGGCTGTAGTGGGTCTGTCCCATTTCTTATGCGTGGATGCGGCTAGTGGTACTCGACTCTGACCTCTCCGATAAGGCATGTACACGTTTCCCTGCGGGATGAGAGCGGTCGCAACATATTCGCCGTTTCCGATTCAGAACTCAAGGAAGGTAGAAGCGATGCTGCATTTGAAGACACAAAATTCGTTAGCCAAATCGCTGAGTGGTTCCTAGCGGGAATCCTTGACGGAATAGCCGATGGTATGTTACAAACTTAGTGAGCGTCCATTCGACTAACACCGTCTCCCACAGTGATGCCAATGGTGAAAGTCTCACTTCTAGATAGTTGTAACGAGATCTAATTTTTTCACAGCTAGTGCCGACCATCAACGGATACAAGAGGCTGGTTGGCGGTGAGGCCTTCTGGGCTCCCAATGCTATAACCTATGGATACGACTCTCGCGCTGCCTCAGTGCGCATCATTTCTCCACCATCCGCACCACCTTCAGCTACACGGTTTGAAGTACGCGTTCCCGGCGCCGACATGAACCCTTACTTTGCTCTGAGCGCCATCTTCGCCTTGGGTCTTCGCGGTATTGAGAAGAAGTTACCCCTAACGATACCTCCCATGTCACAATTAACTCCTGAAGACAAGAAGTTGGGACAGGTTAGCACCTCTTGTTTACGGTCCTTCACTTCAGACATGACTCCATCTGTGTTAAGATCAAATTGCTTCCAACTTCTCTGGAAACTGCAACAGAGAGATTCATGGGATTGGGGAGCACGGCCCGTGAGGTATTTGAACCGGACTTCGTTGATCATTATGGCGGAACCAGGGAACACGAAGTAAAGCTTTGGAACGAAGCCGTAACAGACTGGGAAGGTGCGTATCATTCCGTGGCAATTTCCACTCAAAAGCGGCTAACGGATAACGCAGTGGAGCGGTATCTTGAACTAGCATAGGATTCTTTCCCTACGTTACTGATTGCTCGCCCCTTCGGTTACTTTGGGTAGACTGTGGAACCATTTCAGGAAATGGGGGACGTCCTATTCGAACATAATGATAATGAGGACTAGCCATTTCTTATATAAAATCGTGGACTGTACCTGCACTATCGAGCTGGCCATGGAGCGTTCGACGATAAAAGTTGGAATTGAGCCGCCTGGAGTGCTAGATGTCGCCATAAGCCACTCCGTCTTGCCGTCTTCCAATTCACGGATACGCTCGGCACTCGTATACCGACCCCTCACGCCTTTCTCTTCAAGTTTCGCCAATTCTTTATCGGCGGTTACGTCTATTGGTATAGATACTATCGTGCTGCAAGTCATTGTCAGTTCCGGAATCAAATCAATCCCACTAGTACGGCGAAATGGCTTACCCAGAACGTGGGGATATCTCTTCCAGGTGGACGACTTGCAAGACGGTGAATACCCGAGGGGAGACAGGCGGGGGGAACGTGTAGTACAGGGTCCACACTGATTGAGTGGGCGAGATTTGTTTGACTAGTGTCACTTTCTTAATCTCTGGTATAAATCTGGGCACGAACTGCTGTCAGACACGACCGAGAAGACGTGTTCAGTGAAGTCCACGACGTACTCTTTCTCGTTCTCTGCTTTATTGACTGCAAGCTTCGACCACAAATCATCAAATGTAGCTTCCTCGGCGGTATGTTCACTGCGTCTAGCATGCCAGGGCGCGCCGTCCCCAGCTTGCTTTGGCCGACTGAAGGTCTTGACCCCACGGATCGTCTTTCCCACATGCCATGATTGCACGGAATCTAGGATTTTCTGGGCAGCCTGCAGGATCGCGTCTTCGGGAGGAATACCTGGAGTATTACCATTTTAGTTCCACATGCCAAGCAGTCAAGCCAGGGATCCCACTTACTCCCTAGATTGAGAGGGGTGATGGTGAGTGCGAAGTCGGCCTGCTCTGACATCGTGGTGGGAAGGAATATGGGTGCTTAGCCGGTTATGACGGTGATATAGCAACATACGCTCTTCGAAAGTCTCAGGCTCGCACCTCACACTGTTGACCGAGGTTTGCAGATAAACTCTAACTAGGAACATGCTAAGGTATAAAGAAAAGAGCGGGCTACATAGTATAAATGCCATTAAACGGGCAGTGATATTTCATGGTTTCTTGGGATATTGACCGTTCCCCTCTGCATCATCTCCACCTATAAGCGTGGCGTCTCTAGACATGCTTGAAGACTCGAAGGGCACTGCGTCTTCTTCGTCCACACGTACATGTTTGGGGATTCTAACAAATCCCAGCAGGACGAAGGCGCTGAATACCGCAGCCACGGACAGGAAGAATATGGCACGAGGATATGTCGCCACTGTTCGCACATAAGTAAAACCGAAGATTGCAGGCCCAAGAATCTGGGAACTGTATGCATCACAAAGATTAGCAGGTAAGGATTGATCGATTGACGGGCATCATACCAGAGTGCTTGTACCACGCTTAAAGCTCCGTACAGTCTGCCATTCTCCCGGCCACCTCTCCGGACGTAGAGTTCTATAGCAGCACTTTGTATGGCAGGAGAGAAGCCAGCGCCGAACGATCCGAGCATTGCGAAGATGGTGAACGGCAAAGGTGCTTGTGCCATTGCCATAAGTGAATAGGCAACGATTTCAACGAGGAGTGAGGCACGGGCGAGGCTGAGGTCAAAGGAAGGGGAGTGGATTTCAAGTAAAGAGCGGGGTGACGACGTCGGGGAGGGTCTTTGGGACGATCCACTAGGCTCAGAAGACGAAGATAGTAGGGGTTCAGTCTCTGCAGACGCCGGTGTGGCCTTGGGCTTCAGTAACTGGATAATGACTGACAACACGCATCAATGGTGCATTATGGGCTGAACATTACTAAAGGCCTTACCAGGGAGGATAAGGGCCAGGAATGCTGCGCGGACTGCGCCGACAAGACTGATCCAGTAGCCAATCTTTAGTAACTTATGTAAGAGAGAAGTAAGATTAAGACGGAGGAATGGCTGTACCGTCTCGGCAGACCAACCAAACGCTGATGCTGCGTATTGGAACTTGTACACATAAGAGCCCTTATAGAAATCCGTATCTGTCAGACAGCCACGATTACGTTGCCTGAGAAACGCACCATGATAGAGATGGTAAAACCATACGACGCAGCTACTAAGGCCAGGCTCCAATCCCGGCGGGGGCCCCGCTTCGTCTCTACCATGGTTGGGAAGAATATTGCCAGTGGGCGTAGGAACCGGAACAGATTGCGAATCTGTATGACAGTTTCCGTGGCTAGCGAATTAGTAGATCTGTCTCTGTCGCGGAAGATCGCTTCGTTTTCGATGTGCTTGACTTTGAATTCATGCATTTGGCGCTTTGTCAAGGATTCCGGGACGATAAACCAAACCACTGACGCATAAATCAAATGCGCGACGGTGGCGGCGTAGAAGACTGAGAGAGTGTGATGCGTTGCTCGAATAAGCAAACTTCCTAACGCCGGTCCCAATGCCACTCCAGTGAACATAAGGCCTAAGGATAGAGAAAGTATGCGAGACCTAGGACGAGATGAATAGGATATGAACGCGGAGTGGCGATTAACTCACCGGCCATGTGAGGTAGTGGTATCGGCAACGTAGGCATGCATCGCAGCTATGGAGCTTGCCAAACCTGTACGAAGATATGATGACCATGCTCAAGAGAATGAGATGATGGGCCCATACCGCCAACGGAGCCTTCAATAATGGGACCAACGAGGAGAAACCAGTATCCGCCGGGAGCATAACGGAAGAAACGCGTAACAAAGATAAAATTGAGATCGTTCATCAGTAAGCCCAGGAGGGAAATGCCCATAACGCGTGTGCGACCATAACGGTCAGAGAACTAATATCGTGTTGGTAAAGTTCCCGCCGTCACAGTGAAAGGCGTACCGAGCCCCACCAGGCAGTTGTTAGACAACTAAGGACGCCCATTGTCGCCGTCAGCACTGGACAATTGTTCAGTATCAATCGGCAAGAAACGTGCTGGTCTCTGGATCACCTGCACTTAGTTGGGCAACGGCTGCTTGTACATCGGGATCTTGAGCACACGTCTGCGGAATGCCTGATCCGGGGCTTGCAAGGGAATTGAGACCAGTGGAGTTAACAAGTGGGACCAGACTAATGAAAGGCGACAGCGAGCTGGAGTTTTTTCCGACATCGAATATTTCAGGCTTGATAACGCTGCACGCTAGGATGGTGAGTATTTCAATCCGAGGTGCAAGGGTGGCAGTAGAAGCCAAGGCTCCAAATGGCAGCAACACGATAAGCCTATCAATAGAAGTATGAGCCGTGGGTAACTCGAAGGGCACGTTGAACGTCTCACCACCAAGAAGAGGGTGTTTTCCACCACGGCTGACTGTGGTGGTCATTGCGGTGGTCGTTCTCCGCAATATCGGTTAAAGAGTCCCCTGTATGGGTCCCATGAACAAATTCGTCGAGGAGTTCCACAGCCTCTTCACTGACTGGGCCGTCTGGCAGGATAAGCGATTCGGCCTGCTGAATAGAGGACGAAGGGTTTCTAGATGCATGGGGACGCGTGTCGGATGCCGGAGTGCGATGTCGAGCAATATTCGGGGGATCAGGAGGAGACATGGTTCGGAGTCGTCTCGCGAGATGGTGGGGAGGAGGAAGGGTCTTCTAAGAGGCTGGGGTCATGGCCTATGTTACTATAGGATAGCAGAATTCCACAACCAATGACATGGCCATATGGTAGGGAAATGACAAACCCGAGGAACCGTGATAACGACTCCGCGTGGTAATCTTATCAGATTAGATCCCAAAGGTACTATCATCTCACAAGCACCCGCGAAGCGGGCTGCCCGTCCTTGCAATCCACGAGATGGCAAGTGTTTCGAGTCTCAGCGCTGCCGTTTCCACGATTAACACGCATTTCAGTCGAACACCGTAGACATCCCACAATCCATCAAAGACACTTTACGGAAATTCCGTTTCGCGCGTCGCAATGCTGGAAGCGCTGCGCTTGTCATCAAGATCAACAAGAAGGATTTAATCATGGAAGAGGTCGAGCAGTTCGAGAATATCAGTATAGACGAACTTGCGGAAGGTGCGTGCTAACCGCATTATACGCCGAATCTATACTGACAGGGATCGATTAGAGTTACCGGAGAACTCCCCAAGATATGTCGTGTTGTCGTACGAGCTACACCACTCAGATGGTCGCAAGTCATTCCCGCTGGTCTTAATCAATTGGGCACCCACATCGAGTGAGATCGGCACCCTCACCCTCCATGCAAGTGCTCTCCTCAATTTCCAAAACACTGTAAGCAGCCATACTCGGAATGTGTCTGCCGCCGGCTTATACTTCGCCAGGCCGATGTAAGCAAGGTAATCGAGATTCGTGACGGACCAGAGGGGCTCACGAAGGAGGTCATCGACGCTAAACTTCTCGCTTAATGTATTCGCCTCGATATGCTTTCGATGTACTGTCCCATATAGCACGCACAATGTAACAAGCTTCTAGGTATTGCTCTTGAGGGGTCGACGAACGTACGCTCTCATCAAGCCCGCAAGAACCCAACCATTGCCTAGAACATAGACAAGGCTCCGAACCCACAGTCCGAGAAAGACGTTGCCTCCCAAGAACTCCAGTTTGTATGCCTCGGACAGCCAAAGCGCCTGGGTACCAAACCACACCGAAATGTAAGCGATGACTTGGTTTCTGGTCAAGGCAAGGTGCGGTATAATGAGTGGGAGGAGGATGAGATACCATAGGAAGTACTTTGGGTCGGTTAAGTCAATATTGGCATTCTACACGATTCTACGAAGGACTACTCACCTGGGAGGTGCACACTTTGTTGAATAAGACAAATAGTGCTGTTTGCAAGAACCAAGCAAAGGGTAGGTCATTTGGTTTACCGAATAAGAAACCACTTCCGACACTGAGGGCCATTTGAGGCGCAAAACTGACCAAGGGAGACCGAAGGAGTGCTCTCCAAAGAGGGATAGGGTCAGGTAGGCCATGTTTAGACGGGTAAGTGAGGTACGTCAAATAGAAGTATGGGGAGAAATTGTGCCGGTGGTCGAGACGGTGAAGGTGATAGAGATATGCCTCGTCCAAGAACGTTTGACCCCATCTGCGTAACCTCAGTAAATCGTTTGATAGAACAGGGTGTCACTTACATGAGATAGCAAACGAGTCCAAGGGTAAGGAACGTGCCGGCACTGATGACGGTGAACCTCACAGCCCGAAGGTTGACCAAACTGCGTCCTTGCGAAAGGGCGGCGACACAGCTGAAGCCATAAATCACTGGGTAAACCTTCCAATGGGTCGCGACGCCGAGGCCAACAGCTGCTAGGTCCCAACGATCCTTCAAGGCTGCGAATAAGGTTGCTAGGACGAGTGAAGCGAGGATGGACTCAGAAGACCCCCTGGTGGAGATCGTGAATATGAGGGGATTGAGGAGGTGTGCGGTCGTGAGCAGAGCCGCCGCCCTCTGCTTGTTTCTCTGCTCCGGGAGACGTGGAAGGATTACGGAGACCAGCAGATGATGGATGATGAGGCCGTTTAAAATATCACAAGCAGCGAAGAGGTATTTTCCGAATGAAGGGTGTGTCCATTCATTGGGAGCAAGGAGCAACGCGAGGAGAGGTGTGTACCGATACGTGGCTCGCGTATACGGGCTGCGCTAAACCATGAGAACGGCCAGTATTCATACGGTAAATTACTCACTCTCCTAGGTTTACAAGATGCCCAAATCTACCGCGCGCATAGTTGGCGTAGCTTGGATGTAGGAGAAACGTGGTAGCATCGCTGAAAACACGGTAGTCGACGTCCGTGTACTTCACAACAGAATGCGCGTCGTGCCACTCGCTGTACAGAATCAACGCAACACGTAGTATCACGGATGCGATGAGGATGACTCGAAATGAGGGAACGCCGTTGCTGGTGACCAAGAAAAGCATGTACCCCACGGGACAGTTCAAATGGATTGAGGTACAATTACCCCTGTTCTGAGGATCATCTCTAAAATTCATGAGCGAGGAAATGTATAAACGCTGCTATGGAATACAAGTAATGAACTACAAGTGTGAACAAATAACGCTTGCAAAACGTGCATGAACAACACTCATCGATCCTCAGCCCATTCCTATCAAAGCCTGGTCAGTACGCGGTCCGTAAGACAGTTCTTTCGCACTCACGTTTTCTTTCTTGATTTGGGCCTGGTTAGGAGAGAACGTTTGAGCATCTGAACGTACAGAGAAAGCATCATGCATACCTCCTCCTCGGGTGTGAAGTCGTTCACAATATTGAACAGCTTACGGATTTCCTCAGGGGTTTTGCCTTTGATCATGTTCGCTACAGTTTTGCATCCAACATCGCTGAGTAGAGGATATATGCTACGGTGAGAAAGGAGAAGAAAACGAAGATCGCGTCACTTACAGAAGTGATTTGATATCGAGATAATTCGCGGCAAGGATGATTTCGAAAAGCATCTCCTGGTCCACGTTTATGAACTTTTGGTCCCATTCACTGATATCGGTCGAGCGCTTTCGCGTCTCGTCCTGGCTTTGGTCACTGTCCGCTGAAGGAAGGGGTTCACCGCGGTGATGCTCGCAGTACTCCAGGACCTGGAACACGGTGTCATCAAAGCGAGTCAAGAGCTCTGCAAGCATGCGTACCTTCTTCAAGACACTCGACGAGACATTGGGAAGGGGGATAGGTTGATCTGTCTCGCCGACATCTGCGAGATAATGAGATACAGCCCTGGGATAAGGCATCGAAAGACATACCCTCCAGCATGTTCTTGATCAGCACGGAGCGCTCGACGATCTCGCGCTCGGTGGTGAATTGTTCATTGTCGGAAGTAACGAGGAGAACCATTGTGAAGATGAAAATGAAATGGACGGGAGTGATGCTTTGGAAGTCGAGGTATAAACGACTTGGTGCAAGGCGCAGAGGGCGTTTCTATTTAACGAGCAGTCGGCGTTAGCCGGTGTGACATTCGAGTCACACTCCACAGCCTGGTGAGGCAAACTTGGACTGCATTTGAGTCATCTTTGGACATGTTCTCATTGCAGCATTGTTTTACGGCAACCACCAGCCCATTCTCCCTTCTTGGTGAGTGTCGTCAATGCTACCGCAGGTCCACTCCGTCTCACAACAATCCACAATTAGGTGCCATCCGAACGGCCACAAAACGCGCTGGTGGCACCGTCCACAACCATGGTGGCTCCGCCGGTAAACGTCTAGGTCTCAAAAAGTTTTCAGGCAAGCGTGTTGTTCATCAACCTGTATAACATTGACTTATCATAGATCAGATCAATATGTTATACCGGGCAATATCATTGTTAGACAACGCGGCACTGTCTTCCATGCTGGTCCTCATGTGAGTCTTAGGCGCGTATTGCGGTTGGCGACGGACCGCTCATTGGCCTCAATACCACAGGTGAAGATGGGCCGCGACCACACATTGTACGCCACGGCCCCAGGCTACCTCCGATTCTACAGAGAAAAGTGGCTTCGAGGGGAAAGAAAATTCGTTGGCGTTGTCCTTCAACGGGGTGAGGTATTGCCACGGGACGAACAGGCTCGAGGCCGCAGTCGATACTGTGGCCTTGTTGACCACAATAACTTGGCCGCATCAAGCCCTGTCTCACAGGCATTGTGAGTGCAATTCAATGGTTGTATTACGCGATATCCGTCTGTCCTAGAGAAGAACAAGACTTTGACAAGGGCTCTCCCGTCAATCGTCCATGGCAACTACGGTGCACAATAAATTACATACACAAAAATGTCCCTACGAATACCATAATCATCAAAATGGGAACATCAACTTGGGCGACCTATGTAAGCTGTGTCGTGGGGAGATTGTCGACCTGCTTCAAGGTCGGATGTGGGCCTCCAAGGTTCTACCAGCATTATCTGTTCTCCCTCGTCGTCTGGCACTCGCTTCCAGACACGATTGTCCTGTCGTCTTGGAGGCTCGCGGGTCGTGGGTTCAAAGGGTATTCTTGGAGGGAAAGGTATATGGGATTCTGGATCCTCGAGTGATGGATAGAATTGTCTGTAGAAGATATAGGCAAATAGTAGGCCGACCAGCATTCCAACCGTAACGTCTTCCCAGTGGTCTATGCAAGCCGTTTGATTTCGCACACATCCAAGTAACGGATGACTTACGACGATGGTCCATCAGACGAGTAATTGAGACGAATATTGAACCGAACAGAGGAGTGAAAACGAGCCAGACTTTGGTCTACGGGAAATTCTGAGCAAGAGCAACGTAACTGCAGTGCAATACTCACTGTGTACCCCTTCTTGTTAAAGACGTGCAGCTTTCCAGCGAGGTACAGAGATGCAAAGCCCAGCGACGCAGCTGTAAGACTAGCATGACCGCTGAAGAAGCTTCGTGCACCCTCCTTGAAGAAGAGCGAGGTAGTGTCCGCCGTACAGACACTTATGTCGACCAACCCAAAGGGCTTCGCGTTCTCCGTTCCCTCTCGGGGCAGGCATCTTGATATAAAGTCTAGCATCATCTTAGAAATCTGCGGCGGGAGGGGTGGTGGCTTTCACTCACCTGGCCTTGGTCTGCCAACTGTGATACGAACTGCCTGCGTAATGGAACCAGTGAAGAACAGGGCAACAGAAACTGCGCAACAATAATTAGGGCTACAACTTTCTAAGACGAGTAGTTTCACTCACCTCCAAGCATGCTGTGATGCAGATCCCACCATGACCTCAGGAAGACGAGGTTGCCTATGCCTATGATCACGTAGCCCGACAGAATGACTACACCAAGGAGAATGGTCTATTGGGTCCCGTTCTTAGTGACTCCGTAACTCGAGGGAACCAACGAAGTGTTCGAGCAGATAGTACTCACTGGAACAACTTCACTCCCTTCGAAGGGGTACTGGATGTCGGTGTCATTGATATCGAAACGATTGAAGTGTTGAAACTTGTCGAGGTAAAAGTTGAAGAATATCCTGTAATGCACAACATGAGGGTACTGCGCCAACACTAGTGCGATAATACGCACGCGAGCACGATTCCGAAGACCCTGCACAACGCGTCAGGACAAGCTGACAATGAGCACGGAAGCAGGCGACTTACCAATCCAGGCCATAACTGAGAAGATGTCGAATCGTGCGCGAAAGCTTCATGTCTGGATGGGGGTGTGGTCGCAGCGCTGAGGGAAGAATTGAACATCATGCAACAGCCTCGCTTGTGTGTCCATACTGGCATGCCCTATTGTTGGCCGACTCGGACTTCGGAAGGCGATGCCACAGTTCTTATTTCCCAAGCCTTGCACTCAACTGATGTTTCACAAAACAATACGTATCTCAGAAACTGAAACGCGCACAGACACATACGTTCACGGCTGACCTTGCGTTAGAAACGACATACACGCACATTAATCACAACGATACAAGTGAAGAATCAATGTCCCGTAATAAATACGAAGAATACAATACTGGTCCGTACCCAACTAGGATGGGCTCGAAGAAGGCTTGGGCGCAGAACGCCACCATTTCCATGCACCAATCCCCAAGGCGAGGTTGAATATCCCGACTCCGAATGACCCAGCACCAATGACCGTAAACAGCCACCAAATTATCCCGATGGTGCGATCAAGAGTGCGACCGACGACTTTCTTTAGGAAGACATTAGGATCTGGCGTTGGTTTGTAACTTGAGGGGAGAGCTATGACGGGGACAGACGGATCGCTTGTCTTGACAGGTGACGGTAGAAGAAGTAATGAAATGATGGGTTTCTGCATGAGAAGGATTGAGGTAAGAAAATGGACAGACGAAGAGGCAGGTAGACCTACGTGATCTGAAGTAGTGTACGCAGGGATGGAAGTGTACAGGACGTTTGTAATATTCGATGTCTCTGGGCTGCCCAGCGAGTCGGTGTGAGTGGCGTATAGGATCCTATCAGTCCATGACGGCATCCGTCCTAGGCTGTCGACAAAGGTGCATGTGAGTATTCAAGCCCAAGAATGATATTTTAAGAGCTCGTACGTGTATTTGTCAATTTCACCGAGCTCGTATTTGTAACTGGGCTTGAACTTCCAGAAAGCTCCTTCCTTCAGTCCGATGCAAACGGTTCCCTTCCGCTGCTCCACCAGTAACTGGTCATATTCCTTTAGGTCTTCACGCGTGCTTTCCTGGTCCAAAGCGGCAACCAAGTTCTCCCTATTTTGGGGCCCGGATAGCGAATGTGTTGGAGGGAGTGTCAGCCTGAAATTTAGGTCCCCAAGGTAGAAAAGGTGAGAAGAGTCGTAGATGGTGGACTTCTGTGTTGAAGAGGGGAGAGGGGAGAAGAGCAATGTCGAAACTATGTGGTTGTAATCCGCGATTCTCTCAGCAAGCCTTGGCTCGTGAGCACTCAGGTGGGCACAGACAAAACTACGAACCCCTTGAGTACTCAAAGATGAGAGGATGATTGGAGGAACTCACGTAAATACTTCGCCTACGCCACCGTCACTGGATGGTATACGGAAACGTATCCCAACAGCTCCCTTGTTCCCCATGAACAATGGCCCACAGCTTGACCATTCTGTTTCAACGTCGCATACGGAACGCGCAACACCGTCATCGAGTGCGTAAACAAGAAGAGCAACGCCAACGTTCACTATTTTTGCGACCAAAGAGTACCTCTCCCCGTTCGGAGCATGTTCCTGTATCTGCGACAAAATATGTGCATCTCTGTCGTTGATCACGCCCTTGGAGAAGCCAGAAACTTTATGCCAGTCAATACATCAGCCATTGCCAACGAGAGGAAAGCATACGCACGGCCAAGGTGCAAGGGAAGGAGTTCTTGAAATCCAACAGCAACGATGTCGGGCGCTCGTTTCTCTCGGGAAAGAAAGCTAGACACCTGGAGAGTTGGTGATAACCAGTCGACTAGATCCTGTGGAAGCCCTCGCAATCCCTGAAGATTGGTGTTATAGGACGCTAACTGCACCAGTAGACGGTCCGTGTGTTTGGGAGGATGTTCGGCGTCAGTCATCGTCGTTGACTTTGAGATTCGCGTGGCCGCATAATTTCTCAAAGGAGACATGTGCAGTGGACCGCACTTCGCTGTTTTCGAAGTCTGATACCATCCGCGAACCGTCACATAAAATGACACACATAAGGGACACATGTCATAAATCTCTAATTCCGGTACATTGGGTGGCAATTTGAAACTGTCTGTGCACAGTGGGAGAAAGCCTTACACCCGCTTGGGAGGTCCGAGAGATATTCCCAAATCCCGTAATTTGCCAGCGGCAATGTCATAGACCCATCCATGCACCCATACTTCTTTGCCTTTCGGACTTTTGTTCGCCCATGCGGCTGTGATAGTCGATGCCTTGGAAAGGTTCTTTACCTGCATCTTGACGTTCTCCTCAACCAAAATAGGAACTGCCTCCGATGCTGGCGCGGTGGATAGATGGAGTGATGCGGCCAGAGAGGTCATGGGCGCAAGCCATTTGTTGATGGCCGCGTCAGGAGGGGAAGTGGGGACAGTGACGACGGGTCCGGGCCTTGTACCAACGGTGCATGCAGCTTGGAAGCATGCAGCCGCTCCGCCACATTCTGTGTGACCCACAACAACAACTAGATGTACGGGGGAAAGAGAACAGAGAAAACGGTTGGGATGTAGTTTATGATAACGAAGTAAGAGAAAATGCACCGTGTTCAACTCCAAGATGATCTACGGCATAGGTGAGGACGGCTTGAGCACTGTCGTCGTCGGGATGGAATTGGCTGAAGATATTTGTGATTAGTACTCGCATCCCGATAACGATCATGCATTTTACAGACTTTGCAATATTCCTATGCACGAATATCTCTCCTGGGCGGGCCCCTGTTACAACTGATTCTGGTACTCTGGAATCAGCGCACCCTATCCAAAGCACCTATGAATTTCGAGTGTGAGAGATTTGTAATTCAGTAGACATTAGAATCCGTACCGTTGGAGACTGCCCGGCAGCACATTGCTTGAAGAAATCTGGCTCTGCATGATCAACATCTTGGGCCCATTGCTCGTTGGCGGTGAGGAGTTGAGACAAAATTTGGTGGGACTCGGCCATGTACTGGTGGAAGGTGAATGGGAAGAAGGGGAGGAAGGGTGGCAGAATATGGACGGGAATCCACCAGGGAAGAAGAGCGACCTATTTAAATAAACGCCCCAATAGGGCCGATTGCCTCGGCAAGTGTAGATACGCCTTTTTTACACTCCGTATGTGTTGAATCAGTACGCCCGCAACGTTGCTAATGCAAAGGTTATGCGTTGATGCAAGTTGTGATGAAGGTATCGAATGAGAGCGCGACGATAAGTTCACCACATATAAATATTTCATCGGTGCCTTCGTAGTAAATGGCAACACGGGACAAGTACAAGCTGGAACACAAATCACTCAGCGACAAGGCAACGTTCGTCTGCCCCGGAAGCACAGATTGAAATGCACCATGCCAATGACCAACTCTCTCATACGCGTGGCCAAGTGGGACGGGAACGCCCCCAAAAGACTACGATCACATCGCACATTTCCTTGGGGATTACATATCATGCTGCATAGTCTTTTATTCGGCATCAAGCATACAGGCATAGATAAGAAACGGCGAAAGCAGCATATCGCATGAACATCGAGACCTCTGGCCTGGCTATGCCCAACTGGTGCATCTCAACCCGTATGAGAGAAAGGAGTGAAGGGGGAAACTAGATTTAGTTCATTTGGCGGATGAGCTTGTTGATGTTTGTCTCCCGATCACCGAAATCGCCTCCCTGCACGTAGTGCTTGAACTTACGTGTCCGCCATCCGCCAGTGGGGTTGGAGAGCTTGAAAGGCCAGAGGAAGTTCGAGGCCTAACATGGTGGTTAGAAGATGCCAAGGAAGACCTAGTTCCTAAACGAACCTGCTTGAAGTTGGGGCCAGCGGTGATGATTTCGTGGACAAGGTCTTCCACTGAGAGGATATCGTATTTCCCGAGAGCTCCCTCGATAACGGCGTTGTTGGCGAGGGGGATTCTCTGCTTGTCCACTTTGCCGTAACCCCGCTTGTAGATCAACTCGCGCACGGACTTCAGGTTGGGTTCACTGCAATTCGTTATTGAAGTGATCAAGAGGAAGGAAGATGCATGCGAACCCGTATGTGATGTATGGCTCAACTAGCCGAAGCATCTGCTGGGTAGCCCTAGTAACTTTCACAAAAACGCCGTTGTTGATCTGGAGAAGACGGAGGAGTTGCAAGATTTTTCGTGGTTTTGGGGCGATCTCATTGATACTGGGAAAACGTTAGCCAGAGGGATAATGATTGGTCGTGCTTAGTAGTACACACCCACGGATACGGATGACGAAATAAACCTTCGGTTGAGCGGGAACGTAGAAGTCGCCTGACGTGCGTGCGGCGCGCTTCAATCGAATCTCCTCCTTCTCGTGAGCCAAATACTCCTTCACATATGTCTCAGCTCTCTTGAAGACAACTTTTCGCTGGGCCTTGGCTGCCTGAGAATCGAGTTAAAATCGTAAAACCAGAAAGAAAGGGCAACAAGAAAGAGAATCAGTCCCGAAAGATGGTTAATTAAATGGCAACATTGTTGTTACACTAGCCAATTATCGATGTGATCGTATGCATCATAGTAGAAAACTTGATTTGGGCATGGGGGAATGGCTCACCTTGCGAGCAGCAGTGGCAGCTAGGAGACGTTCTTCGCGCGCCTTTTCGTTTTGCTTGCGTTTCTTGAGGAGTGTCTCCGGGACCTCGATGGCCTGCAGATGAACGATTATTGAGAGTCTGGCCTCAGCAACAGAGGTACGATCTAGCACTAACCGAAGCACTTGGGACGCTAGTAACACCGTCAGCATTCTGCGGTGAAGCATCAGGATATCGGGAAACTCACGTCGTCGAGGGGGCCATTAGGGATCTTGAGGTGGGCGTACTGTAATTTCTGCAGACTTCACCACCTTGTGTGAGCCGCCCAAGAGTAACTGTATAGTATTTGTCATCCGATCCCACGCTTTCACAGCGCAGGACTCGCTGCAGCTCGCCCTGCAGCTCGACCTACTCATCGTTCGCGTCAATGACAAGTATTTCTACGCCCATGCTCCGAACGAAGACTGTCCCGCTCATTCCTAAGCTGTCTCTTACAACACAATCTAGGTGAAATGCGACAGGGGACCGTTTTGCAAGTCTTGGCGTCTAAAGTTCATAAACTGCACTTCGTTGCGCTATGAAGAGAATATTCGGGCAACATCAACGAATGTCTTCGTATACAACCCTCATATACAGTCTGGGAGTGGCACCCCCCCGAAGAGTACGTTCGCGGGCGTTTACGCAATCCATTCACTTTCCTCTGTCAGGAAAGAACCATCGTCTGGGATGATTTATTACGCGGTGCCCCATGTCAGTCCACGCTCATTGTCGTCAAATACCATGTCCTCCCCATACCTCCCTGGCTCTGATCATGAACAGCCAAAATTGTAATTCGCTGTCTGAACTTGCGCCTGGCTTGATGCCAAATCACAAGGCTCTTGTAAGTGACCACCATTCTCAACCGGGATGGCGATATTGACTCATTAACGGTGTTACAAAATAGGCTCCTTGAGCTACATTGAAGGTCTACAAGAAGGTAATGCATTGTTGGTACGCTAGGTGACCGAATACACCCATGGACTATGCGGATGATCAGCCAAAGAGCGCACCAGTAGCTCTTAGGCGACAAGTGATGAAGGATTGCCAACGTCAAAAGACAACCGAACATGTGGTATCGAAGTGCCTGTAAGTTGTTAAAAGATGAGATTCAACCGTGGGTAGCGCAGGTACTTATACTGGGACATGTATTTAGGGCAGGTGGATCCCACAGTGTGGCCTTGCATGATGCATGATGAACAATGATCAGATCATTTAACTGGATGATAATGTGACCATCAAGACGCCGCATGTTCATGAGAAACATGACACCACCGACCGACTGCATTTCGATAACGTCTCAGTCAGCTCAGTCAGCTCAGCGGGTGCCGAGTTCCCGTCCCCCTGTATAAGTTGGTCGAAGCCTTGAATTTAGAAGCCCCCCTCCTACATCGAAAGCATGTCCACCGACGAGAGCTTCATTACTCTGAACGATGGGAACCGAGTTCCTTGGTTAGCGTTTGGCATAGGCACTGCGCATTACAACACGGACGCTACGGCTGTTGTCAAACTCGCCATTGACTCCGGCGTCACCCACCTTGATGGGGCCCAGATGTACAACAATGAAGAATCTATAGCTCAGGGGGTTAAGGCGTCGGGGAAGCCGCGGTCGGAATTGTTCATCGTCACGAAGTTGCACAAACTCGCGCCCGGGGAGACCGTCAAGGATTCCCTTCGAGCATCATTGGCGAAATTAGGCACAGATTACGTGGACCTGTTCCTTATCCACGTCCCGACCCCTTGGGATAAGGAAGGAACACTCGGGCAGGTATGGAAGGGCATGGAAGAAGTCAAGCACGAAGGATTGGCCAAATCAATTGGGGTCTCCAATTTCAAGGTTGAGGACTTGAAGCAAGTTCTTGACGGCGCAACTATTATACCTGCCGTAAATCAGGTATGTCCCCATCCAGTGCATATGGTTCCCTCGCACTAAATCCCTATCATACAGATCGAGTTCCATCCTTATGTTTATAAATCTATCCAGCCTATCGTAGCGCTTGGGGAAGAACATGGCATTACTACAGCTTCTTACGGTGGCTTATCACCTGTAGTGAGGGTTCCGGATGGTCCTTTGTCCCCCGTTCTTGAAACCGTTCGTTCTCGCCTCGAAGCGACGCGGGGGAAGCCGGTCTCCGTTGGTCAGGTTCTAACGAAGTGGATCCACCAGAAGGGTGCCATCGTTGTAACGTAAGCTTCCTCAACATGATGTTCTTTTCTGCTCAGATACTAATCGTTTTTCCAGGACGAGCTCAAAGGAGGAGAGAATCAAGGAATATCTAGATACTATCAACGTCCCCGACCTGACTGAGGATGAGATAAAGTTGATCGACGAAACCGGTGCGCAGCTTCACAAGAGGGTGTTTTTGTCTCATCTCTTTGGGGAGTAAACGACGTTGTCATATACGAATATAATAGTATCAATTCCAGTTTCGGAAGTTCTGTCAGTGCGGGATTCGACGAATCGAACGCATCACTGGGCTGTAGTGTTCCAGACGTACATGACTTGATGAAAACTACGAATGAGCTACCTTCCGTCACGGTGACCAATGATTGCACGCCGCGTCCGATGGTTCCTGCGGGTAGGAGACGGAGGTAAGCTGCTTTTCTTAGCTTCCGTGTACATATCACGACAACCGTGTACTAATGAACACATGGCGCACTAGGTTCCCTTACCTTGAGAGGCTCTTCGTAAAGAATGGTGCCTTGACGAAATGCCTTGCGAACATCAGCCAGGGCGAACTGCCAATCCATGTCGCGTCTCGACCAGAAAGAAGTTCGCTTTTTTCTGGAGCCATAAGGAGGCATACCCTCTCTTAAGCTGGGTTGAATGGCAGTTTATCGCCCTTAGATTTTCCGGCACCCCCACTCACAATGGTCTGGACAATCATAGTCACATTGACTATTTTGCTGGTGTCGTTGCCTCAAGCAACTTCACAAAGCAGTGGCGTAACATGCATGGCTTCGTTCAGTTGGGTAGGTGCCAGGAACAACACAGTAGTTGAGGGCTCTAACCAGGCGCTACTTCCAGGCGTCCAACTCGCTCAAACAAAGTCCATGCTTGGTCGCTGCCTATCTCCTTGGTACATGCAGTGGTGGAGGTAAGCCTCAGCTGTGTTCAATTTACCTGACGGATCAATAGTGACTGTCCGCAGCGCATGAAGTCCCACCTCTTCCCGATAATAAGCACTACGTTGGCCCCACCACCGCCACGGCTGACGCTTGCCAGTGCAATACTGTTGTTTATTCCCTCATGAGTGCATGTGGTGAATGTCAGAACCGAACCATATCTGGGTGAGTCCCGTTCAACTCGACCTTTCTTATAGGCGAATTTCACGTATGCATACTAGATGGGGAGAGTGGTCAGCGAATTGCCCACACGTCGATATCAACGTGTAAGTGACATTCATCATGTTAAGTCATGCATGCTCAATATTCGCTCGCGCAGATTCCCAGGCGAGATTCCCGCTGGTACCAGAGTACCAGGTTGGGCTTACTTAGACGTCAAGGTGCTCAAGAACATACTTGAATCTGTCAATCTGGCTCATTCTCTGGTTGGCATACAGGCTAACGATGCATTCGACGACAACTTGGCTAAAGCAAATGCCAGTAAGCAAGTGCCATCTGTATGGACATGCCAGATACTGATAGGCGTCTCCACAGATAGCACCGAGTCGGCAGCATCCCAACCAACTTCGTCGTCGACGTCGTCTTCGAGGCACTCCGCAACCAGCTCTGTACGCACCTCATCCACTTCCTCAGCGGCACCCTCGCCTATTTCTACGTCTGCTCCAACCGCGACAAATGCATCGTCGTCCTCCGCGACATCCGACAACAGCCATCGCATTGATCAAATCATAGGTGGAACCATTGGCGGCGTCTTTGCTCTAGGGATCCTTGGTTTCATTTGGCTTTATTTCTTCCGAAAACGCAGAGACTCCGTAGGTCAACAGCAACTTGAATCACAAACGACGAGTCAGGAGCAAGTTGATATACCAGAAATGAAAGGACCACCCGTACGTAGAACTTCGATGGGCCCGGACTGTATGATGTTTCTGACTGACCTTCAAACAACAGGCTCCAGCAACCGTCGTCTCACCGGATATCGTCGTTGATGGAAATACCAAGAAACACTAGATGGCGTTCTCAATGGGACCATGTTAAATACCTTCGTTTTCTCCACTGTCTTTTCTCAATAAATTTCTCAGCATCTCCGAATTGCGGCTGCGGCTGTAAGGTGGTTTACATAGAGCAGAACACCTTCCTGAACAGGCTGCATCAACCCTTTGCTGTGCAAATCAATGGCTGATGCCGACGGCGTGACCTGGAGGCTATGCACGCCCCTCGTGGACGATTCCATTATCTTTCCGAGGGAGTGAGTGGACGTCGAGTTGAACGAGAATACCCACAATTCCCAATAGCAATCTCAGTCTCCAGTCCTTACAGCGCAAGGCTCGAGTACACCTGTGTCGATGCTTGACCACGGAAATTAACGTATAATACCCCGACGCACATTTCTTCATTAACCTTTGTGATGTTCCTCAAGGGTCTCGCTCTGACTGATCAATTTGACAGTGACACAAGCGCCGATGTACTTTTATAAACACGGAGTATTGATTTGGAACTTTCTAACCCCAGCCTTCTCCCATCCTTCTCCTTCCGCCAATTATGAGGGGGATTATCCACTTAAGCTTGGTTTTGGTCGGGAGCGCCCTCGTTCAAGCGCAATCTACGCAACATGCTACGTGCGAAACTGGATTTCAATGGGTGAGTCACTACTTTTTCAACGAGTATCCACCTTCTTTACATGCGGATAGTCGTTTAATTCGAGGAACCAAAGCCCTTGCGCGATCACTGAATCCCTTGGAGGCGTTTGCAATGGTGGAGGTGAGGATCTTTGACATCGCTTATATTCCCCCCGTCTGATGATTCTCAATCGCCGTAGTCTTCACTGTTCCGCCCTTAGGAGAGGAGCAGGTATACCGTGGACCGGACCCCACCGCAGCAAACAGTTGCAGGTGCAGCATGGTATTCTATGCTATGGTCAGCACCTGTGCTGCATGTCAAGGGCAATCTTGGGTCACGTTAGTCGTATCTTTCCTTGATGATGAGAAGCGCTCACGTTTATCATCCCCTCAGATGGTCTTCATACAATGCAAATTGCACCAATGTGTACGTCGGGTAAGTAGACGTCTTTCATCTATTTTCGATGTCTGTTATTGAGAGGCGAATAGCTTCCCCCAAGGTATTCCTGCTGGAACCGCCGTTCCTAACTATGCGTACCAAAATTTTACGGTGAGATCGTGAATAATGATGTCCTCTGGATAGCACCAACTTCTCGTGTAGCGGACGGACAAGTTTGACATTACCATCGCCCAGGAAGATTCAGGTTAGTTACCCATTCTAAGTTACCCATTCTAAGTCACCCGTCTCAACGCATCGTCAGGACCCGAGTCTGTCGCACCTAGTGGCACAGGAACGCCTCGTGCATCGCAGTCATCCGGTGGTGGCGGCGGCGGTACCAATGCTGGTGCTATAGCAGGCGGGGTGGTCGGTGGGGTGGTCGGCCTCGGAATCATTGCGGGCGTTGTGTTCTGGTTACTCCGCCGACGAAACGCACAGAGAAACACCGTTGTGCCAGTCAACCCTAGCAGCGACCCGCTCACCCCACCTCCTATGAGCTACGTTGGAGGTTCTAACATGGATTATCCTACAACGCCACCCCCCAAACTTTATGTGAGCACTAAACTCTATGGTGTTGCTCTTGTTACTTATATGTTCTTCTTCCTTAGGACCCTTCGGATCCATCCACCTTCCCCTCGTCCCCCGCCAATTCAGGTAGCAATGTTTATACCACCACATCCAGCCCGCCACCATTGGGGTACCACCCCCAGCAGCCATTGCTCCACCAAATGCCTCAGCCTCAGACAATGAACCACGCTGGTCATTACAGTGGCGCACCCGAAGTCTAAGTGCACCCTCGAAGAAAATATGTTGTCTTTGGATATGTCGCCGTTTTCTTTGACATGGACTTGGGCTTGATGTTATCTACGTTCATCGTTCATCTGGACGCTAAATTTAACTATTTTCTGTTCTACGACCTGTGTAGGGCGTGTATGCGTTCTTGACAAATCTATCTTGTATACTTCCCGTGATGTTGATGGTGGGAAGAAATCATGGTCACACTGCCTTATTCGCATGTGAAGGCCTCATGGAGTTGGCCGCCTCGATATACTCACCAGCGGTCCGCCGAGCGCGCTATAATAATGCTGTGATTCCTTGGTCGTGTCTCACTCGACTTCCTGTGATTGATTCCCGCCGTCAAAAGCCAAAGGAATGCTCAGCAGCTCATCAATGCCCCGCCTACCTTGGATTGTTGCCTTAGAGATACTTCGATATGTCCCTTGGGTCTCAAGCCAGTCGACGGATGCGTTCTGCCTTCCTCAGTTTGGCTGGGTGAGTTAACCGAAGTTCACATCGTCATATATTCATTCGCGCAATCAAGACATTCAATTCCAGAAATCAGAGTCCATGCTTAGTGGGTGCCTACCTCCAGAGCGTTTGCATTCCGAGTTCGTATTTAGCTACGTTGAATTCTGCAGTTTATTGACAACAATTGCCTGCAGACTTCAGTGTTCCAGCTTTGCCTGCAGGGAATCATTACAATGGACCCGCGCTCAATACTGCGAATAATTGTGCTTGCAGCACAGTCACCTATTCACTGTTGAGCGCCTGCGGGACATGCCAGAATCGCACTATAATCCCGTGGGCTACATGGAGTGCTCAATGCTCGGATTCAATGAAAAGCATCGCATCGTGAGTGTTGTATGGCCATCCTTCCGCGATACCCAAGATGCCATGACCCCCCAGCTACCCCAATGAAATCCCCGCATTAACCTCTGTTCCATCATGGGCTTACTTAAACATCGAGGTAATCATTTCACCATCCGTTAATGCAGCCGAAACTAATTCTTTGCTCAAAGGAGACCAACGATATATGGGATTTGCCTCGGGCCCAAGGTCTCGTTGGTAAGTACTCGAGTCGATGACAAGGGCTCGTCATTTACAGAATAAACACATTAAATTAAAGGTGCCCCGGAATCAACTGGTTCCCCTATCCCTAGATCAACGGCAACCGAATCGACGACGACTGCCACGGAGGCACAAAACACGTTTTCTTCTGGAGTCCCAACACCTACAACGGCTGCTTCTCAACGCAGCTCAGGCGTTAATGCGGGCGCCATTGCAGGCGGTGTAGTGGGCGGTGTTGCATTCTTGGCCATTGTGGCTGTGATAGGCTTCTGGCACTCGTTGCGGAAGAAGCAACGCAATGACGAGACAGAGGTCAATGTGTTTGAATCGCACTTACCGACCAGTTCTACGACCCCTTACAATACTGCCGTGGCCTCGGGTTCGGTCATGCGAGAAACGCCAGGGCACCGAAGCCAACAAGGTTCAATCGTATCTCTGAATACTTATTCACCGCCCATCACAGTCAGTCATTCACGCGCTTCTAATAGGTCTGATTATCATCTAAAATCACACACAGGATCGCACGAATTCGAGCAGTTATTTCATGTCTCCAACGTCGCCTGCAACATCGGCTGCTTATACGACCTTCGACCCGTACGCACCTAGAAGGTCTCTGGATAACATGCGGCCCAATCGTGGTTTCTCCGGGGCGCCAGAAATCTAGTATGCTGTCATCTATGGACCGTGATGGACCACATAGCTGCTTTCGATTATCTATCTATGTATACAGTAAGGTTCTCCGCATGCTGCCCTATCTCTAATATCGCCGGGTGTAATGACAACTTCTTATCGAGGAATGTTCGTGTTGCTCCAATGGTAAACAAGAAGACATCGCTGAATATCCTCGGGGTTTGTACCCGCGCTAGTCCTTTGGGTTCATTCCTTTTGCATTGCATTTCTCACAGGAGGTGTCGTCTGTTTTCGGCTCAGCCACTCATGCAGTTCCATTTTTCGCACTCTGTCGGCCACATGGACCTCCGTGGAAAGTGTTTGTCGACTTCATCAGATGGTCGATATTCTCAGAAGCAGCACAGGTTTTTGATTAGATGGGCCACCCATGGCCCAACGGAACTTTGTCCGTTTGATGGCTCTCTACCTTTCCTTGTAACATCCATCTTCTTCCTAGCCTAGGGCACCAACTTGAAACATCTATGTTATGTGGCGCCAGTTTGGATCTCGCACGGTGAGTTCTACACGTCTACTTCCTAGCGCATTTATCTAATGCGAACCACAGGTAAAGGGCCAGCACGGCCAGCACGGCCAACCAGGCCCTTGCGAGTTGGCTGCGAAAAAGGATGAAGCCTGTAGTCGCGGTGGTGGTACGTGCCTCATAACAACGTTCATAATATTAAGACTTATGCTTGACATACAGACCTGCGTCCTTTCCTATCAAATGACCTACACATCCCGCCGCAGTCGCATCTAGGCAACGACACCTTTAGTTGGTGTCGCTGTTCGCCCATTGCATATAGCCTCGCTGTTGCTTGTGCCAGGTGTCAATCTAAGGAAGCGCCAAAGTGAGTTGCACAGATCGAGATTCTCGAACAGCATTTCTGACCTCTCTAAGATGGGACACCTGGACAACCGGTTGCAAGAAACCATTGGACATACGGTAGGACTCTCGTTAGCATCCCACACTGTATAGATGACTGAGGCAATGCGCAGGTTGCACCCAGCTGTTGGAAACCTACTGAAAATCCCTGTCGAAGCCTTCGCCGACGTTAGTGTGAGTGACCGACTGGCACATCCATTATATTAGTACTGATCCATCCAATGACGCTCAGCGCATCGGCCACACTCCCCTCTCAGGCATATTTTGCGGTTGAGTGATGTTCAATTGTTGCTTCTCCCTTGAATCAACAACTGAGAATTTCTCTCTCTTGCAAGGACACGGCCAAGGTTCATCAGCATCATCGGCGGGCTCCACTTCATCGTCCTCTTCCTTGACGACCTCTGCCCCGCATCATTCTTCAACTGACATTTCTGTCAGTTCCACGCTCACGTCGTCCCCAACCTTATCTACCGATACATTCTCTAGCGCAAACATTTCATCAACTGATGCCACTTCCATTTCAGCCACCACAAGCCTCAATGCCACGACCTCTACTCTGCTCTCCTCGACTCCGTCGACCCGTTCCAGGACATCGACTGCGCACAATGCACCGACGTCATCGCAGAACAGAGGGCCAACGGGATCAAGACCACCAACCACTTCCAGTGTTGCCCCCACTGCAACAGTTACGACGACGCCTCAATCGGATGCCGATGGAGCCCTTGCTGTGTCGCCAACCCACAGCTCTAAATCTTCAGCCCGTCAACAGGTCGTTGTGGTTGTGTCGAGTTCCTCGGCGACATGGTGGACGGTTACTTCATCATCGACCAACACGATCGCTCCGTCGTCAGCCCCTAAGACCTCGACCTCATCATTCAGTCGCAGCCACATCCCAACATCATCACCGACACCATCCCAACCGAATAACGGTCCATCTATACCAACAATCGGGCATGCTTCTCCGACCAGCCTGGACCGAACATCTACACCTACGCCCACGCCTTCTTCGTCCAGCACTGTCCTCCAGTCTACCGACGATACCATCAAAACGCAGTGGAAGATAGCTGGGTCAGTTCTTGGCGTCGTATTCGCTGGGTCCATAATTGCAGCTGTGGTGTTACTATTTCGGTTCAGGCGCCGGAGGCGGCAGTTCGCTCCTTCTGCACAGTATGCGCGTATGTATATGTACAATTCGTCGGGTGAGGGTGGGGGCTATGGGAGCCTCGAAGGCGGCGGTTTGCCAGGAGGAAGGGGCGGGACGGCCGAGTTGAAGAGCCCGAGGGAGATGATGGTGGTACAGAAGGACCTAGACCGGGAGCGTCTACTGGGTGGAAGGGGTGGGACGCCACTGGCGAGTCAGGTTGATTTGGCTGGCGAACATAAGGCTTTGAAGGGTGGTGGAGAGGGAAGCCTCAAAGGAGGGCCAGTTGGTGAGGCCTTCACAACGTCGAGGAACGTCACAGCGGCTTCTTTACCTCCAAGGCTGTCCATCCCAGACAGCTACTACGTGCGTAACGCTTCCGCCTACGCCCGTTAAGCGATCTCATACTCATCATCCTTCCTACAGAATCCCGACTCGGAACCGTGCTCACCCGCGGCAGAGTCCTCCATAAATATGTACTTGTCACCTACAAGCACTGGCGACGAGCACCACACCGATTCCAACCACTCGTCGTCTTCGCCTCCTTCCGCGGGGTCCTCCATTCATCGGCGTCGCCACAGCTCCATTTTTGGAGGAGCACTTCGTCCATTGCCATTGCCTAGTGTACCCGAGACGTCTTCCCGCGCATGATAGGATCAACGTCCGCCAGATAGGCGCAGCAAGGCAATGAAATCCCCCGAGTATTCTGTATTTTATGGTACTTAAATTGTTATTTCGTAGAGTGGATCGTATCGGACCTTTTGGACTGCTTCGCATTGCCTCACGTCTTGGGACTTTGTATAACTGGAACACTCATTGTACGACGCTCCTTGTTTTCCATCGCTGTGCTGTTTTGATTGTAAGGACTCGAGATACCCTATTACACTGTCCTTCCTTGCCAACTGTCATTAATCTCCACTCTACATCTTCTTGCACTGCTCTGCTAAGTTCGCACAATGTATATACGTTCTAGGATGTAAATGCGTTTCACATGCGTCACAAAAAATATCAACACTACGGTTGCAATACACATTCATAGTATAGACAAAATAGAATACATCGATAATCACTTCCTTCATTCAGGCTTTTCTGTCACGATTTTCCCGTCCTTGTCGTAGAAGATCTCCTTGACCTTGACGGACCTGAGATGATCTACTCCGCCACTAAGTTCACAATCATGATGGAACAGATACCACTTCTCCTGGAACTCCACGATAGAATGATGCGTCGTCCACCCAAGCACCGGCTCCAAAATCCTCCCTCCGTACGTGAACGGACCCAGCGGGCTCGTCCCAGTGGCATAGCACAAATAATGCGTGTCCCCAGTCGAGTACGAGAAATAATAAACCCCGCCCCGCTTATGCATCCACGCCGCCTCAAAGAAGCGGCGATCATGATCATCAGCCAGGATTTTCTCTCCCGTTTCAGGTGCCAGAATAACCACCTCCTGCACTTCACCATCAAATTGCCTCATATCCCCCGTCAACTTCGCGACTCGAGGCGTTAGGGCGTGGACACCAGCGCCACTCGGTTCCTTTGGCCCAGACCACGATGGGTCGAAAACATCATGACCACCTTGATAGCACTGCAACTGTCCACCCCAAAGTCCACCGAAATAAATATAGGCATTCCCATCATCGTCGACAAAGCTTGCTGGATCGATGCTATAGCTCCCCTTGATGGGATCGGGATCGGGAGTGAACGGTCCTTCAGGTTTATCTCCAACAGCCACTCCAATACGGAAAATGCCCTCCTTATCCCTCGCAGGGAAGTATAAATAATATTTCCCGTTCTTGAAGGCCGCGTCGGGGGCCCATAGTTGTTTGGACACCCAGGGAACATCTTTGGCGTGGAGAACGACGCCGTGGTCGACTACGGGGGTAAGAGGATCGAGCGACTCGGTGCTGAAGACGTGATAGTCTTCCATGTCGTACTGATCACCATTGTCGTTGAATTGAATGTCGGTTTCGCGGTCATGGGAGGGGTAGATGTAAACCTTTCCCTCAAAGACATGAGCCGAGGGATCGGCAGTGTAGAGATGGGTGATGAGAGGCGGCATTATGGATCACGATGCGTCGGCGGCGAACTTTTGGGAATTGGATAGTATAGCTGCGCTGGTATCGTGGAATCAGGAACCAGTCAACGAAAGTAGTAGGAAGGTGTACCTGCTACCTTTATATCGGCTCGTGAACAAACTGCCCTGTCTATTTCTCCGGAGTCGGTATTCCCTCAGTTTCTCCGTGTGGTGCGATGTAAGATACTCCCGGCTGCGGTTGGTCATCCACAGTCAGGCCGAGATGTTCACATGGTTCCTGAACTCTTGGGTACTATCATGCGGGGTGCCTAGCGCGAGAGTGGCTGTCCGTTGAGATCGCCTGGGATGTGGAGAGGCGACGATGTCAAGATGTCGAGAAGACGAACCCATTGAGTGTTAGTCATCCTTTCCCAGTGGTCACACTCACAGCATGTGACGCACGCGTTTCTTTGGTCGCAGCTACTTCAACTCGCAATTACGGGGCTTGACTTCGAGCCGCCACAATGTCCTCCACTCCCCGACGACCAAATCTTCCACCCTCCTCCTCCTCCTCCTCCTCCTCCTCCTCCTCCTCACGATTCTCAACACCCTCCAAGCACACATCAACCCCGTCCACGCCTTCGCCACTTGCCGCCCTCCCCCCGTTCTCCTCGACGAGCCGCTCTCGTCTGCAAGCCCTTTACTCCGATATCTCACGTCAGAAGACATCAAATCCCACATCATACCACGCTAATGTCGAGTGGTGGCGGAACGCATTGGAGGCCCTGGTCAGCTGTCCTCCGCCGAGTTCACCGATTCTAGGGAAGAAGGGAGGAGCTGGGAAGGGAAAGTTAGTTTTAAGTGCAGATCAGAGGTTGGTGGATAGCTTGAGGATAGAAGGTGTCGGTAAACCCTTGGCTTTGGGCGCAGTGGTTGTAAGTCTCTCCCACTTTGCCTACACCCAGCCTGGTAACTTCCGCCTTCCAGCCCGAACTAATAGCATCCAAATCGCTAATCCCCTTGTCTACATTCCTCACATCAACGCAATCCATATACGACCCCGGATGGCTCCCAACCCGTCTTGCGTGGTACATGGTTGGGAAGCCTCTTTCGTGGGCCCTCGAACGCGCTGGAGTAATCGGTGAAGACGGGATGATCACGTCGCTCACACAAACGCTTTCCGGAGCGCTAACACTTGGTGGTAGTCGAGGGGCAAGTGATAGGAAGCATATGGCGTGGTATGGGGAGTATGTTGTTGTGGGATTGGTGGAGAAAGCTGCGGGTGAGGTGGAGAAGATACAGGAAGGGAAGGAGGGGGAGGGAGTGGCGGGCGCGCTTTATACACTGCAAGGCTTTAGGAAGACCTTCGGGTGCGTAGCGGGCCTTGGTTACAATGAACACCAATACGAATTTGAGGAGGAAGAAGAGATGCTGAGCGAGCAGGATGCGTCAGTGTTACTCAAGTTCTTGCAAAGAGAACGCAAGGTTGTGGTAATGGATAACGAGGTCAGTGTCCCTTCACCTCACCTGCTCTACTCTTATTTATACATTCCTTTCCGTCACATAGGTCATCAGGTTCATATCTCCATCTGCACCTACGGAAGAGCGAATTATCACTGTCGTAGACCGCGGGATCCTCGAATTGAAGACAGCGGTAGAGAATATGCATAAGCAGATCGAGAGTATTCAGAGGCGAATGAACGAGTTGCGTATTGTTTCCCTTCCCCTCTTCCATATCAGCGAATCTTCGTTTCCATTTCCACCCGACGCTCTATCTCTGACAACCTATCACTATCTTTAGACTAACCACGAAAGCATCAACCGCCCTCCGTGCAAACCAGAAACCCGTCGCCCTCTCCGCCCTAAAGTCACGCAAGCAACTTGCTGATATACTGGGTAAACGACTAGGGTCGCTTGAGGTGCTGGAGGGGACGCTGTTGAGCGTGGAAGCTGCTGCTGGGGATGTCGAGGTACGTTTGAGTTTCACCTATCTACGTTTCCTCCTCTCTGGGTGCATCCAACGTTGATTGCTAATATGAATCTCAAACACAGATAATGAAATCTTACGCCTCGTCAACAACGACCCTCCGCACGCTCCTCTCGCACCCTTCGCTACAACGCGACAAGATCGACGAGACGATGGACGCGATGGCTTCCGCGAATTCTGATGCGAAGGAGGTGGACGACGCCATACGGATTGGTGGTGATATTGCTCTTGGGCTGAATACTCCGGGAGAGGGAATTGACGAGGGCGAGCTGGAGGAGGAGCTCAAGATGTTGGTGGAGGAGAAGATGATAGAGGACAAGCAGAGGCTGCGGGAGCGAGAGGGCGAGGCAGAGGCAGTAGGGAAGATTGGGGCGAAGGAGGAAGAGAGGGAGACAGTCGGGGAGGAGAAGGTAGGCGAGGAGAAAATTCCCGTCTTTGCTTGATACTCGTCGTCTATCGTGAGGCGTTTCGCCCTTTCCTCCTTTCTTTCCGACAGAACACTGCTTATATTATATCCAATGTATTTTGCTTTCACCCCTTGTCATCGCAACTTCTACCTAATTACTTGAAGAGGGAGCGATCTTCACTTGGCGTGCTTTCTCGATACCAATGCGAGTTACCCCTCAGCCTAGCAGTCTGGCTTCGACCTTCCCAGTGCTCCCGCTCCTTCTGTCCCTCCTGTCCCCTTTCGGGCATCCCTGAGTGACTTGTTACATTCGCTAAAACTTGCCTCTCGTTCTTCCTGTAAGGTCGTTGCGCGCTATCAGGCTCTAATGAGCTTGGTACGCGTGCACAGATAATACGCATATGAGGAAAAGCCACGATCTCTTTCGAGGACGTGGTAAAGAATAATTGTAGTACCGCGGTACCAAAAACATTGCTATATCCAAGCTCAAGAACTCCTCGGGGTGGTGCAATGGTAAATACATCCACTCGGCGAACAATGCATTTCTACACATCTGCGCTCTGCGTCTTGAGCAGTCGTCGAATGCTGGAACTTCACCGTTGGCAGGGGCAGGTTCTCCTGATTTGACCCGCGTCCAGAGCCAGTCGTTGGTCCTGGCCTGGCCCGCCACCAAGGCAAGGCAGTCTCTCATGTCGTGTTGTGAAGCGCCACGGCTCAAACCTTCTTGGGGGAGCAGTCAGGTATATTGACTGTGGGGATCAGCTGTAAGAGGTCGACTGGGTGCGAGATGTGCACCCCACATCCGACTGCTTCAGCTTCAAGCATGGCTGTTTTACCCTTCCAATCTCTATAGTCACAACAAGGCCAGACGGCGATTAGATGCTCGATGATGCGGAACTTGAGATCATCTGCTTGATACTTGACGGCGAGCAGAAGAGGGCCTGTTAGCAACTTTGCGGAAGCAGGGTCGTGTAATGGCATAAAAACGGAGCTTTTCAGTGGCGAACTCAGTATGCATGCCAAGTCCAAGTCTTATGTGAGATACCTCGGTTTGTAGATTGCCTGCAAGAATCCTCTTATATCTTTCGCTTTATCGTGCACGACGACAGAGGGCACGCCGTCGTGGATTTCCGATTCTGTATTCAGGGCGGAAGCTTGCCCTACGGCAAACATATCTTTGAACACTTGGGATTCATCAGCCAAGATCGAGTGGTGAACACGGAAGTAAACAATTAGGCAACCGCGCTTGCAGGGCCTCCTTCGACGGTACTTGCCACCATCGGAGTATCCACATATGTAGCTGTGTGTTCGTCGTCCAAGTCGCCACACACAGAAAGGACGACACTGCCATCATCGAAATAAAAGGTGTCGTCGTGCATCGTCCAACTGGGTTCGCTCTAGCTCAAGACTCGTTCACAACGTCGGTTAGAAGCGTGGGTTTCGCTGCCATCGCTCTCCCCTATTCCCCTATTCGTACCGCTAACACAAACGTCCGACGTCCGTCGCGGTGAGTCGCTTCGTAGCTATATCAGTATACATTATTCAATGTCTGTCAAGTGTCTCCTCCCATCGTTGTCAACTGCCTGACTGACATTCCCGCTCCATCATAGACCACATCTAGGTCCTCCTCAGAACAGCACTGTCAATTATTATGTTACGACAATTGTATAGGCAGGATACAATTGATACGCACCGCCGTCCATCGTGATCCTCCCATGCCCATGCCCATTCGACCCTGCCTAACTCTTGGTGACGATCTGCATCACGACTCCTCATCATGCGGTACTCTTAGAGTGCCAGACACCCCCTTGAAAGCTGCGATTCTCGCTCGACGCTATACACCATGGTCCTCCGCCACAACGCGAAATACTTCCTCCATTTTATCGAGTTCGTGGTACGTAGTAGCTAGTCAACTCCCAGTGCCCGGCTGCCCCGGCGTAGTCCGTAGTCCGTTTCTCTGAACCCCCGCCAGGTCGATGAGGAGCTCTTCAGGATTCCCAGCGTGGACTCGTTCACACGTCATTCGCTCGTCCTCCGGCCACGCATACGTGCCGGAGAGAAACAGATAGACCTGACCGGATCAGTTTCTGCCCGCGAATTCGAGCAGTTCCTAGAGATCATATTACCCTTGTTCGTCGTAATCATCTCCCTGCCAGCGAAATTCTCCACTAAACCGCCTCTACTTACCTTATAATAATCAGGCAAGTCACTTCCTGGGCCAAACACTCGATCACGCAATGGTGCCTGGTACTGAAGCTCGCTAACACCTGGCAGATCGAGCCCCTCCGCAAGGTGGCTATCCAGAAGATAGGATGGGACGACTCTATCGCGCGCATCGAGCAGGGCCATGAATACCACGTCGCGCAATGGGTCGAGCTGGGGTACACTTCGTTCCTGCAGCGCGCCGCACCGCTGACCATAGCGGAAGCGGAGCGCCTCGGCTGGCCTGTTGCGCTGAGGATCTGCCACCTGCGCGAGGAGCAGGCGGGGGCCAAAGCGGCGGGGACGCATCGGCACGGTGATTTCGCGGCACGGATTGGCGATGTGTTCGCGGATGAGCTCAAGAGGATTCGGGATGTGTGCACTTGGCTTTCGAGTGAGCCCGAGGGAATTATCGCCGGGCCAGCAACGATGGTAATCGCACGCGCTCTGCGGCCCATGCCCATCCGTACGATGAAACAAAGTGTTCCTAAAGCACCAAAGGTACCAGCGGTTTCGCCAGACTCCACGGCTCCGCCCGTAAGATGTGCATCATCAACACCCCAACCGTTCACATTCAACTACAAGTCACCAGCTCCACTCGTCCAATCTGATACACCATCTAGCTTCGGGGGTCCTCCTGCAGCACCAGTTTCTGCGCTCAGGCGTCGGGATGGAGAGGCGGCTCAACGCGCTGGATCACTCGTGGACCCTGTGCCCTGCGCATCCCAGGCATCCTTGCCATTTTCACTCGTGAACTCGCCAACAAATGCACCGGCAGGGCCCAACCCTGCCCCCTCACAGGCTTCTCCAATCGCTTCCGCAGCCGTCGAGTCCAAGTGCCCCGATGCACACGCGAGCCCCGACCCACTGCTCAAAGGTGCGAAACCTAGCAGCGATTCGAACGATACCGTACAGGCCAATACTCCACCCGTCGCTGCATCCCCGCTGTCTGCCAAGATGATTGCAGAAGCCGCGGATATACGGAAGGTGCTGGCCTGGTATAACGGCGACCTGGATACCCAGTGGTGAATTGGGTTTCTGGGTTCTCGATGGTGCTTGGAACTTGGGTCTATCCGGAGCAACCCTCGTGGTGAATCCCGGAGTCGGTGCGTTGTGCGCGGAGTGTAGGCGTATGTCACAGACGAGGTGGTTCGGGCTTTGGATATGGAATCAATAAAGTGGATTAAAATGCGGAAAATACAAGGCAGATAGGAGATAGGAGATACCTGGCGCGCAGAGGGACAGTCGGGCTTGGCGGGGCGAGAGCACTCTGCGAACGGAGGATCGGACGAAGCGAAGAGTGGGGAGATACCCCTTCTCAGAATCTCAAACGACTATGGTGGCTCGAAGCCTCTGCACAAATCGCCCGAGTGGTCTTAGACTTATACTTTCTCACCCTGCTATTCTATGGCTTTTGCCTTATCTGAGTCGTTCTGCATCTGTGGATATCTGACGCGGTGCTTTCTGTATGATACACGTAGAAGGGTAGAAGGGGAGGTACTAGGCGGCAGGCGGTGAAACAGTGAAACACGAGTTTGCTTGAGGTTGAGTGTGAGTTTGAGTTTATTTTTTTGTTTGGAAGGAACCTGGGAGGAGCTGGCATGCATTGAGATTCTGAGATACGTGGCATTGGAGCCATTTGAACTTTGGACGTGTTGGCGGTCAAGGAGCATCGCGGAGCATCACAGCGTATCACGGCGTATCACGGCGAAACCAAGTATCGCGCTGGCGGGCACACGATGCTGAACGCTGAACGACTCGATTCCGAAAGGCAAAAAAGGCCGGAGCAAGCACGGAAGTCCGCCAGTCGGCCACCCAAAAGACGCTTTTTTACCGTACGAGCAGAGGTCAAGTCGGTGTGCTCGTGTGCTCGTGTGCTCATGTGCTCGTATGCTCGTATGGATGGCGTATGGTCTCTCGGAGCGGCTTCTCGCATTGGATCCAGAGCAGCTTTGGTAAATGTTCGGAAGGAAGGACGTGAAGGGGTGTTTGGAGATGACTCTGGCACTGTGGCACTGTGGGGGGAATGGACGGTCGCGGGACATCGGGGCCTGGGGATGGGGAGGCCATTGGGCGCGGAGTATGGCGGCGGTGTTTGCGATCACGGTGTACGGCGTACGCCGTACGCGTGCATGTGTGCATGTGTACATGTGCGTATTCCGGTACGCGTCGCGTCGCGCCTGCTTCTGACAACGACAACGACAGCCTTACGGTGCGTGTGACGACGTGTCGCGATGGCCGGCGCAACGCAAGTGAGAGCGGGGACCACGAGAGGCAGACGGTTGCAGCAGGCGGCAGGTGGCAGGTGGCAGACGGCAGGCGGCAGACGGCGAAACATGAGTTTGAGTTTGTTGAGGGCTTGGAGCTTGAGATCTTCAGAGTCGAAGCTCGAAGTTCGCAGTTCGCAGTATCGGCCGCGAAGAGCATCGCTGACCGGGAGAGGCGAGAGGGGACGAAGGTACGTAGGTAGGAAGAAACAAAGGAAGGGAGGCGGTGAAACTGGGCTCTGGAGGTTGAGCGTTGAACATGAGCTTTGAGCTTGAGTTTGAGCGAGCTTGCGCGAAGGTTCGTGGAGTGAGAGTAACCTTGGAAGTGATAGTAACCTTGGAAGTAACCTTGGAAGTGATAGTGACCCCTGGAAGTGGCCCTAGCGCACCTGAGGAGCAGCCTGGGCCCAGGCTGGGGATGGGCGACTCGGGACGTGGTAGCGTTCGAGGCGCGTTGAGCACAGTGCGAGCGTTATCGGGGTATCTTAACTTGATCCTTGGCTTGAAGCTTGGTCTTTGGTATTTTGGTATGGGGTATTTCGGTATGTTGTATTTTGGTATTTTGGTATTCTGTTATCTTGTATCTTGGTACACGACGCGGTCATAATCGAAGTGTAGAGCGCAGAGAGGCAGGAGACGAACGGCGAAACAAACGCTTGTGCTTGTGCTTGTGCTTGTGCTCGTGGAGCACGAAGCTTGAAGCACGAAGTTTCGTGGAGGTAACCTTGGAGGTACTTACATTAGGCGGTGAGAGTAAGTGTGTATCTCCGTACGGGGCACACAGGGCGAACAGGGCACACAGGGTACAGTGAAGATAAGGCAGAGAAGGCAGAGAAGGCGGGGGAGAAACCTAGAGGATTTAACGGCGAAGTATGCTCAGGTTACTCTTTAGAGTATAGAGTATAGGGGATAGTCTGACAGAGTATAGGAGGTAGGAGGTAGGAGGGGGAGGGAAACCGGGCTGCGTGGAGGGGAGGCAGAAACGAGACAGGGACGAATCTGGATGAACCGTGCAGACGTTCGAGTCTGGCGGGATGGTATGGTATGAAGTACTCTTAGTGCGTTCACTGTTGGTTTGTGGGTTTGTGGGTTTGTGTGTGTGTGTGTGTGGGGGGGGGGTGGCTCGCGCGAAAGGCGGAGAGGATTAAGATTAACATTCGAAAGCAAGCAGTGGTATTACAAAGGCTGCATCGACGAAGGCGGGGATGAAGCTGGAGATGGAAATGAAAGTCTTTCAATCAGAGGGTCGTACATACGTAAAATCATCAGGGTCGAGAAGGGGTTACATGTACGATTGGAACGCAAGTTCACAGAGCATCGAAAACGGTACACTGAAGCGGAACGAAGTATACCTGGTACACCCAGCACACACATCGTAGCAGTATCATATATTTTAGCGGTTTATCGATTAGTATTCCCCGAAGCGCGTGTGCCCCGTCTGCTCCGCGTGCGCGCGCGCGCCCTTCTCGCCTTTGAGGCCCTGGTTGCATTGCTAAAAAAACACCAATGAACATTAGCTGTTGATCAGCTGATGTATTGAAAGAGGGAATAAAGCAATGTGATATTGGGGAAAGGAGGACAGTGGAGGAGATAGTTGAGGGGGCCATACACACCTCACACCGCAAATCAAATGTCGCCGTATTCGTGTACTGCCTCCTTGCGCGCAGGATTCCCGCCAGCTGCTTCGCGGCCACTGTGATGGGGTCGCTCGCGTCATCATCGGACGTCTGTGCACCAATTGCACCAATCAGCGGGGAGAAATGAGGGAGGAGGGGGATGGGAGGGGTGGTGGAAGGAAGGGGAGAAGGGGAGGGAACGCACGATAGGAAACACCGTCTGGTGCCACTCGGGGTCCGCGTCTGGCATGGGGGCGAGCGTCGCCGCGTCGTAGTGTATACCCGAGTACACTAATATACACCTATTTCCACTCGCTGAAGTTATGGAAGCAGTGGGGTTGGTGGTCGAGGAGGGTTCGAAACGATCGATGCGCCCGGTCTCGACGTCGACGGAGTCGATGCGCGTGGCGAAGTGGGCGGCGAGGACGGCGAGCTCGATGGCGCCGCCCCAGGTGGCGGGCCTGAGGATGGCGGCGGTGTACTTGGCGGGGGGCATGCTGGTGGGTGGGTGGGCATGGTCAGCGTTAGTGTGGAAAGGGTGAGAGGGAGAGAAGGGGAGTGGGGAGGGGAGGGAGGGAACGTACCCAAGGATGGGCTCGGAGTAAGTGTCCGGATCTCGCTGTATGGCATCTGCGACGACTGGGTGGACATTGGGTCAGTGGACATGCCTCGTTGTGTGTACCCTCGCGGTGAAGAAGGGGAAGGAACAAGGGAGAAGCGGGAGTCGAGCATGGGGTAGGCAAGGAGAAGGAAGTTGCAGGAAGTACGAAGGTAGATGGGGAAGCGGAGAAACGGGGAAGGTAGGAAGGAGAGAGACTAACTTTGTCTAATGTTAGCAGGGGAAGAATTGAAGATGAGGGCGATGGAGGAGAAGAGGCAGGAGTTGTCGTCTGGGACCACGCGGTGCACAAGGAAGCTTCCATCGGCTGTCGCGACGTGCACCGGTCCCCCGTCTCCTCCGGCCTGTGGTCTTGGTGCGGGAGCGGGAGCAGGGTGTCTGGGTGCGGATGTGGATTGCGGTGGTCTTGATGCTGCGGGAACTGGAGGTGCAGCGGCTGAGAGGATGATCTGGTCGCCTGAGCGCAGGCCGAGACTGGAGACGGGCAGGTCCGCGACGAGGTGCAGATCGCGCGGAGGGTACCCCGCCTTGACTGCAATCCCCAATCAGTACAACAACGGACACTGAAATGATGAAGGGGACTGACGGTGTTGCTGGGCAGCGCCGATGCCTGTCACCTCTGCGATCTTCCGCTGCAGATGCGCGACTGTGAACGTGTCGTCATCGAACGGCACCTGGAGCGATGCCACCCCCGCGCTGTGTCGTAATCGCACTACCCCTGCCATACTCAATGTACCAACACAAGTCCGCGAGTCCGGGAATGGGAACGGTGTGACGCGGCGCTGGAGGCGTTACGTCATGCACCCCTACCCCCTCCCTATATAAACCCCTCTCCCATCCCCACTCCCTCCAACTCACTCCCTCTGCCAACACACACTCAAACGAATAATAAATCCACTCACCCAACCACTCAATTTATTATCAACCATCATGTCTGACGCAGGACGCCAATCTTTCACCGACAAAGCTGGCGCTGCCATGAAGGTACGTCGACGTTCCTTTTTTCATGTTTGCATGAACTGATGGTGTTGTGCAGCCCGACTCGCAGAAGACCACAACCGAGTCCATGGGTGACTCCATGAAGGGCATGGCCGACTCCGTCGCGTCTACCATGCAACCCAACGTATGTCCCTCCTCTGGATACCTTTTGCTCAACTCTGACACGTCGGGCATCTGTGTAGAGCGAGAAATCAGGCGGTCAACGTATGGGCGACGCCATGAGCGGCAACTCTAACCACAATGATGTGCGTTGACCGCCTCCCTTTTCATGTTCACATGCTCAACTTTGCTATTGTCCCTCAGGAATCGTTGATGGGCATGGCCAAGAACGCCATGGGCATGGGCAACAACAAGTAAACGCACCCGCATGGATGTGCACGCCATGGTCGGGGCATTGTGCCAAGTTTTTGCCCTCCCTTCGCGTCCCTTTCTTCCTTACATCTTCCTTCGCTCCCTCCTGCACCCCGCCCGATAATAACACGCGAATACATCCACGAACATTCGAGATATTCAACACATTTGTAAATCTGTATACACGTTCAGAATACACGCATACACGCACTGTACCCCGTAGATGCTGTAAACACGTAGCACCCCAATGTATACACGAAACCAATATAACATAACAAAATATACTTCTTCGTTGTCCTCTACCAACTACATTTCCAAAAGTTTCATCTGTTATTCACACGCGAGACCGTTAGGTAGTGCCATATTTCTGCCCCTCACCGGGAAATACAGAGAGCACACACTATACGATTGAGTTGAGCGAAATACTCCTAGGCTGCTCCTATCCCCTGTCTGCATTGCTGATTGGCCCTCGTTGGATGGCCGCTGGGTTTTCGTTCGTCGATCGGTTTTACTTCCAAGTTCCCCATCAATATCCACCCTCCTTCCACCCTCCGTCCAACCCATACATACACTTCACAGATTCTTCAACCGCTATGTCCACAGAGTCCATACCTCCATGTACCCCTTGTGCATTGTGCGTTGTGCATTGGGCATTGTGCACGGCACCTACATACACGCTGCATCCAAACCCCCCACACTTCGTATTAGCACAAACATATGATTCGCAAAATAACAAATCATAAATTGCAAGTAAATCATAACATCAGAAATCAGAAATCGTAAGTACACCACAGAAAGGGGATTACGAGATTAATCAAGAGGGGCTGAAAATCATAAACCATAAACCATAAACCATAAATCATATATCAAGATATATATATTATAGTTTATAGCTTACACCTCATAGCTCCCCCTCGAGCTCCAGCACCAGCGGGACGTGGTCGGACCCGTACACGTCCCCCCGGATCTCGCACGTCTTGGCGCGTCCGGCGATGCGTTCGCTCAGCACGACTGCGTACGGTCGTCAGTATGTCGTTACAGGTTGTTGGGAGGGATATGGAGAGGGGAGGGGGGAGAGAATGGGAATAGAGGGAAAGTACGCACACATATCCAACCTCCACCCGATGCCCTTCGCGCGGCAGTTGAACCGGTACGAGAAGTACGTGTAGGCCTGCGTCGTGGGGTGCAGCTCGCGCCACACGTCTTTGAATATCGCTGCCTGCCTCTCTTCTTTCTCCTCCCCTCCTCCTCCTCCTCCTCCTCCTCCTCCTCCTCCTCCTCCTCCCGCATCCGCATCCGCATTTCCCTCGTTTTCACCGTCTTCTCGCTTGGCGCCCGCGTTCGCCCGTTCTTCCTCCTTTTCTCTATCCCCTTCTCCTCCCATTTTCTCCTCCCCCTCCCCTCCCTTCCCTTCCCTTAGCTCATTGTCAGCAGCCCCTGACCCGGAAGCAGGGGCTACACCGGGGGGAGGAAGCGAGACAGGGGGCAGACCCCCGTCCTCCAGCGCCCCGCCCTCCAGTATCCGGCGGTACGCGCTCGTCTCGGCCTCCGTGTACCCCGCCGACTTGTTCCAGTTCCGCTTCGCGTTCGCGAGGTCTAATGGCCCAATCATGTCATATCGTAAATCATATCATAAATCATGTCGTATCGTATGTTATCAGAGATGAATATTATGAACGTTTGAATGAAGGGGTGGGGAGGAACGCGGGTGAGAGGGATGGGTGAATGTGTGAGGAAGGGAACGCACCGAGCGCGGTGGGCGCGACGTTCAGGTCGCCGGTCCATATGACGGGCTTGCGCGCATCGAGCGCGCGGAGGTAGCGCGTGAAGTGGAGGTTCCACGCGTTCTTCGCGTCGAGCGTCTACACCAATCCAATCCAACAATCCAAACCAATCGAAAATAAAAACAAATAACACGCATCAGCTCTCGATGTTATTCGAATTGAAACGAATCGATTATGATGGTTGAGATGTGCGCTCACCTTGAGCTTCTCCCCCGCGTTGACGACGTACGTGCCCACGAGGTACGTGTTGGGGAACTCGAGCGTGACGATGCGCCCGTTGACGGCGGCGGCGTCGGGGTGCCCCGGGAGCGCGGTGGACACGGAGAGCGGCTTGCGGGTGGAGAGGATGACCGTCCCGGCTGTTCAGACGTTCGCCGACCATCAATCGGTCAATCAGATTGGGACCGCGTATTGGAAGGGAAGGGAAGGTGAAGCTGTGAAGGGGAGTAGGGGAAGAGAGTAGGGAGTAGGGGACGAGGGGGAGAGGGAATGGCGAATGGCAAAAGATGGGGAACGGAAGAGGAACGGGGGAATGAATAAATGAGGAAGAGAGGACTCACAATACCCCTTCTTGTCCGCGAACGCCCAGTACGCGTGCGGGTAGCGCGCCGCGAGGGCGGGGTCGGGGAACAGCGGCCACGGCGCGCTGTTCAGCTTGTGCTCGGTGAGGACGAGCACGTCGGCGCGCTCCGCCGCGAGGTAGGGGAGGAGCCCCTTCTTCGAGCAGGCGGCCCAGCCGCAGAGGTTCCAGGCGGCGATTTTGAGGGTGTTGGGGGTGGGAGGGGGGAGGGCGAGGGTGGTGTTGGACATATCGGCGCCATTTGTGTTTGCAGCGTTTGTGGTGTTTGTGGATGTAGATGCTTTGGTGGATTTGGTAGTGGTGGATTTGGTGGTTGTTTTGGTGGTAGTGGTTGTTTTGGTGGTAGTGGTGGTTTTGCGCCTCTTAGCACCCTTGCTAGACCCGGTGGAGGTTTGTGACTCTTCCTGACCCTCCTCGCTCTGTTCCAGTACTTGACTTTGACTTTGGGATTGCGACTGCGACTGGGACTCGAGTTGGGATTCGGGAGGCGGGGTCGCGTCGCTCAGCGCCTCGGCGTCAGAGTGTTCGGGCGAAGGGGAGGGAGCGGCTTTGCGTTTGCGGGGAGGCATCGTCGACGTCGACGTTGATGTTGGGTTTGTGCGCGTCGGTGTTGGAGTCGTTGGAGTAGAGCGTGTAGTTCGCGTAGTTGTGGTTGGGTGAGAGGTTGAGGGAGAAGAAGAAAGAGGTGGAAGAGACGAGAATGAAAGATTTCGACGCGTCAATTGATCGCTGATCCGAGTGCAAGAGGACCAAGTGTGTTTTGCGGAGGAGATGGAGGCGGATGCGACGCGTCGGTGCAGTGGCAATACGCGCAGAGTCGTTAGTAATACCATCCACTTTATCGGAGTTGTAACTTCTCCTGTCCGGGTTAGGGTCGGGAGAACGATCACATGATGTCTCGTCATGTTTGAGTTGCCTAATCCGGCGCATGCGTTAACGACTCACTCACTCACTCACTCACTCACTCTCCTCCTCTTCCTCTATCTCCCTTCCGCTTCCGGGTTCGTTGATGAGTTCTACGATCGCCTGCTAGAGCTCCCTGCAAGTCCTACTGCAAGTTTCAAGTCTGTATTCCTGTTCGCTCATAAGCTGACTGCAGTGACGACTGTTCGAAGTTTCCGACATTTCGACTATTGCGTTCACGCTTTACTTTGCTTTCGATCATAGCATCTACTTATACTCCCTTTACGCTACCATCGTCTACGCCCTCGACGTTAACTTCAACAATATTAATCCTCTTTCGCCCGCACCTCTCTCCAGAGTCCAGCCCAACTCCTCCCCAGCACCCGTACCTCCTTCCCACCGGCCCGCGGCCACACCCACCCACCGGAGCCGCATCCAGGACCCATATCCGGTGCTAGGACCTCACGCCACTCGGAGTCGGGATCACAACCCAACACATCACTCATTCTCTTTCCCTGAGATTACGAGATTCCTCGCGCCACTCGATAACAAGTCACCGTTATCACATCCGCCGCGCACGACGCGGGGGCATAGGGAGCTTACGACGATCACGCGCACGCGCACGCACGAACTACAAACCACACTCATTGCATTCCCGCTTTGCATCTCCCCCACCCGCCACCCACCTCAACGAGTTCATCCACGGGACACCTGCCACCCACCCATATCCACACCCACCTCACATCTACACTCTCCAACACCCCGCACCCACTCATTCATTCAAACATTGAAACATTCACTATCCCCAAGATATCCAAGATATAAACAATGCTCACATACAGAGGCTTCTCTGCATGGATCGCATGCGAAGGCCAGCCCCTCCCCGAGTACCTCGTCGCGGTCGAAGAAGACGTGCGCCAAGTCTCGTGCTGGATTCCGAGTGAGGAGGGGAAGGTACGCTCATTCCTGCGCTGTAAATTTATGATTCCGCCACTTACCACTTACTCAACTTCCTCCCTTTCTCTTCCGCTCACACCCATATCCGTATCTCCTTCCACTCATGTAACCCCATATACCCCCATACATTTGATATCGACACGCGCAGTCCTTCGCCGTCTTCTGGCGCGACAACACCGACCCCGCACCCGCACCCGCCGCTCAGTCCACACAGCCTGCACAACCCGAACAACCCGCGCACCCCATCGACTCATGCGGCTTCATCACGCTCGACGGCCTCGTCGTCCCCGGGCGCTTCCTCTTCGGCTCGGGCACCGCGTCCAGGGCGGGCGTGCGCTCGGGCCCGAATACGGAGAAGCCGTTCGTGTTTCTGAGGGTGGCGGAGGAGGAGGGAGATGGAGGAGGTGGTGGTGTAGGTATGTTCGTTTCCTTTTGATATATGGTGTGGTGTGGTGGAGTTGGAGGGCGATATCGATGTGTCCTGATATTGATACTGATGACTGGTGCGTTGTAGACGCGTCTTCCTCTTCAAAGTCCAAGAAGGATTTGGGAACGATCATTCTGCGCATCAGGCGCGTGCTGCGCGTCGAGGGGTGCCCCGCGAACCCCATCAAGGCGGTGCCGAGCAAGGTGCTCGGGAAGAGGAAGACGGGCGATGTGGGTATCGGGTGCGTACTCTTTCCCTCTTCACCTTCATTCAATTACCCTCTACGATCTTCGCAATCCAATCCTATTCCAAATTCCATCCCCATCCTAACCCATGCCAACCCTTGATCTCCTCCTTCCAACATATCGCATTTTCTTCTGTGTATTTTATATCATGCTGACGGCGCGTGTCTTGGTGGGTGGTGGTAACTGTAGATTTGGCGACGACGTGCCGGCGTACTACCAGAGCCCGGCGACGTGGGAGGTGCAGCCCTACCCCGAAGACGCGCATCTGGGCGCGGGGAGCTATGTGACGTTCGTGTTCCGCTATCGGTCTGCTGGTGCGTTCCCTTCCTCTACTTACTACTCTACTTTCTCCTTCCTCTACTATCCTCTGCTTTCTACTTTCCGTTCGTTTCATCCTACGTCTTCTCCGTCGCATATTGCATTTCCACTCCACCGCCCCCCTTCCATGGATTTGGGATATCGATATCGATGCTGATGGTGATCGTGTACAGAATTCCTCGAGTCGCAGGGTATAATGCCCTCCCCGCGCGCGCAGCCCCAGCCCCTCGCCAGCGCCAGCGCCGCGGGCTCAGGTTCAGGTTCAAGCCACTACCGAACCAGATCCTCATCCGCCAAATCCTCGTCCACTGCTAAAGCAAAGGGTAAGGGCAAGGGCAAGGCGGAAGGGGGAGACGGGGGCGGGGGGACGGGGCTGGAGACGCCTGCGATGACGCCGCTGCCGATTCCTGTGCGGTCTCTGCCTCCTCCAACTGCACAGCAAGAGGCATCGGGCGCGCTGCCTGTTTATCCGCCTGTTTATCCTCCTGTTTATCCTCCACTTTCTGAGGTGCTGTCGCAGCAATTGGCACAGCAACAGGGAGGGACCGCGCTTGTAGAGGCATCGGCGGGCAGTGCAGAGGCGTCGGCGTCGACGATGCCTGTACCCGGTCCGCCTATGACGCCTATGACGCCCTCCCCGTCCGCAACTCCTGCTAATGCTGATGCAACTCCTACCGATGCAACGACGGGTGACACGACGACACTAAGGACTGGCGGTGGTGCGCCTGCGGTTAATGCTATGAGGAGGATCGTCAGTGCGCCGATTGTTCCCACTCAGCAACAGCTGCAACTTCAAGAACAAAGACTCCAAGGACAAAGCGAGCTAGAGAGAGAACGCGAGGGAGAACACGAACATGAACACGAGTCAGAAGTCCAGCACGGACGCCAACGGCAGGAAGAGACGTCTTCGGGAGCTGCGGGTGTTAGTGTGTCTCCGCCCAGGAAGAGGCTGAAGCAGAGTGATTTCTTGGCTAATGTACGAAGAGTCCCTCTCTCTTGATTTCCTACTCCTTTTCTACTCTTCCTATGTAACCGATGTTGATGATGGGATTGTAGGGACCGTATCGGATGCGCCGGCCCTCTGATATGAAACGCTCGATGAGCTGGAGGGCGCCGAATTCAAAGCCGTCGTCGTCCTCTACAACCACCTCTACCTCTGCCACATCCATTCCCTCGACTTCCACCGCTGCCTCTGCAATCACTACCGCGTCTTCATCGAACGACAACGCGAATGGTAGCGTCAACATCGCGTTTAACAATCCGTTCACGAGTGCCCCCCTTACACGGTCGATTTCGAATCCTCATCCACACCCGCAGCTTAATCCGCGAGCTCAACTTAATCCTCAAGGGCAGTCGCAGTCGCGGTCCCACACAAATGAGCACGCGGACGCTGTTGGTCTCGGGCCGACGCAGGTACCTCCTCACTCTCAACCACAACCGAATAATCACTCCCACCCCCACACTCAACAACCACAATCCCCAGCCCAGGCCCCGCACTACCGCTCTCAGCAGCAAACGCTCGCGCAAGCGCGAGTGCAGTGCCGCCATCTCCCGTACCGCCGCCCCTCGATAAACACGACGCGCGCCCTGCAACAGAAGCGGCAGCAGAGGCAGATGCAGATGCAGGCATCAGCGCGCCCCCCGCCCCCGTCGTCGTCGTCCCCGTTCTCGTCGTCGCCCGAGACGCCGGTTGCGGAGGAGTTTGGGCGCGCGGGCGAGGCGTCGGTTGATGCGAGTCCGGTTCTGGGAGGCGGTGGTGGGCGTGGAGGAGGGATTGGCGTTGGTGGTGTTGAGAGTGGAGATGGGGGTGGAGATGGAGATGGGGGTGTGGAGGCGAAGAGAAGGGGAAGTCGACGGATCGTGTATGAGGACTTGGGCGGCATTGGCCCGCGCGACTTTGGGTTGGACGACGTCGGAGGTGAAAGCGATGGTGGAGGCGAAGGCAGCGCGTCGAGCTCGCAGGAAAGCGCGCTCGGGCTCGGACTCGGGCTCGGGATGGGGATGGGGAATGGGCTGGGTCTTTCGTCGTTTGAGGGAGATCAGTTTGGGGGGTATGATTTTGCGGGATTTGGAGGGTTCGGTGGGTTCGGGGGTGGTGGTGGTGGTGGTGGTGGTGGTGGTGGGGAGGATGTTGGAGGGGGTGCGGGTGGGATGGGTGCGGGGTTGGGGTTGGGGTTGGAGGGTGCTGATCCGTATGGCGGGTTTTTCCAGAGTGGGTATTAGGTGACCGTGAGGTTGAAGAACAGGTGCAGCTCAGAAAATAACCCTACTGACACACCACTAACACCCTTCGACCGCGTCTACACCCGTCGAATGATGACTCCCACAACTCGACTACGGACGGACGGACGGACGGGCGGCCTCGAGAACGACGAGCGCATGGATGACTACAACAAGATCCCAACAAAAGAACAAGAACGAAACGCCACGAAATGGTTTCGCGTACATGCTATTCTGCTCTTCTGCAAATGCTTTCCTGCTATCTATCTCAAGAAACAACAAAATGTTTATATGTATATACTTTCTCCCTTCTCCCTTCTCCCTTCTCTATTCTCTATTCGCTATCGATATCTCCCCATCGAAACCCTGTCTATTGTGTCTATTGTTCGGTCATCTCGCTTTGTCTCGCTATCCTTGCTATGCTTTGTCTCCTGCTTACAAGTTCTGCTTATTGCTTACTATTTACTGCCCGTTGATGTCCGTTGATTGTGCTTTCCGCTTCATCGCTTTGAGAGCTGTTTTTGTATGATTTATGTCTAACTAGCCCGCCGGCTATGCTCCACTCCGTCGATGCCGACGTTGATGTTGAACGTTGACGTTGATTTTGCGTGCAAAACGAGTAGTTTATACGAATATAAATGAAGTTGGACTTTCGGATGAGACGTCGTATGCAGGGATGTCAGCGTTCAACGTTGGCGAGGGCCTCCGCATAGTTACATGGTGTAGTTGTTGTATTGATGTCGTATCTACATCAATACATCGTGAACTAGCTACGACGACGAATCACTTGCAAGAAACGCCAGGAGTTCATACAAGCGAGTTGATATAGTTTTCGATGTCTGTAAATAGAAGCCATAAGTTAAGTAAGTAGCAAGCGAGAGCGTATGGAACTCACTAGCGTATCCGTTAGAGGCAATAACCATGGCATCGTTCGAGTTGGGGTTCAGTCCGTGGGCCGTTTCATACGAATCCGGTATCCCATCACCGTCGCTATCTGTAGGAGCCTGTACAAGTAATGTTCAGCATTGGGGTCCGAGATACAAAGCACACCGCTCCGTCAAAACGTTGCGACTTACCGTGCCTCCAGCAATAGGCCCGGGCCCATTCATCGGTGCAGCAGCCGGGTCCGTGATCAGCGCCCCGACCTTGCCCAGCGACCCCAGCTCCGTATTGATGAGGTACGTGTCAACACGGTCGCGGGACTTGCTGGCGCCTGCGGACGCGCGCACTTTGGCGAGGGCGTCGGTGGGGCTGAGGAGGGTGTTGACGGTGGGGTAGGGGTATTTTGAAGATTGGAAGTCGACGGCGGAGTAGTTCTCGGTTGTGGGGGAGAGGATGAAGCCGTTGAGGGTGCCGTCCTACAGAATAGGAGGGTGATGTTAGAGGGAGGGGTAAAATAGGGAGAAGGAGGAAGTGCGAACTTGGTCAGGATCATAGTAGTTGTTGGAAACGAAGGTGTGGAAGTTAGCATTTCCTCTTGTGAAGGGATGGATAGTCGTCGACGGTCCGCTGAACATTGAGTCAGCCTCCGTAGAAGGTGACTCGTGCTGGAGGTGCTCTCACCTGATGAAGACGTTGTTCAAGATATTGGCTTGTGACGGGCCGTCAGAATCTCCAGCGATGTAACCTCCGCCTCCACCCCAGTTGTAAACCTACAGATTCTTCATCGATGCTCATCAACGCATACTCATTGTCAAGCTCAAACTTACGACGTTATTGACAAACTCGTTGACGCCCTTAACCTTCGGGTTGCGTGTCTGGTTGTCGATGTACAAGGTACGGATGATGCTGACACCGCCAGTCGTCTGCATCAAGCCTCCGCAGGAGTGAGTTTGCAAGCCTTGAGCTATGATAGAGTCCGATATGGTGACATTGGACACGTCGCCGTTGATGGAGAATGTTTCGTCGCGGCCCCAGGAAACGCTGACATGGTCGAAGATCATGTTCTCGCCGTTTGCGATAGTGATGGCATCTTTCCCGGAGTCGCCTACCGAGTAGGATTAGCGAGGTTCCTCCAGCCAACGTGGAGAAAAATTCTTTACCGCCTCTGCCCATTCTGTAGCGGATATAACGTGTTATTGTGTTCTATGCGGGTCGAAACGAGTCAGTGTGGATGGTCCATACACCGCTGTAACTTGGATTCACTTACCGAAGCGGCAGAGTATGATACACCATTTCCGTAGATGGTGATACCTAGAAGAGGAATGTATTTATAGCTGTATACGACCAAGGAATGATGCATCTTGCCTTGCCCCGGTGCCGTTTGGCCAGCAATGGTGACACGGCTGCTGATGACAACGCGGGAGTCAATGTTAATGACGCCCCCGACGGCGAATACGACAATCTAGTACCGGGAATATGGTCAGTGGTGTTCCATTGAGTGCCATGCGTAGCTGCTCACTCTGTTCGATTTGGAGACAGCATCGCGGAAGCTTCCAGCACCAGAGTCGTTGAGGTTAGTCACCACGTAGACACTTCCCGTTCTACCACCGGTCGCCTGGGCACCAAACCCTGCTCGAGTATAAGAATAGGTCACGTTGGATTAGCCGAAGGGCTTACCTTCAGCTCCGGGGAATGCGAGCAGTGCTGCCGCACTCTGAATCAATAGGCAAAGGACTGGAAACGTCAAAATACAGCGGTAGTAGGCCATGTCGCTGCGCTGTCAGCGCAAGTATGGGGAGGGCTTTTATACCTGGGTAACGCCCTCGGTAATATTGAAGGCTCGTCGTCTCCGGCGGCCCATCCTCAGCCGCTGCGGGTGATCAACGAGATCTTCTGTGCCCCCGGTGTGGGGACGTCGGTGCTAAGTGCCGGACATATAATGGTACAAGCTCGGGAGTTTTGGTTTCGTCTCATCGCCATATGCACCCTGGTCACGACAGCATACTGGCGGGCCGTCGGTAGAGGAGAAAAGGAAATTGATCGGAAGTTCTGGAACTACTCGTTTGGAAACCCCGCGAGTGATTGTTTCGGAGGACGGAGGCAAATACCGTTGCGGTCACGCTCGCAGGCTCCAGACGCTTGTTCACTCCGTCGAAGTCTCGCTATGCCTCACTCCCGGTCTCTGCTCGTACTACATACATGGCCGGGCTGCTGGGACCTGCCTTCGTTTGATCCCTCGTGTCTGGCAGCTATCCTATACCTCCAGCTCGTCCTACCAAACAAATTCGTCATTGAAGAATGCACAAATCCCGACTTCTCACCCTCTGGTATGTTTTGAACGCGTTTGTAACGCGGATAGGATGGCTTAAGGAAATAGGGCAGCTACCATACTTGTCTCATGGGACACAGATAGTGTCTACGTTACCATCTATCGTCAAATATGTGTCAAAGCTGAAGAAAGTCGACGGCGTGAATATTCCAGACATTGACAGTGTTCTTTCGCCAACGGAGAGGGCAACGAGCGTGGCTTGGATCTCACATGTATCTACGAACATGGGTGACATTGTGGTAGGCTCTTCCTGGCACACGAGATAACATTCCTCTCAGACTCTAAAATATTTAAGGCACACATGTTCTACTCCCTGGAGGATAATTGGACGAAGACGCTGCGGCCTCACTTAGCGGCGATGCAACCAATTCCACAGCGATATTACCTTCCCGATAGAATACGCGCATCATACCGTCCACGGCTGGAAGCCGCTGGACTCTGGAATTTGCCTGGAATCGAGCAGCAGGAGAAGAAGCCATTCGAGAAACCAAAGGCTAAGGTTGAGCCCGAGAACTTGAAAGAGAAATATGTTCGCGTGTTCGAGCGACAAAAGGTCTGTCTATCATTGACTTCCGTCCTCTACGAGACTGACATCTGGCACGGTTGTAGGTTGAAGAGAAGGCTAGTGCCTTGTTCGATGTCTACGCCAGACTACTCGGAGACAAGCAGTACTTCTTCCAAAGCCAGTGTGTATACTGAAGCCAGCTTACGAAATGATTTCGTGTTTAATGTCTGGACTAGGTGTACTACAGTTGACCTGTTACTTGCTGCTCATATCCTTCTTCTCATAAAACCACAATTCGCGGACCCACTTCTACAAACCCTTCTCCACGAGCGATACCCACAGCTCATCGAGCATTCCGAAAGAGTTTTCTCACAAACATCACCTCGAGATGTGCGAATCGTGAAATCCAGCCCTGTATATTCGACAAGGTCTTTATTTGCGCTTCCCCATCACGCGAAGAGTGCTCCTCGAACCGCGGGGTCGGACGAAAAGGCAGCTGAAGAATGGAAATATACGAAGATGCGATGGGGTTGGTTTGCTCTAGCCGGCGCTAGTATAGTGTATTACGGTATACGGAGTGGTATAGTGGGTGAGTTCATGCGGCTCTATGCACAGCTGGAAGCTCAAGAACGGCTCGCTGCAGTGGTTGCGGCGGAGGAGATGGATGAAGAGGATGAGGATGAGGGTGAGGGCGAGGAGGTCGAAGATGAAGAGGAGGACGAGGAAGAGGAAGAAGAGGAAGAACACATATGAGTAGGATAAAATACGGGTCTATGATTGTTTGTGTTATAAACTTTCTCGAAAGTACTCACTTTAAATAAGAATCAGAAGAATCTCATGAGACACCAGTGAAGACCGTGACTGGCAAACGCGTGGGAAGGTCGCGTCTCCCGAAGCGTATCCCTAGCCTGCGACTAACGCATTCACTCAACCTCAATTATGGACGAAGACCTCATCGTGGTGGACGATGTCGAAGCTTTGGAAATGCAAGGAGCCACGTCCGGTACCTCAAACGGAGTATCAGTCCCGCCAGAGTCTTTCTACCGCACTAGCCATCGTCCTATTCGACAAGCTGCAGAACATGCCCTCGCGAGTACTTCACGGCTGAGAAGCAGTACACCTCTATACACAGACAGCAATGAACGAGCAACTCGGTCTTCGACTGCGAAGAATAAGCCCCCACCTAAGCTGAAGTTGAAGCTTAGTGAGAAGGCCGCAGCGCAAGCCCCTGGAATGTCGTTTCTGGGCCCATACGACCGCGAGCTGGATTCAGATGACGAAGAGTTGTCGTTCGAGGAACAGTTCATCCTTCGAATGCCACCAGGTGAAGACTGCGAGCGTCTACGGAAGATAGTTGCTTCTCGGGAGATACCCAACGACGTATGGTTTAGATTCAAAGGTGAACTAGCAATATGTTCGATAGGTTTAGATATCCTAATGCCTGTAACTAGACTCGCGTCGAGCTCAGTTCCATATATCCAATACGACATATTCTGCCAAACTTGTGGATCTTCCCTGTATAGTGGAAGCACAAAAGACCTTGGACAATAAGCAGATGTTCAAGGTGGCCGACATATGTCAGGTCACTTGCACCCATAATAATCAGACCTCTGTCCTCATTTTGATGCTTTATACCGACAGATGCTTGTTGTGGAGAACACGGTAGAAAATGAATCCTCGACGACATCGCAATCCAAGAACTTCAATATCGACGACTTCATATGGCCTCACGGCATAACACCGCCCCTACACCATGTACGGAAGCGTCGCTTCCGTAAAAGAGTGAACAAGCGAGTACGTTTATACCTGATTTAATATGTGATATTCTTGCTCAGAACGCGACCAGACGATAGAAACGGTAGAACAAGAAGTCGAGCGTTTGCTTGACGAGGATGCAGCCGCTGCCGAGGTTCAATATGGTGAGGCCTATACTTGTCTCTGAGAGCGGTTTCCCTAAAATTATCGGGCAGAAATTCTCGAGAATGTCAATCCTGATCTTTCTGATTCCGAATTCATCGAAAGAGCAGAACCCCTGGATGCTCCTACTCCCGCAGTCTCTGACGGCGGTGACCCTACTACGCCCGGTCCTGACGGAGGTGACATGGACGGTGACGAAGATGAAGAGGGTGAAGGCGACATAGATGAGGAGCTTGCAGCGGAGTTGGATATGGCACTGGGTGACGAAGGAGGAGAAGACGAAGACGAGGAAGAGGAGGATGACGATAGCGAAGAAGAAGATGAGGACGATGAGGACGACGAGGATGCCCAAGCAAGAAAACTACTGAACGAGGAAATTAGAGATCTCGAAGCCGCTGTTGCAAAGAAGAACCACGAGATTGCTAGCTCTGCTAACCCGCTCATCAAGGTCAGCTTCAATATTATTTTCCTAGGTTCTGACTAATTTTGGATACCACAGAAACGGTTCGAGGATGCTCTGAAGAAACTATCAGGTGATCTTGAAATGAAGCTCGTTCAGCGCGAAGAAATGAAGGAGAAGCAACGAATGCGAAAAGATGGGGCTTCGACGGACGGCGAACCGGAAGTTGTTGCTGGAGGTGAAAGCACTAGGATGGTTATTGATAATGAGGATGAGGAGGGTGACCTCTTTGGCTCTGATCCATAAGGGTGCTTTGAGCTTGTCCTGACTTTGGTACATCGACCGTACTTGTGTATAGATTAGGTTCATCAAATTATAAATTTGCGATAATGGTATTACGATAACGGGGTGTTGCACATTGAGCATGCATCAGCATCGATGGCATTCGCAAATGTGCATACCCGACACGATAGGAAATTATCCTCCTGCGGCGTCACTTCCCTGGAGCTACTGGGTTGGGAGGAATGACCCCCTAGGAGCGTGCCACCAAACCCACCACCCTCTTCGCGTTTCCTCTTCGTAGGCGGACTGACCTCGGTATCTGAGTCTATATCATGTACTTCACTCTCCTCTCGCAAGTCGAGGACATCGTTTGCAAGAATGGACAGATCTGCTACACTGACTCCGTTGTCCTCGAGCTCGATATCGCGATAAAACAGTCTCTGACAAATCGTAGGAATACTCATTTGAGTTTGTACCTGCCAGCAGGGCTAAGTCAACGACGACTTGCAAGCTAAACAGTGGAACTTACCATGACTTTTATATCTTTCACAGTGGTTTCCTTTGTGATACTGAACCTTCGCTTTTCACCCGAGTCTTTAGCTGTCCGTAGCCGTTTAGAAAGTCTCGCTCCTATCTGACGAGACCCGTAGGTAGCGGGCTTCTTGGAAGCTTGAGAATCCTCCTTCCCAAGTAACCGTACTGTGATGTCAGTGGAGGTCCATGCAGTGCGCCTACGGTCATGTAAGTGACCGAGGGTTCACCAACGGACAAATTCCCACCTTTCGAGGCGACAAGGAGCGCAGAATTGAATGCCACAGACATACCGAGGCAGTTGCTCGTCGGGTAAAAGACGCTTCTCTATAGCGATGACAGGCTCGGCAGTGTATCTGCGCAACAAGATGAGCTTGTTTTTCGTTGACTTACCTTCATTTACTCACAACTCCGATAGTACCTGCCAGTCGATCATCTTTATGATTGAGAGGGAAGAGTCCATATCGTTCGGGCAATTGGCATCGAAATTCAGCAAGCCATGTGTGCAAATGAAGGGTGTATTATCCACTCGATTTGGTCGAGGATATTCCGAGGGCTTGGATAGCCACTGACGCCAAGAGCGGATGAATTGTGCAGGAACTATTGCGCAAGGGACGTCCTCGAGCAGGGCCATATTACCATTTAAAGCGTTATCGTACATATGCCGAAGACGAGCCTGTGAAGTAATCGATTCGTCTCAATTGTAGGTCTCGAACAAAATTGCACTTACTTTCTCATCTTCCGCTTGCTTGCGAGCCGCAAGCTTGTGCTCTTTAGATTCGTGGATCTCAGCTTCACATATTGGGCAGGGTTCAACATTCGTAGACAACGGTGCCCAAGATGGAAATAGCTCTTGAAGTAAGCAATAGGCCTAGTCACCGTATTTGTTAGCGGCTTCCAGACACTTCGGTCCTTTTTTACCTGAGCTCCTATTCGAACGCGTTGGCTGGTGTTCATGGATAAATTGCCATGCTCGCAGCGAACATCCGAGGCGTAATCGGGTGCGTCCGGTGACGGGTCGTCCTCGCCTTGTACGTGCATTTTGGGCTTCACCAGCCGCCAATCTACAGCAAACAGGTAAGAGTTGGGTGATTGCAATGTTCCTGTTGGACAAACCTCGTAACCAAGGCTTTGATATCCAGTAACCCGGCTCCTCCAAGTCATCTTCGGCTTGGTCAACACTTCGTACGAGCTTGGGATGCTGGATTTGGTACAAGCGGTCTTGATGATAGATAGATCACTGAATCGATACCCAGCTGTTCGTTAACGAAGCACTTACCAAGGAAAGACTGTGCCACGCAGTCAGGACAAACATCAGACGGTGTCATTGTCGGCTCGAACACGCAATTCGTAGTATTCGCGATTTTCTGGTAAGCCACCTACAAGCTTGTTCATCAACTGTGCTAGTACGGTGTGTCATTCCGCCGGTGTACCTGATTGATCTGCTTCATGAGGGATGCTTTGGTTGGATCTAGACGTTTGTGAATACACAGGATATCGTCTGTGACAAGGGACCATGTTCCCGATGCTGCATTGATGATGATTCCGCCTTCTGCATCGTCAGCTTGCTTTTGTAACTTAGACTTGTCTTGGACAGAAGCTTCGATGCAGTGTTTCGCCAGCCAATCTTTAAGGACATTGGCACTAACGATGATGGATGGCTACATTACTCAGAGATCAGAAAAAGCGATGCCATCATGAATTGCTCTACCTGAGAATCAGAAGTCACGTTCCAGGATTTGAATATGTTGACAACGTTTCTGCGCAGGTCATTGAAGGCGCTTTTGGCTTGTTGCTTTCTGGGAACATCAGGGACTTAAGCCATCAATCAGAAGCCGCAGCACGTACTTGACCTGAAAGGCCTCGCATGTTTGATCATGAGAGGCATTTAGTGCCTTTACCTGTTCCATGGCGCTCGCCGGGGGAACTGGAATCTGGCCTTCATCCCCTTCGCATGTATAGATCAACATGTATGCATCCTTAGACGATATGACGCTAGAGTAGGTGAATCGGTATGTTCGCAACGAAGTCGTAGGCTTTACCTAGGATCCGCAACCTGTTTATAAACCACTATCCTATATGGGCATCCTTGAGAACTTTGAGCTTACGGAGAGAGCCGAACACGTACTCATCTTCGCTATCGTCTACTCTCCGACGTTTGAGAGCGTTCCTAGACATGCGACGACTGATTAGCCACCATGCCAAAGCGAGAGCGATGTCATACTTCTTGTCACGATGGTCTGCGACGCCATTTGCGTTGGACTTCATCTCTGGATTGTTGATCTTGCTAACAACTTCGTCGTTGAATTGAAACCATGTGTTGCTGCTATGAATGGGTGGAACACATCAGAAGTCATGCTCGCCACACTACTGTTGAACTCACGACGAGTCAAAGACTTGTGCTTCGTAATGACCATGGTATGCGCTGGGCCCTGCGGCAGACTGGGTGAAATGCATTGTGGATACCATAGCTGAACGAACCCTTGTGCAACAGTATCCCACGTAGGTTATATGTCTTCGATCCCGGTTCTGCGTCTGTTGAGTTGTTTACACGTTCAGCTTGAGAGCCAAGAAACCGACTCATGTCCAAAGTCTTTGGGAAAGAAATGGCATGCTTTGATTTCTTGCGTTCCATGGACGATACGTCGTACACAAACCTGAGTAAGGAAAAGTGCAAGACTGGCGGGAGTTCGCGGAGTTCTGTGTACCGGGTAGCCTCTTGAAGAGTTTCGCACTGAGGGCAAAGGTACCTGGTGATTTACGTTACCAGTTGGTCATGCACACCTCGTCGAGACTGACCTGTTATCGCCTTGTAGCTGTTCAGGTTTCAGCAGCGCCTCAATGCGCTCCTCAAGACTTGAGTTTGCCTATTAACCTGTGAGTAGCCGACAAGGGGCTTAATATTTTGACAGACCTCAAGGTTGATTTCAATCTCAAGGAAAGTACTTGGACGCTCTGAACGATAGGAACATCGGTCGCAAACGGTGCCATATACTTGCTTGCCTTCAAACTTTGATGAGTTAGGATAGTCAAATAAAATGCGTGTAGAAGGGTGTACCTGGTCTGCTACAAGCGATTTCAAAGAGGGAGCTGCTTGCTTTCGAAATTCCGCGTCTAAATGAGACATAAACAATTTCGAAAACCTAAGGCATGTCAGTTTGATGTCACAACAAGAGTCAGTTTGAGTCACTCTTGGGCATCTTGTTGTTCTGCTGTACGGATCTGCAAGCTCTCTACAAGCTTTGTTGGGTTGAACACGCTTTGAGTGCATTCTTGCAATGCAGCAAATGTATATTGCAGTTGAAAAATGGGGGATTCCTACTGGTAATTAGTGATGGTCTCGACGGCGCCTCGCTAAGTACCTTGTACTTGTCCTCCGTAGTGTCCTCTGAAGGTACACACTTATATACACCAGCTCTGAAAGCAAGATCCCTGAACCAGACCTGCGAATTGCAGAAATCAGCCCAGGAAAGAGTCCAGGCATAAACAACAATGTGAACCTGAAGGAACGCGTTTGCATAGCATGTAGCACCGAGATTCTTATGCCCCAAGTGGATATTAGATGGGTTATACAGTGGAGTAGCTCGTTTACCTTCAGTCCTACAGGGACATCGGGGTCTCTAGAGTCCAACAGGGGGTCTTCACCCATGGCCATCATCTTGAGATATTCCTTCCATGCTGCACCTGACGAACTATAAAGCTATGTGCGAATAATGCTGGTCCAATGAACTCACCTTCTTCCGCAACCCACGTCTCCTGACCCAAGTAGTTCAGGCACTTCGGATTATTCTTGCAGGCCTTCTTGCTACATTCAGGTTGACTCTCATCGTCCGTAACGATAATGACATTGTCATCATTATTCCCGTCACCCCCTTTAGAACTCTCGGGAACTTTGGTTTGACTAGTATCACTAAATTTGTTGCTGCAGAAGGGATATCCGTTCCGCGAGCTGAATCCACACGCCGCTAAACGATGTTCATGCGAGATCTTGTTCACATCTTGAATCTCGGTGTCAACCCAGGACCAAGGCGAGTGCATAGGCGTTGCCAGGGCGTTTCTTTGAAGTTTTTGGCCGGCAGGAAGGCCTTTCGCCGGTGGCGACGCGCGCCTGCGACGCTTTGGAGGCATGGGACCTACTGAAGCGAGTATAACAAGTGGTCGAACGACGTGACTGCTCGTGGGCGCGTCTGCGTATATGGCGGAGTTTGAATGTCATAGGTCGACGCGAATTATCACTTTCGATTGGACGCGATCAGTCTCTTCGCCAACATGTCTCGTCAGCAAGCATCGTATCAACGAGCTACAGGATCCAATGCATCCTTCAATGACAAGGTCAGCCAACCTGCAATACGCATACTATGGGCTCGAATCAATCTGTTCTTCGAGTTTAGGGAAAGCCAATGGAACTGCGATTATCCAATATGACGGCGGCCAAAGGTAAGGCCGGCCTCATCATCATCTGTTTTGCTATGCTTATACATTCTCTAGCTATTAGCGACGCCGTGCGGACATCGCTGGGTCCTAAGGGAATGGACAAGATGGTATTACACGCCATTATCTTCCATGGGCAAAAGATTCAAGCCATTTTGTCAGATCCAAACCTCCAAGGGCGAGGTCATTGTCACAAATGATGGAGCAACAATACTAAAGAGCATTCAGGCTCTGCATCCTGCAGCAAAAATGGTGCGGATCCTTTCCTTGATCGTTCGCCAATTTCCCTCATCTCCCCCTTTAGCTGGTAGATTTATCTGCCGCGCAAGACGTTGAAGCTGGTGACGGTACGACCTCCGTGGTGGTACTGGCCGGTAGCTTTCTAGGTGCTGCAGAGAAAATGTTACTGAAGGGTATACACGCCACGATCGTCGCCGAGGCTTTCCTCAAGGCATCTGCTAAGGCTGTGGAATATTTGACCGAGATATCGACCCCGGTGGACTTGAACGACAAACAAAGCCTCCTTCGTGCTGCTAGCACCTCTCTTAACTCCAAGGTTGGATGTCATCTGCGTCGTTCTGAAGCTTTGACTAAGCGTGTTTTCTAGATCGTCTCGCAGTATTCATCTACTTTGGCACCAATAGCTGTCGCTGCTGTGACTCGCCTTGTGACCCCCACTTCATCCAATGTGGACCTTCGGGACATTCGCGTGGTTAAGAAAGTTGGGGGAACAATCGAGGATACGGAACTAGTGGATGGTGTTGTTCTCAATCAAAACGTCGTGGTTGCCGCTGGCGGTCCCACACGGATGGAGAAGGCTAAGATTGCAATCATCCAATTCCAACTGAGTGCCCCGAAGCCCGATGTACGTGATGGGCCTTTTTCGCTTCGCCGCACACTTACATTCATGAACAGATGGACAACACCGTAGTCATCAACGACTATCGCCAAATGGACAAAGTCATAAAAGAAGGCAGACAATACCTTCTCAATATCTGCAAGAAGATCAAGAAGGCCAACTGCAACGTCCTCCTCATTCAAAAATCCATCCTCCGTGATGCCGTTGACGACACATCGCTAAACTTTCTCAAGCGGCTAAACATCCTTGTCGTAAAAGATGTTGAGCGCGATGAAATAGAGTTCTTGTCGAAGAGCTTTGGCTGCAAGCCCGTCGCAGACATCGACGCCTTCACAGAGGATAAGCTCGGTTATGCCGATCTTGTGGAGGAGGCCTCGCATTCTGGTGTCAAAGTCGTTCGAGTTACGGGTGTCAAAAACCGAGGCCGCACAGTGAGCATCTTGGCTATGGGAGGGAACAACCTAGTTGTCGAGGAGTGTGAACGGAGTCTACACGACGCTCTCTGTGTCGTAAGATGTCTTGTAAAGAAGCGGTGCGATTCATTCTCCCTCGTTTGTATTCCTACTCATGACCATGACCTTAGAGCCCTCATTGGTGGCGGAGGTGCTCCTGAGATCCACGTGTCTCGTCTACTGGCACAATATTCCCAGTCGTTGAGCGGAATGGAGGCGTACTGCTTCCAAGCTTATGCCGACGCCCTCGAGGTTATCCCAGTGACCCTCGCCGAAAATGCTGGACTCAATCCTATTGCCATCGTTACGGAGCTTAGAAATAGGCACGCACTGGGTGAACGAAACGCAGGCATCAATGTCCGAAAGGTGACAACATTTCAGTATGCCATAGGTGGATATACTAACACTATTCAAAGGGACTCATCTCGAATATCCTTGAGGAAGATGTCGTCCAGCCGCTTCTGGTATCGACCAGCGCGATAGAACTCGCGACCGAGACAGTGTGCCTACTACTCAAAATCGACGACTATGTACAAACACGATGATACACTTACAGAGAATGACAAAACTAATATAACTGATTGGTGTTTGCCCTCTTGACCCAAAGGCGACCGCATATATGTCAGCACTACCACAAAAGGCCACAGAAAGTAGAAGTTCATAACACGAGTCTCTCAAGCGGGTAGGTTCAGCAAAACCGGTCACTAGTGATATAATCAGCCCACCGCGAGCTACGCGCATGGAATAACCAACCTTTTCAGTTTTGCCCGTCTATCTAACATGGCTTCTGCGAGGCGGCCTTCTTTGCGAGCACGTTTCAGCTATCAACTAACAGTTAGTTTTGAAATCTGAAATTGCATCACATAGCAAACGTACATCTTTCTTATCGTTGGACGAAACAACGCTCCGCCCTGCTCCCCACGCTTGGTACACCCGGCTGATGAGTGAGATGTTAGTATTCGCTTCACCGATGAACGAAGGATGCTCGTACTTGGTGCCTGCTTCATCAATGTTTGAAGGTGCTATAGGACCCTCCCTCTTCTTCTTCTCCTCTTCGTTAGCTTCCTTCTTGTACTTGTGCTGAATCTTAACCCAAAATCTCTCCCCAAATCCAACTTCCTCACTGTCGCCCCTCAGTTGCAGAGAACCTCCAGCAACCTCGTCGACGGAGAGATATTTCTCGTAGATATTCATAAAGGCCACCATACCGTCTGGCAAGATCACGGGTGTCCACTCTTCCTGCGGTCCTCTCGCATCTCTGTCAGCAGATACAAGGCCGTGCTTGTCGCAGGATAGGAACTTCCCTTCACCAGTACCAGTTCTAAGGTTGATAGTTGGGGAACCAGCAACTCGCGTTGTTACCCAGACCTGGGATACATCGGTAGGTGTTCTATCCAGAAGGCTCGGGGGGTCGGAACCGTCTTCGGGCTTGTCTTTGTCCAATGAGTGTAGGATAATACGGTTCGTAGTAGAGCTGTAATTTATTGACAGTGGTGAGGGATCGGAGGGGTGGACAATGAAAGTAGGACCGCGTAGTTCATTAGGATCCTCAGGAAGTACCCATGTCTCAGGATCTGTATCGTCGTCCTTGCGTCGAGTACGGCTGGGTCCATCTTCACCGTCTTCTCTTTTTCTCTTCTTCTTGGTCTTGTCGCCCTTGAATTTGAGCTTTGAGCGTTTTGGTGGAACGTCTGTAGACGACATGGAATGACGAGCGATTAAGCGCCTGAGCGTCAATTACAGTCACTCTTGCGTAACACTGCTGTCACAGAGCACTGTCACGACTCATCGAAAGTTTACAGACGCTGGCCTCACCGACAACAATCCTCAAGATCCCGCCATGAAATTCAACCCGGGTGAGTAATGCTGCTCGATAGCCCTGCCGAAGTGTTGCTGGGACTGGACTGGAAGTGGTGTTGGAGGAGAGATTGACGTTTGGGTGGTGGATGCAACATTATCGACTTGGATGGGCTATCCTACCAAGTGCAAGCTTCTGACCTGATATTGCTTCAGACGTGTCCTCCTCCCGCCGAAAGGCCCGCAAGGCCCACTTCTCCGCACCCTCTTCGATCCGACGAAAGATTATGTCTTCTGCGCTATCGAAGGAGCTCCGGGCCAAGTACAACGTAAGTTCAATGAACGAACGGATATATCCATGAATTAATGGATCTTGCGCGCCATATTAGACCCGCTCCATACCTGTACGCAAGGATGATGAAGTCAAAATCGTCCGAGGCAAATACCGGGGACGGGAGGGCAAAGTCACCCAAGTTTACCGCAAAAAGTGGGTCATCCACGTTGACCGGGTTCAACGCGACAAATCCAACGGCGCCACGGCCCCCATTGGCATCCACCCTTCAAATGTGGTGATCACCACCATCAAGCTCGATAAAGACAGGTTAGCAGCTCTCGTTTTCTGGTGAAATATTGACTAATGAGTACATAGACGGGCAATTCTGGAGCGAAAGGACCGCAAGAGTTCCACGGAGAAGCAAGATGTTGAGATGGTCGACGTGAGCGCTTTGATTCCTCCCGTATACTGCACCTAACGCAATTGAATTAGTGATATGTTCCTCCTTTTAACGCTTCCCTTATTGCATGTAAATCCTGCTATGATGAACCATGTATCTATGCACACCCCATGAACAGCGAACATCTCATTACATGGCAACTACATCGCGTATTTCTAGAACACACCAGGACAAAATTACAACGTGTGTTCAGCCACGCCAGGTTCAAGAGATATGTGACCTGAGTTTGATAACATATGTGTCAGAGTTGTACAAACGAAGGGTATTGAAACGGAAATCCTGGCTAAAATGCTAGAATATCACATCGTCATCTTTGCTACTCAACAAGTCCGTGGCTGCCGAGTCGTCTGCTGTGAATATAGCTTCCTCGTCAGGAGCTCCCTTCGCCGCCTCTTCTAGTTGTCTAGCAGCAGTGTCCCGTTTCTTCTTGCCCTGGACCTTCTTCAATCTATCTAGTGGATCAATGAAACATTCTAGAGTCTATGGCGAAGATCCTACCTGAAGAACTCCTCTCGATCCATCTCATCCAGCTCGCTCATGATATACTTGATCGTGTTTTCTAGCCTGGGCATGACGACATGTTCGATGGCGTTGACTCTTCGGTTGGTTGCTCGGATGACTTCGTCGAGAATCGTAAAGGCTGTCTGTAATGACGCAAGTTCGACCAAGGTTTCAATTGCCTTCGCGTAGGTTTCTTTGGCTTTCAGCACCTGTTGCCCTCCACGACCCAGACCCGTCAGGTTGAAATCTATCTTGGTGATTAGCACAAACCCTGACTAGGGGTGGGCACATTGACCTGATCCCGGTACGCGATCTACTTCGAAGGCCGGGAGCACCACTCCGGATACGTTCTCTTGCTTCGTCTTCACTCTGAATGTAGCCTGCTTCGCTTGTTCTTGGACAAGATACGAAATATCTCCCGTCGCATAAGTCACTTCGGCCATTGAGAACGATGCCAGCTGCATCACGCGTCCCATCTTCCTCTTCGCCTGAAGAGATGTCCAGAATGTGGATGGTTAAGCGTATTGTTGTCGGCGTACCTCATCAACCTTGCGTAGAATCGCTCTGAACCTCGTCGTTAATGCATCTCGCTTCTTTGCTAGCAGCGAGTGACCTGTTTGTGCACCCTTCAACCGCAGCTTGGTGTTCGTGAGCGCCATGCGTGTCGCAAAGATATTTTCGCGAGCTCCTGATCCAGACATGGTAGATTAGAGAACGAAGGATTGTACGGAAAAGAGGGACGGGGAGAGATGTATCATTTCGGTAAGTCACTCAATAGCCAATTACGTAACCGGAATCAGTGTGTAACTCGGACAACTTGCTACTGCCACTAAGCTATAGGCTATGTACCCCAGGCAAAACGACAAAATATCTATGCAATAGTATATTTGCCATAGTTCTTCTGCGGGTCGAAAACCTATGACCGTTCTTGTCATTCGACGCAATTGACACGAAAGAGCACAATCTTACCTCCCAACGCGACGCAGGAAAGATGTGCTTGTTGCGTTGATAATAGCTTCTCTCTACAACCTTGCCGGCGTGAGATTCATCCTTCTCCTTTGTAGCATCGGCGAGCAGTCGCACATCATCGTGAACGTCGAAGTTGAACAGGGGTCCAGATTTACCGCGTGCTTTGTTCACGATGAAGTCGTAGAAAGTGTAATGCTTCATGGAGGCTTTAGCACGATGACAACGAACTGAACCACTAGAACTTACATGTGGGATGATCAGATCCTCCTTAACATACATCAAGTTATCAACGCTCACGCCTCTCAGCTCAGGGAATTGCTGACGGCACTTCTCAAGGAAGAATGATATAGTGTCCCCCTTCTTGCACTATATAGAGCACGTTAGAAATGCAGCACAGCGAGGAAAGACAATCATCGACCCACCGTCACACTCTTTCGGTGTCCACTTCCATCCCAAAACGAGTAGACCACTTCAATCTCCTCCTGCTTGGTTTCCTCTTGGATTCTCAACCATTCTTGCCTCAGTCGTTCTCTTTCCCTCCTTTCTGCCTCCTCGCGGTCTCGGTCTGGGAGGAAAGACGTATCGACATTGGGGTTCTTGCGGAACTTCCCCTTCTTTGATGGAGGGGCTGAGTCGTCCTGGCCCTTGCTGCTATTTGTATCTTCGGCATCGTCCTGCCCTTCATCGTCCATAGCAAACGACAGTGTGGATTTGGCTGCCTTCTTCCTTTTCCTTGCCTTCTTTGTCTCATCTCTAAGCAAATTCTCCACCTACTATTAGCCATCCATTCACGTTGGACAAGAGAAACCACCTACTTAAGGTCATTGGTGCGAGCAGCCTCGCGTGCTTTGGCCTCCTCCAGCTCTCTTCGCTTCTGCTGGAACTCTTCCAACCGAACGAGTCCGACAGTCTGATTCTTCAAGTGATCTTCCATGGAGTCATTTTGTCCAACGAAGCGGTTAGACGACGGACGAGCTTTCTCAGTTTCGTTGATGAGGTTCTGTTTCTGCCGCTCAAATTCCTGCCTGAGTTTGTCGCGCTCTTTAGCAATAGCATCTTCTCTGCGGCCTTCCGCTGGGTTGGTTGCCATTTTTTTGGAGTGAGGTTCGGTGATTGCAACTTGGGAGAGGCGAATTTCGTATTGACTTGTTGTAGTTGGCAGTTGAAAGGAGGGGCCATACGATTGACGCTGGCGCTCAAATTCACTAAAGCGCTCGGAGCGTAACTCCTCTTTCCGTTTACTCTTGTATCTTGCGCGAATTTCAGTATGGTCCACATTTTGGGCGTAAATCTGCCTGACAGTCAACTGACGAGGGTACGGACCACTTTTATACGTCTCACAAGGTTATAACTAACTATTTCATCTCCAGTTCGCCTTGACCAATTTCTATGGGATAGGGCATAAAACCGCACATCGTCTTTGTGCACGCCTCCAGATTCACGACCGGTGCAAAGTTAGAGAGCTCACACCATTCCAAGTGACGAGTCTGGCTTCCTTCCTCTCCTCGCCCGGCACTTCTCCACCGATTCCGCGGTACCCCGTCGCGCCTCCGAACTTCGTACCTCCTTCACCCCGAACGTCTCTCCAACCTCTGCAAGCCAAGCTAGAGGCTAAACTAGCGGACAAAAAGGGAAAGGGAAAAGGAAGCGATCCTTTGGCGAACTTGAAGATAGAGTCGGAACTGCGCAGAGAGATCAGGGAGAACATTGCTCATCAGCGGATGATTGGGAGTTATGTCGGGAAGCGTCACGCGATGCATCTGCCAGTCAGAGGGCAAAACACCCAAAATAACGCAAAGACGGCCAAGAAGCTCAACCGGTTGGAGAGGTATTAGGCTGTGATTCTACTAGTGGAATGCGGGTCGCGTCTGGTATTACATTGTGGCTACAGCAATAAATTCTTGTATGGCACCTCTAGTCGTCTCCTGCTGGTACTTCTTCCTCCAAATACTTCAACAGCCTCACTCTTATGTCCGTGCTTTCGTCGCCGCGCAACACGTCAGAAACAAATTCAACATGAACCTGCATTTGAACCTATATCGCAAGGCCATAAGTTGGGAGCGCATAGATCAGAGCGTCGACTGACCATTTCCAGTGCGCCGCGTAGGACCCCACATAAAACATTACTGAACCATAAACCACCTTCGAGAGCCTCCTCTGGCAGTTCCACAAATTCAGCCAAAGGGTTCTCGTCCAAGGTTAGTGTGAACCAGGGCCCCGATGTCGCAGGGTTACCACCAGTGCTAGTTGGGCGATTGGAGGCAGGGGCGGTCGGAGGAGAGTGGGTGACGGTCGGGGTGATGTTCAAGAATGATTTAAACCCGACCTACCAGACTTCAGATTGTCATGATTGGTGAAGTGAACGCACGACTCACTTTCGATACTACTTCTCCGACCTCTCTGAAATCGGCACATTTGCCCAAGTTACTCTTCGCTAAGAAATCCTCTATCAGCCTAGTTCCGATGTTGTAGCCCATTTTCTCCAGTTGCTTGTTCACTTCGGCGTAATCCTCATAGTCCTGGATCAACTGGACCACCAAAGCGCCGTATGTAAGGGCGAATAGCTCTGCATTCTGAGGAGGTCAGCGACCGTTGGCAACGATCTGGGGATGCTCACAATTTTCTCGGTTCGTCCCTTCCAAAGGTCCTCGCCGATGCCCTTGTACTGCTTGCTTGTGGTCGCCATATGATCGTGGTGGTATATGACCGCGTCGCCGTCACACTTCGAGAAGCTGTCACGCTGCTAATTACTTTTAGAACTGTAACATCATGTCGCGACCAGAATTGCAAGCCCCTCCGGAAATTGTATGTCCTCAGCACTATTAGATGAATCTACGATCACTTAAATTTCTGTTTCGATAGTACTATGGGGACATCGAGGCCAAAAAGTACACAAAAAAGTACAACGCCTCCATTTATCGCTGCTTTTATCTTCTTACACGGCTCATCCAGCACCCGTAATCAACAGATCCAGGCCGACATGACCTACCGAGCCCTGGAACTCTTAAATCTACCACCTGATGAACCTGCTTTTCTGCTCGACATAGGATGTGGCTCCGGATTGTCAGGCGAAATCCTCACGGAAGAAGGATACATCTGGGCCGGTGTAGACATCGCTCCTAGCATGCTAGGTAATGCTTGCCATTTTTTAGTATTTCGTGCACTCAAACTATCGGAGAGGTGGCTTTGGAAAGGGAGGTCGAAGGGGATCTCTTCCTCCAGGATATAGGCCAGGGCTTTGGGTTCCGACCAGGTAGCTTCGATGGGGCTATCAGGTTCGCATAGTCTTCATACACTCCAGTAGGCCCATACTCACTTATGCTGCAGTATATCCGTACTTCAGTGGCTCTTAAATGCTGAGACGTCTCACCCCACATCCTCACCTCCGCATCGGCTCAGTCGATTCTTCACAACGCTGCATTCCGCCCTACGAAATCCGTCTCGCGCTGTCTTCCAGTTCTACCCATCCTCGGATGATCAGATACAGCTAATAACATCATGCGCACTCAAAGCGGGATTTGGAGGAGGCATCGTGGTCGACTATCCCAATTCCAATAAAGCCAAAAAAGTGTTCCTTTGCCTATTCGTTGGTGGAGGCGGACAACAACAAATGCCCAAGGGACTGGAAAGTGAAGTAGAGGAGGATGCTCGAGCGAGATTCGAGCGGAGAAGGGAGAGAGTACGGAGTAAGGATAAAAGCGGGAAACGAAAGCACATGAAGGACAAAGATTGGATTCTTCATAAGAAAGAGGTATGTGATGCATATTAAGCACACACTCGGCGTTACTAACATCTTGCACAGTTGTACCGGAAACGTGGAAAAGAGGGAGTCCCGAATGATTCTAAGTTTACAGGGAGACGACGACGTCCAGCCTTCTGAACTGATTCCTTTAGCATTCAGTGTCTGTAGTCATAGTACAAATGTAATTGATCATCTATTGTGTAGAGGCATACAATGCAATGCAACAAAAGAACACGTACTCAATAATCAATCGCTGTCAATCATGATCACATCATCGTCATCCACGCCCCAGTCATGTTCAGGCGAAGGGCTTCGTTGCTTCGCCTTCGCCTTCTTAGAAGGAGGTGCGTTGTTGACTCTGGAGGAGTTGTTGCTCTGCAGAGTCCTTGCGCCGAGAGATTGTCCTGAACTGCCCCAGGAATGACTTGTGCTGTCAACAGCCTTCTCCTTCCCTTTACCCTGCGATGTTGATGCGGCGGATGGGCCTCTCCCGGTGAGAGTATTGCCCGGGCCTTGGAAAGAAGCAGGCTAGCCGAGAAAATCAGCGGTTTGGTGGTATTCGCAACGTGAGGGAACGAACCTGCGACGAAGGCTCCGACGAGTTGCTTTGCTCTGGAGGTGGTGGAGGCGCAGACTGAGGGACGTTGAATCCGAAGAACAATTGCCCGAATGGAAGATTGAGAGCAGCAGGAACTTTAACCTCGCCTTCAAACGTGCCATTTGAAACGATACGATGTTGGCTTTGGAAATAGGTTAGTGAGAGTCAAAGATGATAGACAGAGGGATTCACTCTGTTCGTATAATTTTGCTGCCTTCTGCGACCTGCTCGATTTGACGATGGCTAACACCTCTTCCCTTAGTTTTGCGTCCCCCCAGTGTCTCGCCTCGCCCTTTGAAGCTTTCCCATTGATCTCCACCTTTGCTGAGTGTTGGTGCGCCCGTGTGCGCACCGGTAAATCCACCACTGAGAGATGAGCCTGGTCGCGATGAACCGGGAGATGAAGAGTTGAGGTCAATCTTCAATTTCGATGCCATTGTAGCTGGAGGTGGCGTCTTGGGTCGCTCGGGTTCTACGTACCCAACGGGCGCAGCAAAGTCGACTTCTAGATCGGTATCAAGTACGCTGATGCCTCCACCGCCAGGCGTTGTTTCCATAACCAGAAGTCCAAATACGATTGAGTTGTAACATATCTCAATGATGTCACCCTGCGTTAACGCGGTAAAATTGCGCAAGGCTTGCTCCAATCTGAGAAGGAAGATGAGGGATGATATCCATGCAAAGACATGAACATACGCACACTGCTCGATGATCTGAGATTTCGAGGAAGTGTACCGATTGTGCTTGCAGCTTAACCAGCTTTCCTTTTGGAAGTTCTGTGCCAGTGATTCGTATCGGATCGCCTTCGTTCAGACGCAATGTCTTCATCATCCAATACGGCAGATGAACGACTCCTTCTTCAGCGATGAATTCCAAGACGCCGGCATGTGTGGACGCGGCCGAATTAGCGGGGTTACGCAATTCGAACATCCACGGTCCCTCGATTTCAAGATTAGAGAGATGCGCAAGGGCTGAAGGGGGCATTATTACTGCACGCGCGTCAGTATGGATTACACAGCAATCGCGCCAAAGAGAACATTGCTACTCACTCTTGCCACCGTAGGATAGATTGTCTCTTTGCTTGCCAGGGAGCATCGCAACGCTGTACGCCTTGAGATATTCATCGAAAGCGCGAGGCGGGTTGCGGGCTGCGTGAGGGAATCCGCCTCTGAGACCTCTGGATCGCGAGGTCAATCAACCACTTCAATCAAAGGGAAACGGTCACCAACTGTGTTAGATGTGCGAACAATCCCCCTGGACCGTCCTGATTTCCGAACTACAACCAATATTGAGTATCTTGCCCTTCGAGAGGGTCGAGAGTCGTACAAAATCCATTTGAGAGGCTTCAGGTCAACGTGCAGTATAAATGGTGTATAGTGAACGTTACTAAAGGGGCCGCGTAGTGTATACGCAATCTCGTCGTAGGCGCCCGGCGTCTAAAGGTTCATGGAAAGACTCCTCCGACGATTTCGACGCGGTGGTGGAGACCCGAATGTCACTCGAATACGCAGAAGACAGACTCTGGTTCGCCATTTGTCGGCTCTAATCTCTCTTATCAAGTTCGTGTTCGGCTCTACTTGCCTGGCGTAGTCTCTTGACACCTTGTACTGCAGCCTGGCACTCTTCGTAGCAGGCTATGTATGGATGCTAGTCATACCACTTCCCAATCTAGGGAGGTTCACGTACATTGACGAGAATGCCTTGCAACCAGGACAGGTAAGTTGTCTCTTCGGAGCTCCTTAATATGCGCGTTCAGCGAATTATGTTTAGGTTACGACGTACTTCGACTGGGGAAATGTTCATACGGCAGACCTGTACCTCACTGAATTAGAGTCGCTGAGGGACTCGAATGCAACTAGTGCGGAGTAAGTCTGGTTGTGTATCTCTGGCCATGTTTCCTAATGACTTCCACAGGAGGGCCTCCTACATCACAACTCAATTCAAGCGTCTCGGACTACCAGCCGCTTCTCAGGCTTACAAATTCGATGCTAACGCAGGGGTGCGTCCAGCGGTAAAATACCAGACTCCGTGCTGAATTCGTATTATTATCTTAGTCGCTCAAGGGTGTCAACGCTTATGCCGCATTTCCCTCACCTCGGTCGTCTGGAACGGAAGCTATCGTGATCAGCGCATCGTGGCTTAGCCGCAGTGGCAACGATACACTGAACTTACGAGGAATAGCGACTATTCTAGCCCTGGCCGATTATCTAAAGAGTTGGTGTCTTCCGATTCCTATGACATGCTAGCTGATATAGGACCTAGAGTATTCGTTATGGGCGAAGGACCTTGTTTTTGTCGTCAGTGATGGATATCTAGATGGTATGCAAGCGTGGCTTAATGCCTATCATTCCACTCCTCAGTCCAGTTAGTCACTCAGACATCCCTGTGGATTGACTCTAAGATATACTGTAGATCTGAAGGCTGAAGAGCTTACACTTACGTCTGGCGTCATATGGACGGCTTTGCATATCGATTATCCAGGTCACTCATTCTCCCATCTTGGCATATTTCATGGTAAGATCACCTTTTACATTCTCCAACGACATTCTGACCGTCTGACCGTCAATGGTGCTTTAGAGGGTGTTAACGGACGGCTAACGAATCAGGACTTGGTAAATTCCTTCGAACGGATCGCCCGATCTAGTGGCGTACCTACGGTTCTGTATGATCACATTGACTGGCGCGACAACGCGGCTAGTCGAGCAGAGCTCGAGATCATACCACCCTGGGTTCCGTCCTTCCTGCGGGACAACCACGACGTCCAGACGTACGCCTTCCAGGCCAAAAATGTCCTGAGACACGTAGGTTACCAGGCGCGTGGGCAGCCGAGTGGAGTTCATGGGCTCTTCCATCAGTGCGTTTCCCCACCATGTACCTTCTCCCGTCTAACCGCTCTTCAGGTTTCGCATTGACTCGTTTACTATTTTTGCTGTACCTGCTACTGGACCCCACGGATTCCACGCCATCGGCCGGTAATTCTCCTGCTCTCGTTCTTTGCATCGCCAGGGTCTTAACTGCCATTCACAGAATTGTCGAGTCGACATTACGGACGGCCAATAATCTCCTCGAACGCCTCCATGCATCATTCTTTTTCTACATTCTTACTGGCCCATACAGATTCCTCAAAATAGGATTATTCCTTCCTAGTGCAATATTAATCAGCGTCGCCATGATGTTTAGTGGATTGAAGATATGGACAGACGCAGGCTGGGTTCGCGACGATTCACCAACAGATAACAAAACAAATTCACCTCAGGAACAATGGACGACCAGGAAGCGACCCGTCCTTTCTGTCCTGCGCGTTATGATTTCAACCCATATCATCGGTGCCCTCGTATTTTGGCTCATTACAAGGTCTGTCGTAATAAACAGTCAATCGGTAAGTCTATTTCTGTCCACTAAGTCCATTAATTTTGACTTCGGGTTGCAAGCTTCTGGCCCTTATCTTTCTCGGCGTATCGACACTCCCGATGGTCTTCGTGACGCTATTCCCATCGCCATCGGCCGCAGTTCCTACTTCATCAGTGCTCAAAGCGTTTAGCTTGTGCCTCGCCTCGACCGTCATCTCAACAACTGCCGTTCTCAATTTCTCACTAGCGGCATTATTGGCGATCCTCCTCGGTGTACCCATGACTTCTGCTCGACGGATAGATAGCGTGCCCATCGGAGTCGCTGTATCTCTCATGTACACCTCCTTAGCCTTTGGCTGGTTAGTGTGGCCTCAAGCGGAGCTCCGTTCTGCCGTCTGGAATTGGGACATTTTAGGAGTTTGGACAGCACCCTTCATCAGTATCGTATATGCTCCTCTAATGCTTCAATCCAGTATAGTGTGTTTATCATGACAGAAATCTACCCAGTGTCCAAATCTATTGTCGCTACAACCACATACAACGAAAAGTTACAGACCCGTCTTATTACAGCACGACGTCGTGAAAACCTATATGATGATGGCCTCAAAGAAAAAATAATCTACAACCCAAAACAAAGACGAGTCAATGATAGAGAGAAACAACATCGTAGTTTAGAAACCCGAGGAGACAAAAATGAATGAAATGTGTCCATCCAAAACCCAAATGAGATATGGTGTTCATACAAGTCTTTGAAAGTCTGTCTGTGCCGCAACTTCAGAGGCTTCCAGTGAATGGTAAGACCTGGAGGACAAAGGACCCGCCATAGGGGCTGTTTGGTTCATAAAGACGCTGAGCATACCTGAGTTACTTACAGGCGCGCGAGCTTCTTTTAGAATAGACGTAGCCGTCATCATGATATCCACTTCGGTGGATTGCGTCCCGTGCAGCTTGACCGCTTGAGCGACCGCATCTTGCGTTTTGGCGGATACCTCGTTCACGGTGATGTTGTTCTTCTCCACCGCTATGGGTGCTCCGCTGACATATGTCCGATCAGCCAGCACCGTCTCCGCTGCTGTCATGACCAAAGACTGCGCCGCTACAGCTAGGGCGCGTGTGTCATCATGCAGTGGCGGCACCTGTCCAGAAATTTCCTTGTCACATGCGCTTGCTGTTCGGGTGAGGACGTGCTGCTGCTTGACAAGATCTTGGATCTCAGTATCTTCCGTGTGCACGGCAGATACTAGATGGGACTGGCGCTCATGTGCAACACGCTGAGCGGCCGTAGTGAGAACCCTGATCACCTGAGCACCTTGAGACGATGCTTCGGCCCCCTGCCCGGGCAGTGACGATCGAGGACCCCTACATGGATTTCAGCAAATTATATTCAGATAAAGAGGGCAGAATCTACCTTTGCGTTGCTGGAGGAAGCACTGAGTCACTAGTACTGCGGCGCGTAGCAGGGGTTTCATGGCCAATGGACGATCGGCGGGATTGAGAGAAGGATGTCTCGATCGTTGACACGGGGGCGATGTTTAAAGAGAGTTTTGACGAAAGTTGGCCCTCTTGCCCATCAAGAACATACTAGATCGTACTTGAGGTGAATGACTTTATGTGCAACAAAGAGCATACCTTAGCGATGACAGTGATCTCGCAGCTCTGGGCATCAGTAGGAGGGACTCCAGATAACACGTCATCCTTCCAACTGAGCCACGGCGGTAACGAGGGGGAACTATACTGAACAGGAACATTGGCGAACGATGCTTGAGGATCCCAGATTCGGGGAGTCCAGGACCATTTGAGGCCACAGTAAGCCACGCCTGGGGGATTTCCGGCGAGCTTACGATAGAAAGGACGGAATTCCCATTTCCCATCGCCAGCCTTTTTGGCTTCAATGTTCCAAATATGATTCCCTTTGGATTTGGCTTTTTTCCCATCTTCATTGAATCGAAGGATGTACTGCTGTTTCCACAAATAGTTGCGGACCTGATACGTACGTGAGTGATGTGGTGTCGCAGAGCTGGAGGTGACTTTACCTTCTTCATTGGGATTTTCTCTTCAGGATAGCCTTGTCGTGAGAGCTGAGCGAGAGAAGATAGGTTTGAGGCCGGGAATACGTTTATACCAAGAAAATGCCATACCTCTTCCAAGAAACCGTGGGTGAAGGCTTGTATCCTAAATTTAAACGGTCGAAAGTCTGGCGATTCGTCCAAACGCTGCATCTTTTTTGCCATCAACGTCTGGTGGATGGGCTCCCCCTTCGAATCAGTCGCATCCACTGGAAAGCTACCATGAGATCGCAGAAGCCGGAGAAACGGAGAACATACGGTTGGAACATATCTTGTTAAGGTATTCGAAGAAGATTCGATCCACCTCGGTTCTGTATTCTTGCGGGATATCGGAACCAACATTTTGGGGGTGGTCCAGCGAAGACTACGAGTCGTGACAATTGACGACATGGAGAGACAAATATAGAGTACTAACCAGGTGGTGGTTACGGCGGCCAGGGGATCCTTCTTCATGCTCGTCGTCTTCTTCGTCATCATCGTCATCTGAAGGCGATCCCCTTGCAGACGTATTTGATGATGTTGACGCAGGAGTTTCCGTCGTCTCTTTGTTGTACCAACTAGACAATGGCGTGGGAGCTGACGTTGGGCCTGCGCCCCGAGCGATCTCAGGCCACAATGTGTTTGTCGGTTCTGGGCGCTCCACATAAGAGAAACCGAACGGGCTGGTATACGTGCCAGAGATAGAACCTGAACGTGACATGCGCCCTACAGGGGCGCCCACAATTGAACCAGCAACCGCAACGGATTGTGGTTGTGCCATCGTCGGGAACGGGGCGGGCTCAGTGGGATGACTTGTAACTAGTATTGGCTCCCCTCCATTGGAAGCAAGAGAGCCAGCTGATAACGAGTGTCGATGCCGAGGTAAAGTGATGGTCTCGGACCAAGGGGCTCTTCCAGTTGAAGGGAAGCCAGGGGATGTGAGTGGCGGTCCGACTGCGACTGCAACTGACGTTGGTGGTGCACTCGAATAATCCACCGCTGGTGGGGTAGGTGGTGGGATATTGAAAGGAAACCCGACTTGGCCGGGAGTGGATGGACCGGCATTAAAAGGAGACGGGAAAGGTATGGGAGGCGGTGTGGGAGGTGCAGATGTGGGGGCAACAGTGCTCAACACCGGTGGAGAAGGGACGATGTCATCAGAAGGGAGCGTGGTCAATGGAAACACTGACGATGCCTCGGAAGGCTTTTGCGGTGTTGGCGAGGGATTCAGAAGCGGATGTTCTTGAGGCTCCCGCTTCAAGGATTTTATTATACGCTCCTCGTCGACAGCAGATGCACAGCGCTTTCGCGACGAGTCCAGCATGCGGAGGTGAACGTTGTCAGCTGGGGCAGGGAATGTAGCGAGCTGTTCTTGGGATGGCGTTAAGATCTCATTGCTATTGTTTGGATGCAACATTAAGCCAGGGACAACAGGATGATTCGGAGGCGTAAAGATGTGGTCATTGAGATTCATCATCCTTAGATGGGACACGACTTCAGACATCAACTGCGTGACAACAGATATATCGCTTTGAAGTCGGCTGACCCCATTGCTAGCTTGCATGACTTGATTGTTCTGACAAGCCAGCTTGGTAGTGCTCGCAGCGGCGACAATACTGACAACCATGGTTAGTACATCGCATCGAGTAATAGAGCCGATCGTACTTGTCCAACACCGTCTCGAGGATTGTTAGTGGCGGAGAGGTCCTATCTTCCTGCTTCACATTGGGGGGACTCTCCGCTTCCACCGGGACTGTAGCAGTCACAGCAGGAATAGCCAGCGGTTGATTCATTGTGATATCGGGAGAGAATGCGTTGGCTGCCGCGACAGAGGCGGCAGACAAATGGTTATGTTCTGCCAGAGATGCAACTGCCGGATCAAGAGCGGACGCTAAGGATGACACCCCTCCGCTCACTGCGAACGCCGTTATGTTATGAATGCCTGGGGAAGGGATTTGGGACTGTGGGGGAGACGCGGATGAAGAGTGAGTGCTGCTGGGCGTATGAATAGTCATACTGTTCTCAATTTGAGGTGGTGATGGAAATGAATCGCATCCTCGTGGAAAATCCGGGATAAAATTGGGTGGCTGAGCCGTTAGTGAAGGGGGTTCGACAGGATCCATTGGTGGCATATATACTGGTTGGGAGTGTGTAGGCATTGACACGTGCACAGGAAGAGACATGCCACCAGCGCGTGCTGTCTTGTTTGGGAAAATCATTGAAGGGGGTTCCTGCATGACCGCAGATGGTGAATTCTGCAAAGGGGCATTGGAGGACGAAAGCGGAACGGTCAATAATAAGCTGGGAGAAATGTCGGACTGATTTGATTGCAGGATTTGAGTATTGTCGATGGGTGATGTTGCCATATGCTCTTGTTGGGCATCCATGGGCGATATGTCGGAGATGAGTTCCAAAGAGAGTGAATGCCAATCAGACTATCGCAACCAAATCGCAGCCAGCACGATGGCCCCGAGGAGAGTCGTAGAGGAGATGGGGGATGAGGGGGACGATGTTCAAGATTATACGATGGATGGCGAGCTGGCGGAGAGCGTCGAGCGCGACGGTGAGCAGGATAAATTTGAGGGCTGAGGCGACAGAGTACAATGGAGAGTCGTGGCTGCGGTCGTACGCGTCGTGCAAGTCCCCCGAAACCCAAGATGAGGAGAAAGCGTGATAGAGGAAGAGAGAAAGAAAGGCTAGGGAACGATAGGGATGAGCTCAGTCTTCGTCACTGGCCAAGAGCCATTCCTGTCACATGGTCACACTCGACCGGGTTCCCTTCAAATGGTTCCGTGATATCCACCGTTAGGCGACCTTGCATGATACCTTAGCAAACCGAGTCCGCAAGGCCGACCCTCTGCTCTCCCCATCCTCGCCTCCGATGCCTTCCATGCCGTCATGTTACTCTTCCTCCTTCACAAGTCCCCCGCGGTACCGTGAAAGAGACTCTGATCACGTCTGCTTTTTAGGTCTTCATCGACCAATTTCAAACATCGAGAAGACACAGAAGACTAACAGAAGACACTCCGACAAGCGGTCGTGATCGTGCACCGTCCGCAAGCTTCGATCGCCATGAGAGAGGCACGTTTACAGAAAAAGCAACTATTAAATACGCTACACAGTAGGATGCACAAAGAAATGCGGTAGCTGACCGGTCTTAGAATCTTCTCCGCCCAGGACTGCGGGATCGCTCCCGGTCCCTTCGTCTGTCGCTGTATGAATGTCAATTGGTAGCTGGTTATAGACAAAAGCAAAAACTTCATACTCGTATCGCGTCGAGGAGTGCCGCTCATATCCTCTATCCCTATCTCGATAGTCGTCCCCACGAGACCTGTGTTCGCCGTTCCCACGAGATTGCGAACCACCATCCACAGAACCTGCCCCACCTGACGGTGTCGACCCAGGAGGTCCCATCTTTCTCTTCTCTCTCTCTTCCCTGAACTTGCTAAGCATGTTGCGCAGTTCGTGGTAACCCAAGTGCATCTGAACAGTACAAATGTGCCCAAATGAGAGGATCTGCGTACGCAATCGACACGTTCACTTACTTTACCACCAAAATGGTCAGCCAGTCGACGATCAGAATCGAGGACGGACAGGTATGCTCCACAGACGTCGCATACGCGGAGCTTCTGGTGACCTGAAGCTCCGGAGGTGTCCGTTAATTGTTGAAGCTCGCGCTATAGTCATGAAAGGTTGAGCTTGAGATACGATCCTCGTAAACGTTCCCCTCACTTCTTTCTCTGCCTTTTCACTTTTGAGGGCTTCGATTGCAGCCATTTCGTGCATTGATTCATCAACTTTCCCCTGCTCACCTAAGGGGCAGTTAGAGTATTTCAGCGGAAATTACGTGCAAACTCACCAAGTGTCTCTATCTTCTCCGTTCCACCTTGGATAGCCAATTCAATCTCGGCAATTTCCCTCATCTAGAATAGACGGGTTTCGGGCTCACTGTGAGTTCAATTAGTGGCACTCATTTGACTTACTAGATTGGTAGTTTTGGCATTCTCTTCTGGTGTTTTCTCTAACCTACGGTGCGCCGCGCGGATCCTTCGGTCACACTCGTCCACGAATGCGAATATATTCGCTTCGTATTCCATTTGGAATCGGTTGAACAACGGGTCGCTAGGGTTCGCTTCCCTAGCGGCCAAAAACTCGGTCTTCAGGCGTTCTGTATGTGACTTCGGGCAGGCGCCTAAGTCCATTTTCTATAATATACCATGTAGCGAGAATAAGACAGGGAATCGCGGGCAATACGCACTGTGTTTGTGAAGAGTGTATGAGGGCAGGTCCCACAAAGAAAATTCCTGCACACTTTATCGTCTGACCATACCAGGTTTGCATTCGCAACACCCATAGCCTCCGGTCCCATCATTTGCTATATGAAAGGTGAGACTTTGCAGAGACTGCGGATGCACCAGCTGACCTCTAAGAGCTTGCGCTGCATTTCAGCTAGTCTGCCCATTGTTGCGAGGTTAGTTCGAAAGGGGTGCGCTATGTGGGCTCGGGCAAGGAGACGTCGAGGTCAACAGTTGATGCAGCTGAAGTTCGACTGACGCCGAACGGAGGGCTATGGCTTTTCGACCAAGCAACAACAAACTTTCCGATTCCACCCCGGAGTGGTCAAGAAGCATTCAGTTCTAATAGTAAGCTGGCTCAGTAAAGTATGTACAGTAGGTGCTCGGATCTATAGGAAATTATTGACAGTGTACTAATATGCAAGTAGGGACGCAATCTCCGGGTAATGCAATGAGATTCACAGTCAATGACATTTCATTGACTTGAGGGACCATTGCGGAAACCACGGCCTCTTGTATGGCCCCGTCCCCTTCCTCGTCCGCGACCTCGACCACGGCCTCTCCCTCGGATGCCCCGATCCCCAATATGCTCTTGAGGTGGTGGTCCCCCCTCGTTGTGTTGATGCTTATCGTCCGCAGGAGATGTCGGTGTTGAAGATGAAGGCTCGCTGCTGTGAGATGAGGCCGTAGTTTCATCGTCGCTATCTTTCGACTGTTCGTCGTGAGAGATTTCCAGGCCCTCCAGCTGTGCGAGGAGAGCACAAACTTGTTTCTTTTCGTCTCCTTCCTCTAGGTTGGACTCCAGCGCGGCGATGACCTCTTCTCTTGATGAAAGCTTACTACCATGTATCAAGCGAACAACGTCCGGTTTACCGCTGCTAAGCGCCATCGCCATCACTGAGGTACGTTGTGGCGTTGAGTAAACAAGGCCAGTGTCCTCGCCGGGCGGATATGCTTCAAGGAGGTACTTTACTACCGACGGGTGGCCATATTGGACAGCAATATGGAAAGCCGTAAGATCGTCAGAGTTACGTTCCTCCACTTCAGCATCTAAATGACAAGTCAGACAGGTTTATATGCATCAAGGTACACCCTTACTGTGAACATCCAGCCACTCGACCAAGTCAACATTGCCCTTCATCGCAGCTATGTGAAGCAATGTTTCTTGCTTGTCTACGACTGGGTGTGGAGCAAAGTCTTCACATCCGATTTTGATCTCTCCACCGGACGCGTCCACGCCGTCTTCCCAGATGCCCTTCTTCACTGTTGCTTCATCGTTGGCACGTGCTGCTGCGAAAACCGAAGATCGTAATGCCTGAGCTTGTTGCTTCTGGTTTCGCAGAACGTCTTCAGCATGTTTCTTCTTGTTCTTAGCGGCTGCTTTTTTACTCCTGTGTTTAGCTTTCTGCCGTTCTTCTGCCTCTTTCTGTTCTGCAATGAACTAGTCAATGTCTATTTATAGAATCAATGAAGCATACCTACCCCGTTCGCGATCCATCTGAGCTCGAGCCTTTCGTCTCTCTTCTTCTCTTTCGCGACAAGTTCTCGCATCTTCTTGTTCTCTGCGTATTTGTGCCAAGCGAGCCTCGCGTTGTTCCTGTGATTCTGGCGTTTCTTTGTAGTATTTAGATCCTGGTCCACCTAAAGAGCCCATGAATATCATTGAAACCAAGTCTGTTGCGTCTTACCCTCAGGGACTCGGAACATATAAGGATGAGTGTAAAAGAAACTAGAAGAGAACTCAGTGGCCTGTTGCGATAGAACAAAAGGCAAATCTTACCTGAAGAATGCCCGTTCCGCCTCCAGGTCATAGAACATATCCTCGTAATCATAGAAGTCGTCATCGTCGTCGTATTCGTCATAATCATCGCCACTGTCGCTCTCGTAGAAGTATCGGGGGTCTCTTGAATTTGTTTCAGTATCAAGATGTCGTTGCAAGACGCGATACGCCTCGCCCAATCGTTGGAATTCGGCTGTAGCTTGTTCATCGTCCGGGTTTTTGTCTGGATGGGTCTTCAACGCGAGCTAAAACGTAACAGTCAGCGGAATATGTCGCGTCAACCTCGTGCCACTCACCCGTTTGTACGTCGATCTAACGATGTCCAACGATGCCCCCTGAGGCACAGTTGTGAGCATATCTGTAGTACGAGATGTTGCTCAATATCGCGCGTACCTGCTCTACCCCAAGGATATCATACGCTTCTTTGTGGCGCATGGGCGACATGATGGACGGATTCAAAGAACTCGACGCGAAGGCGTTTAGGGTCCTTTAAGGGACGTTCCATATAAGGGAATCGCATACTAGCGCGTCGAGCCAAGTTTTTCCGACGCGACCACCTGATGAACACACCGCTGCCTCCTCCTCCCAGCGCGACGCAGGCAGTCCAAAATGCTGTCACTATGGACCCAAGCGCACCCGCGACTAGCAAGGGATTGTCCTCCATCCCATTCCTGTCTGACCTGATTGGTGACAAGTACGCACGTTCTTTAGTTTCGCTGTCGTCGCTTGCATGCTGAACCACTATGAATTTAGCCCATATTTTCAAGCCGGCTTTGGTTTGATGGTATGCATCCATGAACTGACTGTGCCATGTCACTCAAACTGTCCAGGGTGTAGGTGTTGGTTTATCCGTCCTGCGACAAGGACTCACTCTGGGGAGCGTATTCTTGCGCAGAAGGCTACTTGTCTCCCTTGAGGTCAATAACAAGGATCGTTCCTACGAGTGGTTCCTATCATGGATGGCACACCAGGCCACCGCAGCCCCATCAAGGAACCCAGCTTCCCGGCTCTTGAGTCGCAGTCACCAACTTAGTGTTGAAACGACAATAGAGCATCGAAAGAATGGTAGTTCCTCCGCGATGTTCTCCCTCGTTGCAGGCCCTGGTACACACTGGTTTCGCTATAACGGTGCCTGGATGCAGGTACAAGCCCTCTCACCTCGCAGTTTGCAACTAAATATAACACCGTTCATGGTCACCAGGTTAAACGTGAAAGGGAGACACGATCAACCCAACTCATGTCGGGCATGCCTTGGGAGACTTTAACTCTCACTACGCTCTCTAGAGATCGTGCTTTGTTTCCGCGACTACTGGCTGAAGCGAGGGACTTGGCCATGCGAGGGCATGAAGGAAAGTTAGTTATTCACACAGCCTGGGGAATTGAATGGAAGCCATTTGGCCAACCACGGGGCAAGCGCCCTTTGCAGAGCGTTGTCCTGCAGTCTGGCGTAAGCGAAAAGATCGCCCAAGATGTGAAAACCTTTCTGGATCGCCGACAATGGTATGCCGATAGAGGTTTGTTCACCATGCGTCGGGTGCAATAGAAGATAGCTTATCATTTGTTTCAGGCATTCCATATCGCCGAGGGTATCTTCTTCACGGTCCCCCAGGCTCCGGAAAGACGTCCTTCATACAAGCTCTCGCAGGTTCCTTATCCTACGATATATCCATCCTTAATTTATCAGAACGGGGTCTGACCGACGACAGACTCAATCACCTGCTGTCGAATGCCCCCGAGCGCAGCTTTATCTTGGTCGAAGACATTGATGCCGCGTTTAGTAAACGAGTACAAACGTCGGAGGATGGGTGAGTAGACAAGCTTCGTGTTTGCCCAAATTGACCGATCTCGTTTCAGATACCAATCTTCAGTGACGTTTTCGGGCTTCCTCAATGCACTGGACGGTGTGGCGTCGGGTGAAGAACGCATCGTATTCATGACCACAAATCATCTTGAAAGACTCGATCCAGCTTTGATTCGTCCGGGCCGCGTGGATGTGACGCAGCTTGTAGACGATGCGAGCCCGATACAAGCCAAGACCCTTTTCACGCAATTCTATGGCGGAAACGGGATCGAGATCCACCAGTTGGAGGAACTAAACTCACTCGGTGATGCGCTGGAACAGCTTCTCGCCGAGCATAAGGACAAAGGGCAACGAATAAGCATGGCGGCGCTGCAGGGCATCTTTATTCGAAATGGGGCTAAGGAGGCCGTTGAGGAATGTCAGAGGTTCTTTATTGAAGGAGCACCATCTATAGCATAACAACACCTATACCCTTCCCAGGAGGGACCCCGTCTACCCCATTTACGCCAGCAAATGGCTTAGTTCGCCAATTGTAGAGGTAGAAGTTAAGGAAGCCATCGCCAACTCCGAACTATTGTAATACCCGTCAATAATCACCCAGAGAAATAATAACCACTCTACACACCTTCAGATCTTGCAAAATGGGAACGTTGTCCATCAGCGTTAGCGCGTTGAACACGTCGAATTTGGCTTGGTCAGCGACTATGAGCGCGTCATTGATGAGTTCCTGTACCCGTCTTTTCAGCAACCCCGTGTCCTCCGCCCCCTCTTGGAAAGCAACGTCGGTAGCATAATAATATAGATATGCCGATTCAAGGACAGCATGTTTCTGGTCGTTGATAATTGTTGATGGAAGTGAGTAGAACGAAAAGAAATCGGTAATTGTGTGCGTGTTGGGGTTCTGCGTGGTAGATGAGCGCAAATTAGCATCCAGAGAGCGACATCCAATACTGACTTCAACGACAAATGTCCACACAACTTGGCCTTCCCGCCTCCCCTTCCACCCACTTTCCAAATGTTTGCTCAAATCGCCTCTCCCACTTAAGAACTGGTGTTTGACTTCAGGGAGTGTCATTTCTGGCGCCATTCCAAATCGCATCATGTAGCGGGTAAAGAGGGATGAGACTTGTTCAACATCCCGTTCTTCCATTTCACGCAGCCCCTTCTCAAGGAGCTGCGGAGTGGAAGGAAGTTTGTTAAGCCGTATCATACGGGCAAGGGTCATGTTCCGTGGAACATAACAAAACCGAATATCAACCAGTTTTGGAACATTCAACGAGCGATGGTAGTATCTGAGGAGCGCATCAGAAGATGTAAGTTAAGACAGATTGGTAGTACATGCCGGCATGTTGAAACGGGCGTTGGGAGGACGATTCCAGCTGTGTAAATCGCTTGGAAAATTCCCTTCAGGTGCACTTGCCTAGTAACCTCTTTGATGAGTACAGGTGTTAGCCTCTTTGATCTAAGCTTCTTGTGTACGCATAGGTAGTTGATTTCACTGGCTAGGAATTGTCTGAAACATTGAGGATGTTGAATAGTTAATAAATGGCAGACGAAAGCAACATAACCCACTTGTCTCGAACGCGAAGCGAAATCGGAACGCCAGAAATGAACGCAACCAATTTCTTATTGGAGGCGACGCGCACACCGACATGCCACTCTTTGAAGTAGCCCGGAGGCTTCAGAGCCCTATTGAAACGTTATTTCTGTGGGTCTAGCTCCAAACGCAGGGAGATAGAAACCATTCTAAAAACTCAGCGGTATATAAGAAACGGAATGAGGCGTCGTCGTCTTCGATATAGTTCAAGGAGAGTAGATCGTATACTTCTTTGGTCTGCCGGTATAGTTATGAAGCTGAGTTGCAAATGGCTTGGATTTTGTTAAGCACCTGGTTGGGGTCGGACATGTCTATTGTTGACCACTCGAACTCCTTGGGCAGAGGATATGGATCCTGACGGACTTCTTCTCTTGGTTTCGATGGCTCTATGAAGCCGTCCTCTTCGGGTGCCTCCTCGCCTGTAATACTTCAGTCAATCAACGTCAATCCGGTTAGTATTGGTGGACGAACCAGGTTGCGTGACAGGTTGGGTTCCCCAGAACTGATAACGTATTGAATTCAAGGATATGGATAGTTATTAATGGCGCACTTTATGGTCTCCTATATCCTTCTTGTTGATCCCCCCGATCCCCGATTTCCCCTTCATAACGTCCATGATCTTCAACTGCTCGAGTGTGGCCCTCACGGTCGCCTCATCTACCCCGGGAACGTTCTCCCCATGTTCGACTTGAACCTTGTTGAGAACCGTGTCAACAATTTCTTGGGGGATCTGCTCCTTGGAACGTAATGCATTGAGCACGCGCGAAGCTTTAGATTTTTTCTTCTTTTTCTTCTTGGGAGCCGACGTTGAAGGTTCGGCTGTGGCTTCGTCTTGAACCTCTACTTCGTCGTCGGAGCCAGAATCTTCGTGATCCTGTGTTATCTGATCTGTCTGAATCTCTTCAATCTTAGCACTCGGGGAAGACATCGTGCTCGTTCTGTCGAGGGGAGGAACCAAGATAACTTCGAGAGGTGATGAACGTCAAGTCCCAGCAGCTCTTATTACATCACGTGATCACACGCTCCTGTGAAAGTTAACGATAGATTACAGCTACTCGTCCATATTCACCGTCATCTTGGCCTGCACCAATGGCCCTGAGCCATTCCTCTAATGTATGCCAACCGACTTCAAAACTAGCGCATAGCTCGTCAGTGTGGTGCTCCCCATCAAGAAGCGAAACAAGCTCTGGGGGACAAGAGGACTGTATGTTAAGAGCGGACATGTTTGGGGCAGAAGGGGATCGTGAAATGCGTGGCCGTGCGGGAGCCACGGATAGTGTTGGCACAGCGGATGTCGAGAACGTAGACGCCAATGAAGCCCTTGAAAGGACTGGCGAAGGGGGAGGCGCTTGTGGATGACGATGTCTCTCGCTGTGGCTTTCAGATGGATCTGCCGAATGGAAAGAACTATGACGGGAATGCTCTTCTTTATTGGGTAGTATCCATGACATCCGGGGAGCGTGGCTGAGGACAGAGTTGTTGACATTGGCGGCGGGAGTCCTTTGCAAGTCCCTGTCCCTACTTCGCAGTTGTTCTAAGACCCGCTCTGCCGCGCTTATGCGCCTAGGTCGTTGTTTGGTCTCTGAAGGATAAGTTGACGTTACAGTGTCAGCATACGAAGGCACATCATTGCCGTTCCCATTAGTGGGAACCATCGAGTTATTCTGTTTCGGAGTTGAGGCACCTGTGGGGGGGCCTCGGCCTCGTATGTAGCCTGTTTGAAGCGGGGCAATCTCTACACCTCGCAAGCGGGCGAAGTTAGGAAATCTAAGCGCAGGAGTGTGTACGGTGCCAGAATCCATCTCATCGGTGTGACTTGGGGAAGCAGAAAGCAAAGACGCCATTGATTCCTGTGGAGTAGTTGGAAGAAGGATAGGAAATCTATGCACGCGTCGCAGGAAACCCTAGGGGACGTTGTATAAATCAGTCGGCAGAAGCAGAAAAAACAGAGCCACCTTGATAACCCCAAAGCTTGTAAAACGCCGTACGTCGATATCCATTTCCTCGACGTCGTAATCTTGAATCCATTGTAAGACGGTCTTGCCTGGTTTGAGACGCGAATATAGGTGCAATAGCTGGGGCCAGTCCGGAATCGTCCGCCCTAGAGTGACATTTAAAAGCGAGACACGGATACGATTCATCTCACCGACCGGGTTTGGTAACGTATGGGCCACATTCATCTCGAACATGCGATTCGTCCGCTAGCCACTGGATTGTTTTACGCAACGTGTACATATTAGAATATTGGAATATGTCAATCATCATGATGACTTGATAATACCTGGAAGCGCATCGTCAGCCTACTTCTCTAGTTAATTTGGACTGACGCACAGGAGGTGGGAGATGGCTTGACGGGTGAGGTCAATATCACAATCCGCAAGATATGCAATCTTGCTAATATGATTAACGCCGTCTATGTGCGTGCACACCTTAGCGATAGTCAGATCCCAGTTGGGTTCGATGCGTCTACACAGATTAATCAACGCGACTGGGACCATCCAGTCTTTGACGGGAGGGGGGTTGGGGTAGAAGGGGAATATCTTCAACTCTATCGAGTTAAACATGTCAATCGGAATTGAGGTCTCAGAGTAGGAATTGAGTTCTTCATAGAGTTGCTCCAAGACTCCATGAAGGGCGGTCGACTTCTGAGGATCAGACAGGAAACCTGACTCTTCCTAAGGTAGGCAAGGCAAATGTAAGCATTAGTACGACACCGAGGCCCGCGTGTTTCGCACCTCGCATGATGTCAATACTCGAGAAACCTTTCGGACAATAGGTTCGTAACAACTCAGGTCTGCTGAACGAGCAAACACGAAGCACAGGTTGTAGGTGAAGTAGTTTCGCTCGTATTCTCCCTGCAGATTTACGGGGAATCCAATGATGCGATACCTCTGCGCTGAGCATATAACGAGGCGACCACATAGAGCAGGCTGTGGTATCACATACTTGGATATGTCGTCGAAATTGAACAGGATCCTGTTCAAAGAGGTGGAACGTTTCTGGGGGGACTGGAGACCATGCGAGCCGGGTCGACTATCGGTGGGAGACATATGGGAAGTACTAGAGTTCCTGGATTCGACTCCAGGAAACGGTGTTGTGGGTGGAACGTCGATAGAAGATGGAGTTGGTGGAACGGAGGGATTGCCAGAAAGACTTGGTGGCGGGGCAATGAGACCCTCGGGGACCTGATAGACAATCTTTGGGCCCTGCCGCACATCGAAGACGGCGTAGAATACAGATTCAATGCGGGGGAGGAAAGAGTCACCATCGGAAGGCATTATTACGAGGGTGGACCGTGTTGGGACTCTGAGTGAAGTCAGGTCGACGACACGTGAGCAGTGAGCACGCCCCTTCTTTTCATGTTGCAACCTCTATTGCCAGGATTCCACTCGCTGCCTCTGCCGGTGGCTCAATTGACACTGTCGGCCGTTTTGAAATGTGGACAATCCTTTCGCTGGCATATACTCCCCCTTCCATCTCCTTTGGTTGATCCCCTCATGACACACGAATATCGATTCTGCCTACGCGATCGAGTTGTCTGCTTGCGCCAGTCTCAAGATACTCTATTCTATCGCTCCGTATTCCCCGCTCCTTGCCCAGCCCCGGATCAACTTGTGGCCAAAGAAATCGGCACTTTGAACTGGTTAACGAACTACTTCCAGCTGGAAGTCGATCTCATTCAATTATACGACGACTGGAGCAAACGCGACATCGTCTTCAGCCGTTTCCGAGACCGGTTTGCTGGCATTAGAATACTGAGGCAAGATCCTTGGGAGAATTTAGTTTCGTACGTGTCCCCCCGGTTGCAACAATCCTGAGACTTACGTCTAATATATTTAGATTCATATGTTCTTCGAACAACAACATTGCTCGTATCAGCAAGATGGTCCACTCACTTTGTTCTCATTATTCGCCTCCTCTCCTAGAGTTATGCAATCCTTCTTCCCAGACCGAGTTTAGTTCCTATCACCCATTTCCGCCACCGGTCGCTTTAGCAGGTTCGGAAGTAACTGCAACATTGCGGTCTCTTGGGTTTGGATACCGTGCAGACTTCATCCAACGTACTGCCAAGATGATTGTCGAGCGCTGCGACTCCCCCACTCTCCCCTTGGATCCTGAGAGTTGGCTCCTAACTTTGCGTCAAAAGAGCACTGACGATGCCCGCGAGGAACTCCTGAAATTTGTTGGTGTCGGCCGCAAGGTTGCGGATTGCGTCTTACTGATGAGTCTAGACAAGGTATATGATGTTACCCTCTTTGTCAAAACTCGCGCTGAATTCAGAGACATTTTCAGAAAGAAGTTATTCCTGTTGACACCCATGTTCAACAAATCGCTAGCAAATACTACAATATTAGCTCCACGGCAAGTAAGAAGCCAAAGACGAACATGACCCCCAAACTATATGATGAAGTCGGCGGCAAACTAGCTGATATCTGGGGAGAGTACGCCGGTTGGGCCCACTCTGTATGATGACATTCAATGCCTAAGCTTGCCGTATTCACAAAGACAACAGGTGCTCTTTACTGCAGACCTCAAGTCTTTCGTAGATTACGGTACAATGGTGGCTGAGGAAGTAGCACGCGATACAACAACATTGAAATCCGAAAAGCCACCCATGGATGACACTATTAATTCCAATTCTCCGACTTCCATCCCTCTCAAGCGTGTTCGCAGGCACAATTCAAGTGCCATAGAAAGCCCACAAGCGGTATTGCCCCAGCCCTCGGACGACAGCCTCTACGAAAGGATCAAAAGACGGAGACGAGGATAGACCAATTACGGGCGCCTACTCTCCCATACGTCACGCGTCATGCAGCCATGGCGTCCGAATCACTCTTCGTCAGTTACCACCATCATGTCCACGTTATCCAATGTGACGCCAGCCAAAGAACTCAGCAAAGAACAGCTAGGAACCATCTTCTGGCACTTGTTTAGTCGTTTGGCTCGGTATCGTAATCTATGTCAACTTCATGCAATGTCAGAATACCAAACATCGTCGGCTCCTCAAAACACCAAAGAGGACATGAAGAAGGGATTCGATAAGGAGATAGATGAATGGGCACAGATGATAGTGGATAGAACCTGGATTGCGTGCAAAAGCCCCGGAGGTAGTTTGCGCTCTCACTAGACACACGCATATATGATCTCATGTGATGCAGACGTTTGTCCAAAGCTCGACCCACTCGCAGACACGTCTACAACGAGCTTAGATCACATGCCCCCCGTCAATGAAACAGCGAGCGTCTTTAACGCAATCCTGTTCCTTGTTGTCACGTCTACGCAAAGCTATTCGTCGAGGACGCGCTCCTTCCTCGTATCCTTAGGGCCGTTGGACGAAGGCGCGGTGGTCAGAACATTAAAGCATCCAGACCAAGCACTAAAAGAAGCGCAAGAACATGCACAACAAACGACTGTAGCGCATGCTGAGCGTGGCAAGACGTTACGCATGGTCGGCATAGGCGTTGGGGCTGTCGCTGGGGGCATCCTTGTCGGAGTCACTGGTGGATTGGCAGCACCTCTAGTTGGTTCTGGCGTCGCGACGATACTAGGCTGGGCAGGCATCGGGGGTACGGCCGTTGGCTTGTTTGCCAGCGGTCTAGCTGGGTCGGCGGTCGTGTGTGGCGCACTCTTTGGTGCATACGGCGCGCGCTCCACGGCTGAAATGGTCGAACGATATACACGGGAAGTCCGGGACTTAAAGATCGTTCCCGTGATGCCATCCAAAGATACGTTAGCAGTTAGACTATGTGTGAGCGGATGGCTTGACGACGCTGCGGACGTCACCGCGCCATGGACGATTTTTGACGGCGATGATACATTTGCCCTTCAGTGGGTGAGTAAGGTGTCAGCTGGTCTGATCTTCACTAACCAGGTAGTATCAGGAAGTAGATGCTCTCAAGGATCTGGCCAACGCCTTGAGTGCATTGATTAAAACACATGCGATGAAGTTTGCCAAAGTAGAGATCATCAAACGTACGGTATTCGCTAGTTTGATGGCATCTCTTTCCCCAATCGCATGGTTGAAAATCGGACAGATAATTGGTGAGCCTTTGGAATATGGCATAGAAAATGAACCCATAACCAAATTCTGCAGACAACCCATGGATGAACGCTAAGGCATTGGCCGTCAAGACAGGCGCTGTTTTGGGAGAATTGATAGCGAAGCGAGCGTTCGGAAACCGTCCGCTAACGTTAACAGGATATTCTCTGGGTTCCTTGGTTATCTTCGAGGCCCTTCGCTATCTTGCATCGCTACCGCCAAAGGAAACTACACACCTGATTCAAGATGTCTACCTCTTTGGCACACCTGTCCCCTCCGACGATGTAGCATGGACGGCTTCCCGCCGCTTGGTTGCCGGGCGCTTGGTCAATGGCTACGCTGCAGACGACTACGTGCTGGCCGTTCTGTCTAGAGTTTCCGACGTAAATTGGAGCGTCTCTGGCCTGGAACCTGTTGATGTCATGGGCGTCGAAAACATCTTATGCGAGGAAGTAGAAGGGCATACTTATTGGCGAGGCATGATTGGTACGTGCCTAAGGAAAAGCGGGGCACCAGGGGTAGTTTCGGCGGCTGTGGATCGGCAGATACAAGAAGTTGCGGTGCCGACTGCGAAGGACAATGCACTTGGCGACGAAGAAGTGGAACGTCCTTTACAGCAGGGTGTCTAGCGGTCTTCCATTGATATGCTGTGGTTCATTTTATCGTGGAATCCTGTCAGTCGGTGGGTACTCTTGTGTGACAAAGCTGTATACATCTAGAACTCATCAACATGCTGGGTGTCGACGCCACGGTAGGTATGCGACCACTAAGCTACTTGGGCACACGCAAATTTTGTTACCACACTAGATCTTATACCCAACGACACTATTTGTGATCAACCTTGTTCTTGGTAAAATTTCTGTAGTTCTCCGAGTTGCGGCGCTTGTGGCGTCAGACTCAAAAGGTCCGACTTCCTCAATGCATGCCTGAGTTGCACACGGTATGTTGCTCACACGTGGTCTTGACATGGATGACATATGTTGAATTTCCAAACTCGGGACGGCTACTTATTGGTGTCTGTCAAACACAGAAACATGCCATCCGTCCCTTATCTTTCTACCTTTTTGCTGGCTTCACGCTGCTAATGAAAGCAGGCTCGCGATTCCCTGAAAGCTACTAGAGAGTCATGTCGAAACCAACGCCGCTTAGATCGTTCATAGGAGGGGTTGGGCTGTCGCTTCCAGTTCACTCGCTATTCGTGTTCAATGGCAGCAACTTCGGCGTTTCTGGGTTTATCCACAATGCAGTTGCTGGAGGAACTGAAGGCGCGGCAGGCGTTGTCGGTCTTGTACTTGGCGGGTTTCTCATCGGCTTATTGGAAGGAAGACCGCCTGCGGCGGTTCCGGGTAGCCTGAGCCAGATCGCTTTGGCGGGGCTCTTAGTGGGAATTGGGACTAAGGTCAGATCCAGCTGATTCGTGGCTATGCTACTTCCAACTAAGTTGACGTCTCTCGATGCTAGTTATCCAACGGTTGCACATCTGGGTAGGTATCAGAATCATATATTTCCTTGGACTGGAGCTGAAGGTGCCCGTAGACACATGCTCTGTGGGCTTTCTCGACTCTCGACTAGGTCGGTCTGCCATCACTCTGTGGTACAGGGGCTTACCAGGGGTGGATTCACTTAGGTCTCTCGCTGCGACGCTGTCATTTTTCATATCTGGAGCAGCTACAACCCTACTGATTCACGGTAGCAATCTACCGTCGAATTCCGACTTCGATTGGACAGTTGGTGACCATGGGATGCGACTGCTTTCCCTAAAGGCGTTCTGTATCCTCATCTCAACCATCTTACATACCGTCGTAAGCTTTCAGCCTCAACTGTATCTGACTGGGCCTTCTAGCTAATTGTATCCATTAGCCATGGGAACGATACGATGGATCTTCACATACAGACACAGAGTCGTCTACTCGCGAAACATTCTCTCTTTCGACCAAACGGAGGTTGATCACATTTTTCACCGGCTTGGATTTTGCCGTCGCTCTTCATGTATCCAATCTTACGGACGCAACTCGCGTCCTGCGCTTCCTTGTCCTCCCCTTTCACCGCGCTTTCGACCCTTCCCTCGCGTTCCTCGCACTCGGTGCTCTTCCGCCGGCTATTTATATGTACCACACTCACCGAGGTTCTGCCCGCCTTGGGAAGTTACCCGGAACGATAGCAACAAAGATAGACTCTAGGCTCATTGGAGGTGCAGCTCTATTTGGAGTAGGATGGGGGTTATGTGGCATCTGTCGTACGCTTAGAGGATCATCGAGCCACAGGTTGACCTGCTGACGAACATTTCTAGCTGCCCCTGGACTCGTCAATCTGGGACGAGCAATTGTAAATCGGGCCGATGCCACGCAGTTTGGGTTGTGGCTACTGGGTGTGGTCATCGGGGGACGGGTGGCGAAGTCGTGACCTTTTCGAGTGAATCTACTTGTATGATCGTATTTAAGCCGGACAGACCAATTGCAAGTTTGTCTGCATTACACCATGACACGGAAAATAGAATAAAAACAACTTGATAATACTAAGATGCTACGGCTGTCGTTGAGCCCGAAGCAGGCATCGTGGTTGGAGGAGGTTTTGCGGTGTTCCGACTTCTACCCCATTTGATCGACACCACTGTCCCATCAATGTCCAAGCCATTAGACCAAGCTTGGGCTGCAGTCTCAGCGGTTGGCCGATCCTTGAAGTTTACAAAGGCGCATCTAGAAGAGTGGACGGTAAGAATACCTCACAGAGAGGCACACTAGCTTACCTAGACTTCGCTACATGGACAATAGATTTGATTTGCGCCGGTTGAATGGAGGGAAGAGACTTGACAACATGCGTACGTATACTGAGCTCCGTAGAGTCGGTGGATAACGAGGACAGGAATAAAGATGTCTAACAGATTCCGCTGTTCATATACATCAAGTGCTTGGTAATGGCAGACACTTACGATGCTTTGGTCTTCTGGGGCTTTCAAACCCATGTTGTCGGCATGAGTAGACATGATTTTGCGAGCGACGGGGTCATTCTTCCCATGATAACGGTCTTGTAGATTCTGACGAGACAGTTCATTGTTCTCTGGCTTCTCGTGTCTGTCCATGACCTGGATGAGGGGTGGGCAATAATGAACGGCAAAGTTCTCACCGATATGGACACTGATTTCCGCGACTACACTCCCCTTTCACGAAGAAAGAACATACGTGCGGTCGGTTGCGTTTATAGTATGGGTCGGTTCGAGCGAGTTGCTTCAACATTTCTTTCCCTACGGATTGCGTCCGCCCCGTTCCTAGCATAGACTTGTCCCCTTCCATCTAAAAGATACTTTGAGTACAGGCCCTGGTAACTTGCAGACCCGTTACGCACCTTGGCCTCCATATTCTGAGCGTAGTATTCTCTGTTGATATCGCTAGTTGGCGCCTCACTCTGGACGGCCAAAGCTGTGTCCCTGACTTGTGTTGGTAGGCCATACTCCAAGTCCAGCAAGCAAGTTTGGCACACATTTTTTACCTTCGCACAAGTTTGGCAAATGACGGTTGTTTTGTAGCGCATACCAGTCCCAGGGTTCCAGCGGAAGACGGTGAATGGACGAGCACAAGTGCCACAGGAGCGGCCAAACTCTTGCTTTGACTTGGGGTGGAGATACCTTTAGCAAGATTCGCGACTAACGTGGTGGAACCGACTCACCATTCGGATGAATGGATTGTCTCCTAGACCTGTACATCTTCAGTTTGGGCAATGTCGTACAAGGCAAGGAAAGCGTACATGTTTCGCAGAGAATCGGGAATTCACTTTGCTCCCATCCTGCTTTATTGATATCTGCTTTGGGTGGCATTGCGATGAGTGTGTGCGTAGCAGGCAGCGAAGTAAATGATCCAGACTCTTGCAGGAACGATCGAATGGACACCTTGTCTTAGTCAGCACTCGGCTACACACGGTCATGCCTTCGGCAGTCCTTCTCAGTTTGCGGCTTCGTTTTAGACATCTTCCCAGTTCACGGTATCACCACTATACGTGAAATGGCCACCCAAGAGCTCGGCGGCGGTTCTCTACTCATCGCATGGCAGCTCAAGAACAAGCGCGTACTCGTCGTTGGCGGTGGCCAAGTTGCTTCCGGACGCATTGAATCCATCCTCGTCGCTGACGCGAATATCATTCTTATATCACCCAAGGACGGCCTTACTTCCCGTACGAAATTGCTACTGGAAGAATATCCAACACGCATCACGTACAAGGACAGAGTTTTCCTAGGCCCCGAGGACTTGGTGGACATAGACATGGTCCTCACCGCAATTGACGACGTCGAGAAATCACGCGAAATATATCAACTCAGCCGCGAAGCCAAAATTCCTATCAATGTCGCTGATATACCAGACGCTTGCGACTTCTATTTTGGCTCGCAGGTACGTGATGGACCGCTGCAAATCATGATTTCTACGAACGGGGACAGTCCGAGAATGGCTGCAATGATCAGACAAAGGATAGAAAGGTGTTTGAGTGGATACGAGGGCGAAGCAGTGAAGAAAGCTGGTGCACTCAGGAGCAAATTGAAAGAGAGAGCTCCGGGTGTGGGAGGGGAGGTTGGTAAGAAGAGGATGAGGTGGATGATTGATATTTGCAATGCATGGGAAATGGAGGATTTCACGGTTCTGGACGACGAACTTATCAAGAGGTTGCTAGATGAAGGTTGGGAGAAGCATCGTGTTCCTAAACTCGCGGACATAGGCGGAAGTCGAGACAAACCAGCCATCGCAGCGTCACCTGCTACAATTGTACCGTACGCGGTCGGTGCCATCGTGGGCGCAATCGGTTGCGCATTTGCCTATCGTAGATGAACTTCATGCTGTGGACTCTAGTATCTTTCGGATTTCCCCTTGCATAATCACCATTACAGTTGTTGCTTTCTCGGGGTGGGTGGAACAAACATCGCGGGGTGGTCCTGTTACGATTCATCAAAAGAGACTTGCTGGGGTTACGAGCTGAAGGCCTTCAAGCGTGCTTCAACGCAATTCTGGCTGACTCCCGAAACATTTAATGAATGCCAGAGTACATATGATCACGCCAAACTTCTATTGACATTTACATATCCGGTGCCGTAGCACGAGTACAACAATTGATTTGACGACCCACTCGCCTCGGCAGGTACTATCTTGAATGTGGTTCCGAAAAGGCTATGGATGTCGCGTAGAAATTGTATTCTAACGTCTCAATCCAGTCAGTACGAAGTCCCGTGAACCACGCGAAGAACTCACGTTCTGAGGGTTGGTTCGCCCATCCGACAACGGCCAACGTCTTCGCTGCCCAAGACCATCATAAGGAGAACTAGTGTCTGGTGCCGCTCGTCAACACAGCCCCCTTTGCTAATCTCAGTAAGTAGTGAACGAGTAGCTAGGAGGGCCACGTCCTCTGGGGCTACTCCAGGCTGTGAGGTGGCTTCTGCACAATAGATGGCGGACGTTGTCGACTCGGCAAGCAAACTCAGCGCATATCCAGGCGACCTTATGAAGCAAACATACAAGTAAGCAACAGATACACGGGAATGTGTATTGGGTTACTTACTTGCCACTGTCTTCACCTTTGTAAACGTCGGAGTATAGGTATATGTCTGGTATGTAGCGATTCAACACGGAACGCGAGGCTTCTATCATCCTGTTAGAGAATTGCGGGCTAACTCGAACTGCATGGCTAAAGGTGTATTAGAACGCCCCAGCCAATCGAGCACGGAGTGGTACTGACGCAATCCCGCGTATTCGTTTTATTTTACCAGGTTCAACGAAATTCAAGGTCGTGACCTGTTTGACTATCGGGCACAGAAATTGCACCTCCCCGCCACCTGCTGGCGGCGAACCACGCTTTTTAACCTAAGCGTATCATGTCACCATGGAGGTATCTGGTTGACATGAGCAAAGTACTTACTCGTAATTCTAGGCCATCTGATATCCCGAACAGTTGTAAATGTGGCAGCGTGACCGTCCGTATCAAGTCCACCTGTAGATCTTAGAAACGATGTACTTGTAACTCGCACAAGGCCACTTACAGATAGGTCATGGTCATCTGTGGTGATCCCGCGAAGGGTTAATTGGAATGGCTTCTTAGCGAATGGGGCAAGCATGATCAAAGGTTCCAAGAAATATCCAACAGAACGGGAGAGGGGGCATTCGTGAGTGAGAGTCCCTCCCGATATTATCCCAGGTTTCAGCAACAGTGCAGTACCTAGGGGGCGAAGACGGTGACTTCCGCGTTCAGTAAGCGACTAGGGAAAGGGGCGGACCTGTTACTGATATTTCTATGACAGTGCCATTCGTTGCCTTCTCTAGTATCCGAAGCAGACTTATTTCGTAGTCTATAGCAGGTTGTTAGCCATGAAATTTTGTGATGGAGGTATCTTTGATTATATACCTCGGAGACCAGGATTCTTGTCATCGGGACGGATTTTATCAATGCGTATTGGCTTCCCGCTTAGTATTGATAGCACTAGTCGATGCCGGATGTAGTGGTGGCCACTGAACTGAATCAGTGAACTAGGAAGGGTCATAGTTTCAAGCAAAGTTTTTGAGCGCTTAGCGGCTGATCGTTTTGTGGACAGGGGGTGTCCTGGGGTGAGTATCTTAGATCTCATGGGTATTGGTTCTGCCAAAAAGCTCATATCAATAACTCAGTACTCAGCGCTCAGCGTTCGGCGTTCACGTTCAGCAGCAACTTGATTTGGTTTGCTGTGCTAATACACTTTCAAAACCGTATGGTCACCTGCTCGTCATCTGCTTAGTCAGACACGCGATCGCTAATGACAGTGGCTAATGGGCATCTCAATTCCGTCTTTCAGCCATGCCCGCGACTACTCAAGACTGGGACGAACGATACTATCATGTCGACCAGATCTTGGAGAAACCTGGGCCGCGTACAGACCCTGGCTTCCTTGCTGGAGACGAGGTCGGTGCTACATCCCTTTGCGATCATACATACAGGTTGCTCATGTTCGCTCGTAGGTGAAGGAATTCTTGCGCGAGAAGTGCAAGATCCTTGTTATCGGCGCTGGCGGGCTTGGATGCGAGATCCTTGCCAATCTTGCTTTGACGGGCTTCAAGGACATCCATGTAATCGACATGGACACAATTGATATCAGTAATCTCAACAGACAATTCCTGTTTAGGTGACGACTTAATCTTACCATAGTTAGAGTGTTACTGACGCTCATTTAAGACCTAAAGATGTTGGAAACCCAAAGGCAATCGTTGCTGCCGAATTCATTATGAATCGAGTTCCTGGCGTAACTGTGACTCCGTATGTTCTGGGTCCGTATCATCGAACAGTGTCTGATACAACGTACAGATACTATGGTAAGATACAGGACAAGGACGATGACTATTACATGCAATTCAACCTCGTGATATGCGGCCTTGATTCCGTGGAGGCGCGTCGGTGGATAAACGCCACTCTCGTCAACATGGTTGATCCCGAGAACCCGGAGAGTCTAAAGCCCTTGATTGACGGAGGAACGGAAGGTCATTTCGGCTCCATGTCTCCATCCCGCCCAATGCTGACACAGACGGGAACCCACAGGGTTCAAGGGACAAGCCCGTGTCATCTTGCCGACGGTGTCATCTTGCTACGAATGCTCTCTCGATATGCTTAACAAACCGACTGCTTTCCCTATTTGTACGATTGCCAACACGCCACGACTACCTGAGCACTGTATAGAGTGGGCTTCGGTGCTTGAATGGCCACGGGTGCATGGTGGTAAATCTTATTCCGTCCTCGCGCAAAGAAGCGCTCCTTATATCTGATCCCAGACAAGAAAATGGACACCGACGACCCCGAACACATCTCATGGTTGTATAACCAAGCCGCCGCTCGAGCCAAAGATTTTAAGATCGAAGGTGTGACTTGGTCACTAACTCAAGGCGTTGTTAAGAACATCATCCCCGCCATTGCTTCTACGAATGCTATCATCGCGGGTATGTAAAGCGTACCTTGTCACGCGCGGGTTAGCTCTGAAGATACTCTTGAAAGCGTCATGTTGCAATGAAGCCTTCAAGATTGCAACCAGCTCGGCAGCATACCTGAACAACTACTTCATGTTGATTGGCACTGATGGTGTCTACTCGTACACTTTTGAACACGAGAAGCGGGACGACTGCCCTGTCTGTGGTGGCGAGGCTCTCGACATGTCAATATCCTCTGAAACAACGGTCGAGCAGCTGATAGAGCTCCTGATAGAAAAGCAAGACATGTGCGCCCCTTAACTCATCTACCTAACGTCTGCTAATAAGTTATGGCCTAGACAAATAAAGAAACCATCGCTATCAACACCAACAGCTCAGATTTACTTCCAAGCACCTCCTCAGCTAGAGGCTGCCACTCGTCCGAACCTTACTAAGAAGGTATCCGAACTGGTCCCTGCGGACGGGGAAATAACAGTCACTTCCACGTCCTTACCGTTCAGCCTTTCGCTCCGTATCTCGTATACGTAGATGCTTTTTGTCGAACGTAGCTATCATGGCAATCCAATAGCTCACCACTGTTCATAATAGCGACTCCTTCAATCTGATAAGGCCGTTTGCATATAGGGGGGATTGTGAACGCCAGCAGAGCGGTTGAATAGTGTTAATGTTATGGTCATACAGTACGAGCTCATCGAGTCCATGCAGTAGCGTAGCTATGTCCGTCCGAGGTGCAACAGTGAGAACTATGGAGAATATGTACACGGAAATCCGTTGTCCTCGACATTTAACCCTTAAGAAGGGCGTTGCCAAGGTCACCAAGGTTAAGACCTGCGCCGTTCGCAAGAGACTAAGAGAGTAGGATTAGATACATAAGGGCGATTTGGAAATTTGAAGCAACCCACCTTGATTGCGTCTGCGTCTAAGGGACACGCAATACTGAAGGTATTCTCTATTGTCGGCGATACAGTGATCACCAAAATTCTGACGCTGACCTATCCGCCGATATCAGATGAGAGATGACTTGAAGAACATGAATGTCGACTAACTCGGATTTTATAGGTGACTCTGATATCCTGCTTCTGGCCACACTTGGTGATAAGGTCGGCTATTATCAGGTTGTTGGGATCTGTCGTCCTCTGGTACGCGATATCAAATGGGAAGGTGAAGTTCTTTTCTGAATGGGATTTGAAGACGATGTCTCGTTGATTGCCACCACCGACGAGAGTGTTGTTTATCGGATAGAATATCTGTATGCAACATGTTAACGGAGTCCGGGGATATATATGTCTTTGAGACTAACGTCCGCGTTGACTTCCCGTAAGTTGACATCAAAATAATTCGGGTTATTGACACTGAGGCAAGGTTAATACTGACACAGCGAACGGAAATCAAGGACTAACGTAAGATTAACCCCCAGGTTTATGGTTACACCCTCATTCGACAAATTAAACTGTATCATCAGTAAGCCATGTTTCATGCATCATGCATCATGTTTGATATATCCTACACACCGGAGAGGAATTCGAAATGGCAACGTCCCCCATGATGAGGTTGGGGGGACGGATCCACTGAACAGGATATTCTCGTCAATGCCTTTAACACTACGGGAATCAGGACTTACGAGTGCCAGGGACAAGACAATGGAAATAAACAAGAAGAGAGCGATCAACAACGTGCAGAAGAAGAACCTGAGACAGGTTCTGCCCCTCCCACCCTTTGTTATGAGATTCCCCTGGTAATCCCTGCGATACTTTCTCATCGCTTGCGCTGTTCTAAAGATGATGAGGATTGCAGTAGGGATGCCAAAAAGTCGGACATACTTTTCCCCTCGAGGGACGGCAAAGGTGTCAAATTCTACTCGCTCCTTAGAGGGCACTGGTGGTACGTTAAATTCTTCATCGTGCATTGGCTCTCCGGTGTATGTCCGTTGAGAGGCATTTCTACGAGGTGCTGTGTTGTATCCATATGTGTTGTCTGGTGGCTCGTCTCGGTAGCCTCCGTAGTTTGCATAAGAAGGGGCACCTGGGCCAGCTTGAAATTGGTCCTGTCGAGCGTTGTTGGTGTACGGGTTGAAGTCTGTCTGGGACTCTCCGAAATGAGGATTGGTCTGGTGCCCGCCAGAGTATTGATTAGCGTAAGGGTCGTTGTAAGCCATGAAGCAACGTGAACGTCTAAACGCTGAGAGAAGTCGAAAGTCGAAACAAGAGAAAGCAGAGACCCAGCTATGGTGAGGCCGACTGCGCAAGTTTATAAGTACAGCCACCGAAGCCGCCGGTGGCATACAAAGGTACACAGCCTCAAGATATATCATTTACCGTGACTGAGCTCGAGCCAGCGCTGGACGCGCATAATCAGTCGCCGTTGCAACATAATTTAATTCTAAGTACATGTATCAGTGGTAGGCAACGATGACATCTACTAGCCAAAAGACGATCCGTGGGATCCAGGCATAAACGGAATTCTCGTCTCCGAAGCTCCATTTGCCTGACTGTGACCATTTTCTGCAGATTGTTGCGGTCTTGAATTTCCACTGCCTGGTAAGAACCGTTGAGGAGCATTTGTAGGGCGGCCATAGTGATGAGGCTGTTCGTCCTGCGGCACGCTAGGCTTGAATAATCCGGGGATGTTTCGACGAGACGACGGAGGGGGTCGCAAGCCTGCAGTGCGGTCAAGATGTCGTGGAGTAGGCGGAGGACCCATAAGCCTCGGCGCAGGACCAGGTTGGAGTGCGTGTGTACGAGCACCTTGAGGTACGTCGGGTCTCTGTCTCCTTGATGGTGGAATCAGCGCCTTGAACCGTTGTCCCCCTTGTTGAGGGAAACCCTGGAATTCGTGACCTCCATTATTTGAGTCTGGGGGCGCCTGATCCTGGCTACGACCTTTTCCTGTGGAGGGTGGATCGTACGCATAATGCCTATGCAATTGAGTGAGAATAGGCGCATATATAGGAGATTAAGCATTAATTCTTTCTACGACCTACTTAGTAAAAGACCGTGTACCAGGCCTTCGTTGCGCAGACGGGGAGCTATGACTTTCACCATTTGTGCTTAGGGTCGGCGCTCGGCGATGGGGAAGAGTCAAGCGGTTCGGTCCGGGGGGAGGCTCCATGAGAGGACTTGATGCAGATTGTTGCTTCCTATGGTTAAAGGAGCATCATCGCGCTCACAGCGGATGATATATCACTGATCGGGAAATACCTACTGTGTAGGGTCAATCATTCTGCGTTTGCCGTTGATGTTCTGCAATCCTGATGGTTCGTAGCCATGCGTTGGGTGGGAGGGCATAGAGTCCAGAGTATCCTGCTGCGACAAATGCTGATTGGCCCTATGAAAGTATCAGAGTAGTGCGACGCCGCGAAGGGAATAAATACCGTTGCAATTCAGCTACCTCGCGCCTGAGTTGTTCCACAATCCCTCGGTATTGCAGCACCTTTGATTTAAGGTGCCGTATCTGAGCGGCCATCGTTTCTTGTTGAAACTGTGCGTGAGAATGAGGGATCTTGGCATGCACGCTGAACAGGCGATGCCAGGCGCACCTTGGAAGCATATGCAATGGTTTCCAGTGAGTTTGGTATGGCACGAAACCAGTCAGCCATCGGGGCTTCCATCTAACAGCTGTCGAGTAAGTTGACTGCAATCTAGGGCGTAATTGTACTCACATCGGCCTGAAGGGGGATCAGCTGGATTTTCGGGGACCTGCATTGAGGGCAACTCTGATCGGAACCTAAAAGCTGATGAGGCTATGTCCATGAAACGCGTCCAAAGCTCATACAGAGATGATTGTTGCAAACAACGTGCCCACACTCTGTTAACCAGAAAGGCACCGAGGGCCCGCTATGCGAAATGAAGGGGAGATAGCATTTCGCGCACGCTACAAACTCCCAAAAATCGAACTCGGGGCTGAGTTCTGGTGCATTCGAGTTGGTTTCCATCTCGTAAACAGTTGACGATCCTGGTGGTAGTGGTGATAGGCGCTGATGTTGTTATATGCGCGTCCAGTGCGCGCCTTCGAGTCGCGGCGTCTTGACTCAGTGAGCTCGTCAATAATCGCTCTTCAATGGCTGGAGTATTCGATTTGGTTGGGGAATTGCAGTCGGGTACATAAGAACTGGTATGAGTAGAGGATTTGCATGACCCGGGAATCAAAGATCATTGACGTGAGAGTAATTGTATTAGGGGGACTACGGTGATGGTCCTGCAAGTCTGGCCCAGTGCCGCAACCTTTGATCTTTACGGTCATCAGCGATACCCATGAATCCGGTTACGTGCAAAGACTGGGATATCAACTCCATTGTCAGCGACAATTCCAATTTCTCTCATTTGCGTCGCGTGCCTGCCAGTTCGCCGGACGTCGATGCTCATATTAAGCAGTTCGAGGAAGATGGGATACCTCTGATCATCGAAGGCTTTCACCACGGCCGTTGGCCTAACATATTCGATGCCGAATGGCTTCGCAGCCATGGCCCTCAAAGTGGGTCTCCTCTTGCGCAATGCGCGCTGCATCTCGACCTAACACATCCACGAGCTAGCTCTCTCCGTTCGGAATGTACATAATCGAAGTGATAGTATTATGCCGACTGATGAATTCTTCAAAATATCGCGCGAAACATCATCATACGCAGTAGCGAACGGTGCGTTCCCTCACGCATGAGCGGGGTGGGTCAACTCACAATCTAGGCTTCAGAGACAGCGAGACTCTATGGGAAAGACGTAGAGTGCCCGGCGGAGTGGAACGATTGGCTACATAGCGCCCAGGTCATACCTAAGAAGCTATTACCCAAGAGCTCGGATAATATGCTCATGAATTTGCCCAACTCGGTGGGTTTGCGAATGCCTGGCTCCATATTTACATATTAAATATTGGTTGCAGACGCCAGTGGAAACTCTCATGTGCTATATAGGCATCGGAGACACCTACACGCCTGCTCACAAGGATCTCTGTGCATCGTCCGGTCAGAATCTGATGTGCTACACGGAGGAGGACGGTTCCTCCATCTGGTTCATGACCGAGAGCTCCAGTACTCCCGAAGTCGATGCGTTCTTTAACAAGCTAGGTAACGAAATCGACCACGAGACTCGGGTCCTCTCGGTGAAAGACTTAGCGAAGGCACACTTCAACGTCTACGTTGCCCGCCAGAGACTGGGGGATTTGGTTCTTGTCCCTCCTCGAAGTTGTCATCAAGTCATCAATTCGGGCGGTATCAGCATCAAGATGTCTTGGTCACGGATGACTATACGAGGGCTCATGGCTGCATACTATCATGAGTTGCCGTTGTATAGACGGTGAGTTTTCTGTTTCTCTTTTTGGTAGTCTTGACTGACGTTGAGCAGGGTGTGCCGACCCGAGACATACAAAATTAAGAGCATCATATTCTATACACTCCTACAGAAGGCTTCCCAACTCCGTGCCCTCACAGAGAGGCAGGAGCATGGTACAGCAATCGCGGCCGACCTAGCCAGCGTTGTGGACCTCTTCGCGTCCATCTTAGTCGAAGAATATTCCGGTCCTGCCCCTCAGTTCGATCCTCTGACGCCCGGCACTGCTTCCAGCGAACCATCCTCGTTTGATCCTCGGTGCTACGAACCCAAGGATGGCTGCCTTGTTTGTGACTTTTGTGGCGCGGATATATTCCAAACGTACTTCGAGAGTGAGAACTGTTGTGCAGACTCGCCAGATACCGCGCAAGCTTCGAAATCCGACCCCTTTGTCTTATGTCCCGGCTGTTACGCCGAGGGCAGGTTATGCCAGTGTCAACGTATGACCCTGCTCCAATGCTACTCTTTTGACGACCTACACAAGGAATTGCAAGACGCAATAATAGTACTGGAGACTTACCAAACAAAGAACCGATTAACGATTGACGCGCAGCGCTTCGATGTCCAGTAAGTTGGCCAACGACCATGTTCCTCAACCCCATATATTAACGTTGATATGCATTCATCAGGAAAATGTACGGAATTTCGCAAGCTGCTTCCGTGCTTCACAAACTGCGTGACCTATCGGTCAGTTGTGCGCTTAACTTCTGATTATATCTAACTTCATTAACCTATGACATCCAGAGCCAGGACGGCAAGTGTCGTTTCAGTGGTTCTGAGCACTCTCACGCCGTAGAAGAGGCGTCTTTTCTTCGCTGCAAGCGCTGCCATTCCTCAAAATGCTTTTCTCACGTGCTGAAAGATTACAAGATGCACTCAGTCGCCGCTCTCATAGAGTACTCTCATGATCGAAAACATCTTTGTTATCACGACGAACACAAACGCTCTAGAAAGGATTACGAAAGTGCCTACCATGGTTTAATTCAGGCCGAAAAGTCCGGCCAGCGTCCGGAGCTCCACCATCAGTTGACCCGTCTGGCACTCATGCATCAAACTTGCAAGCCGTTGAGTGCCTCGATCGTACCAGGATGGTATGACCGCAACATGGAATTGGTGAGCCTCATTGCAGATCTTCTTGACATTCTTGACGCCTGTTCCCATTGAAGACACCTATAAGTGCTGCATCGATGGCGCTTGATGCTGTTGACCCCCAACCATTACTGAAGACAAGCGTGGCCCCTGAAGCTTTCACAGCATTTGACTTAGGCAGTCTCTCTGATACTTCGACTCTAACACCTATTTCCTCTCGCGCTTCTTCACTTACTCCCCAGACAATGCAACCTGCCCCTACTCCCTTCAAGATAGGACAAGCCTCATTGCGGCGCCTGCAGGACAACTTTCTTGGAGTTTACTTGCCTGTCCTGCCGGAACGACGTCAGACTCGCCCTTCAGAAGGATATGCAAAGAAGAGTATCTCTGTAGTCCCCTCCAAAGTCTGCTGCACAAGTCGTTTCTGTTGCCACACTTCTTAACAGCGCTTATTTCAGGCCTCAAGTTCTCCATCCATAGTCATGTCGGGAGGAGTACGCGTGGGGAAGGTATCGCTGAAGTCATACCTTCGTGCGGACGATGCAGGTGTCAAGCCCACTCGCAAGAGGTCTCGCGAGGTACTCATTTATCAACGATCCACCCGTTTTACTTTCAGGCTAATGATACACAATAGGACGATGGTGGGCCGTCAAACCATGTTTCGACTTCTCCAGGGAAAGTTAAGGTAGCCAGAACACATCAAAGAAAAGGGTTAACAAAGAGGCGAGAGAGGCTCCATAGCGAACAGTCTGCTGATTCAGCGTTTTCCTCGGCCCTTGCACAACATCTCGAAGCAGCTCTTCAACGCACACCAGACGATGAGGTAGATGAAGTGGTGCATGAGTCGATCCCGCCGCCCAAACTCGAAAGATGCCGAAAGCCAAAAGCTGTGGCACAACCAACGCACAAATGTACGTTCAGCGTAGTCACATCATTCTCATGCAATAACTCCGTTTAGATAGAGAACACCCTGTTGAAGTTCATTCCGTAAGGGATGAGCCGCAGGAGGGCCCAGGAGCTGACCTATCGACGATCATTGCTTCCCCGCCACCCTCGGACATTGTACCAGCGGCCATTGCGGCAGGAGCTGACCCGACAACGGCCCCGACACAAGGCGAGATTCTCCGTGCTGCAGCTGCTTTCACCATGCAAGTGCTTTGGGATGTAAGCGGGCAGATTGCCCAGGCTATTGACTCGTCAGTGAGTTGTATCGCTGCAGTCCAAGAACTGTCTCAATTGGCATCAGGCCAGCACAGTAACCTCTACTGCATTTCCGCATCATTTGATGCAACAGCCCTTGGGAACTCGTAAGTTAATATCATATCACGTTAGCACATACTGCTTGACTTCTGATCAGAAGCAGACACTGCTGGCCCTCCGCCCCCTTATCCATCGAATGAAAATCCGTACACCGAGGTCGATCGTCCTCGGGGGGTATTCTATCCTCCGACAGTATTCGGTGCGAGAGATTTCGCACCCAGCGTCTATCATTCTGGCGGCCTTGCTCGCTCAGCGAGGCCGACACGTCCCAGAGATGTGCATTATGGGCGCGATAATAGTGGTCCATCATCCTTCCATAGACAACCACATCGACACGAACCCAGAAACTGGCATGCTGACCAGCGACACAAGGACTATCAACATGGGCACAACAATAACCAAGATGGGCACAATAGCTACCGACATCGGCGCAACAACAAATCATACAACAATAATCCACACCGGTACAACAACGATCGTCGATACAATGATAATCAACAGCGACGCAGCGATGGTCAGCACTGGCAGCACAACAATGTCCATGGCAATACTCAGCCTCGATATAATGTTCACCGTCATACAGGTTACAACAACCAATTTAACCGGCGCCGCCCTTCGTCGATACACAGAGATAACTTACGTACACACCAACACCAGTCGCCCCGCGAGCAACTCGAAGAAGGTTTACGGAACTCTGATGAAGATGAAATGATCAAAGACGCGAGGGAGGTACAAGAAACGGGGGATTCGACTCCCTCTAGTGCACTGGCGGCCCAACTTTTCCTCCGTGATGATAGAACGCCTGAGCAGGCATGGGAAGATGATTACGAACAGTTTGATGAAAGTGAACAATCTGCCTCTCGTTCGCCTCAAGTCGCCTCGCCTCGCAATGATGAAGACAAAGGTCGCCGCACCCTCTCGCCACAAGCCTTGACGTTCGACTTGACCCACAATCCCTGGAATTAATGAAGGAGATGAAGATATGGTGCTGAATTTGAACTTCCCTTAAAAAACGCAAAAATATGACATGTATTCCCTCTGTTGTTTGTTTTCACAATATGGTTGCTCAATGCTTATTTATATCCTGGATCTTGTCGTATATATCAACGTGCACTCTTGCTACACCGAATCACATTTTAAACCAGATAGATTGTGAACTGTCATGAAAAACTAAAGGAGGGGGATGATTAAAATGGCGTGAATAAGGGTATCCAGTACGAGAAGTCAAATATGTAAATGCAGACAAGGAGCGAGGAGATAGCAATGCAAAGGATGAGGAAACGTTATGAACATGGGTAGGCGTGAACTCGTGAATCAACCACAACGACACGTAAGAATTCTTATTAGACCATTCTTCGGCTGTATATCCTCTTGGCCGTTAAAATCACCACCGTGCGACACCCCAACATCCCCTGCTCTCGCTCGCACGTTGCTGATGGCTGGTGGTGCGGCACCCACACTTGAGACCATGGGCGAAGCACGGCCATAAGGTTGTTGCTGCACACCCATCCCGTATGGGTCCTCCGCGCCTTCCCTTCCGTAACCGTAGGATGCATTGGCATATGGATGTTGGGCACTCATTCTGTGCTGAGCGCCAACAGGCACGTTGACTTGCGCAGCGGCTGAGTGAGGTGTAAGTTGACCCGGTGAATTGCCACCACCAGGAGTAAGTGCAGCAGGGATCTTACGCTGTTTGGAACCATGGCGGACGAGAGCGGGTGATGGGGGTACAACATTGCCTGCTTGCGATGCACGCCGCCGTTCGGTGTCCCGGTGTTCCCTTCGTCGATCTCTCCCATCGGCAGCAAGGCCCGCATTCTGCATTTGGGACAGAATTTGGCTTTGACCCTGCGAATGATCATCAGTAATGTCCTGGGGTTGACGTAAATGGGGCGAACCAGAGAAGCTTCCCAGCCTTTACCACCTGCGAGATTCGGATGAGACATTGTCAATAATTCCTGAGACATGGCCACCTACCATTCAGTTCGTTCCAGTCAAAGACGCCGTCGTCCACATCGTTGTTGTTCTTCATGACCTTGGCAAACAGCTCTCTCAAGAAATCATAGTCAGGCGTTTCCTCGAAACCGAGCTTTCTAACGTAGTTGAGATAGATACTAAATTCCTCTAAACGACCATGATGAATATCAAGCGAAAGAAGTCAATCAGAATGAACAACTGACCAGGGAATCCCTCGCATAGTTCTTTGATAGGCGTTGTTTGCTTCTTTTCACCGATCTTCTCATACTTCTGCTTGTTCGTTGCTGCCTTCAGGCCTTGCCACGGTAGACTGCCACGCAGGAAGTACATGAAGACGTGGCCAAGAGCTTCAAGGTCGTCCCTCCGGGATTGTTCTGTAGCGCGACCGCGAGGTACCAACGATCAGCCCAGCATGCTACTCGACGACAAAGGCAAAGCATACCTCGACCCAGATGTGTGTTGATGCTCATATATCGGGCCGTCCCGCTCAGGCTCTTCCGCTCTCGGTACGGTATGTGTTGCTTAGTTTTCGGGTCTCGATATTGTTTGGCCATGCCGAAATCAACAACATGTACGACTGGGTGGTGATCCTAAGAGGCTGGTCGGAGGAATAGGAATAGACGGAGCTCACTATTAGCACCCTTAGTGCCTGGACGGCCTATGAGGAAGTTATCCGGCTTAATATCGCGGTAGATGAGGTTCTTCTCGTGGATGGTTTGCACTCGGGTGAGCTGCATGGCAATGAGGCGCGACGGAGCAGAGAAATCGGGTGTTGCCTCACCATCTGACGAGCTGCCATGCAAACGGTCTTGATAGAGAATTTTCGGCCGCACATGTCGAAGAGATCTTCCAAGCTGGGACCGAGCAAGTCAATAACTAAGATATTGTGCAGGCCCTCTTGTCCGAAGTGGTAGATTTGCGGAATGCCGGCTGTCGAATGAGCGATTACGGCTTTGTGAGCCTTCCAACGAGCAGAGCATCCCGAACTTACTGCATCCGGCCAGGATACGGTACGACCGACATTCGTCACGAAGCTGCGGTGCTTCGGCCTTGCGAGGCTCCTGCAAGTCCAAGGGCTAGAGGTTGGTGACACAAGCGAGCTGAAGGAGCAAAGGACGCACAAACTTGATGGCAACGGTCTGCGAGTTGAGGAGATTTGTACCTGAAGATATGCTGGCAGTTTAGTGGAAGCTCAATGGCGGCACTCAATAATAGTACCCTCGAAGATGACACCAAATGAACCCTCGCCGATTTTCTTGCCCACCCGGTAGTGAATCCCAACTATGTTTGCCGTCGACGAGGAGGAGTGCGAGTGGGAAGCCATCCGGGAAGAGGGTATATAGGTTGACTGAAGAAGGGATTGGGCCAAGCAGGGCCTGCAGCTTAGCTGTGGTACCAGACCCTGCACTTCGGTTAACCCCGACAGTCTCAGGCTCCTCATGTGTGCTGCCTTAATTTCGAATTTCCATCAAGTGCTCAAATTTACTTCCGCCAAACCTGAAGCATGGGAGCATGTATCAAGCTCAAGTATGTAGACTGTAAATAACCGGGAGTAAATTACTGGGAGAATAACTTCAGAACCTGAACCCAAACATCCGCAACTCGCGGTGGGAGAGACTGTGGGCGCAAGAGACGGAGACTGACGGCGAGTCCGAGCAGAGCAGTAAAGAGAGCCAATCTCAATAACTTCTTCCTTCGCATACTCTTGAACCATGGCTCAGCCCCGACGGAGATGTAGTCTCCCCACACAGGCTTCCGTAACATCCACCAGAAATAGGACACTGGTCCGGGAAAGGTAGCGACGATCCTGGACTTCGTTTCCGTGCGGTTCTTGTGGTAGTACGAGTGGCAGTCCGTCCAGACAGAGGTCGAAAGCCGGCGCTGCAACCAGTCATCGTATTTGTTTGTGGCCTGGTCGGTTACCTCGAAGGACTTCGCCTTGCCTGCCAAAACAGGCTTGAGCAATTGCACGGCTAAGTTTATCTGCGTGGAATAGTTAAGCCAAGCGGCGCTGGTACGTGCGTGTGTTCCCCTTACCTGCGCTTCCTCAGTAAAAATCACGGAAGCATGCCCGGTGGCCGTATTGGGTCCTTAGATAACTGTCAGTTCGTCACGGTACACGTTGCGGTAGTAAATAGCAACCAACCTAGCAAGGTGAATGCATTGGGAAACCCGGGAATGCAGGTACCAAGGTAGGCAGTAGGGCCGCCACGGTCTGCGTAATATCCTTCTAGAGTTCTACCGTCGCGGCCGACCAAGTTCATGGTTCCCATTTCCTGTGCAACGGAGGACATATCAGCAATTAATCAGTATGAGCTCTAGACACCCTACGTACAATCACATATCCAGTGCCGAAAATGATGGCGTCCAGCTCAATGACTTCGCCAGTCTTAGTCTTGATGCCTTCCTCGACAATTGTATCAATACCATCCCAGTTCAAGGTTACGTTGGGCTGCTGGACGGCATCTAGATAACCTGGGTCGACGATGATGCGTTTGCATCCAGGAGCTATTTTGTTGATGTGTTTGTCAGACAAGGTTCGAAACGGGGCTCAGAAATACTAACGATATGAAGGTGTTAGCTTCTCGATCATATCCTGAGGAACCTTGTATTTGAGGTATTTGGTAAAACGCTATGTAGGACCCAGGGATGAATGGCTGCATCAACAAAACGATCTGCGTATAACACACCTTTCTGGCCTGCTTGACCACGAAAGTATTCTCCTTACGAAAGGCCAAAGCTCCTGTATCCGCCTATAGATGCAAAGAATCGAAATGAGTGTAATAACGATGTCACAGTGTATCGAACTTACCCTCGCCATAAGGAAGTTCCTGTAAAGTCGCATCACGCCAGGCACATAGGCGAATAGCGCTTTCACCAAGCCGGGGTACCTAAAGTTTGCCTGCGCGAGATGTGTTAGTGGAGGTAGGACGAGTGATAGAAATTGGGGAGTTACCTGAGGGATATACCACTGAGGGGTCCTGCAGAAATTGACGACCTCGACAGAGGGATCTGCAGCAATCTTGGGAAGAAATTGTGCCCTAGACAGACAATTAGCACAGACGAGGCGTAAGACATAGATACTCAACATACACTGAGCAGCCGTTGCCAACCACCCCGACACGTTTGCCCTTGAGATCATACTCGTGGTTCCACTCCGCCGAATGCCAGATAGTCCCCTTGAACGCGTCCCGACCCTCTATTTCAGGGGGATACATGGCCCGCGTAAACCCGCCAATCGCAAAGACGATGGCCTGAGCCTCAGTCTCGATCTTCGCGCCAGTGATGCCGTCCTCCAAAACGATACGGTACTGCTGCAAATCCGCGTCCCAGACAGCACTCTTGTAAATGATGTTGAATTGCGTGTGCGCCTCGAGACCGTGTTTATGGAAGAGCCCCTCCCAGTAGGCCTGTAGTGCTGGCTGCCCCACGTAATAGGTGGGCCACCATGGATTCAACTCTGTGGAGAGACTGTACCAATGGGCACCGACATCTGAACCACATCCCTACGCGACGCGACGTGAACAAAAGGCTGTGAATGGAGAAAAAAGCACCTACGGGATACGTGTTGTCCTGCAAAAACGCGTGTCAAGCGAATAAGTGACAGAGACTTCAGAGATATGCTCACCCTCCAAGTTCCCCCGACATTGTTGGCTTTCTCATAGATCTAAACGCGGGGTCAACATTGCACGGCGGTACGGCCCAATAACAAGGTCAACCGTGAAGTTCTTGAAGTTCAACTGCTGTTTCAATGCGATGCCGGTGGAGATGCCTGCTAGGCTGTTCAAGCAGTGGGTGAGTGATCTGCCTGTGGCTAGAACGGATAGAAGGTTACCCAGCGCCAATGACGACCACGCGGGGTTCTTTATTTGACATTTGCGCACAAAGAAGACGGGAAGACTGTACGTAGTTAATGTAGTGCCAGAATTCAACGCTTAAGTATAGCGTTCCTATGGCCTCCGGGCGTATGAGATAGGCGGTTCACAGGTCATATGGGAACCATGGGGTCATGAGGTATGGATCTGGGCATAGTTCATTCTTAGTACTCAGAATCCAAAATCACATGTATATCAGAATGAATGGTAGTTATTACAGCGAAATTGCAGATGAGAATGGAAGCTATTAGGGTAACAAGACATCGATGGGCATTGGGAAGAGACTAATGGCACATTATGCATTATGCACGGTGGGTTGAATGAATGAGGGGGAATGGGGTGGGATGGGGGATATGCAGGCAATAGTACCACGAGCAGGGTGCGTATGCGTATGCGGGGTAATACTACCGGTGCGAATGATGTTACAGGGTTTCCGTGTGGGGTCCTTTTCAAGCTCAGCGGAATTCGAAACTGGAGGAGGTTCGCTCGGGGACGTGCGATAGGGACAGTTGTTGGTATCTGGAACCAAAGGTCACGATAGATAGCAGTGGTGAAGAAAAAATTAACATACGGCTCTGAGTTCTGGTGGAAGTAGAAGCCACTCATGGTGGCCAGCGGTGCTTCACGGCTGGCCGAAGGTGAACGGTTGCTTCTTTGTACGCTCGAGTTTCGGCGCGTCCGTCGGGGAGGCTCCGTTGGGCTGCAGAGAGGTAGCGGAATCATGTCATCTTCGGGTGTCGGCGAAAGTGGTGAGCGAGAAGGTGTCTGGGCCGGGGGATTGAAATCAACGCAGACATAATAGAAACCTGGGAGAGAATGAAGCGAATACGAAAGCTGTAAAGCGATCAACGCACCTGCAAAGCTCGCACCGTTGATATCTTGCACTCTGTGATCGGGCACCAAAAACCGTTCCTTCCAACGCATGAAGACAGCACCCCGATCCCTATCGTCCATAGTAAGATATGGTTTACGCAGCTCGTTCTTGACTTGTCGGAATGCAGGGAAACGTGACCAATGAACCATGTCCTCCGTTTCATTAGCACCCCAATTGCGTGTCAAGAACCCATATCGGTTACCGATGATTTCCGCATCGAAGTAAGTGGTAAGCTCGGGCCAATCGTCGGTAAGACCTCTGATGCGAAGATAGCCGCATAGGAATGACGACGCGAAATCCACGTCCTAGTCAAGAATTCAAACAAAGGTTAATCTACGGACCTCAAAGTGCGCACCACAATAGTGACGTTCACATCATAACTATTCCTGCCACTTTTCTGTGTCCCTTGGAAGGTAGCTCCGGGATAAAGGCATCGGTGGGTTCGCGAACGCATACGAATGCGAGTTATGTCTGCCAGTGGATCGAGAAGAGAGGAGCGACGGTCCAAACGACGACTGTTGTTGGCTTGGTGGGAAACAGCAGTAGTGTGAATAGGGAAAGAGTCAACATGATTAGGAGTCACATCTGTCTGAATAGACAACTGAGGTTGCAGAGCGTGTTTATGGCCAAAAATGGGTGAGGGGGTAGGCTGGATTTGTGCGGCTTGGACCCCCGAGTCTGGCCGGAGCGCCTCCATGATAACATCTCCCTGGTATGTCGGTACCTCCAGCCGACTGCGCCTCGTGGCGAAGGCTTCGGGGGTCGATGTCGGGATTTGCCTCGATATTGGTACGTCATGGTCGATGCAATGAACGTGGCCCTCGGGTAGATAATTGGCGTTTCTGGAGGGTGCGTTGTGCTCTCGACATCGGGCGCATACTGTGGCGGAATCGGGCGGAGAAGGCACTGCTGCAGACTCAACGAGGGAGTGGCACGTTGTGCAAACTTTAACTTGAGACTGCAGCAGGTCTTGTGCCGGGGAGTCGATTTGCGGCGGGACTTGGTGTTCAGTCGCAGGCATCTTTGCGCGGGGGATACAGGAAGAATGGAGGAGATTGGCAGGGCGGCGAAGGAAGTAAGGGGAAGGGATGGGTAAGTACTGGTCGTTTGGCCCTGTTCGCCACCACGTGGTTACGGAAAACCCCTGGCTCGCTGTCAATTCCCATCATATATATGTTCTTTTCTCTGCACAGTCGATCCAGTGCTTGACGCTTGCAGTCTGTATATTGTCCAGCAATTCCACCAGCTCAGCTCCTCTGTCTTGGACCGCTATTCTTTGTCTCCCAGCGCTTCAACCTGCATTCCTTCTCCCAGCGTCAAGATAGGCGCCGACTTTAACGACACAGCCGCGTCTATCACCTGACACAGCTATCAACAAACTACTCTAAACTACGCTTGATCTTGAACTCTAACCCGTTCCAGGCGCTCCTGGCCAGCCTGTTATGGCCCAGGGAAGGTCCTGCTTCGACTTCTGAACCTAGTGGTACTGGTGCATCTCCTCGCCTCGTTGCCATCGCCGTGGGTGTCGAGGTCACCAAGCGCACAACTATCGGGCCTGTAGGATTCTGGAAGATCAAAAAGTACGTAGTGCTCGGCATATGTGGATCGTTGGCGCGCATTCTTATATCCACGACAAGCGGCCGAACTGTTTTTGCTGCGCCGATGTGAAAGCCCGAGCTATGCATGCTGGGAACGGTCTAAATATGTCTCGACAGAGAAGCGCCCCTCGCCCTCCGAACCCGAACGCATCTGGTGCTCGAATGCTAATCGAAGGCCACAGGTTCACACAGAACTCAATACCCCTCGAGCAGTTTCCACGAGCAAACGGCGGCGCGTGCCCAAGATGACGATCGCTCAATTACTCTCAGGAGAAGTCAGGTCCAACTGACAAGTTTAGCAATCTGAAGTCCTGAACGTCCAGAAGCTGTCCCTTCGATTGCGTATATAGTATGGCGAGAAGGAAATAAAGTGTGAAAGCAAAGCAGACTAACTGATAATAATATACGATCTATTCCTATTCTTTCCCAAGAATCCGAAAAACTTCGTCGTGCTTCATGCGTGGGGTGTCTTCAAGTCGTTAAAACCTGCCCATTTTCGTTCCGGTCTACCGTTGTCTCGCGGCTATCTCTAGTTGCTTGTTGATGTGATGCTTGATCTGACCTGCCATCCTCCGTTCCTCTTTCTCCCTTCTCCAGATCCCGCTCTTTCTCCAAGGTCCGGTCAGAGCCTTCTCCTATTTTCTCCGGCTCGGGCGCTTTCTCCTGCCCACCCTTCACAATCGTCCGTTTCAGCGTGTAATGCCGCACGATCAGGACTATACAAAGTGTATATGAGTCTACATTCCGACCAGAAATGGATCAACGCACCCATCACAAACCCAGCGCCAACTATCGGGGTCATTGATAGCCAAATCTCGCTGATCGACCGTGCATATGCATGTATCACTTGGCTGCGCACCGAAGGATCCTAATTTCATATGAACAGAAGGGGAAGGTCAGATCCCGATTGCAATTGCAGGCGTCTACTTCCGAGATGTAAGTGACGCAAGGACGCAGTAACGCACAGGTATGCTCGTCAAATGCCTAACGCTTTCACTAAGCGCCGCAGGGGAGGTGTCCAGCTCCAAGTTGGGGATCCGTGCTAATCGCTTTCGTAGGGTCTATACAACGAGGCGCTTAGTACTCAGTGCTGTTGCGTTTCGGAATGAAGACATTGTCGCTTACGGAGGAGAATATGGCTTGTCCCACCGAGACGCCCACAGTACCGCCCATGGTCCTAGGATTGCCAGGTTAATTACAGTGAGCAGTCGAGCAATGAACGGTGATGCTATACCTGATAAAACCGAACGTCGCTGTACTAGTGGCCATGTCCCTGATAGGCATAGCAGCCTGGAGACCGATCAATGGTGTCTGGACGAGCGTTAGCAAAGTAGTAGAAACCTGGATCGCAGTGGACAGGCGATGCTCACCTGGAATAGAGACCCGAGACCGGCAGCAGCTATGAACGGGTACAGCACCTGCTCTGCGCTAAAATAGCGAGTTCAGAGTTCAGACAGCTATTGCAATACTTGTGGGGCGGACGTACGTGTTTGAATTGGATCCCAGCATGATCATTAACCCTTGGCCGAGAGTGAATACTGCCCAACCAGTCCACAACATCGTGCGCCAGTCGCCCGTGCGAGAGACGATGATTCCCGCTATAGCGGAGAACAAAGCAGCTCCCAGGGAGAACGGCAGCATTCTTTTTTTTCCGACGGAACAAAGCAGCAGTAAGTCAGAAGTTCACCTTCGGGTGGGAACAACGGCATACCTCACGCCGGCCATTGTGGCAGAAGAACCCAGGATTTGGAAGTAGACGGGAAGGTAGTAGGCCCCTGAACGGAAGAATACGATCAGGCCTCAGATGGAAGAAGACGCGGAAATTCCGAAATTCGCACCGCTGAAAAATGCTATGGCATGGAGGAATACAGAGACGAGAAGCACCCCCGTTGTACGAGTCTGTAAGCAAGGGAAATGATAGGAGTAAGCGAAAGGGATGACAGGAGATAGGGACATGCGTTACCTGAAAGAGACGCGGTGGCACGATCGGTGAACGCTTGGTGAAGAGCTCGTTAATAGCAGCGGAGACCAGGAGCACACATCCAACGGTGAGTAATGCAATAGTTTCTGCAGAGGACCCTATAAAAAGTAATGAGATACCCCTCCTGTACTGTACACAGTTGGGACGTACAATCCGTCTCACTGGCGTTGAAGCCAATGAGAAGACACACGACGCCACCTATCATGAGCCCAAGCCCAATGAAATCAAACTCGCGGGCATGTTGTTTTAATGTGCGTCCTTGCGTAGGGTTGAGATTCAGGAAGATGAAAAGGATTGCGATCGCCACGCCTCCAGTAGGCCTGCAGGTCGTCAACTGTCGGCCGCCAAAGCGTGACTATGCAGGTACTCACAGATTAATCCAGAAGCACCTGAGGGGACCCAAGAAATTGGTTAGTAACCGTGTCGTGGGTCAGCTGAGGCGCAGTTCCTTACCATCTCCAAGAAACATGATCCGTAAAAGCCTGAATTGCAAACGTCAGGGTTGTATGAATGATTCAAGCAGGAACATACGCACACCGCCTAAGAGAGGGCCGACTACCGATGCAATTCCCCAGGTGGCACCGATGAGCCCCCCGTATTTGCCACGACTTCATGGAAGTTAGTTAGGGAGATGTAATGAAGGGAGATGAACGAACTCCTGTAGCGGTACGATGTCGCTGATGGTGATATTGACCTGGAAGACGTGTAACCTTAACGATACCGAAATAGAAATGATACACACCAGTTGGATGATACCTCCGCCGCCGATACCTTGAACGGCACGACAAACGATCAGCCAGACTAGATTCTGCGCCGCTCCGCATAAAGCAGAGCCGATCTGCAGCAAGGCCAAAGTTTAAAGACAGCTAGCTAGATAACAAGAAACACGTACCAGAAACACGATGATGGACGAGTACAACACGGGCTTGCGGCCTGGGTAACAGTCCGGTTGAGGACATTGAGTGGGCCAAACAAATTGCCGTCCTCACCTATCAAATCCGAGAGCTTTCCGTATAAAGGACTAAGGGCCGCTGCAGCGAGTAGATATGAGCTAGCAGATCGAGATGACTCGTCAGGGGAATACATCATGGTAGGAGAGGGGAGTTGACATTACCTTCCCACCCAACTGTAATTACTCCCTCCTCCGAGGTCGGAAACAATGGTCGGTAGTGCTGTCGCGACGATCGTCTAAGCCCTATTTAGTACGGAAAATCCCTGATGCATTCCAGCAGATGATACCTGATCCATCGCGGCAAGAAATACTGTCGCCATTAAGCCGGCGAACACCTAGCATGTTCGGTCAACCCAGCATATTCCTTGGAACAATCGGAAAACGCGTACAATGGGCAATCTATTCTGTGGGAGGACATGGGTTTCATCATTCTTCCATGTTGAGCCATGCTTCGCCTTTGCGGGTTCCTCTCTTTGTGTATGGTCGTGCGGGGGGTCAGTGGAGGCAGCGTCAGGGGCATGGACTGAGGGGGACATCAGCCTTGGTCGTGGTCGGGAGGAAAGAGCTGGCGAATGCGGCAGCTTCGAAGAAACGACAACAGTGAGGCACGGCTGAACGGATCGCTTGCTCGAGTCCTAAATAGCATCCACACTGGCATCATCACCTCTCATTATGAGACTTTTTTCCCGGAGCCTGAGGCAACCGTACACTATTCAGTCCCCGCGAACCGTGCCGAGCAAGCCGAATTGCATCCTCCCCAATGCTGACGAAGAGCAGGCAGGCGCATGGCGTGCAAAAGTCAGTAATTCAGCAAGACCATTGTTGGTAAAACGTATCCATGCCTTCTACTGTTATGTTTCCTAAGTAGTTTTCATTCACAAGCCCCCCAGCTCTCCAGAATGACTTCGGCAGAGTTGACTGAGAGTTCGGCATCCAAACATTCTCATATGGAGCAGGACGCTATGTGTAATCATCTGCGTTTCCTGCTGACTAGACTCCCAAGGCACAAATGTTAGTGTACGAACTGGTGGCAACGGCAATCGATGCGAAGACTCGAACGAGGAGTGTTTGTTGCGTAACTTTGTCATGAAAAAGTCCTTTCATAACGTCGTCGAAGCGTGGTACAAGGAAGATGGTGAGATAATCTAACAGCCCTGGTCGAATTCGGTAACGGCCATAAGAGTCACAGATGGGCTTGTGATACAAACAAACCTTATCGGTCTTCAACTTTCCTGCAAACTCTTACCTTCTCACTTTTCTCTTCATCTCACGATCGTCTGTAGAATCAACGCATATCATGGCTGAGACCGCTTCAATCCCCACTTTCAAGCTCGTTCTCGGTGCGTTCCTCAGCTCTTCTGCCTTTGTCTCCATCTCACACGCGCGCAAAATTTCGCCTTCTCATCGATGCTCGATTCCTTTCAAAATTTAACGTGACTTGCTCGTTCATTTGGAATTCTTCAACCCGACCTCGCGATGGGATGCGATCTTGAACAGTCGGTGACGGTGGAACCGGCAAGACGACCTTCGTCAAGGTGAGCGCGCTCGTTCCCAGGTTCGAAGAGATCGTAGTCTGATATCGTGTTCTGTGCAGCGCCACTTGACTGGTGAATTCGAAAAGAAGTACATTGGTATGTATTCGATGTGATCAGTGCACCATCGCGTCGCAGTCTCCAACAATCATCGTGTGCTCATCTTGACGGCAATTTTGCATATTAGCCACCCTCGGAGTGGAGGTTCACCCTCTCACCTTCTCCACCAACTTCGGCACCATCTGCTTCAACGTTTGGGATACCGCTGGGCAGGAGAAGTTCGGTGGATTGCGAGATGGCTACTACATCCAAGGCCAATGCGGCATCATCATGTTTGATGTCACATCCCGGATCACATACAAGAACGTGCCCAATTGGCATCGTGACCTCGAGCGCGTCTGCGAAAACATCCCCATTGTCCTGTGCGGTAACAAGGTTGACGTGAAGGTACGTTACTTGCATTGCGATCGATTGCCATCATACGCCTTTGATCCTGATATCTGCATCTTCTTCCATTGTAGGAGCGAAAAGTGAAGACCGGCCAAGTTACTTTCCACCGCAAGAAGAACTTGCAGTACTTCGAGATTTCGGCGAAGTCGAACTACAACTTCGAGAAACCTTTCCTCTGGCTTGCGCGAAAACTCGTCGGGTATGATATTACAATGCTACTAATAGACGATCTAATTGCTGATGAAACGTGAAGTAACCCATCTCTCGACTTCGTTGCCGCCCCCGCTCTCGCCCCCGCCGAAGTTGAGGTCGATGGTGCCCTCATGGAGCGATACAAGCAAGAGCTGGCCCAAGTAAGCAGTTCCCCTACTCATATTGATCTCGATCCTCATGGCTCGGTTTACAGGCCGAGGCTATCCCCCTTCCCGAAGAAGACGACGACTTGTAATCGATCACTCTAATCATTTGCTTATACAATACTGCATTCCTCTCTTGTTTCAATACAGTCACCTTTGGCAATTACTCTCTACAACTCATTGTGGTCGGATGCGTGAGAAATGTATGGTAGATCGAAATACAGCTTGCGAACGTAACAAGATACAGGTTCCTCTGATGCATGATGTGGGACAAGATGGTGCAGTACAAGAAGTAATCCGGGAGCGATGCTGGTGGTACATGGATTTTGATATACAGTTCTTCGTTCAGTCGCGTTGGCGGAATGCCATCATCAAAGCGAAGCGGTGGAACTCGGTCAGTTTTATGTACCTGTCATCATTGAATAGCGCTGCTCGATCAGCCTCGCTCCACGAGTATCTAAGCATGTCGAATCGGTCGTCCGTGAAGATTGCCCACTCTGTGAATACTGGGAGTAGGGACTGCAGCCCCTTCGCGGTAAGAAATGCCCCCAGCGCCGGCGAAGATGGGGTGACTCGTGGTTGGAAATCGCAAGCATTGCATTTCATCGTGAATGATATGGTATCTGCCTATGTATTAGTAACAAGAAATGAGTGCGGTGCTCAAGCAGAAAGTGGGTATATTAAACGCCACTTACATCGGATGAAGAGCTGTACGATGGGTAACTAGCTGGAGGATGAGCGCCGAAAGTAGATGTTCGATTCTGGCTGTAACTCTATTGTTCTTAAATTAGTGACGACGGGGGAGAACCTATGTGCCCACTCACGAAAGAGGCGGAGGAGGCTGGGGGCCTTGATGGACGGCTTTCAATCAGCATTCCGTATTTCAGCGTATTTATATGCCTTGAAATCTCGATTCCATCAACAACATTGCAATATGCAGATGTTGTAAACATTCGTCGCCTATCATCTTCGGGCAGCTGTAGCAGGAGGGCTAGGGTGTAATCATCAATAATCCCTATCTTGGTCAGGGTATCCTCCGCATAGTCGAACGTTTGATATATGGTAGAGATGTATTTGGTGAAGAGCCCCTGGGATTTTGCTTGTTCGCTTAGCGGCGCAAGATGGGCGCACTTGATGCATTGCATTTTTCGTGGCCGGAAGCGAAGGAGGTCTTCGGCTGAGAAGGACTCCATGTCCACGACAGGTATCAAGCGGCTTGACGAAGGTCCACCGTGCACAGAACCAAAAGTGGACGGTGGGGGTTGGGTCGAGATGATTTTGGGTGTAGGGGTCATCAGGGAAGCCTCCTGAGCATCAACAGTAAGTCACCGAATCATCGTTTGGCATACGAACGGGACGCATTAATCGGGATACACACATTAGGAGTCAGGCATTCGAGTGCTTTTCGAGGAAGCGGCTTCCCAATGTAGTAAACATATCTCCACTTTTTCTTCGTCTATAGCACAAAAAGTAAAGTGTTTCATTCGCTGTAATCAGTTGTGACTAGGAGCATACCTGTATAACCTTCTGTGTTGCGTTCTCCTTCGTTATACTATGTTGATTGCGGCGATACACTACATACTTGGCCACAATGGCTCTGATAGGCCATGTGCCTTCGTAGTGGGACATCTTTGGAAACTCTTTAATGATCTTCCCATTAATTGGTTAGGTTAGTCCCAAATCAGCTCAAGCACTACATGTAATGGTATCTACCTTCTCCTTGAGCTGGCGCCATTCTGTATTGCTGAGTGTCGCTGCAGATCTCCCAGATGTCATAATCCTGATATTTTTAACAGTAAAATCCTAGAAAGACGTCATATATAATATATATAATCGCGAACATTCATAAGGATCATACGAAACTCACTCTCAATGCTTGAAACTCATCACTCGTGATCCCTTCCATTAGTTGATGTAAAGCAACGTATGACACGTGTCGTCTTTTGGTGTATTCATCTAGCCATGTGTTCCATTGAGGTGGGCGACGAATGGGTGCAGGAGGGCCTTCGATGGTTGGATCTGACATATCCATGGTCACAATCAGACAACTTGATAATCCGCGATCCTGAACAGTGATCGACGTGATCGCGCTCAATACTCCCGTGACTGGCTCAGGAGCTAGTCAGGGGCGTATTGACCGCGTCTTTGTCAAGCGCTGGAGTTCTTGAAAGAAGCCTATCACTGAGCTCATCTCCATGTCCATGATAAATATCTACTCTCAATGTCGGCATCGTCTTCTCCAGTGTTGTTCGGGTTCTATGTCAATTTGTATTTATGTGGACACGTGACATTACTCCAAATCACACAACGGAGGCAGGCAGAGCCTCCCTTACGAAACGCCTCTTCAACGGCTGTTCGCAATATGACATCCACAGACAATGCACTGGGAGAGCGAGTTCTCCCCCTGGAATCCGCTCCTCATCACCTCGCAAGTGATATTTACGTTATTGCTTTCTTTTTTACTGAGGCGAGGGCATTTCTTTCGCAGCATAGCCTCGTGCTCGAATACCTCAGCCACAAGTGCTACTCAAAGACAGCTCAGGCGTTCGCCCAAGATACCGCCGTTAAGCACATCGATGCTGATGGGGACGAAATCATGCACTCTGCACACACAAGTATCGAGGCCGACACCAAGGATGTGCGCTTGGAGCAGTCATTAAAGAGCATTCAAATGCGCGAAGGTATTACTCATCGCAGTGTCCAATATCCCTGCTTATATTCGGCACAGAGGTTCGCAACAAGATACTTTCAGGTCAGGTAGAAGAAGCAATACATCTCATCGAGCAACATTTCCCCTCTGTATTGGACACCAGCAACAGCACGGACACGTCGCTTTACCAAGCCAGAACAGTCTCTGGAAAAGTCGAGTATGTCGCCACCACATCCGTGAACCCAGCACACATTACTCTCAATCTTCGCATTCTTGCGTTTATTGAAGCTTGTCGCACTGTTCCCCTCGTGTATCCACCATCGCCATCTTCGACGTCAGACGCGGTTTTGCCTCCCCTCTCTTCCAATCCCCAGGATTATCTCTTCTCATCCACAGATGATGTCGACTCGCCCCATCAAGAAGCTCTGCTTAAGCGTGGCCAGAAGCTCTACGCGTACGCTCACATGCTTCCTAATCCTGATGACAGAGCAGAATACATGGAGGAACTTGGGCATGTCGGGAGTCTGCTGATCTACAAGGTGCCAGAGAGAAGCCCAGAGGCGAGATATCTTTCGCAAGAACGCCGAGAAGCCACTGCAGACCAAGTTAACGCTGCAATTCTCCGTGTGTACTCTACTTATAGTCCTATGTTTGGTTTACTCACACATATCCTTATCACACAGATAGTTGCGGTTCCCCGCCTGTCTCGCGCCTTGAGCTGTATACTAGATATACAATGGCTCTAACTGATAAGTTATATGAAAATCGGGTCAAGGTACCTTCATCTAGCCGACCCCCATGGCTACGCCTCATCCTGCCCGATGTCGAGGAATCAAAGGCCAAGCAAGAGGTATGTCGCTTTCCCATTGCTGAAGCGGACTCTCAAGTCGGCGTTTTCCAGACTACGGTAGTACCTTCTCTTGATCTCAAAACATTTCTTGACGTCAAAACATGACCCACTATCGTCATGTGTGTAGTATGCCTTTAGCCATTCTTTGTGTTATCCAATAGTTTCTCGGAGGGACTTGTACACTATAAAGCAGATGTATTGTTACCACATAGTTTCGACGTCGTCCCATCGTCCTTTGTTTACAGCCGCTAATATGCTTTCCGACCTCACGCAACCTCTTAAACCCAGTACCTTCAGATGCTGCCACTTCTTCCAATCAACACGTTCCAGCATCTGTATTCCTTCTGGATTATGAAACACACCCTCGCCCGACGATCTATACCCCAGCCACCCGTTGTAAGACAGATCAAGGACAACTATGAGAGGGCACAGCAGTGGCAGGCGATGTATAGGGAGAGGGGAAGGGAGATGAACCAGGGCGAGATGACTGAGTGTGGGCGGCAGTGTAAGCATAGTTGAGACGGAGAGGCGGGCAGAGATGATGGCGAGCATCTGAAGTGTTTCCTGGGAGGCATCATGAGATGGAGAGTCCCAAGCTGGTGCTTCATCAGGCTCGTCAACGTCCATGGAAGGTTTGCTGATGTCACGGAAGTGCGTTTCGTGCATCGTAGCCTGAGGGCCGACAACGACGAACTCACCGTTGACGCACCCGTTTGGCTCGAGTAGGGGATATAGCTGTGCGTCGGAAAGGGGGGAGTACACGGCGCTGTCTCTGATCATCTGGCAACGAAGATGCGAGGGGAGATATGATATGATTTCTTCAACAAATCCCGAAGTAGGAAGGCTTCGAAGAGCACGTAGGCATATCAAAGTTAACGGGGGGACTCCATCCTGGAGGGCACAGCCAGCAGAAGGCATTACGAGCGAAAGGGCATTGGACCGCCACTCTGGAGTATCGTGTTCATCTTTAGAGCTCGTCAGCACCCAGCTTCTCGGCGGAGTTGGCCCCGCCCATGTAGGCTTTGGAGGTTTCTTACGTGGTTCCTGGCGAGTGCTACTAGACTCGGCGATAGGCGTATCAGTCACGAAGAAAGTGGATAATGGAGGTGGTAGGATGAGAGTGTAATCCGTCGGGAGTGTTCCTGTTGTGGGACTACGATGCGAAGTTGCGTTGGTGGATGCAATGTTGGCTCGGGCCTTGTTGAGGTTCTGAGCGTGTCTATACTGTTCACCCCTTCAATTGACATCAATATAGCGCACTTGAAATGATCAAACGAGCATACGAGCCTTAGGGTGTGCAGCCTGTCGTTGACATTGGTTTGCGGTGTTTGACGGCCACCTGGCCGAGAAGTAGACGACCGCATGAATCAAGAGAGGAGCAAACTGGAAGTTCTAGCGTAGTGGTCCCCAAGATGTCTCAATCGTTGCAGCGTGTGCATCTTGAGTCAATGGTGTATGTGTAATGCATCTTGGTGAGCGGAGGTAAATCACGACGCTCCAATGAAACCATGTTCTCACACTCCCGAGCCAGATACAAATCAACGTCGAATAACTGATACTGTAAGTATCTATCTACTCTTGGGGGATAAATGGGCTACGTCTGTATGCTGGAGCCTCGATGATGGTAGGTAGCGACTTCGCCATTTCGACGGTGCCGGCAGGGAAGGGAAGGTCGTCTACGCCGGTAGGCAGGACTTTCTCATACAATCCTTTGGCTTGATTATGGCTGGCCAATGCTACCACTTTCTTCTTAGCATCCCGCACGAGGACATGAGCGTTGTCTGCCCCAGGGACGGCCCCTCGCACGAAGATTAGGTTGAGGTTCGTGTCGATACGCAGCACAGGGAGGTTTTGTGTCGTTATCCGGCCACCACCCATACGACCGGCCATTTTCTTACCAGGCCAGACGCGTCCAGGATCCTATTGAAAGTAACGTCAAGGGAGGATTGCCTCTAGAGATGGGTGTACCGACCTGGTGAGCACCTGTGGACCCAGAAGAACGATGTGAGATGGAAACACCATGACTAGCTCGCAATCCCTTGAAGCCCCAACGTTTCATCCCACCCTGGAAACCCTTCCCGAGACTAGAAAGACCAAAATACTGAGACCAAAGAATACCATGCACTAGGCCGAGTCACATACGAGTTGGCTACGACATCAACGAATTGACCGGGTACAAAGTGGACAGCAGATAGAGTGGTGCCTATATCCACATTCACGTTCATCCAATGTAACTGTATAGCTATGAAGGTACTCACCGACTGGAACATGAGCATCAGGCGTCACAGGGAACTCTTTCACTATTTGCTTTGGGGGGACCCCGGCCTTCCGGAAATGACCTAGCATCTGGTTCGTAGTCGTCTTGTGGGGCTTGTCGGTGGCAGCAACTTGGACGGCGTGGTATTCGGTGTGATTCCGTCGCACAGTTCGCACATTTGCGGTCACCTGGCAGTTTTCGAGCTAGGACATCAAACGGCTAAGTAAATAGACAAGTATATAAGCGCACACGCGTACCTGTAGCACAGTTACAGGCTCTCGTACTCCTTGATCGTTCCACAGCGCTGCCATACCGCGTTTTCGGGCGATGAGGCCAGTTCGGATTGAGTTAGGTGTCCATTTGGCAGCGGGTTCGGAAGCGGTGGAAGATGAGGATTCTGTCGCAGCAGACGCGTTTTTTACTGCTGAGCTGTGTATGCGCTTCAAGCAATGAAGCTGCGGCGGGCGTTGGGGCAGGGACCAAACCCTCAACATGTTGTAAAAGACTTGGGGGAGTTGCGGGAAAGTGACTATGGGCGCTTATAATTTCGGGATGCTCTTCAGGCAGTTGGACCGGACTTCGAAAATAATCTTGTCATTGACCTCGATCTCGACTGCTATATCTTCATTCAAATGGGATGGATAACTGGCCCACCGATAACAGAACTACAAGAGTCGTCTCGGGTCGCGCAGGAAAGAGCAAGGCCCCGCCGCCTCGAGATTATCCTTACATAGAAGGCGGCGCGACCAATGCCGTTACATTAATTGAGCACCAGGGCAAGTTCAAGTGGGATTCGCTTGTAGCATCCAAACCTAACGGTGCGCTCAGTATAATGGACCAAAAAATTAAATCATTGAGGAAACGCAGGGCCCATCGTACGCGCACAGGACACACAAATCATCTTCCCCGCCACACGTCCCCCTGCTATCCAAATACCTCCTACTACTATCAAGGAGAGGGCAGAACAGGGCGTAAGCTATATATATGCCTGTCGAGGCATCCATTACTTATTCTCATTGCCAGGCGCATTTTCTACGTACATATCTTCCCGATGTAGAGATTACAAGCGAAGTGATTCGAGAAGAAGTCACTAAAGACGCAGTACATCTACGAGGATACGCGGAATTAGATCCATACAAGATGGACATACTTGCCTCGTTTTCTCAGCCTTCAGGCTCCCATCATGTACCTGCTTTCCTGGCCTTTCCTATGGGAGAACTGAATACTAACCTGAGTATGCATTATTTTGTCGCCTGTGTGCTGTTGCACTCTATAACTGACGCGCATGTAGATATCTCACCCTTCATAATTTCCGAAGACAGTAATTTAGTCTTTACTCCCACCGCAAGCCCCATTCGATCATTTGATACGCCTATCCAGCAGATTGCTGCGTCTACGAGTAATCTTGGTGAGTCCCCTGTAGTAGACTGAGGGTGACGCTCAGATCTCCTTGTAGGTTCTTTTCTAGCTGTTCGCACATATGGATCAACGACCTTGTTCCACGTAATCCCCAACAACGCTACCCACTCTTCCTCTGTCATGTCATTGGAGGAACTGGCATCCATTCCTACATCATCAACAGCTCGCCGTTCAGTCACAGATATTAATTTACACCCTTCCTCGGGCGATGTATGTATAGTCAACGATCTCGGTGCTATCTTCAGATGGAGTCTCTTGGAGAATCGAAGGATGTGAGTAACCCAATCGTCATTGCCCTTTCCAACAAAGTATCCAGATATTATTGTTCTTCTAGTGACGGAACCCAGCAATTCAACGATCGGTCGAGACTGGAGAATTTGTAAGTACATGCTTTTCGTTTAGGAACTTATACTGAAGATGTTACAGTGCAGATACGTCGGTTAATCCGCCACAGGCGACTCGGTCACCAACTGAGTTGTTCTGGAGGCTCTCAAGGGGTATCGACTCTAATGCCTTATACCGAGCTTCGTCCAAAACAGTTGATGCTGTAGACTTGCGTGTAAGCTTGTCAATTAGGATTTAGACTTGTAGTTGACCTCATTAGCAGTCTTCCTTTAATCCAGCACAATGCTTCAATCTTGATCAGAAGGATGAATTGATCACGTCGATAGAAGCCGTTTCTTCCGACAACATCATTCGACTTGTCACTACCAAAGAGCTTGTATGGCTTGACACCCGGTTTCCGGGAAGACGACCGCTGCTGGCGTATAAACATGGTCGGCAGTACGACCGAACCCTCTCTACGCAAACTGTAGCTATGCAAGGACGTAAGTATTTCATTCGGTTTGACCTTTTGAATTCACGGCCCCAACCATAACTGTAGAACCCTATACCTTTCTCTTATCCCAGAATACCTCTTTAGTGACTGTCTACGACGTAGGTCGCTCAAAAGACCAGCGTATACAGGTGAATCGCCGCCCATATTGCTTGGCTTCGGACGGTACTCATGGCGTGCCGTATTCCGGCCAACTATTTCTCAACCATCCATATCAAGACAGTGGGAAGGGAACTAGTCTGTTTCGGCTGTCTCATAGCGGTGCCCTGTATCGTGTCGATGTAAATCTGGACGTTCAAGATGGCGATCATGACTCGGAGATGTCCTCACCCAAGGTGCGATGGAGGGACGATGTCGCTGCACTCGACGTCCAATCCCGTTTACTCCGTTCTGACCCTGGTCCATTGGGCGCCCACGACAAGAGTGTGGTGAATTTGCGTGAAACGTACAAAGGTGATTTTTATCCTAAATTGCGAACGCGTTATAAATGAACTTGGACACCTTCAAGTTATGTTTCAAGATCATTTTGCTGCCGAAGCGGCTGACGTACAAAAGACACGGACGGGTGTCGCCGATATCGTTGAAAGGATGCCCTCATTTTGGCAGGAGTCAGCTGAGCCTGTGGAACATATGTTGACGGTGTAAGTGGCTTTTGTGCGCTATTCCAAGTCTTGATACTTACAGTAACAGTTACGATATCGCTTTCCGCACTGGCGACGAACCTGCTCAAAGCTCTCGTGCTGACTTTTTCACCCAAAGTCCTATCACATCCTCAAGCGGGTATCGAGCTCTATCCCAAGATCTTTTGCCAACTACTTCTATAGCAAGAGACGCTAAGTGGCACTATAGCCTTGCCAACACTTTCAGAGCTCTGAGCATCGAGGCTGAGACCGACGTCTCGTTATTAGATGGCCAGTTTCATCGATATGACCTCAAACATCATCCTGAAAGGACCTATGCTGCGATTCAAAAGGAGCAGGAAGCCCGGCAGAAACTCATCGTCGATCTGAGACTCGGTTCAGATGTATTCTCTGCCCAACCATTTGCCCCAAAGCCGATGTCGACCACCCCGTTCGAAACAATGTCTCGCGCGACACAAGCGTTGACGCTGGGTGGGGAACCACCCCCTGTCGAATATGGCTACCTTAAACCTTTTCTCGGTGAAAAGGGTGAAGAGAGTCCTGAAGAAGATCACACCCCTCTTGGTGTGCGACTTTTGCTCAAGGAATGGGACGTCGGTGCCAATCCCCACGAATATATCTACCACGATCCTTACGACGATTCATCTCCTCAGTTGACTCTGCTACGGAGTATCGAGGAACCCTCGAGCAAACCAACCGAAGCGTCTAAACTGCCTTCGCAATCACAGCGACCACCAACAGTCATTCCCGCGAAATCCCTTATTCCGACGATAAAAAAGCAGCCCGAACTTAGTATGCGTACCAGAATGACTTTCGGGAGCTTCTCGCAGGCCCCTGCATTTCAGGCTACAAGTACAAGTCAGCCTGCTGGGCCGGAGGAGAGTCAGTACACTCAAGAAGAAGTAATGGCCAGTACCCAGGTTGAGCCAGGTCCGTATGGTGGACGGCCTTCGACTGCGAAGAAGAAGCAAGCGAAGAAGCAGCGTATGGGAGGATTTTGAATGCCTCGGTGTCATTAATTTGTACCCTATATCATATTAGCACCTATTCTAGTCTCGCTCCTACTTGTGGGGTAGTATTTCGTGGATAACATCCATTTTTGTGCACACAGAGCAAATCATGAGGTGAGGACCCTGAGGTGCAATCACCCCCGTGACCAAGTCACTTTTGCAGGTGTCGCCTTCGCCCATATCGGAAATAGCTGCGTTCCTCATTTCTCTCCATCATCGCATCTTCCCAGTCGTTCACTTTGCTCGCTTTGGATTTGTTCTCTGCCTGATCCGCACAGTCGTGCAAACGCACGAAGCTGGACCACCTGGCCAGTGATCGTGCCCTATGGATGGACATAGGCGAGTCGGCCCTATATAAATATATTCATTGGGTATTCACATAGGGCTGCATTACAAGGTCGTCCAACTCCTTGTATGATCCTCAGGCCTTCAATGATGCCCTACGCCGTATGAGCTTTGTACATACTCCATTGACGCGGTTCTGACGCGGCGGGACAGGCAACAAGGCAGTCGTATGCGCACTCTCGGCCAGTTACATTTCGACCTTTGCTGGTTACCCTGTAAGTCTGCTGGTGGTGACATTGCATCCTATTGCTGATGTTCTTCTCGTCAGCTGGACTCCCTCAAGTCCAGGCTGCAGACCATTAAAACTCCCATTACGGTCCCAAAACTTGCCGCGATCGTCTACCGGGAAGAGGGTATCAAGGGGTTCTATAGAGGTCTATGGATACCATTGATCACGATTTCGTTTGTTCGTACGTCTTGTTGGAGCTTTGGAGGCCAAGCGCGTGATTTATGTCTAGCTAGGTGCCGCTTCCTTCACCATCTACACTCGAACGAAGGAACTTGCCAGCCGCCATGATTTCTTGAACCGTAGTAGCGCTCTAGATGCCGCACTTGTTGGGGGAATGGCTGGTGCCATGGCTGGGTCACTCATTTCGTTTGGAAGTGCCCGTGAGTCTTGATCCTGCTCTACGTGCCTGGGCCTACTATAATAACCCCAACAGCGTTCGAGTTGGTCAAAGTTCGCCGGCAGCTGGAGTATAGTATCGCCCAGGCGCGGGGTTTACACATTGAAAAGCCTCCTGGGACTCTAGATGCCGTCAGAGAGATTTTCCGGGTCAATGGCATCAAGGGCTTGTACACAGGCTTTCGACTACACTTTAGTGGGTGATAAACATTTCGTCTATGGACGCTACTGATATCATTCCCATGCTAGTTCGTGACACGTCTGGTACAGCTCTATATTTTATGGAGTATGACGGAATGCGACACTTGCTGGGGAGAGATAGGTCTGGCGAGCAAGGTGCTACCCCGCCGTGGCTTCCAATACACTCGTCTCTCGTGCCCTTCGTTTGCGGTTCTTTCGCCGGCGTGAGTCGTTCCCCGTTCATCCACGTTAATAGCGACTTACTCGCATCGGCCAGGTGACATCATGGGCCCTGATATATCCCTTGGATGTGTAGGTCCTTCGAACATGTCGTTAGGCTAAACTAATCTAGCGAATACGCGCACAGTGTAAAAACGAAGGTCCAACAACGAGCCCTGGCAGGCGAAAGGTATCGCGGACCATTTGAAACCCTCTCCAGGCTCATCAAAGGTTGGTGGTAAACTTAGCTCAACCCCTCTTTACTCATCCCTCATTCCGTGTATGCAGGTCCTGATCCTAATAACCCGAAACCATTGTTGGCGGGTGTGACTCGTATCTATCGCGGTCTTGGAGTGAGCGCGCTCCGTAGCATCACTACGCATGGCCTCTTGTGGACATTCTTCGACCTTGTCTCGAACTATATTGATGCATTGCCCCAGTAATAATCTTATAGAATCAATGTATATCATTCCCGCCAAGTGTAACGAGCATAATCTAATATTTGTTTCTTGTGCCTCTGACTCTTGGCGAGTACGTAGGAGATAAGCTACACTTTATCGGGCGTCTTAGCTCAGCTGGGAGAGCAACAGACTGAAGATCTGGAGGTCCCGTGTTCAATCCACGGAGATGCCATCTTTTTGAAGATCTTGCCTTGAACAAGGCTACCCTTGTTTGTTCAATGTTGAGATCTTGAGAAATCGCCGAAACTTGACGCCGCTCACGTTCTTCATCTGCAATGGTCTGTTTTTGGTCGCATCGGAACAGGCTACTTTACTGATTCCCTTGTCTTTTAGATACCAAATAATCGCAGTGGTGCTTCGGCCGCGGAGGGCTGACATGGCGACCTAAGTAAGGCTCAGCCAGCCCATTGTCAGCCTCGATTTCCAGACGGGCGTGGTTAGCCTCATATAGGCCGCTAGAATCCATCCATCGCATTCCAGCCTCTCTCCTTCCTCCTACTATCTCAGTATCATCACCAACTATCGTCTTTCGCTTTCTCAATCAAGATGCCTGCTGTGCTATCTACCACCGCCTCGCCCGGCCTCGTTATGTTCCTTCGCATTATGGCCGCGGTATTCGCCCTCTTCGTTGTCTGCTTTGTGGCCTTGATTATTGGATGGAGTCTGTATCGCAAGCACGCCTCTCGTCGTACACGTCCGGTTGGTGAAGATGGATCGAATCCCGTTCCTCCTGAGGTAGGAACATCTTGACAAACATCTTCGTGCTGCGTGTCTCAACACTCTTCGTAGGCTGACAACGGAGAATCTGTCATTGGGTTCCCTGATCTGGCTCCAAAGAGCCCAACCTTGCCCGCTGTAAGGTCGGTGGATGATTCGGAGAAGCTATCTGCGACCTTTACTGTCACCGACTCCTTTCAAATGGGAAATAATAAGCCATCGGTCGATAAAACACCATCAAAGCCGTTTATTCCTTACCGTGCCCCTCTCCAGGCATCTCGCTCGCCTAACCTGAAGCACGCTCGCAATGGGAATGACCCGCAGCTACAATCGATCCCCCCTATCAAGATATCAATCTGGGCTCGTTATATTCCTCGCAACCCATCACCTCTCGGACCTTATGATCGTCGCGGACGTGTCTTTACGCGTGGCCCGGCACCTACTCGTTCGAGGTCGTGCAAAGAAAATACGCCTAAGCAACACCCTATGATGAAGTCTCGCGTTTTCGCTCTTCGATATGCCCCAGCATAATTGGTCCCTAGTCCCTTTGTGGACCTAATCACATTCATTTCAAGTTTACCCCGCCTTGCCTGTCACTCGTTTACTCTCTGGAGCTCTTTGGATGAATCAACGCATCCAGCCATTCGTTTAATCTCTCCCACTTTACGACACTCTTTGGTCGACTCATTGTGTTTCCGAAAAAGAACCTAAATTAGCAAAAAGAATAGAAAAATAATCATTTAAGCCTTACGTTCTATCTGTTTTCTATCTATCCACCCGCTCGAAATTTACTTCATTCTAAATCCGCGTAATGATTCAAGTGTTCAACGTTCAAGCTTCAAGCCTCGACATGATTATGTTAAAATCCATGTTGTTTCAGGAGGTCAACTGTGGGCGCTTCATTTACCACTTTGAACGTTGCAAGCATCCACGACCCTGACTCATCCTTTTTGTTAAGTCAAGACACAAACCTCGGCATGGCATCCAAATGGCGGCAATAGGCCTGCGATGCCACTCGTTACTCTGCAACCACCTGCACAGCCCGCTTTGGCACGTTAATGAGGGCTGGTAATCGAATGCTCTACCGCATGGCCTGCAAGGCCTGGCGGCTCCTCGTGCCCATCAGGTTGTTATCAGCTCCGCTTGACCCTCCCCTCTCCACGAGCTAAGACTACTTTGTGACGCTCTAATTCACTTTGATTCTGACCGTGAAATTTCTCTGCTCAATTGTTCCTTAGGAAAATAAGTAGTAAGAGCTCTCCGGGTCCTGTAACCAACCCGTAAGAAGAGACGTTCCGCCATGCGTCGTGGACCCCTCGTGTGTTTGCTGGTCAATGCTCGTCCTGTTTGGGCCACAGCCGATACCCTGTTCTGCCGCCATGTTTCTATCTTTGGGAACTTTTCCGCTGATGTCTTGTGTTGTTATACCCAATATGTCTAACTTTCTTTGATCATTAGGTGCCCGGCCAATGAACTTTGCAACGAGCCACTTTAGCCACTTTCAATGCGTCGTGGCCACGGTGGCTGGTTTGCCTGTGTATAAATGTGAGGGGACTTGGGCCCTCAATCCTCAGTCACCTCAAACATCCACCATTTGAGCTAACTACCCAATCGACCTCAACAACCCTCTACTCCAACAACAATATGTCTGGAAACCCTTCTGGAAACCCTTCTGTCCCCCCGACCCTCCGTCTCTGTCCTCCCACCCCTCCCAACTACTCTAGAGCTCCCTCACCGACTGCTTCAGTCAGAGCCATGTACGCCCGGTCTCGTCCCACCTCTGAGGACTTCTCTACCGACGGACAATCTTCCGATCCCATGGACGGGTTCAACAGTATCGAAGCTGCTTTGGCGACTCTCGCAACTCTTGCAAAGACCCCTCCCTCTGTGCCACTTGTCTCCTTCGAGGCCCTCCAGGAGCAATACACGGAGAAGAAGGACACTCCTCGCACCCAAGCTAGTGCCCCACCCCTCGTTACTCGCGACCCCAAGCGCAACCCCAAGTCCCGGGTCGTACGTGTTGCCGAGTCGGCGAAAATTGAAAGGCCCCAGAAGCCTGTGACGACACTTCCGAACCCCTCGGTCGTTTCCTTGAAACATTTCCGCTCCCGGAGCTGGTCTGTTAAGCGATTCAGCAGCTTGCTAAACCGAAAGGGGAATGAAGGTCAAGCTACCGAGGGTACTGACGCCAACACTCCGCAGGAGAAGACCAACGGTCGCAAATTGAGCATCTCCAAGAAGCTGAATTTCAAGCCCCTTCGCCGCGTACTCAATCCGAGAGGCATCGAGAACGTCGCTTCGTACACTGGGGGAGGCAGGCTCCGGCGCGCTCGCTCTCTTGGAGGACTCTCTGGGCTGCGCAACAATAACCACAGCTTGATCCAAGGGCTAGAAGCAGATGGGATTGACGAGGCTACCGCAGATGCTATCCGTTACGTAGCCATGATGCACGAACGCTTCACTTTCGAAGAACCAGATGACTTCGAAATCCCTACTGAAACCAAGTCAGTCTTCGACCTTACGCAATGAAGAACAAATAATCCGACTGCGCACCAATGTATATCACAATTCCTCCAATCCCGTCTCATTTCAACATTGTCTCTGTACTTCATTTTTGAATTGCTTGTACCACAATCACTTCCTTCATCCCGGACGAGCCCACATTATGCCTTATGCTTTATGCCTCTTTATGCCCCATGCCCCATGCCTACACCAAATAGTTTATGCCTTTTCCATTATTCGGGCCGTCCACATTTCTTCCTTTCGTTTACCTCTTCGACTTACAAACGCGCTACGTCACATTGTATTAGTATTAAATTTGAACGACACATTCATGAGTTGAACATCCGTTCTTGAGGTATACGATGATATAACGGCTATAATGTAAGGCGAAAGTGGTCAATGTAGCCTCGGTTTATGCTGATTCTGCGTCACGATTGCGGTCACGATCAACCTTAGAGTCGACTTTTGCCGGTATCATCTCGTCCTCCTCGATAGTACATTCGACAGTTTGCTGAACATTGATGTGAACCTGCGGTAGTAGGGCCGTCAGCGACATGGGGATACGCGAAAGAGCTCCAATACCATCGGTGAAGCCGATCTTCTCTTAGTTCCACTATTATCTGCAACTTGAAGGGTCTAAGGCCAACGTGGAAGGTGATCAGTTCTCCGACATAAGTATAAGCGGGCAACGAGATGGGTACCTGAGCAACTCTAGAAAAAATGTTCCCTCGTGGCTGGCTGGTAAAGTCTTCCGTGAGAACGACGGGTATGGCATGGCTGTTAGAATCTGTGCGGCCAGTACCCCTCAGGCGCTTTCGGGTGTTGAGACTATGGCAAGGTGAGTGAGCGGCAAGCGAGAGGCGTATATACATACGTAGCAAGTAACGAGTTGGCATAGACTAGATTCGAGGTGCTGTGTATCAGAAGGCTGCACGGCCAAGACTTGAAAAGACTTACATTTGCTGATGATGAAATGGAGACCCATGACTAGAAGATAGTTGCGTGAGGGGCGATTACTCAAGTGCAGATGTTGTGAATACGAACAAATTAGATTGTGCGGCATTATCAACCACTACAAGATCATCAATGACGGAGGTGAAAGAGTGCACGAAACACTCACGCAGATCATCGACACAATTGTAGCAGCACTGTCAAAGAAGTCAGAATAAGCCACCGATGAGAACATCAGGAAGAAGCGCACGTCGTCAGAGCACCATTCTCGAACGCATACAGGATGAGTACGTCGATAACTAGATTCAAACTAGAAAGTGACTCGACGATGAGCAATAGCCATACACAACGACGACAGAACATCCCATCACCTTGAAGACGGGTTTCGACTATTTGACAGATAGTAGCAAAGCGACCCTGTTATGAGGATGTCGAGGATAGACGAAAGGGCTAGTCCGAGGGTGAAAGACCACTGATGTCGAACTTGAATTCAGCAATATGCCTCAAAGTGGAGGAAACGTCACATACGTGGAAGCGATGCGTAAATATGTCTAGACTATCGAGTTTGATTCTGGAACAGATCATGCGATGAGTGACCCCTCAACACTTCATCAAGAGAATACTGACAATTGGTATGTCGTCACTGCCCAAGCGTAAATGCATGAGGAATCGATCAACAATGATATAGGACGACGTACGACACGCGAAGCCTGCACTCGAAACTACATTAGCACAACATTGGGTCGGATCGAAAAGACTCACATAAGCGGGAAAAGGCAAGTGCAGCCTTGCGTATCCATCAGCATCAAACAAATATACTGATAATTCGGCATGGGCTTACAAGCGGGACGGCAATGATCCACTTTCCTACGCTTACTTCATGACGATGTCGTGAGAGACGATACAATACTCAGCGGGGACCGCTTACGTTTAAATATGCGGTGGACGAAGAAGCTGAATCGAGGAAAAGGTCAGATCATCGTAAGATGATATACGGGCATCCATACCAATGGACGAGGAATGTCAATATTGCCTGAAGCAGCTAAATCATTCACCGTCTCACATATGGTACTGGCAGTCTTATCTCACCGTAAAAGCAATCGTCATCTAGATGGTGTTGAGCACGTTAACTCGAATCAAGTTTGGACACTTACCGCCAGGCTCCTGTTTAGCGTAATCAAGGTCATTATCTCAGGAGAGTGCAAGGCTGACGATGCTCACCAGGGCACGGAATCAACCATCGAAGTATCGCCGTAGTGGAGGACGAGATAATGCCATAGGGACAGCGAGACAAAAAGTGTATGGCAGAAATCGAGTAGCCTATAGTGCGATGGGGAAGTATTAATTAACCAGTCCTCGGTGCTACAAGGAGGTAGATGCCAGACACACCAGACGAAGGCGACCTGGGTGGAGCATTAAGCGGAGACAAAGATCCAGTAGAGGATTCAGGGACTTACCAATAGTCTTACGCGCATCGCATCACCACGATATGACTTGTAGTAATTATAGCTCTGCACGGTGATGACTCCGGTAAATCTGAATAACCCACAAAGTATCAACGACCTATTAATGGGCTGATGACGATGACGAATATCTTAATGAAAAACATACGCGGTCGCGACTAACCCTCCGGCCAGCAGTGCGCCTACGGTTTTCGGGATGTCGACCTGGGCAGCCATGAACATTCCTAACAAACGAGAGTGGGTGAAGAAAGAGAGGAAGGAACTGAAGCACGCCGCCCGCAAGACTTTGAATGAATACATATAATTATAAGCGAGGCTCTCAAGGGTCGACGGAGCGTAATCGAGTCGTGATCGAACGTATAATCTCGAGGGTGTCGGGGCAAAAGTGTGTAGATCCAATAGGTTAGTTCTAGGAAGAAGACAACTTTGCAGATTCCTGCCAGCCCTGCGTGGGCGTAAGACATGCGGAAGCGCTCATTTTGAAGAATGAAGTACGCCGACCTGCTTCATGCAAATGACGTTTATATTGTACTTACCACTCAGTTTGTATTTATTCGTTTGCCACTGTGGCATTTGAAGAATCTGAATGGCGGGGCAGTCCAATACGATCGACCTCGACGACCGTGGCTAATTGAATCAAAATTGAATTCTCACTTCAAACGTAACGAGATTCGAACAGGATCTACATTTCGTAAGTCGCGTATTAGTGTTCGGCCCACCAAATCAACTCAATGGAAGACATTACTTAGCGACCTGCCGCCGGTGATTTTTGGCCCCCGGCAGAAGATATGACAGCAAAGAGACAGCGATTAAAGTCTTCATCCAGAACTTGCATAGGTCATGATATATGTGGCCCATGAACAGGCCTGGAGTTCGTTCGTTCGTAACAATTAGTTCACATATGATCAGGTGTCTATCACAACATGATGTGCAATTGCAGAGCGCGAGGTCCATATGTGCGAGCCAGCTCAGACTAGATTCTAGGGATTGTGCGTCGTGGTGGCCAACGAGTCCCCGGTAAGCAACCCAGCCTCTTCCTCCGAAAGTCGATTGCTGCGCGACCTGTGATGTCGGGGTTTTGGCCGGTAGATGAATGATTGTGAGACGATGGTGACGTCGAAGAGCAGCGTGCCACCGCTGCCTAGTAAGTACCTAGGGAAATTGAAAGTATGAGATGGTCGGGTGGATGAAGAGAGGGGAGGGGAAGGAAGGGGAAGGGACGTACGGAAGGCTCTCCTTGAGGAAGTCGGTAGATATTGGAGGTGGTTGTTGGACTTTTGGGGAGGTCATTATAGACAGTACGTAGAAGCAATTACCCAGGAAAGCAAAGACGAATAAGTACATCGAAAGACCCTATATAGCCAAGTGTTAGTTCCGAGCGCGGTGTTAATACAATTGAAGAACGTACCTCTACAGATTTTCTAACAAACTGAGCAAGGGCTTAGATGGGTCAGATGAAACATAGATAAAGGACGCACATTCTTCCAGATTTGCGGCAGTCGGGAGGTCAGATATAGCGTTGTACACAGCCATGCGAAGATGCGGCCTAAGATGCGTTCAGATGATAGTTTGTGGTCGGAATCTGGTGGGGGAGTATGAGGGGGTTCTTCTTGTGGAGATATGCCATGATTATTGGTATCGATAATGATGGGCGCTGGTGGGGCGTGGTATATGGTGTCGTCGGGAAATGGTGTGGATGAAGTGAATGGTATCGGGATTCCTCCTGTCGAAACTAATCGACCGACATCTGTTGTACCTGGCGAAGCACTGTTGTAGTTGTTTGCATAGGATCCTATGCCGAAGAGAGTCCATACGCTGAGAAATATGAGGCTGGCACCTCGTTTACTCGCTCGTGAGGCTTTTCTAACGGTTGGCGTTTCTACTTCTTCGCCCATATCCATGTCCACACTGCGTTGCGTTGATCGTCCCCGGTCGCGATCGTGCAAGTCAGTCGTGGGGTTGGGAAGGACGGTGCTCCGCGTCCGAGAGCGTCCTAAACTCGCACCCCGTTCAGCACTCCATGTAACCCGGCCCTTGTGTCTATCCCCTCCCTCGGAATAAAAGCTGAGTGCCATGGGATTGACCTCATCGTCATCATCGCCGTCCAGGTGCGGATCTTGAGATTCAGCCATGCGGGTGCTGGAACCCTCGTGCACTACCTCAGAACCTTGTTCCCTTTGCGAGCGGCCGTGGCGAGAGCGTCTAGGATGCGTGGATTCCTCGTGCTGGGCTGCAAGCGCTGCCGCGTGGGCGACGTTGGCGGCGACCGCCGAAAGTGTCCGATACCGAGGGGCTGCACGGTCAACGGAACGCTGGCTTAAAGTGGATGTCGCTCGAGGTCGAGTTCGAATGGCCGTGGCCATGGCCAATGACGCCTTTCGGTAGTAATAGAAGTATTGGACTACTAATGTCAAGTCCACAAATACAAAGTAGGTTGCGAGATATGTCTGGGTGACGCCATGAGTCGCGTGACAAGCAGAAAGGCATCATAAACGTACTTGGAAGGGAAGCTGGTGCGTTAGCAGGCACCCGATGAGATTCGACAGATCCCCTGTAAGCATCCAGTCAGCGTTCAAGATTACACGCGACCTGAAATTTCGTAGAACGTGTCGCACCGAGGAACCAGTTTCCAAGAAATGGAAGAGCAAGGCCTTCACAAGACTGGCGTCGTATGTTCTCCAGAACTTGGCTGGAAATCGATTCGGGGTCAATGGGAAGCTCTATACGGAACTGGTAGTGCGATGATGCTCACGGAAATTGAGCGCCCAGCCAGCAACCTATGGACACATAACCGGCCATGTCGCTCAGCGTCGATAGTCCTGCCATCGCGTTCGTCGTCGTCGGTAGTGGTGATGTGGTGGTGGTTGGGTGACAAGCTGGGATCCGGGATGAAACTCTAGTTGAGACAGAGACCAGAATGGACCCTTATCAGTGTGGTCACAAGCACTTCGGCACGGCTTTCTAATTCCATCCTTGGCAGCGCCTATGAATGCCGGAAAGAGTTATACAACGCAACTCCGGGAGTCCCACACGTCTTCGAAGCCGTCCGATCCATCCAGCTCACAACAAATACTCTGCTTATCGCGCCCTCTTCATTGGCTAATTGATACTGACTTCACAGATTCAGAGGATCATCCTTTCCAATTACGTGAATAATAGCATCAGGTCTCCCATCTGCTCTTGATATCACGTTATGGAAAAGTTTTGGGTGCGCTTGCAGTACCCAGAAGTATAACTATATTTCGGGCACGAACTGCCATAAAGCGAGTTGGGGGGTATAGTGCACACGTCCATCATGCACGCACCCGCACTCGGGAATTGTATTTAGGCCCCTATGACGTCCAATCCAAACAAACTGCATCAGCCCAACAAACGACAATGTTCTCATCACACCCCGATATATTGCTTAGGTTCCCCTCATCATGCCAGTAGGCCAGAAGCGAGCGGCAGGCGGAAACGCTGGGCCCTCTACATCCCAATCATCCCATGCCGCCAAAAAGACGCGTTTCGTTGAGCCACTCGACGATCCCGTAAACTTTGCGGAGGAAGTTGATTCCGCGCTCGAGAATCCCTCGGCGCGTCGCAAGGGACGGGTCAAACAAGAAGGATATGATTCAGACTCCAGTGACGACGGCGAAGGAGTCGTGTTCAGCAGGAAGAAGGACGGGCAGGATGCAGACGAGGACGAGGATATGTTCGCGATCGGCGAGAAGGAGGAGAAGGAGCAGCCGAGCGCGAAGAAGAAGAAAGAGGAGTATATGAAGCTGGGGGACATCGAGGGGCAGGTGTTTGCAGATAACTCTGGGAGCGACTCGGAGGAGTCTGACGAGCCTGAAGATGAAGACGATGCAGAGCGGAGGAAGAAAGAGGGTATGGGATACGAACTTTCGTCGTTTAACATGAAAGAGGAGATGGAAGAGGGGAAGTTCACTGAGGATGGGATGTATGTGCGCTCGTTTGACCCACATGGAGTGCACGATCGGTGGATGGAAGGGCTGGACGAGAGGGAAATCAAGCTGGCGAGGAGACGGAAACGGAAGCAGGAGAAATTGCAGAAGGAGAGGATCCAGGCGGAGGAGCAGGAGCTTGAGCAGAGTGGGGGTAAAGGTGCACTGGAGAGGGAACTCGTCGGTATGCTGAAAAAGGGTGAAAGTGTCCTCGAAGCCTTGCAGCGGCTAGGAGCACAGTCGCGAAAGGCAAAGGGACCAACTAAGAGGTAAATATCTCCCCCAGAATGTTTGAATATCACCCTTGACTAACAACGCGTTTCTAGCTCGAAAACCGTTTCCTCGCTCGACAAACCCAAGAGCGTATCCGACATCGATCACATAACACATCTCGCATCCAACATCATGTCCCTCGGCGACACCGACATCTACTCCAAAACCTACGAGGAGCTCGTGCGCGACATCCGGCGCTCTGGCGCCGTCGATCAAGCATGGGTCCCCCCGTCCGCTGACGTCCAGTACGAGTACAAGTGGGACATGCCGGAGGTGGTTGGCCAGGAAGCCGCCAGCTTTGGGCCGTACTCGGAGGAGGAGATGAAGGCGTGGTATAAGGCCGCGTATTTTGGGCCGACGGGGGATAAGGTGAAAGTGAGATCTGTTGGAGGCGAGTGGGGCGACTGGGACGATGTTATTTCATGAAATGTAAGAATATCTTGAGAATAAGTGTATTGCGTGTATTTGTAGAGCCGCCCATGGATGATATACGTTACAAATGATATGTTACAATTAAGTGATAGTCCCCAGTCCTTCTAATGGCTGATATACTGGAAAACGAACGAAACTTGATCTAGTCCTGCTTCCGCGCGTAGCAAATCGTCATGAATGTTCTTCAGCTCCCCATTCGTAAAGTGATTCCATCTACATTAACCTCCATTAGTTCCCTGCAGTTACCTCGGACGAACATAACTTACGTGCTGGCATCACCATATAACAACGCCTGAGACTTGATAGTCTGCCTCCCATTCTTACACCTCTTGCATTTAAACGTCTCGTGCGTCTCACACAGAGTCTCCTCGTTGAACTTGAACAACTGGCGCAGCGCATCGACAGAGAAGTGGCGCTCCGTATCTTCCTTCTCGTCCACAACCGCAGAAGACAGCGCTTGTTTGTTAGCCTGTCGTTGGAAGATCTTCTCCTCGATAGTCCCGGTGGAGATGAACCGGTAGACGAAACCTTTTGACGTGGCATCAGTAGGTGGGGTGGCATGAATGGGGTAGATGGAGCGACGTACATTCTTTCTTTTGGCCGTCACGCCAGACACGGGCAAGGGCCTGTTGGTCAGCCGCAGGATTCCAATCTATTTGGCGGTCAGCGTGACAAGCACCCAGTAAATAGGCGGTACGAACCGGGATCAAATAGAATCAAGCGATTCGCGCCAATTAGGTTGATACCACATCCACCAGCCTTACTACTCAGAAGGAAAATGAATTCTTTCCCTTCTGGATTATTGAACTGGTCAACGAGCTTCTGCCGCTTCGTGATGGTCATGGTCCCGTCAAGTCTGAAGAACCCATACCTGTGAAACGAGAACGCGTCAACAATAATGATTAGATCCAAGGTACTGCGGTCCCGGAATATTTACTTTTTACTCCGGCAAAGCTTTTCGAAGAGATCGAGCGTTTGCGTATAATTGCTAATCAGGACGATCTTGTCAGTAGTCTCCGTCTTGAGTTGATGCAAGAACCTGTTCAAGTTCAAGGCTCGGCCGCTTCCCGCCGATGACAGAAAAGCGGGACACACCTCTCCAATACGAGGAACTTGCCACCCCAGTCACAACGGACCGTCTGGTTGCGGCCTTTGTCTCTGCTGCTCGCTCCAGCACCGCCGAACCCTTCTGGTATCAGCGACTCCGACCCATGAAGGTCGTTGGGCAGGTTCAGCAATTCCGGGTGATTACACAGCTTTTTCAGAATGTTGATCGCCTTTAGTGGCTGGGAGTCGGTTCCACGGAGGAGTGCCTTGATCTCAGGAGACGAGATGAATAGACGATAGAGGGAGAGTTGGAAGTCGGAGAGACCGCAGAATACGACGTGTTCGTATTTTACGGGAACTGGCAGTAACGCGGAAGGTCAGTAAAGAGTCCGGTTTACGCTGCGAAGGAGAAGGACGGAGAAAACTAACGGTATTTCGAAAGCAGGTCGTTCGTGCGCCGTATGATAAATTTCGTGACCAGGCCTCCTAGTTCCTTCAGCTTCTGCTCACTCGCCGCCTTGAACTCGTCGCTGGCCATTGAGTCGCGTCCGCGAATAATGGCATTCTCGAAGTTCTTGCGGAAATCATTCTTGGAGCCGAGGAAATTGGGGTTGGCGAAGTTGAGCAGGGAGAAGTATTCGGAGAGATCGTTCTAACGGGGTTTTGTGTTAGCGTTTGTCCTGAAGATGGGTGATGCGAGGTAGCTTACCTGGATGGGTGTACCAGTGAGAATGACGCGACGCTTGACGTCTAGTGCGTTGAGCGCTTGGAATGTTAGCGAATCTATATCCAATGTGAGTACATTGGGAATATCGCGAGTAAGCAAGCGTTACCGGAGTTTTTGAGTCGATGTCCTTCGTCGCAGAGTAGCAAACCTATGCTACAGCTCGCCAGATGGACTGAGAGCGTTCGAAGGGTTTCATACGAAACAATCATCACTTGTAGAAAGTGTCAGCCATAGTCTGGTGCTGTAGTCCACGCAAACTTACCTGGCTGCGTCACATTTCTCCCGTGGGCAGACACCCACCGATTAACTTTCTCAATCAACTCGGCCTTTCCACCTTTGCCATCTACCGCAAGTGCATTTATCGCGCCTTTCCCTAACCATTTATCTACGCCGAGTCAGCAAATAACATGTAGGGCCACTCCGCATACGTAGCACATACCGAACTCGTTCGCCCAATTCTTGACCAAACTCGAGGGACACGCTATGATACCTTTCTCGATCGTCGTCTTCCCCGGATGCGGGGACTGCTTGAGCAATGTCCATAGCAACGCTATGCATTGTAGGGTCTTACCAAGACCCATTTCGTCTGCCATGATGCACCCATATTGGTTCTCGACGACCATCCCCGTCGCGCATTTATACAGGAACTAACTTTTCATGAGTGACGATAGATGGTAGAATTGGGATCTAAGGCTCACCTTGACACCCTCGACTTGATGTGGTCGGAGGACCTTGCTAAGACGGGGATCAATAACAACTGGTACTTTCGGTACCTTGTCCTTCGTTGCTTTGTCCTCTCCTAAAAGGGCCTTCAGACTCTTATGCGGATTAAACATCCCAGCTGTCTTCTCCCTCGCTTCCTTCTCCAACCTTTCCCTCTCTTCCAGCTTCAGCCGCTCCTTCCGCTCCTCATCCGTCTCGCGGTCATCAATCGTCGGGTCGTACAACACAATCGCATGGTCCTCCATCGGGTCATGCAAGGGCCGGGGCGCAATCTTCGCCCTTGGGCGAATCCCCAGAGATGCGCCGCTGAACACAAGCTCGACGTTGGCCCCGTCCTTCCCCTTCATCGTCGGAAGCGAGAAGCTTCTCTTGCCCCCAAACACCTCGCCGAACGGTTTCGGCTTGTACACGGGGTATACCTTCACGGCGGCCAGCAGCTCCTCCTCAGTGGGATACGCCTTCTCCCCGTCCTTCTTCTGTCGTTTCTTGCGGTTGCCCTCGTCGTCCGAGTCATCTGCTGCAGCCCCGTCTTGACCTTTATACGACACGCGTTTGCGCTTGCGCGCGGGCTGGGCACGAGTGTCTGCCTTTGCTAGGGTCGGGGGCTTGAAGGGCTTGTTGACGCGCCCGCTTTCTTGGAGGCGGTCAACTGCCTTGCCGTCGCTAGTCGTCGGTATGCGGCGTAGCATGGTGGCTTAATCAAACGCGTGTGCACAGCCACCTATAACTTTAATCGCGTTCGTAAAGGCAACCACGTGACCGAGACTAACACATTTGGATTCACAATGACTTCGCTGGCAGTGTCAAGGCAGATATCTGATTGCAGTAAATTGTCATAGTGTCATTCATAGACACCGTACACCAGAGTAGAGGGGGACGCTCGAACACAACAAAGACAAAGACCAGAAAAGTACAACTACCCCACGTGGTTGAGGAGGAACCGTAGAAACTACCATCGATTTGGATCCGCATTCTCGATGGCCTCATGATACCCTATAGGGTTGCTAATCATCACGCGCGTGACCAAGACATGCCCCGCTTCGGCGCGTAGTGATGCTGGGAAGTCGAGTCGCTGCACGATGTCGGCGCTTTCGGGGACGCAGAAGGCGAACAGGTCTTCGTGTACGAACTCCACGAACTATGACGAGAGTTAGACAGATTCAGAGCAGGAATCCAGATAAGGAGAAGGAGGTAACTCACTAGTTCCCCAGCTCGCAATTTCGTCTGGAAGCGCTCATAATGCCGCTTTTGGGCGTCGCTGGCTTCGCTGTCGTCAAGTACCACCTTTGCTGAGGGTCCAACACTTCGCAATGTGTTGAGAAGGGTATGTGCGTATTCTTGCTGATAAAACTGGCCCGCGGGCCCTTTTGCTTGTGTCTTGATGATTTCGTCTAGTGTCGGGGTCGGGGTCGGAGCGTCTGGCGTGTCAGGGCTGGCACAGAGAAGGCGCACGGGGGCGGCGGCGCTGCTGTCGAAGGACAGGAAGAACTTCGCTGTTGGTCTGCCACAATACCGGTGGTCAGCAAAGAGGAAGGAAAAAAGGGTGGTGAGATGCATACGATTCGGATTCACCAGTCTCCCCAGACCCGCTTGCTCTGGTGGGAGGGCTTCATTAATATAGGCTTGGATATCTAGATGTGATAGCTCACAGTGCGCCAAAGATGGTACTATTCGCGTCGCTGATCCTCCATTTGTGGCGCTGCTCGGGAACTGCGGGGCTGGCTGACGGAAACAGCGTCTCCTTCACCGTCGCCAAACTATAATTCGCATACTATCATTTAGCTGATACCAACAGAAATACATTCGACGGGATGGCTACCTTTGACGCAGTACAGACACCACCCCCGTGCCTGCAGTTGTTGTTGCTGCGGCTGTTGGCGGCTGTGAAGGCGAACGAGGCGGGATGGTGTCTTCTGGGTACGCCAGAGTCGGGGTTACGAGAGTATCATCTTGGAAGTCAACAAGGTCAGCAACGCTCTTCTCGTCCGCGCCTGCCAGGCGCAGGAGCTCGGCGGCAGTGGGCGGGACAACGACCACAGACGCATCAGGTATGGATAGACCGGGGATTTCGGCGCTCTCGTCGACATCAGGGGAAAGCGAATGTCTCTCCTCAGCGCGTTGTTCAGCCTGGACCGGTTCGGCTTTTTTCACACTCCTCAGGCTCCTCTTCCCTTTATCGTACGTCAGAAGCGAACTACGACGCGGCGTCGAGATTTCCAGCTGCGAGTTGCGTCCCGGTCCGGCGCGCGAGCTGGATACCCGCGGACGCGATGACGAGACGCGGGCCTTTGCTGGGATCGCGTCTGCCAGTTCCGTGAGCTGCGGATCGTCGACCATCTTCACGCGCGAATTCGCCGCTCTGGCGCGATGCGATGGCATCGTGGTTGTGGCTAGCGCTGAGGACGATGCACTTGGGATGGGAGGAGGGTCGGACGGACATGGGGCTGGCAGCGAGTCTGGGAGACACTGCGCTGCTGGTTCCGGCAGGGGCGACGTCTGGTGCCGTTTGCTGGCAGGGGGGCTAGCATCTGTGGGCGGCGCGACTTTGCGCTTGTGGCCTGTAGCGAGGGCGTCAATAAAGCCGGCGGTGCCCTATACAGCCAGAGGACGTACGGATACGAGGAGGCCCAGTAGGGAATACCTCATCCTGGTACTCGAATCGGCTTATATCATTCGGGTCCCGGCCCTGCAGCATGGGCTCGCAGCGTGCCCAGAACTTTTCGATTAGCTCTTCGGAACCTTCAAACGATTCTGCGGGTTCCCAGCTAGTTGGCGAGTAAGTGCGGGAAAGCGTTCTGAGACGCACTCTGGGCCATCGAAAATCAGGAAGGACATCCCCTCCTGCCTTTGCTGATCCTCCGAGACAAAAGATTGAACGATGCGACCATTCATCCTTCGCAGAGAAGGATTAGCAGAGGGAGGAGGGAGTATCTGTCCAGACAAGTCCTTCCATGGCCCAGAGTGAAATGGTACTCACGTATCATCCCCCTCTGTGTAGCCCTTCCACTGCATGATATCAAGCTTTGTGCGCAAGGAGGGTTTCGTGAACTTACTCTGACGCGAAATTTCTGGGAAGGCGTGAGCGAGACGGCTCGGACAACACAGTGATTGCACGACTTACCCATATCAATTTCTTCTTTCGAGCCTTGGGTTTCTCGTAATCTATCCGTGCTTTCAGAATGTAGTCTATTTATTCGCTTAAGCCTAAACAGAATCAAAGTGATAAAGAAGAATACTGACCTACTTCATACTCCTCGTCGCCGCCGGACATGATGCAAGTGCAGGATCAGAGAGTTATGGGCAAGGGAGATACTTTTGCAGGCTCCAAATGGGCATTCACTGAGATACGTATCGTTTGCTGCGACTTCCTAGCGAAAGTCTGAGCGGCGATTGTCAAAGTCAATAGTGAAGATGTCTTGAACTTTCTGAAGTCCCGCACTAGGCGCCCAGATCGGTTGATCCTTTTGTGAATATTCGGTGCTCCCCATTCGGGGCGCGCAATTACAGTATGGACTGCCTTTGGACCGCCTTCCAAGGGTGCACTCAACATCTCTCTTTTCGACCACCATGATCACTTCAGAAAAACCTAGCGAAGCACAAACCCAACTGCACCCTCCTCCAGCGTACGGGGAGAACTCTGGTGCATCGCCGGCACAAGCGCACAATCCTTACTTCCAACAACAGCCGCAGCCACACATACTATATCCGCCTCCAGGGTCGCCATATCAGGAGGGGCCACCATCTTCACCACCACAAGTATATCCCCCTCAGCAGGTGCAGCAGCCATGGTCTCCCAACATGCAAGACCCAATGGCTAGGGATGTCCAAATCGGCCAGAACTATCAAGCTGTTCGTGAGTATATTACCCTTGATTTTTTGTCTCAATGAAGCTGACTTTCTACAGTCTTTGCTCGTTGTGCACAGGGAAGGCATGAGCGCACGACGAAATACGGCGCCTGTGGTATCATTGCTGCCATCCTCTTATTTCCTATAGGCCTACTATGTTTATTGTGAGCACTGCCCTCTCCTGGCGTATCAAGCTAACATTGTACGTCAGCTTGGACACAGAGGATCGCTGTGCAGTATGTGGAACGGTTCTCTGAATCGACGCCAATGTGTCTCCTGTCAGTCATTGATGCATCGCCCCAAAATTCGGTCGATACTTTGCTATTATTCTATGTAGAACATACACGAATTGTATCTTGAGATGCTACAATGTCTCGAGCTTACAATACGACGAGGTCTTTCTATGATCCTTCAAAATGGCACCTAAACCTGAACCTCCTGTAATGCCTTCGACCCCTAAGGCCTAAGGCCCAATGCCTTCCTTCACTCATAGGCTCTCAAACAACTGGGATATCTATATCAGAACCAAACGTATATATACATGTTCAATAATTTGCCCTATGCGATACAAGATTCAAAACAATTATGCGGCAAGAGGAGTATATGGTGAATAAAATAACGTACAGTAAATACTAGATAGTAGATGATATACTTAGATGCAATCAAGGACGGGACCACTCGGGGAGAGGCAACATCCTTCCCGCAAGCAACGAGTACTTCACCCACTGGGTGTCGACGACAGTAGCTCCGTCGAGGTCGTCCCGGTAGTTCGTACTTTCTTTGATGACGACTAGGTCATACTCCGTAGCTTGCCTGGACGCGTCATTCAAATCGGCGACGGCCTCCACACGTTTTGCACCCATGCACACCAGGATCTGGCCAATGAAATGGCTTCCAGGAACATCAGTCTAGGGTGTGAGGTTTGAGGCTAGCTGAAATGTAGATGAAGATGTGCGCGTACCTTTCCTTGGACAGGGATAAGGTCCCTGCCCACACAGAGAGCAGTCTTGTTTTTGAGGATCTTGTGGGGAACTTTGTTGTCCATGATGTGACGAAGATGCTCGCTGGTAGAGCACCAAAGGGTGTCGACGAATTGGCTGACATTGGCTTCCAAAGGCTCCACGAATCCTTGCGCAAGAAGGTGGGGTGCCCATTCTATTTCCATGTCCTGTGGTGTAACGCTGTAAGTATCCGAAGTGCGAAGACGTCGCAGAAAACAAACCTCTTTGATACATGCCTCCACCCATCTGTAGGAGAGACATGGAACACCAAGAGCGACAGCTACTAGATACCGTGGCTTTTCATTGCATTCATCGGATACCAAGAAAACCTTTCTGGTCTGATCAATATTGCCGATCCATGCAATCTCGCCTTGTGTGATCACCCAACGTCGACCATCCCTATCATACTTCCCATCCAAACTCAGAACAGTCGTCCAGTCGTCGATCACGGCGCCCCCTCCTCCTCGTACCGCATTGGCGATCTTGTCTTTGGTCATTGTCGAGCCCGGGCTCAAAGTGATGACGATGCCGTATTCCGAGAGCACGCTGGACGTAGGGCGAGGGCCCGCGGTGCTGCTGATAGATAACCGAGAAGGCGAAGGTTGTGGATGCTTCAGTTTTGTAACAACCGTGTCCGAAGTCAACTTTCGGTCTTTCCAGGCGTAGTTGATGGTCTTCATGTGAATGGTGATGTCTGCTCTTTTCATTTCTTCTTCTTCCCCATCAAGCTTAATGGTAACCACCTCCGTGTTATGTTGGTCATCGACGTTAACGACCTTGCAGGTTTTCTTCTTGAACCCAATCGGAGCGACTTCATCCCCGACATTTAATTGTGCAAGTCGCATCTGGTCCAAGGTCACGTCCGCTTCCGTCCCATCGTCGAACTTGATCAAGTATTTTCCATGGGGCTTCATGGAATGGACGGTTCCCAGGAAGTAGTGAGCCTCAGTCTTCCACAAGGCATATACACGAGTAGGCTTGCCGCCAATACGGCTGCTACTCGCGGGAGCACTGGAACGCAGCGACTTTGCGCGAACGGCGGCGGGAGTCTCTGGTTTCTTTGTCTTCTTAGCACGCTTGGGAGCGGCCTTGATGCCAGATTTTGCGGTCGAACCAGAATCTCTTCGTTTTCTCTTTTTATTGGTTTTATCTTCGACTGGCTCCTCGTATTCATCACCGTCGTAGGCTGGTTCCGTGCTGGCGTCGTCTCCGTGGTCGACCTTTAGAATGTGGTCCTCAGTCAGGTCTGACAACGGGCTGAGTTCCTGGCGGACAGCCTCTTGTTTCGTCTTGGACGAAGAAGCTACCTTCGACGCGGTAGCTTTGGGCAGAGCCCGAATGGCCTTTGCTTTCGCAGGTGCTTTGGGCTGGACTGGCGCATCCTTCTTCCCAACACCATCTTGCTCTGGAAGGGAAGAAGGAACAATTCCGTTCTCCCACGAACCAAGGAGATACCCAGGTGCTGGTTTCGTTTGCCTAGTTTGTCTAGCGGCAGGCGAGATAGCCCTTTGTTTCCCTTTGGCCTTGGAGGTTGGTTTCTTCGGCACGGCAGGCGGAGGCATGGTGGTTTCCTTCTTGCTGCGCTGGAGCTCCTTCCCTTTGTTCAAGGTCATTTTGGCAAGCGGCATATCGTCTTCGTCGTCTTCGTCGTCATCCGTGCGCGCAGCAGTTGTGTCAACGTCCATTTCAACCGAATCGGGTACTATCTCTTCAGAATTGGGGTGGAAATCAGGCTCCCCCTGACGGAATATGTTGCGTTTCTGGATAGCGGGGGACTTGGTGACTGCACTCGATGCAGGAGCAGGGGGTTGCGTATCCTGTCTCAATGGCTCCGAGTCGGGAACGGTGTTATCTGTGGTGGAATCAGTAGGTGGGATACGCTGGAAAGCCTTTGGTCGTGACGGAAAGCCGCGCCGCCGAGGGAGAGTTTCTTCTACTGTGGACGGTTGCGTTTCGGCTTGGGCTGCAGAAGGGCCGTCACCGTAGCCATCACCGTCGCCTTCGTTCGATGGCTGAGTTTCTTGATAAGCTGGCTGGCGCGAAGGGCCACCCGCAAGGCGCGCAGCTTCCGCTGCTTCATCCTCCTCCTTCAGCATTTTGGTGGCAGCGTCAAAGGCAGTTTGGTAGAGGCCAAGACTTTGGGCAAGCTCGAAGAGAGGTCGTATGTCATAATCATAGCGCCATAATTTACTCCAGTCAACAAACGTTAAGAGACGATGGGCTGATTTCGAAATCTCCTCCTCAGGAGAAAGTTGGGCCAGGTATTTTGTGATCCTGAGGGCGATGGCGCCCTCAGGTAGTCTTTCAACTTGGGAGACAATCGGAGTCCTGTCTGAAGAAGCCTGAGTGGTGTCGGTGAAATGGGTGGTGTCGGCGAAATCCATAGGTTGTGTAGCGACAAGTGGCTCTGCCTCAGGCGGATCGTTGGTATCCATTCCATTGTCGAGGGCGTTGATATAATCATATAGAGATGAAGAGGGTGCTGATACTTCACTGGAAAGTTGACTTGGTTCTTGCATATTTAGATCAACGTCCATATCAGGCTCCTGTGCTTGTCCGTAATCATAATCATCATTTCTATTGTGGTTCAACGCTTCTTCTTGGGATCCTGATATTGAGGGAGTCGAGTCAACCAGGACTCTCCCTTGGGGCGGAGAGGCCGGAGGCGGAGAAGGAGTGTGAACGCGTCGTATCAGGATTCCGCGTCCCATCTTCTGGAGCATTGCTTCGCGCTCTTCTGCGATGCGTGCCAGCTGAGACAAAGGGACGTTCAATTGTTCAGCGCCCTGAATGTAGCGAGCGGCTGGATCAATACTGTCCTCGAACGCCCCGATGAACGAATCTTGAGAATCTGCGTCGAGCGCAGGGTACGTACCACGGCGAACCCGTGGAGAATTTCGATGGGAAGGCAGGTTGGTATTGGTTTCTTTGGCAGGGATGGTGGCTCGGGGTAAGGGTGAAGAGCGCGTCTTGCTGATGGGGGGCTCGACCTATATACACGGGTCAAGACGCGTCGCATAAAGCATCCGTCAACGTGACTTACTTTGGATGGCGAGGCAGCTTTGACCGGTTGGAACCTAGTATTCTTAGGGCCAGCGTTGGTAGGTTCTTGGACCCCCTTCATTGCTTTCACAGGAAAGCTCCGCTTGTTGCCTCTCAGCAACCCTTCATCTACTTCATCCTCGTCAAGGAGCTGCGTATCCGTTTGAGTCGCATCAAGACCGAAATATTGATAACGAGAAGCCTGCGGACTACCGGTCACATCACTTGAAAGGTCTCTTTCGGTGTCCTTCCGGCGATTATGATCGTGAAGGTTACTGGAACAGGTTCCTGCGGTATCGAAGCCGCCGTCAAGAACCTGTTCCAATATTTGGCTAGCTTGGGACCCTTCGATCGCTGGCTTGCTATATCCCGAAGGCGTGAATAAGCATAAACTCATGGTTAGCTCGGTATCACGCACGTTCGGGTAGTTCTCATCGTATTCTCAAGGGTTTCCGTCGCGTTCACGATGGTAATATAGGTAATATGTGAAATGAAAAGCTGTTTTGGCTGCGACTACGCGTGTGCTGAGTGGTCCGAACGCGGTGACCGTCTGTGTCTCGGCGAGAGGAGTGTGGGACCAGAAACAAGGATCCAGGGGTAACGGGGAGCACTACAAGATTCGGGGAGGTTGGCTTTGCGCACAGAACTGAGGTCGCATCAACGTTGGGATGGGCTGTTGTAAAGAACCTCTGAAGTGCTCGGCGAGTCTTCGAGACCCCTAGTGGCTATTTGGAGCTGTTTACTTGTGGCGCGTCGCGTATTATTGATTCCACTTTCGGCAATAGGGCGGTACCGTGACTGCGAGATCTCGGACTCCTCTTCACATCAAACTCTCAAGTCGCCCGCTCGTCGCTCGCGCTGGTCGCCGTGCTCAGCAGGTCACCATGCCCCCGACGTACAGAAATACGCCTACGCTCATCACGCTCTTTTCTCGCCTAGCTCCTCGTCGCGACGAATTCAAATATCTCAACGACCACACCGACAGTCACAATGGACACCGCAACGGCCCCAAGAAGGTCGCACAAACAAACTTCGATTCCAAGCATTCCACCAGTAAATCTGCTTCTCACCAAGAAAAAGTTCTGGCCCAGGACCTGGCCAAAGGCAAGCCTGAGGACGACGCAGGCGAGACCAGCATGACTGCCATACCCGTACCAATACCTGATACTGGATCTCATCATTCCGATTCGACCGACAAGAATAAACCACACAGCAAAAGTTCTTCTATCTCGGAACACTCTATGACAACTTCATCACTTGTATCGGCGACTTCTTTGTTACTCCCAACAACCACTGTCTTTTCATCAGCCCCACCTACGGACACTATCAGCTCCACTTTTCAATCTGTATCTGTAATTCCTTCCAGCGCAGCGCACCCATCTCTGGCGGGTCCCCACCTTTCGACCCTTGCAATAGCGTTGCTGGCTTCTGGCGCAGCCTGTATCATAGTTGCCCTCTTCATAATCATCAAAGTTTGTTCTCGCCCTAGGCGCCGTACACCAACGCCTTCTTTGCCTATTCTGGAAGACGGTTTCGATGATATCTACAAACCCGGTGTAGAGGACTCGCCTCTGTTTGGAGGCAAGGAAAGGATATCTCATCTTGACAACAACGGTTTCTCTCCCTGGCCCAAGGACCTCCAGGCACCGCAGTGGCCACCTGAGCCCGTACAAACTTTTAATACTGCCCCCAATAATACCTCTCACTGGATGCAAAGGCGGGAAGTGGATTACGCCTTCAACGGACATGCGCACAGCCAGGGCTCCACCTATGAACCCAACATTGTCTCACCGCGACCTATTCGCCAAATGCAGGACGCTATCACTCGAGTTACCCGCCGGCTATCGGCAGCCTCACTCCACCCAGGTGGGAATCCGTCTACGGAGGCAACTGGCCTTGGTATAGGCGACAGTCCCCCGCTCACTGCGGATGGATACCAGGTCATGGAACGCAAGTCGAGGTCGGTGTCTCGCAAAAGTGTCAACGGATCCGAGCCACTTCCTCAAGGCCGACGGCAGTCACAATCTCTCAGGCAATCTATGGGTCTCGCATATGATGGAGCCGACGTTTTGTCCCCTTGTTCACATGACGTTTATGTTCCTAGTGAAATGATTACCCCGATCGCGATAGCTGAACCGTCTCCTGCTCATGGTGGCCGTAGCCGTATTAAATCGTCGTATTTCACATCTTATCCTAGATCATCTGCCGCCCCCATGTTCGCAAATGCAGGCGCTCTCAACCACGTTGAATCTTCCGAGGCTTCTCTACATCGGTCGGAATCCCGTCGTGATCGGGACACCAAAGCCCTTGCTGCTGCGCTCGGCCTTTCATCCCCGTCTCCCATCTGTCCTCCCCCACCTTCTCCCACAATTCACCCGGATGATTCTCTCAGCATGCTGGGCAGGCGCTTCTCGAAGGCCATCCCATCGCGTTCAGCTGACAGTGCTGCGGGTGGGGATGCAAAGCCCAGACATTCGCTATCTGCAATGAGTCCAAGGAGCCCGTCCTCAGTGCTAGGCAATCTTATGTTGGTCGACTTCGGAGCTACTAGCAAGTCACTAGCTAACATCGGGTTTGGTGAAAGTACACGCCAATCCTATGCGAGCTCCAAAATACCCACGTCGATGTCCAAGAAAAGTCTGTATGACGATAGGCCTCCGCGAGTTCCGTCGCCCCCACCCCTGCCTTCACTCGCCCAGATGGGATTAGAGAAGTCCTGCCCGGAGACATTTGCGAGCTATCGCAGCCCAACGTACAGCATTTTCGGACTTTATGAAGATAGTAGAAGGAGCGTTCTGAGGTGATGCAACGTAGATACCCCAATGGATATCGAATTCTCTGTGATTGTAGGACCCATACGATTGAGTTTGAAGTGATTTTGTGGGACCATGCATCAAGATTGGAAAATCCAGATGGAAACGAAACATCAGGTCTGTGGGAGGAGTATGAAATGATGTGTTGCGGTGTAGCAAAGCGCAGCAAATTTCTTGGCGGCTACCGTCCTATCAACGCTGTCCCTTCTCCCATATATTTGATTCTAGCAGAAAACACTTTCGTTTCTGCATCTCCACTCTTTGATTCCACGAGACGACTGGTTTTCATCTCTTCTCATCGAGCAACTCGCAAGGTCTTGCAGGCAATACCGCCACCCGCCATAATATGACCCAGCACCCTAATAATGCCTTGCCAGCAATATCCCTGAACATAAGCCTCAAGGCCAACGAGGCTCACGACCACGATAATGACGAACTGGGCCTGGCGAACAATACGAATGGGAACGCTCAGGCCGTGCCATCACTATGGGGAATTCCACTGAAATATATTTCGTGAGTTACTGTGGACACGAATGTTGCTTGAGGATCTGACGGTGCACGATGGCTTAGCCTGGTCACCCTGGCCCTCCAGAATTCGCTACTGACGATAATCATGCACTATTCACGCGTCTCTACACCACCTTCGCGCGCATATTCTGCTGCCACAGCGGTTTTAATGAACGAACTGCTGAAGGGTGGCATTTCCCTGTTGATCGCTTTCTCGCGTATAGAGCTACCATCGACCCCCCAGGCATCGTACAGAGACATCTCCCAGACGACCTCGTATCCGACCTCATGGTTTGCGCCCCGCTTAGTCTCAGCGCGCATCAGGCGCCTCTGGAAGGACGTTTTCAGCGCTGACTGTTGGAAACTGTCAATTCCTGCCATCCTATACGGTGTGTTTAACGTTTTGCTTGATTGCATCACCGGTATTGATCGTTCGTAACATCTAGTGATCCAAAACAACCTGCAATACGTCGCAGCGTCGAACTTAGATGCAGCAACGTTTCAAGTTAGTTACCAAATGAAAATCTTGACGACAGCCGGTTTCTCTGTGTTGCTTCTTCGGAAACGACTCGCTCCTACGCAATGGCTAGCGCTGCTATTTCTAGCCATCGGTGTTGGCATCGTTCAGATCCAGGGGTCAACATCACACAGCACCGCGATGATTGATGACATGAACGCCATGAAGGGGTTCTTAGCTGTCGCTGCAGCGTGCTTCACGTCTGGTTTGGCTGGGGTCTATTTCGAGATGGTGTTGAAGAACTCCCAAGCAGACTTGTGGGTCCGCAACGTCCAGCTATCGCTCTTCTCCCTTCTCCCTGCCATTGCGCCAATTCTATACGATCACGCCTCCGAGGGTTCCGGCGCATTTGGTACACTCTTCCGAAACTTTGGCTTCTGGGCATGGGCTACCGTTCTCGTGCAGGTCCTCGGTGGACTCATCACGGCTATGGTCATCAAATACTCGGACAATATCTTGAAGGGCTTTGCTACCAGCCTTAGCATCGTCATTTCCTTCCTAGCCTCCGTCGCCCTGTTCAACTTCCAGATGACCTTCACTTTCGTCCTCGGCTCCGTCGTCGTGCTGATCGCCACATGGTTGTACAACCAACAACCAAAGCCCAAGCCCAACATCCTCGTGACCACAACAGACCATCAACTGTGGACATTCAACCCATCTGAGAAAGAATTGTCGTCACCCGCCGTTTTCGTCGCACCGCAAGTGCCTGATCACTCACCACGAGGTACCCTTTCGTTATCTACGTCACGTTCGCTTTCATCGTCGTCCGTTTCCCTATCATCCATGTCTCTGCATAGCTCCCCACAGCTAGAGGCTCGGATACTGGACAGCAAAGAAAACAGGACTTTTTAGATTATCATCTACAGAAGGCTTGATTGGACCTTCTGGACCTTCAATCATAGCACGTAGCACCTTGCACTCGAACTCGTACTCTACCCATAGGATAGTACCCTACCTCCTTCGTTCTTCAGACTTAATTATTGTGTCGTAACTCCTGTATCCATCCATGCACTCGAGCAAACAGTTCGCTCGTGCGGTGTTTCATAGTAACTTCAAAAACGCATTTTACAAATATGTATACATTTATGTCCGAAAGGATGATTTAGGGAGTATTCACCCTACTTTCCAATCCACGTTTGATGGCTATCCAGAAGAGGGTGTTCAGTGGTTTATTCGCGAAGTGAAATGGTCAACTGACCGTCGCAAGAATCCTTGGCGTCGCCGAACAACATCTTGGTTCCAGGCATGAAGAACATGGGGTTGGGAACATCAGCTGTGAGAAGATGTAAGAAAACGCGGTTCCGAAGCCTGAGAGGTGCTTACCATATCCACTCGCCATTCCTCTCTTCATGACGATCACTTGTTTACTCTTCCAGGCATGGAGGACTGGCATGCCTGCAATTGCAGAGCCAGGCTCGAGCGCGATAGGATTTACGGTATCATTGGCGCCGATGACCAATGTTACATCAGTGTCTTTGAAATCATCGTTGATTTCATCCATCTCAAGCACGACTGAAGCACCCACGTCAGACCGAAATAAAACGCCAAGTCAAGATAAACTCACTATCGTAGGGGACAGATGCCTCTGCCAGCAAGACGTTACATTGGCCGGGCATGCGGCCCGCGACGGGATGGATAGCAAACTAGGCGGCTGGTCAGCACCCCGCAACGAAGATAGCGGGAGCGAATAACGAACCCGAACGTTTACACCTTTCGATCTTAACATGGCACATATTTCCGATATCGCGTACTGAGCCTTGGCAACCGCCATGCCGTACCCGACCACCTGGAAGATTCGTTTAAGCGGGCCGTCGATAATTAAATGAAAGCACCCGTACCAAGATCACATTGTCGGCATTCAACAGAGCTTCCACCGTATCGTCGACGGAGGCTTTAGTAATGGAGCCCTCAATCTTGTGAGCTTCAGCCGATACAGGGGTGGAGATACCGCCGAAGAGAACGTTCACAAGTGAACGGTTCATGGCGACACACTGATAACCCAGCAAATCAGTTCACCTGTCTCGGTAGAAGTCGTGGAGTACCCTACCATGATATATGACAGAATTGAACCGCTGACACCAATCAAAGAGCCCACGGTGGTCAGTAGCGGATTGTCAAGCATGAACCCTGGTCACCGAATTAAGTGGGTAAACAGTTGGTGCACGGGCAAGGCCGAAGGGACGTACCCTCTGCCACGAGAGCAAACCCAGAGTAGGCATTAAGGACAGTGATGACCACGGCTGCAAATAATAATGCTGAGCTTCGAATCAAGCGATCTAATCCAGCAAGACTAACGCATATCTGCGCCGCCGATAGCAGCGGTCGTTGTGAAGCCTTTGATAAAACTGAGAATAGCACTTGCTCCCAGATAGCCAGCTGCAATCATCGGCGCTGCTGGTGCAGCGGCTAAGAAACCGGCCATGGTCAACCCGTTCAAACCTAGGAGGGTGCTGTTGACCAGATGTTTGCCTGGGAGTGCCAAAGGCCTCGAAGACATCTTGCCCGCCAGCTTGAGGAACGCAACTATCGAACCGGTGAATGTGATACCACCAATGACGACACCCAGGTAAGCCGTGACGAGGTGGAGAGTGGAAATATGCGCCGTATCGGCCAGGACACTTCCGATACTCGTGAGCACCGCAGCAAGACCAACAACCGAGTGGAGGGCAGCGACCATCTGGGGTAGCTCAGTAGCAGTGATGCGTCGGCCGAGGATGGTCCCTATCAAACCTCCGATCGCAGAGACACCGGCAAATTGTGCGAGGACTGGAGCTGGGAAGCCAACTGCGGCCAGAGAAGCGAGAATACCTGAGCTCACGCCCAGGATCCCCAAAGCGTTACCCTGACGGGCGGTCGCCTGAGAGGCGAGACCAGAGAGAGATCCTGGAGGAAGTCAGCGTGGTTTCAACTCCAATTAAAAAACAGTAGGCTGACCTATGCAAAGCACACTACTGGTTAAGTATCCGGCTTGCACAAGACCAGCCATGCCAGTACTCGCAGCTGCTAGGAATCCGCCAGTAAAGACGACGGCAGGAATTCCGTATAGCCAGGAATACTCGGGCGGATCAGTCGGCCCTGTGACAATCATTATTAAGTTTTAAATTCTAAGAAGGCAAAGAGAAACATACGCTTGAACATGTCTAACATACGCTTCGTTATGACGAATCCTCCTGCGACGTTGACGCTAGCAAGCAGGACGGAAAGGGCGCCGAGGGTTTGCGGTACCGTCCCAGGGAAATAACCTCCACCCATAACAAAGAGACCACCGATTCCAACCATACCTATACACCGTGTTAATCCCCGATCGAGCACGTTAAGTCAATGCCTTACCGGAAATCGCATTGGTGACGGACATCAACGGCGAGTGCAATGCAGGTGCTACACCCCAGACAACTCTGTAGCCCACGAGTCCGGCAAGGCCGAATGTAAAGAAGTTGCTCATGAACGCTGCTCCTGTTAATTTGCCCAAAGCCACTGTGCCCCCCATTCCGGCGGTGACGGTAGCGACTTCACGGGCAGCTTTTTGCCACGGGGTAATGGCCTTAGTCTGTGCTTCCTCGATTTTGGCCGTAGTAGGGGGAGGGGTGACGGGTGCAGGCATAACGCGCGGTACTGGAGGAAGGATACGACCGCCATGGACAACAAGGGAACCTCTGACGACTTCATCCTCTAGATCGATACCGAACTTACCGTCACCTCCGATAGAAAGGAGGAACTTGGTAATGTTGTTGGAATAGAGTGTTGACGATTGAGTAGGAAGTCTAGAGGGAAGGTCCGTGTATCCTGCAGAAAGAAGTGAGTGACAACATCTTGGACGTAGTGACGTGCAACTATATACCTATTATGGTGACACCATTTTCGACGTAAAGCTCTCCAGGACGCGTAGCGGCACAATTACCGCCAGCCTCGGCGGCAAGATCCACTATGACAGAGCCTTGCTTCATTGCAGCGACCATTTCATTCGTGATGAGCTTAGGAGCAGGCTTGCCCGGGATGAGTGCCTACAGCCAGGTCATGGACAATCTCGTGTGGAGACACGCAAGTGAGCTCACCGTGGTAATGACAATATCAACCTCCTTGCATTGTTCCATGAAAAGTGCCATTTCTGCCTCGATGAATTCCTTGGACATTTCCTTTGCGTAGCCCCCGCCACCTCCACCCTCCTCTTCAATAGCGACCTCGATAAATTCAGCACCAAGAGATTGAACTTGCTCGCGTGCAGCAGACCGAGTATCAAAACCTCTAACAATAGCCCCAAGCCTGCGCGCCTGGTTGGTCATTGGTTAGATAGGCGTCGACCCGGGAGCCACTGAGTACGTACCGTCGCAATGGCACTGAGACCAGCGACACCTGCACCGATGACAAGAACTTTACCAGGGGGGATCTGTTATGGCCCAAGATTACCATTGAGGACCTGATTCAATCTTAGGCTACTTACTTTTCTATAGACGTCATTTGTGAGCAGTGATGTAGGGAAAGGAGTGAGAGAACTCACCCAGCTGCCGTAACTTGACCAGTAAGGAACCTGCCGAAGTGGTTTGAGGCTTCTAATACAGCCTTATATCCGGCAATATTTGCCATAGAACTTCAGAGGGTTATTGGTTTCCAAAAATAAGTTATGAGGCACATATCTCGCACCTTAACGCATCAAAGACTTGTGCTCTAGATATACGTGGTATCATGTCCATCTGAAAGAAGATGTGAGTAACGCGACATGAAGAGCATATTACGCGACAACTCACTGCGAAGGCATTGACATTGCGCGAAGCCAAGGCCTCGACAATCGACTTATTCTGGGTTGGGTATAGGAAACTGATGATCGTACTCCCTTCCTTCACTTGTTCGTCTTCTTGACCCCTTAGAGGTGGCCGAACCTTCAGCAATATATCCGTCTCCTTCAGTAGCTGTTCTCTGGATACCAGGGTTGCGCCAGCAGTAACATAATGTTCGTCCAGAAACTGAGCCTCCGTGCCGGCATTCTCCTCAACTAAGACCTTCGAGAATCCCTTCTTCCGGAGAAGAGCGACGTTTTGAGGCGTCAAAGCTACCCTACGCTCATTGGGGAATATCTCGCGCGGCACGCCAACCGTCAACGATGAGTAAGGGATACCTAAGATGCCTTCCTCGGCTTCTCATTCATCCATGGCAGATTGGGCGACGTACCAGCTGGTTTATCAGGCTTTTCATCATTTCTGCATCTTACTGACGAGTGGAACGAACGATGACCTGACACGCATTGTGGTTGAGTACCCGATCACAGTATGTCGTTGGCAACATATTCACCATATGTTCGTTTCACGTGGACGGTGAAGGCGAAAGAAGGAAACGACCGACGGCTCAGCACTGAGGCTGGCTGTTTAAACACCATGGATGGCGCCGATGTGTCGTTGGGGGAGAAGAGAAGGTATGCGCTGTCGACAGTTTTGAAGCGACTTCTGTGTTGAACCGAATCCGGTTATACCAGTCAACGATCAGTGAACCACGTGGTCGGTTCCTCGCTTCCCCAGATTTCCCCACACTCTACATAATGCCGCGCCGGCTGAAGCATCCATGGACATCCTTGTAGACTCTTGAACCGCGTTGCCAACATTTATCGCACACACAAGGCGCCGCCTGCACAAGGATCTACATGATTGTCCGGATCCAGGTGAAGCATCTAGAGCTATGTTCAACGTAATACTTCTTGATGCCAGTGGCAGGGACGGCGGGTAGTGGCAAGCATTCGCAGGTATCGATAAGGCCCCGTCTCACAAAATGCCAAGTTGAGTTGATCCGTTCTCAGCATATTCCTGATAGGCCAACCCATCTATAATACAGATAAACATACTACATCGCAAGGCATAACAGTGGGATATTTGGTCATGATAGTGCCTTGAAGTGAATAAGCATTGTGCGATGTGCTTCCAGGAGATTGCATCTACCAGAACATTATGACGCCTTCACCTTGCCGCTCAGTTCGCGCTCGACTTTCACTATCGCTTGCGTATCGGGATGCTCCCAAAGGGCGCTCGCCGCCTCAGATTCTAGGGGCAACAATGGTCGCCTGGGTACCCCGCCATAACCGTAGAGCTTCTCTAGAAGGACCTTAGTGCCTGCAATAGATGCTTTGGCAATGGTATAATCCGCGCGAGCAACAATGCCTTGCAGGCGTTGGGCTTCGGGGAGCAATGAAGGGTCCTTCAGAGCGGCCTCGGATAATTGGAAGAGCTTGTTCAAGGTGTGCTAAATGAGAAGCACATGAGTACCGTGGCCGCAGAAATCGGCAGGATCTTACTGGAGCTACGTTCCCGAGCCCGGTGATGGCGCCATGAGCGTTAGCAAATATAGACGGAGTGAGAAAATCAACAAATCCCCCCAGCACTAGGAAGGGGGCCTGAGGATTCTTGCGGGGGTAGGCCGCAGCAAATTCGGCATTGGATACTGCATCGGCGATTCTAGTCAGTTTCCCCACATTGCCACAGCTATCAATCGATGGTGAATAAACGCTAATTGAGGTAAAAGAATATGAGCGTACGTTAGCTTGACTCCGCAAAGGTTGGGGCATTCCTGGGCCAATTCCGTGATGACTTCCGAATCCAAGTCTATACCGCCTGCTGCTCCAGGGTCTAAATAATGACATCGAGTTACATCCAACTGTTTCAATGAGAAAGCGAGAAGAACGGACTGACAATTGTAGACAATGACCGGGAGGGGGCTGGCGGCGGATACATCCTTCCAAAACGTCTTTAAGGCCTTTTTGTTGCCCGCCAACGCCCCAGCAAAATAGCCGCTGAGAATGACAATCGTGTAGTCCGCACCTGCAGCGGCAGCTTCCTTGGATAATTGGATTGTCTCCCTGGTACTCCCTCCACCAGTACCCATGATTATAGGCACTCTATGGTGTCCAGAGTCATCTAGCGCTTTCCTGGCGGCTTGAACGAGAGTGATTCGCTCAGCATGGGATAGATGATGGGCCTCCCCCATTGAGCCGGCAAGGAGCGGGCCGACACCAGCATCGGCCAATCGAATGACTTGCTTTTCAAAAGAGGGAATGTCTGAATGATCGTTCAACGGCGCTGTCAGTGACCCCGTTGTGCACGAGATACTGTCGAAAACACTCACCAAGGTCCTCAGTTTCCGGCAAGAAGAACGTAGGCACTGGGGCGAAGATGCCTGGCCTCAAAGGGCGCGTAAGATGGCCGTTCACTATGCCGTTAATCCCGTTTGCGGCCATTGTCAAGAAAGACGCTAAGAGCAAGAATGAGATTCCACAGTTGGAGAGCGGCTATATAAATCCTTTATGCAACGAGGTGTGGTGGTTCGGACCGGAAATGCCGGCCCGCTGTCAGATCGAACCGGCCCGGCATCGGCTCCTTCTCCCGCAACTAGGAAGCAGATAATGTACGAGGAAAGCGTATGCCTATTCACCCGCAGGAGGACGAAATACAACGGGGGGTACCCCTTACGTTCTCTTGATATCGATAGTGGGTCACTCTCCCATTGTAGAGAAACGCTGGGGAAAGCATAAGTCACTTGACATCCCAACGCAAGTCACCATAGGTCCATTCATGATTTTGGGATGCACCTGATGGGGTTTTGGCGCATTAAGCCGAGGAAGGCGCGAGCATTGAAGGTCTGAGCATCATAGTAGAATGCACCCGGGAGAATTCAAGACCAGTTAGTGAACCAGCTTGGGGTGGAGACGTGTCCGGGACTTGCAAAACGATGGCACAACGAAGACGGACCGGCGTCTAAACGGTATCACCAAGGCCAGCAAGGCATGTTTAAAGAGTCCACAATTGAGGAGAATGATATCAGGTCGCATAAAGTTGGAGCCTGACCGAGAAATCGCCATGATCGAGCATCGTGTCAGCGAATTGCAACGGATGAACCATTAATGAAAGTCAAACCGATACACGAAACGCCGATGAACGATATGCCTAGACCCTTTGCCTGTGATCTCCATGTATAAAGATTACGATTGTCAATCAAGTTATCGAGGACAAAACTAAGCAGAGATAGGGCGATCAGATTTACCTGACGTTTAATTTGAGCGGCTGAGCGAAACGTAGTTGCAGGTACGCGGAGTCCACGGTTTAGGATTTGTCTTCAACGACCTCCAGATGTTCCATGACCTTTCTCTCCCATTCAGTCCATCCTTCGTCATTAGTTGGACCTGGGTCACTGGCTGCGTCACGAAAGACTTCCCAAGGTATACATCCGTATTGTTGGTTCCCATCTTCTTCTTGTGGCTCCAACGCGAACCGACCTTGACGGGAGCGAGTAAGAGTTACAACATGTCCAGCTGACCCCAAAGCGTGAGCAAGATCGTGGACAATTGAACGGACGTATGTCCCCCCGGAGACTTTCATCGAAAGCACAAACGCAGTGGGTTTGCCTGAGGCTTCTTCTGCGCTCTTGGGTTCTTCAGCGACAGGAGGGGCCTCTCCGACACTCTCGAGCGTCTTCTCTAGGGCCTCCTTGTCGGATGAAGGCATTTGCTTTTCAGGCCAGGAAAATGAGTGTTCGCTGCCTTTCCATTCGATCAGCTCCAAGGAGTGGACCGTTACTTTGCGTTTCTCAATTGGTCTGGGAAGAGGGAGACCTTTGCGAGCGTATTCGTACAATGGTCTGCCATCCATTTTAAGAGCGGAGAATCTAATGGACGGAAAATAAGTTTCGGACATCCAGTACGACGCCATATCTCACATAGGTGGCGCTTGTTGTATTTCGCCTCGGAAAATTGACAGCTTTTCTTCGACATCGGCCTTCGTAATATGTCGCCAAGGTGCCGTTCGAACCACAGCACCCTCGCTATCGTAGCTGTCCGTTTCGCACCCTAATAGACATGTTGTGCGATATTCCTAGATTAATGCGCATTGTTAGCGAAGAAACGGTGTTAAATAGATATTCCTACTTTAGTACAATCTAGAAAGTCGCTGAGCTTTTTTGTACCCCTTCCAATGCCTACAACTACGATTGGCGAAAGGTCAATTCCAACTTGGTCAATGGCCAAAGAAGTATCAACCGACCCAGAACTCCATCCGCGAGGGGATCCAGCGTTCCACCTTGTCCGATCTTGACAATGCCCTTACTGCGCTTGCCAATCTTCTTCATTTTACCTACAGATTTGAGCTTTTCTGCGTTGACAAAAAGCCTAGACCTGGCAATGAGCTCCTTGATATCATCAATAACAGACATAGACGTTGGTCCAGAAGGTTTATGTACGGCAAAGAGCCCCGAGAGGGGAAGATGGGACAAAGAAACTTTGGGCATGGCTCAAAGCGTATCTATGCCTTGAGTTTTGTGTCAGTCCATAATCTGAGGTGATTGCGTCGGCCACATACCGTGAATAGCTTCCGGAGTACGTTCAAGATGCTCAGCGGCAAAGTGCAGAAATTACTGTGGGTCACGTGGTCGGGAGATTCAGATTATCTATCGCGACCCCCTGAGTGATGGAAACTGACACCATCGCCTTGGACTCCCGCAGATGTCTTTGAATCCGATCACGGGGTACTTGGATACCAACCTTTCCACAGAACCATCATGAGTACCTCCCTCGACTATCTCAAGCAGACTGGCACCGTCGTTGTCTCCGACTCCGGCGACTTCGAGTGTGAGTAGGAGGTTCATTGACCTGGAGGTTTATCCCCGCTCATCAGCCGACGCTTGCATCTAGCCATCGATGCGTACAAACCTCAGGTGAGGGTAGAGGCTTACAGGGAGAGAATCCAGGTTTGACAAAGGAATAGGATGCTACTACGAACCCCTCGTTGATCCTGGCAGCTGCCAACAAGCCTGGATACGCCCGTCTTATTGATGCTGCGATAAAGCACGGTAAGGACAAGGGCGGGTCGCTCGAGGACCAGGTCAACGCTGCTACAGACAGACTGGTGAATTGGGAATCCTTTCCTGTATATCATCGCTCAACAACACCCGTCACAATGTAGCTTGTTGAGTTCGGCAAAGAGATATTGGCCATCATTCCTGGCCGTGTATCGACGGAAGTCGATGCGCGCCTGTCATTTGACAAGGAAGGTACAAAGGCAAAAGTACGCATGCAACGTTGAAGAACGGATGGCATGTACTAATTTGCTTCAGGCCAAAGAACTCATCGCTTTGTATGAATCAGTGGGTATCAAGAAGGAGCGTATCCTCATCAAGATTGCTTCTACCTGGGAGGGTATCCAAGCAGCGAGGGAGCTTGAGCGCGACGATGGTATTCACTGCAACCTGACACTGCTCTTCGGCTTCGCGCAAGCAGTCGCTTGTGCCGAGGCTGGTGTTACTCTTATCTCCCCCTTCGTCGGACGCGTAAGTATTATTCACCTGGTGGAACTCAGCATAGTTAAATCGTCACTGCAGATCCTCGATTGGTACAAGAAGAAGACTGGAAAGACTTACGAGGGTGATGAAGATCCCGGCGTCCAATCCGTCAAGCGCATCTTCAACTATTACAAGCAACACGGCTACAACACGATTGTTATGGGTGCGAGTTTCCGTAACGTAAGGACACATTTACTTCGATGGCAACATACTGTGAGCTCAATATTTGACCGTAATCGTAGATCGGAGAGATCAAAGCTCTCGCTGGTGTTGATTTCTTGACGATCGCTCCTGCTCTCTTGGAGGAGCTTAAGAAATCCGGCGACCAAGTTCCTAAGAAGCTTGATTCTTCCGCAGGTGAGCCAGTTCGGCTGCTTAATCTCAGAGGCGTTACGACATTTACTCTTTCGTTGTTCAGCTGCGCAAGCCGACCCGATTGCCAAAGTCACCTACATCGACAACGAACCCGAATTCCGATGGGCCCTTCTTCAGGACGAGATGGCTTGGGATAAGCTGCATGAGGGTATCAAGAAGTTTGCAGAGGATGGCCAGACTCTTAAGGACCTCTTGAAGAAGAAGTTGAGTTCGGCCTAAACGATGAACCTCCTCGAATGAATGGAGTGTTGTACTTGTAAATGATAATCCTATAGATTGTACCTGTTCTGCGAGATATTACCAGGTCAATGGTACAGCCGACCCCTGCTTCGTGTTGTTTTTCAAGAGGTTGGCTATTTTGTATGATCGCGTTTACCCTCGTGGCGTACAACAGCAGAAATACGTACGCAATACAAGGGAGCACTGGGTCAAAGATATATAAAAAATCGAGTGAAGCTGGTCATTCTAGCCCAAAAGATGGTTGTCCCGAGCAGCGAAGTTCCTCGAGTCAACCGAGAGGCACGGATTTAGGATGTGTGTGCCCAAAGGCCCCAGCATATGCAGTGGTTCTCCCAGCCCTTCTCCCAAAGACGCCAGCGCGGGAGCCGACCCCCGGAATTTTGCGCCTCGTTCACCGGTACAGAAGACGTCCCAGAACATCTGATACAAGACACTTTGATAGTCTTATCCAAGAGCAAGCCCTTGGAGATGACATCTCTGTTATCTTTCTTATGGCTCTCCAGGGAAAGGCGGACGATCCCATCGACCAGGTCAGCAGGTTTGAGGAAGAGTTTAGGTTTGTCCACGGCGGCTGAATGGTTGATTCGTTGGAGAGTCTTACGTATGTGCCCGTGAAGGCCGTCTAAAGGCGCACATGCATCGAGACTCCTCCGGAGCTGATCGCCTACAGCAAGAAATCAGGCTTCTCATCCATACATTCAGTCGTGATATATTAGATACCTGGCAGAGACTTGGCTTCCAGAAGGACATCATTGAGAAGGGATTCTAGCAGCCCTAGGTCCACGCCGCAAGCATCTACGAGGTCGTCGAGAACATTCTTCGCGAGTAAGGCGTTTTCTCCCCTCGTAGAAATAGATCCAAGATGGATATGAAATTGCTTGACGTGGCGGACTCCGTCACGAAAGTTCGTAAGCGCATACGGATGCGCCAGGTGCAGAAGAATAGGCGAGTTTAGGGAGGCCATTGCTAAAGACGGTGAAATTCAGGACGGTGATTACTGTGACTAGCGATAAGGACATACATGTGGTCGACTCGGCAGAATTCTCTTCGGGTTTGATGTCATCTACGTTGTAAGACAGGATGGCCTCCTTCATGACTTTCTCGACGAAGTCGATCAGCCAAGTAGATAATGAGATCAGCTGCCATACAGCACCTAGAATATACGTAAGCGCAGCTGTCTTCCGCGGCATTCATTTGTACCCACTGAGATCATACAATTCGCCGTCATTACAAAGCTCGAAACCTTGTATGCAGGTGGCGAGGGAAGCCATGTCATGAGCGGTTTGCCATTTTTCATGACAGCTATCCCTTTCTTCACCAGATTCAGCCATGTTTTCTCGTTGTCTGAAGGGCAGGCAAACGTATAGCAAACCGGTATATGAAGGGTGATGGTGCGTACCGATATATTTCGATCAATTCGCCTAACATATCCCACGTCAAAGAGTCTGAGAGTCCCTTGTACAAACCTTCGAGCCTGCCATGAACTTGATCAATGACTTCTACGACATTGGACAGTGGTATTGATCTCTGAGAGAGCGGTTGAGTGATATCTTCGGTGCTCCATTTCGAAAGCATCGCCAGAGTGAGCTTCAAGGACAGCGTGTCCCGCTGCAGTGCCACTGCGAGAGTGGGATTTGTAAAAGCTTGGAGACGAGTTCATGGTGACATACCGTCGTTAGAGATTTGCATCGGGCTCGATGCAGCTCGCGGAAGAGAATGGACGGCGGTTAACACTGAACCAAGTCCTGATGTCACCGTCACAAAAAGTGTTAGATTAGGCGAGACTGCCGCATTTAAGGGCACTGCATTAAAGGCAGTCATATTCCATACAGCGAAAGAGTGACAGGGGTCTTACATTCTCTGCCGAGTCTGTCAACAGGACACACAAGGGGGGCACTGTCCCAATGTTCGCTATCTGCTAGGTCTGAACTAATGGGTGTGGGATTTCCTGCCAAACGTTAAAATATGGTACGACTCACAAGTTGAGAACGCAGAGGGAGCCAATGGGTGTTTCTGCAGTGGCCTGTGACTTGCGACGCGTCGTGCTGCCGTATGTGTCTAAGACAGCAACGTAGAAACCAGATTCGCGACTTCCGTGCTGGACCTGCGGCAGTACGAATGCCACCACACTCGAATCCCACAAACGCGTAGCGGCGAGTTGAGGTTTCTGGCCTTAATCAGCGCCGTTGTGGACGAGCTCCGCTATGTACGTACCCAATGCGGTGGCCCTGCTCCCTTGGTAAATCGATACAAACTCAAGGATGATTTTGGAGTGGTCGTGTCTAAGGGCCTGAGTATTTAATTCTAGTCTTCAGACAAATTGGTAGAGTGACCTTACAATTACTGAAGTCAAGGCAAGTCACGGCCAGATGGACATTACCCTTTGCATGGTCATTGCGTTTTGGGGAGGATAAAGTGGGTGGCTGAAGAGGGGGCGTGCAGATAAATGATAGCTGGGTGAGACCGGGCGTTGGGTGGTGTATTGATGGCAGTGGAGCTACAATCATAGCTATAAAGCAACGTTTGGGTAAGATATACTAGTGACGGAAGATTTCGACCTTACACATAAATACCCCATTATATACAAGCTGTACTTCCGCCAACTCTATCGTTGGCATTTCGCCCCAGGAAGCCCAGTCTTGGTCACGATCAGGGGGCACCGGTGGCATACCAATGTGATCGGCAGCTGCAGCTTCGTCCGTGGGGATAGGATAGCTGGCTGTACGCATTGCTACCAGAATCGTAGTATCTAGCACACATAGTATTGGACATACGTTATGGCGATGAGAGAATTACGCGTCTACCGTTATGCACAAGCCCGATGGCGGCATGTGTACAAAGCCGCACACCGCCTGGACCGACTACAGGGTCGTTCGGCATTGATTGCGGCACGGTCTCGTTTATTGAACCAGCGTATACGAGGGGGCAATTGAAAGATCGGAATCCAGGCGCTGCGTTGCGAACGAACCACATAAACACGCGTCGGTCTTGTGTTACTATAACCAGCGTTGGAGATGTGACCGGTGTATGAGGGCCACGAGGGGGTAATCGCGTCGGTTTGCTGGTGGAGGGATCAATGGACCACTGCAAGCAATTATTTCTTCGGTTAATATATAGTTATGAATCAATTAACACGTACCTCTCGCGGGCTCCCCAACCAAACTGCCGCCATCACTGCCGCACCCCGACCAACGGGCCAAGCGTGCCGTTGGGTCCATACGTTGATCTGTGTTCCGCGCTTCCATATACACGCCATTCCATCTGTATTTTGCCCTGGGAAGTAGGCGAATAGCCACTCACTTCCCGAAGAGCACGTTATGACTGTTGGCGGCAAATACACGAATGGGGGTGTCACTTTTGGCGACGGCGGGTGCAATACGAAGTGCGTGGATGAGGGGAAATGTCGACCAGTGATAGCTGGTTTGGTGGGGTGGGCGGTGAAGATGACAGACACGTCTGACCACTCGATTGGCCTGAATCGGTCGTGATGAGCGGCGGCGTCGACAACAAATGTCGGAAAAATACCTGCGAGGTTGCTCTACCAGCGAGTGGAACTCCCACCATCCGACATTCCAGTGGTCGTCTTCCTTGGCCTTTCCCTTCGACGGCGAAAGTGAGACTGCCTTCTGGTCATGCAGCATCATAGTGAGGAGATTACAACAAGCGCCTGGGCGCTAGATGTCCAACCGCCTTGAGCCAAATCACCATGAGCAGTACCAGTCGCTCAAAGGAAATCGATGGCCAGAACACAGATGTCCTGCTACAATATTACGCCGACAGGATCCTTGTCGTCGTGACGCAGTTTGGAAAAGTTGGCAGCCTGGTGCTTCTTGTCAATATTCGGTTTCCTCATCACGCAGGCTGATTGCAATTCCCTTGAAGATCCAAGCGTCCATCCCATCGACCGCGCCGCTGCTGGTTCCCTCAGATGCACCCGATGCTGACGAAGATCAGCTCCCTCAGCCCCCACCCTCCATCCAGCTCACTCCTTTAATGGGATCAGCCCAATCAGATCATATGCACACCTTGAATTCCCTCTACGCGTCCCAAATTGCCACCTTGGTCTGGCTGGCCGAAGAGACTCTTCGCCCGTCTAGGCGTAATGTCGTAGTCGGTCTTGCACTCCGCAGGACGGACTCTGAGACAATACCGGCTTTGATAGATGTAGAGAAAAGGACGTTCGTTCAAATCATGGGCGTAGTCCGTGAGGCGTTGGCCTCTCAAGAGGACTCATCAGCATAACCCCAGCATTTGCTCCGAATTAAATCTATGCAGGTAGGCTTCGCTACACAAGTCATACATACACTAATTGACAAACTGAAGACATTGCAATGTATGAAGATGTTATAAAATGAATAAATGCGTATAAAAGATAGGGAAAATGTCCGACATGAAAGCACACTACCAACCACCGCCGTTATTCGAACTCCATCCCCCTGAGTTCTGAATCATCGCGGCACGATCTGGGTTCATACCAGCAGGAAGTGATGTCGGTGGAGGTTGCGATGTGTACGACGGCGTCTGGTAGCCAAATTGATTTGACCCCGGTCGAGGGGGAGGAGCGCCACCACCGTATGGCGTCGCTCCTCCGTACGGGTTGGGTGTCCGTGCCGGTTGTCGTACAGAGTGTCCAGGAGTAGCACGTCCAAGATGGGCAGGAGTCCGTGTACCTGCGAGGTAAGGTGTCTTCCCTCCAGCAGCTTGGTTTGCAGCATTCTGAGATTCGTGAAGATGTCTGAAAAGCAAGCCGACTAAAATTAGTACATTGCCGCAACCTTGGGATGAAATATACTCGCCGAACTTTGAAAGCGTCACAGAGTTCTGGTACGCCGGGAGCAGGGGCTTCGAAGAGGTAGTAGGCTTGCGGTGTCACCCTCACAGGCTGCAGTACGAAATGAACAAAAGAACCAAACACATCCATCAAAACATACCCAAGATTGGACCGCAGACTTCTTGTTGGCCAAGAAGCAGAGATTGAAATGCCCTGGCTTCTTGCGGTTGAGTGTAAACCCGTACATACTCTTCGCGGGATTAGCGGCAAGGTAGTTCTTCAAGAAGAGATCTTTGTGATAGTGTTAGGTAAGTCTAACTTCTTGCAACAAGGAAGCAACCCACGGAGTTCATCTTCTGTCCCAGCCTTAAAACGGTCGTGGGCCATGAGTTCTTCCACTTTCCTGGCCATTGCTTGGATGTGGTTAACAATCAACTCGTCAAGGTCAGCATATGTATGCTTCGCGTCAACCATCAACTGTCCGCTCAGTGTTTGGCCCGTTGGATCAGGGTTGATCTCCGTAACATCTATGACAGTCAACCTTTGTCAGAGACCACTTAGTCGGTATACGAGACATAGCTCACCTATATGTTGGTAAAGCTTGTCATCAACTTTCCATGTCACAGCGAGATGGTGGTTGCCTTTCGACGAAGGTCGAACCACGACATCCCCACGTTGCTGCTTGTCAAGGAAAGCCTCAGCTTGACTAGAGTTGAAGTTATGGAAGTTAGGATGCTTGATGACACGGCGGGTTCGATCGACCTCCGCCCGTTTCTTCCGTTGAAGCATCTCCTTATCCTTCATGGCGCGAACATCGTCCCAACTAGGATCATGTTGAATCATCCGGAACGAGCTGTCGCCCGGTTCCAAGTCGCCCGGACGAGCTGTCAATTCGACATAGAAAATGTCTCGGTTTGGATCCGCCTGGATGCCAATGATCACAGCGTTAACAGGAGTTTGCTGCTTGAAGACGTCTCGTGTATGGCGAGGTGCTGGATCAGCTGCCCATTGTGAGGTGATGACCCCTTCGATACCAGAATCAAGGCGGACGTGGGCCTTTTCCTTTTCCAAACGGCCAACCATGGCCACAACGATGAGACCTACTCGCAAACTGCGCTCTGTTTCACCACTCAACATGGTGAGAACTTCCCAAGGTTCGGGTTGTACGAAGGGCGGTCGTTGTTCGGCGAAGGGAGCACGCAGTTCATCGCGAATGACGTTGAGAGTGTGTCGTTTGAGGTCACCGTTAGCCTCGTACAAGCTAACCGCGAACTCGTCGAGATTGAGATCCGCCAACTTCTTTTCGTTGTCGGCATCTTGCATGATAAGTCCAATTACATGCGAGGGGTGCTCGTCGTGAACGTCTTCTTCGTCGAGTTCGAGTGCGTCTGTAGCCATTTTTCGGGCGAGTTCATAATCCTCCGGATGTATACGCGTGTTGTCCAAGGGGTCTGGAGTGTCGTCGTCATTGTTGCGATTCTTGTATGGCTTCAAGTCGAGTTCATTTGGGATGCGAAGGAAAGCGGATGCGTTCAAGAAGATTTTCGTAGTGAGAATTCCGGCTTTGATGAATTGTTCACGGTTCACAAGATTACCTCCCTACATAGATTTTCAGCTGTGTTATTGGAGGGAGTGAGTAGGAGGACATACCAGTGACGCAATCTTTTTCACGACTACTTGAGCTTTACGGGGACCTAGGCCACAGACAAAGGGAAGCAGAAGTTGTATATATGAGTCCGTCACTGCACGATTGATGTCGACGCCAACATTGTTGACAACATCTACTAGCACCCTCTCGAAAGTGACAAGTTGCTTCTCTTGAGTCACCTAATATGGGGTAAGAAAACGGCAGATACGAGACACAGAGAGACAGACCAAATGTTGATCCTCATGGAACTTGATGGCCACTATGTCCCTACCCATGGCAGCAAACTCGTTAAGGGGAGACTGCGCATATCGTGCCAAACCGACGCAGTATTTAGCCGTCTGCGACAGCGACGGATATTCTTCGTCGGCGCGATGGCTGTGCTGGTAAATCCTCGCTACATCATCATAGACATAGATGACAGGGATATTGAGATTTTCTCCTGGCGGAGGTTGGGGCTCGTCCGGAAGAGCAGTTTGGCCGGGATTCACCTTTTCTTTGACACGAAGAGACAATTTAGAGGTCGCCATACTGAATCCACCCACGACAATGACGTCAGGTTGCCGGCGTTTGATTAGATCGATGAACTCGTCGTTTGACTCTTCGTCCATGAGGTTGTCGATCTTGGTGTATTCTCGCATGCGGCCCGCCTGGTCCAGGTACACCATAGAGATAGCATCCTTTTGAGGATCACCTTTACCCCACGAGACGGCAAGGACAGAGGGTGTCTCGCCAACTTTCATCTCTGGCGATCTGAAAGGTGCGACATTCACTCGCTGACATGGACCATGTTTTGTCAACAATAGCAAACGCTGTCCAAGACAAGGTACTCACGGCACGCAGGGCTTCACCACATTGCCGAGCCAGATACTCTTCAACCTCTTCCCGTATATATTCCCGCGTCCATTTGACCGCAGCAGGGAGTAGATGCTGGTCAATGACTTCCCGTACAATGCGAGTTCTTTCTGCGTTCCAAGCCTTCGCGGTGTCACTAAAGCCATCCGAAGTGAACGCATCCTCCAACCGCCGCTCGAATGCAAGTTTGATGTCAGAAGGAAGGGTGACCGATATCGTGATGAGATGCTGTTCCTCAGCCTTGAGCATGTGGAGGAACTGGAATGACTTCAGCATGTCTGAGATACGTTTCTGATACAGGTACTTGAAATTCTGATAGAGTAAAGCAGTGACAATTAGATCTAGTGGTACTGAGTGGAGAATACTCACGTAGTACATGTGGTACTCATCAATCTTATTCACACCACGTTCCGTGGGGGATACAGAGACCCGCGCCTCGGCCTGGAACGCTTCACGCATGGCGCGTCGAAGCAAGGGGTCCTTGCCTAATTCAGTGGCGAAAATCATTCGTGCTCGCCGCAGAAGCTCTTCAGCTGTTTCTGCTTTTGATGGATCCGGATCTATAAATTGTTCGGCATACACGGTAGGGTTGAGTTCTTCGTCATCGATGAAATGGGCGTGTCGGGACACCATGTAATTGAGGACTACTTGGTGAGGTTGGATACCGAAGCCCTGCAAAATTGGGCATGAACATATGGTTCATGATATCGCAGAGATAACTACGTACCTGCGCAAGCTTTGAGACCAAACTCTTCTTTGCGACCTCGTAGGCAGATATACGGGTAGGCATTTTACGTTTCGGTGCGCTGTCCTGGTCGTGATCATCGTGAAAGTGAAACTCGAAGCCACCATTCTTCTTGTCCTTATATTTCATGGACATCCACTCAGTCACATCGGCAACGACCTCGACGCTGTCTGTCTTGGGCCGGATTTCCGTCTCATAGTATTCGTCGTTAACACCTAAGCGGAGATACGAAGTCTCGAGCGCCCTCTTTCTCGTGAGGAGCGCGCGGTACTTCTGGCCAAGGGAATAGATACGCCACAGTTCCCATGAAGATAGAAGCTCGAATCGAGCTCGCATGTCGACTTCGTCGAAGTGAGAAATGTGGTCTCGGCGATGCGTCCAAACATACGGGACTTCGAACTCTTCAATAAATAGACAGCGAAGTGCATACATCACGGCCTTAACCAATGCAGCACGGAGGTGTGTGTGCTGTCCGTCAGGAGCGAAGAATAGTTCTGTTTTCTTGTCGGATATTCTTTGAGTCACCCAGAGCGCTGCGTCTTCGAGATCTGCCTCGGTAAAGTCAGCGTGAACGGAAAGCGTGGGGTACAGCGATAGGGTGGAATTGGCAAGTTGCATGCGTTCCGGGATATCCTGAGCTCGTATCAAGTCGTCGTCCTCGGTGAGCATGCGCGCTTGGATTTCTGAGGGTTCGAAGACCTAATATTTTTTTAGTAATCTATATACACACTCAATTAACAGCCTCACATCCTGATATTTCATTTCTTGCTTGGATTCGTTGAATATTGCAACCTGCTCATCGGCTGCCAAAGCCCAGTCGTACTCGTGGCCATCACCGAATACCTCATGGATTTCATCCCATGCACTAGGTCCCCATGTAAGGCTAATGGACATAAAGAATTGAAAGGACAATCACTTACTTTGCGTCAATGCCGGCTAATTCTGGACGAATGCCTTGCGCTCTACGCCGCTCCTTCTCTAGCTTCCTCCGCTCTTTTCTCCTTTCTTCGCGCGCCTCTTCGTCCATCGGGGCACCAGCTTCGTCTTCTTCATCATAGTCAATGAAATCGTCCATAGCGTCAATGTCTCCATCATCATCGTCGTCACGCCCTCCGTCGTCCCATATACGTTGGATATCCTGTACTTGGGGCAAGTCCTGGTCTAGGTCATCGTCTGAGGATTCAACGACGGCGCGTCGCTTAGAGGAGCCAGAAGGAGGTGAATCTCCGTCAGGGCCTCCTCGACGAAGTCTCGTCAGGCGACTTTTCTTGAACGATGCGCCTGTGTTTTCCTCCATCAGCTCCAGGTCATCCTCATCCAGGTCCAGTAGTTCTTCATCTCGACCTGGAGAATTGGTTAGCAATCGGACAGCCGTTGGTAGAAACAACCATACGTCGTCGGTGGTGCTTCTTGCGCCGCTTTCGACGTTTCCGACGCTCTTCATCCTCCTCCTCCTCTTCTTCTTCCTCATCTTCATCGACAATGAAACCGTCCCGAATCCTTCTCTCTTCGTCCTCATCTTCCTCTGGTTCCTCTGAACTATCGTCAGAGGCATCAGGCATGACAACGTCCCCTTCGCCCTCTTCCTCGTTCTCTTCTTGAGGCTCATGCATCGTTTGGTCTTCTGTCCCGGGTTGCTCCATGGCCTCGAAGTCGGGAGGTGGTTGGGACATAGTTGTCAATATTGTTTCCTTGAAACTTTGGCTCGTTAGGCTAAGTCGTCTGACTAAGCAATTCCCAAGATGGAAACTCTGTCACACCACATGATGCATAACTTGTCTCGGCCAGACTCCGTCGACCAATTGCGTTCAGCGAGCCTCCGAAATCGAATACACTCAGGCTCTACTTACTTCTCGCCATGCAGCATATCCTGGTTGTCGGTGGAAATGGATTCATTGGTGTGCTATATTACTTGACCTGTACCCGACACACTACTGACTCGTCGCAAACAGGGTCAGCAATCTGTAAAGCTGCTCTTTCGCGTGGAATGCAAGTGACCAGCGTTAGGTACATCATCCGTCTTTGTGTTACCACCAACTAACAAAGTTTCTAGCTCTTCCGGTCGACCTTATCAGACCCCAAAAGGACATAGTCCAGCGTGGACATCCAAAGTGTTGACATCTCCCGTATTTGTTAGAGTCGTGACTTACCCATACGCCTATAGGTTCAATGGAGAAAGGGCGACGCGTTAAATCCTGACACCTTTGTAGATATCCTATCGGAGGTCAATGGAGTGGTCCATACTCTGGGTACACTGCTGGAAGACGGGGAATACAAAGCCGCACTCAGGCGAGGAGACCCTTTCAAGCTGTTTGGGTCTTTTTTGAACGGGGTGATAGGACAAACCAATCCCCTCAAGAAGTCGTCCCAGAGTGCACAAGGCACAGGAACATATGAAGTTCTTAATAGGGATACAGGTGCGTCTTCGAGGAATCCGACTAATTGTCATACTCACCGACCCACTCAGCTCTGCGCGTTTGTGAAGCGTTCGTCGCAAACGCAGCAAGAGTAGAAGGCCCACCCCGACCATTCATCTACATCTCAGCCGAAGATATCTTCCGACCAATAATCCCTGCTAAATATATCGAAACTAAGCGGGAAGCTGAACAAGGTCTAGAATTGCTTCTTGCAAGAGAATCTTACAGAGGCATATACGTGCGACCGAGTGCGTCGAACCCCCGCTTCGCTGACGTCTTATTGCTTACCGATCCACAGGCTTAGTATATCATGCTCACTACCGCCCACTTACATCTCCTGCGGCGGTACTTTTCGATTTATCCGCCAATCTACACGCCAAGGCCCCATTAGCCTTCCCAACTCCGTCAAGAATCCTTCGACACCTTGCATCAACGTTTCCCTCTTCGTCCGCTTCTCTTCAGTCGATCGCCAACGCTATGGTCATACCGCCTATCCATGTCGACCATGTTGCAGCGGCCGCGTGCGTAGCTCTTGAGCGGCCTGATGTGAAGGGCGTAGTCGGTGTGAACGAGATGAGGAAGCTTTTGGAATGGCCCGAACGGTCTAGTAAACACCAGCCTGCGGGAGTTAATAGTTTTTCGTGATGCATGTTCCAAACTCCCTTCCATAAATATACATCCAATCCCCGGCCGAAGTACACGGGGTGCTCATAGTGACCGCAGCTCGCCAACTTTACTTCGTGCCAAGACCGATCGGAGTCAATAGCTATAAACGTTAGTCAGCGCTTGCGCTCCCCAAATCCCCAAGCTGCGGCGCTCTTCACGGCTCTAGGTTCACGGTTACCAGTAAGCACTTCTTGTTATCATCGGAGACGAAAGTGGGCTGATTTATTTCGGAATCCTGTGCTATATCAGCCCGCGGCTGGTCGAGTCGATTGCCCCTAGGTCTCTTACGATGCACGCTCTGCGACGGAACAATGTCGTGTGCTCTGCAGTCATGAACAACGTATCCAGACAGTGCAACTTCTCGACGTCGGCCGCAACCCGACGGGCTTTGCCATTCTTCAGCTCCCTTCGCGGCACACAGCCGGGTGACGAACGCGACACCAAATTTCTCCGGATGCTGATGTTCGGGAAGCCCGGAGCAGGGAAGGGGACACTGTCGGCTCGTCTTGTGAAGAAATACGACATCCTTTCACTGTCCACGGGGGATCTATTACGGCAGCATATTGCTGAGGGGTGCGTCTCACTGTTCTCCCGATCGAACATCTGCTAATATTTCTCTAGTACGCCGGTGGGGCAACAGGCGGAGAAAATCGTGGCCCAAGGCAGTCTATTGCCCGATGAACTCATGCTCAAGGTTGTCACAAGTAGACTCGACTTGATCCAAAATAGAGTTCGCCTTTCCTCGTCGCAGCCAGGCACATTATCTGACCCAATTGCAGCATTGGATATTGGACGGCTTCCCACGTACTCTGGGTCAGAGTAAGCTCCTAGACACTCACCTGAGGTCAGTCACGTCGATGTTTGGCCGAAATGAATGAACTGATGCATTTCTCGCTGATAGTAAACAATCAACACCTCTGACCTTCGTTGTGAACATCGACGTCCCAGACGATGTTATTTTGAGTCGGATTTCCGATCGTTGGGTACACCTACCTTCCGGTCGAGTATACAATATGTCGTATAACAGACCGAAGGTGGACGGGTACGATGATGAAACCGGAGAACCGTTGACGAAGAGGCCAGACGATAACCCAGTACGTTGATGATAGTCATCAAGAAATGTTGCTGACTGTAACTTGTGTTTTGCAGGAGGTCTTCGCTCACAGACTAAGGCAGTTCTACACCTCGACCTCCCCACTCTTGACGTACTACACGTCGGCAGCGAAGAACCAGGGAACCAAACGACATCCCAACCAGCACCCTCATCAACTCTTCTTCCCTCGCCCTCACAAACTACATGTTAGCACGATATCTGGGACGACTTCGGATGAGATATGGCCGAAACTCGATAGCCACGTAAAACATTTGTTCCCAAACCTGCGCCAGCGCCCAGACGAGACGAAACGGCATAGCCTCAGCGACGCCCTAATTGATTGGGATCGCGCACAGTCCGAGCGGCAATGACACCCGACGTGAGCCTCCGTTTTATGCTTACAACCGGTTACATCCCTTAGTGTTTCCATTTTCTTCCGGATTTCCTGCTTTATATCATCAAATCCTCCTTGGTAAAGGAGAACCGTTTTGACACTTTGTATTACCCGTATCGCGGCTCCCTAGCGAAGTGCATACCTAGGGAACGACATTAGTCATTTAATATGCAATAGACGATGCTAACATTTTAACTGGGTAAAGCCCTTCTTCAAAGCCTCCTTGAACTTTTTCATGGATGAGGTGAAGGCCTGCTGATTTAAAGGCAGACTTCCAGGCGCCATCGGATCTACGATGCACACTTTCAGCTCTTCCGTTTCCTAATACTATATGACCAACAAAATACACAAACCTCGTCAAGCTAGAGTCTTGCTCATCGAAAGACGTTCGTCCTTGTCCATCATCACCATCTCGACATAAATTCTCCTTCACAATGATCAAGCTTCGGTCTCGATTTCTTAGTGCCTTGTGACACCGCTGGAAGAACGCAACCAAGTCTTGGTCATTCAAATGCCCGAGACACCATTGGCACCAAATCACGTCAAAGCCTGAATTCGCGTCCGAGTCCGAGCCAGTCGGGGGACAGAAGCCTACGCGATCCAGAAACTTCACGTCAGGCGTGTTAATTGGCGAAGTCGGATGAAAAGATTGTAGTGTCCCTTGAAGGATAGTTACGCTTTTCGTTTTGTGGGCGATCCCTTTCCAGGCTCTTTTGTGATGAGATATACTGTTACGTCCCCTTGTAAGAGCCTCTTGGACGAAGTGATCGACTGGTTCCAGAAGGACGACATCGGATACCAGAGGAAGAAGAACGTCCGCGGTGACGCGGCCGATGCCTGCACCGACATCCAATGCCCTTGTGCGATATCCGGGTGTCGAAAGGGGAGACAGAGGGCGTAATGCAGAGGGGACGGTGCATAGTTCGGGCAAAATACTCAAGAGGAATAGACGAGATCCAACGGCATCTACCCTGGGCAGACTCTGGACGTAGTACAGTCAGCTCTGCGACTTTGGACGCATTTCGACAAATGCATACTCCAGATCCTAGACCACCTGAGATGGAGGAAGTTAATTGCGAGTGACGATATGAGAAAGTAAATCTTCACCAAGGACACCATCCAAGCTTGCTGGTTGCGTGTTCCAGTATTCGATGCCTTCTTTGATATCTGGCTCGGGTTCCTTGAACATGGTGGACGAGAAGAAATTTAGATCTTATCTAATCAATTCCAGTCGATTTACGCGTCGCGACGCGTAAATAGGTATAAACAACGTCCTACATGGAGCCCACAACCGAAGCCATTGACATCGAGCAAGAAGACGAACCGAGGCTGAATAAAGGGCCACTGTTCTTACCAAGTGATTCGGACGATGAGACTCCTGCTTCCCCTAAGATCGCGCCACGGCCAGCCTCACCACCGTTATCTGACGCCTTGGATCTATTCGACGACGACGCGTTTACCATACAGCCTCTGGGCTCTACTGTCAATGCCGAGGCTTTGGAACGCGATGCGCGTGCTCGGCAGGCTTCTCAACCATCTTACACGCCCCATCAAATTCTACCAAGTAGCTCTCCGCCCAGAGATGAGGAGGCATTGGCAAAAGACAAAGATGCGGTGGAGCCAAGGCCCGGGATGAGGAAGAGGATTCCACGGCTTGATGAAGGGCGTTTGCTAGGACGAGATGGCTTCCCTGCACTAATGAAATCCGTCAAAGGCTTCAAAATCAAAGGAAAGGGACATGAGGTGAGTTGCTACTTGACTGACGCTTGATCTATGTCATAAGCTGATGTATGGTGTAGGTAGAAGATCTCGACAGACTGTTTCTCACGTATCAATTTTGGACGCATCAACTCTACCCGAAGACCCAATTCCGAGATACAGTTGAGAGAGTGGAGAAACTTTGCCATTCGAGACGTATGCACGTACGTACGCGACTTGAAGAAACCTGGGTGCTGCTGAACATGTTCTTCCTTCAAGGTTGCGCTAGGTGTATACAGAGATGAAGCCCACGGAAAGATTGTACGAGACGAAGATGTGATAGATCTCACAGACGAAGAAGGCAATGCGCGGGAGCCTCCGGCCTCGGAGCCAGCCTCGGAGCCCGCTTCCTCTTCTGAGGAACCTAGTCGTGGTCAAACGACAGATTTCGATGATGACGAGTTCGAAGCCGCGATCCGTGAAGAAGAGCAACGAAGCCAACCCACAAAAGAGCGGGAGCGCAACGTCGCGCCTCTGAAGCCGAAGGCAACTTTTGGCCAAGCAGGCGATGATGATTTCATGGACGTTGAAGATGATCTTTGGGATCAACTCATAGAGGGGGCATTTGACAAACCGGAAGGCAATGCTAGTGGGAATTCGACCGCGCCAAGAATCAGTGAAGGGGACGACGATGATATATGGAACGTCGTTGACGAAGTGGAGAGGGAGCAAGGTGGCACAACCACGCAGAAGGCACCTGTACCAGTTGTTTCAGAGGCAGAGGAGAACTGGGAGGACATGTATTTTTAGTGTGCTATAAGCTAGAATAAGATCTGAGAAACATGAGATGAATATATTGAATGGATAAGATGCTGGGAGAGATAGCAAGTATGTATATACGGGCCTGATCATGGCCTCCGAGCTCGAGGCTGGGGAACAGAGAAAAAGTCGCCTTTTGGTGACTCTGTGTCAGTTATGGTCCATGTGGGATGATAGTCAATATCGGATGTGCGGGAACATGAGAGGCTCACCTTTCAGATATCCGTTGGAGACGAGAAAGTCCATTGCTCCACTTTAATAGTGTCAGTCAGCCGCGAAGCACTAGATGATAGGAGTAAGCTATAGCTCACATGAATTCTGTGCTCGACACATCTCGATGTCTTGGATTATTCTGAATTGATGACATCGGAACATCCAGCGATACCCAATGTGTTGATGAGGGTACACCAAGGCCAAGATTCGGGTATATATGATTGGACTGAATATTCGCGCTGTTGTCTCTCATTATGCACAGCATGATTTCTCGCTGAAGATCGGTCAGCCCGCTTAGAGGATCACTATGGATCGACGCTTCGGTGGTTGCAGAAGCTGAGCCGCTAGCCTGCGATTGGATGAGGCTCAAGCGGGGAAGAGGCTTGCGAGGAGAGCCTGCAGAAGCAGGCCTACTGGGAGGCGTGGGCGGCTTCGAAGCACTGGAGACAACTAATTTGTGGGTTTCTCTGGCCAGCTCTTGGTCTAGCTTCTGGTCCAGCAGTTCATTGGGTTGCTTCGACCACGCATCTGGCGGCTTTGATGCAAGAGCTCAGAATCGAGGGCGGAAGAGCAGGAACTTAGCTGACCGGTGGGCCATGGGCCATCACCAATGGCTCGGCCATTGTTCGAAGGATATGATAGAGAACTTCGTGTGGGTTCTCTATCGGTCGGATCGTGTCTATGGTAAGGCTCTTCATGATATTTCCTGATGAAGTGGTGAAGTGGTCCAGGCGTCCCAGTACCCGCACATACTGGAGATGCCTGAACACAAGTCACGTCCTGCTCATTCAAGGAACTGATACACTGACTCTAGTTCAGGCACGTCTGTCTCGTCACCATGGTTAATCCATATTTTTCCTTGTATGGCTCTGCCCCATGTACCATCATCGAGATCATAGGATATCATTCTCTCTTTTCGCTCTGACCCGACGACGTTGGCTACTACAATGACCTAGTCAAGCGAGGTTCGAGTCAGGGATATTGTTGCGCAGAGACAATATCGGTGCGAGGGACCTACCGATTTGGCGATAGCCACATTGTTCAGCTTGAACGGCGCTTCTGAGTGCTGCCGCGTCGTTTGAGCGACTTGACGGAGTGTTAGGTGTTGAGCCCCAGGCGGGTACTTTGAGGGCGCCATCAGTTTTCGATTGAATTTTTGATTCAAGTTAGTAAGAGCAGCGCGCTAGATGATGGGCCCGACGCGAATATTTATAATTATTGATCCAGGGAGCATGTTAGGACCTCAATTGTTGCAGGACTAATACTAAGAATACACAAAAGAGAAACTAGCGAGCAACATTGAAATGGGACTCGTCGATCGTACTGAATAGCAACCCATCGTCCATCAATCGGTCGACGGCTTCGCTGTCAGGAAATGAGCAACACGAAGGAGTTCGAGAGGTGGATTACAAACCTAATCTCCGCAGCATTCCCACCAATCGCACGAGCAATGGCAGCGATATGGACACCATCGTGATTTGGGGGCTGTGAAAGGATGAATTGTACTATTTTCCTTTGAACTGGGGGCAGGTGCGAATACTCGGTGTCGGTGGCAGACGTAGATTGGTTTGCATAGGCCGATGAACCTGCTGTACCAGAGCCACCGGCTCCGGGTTGATTGGCCTGGCCTGGCCTTGGGGGCTGCATGGATCATGAGCATGGTACTAATGTTCCGTAAAATATGGGAGACTTACTGGTCCCCGTTCGAAGACAATGTTTGCGAACATAGCTTCACAGGTATGGAACATTATTTCATGAGGGTCTTTGCATGGATGGATGTGGGTTGCGTTGACATATCGCTTCGTTCCAAACACTTTGAGACCCCCTGTTACGCGAACGTATGTGTTTTCCCTGAAGAGCCAATTGGTTCATATGTGTGACATTATGATTGTTGAATGACTTACTCGATCCCTTCGAACTTGTTTCCCAACTCTTCGTTCGCGTCAATCCAATGGCGAGCCTCAATCCGACCTGATCCGTCGTCGAGTACGTACACGCAATTAGTTGCCTGCGCCTGGATAGATACCACCGAGGCTACTAGTGATATCTATTTCCTGCTTAGCAATAGGAGTGACCACGAAACGAATGAGACTCACTTGACCAATCTCTGTATTGCCTATCACCCATTCTGCATCCGTATGAGCCTGTGTTGCCCTTACAAGTTGCCCAACAGTGACTGGTCGTAATGAGTGGGAGATTTCAGTTTTCTGAGAGGCTTATAAGTATCATCTTCATGGTACAGAAGGTACCTCGATCTCACTCTGATGCCGCCCGGGCTACCTCCAGCACTGAATGGTGATGCGCCTTGGATGTAACCGCCACCGCCACCGTAGTATTCGCCTGGAGGACGTTATAGGATGGAAATTGTGAGCGCGTCGTTGACTCACTTTGACTCATTATCGTGGTCGAGACTTGAGAGAGATATGGACGCGCTCAAAGAATTTCAATCAAGCTACAGTGGCACGCGTGCGTGTTATTGTGGCATATTTGGTTAGACGTATCACTGGCACGGTTCGTTCCATAACTAGTCTGAGCAGTATCAGAAAGAAAGAGTGGGGATTGCTTATTTCATCACAAGTACATAGCTACAACATGGTGGTAACGGCGACAATGGACTAGACACCAGAAGCTGCTGCTCATTGTGAATGATTGGAACAGACTCGAGTCATGCCTTTCCCGACACCCTCCAGCACCTTTTTCCGCGCGTCACCCACCTTCTTGGCGACATTCAGAACAAATTCGTGAGTCACCTATTCGGGCGGAGATGAGTGTAAACTTCACGGGTAAAGGTGATCCATAGCTACCTCTGGCGTGACGATGGGAGAACAGGACTCCGTAAATACCTTTCGTGCCTCCGCAGTTGATTCCCGATCGCTCTGTTTACCCAATGAGACAGAGATATCTTTCAGGATCTCGACAGCGTTTGTCTTGATCGCTTTGAAACTCTGGACAAGCTTGATGAACAAATAATTAGCCGGGCATACGCCTCTATTCAACAGAACTTACCGAGTTGAGTTTGTAGATCTTGATGACAGAGGCAGACTTGAAGCGTAGCGTCTCAATGACCAAGAAGATAAAAGCCTGCAGGAGAGTGTTAAAAAAGGAGTATCATCTGGTATTAGTCATCGTCAAACCTCTTGTATGAGAGTTGCAACATGAAGGGCATCCACGACAGACGATTGCTGAGCCTCGTCAAAGCGCGCCTTCATGGCTAGGAAAGGGATCGGTCAGGGGAGGATTATCAGCAAGCCAAAATTCGCTTACTGTTGAAAAAATTAACAACGATCTCCGGTGGCTCTGTGATTGCTGGTGCTTCCTCGTCCTTTTTGTGGTGACCGTTGGGAGAGCCATTAGGTGGTGTCGGCAGAATTTCAACACCCTTTAGAGGATGTCCGGTCTTAAGCTCTGATTGTTTGGCGGCCTCCGCGAGTACCACAGATGGTGGCGGGCGGATGTAATCGTGGTGGCACCCCAGCCAATCAGCCAACCCGGTTGTGAAATCGAGTAACGCGACTTCGTCGGGTGTCAGCTATGAACATTGTTATACGTCTCATCAAAAAATGATGCAGGATGAAGCAGGCATCGAAATACCTCAGCTAGGTCTTCCTGCGGTCTCTCGCGTAGGCGGTCGCGCAGTGGGGCCTTGTTTCCTGAGTCTGCAGCGAGTTTCGGTCGGTCACCTATAAGGAGTTTCTCTTCCACAGTATCGTCGAGATCGGAGGATTGTTGTAGAGCGCGAATATACATTCGCAGGAGAGTCATCAACCAACCATGCTGGAACGAGGTGAATCGATTAGTCCGCTCGAATGCAATTGTACTCACCCCTTCCCCTCGACCAAATAACATCGTTTGGTCATTGAAATTCGGTATGATTCTAGGCTGGTAATCAGGGAGAATTTGGAAGTCTCGGTTGTCGTGATGATCTTGGGAAAAGATATAGCCTGACAATTAGAAGTGTAGATAACACACATACTGCGATCGAATATGAACTTCAACTCTATCAGCTCTAGATCCATGATGTCGGAGTTGACAACTTCGTGAGTAAATCGCATGCGGACATGCTCCATTTTGATGATATCTCTTTGTAGAGAATTATCCAAGTGGTCCTCGAACGTGATGAATTCGGGAATTTGCGAGTACTTTTCGCCAGTGAATGCGCGAACGACGAAGTCAGCCGTCTAGAGTAACCCTTATCAACAGGTATCCGGCAGTGAGGGGATAGATAGTTTTACTTCCTGTGAGTTGCTGAGGTATATCTGGCTTGTTTCTAGGCATTCGGTGGCAAACGTTAGGTCGCCAGTGGCAGCCAAAGAAAAGGTCGAAGCACGCGAAAGGATAAAATGCGAAAGGGTATCATGCTGGACCTGTTTGGTTTGTATGGCACGGTAGTGTTCCAGTGCGAGTGTTGGTGCACCTAATAGTAGTACGATTAGTCACCAACTATCGCGTGAAGGGGGGATTTCGGACCCAACAGTCGGTAGATGCGAACAAGCATGAGCCTCATCAAAAAGGAGGCGTTGCTCTTTAAGAGGCCGTATTCTAAAAGAGAAGCAGCGATGTACAGGTATTTCTCTTCTTTTGATATCGTCCACAAGTTGACGTATGCGCAACCAGCGAGGATGGCCAGATCGTCCGCTGGCTGTAATTCGGTGTTCGGTAGATTAGCGCCTAGCGGAAGGGTTTGAAGGTATTCTGTAAAATACAAAGATGCTCGTGTGGTTTCTGCTTCTAGAGTGAGTTGCGATGCGGTGAGGTTGCAGCGTAATAATTTATGGACATTAATGCGGCGTTGCAGTTCGTTGGTAGTCGTCTGGATCTATTGAGCGTGCGAACAAGGGGAAAGTGATGGATGAGCATACTATAGAGGAAGGTACGGATTCCAAGAAGGATGTCCAGCTAGAGAGGTCGTCTCCGTCGAGTACAACATATGGCTGAAGGTCTTCATAACAGCAGGCTTTATCACCGAATTGTTCGAAATAGCTCTTTAACAGAGTTAATAGCCGTTCGTCGTCTACAGTTCTGTAGTGAGAGATGGCAGTGAAACATTGAGAAATAGTGATTACCTTGTTTGATATCACACGAGCGGGCTCTCTTCTCCAGTTCTAACAATGCCAGTGGTCCTGAGCGGTCCTTTTTGCCATCCTTTTCTGAGACTTTCTCCAGCACTTGTCGTGCATGCTCCATGCGATCGAGACAAGCAGTCTTGAATGCTTCGGACGATTGATCCGGCTCCGTGTCAAGGATAAACACAGCGTCGAGGAAGGAGAGGAATTCGAGCCAATTCCGATCACTATGGCACAGCGATAAGTTATATACCTATTTACCGCTCTTTCTTCAACTAACCCTTTCTCGACAATTTTGCTCTCGGCAAACTCTCCTTCTTGCTTTTGCCTGTTTTGCAGCTTTGTTATGTCGCGTCGGAGCTCGTCACAAGCAAGGTTGGCCGCACAGATGGATTTCCCGACGTCATGGTCCAGAAGAACGCGCGCTTCATCGTAAAGCTCCAGCTCTCGAAGAATAGACAAGTGGAGATGGAAACGATCGGTGTGCACATATGACGGTGCCTTTCCTGAGGTGATAAGCCGGTGAGCAAGCTTGTACAGCAGGTTCTTCATGCTCGAAGGTGTCGTTGTGTCATTGGCCTGATTGCACAGAGTAAGAGCGGTTATGAAGAATACTGTAAAACGGACCTGTAAGACGGTGCTAATGACACTCCAATACAAGTATCGGTCCTCGTGGAATTGCTTGTGCATACGTGTGGCGATCTAGAAAGGCTAAAGCAAGAGTCAATTCGCGAGTAAGAACACGCACCTGTTGAGCTGACTTCCAATGGCCGGCACGGACATTGGCAAAGAAAGTCTGTGCTCCCAGCTCTTCATTCGAGGGTTGTTGCTTGAAGGCCTCCTCGAACATGGTGACTGTATCAATATCTGTCCGAATGTATTAGCTTGGCTTAGTTCGGGGACACAGAAACTTACTGCGACCAAGCCCACGGAGGACGTGCATCATGGCGGTCAAGACGGCATCATCAGTAGGCTTCGACGCCAATACCTCGTCGCATAAGACCAAGGACTCTTCTACTTTTTGGAGACGGACGAGAGCGAGTGCTTTGAGCGCCTATAATACATCACTTCGTCATCCCGAGAATATCCTAGGGTAAGAAACCAAGCACCTACCTTGACCAGCTCGTTACCAGGATGCTTTTTGAGCAGCTTATTGCATGCAACGACCGCCGACTTGTTTGAACCAGTATCTAACGAATCTGTGGTACAATCGCGGTTAGTCGTGCTCGACGCGTATCGGGTAGACTGACCATAGATGGGGCGTAGCTGGCGTTCAAGAGCTGCAAAGGAGGACATTAGGGCACGATGAGCACGATGGTGGTGGTTTGGGTTGAAGACGTGTTGTTGAGAAATTATGTGCGAGGCGTGGTTAGAGGCTTTTTTGATCGGCGACCCTTCCGATCGTTCTAAGTCTCGGTCGGACGAGCGCTTCTAAGATGTTCCTTTATTGACCACGACCAACATTATGCCCGTTCTCCTCTCCCGGTCAGTCATTTTTCTGCCATCCCACTTACGCCGCACTTACGCAAAGGCTGCCAGCACATTGGACCCCATCTTAGGAGTCTTTACTGGCGTCTTTGCTTACTACCTTTACGAGACCAATCCAAGGACGGCCTTACCACGCGACCAGAGGCTGACTTCGCTCGTGCAATGGAAATTGGACAAAATGGCGGCAAAAGAAAATATACCTGAGGCTTCATAGGTGTAGCCGAGTCAAATCTCAGACGTGAGTTAGCTTGGAGCCTAGCTGCAATGTGTTGAACGTATATGACACCCCCAGATCTAGTGGTGTAAGAGGTTGAGTATAGTACTTCCCTGCGCATACTACGATGAAAGTCTCAATATGCAATGCGGGCATGCACAGTGGACAGCAGTAATATTATCACCGTTGTTCTCTCTTCCATGACTTCTTCTGTACAGATGCAGCATTCTTGTTTCCAAACAGAAACGCAGAGGTCCTTTTATCAGCGCCGGTCTTCTTGGACACAAGAGATGAAGTCGCAAACAGCATCTGCAGAGGGCAACATTAGTCGATCGCAATGAACTTGAAAGCAACGCGGTACGTACGGTCCAAATGCCCCATCCCCCAATGGTAGCGGAAAGGATCCAAACAAGCGTGGATAACGAGCCGACGTTCTTCGTGTTATAAGCCAAGAAAGCACTGAGGCTACACGCGAAGGACAGTGGCATGAGGAGAGGATGACTGTTGCCTCCGTCCCGAGTGGTAATTGGATTCGACGAAGGCATCTAAGCAGCAACTTGGATTGGCTCTGAGAACATGTGTTATGAGAACTCACGTTCAATACTAGTGCCGCTGCTATAGCTGCTAGTAGTACTCCGAAATGGAGTGCAAGGAATGATTCTAGAGGTGATAGGGCTACTCTCGCGTGTTCCTCAGTGCCTGTCTCCGAAAGAAATCGTAGCAGGCGGGGGAATATTGTCAGACAAAGCGATAGGATCAAAGTTCTGCGACAATTGGCGTTAGAGTGCGTGTAATAAGTGCGAGGTGAGCCAATATTGTTACAGAGTGGCCGCGACGACAGCCCAGAGGTTGATAGTCGAGTCCTCGGAGACGCTTGAAATACCAAGGGAGACGTCTGCAGATTTCTTCTCGTCGTGGCGGCGCGACAAGTCTTGCATCTCGATGCTGGACATGATGGTCAACAAGAAAGCGATGTGACTGCCCATTGCACTGCGGCCAGTGATCTGTGCATGATGCAATGTGCCGTATTTAGCGCCATATGTATTTAGCGCCCATATTTCCACTTGATCCCTTTCTACAACAATGCGGATCGAAAAATGCTACTTCTGCTCAACCAATGTATATCCAGGCCATGGTAATCCCCGAAATCGATGGAATTACAGACCTTGTACTGAAGTACTCAATAGGTAGTGCCTTTGTCCGAAACGATGCGAAAGTCTTCCGGTTCTGCACTTCAAAGTACGTCTGTAGGTAATTATCATCCGCCCTCTATTTAATCATTTCTGTTACAGATGCCATAAAAATTTCAAGTGAGACTTCTATATTGCATTGATGATACCTGAACGAAGGGATCCGTAGAATGAAACGCAACCCACGAAAGGTTCGATGGACGAAGGCCTTCAGGAAGGCCGCAGGAAAAGAGATGACAATAGTGCGTAACCTCTGCTGCTGACATGGAATTCGTCGCTTATCTCTACTTGGATAGGACTCGACGATCGACTTCGAGAAGAGAAGAAACGTACCTGTACGATACGATCGGGAGCTCATACAGACTACTATCAAGGCTATGAAACGTGTTGGGGAGGTCAAGAAACGAAGGGAACATGCGTTTTGGAAACACCGGTACGTCTCCAGTCACTGACAACTGTGTCGATGTTCACAGTTTCGCAGTATGGCCGTTGCTCGCGAAAAGCATCGCGCGCACAGGAACAAGGTCAAGGAAGCGGCAATAAAAAAGTCTGTCACACTTGTGCAACCCACAACTGTCGAATCTCCCGCGAAGATCAAAGAAAAGATCAAGGTCTCTACGAAATCACGGTCTGCGTTGGTCTCAGGCGAAGGTCGGTCCATGGATATGGAACTCGATTAAACATTGCTCTGTATTTCACTCCCTTTTCCAACGTCCAGATCTATGATGTGTATTCCATAGTTCAAAATAATACATAGCGGCTAAAATGTAGATCAAAGTATCCATGGCATGCGCAAACAGATCATCGTTGCTTGTACTTCTCCTCGTTCTCATACCGAACATTGGGATCCATTGTATTGTGAAGACCCATCAGTGTCTTGCTTATTGCCTCACTTGCGCCTATCATCGGCTTCAACACAGCGATGGGCACCGCCCGAATCACGGCACGAACAGGACCCTAGTAGCGGTTTATTAGACAAGAGCACAGGGTCGGGAGTAACACTCGCCTCATCGCCCGAACGCTCATATACTTCCATTGGCACGGCCAGGATCGTCTGCGCTGCAGAGTTCAAATTCTTGCGCAGACTCTTGTACGCAGACTGCACCCCTTCAGTGATATCCGATGGTTGGTCTGCATATTTGCTGATCAAATCCGCCATCTCGTCTTCATCCAACAAAGGCCTCGAGTCTTCCTCCCAAGCGGTTGGTTGCATGGTTTCTGTCGTTATTGCTTGGTCGAATTGCCCACCAATTACGCCCTCAGCTTGTTCGAGGATCACTTGGGTGCCAGTGGCCAATCGAGCGCCCAGTCTGATAGCTTCCATCGCGGTAGACTTGACGAAAGAGTTGGCACCCCTCTGTAGCCCTCGTACGACTCTTCCATCTTTCTTGAATTGGGCAATGGGAAGCAAGACGAGATCGGCAAACCCTGAACCAACGTTCACCACAGAGCGAATGGGGGCGACCCCGGAGATGACATCTACAAGCTGGGTGGCCTTGACATCAGGTGTCCAGAGGTCATTCAACAAGTCGAAGAAACGGGGCCATCCCGTAATCTGATTGAGGTATTAGCAAGAATGCGGAACTCTCGACTAGGATCACGTACGCCAGATGCAGTGATGTGCCGCAGAGTCATTTCAGCACCGTCAAAGTGGAAGAAGTTCATTAATTCGATGGTACGACCCTCTCGAAGGGCTCTGTAATCTACGCGACGAGGCTTATAATCGAGCTTGAGGTCGACAGGAAAGACTTCTGCATGCTCTGTAACATCATAAATCAAGAAGTACCAAACATTTTTGAGGAACCAAAGATCTTACGGAAATATATGTCTTCACCATCCGACGTGCTAGGGGGGGCGTCTGGGTCCTTGAAGCTGAAAAACTTCTTTAGGAAGTCTAAAGCATCCTGATCGACGTATAGTCTGAGAGGCAATATTTTTGCCTGGGATTTGGGTTTAGATGTATCCTACCATCATCTCATCTACGCACCTTTAACCTGGCTTCTTCAGACGGATGCCCTGGAGCAGGCCGAACGGTGAGCAGTTCGACGCGCACCATATTCGACCCAGTTTCACGAATAGTGCCTTTCGAGTCTGTCTTCATACTCGTCAGGAATTTCTTCCATGTGGATGACTTTATATGGTCTAGGATCTCGATATCCTTGACAGTGATGAAGTTACGAGCAACCGTGGGGTCGTCCGGTAAATACTTGTCAACCTCTGCCCTCAGTCCCATTAAACATATTTCTATACGAGACCTTTTGGAACGTGTAAGCTTCTTGCCATTCACTTTCGTCGACCGAACGTGAGGGCGTGGGGCGGCACCAGCTGTTGGTGGCATGGTTGGTGGCATCAGTGACTCCCAAGAGCTCTGGGTGGCGGTTTCTGTATCTTCTCGAAGTTCCTCATCGATAGCTGCGATGAGCGCCGCGGGCTCCAGTTCTCCGGGGTCACGCTCTAGGCCAATGTACATGGAATTGAAGAGCATCGCGCTCGTCTCTTCGACACCCTCGTCTGGGACTTGTCCGGTGGCAACAAGTTGCCGAATCTTGGCGAGGCGTCGTCGCATCTCCTTTACTTCATCTTCTATTATCCTTCTTGTCCTTGCCCAATCATACCCATCATAGAGGAGGAGGGTAACATCGCCGTGGTGGACTCGGACTTGGAGCGTAGTTGGGCCTCGTCTAAAGCTTCAACGTTAGCATAGCGTAGTAAATGAAACCAGGACCCTTACTCGACTCCACCATCCTCCGGTATAGCTGGGAGGCTGTCGTAGTAATTTTCTACGATGTGGATTCCCTGAGGCTGTAGCATCTTAACGGTCTCACTCCCTACATCGGAAGTAACGCCAGTATTACGCAAGGTAAGCGAGACATCCACTGGGCCACCTGCAACAATATCGTCCCCGCCGTCAAAGTCGTCCAGATCATCGTCTCGAACCTCCCGTAAGCCCGCAGCTGATCCGAAGTGTTCATCCAAGTAGTATACATTCGTCGGCAAATCATCGTGTATCATATCGATAGCCGGCCCTACTTCTGGGTTGACATTGAAGGCATGCTCTTCGACAGTGGCTGACGGCGCCCGAGATCAATATTTGACAGGAACGGATAGGGGACGGATAGGACGAACAGAAAACAGGATGTGTGCGTTCTTTAGATAGAACAGATGGTTGGTTTCTTCGCTTAGGTGGTCTGAGAAAAAACAATTAGCGAGACCGAAACATTGTAAATACATGTACGAACTGTTCCCCAGGCGGGCTAAAAACAGAGGTAAGATCCGAGGCGAAGGTCGTGATCGCAGTGAGAGTATCGGCACACAAGTGTATTCGGATGCCAATGCGTTCTATGGTTACCTACGAAAATGTCAGCATTCTCTGAGGCATGACGGGGTTAATAGAATACGCACTTGCGTATTTGGGACCTCCGCCTCTGTAAGTACGCGTACATTCGTCTGGAGAATTGTGACTTCCGACACTAAAGCATATCCAATCCCCTATGTAATGTCAAGGGCACTATATCGTATAGATGGCAGCAACAAACCTTCCAGTGCAACAACCCTTTGGCGGTGGGTTTTTTCAATGAGACGTCCGCCAAGTCGTCAACAACGAGGATAGCAAGATCGGATGCGTCCAGATCGTAGCTCATGACCGACTCCCCAAGCACCGTGGAGAATGTGAAGTCGCCGACGTACAACAAGACTGCTCCAGGGTATTTGGAAGCCACTGCACGGATCGAACCGTCATTCGCTTTGACTGTGATCTTGGTACGCTCGCTAGGGATGACGGACTCGAATGCCTGCAATCACTAGGTGAGATAAGTAGCCGGTGTAAATATGATTACATACACCGGGAGGCGCTTTGCTAAACGTTGCCAGATCCTCTATCCAACCTATATCAGGGTGTACTGTGTGTTCAAAGCCGCAAAGCGTGAGGTGTATACGTGCTTCCTTTGCCGTGGTTTCTGGAACAATCAATGAGATGAAGCGAAGTTTGACCATAGGTTTAGGCGTGTATGTCTGAGAATATAGTTCAGACAAATTGCGCAAGGGGCATGGGGATCAACTGACGATAGAATGAGGTACTGTGAGTGCTAGTAACTTGCGCACAGATTCGGCCTCCGGATAGTCGGTCACCGACGCTTCCATTACAGCCAGTGTCACCACTGTCTGATCCTGCTCAACGAGTAAAACGTGGCACCATGTCAAGGGAGGAAGTAAGTTACCTTGCCTTCTGGCTTCAGCTCTAAGAGAATATCAATATCAGAAGCTCGGACAATAATTGGCCGAGGAATTTGGTTGGCACGCTGGCGAGGTAAAAGAACGGTTAAATGGGCTACAGGGTGCATTAGTCGCCATCATTTTGACTTGACATGCCCAAGACCAACCTTCTAATATTATCACTTTCACCACCGTTTCACTTTGCTCTGTAGGCGGCTTGCGACCGATTGTCAGCCCGCTACCAGTTGTACTTCCACTTCTCGATTTAGCGAAGAATCGGCTACCAATCATTGAGGCCTTATCCGTGTCGGAGTCTTCTTCTGGGACTTTGCTCAACCCTTCTAGCAGTTGTGAAAGATCGTCAGCCCAATACTGGACCCCGTCGAGAAGATCTTTCGGTACGACCGCTCGTACTGAAGCGATCTCCAAGATCAAGGAAAGAGGGGGGGTGTGCGAATTCACGGGTTCCAGCTTCATAACTACCACCCTGCATCGCGGGGTAGCACCATTTGTGGAGGAAAGGCCAGTTGCGTATATCAGACTTCTCGCTCTGGTAGTATGAGCAAGGGCCAGGGATAACGAAATGGCTTCGAAGCTAGCGGAAGCTAGGATGTTACCTCTGGGTGATCCAGAATCATTGTCGAAGTCGACAAACTTTGGGGTTGGTTTGGTGGCTGACTCTCCTGTAGAAAGTTCGATGTCAAGGATGTCGAAGACTACAGCACCAGAGCGTTGCGCATATCGAATGGGTGACGGGCATCGTAACTGCAATCTGACCATGGCCAGCTTCACAGACAACTTTGTGATCGGCGCTTTACGCTGCAAAGAAAATAAAAATGGCGTCCATCGCAGATATCTAAGTCCTACCTTGCGTTGTCCCGCTTTCGGTCGAGGGCCATCGAACTTCTTGGTCTGCTCTCTCTTGTAGTCATACTTGAGATCAAGATCAAGGTCTTCCATCACTAATCGCTCTAATCTCCTTCGTTCACGCTCTTGCAATTCCTCAAAGGTACGACTTGGTTGTCTTGGGGTGGCAGGTGGAGTGCTCGAATCGCTGCCATCTTCGTCGTCCGTCACTTTTCCCGAGTCCGCATCAGGCACCCCATCTACCACAGTGTAGAGTTCCCCCACAAAGGCCAGGACACCGCCGTGCTGTAATGCTTGGCCTAAATCGAGAAACAGATGCAGCGGCACCACCTTGACCTCTATGTCACCTGAGCGAGACAAACGGAGCTGGACAGCCGGGGTCACCGGAGGCGTCATTGGTTGGGGAGCTTCGCCGTGCTCAGACGCGTTGGAAGTGGCGTGACTCGTTTGTCTAGTATGTTGTGACCGAGCTCTTTGCTTGGGCTTCGTCCGCCAAAACGAAGGTCTTACGCCATGAACCCAAGAAGCCTCATCCGTGTAATCCACAGTTTGGAACTCGGGTAGTTGCTCTATTTCCGGATCCGAAGGATGCGCACGAGGAGCCGAAGCCGGAGGTTGCATTATAAGGAGGGGATCTGTGATCATAATGGGCGATGCGATTATCTCGTCTCCCAAAGACGGTTGTACAGCGAATACAGAGAAGTCAGATATTGATAACGACACGGTTGCTGTGGGCGCTTCTCGACTGGCATCCCTCCGTTTCGGAGGAGCACTGTCATTTAGAATAAAGTGAGGGAAGGAGCACGAGATGCTGTCGATATGAACCCGAACGTATGCAGTGGAAAGGGAAGGAGGGACCAAGGGACGGGCGTAAAATGTGGAGAGGTCCTCAGGTCTGTTACTCGCGGGGAGAACAACCAATGCAATGCCCTTGACGTGAACAGAACCATCGACGGTCAAAGATAGAGCCGACGGCTGCGACTCGGAAGGGGGGGTTGGAGTCGGACGTTGAGGTCCGCGATAGAGGTTCCAGCGTTCCAACATGTCCATTACAGCGCGGAGATGTCTTGCACGCAGAGAGCTAGTGATTATACCAATGCTGACGGACAGTTTGAGATTCTCTGCCCTAATACTCGGCTGTTTAGAGGTGGAATCTAACGGCGACGTGCCTTCACTTTGCGCTGGGCTTGTCGGGGAGGGAGTAGTCAGGCGAATAGTGGCGGTGTCGGATCCAAGGGAGAATATAGTCTCCTCAAAGTGAGCATCCGAGACCGGAAGTGGAGGAGATGTCTGCATGATGGTGGAACGCGATTCGCCGCCAGGACTTCGGTCGCTGGGTTGACGGTCGACATCGGCTTCAGAAGGTTCATCCGCCGCAGAAATCGCGCTTTGATACATGCTACTCGCCACAGAGCTAGTGGGAGACGATGATCGCTGAGGTAGGCATGCAATCGACTGAGACATAAGAAGCTGTGTGTCCTCATCCAACGACGAAGACGAAGAAGCGGGTGATGCAGCTCTTTCGGTCGGAGCATTGCTCGAATATGCTGACGGCCAAGGAGATTGCATGTGCGGGGGGCGTAAGTCTTTGCTTGTCACTTTGACATTCTTCACAGTAACCTTTCGCGTCTCACCGACGTTACCTTCCACTGGTACCGGCACACCAGTGTTTGGATCTGTCGCCGGGGATTCCACCGCATACGTCAATTCGCCCACGTAGAACGTAAAGCTAGACTCGCCAGGGGAGATGATGGTAAATTTTGAGTCGGCGATATCGCACTCGAACTTGGCCAGAAGTCTCTCGATGAGGATTGCAAACAGGGATATGCCCGCGGGGTCAGAATCAGCCTGAAAGTCGTGCTCCTCCGGCTCAGTCAGAAATGGATTCAACCCTCCCGGAACATGGTGGTCATCTTCGCCATCCCTTGTCATAACTTCAGAGTAGATTGATTCTCGAAGCGTGGCCTCTTCTCGAGGAGTGAGTTCATCATGGATGAAGGACTCCGCTACAGACGCGACAGAGTCCGACAAATCTGTCTCAGACTTTCTGGTAGAAGATGTGAGGCGAAACGCAAGGTGCAGGGATTGGATGGAGAATCCAAGCGTAGATGTCAATGGATTGGGCCAAGGTATACGCGCCGTGACTGAGCCGATGGATCCATCTTGAAGTTCGAGCGGAAGGTTATCAATAAGAGAATTGATGGCCTGTTAAGTGAGCCAAACCAGCAGGCATTAGACGCGCCTTCACAAACTGACCTTATTATCTAGTTCCAGGTTATTGACCTGAACATGACCAGACCCAATCTGGCTGTCTATTTGGTGAACATCCAGTTGCCCTGGTCGAAGGAAGTGACCAAGGGTTCTCTTCAAGACAAAAGAGATAAATCTCCTCTGGATAGTTGAAGGCAAACTGAAGTCGATGGTCGGCAGACTAGGCAGCCAAGACGTGAACCATGAAGCCATTGTGTAGGAGGAAAGCTGGGGTCGGAACACAAGGCTACGATATTATATGTTCAACGTGTCGAGTCCGAGAACTCATAAGCAAGGATGATGGTGGTAGTTGCAGAGCTGTGTCACTGCTGCAGTCTGCTACCGAAACTTGATGTAGAGCCCAAGTGGCTACTCGTTAAGCGCCCCAGCGTGTATGTAATTGGCCTTAATTGGCTTCCGGCGATCATTTGGCACGTGCCGGAAAACGACGCGTTATAGACGACGCGCCGGGCCCCTATCTGGTTGTTTAGTTTGAAGTGTACCGCTCCTCATGAGAACCCTGGAACTATGGCGATGGAATGTTTTGATTGGGGTATACCAACGTTGAAATTCCCCAGTGTACTTTTGGCTCGCTATCCGATCAGAACTTCTGGCAACTTACGGCAGGAAGAGCTATATCTTTTGGTTGGGGCGGTATAGATGGCTGACGGGCAAGCAATATTGGGGTCCTACAAATACTTGTATCTTCTGACTCGAGATGAGTAGATCTTGCTGTCTTACATTGAGACGCACCGTCGCCAAAATATATATGCAGAACTGTTATAGGAAGGACCACGTGAACCAATTTACAGTTCGTTGACTGGGTTGACGGAGCTTCAACTACTTCTGTTTCAAACCACCACCTTCCTATACTCACCTCCCTGGGCGACATCTATCGCCAAAGCCTTTGACCGCCATGTCTTCGAAGAAATCTACAGCAAAGGCTTCTACGAAGGTCGCAACCCATCCGACATGGATCGAGATGATTAAGGTAGGTAAAGGCACACTGTTTCTACTCGGCGTGGATCAGGTTGGCGTTCCTACGCTGTGCTTCGCCATCTGACACGCGTTCTCCCCGCTAATGAGAATTAACGTTGATCGTCTCTGTCTCTAGGAGTGTATTGGCGCGCACAAGGAGGATGCTCGGATTGGCGTGTCTCGGCCTCAAATCAAGAAGTACGAGTCATATCGTTGTGAATTCTAACTTGTACCCATGAGCGTATTGCAGATTCGTCGAAACGAAATACAACCTCGACATTGGTGCCGCACAGATCTCACAGCTCTCCAAGGCCCTAGGGTCCGGGAGCGAGAAGGGAATCTTCGTCCTCCCCAAAGGTCTTACGTTCCTCATGTTCAAGCCGCCTCCCACTTACTTAAAAATGTTTCACAAAGGTCCATCAGGCAGAGTCAAGCTCGCGCCAAAGAACAAACATGTAGAGCCTGAGAGCAGTGATGAGGTAGGCGATGCGTGAAGGGGGAACGCCCCCGTGCCTTGCTTATGATGACCTTCTAGGACCAACCAGCCGCGAAAGTGAAACCTCTGGTAAAGGCGAAGGCCGCTCCAAAGCCTGCAACAAGCAAATCAAGGGCCCCGACCGTTGCCACGGTGAAGAAACCTCAGCCAGCTCCTCGAACGACCGCCACCTCCAAAGCCGCGTCTAAACCAAGCGGCACCGCTCGTACCAATGCGGCTGCGAAGAAAGCTGCACCTCTCAAACCCGCGACCAAGACTGCTCCTGCAAAGAAAACCATTGCTGGTAAACCGAAAGCTACTTCCATTACCAAGAAGACTACAGTTGCCTCCAAACGCGGGGCAGCTAAGAAAGTATATATTCTCTGGTTTCATCCGCTGCTTCAATTCTAACGCAACTCAGGCTGTTACTGGAACTTCTGCCCCAGAGAAAGCTAAGACAGCAGCAAAGAAAGCCCCGCCTAAGAAGACCCCCGCTGTAAAAGCAACATCCAACTCTTCGACAGGAAGGAAGAAGGTCAGCCCAAGACACTGAGGGTTACAACTTCTCTTACATAAAACCATCTCGTGTAGACTGCACGGAAATAATTCCCATCCCCCATTTCGATAATGGTTTCTTTTTCATTCAAGTACATGCAATTCCCTACGGTTGTATGGCAAGCATCATTGGCCTCTACCTCTTGTCCTGTACGACGTCTGTGACTGTATTTATTCTTGTATGTTATATGACTTGTTTATTGCGCCCCGCCTGTGTCTCTTAGTACATGGCACCGGACCTCTGGGTTATTCCTTCCAGGCAACGCGCCGTCGACAGGCCCGGCCAATTTACATTGTCCAGGTACCTCGCAGGAGGAAATCTCGAGTACTAGAAGATGATCTCGACATGCGTATTCCCTCGACCATGAATTCTTAATACTCAGTATTCATTACATACAGAGATACATTATTGAAGGTACATTGAGGTAAATATACATATCAGAATATACGTGACGTAGTTCTAACCATAGGTCTGCAGCCAATCTGAGTCAAAAGATACCCAGTCGCGGCCGCTCGTCCCACCCAAAGTGACTATCTGTGCACTTTCCGCTAAAGCGATATACTCTCGGAATTTGGTGACACCCGCCTCCTTGTAAACGTTGTGGCGTTGTAATTCTTGGGCAACAACGGAACGAAGAGGTTGAGGTATTCCCCTTCTTCTGTGTTCCTCTAGGATGTCAATCAACGGCCAGAAATGCGAGGCCAATTTTGTTCGTGCTGGCTCTGGGGTCGTTGGTGGTTTACTAGGGCGAGGAGTAGGAAGATGGAAGTTTATTAAGGAGGGACCAGGTGCAGCCGAGCACCGCTGTGTTATCGGTGGACTCAAGGTTTCTGGCGGGGATGTCGAGGGTGAAGGACAATCTGATGCAATGGACAGGGAAAGACTGATCCATGGGTCACCGCCTTCGGAGGTCCCTAACTCGACAAGCCCGCTGCTTTGGGCTAGAGCGGCATATTCACCGAATCGTGACACTCCTGCTTGTTGGTAGATCAACTTATTCTTGGCCAGAAGTTCGATCGCGACCTTAGAGCGTGACACCATGAGAAGCCCCTCGGCACTATACCGAAGAAGAATCTCTACCAGTAAAATGAAATGAGGAGGTACTGGATTCCTTGACGTAGTAGCAGGAATTGCAGCCGAACGAACCTGAAGTGGAATGGGCGGGACAAATGGAGGAGCTTGGGCGGATAGGTGGAATGTAGAGTCAGTAATGGGAGCTGCATTATCCTTGTCGGTATTATCTGGGGGATTTATTTGCTTCGCGGGACCAACATCGGGCAACAGTACATCCCTGCAACCAGCCATATCACACCAAGACGCAAGGGAAAGTGGTGTAGACTGTGGTGTGAATATAGGTGTGTCATCTACGACGATGACTTCGGGTGTGATTAGTTCGTTGGTATTCGTAGAAGGTTGGGCGAGCGATTGCGGGAAGATATTCTCGTACTCGTCACTATCTTGCCATTGCGAATGTAATGAAACCCAAGCTTCGGCCTTTGATCCTCCTTGTTCAATCAACCCAGAACATTCGGCCAGATACAGATAATCCTGAAAGTCACGAGCGCCAGCTTGGGGGACTACGCCGGCTGAAACAAGCTCGCATGCGAGGGCGAGGCGTAAGGAGCGGCATTGTTCTTGTTGACGAAGAAGCACGACCATCTTCTTGAACGCCTCTACTCGCTGTGACATGGTCACTGGAAGTGGAAAATCATCCAGTGGTACTGTCTCTTTCTTGGTCCGCTCAGAAGCAGTAGCGTCAAGTGGCTGGGGGTTGTCCGACACGGCTAAGGCCTCGTTCTGGGTCGAGAGGGGTGCCTCCTCTCCACCATTGGCAGGGCCTAGCGGTGAAAATGGCCACGTAGGGAGGTCGGCCTTGGCAGAAGAGGAGGCTTCAAGAGCTGGGGCTACACTACCGTGAACGCCTTCAAGTTGATGTTCGCGGAGTGACCGCGTGTCAGGCAATTCCAAGTCCTCTTTGAGGTGTTCGGGTACCAACGTAGCTTGACAAGAACAAGGAGTGTCAATGAAATTGCCATGAGTCTGAGTAGCCTTGTCGACATTTATAGCAATATTCCGATGATTGATGCTGTTGTCCCTCTTGTGGCGAATTGGTCCAGAGGGCTTAATTTCCCGCTTATGGACAGAAGGAGCCAACAAGATGTCCGCCGCTGTCGATACTGTGCTGCTCCGTTGTCTGACCCCAGCCGGCCCACTGATCTCTTCCGCGAACATTGGTTCATGCCTCTGAATTGAGTGGCAATGTTCCTCCTCAACCTTGCTCATGACGTCGGCGTTCCAGTCTAGGCAAATATTGGCTTGGGCCTTCAGGCTAGGGTGTGCTCCCGGATTGGTGAGGGATATTACGACCACGCTGTAGCGTCTTAGTCGTAGCACCGAGGCTGCATAGGCGAAGTCTCGATCTCCGGAAATAAGGATAATAGTTGCGGGCGCAGGTCGGTCGATCGCATAGGCCAACATATCGACTACGGGGGTCAGCCCCTCAACGGGATTAGACGCACTGAAATTAGCGATCTACATACCCATTATCATCTGGTCCGCAACATTCTTACGACCGTTATGGGGACAGTCGGTCAGGGAAACCCCTGACGATTGTAGCTCAGACCGTAGGGTCAATAACCGGGGTGACATTGACTGTTCTGAGAGTTCAAGGTATGCCTTGAAGAGCTTGACACTACCGAACTTGTGCGCCACATTACGGATGCTCCCGACTACATCGTACCCCGAGATGGCTGAAGGCCCATGGCAATTCTCTGGTGCCTGTCTAGTTCCAATAACATTGAGTGATTCCATAGGTGACTCACCATAGTCCCAGAAGATGGCAACATCCTTGTTATCATGTCGTCCCAACATCGGTGCCTAAGAGCTCTGTGGGTTCGTGGGCTTGCCTATTAAATAGGGCAGCTGGCGCTTAGCGCGAGGCAGTGATGCAACAATCCAAAATGGGTCAGAAGTACCGGTTGTGAGTCGCTCTGGCATATCATTTCCAGAAGGGCATTCTCTTCAATGGTGAGGGGCGGATGTACACAAGAACTTTTGACTATCCATGCATCGACACTGACGCTGGAAAACCCCTGCGTGAATCAGTGGTTGAGGTGCTGTTATCGATGTGCAGCCTCTTCCAAGAGGTTGGTAGCTGTACGCAGGCCATCAAGCCATCAAGATCCAGTGTTCCTGAGGCTTTGTGAGGACGTAAGCTTAGAAGGCGAGCGAGATTGTGGCATGCACCGTATGTATACATGCAGAATTGTGTCAGGACCTTTGCTGAACACCAAGATCTGTGTTGGAGAACTTGACTTTGGGGACGGTCGACAAGCGGAGGGCTCCCGGGCCAAAGGCACGGTCACAGTGGCGGGTTCTGCGCTCAATCCCGCCCCAGTATGCCCTTCCTGCTCCGCCCTCTAGCGCGTTCCCCGATTGTTGCGATATTCGTAATGGCGAAGCGTGCAGCTTGCAATTCAAGTCGTAGAAAATTCTGAATGTGATTGCGTGGTGCTTATGATCGTCGGCGCAGGGCAGTGTATCTTTCGTGTGGCCGAGATTTCACGTAAATAAGACCCCGACCTTGACCGTCCGCGTAACGCGATTTTCGACGCGCATCCACACTCTTTGATGCGTATCTCGTGCACACTAGCACGCCAATGGGTCACAAGTTCATGCCGCAACCAAGCATGTGCTTCCAAGGCCGCACTGTCAGCCTTGACTCTTGCAAATTATAAACGGAACTTTACTACCTCCAAATTCGAACCAGTCCCCAAGAGAACTACTAGCGGATTGAAACGTCTTTACTGCACGAGAATGTCTGCATCCGCGATACCAGGAGCTACAGACGAGTACCGGCTTCCCCTCGACCTCAAGCCGACCCATTATGAGGTTACCATCCAAACCGATCTGGAGAAGCAGACGTTCAGTGGTTTCGTGAAAGCCCAGTGCGTATCGCTCAACATCTGACGATTTCATTTGTAACAAGACTACTAGCCTCGATGTGGTCAAGGAAACCTCCAAAGTTGTGCTGAACACTGCCGAACTCGAGCTGGGCACGGCCTCGGTGTACTCCCATGCATTGCAGAAAGAGCAATTCCAATCCGACCAATCCTTCGATGCCACCCAGGAACGCGCTGTATTCCACTTCCCTACTCCTCTGCCTGCCGGATCCAAGGCGCAGTTCCAGATCTCTTTCTCTGGGCCGTTGACTGGCAGCATGACTGGCTACTACAAGTCCTCCTGGGAGGAAGAAGGGAAGCTCAAGTACTACGCTTTGACTCAGTTCGAAGTTTGTCCTTATATCTCTGATCGTCATTCGCGTCAATTAACTGGGTGATAAGCCCACATCTGCTAGACATGCATTCCCGTGCTGGGATGAACCTTTACTTAAGGCAACCTTCGAGATTACCATGGTATCACGCGCGAACACCGTCAGTCTGAGCAACATGCCCTCCGTCTCGGAGGAGGTGTACAAACCCGGAAACGTCGAAGCCGACTCCGCCCTCGGAAAGCTCCTCTCAACTCTCGATCATTCGGAGGAATGGAAAATCACCAAATTCCAGCCGACCCCGCCGATGTCAAGTTACATCGTTGCATGGGCGAATGGATCGTTTGCACACTTGGAGAAGATCATCACCAGCCCCCTGACAGGAAAGGAGCTCCCCCTTCGCATGTATGGTACGTAGACATACTTTAGAACCCAGCTTTCACGACTTGATGGATGCGATTATGATTAGCTACCCCCGACATCATCCACCAAGCTCAATTTGCGCTGGACGTGACCGCCAAAGTTCTCCCCATTTATGAGCAAGTGTTCGATGTCGCTTATCCCTTGCCTAAGCTGGATACTCTTGTTGTATGTTTAACTCTGTATTCGCTGCTTAGTGTCGCTAATGGATCGGACAGGCCAGCGACTTTGACGCTGGCGCCATGGAGAACTGGGGTCTCATCACTGGTCGCACTATCGCTCTTCTCTTCAACCCAGAACGAGGCGACCTCGCAGCCATGAAACAAGTCGCCACCACCCAAAGTCACGAAGTGGCCCACATGTGGTATGGCTTCATATTGCTCCGCTGCGATCTCCTCGAATGTGATACTGAGGAGGCGACACTAGGTTCGGCAATATTACAACTATGGAATGGTGGAATTACTTGTACCTCAATGAAGGTGCGTTTCTACTATATTTTCTTTGATTAGTGTTTGATGTCATTCCATTCAGGTTTTGCGACCTTGGTGAGTTCATACTGCACGGCCTGGAGTAACTTTGACGATGCTGAGCGATTTTCATTCAATTTATAGATGGGAGAAGTTATCATCGCTGGTATGTCGTTTGCCCCCTTGGATCGCAATTGTCAATCTCATTTCATGCCTCTATTTTCTCTAGACAAGTACGAGTCTTCGCCTCACGTTCATATGAATGCTGAATTCGGCGTCTCTCAGGGTATTCCCCGAATGGAAAGTAGACTCGGAATTCATCTCTGGGCACTTGAACCGCGCCCTCGCCCTCGATGCCAAACTCTCGTCCCACCCCATCGAGGTCGACTGCCCGGATGCCAATCACATTAACCAGGTCAACTCCACATCGTTCCTAAATATGAAGTACGCGCGCTAACAGTTCGTGTTATATTGCAGATTTTTGATGCACTCTCCTACTCTAAAGCTGCCTCTGGTATGTGCTGCTAGACTCATTATTGATAACCTGGAGTTCACGCCGTGTCCTTTCAAGTGTTGCGCATGTTGTCCAACTATGTCGGAGAAGACCTCTTCCTCAAGGGTGTCTCGATCTACTTGAAGAAGAAACTCTACGCTAACAGTGTGACCACCGACCTTTGGCAAGGCATCAGCGAATCCACCGGTAGGCATCGCGCTGTTCTTTCCCAACACTACGAGCTGAGGGCCGCATGTACGTAGGCGTTGATGTCGTCAAGCTCATGGACAACTGGATCACCAAGGTGCGTTTCATAGCACCAACACAGTTAGCGGACAGCGTTTGATCCCCCATTCGTCCACATAGATCGGGTTCCCCGTGTTGACTGTGACAGAAACCCCTGAAGGCATTAATGTCCGTCAAGATCGTTTCCTAGAGACCGGTCACGCTGATCCCAAAGACAACGAAACCATCTGGTGAGTCCAGTTCATTTGTTGATGTTAGGCAAATCTAATGATGCTTGTCGGCGATGAAGGAACGTGCCCCTCAGTATCTTGAGCGTTGACGCCAACGGAACCGCCGCGGTGGACAAGAAGCCTGTCCTCGAAGAACGCGAGAAATTTTACCCTCTCGATACCAGCAAGATCTTCAAGCTGAACGCCGGCACGACTGGTGTTTGTGCGTACCATCACTCGTGGGTTCTTCTGATGATTTATCGAACAATTACGCAGACCGAGTGCTTTATACCCCTGAACGTCTCGCGAAGATCGCTGAGGAGGCGGCGAAGGAGCCCTCGCCCTTCTCACTCAATGACCGCATTGGGCTGGTCCATGACTCCATGCAACTCGCTCGCGCTGGCCATGCCAAACTGAGCAGCGCGTTGACCCTAGTCAGCGGCCTTAGGAACGAGCAAGAATGTGAGCCGTCCATTCCATTACCAAGTTCCCATACAGCTCCTCATGCACATGGTTGTTAGATCTCGTCTGGTCCGGTATCGCTGAGAATCTTGGCTCTCTCGCGTCGATCTGGTGGGAGAACGATCAAGCCATTGAACTCATCAACAACTTCCGCCGGGTACGTTGGACCGTCCTGTGACGGCACACTAATCTCATTTCATCACCGTCTTTAGGCCCTGTTCGTGCCTCTTGTGGATAAGTTGGGCTTCGAATACGCCGACGATGAATCTGCGGACATTCGCCAACTGCGGACGCTCGCTATCTCAGGTGCTGCCCAGGCAGGCGAACCGAAGTTCGTAACTTTTTCGCATGCATAGCATATGCCGTTCGGTGATCACGAAGCTGACGATGCCCGCTCTTTGTGCAGGGTTGTCGCCGAACTGCGAGCACGATTTGCTGAGTATATGAAGACGGGAGAGGATGCCAAGATCCCCGCTGATCTGCAAAGGATCATATACAGCATGGTACGTTTGATGTGCTATATAAAGGCGTGGCGGTGACTCCATCTGCTTGGTTAGGCTGTACGACACGGCGGTCGCGCGGAATACGATGCCGTGATGCAGATCAATGACAAACCCAAAGCACCGAGCGCCAGGACAGCTGCAATGTGAGTCATCGTTCTTGGATCTCGGTTCGCTGCCGTCTAACCGTCCGCAGTGTTTCTCTCTGCCAAACTCGGGACGATGCACTGCTCCAGGAGACCTTCCAGTATATCCTCAACAAATCACGGGATCAGGACGTCGTGTACTTCTTCCGCGGGCTGGAGACGAACGTCAAGGCCCGCCGACCGGCTGCACAGTTCTTCAAGGACAATTACGACACCGTCAGTTTATTCTGCCGCTGTTCGCGAGCGTTGCGTGCTGATAGATTGCGTAGTTATATAAGCGTTTCGAGGGCAACTTCACCCTCAAGTACCTTGTGGAGGTCAGTCATTGCCCGTCGTTTGCCGAGGCTGCCGGCTGAGCAGCGTTGCATTGTAGATGTCATTCAACAGCTTGTCAACTGAGAAAGACTACAAGGAGATTGTCGACTTCTTCGCGGTGCGTTCCTGAAGTAGAATACAATGCCGTGAGATCGCTCACGACCGCCGTTCTAGGACAAGGACAAGTCTAAATACAACCTCTCGCTGTCGCAAGTTTTGGACACTATCCGGGCGAAAATTGCGTACCTTGAGGTTTGTCTTTTGTGCTAAAATCCTGAACTGGGACTGATCGGATGACAGCGCTCTACGGACGACATGGTGGACTGGTTGGCGAAGTGGCAAAACGGGTCCAAGTTGTAGTATCTCATGTACTGTCATGATGGAGACGATTGAAGATATTCCAGCGTGCACCAAACATAAAGGCGTCGCGAACATACCGTGAGGATCACAGAGGTGATGCTATGCAGTGATTCTCAGACGACAAGAACTACGAACATACCCGAGCAATGACCCTTCGACTAGCTCTTCGACTGCCGTAGGGAGTGCGATCACGTTTGAGACCGGGCAGCCAAGTAAACGACGTGACATGCGGACTTTTGGAATGACACGGCCAAACTCTTACGACTGTGACGGCGAATCGCGCTGCATGGATCAAATTATCCTCCACGTGCATCATATTATCTCCGGGTCAACAATGTCTTGTGGTCAATATACAGGGAGGATCATGAGAAGCAGACCACGCCAATACGTTCGCTTGGATTGGCTAAGTGCTACATGAGCTGAAGTCTCCTTGATTTCATGATTGACTGGCGTTGGCGAAGCGGTGCTTGTAAGGCTGCTGTTTCACTTTCGGCATATGAGAAGCCAATCAAAGACATCAAAATGGTTCACCAGATTCTAGCTCAACGGTCCTCCACTGCGTCGACAATGAGAATGAGCACTTGCACCTATGGAATGGCGAGTATAGTGATTAGTCAGCTATGGGCGCTTGTTGGGAAACTTCGAAGTGAGCGAGAATCGAGAGAAAAGAAAAATCTGACAAAATGCCTGCTTTTGATCCTGTCCGAGATGCAGTCTTGAATTCGCCAGTGACTTCTACGAACCCTCTTCCTCCGCAACCACCATCATCTGCGACGAGCAGCCCCTCCCTGGGCCGTCGCGCGACTGACCTTTCAGTTTTGCTCAATTCCGAGTCCCAGGAACCAACCGTGACTCTGCGCACGCCCCCTCTACCAAGACCATCGTCGGGCCTCTCTCATTTGTTGAATGCTGACCCTGCACACGCCGTCGATTTTGAGGACAAGTTATCGGCTTTCCAGCCTTTGTCTCGGTCGACGAATCTGAGCGTCGCGACCGCCACCTCATCCCGCAACCCGCACAGTTCCTCGTCTACTTTCTCACGTCGTGGAAGTGACCCGCTAGCAGCGGCTCACCCTGCCCTATCTTCACCTAGTTCAGCGACAAGTACCGGTACTAGTTCTGCTAGAAATTTGTTCGGTGATTCGCCCATACGGGAGTCTCCAGTATCCCCATCATTCCCTGCACAGACTCAGACGCCTTCAGCTTCTCTTCCACAGTGGTCGTCGAACCCTCCAACGAACATGCCCCCTCCCCCCCAGCCGAAGCGATCTAACGTTCCTTACAACCCACGCAACCGAATCACACCGCCCGGTTCTGTGCTGGTACCGTTGTCACAGAGCGAGTTGGAGATGTTTGCAGAATTTCGTGGCGTAGGTACCTCCAGATTGACGAAACGGAAACGCGGGCACAGTCCTGAGGGCGAGGGCGAGCCCCCAGCCAAGAAGCTGGGTGGTGACGTGGGAGTAGTAGTTGAGCATTGTGAGAGTTCCGCTACGTCTTAAGCCGCCGTCTTGCTAACCGCTGGCACGCTGCTGTCCCTAGACAATGCCAGGCCAGAAGTTGGCGTGGTGCAACGGCAAGAATCACCAATCATCGGCTTGAAGAATTTCAATAACTGGGTCAAGTCGGTGCTAATAACACGCTTTGCTCATCCTGCACTGGCCGCCGGTGCGGGTTCCGCATCTTCTAATGGGCACGCTAGGGGGAGATCTTCTGGTCGGACCTCTTCGGGGAAAGTTCTCGACATGGGATGTGGAAAGGGAGGCGACATGACGAAGTGGGCCAAGGCACGTGTGAAGGAGCTGATTGGTGTTGGTAGGTCCTTCCCTCTCTCCGGTAGCACTAAAATACAACACCTTCCCAATTACGCTCACACGTTTGCTTACTTCTCCGATAGATATCGCGGCCGTATCAGTTGACCAAGCACGATCACGATGGGAGTCACTCAGGGCCCCCAAGTTCGCTGCAACGTTTGCAGCGGTCGATTGTTATACAACTTCCCTCAGCAAGGTCATACCTCCCGCCAGGCTTGCAGAGCCATTCGATGTGGTATCAATGCAGTTCTGTATGCATTACGCGTTTGAAAATGTACAAAAGGCTCGGTGCATGCTTGAGAATGTCAGCCGATGGCTTAGGCCTGGTGGTGTTTTCATAGGCACAATACCTAACGCCGAATTGTTACTGTCCGTTATATTCAGTGCCTCATTATTTTATTCGTTCATTTATTTTGTGTTCACAGCTCACAGCTAGATGCCATACCTCCTTCACAAGAAGACCTGTCCTTCGGAAACTCGGTGTACAAAATCTCTTTCGAGAGTCGGGACCGACGCCCTATATTTGGGCATAAGTATTGGTTCTTCCTGAAAGATGCTGTAGAGAACGTTCCTGAATACGTCGTCCATTGGGATAACTTTGTCCAGTGAGAGTTTCAGCCTTTCACGTCTAAGCGAGCGATTCCGCTGATCACATCAATCCTAGAATGGCTGCGGAGTATCACTTGAACCTCTTGTACATGAAGGAGTTCCACCAAGTCTTCGAGGAGCATCAGGAACATCCGGAGTTCAAGCCTCTCATGCTGCGCATGAAGGTAGTGGATGACAATGGAGAGAGCGCGATGGACGAAGATCAATGGGAAGCAGCCAGTACGCTACCAGTTTCTTCTTTCATGCTACGCCATCTAACCGCGAGTTAGACATCTATATCGCGTTTGCGTTTGAGAAACAGCGATGAGCCGATGAGGCCTGCCGTCAGCACTTCCACTATACTATACAGCATACTTCATAAACTAGCGTAAATTGCATGGATATTGATACTGTAACTCCGGTACAGACTATTATTATTGGGACGGTTGATGTACATGTTTTACTACTACGTATGATTGCGCGGTCATACAGGCAAGTCAAAACAGATGATAAATGGGGAGGGCGTACATAGATGTGAGATGCAATCCAGTAGACAGTCCACCAATAGAAGAAGGTATAAAAAAGCAAAGCTTCTATTCTTGACCGAAGCCAACGGTTTCCCTGTAGTGAGCACATTAAGTATGACATACAGGGTGAGAGGGTAGAAACACTTACTCAACAGCAAGTGTCAACTTCTGCTCCAAGCTCGCATAGTCTTTATACGGAGGAAGGTCGATGCGGTTGAAGCAGGTATGACTCTTGGGCAATTGAGAAGGATCGCCAGCCTTTTCAATTGTGAAACGACGGGGACCATCAGATCCTTGCAGATCCTTGAATCCATTGACTGGGATACGGGATGTTCCGGTAGCAAACTGCAGCAAACGAGACTTTCGCTCTGGAGGCCAGCTGCGCACACACTTCCAGAACCACTGGATGACTTCGTCATTCATTTCGTAACCTCGGTAATCGGTGTACTTCGTCCAGTCATCACTATATACCATGATAAGTGATGAGTAATGGGGATGAGAAACGGAACTGATGACTTACACATCAATCTCGGACATGCCACCGATCAACAGTTCTAGTTCGCGCTCATCGAAGACAGTAATGAGATCCTGCGGTATCAACTCGCTGAAACCAGACATGAATGCTTCGAATTGTTCCTTCACACGCTTGGAGATTCGGTACTCCACGACGTGGTCAACGTAGTCTTTCTTGTTATCCTGGGTAACAGGGACGTCTGCGCCTCCAGCCTTGAGTTCGATTGTAACCATTTCACCAAATCGTTCCTCAGTAACAGTGAATGTCTCGTCGATAACATCGGTGATATCGTTCTCCCTTGGAAAAGGTCAGGTGCTGTGGTCCAATCGCGCGCGCATTGACTTACAGCATCCACGTCAAGCCTCGGTGCAGTTCAGCATCGACACTCTCCAGATCAGAAAGAGTAACTTTCTTCCTGAGTATCATCTTGTAGAAACTGACGATGAAATAAGCGTCCAGGAAGCGACGGTGGAAGATGCCGAGACCAAGACAGCGGCCAATGAACTTGAAGTAGTTGAGATGCTCTGGGTTGACCCCCGAGGCTGGGTTGATTTGTAGGGTATAATTGTCGTGAGCGGAATATTCGAATAGGCAGTAGAAAGGATTGAACATTTCATGCGAAAGCAGGAAGAAGAATTCTCTGAACGAAAACGTCTAGTTAGCTCGTACTTCAGCAGAGGCTGTTGACGCACCTTGAGAGACCACCGTAATCTAGACCATCCTCTCCGTCGAACTTGATCATCAGTCGTTTCTTGAGATCGTTGGGTGTTTGTCTCATAATCTCAGCATAACTGTCCTCGAAAATGTGATTGCGTCTGATCTTGATTTGACAGTTACCAGGTTGCGCACGCATTGCGGGCTGACTTCGGAAGTAGATGAGCTTGCGACGGAAGTCACGCTTATACTGAGGAACATTGGAGTCCAGGGAGGATGGGAGGCGAGGATCATCCCATGTCGTGGTCTTTGTGTTGTGATCAACGAAGTAGACACGGGCGGTGGAAGTGAGACGCATTTCCCAGCCCGAGGGCAGAGGACCGAGTTGTGATATCTGTGGCTGTAAAGCAGCGCCTTGTCCATTGGGCCCCATGACTCGTATAACAGTCTGGCGTCGCGGGTCCACCCAGGTGGTAGTCCGTGTATTGTGATCCACATAGTAGGGGCGTCCCTCAGGCGTATAGCGCTCTTCCCATCCATTCGGGAGAGGTCCAGAGCCAGCAGTCGTAGCATTGTTTCCAGCAGCGATAGCACCAGGCCCAATTGCTTGACCTGGGGGCGCAGGTGTGCCCGACTGGCTACGAGCGTTATTGGCGTTATTAGCTTCCAGCAGGTCATCAGCCAGAATTCGCCTGGAGTGTTGGTCTCTGGCTGCATTCGTCTCGCTATCTTGAGTGCTGGTGTTAACGGCTGGGTTGGCTGAAGGACGGTTCCAAGTCGTGCTGCGAGTGTTGTGATCGACATAGTAGGTTCGGCCCAAAGGATCAATGCGACGTTCCCAGCCGCCAGGTAATGGACCATATTGATCTACATTTGGATTGAAGTTACGCATTTGAGGGGTGCCTGATTGGCTTGCGGGAGAAGGTTGTGCTTGAGGGGCGGATGAACCGGCGCCAACGACAGGGCTAGTCGCGCTGACGGGGCGCGAGCCGGGGCTCGTCGACGGATTTGGTTGCTGCTGCTGCTGAGGATCCTCTTGTCCAGGAGTGACAACAGGAAGGCTAGGTGTGGGCATCGTGATATGGGCACTATTTCCAGTGTCAAGACCTGTGGCGTGGGAAGATGGGGTTCGGGAAAGAGCGGCCGTTGTGGACGTTGAGGGAGTCAGATTAGCATGACTGGAAGTAGGGGAACCGGGAGTCGCGTTCAAGCCCATGTCAGCGAAGGCAGTGGCAAGCGAGCTGCTTTGAGAAGGGCCCGGGTTCGAGATGGGTTGCGTAACATTGGTGGAGAGATAGATGATGAGTTTCCCGTGAACCACCAGGTTATCGTTGGACTTTTTGAGGTCCAACGTGAGCATCTCTACAGCGGGGCATATAGAAAGATGATGTTAGGATATTATCTGGCAGACGCACCATGACCGCCCAATTGCAGATCCAAAACATCCGTAACCTTTACATTCACCACACCTAGGAATCCTTGATCGCGACGTTTGAACTTCCTTTGATCGAAGATTTGTACGGCGATGACTGAGGAGTCCTGAACCGTGCTAATGATAATGAATGAGACGACAGAAGGCCAAAGAACGAATCGCATGCCACATACATATCGAAGCTCTCGTTCCAGTAAGGGTTGAGTGTTTTCTTGATGACACTGGTCGTGTGAGTTTGTTCAGCATCGACAGTGATCACTGCAAACGGATCTGGAAGGCGGAAAACATCGCGCTTTGAAAGACCGTCCGCGGCCACAACTAAAGAACGCCGTTGAGACTCTGTTGTCCAGTGACTACCCCCACGATGGATGGGAATACAATGCAGCAATTAAGTGCAACTTCGTCTCACCAGTAACTCTAATTTTCTTCTTCCTGCGCATATAATAAGTCTCCAAGTTCCACAAAACTACGAGAAGACGTACAATGCTGGGCCCGGCGCTACTGACATGACGAAACGGTCGATACTCTCGATGAGCAGTCGGTATGGTGGGGGACTCGACCTTCAACTAAGCTGGAAATGAGGCAGAAGCACTCAGAAATGGTGGAGTTCGTTAGGGTAAATGAGGGAGTTCGTAGAAGAGATGAGGAGGCTGAGTAACGGTATCCGCAGAGGTCACGTTTGTCACATTCGTATGTCACGTTCATGCTGACTACTGTCGTGCAGCGAGCCGGATACCACTGATGCTGATATTCCGGTGCTCAATACTTGTAGTGGCGCAATACAATAAATTTGAATTTACAGATGGCCTGAAGCGGCTGTTCCTGCGTCGACAGTCGAGAAGGCTCAATAAGTGGATAGGGGGGAGGGAGGCGCGCCACATGTATGAACCGGCAGGGCGGCAAAGCGCGCACTGTTTGCTAAAGCTAGTGAAGGCTGTAACTTGGCTGTAACGCTTATCCCTCATGTCCTCGCCAGAAATGCCCATGAATGCAGTGATTACTTCTCGTTGCATCGTCCAGCGAAGGGAATTGCTGAATCCGATGCCTTAGGCACATCAACATGCTGCGAATGCCGACGACCATCTAGCACAAGGCTATCTTATCCCCGCTGCGGAGGAACACTACAAGGCCGCTGAGGGATACATGGCTGCTGCCGAGCAAAGCAATGATGAATCAGTTCAGCGTCGACATACTTCAGTCACGTCGGTGAAACTAAATTAGGTGTATCATAGGCGAAACGAACTCTGAGGATGCTATATAACAAACACAACAAGGCTGGGAAGGACCTTCAGAGAAAAATTGCGAAGTTGAGAGAAGAGGGCAAGGATCCATCCCAGCGCCAGAAGCCAGAACCACAGCAAGCTACGCCCGCGGTCAACCCTGCTCAGTTACCTCGACAAATACCATCTCCCCCTCCGGTCCGTCCACACGATCTGCAGAATACGGTGGATGAGTCGTTTATGCTCCTAGGCGGCCAAAGGGTATGTCTACCGAGATTTATCTCAATTTAGCCGTTGCACACACCTTTTTAGTCAGACCCAGGGGATGCTTTCAATCAATTTTGGCACATCATGCAAGGCATGCTGGATAACCTTTCACAGCCTGTAGCCTTTGCCACCGCAATAGGCCTGGAGAATGACGATTCCCCTCACAACTCTGCCTCCTCATCTAGGAAGCCCAGAGACGGTAGTTTGAGTAGTGATACGGATGGGGACGAACCATTGGTCTCGAGGTTCAAGCGACGGATAGGCATGACCAAGAGTCGCACAACGTATCCCCCATCTCTCACGGGATCCTCTGGCTTAGCTCGAGCCGCAACACTAGAAGACGAATTCGACGACGACATGCTGGACGTCGGTAAATTGCCCTGATTAAATTATATGAACTTGTCTTAATTGAATAATAGGTGATGAGCTCTCCGAGTCGTTTTGCCTCGTCCCCTCGGGTTCTGAGCCGTCATTGGCGGCACAAAAGAGAGAAAACGCAGCCCTAAAGGCAGAGATTGAAGCACTGCAGTCTCGCTTGGAAGCTACCGAGCGAGTCATACAATTGCGTAAGGATCAAGATCTACACCTGCGAGAGAGCATCGTTATGGCCCGTAGAGAAGTGAGTGATTGCGATTGGCGATGCCGAGGAGCTGTTATGAACCTCTTGATTGCGCAGGCTCAGCGGGCTATGGGAGCCTCGACAATGGCGGGACAACGACCGCCCGTCGACCTCAGTTCACTCAACCTCAATGTCCCACCAATACCAATACCTGGCTTAACCCCGGGCCGAGAAGCCCAGTACACTCGCCGTATCAAAGAGCTCGAAGACGAAGTGCGGGGATTAAGGGCGGACAACGAGAAACAAGTCTGTTCCCACATTTTTGCAAATACAGCTCATGGTTTGCTAATAGCAGCTTCTGCTTCTAATCTCGAACTTCACAGAAAGCTATGATTGCCAAATTCCGCGAGCGGTGGGAGAAGCTCAAGGAATCCGCCAAGCGGAAGAAGGAAGCGAAAGCAGGAAGTACGCCCATACGCGAGCGAATTGTCGAAGAACCGGAAGCAGAGCAAGAACTCGATGGCGTGTAAGCCTTAAGGTGATGCCATATGTATCAACATGTTTTCCAACCGCTTGTTTTCCTCGAATGACAAGGTGGCCGGCCTTCCACCCATGTACCCATGTATGAGTGCAGGTTGCTACCAAGCGTCATTGTCTTCATCGGTATAGTGGTCGCATGGTGCAATCATGGGTCTCTGTAGAGCTTCGATGCGACGCAATCTCTTGGTATTGGTGTCCGAAGACAACAACACGGACTGGCAAATGGCGTTTGGAAAATCGGTCACAAACGTCTTATATTGAGACTGTGTTCTCTAGTGTTTGATACTATACAATACTCATATATCCATATATTCTTCTTCGTCGATTTCTCCCTCCCCAACGGTGAGTTGGAGGCGTGATATTATTCGCTCGATCATTAATCCCTTTTCTCCATGTAGGGCAGACAAGCCTCGTAGACCTCTTTGAAACCAGGATACTTGATGCATCTCTGGAACACCGCCTCATCTATCTCTCTGGCTGTCTGGAGGGACCCAGTAATAAAGAAGTCGGTGTAGCCCGGCGACGCGCCCAGCACGAACGGTCCTTCCGCCTTGTTCGTGAGCATCAACTCGCCCAAGGCCCGCATAGCGTCCGCTACCGCCTCCCAGGCTTGTTCCTCCTTCTCCGGGACGAGCAGGTCCTCGAGCGGATGGCCAAGCGAGGCCTCGCGTGTACGCCGGAAGTACTCCTGCGAGCGAGGCGACAGGATGTTGATTTCACGCGGCATGAGTGAAGTACGGAAGGCAGGGCTAAGCGCGCAGCGGGCTTTTGCCACGATTTCGCTTCCCAGCTCTGAGGTTAGAGGTACCGGCGGGTCGGGGTAGGTCGCCTCGATGAACTGCGCGATGCGTAGCGAGTCCATTATGTATGTATTAGTCCGTACGTGATGGATGGTGGGGACCGTATATTTGTGCTTCGACGTACAGTCATGGGATAGCAAGCCACTGGAGGAATTCGATTCAGACGACTTCTCTACGCGACAGAACATTATAGAGAACTCACAGTCCCTTCAAAGTAGGTTCAATGTCTGGGAACTCGAGAAAGGTGGTCTTGTATGGAACTTGCTTATAGTTGAGCATGAGGCGGATAATCCATACTACAGGCGAGAAGCAGATGTTCTTGGTGCAAGCTAGGTCGTACAAGACGATCTCAGGCTCGCGTTCGTTGGCCATATTGGACTATGCTTTGATGAGGGTTCCGCTTGATGTTCAGGGAAGGAGTTAGTACAACCTACTTATTGTATCACAAGAATGACTCACTGCTCATCGTGACTCAGCCCTCTATAAATATAACGACTGCGGGCTCGTTGCTGAGAGCGCCCCATCGTCGCGATCCGTTATGTATACCGTAATACTTAGTTTCTAGCTTCATTTCAAGGCGGCGAGACGGTTCATCCCTCTCGCTTGAGTAAAACTTTTTAGAGTGTCTGTGTGCAGCGGCACCGGTCAGAACGTCTACACGAAAGACTGGATTAACTTTGCAGTACATTGCGCAAGAACGGTCACTGTTGGACGTTGAGAAATTGCCTTTTTCAGATAGCTTCCTTTTATGTCTACAAGTATACTATGCAGTGCCGCGCACAGGAACGCCTGGGCACGCCCCGAATGGGTGTCGCCTGAGGCCGGCTCTACAAATTCACTGGGTGCAGGATCAGATATTATCTGCGGTATCATTTTGATTGCTATCTGAAGAATATCTCAGTTAAGCATGTCATACCCAGTTATCTCGAGTGTGACCAATATGTAATGAGTATGAGATAGCAACGGCAGTATTATCCTCAACTGACTTAAACCTCTCATTGTGAGTAAATATTTATCACATATTACACGACTCTATATTGAATGATTATTGCACAATTACTCCACATATTGGATATGTAATGTTAGCAACAATATGTTATCCTGCACGCTGTGAAATACCGTGGCCAAACCACAGGCCTGTGGTACTCGACGAAGGGACATTCCACGCAGGAGAGCTTTTGGCGCTCAGACTAATTCGCATTACCTGCCGGATTGCTGACCCTCGGCCATCTTCACTTCTGTTAGATTTGGGCAATCTAGGCGGTACGGGGGTTTAGTGACACGTGACTACGTAGATTGTTTCTGCATGCTGTGTATCTTTTTCCTCATGTGTTTGCTGGAGTCCCACTGGTCAAACGCAATACACCTATTCGATTACTTGAATATCGCGCGACCCTCAGCAGCTTATTTTAATTTAACAACTTCTTCAAAACATCACCGTGTGGCGGTATCATACGACCTAGTCGTGCAGTATGCAGCAGGAAGTACCGTCTTCGGAAAGAGACCTCTTCGGAGGAGCGATCAAGGCGAAATTGCCAACAACGCTCATCGATGCCTCGTACGAGCAAGTATCCCTCACTCGCCGTCTACGTCCTGAAATGCTCGCAGAGATCTGCGTCAGATTCCAGACACGCAGGAAGTTTTCCTATATCCACAATCGGGTATCAGTGTTATAGTGGAGATCCTGGAGCGGGTCGAGGCCACAGATAATACTGATGCCGTGAGGTCAGTTATTGAAACATCCGCGTTCGACGTGTGCGTTAACGTCGCCTCTAGATTTCACTTTGACTCGCTCGCCCACGATAACTCCGCAGAGAGCAGCCAGAGTGACAGCATCGTTATCATTCCTAACGACCGGGGAGACAACACCCCCTCGGCCATCGTACTCACTGGTTCCCAGAAGGTGCCGAAGTTCAATCAATCAGCAGCCGACGATGTTCGCATTCTCATGAGTCTATTCCGCGTGGAGACCAAAAACGCAGACTTGGTTGTCACCTTCAATGTGCCTGTATCTTCTCAGGATGGAGGAGCGGTGGGAGAAGAAGGATGGAGGGCAGCGAAATCTGACTTCGAGAACATGATTCGATCGTTTCGTATCGTAGACTATGGCTTGTTCGCATAATTATGGACACGCCGCAAGAAGACATTGGGGGCAGGGAATTTGGATCCTACAAAAACGTCCCCCGTGGCCTCTCTGGCTAGATCCAGTGTATTTCTCTCATGTTATCAGGCAGATTCCACCAGACTGATAGCACTCTCCACTAGGGTTTGCAGCACACTCATGTAGGGTACGACCCTTTGCCCACTGAATGTATATTCATCATGATGGGTGCAATCTTAGAGAAAGAGTTGGTGATCGCCATACGCGTATGGCCGAATCTATATTTCGACTGGAGCCTCGTTTAGTTGTTGTTCGTGAGGAATGAATGCGGCATGGCGCAATTCGTAGTTGCGCTCGCCTCGCGCTGTCAGGTACCATTCCCCATGTTTCCAGCAAACTCACATCCTGGCCCATATGGTGAGCGAAGAGTGTGCACAGTCGGCGGTGTCATCTGCCAACCAATGTATGATGCATTCCATGCTGTCCAAGGAAATCTCCCGAATGACTTTCTTTATACGTGCTGGCAGTTTCAATTCCAGCCATTTTCCCGCTGCTGATATGTGGATCACCTATTGCACTACTTTGTAAGTGCTCCGGATACTCGTATCTCGCCTTGCCCTCGCACGAAGGAATTACTTATCAGCGAAGACCAGGCCGCGTCTTGTGCTACTTAACTGATCTAGTCTGAAGGCAACTTGAAGGACACACATGGGGTGGAAGAAAGGCCGATCGACTAATTGTATTATGAATTCAGATAGAGCAAGCGTTTGGATAACGTATCCCCACATACGCCATCACATTCTTGCGCCAGATTCTTCGACGAATGATTCTGGGATAACCTTACCCCTAATTGCCCAAGATAGACGCGACCTGTCACATCACGTGCTGTTGTTTAGTGGCACGATTGGTAGTCACCGACATTCTTTCGTTATACCACTATGTTGAAGCCACCATCCTCAGCCAGGAGATCGACGATAAATTATGGAAGGACGCCACTGCACAAGTCAGTATCTTTGTCTGATCTCGTGTTGGCACTCCGAGAGGGTTGATTCGACGCGTTTATCGTGAAGCCACAGCACTGACTTATCCTCTGTCTTTGCATTACAGTAGCACCCTCCGGGGATCAGCATGGGGTGGGGGGTCTCAACAGCCCGCACGGACTCCATTGCACAGGTTTGTGTTTCTCGCCCTCCGCAGGCCATGTCCAGAACACGGCGATGCGCCCTTAAGACGGCATAATCTCATACGCGATCCGAATTACAGTAGCACAAGAAGAACATCAATATGGGCGGGTGGCTCACAACAGTCCGCTCCTAGCGGTAACCAGACGTCAAAGGACCCTCGGCCACTCCGTGACCGACAATACCAATCGAAAATGAGACAAGACATTCTGAGTTATCTTCAAGGCGATGATTTCGACATCTCAATGGGAACCCTTACCAACATACAGGGGAAGGACTATCGGGCAATATTCACATACCTCTTGCTGACTCTGGACCCATGCCATCCGTTGAACGAGAATGCGAGATTCGAGGAGCAATTCGTTCCAGCCCTTAAATCATTAAAGTACCCTTACGCTCACCAAATTGACAATAAGTGGCTGGCGGCCCCTGCCAGCATGCATTCATGGCCATCACTCCTCGGTGTTCTCCACTGGCTGGTGGAAGTATGTAAGGTAAGGTTGATCGCTCTACCGTTGTCACCGGGTACATGATCTTATTTTAGGCTCGGGATGAATATCTTTCCAGTGGTCATCCGACGCTCCAATTTGCTGCCGATGTGCCAGAGGAGTTCGACCAGCCCTGTGATCACCTCACTTTAGCATTCGAGTATTATACACATTCATACCTTGTTTGGTTGGATGGATCAGATGAATTTCCGGAAGCTAAGCAGGCGTTAGAGGATCGGTTCGGTGGGTCTTGTTATCCTCTCTAAACCATCGAGCGGATGTTTTACACTCTGAAACTAGCTAAGAAGAATGAAAGGGTTCAACGTGACCTAGAGGAGCAGACGAATCAATTGAACGAACTTAAGATGGAACTTCATCGATTGGAATCTTCAGCTGTACGCCCTTCGCCTCCCTATGCAGCACGCCGGCCTCACTTCGCATCTTAGGCCCCCGTAGCAAAGCTACAGAATGAGAATGAACTACTCCGTGGGGACAGCGAGAAATTCCAAAAGATCCTTCATCAGTATGAAGGTCGCAAGAAGAAGTTGGTTGACACGATTGCTTCCGAGAAGGCGGAGCTAGCCTTACGAGGTTTATCTAATGTTCACTGCGCGTTTGATTCCATTCTGACTGCTTATACTTTTAAGACGCACACCTCCAGCAACTTGCTTCAGACCAGACGAGGCTTGCAGAGATAGTGAAGACCCAGAATCTCAGTCCGGAGGAAGTTATTCGGATGAACACTGAGCACGAGACACTCTCCCGAAATTTGGAAGACCTCAAGCAGAAGATTGAAGAAACGCGCCGAACAGTGATGAGCCTGGAGGTCAATGTCACTAATCGAGCAGCGGCCGCCGAAGAAGCTCTTGATTCATACACTAATCTACTTTCTAAGCTAGAACTGTTTCCCCCACTCCCAGTCCCATTGCACGACATCGACCTGACATTGGAAATCAATACCGGTGCTTCCAATCACCTGCAACTTTTGAACGGAGCCGACATACGAAAAGTGATCAAGCCGACCCTTAGTACGATTGCCGAAATGAAGCGCGGGGAGCGTGCAGAAGTAGAGAGTGAACGAATCAAAGTGGACAACGAGCTCGACCAATTGACGGTCGACTGCGAGAACGTGGATCAAGAAATCGAGGAGCTGGAGAAGAAGGTCGTTGGATTGAATGAACAGGCTGATGATCTACGGGAGGTAAGGATTTACTTGACATGTGGTGGACTCGTATGAGTGGTAACCGTTATCTCGGGTTATAGGCAGCGCAGCAGGAGGCTTTAGTTAGTAATGCGGAGGCGGCCAGACTGGAAAGGGAGCTAGCCCATGCCAGAACAGCGGCTCTAGCCAACGGAATGGGTGTCAAATCACGACTCCAAGCCCTCCAATTCGAGTTAGTATTTCCTTTAATATGCATTTCCTTGATTTGTCACTAATTTTGATACCAGTTACCGGGAACAGATTGAGAAGGTTGCACGGCTGAAGGAAGAAACTGTTCGGGCCATCATGAAGAACAGCAATGATATATGTATGTTCAAGCAAGAGGTGTCGCGTCTACTCGGTGACCTTCGCAAGTTTACCGAAGAGGATTAGACCGAGGACAACCCCAGTATGTGCGACCGCTGGATGGTATATCTAATTTATTTCTTGTTAAATTGTGACAGTATGCTCGTGACATCAGTGTGACCCGGATTTATGATATTTGACTCGAGGATCGATCATTTACGTGACAGGTCAATATCCTTCGGCCAAGTTCTCAAGGCTGTATCTGGCTCTATCGCCATGATGCCACAGGATGCCAGTGTGCCTTTCGACCCATCCACGGTATGTGATCAGTATCCCAGGCTATTTTTATCACCTAGAATCCGAAACTATGGGCGTACAACCCAAGAACCTGTCAGAGATTGTACAGGATATCCGAACCTGCTGCGAACATAGGCCCAGCGCAATGGTGTACTCGTCGCTCCGTATCTCCCTTTGCACAATATCTTCGTCGATCCTGAGAGCCTAATTCCTCATTTTCGATATCTTCAAGAATTCCAACGAGGAGTCACCGATTCGCTGCGCTAATGGGGCATCCGTGCCTTCCCAGAAATGGGAAGCACTTAGATCTGGTATCGGGCTTTACGTTCACAATCCTACTGCGACCTCTGAACAGACGCGCATTTAGTCTGTACAAGGGCCGTAATAGACTGCATCTGTGGTGTTATGGTGAAACATTGTTTACACGGAAGACGGGCGTCGAACGCCGGGAAACCGGCGTTGCACCAACCGAACATGTCGGTTACCACTCCTGCGATTTTATCCACTCTGCCACAGTATCGGACGCTGAATATCCTTATGCGTTCCTTTATCGTGGGTGATCCAACAGAGTCAACTTTTCTCAGCACATATCGGGCGCAAAGCAGGGGTCCCACAGGAATGGATAAGAAGGGCACTTGGCGGTCCTAATGTCTGCACCCCACTCTGACCTACCAAGGCCTTGTGCTCTCAACGTCTGTCATGTCTTCTCCAGCCAAAGAGAACGTCCCGGCATACGGTGATGTAGAAAAGGGGACGCTTGAGGTTATCCCGACTTCCAAAGCGACGCCCGACTTCCCTGTCGACGAGAAGAAGGACCTCACAGTCGTAGCAGTCAATCCCGCCGATCATTTACCATCACTAAAGAAAGAGTCGCAACCGTCTACGAAGCCCACGCCGAAGCCCAAGAAGCAGGTGTCTAATTGGATCAAGTTCAAGATTTGGTTCAACACATATCGGTACGGGGTGGGCGCGTCTTTGCGATACCGTCGCACTGATCAACACTACACTGTTTCATAGTAAATTCTTCTGCTTGACTTTCGGATTGAACATGATTGGGCTTGGTCTCGCCGCATCCGGTCACTTTCCGTATGCGGTTAAATACTCTGGCGCCATGGTTGTCGGGAACTTCAACTTCGCCATCCTTATGCGCAACGAAATTTTCGGTCGTATCCTTTATTGGTTTGTGAACACTTTCTTTGCCAAGGTTAGGGTCCCTCTTTACTTCTTGGTACGGACCATCTGACATGTGCTTGCACAGTGGACCCCTTTATGGTGGCGCTTGGGATGTACCTCAGTCCTGCAGGTGAGAATCAATCTATGAGCACTCGGAGCGTTATCCTTAACGTCTACAAACCTCCAGCATCTCGGAGGAATCCATAGTGGTTGTGCGTTATCAGGAGTCCTTTGGCTGCTCCTGAAGGTCATCAATAATTTCCGCCACCACGATGTCAATCACGATGCTGTACTGGTCATGGGCGTCGTCACAAACTTGGCCGTCATGATCTCAGCTTTGAGTGCTTTCCCGTGGGTTCGAAACACGCACCACAAGTAAGTCAATCGTCGGTCAGGAACTTCCACCGTTTATCTATAAATACTTCATCGGCAGTGTGTTCGAGCGGCACCATCGCTTCGTAGGATGGATCGGCCTAATGTTCACTTGGGCTTTTGTCATTCTCGGCGACACCTATAACCCAGACACAAGGACCTGGAACCTCAGCGGCGTGCATCTAGTAAGACAACAAGATTGTAAGAAAAATGTTTTTGGGACGTAAGATCACTTTCTGACGACCCTTTTCAGTCTGGTTTACTTGTGGTATGACTGTCTTGTACGTTCTAGCCTTTGATCTTGTCTCGATTAGACTGAGCGCCTCCCATTTGCAGCATCGCCCTCCCCTGGATATGTGTCCGTGAGGTACCCGTGGATATTGAGTTGGTGAGTGTCTCCTACTCCACCGGCCAGACAAATCAAATTAACGGCGTCGGTTTCAGCCATCACCAAAGGTCGCAATCGTGCGTTTCAGAAGGGGAATGCAGCAAGGACTTCTGGGGCGCATCAGCCGTTCGTCCATCATGGAGTATCACGCCTTTGGTATCATATCGTGAGTTTGCCCTATTCTTACTCTTATTCACATCTCACAGTGAATGTCACTAGTGAAGGAACTCATGCGAAATATCATTATATGATTTGTGGCGTACAAGGTGAGCATCCCTCCCGCAGTGACGTCGCTTAGCTCAATTCGTTTCAGGCGACTTCACGCGCAGTTTGGTGAATGATCCGCCAAAGACGCTATGGACACGAGAGCTAAAGGTGATTTCTCACCGCTCGACCTTTGTCTTTCATCGTGCTTAATTTTTCCCGCGCCGTAGTTTGCGGGTGTCTCGAACACGTCTACTCTTTACCGCCGAGGAATACGTATCTGCACAGGAACAGGGCTCGGCGCCGCACTTTCTACATGTCTACAATCCCCATACTGGTATGTTCTGTCGTATACTGGATCTAGCCGACAGATAAGCTGACGGTCGGAACAGGTACCTCATCTGGATAGGTATTTACAACGTTTCCGCACTTGGAATTTTCCTGATTGCAACATCAACACAGGTTCTGATCAAGAGAAAACTTTCGGTCCAACGATCAGTAGTCTCATTCACCGACACATTGGTCCTGAGCGGTTGCTCCTATGGGACAGTAAGAAGCGTGGCGGCCGCCCAGATACCATGAAGATTCTCAAGGAGGTATATCATTACTGGAACGCGGAGGGTACGGCTCGTATTTTTAGCTTCAATGATCTTCTGGCTAAACATTCATCTACAGTCGTCTTCATCACATCCAATTACATTGGAAACTCAGAGATCATGGAGGGCTGCAAAGAAGCTGGTATACCCGCTTTCGGTACCCTGTGGGACTTTGTGCGTACTTTTTATCCTGCGGCTTGGTATAGGCTAACATCGAGGGACAGTAATTCCGATCAATACTCAATTATTCATTCGGAATGTTTAACCGTGTATCCACGATGTACTGGGAGGGAAGCGGCGCAGTTAGAACACGGCCTTCATCACGCGCACACAGACACACTTATATATATCTCTAATTCAGCCGGGGGAATACGACACAATGTAATTCTCGTGCATCGGAACATATAGACTGCATTTTTTGTTTATCACATCCTTGTATATAACATTATTCTCATAGCTCGGGGTATAAGTAGTATGATCTATAGATTGATTGCTTATCGCCCGGGGAAGCAAATAGGCAAATAGGAGCCCGGAGGAGCCGGGGCATTTCGTGAGAGGGGACAACATATCGTGTAATGCTATTCTCCTACATGGAGTATGTATGTAGACAGACACTGGGATGACGACGTCCATTCCGCCATTCTGCACCAAATTTACAACATGAAAAGATACGACGTAGGCACATGTCTTGCCACATCATTGCGGCTGGCCGAGGAGCATAAGCACTCGGCTTGAACTACATCAGATTTGGGGCATCACGATTGACCAGACAAGTTGAGTCGAGGTAAGATGCCATCATCCCGACGCAGTACAATTATCTATACAGATCAAGAATCTGGCCCGAATGCCCCATCCATACCCATCGGCGGTGGGGATGTACTGGCGTGTTTGGCTGTAACCGGATACCTTTTCTCGCGAGCTCGGTGACAATCCTGGCTACATTGCGCGCGTCCTAAAGGAGCATGATTCGTTATCCGGATTGTCCAATGTTTTGGGTTGCCAATGAGCTGGGTCACCCCTCACAAGGAGATACTTACATGCATTCCACAATGTTGGCGTCCTTCAAACGGGGGTAGCCCGAGGGCCTCGAGTTGAAGCGTTATATTTAGTGGACGTTTCACGCCGAAATGAGCCTGGAATTTCTTGCGAGGTGAGGTAGGGTACGGTTATTGGTCTACAAAACGGCATACCTTGGTAGCGGGGGTTATGGGTTTCTTGCCAGCCTGGGAAGCCAACCAATGCACCACAGTTGACCGGACATCCATCACGTCTGTTCTCATCCATTGTGGCATTTCCACCTACGCGGCCCCGCGTCACGAAGCAGGCACAAGCATGCAAAGATGTGAAAGGTAGATACCTTGGATATGAAGCACTGCTTCACAAAGAAGTCTCGGATATCGTGGGGGCCGTCGGTACACCAGCAGAAGCGCATCAACGGCTCCTCGGTCTCTGAATCAATCAACTCATGTTTCACTAAGAATTGCCGCAGGGAGGCAAGCGCAACGGGGAAATCTGGTGCGGCATCAACAATATCCTATAGGCCGTGAATTGACGGGGGAATTATTAGGGGTGCAAATGTACCGACTTGAGTAATGCCTGTGAGCTGCGTACAAAACTCAGATAAAGTTGGTCGCCATGTTGGTTTCACGAAGCTATGGAATTCGTCCACTACTTCCAATTGGCTAGCCTTGCCGTCTATCTTATCTGTCCAGCGCACGAGGGTAACGGGGAGTTCCTTGAGGGAATGTCAACGGCTGTGGATCTCAAATGACGGAAGTGGAAGCTCACGATGATTTCATTCGGATAATCAAAGCTGCTGCCTTGCTGACAAGTGGCCTCAACGTCAAGCACGAGGAATGCGTCGAAGGGTTGTGCCGATTTATACGTTTCTGGTACCATTGCAGGTGCCGAGGGGGTGGCTTTCTGCCTCCGGCCACGACCCCGCCCTCGTGTACGCTTTTTCTTCTTTCCTTTGGCGAGTGGAGGGTCCTCGGTCTGCACCACTAGTGTCTCCTCAAACGGAGGTAAAGCCTGGGGGAGGTCCCCCCGTGCTGAAGGGCCTTTAGTCCAGCGTTTAGTCGTATCCCATCGCTTGCGAATTGTGCGAAAAACCGTTATCATTGTAGCCGTTATCTGGTGACTTGATTTTGAGCCATTTGACCGCCTGAACGCGAAGAAAAGGAGGCAAAGAGCCAGGAGCAAGATCAGAGCGTGTACCAGTGAGACGCCTTGTACCTGTCCCCTCCAGGCGGTCTTGAGAGAGTGAACACAAGATACATGCGACCGGGTCGCACGACGCATGGTCTTAAATAGATCGTCGCATGAACGAGAAAAGCTAGACGCCCATGTATGCTTATTTAGCGATATGGGCGCTTGATCACTAAATTTGTTCGTACCAGTCGTCTAACTTGAAGTCAAAACTTCCACTCATGAAGCAAGGAGGGGATGATCTGGAGGATGACTTCGTCTTTGACGATACCGCTGCGTTATCTGCCGATGAAGACCAAGACGGCGACGTAGTGGACATTGCTATTGTATCTCAAGATGTGGATGAAGAGGAGGGCCATGGTGTTGACGCCGTCGAAAATATTGAACGAGATGAGGCAAAGGAAGAGAGGAAGAGAAAACGTAAAGAGAAGGTGAAGGAGAAGAAACTCAAGGTGCGTCTACCAAGGCCGTTATCCACGATCCCGTACTCAACACCTGCCACAACCAGCGGCGCAAGCTTGTAGCCACTGATTCGGAAGGTGCAGAGACTCGGTCTGTGACATGCAGTAGCCCTGAAGAACTGGCGCAAAATCTTGCAGACATGCAAGCTAAATCATTTTCCAAGATGACCTCCATAGAACTGGATGATATGCGAATACCAGGTATATCCATTTGTCTGCTTCGACTAGAGATATTCACGAATTAACGTCTAGACAGCTTCAGCTGTGAGCGACACCAGGTCTTGGACTGGCCCTAGGTCCCTCGACAACCTGGTGGACTTCATATGCCAAGGTATTTCACCATGTCTTTATCCAGCCTCCCACCCATGTCTCAAGTACAATCATTGCAGCCTTGCCTACCCTCCACACTCGACTCGGACAGAAATCGAAATCCAACGGGTCGCCGACGTTGATATTCGTTGCTGGCGCAGCCCTCCGGGTAGCAGACGTTACTCGGGTGCTCAAGGACAAGAAGCTGCGCGGAGAGAAGGGCGGCGAGGTGGCCAAACTCTTCGCGAAACATTTTAAACTCTCGGAGCATGTCACCTACCTCCAACGAACAAAAATAGGCAGTGCAGTGGGAACCCCAGGCCGACTCGGGCAGCTCCTGGAAAACGGTTAGTGGACTTGACCTTTGAAAGCGCGGCTAATGTTCAAAGACACATTGCAGAAAATGCTCTGGCGACCTCGCAACTCACTCACATAATGCTTGATATTACATACCACGACGCCAAGAAGCGTTCCTTATTAGACATACCCGAGACTCGAGATCAGGTCTTCAAGCAGGTCTTGGGAGAACCAAAAGTATTGAAGGCGATCAAGGAGGGGAAAGTGCAGGTTGTCTTATTTTGACGTAGTCCTTCTGATGCGTATGATAATATTATATGGTTGACTGATATGGCCAAGAAAGAAGTGAAGTTAGAAGCCTTTCGGGTTGGTCCTCAGAGTCAGCTAACAGAGCGTGCATGTAAGTAACTGTATCTAGTTGTTCGACGATGATGGGACTCACCCTTGTCCATTTTGGAACCTTATGAATGCCCTTCCTGTACCCTCGTGCGTGTGGTGTGAACACCGTATATTTATCCCGAGCTGGCATTTCGTGTTCTTTCGGTAGCTGCAACGCTTGGGTCTGGAAGGCGCGTGAGGCGTTGCGGGATAGAAACGAGCTAGAATACGTACCAGAGAGCCGCACTGCACTCCACTCGCTCTGACCGCCTCGATGACTGCGTCTACTTTTTTGAGCCGTGCGCGGGCATTGGCTTTTCTAGTGGGTGAGAGCTTCCAAGGGACTTTCCTGCGACAGTGCGTTAGATACGGCACATTGAATCGGTCCCTCCGCTCACCAAAGAAGACCTCCTAGGTTGACATGCGACGGTCGAAAGGCCCCAAACATGAAGAAGTGGAAGAATACGCGACCTCGAGAGTGAATTGGCGCCTGTCCAATAAGGGTTGCCAAACAAAGTCAAATCCGCCGCCTTGGCAAAGGACGCCTCTACAACCATTTCTCCATCAACCACCACCGCCGACACGCAGAACAATGGCCACGGTCGACGTCGAGATGTCTCCGGCCATGAATGGGCACGTTAACGGAAACGGGGACGTGAACGGCAAAGAAGCCTCAGTTCGATTCACGAGCGGTCTAATCCTCCCGCCTCCAGAGATAAAATGTAAGCTATGCTAAGGATTTGTACTGGGAGCCGTTATCCTAACCTAGAAATATAGCGGTGATCGACCGCACCGCGCAATTTGTGGCGCGCTCAGCAAACCCCCCTCAGTTCGAGGACAAAATTCGAGAGGGTCAACGCTCAGATCCAAAATTCTCGTTCCTCAACCCAGCAGACCCGTACCATGCGTACTACAGACACAGAATGGAGAAGGTTATACGAGGGGAGACGTTGGACGACGCACCTCAGGAGAAACCGGATGATAATAGTGCTGCAACGGAGCGCCCTGAGCCAATAGACAATGGCGTTGAACCTCCCCCAGCATACTTCATAATGGACCTGCCAAACATCAGCGCGATTGACTTGTGAGTTACCAGTCCATTTAACATTTGTATTTGCTTTACTGACCGATTACCCAAGGGACGTCATGAAACTGACTGCGTTGTTCACTGCTCGGCGAGGTAGAAATTTCCTTGCTTCTCTTTCTGCTCGGGAGGGCAGGAATTATCAATTCGATTTCCTTCGTCCCACCCACTCATTGTTTGGCTACTTCAATCGGTTGGTGGAGCAATACACAAAGGTTCTCTACCCTGACAAGGAGATGTTGGAACAGTTGCGCGAACGTTCCGTAGAAGGCGCGCGCTGGAAAATGCTTGAAGTCGCCCAGCGGCATGCTAAATGGGAGCGCAATAAGAGGGAGCAGGATAAGAAGCGGCAGGATGATCAAGAAGCGGAGAGGAGTGAGTCTGAACTCTTTATTTGTAACAGTGATCCTAACTCCTTGTAGTTGCCTTCGCTGAGATCGACTGGCACGACTACGCCATCGTTCAAACCATCGAGTTCACGATGGCGGACGCCAACGCTGAGCTACCACCACCAATGAGCGTACAGGAGGTGGAGAATATGACTATGGCACAGAAGAGGATGGCGGCCATGATCATGGAGAGCACGGCTGAAGAGGTTGAGGCACATCGTGCTCGTCAAGCGGCGGCGGAAGCAGAAGCGGCTGCAGCTGTTGGAGGGGCGGGTGTCGGAGCGCAGGACGATGCAGCTATGGAGGAAAGCGATGATGAGGAGACCGATGAGCAGAAGGCGAAGAAGAAGCGCGAGGACGAAGAGAGGGCTCGGGAAATCGAACGTGCTAAGGGTATCAACCCAGCTGCCCCCATGAAGATTCGGACGGACTACGTACCCAAGCGTGAGTTCTGCCTCACTCTCCTGTTCAAATCAATCTGACACTGTCGTTCAAAGTGGGCGCCAAGAACAACAAAGCTGCTGTCACTACTTGTACTCTTTGTGGTCAAGAAATTCCTGTAGACGAGTATCAGGAGCACGTACGTATCGAGTTGCTCGATTCTAGATGGAAGGAGCAGCGTGATGCGCTTGAAGCTCGCAAGGCTCAAGCCTCCGAACTGCAACGTGGAGCCAATGTTGTATCCTCATTGAAGAACCTCGCCCGTACACGTGTGGACATCTTCGGTGCCGAGGCAGACGAAGAAAGACGGAAGAGGGAGGAAGAGGAAGAACGCGAGAGGCGCAAGGAACGAGAGAAGGTGGTCTGGGATGGTCACACTGCGTCGAAAGCAAACACTTTGGACAAATTCTCGACCAACGTCAACTTCGACGAGCAGATTGCAGCTATTCATCGAGCTAAAGGTCTCGGCCCGTAAGTTTTTTGCGTTCGTGTCTCTATTCGCCGTTTCTGACATTGTGATAGGCAAGAAATGAATGCGATCGGTCCTGGGATAGGACCTGCAGCTGTTCCACCGTCATTAAGCGGGCTGCCACCTGCACCTGCTTCACTACCTGCGCCCCCTCAAGCAGCATCAGCCAACAACCCCGCTTACACCGCTGCGACCGTATCATCAGGTCCACAACCTGCGTCACTATTTCCCACACAACCTCCCCCAGTCATGCTTCCTCCTCTGCACTACCAGGGCCTGGATGCGGCGCAGCCATTTGGATATCAACCACCTCCTGTTATGGCTCCTGGCATGAGGATGGGTCCGCCAATGACTGGAATGGTACGGTCCGCGGATGAAATGGAAAGTGGTAATCCAGACGACATACCTCCTGCTAAAAGACAACGTGTTGCCAAATTACCGGGTGGTGCGCTGTATCCTGAAGCAGATTGGATTGCCATGCACCCTGTGAGTGCACGACCAAAGCCTGTGACCCGATCTCATTCACTCAACTCACCTATTTCTCTAGCATCCCATTTCACTCAAGGTGCAGCTACCGAAAGACGACAGCAAGCCCGAATGGAAGATGGACGGCAGCGTGATCACCATTCAAGATCTGCCGTTGAATCTATATGTGTCTACCTTGCGTGACAGAATCCTGCAGAATACCGGCAGTGCGGTGCCTGTATCAAGAATTCGGCTGTCGTATGCTGGGAAGATGTTGACGAACTCTACCACCATTGCTAGCCATAACCTAGAGGATGAGGATCTTTTGGTATTCAGTATCAGGGACGCAAAAAAGAAGTAAACATGTAGTCCGTCGTTTCGACTTCCATCTCTTTGTTAATATTGTAAACGTACTCTACGTACACTTGGCCACTACTGGATCGATTCACGTGGTGGCTCCTACGTCTCCTGAGCAGCCATCTCAAAGCAAACAGACGATTAAATATGTGGGTACAAGGTGTTACATGGCTCCGAAAACTACAGCGAATAATGCAATGCTAAAGTCCCTTACACATTATGATGTCGCTATAATATGCGGCGGCACACCAAGGCGAAGACCAATACGAGTAAAACACAAATGGCTGTGTCGAGGATAAGCGGCGACTTCTGCGAACTGCGCCTCACAGTAGTAGCAGGAGCAGTTGCTGACGATGTTGCGTCCTCGACAGGAGAAGCTCTGGGCGCGTGTGTGATGAACGAAGGAGCGGTAGGTCCTGCAGCACCCGCAGAGCCTGTGGAGCCACCGGACGGTATTAATCCCACTTCGTGGACGATGTTCGGAGTCTCGTCGCTTGATGGAGAAGGATCAGGGCTCGTCTCGAGGACGACTGTCGGAGGAGGTTGATCTGACGGAGATTCGGCAGTCGTGGCGGTCGGTGGGCTTGCCGAACTGCACGATGTCGCGGAATCGCTGGTGGATGGCTTGATAACGGGGTCCGGGAGGAGTTCTAGAGTCGTCTGCTTGCAATGAGGGCAGCACCATTCGCGAGACCTATGAAGGACGATTGAGTGATATATGGGCTTAGACGCGGATGAAGGACTTTACAATGCTGCTAGGCGCTTTCTCTCCGTGGAGGGGTATTCAATGGAGCCAACACCGACTGCAGCCTGTCCTTTGAGGGGGAAGAATCCTTGGAGACCGATGATAGCTATTATCAGGGTTTAGTTTAGATGGGTGATGACGGGGTGATGGAAGTGGGGCAGGAAATCTGACCTGTTCGGACTCCCCATGCAGGTTGCCAGAGTTCTTCGTGGTCTAGGAGACGTTAGCGAAAAGGTACATATTTGCAAGATGCAATGAACTCACAGCTGGTGAAGCTGATGCAGATCTGCAAGGTTATGAGCGTCGCTCACAAAACTAGCCTGGGCACTACTCACCTTGGTGTTGAGCTCAAATCGACCATTAGGTGTAAGCCTATATGTGTTTCCCATCAGCTCGCTTTCATAGTGAGGTACGAATAGAACCGTACATCATGATAGATGGTGGTCGGAAGGGATATTCCGCTGGAAGCAAGATACGAAAGTGATACAAACCGCCCTCAAATTCCGTCCCTGACGGTCCGCGAAGCGTGCAATGCCATTCCTAATATCCAGGAGCTCAGAGCATGCCATTTACGGCTCAAATTAGGATACTCACAAAGATATCATCCTGTCCGGAGCCCCCAGCGCGTCAAAGACATGCACTTCGTAGCTGGTATCGTAACTCACCTCCAAGGGCGCTGCCGAGTAATCCGTGCATGGATCATTAGCGAGCTCCTTTGCCTCCTGCATAATCCGTTTCACGGCTGCGATAAAGGAGCCAAGTCAATGGGCGCAGTAGCCTTGAAGACTGGTATATGAGACCGACCGGAATTGTTCTTGTTCATTGCGACGGGAGCCATGGTAGAGGTCGATGCGAAAGAGGGATGCCAGCTATCCACTCAGAATATACGAGTGCATGACCGCTGACTTGTAGCTAACGTGGAACCGGCGCATGTCGGACTTTCAATTCCCGCCGGCATCCACTTCGGAGTCTCATCGGTACATGTGAAGCAAAATGCAAGTACTATCAAGTACAGTCCAGTACATATGGGCACAGCGTAATAGTTTACAGGAACAAGAGTCGTCGCTCAGACGTTGTACCATTCTGGGCGAACGGATATCCAGGCATCTGGACCAAATCCTCCGGTCATGACAATCCCTTTGCTTTCAGCAATGCTGATGTACTGAGCAAACTTGTTCACTCCCGCCTTCTCGTATGCGTTCTTGTCCGCAGAGATCACTTCACAAGCTACGACAGAGCGAGGTTGCTGCAGCTTTCCCCTTTGCCTTTGTACGTTGAGCACTTTAACCAGGGTTCTAAATGCCTCGGGTAGAACTCTCGAAACCACCAGTGGTGCGGTAGTTGTACGTGATGAAGCCAATGCAGGGCTTGGAACGGCGGGCTTTGGCGTCGACGTGTAAGTAACAGGCGCGGTCGAAGCAGGAAAAGATGGAGATGGGACAGGCGCGGGCGTGGCAGGCGCGGGTGTGGGCGTGGGTTCCAGAACCGGTTGAATGGCAATCGTCTGTTCAACCTGTTTCCCTTTCCCCTTCTCGTCTGGGCTTCCGCCGCCGGAAACGCTATGAGTAACAGACGGCGTGGATAAGATTGAGATACCACTGGCTCCTGTAGACTCTTGGCGAGGCGGCTGTTGCGGAAGAAAAGAGGAAGGTAGTTTAGGGGTGACAGGGACAGCCCTCATAAACGTAGGAGGGGTTCGAGGCGCATTGTACACCACTTCGTCTGGTACATCAGCGAGTCTTGTGACCGCAGGGCCGGTGACCGGAGCGGCGGGGAAAGGCGATATGCTTCTTTGTGGTTGCCGTAGGTCGTTGGCGACGTAAGAATCCGATGACGAGCTGGCGCGCAAGTGCACTGGCTGAGTTGATGGCACAAAGGTACCGTCAATGGAGTCCGACCTAGACAATGTCGAACTTCGCGGACGCGTACCCTTTGGCAACGCAGTACGCACGGGTTCAGGCGAAGGAGTAGGCAATTTGCCCATTAGGGGAGAAGCTGCTCTCCAGAATTCACCTTCCTTGCTGGAACGTGCCGATGCGTTGTTGAGAGGGCCATCCGGTACACTGGCATTGCCAAGGACGTCGGTAGTCCAGTCGTAACAAGCTGATGCTTGCGCAGCCAGCCCGTTAGACACGCCAGATCCCGAGGTTGAGATGACGACAACTTGAAATCTTCTCATGCGCAGAAGGGCGGCGGCGTAGGCGTAGTCTCTGTCACCAGAGATAATTATGATCGTCCGAGGGCCAGGGTGGTCCATGGCATAGATCATCATGTCAACTGTCGTCGAGAATTAGCTATTTCACTTCAAATAGTAGACGAAGTGAGCATACCGATCATCATCTTATCTGCGACATCCTTCTTGCCCATGTGCGGACAGTCTGTCAAAGAAACGCCGGAGGATTGTAATTCAGAGCGCAGTATTTGAGCCCTTAGTTGTTCGGAACATTCTACATATGCCTTGAATATTTTGATGATGCCATACATGAGGGCTAATTCGCGAATTTGGTTTACTAACAGATACCCGGAGGTGCTGGAGGAGGCTGGGCAATTCTCTAAACGAATAGCCGTTAGCTCCTCTTCAAGTTGAGTCTCTGGGACTAACCGTAATCCCAGAAAATTGCTACATCGTCGTAATTGGGGTCTTTGCTTTGCATGGTCGAATGGTGGCGATTGACGAAGAGTTGGAAGGATTATATATATCTCACCTGAAGACTCGCCTACAACTAACCAATCCAGCGCGGAAGCCTCGCCGCACACTTTCCAGGACGTTGTTGAGGATCTGGCATGGTATACACATGCCCCGCGCAGCAATAGACTTCGTGATGTGATCGTCCTCACTGGAAAGAACTCACAATGTTTCCGTAACCGTGCCCAAGCAAGTAGCGATATATCCATAAGATAGCAGCATACGTGCAGTGTCTATTGTATCGTCTTCCCAAGTCTAGCAAGATGGTAATTAATGGTGGGTCTATGCATCTTCTTTTGCATCGGCTGTAAAACGGAGAAGTAGTATCATTTGCACGCGTCTTTCAGCAGGACAGAAACATACTGCTGTCCTCATGCAGCTAAATAGCGTTTCTGCAGCCTCTGCGCACGGTTGTGTTTTTGAATGAAGGTCACCCGTCGCAGCCCAGCAGCCAAGAAGCGTAGCTAGTTGAGGGGCACACAGGTTGTTCGTGGCGTCTGACATGCACCGTTAGGAGTCCGTTCACTTCGCAGACCAGTATCCACTCACTTTTCTTTGGCCTAACCTTGAGTTTCTTAATGTGCATGCCCATTGTGAAGGTGGTGGGTAGTGTTTCAATAACTCGCCTGAAGGAAACTTGAATCGTGACCGGGTTCTTCTGTTTGACGGTGTTTGCATTTCATGCTATCGTATTCCGATCCTCCGACCCAGCATCTCCTCCGCCGCTCCGCGAGGTTCTTGTTCTTGAAGGAATAACTCTTTGGCCTCAAGTCCGTCTCAGATCCTTGAATCTAAAAAGTCGCGTTGCATCGCCTACGAGGCCGCAACACCGCATGAATGATGGTGCGCAGATACATGCCATATCTCCACCCCATGGGAGCTGCGCGCGTTCTCGTAAAGCCTCAATCACTGCATTCAGACTGGCCCAGCTGGAGGACAGCTGCTGGCTCGTGTGATCTCTGGAGCCACTGAGACGGCCTTTGATCCATCGATAACTCCAAACGCTTCACGCAGGAGTCTTTCAACGCCGTTGATCGACGATTTCGTGTACAACATCTCCACCGCCGAAGGGGAGCCTTTCTTTCAAGGAATCGATTGATGCCTGGACAACCACAAGCAGTATGGCAGGCCGTTTTCGGATTGATGTATCACTGCCTCGTGCTCAGCGCTTGACGCCAACGATCCCTTTAAACTCACCCACAACTTCGATGAGCCCACGAAACTCTAAGCTTTGATGTTGGAACGGCAGGACAACCAAGATGTCGCTATTTTCTGGGACTACGGTGAGTCTCTTTGGTAAACTCCCTGTTATTGGAATTCATCAGGCGCCAGAGAATTGCCACGGACCTTCATCCGTATCAGGCTATGATGTTGTTGGGAGCATTCGTAGTATGGCGCACAAGTTCGGAAGCGTCAAGCTCTTCAAAGCATACCTTGAACTTTCGGAACAAGCCATGTCGCCCAGGTTGTTGAGTCTGCGGTCTGAGCTACAATCATCAGGGGTCTCCCTGACCGACTGTCCCCACAATGGCCGTAAGAATGTCGCGGACCAGATGATAATCGGTATGTATAATGCTGGCTTCTGCCCATCGGACGCGTTTGAAACTTACCTTCGTAGTCGATATGTTAACCTATGCCATCGACCGGCCGGCGCCCGCGACAATCGTCCTTATTTCGGGAGATCGAGACTTCGCGTATGCAGCCTCGGTTCTACGTCTGCGTCGTTACAGTGTCGTAGTAGTATCCCTCAACACTCGTGGAGTGCACCCAAGCTTAACGGCCCAAGCAAACGCTTGTCTTGATTGGAATGCTGACATTATGGGCAAGGTCGATGAACAAGCCCTGGGACAAAGACAGGAAGCGGTAGCCCTTGAAGAGACAGCGAAGCCAGCCCCCAATAGACGGAGCAATACAATCTCAGCTGTAACGGAGGCCTTGCTATCCCCTTCGGTTCAGAGACGAGAGATGAAGAACTTCGGATCCAATCGTCATAAGAAGGACAACAGCACTCAGCAGCGAAATCCGCAGGTCCCATTAAACATCGATAAAGCTACGCAGACTCCTCCCCTCGGTATCCCTGATCCTTTTCAAACCCGAGAATTGTTAGCAGAAGCTTTGCGACCATTTGATACACCGTCTCTGTCCGAGTATCAACTTGAAGACGCCTCAGTAAGGCCACCCTGCTTGCCTATCCCATCTGCCCTCAACGACGTCCCTATCGCAAAAGATGATTCTATTCCTCTGTATTCAACGCCCCCCTTAGATCCCGGCTTTGCACATAAGCGAAGGGAGGTCTCCCGTACGGGCGGGGCAAATGCCTTGCCCATCTCCGACATTCTTCAACCTCCTGCTGGCACTATGGACCAGGGATGCAAAGAAGAGCCGAATTCCCTGGACGAGCCTCCAATCTTGGCATCGACTTCATCAACATTGATAAGCGTTGTTCCCCTTCCTTCCTCCGTAGATAGTGTTCCTACGCAGGCAATAGGCAGCGACATATCAACCTCAACACGGCGAACGCAAGCATCAAAAAACTTGGCCACTGTTTTGCGACCGACGCACGACGTTGTAGCCACTGATGGGATTGGTCCTGGAGCCGGGGATCGGCCAGGTGAACAACCCACGCCGTCCCAGGCCAATGCCTTGCCCGTATCGGACATTCCCCAGGCCCCAGCCTTCGAGACAGGGACGGAAGAGACAAAATCACCGAACAACCCCCCGCCTGCAGTAACTCCCTCTCTACTGCCTTCTTCGACATGCATCCCGCTTCCTTCTTTTGCCCCCCCTTTGTCAACAGATGATACCGCTGCTCCGGAGCGGGTGGAAGCGTTCAAGAAGCTGGTTGTGTATCTCCGACAGCAAAAACAACATCGTGCACCACGCTTCGCCGTGGCATGTGAGCTTGTTTCTGCTGGCGTCATTGTTCAGGCAGGCGCCCTTACCTTCCAAGAGTATCTTTCTTTCGCCGAACAATATGCATTGATTGAACAAGGCGGGTTGTACGCCGAGGCTTGGGTTTCCTTGTGTCCACAGTGGGAAGTTAGTGACGAATACGAAGGTATTCTCTCTCAGCTGTTCGCCCAGTCTTCTTCGGACGAAACTGTACGACCAGAAGATGTCGATGCGGACAACACACCTGCTTCCATTTCGCAATCTGAGTCTCCCTCCCTTGAGTCCTGGTCACCCATCACCTCTGGGAACGGTCAACCAGCCCAAACTCTCCATGACACCCCTCCTGGGCCACAAGAATGTTCTCCGGATACACCTCTCAAGAATGAGACATCGAAATCTACCTCTCATTTATCTGCGCAATCCTCTCCGTTTGTCCCCCCTATCTCGCCTCCTCAGGCTCGTTCGACGACACTTCCTCCTGCCATTACTTCGGATGATGCCGCAGTTCCTCCTCAATTCGCCTTACTGGTGGAAGTTCTTCGCCAATTCAGAGCAGAAGGCGACCTTCATCCTATTCGTTCCAAAGTTGCAGAGGAAGTGAAGAAAAGGAACAAATTGGCTTACCAGGAAGCAGGGGTAACAAGATTCGGCGAATACGCAACCGCAGCCGAACGCAGAGGTATTGTCCATTTGGAGGCCAAGGGTAGAGAGCATCGGATCAGTCTTGCTTCGACGCTACACAATGCACCCGGGTCTTCTGTCCCATCTTCTCATAGCCCCATCCATTTGTCGACATCTCCCCCCGTCATCACGTCGGGCAATGTCGTCGTATATTCCTACTTCATATTGCTCGTGGAGATCTTGCATCAATTCAGAACTGAAGGCGATCCCCAACCTACTCGCTCTAGGGTTGCGGACGAGCTGATGAGAAGAAACAAGTTCATCTACCACCAAGCGGGCGTGGAAAGATTTGGTGAATACGCAGCTTTAGCGCAACGCAGTGGTCTCGTTGAGCTAGGAGTGAGAGGCAGTGAACACTGGATTAGTCTTTCCTCGACGGTCCACATTGCACCTGGCCGTATTCTGGACACCTGGACACCTGTCAGCTCCAGTGTCTCCAGTCCCTCTGTATCCAACATCCTTAACCTTCTCCCGCGTTCCAACGATCCGCAAGTGCCCAGAACGTTACAGGTGGCCGCCCATTTCCTCCCACTGATTAACATCATGGAACAACAGATATCCAAGGGTGTACCTCAACCTCCTTGTTCTTGGGTTTCCGCCCAACTAGATAACTACGACGCCTATCGAGAGGCGGGTGTATCAGGGTTTCAGGACTATATCGCTCTTGCTAAGAGTGCACGTATAATTAGCGTACATGGTGGCACAGGGTATAAAGGTCGACTGAGTTTTGACTCTAGTTGGCTGCATAAATACAGCTGAGAAGCACCGTAATATTCTGATGACCGGGCCTTCGTCTGTGTACATATGTACAGTGCAAATGTGTGTCTATTTTTAGCTATATAACTGTATCCATCTTCACAGAAGCAAGATTCAAGTCCGCGAACAGGGTGCTTCGGTCACCTCTGGTGGCTTCATCGATATCTCATCATCAACGTCAACGCTCGTGAAGTAGAAGACCTACTCTTATTCATCGCAGGAAAGCATGGCTTATCCTATATCAACAACGACTGGTGCAAATCCGTAGAAACGAGAATTCCTGCTGCGCGTATCTTCTACATCTACATCTACAGAGCTGAGCTGACAGTACAGTATCTATCACATTACAAAATTAGTTTCGGCGGCCCACCAGAGCGGGCAAACAGTGATGTTGGGAACTTCTTCGAAAGCGAGAACTTGTCGTGGTCCCGTAATATCTGTCCAAGTTGTTGGTCCATGGTCTCGTAACCGCGTTTCACTTCGCTGAGTCCGTCCGTAAGCTGTCGGCGATATTCTGAGTACTCCTCCTCCAGTCCGACGATGTTGTTAAAGTGGATGACCCTTGGGGAGCGTAAGAACTCGTTTGATAGTTCTATGACAACCTACCGTTCGATTCTCATCTTTTCTAAAGCTACCGCTGCTTCGTGCAATATCATATCACGCCCTTCACGCACCTCCTTTGTAACGCCGTCGAATCTTTCGTATACCCTCTGCACAATCACCTGTATCATCACGCGTTAGAGTAAGTTAGCGGCTTGCGATTTGGATGGCCTAACTTCATGGATTTCTTTCAAAGTCTGTAGTACCCATCAGTAGGATTATCAGGCTTCAGAACACGACGTACTGCCACAATGTCCTCCATGGCGTCCTGGTTAGCTCGGGTGTCATCCCGCATATAGGGCTTATCCCTACGAGACTTGAAGTTGAAGCCTGCTTTCTGTTCAGTAACTAAAGGCTGGGACCAGCTCGATATGACACTACCATTTCGTGTGGGTGCCGGAGAGTGCGAGAATCTCTTGCCCTGCGCGTTGTTATCGTGTTGAAAAAGGAAAGCTGGAGACTTGTCTTGTGGAATGAATTGTGCAGATTTCTGGATACCAGTAGCTTCTTCTGGATAGGAAGAGCGCGTTTGGGCGGGTTGTTGACGCGACCGGGGTATAGCTGACGATATGGTGGTCGGTTTGAAAACTGCATCTTCCATGCCTGATGAATCGTTGTGCTCATAGGTAGTTGTACTGATTTGATTTGGGGCTGCCTCGAAAGTTACCGTTTTAACTTGATTTTGGGGTTCCACTTCAATCCGAGGCGTTTCGGATGGTTGACAGCGCGTATTCTTTAGTGCTGCGTTGGCGTCAGGCTTCGTCGCCTTTGTCCATATTGCGGCAGGATTGACACCTTCGAGATCCCCAGCTCCTTGTTTTGATCTTCCCTTCGTGATATTTCGGACGGCAAGCGCAGGTCGGATTGGGGAGTCGATTGTAAGGTCGATCGTGGGAGGAACATATGTTGTATCGTCGCTAGCTGGAGCATCTTCGGATGTCGACTGGACAGGTACAGAGTATTCGTTGCCTTGCATTGACATAGGACCACTTTCGAAAGCAGCTTCGGATGTCATCGGGGCCTCCAAAGTAAAGTCGTGCTCTGGTGGACCGGTCTCTGGCAGGTTCTTCGGAAGTTCTTTCAAGAAAGACGGTTCTTGCCAAGGGGCCTTCCGAGCTTTGCTTGGTTTTGGAGCGGGGGGCGTGGGGGGCAAAGGCAAAGGCACCTATTCATCGAAAGTTAACGCGAAATAGACAGTGAGCGCGGCTTAGCTTCTTATAAGCGATGAGTTACCTCTTTGTTGTCGCTTGTATCACTGGGTCTTTCATTCTCGTCGTTCACAAGCTTCCGATTCCTCTCTTGTTTAGGATTACCACCCACCTTGGCTGGAACCTGATCATCTTCATCTTGTACCTCGTAGGTCGCAGGATCCGTTTTCTTTTGAATGGCCACCGGCTTCCGCTGGACTTTCTTTACGTCCTTCTTCTTCATTAACGAGACACGCCGCCTACCATTGTGGATCGTTTCCTTGACGGCGGAGTGCGGAACATCATCAAAGTCGACCACGGGATCCGAACTGTCTACAATAGCCGGAGAAGAGATTCTATCCTTGCGATGATACCGCCTCGCTAGTGGTGCGGCTTTCTTTGGTGATTCCAGCATTGCGGCGGTCCTAGCAGAAGGCTTGCGCACCATTGCATCTCCATTAGCATGTTCTAAGTGACGCCTTTTGATCGCGCGACCTGGAGGGGATCCATCTTCGTCGTGATCATCTATCGGCCGTTTCCTAGTGCCTCGTCGGGGGTCGTGCTTTTCGGGAGCGGTCCGGTCGAGATCTTGTTTCACCGGTTGAGCCTCAGTCGCTACCTCGCGGGGCCGTCCCCTCGTCCTCTTTGGTTCCACGACTGCCAGTCCAGTGGGTCCAGCTCCACGAGCAGCACCAGGCTTTTCAGAGAATTCATTAGGACGAGAGGCCTCCACGATTGATAGATCCTCGTTTCGTGGTACACAGATAGATCCAAAGGGGTTTGCGGTGGCCTTGGAGTGGAGCTGTGTCTTAGATCCTTCGCCCAGCGTGTCCGGCCTTCTCGGAGCAATGTCCACGCTTCCAGCGTCAGATTGGACAATCTTGCGCGCCTTGCCTCTCCTCGCTGTTTTGCTTGATTGGGGCAACTGCTTCGTGTTATCGCCTTTCTGTGGCCGAGTGCGGGTGCCTTTGGGTAGAACCTCGACCTCAGATAGCTCGGAAAGCTCGTTGTCAGAAGTCCCGAATACAGACTCATAGAGAGGGCTCTTGGTGATGGGAACTGGACCAGCCATCTTGTTCCTCTTCGGTGTAGTCACCGTTTGGCATATTTGGCGGGGGTCGACAGTAGTTATAGGCGAAGCCAGATCGACGTCATTAGGGCATTCGGGCTCCAGAGCTGAGATAGTATCATTCGGAGGCGCATCCGGAAAATCAGAGGCGAACAAGCTATCACGAGTCTCATCGAAAACTGCGGGAGTGAGTACGACGGTTGAATGGGACGATGTTACTTACTACGACCGATGGTCTCTATTTTCTCCTGTGGGTCGATGTTAAGCGTAGTCCGTGAGGAGGGCTTCGACTCACTTTTGCAGATGGCTCTCGATACGGTTTGCCCAAACTATCGAAATCCAATGAGGTAGACTCGCACAGGGATGACTTGACGGTCACAGTTTTCTCCTTTATTCTCTACATCGAACGCGTCGAAAAAAGAAAAGCAGATGAGCATTGTGCGAAGACCCACCAGATTTCGCGCTTGTACGGTCTTCATAAAGCGTTCTAGATCAGAAGTCTGAACATCAAATCGCAGGAGCAAGGTGCCTGGGTCGGACGGTCTCATAGTAGATACACCAACGATAGGCGGGCTCGTCAAATGAACTGTTACGTGCTGGAATGTTGCATCCTTCGAGGGTACGACATTGAGCATCGAAACATGATTGTAGAGGGTTTGAAATGTTTCATAAGCGTCTCCCTCCAGAAACAGTCAGCTACAACCGCTGCCACGATGAAGGGTCATGTTAAGTTCACCTTATCGACATTCGCAAAAAAGGATCTGGTGTCGAGGTATAGCCTGTCGGTGGCGTTCGGCTGGGAGAAACTGACCCCACATGTAAGTATTTTGGGAACTTGAAATGGTTGTGGGCTGGCAGGGTAGGGGGTCAATGTTACTGTCAAAACAGAGATAAGATGGTACGTACAAGGCGATGTCATTCTTTGCGAGAGTTTCTATGATGCGCGCGGACGTTATTTCCCACTCAGACAGTGGTGATTTCTGGACCATGTCCGTGAGCTCTTTCCCACAAGAAATATGAGTAGGGGAGGCGGTTTCGAAGACACTTTCGATGAATTGTGATCTCTTTGCGGCGGACTTGTAAGGGGGGAGTAGTGTTGCGAAAAGGTTGAGCAACGACTCCAAGGCAAGATAATCTAGAACTCATGTAAGGTATCGACGACAGGCAGTCTTAAATGGACTTGCCTCGCATTCGAAACAACATGTGCCCCAACCGGACTCTTGAACACATTCAGCATATACAGACAAACCAAGCAACAAGTGCCTTCTCACCCTCCCAAGTTCTTATCGTCCCTGAGGTCGCTTTGGTTGCCAGGGTGTGAAGCCGCAGATTCCGAGAGTAGGAGGAAGACCTAATATATGCGTTCAGAAGGTGTCGACGTTTTGATTTATTTATCTCACATACCGTGGATAGTAGATTAGTTGCGGTCTGAGTAGTCTCTTGCTTTGGTGCGGCCTTGGGGAAGAAGGTAGAACATAGGGTAGAGTAGAGTACTTTCGCAATAACACTCTTGTTCTTCTCTGTGAGGTTCCATTCAGTGTCTCAGACGCAGCGAAACGCGATATATGCTGTACCTGTCCTGCGTTCCTCTAGGAAATCCTGAGGTTTGGTAAGTCGGATTCAGCACCTCGAGCGAAGACATGCGCACCAGTACGCCGGAAAGCAGTGAGCGCTGTGCTCCTTGCCATTGCAACGCTCGTGAGTCAGTATGATCCTTTAGGACGGCAATCTTCTTGGAAATGGACAAAAAGGCTTGCAAGCAGAGCTCGAGCGTTATCTCCGGAAAGGCAATATACATCGGGATCAATGGTTCTCGCAGCACTGAGCAAATCATATCAATGATCTGAGATGACGGACTTGACAATTCCTGGGACTAGGTCAGCGGTCCCTACGACCAAACCGACACGATTTGGCTCACCAATAGGTTCAGTCGTGTTTTGACATCCTGCAGCTTCTCTTTTTCTGCTGGTTTGACCTTGTTGGACGATCTGGCCGTCTTGAGCAACTTCTCCAAGATCTTCGATAGTGCTGACATCGTCGCGACCCTGGATCATGGACGTTGGAAGTAGAGACGCGTCGCGCCACCATCGCGTTGAATGTCACGTAGATGTCACATGTGACTCCATATTTAGTTGAAGTCACATTCTCGCCAACTTGATCTCGCGAACTTGAACTTGTACCATATCGGCTCAACATTCAAATAATCTCCCGGCGAATCCCACCCTCCTCCTCCTCCCCAACTATGATGGACTCACGTACGACTAGCGAAATCCTCAAAGGCGTGCATAACTGTGCCGATATTGACTCAATAATTCTTCATGGTGGGCTATAGCCGTCTTCAACAGGCGAAGGTGCTCATTTCGCATGGCAGCATTCTCGATTCATCCTCCAAAACTACACCGCGGAAACCGCCGCCGACTCATCGTAAGAACTTCAAGTAGATTGCGTTTCATCAAGAACAATATTCATCGTCGAAGTGGAATATCTCCCCGATTGAAGCAACTTCGTGTTTTTGCCGGGGGTTTCAAGAGACATCAAATAAGAGAGTACATATGTACTGCCATACCTGGTCGGACTCAGGATGAGTGCTCGCTGCCGCCTATATGCGGCAAAGAATTCAAGGCGACCCCTTCCTACGACGGTGCACACAGTAAAGACAAGAGGAATCAAAGCTCACCAGCGCCCCGGGAATCTGGACAACAGCTCGCAGAGAGTCTCAGAAACACTGTGGAATCGAGCAACAGGCCGGCGCCTGAAACTCTCAGGCCTTCAACAGTACAATCAATGACGAATAGACGACTAGCCTTGAATAAGCCAGCCCTACAGCATCGCCTTACGTTGAGCGCGCTCTGCAATCTCCAGCACCATGCCTCTCCGGATCTATCTGTACCGTCGCTCTCCCCAGATGCTGCAGAACCAATCACGCCCATCAATCAGGTCATACATACACCTCTACAACCTCCAGAAATACCTCGTGCAGCCCTGCAAAGACCCGCATTATCGACAGCCTCGTCCCCTTTGGTCTCAGCCCTCACACTTTCTCCTCGACCCAACCCCTCGAAGGAGCGATCGGGATCGCCTCTTTCTCCTCTGTGCGACCTTGCCAATGCTCTGTCCCTGCTCGACTCTCCTTGCGCCACCATATCACGACGACTCTCATACTTTAGTACTCGGCGACTTTCCCAGAAAAGCCCAAGTAGTTCTCGCAAGTTATATGGCGGTACTCTAGGTCTGGTGCTTGCCTCCCCTCTCATCCTTCGAGTACCCCTCCACAGTCCTCTACTTACGCCCACCCCTTCTTTCCATTAAGTCTCAACCTACTAGTCTAACGCCCAAATCGTTGTCAGTGTGGTACCTCTCCTTTGGAAACCTCCCGCGCTACCTGCAACATCCAGAGGATACTTGTGGCTTTCCAATAGCTTAGACGTAAATTTGCATGTACTAGATAGTAGCTTACCTCGTCAAACACCTTTTTGGTCGCATGATGGCATCCCACTGAATCTGATGGCCCTGAAAGTTTGGCGCCGTAGCAATGCCACCACCGTGACCAATTGAGTGGCACACGCCAGAGTCGATTCTTTCTTATTCGCAACACCATGTCTGGTCCAGGTGGTACCGTGAAGAGTTCGTTCTCGTCGCTGCTTCCGACACTACATGTCAGTATCATCGAGCCAGATGGCCCTCACCATCGCTAACTACCTCCTTCAGTCAAAGATCAAGAGGAAGCACCTGAGAAAGGTGAATTTGTATTGAGTTCTCGTCCCACAACATCTTGGCTGATGTCTTCCAGTACTCTTGGCTACCGGATGTATTTCGTCTCAACGGAAGTGTAAGCCAATCGCTCAATATATCGCAAGAGACGCGGTGGGCTGAATGCCCACACTAGATTGTTGGACGCATCTTTGGTCCAGTCGTCACCGTTACGTTATTCGCTGCTGGTGTTGCCTATGCTTGGTCGAAGGGGAAGGCAGTGGTACTGACTAATTCTATCGTGCCTTTGCTATCTGTTGTGGTAAGTCTCTTCTTGTTCCGCATCGTCGTATAAAGGCTGAAAGGTCTTCTCAGGTTGGTCTCATCTTGGTCTTCCGGTATGGGCCCTCGTTCATCTTTCCTTTACGCGTTACGCGTGACTGACTGGAAATGCATCCATTACCAGAAATACGTACGTCGTCGTTTGTGTTGCCCGACGGAGGCTAACCTGCTTTGCAGTACATCTTACGACAGATACTGGGAAGGCCGCAAATGCTTCTCACAGATGACCTCTAATGTCCGCAATCTCACTCGTTTCATTTGGGTGAATGTTGGTATCCCCCCGGCTGGTGACCAACCGAATGGCATTAAAGGAAAGACCCCCGTTTCGAATGTGACTCCGTCTCAGCTGCACAGGCGCAAGATCGAAGCGCTGCATCTATGCCTCTCTTTCGCTTTCGCTGCCAAGCATTATCTTCGTGGCGAAGATGGTATTCATTGGGACGACTACGAAGGCGTTCTGCCTGCTTCCTTCTCACGATTCGACGAGACGGGTTACAATACACAGAAGACAGGGAAGACACTCAATTACTCTGCGACGCGCGATACCTCCTCGGGAAGGAGTGACGATAGCCAGAGCGGACGCTCGTCCCCCGATGCTACGAAACGGGTTCGAGTCAAGCGAAGCAACCCCAAGATTTCGGGCACCACCACACCTCTCTTGGGAGGGACTCATAGAACCGTGGAGTTCCATCCGTTTCAAGCTTACGAGGCCTCGCTTCCTTTACCATTGATGTGAGACATCTTCGTCGTGTTCTTAATCATGACGGGCTGACCAGACCGCCCCTCCAGCATCTCCCATCAGCTCACAAGGACTATTTATGAGTTCAGGCGTGATGGGTTCGTTGAGACCATTGGCCCAGCCGGTATGTCATTAGATTGCTATTTCAACAGGACTTTTGTCTGACTCGACCCCAGGCATGAATGCTATGAATCAATTGTAGGTTTATCCTTGTCTACCCAACGCTAGTATTTATGCATATCTTCCCAGAATCCAGTCAATGGTTGATCAACTTGGCTCAATGGAGCGCGTCGCCAATACCCCGATACCCAAATCATGTATGTTTTACCCATCCCAACTAAAGAAACCGACGACTAAAAGGCGTATAGATGGAATTCATCTGAAACAATGCATCACACTGTATCTTTTCGCATTACCGTTTACTTTGGTCAACGATCTCGGGTGGATCACCATTCCGGCTGTAACATTAGTTGCGTTTACGTTGATGGGCATTGAAGGCATTGCTGACGAGATTGAAATGCCATTTGGTACGAACTCGATTTCTTCGTCGTATTCATCTCGCTTACACTACCTTACAGGCCACGACAAAAGCGACCTTCCTCTCGGTGTGTAGGACAGTGTTTCGTGTTGCACGTTCACTGAGCCAATTAAATTCATAGATACCTACTGCCAGGATCTGAAGGAGGAAATCAAGTGCGTCTTCTTGTATATACTCATCCGTTAGGTACTCAATGTCGTCTAGTTATATCATTACCCGGTTGCCCGAGGGCGGCGAGGGCGCGCACGGTTACGATGATGGCGAAGGAGACGACTAATTGATGACAGTTTACGACTGGATACGAGGTTGAATGGGTTGTCGCCGACGTGACGCTATTGTTGACTCTAGTACTATTAATCATAGCATGGTACAACTGATGAATCTACTGGAATTCTGGTAAACAGAACTCGCCGGGACCGTAAGGCTGAGGACATGACCAGTTACATTTGCACAATAAAGACAAGCAGCGCTATAACACACCTTTGAAGTAAGAGTTGTTAGGCCAGCCGAGTTCTCGCTCGTGAGTCTACCGCTCTGTGGGCCAGGCTTGGGCTTCTCGCCCCGCTGGAACGCTTCGATGATTTTCTTGGTGGTGTCTACCGAAAGGTCCTCCTGTAGTGGGGTTAGATGCGTGAAGGCATTTCATGGAATGACGCACATAGAAGTCGTCGCCAATAACCATCATGGGAGCGTTACTGCATGCTCCCTGACATTCAACTTCGACCACAGTGAATTTGCCGTCTTTCGTTGTCTGTCCCGGTTTAATTCCACCCAGCTGTTTGCAAACTGTGTCCAACACCCCTTCGGATCCCTGTAACATGCATGGCGTTGTGGTACAGACTTGTACGAAGTGTTCGCCTATTGGCTCCCTGCAAAGTATATGTTTCTCGAGAGTGTGACTACGCCCGGCTGTCACTCACCTGTTGAACATTGTATAGAACGTCGCGACCTCGTATACACGCATTGGGGGGACCTCCACAAGCTTGGCGACATGATTCATGACACTAATGCTTGTCCAGCCTTTGTTCTGCCGCTGTCCGAGATCCAAAAGCGGAATGATCGCGGCCTTCTTGTATTGGGGAGGATACCGGGAGATGATATCCTCGGCACGCTTCATGTTTTCCGGTGTAAACTCGAACGGTATCTGACAGCCAAAATAAGGGACACTCATTGCAAACTTGCAGTACTGCTACCTTGGGGTTATTGTACGCATTGTCACGGTGCTGGTGCAGGAAATCCGTAAGCTAACGGCTTCGTTGTTACTGAGGAGGAAACGCACAACGAAGAGGGCGTCCGACCGCCTTGCGCTGGTCGTCGCTATTTGGCGCGCTGACCATGTTCTGATTGGCAGTCGTCGGGGCAATCTGGCGGCGAACATGGTGAATTACACAGAGACGAAAGGAAAGGTTGTAGATTTCGGAATGCCTGCACGCTCATTGGTTCCCACGAGATGGTGGGCGCTTAACAAGAGGTTGAATGGACGATAACGTCCACCCTCACTGCTAGCGAGCGTCGTCGTTTATTGAGGAAAGTAGGCCCTATTCGCAGATAATGACTGTCCAAGCTGACGTGGCATTGCGCTCTAGTCGCTTGAGGAGCCATGGGCTCTCCGCCAATTATAACTACAATGTGACCTGCAGCTCCTTGAAATTGCCGTCAATCGGCTTGGATTACCTCCTTATCTTGACTAGGGCCTGTGCTTTCTGGCGCTACCCAGCAGTGTCTAGGGAAATTTAGAAAAATCCTAGAGAACTTTGTCCGCAGAGCCTAGGTGGACCCGATGATATCCGTGTGTACAACCGTGCATGACTGGAGGTAGATGATGAGATGACAGAGCAAGTCCCAAAAATAACGGAGGCGACGCGTCCTAACGGCTTCCTGGCCGTTCTTTCTTTAAAAGAGATGTCAAAAACATACCTTTATCCAGGCAAATTTGAACCAAGATGTCGCAGAAAAGTGTTCTCAATATCGTTATGGTGAGCAACACATTATTCAGATTTCGCGAACATAGCTGACCCACCGTGATAGGGGGCAATGACATTCGGTGCGGAAGGAAAAGAGGGGGCTAGAGTCCATAACATAAAAGATGTAGAAGCCATTCTAGACGTGTTCCAAGCTCACGGTCATACCGAGGTAAGTAGCGTCCTTATAGTGTTCTGTAGCTTCCTCTTAAACAGAAACTTTAGGTGGATACAGCACGAGTGTATGCAGGAGGTACGAGCGAGGAGTACCTTGGTCAGATCGACCACAAGGCTCGCGGCTTGAAGATCGAGACGAAGCTTGTACCGTTCAAGGTGCATGCACGATGTCCACCACATATTTAACTACGCTACAACTCACTTTCTACTATACAGCAACTCGGGATGAGCCATGATCCAGAGGTATATTGTTTCTTGCGGGTCACAACCCTAGAAACGCTCATATCGGTTGCAGGGCTTGAGAAGGAATCTTCTGGCGTCCAAAAAGGCACTGAATATCGAGTATGTTCATCCATACTCTCGGATTCAGTTTAGTTTTATTACGGTGTTTTTTAGTTGCCTTGAAATGTGGTACCTCCACGCTCCCGACCGGACTGTTCCATACGAAATCACATTAAAGGCAGTCGACGAACTCTACAAAGAAGGTCACTTCAAGCGTTTTGGCATCAGTAATTACATGTCGTGAGTTGACTTTCGTCTTGGATGCATAACTACATATCCTCAAGCAAAGTCGTCACCCCTTAGCTGGGAAGTCGCCGAGATCGTAGGTATATGCAAGGCAAACGGTTACATTCTACCCACGGTGTACCAAGGACTCTACAACGCTATTCATCGGTCAGTTAGCTTGATTGGATAGAGTGCATGTTCACTAAATATTTTGCTTAATAGCAACGTCGAACCTGAACTCTTCCCTTGCCTTAGAAAATTCGGGATTGCTTTCTATGAGTTCAACCCTCGTACGCGCCCTTCTCTCCTTTTGAGCATGATGACTACTGAAGCACGGTCTCCTTGCTTATAGTCGCTGGTGGGTTCTTCACCGACAGGTACCTCAGTCCTGAGACACAGGTTGAGAAAGGATCGCGCTTTGACCCTGAGAGAATTCAAGGAAAGGTAAGGCATTGGTTGACCTATCTGACTTCTTCTGTAAAATATTAACGAGAGATCGCATAGGGATACAGAGACCGGCAAGTCCGCTCGTTGACGTCCAAGGTTTGAATGGGACTGACTACGCCACACAGATACTGGAACGATGCATACTTTGAAGCGCTGGCATCCATTAAAAAGGTTGCCGACGCACACAAGCTGACTCTTGCTGAGATTTCTTTACGCTGGGTCTCCCACCACAGCCTCATGAAACGCGAATACGGAGACGCGATCTTGATTGGAGCTTCGAGTCTGAAGCATATCGAGCAGGTTCGTCAAATTTCTGAAGTCTGCTCAGCCCACTTATCCTCTCTGACGTTTGCTACTTAGAACCTCGTCGACCTTGAGAAGGGGCCTTTACGTCGGTGTTTCTTTTGGAAATTTTCGAGATTCCACTGACCTTGCTACTGTCTGTAGCCGAGGAGGTCTTAAAGGCTTTGGATGACGCCTGGCTCAAAGTAAAGCCTTACTCTACTCGATACTACCATTAGAGTTACGTGTTTTTTCCACTGCAAAGTGATGGCTGTTGATGTTGTCAGCGGTGACATGGTGTTAATACGAGGAATAGTTAGTCTTAACAATCCGTACTCTAAGGTCGAACAGCAAGGTCCCCCCGCATAGAGTTTGACTTTGGGGTATCCCTCCATCGCCCTCTGTCTGCGACGAAAGGCGCTTCAGTACACTTTCCTTTACAATTATGGCAGGCGTCTAATTTAGGCTGGGGAAAGTTCGAGGCAGCAGCCCATCCCGTGAAAGAGTGGCGTGCCTGCATTCAATGGTGAGCCTCCCGCCCCCTTCGGGCGAGTTTTGCCGAAGGTGACAGCTGATGTTCCTTATCTAATCTCAGCGCACGCAAGATGACATAGCAGCTTGCGAACTTATCGCGCGAGCCCACATGTATATCGAACCTCTAAATATAAAAGAGGTAACAAGAATGTCCACTTTTCATTCACTTTCTCGGAGAGGCCATTCACACACACTCAAATGTCGGCGCAAAAAAGCATCCTCAATGTAGTTATGGTAAGCAACTCTGGCCTTTGGTTTGTACCATTGATTCATGTGGTAACGAACCGTTCCTCAGGGTGCGATGACCTTCGGAGCGGAAGGTCAAGAGGGCGCCAGAGTCCATGATATCAAAGATGTCGAAGCCATTCTAGACGTATTTCAAGCACATGGACATACCGAGGTAGGTTACATTATTTATTACTTTGCTATGAAATGCGTTTGACCGGCTACCCTTCAGGTTGACACCGCAAGGGTATACGCCGGAGGTACGAGCGAAGAATATCTTGGTAAAGTCGACCATAAGGGACGCGGCTTGAAGATCGAGACGAAGCTTATACCTTGGAGGGTGCGTGTGTCCCAGGTATACAAACTTTACTCCAGTCTAACGCGACACATCCAGTCGCATGGATTCTCTCATGATCCGGAGGTATGGCGTTCGAATTCCATCTTGTCAAGGTGCAAACAGGGGCTGAGATCAATTATAGGGGTTACGAGAGCATCTTTTGGCATCCAAAAAGGCCCTCAATATCGAGTGAGTACCCTTACATGCGCTTGAAGGGGAGTGAGCTAATATTAATCCTCAGCACTCTCGAGATTTGGTACCTGCACGCGCCTGACAGAACCGTTCCATATGAAGTCACAATGAAGGCAGTGGATGAGCTCTTCAAGGAGGGACATTTCAAACGCTTCGGGATCAGTAATTACGCTGCGTGAGTCTATGGGGCTTGCAGCTTTCAAGAAACCTGGCTAAAAATACTTCAGATGGGAAGTAGCTGAGATTGTAGGCATATGCAAAGCAAATGGGTATATTCTGCCCACAGTATATCAAGGGATCTATAACGCCATCCATCGGTGAGTACTCGTCGGTTCAGATGGAAATGCAAGCTCACTTCATCTCTGATGTACAGTAATGTAGAACCGGAACTCTTCCCGTGCCTCAGAAAATTCGGCATTGCTTTCTATGAATTCAATCCTCGTACGTATTCTTCTTTCCTTAAGTATGGCGGAACTGAGACGCGGGCCCCTCCTTCATAGTCGCCGGTGGTCTCTTCACCGACAGATACCTCAGTCCTGACGGGCAACCGGAGAAAGGGTCACGATTCGATCCGGAGAGAACTCAAGGCAAGGTATTTGATCGTTTTACCTGACCATCCAGACGTAGATGACGAGACATCGATTAGGCGTACAGAGACCGGCGAGTACCCTTTCAAGAGACTTGAGATCGGTCGCTGACTCGGCTTAGATACTGGAACGACGCTTATTTTGGAGCGCTCACTTCGATCAAGAAAGTCGCAGACGCCCACAAATTGACTCTTGCAGAGATTTCTTTACGCTGGGTTTCCAACCATAGTCTCATGAAACGTGAACATGGCGACGCTATCTTGATAGGCGCGTCTAGCTTGAAGCATATCGAGCAGGTTCGTCGAATCACTTACACCCGGAGTTTGCTCCTTTTTTAACGACTTACCAGAATTTGGTCGACCTTGAGAAAGGACCGCTGCGTGAGTAGCTCGTGTCAGTAGCGAACCATACGCCCGTTCACTGACACTTTGGACTATAGCTGAGGACGTCGTGAAGGCGTTGGATGATGCTTGGTTCACAGTAAAGCCTTATGCGACCAAGTACTTCCATTAAAGCGGGTTTAATAGACACACATGGTAAGTACGCGTGTTCACGCCCTATTGGGCTTTACTTCCCCACCTCCGTGGCCTAGGATATTCGAATGAAGTCAAAGCCTTTGGGATGTTTTCGAGTTGCTTGACGTTTTATCTGATCTTGAAAGAGTGTAACGGCGGGGAAATGGTCCGAAGAGAACGATCTAGTCCTAATATCATTTACGCTTGAACCAATACATCACGCCTCGCCCACCCGTTTGAGGGGCTGGAGGGTTTGCTGGAATTCTGGTTGGTTTACAAGCGCCGAGTCGCAATGGAAGTATTTGGACGCGTATGGCTTCACTTTGAACCACGCGTCGTCCAACGCCTTCACAACATCGTCGGCTATATCAACAAGACCCGGTGAACGGCAGTAAATGTCATGATGGGTAAGGTCACCGACGGAGTGGCCCTTTTTCGAGATCAACCAGATTCTAAGGTGAAGTATGTAAGAAGAGGAGCAAAATGGGGACGCAGATGATTCGACAAACCTGTTCGATATGGTTCAAACTAGAAGCTCCAATCAAGATCGAGTCCCCATGTTCGCGTTTCATGAGACTATGGTTGGAAACCCATCGTAAAGAAATCTCTGCAAGAGTCAATTTGTGGGCGTCGGCGACCTTTTTGATAGATGCCAATGCCTCGAAGTACGCATCGTTCCAGTATCTACGCATAGTCAGCCATAGCTTCGAGTGTACTGAAGCAAGCTGACCGGTCTCTGTATAACTATTTGCCGACATTATTACACATCTTCATAGATATGCGGGACGCCTCCTTACCTTTCCTTGCACACTTTCGGGATCAAATCGTGACCCTTTCTTAACTTGTACTTCAGGACTGAGGTATCTGTCGGTGAGAAAACCACCAGCAACTATAGAGCGGCTCGATAGTCGTCATGGTTAACGAAAGAAAGAGGAGTACGTACGTGGACTGAATTCATAGAAAGATATACTGTACTTTCTGAGGCAAGGAAAGAGTTCCGGTTCTACGTGACTGTACAATCGAGTTGAAGAGAGATTTCATTTCCATCCGGACCGACGAGTACTCACCGATGGATGGCGTTATAGATCCCTTGATATACTGTGGGCAGAATATACCTATTTGCCTTGCATATGCCTACAATCTCAGCTACTTCCCATCTGGAATGACTGCGATTTTGGTCATGGAAATCGGCAAACGAAATAGACTCACGCCGCGTAATTGCTGATGCCGAAGCGTTTGAAATGACCCTCCTTGTAGAGCTCATCGACGGCCTTCATCGTGACTTCGTATGGAACGGATCGGTCCGGGGCGTGTAGATACCACATCTCGAGGGTACTGAATGTATAAATTAGTTACGCCAGTTCGAGCGCGTGTGAACATACACACTCGATATCGAGAGCCTTCTTAGATGCTAGAAGATGCTTTCTTAAGCCCTATGATGGATCTGAGCCCCTGTCGTACTTGGTCGGCAGTCGAACAACATACCTCGGGATCATGAGAGAATCCAAGTGACTATATTGGACCGGGTTGAACTGGAGCAAAACCAAGACATATGAACACGCGCACCCTCCAAGGTAACAGTTTTGTTTCGATCTTTAAACCGCGGTCCCTGTGGTTGGTTTTTCCGAGGTATTCTTCACTGGTGCCTCCAGCATACATCCTTGCTGTGTCCACCTACGATGTATCTCACGTTGGGCATAATTCACAGAAATTAATCGTACGCCTTACTTCGGTATGTCCATGGGCTTGGAAGACGTCCAAGATCGCCTCGACGTCGTTGATATCGTGGACTCTGGCACAGTCTTTACCCTCTGCTCCGAAAGTCAACGCGCCCTAGCGCACGGATAGATAGACATTATCATAATACAAAGTAGGGGCAGGCATCGCTTACCATGACTATATTCAGAATGCTCCTCTGCACTGACATGGTTGAGTGCACTCGAATGCCTCCGGCCCGCGAAAGTGAAGGGAGATAGACATCCTCTTTCATATTTAAAGGTTCGAAAGGCATGTGGACTCGCACGATTGGTGCGGAAGGTGGTTTCTCATCTTGCAAGCGATGGAAGATAAGGAACAGGTGGCCCCGTTAAACCTTGAGCTTGAGACTGCTCAACGTTAGATGCCTCAAACTAAATATGGATTCTCAGTTTCACTATCTCGCGTCTTAATATGACTTGGAGATGGCGTACTAAGAAATCAAGTTGAGATCCGTATGTGTGTGTGCGCGCGACTCGGAAAGTATACGATGTTCCCGAAGTTCAAGTAAGGAAACGGTTGGGGGTCACGAGACGAACGGAATGGGGAAACGAAACACAAATGAATAGGATTAACTAGAGCGTGTCTCTGCTGGTACTCATCTCGCGACAAGAATCGTGTTCTACGATGTAATTGTAAATGTGCAGATACCTATACGAGTACTACCCGTGCGCGTCGAGTTTCTTCTAGTTGAATTCGAAAGTACAAAGTAGGGAAAGTAGGATTGAACTTTTGCTATTCTCGCGGGAAGTGACAGGTTTTACAACTACACGATCATTCACAGATCCATCTAAATATGGTATTATAAAAGAGGATTGGTGAACGGGCGGGACACTCAAGGTCAAAACAAAGAAGGTAAGCGAGCAAAGGAAGGGGGAAACAGGTTGCACGTCATGTCTGATGACATCCGAGCAAAGTCCTAAGATGAACGGCTGGCCAAATCCCAAAGGTGATTTGTTTGCTGGCAATCTGAGTGGGAAAGCGCAACGGGGACTGAGTAGAGATCAGTCGAGCCAGAGTCTGATTACTTTGTGAGCCCACAAACAGAGTATATACCGGTGTATCCACGTACTGACTAGAATCTTGAAGGTGTTTCGATCTTTGTCGGGAACGGGGGTGAATCCAAGACCACTGTATATTTGAAGGCGGAGCCTGTAGAGAGCCGTGAGTTTGGCGCAGTACCTCTGATCAACGTGAGTGCATACGCTCTGCCGTCCAAATCTCTCTCATGTTCCGAAGCGGGATCGCAAAGCTCAAGCCGCCGGGCTTCCTCCTTAAGAGCAGCGACTTCGGCCTCCTTGCTGGCGACAAGACCTTCTGCATCACTGACTGCCTTAGCGAGTGACAGTCGAGATGAATCTAGCTCGTTCATTGTTGCAGTATGAACTTCTGCCGAAGGAACAGACGGTGGTCTCGTGGAGGATACACGAGCAGCATCAAGGATCTTAGAAAGAGCTACACAGGAGATCAGTGTCTAGCATTGGAGAAATGCTGATAGGGTACATTTGAGCGTCGCGTAGGCCTCCTCAAGCGCCTGCTTCTTACGCGCTTCTGCAGCTGAAATGTTGTCCTCAGCTATGACAATGGTGTTAAAGTCTTCCTCTGGGTCAATGATTGGGCCCATGTCTCTGATCAGCTTGCTGTAAGGCATATTAGCCAGATTCGTCGCACTGTGAGGCTGGTACTTGCATAGCTTCTTGTAGTTCCTTCTCCGTCGACATTGTGGTTGAGGCATAGGAGTGTATCCATGGCGCGTGACGAGTCGCGTCGCGAACGTGACCGGGTGACATAGATTTCACACGATGTCTGTAATTTTTGAGAGCACAATGAGTGCATTTCTCCGTTATCTATCATGCAGGTCAATGCCCCAGGTGAGGACCAATCATGGGACTTGGAACGGTTCAAAAATGTATGTTCTGTATCTGTAGCATTCTGAAAATCACTGAATAACTAACTCAGAGGCGACTTATTGCATAGAATTTATCCGTAAAGGTTCAACGACTATCAAATAGATCAATAGAATTCGATTTGGTCAGAGTCGATGCATCAATAGCGAATTCCCTACGCCGAATCATGATCGCAGAGGTATGGGGGCTCCTCGACGTACTTCTACGTCAAAGCTCACGACTATTGGAGCTTTTTAGGTACCAACGATTTGCATAGAACATGTCTACATCTGGGACAATACCTCTGTCATTGCGGATGAAGTCCTCTCACATAGGATAGGGCTTGTTCCATTAAATGTTGACCCAGCGGTGATGGATGTACGACAAGGTTAGTGTGTCTGCTTACTTTGTGGTAGAACATAACCCACTTTCACTCAACAGGGAATGACGCGACGGATCGCAACACTGTAGTGTTTAAACTGGATGTCTCATGTCAGCGACGTCCTGACGCGCCGAATTACGACGGCAAAGGAGAGCCACCCAAGGACTCCGAACTGTATATCAATCACGAAGTATTGTCAAAAGATTTGGTTTGGCAACCACAAGGAGAGCAACTCAATGTCTTTATCAACAATCCCCCTGCAGCCACGAACGGTAACATCGTCCTGGCAAAGTTGCGCCCCGGTCAAAGCATAAAAATAGAAATGCACGCAGTGAAGGGCCTTGGTAGTGACCACGCGAAGTTTAGCCCTGTCGGTAAGTATAATGCAGCCCCTTTACGAGCAATTATGGACTGGACTGACTTCGTGGGCAGCAACGGCTTCGTATCGTATTCTCCCTTCGATCAAACTCAATCCAGAAAAGTCTATCCCTCCCCATTTGACCACCAAATTCCAACAGTGCTTTGCTCCTGGAGTCATACGCGTCGATCCCGCGACGAAAGCTGTCAGTGTGGCTGACCCACGTAAAGATACCGTTTCCCGAGAAGTGCTCAGGCATCCAGAATTCGCTGGTTGTGTGGAGCTGGGAAGGGTTAGAGACCATTTCATCTGTGCGTTCTTTTGCATTCTTACACCTCAAAAGTTGACTTTTCTCGTATGCACAGTCAATGTCGAATCCGAGGGTCCTTATGTACCAGAGCGCTTGCTCCCAGAAGCGATTAGCGTTCTGCGGACTAAAATTGCTACACTGCGTCAAGCAGCTGAGCTACTACTCAACGGAGGGGAGGCTTCAGATGCGGAAATGGATGTAAGTTAGGCTAGCTTCAACATCTAGGTCCCTCATCAAGGACTTATCATATGTATCCATCCTCACGAACATATAATCTGTGTAATAACCGGTGTCGTGGTCGAAGTCGCCGGTCCAGGCAAGCATTGGAACCAGAACTAGTAAATGAATGAGCCGGACATAACCCAAGTCGCGAGATGGCGGATTGCTCACGTCGTTCAGGGCGGTGCACACGGCTCCTGGAACGCATTCAGTTGGCCCTTCTGTATGAGCTATACCTATTCCAACGCTTGGCATTAACAGTGGCGCTGCGAGGATGACTAGCATAGGACATACCACCGCATATGCCCCACTGACGATGTTCATAATCAGCATTACGGAGAACCAAGATTAATGATGATAGTCAACGCTTACCAATGGAACGTACGGCCCAGCGGTGGTAGGGGAGGGTGCTGGTACCGTGAAGGTTTGCGTAAAGCAACTATCTGTCCCGCTGGGCGCGGACGGGGCAGTGGTTGTGCCCGCAGGAGGACTTGTCTGTGCCCATGAAACATATACTAGTCGGTTCGTACTCATCAATAGTTGTTACATACCGAAGGAGAAGCTCTAAGCAGAGGCGAAAATGCGATCGCTAAGACCGGGAAAACTGCAAGCTTCATACTTGTCGGGAGTGGTAGAGGTGGGAATCGACATTAACACCGTGCCCCATTTTATATACATCCTAGTTGGATCAACATCGGTGAAATGGGCCAAATGGCCAGCATCTGACAGGGCATCACTGGACAGTCGGTCGGTGGATGAAGTGAGGATATGATAGATCCCTAAGCTTCCATTCGGGTTCCATGGTGGACTCTCTGACGGTGATTGTCATGCTTCGATCATTGTATAGATTTGTGACGTGGTAATCTGCGTCGCTGCAAGGCACCTCCCCTTGAAAGATTTCGAGGAAGACGTTAAGGACGGAAAGAGTGTCAGGTCACAGAATAGATGCCTACCACTTCGCCTAAACGAAGCTTTGAAATGGTATTACCAAAGAACACACCCATACAAACGTATGTTCGAGCCAAAGCAATCCAGACGGGCAGTCTCGAAAGCTGTGATTATTGGAGGTATGCAGGTATTATGTGGCGATATGTTTAACATGCCTTTTCATGTAGAAGAGATAGGTTCAGGAGAGTGTCCGTTCTGGACGCTGCAAGCCATCACACTGGGGTAGTGGTCCCATTCATCACGGACGTGCTATGGGAGGATTGATCCAAGCAGCCTAACTCATGTCAAAATCACATCCTCTGCAATTCAGGGATTAGTTGCGCTCACAGTGACCGAAACAAGTTCCTCTCCATCCTTCCCTATCACCGTCCTCACCCTATTTCTATCAACACTTGGACTGTTCACGCTGCGCGACAACTCCTCGACGACGCTTGGGTCCATGCGATAATTCTCGGCAAGTTGGCGAAGGTCGGCAGCAGAAGTACATGATTTACGTGCATCGAGGAGGTCGGTGAGCGAGTAGGCATCGATGCGCCCAGTCTGATGCTGCAAGGAGAAAGCTTCCTCTTCTGCACGCCGCCTCCTCTCAAATATCTGGGTGGCGTCGTTGGCCTTCGTAACATCAGTTGGCGAGTTGCCTCACGCCAAATGTCATTACTCACTGGCTGGACAGCCTGCATATGATGGTCGACCTTGACCTGCCCCATTCGCGACAGGTTGGATAGGAAGTGTGGATCAAATGCATATTTTTCGATAGCTAAAGTATTATCTTGTCAAAAGACGCGTTTTCGAGACTGAGTTCACGACTCGCCTTCGTTCCTCGTCTCGCTGGCTAGCGGTGCTTGAGGCTGCGCACCGGACGGTTCAGCTGGCACATTGAGTATTGTGGGTTCTGTGGGCTGTTGGACCGCCCGCGCGCCAGCCCATGTTGGAGGTGCGCGTTTTGGCAGAGTTCGAGCACCTTTGGACGCAGCGCCACCCATTCTGTATTCTGGAACGTGAAGTCAGACTTAGCGCCCACTGGCAGGTCGTCTCCCTCCACAAGCAATTCAGAAATAAATAAGCTATTAAAAAGCATGGTATAAAAGCATCGACATCAAGCGAGTTAAGCAAACGAAATATAACCAAACTAGCTATCAATTGTCCGTTATTGATTGACTTCAACATTAGAAAGCGCCTCTCTTTCTCTCCCCCTCTTCGAGAAAACACCACTGATTCCAAACGGTATTTCATCGTCATCTAGGCCCAGCACATGTCTCGTCTCAGCCCACGAATCTCTTCGATCTCCAAGTACCTCGTCCATATCCAATTCAGCGGCCTTAACGCGAGCTACATACGGCGCGGATGGAGACACGGGTGTTCCAGGCGTGAACATGAATCCCTCTTGGATGGAGGCCAGGAGAGCAGAGATTGGGGTCTTCTCTTGTCCTGCTAGCATGGGGCGGCCCTTTTGGTTGGTTTGCGGGGTGCTAGGTGCAGCGGACGAAGGAGCGTCTGAACAGGGAGAGCTAGCGGTTAGAATAATCTGCAATTCGGCGAGGCCGTCTTCGGTTACATCTGGAGTTGCTGGAGTGCTTGCTCTTTCTTCAACGACGGCCGGATCTTCGGCTTGCTCCGTCGTAGTGTATTGTGGGACCTCTTCATCGACGTCAAGTTCTGCCTCATCTGCGTCAGTAGGCTCTGCAATGGGCTCCACGTCTGGCGTCGGGGAAGGGCTTGGTGCAGGGGAAGGAGAAGTTGGGAGAGGAATGAGGGTTGGTGTAGGGGTGCGGGCCGGCTGTTGTTCCTTGATGGATGCTTTGCTGACACTCGGCTTGAGCTTCTTGGCTCCAGCTTTTGGCGAAGGCGGTAGGGGAACTAGCGTAGGATTGACTTTTACTGGCCTAGGAAGTTGCCCAGTCCGTGGGGGAATGGGCGGCTTACGAGTGACGGCTTTAGTTGTTGCAGGAGCAGGTTGGGGCTTCTTCGGAGGGGCAGGGCGTCCGCCCCAAGTTGGCTTAGTCGTCGATGTGCTCGCAGTAGGTTTCTTTTCCACAGCGGCCTTCATCTTCGAGGCTTGTGCTATCGTGGGCGCAGTTAAACCCTTGCCCTTGATAGCTGCAGTATTGATCTTGGGAGCCGATGGCGCCGTAGTAGCCAATTCGGGAGCTTTGTTGAGCTTCGCAGTCTTTTCGAGTGTTTTTGAAGAGGCTGTGGTTATTGCAACTGCTACGACCGGCTTCGGCTTTTCCGTTACTTTAGTATTAAGCTGCGCTCGTGACATCGTACGTTTGAGAGGAGCGAAGGATTGCGTTTTTGCAGCTGGGACGGATTGAGTGACGGCCGCTGATGTGCTAGCAGCGTTGTTGGATGCCGACTTCCCCTTTCCTTTTTCCAAAGTCTCGGGATCGGGGTCGGGGTCGGGAAGCATCACCCTGCGTGGACCACTTGGCATAGCATGTTTTTCAGCAGCTGTGGAATCCTTGGTCTGGACAAGCCTGAGGGAAGCTGGTTGGGACTTTTCCGGGCGGAAGGGCCCAGCTATTGATGGCTGAGGAGCGGGACGTGTTGAGGTGGAACGAGAACCATTCAGTGCGGATGATGATGGCTGTCTCGATGGAGCACCAGTCGGCCGCACGGGAATAAATTCTGGGGGAGGCATCGAGTCCTTTACTGGTCGCTCAGCCTTAAGCCGACTTGGACCCGACTTGGAGAGACCTGCGTGCTCTACAGTCCGTTGTGTCGAAACATGAGTCGACGTCGATCGCTGGTGTGAACTATGGGCCTCCTCAGTCTTCGTCGAGCGTGTTTTCCCCTTTGCAACTGCTGCAGAAGGCTCATGGTGATCGCGATTAGAGTGCACGGAACGAGATGACGGTGGACGTGAATGAGGGGGGGAACGTGAGCGAGGGACTTGGGCTTTCGACGTTATGCCTAGGCACTTCTTGATTGTTGGTGACAAAGGAGCAGAAAACCTATGCAAATAAGTAAGACGCATAACCCAACTTGACAGGACGAGCAACTCGCCTCTCTACTCTATCAGGTAGGAGAACTTGATAAGCCGCGAACAACTGCTTTCCTACCTTCCTAACATCTGCAGAGGCATCATTGGCTGCAAAACGGATGCTGGATTCGATCTCCTTTGCCCTAACCTCGCGTTCCAGGTCCGGGGGATTGAGGATGGATAAGCAGGCGAGCATGGATTCGGCGACGACAAGCCGCAGTGTGACTGATTTGTCTTGGGCATCGTGCATGAGGACAGGAAGGATGCTGGGCAATTGAGTGTTTTCTATAATTGAACGAATGCAAGTCCGGGCGCGGTTGAGGACGACCTTGTTAGTGCGGCCACAAAGAACAAGCAACGGGGGTAGGTATGTGCTGAGTATTGTTTCGAAGTCTGTGCCAAGGATAGACGCAGCGACGCCGACGAGGTTGATTGCAGGCCCCGACAGTCTTCCTCGTTCCGAATTCATTGCGCTGATGATAGGTCTGGAGTACGTGCGCATGACAGCCTGTCCCTCAGATGGGTCCTCATAGTTGCCATCTTCGAAGAGTTTTGCGAGGGAATCAATAGCTTTCGCAATCTTATCCCAAGTTTCCTCTGTTTCGGGAGTTGTAAGAGCAGTGCCCAAAGCATCGTCAACTTGGCGCTTGAACATGGTTTCCTTGTCGAGTCGTCCAGCAGATTATGCGTAAAGAGGGAGAACGAGTGCTCTAGAGCAAAGAAATTGGATGAGCTGCAACGGATGCGAACTCATACAATGGTGGACGGAACAGAAGAGCAACTGAGTCGACGCGGAGTAAACAATCTGATTTAGACATTAAACATCATGTGACCGTGTTCAAAAGGGGTTAGGAGGTGGCTCTCTGTTGCTCTATGCCATACTTTGCCACACAGTGATTATGGGCGAAGACGACATACAAGCACCATAGTATATAGGTGAATGTTTCAAAGAACCGACTAGAGGTGCAACTTTATTGGGGTATGACTGCCCTGAAAAACAAACAAGCGCGAGTATAACAAGCCAGGCTGTCAGCAACTAATATTGCACCAATCCCAAAATCTAAGTGACATGAGGGTCTACAGAAAGAGCATGTAGATAGATATCAAATCGACGGGCATAGTGGAGTCAGGTGAAGCGATGGTTAGGCAGACACCTAGTCTAGAACAAGGTCAGCAATCGTGTTCACCAAACGAAGACCTAGTCAACGCACCGTGTGTGTATACTAGTGAGAGAGATATTTCCGCCCTTTCGCCAACCGTCTAGCTAGGACTTTTCGTCCCGACACACTACGTTTCCTCGCCAAAAAGCCGTGTTTGCGCTTGCGTTTACGTTGCGAGGGCTGGTATTCCGCCCCGCGAGCACCAAATCGCGCCTGTACTACAGACCATAGGATGGTCGGCGGCTGAAGAGACGTTGTCCGCCATGCCGACGCCAAAAAGGACGGATTCGCAGATTTCAAAAATGGATGTGTGATGAATGGTAATTTTGTTATGGTGTTCGACACCTGCATGGCGGAGGCAGCGGCGAATGGCCGTAGCGTGGACGAAACGGTCTGCAGCGACGGTGGCCGCGACAAGAGGCGAGTCAATGAAGGCGGGAGTCGGGGCATTGGCGCTAGTTGTACTTTGGTCGTTCCGGGCAAGAGGTCGAATTAGTTTTGAGCGCGTGACTCAATATCGATTATCCACTTCGAGTCACCTGCTATCGGTGACAGGAAACTGAATGCTGCTGAGATGCAAATTCCCATTCCTTGCTCCTGATCTCCTACATCGATCCTTTACATCCCTCCGTTACCGCCCTATTTCAACCGCACGGCCGACGATGGCTTACACCGGGCCCTGGACTGCCCCCGTCGTTCGGGAGGCTTTCTTCGAATTCTTCAGATCCAAGGATCATACATTCGTACCATCGTCTTCGACGATACCGTATGATGACCCGACATTGCTGTTTGCCAATGCAGGCATGAACCAGGTGAGCCCAAGGATTAGTGTCCCCAGGATTATAGTTCTGAAGCCTTTCCGCCAGTATAAATCAATATTCTTGGGTACCGTCGACCCGCACTCGGACATGTCCAAGTTGAAGCGTGCATTCAACACTCAGAAGTGCATACGCGCAGGAGGGAAACACAATGGCGAGTTTTACAACGTCCTTTGCAATAGTCATGCAACTAACTTGGTCGTAGACTTGGACGATGTCGGAAAGGACTCGTATCATCATACCTTCTTTGAGATGTTGGGAAACTGGTCATTCGGCGACTACTTCAAAGTATGTCGCTCGTCTCCCCTCCTCCTTGCTACCCACTACTAATGTATCGACGCGCAACAGAAAGAAGCTATTCAATACTCATGGGAGCTACTGACGGACGTGTTCAAGCTTCCGAAGGACCGTCTATATGTCACATATTTCGAAGGGGACGCGAAGAACGGTCTTGAGCCTGATCTAGAGGCAAAGCAGTATTGGCTTGACCAAGGAGTTGCTGAGGACCACATTCTTCCCGGGAACGCAAAGGACAATTTCTGGGGTATGCGCCTTGTTACATCACTTGACTCATAGACTAATGGAAGTTCAGAAATGGGTGCTACTGGTCCTTGTGGTCCCTGCAGGTAAGTGTTCCGACCTACTATCCGTTCAGTGTTTTGTTCATATAATTTCTACAGTGAAATACACTATGACCGTATCGGAGGACGGAATGCCGCTCACTTAGTCAACATGGACGACCCAGACGTGCTGGAGATATGGAACAACGTTTTCATACAATTCAACCGAGAAGAGGACTCGTCACTGAAACCTTTGCCGAGCAAGCATGTTGATACCGGGATGGGCTTCGAGCGACTTGTCTCCGTCGTCCAGGACAAACGCTCCAACTACGATACTGACGTCTTCACACCGATATTTGACAAAGTACAAGAGCTCACTGGCGTCCGACCGTACGAAGGACGGTTTGGTGACGACGATAAGGACGGAATCGATACTGCATACCGTGTTGTTGCTGATCATGTGCGGACGTTGACCTTCGCTCTGAGTGATGGAGGTGTTCCAAACAACGTTGGTCGTGGATATGTCCTAAGAAGAATCCTTCGTCGTGGTGCCCGCTACGCTAGGAAGAAGCTTGGTGTGAACATCGGTTCTTTCTTCTCGTCACTAATGCCCGCCGTTGTTAACGACATGGTATATTTTATTTGCCTTTCTCTTCTTGGTACCTCTAACCGCCTCTTCGTTCGAAGGGTCACGTATTCCCCGAAATCACGAAGAAACTTGACGAACTCAAGGAGATCCTTGATGAGGAAGAAGAATCATTCTCCCGTACTCTCGATCGCGGTGAAAAGCTCTTTGATCAGTATGCCGCCCGCGTCAAGGAGCAAGGCGGGAAGGAGCTGAACGGGAAAGACGTGTGGCGGTTGTACGACACCTTTGGCTTCCCGGTGGATCTTACGCGGCTCATGGCAGAGGAACTCGGGTTGGGAATCAACGAGAAAGAGTTCGAGGAAGCTCAGGCATGGTCGAAAGAGGCTAGCAAAGGCGCTGTGAAGAAGGGGAACACAGACCTAGTCAAGCTCGATGTCCACGACCTCGCCTCCCTCGAGAAGAACAACGATGTACCGAAGACGGATGATTCTGCCAAATTCAGTACGTGTCGACGCGCCGCAACGCAAACCAACACAGTCCTGACGATATTGTGTAGATCTCGGAAACATCGATGCCACGGTCAAGGCCATCTTCCACAACAAGCAATTTGTCCCGTCGACGTCTGACATACCTGAAGACACTTCCTTCGGCATCTTGCTCGACAAGACAAGCTTCTACGCCGAATCAGGTGGGCAGGAGTACGACACAGGGAACATCGTCGTTGATGGTGTCGCCGACTTCGAGGTGACCAATGTCCAGGTGTATAACGGATACGTCCTGCACACAGGTCACCTCAAGTATGGCGAACTGAAAGTTGGCGACCAAGTAGTATCGTCGTATGATGAGGTGAGCGAGCCGGAGTACTGGAGCCAAAGACCTTGATGCTTAGATTTCTGTAGCTTCGCCGCTGGCCTTTGCGCAACAACCACACCGCTACCCACATCCTCAATTACTGTCTCCGTGAAGTATTGGGCGATCACATCGACCAGAAGGGCTCCTTGGTTGCTCCAACGAAACTTCGTTTCGACTTCTCTCACAAAGCCCAAATCGCCCTGCCTGAACTGCAGAAGATCGAAACTATGTCACTCGATTGGATTCGAAGAAATGTACCTGTGTTCAGCAAGGAACTTGACTTAGCCACTGCCCGCGTCATACCAGGCCTGCGCGCTGTGTTCGGAGAGACGTATCCCGATCCGGTACGCGTGGTCACCCTTGAATTCGACGTCGAGGAGATCGCGAAGGACATCCAGAATCCCAAGTGGAGGCAAACGAGTGTCGAGTTCTGTGGTGGAACGTTCGTTCGATTTGGTTGACGGGTTCCTTATCTTGTGCTGATTTACCGCAGGCATGTCGCAAAGACTGGGGACATCAAAGGATTCGTGCTCACCGAAGAGTTTGGTATTGCCAAGGGTATTCGTCGGATAGTCGCGGTTACCGGGCACGAAGCGCACGAAGTCACCCGTGTTGCCGACAACCTCGAAGCTAAGCTCAAGTCCATTGATCAGCTCACCGGCAAGGAGAAGGATACTGCTTTGAAGGCATTCACTGTGGTTGGTTGTGTTTTGGATGATACACCTGTCTTGGTTTCAGACTTCGCTTTCAGGAACTTAACCAAGCAGACATCTCGGTTCTCAGAAAGGCAGATGTCAAGGAGAAACTGAACGCTATCCGCAAGGCATTCGACAAGGACATCAAGGAGAAGGAGACTGCGTTAAACAAACTGGTACGTGCCGCACGCAGAGATGATTCTGCGTTTGTTAATTGAGCGCAATAAAAGGCGATCGATAGTATTCAGCAATACTTCAAGGAGAACGAGAAGGCTGATACCTACATTGCTATCTTGGACGTGGAAGGCAATGCTAAAGTACGTTGATTACTTACTCCCTTTAACATATCACCTCAACATTCGCCACCGTAGCCCCTCTCAAGCGCGGTCCTTCAGGCTAAGAAACTCGGGAAGTCTGTATATCTCTTCAGCCCAGATAAGCAAGGCGGCAAGGTCGCCCACGTCAACTTCGTCTCGCCGGAATTGAAGCAAAAGGGCGTCGATGCAAGGACGTGGGCAGGGAAGGTCACGGATGTCCTCGGTGGAAAGGTAACTGGCTTGTTTGCTTCAACGACCCGAAACTCATCTATTTTCAGGCGGGTGGCAAGGAGGATTCTGCTCAAGGTGTCGGTGCTAACGTCGACAAGGTGGAGGGCGCCGTGGAGGCTGCCAAACAGTATCTATCATCTCTTTGAATATTGAAGTGAATTGCGACATTTAGATTATGGAGATTGCTTTGACTACTTGCAATGGCTACATATACTATAGACTGGTAATACTAGACGATCACTCAGAATCAGACAAGATCGATGAACGGAAGATAAATTTTCATTGGCAGGGTACACAACTCAGATGCAGACAATGTAGAGAAGACCGCTGAGAAAAAACCTGCGAACGACGCAGTTAGCAAACTGGATCCAGAGTACGACGAGTAAGGAAGAAAGAGAGAAATTCAGAAGTAGCGGGACAAAGTCCCGAAGGTAGCTGAGATAAATTTCTGCACCGCAGGATACTTTCCTGCTAAAGCCAAATGCCTCAAACATCATAAAAGAGAGAAAGAGCAGAAGTAAAGGTAATCAAGACACTCACCATCCAAAAACCAGTTGTCGACGAAGGGAAGAGAAGAGCGAGAAATTTTTCGACGACACCCCGACCAAATATATACATGGGAAAGTTCACATCACGTGATCGCGTCTCAATACGACTCGCTCCTGAAACCCACCTCTGAGTGATTTACAATGTTTCGTCAAGCAGCAAAAGGGTTGCTCCGAGGCTCACTGAAGGGCCGTTCCTACTCTACAGGTCAAGGATCCAGACGAATCAGCGGCAAGGTCCCTGGCGTTCTGCTCGCTTCAGCATTCGCCGCAACGTTCGCTCTGAACTCTGCCGTCGTGTATAATGATGCACCTGCAGAGCAAGTCCCTGAGCAGAAGAAGAAAGCCGATGATGTCTCATCGGTGAGTATGGAGGATCAAGATAGCTTGCATACTACTGTGTGGGGATCAAACAAGTGAGTTCTCATTTCGCTTTTACAAAAAGAGACTCGCTGAATTCACGTACAGGTCGGGAGTGCTCGACCCGAAGGCGGTAGACGTGGATTCTTTCCGTACACCTACCGTAGTTGCATGGCTTCACAACGTTGCGCTGAGAGATCTTGCACTGCACCAAAAGCACGCTGCATGCGTAGATGCTCGCGGAGACGTGTACCAGTGGGGTGAAGGCTTCTTTAGTGCGGAAAATAGGGATGGAAAGCCTACACTGACGCTCCGTGGCAAGGTACGTTGTATCTCATATACTATCTTGACGACTGCTGAACTCAAGACAGAATATTGTCAGCTTGCAGCTGACCGAAGGCAGGGTATATGCGCTTTCTGCTTCTGGAAAGGTGTATGTCCTTGCGTCGGATGCAGCGACACAATTTTTGCCCGTAGGAAAGCCCACGCCGGCCAGTACACCCTGGTGGAGTACAGGCTGGATGTGGGGCGAGGAAGAGGATGTTGACTTTGCCGAAGTCACTCCTAATTGTCAGCTTACCTGGGGTGAAAAGTCAGTGATGTACTTCTACCGGTTTACTGCCCGTACTGAACCACATAGAATCACGTCGATTTCAGCTGGAGAGCATCATCTACTGGCCCTCACGTCTGCAGGGCGCACTTTTGCTCACCCGGTAACAAAAGATGCAAACGCGTACGGACAACTCGGTTTGCGAAAGTTAGACATTCCTGACCACAGCGAACGCATGCACGTTGGTCCACATGCCGCTCGGAAAACGATAGAACTGGTGCCGAAGTCTATCACTGATCCATATGCGAAGTCGTCACCTTATACTCGAACCTCAACCCCATCGGCGAACCAAGTGGAAGCCATCGCCGACACGTCAATTCGCTTCTGTGATAAATTATACGAGATCCCATCCCTGAAGGGCATCGAGATAGTTCAAATAGCTGCAGGAGGTCGAAGCAGCTTCGCGGTGACCTCAACCGGGCGAGTCCTCGGTTGGGGCGCAAATGAGTTTGGGTAAGTAATGATCGAACCTTCTCTGGAAGCTTGAGATAACGATTATTCCTTGTCAGGCAAATAGGGTTGGGCAACAACTACAAGTCAGACACGGTTGTCATTCCCACCGAGGTCGTGCTTTGGCAATATACATCAAACAAAACGACGTCACAATGCCTCAACGTAACTGCAGGTGCATATTCTTGGTGACAGTTCCGATGATGTCGTTGCTTACTGATGCAAAACAGGTGGAGATCTCACTTGCTTCGCCGTTGAGCGCAAGGGAGAAGAGAACATCGACGTTCTGATGTGTGGCAACGGCCAGTACGGCGGTTTGGGGAACAACCTGTACACCAATTCGCAGGGAGCTCCGCTCAGAGCTAAAAATGTCAGCGGCCGTCAAGAATGTAGGCATCCTCATGTCTTGTGATTGAGCTTACCCATTGATGCTACCCACTTGAATAGACAGCGAGGCAACCAAAAGCCTCCATGCCATCGCACCATACAGCATCTCCGTTTCCCCTAGCGGGCACGTTCTGCTGACATTGAATGCTGATATGAATGTGGGTGGTCGAGATCTGATGGTTTGGGGTAAGAACCACGATTCTGAGCTCGGCAACGGCAAGAAAGGCAGCTCGCCACTTCCTTCAGCGCTCACAACCACCGACGGTCAGCGCTTCATGCTGATGGCACGTACGGCGAAACAGGTCGTTGATCTCCAGAGGAAGCTATGGAAACGAGGGGTCAAGGTCGAACAAAGGGCCGTGGCTGGATATGGAAATAGCATCGTCTATTGGAGGCTCTGCTAAACTGTTGAAGACTTAATCATGAACTTGAAGGAGGGATACATCGCACATCGTGGATCAACTCGTGTGCGACGGCAGGATGCGAAGATATCTTCAGCCAATCGCATCATCTCGGCAAAAGCCCAGTCAAGATGCTCTTGCTCACGCTGCATCAAATACAACACCCACCCCTCTCTATCACCCCTTCTTTACCCTTGACCGTCACCAGTCCCCCTCCCTCCTCTCTCGTGCTACCTTACCTTTCCAACCCATCGTCGCTTTCACCTCGCCTCTCCTTCTGTATCAAAGACTCAATTCATATCCCTGTTGTCGGTCAATTTAGCTGTTGATCTTATCACCCACTAATGCCGCAAACTTGCATGGCTGTAGACACAATGTCGGAACCCCTGTCGTCGCCCACGCTTTCGTCTAGTTCATCGTCGTTTGATATCCCGTCTCCCCCAACGTACGATTCGGACGACGAAATAGTGTGGAGCCTGTCCTCATCGTCTATCTCGACCGGCTCGTCCAACGATTTTGTAGTCTTAAGTCGGGCGTTGTCCCCCAGTAACGCCACCCCAGAAACACCAAGCCCAGATAGCGTGTCGGAATCATCATCATCAGAACTCTCATTCAGTGTGGACAGTCTATCGTCCAGCCATGTGTCGGCGTCGGTCCCAGTGTCATCATTACCACCTCCGCTCCCGCTGATGCCAAGCCGTATACTCAATGTAGACTACCCAACACCGACTGCCACCCCTACTCCTCGAGTAACGTCTCAAAGTACTCCGGCGCTGATACCAAGTTTAACGGTCCCTGCTGGTCCCACTAAAGCCCAGTTAAAGCGGATTCAGAAGGCGGCGGAGGATGCGAAGCTGGCATCGGAGGAGCATCGACAAAAGTTGCTTAGGAAAGCCGCGGCTGTTTTAGCAGAGAGGAAAGCGTTGGCCCAGAAGGCCACCGCCAAAGCGCAGTCAGCACAAGCCAGAGCACAAGCAGTCAAGGGTAAAAGTTTGCAACAGGTTGCTGAGGAGAAGAAGTCCGCAGACAAGGCGACGAAGAAAGCGAGAAGAGCGCGAAAGAGCGCGAGGAAGGCGAAGAAGAACTTGGTCCAGGCAGAGAAGGCGGCGAAGGCAGTTGCAAAGGCAGTCAACGCAGTACAGACAACGGCTGCGAAGATCAAGAAGCAAGCAACCCAAGTTGTGCGGACATCGAAGAAATCCCCTCCCACAACCCCCAAGGCTGCGACTATATCGGTTGGTCTGGGCTCGAGGCCCGTCATAGACGACTCTGCCGCATCCGAAGTTGCGTCCGAAAAAGGGGACGATCCTTCATCCTTCGCGGAAGCGTCTCAATTCATCACATCGTAAGCCTCTTCAGTATCTACTAAATAGTTATCGATAACTACTTTTACAGGTACATCAACGACCCAGAAACTGCTCAGACGAAGAGCAAGGTCCATCGTCTCGCGCTCCTGCAATCTATCATTGTCGAATTTGGTGTGGGTACGACATCCATGCTGCCGCGTACCATCACCGCGGCGAAGGCGTTCGTCAAGTCTACTGTGTTCGTCAACGTGCAGGACTATCTCACCGTCCGCACGCAAGGCCAGGATGCCTTGAAACGTATCTTGCTCCCGAGCAAGAAAGCCCTCATCAAGGACATCCGTCGAACGGGACCAACCCCGCGTACCCTTGTCAAGCAACACGGTTTGCAAGCCCTACTTGTCTTGACCCACTGATAGTTCTTGTCGTCTCTATCCTGTAATACTACATGTAATCCTCAATGTACCAGTATATATCTGCCTGCCCAAAGGCCAGCGTCTCCTCACATATGTATATCCTGTATTTCTTGCGTTCAGACTTGTCCAATATGACCCATTGTACTTCTAATGTTTTCGATGAAATTAAAGGCTCCAGCCTAGGCAACAATACTAACATTCCGTAGATGTAACCAAGACTGCATCGCGTATACAAAACTAGGTACCATACCCCTGGAGGATATATACAAGCAGAGAAAACAAGAACGGGTCAGCGGGTATACTATTAACTTATCATAATCTGCTGAACAACGAAATCATTCGAGATGATGCACGGAAGAGCGCTCTCATGAGAAGAGGAGAGCAGCAAGAATACGAAGAGAATGATAAAGTCAAAACTTATGAAGCTTTGGCAGCGCCGACCATTATGGCTGCGACGCCGATGATTGCTTGGTTCATGTTGTTGATGGTCTCAGGCGTATCGGACGAGACGACCACGACACCAGTGGGCACAGCAAGGCCACTCGCGACGCCTGTAGAGTAGTCCACAGATGGGAGTACGATCGATGATGATGATGGCTCAACGCTGGACGACGACGACGACGACGACGAAGTAGTCGTAGGCTCGGGTTCCGAGCTGCTGGTGGTCTTTGGTGTAGGGGTAGGGGTAGGAGTCGGGGTGGGTGTAGGGGTAGGAGTAGGCTTCTTCTTGGTGGTTGTGGGCTCCGGCTTGGGCTCGGGTTTGGGCTCTGGCTTTGGTTCAGGCTTCGGTTCGGGCTTTGGTTCGGGCTTAGGCTCAGGTTTGGGCTCTGGCTTAGGCTCCGGCTTGGAATCGCCGACGAAGTTCCATTCACCAAAGATAATACCCTTGTCCGGGGAATCGAAGAAGGCAAACAGACCAGGCGAGAGGTCAAGTCCGCCGTATGGGCAGCCAGGACACTGAACCAATGTTATTAGTTTGAATTAGTTAATGAAGCCACAGGGTCATCGTACCTCGTCCACGATGGTGGCAGTAGCAGTTTTGCCACCGTATTTCATGGTGATCTTCTTGAAGCATTGCGGGCCAGGGTATCCACCTCCATATTGCTAGAACCGAGGCAAACATCGTCAGTTACTTTTTCCAAACATGTCTGTAAATAGATCGGCTACATACAGGCGAATTCAAAGCGACGATCTACAGGGAGACATTAGAGTGAAAATCTTCGTCATGCAAGCAAAATGGACATACGAAATCACCGTCGTTGTTGTGACCCCCACAAGCACCTCTGAAGACGACACGTAAGATAATGCTTCGGCATGAGAAAAAGCTAGCTTACAGGCCAGTGGCGTAGAAGGACCATTTGGACCCGCTGAAGCGTTTTTGGATCTGCAGGTCACCCTTCACGCGCTTCGCAACGTCCTTATGGCGGTGAACATGGGCCAGGCCGTGAGGTTCGGACAGGGCAAGGAGAGGCAGCGCGAGTGCAACGAGGGAAATTCCAAAAAAAGCGACCATTTTCGTGAGCGGGGGGAGTGAGAGAATGTGGTGGAAAAGAAAGAAGGTAGAGAGCGACGGGGAGGCTTGAAACTGCCTCGAGACTGATTGCACACAAGAAACACGACGGATTGGTCGTCGTCGGGAAGAAAGCGATGGAGACAACAAACCCGCAACCGAGAAATCATGGCCTAGTTGTCGCGCAAATAACACCAAATACCATCACCATATCACACAATGTCCATCATGGTTGCAACGCATCTAGCATTGGGCTGTGCAAATATAATGATATACGTCGAGTCTGTCTATGTGCGTGTGTCTACGAATAAATAGGATCTTAAATAGATAGTCGTACATTTCTATTTTCTTCTTCGAGTTGCACTTTTAGTTGTTGGCCCGAACAGCTGCAACCGCGAGTTGGCCGAGGCTGATTACGGCTGCGTTGATCACATCAATGAGGGAGGAAACCTGGGGTTTGGCAACGGCTCCAGCTACATTGCTACTGGCGGTGGTCGTAGGCGTGGTCGACGTCGACGATGTCGAGGTAGAAGTCGTAGATGTGGTGGGAACGGCGGTGCGGGATGTAGTGGATGCTTGAGTTGACGTAGTGGCCGTAGTCCGTGTAGAAGTGGGGGTAGTCGATGTTGTTCGTCGTGTCGATGTAGACGTGGTGGTGGGCTTGGGCTTGGGAGTCGAAGTCGTTGTCGCTTTTACTACAGCTGCCTTGGCCTCGCCGCCAGCGCCGAATACCCATGATCCTGTGATGACGCCCTTGTCAAGGCTGTCGAAATACCCGAATAAGGCAGGGGTCAAATCTAGTCCACCGAATGGGCAGCCAGGGCACTAAGAAGATATGCATCATTGACCTGAGGAACAAATTCCATACACGGAGATAAACATACCAAGTCCATGATTTTGGCTTGGGCGGTCTTGCCTTTATAGGATATAGTGATGGTCTGGCCACAATGACTCCCGCCCGAGTATTGCTATTGACGACAAAGTAAGACATGTGCGCGTAGCCCGCCATGTACAAAAATGAACTCACAGCTGCATTCAAGGCCACGATCTTAATAACGGGTACCCCGCACCAGTCAGCCACTGCAGCTGCATACGAAATTTAATCAAGGTCACTCACGAAGTCGTTGTCGGTGTTCGTGTGCCCGCATGCACCTAGGCCAGCTGCGTAGTAGGTGAAGCGACAGTCGTCGAAACGCTTTGCCAGGAAATGGTAGGTGCCGTTCTGGGAGCTCAATTGAGCTGAAACGGGCTCTTTACCCTTGGCTTCGCGCCTCCCAATAGCGATCGGCTCAGCGGACACGCCAACCAAAGCAAGAGCGATGTGGATCAGAGACAAGCGCATGGTGAATGAATGGATGAGACGAGGGAATTCCGAAGTGTCGCAAGTAGAATGGTAGTTTTTGAGGCCTTTATATAGAGCTAGAGGTGCGTCCCTGTCCAACTAGGAACGGCGAGGCTGTAATTGAATAGCAAGTGTCTGTAAATGAGTGTTTGGTGTAGCTTTGAGAAAAAAACCGGGGTGCGACCGTCTTGCAGGGAGATGGCGTCCGAGAGCGATGCACAATTGGAGATAAATTCTGGGGATCCAAAATTTTGGCGAAATTAAACATAGCAGCCACGCGGTTCCCACGTTGCTTACTGGGCTTTATGTCAGCCACCAACTTACTTCCGCTTCTTCGCCGTTCCGAGGCTTCCGCCAATCCCATACTACAGCGCCCAACGCCCCGTGCCGGACGTCGAGCGCCGAGGCTTCAAGGAGGAATGTTGGCGGGGAGAGTAGGCTGTGTTGTTGTCGTGGCGTCCAGGAAGGACTGATGCATTACACCACCGTCGACTGTGTGACTATTCACCGTGATTGTCAGACAAAGCAAATGCAATGAACCCCATAAAATTCACTACTCATACAGACAACAATTTGGAATATTAGTCTAGCTTGATTTTTGAGGGAGGATCGATAAATGTACCCTATAAAGTTGTGTCAACAAACGACGTCCTCCATAATGGAGGACCGCAAGCCTCCGCTGACAGGAATCTAGCTTACCGTAATAAATTTGAGCACTTCATCAATGACGAGAACAGGAGCGCTCAAGTACAAGACAGCTTTCCACTCGATCCAGTTGAGCGGCGTTATTGCGAAAAGCGTCTGCGGAAGAAACGGTCCGAGGCGTCAGTACAAAGCAACGATATGGGGATCCCACGAGAAAGTCCAGAAGTTGGGCAAAGGGCAGAACGGGGAGACATGGCACGACCCATGTGCTGGGGTAGGTAAAATTTAGGAAAGGACGATTGGTACTCACCGTGAAAAAGGGCACATATAAAATCATGAAGTGGAGTGCCATGCTGAGCGTAATGGCAGCCACAAGGTAGGGGTTTTTCCAAACCGGCAGCCGAAGCAGACTTTCGTTTTCTGAGAGCGAATTCATGGCGTTGAACATTTCGACCGTGACGAGGATCGAAAGACTCATAGTGGTGGCACGCCGAGCCATGACATCAGTGAACATTTCACATCCAATTTCAGGGAATAAGGCTGAACATTCGTGGAAGTGCGTCTGCTCCGTTTCGCCATGAGTGAATTTTCCATTTGTATTAGAATTTGCAAAAGAATCCGCACCAGGTGATAGAATGATATTTGGGGTCCCCCGGTATAGAACATGAACCACCACGCGTATCCAGCGACGGTGGCAACGCCAACATACACACCAACAACCATATACCGGAAGAATAGCCAAGAACCCACGAGAGGTTCTCGACTATTCCTCGGTGGGACACGCATGATTGAATGGTCCGGAGGATTGAACCCTAAAGCCGTCGCGGGCAGACTATCGGTAACAAGGTTCACCCAGAGTAATTGAACGGGAATCAAAGCTTCGGGCATGCCCAAAAGAACCGTCAAGAAAATGCTAAGGGTTAGTCAGCATGACGAGCAAGCACGAATTTCAAAATAGCGGCATACCTAACCACCTCGCCAATATTTGAAGAAACTGAATACAAATGCAAGTCAGTGTAGTTCAATGACGGGAAGCCCAAAACCGACTTAGGTAGCGAATAAATTGTTTAGTATTGTTGTAGATCAGTCGGCCTTCTTCAACGGCTCCTTCTATTGTCGTAAAGTTCGAATCAGCAAGGACCATATCCGCAGCCAATTTTGCGACGTCTGTGCCGCTTCCCATAGCCACGCCAATGTCGGCCTTCTTCAGTGCAGGGGCGTCATTTACTCCGTCCCCAGTCTACAACAAATTCCCCACAAGTTAGAATAACCAATGTTGATGAGAAATGATTTACATACCATCGCGACAACCAATCCCAAGCCTTGAAGCAAGTCGACCAATTGACTTTTGTGACCAGGCTCCGTCCGACTGAATAAGCTAGCCCGCTGTACCGCCGCAACTTTCTCTTCCTGAGTAAGGTCGTCCAATTCTCTCCCAGTGTAACTCTTTCCTGTCAGGTCCTCGTCATCGCCAAATATTCCAATTTTGCGGCAAATGGTCTCCGCGGTCCCTTTGTTGTCTCCGGTGATGCAGATGACACGAATACCAGCTGCTTTGCAATTGGCGATGGCTTCACGGACTTCAGGGCGGGGAGGATCGAGCATACCAACCAATGAAACGAATGTGAAATTTTGTTCGAAGCGACCATAGTCCTTCGAACTATCGGAGTGGTAATGGGCAATATCCGTATCATCTACGTTCACGTATGCCAATGCAAGGGTACGAAGGCCCTTCGCGCCGTAAGCGACCGTTTGAGAGAGGATGGCGCTTCGTAGGGCTGGAGTCAAAGGGATCGTCTGGCCGTTGACAAGAGCATTCGTTGACCGTTCAAGGATGGACTCGGGGGCACCTTTGGCGAAGAGAGCACCAGAACCGTTAAGCTTGACAAGAACGGACATCATCTTGCGATCGCGGGAGAACTCGAAGGTCAAAAGCCTGGGGATGGTACGCTCAAAGTAGTCGTTGACCGCGTTCGCGCGGAGAAGTGGGCTCATGCTGGACAAGGACTTCCTCACTTCCAAATCCCTGCAACCAATCTTCTCGGCGAGCACTTTGAGCGCAGCCTCGGTGGGTTCGCCGACGTTGACATAAGAGGCCTTGTCCTTAGCAGAGGTGTAAGTCAAAGACGAATGAAGAAAGGCAAGGGGGAGGGATACCTTGTTGTAAACTATCTTCGCGTCGTTGCAGATAGCACTGATTTCAGCCAATCGTTGTATTGGGTCTGATTGGAGTTCAGCAGTAGCTTCCTTGCCATCAGCATATGTGACAGACCCGTGTGGCGCGAAGGTAGTGCCTTCTACGTTGTATTCGCGGAGTTTGCCAGACGGGTCAATAGTCATGAACTGATCATACCAGCGTTGAGTTTAGAGGTTTAGACCACCAATAAGAACACACGTACCGCTGCTACGCTCATCTGGTTCGTAGTCAATGTACCGGTCTTGTCAGAGCAGATGACGTTTGTGCAGCCAAGAGTCTCGACACTGGGCAAGTTCCTGACGATCGCGTTCTTCTGCGCCATCTTCTTCGTGCCCAAAGCCAGGCATGCAGTGATGACGGCAGCCAGACCTTCGGGGATAGCGGCAACCGCCAACGCAACAGCAATCTTGAAGTAGTAAATAGCACCCTTGAGCGCGCCATGATGAGATGGGTCCCAGAAGTGGCGAATGTTGACGAGCCAGACGAGAATGCAAATGACAGTGATGACCTTCGCGAGCATATCGCCAAAGTCGTCTAACTTGCGCTTGAGAGGCGTCTTCTCGCTAATCTGGGATGAAATTGACTTGTGAATGTCACCGATGGCCGTCTTCGTCCCGGTGAAGACGACGATAGCCTTCGCACTGCCATTGACGACAGTAGTTCCCTAAATGAAGGTGAATATAGTATCGTTACAGTTGAAGTGGTAGTTTACCGAGAACAGAATGTTAGTCATATCTTGCTTCACAGCTCTGACGTCTTTCACGGTGTCCGGAGATTTGTTGACACTGGTACTTTCACCGGTCAAGATGGCCTGATCAATGCGGAAGCTGCTGGACGAAAGGGAGAGAAGCCTGCAGTCGGCAGGGACTTTGTCGCCAACGGAGATAGAGATGATATCGCCTGGAACGAGCTCGGACGCATGGATGCGACTGAGCTGACCTGAGCGCACAACTTTGGCTTCGTCCGGGGAGTATTCCTTCAAGGCCTGTGTGCGGTGTCAGCAAGTCAAGCGGACAAAAGTGGGTTAACACGGACATCAATGGCCCTCTCTGCATTCGCCTCCTGGATGACACCGACGGCGGCATTTGCGACGAGAATGAGAAGAATGACGGTAGGCTCTACAAATGCACCGAAGAGACTTTCCGAGTCTTCGAGAAGAGCAAGGACGAAAGATACTACGGCAGAACCTAATAGGATAAGAACCAGCTGATCCTTGAACTGCTCTAATATGAGCTCCCAAAGGGGTGTAGGAGGGTCTTCTGGTAGTACTGTGGCATCTGTGAGCATTTCCTATCTCTCGGGGCCGCTGCTGCGCGCTCACCGTTCTTTCCGTAGAGTTCAGCATGTTTCGCAGATTGGTCGGACGTCAGGCCATTTACTGGGTCTACACTGAAGTATTGGAGGATTTCCTCTGGAGTTTGGGTCCAGGGAGCTTCCATGGTAGAAAAGAAGGTGTGGCGAAGGGCCGACGCTGGAGGAGATGATGGAGGTGAGCTCGCATGGCCGCTGGTATATGTAAGGCCGTAGAAATATTTTACACGTGACGCCAGCTGACGTGTCACTGAAGCGGAGCCAACGGATCGTGCGAGCACAGTGACAATGGCTGAGCACCGTGCCCGCTGTACTTCACATCGCTGAACGGCTGGCGTGGAACAGGACCATCGGGGCACAGTGAGTATAATACATAACCGGGAAGGATATCAAAGCCAGTGACAAGTCCCGGTTTCCCAAGCACGCTAGAGCACGTTATCACTGCCAAAACAGGGTCTAGGGGTTCCCATTGCTGGGTATCGCATAAATTACCCCACACCTTCAAGACGGGGATGTGGCGGGACTGAATTCGCGATTCCTGGGACCTGGACGGCGCAGCAGAATATAATTGCTGAATTTCTGCGATTTTGTGGTGAATTTCTGATCCTGTCACTTGATTTGGGTGTCGTGATCTTAGTCACAGCGCTATACAGTAACTCACCTCCCAACAGTCATATTGTTTCTCGAATCTTGGCGGACGGCGCCGCAAGCTCTTTTCACGACGCACGAGTCATTTCTCAATGGGTAACAGCTCCTCGTCCTCAGGCCGAAACCACCAGGACGAGGCTGTCGACTTCGGCTCGTTATCTCCACAATGGTTCACCGGTCCAAGAGACTGGAATCAGGCCGTCGTCTCACAGCTTATCTGCCAGAGGAAGCTCGCACCCTTCTACAGACCGCTTGAGGAATTCGATAGCTCCTGGGACGACGATCAAATCCTTGCCGCCAGGAAGGAGCCAGTCGACGCTACTGGTGAGGCTGGTGCAGTCGAGGCCGGTGCCCGCATAGAGGCAGCCTCTGCAAATCCACCGAGACCTGGCCATTCTAGACGACCCAACTCCATCAAGGAGCCCGTGAAGCCTGAGGCGGCCATCTACAGAAATGCTGTCGAGTGTCCTATATGCTTCCTCGTGCGTCTTTGTCTCTACTACGCCCCAGCATCGCGTAACTTACGTCATCTTCGTGCAGTACTATCCACCCAATATCAATCATTCTCGTTGCTGCGATCAAGCTATCTGCACGGAGTGCTTCGTCCAGATCAAGCGAAACGAACCAACTACTACGCATCTAGTGTCGGAACCGGCGGCGTGCCCGTACTGCGTCCAGGATAACTTCGGGGTCGTGTATACTGCCCCTCCGTGGCGAGCCGGTATAGGGAGCGAAGGATCGGTCAGTGACTTGTACTAATACCCTGCGGAATACGCGGACATATCTGACTAACTCATGCCTTACCGCCGGCCAGCCCTTCCCATGGTCGGATGCGCCGAAGGCTTCCCCATCTGACACACGGGTTGGACAACTAACACACAAACGACGCCAGAAGAGCTTTAGCCACGATAGCCCAGATGTCGTCACAACAGGTCTTTCCCCTTCGTGCTTTGTTAACTCTGGCACGCATTAATGACTCGTGCCATTCCAACAGATCAAATCAGACCTGACTGGGAAGCGAAGCTAGCCGCCGTGCGCGCTGCCGTAGCTCGTAGAGCAAATAGAAGAATCATCATGAGACAAGTTGGCGATCGTCTGATTCCTGTCGGTGTCACGAGTGGTCGCGTGCATGCTATCGGCGAGGAAGGTCAGACTGAGGGAGATAATGGTGGGAGGCGATCGAGAAGGAGGCATCAACAGCCTCAGCAAGGGTTTGACCAATTATTAGGGACGATGGGCATTGCTGGTCAAGATCTGGAGGAGGTGAGCGTTGCAAGCCGACCCACCCATGATAGCTTGGTTAACCGATATACATAGCTCATGATCATGGAAGCTATGCGTTTGTCTTTGATTGAGCACGAAGACCAACAGCGGAAAGAGGCTGAAGAGAAGCGAAAGAAGGAGGCTGAAGAGGCGGCACAAAACCGAGATACGCCAGAGGCCGGTACTTCTAGCTTAGATGTCCCCTCAGCGCATGATGAAGCATCGGCGCCTTCATCGTCCTCGACTTCAAATCTAGCTTCATTTACCTCCACCTCGTCGCAACCCGCCGCTACCCCTATCTCCTCTTCTCGCACCGGAAGCCCCTCGCCATCACCTTCGCGTGCCAATTTGTTGAGCTCGAATGGAGATGCTTCACGACCGAACCCTCCGCCGTTCAGCACTCTGAACGCCGCTTTGACTACGACAGCTGCAGCCGCAGCCGTCCTAGGCGCTTCTTCCGCCCCAGGAGCGGGCTCTGTAGGGAGCAGCGTAAATGGGATCACCAACGTGCCGACTTTCCAAGTAGATAATGCCCCTACGCCAGCTCCAGACGCTTCGTCATCTTCATTAGACCCTCACGCCTCTAACGAACCCCTTCCCTCCTCTCCCGACACTGATGAACACCAATTCGCCAAGTTGACCATCTCAGGCAATCAAGCTTCTAATCCTGAGTGAGTAGCACGAGGCATCCTTCGCGCCCTTCTCGATAATTCATGCGATCGATTTAATTAAATGCTCGGACATTTCTAATTACAGGTTGGCGAAATAGAACTAGGACCAAACTTTGCTATTCATCAAGGATTGCCCTTGCCCTTGCGTGAACCTTTGGTATATGTTCTACGACGCGCACCATTATCAACGGATATTACACACATGCACATGTCCTCCACCTCATGGTTTTTGATCATTGTCTTAACATTCTACAGTAGAGTTGCGATCCGCTGTCAACACTTCAGGGCATTAGGGTCTGATGTTCCCTTCTGCAAGACTGTTTCCCGTCTGTACTATATACTCTATATTACCTCGTTTATCTTCCTTCTCTACTCTTCCAACGCCGATTCAGTATTTGCAGCAACTTACACTTTTGCACAAAACGCATACTAATAGGGGACGCTGCACGTGATGAATTGAGCTTCGCACGTCTGTCTGGAACAGTGAAGTGTTGCAAGTTGCGACCAATGTGCGATCCATGAACGGAATAAGAGACACGAACTGATATGGCACAGGCTAAACGTCGAGTCTCGTACGTGATACCACCACCAACTACCCCGGTACCCCAGCTCTCACTCCCGCCTCGCGGAATCCCTCGTCTAGGGAGCATCGGCCCCTTGTTGATCCCAGCCAAAGGCGCACACGATGATAGAGGTAAATATGTCGCTCCCCAAACCAAGGAACACCCCCGGCATCGATTGGGCGTAGCGTCGCTGGCGCTGGACACGTCGACTCGCCTAGCTGGTCGGTCGTCTCCGGAAGGCATCTTATACAGCGGAGGTCGCGATGGGCTGCTTCTATCTTGGGACCTAGGTATACCGATGAAGCGTCGGGCTAGCCCGAGTAATCCCTCCTTGTCGAGACCCGTGGCCCGGTGGGAGATGATGACTGGGTGGGGAGACGATGTGATAGACGAGGAGAACGAAGAGGACTCTGAGCGCCCGCAGAGCGATGGAGATGTGCTAGGCGATGTCACAGGAGGTCTCCACCGACGGAGAAGGGCTCGGACAGCCGCTTCGTCGACAGACGACCAGATACAATACGAACAGCAATGGGAAACGGACATTGAATCATTCAAGCCCGGCGTCGTGAGTTGCTACGATCGGGGGCGTGTGCAGTGCACTGGTGCTGACAATCCATCAGCATAGTCACTTCCGCCAGTGCGCACAATTGCACACCGACTGGGTGAACGATATCCTTCTCTGCAACTACCATCAGACGTTGGTCTCGGCATCGTCAGATGGGACCGTCAAGGCCTGGAATCCGCACTCGGCAGAAGCGCACGAGCCGTCCTTGTTGGGTTCACATTCGGACTATGTTCGCTGTCTCACGAATTGGTGCGCATGGTTTGTCGCGTTCGGACTGGTTGTAATATTGAAGCGCTACGTTTACTAGTCGGGAGCAGAATTGGGTAGCGTCTGGATCATTTGACCGTACGATCAAATTATGGGACCTTAGTCGTTCTATTTCCAACGTCGAAGCGAATGGCGCACCTCCCTCCTCCAGTCCTCTCATCACGCTTAATCCAATAGATGCATCGGCTCCGAAATCGTCTATTTATTCCCTTGCCACTGATCCATACGGCCACATTATTGCTTCTGGTTCTCCTGAGCGCGTCATCCGATTGTGGGACCCCCGTTCGGGAAAGCGCACTGGTAAACTAGTTGGGCATACGGATAACATCAGATCGATCTTAATTTCTGAGGACTCGAGATACGTAAGTGACACACTCTCTTACGTTTGCACTTACTTACGGTCGAACGATTTACCTAGCTACTTACTGGCTCCGCAGATGGTGAGGTTTAATCGAAATACAACGGACCGCCCTAATTCATGCTTTGCTTCTTTCAGCATCTATCAAGCTTTGGTCTCTCTCTTCTCAACGATGTCTCCACACATTCACCCACCATACTGAATCAGTCTGGTCATTGCACTCCTCGCATCCCTCATTTGAGATCTTCTACTCCGGAGATCGTTCGGGGTTGGTATGCAAGGTAGATGTCGAGAATTGCTCCGATCTATCGGAAGGAGAATGTGTCTTGGTATGCCAGGACCAAAATGACCAGATGCAAGGGTTTACAGCAGAGGGGATCAACAAGATTGTGGCAATGGACGATAACTTATTGTGGACTGCGTCAGGCAATTCGAGTATCAAACGATGGAGGGTGCCACAACGTCGTGCTGTTCGTGCATCGTTCCTAGTTGGCGATGCTGAAGGCGATAGAGCTGCGTCCGATGAAGGTGCCTCCCCCATCGCCACGAAGTCCCCAACCAACACCACTCCAGACGGCACGGCCCCTACGTCGGGTTTGGGTCGACATAACTCTATATCCCCCTCCCTCTTTTCCCTTTCATCAGATCACTGGCTACCTCAACGCGAGCGTGAAGGAGAATCGACGCTTTATGGTATTCCATTTGAAAGCCTTGTACGCCTGACATCGCCGAACGACCCGTTTACTCACTACTCCGCATCGTCAAGAGGTAGGGACCCGGATGTAGCGACACTCTACTCCGCTGCCTCAGTCATGTCTGTTCCGCGCAACGGCAGCAGTCGACCCCCATATCAATCTGGAGCACGTACTGGAAGTCCGATTAGGAGCGCTCGTACAGTCGAAACCCTCCACCCACAAAATAACGCGAGGCTCGACTACGAAGTAAGAGAACTCGCTGCGGATGCAACGCCGTTATCGAATACCCCGGATGATATGATCGTCGGAGACCACGGCTTGGTTAGATCGGTGACTCTGAACGATAGGATGCACGCTCTGACGGTGGATACCGCTGGAGAAGTCGCTGTTTGGGATATTGTGAGAGGTGTCTGTAAAGGTAAATTCTCGAAGGAGGATATTGCGGATGCCAGTCATAGAGGGAGTGGGAGCTCTGCTTCTGCTGGAGATAGGAATGGGCATCGCCCAGCTGGGCAGAAGGAACGGAGTCCAAGAGAGGCCTTGGAAGCAGTGCGGGAGCGGATTGAGGGTGAAGCCGTCGTAGCGCCGTGGTCCACTGTCGCAACGAAAACCGGAGTCCTCACCGTGGACATGAGCGAGAAATGCTTTGAATCAGAGGTGTATGCAGATGAAGTAGGTTTCGCGGGTGATAGGCATTTCAACGATGAATCCCGGTGTGCGTCCCTTTTATTAGCTGCCTTTGTTTCATCTTAGGCGGCCTTTGATATCCGGATTTTGACAGTGAATATCGGGAAGTGGGTACTGAGGAACATCTTTACGGGCTTTATCCATGAAGAGAAGCGACTACAACGTAATCGCAATACCGGTGCGCAACAGGACGATATTTTGACACCCGACCTTCGCAGAACCTCTGGATCCAGCGAGTCGACTTCATCTTCCCCTCCACAATCAAGTATGCACATACCCCCGGAACTCCCAAGTCGGCATTCGTCGTTTAGTCGAGTTGTTGTTCAGGCCCCAAAGATGGTCCCCGCCATTGTACCCAACGTCACAAAGCCCATCCAAGCTTCCCCATTGATCACCCCCATGATCCCCCTCCATGTCCTCGCTAACAAAGATAAAGATGTTACTATGCCGTCCATCCCTGGGTCACCCGCGGTAAACAACAATAGTAACGATGCGACGCCTCTTCCCACAGGACGGAGGTTGCGTGCAGGAACTCTCGACAATCAAAACCAAACCCCCTCATCCACGCCGAAGGACGGGGATTACTTCTCTGCCCGGACAAGACATGGCTCTGTTTCTGCTACTCCCACTACTGGAGGAGCACCTGCGACGCCTGATGATTTTTCCGGATGGGGCGGACCCGGGAAGACGCCCACCGCTGACAATGGGGTACCTGCACCACTGACACCCGGCGGAATAATGGGCAGGATGATGAAGGGCTTCGGAAAGGGTACCGTCAGAAAACTTACTGGCGATACTACGAATGGCTCTCCTGTGATTGGTGCAGCACCAACACCAGCCGAACCGATATTAGTTGCGGAACCCGAGGTAATGGATTGTTGTTCATTCACTGAGACTCGTTTGCTGAATACCAGGTGTTGGCAGGAGATCACCCCAGATGCCATTGTCCAGAAGACACCAGCGCAGACCTTACTTGCAGGACCGTTCAATCCCCCGACGTCGGTTGATGCTCCTCGCAATCCTTTCCCGCAACACACTCCGGTGGTGATATCAGAAGATGGTTCGCCTAGTCGCAATATGGTGTACAGAGGCACAGTGGGAAGTACGGGACAAGATGTTCGAGTGCTCGAGGATGTTATGCCAATGTGGCTGCTGGAGTACCTGCTATTGAACAAGGTCCCAGATATTCCACTGACGAAATTAAGTTTCGTACTGTTACCTTGGGTGAAAGATCCTGCTGTTGAACAGTTGCCTGAGCTGCTAAACCCGTGCGTTTCCCTGCGTCTGACCTTCGTCTTGCATCGCAGCTCATTGTCTTGTCGCTGGCAGAGCTCAGTCTAAACTCACTGCTAGCCGCTTCCTCCGAGTTCGCAAGCTTGTGATTCATGTACGCACCTCCCATCCATTTATTTATCGGACAGATACAAAACATATAAGCATGTAGGTCCAAGACAAGATCGACAAGATCAACGCCTCGCAAAAGGGCACCAGCTCCCCACGAACTTCTTCGGAAGGTGGAGGGTCTGTACTTAAACCACTCCCAATCCGACCTAAAGCAGAAGATATTTATGAAATCCTTTGCAATGATGTGCTGTTGCCCTTGGATATGTGCATAGCTGCCGTGAGGCAATATGTGTGGCGGCAAGCAGGCGAACTAGTTATGCACTACCGCAAGAAAATGCCCAAGCAAGCATTGCAGGACGATGGCAGCCGGCTATCGTGAACATATATCTATAGTTTTGTTTCCCTCGTCCGTTATGGGACCGTGTCTTCTGTACTGTTGGTAGGAATAATGGATATAGATGGGTTCTCTGAAGCTCTTGACGAGAACGAGATCCCCAGTGCACAATCTTGCGTCGTGGTCCTGTGCCAGACTCTCGATGCTCAACGGCCAACATTTGAGGGCGGCGCGGACGAAGGTGTCCCTCCTGCTCCCTTTTCAATGATCAGTATATATACGACCGGGTGGGTTGTAATGTTCGTGATGCTGCATTTCTGTCTTGCTGCCTAGCTGGGGTAAATGTATCTACGAGCCTCTTCCCACCCCATCCTCTCTCTCTCCTTTCCCAGGGCCTCCCCTCTGGCAATTTCTTCTTGGTCTATTCTACGCCAATCATCGTACCCCACAATACTGTTCTCGCGTAGGCCTTCTTCCACTTCACTTGGGATGCCCTCTAGATCAGGAGATTGGTTCAACGACAACTCGTCTTTACTAGCATTCTGAATATCGGCTTCCGGAGACGACGAGTCCAATAGAATCGTATCCGCAACGGCGTAAGCGTCAATCATGGTTGAAGCGAGCACGCCCTTAGCTCCCGTAGATGACCAACCTGATGCATACGCGTTTCTAACTACGTTGCCGTTTGATGAGACAAGCCGCCCAGCGACAGTGCGCAAGTGCCGCAGAGCAGGGTCGTAGAAAGGCATGTTCGGTTCACCTTGAAAACCGAGTGAAGGAACGACGAGAGACGTCTCCACGAGGGATGTCTCTCCCGTAAGTTCCGCCTTCTTCGTAATTGGGTCCACGACGGTGTGAGCGAGGGAGAGTTGAGCAAAGGAAGGATTCGAAGTCGGCATGAGGCCTGTCGGCGAACGGAAGAAGTCGAGCGACCATGTTTTTTCCGTGGATCCAAAGGGTTGTTTAGACCCCTTTTCAAGGAGCTGGAATATGCGAGATTGCTGCCGAGTGAGCTTCACATCGGAAGTGTCTAGGATGGACTTGTCTATGGGCGTCATGGAGGCATTGGGGAGATTGATAAGTTCTCGTAGTTCTTTAGTTGTGAACGCCGCTTCGAGAGGTCCTCTGCGGGCTATTATGGAGACATGCCGTACCGTGGAACGAGAAAGAACCTCGAGCACGGTTTCGGGGACGTCATATTGTTTCAGTATCGAGACGGGAGTAAGCAGCATGCGCGCAACATCAAGAGATACATTTCCGTTCCCGATAAGGGATACGTGGGTAATTTTGTCAAGCGGCGGGGGCGGTTGATGGGATGGATGTTGTGTGTACCAGTGAACGAGAGACAATGCGGGCCTGCAATATTCCGACGTCGGAAGCGCACTGTGCATCGAAGGAACGGTACACCCTGTTGCAAACAGCAAATGACTGTAATTGGCACATAAGGACGCCAGTGGGACGTTCACGTTATGTGGGATCGTGCTGGTACCTCCGACATTGACATTCCCGAAAAATCTAAGCCGAGGATCTTGAGCTGCACCATCAAACTTATGAGTGCAATTCTACAAAATGTACTAATAATTAACCGTTCTGTGAGATGATAGACGTCGTACCTTCACTTCAGGATGGTCGGGTGCGACACCGTAGCGCACAAGGCCATGGGGTGCCCACAACCTATCAAATAGGTGTACGCGTAGTCGTTGAGCGTCCGGTAGTCCGGAGAGGATGCGCGAGGCGGCGTAGAAGGCAGACGGACCGGCGCCGACGATGGCAAGCTTCATAGGCTCGGAAGTGAGCGACGGCCAACGGAACCAAGACGGAACTCGAACTGTGTGATCGTGCGAAACCTTTATTGACCGTGTGACTTTACAGCTTATCGCAACTTCGACTCCAAGTGGGTAATTTCCGGCTGACTTCCGAGAATCGAAATAAAAGGTGTTGCTTTCGAATTCCATCTTGACCGCAACATTTCCAGCAATGCATTCTCAAATTCCTGACCGGTCCATCAGAATCTGTGCGGATCGAGGAGGCACGTTCTGCGATGTTCACGCGTAGGTTCACTCGGCCGTTCGTCCTGGATGAAGCATTCGACTGTCATTCATATTTACATGTACAGCTCCTACCCTGATCCTGAGAATCCGAACGAACGGAAAGACATTGTAGTCAAACTGCGTTGGTGGTCCATCCATTCACTTAAGTTTAATGCTGATGAGCAGAGGTTAGTGTCACAGGATCCCGGGAATTACGAAGATGCACCCACGGAAGGTATCCGTCGCATCCTTGAATCACTAACGGGGGAGAAAATACCTCGCGGTCACGTCTTGAAGACAGACAAAATAGGTAGCCACGAACGATGTCAGACACCCATCTCGCCGTAACCGTGCATTCTAGATTATATTCGTCTGTCAACGACGGTGGCAACCAACGCGCTCCTGGAACGCAAGGGGCATAAACATGCACTTCTTATTACCAAAGGCTTCAAGGACCTACTCCTCATTGGGAATCAGTCGCGTCCAAAGATTTTTGACCTCAACATTCGGAGGCCGGCTCCCCTCTATTCTACCGTCGTAGAAGTAGACGAAAGAGTGACGTTGGTAGGCTACACATCGGATCCCCAGGCTGAGGAACATGCGATTCAGTTTGATGAAGATGGGAAGGTAAAACAGGGATATAGGGGTAAGGGGTGGGATGGTATTGGGGATGCAGAAGGACCTGGCGATATAGTGAAAGGGCTATCAGGCGAAGCCGTCAGGATCCTCTCGAAGCCTGGTAAGCATCTCTATCCCCACGTATTCGGTTTGCTCAACCCTGTTTGAAATCATAGACCCCGTAAAAATTAAAGAAGACCTCGAGAAGCTTTATGCAGACGGATATCGTTCTTTGGCTATTGTCCTCGTACACTCGTACACGTACCCCGACCATGAGCGACTCGTTGGGCGGCTTGCGCGCGAGATTGGTTTCAAGCAAGTCTCGGAATCGTCGGCCCTCCTTCCCATGATCAAGATGGTTCCACGCGGTGTGTCCTCCACGGCAGACGCCTATCTTACCCCCATCCTAAGAGAGTATCTTGATGGATTTTTCAACGGTTTTGATGAGAAATTGAAAGATGGAAAGGTCAAGAGCCCCCGTGTGGAATTTATGGGCAGTGATGGCGGTCTGCTTGATCTACAGAACTTCTCTGGACTGAAGAGTATTTTGAGCGGGCCGGCTGGCGGTGTTGTGGGGTATGCACTGACAAGCTGGGATCCTGAACGAAAGCAGCCGGTGATCGGGTATGATTTTCTTTCTTCCATTACAACCTGTGCATTGACGCTGCGTGATGACAGCCTCGACGTCGGCGGTACTTCGACAGACGTTTCTCGGTTTGACGGACGCTACGAGGTTGTTTACGAGACTACTACGGCTGGCGTGACAATTCAATCGCCACAACTCGACATCAATACCGTCGCGGCTGGTGGTGGCTCATGCTTGACCTTCCGAAACGGGTTATTTATGGCCGGACCGGAAAGCGCTGGGGCAGAACCAGGCCCAGTGTGCTACAGGTTTGTCGCTAGTAGATCGCAGATACAAACACTCTAAAATCATTATTTTCACAGAAAGGGGGGCCTTTTGGCTGTTACGGACGCTAACCTCCTGCTTGGGAGACTCATTCCTGACTACTTCCCAAAGATCTTTGGCAAATCAGAGAAGGAGCCTTTAGATGCTGATGCTTCTCGTGCAGCGTTTGAACCGCTGGTCAAGGAGATCAACGCCTCTCATGAGAACGAACTCAGCTTTGATGAGGTCGTTTACGGGTTCGTTGGTTGATCTCGGAAACAACTGTTGCGGTGGTGCTAAACGCATTCCATTCATCCCTCAGATTCATCAAGGTAGCGAACGAGACTATGTGCCGGCCGATTCGTGCGCTCACCGAAGCTCGAGGCTATGCTACTTCAAAACATGTGTCCGTTGCTTCTTGAATTCTTCAGTTCGCTTGAATAGCTGAAGCATGGTTGTTTCCTTTTAGACTGGCGAGTTTTGGAGGTGCAGGTGGCCAACATGCTTGCGAAATCGCCGGTCTGTTAGGAATCAAGACTATTCTTATCCACCGGTATAGCTCTATTTTGTCTGCCTACGGGCTTGCGCTCGCTGATAGGTAGGCTTGCTTTTATCATTGAGCCGCGGAATAGCTTATGATTATATGTCCCTCAGAGCGTTTGAACGTCAAGAACCGAGTTCCACTTTCTACAATGAAGGGAACAAATCATTGCTTATCTCACGGCTGGATAAGCTGACGGACGAAGTGAAGACTGAGCTCAAGCGACAAGGATTCGAAGGTGACCGTGTACATGTTGAAAGAATGCTTAATATGCGTTTCGAGGGCACAGATACTGCTCTTATGGTCCTCCCTGATATAGAGAAAGACGGACATGGGGAGGACTACGAGGCTGCATTCAAGAGAGTATATAAATCGGAATTTGGGTTTATTTTGGAGGGTAAAGCCATAATCGTCGATGACATCAAGGTCACTTGGCATTTCCTTGTGGTATCTTGTCCATCTCATCCATCTTCCCTATCAGGTCCGTGGAATTGGGAAGACTTTCGACACTCTCGGAGAATCCGTTTATAGCGAGATAGCGAAGCTGAAATCGAAAAGCATCGACAAGGCTAAAGCGGACTCGACGCACAGCGTGTATTTCGATAAACTTGGTCGGGTGGACGACACTCCTGTGTATTTGCTGGACAATCTAGACGTCGGCGATGCTGTAGAGGGTCCTGCGATGATAATCGACGACACGCAGACTATCGTTGTGATTCCAGGGGCGAGAGCAGTTTTGACTAGCAAACATTTGTATATTACCCTCCACTCTTGAGTGTACCCGAGAGTTGTTGCAGAAATAGTTTTTCGATTGTAATCCATTGCCTGGGCGTGTCTGTATCAGACCAACCGATGTTCGACCTAGGGGTTAGGAGATGGGTCCCTCTCACTGCGATCCTCGCCATCTTTCACTTCCTTAAACCATCCACATCTTCCATCCTTAGCACTGTTCGCCGTTGTAACACGCCCGCTTTTTTCTCATCAATGCCGCCCTGCAGTCCTATTCATTCGTACAGTTTTGGATCATGCTTCTCCCACATTAAATATATCATAGCCATAACAGGCGGCCGTACCATGGAAATATTATGCATCATATATCAAGATCGCAGGGCTTCTTGTCGCCTCTTTTTATTTCCCGCGGAAGAATTCATTAATGTACGCATGGTCGGATTCCAATGATAAGCTATCCAATGAATGTGACAGAATACAAGGGCTGGTTCCGGGTCACCGGCCGAAGAATCGAGGCGTTTATGGGTGAGAGAAGCTTGAAGATAGCAATGCTGTGAGTGCTATTTGTTTCTATCATTGGCCCATATAGGTTTCGCAGCGTCTGGATCGGGATTGCTCAGCTACGTATGTGTCATTAGACGTGACAGCAGATCGCCATTTGCCGGGGTAAGATGCACGTCCGGTGGGGAGGTGGTGAAGCGTATGAAATGTAGAACGTCGAAAAATTGAAGAAGCGTCGTCGTGAAGCGAGCCAATGGGCGTTTAAGTTGCATGGGTGCAGTTGTCGAACAGAAGCAAGGAAGTTGATGCAAGGCGTGGTCAGTCATGGTTTGGAGACGGGCGTGGTAAATGCAATGAAAGAACACTCACCTGAGCGTCAGCTTGGCGCGCAGCAGCCTGTTCTCGAGACAATCGAGCTGCTCGGCTGGCGTCGACCTTGCGTCTGATATCTGGAGCCATTTCCTGGTCGGCGCACAAGCGAATAGAGGAGGTCAGCTGAGGTCCAAAGGGATAATGCGAAGCAGTCAATGTGAAACTGAGGCAGTCACTGATGCACGCGAACCACGAGCAGCTCTCTAAATAAACGGGGTGCGAAGTCTATATAGAACACTTACATTGTATAGCTGCTCTTCGGTGGGTACGGTTGCTATTCGTCCAGAACGTGGGTTATTACGAGACCGGGCAGCCAAGTTCGGTGAAAGGCCTACCTCTCATGAGAATGTATCCGAATCCCATTACTGAAAACGTGGTGGCAGTATGTAAGATGAATGAATATGCAATTGTATGAGAAGCCTGGACTCACACCCTGCAGCAGCAACCGTGAATCTGGCCAAGGGGAAACTCGCCATGTCGTGGAAGTACTGAACGAAGCAGCGTGACAACGACGGGATTCGTTGCAGCAACTCCGCCTGCGGAGCATCACGTGAGATTAAGCCCCTAGTTCGAGGCGGAGTCCCTCAGTCCCTCCAGGTCCCAGCAGGCCCCCATACATCATGCTTGGCGCGAGGAGCTGAGGGGAGGCACCAGTCCGACCGTCAGATAACCATCCGACACGCCCGAAGACGATGGCCTAGTTCCAGCCACCCTGTCGACTTACTTCCAGAAAGAACGCGGAGATCATGAGTTGATTCTGAGGTACATGTACAGACGACATGATTGCAAATGACAAGGGAGCAAATTAATCCCAGGAGTTAATATCGGGGGTAACCGTGACGACTATGAAGACAAGCAGCTCGAAACGAGGTGCTGGGGAACGACTGATAATAAATAGACCGAACAAACGCGGTGACAAAGCGAGATATTGCAAACAGGTGTTGTGGGCGAGAGGATGATTCACGATTAAGGGTCTTCATGAGCTAAAGGACAATGCGGTTTGGGTGGACAGAGAACAAATGATGCAGGAAAGTGGAATCCGGAGTGATGATTTGATTATGAAGCTCGAGAATGTTCGAAGGTTCTTTTCAGACGCTTGTAGGCGAACCCCAGCATGTCGCTCGATCGCCGACTTTGAAGCTCGATGCGTGCCAGTTCTTCCTCCCAAGCTCTCACCTCCTTCAGACCAGGGCTGCCGCTAGTGCTACTCGGGTTTGTTGATATGCTACCGGCACTTCTCGTGCTCCTGTCAGAGTCTCTTCCACTACTAGAGCTGGAGCTTATCCGGGAGGCAAATAGGTGCTTCGAAGAGCCTTTGACACTATCACCGCTTGCCGTACCAGGCCTCGAGCGAGAAGAATCGGGGTGCTTCGTCCGGTGAGCATGGGCTTCATTCTCCCTTCCTTCTTCGGGCTCCTTTACCCGGTTATAGGTCGGGCTACTCCCAAAGCCAAGAACTTTATCTCGGGGGCCAGCTGATGTGTGCGGTCGCCGAGATGATGATTTGGCTTTCGGGAGCCCGCTAGACGACTGCATGGATTGCGTGTGGGCTTTGCTGGAGCGATCAAGAGTTTTTTGACTGGTGGAAGAAGTCGAAGGCCGTGAAAATTGTTCTGAATGTGGTGCCGGTGGAAGAGGCACTTCTCCCTCGCGGTCTCGTCGAATCTTGCCTCGAGGCGATTTGGACTTCGAACGCGCCGAAGGGTCCATGCAGGAATCAACTTGTTCGTTGAATTTCGAAAGGGCGAGCGATCTTTCGGCTTCGTTGGTGGAAATGATTAATAGCTCTTGGTCGGCCAGCTCTAGACACTCGGTGCCCGTCGATGCAGCTACAACAACCTATTATAGTAGGCATGTTCTGTCAATTCGGTGCCGAGTATAGGCAACTCGAACTCACCTTGACGCGAGCAAAAAACCTAACGGAGGCAAGGTCTGATTGGGTGGTCTCCCCAATGGCCCAACGGCTATTTGATTTGGCTGCCGGCCATTGTACTGTTAATGTTTTGTTCCACACGCCATGGCTATCTCGTGAGAAGAGACCTGATGATTCTGCACCCGCGATAGAAGATGTTACCACCTTCGACGGAAGAACCTCGCTGGTTGTTGTGGGAAGAACTACTGCCATTTGGTTTGACGAAGATTGTAGCAGAGGGCGTGTCTCGGCTTCTGTCGAGAAAGATGCTACAGACGGGGAAATAGTTGATGAATAGGTCGATGCTGAGCTGGCATGTAATGGAGGAATGTCAAGGTGCATATTACTGTTGTTGCCATTGATTTCTTGATACGATGCAGTGGGGGAATAGGACGTCGATGCAAGATGGTTTGAGACGGAAAGGGTTTGCTGCCGAGGTGTTGGTTGAGACTGTGATGAAGGAGTAAATGAGTAGAGGGCTTCGTTGAGCTGTATACGTCGCTCGATAATGACGCTTGCACTGCGGATTGTAACAGAAGGGTCAACGGGCGAAAGGTGAACACCGATGGGTACAAGATCCATTGGTCCAATAGGTGATGAAGGGGTCTTTACGCAATACCGTATTCGGGGCGTGCGAGGCTTATTCGTTTGTAGCTCGAGGAAAGGAAGGGGTTGGGACGGCCTGGGGGAGATATGCTCTGGTAGATCATACCGAATAAGAGGTAATTCCGAATGCTTCACTTGCTTCGCCCCAACGCCTGTTATGGGGGCATGATGTATCGCTGACGCATGATTTCAGCAACATATATTCTTCCTGGACAAAAGAATCCTTACTGGCTTCGACCCTCCAAGTGCATTTATATTCAACAAATGTCGCCGTACTAAAACCAGCGATGTTGGGCGGTAGTGTGAGTCTGAATGGAAATTCCGCATCTCCCAGATCGGCGTATTCTTGAGAATCGGGTTTCGACCAGAGCACTTGCGTCTGGTCTACCAAGATATTTGACTGCAGCACGCTTACGCGACCCAGACGCGACTCGTAGCATCGAATCGAGACGGTGACGGATTTTGTGGGCAAGCTCTTCCCGTCATTGTCAAGTTTGACGCGGACCACTGGGCGGGGCGGGACATCAGCAAGGTTCGCTGGCATAGATGAACGGGACTCACCTCCTTCTACCCTGAGGGGGGTCAGCCCCAGATATCCACTGTATGGAAAATAGCGGGTTCCGGAGTTCCCTAGAAGCAAAATGAGGAGAAAGTTCAGCATCGACGGTGGCGACGCACCCTTCGGGGAGGCCAGGACGATATGGACCATACGAAAGCGAAGTGGGAGAGGAGAAGGATGATGTGCCAGAATGGACCATCGCTATTTTATTAAACAATTCAGAAGCATGCCAATCTCAGATCACCTGTCACACTGTCGCAGTCACTGTCACAGAGAAGTCACACTCACCGGTCACGCTCCGGTGTCCTTTCCAGGATGGCTCTCAAGGCTTCTCCCTCAACGACCACCATGCCCTCCTCACTCTATGTCCCCTTTCTCCTGGCGGGGATGATCATTACGGTCAGTACGGTGCTGAACTGCCACTATACATCACTGATATGCGTCTCATTGCTAGGGCTCCAGCAATTCGCTTTGGAGTAAATGGCAGGCATGTTTGACTTCTTATCTCAGTCTGCAACCGTATTAGACCTTTTCGCCGCAGGATATGCAATGTGTGGAGAATTGCTCGGATCCAAATCCAGCAAACCGTGTGCTCTATGAGCAGCCAGTTTGGCAGACTCTGCAGATGTTTCGTGAGCCTACTGTCTCTCTTCCATTGCAGGCAGTGCCTTCCTAACCAACCGACATAGTCGGAGAGATGCTCTGTAAGTTCAAGTCTAAATCTTTCGCACCGCATGCATTCAGGCTTCTCGTGTCAAGGCTTTCTACCCGTTATTTACACGTGGTTGAGAACAAGATCACAGCAAGCCCCAGTTCACTTGCCGTCTGATTCCGAAGGAGAACCTCTGGTACCAAATAAGGCTGAGGCTCAATCGGAGCACTTGTCGGGATCAAAGGTCTTACTCCTCTGGATCCCGGCTCTGTGTGATCTCACTGGTACAACCGTGAGTTTACGGTACAGTTATGTCTATCAACAACCCCCTTACGTTATCTCGTTTCAAGTTGATGAATGTGGGGTTGTTGTACACCCCAGTCTCTATCTATCAGATGACCCGCGGCGCCCTCGTTTTGTTTGTTGGGATACTTAGCGTCATCTTCCTCCACCGCCGCCTTTGGTTGTACCAGTTGAGTTCTTACGACCGCTTTGACCTTCCCTACTTATCTCCTCTTCGATCTGCAGATGGGTCTCCCTGATTACCGTTATGACGGGCGTATGTTTGGTTGGACTTAGCGGCTTCTTCAAAGGCCATGAGGGCGAAGATGCGCTCATTGACACCCTTCTTCCTGCTTCCTTAGCGCATGTTCGCAGGGCCTACCTGTCGCCCGAAGCAGAGGCCTCAAAGGTTCTTGTTGGTAGGTTATAGATTCATTTCTCCGCTGCTTTGGATGCTTAATGGGTATTTCCCTTACAGGTGTATTCTTTATCCTCTTTGCCCAGATCTTGTAAGAACGCTCACGCAAACGTTCTTCATCGGCGATTTACCCAAACGGTCTAACCGCTCGCTTGTTATATTTAGCACCGCTACGCAGTTCGTTGTCGAAGGCAAGCTAAGCGTCTAACCTTCTTACCGGGATCTTCTAACGCCTGCTTCGTACGCAGAAAAAATCATGGGCAAGTGACAACCCGCCGTCTGGCTGATGCTTCAGCTTATGGATCATTTATCCCACAGGACGGTATTCTGTCGCCCCATTGGTTGCGGTCGGCTATGAAGGATTGTTCGGTGCTATCACCATTTTACTCTTCTTCCCCATCCTTGCGATACCATCTGTCGCTGCCAAGTCTACATTTTTCGATCTTCCTCGAGGATGGCACCAGATGGTCGATACGCCCACCGTTCTTTATTCTGGCATAGCGATTGCTTGCAGTATTGCCCTCTTCAACTTCTTCGGGCTCAGTGTGACTCGTCACGTTAGCGCGACTGCCCGAAGCTTAACAGATACCTGCAGGACGCTATCTATCTGGCTCATTAGCTTAGGACTTGGATGGGAGAGGTTCATCTGGCCTATCTCTATGTTGCAAGTCCTCGGGTTCTCTCTTCTTGTGTACGTAACTCTTGCTCTCATCGCCGCAATGCAGCATATTCTGATGCGACGATGTTTCGCCGACTTGGCACAATAGTTATGGGACAGTGAGTGTTCCTGTTCGCCTAATGGAGCTTATAAGAGGATTTAACCATCCTTCTCTGGCAGTTCTTGTTCAATAACTTGGTCAGCCCGCCACCCTGTCTTCCAGGCCCTCGCCCATCATCAGCAGACGATGCCAGGACGGATGCAGAAGAAGAGCAAGGCCTTCTCTCTTCCACGCTGGATGAGACGGCCGCACTTCCCACTGACCTTGGGCAAAGCGGTTTTGACGTAGTTCCTGAAGGTCAACATGCTCTCGCTCAGGGCAAAGTAGTCTCCCCTCGATCTGAGTAAGGAGCTCCAATGTTCCGTTGTGTCAACGATTTGGAGATTCGATATGCATCCGTAGATCTCCCCGTTCTTGTGTATCATACTCGACATCTTGCTTTAATTGACACTGTCGCCGACGAGGCGGATGATCACACCGCATTCAGATAATGTGGCACCAGGCACTGTGGTGTCGCGGTGCATTATGACTGACGACTTGAACAGAGGACATGATTAATCGAAATTTCCAATCATTCAGCGTGCCTTTGGCTCCCCAGCTCGTTACGGCGACGATTACCGATTTGGGTAGACAAGACGGCCTACAGTGGCCCTACACCTCCGCACTGATTACAATCATCAGTGCAGAAGGAGAGAACTGGATAATCTTATTGCACAGCCGCGTTGTAGTCCAGAATTACTGCCCAAAACACACCATCAACAACGTTTTCTGCATCCCATGCGTTCCATTCAGGTTAGCGACTTCCAACTAGGTGGTTTTTCGGGCCCCAAATATGCGGCGTCCGAAGAAGCGCGTGGTGTTGCAGAGTGCACCTCCGTTGGAAATCCCGGAGCTGCATTCGGTTCCGTCACTTCGACGAGCAATATTACCTTGACATGACCAACACCTGGAGCGGCTTGATCTAATTTGGCGGTAATTGTTCGCTAGTCTCCACGGAGAAACATCACATAGGCAAAACCAGTGGCGCATTCACCATGTGTATGTGGGCGTGGACGTTCTCTTGACCTCAGGCGCGCCGGTGTCTCGGCAACGTCGAGTACTCTGCCGTGGTGCCAGTGTCTAGTGGCACGTCCAACAATCAGATCAGATCGAATCAGCCTCATGCGCGCGAATAAGGAGGAATAAGGTGGGATCAAATCACTACAGCCACCCGCTCGAAGATGGCGAATTTGACATTTCCGGATCACGATCGTACACGCCGTCTTCATGAACGGCCGATGAACAAACTGGGCTATGTCCTGCTATTCGGAGCGTGTATATACTGGAGGCATGCCGGCGGTCGTGACGGTCGTGACTCCGAATTCTCGTGCGGCGCACATTGCATCTGCTGCCTCACCTTGATTTACCTAGTCGAAACCTTGCATCAATCCAGACCTGCAGGCGTATGGAATCATATTACAGCCTTGCCAACCTGATTCCAATGCTTCGAGCTTTGGAAGCTGATATATGCATCAAAGACTGTGAGACTGATGCAGATGCCAGATGGTATGGACCCGATCACTGGTCCCGCCGACCATCAACGGTTCAACGGGTTTGGAGACAATTGCTGTCGCCCAATCATCAATCGCCATAGAAACCTACTAGACACACCCCACAGTACGTTCCGAGATGAGGCATGGTGAGGATGTCGGTCCGAGGGAATCCCGGACTCAGAATTCATTCGAGTTTCGTTTACACACATGAAGGGAAGATATATTGACCTGAGACGCGGTGTACATGAACAATGGGAAGATGGTCCGTTATTGGTCAAGTCCAGTGCGGTTGTTGTTAGATCGTGGATGCAACGACGCAAGGAAGCAGATGAATTTAGCACCCGAAGGTCGAACCAAAGCCACACGGTACGTGAGGGTCTAGACGGAAACAAACCGTAATTTGTAGAGCCTTCCGGGCAGAACGGAATTACTTACCGTCGTGTACAGCAGGGTCGTCACCGGACGTGAATAATACCAGTCAATCAGACTCGTTGTCGCTGGATTCGCCATCACTAGATTCGTCGTCGCTATCAGCCTCTCTTTCTTGCGCTGCATATATCGCTTTCTCCAACTCTTCGAGATCCCAACCAATGATTGACTTGGGTACCGTCAGTTCCTTTACTTGTTTTCCTAACTGCAGGAGGATATCTTCGCTGGGGGTAGTATAAGCTTTGTGTAACAATAAATTGAAGAAAGAAAGCGATCTACCTTGCGGACGACTGGACCCACACACAGAAATCATCCACCCACACCTTGCTGTAGACATAATAAACCTCGTGGAGATCCAAAATACGCTTGATATTCAGCAGACACCTAAATACCACGCGCTTGCCTTTGATAAGCCAGTCGCTGACATCCCGTCTACAGGCCTCAGCCAAGGCAAAGGACCGAAAGAGGGGAAACGCCAAAGATCGTCTGTATGATTCACGAAATGTGGCCTGTAGCACTGAATCGGAGTATCGGGATATATCCAGGGACTCCTCGTCGTGATACGGGGCGGAATCCAATGCAGAGAATGCGGGCGTAAGATTGCAGACCGTCCAGGCGCTTTCGGGTCCGGGATCACCTTGCGTCGTACGAGTTTCGTAGGCATAAGAAAACAGTATCGAAATGAGAGTTAGATAAAGGTTATGATTTTGTACGGGTGTTGACAGATCTATGGGAACTTCAGTAAGAGGGTCTTCATGCCTTCTGATATACATACATTCTTTCCGTGGTAGCCTCAACATCGTCGCATTCTCGTCTTCAGTAAATTCAAAAGGTTTTGTGTCCTCAGCGTAGGGGTGCCTCCAAGTGATCAAATCCTGGAGATAGTCGTCCACAAAGTCTGCCCTACGTTGCATTTCAGAACGGTAAATTTGCAACGTAGAAGTGGAAGAGTTCACATATAGTGCTCTTCGTTCCATTTCTTGTTTTCGTGCTCTCTGCGTAGAATACGTCGCTGAGCGGGAAAGATTCCCTCTGCATCACCGCCGAGTTCATTGACTTCGTTCTCGGTATGGCCGACGTTTCTGAAATAGCCCGTGTACATGTCCAAGAATCCATATTGCACGTCGAGACCCAATTTCAGCGGTGGATCAGAATCTGGCACGTTTTGAGGAAGCTGCCAGTCATTTTCAGCCGCTATAATCTAGCATCAGTCGCCGTGTACAGCGCGACGGAAGCTGCTTCGCACCCTTCAGAATCTCTTGATCTTCTAAGGAAAGGCTTTCTGCCTTTTCTGCTAGATCATCGTCTACCGTATCTGATGATATCACTTCTATCTGAGGCGTCTGCTTTGTAGGCCGGGGCGCCAGGAGCTTTGCCAATAGATCCAAATCCCGGAACTCTTGACCCTTCACAGCCTTGGTTAAGGTGACCGTCAGATAGCCAGAGCTAGGGTCGTATTTGGCAGCGCTTTCATCGTCCTCAACCACTGGGTGAGAGAAATTCAATCGCAAAAAATAAGGGTTGACATGGGCGATGAACACAGTCTCATCGACGTGTATTTCCACCTCTGAAGCCTAATTGCAGTCAGAATGCCTCGATAGCAGTGAAAATGTGACATACCCGAATTGAGGGGCAGTAGATGGACACAATGATCTCTCCCTCTGTCTGGCTGCAAGAGAACCGCGGCGTGATCATACTGACCTTGGATGCGATGAATTCCGCTTGGCTCGCAGCACGGTGGTGTGGGCCTGCAAGGGGTTTCTATTCAACGTCGCGATGATATCGAAATCGAGCCAGCGCCGAATGCTGATGATGAGAATTACTGACTGAGGGTCCGAGGCCGTCGCCGCGACTCCTGAAGCAGACGACGCCATCTCGGCTCACCCACAGATTTTGCAAACAACCGGGGGCATTTGCTGGCACCAAAATAAAAAGAACAGGGTGTTGCTTTGCCACAGTCACCACGTCGCCACGATGGACCCTTCGGTGCGTATTATCGCGCGCGGCGCCCATCCAAATATGCTGACTGTGGCGCGCGCAGAGACTCCCCGCCTACCCCTCTCTCGCAGAAGTCGAGAAGCTCATTATCCACGAGAAGAAGGGAAACTGCGTGCCCATATACGTAGAGCTTCCTGCAGACCTCCTAACACCATGCATGGCGTACATGAGAATCGCGAAGGACTCCAAGTACAGCTTCCTCCTCGAATCCGTGATTGGGGGCGAGAACGTAGCGAGATATAGCTTTATTGGCGCTGGTACGTCCCTTGTATCGCGTATCGGTGAACTGATGCGAGTAGTCCTTCAGATCCATTCAAAATCATCAAAGTGGGCCCGAATGAAGAGATTACAGGCGATCCAATGGCTGCCCTCCAGAAGGAGCTCACCCTATACCAATACGTCAAGATTCCAGAGATACCCACCTTCACTGGCGGTGCCATTGGTTATGTCTCGTACGACTGTATCCAACACTTTGAGCCCAAGACTACTCGGACACTGAACGACCCATTAGCCATCCCCGAGGCGGTGTTCATGCTAGTTGATACGCTCCTGGTTTACGATCACATTTTCCAATCTCTGAAGGTCGTCTCGCATGTATTTTCCCCCGCAAGTAACGGGCAAGTAAACCTGGGATTCGTGTACCAGACGGCGGTCTCAAAGGCACGACGTCTAGCGAAACTAGTGGTGAGTAGTGCTACTCCGGAGATCCCCCAGCCACCTATTACCCTTGGAGCCGAGGGAGTATCCAACGTAGGCAAGGCTGGATATGAGCAGTTCGTGACGACACTCAAAGAACACATCGTGGCCGGCGACATTATCCAAGCCGTACCTTCCCAAAGACTGGCAAGGCCGACTGCTCTCCATCCGTTCAATGCCTACCGACATCTGCGTAAAGTGAACCCAAGTCCATACATGTTCTACTTGGACTGCGGTGACTTGCAGATTGTTGGTGCCAGTCCTGAGACACTCTGCAAGGTAGAGAAGAATGTCGTTTTCAACCATGCTATCGCAGGGACGACGAAGCGAGGAAAGACACCTGAAGGTTTGTGCAAGCAACAACGGGGGACTCGTTCGCTAACAATGTACAGAGGATGAGAAACTAGGCGCCGCGTTATTGGCCTCGGAGAAAGATCGAGCAGAGCATATCATGCTGGTTGACCTTGCGCGTAACGACGTGAATCGTGTCTGTGAACCTCGGTCGGTTAAGGTGGACCACCTCATGAGACTAGAGAAGTTCAGTCATGTCATTCACCTCACCTCGCAAGTATCGGGCAGCTTGCGAGAAGGCTTGACCAGGTGCGCTTATCCAAAGTATTTTGTCCGTTGCTAATCCCAATCGTAGATTTGATGCATTCCGGTCGATCTTCCCTGCGGGTACTGTGTCGGGGGCGCCCAAGATCAAGGCCATCGAAATCATTTATTCCTTGGAGAAAGAACGACGAGGCGTTTACGCCGGTGCCGTAGGTCGCTTCGATTTTGCCTCGGATGAGATGGATACCTGCATCGCAATCCGAACGATGGTGTTCAAGGACGGCGTAGCTTACCTGCAGGCTGGAGGAGGCATCGTCTTTGATAGCGTGGAGGAAGATGAGTACGTTGAAACAATCAACAAATTGAAAGGGAACGTCCGGGCCCTCGAAGAAGCTGAGCGTAAGCCTTTTCTTCCATTTCTCGAGAACAGCGGTTCTAAAGGAGTGATAGGGTATTGGCATGATTTGCAAAACAATTGATAGATATGTATATTAGTAGTCGAACGTGTTGTACTGTTGCTTGGATTGCCGTGACCGTCTATCTCGTGTGTGCTCTTGCTCTCTCTCTGCTTCTGCCCTGCGCAGCGACGCTCCCTCCCGTCCCGCGATACTGAGTACACCAGCGATCAACTCCGCTGCTCGTGTGCTCTCATCGTTGGCCGGTATAGGGTACATTACGATTCTCGGGTCTGCGTTCGAGTCGATGACGCCAATGGTGGGGACGTGTTCGATTGCGCATTCGCGAATGGCATTCATGTTTGCGAGGGGATTGAGAAGGACAACGAGATCGGGTGTAACTTTTTGGTCTTTGACAACGTCAGCTCCGTAAAGTTGCATCTTGTTGGTCAAAGTCCCTGGAAGCCACCTTTCACCAACGTAGAAGCCTTGTCCCCCTAGGCGCTGTGCTGCTTTTTGGACGACCGGTCGCAGGTCTGGTCGAGTGCCGATGAAGACTACTTGGCCGCCCGCGTAGGCAATTGCGCGAACAAGCTTCGCCGCCCGGCGCAGGAGCGGTAATGTTTGGTCGAGGTCGATGACGGTTACGCCTGCCCGCACTCCGTACGCGTATGGCATAAAATTTGGGTTCATTAGGGACCGCGAATGACCGAGGTGAGCACCCGAAGCGAGGAGCGCCGACACCGTCCCTTCCGCGGGTGGTTTGTGAAGACCATGGCTAGGTTTCCAGGTGTCTTCCGGAGACTGAACGGAGCCATAAGGTTCGAATGCGTCGGCTACATGCCACACTGTCAGCTATATGAATTGTCGCGTCGGTATTGCAGCACTTGCCTAGCATTTTGAATTCTGCTCGCTGGAGCTGAAACTCTGTCCATTCCTCCGGAGTGTCTAGTCTGTCGGGCGAAGATGCGTCTGTGGATGCATGCCGTGCTGCAAAGACACGTAGGTTCCTGGAGCAACAGCGAGCAGGAGCAAACCAGGAGCGCAGAGCAGGAAGAGACATAGTTCGGTTGTGGGAAACCAATGGACTTGTGAAAATCTTGAGGATTGTGGGACATGTGGCTGTGCAATCGCTTACCACGCCCAAACAATTTTTTCAATCCCTCCTGGCTACACCTTCACCACCACCAAAACCTTTTCCCGACTCGCTCCCCTCAAATCTCTTTCTAAAATGGATGATGTTTTCGACGGCGCCATTGGTATCGATCTTGGTACCACATACTCGTATGCTATATTCTTTTTCAAGGTACCAGCAAGGTTTTGATGGCCTGTAGATGCGTCGGTGTCTGGCAAAACGACCGTGTCGAAATCATCGCCAACGATCGTGAGTGCAATGTCGCTGGAACTGTTCAATAAACTCATTATATTGGCATCAGAGGGTAACAGGACAACACCATCATACGTCGCCTTCGCCGCAGAGGAGCGTTTGATCGGTGATGCCGCAAAAAATCAGGCAGCCATGAACCCCCGCAACACCGTGTTCGATGCCAAGCGTCTTATTGGCCGCCGATTTGAGTGAGTTCTCCTTGGTAATCGCTCCGTATTACCCCGTTCTCAACATTTCAAAGCGACCCCGATGTGAAAAAGGTGTGCTCAAAAATATTTTTGTACATATGGCACTAACCCTAGGTTTGATAGGATATGGTCCACTGGCCCTTTGAGGTCGTCGAAAAGGATGGATCACCACTGATCAAGGTCCAATATCTTGGCGAGGAGAAGACTTTTACCCCTCAGGAAATCTCGTCAATGGTCCTCACCAAAATGAAGGAGATCTCTGAAGCTAAGCTCGGTAAGACTGTCAAGAAGGCCGTTGTCACGTATGTATCTATGCACTTATGTCGCCCGATCATAACTCAACCGATCATACAGTGTCCCCGCTTACTTTAACGACTCCCAACGGTTGGCTACCAAGGACGCTGGTGCCATCTCTGGTCTTGACGTTCTCCGTATCATCAACGAGCCCACCGCTGCTGCCATTGCCTACGGTCTCGATCGTCAATCGAAGACGGAGAAGAACGTTCTCATCTTCGATTTGGGTGGAGGAACCTTCGATGTTTCCCTCCTCAACATCACTGGTGGTGTCTTCGCCGTCAAGGCTACTGCTGGTGACACTCACTTGGGTGGAGAGGACTTCGACAACGCTCTTCTTGAGCACTTCAAGAACGAGTTCAAGAAGAAGACTAAGCTCGACATTGCTGATGATGCTCGTGCTCTCCGTCGCCTGAGAAGTGCGTGTGAACGTGCCAAGCGCACACTCTCCAGTGTCACTCAGACGACGGTCGAGGTCGATTCCCTCTTCCAGGTTAGTCTTGAGGTAAATATATCTCGAGCTAGTTTCTAACGATGTACGTAGGGCGAAGACTTCTCTGCCAACATCACCCGTGCCCGTTTCGAGGAGATCAACGCTGCTCTCTTCAAGTCCACTATCGACCCGGTCGAGAAGGTCTTGAAGGATTCCAAGATCCCTCGTGATAAGGTTGACGATATTGTCCTCGTCGGTGGCTCCACCCGTATCCCCAAAATTCAGGCATTGGTTTCAGAATACTTCGGTGGACGTCAGCTCAACAAGTCCATCAACCCTGATGAGGCTGTTGCATACGGTGCCGCCGTCCAGGCCGCTGTCCTCACTGGCCAGACATCTGAGCAGACGAAGGATCTCCTTCTCCTTGATGTTGCCCCTCTCTCCCTCGGTGTTGCCATGCAAGGCGATGTCTTCGGTGTCGTTGTCCCCCGTAACACTCCCATCCCCACGAACAAGTCAAGAACCTTCACCACTGTCGAGGACAACCAGACCACCGTTACGTTCCCGGTGTATGTGACCTTTCCTTCGCGAATGCTGTGAGAATACTCATTTTATGATTAGCTACGAGGGTGAGCGCACTCAATGCCGCGACAACCGACTGCTCGGTGAATTCGAACTCAACGGGATTCCCCCAATGCCCCGTGGCCAAGCTGAGCTCGTTACTACTTTCGAGGTTGACGCCAACGGTCTGTTGAAGGTCTCTGCCCAAGATCGTGCTTCAGGCCGCAAGGCCAGCATCAGTAAGCTACATTCTGCTACATTTTGAGACGTCTTTCTAATTGGTTCTTCAGGTATCGTCAACTCCGTTGGTCGTCTCTCATCGGCTGAGATTGAGCAGATGATCAAGGACGCTGAGCAATTCAAGACCGCCGACAAAGAATTTTCCGCCCGACATGAGGCCAAATCCGACCTCGAGGCCTACATCCACCAGGTTGAGGGCACCATCACCTCGCCCGAAATTGGCATGAAGCTCAAGCGTGGAGCTAAGTCTCAAGTTGAGGCTGAGCTTGCGCGTGCTCTGGAGAAGTTGGAGATCGAGGACTCGTCAGCAGATGACCTCAAGAAGGCACAACTGGGCATCAAGCGTGCCCTCCAAAAGGCAACCGCCGGTATCCGATGAGCACACCCCTCACCGTCGTCCATTCCCCTTCGTCATTCATACTTTGCGCTATCTTCATGACCTCTCAAAATTAACGTTGTTAGCTGTGTGCTGTTATCTGATGTCCCATTACTGAATGTAATTAAGAATAACGCTCGACTAGAAGACATTATGAGATGTACTTAAAAAGTCTGAACCAGAGGATAAACTACAACCAAGTACTACGTGGGGTGAGCTGCTATGACAATGATTTGTTGATTCTCAGGGCAACGTCTAGTATCCATAATTCTTCATCCGCGCCGTCACAAAGAGCTTTGTCGGCCTCAGCGAGGATCAGAGCACACTGCGATTTCTGTCGTCCAGTAAGCGTAGGGTGCAATACGATCAAGTCGTGAAGCTAGATGATACCTCAGAAGATGGCCAAGCCCATGCTAACAATAGCACTCACTTGAGATAGTATTTGGGAGGCAGAGTAACCCTCCATCGTCAGGTCTTTGACTTTCTTCTTGATAGGCTCGAACCCCTTCGTCTGATCTCTGTCGTCGGTATCCATGTCGGTTTCAGTCTCGATACCTAGGGTATTTGCAAATGACGAAACAACTGAGTTGGGAACGACTCCAGCAATCTCCTGGATGTCGTTCGCTGTTATTAGAGTAGGAGGGTTCGTTGATGAAGCGAGGCGAGACGCAGATTGCAAGTACGTGATGGCGCGGCGCAAATCACCACCGGATGTGGTGATCAACGCGTCTATGACTGAACTGTCTGCACCAATGTTTTCCGCGCTCGATATCATCGTCAGTCTTGCGGACGCAGACGCGCTGTCTAAGGGCGTGAAGCGAAATTTTGAACAACGGGAGGCTAAAGGTTCTATAATCCTATAGAGCCATGGGTACCAAGCGAAGTGTAACTTGAGAGACTGTCCTTACCTCGTTACATAGTTGCATACCAAACAGAAGCGAGTTATCCGTGCGTATGTCTCCATGATTCTGCGCAGAGCTCCTTGTGCATCCTGCGTCATGGAGTCTGCTTCATCTAGGATAATGATCTTGTATGGGGGACACGGATATTCCTTGCCATCGGACGCGACAGCCTGGGCTCTTGGTGTTTGTCGAGCAAAGTTCTTCACCTTCTCTCGAACAATTGCAATACCACGTTCATCGGAAGCGTTCAATTCTAGCACTCGATTTTTGAAATTGTCCGGCCTTTGATAAAGTCTCAGAAGGCAATTGTAGGGGACACAATGCAAGGAATACAAACCCAAAGAGTTGGCGAGACAATGCCAGGATAGTAGAAGTCTTTCCGGTCCCCGGAGGGCCATAGAACAACATGTGGGGGAGCTGCATTCGCATAAGTCTTGTCTTTGCTCAATTCTTCTCAAATCGGCGTACATTTGTGGAAGTCAGGGTCTTCTTGAGGACCGCTACTGTATGATCCTGCGATGAGATATCATCTATGGTTTTTGGGCGACTACAGGGTCATGAACACGGGAATTTCGAGCGATTTGTTCGCTGCACGCACTACTTCTCGACCCAAGGCTGCAGTGCTGGGTCAACATTGTGTTTCGGCGCGGTTTTGGTGGCAGGTACTTGGAAGAAGGCCATTAAGAGGTGTGTCACGTTCGCGTGACCATAACGCGTTTACTCAAGTCACTCACCGCTGTCCACATTCGACCTTGTCCACAACCACCACAACCGAGCCTGCATGAAAGGTCCTTTAACGGCCATGTCATCCTCAAATATCAACAAATGTGCGTATGATGCTGAATGTATGATCGTGGAATTCTAAGTCCATGCACCATAGCTCGGGACGACGCGGTAGCTCATGGTAAGCCTGGAGCATGATGTGACGCGACATGCTGGATGACACGGAACAGCAGGAAAGCCTGGTACATCGAGCATTGCAGAGCTCAAGAATGGCAAAGTGATTTTCCGGCAGAAACCGATCTCATTTGAGAAGAATTCCGAGACTATGCAAGGTGCGTCTGCAATTGTGTAGACCCGGGCAACAGGTTTATTCTGGGATAGCAATCGTGAAATTCAGAGAATATCTGGAGCAGTTGATGGAGAAGAAGGAGCCGATGTTTACCACGTTTCCTCAGGAACATATGCCTCTAATTGCGAAGTTGGCCCATGAGAGGTACGTTCTCGATGCACAAGACCCCATAGGTAGGCCATTGATCCTCCTTCAGTGATAAAGCAATAGGAGCACTGGCCAGATATATCTCGAAAGAGATTTCACCTGCTCAAGATGACGATGATGGATCACCACAAGCAACTATGGTTCCCGCCCCAATAATTGAGGCTGCAATCAAGTCTACCCTCGTCCGCGTCAATTACGGCCTTGATGGCTCTCCGGATGCTAAATTACCTTCTACTGCATGCGCATGGAGATGGGAAGTCAAGGATGAGTTCAAAGATTGGCTCCCGAAGACTATGCAGGAGAAAGCTGAGTCCAGAAAAGCTGATCGAATTCAGGTCAGTCGAGAAATGCTCTTACGATTGGTCAGTGATCCATAACCTTGACAGGCGAAAGAGTTCCTCTTAGCTACATTCGAAGCCTTGTCATTAGACGAACAACGTTCTATCATTCCTCAAAAACCTTGGAAAGTTTCGCTTTCGGAAGGTAATGGATCGACGACGAGTATCGTTGACCTCACCCAGGACGATGTTAAACCTGAGAAGCCAAATGACAAGGGCAAGGCAGGTGGAGAAGAAAACGACAAAGTGTGTTGTTCCTTCCATTTAGTGAATATATTCCAACGTCGCCTTGTAGCCGGCAAAAAAGCAGAGTCCTGAAAAGAAGACGGTGCTAGAAGATCCAGAGAAGGCCGCTAAAGTTGGTACTATGACGTCCGGACCCACCCTCTGCTAATTCTGTTCTAGGAGAAAATGCGAATGGAGAAGAAATTAGCCAAGGAGGAGCGAGAGAAGAAGGAGAAGGAGGCGCAACACCGATCGCGATCTATTATGGCAAACTTTTTCTCGAAACCCAGGAATGCAGCCGCATCTACGTCGAAACGAATTGAACCCGCCCCGGCCCCGCAGACAGACTTTGAACGCACTTTCAAGCCTTTCGTCGTAAAGAAAGACGCAACAATGGCTCGAATCAACTGGTTCAGGCGCAAGAATGGGAAGCAACGAAAACCTCCCCCCACCCCCGGCGTTATCGTATTATCAGACGACGAGGATATCTCCACCCCTTTTCTAGCCGTGGCGGAATTGCCTATGGACGTAGACGAACCCATACCACACCTTGCATCTATGACTACACAAGGTTAGAATTTTGTCTCCGTCTATTGCCACTCTTACACGTTGTCTCTCACAGCACGCCTTGACAATGTCATACAAACATTGACTTCATCAACATCAAGTCTTCCACTTCGCCGGCGGCCAAGTCTTCAATACAAAACTTTCCATCCCTTGACTGTTCGCGATGTCATGCATCAACTTACGGAAGCTGAAGTAGCAGGAGACGACGTGATGGTCCGCTCCATCCTTGCGAAACTGCGAGACCGCAAGCTATTCCCTGCCAAGGTCTTTATCTTCACGGATGACTTGCGACCTGGTTATTTCGGTACATGGACTCGGAGCTCTCGTCTTATTGGACCCCGTACTCCCCTTGTCCGAGACATGGCTATCCTTGACTACAGTAACGACAGCGGGGAAGAGTGGGAAGATGAAAACGCCAATGATGCCGATGATGTGAATGACGATGCCGAAGAGGACGACGATAGCGAGGCCGATTCTGACCTTGAGAGTTGGTTGGTCGAGGATGAAGATGAAGACCAAGGTGTACCTCCGGACGTTGACGACCCTTTTGTCTTGGATGTTCCCATGCCAGCACCTCCTCCGAAGCGGAAAGCAGTAGAGGAGCCGGCCAAGAAGAAGCTGACCAAGAAACGCAAAGTTGTTGTTCCACTCGTACCTTTCTGTAAAGGGCCTTGCTGGGAAGACACAATTGGCCATTGTGAATCGGACATCCTGAAGCCTTACCGCATCCAATTGTTCAATGGTAAGTCGTTGTCGACCTTGTTATTGTTAATGAACTGAAGATGATCGTTTGAATGTCTAGATTGCCCATTCCCCGTTGATCCTTTCACATTCGTATCAACATGTGGGGGAGACAAGTCTTCGGCAACGAAAGCTGCGAGTAGGACCGAGATCCCTACCGCTTCCGATATTTCGGCAATTGCGACCTCAATGCCACCACCCCCACTTCCCTCTGTTCCGACAGTCAAGCGGACGGCGTCGGCGGCACACAAACCAAAGACACCGTTTCCCGATGTTCATCTGCCGTTTCTGCTGTCTAAGATTGATTCCTTACATGCGCCTACCGTTACTTATCTCGTCGAGGAGATCTTTAAAGAACTGCGTTCTCAAAATGTGAGGAAGAATTCAATCGAGGTGAAAGTCAGGGAGGTTGCAGAGAGATGTAGAGAGAAGAAGTATTGGGTAGTCAAACCAGGTATCATGGTTTGATTTAATTCTCATCAAGGCTAGGATCTGATTCCTTCGTAGGCTGCTCTTGACGGAGAACGGTGTGGTTTCATTAGCTCGTTCCTATTTATTTCAGTATCACAACTAGCTCAGCTCGGGATATGTTCACTCGTGGAGGCTTGTATACTTGGACATCAGTTTCAATGCATACTACGTATAACGTAGCTCATAATTTGCCAGTGGCCGTTTTCATTCTTATAGTGCCCCGGTCGGGGAGTGACTAGTATCCTACTTCACTTCTGGCTATATATTAGCAGAATCTATCATAGACCTACGCCACTTCGACGTAATTTCATCCACCTTGAGCAACACTCCAGCTGCAGCCCGTCGCAACTTTATATCTTGGACCCCGCCCCCACCTTCTGCCTTCCTGCCTGACTCAAGACGTGCGAATAATGTTCCCGCCCATTCCCCAGTGCCCATGAGCAACGCAGTGTGCTCCAATCCCAGTGACCGTCCGTCATCGACCTCCTTAGCTCCATCCAATACGATCAAAGCCAACTCCAGGCTGGCACTCAGGACTGACGCCTCCTTGTTTCTTGCAGACTCTTCTGGTGATTGACCGGTTACAATGCTGTGCTCGTCATCATCGTCGGGGAGGGATATCGGCCGAGTGCCCACCGTTAATGCAAATTCCAGAGCTTCGGGAGCAATGATGGCGAGCCATTCTGGCGCATTCTGTGCTGCGTGCACCAACACGGTCATGGTACTCAAGAAATGCGAAAGCACAATTGGATTGAGTATGAGACCGGTGCCTGCCCCGTGGTATCGTGCTCGCCCGCTGAGGTGTGCAGTACGTTCTTCGCGGGTCTGTTCGTCTCGAATGAATACCCAGAATCTGTTTAGGAAGGGAATGATGAAGTATTCCGCCGCGACTTCCGTAAATGTCGTATTCTTGACCGGCGGCGCATTCTGCCAAGGGAACTGATTGTTTTTCTTTAAGGGTTCGACAGCAGTGATTTTAGAAGACTGGTTGATTCGTAGCCGCCTCTCACGAGCGATTCCTGGAACTTTGTCACCATCGTCTGACTTGGTTTTGTCAATCGCGACCCGGCTCAGGTTATCCGTGATTTGCTGAATTTGGTTGGTATCCCCGGCGGTAAGGTACTTAGTGTGCAGATGAGCGGGGAGGAGTTTACTAGGAAACGAAGGCCGGTCTGCTGGAACGCTTGAAGCGGAAGGAGGTACTGGGAGCGAGGCTAATTCTCGTGCGCCGATAGCGATCGCATTCAGCATGACATACCGTTGGCTTATGGAGTACTGGTTTACGAAAAATTGTTCGATAATGCAACTAATGTGAGAAACGGCTATGAGCAAATGATAGACATAGAGCCGTTGAGAACATACGGAGCAGCCTTCCGAGGACAGCAGCTAACCAGAGCATTGAGAGCAGCTTGTCGCTTACTCTCAAAGTTATCTAGATCGTAGTTGTCTTGAAGGGTGACTAAAGCGTAGACGAGGTTCACGGCGTTTTCTTCTGCATCCTCATCATCAATATACGGGGAAGAAGATAGCTGCGGATCTACGACTTGCCTAGCTCTGTCCCGTAGTTCCGTTTCCTCCTGATAAGCTCTTCAGCACAATTCAGGGCCATCTCGATTTTGTCTGCGTGGTGTGGGTCGTCTTTGCCTTGAGTCCCAGCCTGACTCCGCAGGAGTTCACCGAGTTGAGCGAGGTATACAGGCCGTGCGACCTTCTTCACTCCGACGTTCAACGTTGGCTCTTTCTCTATTTCAGCGAGCGCAGAAGGCGTGGGTGAAGCAGACCGAGACGATGCCTCGGATTGATAACCAACAAGTGAGTCATCCGAATCATAACCAGACTCGGTGGCTAGGACAATGGTTGGCTTCTGAGTCGGGTGTCCTTCTGTTGCCTGGAGCTGAGCTTGTTCAGCGGGGGTAGGCACGTCGATGTCTACGTCATCTTCATCCAGGAGGGCATCAATGTCTCGGAACTGTAGTTTCTGCCGTAGGTTTCTGGCCCACGCCTTTCCTGGGCTGTCGCCGTCCCAATCCCCGAAAGCAAGCTCGCGTCCTGTGCGGTGAGCAACGACTTCGGCAGCCAGCATGCCACAGAGACGAACGCCCTGATCGTTGTGACTGATGTAGGTACCTACTCCCGAAATAAAGGTTGGTGAGAGGCCGATAGAAGACAAATGTGGGGACGATGGAGGCAGGTAAGATATAGCGAAGAGGAGTAAACTGGTCAGATCTAATGAAATGTTATTCTATGCTAGTTTATACCAGGGAAATTTGTGCTTGCATTGGTGTTGGGATAGAAGAGAGTATTTGATGTGATCCGGGGATGACCAGACGTCTACAATGGTACTGAGCCAGGCTCCAATGGCTATGCAATGCTGTTAGTTACACCAACAGCTTTAGAAAGCGAGATGGAGCTCACTAGCATCGTCGGCGTTGTCAGATTGAGCGCCAGCCACCCAACATACTAAGATTCGAGCGTGCCATTCAGTCCATCCACGGTTTAGTGTAATCGACGTGATAGAGTCCCATAGCTCGCCGCGAGCTTCCCCAAGATGGCCAACGACATCCAGAAGTAGCGAGGCTTCCGCCTTGACGCGTGCATTCGGGCCAACGCCTGGATCGGAATCAAAGCCAATGGATAAGGAGGAAAACAAGGATGTTAGGATAGATTGTGTGGTGGAGATTGAAGGCAGTTGGTCGAGGATTTCGTGCCAGAGGCTGGCATATTGGGCGCCATTCAAAGCTCTGAGGTTACCCCGGATCGAAGAGAGGGTGGAGAGGAAGAACGAGGGTTGTGACCGCGATGTGGGACGCGTTGGCGGAAACACACCAACGTTTACTAGCTTGCCAAGTAAATATGCTACTGAAGACACAATATCTGCAATTCATCAGTCCTGCACCAGCATCAGGGATATTTTACTACTCACCATTGTTTAGCGGCGCGGTCGAGAGCGAGCATATCAACTGTTCGTATCGAATGCAAAGGTTATTGAAGTACGCCCCATGCTCCAAAAGCTCTGGTATTGCGATCTTGTTCGCTAGGGCTGCATTGGCGACTTTTGCAGGAACTGAGACGATGTTCTGCACACAGTCCTCCCATTGAATCGACCTTTTCTGATATTCGTGTGGGGACAACGCCGATGTGGAACCTTTGCGCGTGAACACTGCTTGAAACAGACGATCAATGGGATACTCTCTCGTCAAGCGACTCAGGAGACGAAGCGAATAAACGGTCAACGGCGTCGACAATAGCGTGGAGTATGCAAGCAGAGCGATGTCTCCCGCTTCATCGGTCGCGCACCAGAACGAATCCGGGCAGAAGTGTTGATCGGCGAGCAGCAGCACGTCGTTCTCCCGAAGCTCCTGCTCCCATGTCGGCACGATCTTCAACAAGATGGCCTCTTGGATGGACGGTATGTGTCGGCCTAACTTGAAGGCGCCGTCTGGTAACGGGTTTTGGTTGTGGTCTCTGAATCGCGGCGGTAACAGTCCAAGCGCAGCAAGGGGCGCGCAGAGCAATGCCAGGAGCGTTGGCAGGTCGGTGATGGGAGCTTGCAGCCTTTCAATGATATCTCGGACCTGGTCAAGGCCATTGGTGACCGGCTTGGCGGTCGCCATCGTCAAGTCATGCACGGTGACCATGGTTTGATCTTCATTTGGTCATTGCACGCGACGCTGAGGCTATCATTCCTTCTAACGACTTCAAGTCACCTCATTAACCGGCTACTATCGTTGCCTCGCCAGCATGCTGTCTATGCATATCCTAGGTACAACCCAGACCGTGCCTGATGGCCATTCATTTCGCGACTACACGACGGTGTGTTGCCCCCGTCCCGCTCAAGTTACGTTCAATACAAACTCACCGAGAAAGGGCCTTGCTCGGAATACGGACATTAGGTGGCACCAGTACGCCCACCTATACGACGCACTCGTGCCTTGATTTCGCGTCTTGGCAGCAGGTTACTCGCTCTCTGGGACTCTTGTCCTCCTCTCAACTGCGTAGCGAGTCGCATGGAATTATGATTCACGCGTTAGAGGATACGCCGAAGGTATATATATGCCCTGATTGTGAACGGACAATCTTCGTTGTCCCATTCTACGACTACCATTGCATCGCAATGAAGTACTACTGGGTCTCCTTCGTGTTGCCGTGTCTATTCGCCGTTTCGAACGCGGTACGTTCAATCCATCGTCGTGATATGAGTGGCTTAAGCTAACGGCCTGCTAATAGATACCCCCGCCGTCGTCGTCTGGAGTAACCTATACCGAGACTTGGGGATGCTGGCCTACGACCGTCACGTACACACTCCCTAAGGTAGGGCACCGGGGTTTAGACATCTTCAATGTGAATTCACATCTATTCTGTTGCAGGCCACACCGACGTCGGAAGTGGTCGTTACGCAGACATTGACCGTATGTGCATAAGAGACGTTGAATTGATTGTCAACGAACGGACTAGTATGTGCCTAAGGCCTTCCCATACTAGACTATTGTCCATTCAATTAGTCCAATTGTAGATGGATTATCGTCTTGTCGCATGCCCAGGGATTTATGTACGCCTTTGGTGTAGTTATTGACATTGAGGATGGTAGAAAGGCTACAATTTGCTCGTCTCCGTCGAATATGAGGCGGTTCTTTGAGATTTCTTACATGTGCTAACGTCCGAGCTATTTGAGAGTGCCCGCGACCTGAAACGAGCAGTATGTACCATAGACTAGTTTTGTTGCGTTATTCTGCTCACCGCCAACAAAAGTGACGCTCAGTGAGTCATAGCAACTATCTAATCATCGCAGTAAATATACGTTAATCTAATCGTCGGTCGGTGAATCCTATCTGCCCGCGTCCCTGTGGCGGTGGCTGTGAAGGATTTCGTTTTGTTGATTTGCGTCGCGTCGTGTTGGTCCAAACAAGCTCACGTGATGCGCGAGACGCGACCCCTTATAATACAACCATACACACAACAGTCGAGCTTTCCCAACTCTGCCTCTCCCCACCAGCTCCCCCCGCCTCAAGACCTCCTCACTTCAAGTGAACGCTTTCAGCACCCTTTCTCATCACCAACCATTCTCGTCGTTATACAATCAAGAATGTCTTCCGCCATTACATCGCCGTCCCCTGAGGCGTCTCCCTCGCCCGCTGCGAAGCCCGCCTCCACTCGGTCCAAGAAACCCGCGTCGAAGACCGCAACCAAACCCTCGTCTAAGAGGGTCGCTGCCGCTGCCAAGAAGTCTGCAACTACCACGAAGAAGGCCTCTGCTGCTGCTAAGACAGCATCTAAGCCCAAGACATCCGCTGCCGCCAAGACCACCACATCCGCTGCTACTCACCCCGCATGGAAGGACATCATCGCCGTAAGTTTCACGTCATCAGTAGGCGAACTCCTTCACTGATAGTATATTTTCTTCAAGGAATGTATCATCGCCCATCCTGATGAGGCGCGTCAAGGTGTCTCACGCAGCACCATCAAGAAGGTATGTTATGATCAATGCCATCTTTGAGGGCGTGGGATGCTAATACGTTCATTATTATTAGTTTGCTGAGGAACAATATAAGATTGAGATGAACGCTTCCAACCTTTCGCACCTCAATCGTGCCATCACCGCCGGCGCTGATAAGGAAATCTTCAAGTTACCTAAGGGTCCCTCCGGCAAGGTTAAGCTTGCCCCGGAGGCAAAGGCCGCCGCCGTTGCCGCCGCCAAAGAGGTAGAGTCTGCTTCGTGTTATGTTTGTGACATAGCGCTGATGTTTGTTGTTTAGAACGCTAAGCCACCTTCCAAGGTCAAGAAACCATCTACCACTACCAAGCCCGCTGCTACCAAAGCAGCTCCCGCCAAACCCGTTGCGGCGAAGGCTGCTCCCAAAGTCGCCTCCAAGCCAGCTGCGAAGACCACTACTGCCAAATCAGCTAGCAAGTCGACCGCCGCCGCCAAGAAGCCTTCGGCTGCGAAGGCCACTGCAACCAAGAAGGCGTCTGCCACTAAGACAGCCACCACCAAGAAGACCACTGTGGCTTCTAAGCGTGGGTCAGCGAAGAAGGTATATTTGGCATTTGTTGTCAGTCCGTATTTCTTGATCTGATCACGGGCATATCATCAGGCTGTTACCGGAACAACTACCACATCGAGGGCAAAGTCTGCCGCTAAGAAAGCGCCTGTCAAGGCTGTGAAGAAGGCCGTTGCCTCCACGAAGAAGGTAATCTTGAGCGCTACTCGATTTGCGAATGGGGTTGACCTGTTGTCTTGGGTATAGGCTCCGTCGGCGAAGAAGACGACCAAAAAAGTGTCAGTGTAGCCTGAGCTTCCTTTTCGCTGTCTTCCATTCATCGTCTGGGACTCTGGGACGTCTGCCTCTTTCATTTTCTGTGATATCATTATTATTGCTTGTATTTTGTGTATTGTTGCGAGCGTAGCGAGCAATCATGCTCTAAAGGGTTCAAGGCCCGTGCAAATAAGGCCAAACAAATTCTGCGTACTTTGGAGGCTCGGTCGTGTTTTTTTCTGACTGAACTGGCCTCTTTTCCACAATTCTGAATCATGGGAAGTGTGGATTTTGCTTGCCGTAGTTGGTTTGCGCCAAGAAAGCAGCACTTTTGGTAGAGATTTGATGATCTAAGACCGTAATTTGGCGAAGGTTGTTCAACTTCCATCAACTCGAGACTTGCTGACGTGGCGCGCGCCTAATTCTCTGAGCTTACGGTGTACGCACTGGGTGCATATTGATGAGAACTCATATGCGCCCTCCTAGCGCTCATAGATTCTACGCAAGTAATAGCTAGCCATCTACCTAGTCTAGGAATATACACTGAATCCTTGCCCTAGCACTTCGAAGCGAGCTACCGCCGGCGCGGCCCGCGGATCCATATTGTATGATACGGTGGTCGCACGTGACAAATATAGAGCCTGCCCTAATTATTTGTTCGATGGAGTGTGAGATTGAGTGACGCCAATGATAAACACGTGTGACAAGGAGAATGCAGAAATCGCCTTTTATGGAGCATTTGTGATATGGTGGAGATCGCCGACCGCGATTTGATTAGGGACCCTGTGCTGAGAAAGTCACAAAAGAACTAAACCAGTGGCTGCTCCTTTGCCCCTTGCTTCCTCCTCAACTCCATCTTCTCGTTTCATGCAACCCGCAAAATCTCAGCACCAATATGCAACACGGACCAGCAACAACGTCGACATAAAGCCTGCTCATCGTCACAGACAGTCTCCAAGCCCTCCCGCCCCAGCGCCCGCCGCCTCGAATACTTCCTCCACCGCCACCGCCTACAGCAACGATCATGCAATTATTACGTTTCCACCCCCGCATATAGTCCTTCATCCCGACGACGCCAATAGCAGGGTCTTCTTGGCCATTGGGCGGTCATTCATGTCTGTCGTACGTCCTCGTCGTTCTCTGCGTTGCAATTAATCTTGAGGCGAGTTCGTGTCTAGGACAACCGCGCCCTCACAATCAAAGATCTCGCGGACATGACCCCAAAGTTTGGTCTGGTTTGCCAAACGTATGTTCATTTTCCTCTCGAGTCATTATCCTTTGTCTTATTAATGGACGTAAAGCGTGTCCGCAGCCAACCAGGCAATCACGACATACATTCGATCGCACATGCAGCGCTGCGAGGCCCAGCAAGACACGCCGCTTCTCCTTAAACATACTCTTTCTGGCACCGCATCAGACGACGACCTGCTTCCAGCTCTCCATTCTCGTTCCGGAGGCGCTCAGTGCGCGTCAGGCCCGGGGAACAAAGTTACTAATTTTAGACGCGGCACGGTTGTGTGGTATCTGAGCAGGGCCACCGGCGCTCCCTGCCCTTTCGCGCGTGCTGGAATCAGGCTATGCGACTACGTCGATCGCGGCAAGCCCGAGCCCAAGAAGCCGCGACATGCAAGCGATGAGCAACAGCAGTGTGGGCAGAAGCGGAAGAGGCATCTCCGTACGAGACTTGGCGGAGGCGATGATGAATCGGATACTTCGCCGGATGATGCTCAGCGCCCGCCCAAAGTGAAGTTAACACTGCGGTTAAAGCCAATGCTGATGCCGACTTCATCCTCCGAGCCCCGCCACACTGCACACAATCTTGACTCCGATGACTCTATGTCGGATGACTCCTCGTCCGATGAGGAAGAGAACACCCCCCAGGAAGATGATCTATGGGCGTTGCCACCGTATCCAAGACGGTCTATTTCGATCCCTTCCTACACACCCAGCCTCGACACGTTTTCCTCGTACCCATATTATTCCGACATGCCACAGACATCAGGCACCCCACGTTGTCGTGCCACCTCAGTTCCCTACAGTATAGGCTCGCCACCTCCAGACTCGGATGACGAAAAAGATTTTTCAATTGCTATGACACGCTCACGACCTTTCATGTCTGATGACTGGGATCATGAAGTTGATAGCGAGGGTGATGGCGAGACACTCTGGGAGAGTCCAGGCCCCCGCTCACCATCGGCTCCTGCGTCTCATTCGGACTTCGCCGAGGTCGCTGTAACAGTGAAGCAAGAGCCGCGCGATGTTCAGAGTATGTTGGACGCGTGGGACGACTATACATTCAATACGTCAGATGGGCATCACCTTCACACTGCGACGTCTAGCAACCCGGTGAAAGTGGAGCCTACTGATCTACCGCCTTGGAATTGGGAACCTGTTCCGTGGGAGGAAGATTCGCCGCCAGTCTTTTCGCCAGCGATCAAAGAAGAGGACCACGACTTCGAGAATCTTCTTGCCAACTACTCCCCGCTATCCTCGGAAGGCTCGAGCATATCAGACAGTCCTTCACATCCTCCCCGGACCATTACGGCGGAAGAGGAGACGCGTCATATGTCATCACCTCAGCCTCAGTCACCTGCACCGCAGGCTCTACGGCTGGAGATGCCCTCGCATACTTTTGCCGACCCTTCGGCGACCTCATTCCTTAATGATGCACAGTCACCCACTTTGGCAACTCTCGCTTCCCTCATCCAGTCCATGTCGATGAGCTCCCCGACGGCTGTTTCGCCTGCGGCGCTACGGATCACCCCTTCTGCTACCGGTGCACCTTCCTTTGCCTCTTCCCTTGAGTCAGCACCCCCGGACGTAGTCGTGGTACACACGTGTCAGCCTTGCACACCGATTGTCAGTGCCACCCAAGTTGAAGGTGCGTAAATCCATATAATGTTCTTCAGGATCTCATTGTTCCTGCTACAGGTATCTCAGTGTATCAGACAGTGATCGGAAGCCGGCGTCTGCTGCGGAGGATCGACACTGACTTCGTCAATATCTCGCCTGTAGCTGCGTACATCGGTTCGAGCATTCCGTCTACATCTGCGGCTGTGCAAGTGACTAAGGGCTCCGCCGCCGTCTCAGGGACGTGGGTCCCTCTACTCGTGGCGCAGTCATACCTCGAGTCGTGCATAGCTTCGACGTCGAACTTGTCTTCCACGGAGCGCGCATCTCTCCAGGGTCTTCTGGATATTTTCTTGTCCGACGTGCTCTTTGAGCGCTTCCCGACTGCGCTGCAAGACTTTCACCGATCAAGCACGCCTGGGCGTTTGCTGCAGCAGTTTGGGCCCCACTTTCAATCTACCATGGTATCATCAATAGCCGAACAGCAGCAAGGATGGGATGTTCTGCATCATCATCATCATCATCATAACACCTATGAGGCAATCACGTTAGGCCCTTCGTTGTCTTGGGCACCCCGTGGAAGCAGAGATTTCTACCCGGCGGACCAGGCGGTTGAGGATACCCAGCTCAGCCCATCGGAGCAAGAGATTTTCCAGGCGATATGTGCGAACCCCGACTGGGAGCAGGATGCCCCTCCAGTGGAGGTGGAGCCAGCTCATGTTCTCGAACGTGAAGAAGCCATTTCTGAGCCTAAATACGCCACGGAACTTGTTACCCAACCTCCTTGCCAGATCACGAAGTTGGTCCCTGTTGAACACGGGTTTGAAGAAGTGCCCCACCAAGCGGCTCATGTCCCTCTCCTCGTCAAGACCCCCCTTGCTCCGCAAGTAGTGCCAGAGAACTCCAATCAACCCCTTCGGCGCTCAAAGCGGGTCGCAGACGCTCTTTCCTCCAAAACACAGACCAGATCACGGAGGCGTTCGACCAAGGCATTGTCGTAAATTCACCTGCCCTTTTGATGGACTAATGCAAAGCTTGACTCATTGCTCATTGTTCCCTTTATGAAACTTATTATTATGCCCTTCAGAGCGCTTCCTTTCTGATTTTTCGCCTTCGATTTGTGCAATTCTTTTGGTGGTTTTCAAGATATGATAGAATTCTGTATCAGTGTCACAGTGTATAACGTTCTTCCCCTCAGCTCAGTCACGATGACGACCTATTAGGCTTCCTATAATGCTACAGCTCGTTATATGTCGATAGCCTAGCCTTTTGGCAATGAAACCATGTGCCTACGGCCAGCTTTGATCACTTTTGTCGAGAGCTGGCCGACCTTTCTCTTCGTTTTCTAGACTACCTATACCATGATGAGAATATACCATCACGATGCGGCTATTGTTTTTCCTTGTCCACATGGGCTTTACTTCGCGCTGATCTCCTGCTTTTGTTATGATCTACTCATTTTAGTGCAAATACCATAAGACCTATATAACGCAAATGCAAATTCCGTCTCTATATGCTTGCATCCGATCTCTATGATATCGATTGAAGTCAATCATGAATATGAAACGTTCAATTTACGAACACGGAATCAAAACTTTACTCCGTGTGCGTGTAAACTTCCGTGTACCGTGTTGCTATACTTGTCATTGTTCCCATCCAAGTTGAGCCTGTCTTCGGCTCGGAGACAGGAACTCCATTGTGCTTGATGCAAATGATGGGTAGTTAGGGGGTGGCTGTAGCGTATGGATTGGTACAATGGCAAACTCAAATAGCGCATCTGTTTGACCGGCGTTTGTGATGTGATAGATGTTGGGTGCATGCGCGACTCGGAGTCGAGGCGTGGCTTATGAGCTCGAGAATCGATAATTGACCATTCAAAGGGTCGGCAGAGGTGCCCTCGATGAGGTAAATTGAACGTTCGTTCAAGCCTTCGATGTCAAAGAGTTCGGGGAGGTACTGCATTTGTATTGTGCTCCCTGCAACCCTGGCGAGACGTGAAGAATTTGATTTGCCATCATGCGAGGGTGATGGTTTGGGGTAGAGTTTCTGGCCTAGCACTGGCATATGGGCCAAAAGTGAGCACACAAGCCTAATGAATTGTCGACAAGAATACAAAGAAATGAAAGGGAAGAGTCTCTCACAAACATGAATGGACTCGGCGCTTATTTGCAAGGCACAGAGAAGGCCGACTGTCGGAGTTTGAATTGATGTGAGAGCAAAAGACACGGCTTGATTTGGGTGTCGAATTCTCTTTCCTCAATCCCACCATTCTACCTTTACTCTTATTTCTTTGGCGGCAATCCTACTCTAGTAGTCGTGGGCGACTCATTTGCCCTTCAAAATTTGGCTCTTCGACCATTCGATAGCCAGCTTTTTACGACCATCGCCAAGTCCAGCATTTACTTACTCGCGACGAGGCTTTATCGACCTAATTGCTGTTCCATCTACCGCCTGTATTGCGCGCAAGACGTCCGCGCTTCAAATTCGTAATCACTAATACTTCTTCATCAAAATAGTATAATGTCTTTATCGGCCACTGATAGTAACGGCTCCTATTCGAGGGTTTCCTCTGGGAAGACTCCTCCGCCAGCTCCTTCAGCTGCGTATGCGAAAAGGTGCGTGCTCGTGGCGCCCGACTCAAGGGACTTGTCGTACTGAATCCACACCGGACACAGGGCTAGGGAGATCCAGGCCGAGGAGAGGTTGGGGGCGAGATACAGGCCTCCTGCGCTTAGAGCCCTTGCATCTGGAGAAGCCCCTTCTAACGACACGACCCCTTCTGTCACGACACCGGGGGATGGCTCGACTCTATCCCCTACTAATTACCCCCCGGGATTTAGAAGGGCAAGGGCAGGGACCTTACCCTCCAATGTACAACTTGCCGCGCAACGATTTGCGGCGGCGTCAAGTACTTTAGGAAGTACCCCCGGGTCCACAGATTCCTTAATAGAACAATCCAGGCAGATTTCCGCTGCTGCTACCACAGCTACTCTGCCTGCACCAGCTCGTCCCTCGCTCCGTCACGTCGCATCCGTTGCATCCAGCACTGTGACCACCGAACGTAACAGTCGTCTGAGATCCGGCTCTCTCACTTTACCGTCCGGTGGTCTGTCCAACGCTTTTGGCCCTTCCATTTTCTCGTCCTCGTGGTTACCTAACGGCAATCCATCGGGGCTCACGTACTTGGATGAACTTCGCTCGGTTACCTCCGCTGATTCAGCTGCCGATGATTTCGATGTCCATACGTTAGACTACTTGGGGTTGGACGAAAGTCACCATCGTCTGCCTCCTCCCGCTGCGACTCTCAGCGAGCTGCGCAACCAAGCACAGGCCGCTATCGCAGGCAATCTCGCCAACCCTTCGCGTCTTCGTGCTAGCACCGTTTCCAACCCGTACCGAACAAGAACGACAGGCACTGGGTCGTTGTTGTCAACGCCAGCTGCAGACGAGGAAGAGGAATACTTCGAGAACTATGAAGAACAGTATGCGCGGCAGAGGATCAACTCGTACGAAACTAGCAATGTCGAAGCTACTTACTCGCCCTCGTTTGTCTCGCGAGGATATCAAGCAACGGATCAGTTGCCGCCCAGCATTGGCATGAGACAGCGCGCCACAACAATAAGTGCTCTAGAAGACCCTGTTCGGACGATGCAGCGTCGTGCCACCGTCACTGTTGAACCCCAGTTCAGCTATGTCAATGAACTGAATGCAGGCTCTTCCATGGGCTCCGTTAGTCCCAATCCTGCGGGCATTCTGAAGAACGACAAACTTTCCATGCCTCGCACCGGCCAGACCGCTTCTGTTCACTTTCCGAACGGTGATACCACGGCCAACCGTGGCGCCAATGCCTATCTCGCCGCACCTGGCGGTGGCAACCGATCCCTATCCCCGAAGTCTGAGCAAGCGTCCAGCCAGACCCAGACGCCTACCCGCTCGCTGTGGATTGGAAATTTAGACAGTTCGGTCACGAGCGAACAGTTGATCCATGTCTTTGCTCCCTACGGTGCCATCGAAAGTCTTCGACTTCTCCCCGAGAAGGTATTTGTTTCTCTCATGTCTTTAGATGCAAAGTAACCAACACCGTTCAGGAATGCGGTTTCGTCAACTTCGTTGATCAAGCCGATGCGATTCGCGCTAAAGAGGACGTGTTGAACCGTTTGGGTGGTTTCATCGGAATGCCGAATGGTCAAACCGTGCGCATTGGGTTCGGGAAAGCGGACAGTGCTCCAGTTGCGCCTGCAAAAGGATCGAACGCTTCCAACTCGACTAATTCTGCCACTGGTGCGGCGAAGCAGGCTGCTAATAACTCGGCAGCTGCAGGCATGGAAGCTCAGCTACAGTCTACTCCCACTAGGGCGCTGTGGATTGGCTCCATTCCTTCCACTACCACTCCTGCGACCATCCTAAGCGTCTTCAGCCCTTATGGCCCAATCGAATCGGCTAGGGTCCTTACTCACAAGAACTGTGGTTTCAGTAAGCTTTTTACCTTCACACATTTGGCTTCGTGTTGAGAACTTCCGCAGTCAACTTCGAACGCCTCGATGATGCCGTAAGAGCTAGGAAAGCCCTTAACGGGCGAGATGTACTGGGAAGTGACGTTGGAGCCATCCGAATTGGCTTTGCCAAGGTTCCAGTCAAGAACGGACAGGAAGGTACCGGTTCACCTGACGAGACTGCCAATGCACCAGTTCAAGGCGTTGGCAACTTGAGTGTCGGCGCAACTATCCACGCTCTTCGTAGCATCAAGGGTGCTTCGACCATTCCTTCTGACCAGCAAGTGTTAGGCGGTGCCGTCGAGAATTACCGTTCGAATTTGCTGCTGAGCATGATCGCTTCTGGCAACCACGCGAGCTCATTCGCTAACGATGGTACCAAGCCTGCCGGATGGATTCCCGCGCTCACTGAGCAGCAGATGATCATGAGGGAGTTGTGTGCTGGGACTGCGGATACAGAGATTGAAGTACAGGCACTGGCAGGTTAGTGAAAGCGTCAAATCAAGCTGAGTGATACGCTGATGACTTGAAGATTTCCGCCCTCCTACCATGTACTACACTTCAATTCCTCTGGTGTCTGAGCGTACGCACGCCAGACGTTGGGATGCTGCGAAGCTTCGTGACTTGAGGAAGCGTCTCGACTCGGGAACGATGACCTTGGAGGATATTGATCAAACCGCCAACGAATTCCTGGATAGTGAGATCGTGGATCTTGCCTCCGATTGGCTTGGAAACACGGTACGTTCCCTTACACGCTCGCGCCTTGGACCCAATATCGATGGTATGTGCGTCTGCAGGTTGTCCAGAAACTATTTGAGAAGTGCTCGCCTGTCCCTCGATTTGCCATGTTGGAGAGGCTTTGCCCTCACCTTGCTATGATCGGGATCCACAAGAATGGGACGTGGGCTGCGCAGAAGATCATTGAGTGTGTCCAGTCTCCCGACGAAGTTGCCCTGGTTAGCCAGCACTTGCGACCTTACGCTCCTCCCTTGTTGCTCGATCAGTTCGGGAACTACGTTGTCCAGTGCGTACTTTTCATTTCTTCGGGATGACTTCGTGTCAACGGATAAATGATTAGGTGTTGCCTCCGCTTCGGAGCCCCTGCCAACGACTTCATTTTCGATGCGATCGTCGATCGTATGTGGGAGGTGGCGCAAGGGCGATTCGGAGCACGCAGTATGCGTGCCTGTCTCGAGAGTCCCCATATCACTCTAAGCCAACAACGCCGAACTGCTGTCGCCGTGATCCTCAACTCCATCCCTTTGGCCACGAATCCCAACGGCGCGCTGCTACTCACCTGGCTGTTGGATACTTCCGGATTCCCATCTCGATACAACTTGCTGGCCCCTCGCTTCACGCCGCACTTGTCTCACCTGTGCACGCACAAGCTCGCGTCGTTGACTGTTCTTCGTATCGTGAACCAGAAGATTGAACCAGATGCTTCGAGACAAGTCGTTGAGGCACTTTTCTCATCACCCGGAGACCACGTTCTCACCGACGTACTCGGGGATCAAGTTAACGGCGTGGCTGTCGTTCACAAGATCTTGACCAGCCCTTTCCTTGACCCCAATGAGAAGATTAAATACATAGACGCCACCAAGCGAGTGCTCATCGAGCTCAAGGTCATCGCTACTCAAGCCTATCGCCGTTTGATTGAGGAGGTCGGTTTGCCCGTCCCCAACTTCCAGCAGACATACCCGAACAATGCACCGCAAAGTGGCAAGACGAAGGGCAACAATCCAGCCAACTATGGCGTGCCCGGTCTACCTCAGGGATACCCGTCCAACGATCAAGGCCTCGCTTCTATGATGGCAGCTTTGCAAATGGGTGGTCAGAACCCCCAGGCTGGTCCCCCTCAGTTGCAAGTCGACCCCGGCTACAACCAGAACACCCGTCGTACTCCCAATTTACAACCCTCTTACTCTCCGGCCGAGCAATTCAACCCTTTCTCTGCTGAAACCAACAGTCCACGAGGAAGCGTCCGCCGTAACGGCGGATTGACTCCCAACAACTCTGTACCCCAAAACGCAGTTCCTTATGGTAACCAATCTCCGAACATGGCACCTGGGGTTCTCAATATGGGCCAGCCTGCTTATGGAGGCATGGCTCCTCAGACGGTCCCTCCCCACATGTATCAGGCATATATGTACCAGCCCTACCAACAGAATCCCAACATGGGAGGATATCATGCGTAAAAGACTCTTCACCCTGATAACGAATACTCATGACTGTCGCTCCTTTTTATCGCTTCTGCCATGCTATACACTTCCAGTGCCATTCGTTGCAACCTCATCTTCACCATCTATGTATCCGTCTTTTTCTTTCAAGTCTGCACTTTGAGTTTGTGGATTGTCGTTCTCTCTTTGATACCCCACCAGCGTGCTTTGCAAATGTATATGCCTCTCCTCCCCTTCACGCATACACTCTTTCGATCAAAAATACCTGGCGATGTTATAGTGGTGATCCGTTACAAGAATGGCTCTTATTTCTTACTGTTACTTTGCTTTAGTGTACAACAAAGGATGGCTGTAACATACGTGCGGTCCAACAATCTAGATTCATTTTATTTGCGGCTACACTCGCACTTTGAGAGAGCACGAAAGGAACGGCAGGTCAGATCTTCGCGATAATATTATAAGATAGCCATATTGACAATTGACAGATCTACGACAATATTTTGAAAGATCCGTTGGTCTGCACCCTCGCCTGCTCTCCTGTTGCAATCCAGTCTTCTTCCAACTTCGGTGCCTCTGATGACAGCCCAACAACTTTGCCTACGGGTGGGCCTCGAACAAGCAACAGACCAACGGGATCGCCACCGGCCTCGACAGATGCGTCATCCACCCCGGTCAGTTTTGTCTCTAGATTAATGCTGGGTGGGCCGACGTGGGCTGACTTGTCTGCGGTGTCGGGGAACTCTTGAAGATCTAGTGGGTGGGAAGCAAGGACTGGCGCGGTGACGGCTGGATGTACGTAGGCGTTGACTATTGGGATGGACAGTGCGATGCGCGCAGATGGCAGCTCTGAAGCATCTAAACGACCTATTATGATTTCGACTCGTAAGCTTCTTTAGACGATATCTGGTGTCAAGGGGAAATTACCTCCAGCGACTACGATGCCTCTCAACGAGCCAGCACATTCGTCGACAACCCGAGCTCTAGCTGTGTCGAAGAGGAGTCTGTCCCAAAGGCTGTCTTTAGTGACGAAGCCCTCCGTCAGACCAGCGATCTTGTGGCGCCATGCAATGGAGAAGAGAAGCCATGACTTCTTGGCTACGCCCAGGATGGATGAGGTGAGTGACTTTAGGTGGTCGGGGTTGATGAATAGGATAGTTGGCGGGGGGATGGGGAACCTCATTGCTGAGCGGACATCCTTAACGTCCTTGGAGAAGTGGGCTGATGACATGTAGTTAGTGATAAGGTTCAACACAGAAAATGTGTTGTATATTACCATCTTCCTCTACGTATATTTTGGAGCTGTCGAGGGTGGCAAAGCTAGTACCCTCGTAGATGGCAGTGTATGCGATTGCCCTTCCGTATGCGGTGCTGAGTGAGTGTGAGGAAACGATGGTGTCTAGAGGAGAAATTGTGTTCGAAAGAGGGAGGAGTGCTCTGACGGCTGCAACGCCAGCGGTGAAGTTCTCGTGAGTGAGTTCGGCACCGTGTACTTGGCCGTCCTTAGTGGCAAAGAATGAAGTGGTATATACATCACTGGGCTCTGTGTAACGCATCCGTCAGTTCGGCCCTGCGTACGCAATGGAGGTATACGTACTAGGCTGAGGGGCGAAGGCTTTGTCCGCACGCGTCCCATCCCTCTCTACGTCCGACCACAGAAGTACCTTGACCTTGCTTGATACGCTGGCAAGAGTTTTGGAGGTAGGCTCGCCGACGACGATAATGGTGTATTGCTGCTGCCCGTCCGCATCATAAATAAGCTCCAAGATGTGAGAAACGAACTCCGCGTGGGTGATGATAACAGAAAGCGGGTGCGCTTCCAACACTGGCGACATCAGCGTCAATGAAGAGAGGGTAAGTGAGCGGATGGAGTAGGACGCGAGCGCCAGGTCTGTGATGAGGAATTCTGCAATTGGGAATGAGTACATGTTGAGTTCGCGGTATGCTGAGATTCGGAGAACCACTTACCAAGTCCATCGTTGAGACCAAGGAGGACGTTGGACTCGTTCGGTTGAAGACCAGCTAAACGAATGAGGCCGGTGCCGAACGCAGAAATGCGCTCTTGAAGACGGGAATTTGTGATCTATTTAGTCAAATAAGCTGACGTCCGGCTCAACTGGTGGGATCCAATACTTTTGTTGACCACAACGTCCGTGGTGCGTCCGAGTCAATCTTTACGAAGTCCGCCGTTGTTTGTACATCCTTTGCTGGTCTCAAGGGGAACTACGAGGGAGTCAGCAATGCAGTAATCGTTGAGAGAAGCTAGCACGGACGTACCCTTCCCATAAGGCCTGTTCCATAGTTTCTGTAGACAGCACTTTCGTTGGGATTGCGAACTCTCGCGACATCACTCTGCCTCCCCAGCAATATGGGATGCACAAGGGGCTGCGGTTTGTAGAGATTCCGTAGCAAGAAGACTGTTGCACCAATAAGGCCGAGAAGGATGGTGAGGTCGTCTGTAATGAGGTAGTCAGAGATATTGGATGCCATTGTGGCTTGGTCGCTGGTGTGGGCGGCGGCGTCGATGGCTTGGTCGCTGTCTCGTCCGACGGTGCGTTTGGTGAGGTGGTGGGCTCTGACAAGAAGCGATTCTGATGCTTGGGCGTTTGAGGTCAGCTTTCTCCCGCGGTGATATCCTTACGCTGGGTAACGCGTGGACCCCGCTCGTAACAGGCTATTCCTCCCAATTTAAATGTGATACGAATCAGAACACGTTCAACTCTTTGAAAACGCGAATTATTGCAGTTCTACAGGTCGATTCGACAAGACGGCGACTGAGTTGCAACTTGAAGTTGCTCCTGACAGTGAACGGTAAGCGCGCACCTCCGAGCGCCTAAATCTTTCTCCACTCTCTTTCCTCAACTACAACGTTCTCTCTACCAGATTGTCCAGATATCGCCACCATCAAGTCGCGTATCATTGCGATGCAATATTTGCCGCTGGACGTAGTCAGCTCTGATCTCCGATGGTCTATCGAGTCAACGGTGAACTCAGAGAGTGTATAAAACTGGCCATCGGCTTTGAGGTAAGTGGTTTGGCTTTACAGTGGGTATCATATCTGATGGACATGCACGCGCACCGTGTCTTCGTTTTGATCCCCAAGTCAACATCGCTGCCAACCTTCCGCGCTATGTCCGTCAACCAGAAGGAGTCCGTGCACCTATAGATCACGTGATCCAGACATACTGAGGCAAGTGGCGTTTTGGGGTCCCGAGCCAGGTCGAAGAGTCCCCTCTTTCCTCTCCCCTCAACCACACCTCAGAATATACCAAGTCCATATCGCCACCGCAGCTTCGACCACATCATGCCAGCTGCAACAACCAAGAAATCTGCCTCCAAGCCCGCCTCTAAGACCGTGGCCGTGGCCAGCAAATCGCATGCCGCTGCCCATCCATCATGGGTAGATATGATCAAGGTATGTCCCTCCATCCGTCCCCCTGCCCCAGAATTGTCCCTAATCTGCTCATCTGTCACCATCAATAGGAATGCATTGCTGCGCACCCAGAGGACGCCCGAGGCGGTGTCTCGAGGCCTACGATTAAGAAGGTGAGCTATCTCACCATATGTAGACGCTCACTCCAGTAACATCGTGTTCAGTTCGTGGAGTCAAAGTACAAGATTGATCTCAACGCTGCTGCTGCCAGCCAGCTCAACCGTGCTATCACCACTGGCAGCGAGAAAGGGACATTCGTGCTGCCCAAGGGTGAGTAATCCTCGGGCCAGGTGGGTGGCACGGCGCTCACCTCAGCTGCAGGTCCCTCCGGGAAAGTCAAATTACCTCCCAAGATCCGCTCGGATGCTGCTAAAGAGGTGTGTGTTGCTCTGCTCGACATTATGAGCGTTGTCCTCATATACTAATCTTACATAGAACGCCAAACCGGTCGTTAAGAAGCCTGCTCCCACCAAGGCCAAACCCCTTCCTGTGAAAGCTGCCCCTGTCAAGAGGGCATCTCCTAAAACGGCGCGCGTCAAGGCCACATCCAAGAAGACCCGCAGCTCGCCGGCTAAGAAGGTTGCAGTGACCAAGAAGCCGTTGGTCAAGAAATCCACCGCAGTTACTAAGAAACTTGCAGTGACGAAGAAGACTGTCCCAGCGCCTTCCAAGAGGATTGCGACCAGTAAGAAGGTGGCAGCAGCCAAGAAGACGGCGGCACCCACGAAGAAGATCAGCTCCGCGAAGAAGGCCTCTGCGAAGCAGGTAGCTATAGCTTTGTTAGTGGATTAGACATACGTGTTCTAACGGACACATAGTCTGTGACGGGGACCAAGAAACCAGCATCGCCCAAGGCGAAGGCCAAACCTGCCTCGAAGAGCATGAGCGCGAAAGCGACGTCGGCAGCAAGGGCTAAACCCGCCTCCAAGACGGGTTCCCCAAGAAAGTCTGTGTCGTCGAGGAAGCCTGCATCCAGGACGGTAGGTATCTGGCCGCTCTTCTCAAGACATCGAGGCTCACTGAATCTTTAGAAGAAGGAGTGATCGTATCTCACTTCTCATGACTTAATGTTGCGGACATTTGTCTCGAGCTCTTTATATCTATATCTCATTGCTACTTTTACGACAGGTTTCCTTTTGTACTGATTTATCCTTTAGTCTCGAAGCCGCTTTCTGGTACATAGTTCTCTATGTGTAACAAATGCTTGTAGTGTATAACAATGGTTCCAATGTGTGTAAAGTAGAGAATGCTCCGGTTGAGTATCTACGTTGCTCGTTGGATTACTTGAGCGTCCGTACGACGAGGAGGTGTGGCGTATGGAACCAAGAAGTAGCCCCTGATTCACATGATCATCTGTTATCGAGACCTTTAGTTGGTGACCTTGTTCTAATTCAAGGTCAAAAATCTCATGAGTGTCTTTTTCTTTTCCAATCCACATGGTGCATCTCGTGCGCGTCAGTATTTCCCCCAGTGGGCTACAATCACCGCGAAATGCGGTGCTAGTCGACAGAAATAAAGGTTTGATAAAGATGCTCTACCCCACAACGTTTCCACGTTAACTCTTGCTTCTTCGACCCTTCGCCATTGCTAAAACCGTTAGGATGGACGACAGCGACACGCTTCTCATTCCGTGGTACCTCGCATGGTGTTCAATATCAATATTGATTCTGCACTTCTGCCACGAATTCATTCGCCCCAAGTATTCCACGACTCAAGCGCGAGAGGATGGCCAGAACGGACTCGACGCGCAGCGGTCGGATAATGGGCGGTTTCAGAACTGTGTAGCAGCCCATGGCGGTGTACACATCTTCGCTTTCAAGGTCGCTAGATCTGTGTGCTGCACACTGTTGCTTGGACTTTCTGTTGCGACGCTACTTATTGGTCGAAGCGCGGTGTACCCTGGAGACCGACCGGATGCGCTAGATCACTACGGGGAGCCTAACCAGGTGCCCATGAACTTCATCCCGAATGTATCCATGTGGGTAGAGGAAAACAGACGTGATTTCATGCAATCCACCGTTTGTGTGACTTTCGTGGGTGCGGTTGACTCCAGGACTGCTGTGATCGCTAATGCGCGTGTAGTTGTACGCGAGCTTGCTCTCTATCCTCTGCCTTCGCGCCAAGTCCTCGCCTGAGCGTTCCAAGTCAAGCGGAAGCCCCGCGTCTTCTTGGCTTCCGATCCATTTAAACTGTTTACTACTTGGAACCTTCGTGGTCTACTGTATACGAGACTTATATCCATTGTGCACCTATCAACTTCCGCCCCTCGATGCCCCAACATCACGCGATCCGATATTGGTATACCTTCTCTGGACGACCATCTCGGTTCTCTTCGTGGTGGCAATCGTGATTCCTCTGGGCATCCCGAGGGCGTATATTCCCATTAACCCGGACGACCCTAGTGAAGTCCCGGCTCCTGAACAAGTTTGCTCAATATTCTCATTCTTTATCTGGAGCTTCCTCGACCCGATGGTATTCCTTGCGTATAGGAACTCGCACCTGACGCGAGACCAACTGCCTATCTTAGCGGACAGCAACAAAGCTGTGAATCTTAGAGCAAAGATTTTCCCGGTAAGTGATATCACATATTTGCTGGGGACACCGATATTTATGTTTTACGTTTGTTCGACGTACCGCCTCGTAGTATTTAGATGCGTTCTATGTCTCTGCAAACAAGAATAAAGTGCGAAGTCGGCACATATTCTGGGGTATCATGGAAGCCCTTCGGAAAGACTATACTGTCCAGGCCTTGCTACTCGTGGTCCACGCTATTTTAGGATATGTTGCTCCTATTGGGTTGAACAGATTATTATTGTGAGCTTACTTGTAAGCGCTCATACGTTCTGGGTCTCACCAGGTTATTAGCTACATGGAAAGCGGTGGTCGCGACGCGTTCATGCGTCCATGGGTTTGGATAGCATGGCTATTCTGCGGTCCCATGATCAGTACAGTCCTGTTTCAGTATTATACGTTCCTGTCGGTACGTTACCTGATCTTCCAGGTGTACCAGTGGTGATTAACGGGACGTGTAGGCTACGAAGCGAGTATGGGCGGAATCACTCATCTCGCAGCTTGTCTTCGAGCATGCATTGCGCATTCGCGTCAAATCTGTGTCGCACTACGCTACCCCATCCCCTAGTAAACCCAGTTCTCCCACTCCAGAGGACCCCGAAACGTCAACTAGCACCGAGCCTGCCAAACCAGATAAATCAAATACTGAGGACACTGGGAGCAAGGAAGACGGGAATTTTATTGGAAAACTCACCAATCTCATGTCTACGGATACGTCTAACATCAGTGGCGCAGGGGATTTCCTGTTTCTGGTGGTATACATTCCTTTGCAGATGGCCTTCGGAATCCTCTTCCTTTACTTCGTGCTTGGTTGGAGGTGAGTAATCGCTTGTATTATCAGTATTCGGTCCTCATCGCCCGTTTCAGTGCATTTGTTGGCCTAGCTAGCATGGTACTACTTTTCCCGTTACCAGGTTATGTTGCCAGTCGTCTTCAAGGTGTTCAACAACAGCATATGAAGTCCACTGACGCCCGTGTCCAGAATGTCACTGAAGGTGGGATCTCTCCGATATTGCTGCTTTACGCCTCTGAAGCTAGTTTCAGCGTTGAGTGTCATTCGGATGATCAAGCTTCTAGGTTGGGAACGCAGGATGAACGATCGAATTAGAAGCACTCGTGAAGAAGAGCTCGCATGGTTGTGGAAGAGAAAAGTGCTCGGACTTGTCAATGTTTCCATCAAGTAGGAGGCTTCCACTGTCTTGCGACGATGCACTAATTTCTACAGCTTCGTCATCCCGATTATAGTCATGGTCGCCTCCTTCGCCACATTGTAAGTTTGTAATACTCCGTCCCCCGCCGTCACGTCACTTAATATCCTTTGCAGCGTAAGTCACTACCGTGTACATATTCCACTAGTAGGCTGACCCTGTCGGAAAGACGGTCGTCATGAAGCAAGACCTAAGCGCCTCCATAGTATTCAGCTCTATGACAGTGTTCGACATCCTAAGGGGCCAGCTTCACATGATCTCAAATACGCTGACGGTCGTCATCAAAGGCAAAGTATCTCTCGACAGAGTCAACGAATTCCTACACAAAGTCGTTCGCTTCCCCTTGGCACTCTTTGCGAGACTGACGAGCAGCCCATTTTCTCAGACTGAACTCTTGGACTCTTTTGCTGATGATGGGGAGCTCTCTGCCACGGTGATACCAGCCCCTCCAGTTGTCGGTTCTCAAGATGTGATCATACGTGAGGCGAGCTTTACGTGGGATGCCGAAAAACCAGTGCCAGGCCAATCAAGGCGCAATTTCGTCTTGAAGATTGACGGTGAAGTTCTATTCAAGCGGAACGGCATAAATGCTATCCTAGGCCCCACAGGATCGGGAAAGACTTCATTGTTGATGGCTCTCTTAGGTTAGTGTGTTCTTGGATGCTTTCGCGAATGGCTCATTAAAGGGGTATAGGGGAAATGCATTTTGTGCCATCTGGACCCAATTCCTTGTGTAACCTTCCCAGACAGGGCGGGGTGTCATATGCATGCCAGGAATCCTGGGTGCAGAACGAAACAATTCGAGTTGAGTCTTCGTCATCCGTCATAATTCACCACCAACCATTAACTCGGTTTTAGGAAAATATCGTGTTTGGGGCTGCTTTTGATGAAGTGCGGTATAAGAAAGTTCTTTATCAGTGTTGCCTGGAGCAAGACCTTAAGTTGTTCGAATCTGGAGACAACACTGAAGTCGGCGAGAAGGGCCTTACACTGAGGTTAGTTCCACTTGGATCAACGCGTAAAAAGCTTACTCGCCGTACTCTATAAGTGGTGGTCAAAAGGTTATCCTGCATTCTTCGCGGTTGGATTTTGGGAAAGCTGAATATAGATTCCAGGCACGAGTCACCCTCGCCCGAGCCATTTACTCTGACGCGGAGATTATTATACTGGACGACGTACTTTCGGCGCTAGAGTACGCAGCCAATTTAAGCTACTTTCTTGGCTAACACTCAGTTTCAGCGTTCATACAGCCAAATGGATCGTTGACAAATGTTTGCGGGGGGATCTTGTCCAAAATCGTACCGTAATTTTGGCCGTACGTAGCTCATCTTTCGTTGAACAACTTTCACTTGGTTGATCGTTGCTTAGACCCACAACGTAATGTTGACGGCCCCTGTCGCTCAATATGCTGTGACGCTTGGAGCAGATGGTCGAGTTGTTAGCAGGGGAGCACCATCGGCTGTCATCGCCGAGAGCCAGGAGACCCTCGCTGCAGATATTGTAGCCCAAGAGGACGCCCTCTTAGAGGCTGAGGCCATAGCGCCTAATGAGATGGAGGTCAAGCCAGATGGCGAAAGTCAACCAAGTGCCGGCGGAAAACTGATAGCAGAAGAGGAAATTGCCGTTGGACATGTTGAATGGCCTATACGTGAGTACACAGCCATCTAGTCCTCTCCAGCGAGGTAATCTGTTGCTTTTACAAGTCAAGAAGTACTTTGACAGTGTCGGGGGCAAATATCCCTTGCTTTTCTACGCTGTGCTTATTGGCGGTTACATTCTGAACCAAGCCATATTTACATTTTTGACTTGGTTTTTGGGTTTATGGGCCGCTCAGTATCAAATAAACCCGAATGTATCTCCGACATAGTGAGTGTGTCCGGTTGCCTCGACTGGTTTCGCCCTAATCGCGTCCTCAGCTATTTGACTCTATATGGTACGTAGACTTCTTGCAAGGGCTCCGTCTACTAAACCTCTGGAATCATAGGTTGTTTTGTTCTTGTTGCCCTCCTAATTTATGTCCTGTCCCAAATGGTATATATACGGGGCGCTATCAGGGCATCAAAAGAAATACATGCTCAACTTATCGATGCTGTTTTGGGGACTACACTCAGGTTTGTCTTTACCAAATAGTCCTGCTGCTTATTCTGACGGTCTTATATCAAGGTGGCTAGACACGACACCTACTTCGAGAGTAATTACAAGATGCACCCAAGATATGAAGTCCAGTACGTCTTGTCTCCTGTGCACAGCGAGAAGCCAATTCAAGAGTATTGTAGTCGATAGCTTTATCCCGCAGTATCTTGATATGCTCCTCGACATGGCTACAGATATGGTGATCAAGCTGGGCGTGATCATCATCTTCGCTCCGTTGTTCCTAGGGCCTAGCATCGTAATTGCCATCCTGGGGGGTTGGTTAGGACAAGTTTATATTGCTGCCCAGTTGCACGTACGAAGAGACATGTCCATCGCTAAAGCACCAGTCCTGGGACAGTGAGTACTCCAGGAGGTTGTACTGTCTTCGCTCATTGATTGTTACTAATCTCCGGGGCCCTTGCAGCCTGGGCGCCGCTATGGCAGGTCTAAGTTAGTCATATCCTTGGCCTTCCCCACATTGGGTTAATTACTCTTATTGCGTTTAGTTTCCGTCCGAGCCTATGGCGCTGAAGAAGCATTTAAGAACGAGTCGTTGACCCGTATTGACGTATACACTCGTGCGGCGGTCACTTGCTATAATCTCAATCGGTAGTGTCTTGACGGAATTTGTTCGGAACTCTAGCTAATGAAATGTCCTAGATGGTTATGCGTTCGTATCGAGCTTCTCGGCAATACATTCACAGCTACACTTGCGGCATATTTATTATACGGACCCCAAAAGGGAGCCAGCAATACGGGGTTCCTTCTAAACATGGCCGGTACGCTTCCTAGTTCATGCTCATTTCTTTGAGCCGACGTGTTTCCTTCCAAGTGGTCTTTACCGAAATTATCTTATGGTGGGTCCGTATATTCAACGAATTCGAGGTAGAGGGTACGTTCCCAAGCTCTGAGCGTCATTCATATCATGGTTTACACTGTGTAATGCAGGAAATAGGTACGCTCAACCGTATTTGTTGTGCCCCGGCTGAATAGATAACCTTCTAGCCTGGAGCGAGTACAACAATACATATGCATTGACCAGGAGCGGGGTTCAACGGAAAGTGGCAAACCGCCGGCATATTGGCCCGCCACCGGCGATCTCCACGTTGAAAATCTACGCTCAAGATATTCTGCAACTGGCCCAGTAGTGCTTGATGGACTAACTTTCCATATCAAAGGCGGCGAACGGGTTGGTGTTGTTGGCAGGACGGGCTCTGGGAAGGTATTTCAACTCCCTCAAATATATTAATCATGGCTCTGACCAATCTTGCCAGAGCACTTTAGCCCTGTCATTATTACGTGCCATTCCTGTGGATGGGTCTATGTATTTGGATGGAATACTAACGGACAGCATTAACCTCGATGCCTTGCGTTCTACTATCAGCATCATCCCACAAGTGGTATGTATCATAACATATTTCAACGTTTGGCATGTCATCTAATATACATCGTATAGCCTGACCTTCTCAGTGGCCCCCTGCGCCATAACCTTGACCCATTCTCCCAATACGATGACGCAGTGTTGAACGGTGCTCTCCGGGCCGCTGGGTTGTTTTCCCTCCAGAGTGATGAAGATGAGTCTAGAATCACCCTTGATACGATGCTGGGAAGCGGAGGGAACAATTTATCCGTCGGGCAGCGACAAATTATTGCTCTGGCAAGGGCTCTTCTTAGGCGTAGCAAGATATTGATCCTCGATGAAGGTGAGTCTCCGTAGGTCTATATGGTACTCTTGCTTACACCGACGCAACCGGCCAGCAACATCTGCTATCGGTACCTGGCTTTCTCGCCACGCCCATATAACGAAACTGACAAGGCATTTAGACCATAAAACAGACGAAATCATTCAGTCGTCAATACGACATGAACTTGGAAAGGACGTGACATTGATCACCATTGCCCATCGCTTGCAGACTATCATGGACGCCGATAAGATTGTTTGTCTGGTTCTTGACGCCACGATTACCTGGCTAACGAAGCTCATTGCAGATGGTTCTCGATGCCGGAAAGCTGGTTGAGTTTGGCACACCAGCTGACTTGCTCAGCGATGCTAAAGGGAAACTCCGTGCCTTAGTGGATGAATCTGGGGACAGAGAGAAGCTGATGGAAATGGCGCAACCCAAGGGCACTACATGAGCAGTTTATGTGATTGTGACATAGAAATAGAACTAACATTTTGAGACGACCTTACTTAACTGATCACCGGGAATCAATATACTTGTACTAGAGCTGGCTAGTGCGACAAGGGATCCTTTTGTGCTTCCCCCTGAGTACGGTCACATGATACTTTAATCTGATTAGGAGGGGCGTCGGCCCTGTGCCCAAATCTCCTCTCTTCTTGCCATTCATACTCTCACAGAACGCTTACCCTACAGAACTAACGTTAATTCTGGCGATGGAGGTACATCTGCCATTGATGCTGCTGATCGTGCTCATATATCTTACTTTCCGAATTGCTAGGCACTGCTCGACTTCTCGCGCGAGTTCGATGTCGGGCTCATGGATAATGTCGTGATGGCGCTGTACTCGGGAGGTGTACAGCAAGATGTAAGCTTCCTCCGCGATGCGCACGCATCCCTCTAATTAATCGGTGCACGGAACAGCAACAAATGGCCCAACAGATCTTGTCCCAGTTTCAGGAACATCCGGATGCATGGACGAGAGTACCAGAGATCATGGAGAAATCTAAATTTCCACAGGCCAAAGTGCGTTGGTTCTGTCTTCTTTAGGCGATAGGATCTAATACCCCTCTCTCTTCAGTTCATTGGTTTGCAGATCTTGGAGAAACTCGTGAACACTCGATGGAAATCATTGCCGGAAGCACAACGGCAAGGTATCCGAAATTTTGTCATTGGAACAACGATACAAGTTGCTTCAGACGAAGCCTCCATGCGAAAGGAGAAGACATATCTGGCCAAGTTAAACATTGCACTCGTTCAGATATTGAAGCAAGAATGGCCACACAACTGGCCTACATTCATCCCCGAACTTGTTGAATCATCCATGACCAACCTCACTCTTTGCGAGAACAACATGGCGATCCTGAAACTGCTCTCAGAAGAAATCTTCGATTTCTCAGCGGAACAGATGACCCAAAACAAAATCAAGAACCTCAAAAGCCAAATGTGCGGCGAATTCTCTGAAATCTTCAAGCTCTGTTCCGAAGTGCTCGAGAAAGCGCAGAAAGCTTCTTTGATCAAAGCGACTCTAGAGACTTTGCTACGCTTCTTGAACTGGATACCCCTCGGATACATCTTCGAAACCACAATTATCGACGTTCTCTTAACTAGAGTAAGTCATGTTTCCAGCCTGCAGTACGGCCACCGGCTAAATTCCCTAGTGAGTAGTTCCTAGAAGCCCCCGAATTTCGCAACGTCACTCTCAAATGTCTGGCCGAAATTGCCGCACTAAATGTAGGACCAGAATATGACCCTAAATTCGTCATACTATTCGCGATGGTCATGACTTCCGTCAACCGAATGATACCCCCGAGCACCGACATTGCACAAGCCTACGCTAATGCTGGTGATGCCGGCCAAGAGCTTGTCCTCAACCTCGCGCTCTTTCTTTGCAATTTTCTCTCCAACCATCTCAAAGCTGTCGAAGCCGAACAGAATCGTGACGTACTTCTCAACGCCCACCTTTACATGGTCAAAATATCGCAAGTGGACGAGCGCGAGGTTTACAAGATTTGTCTAGAGTACTGGCTGAGGCTTGTCACGGAGTTGTATGACGAACTACAAAGCCTACCCATCGGCGATTCTAGCCTTTTGATGGGCTTGAATCTGGATGGTGGTGCACCAGGCATGCTCAACGGTCTATCGCTGCGAAAGAACATTTATAGCGATGTTCTGTCGAATTTGAGACTGGTAGTCATCGGACGGATGGTGAAGCCGGAGGAGGTAAAATTTTCAATGTACCGCGTGGCTTAGATGCTAAATCGTTGCCTATAGGTCCTCATTGTTGAGAACGACGAAGGCGAGATCGTTCGAGAGTTCATGAAGGAGAGCGACACTATAGTGTTGTATAAATCCATGAGGGAGTTGCTGGTCTTCCTAACCCACTTGGACGTCGTGGACACAGAGAATATCATGACCGAGAAGTTGGCAAAGCAGGTGGACGGCTCTGAGTGGTCATGGAATAATCTGAACACGCTATGTTGGGCTATTGGCTCGATTTCTGGGGCCATGAGTACGCTAATCTTTCGTCCTTGAGGTCACTGACTCAAAGTCCTTATTTTAATAGACGAGGAGTCCGAAAAGCGATTTTTGGTTACTGTTATCAAGGAGCTTTTGGGCCTTACCGAGATGAAGCGCGGCAAGGACAACAAAGCTGTCGTTGCGTCAAATATCATGTACATCGTCGGACAATACCCACGTTTCCTCAAGGCTCATTGGAAGTTCCTCAAAACGGTGGTCAATAAACTATTTGAGTTCATGCACGAAACACATGAAGGTCGGTTGCTCGTCCCATCTCAAACTTCCAAACGCCCAACCTCCCCATTTAATTATTTGCACAGGTGTCCAGGATATGGCTTGCGATACGTTTATCAAGATTGCCCAGAAATGCAGAAGGCACTTTGTAATGCAGCAGTCTGGGGAGCAAGAGCCCTTTGTTGATGAGATCCTTCGACTACTTCATCGCATCACCGTAGATCTTTCGCCGCAGCAGGTTTGTCTCATCCTCATTGAAGCGTCCAGCCGTTAAAATATACTGTTCTCAGGTTCACACATTCTATGAAGCCGTTGGATACATGATATCTGCGCAACCCAACAAACCGCAGCAGGAGAAATTGATTGCCAAACTAATGGAACTACCCAACAATGCAGTACGCCGCATTTCCTTTCTTCGTGACTACCCGTCACGCTGACCATTTGATCCAGTGGGATTCTCTAATGGCTCAAGCCGCCCAAAACATGGACGTACTGTCAAGCGCGGAAAACATCAAGATTTTATCGAATGTTTTGAAAACAAACGTCTCCGCATGTACCTCCATCGGAAGTTTCTACCTTCCCCAAATAGGCAGAATCTTCCTGGATATGCTGGGGCTGTATAAGGCCGTTAGCGGTATCATCAGTGAAACTGTCGCAAAGGAAGGTCAGTAACTTCATATAGGCCTGGCCTTGCGGGTTGTCTCACTCTTGTTTAGGCTTAATCTCCACGAAGACACCGAAGATCCGACAACTTCGCACCGTTAAGAAGGAAATTCTAAGGTTAATGGAGACTTACATCAAGAAGGCGGAAGACCTCGATGCAGTTAACGCCAACTTCATCCCTCCACTCCTCGACGCCATCCTCGGCGACTACAATCGCAATGTACCCGCTGCTCGAGACGCTGAAGTACTGAACGTGATGGCTACCATTACTAACCGTTTGGGCGTAAGTTATTCGATTTGCCTCCTTCATTATTGTGTTCGACTAAACGCCTCCTAGCCGCTACTGACACCTCAAGTCCCTGCAATCCTCGATGCCGTCTTTGAACCGACGCTGAATATGATCAACCAAGACTTCGCCGAATTCCCAGAACATCGTGTTGGCTTCTTCAAGCTATTGCGTTCAATCAACCTCAATTGTTTCCCAGGTTCGTATATCTTGTCCGCTTACTCTCCTTGAAGCTTATGTGCATACGTTCTTTCTAGCCCTTCTATCTATTCCTCCGGCCCAGTTCAAACTGTTCATGGACAGTATCATCTGGGCCATCAAACACACCATGCGAGATATCGCTGACACTGGCCTTAATAGTAGGCATTCCTCGCAATCATGATATAACGACTGACTTATTGCTCACAACAGTCTGCCTTGAAGTCTTTGATAATTTCGCCGGTGCAGCGGATCCCGCCGTCAGCAATGCCTTCTTCCAGCAATACTTCCTAAGCGTCCTGCAAGATATATTCTTCGTGCTTACGGACACAGATCACAAGAGTGGTTTCAAACTTCAAAGTGTCCTTCTTGCTCGTATGTTCAACCTCGTCCAGACTGGGGTTGTTCAGGCGCCATTGTTCGATCCTGCAACGGCGGCCGATGCAAGCATGACGAACGCTGTGTTCCTGCGAGGTTATTGTGCGAACCTTCTACAAGGGGCCTTCCCCCACCTCCATCAGTGCGTTCTCCCATGCTCGTTTTGTCCAATCTCAGAATATGCACCCTTACTTCCATTTCCAGAACGCAAGTTGAAGCGTTCGTCGTTGGTCTCGGCGAATATCACAATGATATCAACCGATTCAAGCTCGCCCTTCGAGACTTCCTCATTCAACTCAAGGAGTTTGCTGGCGACAACGCCGAACTATATCTGGAAGAGAAGGAAGAAGAAGCACAGAGAAAAACGGAAGCCGCGATGCGCATTCCTGGAATGCTCAAGCCGTCGCAACTGGAGGATAGGGATGAGGATATATGATCTGAGGCACGGATGTCGCGAGGAGAAGTTCGCCTGTGATGTATTTGTAACGCCTTCTTGGCTGGCCCTTTTAATTCATTTTTGTAATAGCAGCACTTGTTCATTTCATCTTTCGGTACAGTAGTCCTCTTGTGATGATGCCTCGGTTCTACTAGCATTCAGGACTAATAGTAATGTAGAGTAAACAAATTGCGAAACCCTTAGCATCACGAAGAAAGTGAGTTGTATCTTGGTCGCACTAAGAACTAGCCGGAACGCTCTGCAAGAACGTGGACACGCTTTCAGCTACTACACCGTGCACCTTCGATGTCGGATGCAAGGCATCCATCCAGATAGTTTGACTAAACGGCTTCGAGTCGAAGCCGTACTTCTTGCGTTCGTTCAGGAATGCAGAGAATATTGAGTAGCTGGAGAATATCAATATCGTGGCGTCTGTGTGTCCTGACGAGAAGGTTTCCATGGTCTGCTTCAATTCTGTGTTCCAGGATTCGAATCTGCCGTCGTAATATTTCCCCCTGTAGGCTTCCAAGGGTCAGGCCATCATCCATTGCAAGACGGACAGTTAATCCAGACTCACCAGGAGAATTTTGAACGGGCGGTACGTCGATGAGCAGAAAGTTACGGGCCCCAGTCGCGTATAGCTGGTCGAGGAAATCGGCCAACGCGGTCAAGGACGGTTTCGGGTCACTGGAGTAACTGAAATGGTATCCCTTAGAACCCGAGCCTAGCTCTATGCTATTACTTACGCGCAATCATTGATACCGAACCAAAATACTTTTGATTATGAATGATGAGTCGATGAGTACGAGTGCAGCAAGCCGTGCGTAGATGCCCCTACCAAACAATGAGTCTTTGGGATCGATCTTCTTGGAGTAGTCACTTCGCAAGAAGCGTTCGACCTGATGGCGGACGCCCGAGTACGTAGCACCGCCGATTGCATAGTCGTAAGCTAACAACGGCGCAGCTAGATAAGCCTCATCTTGCTGGTCCGCCGTAGGATTGTATTTTGGGCCGGGAGCGTATTTGGTTAACAAGTGCCCTACCCAGTTGGGGAGATCTGGTTCGTTCCAAGTAAAGCCAGGCCACTCTGTCCCGAGGGGGAGGTTGGGTGTTGGCTCTGGGGTTTGGATCGCGTCCCTTACAGAACTATAGGAATCACCACTGATAGATAGGAATGTTGGTCAGGTATACGACATTCCTACTAGTAGCACTAGTTCACGACTCACAAGATAACCAAATTACGGATACTGCGAAACCCTTTCCAGGTGTCAGAAACTTGAATGACAACAGACATTATAGTTGTACGCTAAGGAGCCTTGCTTTCGCACAGATTTATTGATTCTCAGTGATATGATCTAACTCCGTCTCAAAACATCTAAATAACCCATCGATTGTTCAGACAGCGCTCTTGAGAGTTACGCCATGTCTATCAACTTCTCTCCGTCCGCGTGTTCATCGGCCAAGGCACGAAGCTTGCCTTTAGCATTGCCTACGGTTGAGCAAGGCGTCAAACGTTACAAACTCAATGAGCTTTCCGCCGTCGAGAACCATCTACAACGAACTCCATAAGCTACGGAATCATGGCGTCGAGAATTAGACATACCATGGGCAGTATGTGTTAAAGCGACTCGTAAGGCTCCATTCTGAGGCTCGGAGTAGCAGTATCAACGGAACGGCAGCTCGTAAATCCACACCCACGCATTGGTTATGGCAGAAGGGGACACCAAGGTCGAATAATATTGTGATTCAAGGTACTGCGTTGGCTCTAGTCGTGTTAATCTCCGTGGCTCCATCGGTGGCCATGAGTCCTTGATTATCACGCCATGGGGTTGAAGGATTGTAGGGGGGCTGGTCCTCATTTGCAGTATCGTCGCCGGGGTTAAAGACACCTTTTCTAAGGTGCATTGAAAATCCTCGACCCTTGTTCAGGAATAGAGATCCTCAAAAGAAATTATAGTCAGTGATTTAACCTTCTGCGTGCCGTCAGAATCATTGGTCCTTGGCTATTATTGCGTAGTCGTGGATCCAGAGCCTAAGCACGGGAGATGTTTTTGAAGGAAGGAGGGGCTGAAGAGCGAGGATTTGAAGTGGTCCTCAATGCAGCTACCGTAACAGCTTGGTCTCGAGCCTTCTGGAGCGCTGCAGTGCATCGCCAACGAAATTCCACGGTTAAATAATCCCTCGGATGCGACAGAAATAAACCAGCCAGCCCCTCTCACCTTTCGCTATGACCCAAAGGCATATCAAATTTGTGACAAAGGCTTCTCGTCCTCCGGAACGTTTCGTACACACAAGGCCTTGCCATGAGATTTCGAGGAGGCGAAGAGCTTGAAGAGGTGGTGGAAAGGAGAGAACGAGCGGACTTGGGGGAAATTGCCACACTGAGTTACGAGTTGTTTGTATGGGTCTCACCACGACCATAGTGGTTCCCAAAATCTCTTCGAGGATCGCTGGCATCGTTTCCACGCATGGATGCCGACATGAAAATTCGCTTCGACTGGGCCATTCCTTCAAAGTTGCCACACAATACTTCCATTTCTTGAATAAATCTTGAATCTTGACTTGACACCACTTTTCTACCGTTGAATAATAGGCCGGACTGGAGGATTTGCTGCTACTAGGTGTTGATGCTTGTACGGATAATTTGATTCTTGTCCTTGGGTGCTTATTGACCGTACAACCTTGGATCGGGTCAATTCTTGAAGCTTGACCACTGGAAGCACCATCTCAGCTCTCACAAGATACTCACCGCAGGCTTGGACTTCTTGGTACCAGACCGTGACATAGAAGGATGCTCTCCTAGCATGGTGGATCAATAAGGGTTCTTGAAGGCTGCGACGTCCATTGCGAGCGAGGTACGTTCGCGTCCAATTTGCCCGCCCTTCGATTCATTTCTTGCCAAAATTTGCCAGAGCATTCAGTGGTCGGTCCAACATCAGGCCAGTGCAGTAGCCAGCTAGCCTTGGAGGGGAGCCAGCCCAACGGCCTGATCTTGAGTTTCGAGTTTCACGCGAAACGAAAATCATCGAGTCAAACGTTCAGCTGGCCGAGTCTCACAGTTCAGGTGTGTCGCGTCAGTCATCTTGGTCTTCATTCTTGATTGTTGAATGTTGTTGAAGGGAAGGTCACTGGATTCCAACGGTGCTGTCTTTCTTGAATTCTTCTTAAGTAAATGTGGGCGACCAGAGTTGAAGCAAGCAGTAAGTTGCAAAGAGTCTTTTGAGGTAGGCCATGTCTCAGTACTTCTCTGGTGCGTTATGTTGACTAGAATTCAGCAGTTAGTATTCAATGTTGGTGGGTCGTTGGAAGGAACTCATCCCCGACCAAACGCAATTATGCGTCACATTGCGTGACAATCACCGGCGCGCTTGCCTATTTCGGATAACGGCGGCACGATGCTCGGGATCGTCGCTTCGGTTTACATGATGTGACTCGAGCAAGAGTTCTAGAAGGGTGGGTTGGGCTATAATGCAAATGAGGTGCCAGTCTGAAAGCTGAGGATCCTCGCTCGACTATCGTCCTGAAGCATCGAGTTCGAGTTTGGTGTTGCATCCCTAGTCGTATCTCGACGGAAACGTGGGGGATCACTCAGTGAGAGTTTGGCAGGCTGTTTGCAGTATGTTCGATGGATGGATGTCGCGAAGCGGGAGGAGGGACGAGGTGTCGCCTTCTTTGATCGAGCTGGACATGAAGTGCCGTGAAGCGGTAACTTGGAAGGTTCCAAAACCGGGGAACTTCTCTTGACTGAATTCGGCCATTTTCTCGGCAACTACCCAGCGCAATTCAGGAAAATAGCGGCTTCGAGACCCGCTGTCCCTCTCCCTCTTTCTTCTATACTACGACCCCCCCCCACCGCTCCTTCTTTCCCTTCACCTTTCTTTCCAGATGCCTATGCCATCAGTCTTCCCCCGCTCGCGTAATGGAGGCAGCCATATGTACGCGCCATCCATTGGCCAGGTCCTCGATTCGTACAACCTGTCGCAGTTACGTGCTTCTACCCGCTCAAAAGTCTTTTCGCGGTACCATCCGTATCCCTGCTATACGGACCGTGTTTCCTGTGACCCTTTGATGGTGAGTTGGCTCAATCTTAGCTTGTCGCCAATACCAGTGCCAATATAACATGGAATCAGCAAACTATTGATGAGCGCGACGAACCTCCTGCTTACCAGGTAGCTACTGGTACCCACTACGTCTGGACCTTCGCTTATAGAAACGTGTAGGATGCTCGGAGACAGGTTGCACCATACCGGCCTCGCAACGGTGTAGGCTATGGTCAGCGTCAAGGCTTCGCTCATAAGACCAACGCTGCGTGAGTTCTCCCCCAGTTTTTTCTTCCACTACAACCGCAACAATCCTTCATAGAGCTTGAAAGCCCATCGTTTGCCGTCAACACTGTATATTCAAAGATTTGATGAAGAGATGAATCTTCGTACGTCGACTGCCTTGAAATTCAGTGGTGAAGACTTTGGGCTGACATGGCTCTACGGTCTCGCCTAGTTGTGAATGACTCCCCGCTTTTGTTGGTTCGAAGCCTCGCCTTGCTGAATAAAACAAATACAACCCGATCCGGCGGCATCTACTATCTACTCCCGCTGCTGTGCAGGAGAATGCCTACCTACGGACTCTATCTATCCCCATGTCATGAGCCCCTCGTTTATAATTGTACTTAGTATCTACAAGAACACTAGAGGTCTCGCTTTCTCCAATTTGTCCAACATCCAACGTCGACGAAAAAAGGCGAGTTGTCGGCAGTAGAAGCCCCTGATTGTATTGGTCCGAAAAGGATATAAGTAGGGGCATATTTAGGAAAGTGATAGTCGTGTCGCTTCAAGATGGCCTCCCCCATCCATGATGTTATCATGCTGTTTGGAGACTCTATTACGCAAGGAGGTTGGCAGAACGGTGGTTTTGGACATCGCTTAGATGGTCAGCGTTATTATCGCACGAGAATCGACGTTTACCTTCCTCGCCAGATGCCTACTCCAGAAAGTTCGACGTACTAAACAGAGGTTTGGCGGGATACAATACGGACTGGGCTTTACCTGTATTCCGGCAGGCAAGTCCCCCTTGCTTATTTACACAGTAGGAGGCCAACAATCAGATCAGTATCTCGCGACGGTCGATGAGCGGAAACACGCTCCCCGTATAAGGCTCCTCACGATCTGGTTCGGCGCAAATGATGCTTGCATAAAGCCCTCGCCGCAGCATGTCCCCCTTGACAAGTTCACTGAAAATATCAGGGCAATAGTGCAAATGATCACATCACCCTCGTCGGGATACTACTCTCCGGACACCAAGATCATACTGATCACCCCGCCGCCGGTAAATACTATACAGCGTAGTGCTGACCTTTCATCGCGCAACCCCCCGCTTGCGCTCGATAGGAAGTTTGACGTTACGAAACTGTATGCGGACGCCGTCAAGTCCGTTGCTGGCGAAGAGAAGGTTGCATTACTAGACGTGTGGACGATATTCTGGGAAGCTGCTGGGTCGGAAGCGGCGCTGAGCAAGTATCTATCCGACGGTCTGCATCCGAGTGCATTGGGATATGATGTGCGTGTCATGATTTTGTCTGCCTGCAGAGGAATACTGATCAATTGACGAAGTTGGTGTATGATGGTCTTGTCTCAACGATTGCCAGAGAATATCCAGAACTCCACTACGAGAAAATCAAGCCTCTGTTCCCTCTGTGAGTGTGTGGATATTTGAACAGTTCGTGGACTGAATGTATTTCAAGTTGGGCGGACATCGACTGGGCCAACCCAGGTCCTGGTCTCGTAGCGTCTAAGATCTAAACAGCTGTAGAATACGTAGATTGCTGTGGGTTCTCCCTCGTTTCTGCATAAAGTGACTGCTTCACTGAATCCTTAGGAGGACTTCAGGAGTGGGAAGTAAGTATGTCGGACCGACATTGACAGGAGCAATGGTTAAGTAAGCCACGCGGTCACGTGGGTTTGGTTCGAGTACGAAGGAGCCTGAAATGGAGCAGCAGAGTTGTCCTTTGTTCGCGACCATCAACGTTCAGTTGGGCGACCAGTCGACCTCCCTCCCCCCCGAGCGGTACCACCCATTCTCTCGCGTTTTCTCAATGTACGCGGGCGAGCTTCTTGATGGCGAGGATTGATGGCTAACCTATTACGGCAGTACGGCCACAGCGTGGACCCACAACTGTCCACAACAGGCCTGGTTGCTTTCCTTTCCCAGTTGAACCAACAATTCTTCGTGAGAATTTCCTCTGCGCGCTCTTGAACCTTTGCCTTGTTGCCCCTCTACTTGTGCACTTTTGGTTCTGACCACTTGTTCTGTTCCAGGCGCGGCCTCCTCCGTCAACACACTCCTTCGTCGAGGTGAGCACTTGCCCGCGTTTTATTATCAGTGATGCTTCGCGGCGTGTTCGGCGGCAGAACAATGTGTGGGTGCGGTTCGAAGTGGATGTGGCCATATTGGTACCTCCCATATCGAGGGAACAATGGACGGGCCACCCCCCGAATTTCAACTTTCTCGGAGCGGGTGCCATGAACCAGGGACTAACTTCATTGTAGTAGAGCTCAACCCTTAAGCCACGGAACTCTGGTTGGACCATCTCACTTGGTGCGTATATAACTTGGAACTTTGTTCGAATTTGCTAACCAACTCCCTTCTGTACCACTACCTGTACACTCGAACTCCCGCGCATCTCCCAAACGGATACACGCTTTCTCGCCGCCCAACACTCAACATTGTAACCGACTACGTAACGCCTTGTTGACGATCACATGTCATTCCTACGCCGTATCATAGACTCCACCCACCCTTACAAGAAACAGAAGAGAAACCCAAGACCCGATAACGACGACGCATCACTCGACATGCCTGCTCTATTCACTCAATCGAAACCTTTCTTCCTCAACGTGCCACCCGCCTCACGTCAATCCAGCGTCCGGAGCTCTCGTCTCGCTGATGATATAGATAACTTCCTATCTTCCGACTTGGAGCTTTCCTTCGCGTCGACGGTGTCGCTTCACTCGCCCCCTCGGGACCCGCTCTCGCTGACTCCCGAAAGCGATGATTCAGTTGTACCCATGGACATCTCCCCCGCGCCCCCGCCGAAACCAGTTGGGAAAGATGGCAGCAAGCCTTCGCGCCCTCGGGCTTTCACTAGCGCCGCGCGGTTGTTCGGGCGCGATATGAGTAACAACGCGTCGAGTACGCCTCAACTTGCCCCTCCCCCTGTATCCAAACAAGGCTCCATCAACTCAAGCTCGAAACGCACTCAAAGAGCTGCTCTACCGATGGAATGGTTATCCCGCCCACAGGTAGCTGATTCGAATGAAAATCTATCACAACCAGTACGTTATTTTGGTCGTTTTGAAGTTGACCAACGGGCATTAATGAAATTTCTTCCGCTGTCAGCCGCTGACAATTCCGACCTCTCCAGGAGACGCAATGGATGTTGACTCGGACCCTCCTCTTCCCATGCCATCCGCCACCTTCTCTGTCATGCCCCATACCGCGGCGCCCACTGTGACCTCCTTCAACAATCTGTTCTTTGACACCGTGTCGCCTCGCCGTTCGTTTGAGTCGCCCGCTAAACCTCAACACAAGAAGCGCAGGTCAGCCTCCCCCGAGCCTACTCGCTACAACGAGTTCGACATCTCGTCATCGCCGGCCCCGTCCTCCCCTTCTCAAGCCAAATTTGAGCGAATGCAAGGTAATTCATTGCTTGCGCGCTTCAATAGCAAGCCTACTTTGGAGGGCCTTGGTGCGCCGTCTGCGAATGGTTTGAAGCGTCCGCGTCGTCCCGCTCTGTCCGCTATGATTCAGCCCTCCGACGCTGGTGTGCGATCAGCTTTCCCCGTGTTGAATGAACCGACGCAAGAAGACATAGATCCCAGGCACCTACCCCCTACCTTGCCACCTACTCGCAGAGCCGTGTCTGCGCTCTTGCCCCCTAAAGGCTTCGGAGACTTTTCATCTGATGAAGGCTCCTTCGACGGGCCCGATATGTCTTCACCCGCTCAAGCGTATGCTAAACGCCAGCAAGTGAAGACAATTCGTCGTTGTGATGGCACGGACGACTTCCGTCCCTTGACAGGTGCGACGGCAATGGTGATGAGGGAGAGCCCCTCTTCCAGGTTTGCTGGTATGGGTCTACCTGGGTTCGGTGACAACGAAGCTCATGGTAAGATCTTACCTTGTCATCGCGTTGCGGATGACGGCTTGATGAGAATCACGCCCCAGACGGTGAGTAGCGCTCGAAGCACGTTTTGTGTATGTTGCTCAGTTGTTTCCTAGTTGGACGCTGTTTTGGACGGTTCGTTCAACGACAAGATTCGCGACTTTTACATTATCGATTGTCGGTTCGATTACGAATACAACGGTGGTCATGTACCTGGCGCTGTCAACATGAACACCACTTCTGCGGTGGAAGAGATGCTCTTGGGCGTTGGTGTGCCCAAGCCAAAGGCGTCTGTCAGCGGCGATGCTCAGAAGAAGACCATTCTTATCTTCCATTGCGAATTTAGCATGAAGCGAGCCCCCACATTGTGCGTTGTTCTCCTCTTTTCCCCTGCATAGTCTAAACAACGGTGCGTAGTGCAAAGCACTTACGCGCGAAAGATCGTGCAATGAACAACCACAACTACCCGAAGATCCACTACCCCGAAGTTTATATTCTTGAAGGTGGTTATTGTCGCTACTTTGAGGCCTCTGGCTTCCGATGCCAGCCACCAGCATATGTACGCATGGACGATCCTGATCATGCTACTTCCCGCCGCGAAGACCTTGACCAGTTCCGCAAAACAAAGTTCGGCCGTCACAAGTCATATACTTACGGCGATGGCGTCAAGTTGACTGCTGGTTCCAACCCTCCCGCTCAGCCAAAGAGAAATACGGTACCTAGTGCTGGCCCTACCACTCTCTTTGCGGCCGCTAATGCCGCACGAACTCGTCGTGGGACACTCGGCGGTTTATCTACGCTCGCCGAGGATACGGACAAGACCATCGACACTGATGACGAAGATACCGACATTGGTGATAGTCCCTGCCCCCCACCAAACAAAGGCATGGCTTCCAAATTGAAGATGCCTCTCCGCAGGACGCTTATTCGCGCTGAGACCTATGGTCCCACTGGTATGTCTTATTGTTAAGTTGGAACAAAACCCCGTTGGAACAAAACCCCCTACGCCAAATCCTGCATGAATCGCTTAAACCATACGCTATCATGTCATCTCAACGCTTCCACCACGGCATCTTACTTCGCGCAACGTTCATCATGTTCACCCTTACGCTTTGCATGTCCACTCCTTGTCCACCACGCTCATTTGCAACGAAACTCCTCTATCGCCGAGAATACGGGTTCATCGCCGGATGGCAGTTGCCTCTATCTCGAAATCTCGCGGCTCTAATCTTCGAACAAATCAAACACAAACTAAGCATTCGCATTGTCCAAGAGTATGGCCCTCAAAAGCAATAACTCAAACATGGTCGACCTCTACAGGCCCGCATATCAAATGTGCTTCTAACAATCACGCAACATATGTATAAACCCATCTCTGTTCCCTTCCTCTCCATCTCCCCTCTATTTATACGATCTTCGGACTCGGCCTCGTGTCTTCTCTTTCCACTGCCTTTCCATCATTGCCTCCCATCGTCGCGGTTTTTTGAACCTTATCGCTTGATAGCGCTTTCTTTTTCCCGAATACAGCAAGACATGTTGATACTGTCTGTTTTCTTCTCTTTCTTGATTGTTGCATCCGTGCACTTGTTATGGCGCTTCGACTTCGGTAGTATATACTTCGCTATTCGATTGTTTTCGCGCAACATTATTTTTTCCATTATGAATGACTTCACCCTGGACGGGATATGTGGTTTCGATATGTGAAGATGGTTTATTTAAGACTTCCAATAGTCATGATATCCTTTTTTCACCCCGTACGATGGACTGGTAGCTCCCGAATATATTTTTGTCTCCCAACTGCATCAGACTCAACGTCCGAAGCCCCTGAGATCATATTCTAACGCGTTTAGCGCCCCAGATTTCTTGGTTCTGTACGGTTTCGTCTCATCACCATCGTGAACCTGCTCAGCTATGTTTCAACGTGATCCTCGAGCTGGCGCGTTCCTTGGAGGCGATCGCGTCTCCGGGCAAGATATTCGCGATCAAAATGGTCTGTCGTGTCTTTGTCCGCGATCTGATAGAAAGTCTGAGATGCCAACTTGGAATCCAGTATTGGCTGCTCAGACGATCGCAAACGTTGTGAAGAGTTCTCTTGGGCCGCTGGGCCTAGACAAAATGCTGGTTGATAATATTGGAGTGCGTATACTGTTGGTTATTGATACGATGATGTTGGCGTCTCTAATTCCTCGAACGCGCGCGCAGGAGGTCACAATATCCAACGATGGCGCGACTATTCTTTCATTGTTATCCGTAGAGCATCCTGCCGGCCGTATATTCGTGGACCTTGCTCAAAAACAGGACAAAGAAGTTGGGGATGGAACGACATCGGTAGTCATCATCGCTGCTGAACTCCTGCGACGCGCGAACGAACTCGTCAAGGCAAGGATCCATCCCACTACTATCATCACGGGATACCGTCTTGCATGCCGAGAGGCTGTCAAGTTTATGCAGGATCAACTGAGTGTTAAGGTGGACTCGCTGGGAAAAGAGGCGTTGATTAATGCTGCGAAGACGAGTATGTCGAGCAAGATCATTGGAAAGTGAGTATAACATCGTGAATTGTTATTGTGGAATATACTAACGATTCACGAAGCGATGATGATTTGTTTGCCCCGATGGCAGTCGATGCTATGCTGGCCGTGAAGACGATTAACATGAGAGGGGATATCAAGTATCCCGTAAAGGCTGTCAACGTCCTAAAAGCCCATGGAAAGAGTGCAAGAGAATCCATCTTCGTTCATGGATATGCTCTCAACTGCACTGTTGCTAGTCAAGGTATGTTATGGGATACTTCACACGTTCGCACTCAGTCTCAAGATTTTATGCGCTAGCCATGAAGAAGCGGATAACAGGAGCTAAGATTGCTTGCCTCGATATTAACCTACAAAAAGCACGCATGCAACTTGGTGTTCAAATCCTCGTTGACGATCCGAATCAACTCGAGGAAATCCGAAAACGGTTAGTTGCACATACTTCGTGTGGTTTTGAGATCCTCATGTAGTCTGTAGCGAGGCGGAAATAACGCTCGAGCGCATTCGAAAAATATTGGCAGCGGGTGCCAACGTTGTTCTTACAACTAAAGGCATAGACGATCTCTGCCTGAAGGAGTTCGTGGAGGCTGGTGCCATGGCTGTCCGACGGTGCAGAAAGGAGGATCTACGACGGATCGCAAAGGCCACCGGTGGAACTCTTATCTCCAGTCTTGCCAATCTAGAGGGAGAAGAGACATATGAAGCTAGTTATCTCGGCACAGCGGACGAAGTCGTTCAAGAGCGGATATCTGACGATGAGCTCATCTTGGTCAAGGGAACGAAAGTGGTTCGCTCTTCGTCGATAGTCCTCCGAGGAGCAAACGACTACATGTTAGACGAGATGGAGCGTGCATTACATGATACTTTATCTGTCATCAAGCGCACCCTCGAAAGCGGATCGGTAGTTCCAGGCGGAGGTGCTGTCGAGTCGGCTCTTAGCATCTACCTTGAGAACTTTGCCACCACTTTGGTAATACTTCCTCTGTACGTCTGTCGGGCGCGTTTTTGACAAACAAGGACTTTATAGGGTTCACGGGAGCAACTGGCCATCGCCGAATTCGCTAGCGCGCTGTTATCCATCCCCAAACAGCTTGCAGTCAACGCTGCCAAAGACTCAACCGAGCTGGTTGCGAAACTTCGTTCCTATCACAGCGCCGCTCAGAACGCACCCCCCGGGGATCCGACGAAGCTATTGCTCAGATACGGACTTGACTTGATGAATGGTGAAGTTCGCGACAATGTCACCGCCGGTGTTCTGGAGCCTACCATGAGCAAGGTTCGCAGTCTCAAGTCGGCATACGAAGCTGCTGTTTCTCTGCTCCGAATCGACGATGCGATCCAATGCGCGCCTGGTTAGTGAAACTTTCTTTGATGGAAACATGATATTAACGGCACCACATTCTCCCATGCCATATAGAACCGAAGAATGACCCGGACCCCCATGGTCACTAAGTGACTAGTCTCACGAGTATATACACAGACGAGATGTACATACACAAAATGCAATCTAATATCACCGTCGACACGAACACGACAACTCGGATTTGCTTCGGATACTCCTTTGTTGTTTGTACCGAGTTCCGCGTTCCTTTCATAATGGATTTGGATTCCAGTTGTGGCATGTGCCAGCGTCAAGTGACGCGTCGTGATCACGTGGTGTGTGACAATTTCAACACTTCATTTCGGCCTTGTAAACACTCCCTTTTAAACATCGCCATCGTCGTCCGCGTTCTCCACCGTGAATCTCTGTCTCGCCAGAGGCTCGATATCCTGGAAGCTTTCCGAAGACACCTATGCACTGAACCCAGGTCCTTATGCTACAACACGAGAACATCCATGGTCTCCAGCCACCTCACCTTATTCCCCGAATCCAGGGCCTAGTATGGTCGTGCATCGACGCCGACTTAACAAAGACTGCTGTATTTTATGCTGAGCGGTACTTTCATATGGACGAGAAGAACCACGATGCACGACATCTCTACGCCACTGCGCTTTTTCGCGAGGGTCAAACATATTCTGCGTTGCATCTTGTAAATAGACCGCCGGACGATATATGTTCTGGATGCCTGGAAATCAAGGCGAAATGCTGCACTGCTCTTGGGCGCCATAGGCAGGCCCGAGAAGCGCTAGAGAGGACAGTGGCTGATCCTCGTTATACACCATCCCGTGAGTTTCGTGTTTCTGAATCGAATGTATTCTTGAACGCGCATTATTAGTTGCCACAGGTAGTAGAAGCACGCAGCCCTTCCCTGATGAAGCCGCCCTACATTGCAGAGCTGGGACAATGGCATTGAAGGGCAATCTACCCGAGGAAGCAGTGATTAGCTTCCGTCGGGCATTGGCGCTGAATCCTTTTCTTTGGGAGGCCTTTGAAGGCCTATGCGCTTTGGGTATGAAGTGTTCAAAGTCACGCCGTCTACTCCGTATTAACCACCGACGCCCGCAGGTGCCTCCCCTCATATCGATGAATTATTTCCCCCCCGACCCCAACCTACCCGACGATTTCCAACGGAAGAGCCACAACAACCTAAACCCATAATGCCCACAACTACCGGTGCTGGCTTTTTTACCCCCGGCGCAGAGACGTCGGGCAATCTCTTTCGTTGGGATGTTGGGCAACCGCCAGCCTTCCGAATGGGAGCTGCACCATCTCGGCCGCGGGATTCCATGTTAGTACTTCGTTATTGTCCCTTCGCTCTTATTGATACGCCATATAGCGCCACCAACGAGTCCTCATTTTACCCTGTCGACACGCCATTTCAGCCAATACATCGGATAACACGGTCTCAACCTGTAGTTCCCACTCAACAGCCGCCTATGTCTCGGCCACTCTCGTCTGCGGACGAGACAGGGCCGGTTGCGAAGAAACTGCGGTCAACAAGTCGACAACCGGAGGCTGCAGTGAGGGCTTCGAAGTCAAGCAAGTTGACTGACGATACCTTGAAAAAGGCACGCGTCCGACCGGCCTTGACATTTGCTAACTTCTTCTCATCTTCCGGTCGTACCCAGCCTACGACGTCCTCTAGGACCTCCGCTGCTATCGGAAAGAGCAATCAAGTTGCTGGCCATGGTGGTATACCCACCCGAAGAAGTACGCGCTTGTTAAGCGGTACCTCCACGAAACAGGGACATTCTAAGGTGAATGCATCTTGCCTTGATTAGGTTTCGTCATACAAAGACGCTAGACTCACCCACTTGGATGTCAGACTCTATCGCGCGATCGGCGACGACAGCCTGCACAACAACATGCGAGGTCTGTTGAATCGGAGATAGATGAAGAGACAGTAAACGTGGAAGAAGTCCCCTGTTCGCCTTCACCTTCCCTTCCCCATTCACCGCGGTCTGAGGCCTCTCTAGCATCTAGCACATGGACAGCACACGATCAAGCTACGCAGGAAACATATGAGTCAGACGCCGCTGATCACTTTATCTATGACTTGATGAGACGGTTCGCCATAGCTTGGCGAGCCCTTTCCGTATATGATGTACAGGGGTGCATACATGAGCTCGGACAGCTGCCTCATGGACAACAGCAGTCCCCCGGTGTACTTGCAATGGTCGGCAGGGCAAATTATGAACGGCTAGACTATCCTTCGGTACGTGGAAGCGTCTTCTTTTCATATCTTAATCTAACGGTGACATAAATATGTAGGCAGAGCGAGCCTTCAAAAGTGTCCGAGAGAAACAGCCCTATCGACTATGGGATATGGAAGTGTATTCGACATTGCTTTGGCATTTACAACGAAACGTTGAACTGTCATTCCTCGCGCAAGAACTTCTGAGCATAAACCCTCAATGTTCACAAGCTTGGATTGCGGTGGGAAATTTATTCTCGCTGCAGAGAGAACGCACGCAAGCATTGACCTGCTTCCGTCGAGCGTTGCAGATGGATCCAACGTGTGCTTACGCGTATACGCTGAGTGGTCACGAGTCCATAGACGAGGACGTCAATAAGGCGGTGGGTTTCTTCCAGTCGGCCTTACGTGCTGATCCTCGCCATTACAATGCTTGGTATGTGGCGTGTTTCCCTCGGGGATGACAGCTGGCTTATCGTGTGCCCTATTTTGTTTTCTAGGTATGGACTTGGGACGTGCTACCTGAGAATGAGCAGGATACGGCTCGCGGAGTACCATTTCAGGAAAGCTTCAGAGATCCATCCAAACAACGTGGTGCTCCTTGGTTGCGTGGGTTTGGTGCGTACAAAAACAATATCGGGCTTTGTTGGATTGCTGAGGCATTTCCCAGGCTGTCGAAAGACGAGGAGACCGTGAGGGTGCACTGGCGATCTTTGACCAGGCAATACACCTTTGCCCTGAAAACGCACTTGTTCGTTATCGTCGGGCCAAAATCCTTATCGCAGCGAAGAAGTATCACGTAAGCGCTTTTCCCTCTAAAAGAGCTAGCGACTGACTGCTTCTGGTATCAACAGGCGGCAGCGGAGGATCTGGAAAGCCTGCGGAAGGTTGCGCCAGAAGAAGCGAATGTGATCTACCAGCTTGCGAAGGTATATCGCCTGATGGGGAACGAGCTCAAGTCTGCACAGATGCTAGCGCTGGCACGCGACATTTCGCCCAAGAGCATGCACAAGATTAGCAAGCTTTTGGATACGCTACGTGACGAGGGAGACCAAATGGACGAAGGATGATGGGTAATTGCGTGTGGACGGACAGACTTTATGTCGCATACTCTTGTACATATTTCGTGCGAACCTTGTAATATGAGGACATGAACGAACTGGTTCGGATGCTACTCGGCCGACGATACGCTCGGTTTGCTCGATCGAGTCTGAGTCAAAATGCAAGGAACGCGTATTTGGCTGTATAAAAGGAGAGGCGCTGGCGTCGCTCACCCTTGCCTCCCTCCTCCATCTCCCTCTGTCGCCAACCACCATGTCTGTCTGAGTTCCTCGCTTTTTGCTGCCCTCCTCCTCGTACCCGTCTCGTCCTGCGTCAATATCCTGACCCCCAGGCGGACCCGCTACTCAAGCATGGTTAACAAACTTGCCCGTAAATCCAACAACGGCACCATCCTATTCGAACCATTCATCGTAGACCGTATACACCGTTGAAACCACCACTTGCCCATTCCTGTGCGTATCCAGTCTTCAACAGGCGTCGCGTGCTGTTGCTCACGTTCTGCTCGTTCTTGGATAACCGTCTGCCCCACAGCCCCACCCTTACTCGCACCAACAATTCAACAAATAGCGAGCGTAATAATCATGGCGTCACCAGAACTATCCACCTTAGCCCGTAGCAAGTTGCACTCCTCCGTGAGCGGCAGAGAGAGCTGGAACTTGCACCGCTGGGTACTCCTCAAAAATTCATACCACTCAACCTGTATTCCCAGCACAGCAGCTCGCACCGCAGACATCACCCCTGTAAATATCCCTAATCTTGGTTCAGAGGACGTTGAGGAAGCCGACGACGATGATGACATGGAGGTTGGCGACTCGTTTATGTTTCCGGATGCCGGCAAACTGGGCGAGCCTCGTTCTTCGGACATAAACTCACCCGAATCCCAGTGGTTGGATTCTGTATTAGAGGGTCTCGGCGATGACGACGACGACGAAGATTACACTACTATCGCTTCTATTCGCGTGTCCGACACCGACCTCCCCACCCCTGAGGACGAAGAGCTGCTGCTTAGCCCGCTGTCCCCTGCCTCATCCACCGACGAGCTGCCTGGCGGTCACTCATCATATTTTGCTGATTCCATTCCTGTAACATATCCATACATCATCCCTTACCCCCATTTTCATCCCCCTCTAGTCCATCCTTATCACTTTGAGTCCACCATGCATTCACCCCTATCTTCTATTCCTCGCCCTTATGAAGATCCTCTCCCTTATTATGATACAGACGACGTAGAGAATCTCTCCGTTCCCGACGCCATAGAAGACACCTCTGACGACGAGTCGGATGCTCCATCAACGCCGTCTCTAGGTAGTCGTTCGAGTCTGGTCGATCCAGCCGGAATCCCTCTACCCGGGGAGAATGTCAGACGACCTCGCTCCCACCCTCACGTATATATTGACAACCAAGACTCCTACTTCTATCCCTTTGAACTCGAACCCCTCCCCTTCTCAGACGATCATACTCCCCACCCGCCCCCGTACAGTACTTATCAGGAGTGCTAGCTGCGCTCTTCCTGTCTCTTGATCTTGCTATTTGCTTTTCGCTGCGCATGTTTGCTTCATTCATTCATCTCATCTTGTTAGGCACCAGCTGGCGCCACATGTCTATTACTGCTATGTTACTAGTCATTGCGATAAACATATGCTCGTATTGTTGCCGATGCCAAGTGACTGACAGGGTCTCGACAAATGGTACGATTCCTTCCGACGCTATCCGTAGTCGGCCGACGCACCCACGGTGCCATATTTACGCCGCGGAAGAGTGGTCACCCTCCCCGGACGTCACGGTTACTTTAGCTAACTCCGTGAACCAAGTAGGTTCTGGAATGGCGTCCCGGGGAACGAACTGAACCGATGTGTTGTTAAAGGCCGTTGGCCACGAAATTGATGCAGGGATTGTATGAGAGACCAGGATAGGGTCTATAACCGATAGGAAGAGAATGGAAGATATCGCGCGTGAGAGGACAACACGGGGGAGCAATGATGGGTTTCAGTGACGAGCAGCATCGAACAAACAATGGACATACAGACCTATTCTCAGCACGCAGGGAGCGTGTTCTTCGAGGTCTCGCCGTGATTTGCTAGAAAAAATAGGATGAGCGTAGGAGTAATCAACGGGAGCCGAGGTAGCAGGCCAATAAGAGAAGGTCAGCTCACTTTTGAATGTAATCAGAAAGGTTGTTGGCTACTAGAACCAGGCGTGCAAGGCGCTGGGGGGTCCAGTTCGCTCGGAGGATATTCTCGTACAAGCTCAGGTCACAATGAGGCATGAAGAATAAGGTAGGACCCTCCGCAGGATAGTCACCGTTCTGGGGAGAACAAAAAATACAGTTCAGGGGTTTATGTCAACGGGTGAGTCAAACGGAGGAAGACTTGCCCTATTCTCTGATAAGACATCGAATTTGTACGCCACGAAGAGCTCCTTGTCTGCTTCCGTGAAGACAGGATCATATAAGGAGACCTTCTCTGGACTCTGCCGGCTGTCTCAAAAAAAGTTCACCCACTAAGGTAAAATTTGACAGCACGCACAATGTTGCAACAATGGCAAAGTTGGAGGAGAAATCCCAGCTGTGCGATGGCATCACGAGACGACGAAGGGCTTCCAAGGCCAAGACAAACGACAGCTGGTGAGGTAATTTGCCTCGCAGCCAGCGCATCAAGGATCAGACCTGGAGAAGGACCCTGGGACGTTATCACACTACGAAAATGGAATATTGCATAGAGGAATGGGAGAAAACAAACATTTAGCTTGCGTGAACCAGGCGGACTCGGAATTGTCGAGTTCTGAGCGAACACGCTGCAGCGCTTCAGCCGTGGAATGAGGCTTATGCTTCCTTCGTTTCCTGTGTGAAGCGGTAATGAACTCTGAGTATCGAAATTGGTTCGAGGAAGTAGCCATCTTGCTCGCAGCCTCGTGTTCACGCGAGTCAACCGAGCAGTATAGCAGCCGAGGCAAACAGGGGCAAGCAAGCTCCTATTCTACAGCCCATCCCTCTCCTGGTACCGGGCCCACCGCAGAGAAGCGGCGTTAACAATCCCCGCTGATCATCAATCTCCGTCGTCTTTAACACCCCGCAAGTGCGGGGCTCCCATTGAATATGTCCATATGAAATCTGCATTTCGCAGGCATGTTCTAGGGTGGTGCCCTTTACCGACTAAACATGTGGATTAAGAGCTGTAATACAAACCCAGCATCATTAAGGGTGCACAAAGGACCTAAGCGCTAGAAAGCTACCCCTTGACTGATAACCAGGACGAACCAGGAGCGAACTCTGCCATAGGTTGATCCCTTCACAGGCTTTGCAGCGCCCACAGGTCATCCCCGAGATACGTCACGACTTCGACCCCAACGCCTTTATTTATCTTTCGGATGTCTTCCGTGGCCAGCTTCGTAATGCCTATACCCACAGCATGCTCCTTGCCCTCGGCATGGATGGTCACCGGCGACCCAGCCGGGAGAGCCTCATCAGGCGGAGGCAGATATCCTCCCTTGGAAGTGAACCCAGGACACATCATGTGTGCGCCCCCAAGGAGAAACCTGATAGCACCTCGATCTACCTTAACCATCGGTAGAATATACGGATCTGCAATGAAGCGATGTGGATGTGTCAAGGCGTACCCACTGCTACCGAAGGTGAACCGTACGTACATTTGTGGATGACACGCAAGGTCGGGTAGAAGGGGCCGTCAAAGTGCTGGAACGCTAGTGGCTCCCCGTTCACCGTGTATATGGACACATGCTCTCTGCTAAGATGGAATGCACCAGCTAATCAGCTTTGGCGACTAAGTTAATGAACGGGCCACTGACCATTTTACGTGTACCAGGCCCTCTTTCTTTGGCCATATAGCTTCCAGAGTCTCTGGTTCAATCTTCCACTGCGAAAGGAGGGCCGATCGGATAGATCGCTGCACCGAAGTCTTGACTGGCGTATGCCCAGCGATATCAGTGGATGGCTGGAACCTGTCTCAATATCAATTTCGACCATCGAGAACACGTAAGACCGTGCCTACTTTTTGAACATGAGTGGTGGTGGTTGGGTGTCGCGGCTGTAGCCGATCACCAGTGTTGCTGGTTCAGTAGTTGGAAAGATAAAAGAGGATCGCCGCCTTCTCAGGGGGCCCGATCAACATAATCATCGACATTGTATATTCCAGATCGATGCAAATTGTCTACGTTACAATACGATAAGCTCCAGATAATACACAAAACTTCACAGCAAAAAGCTAATGCCTGCATCGATAGCAAATATGTGGGGTCAGAGCCGATTAGGGATGAGGGACTGCAGTACAAATACAGAGATCGGCAGATTACATTCATATATCCTCGTCTTTGTCTTCTAACTGCGAAGGCTTGAGCATACCAGGGATGCGCATAGCGGCTGAACGTTCTTCTTCTGCCTTCCTTCGAGCTTCCGCCTCCTTCTCTTCCAGGAATAGCTCGGTATTGTCTCCAGAGAATTCCTTAAGCTGGATGAGGAAGTCACGTAGAGCGAGCTTGAAGCGATTAATATCATTGTGATGCTCGGCAAGTGCTGAAACGAAAGCTTGAACTTGTATTCTGGATGAATGCAGAAAGGCACGCATGAGCTTCACACGACATGGTCGAATCGAAGTTACATACGGTTGGACATGAGGGAAAGCACCGCTCAGCAAGTTGGCGGTGTATTCCCGCAGGAACACAAGGTTGGTGATGTTTGGGTTTGGCAAGGAAGCAGGATCAAACAGCGGCGTTTTGATCTCCCCACTTTCTACAAGGTTAAACATACGAGCCAGCAACAAGCTTTGGAGCTTGAAGCCGCTCTTGTGGTCCGTGTCCGTGAGGACGAAGAAGATATCCTGAACGATACTCAAGAAGTACTGCTGGAAGAATGCGTTGCTGACGGCTTCATCCGCGCCGGCAAAGTTGTTGATCACTTCGATGCAGACTGATGGAGAAAGTCGTCAGGTAAGCTGCAAAGGTACCAATAGGAACACTCACTGTTCAGGCCTATATCTGCGATATCTCGCATCGTGTGTTTGATCGCCCATATAATGCTGTCCATGAATAGCTTGAATTGAGGCGGAGGAATGGAGAGTAGCGCTGAGGTCATATGAGCACATGGCGAGTACCTGGAGTCAATATGAATGATATCACGAACCAGGGAAGCAGTTGAGGTTGATTGCGCGCAGCAGCTTGAAGAACCCAACACGATGTTCTGGGAATTCGGCGAAATCTTGGTTGATCATATTCAACGTGGGTTCGAAGACCGCGTCCAGAATAGCAGGCACTTGAGGAGTCAATAGAGGCTAGGCGTGCCAATGAATCGGGTCAGCGTCTTCCCAGATGCGAACAAGGAAGAACCTCCTCACCCCTAGTCGACTGGTAATTGTCGCCATTACGTTCAGGACCTCGGCGTCTCTAGCTGCGGGGACATTGTGGTTATAGTCGCCAAGAATAGCATCAAGAAGTGGCGGAATAAAGTTGGCGTTGACGGCCTCAAGGTCTTCCGCTTTCTTTATATATGTTTCCATGAACCTCAGGATTTCCTTTTTCACCGTTCGCAGTTGTCGGACTTTGGGTGTTTTCGTAGTAATGAGGCCTGAACCGCCTTATCAGCGATCTGTCATACAATCAAAGGGCTGACTGTTCTTTACCGTCTTTGGCGACTGACTCGCTGATGATACCGCTAACGGCCTTGTATAGGCCCAGCATATCCAAGAAGACGCGGCCTATCTGCGGGAGGTAGAAACTACCTATTGACGTACATGCCGAGACGTTGGTCTTCAGGACGTTAGAGAGGATTTTAATGTTGTCCGAACTGGAGAGAACGTCCATATTCTGCGCTGCTTGTGCCATCAACGAATCCCACTATGCGTCAATTAAGATTGGGTGTGAACACACGTGCGGATAAAACGAAGGCGAGCCACGTACTGCGTTATTGGGCAGTTCCATCAGTTTGGCTATCAGCTTTTCTTGTTGCGGTTTGTTCGGTGTAGCAGAGATCATGTATCCGACGGCCTCGTAGAAGGTGTGAACCTGCTGCGCTGAGAGGTCGACCGTTATGCGATGCAAAGATCGCAGTATTTCATCAACGAATGGTTCTTGCTCGCCAGACTGTTGCATGACAAAATGCCGCCTGCACTTCTGCGCGATCTTGATAAATGTATCGCAGGCCATGTCTTGTACACCTAGATAAATCCAACTTGTCAGCTAGGCTCACGGTGGGATACGAAGGACATTGACCTTCGTGGGTCTCATGCATGAACTCAAATAGCTTATTGACGACCGTCTTCAAGAATTTCCAGTGTGCCTTCAGGAAACGGGGGTACTGGCCAACGATATACATTATATCCGATGCCACCACGGCTTTATTGTCCTTGCCGCGCTTGATCTCGCAAAGGCCCAAAAGGTCTTTGATGACCGTCACCAAAAACCGCTTCTCAGTTTCCTCATCTACAAATTTGAGTCGGAATACTAAATTGCAGGAGAAGAGTTCACAAGGAAATAACGTACTCATAGCACCAGATATTGAACCGATAGCCCAGCATAGCGTGTTGAGGTTGTTCCATGACCATTCTGAGCCGTCCACTTGCTTCGCCAGCTTCTCGGTCATCATTGCCTCGGTGTCCGCGACGTCCAGATGCGTGAGGAACACAAGCAACTCCCTCATCGACTTGTATAGCACGATAGTGTCACTTTCCTTCATGAACTCTCGTACTATCTCACCCTCTTCATTCTCCACGATAAGCACCTAATAAGGAGGCGAAATAAGTGAATCGACTTCGTGATGAATCCTCGGAGAATTCTGAGACGAACTTACTTCCTCTGGCTTGACCATTCGCTCAATGACGACCAATCGCAGGTTTGATAATACGTCGGAGTAGATGTTCTTTCTCAGCGACATACCGTTGAGCACCCCTGCGCTTCCGCCGGGGCCCAAGCTCAATCCCATTAGCAAACCAGACTCTCCAATTGGCAGGCTCTGGATTTCGTCATACAACTCCGTAACAAGCTTCAGCCAATACTCCAGGCAAATTTTGAAGATCTCGCGTTCGTCCACTTGCGATATCTTCACCATGTACAGATGGGCATTGAGGAGTACATCGCGGTTGGATTCGGTCTCGACGGCGCGGAGGTGGGTGGAGAGGAAATTGCAGAGGAAGAGGGCGAGGTTGAGGACGAGTTCTTGGCCGGAATCCCCGGCGTTGGCATACGCTTGCGCGATATTGGTGCTCGGAGGAATCATTCGGTTGACGGACGTCATAACCATCGCGAATAATATGACGAATTTGGGGTCGTATTCTGGGCCCACGTTGAGTGCTGCAATCTCTGCCAGACACTTGAGTGTAACATTTCGAAATTCAGGCGCTTCAAGAAACTATTGCGAAGGGGAATGAGGCTATAACGATTTCTGTCGCGGATGTGCAACTTACACGGTTCAGAAGCAAGTCGATAACGGTTGTTTCAAAAATATAACCGAGGGGTATCCAGTTCAAGAATCTCAGCAAAGTCTCTAGCGTGGCTCTAATCAAGGACGTCTTGCTAGCCTCCTCTAGAACTTCTGAGCAGAGTTTAAAGATCTCAGAGAACTCCCCGCACATCTGGTTCTTCAAGTTCTTGATCTTGTTCTGCGTCATCTGCTCCGCCGAAAAGTCGAAGATTTCCTCAGACAGCAGCTTCAGAATGATCATGTTATTCTCGCACAGCGAGAGGTTTGTCTTCGATGACTCAACCAGCTCGGTTATGAAGTTTGGCCAGTTGTGCGGCCACTCTTGCTTCAGTATCTGAGTAGTACATCCCAGTTTGAGAATCGCGAGAATGTGGGGAGGCGGAGTAAAGGTTTACCTGGACCAAGGCAAGGTTAAGTTTATTGAGGTATGTTTTCTCCTTGCGCATGGTTGTTTCGTCAGATGCTACCTTCACGGTTACACCGACAATGAAGTTTCGAATTCCTGGGAAACAGGTTAGAACGCACTAGGTATCGTAGATTAATGACGCACCCTGGCGTTGCCCATCCGGCAGGGATTTCCATCGGGTGTTGATGACCTTCTCAAGGATCTGCAGCCCGATGAACTAGGACGTAAAGCGACTAGTAAGTACACCGAACACGGGATTGCGCAAGCTGACGTACCTTGCTCTGAGGGAATGACGATCCCTCCATAATATCCGGTACTCTCATCCACGCATCGGCGTGCTCCTGGAACTGCGTCAACACCTGCTGAGCCATTTGTTGCTGTAGCGATTGATTAGATTACGGTTCTGCACAAGCGTCGGGTAAGTGATCTCACTTCTTGTCCAGATGAAGTGTAGAAGGCCATGACGACCTTGTCCATTAGGCCGACATCGAATTCGCTGCTGAAATCAAGCAAGCCCTATTGTCCGGGTCGTCAGCTGTAGGCTGTTTGCTGAGCGCATGAATGGCGACGGACCTCCATGATGGGCTCCTCAAATTAATGGTTTCGAACGTAAGGTAACGGTTGGCACGTCGGCGGTATAAAGAGGAGCAGCGGTTGTCGCTGGAAGTGGTGAGTAAGTAAGTAGCAACTCAGCGGGGAGATACATTCTCAACAGTGCCTTCCAATTATAGTAATCTGATTTCTCAGCTAGCGGTTCACGTGCCGAACCCTATCCCAAGGTTAGGGTTATATCAAGCTCACCATGTTCATTGTTTGTGCCATGTTGGATGGAAACTATGCGGAGATATATGATGGCGCCGTATCTTCGAAATGCCCACACCGAAGACGCAAAGAGCTTGGGTCTCACTGCAGCGAGGCCATCCCTCGCGCTCTCTCAGTTTGAAATCAGACTGGCCGGTGGCTGGCGAGCTCAAGAAGGACGATGTACTGGTCAGGATACAGGCAGCAGCGCTCAACCCAGTGTACGGATTTAGGCTCTATTGTTGAATCTGCTCGAACTCACGCGAAATCTAGCGGCTACAAGATGATGCGCCTGTTGCCGAACTTTATGGCGGGGAGGCCACTTGTCGTTGAGCACGACTTTGCAGGCGTCGTGGAAGACGGAAATGACACCGAGTTCAAGGCAGGCGATCCCGTTTTTGGTTTCATACACGTCTGTGGGTACTCAATACGTTGTCGGCACCTCCTCTGTCTCATGCCATATCCCAGTCGACAATCAGAAGTCCAGGCAGGGCAGTCTGTCAGAATATGCAGTTGTTCCTGCAGCTGCGGTTGCTCTTCGTCCACCTACAATCGACGTTGCTAACGCGGCTGGTATCGCTCTGGCCGGACTAACAGCCTATCAGGCACTTTTCAAGGATGCTGGTCTGGAGCCTGGTCAGAAAGTCTTTATCAACGGCGGGAGCACCGCTGTCGGCTTATTTGCAATTCAAATCGCAAAGGCTCATGGCATGACCGTGGTGGCGAGTGCATCTTCCAGGAACGAAGGGCTCGTGAAGGAGATGGGGGCCGACGAGGTCAGTAATCGCGATAAAGGACATCTTCACATTCAATCTAAACTGTGCAGTTCATTGACTATACAAAAGAACCATTACACCAATATCTGGCGTCACATCCGCCTGAGCCCAAATTTCATGCCATCATCGACGCCTTCGGACTATCGGACCCCTCTCTTTATACCCACAGCCCTCAATACCTTGCACCTCAAGGAGTCTTTGTCACGACTGGTCCATTTCCCCATAGCACCACTATAAGCGAGTTTTTTAACGCCTTCTTGACCATTGTCGCCACCGCTAGACCGGTTTGGCTGGGTGGAGTCAATAGGAAATACAAGCTCGCTGCTGTCATGGTTGACAAAGCAGACTTGAATGCCCTCAGCCAACTCATAGCAGAAGGTGGGCAGTTGCAAGACCTATACAGACATGGCCGTCTTACATCTTGTTTTGTTTCAGGAAAGCTGAAGGGTGTAGTCGACTCAATTTACCCCATAGAAGATGCCCTGAAGGGGTACGAACGGTTGATGACATCGAGGGCTGCCGGGAAAGTGGTGATCAAAATCGACCCGAGTGTGCAATGAATTGATGATATACGTAGGAAGATCTTGAAGCTACTTTGTTCTGGATCTTTGTACAATAACTGAACTTGCCAATGGACGCGTTCCCATCTGTACACATATCTGCTTAAAAGTGGATAAATCAGATAAAGCGAGTCCTCTATTTGTGTTGCTATAGGTACTAAATACAGATTGAAAACGAATGTCAATTATGTGAATATATGTGCGTGTATGGATTAGATAGATAGACACGCTCTTTCTCAGCAGCGGGTAAGACACAGTCTGAACAGCGGTGTGCAGGGTATCATACCATATCTACCAAGGTCAAGACAAGGCTTCGAACCAAGGAAAATCAAGGAATGCTGGACGAGCAGTAGTTTTCAGTCAGAGAAAGTCCTCTCACATTCTAAAGTTAAGGCAGCCAACGTACGAACATCTTTGGATAGACGATGCTGATAACGAACGAAGGCTATTCATGTTCTGTGAATGCCTGTGATGAGTGAAACGAGTGGAGAAAAGGGAGACGAACATACGCAGCAATAGCCTTATGAACGAAGCCTTGACGTCGACCATAGTCTACGCCGTTGCGAGGCTGGCGTAATGCAACCTGCCCACGAGGGCCCTACACATTTCTATAAGCGATGATTTAGATGGAGTAGAATATCAGTAGCTACTTGGTAAGCAGGCGGCTCGTCTCGCTCATCGATAGTTTGCTAATTTGGTTGGATGTTGGTGTTGGTATTGTCAACAAGCTATGATGAAATCAACTTACCATTAGAGGATCACTGACAACGCGCTCGGTATAGCAGGGGTATGGATGATACCGCGAAAAGACTTTCGAACGCGTAGAAGACCGTAATTGCGACAGGGAGTACGATTCGAGAACCTGTGCGATGGATGGCGCGTACATGTGACTGCCTCCATTGCGCGAGCGGGGAAATATTGAGGGCATTGCCATTTGCGAAGAGGACGAAGGGAGGAAAGGAGCGCAGGGTAGTGGTCGAGGTAGAAAAGAAAGGAGACAGGGTCCTGGGCCGCCGTTTTCCTAGATTGTTCACTGGGCAGTTGCCGGCAAAATGGCCAAATTGAGTCAACAGAAGACTCGTGTTCCCCGATTTTGGAACCTTCCAAGCTCCAGCTCCCGGCACATCATATCCAAGTCCGCAAATGAAATCGACCCATCGGCTCCCCTCCTTCACGACAGCACGATAGAAGACGCACTGACGCCCTAGCTACCGCGCTGAGTGAAGCCAGGCATTTGTTTTGAGACGCGACTGGCGAGGCAGCACGTAGCTTTAACTCTATACTTCAAAGATCCTCAGCCTTCAGGCCTTCAGGGTGGCTTCCCGAAGCCCTTTGCCCACCCTTCTAGAACTCTTGCTCGAGTCATTTGCCCATGGAAACAGAAGCGGAGCGGCTCCCGAACACCGTGCCGCCGTTGGCCAGAATAGGTAAGCGCGCCGGGAGCTGTCACATATTGTGACAGTCATAAGACGCGTCGCGTTTGATTGAAAGTGAGTTCATTATGCCCACCCACCAACAAAGGATATTGACCTGCTGAATTCTAGTCAAAAGTGTATCAAACACGTTCTGAGGTGTCGCCTACCTCAGGAGACGTTCTGCAAGTTGCCGCTTGCTTCAACTTTGGTCGCCGACATCTGCTGGAGTGAAGACATAACGTTTCCGGCCTCGTCCTTTCCACAATACTCGACAATGAAGCATGAAGATCAAGGCGACTAAGGCGAACCATCAAATCTGTGAGACTCGGTCGCCTAATGTTTGACTCGAAGATTATTTGAAGATGCTCGTTTGGGCGAAACTTGAAGCTCGAGACCAGGCCGTTGAACTGGTTCCCGTCGAGAGCTAACAAGCCGGTACACCTGTTCTAGTGCCGGAGAGACAGTCGGCATTCTGGCAGAAAATTAGCAAGAGATGACTCGAACAGCTGCGCGAACAAACTGGAATAAACGTACCTCGCTCTCGACGGACTTCATAGTCTTCGAAACCCCTTATCCACCGCCGTGCTATTGGAGGATCCTTACTACTTGTACTGGTCCCAAGGAATGAAGAACTACGACAGATATCTTGTGAGAGTTGAGTTGGTGCTTCAAGCCATCAAGCTTCAAGCTTCAAGGATCGACGCGATTCAAGACTGCGGTCAGTGTGCATCCAAGGACAAGAATCAAAATATCCGTACAAGCATCGACAGCCAGCAGCAGCAAATCCTCCAAGTCCGCCCTAATATTCGACCGTAGAAAAGTGGTGTCCGCCGTCAGGAATCGTGATTCAAGATTTATTCAAGAAATCGATGGATTGTGTGACGATTTTCGAGGAATGACCCCGTCGACCTTCATGCATGAAACGATTCCAGCAAGTCTTCGAAGAGATTTTGGGAATAACTGTGGTTGTGGTAAGACCCATACAAACAACTTGCAACTCAGTGTGGCAATTTCCCCCCAAGTCCGCTCGTTCTCCTTTCCACCACAGTCACCCCCTGCAAGCCTCTGCAAGCCTCTGCAATCTCGTCGCCTACTCAAGTGCCCGTGGTAAGGCCTTGCATGCATGAAACGGTCTGAGGCCAACAAGGCTGCGACCGCGATTTTATTTTCGATTCTTCTGCAGGAGCTGCAGGTGAGAGGGGTCGAAAACCCTCTTTCTGTCGTACCCGGGGATTATTTAACCGTTGAATTTTGTAGACGACGCACCGATGCGCTCCAGAAGGCTCGAGACCAAGCCGTTGCGCGTTGGCTGCGTCGAGGACAGCTTTATACTCGCTCTTCAGCCTCTTCCTGAAAGGCACCTTGTTCTGGATCCACGACGACGACGACGAAGCTCGCTACCCATCGGATAAATACCTCAATACCTGGGCGGGTTACGACCTCTGAAGACATTTTCCGTCCCAACACCGTCTGTCTCGTCGAAGTTCCGCTTGTCCGATTCCACGCTCCTTGATTACCTTGGTTTTTTCTGACATCAGGCGCTGCTTTCTCTCCCCTGCCACACTTCAGATTCTGCCAGAGCGCTGCATAATATCGATCCTTGCTTTACATCGGCCCCACGTTTATCAGACATCTTTTGACCCTGAGTTCTATGGTGCGATGATCATACTCGTACCCGAATAACAGCCATGTAACGACGTGCCTGCGTCCTCCCGAATGCATCCGCATTTATCCCTCAGTTGTAGTTCAAAATATCTGCCGCTGCATGAAGCATCTATGTGAAGGGTTTTGTTGACATTTCCAACGGAATCTAATCCCTTTGATTCAACCCAACCGAGCCCGTAGCATCGCCCATTCTTTGTGCTATATTCCATGTTCCTATCAACATTCGGATCGCAGTGTTCATGCAGCAGCGTCTGGCTTCAAAAGTGGCGATTATCGTAGAGGATTTCACCCTCGGCGCCTCTCGTTTGACTCTATATTCTATATTTAGACATCCAAGTACGAGTCCAACGCCGCCCCGAGTCGTTGCATCGGGCTTCTTTCCGTTCAGTCGCGCCTCCAAGGAGGTGCCAGAAACACAACGCGGCAGCTCCAGCGTGGTGAGGACTACTCCAAGGACCAGTATACATGCAGGACGGGGTAAATACGAGAAGCCCCACGAAGCCCGCTAGGAAGCAGACCGAGGTATGATGCACAACGTGCTGTCCTCGGCACTCCAAACGCCGAACAATGTCCCCCCTCCGCCCAATCTTCAGAGTATCCCATATTCGCAGCCTTTCATCCAGCAGACATCCTGCCATGTCGAAATTATTCACGCCTGCGCCTCCTCCCCCATCCAAGCTCGGCCGGTACAGGGTCTTGTCCCCGAAGGCGGGCATCTATGTCTCCCCCCTTGCTTTGGGCGCCATGAGCATTGGAGACAAATGGGACAGCATCGGGTTGGGAGCTATGAACAAAGAATCGAGTTTTGAACTCCTGGATGCTTATTACGACAATGGAGGGAACTTCATCGATACGTCTAGTAACTAGTAAGTTAAAGTACATATCCCTCTTGGGATCGAAAGAGGGTCACGCGTTGGTGTGTAGTCAGGACGAGACATCTGAGCAGTTCATCGGTGAATGGGCCGAAAAGCGCGGTATACGCGATCAGCTAGTAATTGCGACCAAGGTGATAGTGGAATTGTACATACTGTTCCAGATCCACTTACATTTATATTTATTTCTCTAGTACTCCATGAACTACAAACGCACAGACCCAAACGCGAAAATTGCAGTAAACTATGTCGGAAATCACCTAAAGAATATGCTACTCAGCGTCGAAGCCAGCCTGAAGAAGTTACGTACGACATACATCGACATTCTCTACGTTCACTGGTGGGGATACGACACTTCGATCGAAGAGGTAATGAATGGCCTACATACTTTGGTGTCCCAAAGTAAGGTCCTCTATCTGGTATGTTCTCTTTTACTGGGGAACATTTCTCCAGCCTCTGATATCTCCTCAGGGTGCTTCGAACGTGCCTGCGTGGGTAGTAGCGACAGCAAACCAGTATGCTCGCGATCATGGAAAAACACCCTTCTCCGTGTATCAAGGAAGCTGGAGTATCATAGAGCGTTCATTTGAACGCGACATAATCCCCATGGCACGTAAAGAAGGTATGCACACGAATTCGCACTGCATCGTAATGGTCGTACTAATTCAAACTTGAAGGCCTTGCATTGGTGCCTTGGGGTGTGCTTGCAGGCGGCAAGCTCCGCACAGACGCGGAAGAACAACGCAGGAAGGAGTCAGGCGAGAAAGGACGTGAACTAAGGACAAATTTGAGCTGGAAGCGAACAGAAAGCGAAGCCAAGATATCCCGTGCGCTGGAAAAGGTTGCTAGCGAGGTCGGCGCGAAAAGCATCACTGCTGGTGGGTAGCATACGGTGCTGATCACCGTTTTGTGCGTATCTGACTTTGCCATTCTAGTTGCGATTGCGTATGTGATGCAAAAGACGACGCATGTCGTTCCCCTCATTGGCGGCCGTAAAGTCGAGCACCTCCTAGCTAACCTCGAAGCACTAGACATCTCCCTCAGCAAAGAGCAAGTAGAGTATATCGAAGGCATTCTGCCCTTCGAGCGTGGTTTCCCATACACTGTCATTGTAGGTGTGAAGTTACAATTGAAATGCATGTACTCACGGGGTTGCAGGGAGACGAAACGACATATACGTCGTTCGTAAATAGTGTTGCCACCATTGACAGGCAACCTCTACCAGAGCCCATAACGCCAAAAACGCAGTGATGAGCAGACGGAAGATGAATCGACTAGTTCGTTCATATACATCGATTAGATAGTTACAGTTTCTATCTGTATCCCCTAATTAGAATCCACCGACTGGATGAGACAAGCTTTCTGCTTAGTTGTTCCGAGTACTAAATACATTTCGAACGGAGGTGATTATGAGTATATGTTTATTTGGTGGTACCGTTGTCCGGCACCTTGGGGGCTAGGTATCGCAGGCAAGGGTTATATGTCCAAGTCGCAGCGTTTGCTAGCCATCAAGACGGGCTTTCGAACAAAGAAAAATGATTGGCAACTAAACATGTCCTTGATTAGGATCTAGCCTCAGAGACAGTGGGAAACGTACGAAGAGTTAGCTCTGTAATATACAATGAATTTGGATTGTCTTCTGAGTGGCTGTGACTGCTTAGGCTCTGAGAGAGCTGTGAGCAAAAGGAAGGGGGACGATAGATGGGCTTACGCATTGATAGCCTTGTGGACGAAGCCGTGGCGCCGACCATGTTCGGTGCCGTTGCGGGGTTGGTTTGGCGCAGGCTGCCCACGAGCGTCCTATTCAATCATATAAGCGACCACAATCCAAGCGAAGCGAGGCGCCTGTACCTACCTGGTAAGCAGGGAGCTCGTCTCGCTCATCAATAGTTTGCTAATTGGATGTCATGTCGGCATAGGAGTGGGACAGGCATTTGGGCCAACTTACCATCAAAGGATCGTAGGAAACACGCTCCGTATAGCAGGGGTAGGGATGGTATCGCGAGAAAGCCTTAGGACGCGTGGAAGACCGTAGCTGGGACAGGTAATACGACTCGAGAACCTGCGCAATGGATGGCGCATACATATGGCTACCTCCATTGCGCGAGCGAGGAAAGACCGATGGCATTGGCATTTATGAGAAAGGTAAACGAACAAAAGGAGCGGAGGGCAGACAAGGTCGTGGTAAGAGAGAAAGAGGGGAGAAGGAGCAAGGGTCTCGAGGCCGCGATTTTCCTGAATTGCGCTGGGTAGTTGCCGAAAAATTGTCCGAATTAAGACAACAGAAGACTCGTGTTCCCCAGTTTTGGAACCTTCCAAGTTCCCGCTTCACGGCACCACATCCTAGTCGATCAATGAAGGCGGCCCATCGGTCCTCCCCCTTTGCTACACGTCGAAGAAAACGCAGCCACCCTGGCTACCGTACTGAGTGAAGGTAGGCGTTGATTCCAAGACGCGACTGGGCAGGCGGCACAAAACTTGAACTCGACACTTCAGGACGATATTCGGCGGCGGATCCTCAGGCTTCAGGGTGACTTCTTATGAGCAAAGCCCTTTGCCCAGCCCGCCTTCTAGAACTCTTGCTCGAGTCAGATTGCCCATGGAAACCGAAGCGGAGCCGCTCCCGAACCCTGGGCCGACGTTATCCAAAATAGGCAAGTGCGCTGGTGACTGTCACGCAACGTGACATATAAACGCGCTCGACTGGTTGGTGAGTTCGTTGCACCAATCCACCAACATGGGATATTAACTGCTGAATTCTAGTCACCGAAATGCATCAAAGTATTGAGATATCGCACACCTCAGTATATTTCTACAAACTGCTGTTTGCTTCAACATCGGTCACGGTTTTCCAACAACCTGCTGGAGGACCTATGACTTCAAGTTTCAAGATGCAAGCCAAGATACAAGGGTTGGCACCAAGCATCTTCGCCCTTTCAACAAAGTTCATCAATCAAGACTAAATATGAAGATGACTGAAGCGACATACAAGACCGTGATGCACCAGTCCACTGAAGTGTCCCAGGCTTGAGGCGGTCGGTATAGGAAGCTTGAAGTTAGGCCGTCCTGCTGGTCCGCCGTCGACGAGTATCCTGCTGCTCAATTGTTCTGGTTTTGGACCGACCATCAAGGTATCCTGCACAAAAGACGAGAATGACTCAATACACCGCTCAAGTGTGCTTGATCAAACCGCACCTTGCTTCAGGTGGACCAGACAGCCTCCAAGTGCTCCTCTCGACTCTCTGCGCTGGCGTGATGTGATACTCCATCTATCGTCTTCATGCGTCCGTGGCGACAGTAAATACTATGAGAGCCCCAAGATGATTGCTTCAAATCGTCAAGAACCAAGTTTTCAAGCTTCAAGAATGGACGCGCTTCAAGCCTCTACGGTCAGAGTGCATCCAAGACAAATGGCGTAAATCTGCATACAAGCATCGCCATTCTGTGGCAGCAGATAATCCAGACCCTCGCCATTTCTAACGGTAGAAAAATGCTGTCCGTCGGTGGGCTTCAAGAATCAAGCCGACTGGTTGCGAATCCATGAATATGGATGGTCTCCGGATGTCCGCGAATACGGCCAGTATACCAGGGAGCTTGCGCAGAATTCTTCAGCTCAAGGAGACTCGGGCTGACTGCAAGGGGGTTGTGGTTGTGGTGAGACGCATACAAACACCCTGCAATAGTGTGGCAATTTCCTTCAAGTCCGCTCGTCCTCCTCTTCCAGAAACGGTCGTCCGCAGCCCTTGTATGCACGAATATCGACACGGACAAGATGGGCAACAAAGTGCGTGTTCTATGTATTTATTTTGACTTCTCTGTTGCAACGGTAGTGGACGGAGGCTGAATATTTCACTTCTAGCAATGTGCCGTATACAAATGACCGTGGACTTTTGTTGCGACCATTCCGGCCTTGTTCTCCAGCAATCTCTTGTCCATTGTCGGAATATCAGAAGACTCAAGACCAAGTTATCATGTACGACGTTCAGTAACACCCCGCAAGCTTGAAGTGAGTTTCCGGGGCATGGAGGCAGAGGCAACCGCTCGTCGGTCCCGTCCTTTGGATCACCGGTGCACATTGATGCGCGGCGTACGCCAGATACTCTTGAGGGGCGGAGCTACTGACTCTGGCCAGCGACCTTGCACCAAAGCCCCTTTCCTCAAGACAAGCTCATACACCTGCCGTCGAAAAGTCGCCTTCATCTATCCCACCGAAACTCGATTTCGCCTTTTCTCAAACAAAGTTCCACTCAATATTTCCATTTCCCACTAAACGAACTGGGCCCAGTATTTGCTACTGGATAATATTAATGTACTTATCACTGGTCGTAATCACACAATTTGGCCTCCTCGAAGGCATATTTATACGAATTGAACCTGGGTACATACGCCAAGCAACTTACATAGCCGAAAGATCGCTCTTCGTTGGGCGCTTATTTGAATAACGTCTGACCCTGAACGTGCATGTTGGCTGCTGGATGGTGACACGGTACGTTTGGGCTTCGTTTCCTTGAAAAGCAAAGCTCATTATCTACGACCAGGTTCAATATCTGAACATGCAACATGCCTCGAGGACTTCGTACCCGACGTTCTTGTCATTCTCCGACACCGCGAGCCTACAACTGCGATGGGCATGGCGCGGGCTTGTGGACGCTTTTCGCTGGGATATAGTCATCTCAGCTGTCTCATCGTACGCTTGAATGGCGCTGCGCATTGCTGTGATACTGACCGTCTTGAAGGGACCCAGAAATTCGCGCAAACGTTTATAAGAGCCTGCTGCTTAACTCCCTCTCACTCATATCCATCTACGTATTCGACATCCTGCTTGGCCCACTGGTCGAGAACCAGCAGAAGTGGCTCCATCGGAATGTCGGGTGGTTCTACCAGATTCTGTGGTTGCTACCCGTTGTCGGGGTATCGTTCTATCTGAACGTGAGTATTTGTTGCTCGTCCTATGTTCGAAGCAAAGTATACATACTGCTTTTAGAGCTCATGGTGCTCTATCGTAGCTAAACGGACATACATCCTCAGACGCGGTCCTCGTGCAGCCGTTCAACAGCCGATGACATACTCTGGAATGTTGAGGGCCCTCGCCACGTCGGCGTACAGAGGGGTGATGGTCTTTACATCCGTGGCCATCTCGTTCGCTCTGGGATATACACCATACATCGGTCCCATGGCAGGATTTATATTCCTGTGCTGGGTAGATGCGTGCGTGTTTCTTTCCTGCCGTCACCTCCGTCCGCTCAACTTGCCTCTCGTCTAGATACTATTGCTTTGAGTAGGTATCACTACGATGCTCACGCGTCTTTGCTAACACGTATCCCCAAAGATTTGTCTGGATAGCCAACAACTTTTCGCTGTCTCGCAGAATCAGGCATCTGGAAGAACGTTGGGCATACTACCTGACATTTGGTTCGTATCTAGAGTTTTCATCGGGCGCGGTAACTGACCAACAATTAGGTCTACCATCGTCAGCAATGTGCATGTGGGGTGGCACGCTCGCCAACGCTGCATTGTTCGCGCTAGTCTTCCCTTCCGTACGTATGTTTTAACCGTACATGCTCAGCACACGTCTCACTACGCTTCTCAGTTCATCATCATGGCAATGCATGCGCGCCCCGTGCCTTTGGACCCGTACAATCCCGTATCGACAATCGACGCGCAGAATGAAACAATACAACATCCCTCTCCATTCGTTCCCATCCGCATCCCTATTTTCGCGCCTGTTCTATTCATCAATGACTGGATAGTGAAAGTTTTGACCGTCGGCGGAGGGCAAACAGTCGGACGAAATAGAGCCCTGAGCGATTCGACGACGGAGAATGCAGAGGAGGGGTCTGGTGCAGCTATTGAATTGAATACTTTGCGAGGAAAGCGCCCTGTGGCACAGCAGCGTATACATCTAGGCCGCCGGAAGTTGGATTAATGGACAGCGCACATATATGCTAGCATGATAATATCACAACCAGGCTTCAACCGAAGCCCGCCCATTCGATAGATAAATACGATACATCCTTCTTCTCGTCGTTCCATCCACAGAGTAGGTGCGACTTCTTGGTCGCCGTGCCCAAACGGCCGTGGGCGACGATTTCCATTGGTCGCAGAGTAGCAACCGGCGATTCAATAACTGTCGCTACAAAATGCGAGTGGAAGCGAAGCGGGTCACCTTATCCAGGAAATACTTTGTTAGCGCTATCCCCACTCTGAGAAATACGAAGAGGGGTACCAGGATAAACCAAATAGTCTCCACCAAATTTGATGCCGCCGCCTAGGAAATACCCCTGCTCCCAAAGACCGCGGAATACACCACACCTAGCTCTCTCGCTGAGGTTCGAGGGGTATGACCAGATACCAGCAGCTTGGGCAGCTTCGATGGTATTGTACGTGGCGGCGCTCGTGTCGTACCACTCCAGCGTAGACGAGGCCGATTCTATGATGACGGGGTACGCTACGGTAATAGCGTTAGATGAAGGTGTACTGGGACGAGAATCCGTCGTTGGAGTAGCCTCAGTTCGTTCCGCCGGTGATTCTTCAGGAATCATGTCGACAGGAGGAGGCTGTTGCGGTTGTGCCGCTTTCCTCTCCATCCGTTCCTTGCGTTTGCGCATCGCATCTTCAGACATACTCCTCGTCGCGGCGTTTTGACTGATTTTCGTGTCGTTTACGACGATATGGCGTTTCGCGAATTCATCCCTTTCTTCCTCCCATTTTTGTAGCTGGGGGGCTGTCGGTGCTTGGTGTGCATTGGGGTCATTGACTAGAACCGCGAATTCTACGTACCATATAATCAGTCTGTGAAAGCACAGTGCGAAATGGAGGAAACAACGCGCACTTTTTTCTACGAGGAGAACGACTTCTTCTGGCATTAGGAGCAATGGTACCCCAAGAAAGACATTCTGCTGGGATAGGTGCGGAAGCGTGCCGGCTAGGATACCGCACAGACGATGCTGAGACCGCAACACTGCGATATCTGCGCTTGGAATCAAGGATTCAAGTCAGTATACGATCCGAGGATTGTGCAACTATATATACCGTCGACATCCCAGATGTACGCCCGCTGGTTTGCGATGCGTATTGGGATGGGCCTCGAGTCCGTGGTCATATCACTGAAGGAAGTGCAATTAGACGCCTTCCGATCGTCATCGAGAGATTAGATTGGATGTACTTTCTTAGGTCGTCTTTCTTGTACCAGCTTCGGAAGCTTTCGGTGCAAGGCAAGAGCCACAAAGCGGCACAGATCTGCTCCATCGAACATACGTTGCGTGCAGTCAAAATATCATTCCAAAGAGATCTAACTAGTACAATCATCGACCTGAGGAAACTCCTTACAGCCGTTTCATGCTGAACATCGCGACAGCGGCGATTCGAAAGCGCTGGCAAGGCCTTCCACGCCGGGAATCAAAATGAGAAGCTTGGAGATTTAAAGACACGCCGGACACTATAAACAAGAGGGTGAAGAAGGGCGTCTTTTCGATAATATATCGCCGTAAATTCTTGTTCAATGCGGAAGGAGATCCTCAACTGAAATTACGGCCAGTAATTTGTCTGTCTGGGGGGCCGCTGGGAGTCAGATGAAACCGATGTGAGTGGTACACCTTCGGCTCATAGTCGTCCGTCCAGAAAACAAGCAGATGAGATGGTCCTGAAGGACAGGCTGAAAGGCGAGGATAGGACGGTCGGAACGGCGCTCTGAAAGAATGAGATAATCCAGGGGAGTGAAAGCAGCGTCTGGCGTTGGCGACGACATTTTGCAAGAATAAGGAGCGCAGAATTGGTCAAGGAAGGACTTCAGTGAACCGTATGTAGTGGTTTGACGACGAAATGTACCTTCAGAGGCCTTGACCCGCCCAGTCAAAATGGACTTTCATTTAAATGTTGGGGGTGTGTCCAAGACCGAAGACAAGGCGCGACGAGACGATTTTTGCCCTTAATCTCGAGGGGTAATAACGGCGAGGCTACTGCATGGCGTTTGCCTGAATATACACACCGAGGACGTATGGTCATGACGCCCGACGAGTCGCTACCCGGTAGGTGTTCTAGATATTGATGCCACTGCTAAACCAAGTAATTCTGAAGCCGCCGATGTTGATTACAGTCTCGATGACGGTGATTCCAAGGCCTGGTAACGCTTGAGGTATCGTTGAAAAGCTGGGCTTCAATCTGCCTGCTGCATGGTTCGCGTGTTTTATTTTTGAACTGTCGGATGCGACGCTTCTATAAATTTCACCGTTGGTTTAAGGGAAGAGCCTTCTGATTTCTGTGATTATCCTTTGGCAGGTCTTCGTGATTGCTGGCGTAAAAGGGAGATTTGATTGAATGATGCAGAACAGATGGGGGCTACGTACCAGAATGCTTCCCAGTCCGGTGCTTCACTGCGTTACATTCAAATTCTTTTCCTGCTCTTGGAGGTGCTACTGCTAAGGCAGATAATCGCTCTCAAACCTGCCCTGGGTGTCGTCTGGATTTGCGGGCGCATTTATTTGAAACCCCAGCCATCGCTTGGTCACGGGAGTGCCAACCTTGATGGAATTCTTGGGCATTTCTACTGTTATCAGGCTGGAAAGAGAGAGAGAATATTCGCCACGCACCGCAGAAAGAAACTACGAATCCAGAACTCTTGTAACGGTCAAGAAATCGGGTGGCAGAATTTCCAGGATTATTGTGGCAAGAGGGAGACAGAGACAGGAGCTGGGGCAGTTGCCGATTGTGAATTGCAATTCCAACCGCGACCACGCCCTGCTCCCCCACCAATTGTTCCTTTTTACCCACAAAATTCAGGGATTGCTCGACACGCTACGCCACCTTCCTAGCGAACCAGGTGCTCGTGCAGATGTGGCATAGTGACAAGAATCCAGACCCCTTCTCTTCTTGCGATTTGGGCATTTTTCCGACCGTTTAAATTGGCGTTAGGGCACCCCATCCTTGGCGGTGGAATTCTTCAAGTGCTTGCAGGTCTTGGTTCGTCTCCACCGGAACTTGAAGCACTCATGAGAGAAGACGGCCCTCCCTTCGAAGGCACCTTCGCCATCAAGACAGGCGGTTCTTGCCAATTCATAGTTGCTGGATTCCGCCCTGGCACTCCTTGAAAATGGGACTCTATCTTGAAGACTCTTGAGCTTCCTGCTTGCGCCGGGCTTCCTGGATTTGATGGATCTTCAAGCACGCCAGTAACATATGCAGCAGGGAGATGCAATTGAAGCCAGCTTGATTGGCAGGGTGACGACTCCCGCAGTACGTCCAGAAGCCAGTGTTCAGGAAGGTCATCTGCATGCGCGAAGACACGATCCTTGTCGAGTGGCTCAAGCACGTCTGTCAAAAGGCTCTACCATGCTTGGGAGCCTCGACTACGCCTAATCTATAGAAACTTCAATATCGCAAAATCAGTATCTCAAGGCTCAGGTGCGCCCGGAAACCTTGCGTATCCATTCTGTGGTTCTAACCGCTTCTTCCAGCTCTTGCACGGCTTTGATGATGCTGCTCTTCATTCAACACGAGGTTCTGTGGCCGCTTCAATGGTCCCACTATTCTAGATGATTTGCGTAGGCTTGATAGTCTTGATGCGGACAGTCTTGAAGTCGTACGTGTCAACACCGATGAAATGTGGTCACCTTGTCTGACGATTGCATTCAGCTCATTGGACATCGTCGTATGAAACGAACACAAACTTACTGTGACTCACTTGTATAAGCGCGTCACATGTAACTGTCACGGCCGCATTTCCATATATGGACGAGCGTCGGCCAGTCGGGAACGAACCACGGGTGACTCAGCGCGAGCTAGATGTTGTTCAGGTGATCAGGGAGCAAGTCGTTTGCGAGTGACCGCAGCCGATTTACCCTGCTTTCAGACGAAAATCCCGACAAAGAAACGTATTATGTGAGATGGAGTTACAAATATTGTGGATTGCTCGGAAAGAAGAGAGCGTCGTATTCCATGGGGGCGTCTTTTCGATGGCCAAAGGGAGGAGATATAGCCTAAAAAAGTGCCCATCAGCCCATCACCTAAGGACGCCAGGCCGCAAGATCGAGCGCCAGCTCTCCAAGTTCGCAAGTCGAAGCCCACCTTTGCTAGACCTAATAGCTTCCGCCTTCAGTTCACGGACCCTGGACTCGGGATGAAGCTATTGGACGGGGACCTTGGACGCTTGTGATAATTGACCGTATGTTCCTGCCTAAGGTGGAAGTTCGAGAGCTGGATTCAAGTCGCAAATTCCACGCCTTCCTGTTTGGCAAGCGGACATTTCAGAGATCCTCAGTTGGCTATCTGAAGTTGAATATAAACTCAAAAGTCTTTTCTTTCCTTCTCTTTCCACCTAACTGCAGAATCCGCTCCTTCCTCGACCACAAGCATTTTCAAGTCGCTCTATTCTTTCAGCATGACGTCGCGGCTTCGTTTTTCACATTCTCGCAATGGCGGCAGCCATATGTACGCCCCATCTATAGCCCAAGTCCTTGATTATTGGTACGCCTCTCAGCTACGCCAACCACCACTTCGTACCAGGCAAGCACGCCGCTGCCACCCATACCCACAACTCATTCGCCAAGATTCGCTCATGGTAAAGCGTTGCTTCGGCTGCAATTGCACACGTTGACAGTTTTGAAGGAAACAATTGATGAACGCGACGAACCAGTCCCTGTCCTTCAGGTTCGTTCTCTTCCCGAAATGTTTTCCCGGCTACTCATGATGTTTCTTTCATTATCCAGGAAGGAGATCAGGACTTGGCTATTGTTGTTGAAGTGGATGAGATTGTCGTTCCACGTTTCGATGAGGACCTCATGGTTGTGGAAGAGCAGAATGGCGAAGGCGTTCTGGAAAGAGAAAGGCGCGGATTCATTAGAAGAGCCATTGAGGTGTGTCTTTTAATATCTCTTAGACGTTCCTCTTTGCTCAAGTCACATAGGGTTTATACTTCACGTTCGAAAGGGTATTTGGTGGCTTCTGACCATCTTCGGCGTGCACCTCTCATAACTTGTAAGTTCCCACTTCCAAAGCCTTGCCGTATTGTTGACGATGCAAACAGCTTGTACATTTCTTGGAAACGTCAGTTGACTAACCTCGACTTGGTCGCGTTTGCGAATGTTCTCAATACTTGGTCCGCGATCTTGCCAATGCACCCGCAATTCCGGAATTTCCGGCCATTTTGGACACGCCCCTCACGAGTTCTCATCGTCGAAGTACGACTATTCGCGTTGTACGGTCTATCTTCTACTCTTCCACTGGAGGGAATATGCACAGCGCCTCGCAGAAAACCAAAAATTTGCCACATATATACATTCAAACATATATAGGGAAATAGCAGGTACACTGTATACATATACATAGAAATTACATAGCTCCACATACTTTAGTCCCATCTCCGAATAGCCACATAGTTGAATGTAGAGTATATATGAGTTTTGGTGAGTTTTCAGACCGAGCGCTTGGGGACTGTTATAAGCCACGGAGTGACTTTCGCACTAAGACGACGGAGGAGGTGGGCACCGAACCATGCTGGAATGTCTTTGCCGCCGTATTGTTCGACGAGGCGGATGATCTTGTCGTTCTCGTCGAGGTTGACGACAATGATTGATTCGACGATCTAATTCATGTGTGAATCAGTGAAGGTGGCGGGAATAAGAATGAGGGTAAATGCGAACCTTCTTACGTCCAAGAAACCTGTGAGTATACTCCTGTTTTTGGAAGTATACGAGCTGATTTGGGGAATTTGTGGAGGACATGACACGCGTGGAAAGCGTCTCAGACTTCGAATATCGTTTGGGCTGGGATGGGAATTAGCGAGGGAACAAACGGCCGGAACGAGTATCTCGTACCAGGGAAAACCACTAGAAGATGTGTTAAGATAAAGGAGAAATAGGGCAAGGAACATAACGCACCAGGGCTGCGTACTCGTCGAAGCCGTGGCACTTGGTCCATGGATCCTATCCAGACGTATATGAGTTATATGAACCAAGGTAAACTCCAGAGTACTATACCTCGAATACGGCATCTTTGTGCCACGTCCTATCCAGTATTTCAATTGTGGGTCTGCAGCAATACAGCTCCTGCAGATCGGCTATCACACGGTGGTGATCTGCCTTAACATCTAGGAAGTGGCTGGCTCTTCGCTCGTGGGCACTATGTCGATGCTTGAGCGGTTCTGGGTCGACACGAATGCCTGAGTAATGTGCGGCACCAGCGACAGACTCCACGAGAGAGGGGGTCGGTACGGATCTGGGCAGGATGGAGCCCGGGTGGAATGTTTGCGTCGGTGGCGAGGGGGATCGCGGTATGCTCATTGATCTCCTCGTCGGCGAGGATGGCGTGCGGTGGTGAGTTTGGACTGTGCTCATCGTTGTGGTTGATGTTGAGGGATGCCGAGACGCATAGATCCCGAGTCACGGCCTTTCGGAACCACGTGGACGGATGATAGGGGAAATGTAATGATATTTATTGATAGCACAGTTGCGGGACGTAAAGAAAACACAGTACAAGGCGACAAACAAAGAAATGCATGAATCCTTCTCCAAGCCTCTAGCTGCCATTCTGCCCTTGCCAGAGACCATAGGACTTTCCCGGAGTTGTTTGCCACAACCGGATTGTGCCATCCTCTAGAGAACTGTTAGGCCCGGAGAGGAATGGGAGGTTGAAGAATATCTTACCACTACCACTCGCGTACATCTCACCATCCGGACTGAATTCTACGCAGTGCACAGGGCCGTGATGCCCCTTCAGCACCTCTTTTTCTTCTCCATCGATGCCGTGGACTCGCACCCATTCGTCGCCTGAATTACCCGTTACGAAGCGATCCTGAAGTACAGGATGGATAGAGGCAGAGGAGGGCGTATACGCAAGATTGAGCGTATGTGCGGGCACTGTCCCGGTAGGAAGAGCAGGGATGAAAGCGACGGTTTTGCCTGAGCACACGACTAGCCGCTGCGTAGGCGCCGAGTATTCCATCGACGTGATCGCCTGAGGAAAATTGAGCTTTGTTGTTAGCGTCCGGCTTCGCAAATCCCACCACCTTAACCATTTATGAGCACAGCGCCGAAACAGAGGGCTCATGAACGTACTTGATGTATCCATCTTCACCGGCCGATATCCCAGTATGATCACCTACCCAGACGACACTCTTTACCATACCGTCATGGGACAGAGTGCCTCCATCGAGAAGGAAATCCGGATCTGCGTCGGGTCTACCGACATCGAATATCCGCACTTTCTTCTCCTGGCCACCCGTCAGAAGATGTTGAGATGTAGGTGACAGCGCCACTGTTCGGACGATGTGGTTATGTGGAAACGAATGCAGCTGCTTTCCAGAAAACGTATCCCAAACTTTGCTATCCAAAGCTAAGATAAGCTTTTCTTATTATCTACGATGATCAAGACACGTACGCGGTGAAATCAGCACTGCCTGAAGCCGCGCGAGATGAGTCCAGCGAGAGTTTTGAGCTCCACACCGCGCCCTTGTGGCCAAGGAATGTACCTATCCAGTCGCCTGTCCACTCCCTGAGCATTGGATTGCCATCCTTGCAACTCGAGATCAACAAGTACGAGCTATCGTCCAAGATTGGGGAAAAAGAAAGATGCGTGACGGGTCGAGTGTGTCCTGGAGCCACGAGCGGCGTAGATTTGGGTGGAAAATGAGACATTAATTGTTCGTGATGGGGATTAATGGAGCGGGAGGGGGTCGTAATACTGGCGCGCCGCGCACTCTGGAGACTCGAGAGGATGAAAGGAAAAGGTGAAACGTGTGGTAAACCAACTCAAAAAGGAAATCATTGCAATGTTTGATACTGGGCGCTTGGAGCGTCAGTCAGGGGCACTGCCTTGGGGTCGTTCTCTCACCACCGTCAAAGTTTTCTCATCAAGGAGGACGCAGACCAGTGCATAGAGCAAACCTCAGGCTCTACAATCTGTAAGAACAGCCACTTCTGTTGCGGGCCTCTGATAGTTGTGATGTACTGACTTCTGATTCCGTTACGTGAACACACTTCGTGGACTTCATGTGGGCGGAGTGCTTCGCCCAGTGGTGCAAAGGCTTCGCTGGACGACTTTTAAGAGGACTACTTTAGCGATTCGCTCTGTATGTGGGGCACGTCACAGGTTCACAGAACATCAAGTTATATAGGACACATCAACTTCCTGACCTTCGTCGATCGGCACTCGCTATCCGTTAAGTCACCTGGGCTCATAAGCTATAAGTGGTGGTCTCCGACTTCTCGGAATGTTGCGCGTTCGAATAGTCTATCAAGGCTTCAATAATACACTTGCTATCGCTGAATCACTTGCATGCGGACGGTTTCCAGAAATAGGGCTTTGGGCGACACAAGTGGCAACAAAACGGCCACATCTGGACGTAAACCGACCGAGCAAGTTCTCAGTACTCGCGGTCCCAGGACGACATCGTCCCTAGATTTCTCAGGAAGATTGTACGAAAGCCCATAAAAATACACCGGGCCGTTCATATGTCATTGGTAGGCTGACTGCGTAGAATCACTGTTGCCGCCGCCCGCGGTGGCGGAGATGCAAGTTCCACATGCAATCCGCATTGACAGCTGGCTGCAGGAGGAGGTTGATTCAGGATGTAAGTGATTCCGCACACGTGACCCTTACTACAACGCGTAAGTTCAAACCCAGCTAGGGATGCTCATTGCGCAATCGGCCATTAGAATGGCAACAATGTTGCTCACACTCCATCACCATTAGGTTATGTATATATTTCCAAAGGAGATCAAATGGGTGGAAAGGTTCTTCTTTTAAATTTATCTCTGGAGGGCTTCTCTTCTCCATCGCCGCCCATCGCCCCCTGGTCACCGTGCGCTCACCACTGCGCCTTCTCTGGATTTGTTCACCCCGCTGCGACATATACGACAGCGACAGAACAATATCACACCACGGATACACACGATAATCAATCAACGTTCCTGAAGTATCCCCTTCCTCCCCACAGGGACCACGGCTTTATATAAAGTCGGAAACTAAAGGAACCTAATTTACGTACCTACTATCCCTGCTTGGCACACCATGGCTTCGACTGCAAAGCGGCTGGGCAAGCGGATTATTGGTTATCCAGAGAACACTGTCCCCGTAATTTCTAGCAGGGATTGGGTTCGTGGTCTCGTCAAGGATCCTAAACGCGATGTAAGATAGTTTCGACTCTCATCAGCGTCCATGCAACGCTAACACCGATTACTAGGTTATCGACTACCTCCTCAGCCTGTTCCCCATCATAGGGTGGATAACCAGATACAGCGAGTCGTTTCATTGTTTTCCATCGAGAGAAGTGGCACTAAGCCGATGTCCTCAGACTTCGGATGGCTTACAGGCGATCTTATCGCTGGTTTGACCGTAGGGATGGTGGTCGTCCCCCAAGGGATGTCGTATGCTCAGGTACGAGCTCTAATCTCTTTTTCGTCCTACTCCCACCGATCACTACTACGGGAACAGATTGCGACATTGCCTCCCGAGTTTGGACTATATTCCTCATTCGTCGGAGTGTTGATCTATTGCGTATGTCCTTTTCATAACTCCGCGAACTACCACTAACGTCCCACCTAGTTCTTCGCAACCTCGAAGGATGTTTCGATCGGTCCGGTAGCTGTCATGTCCCTTACAGTCTCTCAAGTCATCAAGCACGTTAACGACGCCCACCCCGGCGAGTGGGATGGTCCGCAGATCGCCACGACTCTCGCTTTCATTTGCGGCTTCATTGTTCTTGGAATTGGTTTGCTGCGGCTAGGTTGGCTCGTAGAGTTTATTCCTAGTCCAGCTGTCAGTGGTTTCATGACCGGCTCTGCTATTAGCATCGTCGCGGGGCAAGTACCAGGAATGATGGGAATAACTGGCTTCGAGTAAGTGCTCCCTTGCATGTTCTTCGTTAGAATTCCTAACCCACCCTATTTAGCACTCGTGCCCCCACATACCTCGTTATTATTAATACCTTAAAAGGACTTCCACGTACGACCCTGGACGCTGCTTGGGGTCTGCCAGGGCTTGTGGCGCTGTATGGAATCCGTATGCTTTGCGACTACTTCACTAAGAAATTCCCTCGTCGAGGTTTGTGAGAGCCCTACATGGGTGACATCTGGACTGACGGTCGTATCCCTTCACAGCAAGATGGTTCTTCTTCATCTCAGTTCTGAGAAACGCCTTCGTTATCCTCGTTTTAACAATTGCTGCATGGCTTTACACGAGACACAGACGTCTACCCAACGGCAAGTACCCCATCAAGATCTTGCAAAATGTCCCCAGTGGCTTCAAGCATGTCGGTATGTTACAGCACACCGCCTTGATGTACGTGGTGTGATTGACTGATTCATTTTTAAGGGCAACCCGTCATCGACAGCAATCTTGTGTCAGCTTTGGCAGGTGAACTACCTGTCGCGACCATTATTCTGCTCCTCGAGCACATCGCGATCTCAAAGTGTACGTGATTCCGTTTCAAACAACTACAACACCGATTCCTAACTCATTCATATAGCTTTCGGTAGGCTCAATGGCTACAAGATCAACCCCAATCAAGAACTTATCGCCATCGGCGTCACGAACACAATCGGTTCATGCTTCGGGGCCTATCCTGCTACTGGATCATTCTCCCGCTCCGCCTTGAAGTCGAAGTCCGGTGTAAGGACCCCCGCTGCCGGCATCATCACCTCCGTCGTCGTAATTGTTGCTTTGTATGGCCTTACACCTGCTTTCTACTGGATCCCCAATGCTGCGCTGTCCGCTGTGATCATCCACGCCGTCGCGGATCTGGTGGCCTCCCCAGATCAAGTTTACTCCTTCTGGCGCGTGTCCCCCCTCGAATTCTTCATATGGATGGCCGCAGTTCTAGTCACCGTGTTCTCGTCTATCGAGAACGGTATCTATGTCTCTATCTGCACGGTAAGTCATTACAAGATATTCATATTCATGTCGTGCACCGAGCTCATTATGTTGTTTGCTCTAGTCTCTCGCTTTGCTTTTGATTCGTGTCGCCCATCCACGAGGGTCTTTCTTGGGCAGAGTGACACTTCGTAGCAAGTCCCATGACTCGCAAGAAAGTCGGGATGTCTTCGTCCCACTCGAACAGAAGAACAACGGCGTTTTGAACGAGCATATCAAAGTCGACCCACCATCTCCTGGTGTTTTGGTATACAGATACGAAGAAAGCTATCTCTACCCTAATTCCTCGCTGCTGAATTCGGTGCTCGTGGACTACGTCAAGGAGCATATGCAACGAGGTCGCGATATGACGCTCGTGAAGTTTAGCGATCGCCCCTGGAATGACCCAGGCCCTCCCCGTGGTACTACCTCCGAAAGCGAGCAAGCTAGGAACGAGAAGCTCCCGGTGCTACACGCCATCGTTCTTGATTTCTCTTCAATGTACGTTGGCTTCTTTTCTTTTCGCGGATCTTTCACTGAACTCGATCAAGATCCCACATAGATACCACCGCCGTGCAGTCACTCATTGATGCTCGGACCGAGATAGAAAGATGGGCGAATCATTCAGTCGAGGTAGGTCTCGTCGTGTGTTTCATCCGGTGAACCGCTTCTAATCCTCCCCTAGTTCCACTTTGCCACTATTTTGTCACCATGGATACGCAGAGCTCTGGTGGCTGGTGGGTTTGGCATCGGCAACTCAGCCTCGAAATTCACTGGCGAAGTTGCTCCCGTCGTTCCATACCGCGACGGCCACACGGCTCCGGACGGTGTACCTGTATTAGACGATGATATCGAAGCGGGCGACGTAAAGAGAAAGGTATCATCAAGTCACAGCAGTGTTGCTGAAGAAGAAAGGGATTATTCGTTGATATTGTCCTCTGAGACGCCGTTCTTCCATGTAGACCTCGCGGGAGCCGTCCGGGCAGCGGAAAGTGGGCTAGATAGGTTGAACGAGCGTAAGAGTCGAGAGCAGTTGATCGCAATTTAAATGATGCATAGCAACCTGTACTCCATTTAATGATTTCCTGTAATTTCATGATCATGATTTATTAGTTCTGGCGAGATGAAAGACACCGGTGGCAGATGATATCAAGACATGAGACGTTGCCGACCGATGCCTTCAATTGCAGTTGACTAGGCAATACTTTCAAGATAGACACTTCATTGACTTTGGCTGCAACGACACTGTTTGCGAAGTACAATACTACGCCTGGGAGGGGCACTTCGGCAGTGCATTCGAAACGGGCGTGTGAAGAAGGCGGATAGTTGATAAACTGAAAGAGCGCTGCACTCTCATAATAGCTGGTTATGATGGATAATTGTGTGAGCTGGGGGAGCTCGACTGTTGAACGATCGTTGATCTCCCCGGCAGACATCCCGCGCGATCGTGTTGAAATTCTAGCTCCTCTAAGAAAGGTGTGCCACGGAGGAGTGACAGTAGCAAGCCAATCGACATCGATCAGGACGCTGATTTAATGGTGAGATGGCGAAGGTGAGGAAGAACAGGAAAGTCTGGGGGTAAATCGACAGAAAGGCGGATCAACGTGTGCAGTGAAGGCAGTGGGATCCTGAACACTTGGGCGCCTCCGATGGAAGTGTTCGAAATCAAGCTCCTCCAAGTTGGGTGTACGGCGGAGAGTCGGCAATAGCAAGTGGGGTGGCATTGAACGGGACTTTGTCGTTACGACTAGTCTGCACACCTGCGAGATCATCGTAGTTGTGTCCGAATACTCGGAGGTTGTGTTGCAAAGTCTCAAAGACTGCATCCTAGTAAGTAGAGCTAGTGCACTCGCCCAGGAGGAGCTGAAAAGGCGCTGGAGGATGCGATATTCAGCGTCGATATCTAACTCTTGGATGCTGGAAAAGGAAAATGGCGTCGAGCAGGGCATATTTACAGTACACCGGAGATTTTGATGAATGGAGGTGCAGCTTTGGGACGCGCCAGCATGATGGAGGTCCATCTGAGGGTCTGAACCCGCATGGTATCAATCTCATTCCAGAGACGAACCGTCTTGAGGGCAACGTCTCGCCAACTGCGACATACATTCGCAACGTTCGACCACCCACTTCCCTAGCAGGAACGAACGTGCTACGAGCAGCCATTGACTTTGCAAAGAGGAATATTTCAGAAAGAACCTCGTTTGAAAACTTTGATACGAGGGCTCGCGCGTTTCGACGTGTCCGTAGGTCGCGAAGGGCAGATTCGAGCGAGGCAATTTCCTGGTCAACAAGTAGTTGGCCATGAGTCGGCTCCAATAGAACACTTGATATATTTTTGGCACATAAAAGCAAACGCTATCAGCACTCTACACGCAGAGATTTGGGATCCTCGTTACCGAAAACATTGTGGTTGTAACTGAAGAAGAAGGTTATTGACGGATGCACTTGTTTTCCTTTTGAGCGAGAATCAGGGGTACTCCTATTTGCAACTACCTTGCAATTTGCCATTCGACTCAGTGACTCGAGAACCGGATCGACAATTAATCATACACGAACAAGGCTAAGTTTGTTTAGGATATCCGCCAACTTGAAATGGGAGTGCTCCGTGCGTCACGAAAGCTGAGTGGGCAGCAATTCCCTAGTCACTGGCTATACCACTTAGAGCTCGAATGCCGCTGTTGAGGAAGTTTTTCCCTTACAGATTGTGGGCAACACAAGGTGTGTAGCTGAGAGAACTAGACAGCTACCGGAGTATTTTTCGGCTGTGCTTTGACAGTCGAGTGGCATCTGTGATAGTCGAGCAAGCGAGCTGCAAGCGACGGAGAGTATGCATTGAGGACAATCAGAATTTTCTGCAGTATATGTTAAAGGACTGGCATTGAAGCGTTAGCTCGACAAGGACGACATGTCTGGCCATAGAAAGCGGCGAGCAAGCTATTGCGCCGCCAGACATGTGACTTCAGGGGCGTTTACCCCATCAACCGGACGGTTACTCGAAGGTTTGGCTTTACCACATTGGTCTGTCAGTGGACGCATCTGCTGATTCTGCTCCGCTGAATGATGGCGCTTTTAAGATTTGCAGAGGTGAGTTGACGGCTTTGTGGCTCTTGGAGATACTCATTTCCTATCTCGTCAGACAATACATTTTGCTCCTGGTCGCCTCGTCGGACCGTCCAGCCCCAATTTTATGGGAGTTCGAGCTCCAACTTCCCTTCGACATTGAGTCGTAGAACTGCTGCGCGCGATAAAATACCCGGGGGTGATGGGAAGATTGCAAGCATCCCATAATTGGCACACGAAAGTGTGTAAGGCGAGCTGAATTTAGCAGCAGAGATGTTCAAGCGACCCACGCTTGCATCTGCAAGCATGTGGGTTCTGGGCGGATCGGAATTGAAAGCCATTGCTGTCTGTTCCCGTCGCCTTGGTAAAGTGTTACTCGACCCACTCGTATTGTCTGCCATCACGCTCAAAGCCGACGAATACCCTCGAATATCGCCTGGTAAACCCATCGCCCACCCGAATCCATCACCGCCTTGATATCTCCAACTACAATCAGGGCCACCTCTGCAGCGAAACTTCGTCACAGGCTCAAGCCACGATGCATTCTTATCAATCCTTCTGGACGATGCTCAGTAAGCCACGCTTCCATATGAGATCACCTCTGAGAATATCTGAGGCCCCGGGTTGAAAGTTGAATAAACATTTCTAGGTATAAAAGACTAGGGCGCATAGGCGGTCTTCATTCACAACAACATCTTCACTAGAACACCTACTACACTTCCATTACCAGTACACAATGTCGCTTTGGGTTCCAGCACCTCCCCCACCATCCAAGCTCGGCCGCTACAGGGTATTGTCCCCCAACTGTGGTCTCCATGTCTCGCCGCTCCAACTCGGCGCGATGAGTATTGGTGACAAGTGGGAAGCTTACGGAATGGGGGCCATGAACAAAGAGGCCAGCTTCAAACTCCTAGATGCGTACTACGAGAAGGGTGGCAACTTCATCGACACCGCGAACAACTAGTAAGCTTCTTACACTCTGACACAACTTTGATAATACCTGACACCCTCACTCCAGCCAGGATGAATCCTCGGAAGAGATCATTGGCGAGTGGATGGAGTCGCGAGGGAACCGAGACGAAATTGTTGTTGCAACAAAGGTAAGGCTGTCTGGCGAGGTTAGTCTGCACGTACTCGGACTAATTGCCATCTTTAGTACACCACTGGCTACAAGCGCGCCGATCCCAACACCAAAATCAAAATCAACTTTGCCGGCAACAACGTCAAGAGTATGCACCTTAGTGTTGAAGCCAGTTTGAAGAAACTCCGCACGTCATACATTGATATCTTCTACCTTCACTGGTGGGACTACGAGACCTCTATCGAGGAGGCTATGACTGCTCTGCACAACCTTGTCATCCAAGGCAAGGTCCTGTACCTCGTAAGTGCACCTCCCACCAGTCGGGCTGGATGGCCCGCTGAAATCTGTTTAATTATAGGGCATATCCGATACACCGGCTTGGGTCGTCTCCCGTGCTAACCAGTTCGCCCGCGACCACGGAAAAACACCTTTCTCCATCTACCAAGGAGCCTGGAACGTGATGGAGCGATCCTTTGAGCGCGATATCATTCCTATGGCCCGCGCTGAAGGTGAATAATAATCTTTTGCCGCGTCCGTCTACAGAAACCAACTATTTCTGGTTTGCAGGGCTAGCATTAGCTCCATGGAATGTCCTTGCCGCCGGCAAACTACGTACGGACGCGGAAGAACAGCGCCGGCGGGAGACCGGAGAGAAAGGTCGTATGTTGGTTGGCCCTAACTGGGAGAGGTCTCCAGATGAGGTCAAGATGTCTCGAGCACTCGAGAAGGTTGCCAAGGAGGTCGGCGCGAAACACATCACATCTGGTGCGTATGCCAAACTAAACCCTCCTGCTATGCAACCCTGACTGGAGAGAATCGCAGTCGCTATTGCCTACTTGATGCACAAGACGCCATACGTATTCCCAATTATTGGTGGCCGTAAAGTTGAACACTTCTATGCCAACATGGAAGCACTCGACATCACCATCAGCGACGAGCAAATCAAGGAGCTCGAAAGTGTCATTCCTTTCGACCCGGGCTTCCCTAACACCATGGTCGTAAGTATAGCTTATCTACATAAGATCTTCTGTCGTGTAACATGTCTTCTACAGGGCGATGGTGCCGAGTTCCCGATCTTCTTCAAGAATGCCGGCCTCATCGATAAACAACCTCGCGTCCAGCCTATCAGGCCCGGAAAGGAGTAGATACGAATAGCACTGTATATCATCTTGAATGTAAACGCCGTATCGCATAACTTCGAACATTCATTAGTGTCCCGATTGCTGTAGAACACAATGAGCGCAACTGAACATGTCAGGGGTGAACAGGAGTTCGCAAAGCTCACGTGGAAGTCGCGGAAACATTCGAAGTCGACCCTAAACCACAACTCTGCCCCGACATGAGCTCATGTAACATTGTAAATGGCTTCAAGTAGAGCACCGGAATTTCCAGGGCTTAAAGACGCACAGAAGGCCCTTCTGAGAAAGGGCGAGTATGCGAACTATGTCAATTTCCACTTGGTGGCTTACACGGCCCGTTAGGAAATATCAACACTGCAGATGCCCTGCTGCTCACTCCTCCAGCTGAGATCGCGCGCCGATGTAAAACTTCTCTCGTAGAGGTGAAGGTGCTTGTAGATGCGTTCTGCAAAGCATCTCTGCAACCGTTGCAGCGCCTCGAAGAAATCAAACACGAAGGGAACGAGAAGATAACCACAGGCGACCCACGTCTGGATTATGCGCTTGGGGGTGGGATTCGAACCGGAATGATATGGGAAGTTGCTGGAGAAAGGTATTTCTTCCTACTTATTGTCCCCTTGCTGAATCGATGCCCGTGTGCTCAGCGATTAAATGTGTAGCGCGGCCGGAAAGACACAGCTGGCGCTCCAACTATCCCTTCTTGTTCAACTGCCACCCAGGCTCGGGGGATTGTCTAGCTCAGCCTGCTATATAACTACATCCTCCACCCTTCCTACTACGCGTCTACTACAAATCCTGAACTCGCATCCACTACTGTCTTCTACCCTCTGTAGTCTGTCGAATGTGCACACGATATCCACGCCGACTATAGCTGCCCTCCTCCAAATTCTATCCACAACTCTTCCTCAATTCCTGGCCAGCAAACTCAATGATCGTCCCATAAAGCTGATCGTCATCGACGCTCTTGCCGAGCTGTTTCATACCTCCGCTCAAACTACGACGAACACACTTGTTGAGCGGTCACGAAGCGTCTCCGAGATATCCGTCTGCCTGCATACACTTGCTAGTAAGTATCAGGTCGCAATCCTGGTGCTGAACGAGGTCGTGGATGTCTTTGCGCGGCAAATAAACCCGGAAGGGCTCGATAATGACCTACTCTATTTTGAGCAGTCCAAGTGGTTCAGCCGCGCTCATAGCATACCTTTGGAGGACTCCAAAGAGGTAAGCCTAGGTCTCGTCTGGGCCAACCAAGTCAACGCACGAATACTCCTCAGCCGGACTGGAAGGCGACGATACATATCTGAAGATGACTTAGGATCCAGAGTCCAGAAGCCTTCGCGTGACGCCGCTCCTACCAGGTCACACCAAACCTCCACCGACCAGGAGTCTACCCTCATCCGAAGGGTCACCGTCATATTTAGTTCTGTGGCCCCTCCAGCCTCGCTGGATTACATCGTCACCGAGGCCGGAATATCGACTCTGTTTGATGACAATTCCTCTGCATCTCAAACCGAGCGAGTGCTGGCTACACCCAGCCCGGAACGCCCCGCCCCGCCCGTTGCCTCCGTGCTTAACAACGATCCATCGATACCTCGCAGTCAACTGCCTCTGGATGTGGGTTTTGTTGAGGACCTTACGAACGCAAACTTTGAGGTCGCCGAAGACGATGAATGGGAGCAATACTGGAAGGATTACGACCTTCCGGAACATGTCTACAGTGATGCTGGTTTCGACGATGGCGCCCCAATCGTCAATCAGAATGGAGAGCCACAACACGCCCCAATCACTCCCTTGCTGGCCTCCTCAGATTCCAGTTACTTAGAGGACCCAGCTAAGATTGGGAACGTGGAGGATCCGGGAGGGGCAGCACCGCCCGACGAGTTCAGTCCATCGTCGGGCTCTACTTCCGCCGAAGCTTGAGGAGGCCTTTCCTCACACACCTCCAGAAACGCGTTTACACTAGTGAAGGGCCTTTTCAACAATCGACTCCCCTCGCGATCAATAGCTTCGTCGCGGAACGCAAAGCACCCGAAGGACCTGACAGTACCTTCAAGTTGGAACTTTCTAGATGCGATATCCATCTTAGTATCGTTCGGGAGTTGGAACGATGTGGAGCGCTCCATTGGGACTCCGCCACATTGCATGCATTCGGGAGCATCAACGCATTCATCGACGCAGAGGATGACGAAGAAGACGAATACAACGGATATGATGGAGAACACAACGATCCATACAGCGACATTGACTCGGATGAACTCGAGGCCGGTATGAGCATGGTCTGGCAAACGGGATAGTCAACCATCTACTAGTTCAACCGTAGAGGGTCCGCTCCCTCGTCCCCTTGCTAGCTTAAGATCTAGTTTTTTCTCCCTGTGTTAGGTACCCATACCATAAATTCCTGTTCTAGTACTTAACATACACTCTATATAAGTTCAGCGTCACTGCGTGATGGCTCTACGACCCTTTCCTTTCATCCATGTCGTCGGCAACGAATCTCAACTCAAGACTGATACTGATGCAGAAAAGATGTCGACTATATCACCGGAGGCTAATCATCTCGACCAAGCACTTATTAACACCCTCAGATCTACCTCAGGGCATCGCGATCGGTGGGCAGTGTATTTACTTGGTATATACTCCCATATCGTACCTAATTAGAGTTGAGCTCTTCGGGCTGGGCACGGTGATTCGCTGTCAAATGTCCAATCGCTTGATCACACGGGCTACGACTTACATGAACCTATTTGAACATTACGAACAGGTACTTGAGGTGAAGCTACCACATGTAACAAAATACTTCCATTAATATATCAATGAAACTACCGACCGGCGAGCGGGTCCCTCTTCCCACTGGATTGTGACATTGGAGGTGTTGGGTCTTTCTGACCAGGATAAGAACTCTCAGTACTCCCAAGATCATACGAATGAGATCTGAGAGTCTCCTCCTCTACTTATCTTGTATAGTCAGATTTTGATACACTAAATGCACAGAAGCCGCGAGTTACATACCTACTTCGCAAACACAGGGAAGATATGAGGAATGCCCCCGATTTAGCAGTTCCATACTTACGAGAGGAGATTTCTCTGTTGGATATTATTTGTGCTGTATAAACAGCTGGACATTGCGTGTTTCGACACTTCGAGAGAGAGCGCAATTTGTAGCCTTCTCCAGAACTGAAAGGGGTGAAAAGGGGATAAAGGGGCTCCTACCACGGTTGCCTCTTATATCCAGTTGAGGCCGCATTGTTGTTGCTTGTTATTCGAGTCAGAGCCAATACAGGCGCGTGTGTCTCATAAGCAGGCTGCACACCATTTGGTCGCCAACCTTGGACTCGTACCACCACTTCCTGCTTCGTCTCTTCCACTTTCCCCGCCGCCGCTCCGCTATACTACAAACATGAGGTCCAAATTCAAGGATGAGCATCCCTTTGGTACGCCTTCTCATCCGCAGCTGGTCTTGGAACTTGCTCAATGGTCACCGATGGCACAGAGAAGCGCAAGGCTGAGGCTGAGCGCATAAGACAGAAGTATCCAGATCGTATTCCCGTGAGTTCGCCGATTTTGGGATAGGATGCGTTTGACCGAACGACTTCTTTGTACAGGTCATTTGCGAGAAGGCCGACCGCACAGATATACCTACCATTGACAAGAAGAAGTATCTTGTGCCATCGGTATGCAAGTTCATCTCAGTGATATGGACAACGCCCCACCTATTGTTCTTAGGATCTTACTGTGGGGCAATTCGTGTATGTAATACGGAAACGCATCAAGCTCGCACCAGAGAAGGCCATATTTATATTCGTGGATGAGGTCCTGCCGCCAACGGCGGCCCTCATGAGTGCCATATACGAGGAACACAAGTGAGTTTGATGCTAATCGAGTCACTTCCTGCTACTGATTGCTTTGAAGGGACGAGGACAACTTCCTATATGTCAGCTACTCAGGAGAGAACACGTTCGGTACGGAGGGCTGGCTGGAAGTTTCGTCTGATGCATGATAGTCTGCTGTTGCATTAATTGTGGCGGGGTGAAGACTGATGTGATACGAGACAACTTTGATCAGTGATGTCTTTGTCCTGCTCTCCTCCATCCCCCACGAACTGATTTCTCGCTACACATATACATTTATCCCTTTCATTCCCAGCGTTTGTACAATATATTATGTGCCTCTCTTTGAATATGGAATGGACGATCTTTCACAAATACTCACTCGGAGCCGTCCAAGAACATGATCGACTCTTGACAAAGCCTTCGAGTGGTGTCAGGTGGCCTCGGGGAGGTAGTAAGAACAAAGCCCATGATTGTGGTCGCTACAAACCTACTTGGGACCTACACAAAGCCAAAGCCAAAGGGTGGCACGACGTTCCACAGCTGCGTGGCCGTGAATCTTCCACAAACCCACAGAGGTTCCTTTAAATAGCCTCCTCTACATGTTCAGGGCAGAAGCACCCGTGCTTTTGCAACGCCATCCCCACATTTCTCCTCTTCTTCCCCCAACGCCGTCTGTCTGGTACATCATGGCTAAGCTCCCTCATGCTGCAATTGAAGAGATGCTATTAGGTACGCACTTCATTCGCCCCCGTTCTCCTCTCCAACTAATCATGCGTGACACTCAGCTTTCTTTTGTGTTTGTGACTTTATCTTGATTGCTATTGCATTGACGGCCTTGTTGAAGACGAACAGTGCGTATATACGATACACCACCCGGTCAATTCCGTGTTAACATAGTCTCTGATTGTTAGCACTCAGCCCGCTCCCAACGTTCACCGCGTTTCTTGCTACCTTTGCTTTTGGCGTGTTCGCAGTTTCGGTGGCGATCGCTGCTTACACGCATGTTCGTACACGGTATCCTATCTCTCGTCGAAATATCAAGGGCATGTGGACGTTCGGCATCTTGTTCTTCCTCGCACTCGGTGAGTTCACTATCGGTGGTTTCACAATACTATACTGAATGCACATTCCTATAGTGGCAATTATCCACGCAGCGCTACGCATTTCCCGAGGGGCCCTTTGCACGGACTACCAAGCTCTGCCATCTTCATGCAGCTTTGGAGGATTGACCCTCGCGCTTTGGTGCTTGATTGCGCTGATTGGTAAGTCCCCACCACCGAAGCACCTTCTTCGAGCTCACATTAGTACAGGTGTCTGTGGGACTGTTGTTTCATATTTCCACGTTGAAGAAGCTTGCAAGATCACACCTTATCCTAATAACTACCAGGCTACTACATATAGCACCCCATCCTACCCTCAGCGGGCGTATCACTTGTCTCCTAACAGGGGAATGCACCATCCTTCAGAATATCATTTTAGAGCCTTGTAGTTAAGATCTCCCTGTCGATTCACTGATGTACTTAACCACCGGAAATCCACTATCTTTTATTTACTATACCCGTTTGCTTATGTACTGAGTATTATTGGATATTACGAGGCTTCGGAATACATCAAATAAATATAGTCCGTAAAAAAAGGAGTGTATAGGAGGGGGAAATGAGAGTGGTACTAGCTTTACTGAACTTTGCTTCACTGATTACATCATTTACTGGGCTGCACGTCGGGCGTCCGCACCCATGCCAGCGGCCATACCAAGCGCCATTGCGCTACCCATCTGTGAACCTTGCGCTTCGGATGGAACAAAGATAGTCTTCGAGCCAAAGGCCTTGACACGCGCGACCTCCATACGCCTGAGCTCCATCTCTCTGGCGAATTGGTCAACCACCTGTGCGTCTGCCTCTGCCTTGGTCTTGATGGCCTGTGCATCAGCCTCGGCCGCTAGGCGAGTCGCTTCGGCTTGAGCTTCAGCCTCAATCTTGAGTCGCTGGGCCTGAGCCTTTGCAGCAGTAACGACGCTGTATGCTTCAGCGTCTGCGGCTGTATTGCGGGCCTGTGCTTTAATGCGAGCGACAGCAAGAGCACCCTCTTCTTGCTTCACTTTGTTGCTGTTCTCTCTGTCTACATTCTTTGTATCCGATCAGCACAGGAAATCGGGGATCGAGCTCAAGTCTTCTTACCGCGGCTTCCACCTGAGCTTGCAAGGCACGCGTAGTGAGTTTGTCCATGGTTGATGCAATTTCTCCCTTGAATTGACGATCGATGACGGCTAGGATATTGGAGTAAATAGAAGTCGTCACCGTTATATTTCTGTCTGCTTACCCAGATCCTTCAACACGATACCGTATTCCAACGCAGCCTCGTGCATCTCATCCATCGCGCGGGTTCTCAACGCATCCAAGAACGCCGACGACGGGTCTTCTTGCATGTTATCAGGACCCAATGACCGTTGCTTGACCTAGATGTAAACTGGTCTCATATCTGAATTCCCAAGGGGTAATGTCACTTACCATAGCCGAATAGTCAAGGTGGGCTACGATCTGTGTAAGTATTGATTGGGTCTTATCACGCAGGGCGTCGTAGGGCGTGTTGTAGCCGTGGGTAGTCAATTTCAGAGGCTCTGTGAGTTGCCTGGTGATAGTTTAATATCTCTGCCACAGAGAAATAGCGAAGGGAAGTCACCATTTCAAGTAGATCGTAAGGCTGACGGGCACTTGGTCGCGAGTGAAGCTAATCGAGTGTTAAGTTGAGAGTCGGAATATCGAGAGAGAGAAGAACGCACATGTCCTTCGTTGGCATCTCCAGCTGGTTCTCACCCAAGGTGTACAGACCACGGAGAGTGACGCTGGGGTTGGTGACAACAGATTGTCCAGCAGGAAGAAGTTCCAAGTCGTCACCGCGTTGAAGAATAGCACAATTGCTGGCTGGGATATTCAAGCTAGAAGGTGTTGATGTGAGATCATGAGAGTAAAAATAAACGAGATGTGGTGCTTACAATGTCGCCACGACGTATTCGCGCTCTTCCGCGGCACCAACACGGCTCTTCATCTTGACCTCGTGGGTCCATCCTAGAGTCACGCCAGTGAGGCGATCTTTCACGACGCCAGGCAAATGTGTTTGGTCGACGATCGAGAGTACATCATAGGTACCCTCGATGGCCATCGCTACGAAGCTGGGAAAATGTTAGAGATTGGGTGAGCAAGAAAGGAAGAAGTAAATCACCCTCCATTTCGAATGACGAAGATGTGGTTCTGCGGATCAGAAATGACGGCTGCCTGGTTCTGCGATACCTGTACCACGGTGAGACCTTGGAATTCGATGACAGTATCCGAGACTTATAAAACAGGTTAACGGTGTGTCTATTACACGAATCACAGATGCGCTTACGGCCTTTGACCCCGGCCCACGAGCGCGCCCACCAGTTTCTTAGGGGGAAGCCGGGGTAGCGACCCGGTCTCGTCAAGATCTTTGGAGTACCACCATGATTAATGAGGCCAACTTGGCCAGGCATGATTTCTTTGCCTATCCAATCTACAGGTGCCTATTTCTTGAAGTCAACAATTGCGGTTTTTAACATGGATCTTGGAGATGACGAATCACCTTCTTAGACAGAACTTTGTTTCTCCCCGACTGAGTGTATCATTTTAGTTACATTAAGATTGGACATTTTCTTAGGCGAAGTGGTACAAACCTTGATTAGCTGAGCATCAAGCTTCTGGAGTGCTGCAATCAAACCGTCCTTGCCAATAGGCACGAAGAAAGGTCTGTCCGTCGACATGTAGTCTGCCGTTGTGATGAATTCATCAAGCTTGGCTTTGCCTTTCGCATGTCCATTGGAAGTAGAAGAATGGAAGCCATCATCTACGTGATCTTTCGTAGTGGGCAAGGGAGGGCTCGGATCACCGACGACAGTGCTGTTGTCTCCAAATTGGGTCGCAGGCATAGTGTGGTGTAGGGCTGTGAGAGTGAAAGTGAAATGAAAGGTGAGGCGGCGACGCAATAATTTATGAGTCCCTCGGACGACGCACGTTTAGTATAGATTGTGGGGGCATAGCCTTTCCCATCACAGGTGCGTCCCATCCCTGACATATCGGGGGCGGTGACCTAGACAACATTAATCGACTACAGCAATCCTGTCTAGCTCCGGCCATTGACACAGTGTAGAATCATCTGACGGCAGCCAATACACGCATTAATTCCACGATGGGAGTATTAATAGCAGTCATACAGCTCAGTAGCGTGAAGCGGTTGTAGCGCCTGTCCAGAACGAGCGGGACAGGTGCTGATGATTACCGGGGCTGTGGACACGGGCCTCGGAACGGCACAGCCAGTCCGCGCTGTATTGGCGTGGGAGTAATGGCGCTCAACGGCAACAGCCGCCTTGGACGGAATTGGCAATCGTCACGTGATGACTTGCCACCGTGTCCAGAGTCGAATTCGTATGCAGTGACACTCTACTATTTCCGAAATGCTGACGCTGTTCAGCCTGCTGCTGGTAACCCCAGTGGTGCTGGCTCACAACGTGAACGATACACTGCTATGGGGTGCGTATAGACCGAACCTGTACTTTGGGCTGCGCCCGCGTCTCCCGCAATCTCTCATGACCGGCCTCATGTGGTTTGGAACACAGGACTACCAATCCTTGGGTCGTATGTACTTCCTTTGGAATGCCGGACACTTGAATGACTTTTACCAAGAAACCAGACATGCGTGTGATCAAGGGGACAACCTTGCCAGCTATACGTGGACGGAATATGACCCCAGTGAGGGTGGAGTGCAAGTCATCAAGGACACGCGTAATAACGTCAAAATCACGACCGAGTTCTTGAAGGTTGCGGGTGGTGATCATGGGGGAAGCTGGGCCGCGCGAGTCAAGGGTGAACCCATTGATCCTTGTGAGTCTCAAGTCAATTTCTAGTCCTGGGTGCTAGAATAATGTCCGTGCAGCTACGCCATCCAGTATCTCTACCATCTTTTACTTCGGGCTTGAAGGTATTGGCGGACTGGATATGGAGACAGATGAGGACGAGAACGTGAGCTGGCATGCCTGAACTCAAGAATCCAGCTTACAGCAATAAACAGGGATTGGAGGGACCCGTTAAACTCTCGGGGTCTACCCCCGATTTGGATGAATTCACCCTCAAGATTGTAGATGGTACGGATGTCTCGACCTCTACTCCTCGCGTTATTTAAGAGTGACATATCTATTAGGCCCTAACAACGTCGCACCAACTGAGGGACCTTATTACGAAGAGTTTCAAGAGCGCATAGGCAAGACTCACTATCTCGGGCTCACTGTGCCGCCAGGGGACGTATGGAAAGCCAAAGGTACGCGCAGAAGGACTCATATTAGCCCCACTAATGTGTGAGTAGACATTATCATGAATAACTTGATCAAGCGCGCCCAAGGTGTCCTCCAACCGTACCGGGAATCGCCCACACCGCCGCATCCATCATTCACTCTACAGCTCCCCGACGAAGTCTATACTAGCAGTAACCTCTTTGCATACCAGAAGATGTTCGAAGGTCCATTCCAGTTTGACGTCCTTTATGACAGTGGAAGCGCGAAACAGAAACTCAGCCGTGTGTTGCGCCTATTGGTTACACGAATGTATGCTGACACACTTCAACAGCTTCTATACTCGATCAAGGGATTCCTGCACTGGTTGCATCATACAAACAACGGTTTCAAGCGACTTTCCCCATCCCTTCCGACTACCCCATTTCCAACCGCGCTTCCCTCGAATCTTTCTCCCGAGATATCACTGCCAATCTCATTGGAGGTGTCGGATATTTCTATGGCACTTCTATTGTCAACCGAGGGTTTGCTCATGAATGGGACGAAGACGACGAGACTTCCAGCCATAATTTCGACAACGGACCGACCATTACGGAACCGAAAGCACTGCTCACAGCTACTCCGAGTCGTAGTTTCTTCCCCCGAGGGTTCTATTGGTATGTATTGACATGGCGCACTGAGGCAGTACTTGACTTCGTGATCCAGGGACGAGGGATTCCATCTTCTTCATATTGGCGAATGGGATAACGATTTCAGGTATATTTGTCCTGACTAGTTGAGGTGAACGCTTGCTGACGATGTTTCATTCAGTCTAGAGATTTTGAAGGATTGGATTGGCCTTATTGATGAAGACGGCTGGGTTGCTCGTGAACAGATTCTTGGAGAGGAAGCGCGCAGCAAGGTCCCAGTGGAATTCCAGACGCAAGTCCCGACTTACGCAAATCCTCCGACGCTCACCGTCGCTGTGACCGCTTTCATTGAACGTCTGAAAGCCCAATCGTCCGGCCCTTCATCACAGGACCTTGGCATGGATTACTCCGTCGGAGGGTCCCAGATACCTCTCCGAACTGACAGCTCTAAATCTGGAGGTAAATACCTTGAATCCCCGGAGCATGCTATGGCTTTCCTAAAGTCTATCTACAAACCTCTCAAGAGACATTATGACTGGTTCCGACGGACCCAGCGAGGACAAATCAAACAGTACGGTCGTCAAGCACGCTCGAGAACGGAAGCTTATCGATGGCGAGGGCGGACTGAGACCCATGTCTTGACCAGTGGAATGGACGATTACCCTCGTGGTCCGCCACATGCAGGCGAACTGCATCTGGACTTGATTTCGTGGATGGCTTTCTTCACCAGGACGATGAAGCAGATTGCGGGGTTCATTGGGGAAACTGATGATGAGTTAACCTTCATCGAGATCGAGAAGGCTATCATTGGGAATATCGAGGGTAAGAATCATGTATGTGTGCACGCTGTGCATGGTTGCTAAATCTCATTATTTGCCAGACCTTCATTGGAGCGAGGAAGATAAGATGTACTGCGACGTAGGCGTGAATGACGAAGGCAAGTGATATCTCCAGTGGTCGCTTGATCAATTCTAACCCTCCAGTTTTCTAGATGAATCGTACTTCGTCTGTCACAAAGGCTACCTCTCCCTGTTCCCCTTCTTACTCCAACTCCTTCCCCCCGACTCCCCCCATCTCCCCCATATTTTGTCACTGATGCGCGATCCCGCCCATCTTTGGACACCTTACGGCCTTCGCAGTCTGTCGCATTCACACCCCGAGTTTGGCAAAGGCGAAAATTACTGGAAGGGACCAATATGGATCCAGATGAATTATCTTGCCCTGAGCGCTCTACACAAAGTATGTCGTTGCCTTCTCCAGCAGAGGGGCTCACTGACATATGTGCGATAGACATATGCGAAGCAACCAGGACCGCACCAAGCCCACGCGCAGGAGATATATACGAAGTTGAGGCAGAATGTCATAAACAACGTTTTCAAGGTAAGGGACCGAATAGCTTATCTTATTGGATGCATATTGATATAAGGTGATTCGCTGTAGGAATATGAACGAACAGGGTATGTGTGGGAGCAGTATAACGCCATGACAGGTGAAGGTCAGCGCAGGTTAGTACACCCTCCTGCCTGCAGTTTCTCTGGCAAGTTCTTAACACCGCCGCCGACAGTCACCCATTCACTGGCTGGACGTCCCTTATCACGTTGAGTAAGTACTTCCGTTCAGTTCGTGGCGTTTAGTCTCACCGACTGTTTTGACAGTCCTATCCGAAAAGTATTAGATAGTCATTGCGAACGTAGTTTGCATTCAGATATGGACAATGACCACCACGACGAAAATTCTCATGCAATAACCCTATTGAGTGCTCTCTCATTGATCACTAAACTTTCAATGCCGACCCAGATTCTCGATCCTTGAGGACCTCTGCTGCAAAGCCCGTTTGTGAATACTACTGGTGAAGAGAGTTGGCCGGTTAGATGTGTTAGGCTGACAACCTGTTTGATTGGATGATCACTCAGGCTCCCGATTTCATACTGGCGTGTTATGCCTCAATACCGCCTTGCCCTTACGACGGATGAGACAAGATACCGAACGGTGAATATGTACGGCAGTCTGGTCGCTGCTCGATTCATATTGTTTACTTCAATCTTTACTGAGTGTTTGTGGCTACAACATTACATCTCACCATGCCCATGCCCACACGGCTGTTAACCGGCTATGTTGCGCAGCTCCGCGAATCTGGATCGATCCTTGTCCAACAGCTGTTTCAAATTGAAGCGTACATCGATTGAAACTGAGGGTTGTAAGCAACGTCTTCCGTCCCCTGCCTTCCATGCGAATGGAGTCGCTGCGTTGTTCTTTAGGTCTCTATTGTATGTATGTAGATACATTCCTTGGATGTCGCTTACAGTGCATAAATTAAATTACAAAGGTCGTTGTACTTGGGCTTACGTAACGTGAGGCTTTGGGCAAATTGATTCCGCAGACGCGACAGTGGTTGTGCCCACAAGCGATCGTGCTACCACGATGTAAAGGCGCTTATTGTTCTGATGCACCACATTCGAGAATCCAGGCAAGTATATATTGCGGTGTCTTGTTGACAGAGCTTTTCAGTTTCTTCCCTTGCAGCCCCCCAAGACGGTTGCAGGTGGTTTATCGAACAGCCGTAAGTGAGCTCTGTTGCCACTGGTCGCGATGGAACTCAGCGCCAATCTATCAGCCCTCGGAATGCTCCAACCATTGAGCGAGTCAGACTTCAATCTCGATGTCGGTGGCATTGTCGGTTTCCTTGGAGGAGAAGAGGCGATTTCGGCCATGGAAAGCATGCCTTTCTACAAGTACCGGAAATGGCTGGGGTGGTACAACTCGCCCGGCTCGTACACCATTGCCAAGCACTTCGGCAAGCTCCCCGTTTCTCGCTTCTGGGATGGAATTTATCCTGGAGTGAACGATGACCCAGCTACGCTGCTTGGACTCGATGGGAAACGTGGGCCGAAGTTCAGAGGCGTCGTCTCTGGCACTGCCTTGGGCCACACGGGGCATGTTGCACAAACTTTTACTCAATACTGTCGTAGTGAAGTGAAAGCGGTGCCATCGATGTTATCCGAAGCGCGCAAGGAAGGTCAGCGTACCACGACAACGACGAACGTCACCATCGCAGACTTTTTGGTCCGAACCCCGGGGACGTCGACGGAGACTCGGCTTGAGTACGACGAGACTGAATCCCCCCTTTGGTCCGTAGCCATCGCCTCGATCCCGATTTCGATGAACCTCGCGTGCTGTGTTCTGTGCGGGTTGTCTGCCGAGTGGTTTGCGTTCGGTGTTATCCTGTATGGCATCATCTGCAATGGCGTGGCGTGCTACCTGATTGGCTCAGCGGAAATCTTCCTTCGTCATCCTCGACCCTCTCCTCATTCCCCTTCCGGAAACGGAATCTTGGATGATCGGGATCATTTTGTCGTTTGCAGAGGCACCGAAGCATCTATCAACTACATCGTCAAAAGCAAGATTGTCGTTAAATACAGCAAGGACGAGGGGTACAATAAAATTGGGCTCAGCGCGATGTCGCTGACCGTCCAGTTTATTGCTCAGCTCTTCCTCATTCCACTCAGTGGTCTTTTCGGACAGATCATGTTCCTTACGACGCTCGCCATCTCATGGATCTACAATGCGTATATCTCATCCATAGACAAGGATCAGCTGCAGCAAAGACTTCTGATGAAGAACATACCCCTCAAGGAATCTACGGGCAAACGGGTCTCAAAGGTGGAAATGCCTACGAGGACGTCGGCGGTAGTGTTTGCAATGCTCTGCGGGCTGCCGTACTCCGAGCTCAAGGTCGACGCAATCGACCGCTACGCCCGGGGGATACTAGACTCTTTACTTCCGAAAGACACTGAGGTTTGGGAGGAGTGGCGAGGTTTAGTTTTGCCGAGAGTTGAGCAGCTAGTGCAATCGGACATCCGCAGCAGACTCCTTTCGAAATCTCCAGTACCGAATCCAGACCCCCTCGAGGACCTATTCGACTTCAAACTCAATGAATACGGTGACACAGATAGGGAAAAGAGCCTGCTAAGGGATCTACTTGATGACACGCAGGGTGCATACGAGTCATTCTACGATATGTTTCTCAAAATCCCAGGTCGCGACCGTGTCCCGACGCTGCCATTGCACCCTCCCAATCATTCCCCTGCATGACATGACAAACAATGGGACCCACCGACATACCTTGCATTGCAAAGCTTGTATTTCAACATTGTATATAGACGTACCACTGAATGTACGACAGCACAATTTACGACAGGAATATCACATATCATACTTCACTTTCAAGAGCTTAGTAGACGCCCTTGACGTATTACAGTGGCTGTGCTGCGCCATATAACATACCCTCTACTCTCATCTTCAGTGATACTGACAACGGCGCTGGTCCGTATGTTTGCCAAGTTCCCTCAGAAATTTGCCGCACCGTTTGGCTTGCTTGGGGACGAGCCAAAGCTGGCGTTTCGCAGCCAGCCCGGGGGGATATCTAAGTTAGCGACTACACGAGTACGCCTTAAGATTCCTGACTGGTTGCCGTTCTCATGTCACCCTAGAATATCATTGAAACGGATAGTTACTGGGACCAAGTGAGTTCCTATACTCTTGATTGCTGAATATCATTGACATTGGGCTAGTACGTCGTTCTGTTCGACTCGGCCTCGGATGTCTTCTCTCTAATTACACCCAACGATAGTATGGTATTACTTTCATGGGGCCAGTTGCGAAACGCTAATCATTTATCTCACCAGTACGACGCGCTCTGGCTGAAGCCCCAGAGAACGTCGCCACCCTCATTCGTGTCATTTCTTCTCGGTTATTCAATCTCGTTTCCGATCACACGTTTCCGTCAGCGACGACCGCATCTGTCACGGCTTATGCCACCTCTCTGATTAAGTCGGGGACAGGTTCGGCGGAACGAAACACGACGAAGGAGGTCCTCAATTGCTTGCGTGTCCTCCAACGTGTCCTACCTGTGGTGTTCGAGGTTGAGGGTGAAGCGAGTGTGTTCGAGCTGGAGGTTCTGTGGAAGAAGCAGGCGGCGGAACAGGTTCACGAAGAGAGCGAATCACAAGCGCCCCAGTTTGTTATTGATGACGACGATGATAGTGAGAACGGAGATGCGAGATCACCCACATCCCCAAAAGAACAGGCTGGGACGAAGCCAAAAGCACTTCTACCATCATTGGGCGAACGGTTGTTTAGCTGCCTCATCGACCTGCTCTTCTGTTGTGGTTTCACTCTTCCGCCTAAGCTACAAGTCGACCACTACAAAATCAACTATGTCATTTGGTATGTTACCTCTCAGGAAATATACTGCATACCTCACCCCCACATACAGGGAGAAAGGCGTTGGATCAACATCAGATCCCGGACCCAGCTTCTCATACGATGGTAACAAAACTGAAGTCCTTCGTCTAATTCTGGTCCTTCTCTCAAGACAAATATACGTGCCGCCCTCATCGCTCTTCACGAAACCTTCCCTATACACACTGCATCTCGTCCAGCAGACACCGCGACGTGATGTTCTGACAATATTATGCTCACTACTGAATACCACCATGAGCGCCAGCTCATACGGATCGTCGACCATCAGCAGCGTTGCCGGGAAACTGCCTTACAACCACCTGATGTTTAAAGGCGAGGACCCCCGTACGAGCTTGATTTCTATGTGCTTCCAAGTCCTTTGTGTACTCCTGGACTTCCAGAGCGATAGCGCTCGAGACAAGCCGTCAAAGACGGATGAAACCCATCCCCCGACTCCAACCCCTCGTACAAATGCCTTTCGCTATTTCCTGATGAAGCTGGTACGTCAGGCCGATTACTTGACAGACACTGCGGCAGGGCGTGACGAATGAATCTGTAGCACAGGGTCCAAGATTTCGCGTTCATATTCAATGGCATCTTCGCCATTCTTGAACAGCAGATCGCCAACATGAGCAACTTACTACCAGGCGCTCGGAAGTCTGTCCCATATATGTTTGAGACTGGTAAGGTCGTTTATTCTGTGCTCACACGATGTCGCTGATGTCGTACAGTCGTATTCTTATGGAAGATGATTGAGCTTAATGAGGTACAATCTACCTTTTCCTTCGAGATCCTGATATGACGCTTACAACTATATAACAGAAATTCCGTATTTATCTACTTGAATCTGAGAGGGGTATGGATTTAATGGCATATATATTATGCTACAATCTAGAGATTAAAGACAAGACTGGTAAGTTGCACCCATGATTTCCATGCCATGTAGTAAACTCTTTCGTCCAGAACAACACGGTCTATGTCGCGCACTCTCCTACATTATCCAAACGCTGTCTGCGGAGCCTGCCTTTGGACGTGTTCTTTGCAACCCCATTAAATCCCAATTGCCCGCGAAATGGCACACGGGCGGCACAGCGGGAGACTTTATCGTTAACGTACGTGATCTCAGCTTTCTTGTTCGATGTTTTTTTCTGATGTCTGGTTATTGTGTTGCTCAGTCGATCTACGCTATAATTGCAACCACATCAGGGACTCTGAACTCCATTTACCCTGCCCTCATCATCGCCCTGACCAATTGCGCCCCGCATTTCAAGAATCTCACTGTCACGTCGTCTGCTCGCCTCCTACAGCTATTTACCTCATTTTCGAACCCGTTATTTCTGCTTGCGGACGAGGGTCACCCACGTTTGCTGTTCTTCATGTACGTTTGACTTCCTTCGTCAGGGAGCTATGCCTGACAATGACGCGGCAGGCTGGAAGTCTTCAACTCAGTGATTCTCTACCACCTGACCGACAACCCCCATCTGATCTACAATATATTGAACTCGCATAAAGCATTCGAGGACTTGGGCACATTCACACTTGCTCGGGGTCTCAGAGACATCAAACGAGCTCGTATTGTGAAAGAGGAAGCGGCGCGGAAGGATGGTAATCAAAAGAGCAAGATGCGCGCCTCGGACATCGAAGAGGGGGATCCTCACAGCGAGAAGGTCAGACTCATGGAACTTGAGGAGCAACGGACGAATTCGACGGAGCAGCTACCGGAGTCTCAACGGACTGATAGCACGGATACTCTACCGCTGAACGGCACACCTGCGTCTTCGATATCGGAAAAGGCTCGCGGGAAGATGAAAGAGCGAAGGTCTATGTCGCTCGACAATATTGATCCTGCAGCTGCCGCGGCAGTGGGTCGGAATGGTTTCATACCAACGCAAGAATGGGTACATATCCAATGCTTCGTGGCCTGAATCGCTGTGCTCATCGTTTACTTTTGGTAGGTAACATCATGGCAGCAAGGGTACGTTGCATACCTTGAAGCTGAGGTGAAATAGATGCTCACGCGTTTTAGATTGCCGATGGACTGCATCATGCTCCTCATTACAGAACTGTTGCCTAAGGTGCAAGATATACAGGCCGCCCGGAACAACCCCACTTCGGTGACCGCGATTATTGATTTCTTGGGTAGCGTGTCTCTACAAGGTGTCCTGCCTCCCAAACCACCTCTTGCACCAAGGAAATTTGTCGTACGTGTCTAGCTTTTCTGGTGGCTTGCGATGTTAACATGTTCCTCAACAGTGGTCTGACTCGTCAATCGTATGGCTGACATCTATGATATGGGGTGAGATCTACGTCCGCGGAATGACGCCCCTGGGGATCTGGAATTCGACCCACGTTCGCCTATTCTACGTGAAGCATACGCAAGCTCAACAGCGTCAGATTACGGAGGCAGTCTCGAATGTTGTGGGTGGCATATGGGGCCGGAACTCTGATACGACGATGGGGAGAGGGCGTAGTGGAGGCTCGTAGATTCTTTCCTTATATTTATGCATATGCTGTATTTTATCATCGACTCTGGATTCAATGCCCTTGGCACAGTTTCCCCCCTATCTTTCAAAGAACGCCGCCCTCGTTGGCAGGCCAAAATCTTTTCGCAGCGAACTCGATTGCGCTAATTTCTTTCACTCAAACCACCACATTCGTTCCTTCAAATTCACCAGAATGTTCAATTTCGTTGTTCTCCCCATCGCCCTTGCTTCGTTTGTCGTCGCCCAGTCCGCCAGCAACCCGGCGTTGGAAGTCGAGGCCATTAAGGCGCACTTCCAGCAAGCGGGCATCGTGCCCGCGGGCATTCCATCCTTCGACCCGAGTGCCGTTCTTGTAGCTGATTATGCGGGTTGGTATTCATTTATCTTGAGCGAGAACACGTTGACAATTTTACTGAAGGCGTCGGAGGCGCTAGCCCAGGCCAAGCATTGACCAGAGCTCGTAATATATAGCATTTATTTTCAATGATCAAAGTACTGAGCATGGATGTAGAGGTCGGACCTGCTCCAGCTATCACTGTTACTCCAGCGAACAGCTCGGTTTCTTTGTCGGGACCCTTCACATTGGCCATGGTCGACTTTGGCGCTGTTGGCTCAGACCAGTCCGCAGGCGTTACCCGTCATTGGCTGGTCAACGGTGTTACCATCGACAGTAAGTATGCTCGCCACGGAAACGTTACATGATTAACATGTCAATCTACAGACAACGCGGTGTCTAACGCGTCCGCGATTGCCATCACCCAGTATGCCGGTCCCGCCCCTCCTGCAGGCAGCGGCCCCCACCGGTAAGAACCTCTGCCTCGTTCACATACCCTGAAACTGACCGTCAGCTCTAGTTATGCGTTCCTCCTTTTCGCTCAGCCTGAATCATTCGCCCCGCCCGCTGACTTCTCCCAGCCGAACATTGGTGTCTCTCTCTTCGACATCAACGCGTACGCAAGAGATAGTGGCCTTGGAGCAATCGTAGCTGTACGTCAACGAAGCATTCCATCTTTCCCATGATAACTTGCTGACATCTGACCATTGCAGGGAAACTACATTACCGTTGAGGAGGGAACTGCTACTGCCTCCCTCTCTGCCACCAGTGCTGTAGAAACCTCCACTCTCGCCCCTGTTTCCACTTCGTCGGGAGCTTCCAGTGGTGGATCGTCTTCCACCAGAAGTTCGAGCAGCCCGGCCTCTACGTCTACTGCCCCTGGCGGCGGCAACGCCAACCAGAATGGAGCAGCCGCATTCACGACTTCACTTGGCTGGTTGGCGTCATCCGTCGCGGCCTTTGTTGTCTTCGCTTAGTTTTAAGGCCTTGGAAGGACTCGTACTTACTGAGCCTTGTAATGCGTGACGTTATATAGTTAGACGTTTGTTTCGGTATGATAGCATTGAGGATAGTGGACTAATATAGATAATATTACAAAAGAAAAACCGAGGCAGCAAGAGAAGAACGAGGAACAAAGAAATCAGCTGTTATATCGCTCTCTGGCCTACAGCCAAGTCAGTGGTGAATGCAAGTCGAGTACATGAAATGAAGAGCTTACCGCGTCTTGTGCCATGTTCACGTAGCCGGAGTAACCCTCAGTCAGCTTGCCAATATCCCTAGGCTTGCTGGCACCCAAGCCAACACCTTGAGCATATATGGCCGTTTGACTGTGTATAATTAGATGTCTACTCTACCATAAGGACAAGCATTGACTTACATGGGTTCAACTCGGCCATCACCGTCTGTGCCTAACCCAGTGCCCTCCTTCCAGCCCATCATCTTTAAGAGCTTATTGCCAACGTTCGTTTCGTCCTTGCCAGGATGAACAGCAGGAGGTGGCGGAGACGGCGGGGGTGGTGGTCCTTCAAAGCGTTTCTTCGCCGCTTTGGAAGGGCCTGCAGAACTCGACTCGGGGAGTGGGACATCAGGCTGGTTGAACAATGCCCTGCGTTCGAGTGCTCGGTCTCGATATTTGGGCTGCTCTGCCGCTTTTGGCTGCTGTCGAGCAAGGACCTTCTGGCGAGCGACTTCTCGTAGATTGGAATCTTTGAGATTTTTCTGACGTAGACTGTGAGGACCGATAGCCGCGTATGTGGTGTGCAGTTGTACGTACTTTGTGCAAGTCAGATTCCTTGTTGTGCCGCTTCAACTGATCCAGGGTCTTAAATTGACGAGCACACAGTAAGCATGCCATTGTCGAAGTGTCTGCATACTCGAACTCGTCACTCGGTGCTGGTGAGCTGGAGTGGCTTGGGGTAGCAACGGCCTGTGTCGTGGCGGCCATAGGTGCAGCGGGAGGCTAGGGAATGCTTGGTTACACCTATCCTGGATGCCTGGTAAAGAAGACGGCACACCTGCGTGGAAGTTGAGGCAGCATTTGAGGTCTCGAGACTCTGGGTGAGTTCTTCTTGGACTTGATTCCATTTATTTATATTGTTCACAGTCTAGAAGCAGGAACGCGATGAGTTTTTCTGCATCTCGACGGTGCTCATGCCAAGATGTTGCGCTGCTTTCCCGCACTGTACCTTCTTACTGGCAATCAACGGCGCAACTTTCTTTGCAGCTTCCGCTATTGAGTTGTATGTGATTCCAGTGCTTAGGCGGATGAAGGGACTAGGACATACCTTTTGTTAATTCTGCGGCAGCCGCATCCTCGTCTCCATCTTCCCCTTCGCCATCTCCCAACGAGAATCCAAGAGCTAGGGGTTTGGACGCCGCACCTAGAACGAGGAAGTATAAGAATGGAACACATATAGGAATTGGAAGCGACTGACTGGTACCAATCTTGATGGGGCCCTTACTGAAGTTAAGCGTGACCGGTTTGTCAGAGATAGGAAGCACGGATGGCGCTGCTATGACGTCCTTGACTTCCACTGGAACCATCGTGAAGCTGACGACAATCATGAGGGGATTAAACACACACCTTTAGCTTTCTTCTTCTTCTCTTTCTCCTTGGTTGGTACAACATTTGCAGGCTTCGCGGGTGCTTCGACCTTAAATTCCAAGACAGCGATCGTAGAAGCTTCGTCCCAATACCTGACCCATCCACCTTCCATGGCACCGAGGCTCATCGAAGAGGGGACGGCAGCCTCGTCCCGTAGCATAGGATCGGCTGGCTGGAAAGAGCAAGGGTGAGCCCATGAAGCAGCAACAGGCTTGTCTGAGATTCTGAAACCGTTTGGATGGATCTGCGCAGACATAGTCGCGCCAAGCACATTGGCTGCAGACTGGCAAAGACTCAGAGATGACTCGTTAAGGCAGGTCGAAATATATACCTCGACATCAATGAACTCCACGAAGGCGAAGCCAAAGCTAGCCATAGTGACTCGATCCTTGATTAGAATGATGCGTTTCATCCCTTTGGCGCCTTCCTTGCCAACACCAGAAGAATACCGCATGGCTTGATGAATTGCTTGAGGGCCTGAGAGTGGGTCGAGTCCCCGGAACAGCAGGACAGGACCCGGCGCGTTTCCTATGTCCCTAGTACCATCATTCCCGTTCTGTCGAGGTTGCCTGCCCTTATCATGCTGGGCGCTCTGAGAGTAATCAATCTTAACTCTCCGTCCGTTATGGGGCGCACCAGTCTCCAGCGCTTTGTAGAAAGCGGTGGCTGCGGATGCACCGTGTGACGCTGGCGGTGGAACTTGGACGAAGGGAAACGATGGGTCGACAAAAGCGCGGGCGTGCTCCGTCGTCGGGAATTGCGCGAATCCAAAGCCTTTCGATGCACCTTTGAAAATCCAATGGCAGGTCACGTTAATGAAAGCGAAGCAGCAAATGTGAACGGGATAGTGCCTGTTGATTTCTCTCGAATTATAGTCACTGTTTCTATGTTGCAGCCTTGTGACACGAGATAGGCTTGGAGCTGGAATTGAGGAATGACTTCAGTCACGGGTGCATAAAGAGGATTAGAGAAGTCGACAGACATCGGCCTCGGTGAAGTCTGTGTCCAGTCCCAGGAAGATGACATGGGGGCTCGGTTCGCTAGGTTGCATACGCTTCTTCGTGAAGTTGCCGCCAGGCCCGCCACGCTGTTGCTGCGGGCGTTCGTCGACTGTGTAATCCTGAGCGTAGTCATTTGGCCGTTGCATCTGCCCGTAATTGGCATCTTCATGCGAGTATGAATTATCGAAACCCTATATCAGAGCCCTGCCGTTAGAAAGACATTGGCTATTGACCGAGCAACCTACGCCATTATTGAATTTTCGCCGCTTGCCGTCGCCGTAGTAGTCCTCCTCGCGACCACGCACATTCCCCCGCGAGTCATTCCACGCACTGCCATCGTTCCAAGCGTCCTTTCCTCTGTCCCATTCACGATATTGGTTGTATGCCATTCTAGCTTGAGGGTGTGATGATGGTCGTGGTCAAGAAATGGTGTAAACAAGGGACAAACAAAGCCTGAATTATCTCCACCACAACCATGGGTCACGGTCAGTAATCGCAGTTCTTGGAATTACCTGGCCACGTTGGCTTACAATGTCCCTCCCGAATGGTCTTTAGGTGCTGTCAGAGTGCGTGTTTTCCCTCACGAGATGCTGCCATTGCTAAAGCTAGGTGTTCCTGCAGGAAGATCCCGCTATTGAACGGTTCAACCGTATGGTGCGCTTTTGACTGCTTCCAGAGTCACAGAGCGGCGCTGACTTGATTTACATAGCGAGAGGAGGCATACTTAGGCTTCCGGTGGACGCGACGCACTGTACGGACAACTCTGCTTGGAATGTTCATTATACCAGGTGTATTGCTTTGGGCATCGGCGAAGACGGACGTGAGTTGCTGTCACACTGCCAATGACCCAGGACTCTGAACTGTTATTGACCATCTAGGCACGATGGGCATGGACAGCCAAACTCAAGAATGAGCCTCTCGCGAAGCATGCTCCCAGCCAACCCGAAACGGAGTAAACACAGTAGTCCATTGTCGCCAGAGCCAGTGATATACTGCAATTAGATTCTCTTGCACACTTCTATTGCGACCTTACACCCTCCCCCTACGATTGTGCTCAATAATGCGTGTGCTGGTGCCCGTTGAGAGTGGTTCTCTACAGCAATATCCAAGTGCTCTAGTTCATCGTCACGAAACTCCTTCACAACATCTCTCAGCAGCGGAATACTCGGGTGGGTGGAAGGTAGGGCTTCCATTTCTTTGAGTTGACTAGCAACAAATGAATGTCAAGTTGAGCACCCTTGAGCAATAAATTGAGGGAGTGTACGCACTCGTCGTAGTGTTCCCCAATGACCGTCTCAACTGCCTCAGTACATGCCATAGCAGCTTCCTTGCCCATGAGTGCGGTGGCCGCCCCTAGCGCAAATCCTGCGACTTTCGCAACTTCGGAAAGCACGGTCGGGCGTATTCGGTGCTGCACTTGTAGCTTGTCCATGACCATCAAGTGTTTCTTCTCCTGGTCCCACATATCCTAAGCCAGCGTAAGGTCTTATAGCTTCTGCTGAATGAAGTAACTCGTGCTCACTTGTATCAGGGGCCCGACTTTGGGGTCGCGACCGAGAACGAACAACTGTCCATTGTAGATCCAATTGGCGGCAACCTCGCCTGCTTGATCCACGCGAAGTGCAGTATCCAAGATTTGGTGCTGTTCCTGCGTTAGTTCTGGTGTCGAATTGACGGCAGGGTCGTGCGCATTGGGAGAGCCGGTGTACACCGCTGAAGCTACAGTTTTGCTTGCATTCGAAAACGGTCGATGGAGAGTATTCAGGCGTCGCGTCGAACAGAGAATCCTCCTCGACAACATCCCCTGATTCGATGAAGGTTAATGGCGAAAGCAGAATCCCTGAATCCCACGCCGCCTGGACTGATATATCATAACGGTCACCTGGCAACCAAGCGCGTACACCCAACTTGAACTTGAACCACGATCTCAACAGAGCCATCACTACAAGCAGCGCAAACGAAATGTCCTCTTCACAGTGAGTTTCCCGACATTCCTTGATGGCCGCGCTGACCCCGATCGCCACAGGTTTACACCGTCGGACCAGTTCGAGAAGAACAAAGAGAGAGACTGGGCAGCCAATCTAGGTCAACTACGCTGTCCTCTATGCTATGGCGGTGCGCTGACTGCTCCAACCAGGCATGCTGGACTGGGATAATACAAGGATTGTCTTTACGAAGCGCTCTTTGATCGAGTTTCTCAAGTATGCCGTCCCTCCTCGGTGAACCCCCATCATTGTGCTCACGACTACTGCGCATTTAGGTCCATTGATGTTACGGTAGACACGGGCTTCTCCAATATCCAGAAATTGCCGCGTAGGTCTCCGCCGCATGATTTGATTCCTCCCTGTAATTCATCTGCGTCAGGATATGCGAAATTCGGCAAGTTGGCCGCTACCTCTGACGCGGAGGCCGCGTCTACTAGCGGAGCTGCCAAGCCGTCGTTGTCCGGAAACCTCTTCAGTCAAGACGACGACGACGCGTTGGCCAACGCGCCGCCCAAGGATAGTGCTGAGGCTCAAGCTCAAGCTGCACCTACTCAGGATCCGGCGAAATTATCGAGCCAGGACGATGAAGCTGGAATCCCCTTCAGTTCGCATATTAAACCTAGCAGGTGCGAACTTCTTCTGTGACGAATCACTGCGCTCCACTAAACACGGCCATCAGACGAGTGAGAACTGTGCCAGGTGGGAAAGATAGCATTTCCAGTTTGTTAGGTTCCTCTGGTGATCAAGATGATTTCAAACCTACGCGTCGGTATGCACACTACATCTCTCCTCTCAGGCCCCGAGGCTTATTCGTTTTTTTCGAACTACTAGTGTCAGGCAAATTCCTGGAGGGCAAGACAACATCAATGGTGTACGGTCCCATTCACTGGGACATGGATATTCACCCACCTTGCACACAGATATTCTAAACTGGGAACAAGCGAAAGGTGTAGCATCGTATGTAGTAAATGTACAAGACCCCTGGCCCTTTGAATTCCTCATTTTGATGATAAGGTTGCGGACACAGCATTCGATTCCGTACATAGCTGTGTGCCTGGAAGTGCGTGACGGCTCTAACCCGCGCCCTACCCGCGCCTCCAATGACAGTCTGACTTGCTCCTCCTACTCATGCTCATTGTATACCACTGCCCACTTCCGTGTATACCACTATGAGCGTCACCGACGCCCTCAACGCTGCTGTGCCCGGTCTGCAAGCTGCCTTCGCCGTATGTTAGTGTCATACCTCCTTCTGGATTCATGCAAAGACGGCTTAGCTAGTTCCCCGTGATTCAGTAAACAAGACATACACCACCATCGAGAATATCAAGATCCATAGGGTGAGTTATTTATGATGCCCAGGATTCGTCATTCGAAGCTGAAGAAGTGACATGATGCCAGCAACAATGCTTCGATATGAGCGACAGATGCAAGACATTGCTGTTGGCGCTCCGTGACGGAACGAATGGGTTAGAAGGCAACGAAATAACCGAACTGATTGACGAGGTCGATGGGTACGTACTTCCTGGATGTTTCGGCTAGAGTGCACCTGTCCTGATGGCTCTGCTTGCGTGTCTTGTAACAGCATTATCGAACGGATCGATACGAGGCTGGTGAGATGGTCGCAATTGAGCCATTTGAAGAGCTTCCTCCAGCAGAGCGAAATTAAGCTCGGGATAGAGAAGTCCCAGAGGGATATAGACATGGTCATGATGAAATTCAGCGTGCGTTACCCTACCTAGGGTGCACTAGAAACTACTCCAACTTCCTTTCTCGTTATCCAGGCACAGACTAGCTTGCACCTCCGTAGAGCACAGCGGGACCTCGCTGCAATCCAGGAAAGAGATCGCGCAGAGCTTCGAGAACTCTTGCAGCAGATTATCCAGAACACTGACGACGTCAAGGATTTGCTCGGAAATTCTCCGGAAGGCGTCGACCAGATGATGGGGGCACTGCAGCAGGCGAGTCCATTTCTCCACTACCATCTCCAGCGAATATATTGACGATGCTTTTACAGGAACTCCTCAACCCCAATCTCGCACCCTCCGAAGAGCGCACATTTATCGATGGGTTGTGGACTCTCCACGAGCAAACGTCGAAGCTCCCGCCGCTAGTGGACCGTTAGTCTTGTGTATGTTTCCGTGCCTCTTCGAAACTTACTTTGTCATGATAGTGACTGGCCAGGTTCGGAGGGACAGCACGCGTGCAGTCGCGATGGGGACGTTCAATGATATCTTCATGGGTACGTTCTCTTATACGTTGTCGATGCATTCAGGCCCTGATTGTTCGCCTCATCTCTCAGGTACATGGCTTGACAAGGAAAAGGTCGCCCTTAGGCTCCCAAGATCGGTGGGGAATACCCACAATATCGTCAGAGTTTGTCACAGTGAAAGTCATGTATACACTAAGCACTGACTCTCACTCTAGCGATTCCAAAGAGAGGTCGAAATCTGGCGGCGACTTCGCCACCCAAACATTGTCCATTTCCTTGGGATAGCTTATATCGAAGATCAGTTGATGATGGTTCGTCTCCAAGCCGTTAGATGTCACACGCACATCTCATTTGCTCTAGGTCAGTACGTGGATGGACAACGGCACCTCGACGGAGTACGTTGATAAATATCCGAATGTTAATCGATTGCAACTTTTGTATGATGTTGCAACTGGTCTGGAATATCTTCATAGTCAGCGCATGGTACATGGCGATCTTCGAGGCGTAAGCTTCCAAGTCATTGTCCATTTATTCCAGCGACTAATGTTAAGTAGAGCAACGTCTTGATATCGAAGCAAGGAGTGGCCTCCCTTTCAGATTTTGGTTTGTCCAAACTCCTTGAAGATGTATGATTCTTTTCGGTTCCATCCAACGATTAAAACTCAATATTCCCTCAGATTGGCCAGGGGATGACAGCTTCATCTGCCGACGCAACAAGCCCACGCTGGGCAGCCCCAGAGCTAATGAAGCATTCCAAACCAGCTTCTACATCATCCGACGTATGGTCCTTCGCAATGTTTGCCTTGGAACTCATGACTGGCGCCAAACCTTTCGCATATCTACCGCGAGATTTAATGGTCATTCGTGAATTGGACCAGGGGAGGCTACCAGAAAGGCCAGGTCCTGAGGTTACGCAAAGGGGCTTGGACAACGACCTATGGGCTCTCCTGCGTAAATGCTGGAGCAAAAAGCCTGATTCTCGACCGTCAATGACCACGGTACGGATGAAGCTTGCTGATATTCGCGGTATTCGATATGGTGAATTGTTGCGTCTATTCACCTGAAACAAGAAGCTGAAAGTGACATCTTAGAGCCTCTGCCTTCCTCATTGCCCTCCTCCTCCTCTTCCCAGCCTTCCCCACCTTCAGTAAACCGTAGACCATCGCTTTTCGGAAGCTCTCGACCTTCCACTTCTAGCAGCGAGCATAGCACCAGCTCTACGCCGAGCCGAAGGATCCGCATACCGTTCCTATCATCACCAAGGCAAGACACCGAGAAAATCATCGAAGAACCGTCCGAATTTTCGCCACAGGATGAGCTTTCGCCTTTATCTGTCCTGCCAGCTCAAGGCGAAATTCAGCGCAAGCAATCTGGGGGAGAAGGCGGTGCTCTAAGGTTGTTCGTGACTTCGCCATCCACGTCTTCCTTGCGAACTATGAGTAGTGGTAAGCGACGGTCCTCGGCGTCGTCGTCGGCACCAAGCATCCCTCCCCCCACATCGGCCTCCCTTCCAACTGATTTCGGGTCACATATGCCATTACGGAGAGGGTCAGATGGAGGAGCATCCCCTTCACCTGATCTTAGTGCTACGTGGTCAGACTCAGGTTCGGATTCAAGCCTCGTCCGCCGAGCTATCAGCGATCCTACCCCCATTTATCACCTCGATGCGGATGGCTCTGTGAGCTCAGGGACACTAGAGGGCCTCGTGGAACGGCTACTTTCAAGCTCTAGTAAGTCGCTCACCAACAATCGGTCTATTTTAGCTTTGCTTACTTCGATCTTCCTCATCTCTAATCACAAGACCTTGACAAAGATGTAGAGTTCCGTGACACCCTCCTGACAACTTGCTCCGACTTCTCTTCGCCAGAGGAGTTGATGACAGTCATCATAAGACGATTCAACGATGCGAACGTTAGCGTGGATCTCCAAGTCGAAAATCGTGGTATCCATGCTGAACGCTTAGTGTCAATACGCTTGAAGTCAGTACGCTTTCGGTATATCGGCCCCTTTAATTGACGTTTGGTCGCAGTGTCATTGCCGTCGTCAAGTATTGGACGAATAGCCATCACATGGAACTCACACCCCCGCTGATATGGCAGATCAAGGAGTTTGCGCTGTCCACGTTATCGTCCAATACTTTCTCCCAACTGATGAAGGAAAGAGTCAAAGAGATTCTGCACATGGTTGACACTCGCGTATGTCATTTTCCATGAATCCTATATCACTGCTCACTCCGGTTGGCATCCGTATGGCAGCAGCAACAAACCAACTCGGACTTGCAGAAGACTTCGCCGCTGCTTTCTCCCGGGCGGAAGATACCTCGAGCCTCTGAAATGACGCCACAAGATCTAGCTATTGCACTGTGTTTGCTTCAGGGCGATTTGTTTACCAAGATCACTCCAGGTCAATGCATCGCGCATCTACGCAAGCAGCCTCTAAACAGCGTCGAAACTCTCCAGAACACTGCACGTAAAATAGCATTTTGGGTGAAGAAGTCCATCCTCCGCTCCGACGAAATCTCGCACCGAGGGCTAGCACTCAAATTCTTTGTGAACGTTGCTCAGGTATGTCTTAGCCTAACTATCATGACGCGACTCCATAATGTAACACATCCACGTAGGCATGCCGTGCGAGGCACGACTATCTATCACTGGCTGTCATAGTCAAGGCCTTGAAGTCGGATAGTGTATCGCGTCTACATTTGACCCATCAAGAGCTGGGGGCCAATATGCAGCACGTTTGGCAAGAGTTAAAAGACTTTGTCGAAGATGTGAAGGCCTATCGGACTGCTTTGCGGCAATGTGTGGAGCAACAAACTCCATGTATACCATGGCTGGGTACGCTAACGCCACCCTTCCCCGTGTTCATTTTCGTTTACACGCCTGTAGAACTTCATCTTCATGACTTAGCCACGGTATTTGCTCACCATCCGCAAATCAAGGAGGAAGATGGCCGCGTGCTTGTCAACTTCGAGCGATATACCAAGTTTACTGAGAAGCTGAAGGAGATAACACGCTGCAAACCACCAGATCTGGAGAGTTACCGTGGCCAAGGACAACTCGCCTATCTGGAGCATCAACTCCGGAACGTTGAGCAAACCCCTGGCGCCGAGTACGACTTATCCAACCGCAGTCTTGCGCAAGCAGGGGAGGAGTCTCGAGTCTTCAAACAACGGCGCCGGGAGCTTAACCAACTTGGCTTTAGATAACCAGGGGAAAAGCTGGTTACCACTCCCTTCTCTTGCTCTACTTATTCCGTGCCATACCATCATTTGTATCCCTACGCATGGACTGTCTATTGTTACCCCAGGAGGAGTAGGAGGATATACTTATTAGATCACTATCTTAACATATGCCATTTATACTATGTTGTGAGTTTGTACAGTCAGATAGTGTTGACGTGACTTGTCCCATCGCAGGTCTTGTACATGCGGGCACAGAGGCTCAAATTTATTTATGCACGATCTTGCATTCTTAGCGGACCGTCGTTCTTGATTTTTGATTCGTCGTGATGAATGCTCTGATCCGTGGTATCCAATAGCTGCATTTGTGGTTAACTCCAGGGCATTACTACATTCCTCTGTGCGAATGGTACAATCAACAAATACATATATAAAACCGTAGAATGAGCATCATGGGCCAAAGCTCCATACTCTGATATCGCCATCATCACTGCCAGAGACAATCTTGTCTTCACCAAGACTGAGGCAAGTGACGGCTCCACAATGGCCTACCAGGGTTGCCGTACACCTGTTCTCCTCGCGTGACCATACCTACACGATCGACGATTAATTGAGATGAAGGGATAATGTGTAGAGGCTCTTTCTTACCTTGATAGTACGATCATGACTGCCGCTGACTAACCTCAGCTTGTCGCAAGCCACTGCCCACACTCCCTCGATGTGACCGAAGAAAGTCTGCAGGGCTTCGTTCGCCTCGATGTCCCAAATCTTGATCGTGTTGTCCAAGCTACCGGACACGAGGATAGGGTTCCGTTGCTTCGTAAGACCGTCGCTGGGAACAGCCTCCAGCCCGGAGAAAGATGAATCATCGTCCAAATGGGATGAATAAGCAGTGGGATGACGGGTAAGCGAAGTTTGGGGGGCGAGAAGCGCTGTGGCTGGCTTCGGCGTGGAGGGGCTAGATATATCTTCAGGTCGGACAGGGTCAGAAGACGGTGAAGAATCTCCCTCGGTGCATTCATCATCAAGAAACAACAATTTCACGCTCTGTACTTGTCCTACATGACCGGTAAACTGCCGCACACAACTTCGGGTGTTGAGATCCCAAAGCTTGATTGTTCCATCATCTGAAGCAGAGAAAAGCATTTTCCCTGGGTCGATCTCCGGACCGGCAGCACTACCACTTGAGGTAGAGGGGGAGGAGATGTCCGCTGCAGATGACGATGGCATCGAAGGTGCGCCAGCTTTCGAGTCCCAAAGTAGGACAGAATTAACCCAGTCTCGATGCCCTCGCAGCGTGAACCCCCCTCCCGTTCGTAGGTTCCACACCTTGATAGTAGAGTCGACGCTCCCGCTGGCCAAAACGTTGGCGTCGAAGTTCAAGCATACGACACCTTCCGTATGACCGGTTAATGTTCGGATACATTTGCCGCGCCGCCAATCCCACACGCGTATTGTATGGTCCATGCTTCCCGTTATCAACTTGACCTCATCGAACTGAAGAGCTCTGACGGCGCGTGTATGGCCTCTGAGACAATGAAGTTCAGCACCGGTCTCGAGGTTCCACACTCGAGCAGTGCGGTCGTAGGATCCGGTGATGAGGATAGGAAAATTGGGATGGGTGAGTGTTTCGCTGAATTGAAGACACATGACACCGTCAGTGTGACCTTTGAGAGTTCGGAGGGTATATCGTCCCCTGCGCCAATTACGTTCGATAGCTAACCGTTCGCTGTAGACATCTTTCCAGGGACGTAATACAGACGGGATGGGCGGCGCTTGGTAGGAGATGAGGAGCGAATTAGAGGCGGATGTCTGATTAGCGGCGGAAGATGAAGGTTCTGGATCATGAGAGTGCTCGAATCCAAACCTAGAACGCTTGGGCGGTCGTTCGACAGGGCAATCGATAGTGGCGACTTCTTTTGACTTCGAGGAAGACGAGGAAGACGACGGACAGGGCGAATCAGAGAGCATACGGTGATATTTTCTCTTCTTCTCCAAAATCGGCAGCCCCCACCCGCAGTGTCGACACTTCTGGCCAATGTGTTGCTCGCATATTCCTCTCCAGAGGATGTTATCGTCAGCCAGCGATTTCCATCTTTTGCTGACCTGAGCTGCGCGGCATAGCGACGTTGCATCAAGGTGACCGAGGATGCGTAGGCCGACCTCGCGAGGCAGCACAGAGAACGGGTCGATACGAATCAAATGTTCTAGTTGTTCGGTGAGAAGTGATAGCTGCGAGAAGCAGCACATCGTAAGAAGCCCTTGCAGAATGAGAGCTCGTCGCGGATGTGACGACGACGAGAAGTTGGACCAGATAGCGTTCACTTGCTCTCGCTCCTCTACCGACAGCTTATCTAGCGACTAGATACACGATAAGCCGAGGCGGGAGCAAGACTAGGAGGTTACTCACAGACTGAAGCTTCGCATTTGTCCCCTCGTCCGCCATCCGCTGGTGGCGAGCGCAAAGCTTTCGCGGTGGTTGCTGAGGTGGTGGAGTCCCGGACTCTGTTTCATCGGGCTTCGGACTGGGGGACGGGGTGACCTCCTCGTCGTCCAAGCCGTCCCCGACGTCGAAATCCATAATGGCCTTGGTTGCATGCAGATTTGGTGAATTGGTATGGTCATGAGTAGGAGAACTTGTGGAGGGCATCTCGTCGCCCTTTGGTGCCAGTCGTGCGGCTGGCAGGGTATCGCAAACGTAAGAGGTTGATTTTGAGGACATGGTGGATTGAGTTCAAGTTGTGGACATCTAAAGCAAAAGTGAGAGGAGATGAGGTGATGGTAATAATATACGGTGTGCCAAGATTAGTGCAAGTCACGAAATGCTGCTGTCGGAATTGTCAGGTCACGCCCTTCTTGCGCCACATCGCGCCATTCCGAGAGTTTACTCGTATGGTGGAATCACTGGCATCGATGGTTCATGAAAACCTTAGAGACCACATATATATCCCCTTTACTACATCGTGTTTACAAACTCGTGCTGCGTAGCCCCTCAAGTATACAGATAATAGGATGGTCGTGAGAGCAGTGCAAATGGGGAATACAGATCAAAGGCCCTTTGCGACAAGAAGCAGACAGCAAGAACAGCGATTAATCGAGCGTAATCTTCATGTCTTCGAGTGGTATCGGTACGAAGTTGTCGAGGAAGATAGACCGAGAGTTCAACTCTGGTTCGCAGTGTAGCGGCACAAGCTGGCGGATGAGATCAGGGCGCACTGACAATTCTACAAGTAAATGGCGTCAGTTGAGACATACATGTCGTCTTGGAATCTGAATCACCTTCGCGAGTGAAGTTAAATAGTGGTGGAAACTCTTTCCCATTTGGCATCCTTGCACCCTCCTGTCGCAATTCGTCGAAAAATGGATGAAGCATCGCAAGAACCGCGGTCAGACGTGAACTCGGCGTGTACTGTAAAAGCTTGGATACGAGATCGATCGCTTCGGGCGCAGTGCGTGGTCGGAATACCTGAACACAAGCGAGGCGTCAGCAACATGACATCATTCAACGACAGAGGTCGCATGCAGGGGGGGATCTGCGCCGCACCTTCGAGAAGGGATGAGGTTTAATCTGGGGGAATTTGTGTTCCATGTAGTTGGGGTTCATCGTCTTGATTTGGTCTCGCGAGGGGGTGCCCAGGACCTTGATAATCTCCACTAGCTGGTCGATGCCACTCTCACCAGGGAAAAGCGGCTGACCGAGCATCAGCTCAGCCATAACGCAGCCCGTTGACCAAATATCTAGATCGACGCAGCGAGCGTGGGTCAGCAGAAGCAGCAACGGGGCCCGAAGCGACTTACCAATATTAGTGGTGTAATTCGTAGCGCCGAAGATCAACTCCGGAGCACGGTAGTACCTAGAGCAGATATAACTGACGTTCGGTTCTCCGCTTTTGAGGATCTTAGCAGAGCCGAAGTCGCATAACTTCAAAACGCCAGTAGCGGGATTAAGCAGCAGATTCTGCGGCTTGATATCTCTATGACAGATGCCAACAGAGTGGATGTAGGCCAACGAACGAAGGATCTGGTACGTGTATAGTTTGATTTGTAACATGGGCATGGGCTGTTTGAGCTTGGCATAGTGGCGACTAGCGCGGTAAATTGTCTCTGGGACATATTCGAGCATGAGGTTGAGATAGACTTCATCTTTCTGGGATGGAGAAGGTTTCCCTATGAGGCAGGGGGACGCATCGTAGAGCCAACCGAAGCTCACCTTGTCACCATTCGAATAAAAAAAGGCTTTCAGGTTTACAACATTTGGATGAGAGACAAGTCTCATTACTTGGAGCTCGCGATTCTATTGAAAACCAGACGTAATTGGGGGAGAATATGATTGGGCGATCGTGTGATGTGGGGAAGGACGGTAGAACTCACCTTGAAGCGCTTGTCCTGTAAAACCTTTTTGATAGCCACCTCCTCGCCATCGTTTGGGGGACCAACGATCTTGGCGGAAAAGACGACACCAAAAGAGCCGTTTCCAACGACCTTACAATTGCTATAGGATATGTTTCGCGTCTCGCCCGACTTGCCATCGGAGGCAATAACTTTGACTACCTTGTGCGGATCGTCGATGGCTGTGCACGTACGGCGAACGATGGTATCGTGAGTGATGCCACATGACGGTCACGATGATGAGAAGCACATACGAGAAATCTTTACACCGTTAAGGGGGCCGTGGATGGACATGGAGTACAATTGTGGGGGGAGACAAAAGCGGAAGGGTCGGGGAATATAAAAGCAATTTGACTAAGGTTGGTGGAGTCAAAGGCTGGGCGAAGGACGGCGGCGTCGTTGCGGACGATGGGGGGATGGCGCGGGCGCTGTTGGGGACGATGATGGTGGTGTGGAGGAGAGGAGAGAAGGGAGGGGACCATGGTAGCTTTAAGAGAGGCGATGTAGAAATTCCTTGGTGAAGGGGCCCCCCTTGGGAACAGAGCATCAGCTGACACCAGCGCCAAATACCCATCAACTCCTCCCTCTGCTGCGACGCTAATAGGATTGATCCATCGAGCTATTCTGGCCCAGTAGCTGTGCGCTCGAGAAATTTTCTTTGTCCCAATCCTCGCTGTACCTGCAGAAATCACCTCAGAAGCGAGCACGGCGACACATGCCACTCCCACAACAATCCATCAGATTGAAACGGTGCTTGTAGTACGGTTCTTGCATCCCATTCAAGGAATGCTTCCCTGAATCCCATCGCCACCCAAGATCTCATCATCACACGTTCTTGAATCCTTTCTTCAGGCCCTTTGTAATTATTCAAAGCGCTTGTCCCCCTTCTCGATTGCAATTAGTACAGGCGGTTAATATTCGCGGAGCCGCCGTTCCACATCCCTCCCAGATGCAACCGGCTATTCAATACAAATAAAATACTATCGCCTGCGCCCCACCGACACCTGCTTGCACCTCCGCAATTTTGCAAAAATAACATGGTGCGTACAATACGCCGTCGGGAGTTCGATCTGGTGCGTCTCACTAACGGACGTGCTGATTGTTTTCTGATCCGTTACCACAGTGGGCATTGTCGCGAACAGTCGCGGTCGTTGAGCGCTGGAGGCGATTCTGGAAAGCTCTGGCCCCATAAAAATCGCCGTTTTCATTACGAGCGTAGTGAACATATCATTTTTCGAAAGGGTTCATCGACCGTGTAGTCTTTTGAGGATTACTTTCCTCTGACAAGCTTTCCTACTTCCTCTCTACTGTTCTTTTTTTTCAAACTAACGAGACACGTCATCCGAACCCATCGCTCTAGCTTTCTGCAAAAGTATACGGGATTGGATTGAACTTCGCCTTTGACGGACATTCAATTCTTTGCGTGGAAGGGAGTGTCGACTGTTCAGCATGTCTCTTCTCCTTCATGTAGGTAAGAAACACATTCTTCCGTTCCCAATATATCGCAGCACTACGTGATTTATTTAGATTAGCACTTCCAAGCGAGTGAGCAGCTGCCACTTTATTCGATAGCCCCTATCCGCTTTAGGGACAGTCGAGCGCCTGAAACAAACGTGATGATCGACGCTGTCGGCTTCCTCATCCGACGGCTACCTCAAGTGACTCCCTCAAGGGTTTGACTTCGCAGCCACGACGCACCCTGCCACTGCACAGAGAGCAGTCATGGGGGCAAAGAAATACAAGTTCATTCTATGTTCTGCGGCCTGGCCTGCGTTTCAAGTCCGTCAGTTGGGATCCGGTAGAGTATACGGCTTACCGGCTATATAAAGCCATGGCTTTCCCCAGCAGCCAGCGCGGCACGGAGGGTCCTGGAAGGGGTATTAATAAAACAAAGGGAAATAATGAATACGTTTAAAGCATCACATGCACCAGAAGCTCGTTTCCTGTGCACCCACCGGGTAACGCAACGACGACCGACCTTTCTAACACTATGCATGGGCCGTACCATGGACCGTCATCGACGCCACAGTACGTTTCGCCAACAGCGACAGTGCATGGGGGGGTTGACGACCCGTCGCACCCGATGCAGCCAATGTCTACTTCAGAATATGTAGGGGAAAACGGCAATAACGACCGTTACCGGTACCCGGAGCAATCTGTCAAATTCTCCGCCAGTCCACCAACGATTGCGCCCTCTCAGCCTGGGGGGTATACCGGTAGCGGGACCCAGGAAGACCCGTACGTCGTCGACTGGGACTTAGGGGACCCCGAGTCGCCGTATAATTGGACGAAAAAAAAGAAATGGATTATTACTATGCAGGTGGGTCACTCAAATCACTCGATTGATGAAAATGGTGGACAATAATGTATTTTAGCTGGCGTTATGTACTTTTACTGTTTCCTTCGGCAGTAGCTCGTATAGCGGCGGTCTCACCTACATCATGGCCGATCTAAATGTCTCGCAAGATGTTGCCGTCCTGGGGGTTTCCCTCTACGTTCTAGGCTTCGCGCTCGGGTGAGCGAAAGAAACTCCCAGTCTAAAATTAGCATGCTTTCTGATTGGGAAGCCTCTTATTATAGCCCACTCATATTTGCTCCGTTGGGGGAGGTATGTGTTCTTACATACTTGGCTTACGATTCTAGAGTGTCGACTAACTTGACCATTTGTGCTAGACGTTCGGTCGCGTGGGTATTAACCTATACCATATGCTTGCCTTGAGCTCATGACATTGAACCTATTATTAGCGGGCGGTATTCTTGACGACTCTGTCCGCCTACACAGTATTGCATCTCGGCGGAGCACTGGGCAAGAACCTGCCGACTCTTCTATCTTGCCGGCTGTTGTCTGGGACAGTTGGGGCTTCGCGTAAGTGTTCCCCCACCAAAATAGCGCACGGATGTTGATGGACCAGCATATTCTAGCATTAACGAACTCAGGCGGTGTCATATCCGATATATGGAATGCTAGAGAACGTGGCGCGGCTACGGCAATTTATGCGACCGTCCCATTTCTTGGTCCGAGTGCGCGTTGTCTCTCCTGCTTTGTATGTCACCACTCAACGAAGGAAATCGAAGTCGTTGGCCCTATCATAGGTGGATACGTCGCTCAATCCCCCAGCCTCGGGTGGCGCTTCAACTTCTGGCTGATGATGATGCTTTCTGCCGTTACCCTTATTACTGGGTTTCTCCTCACCCCGGAGACAGTACGCTTGATCTTGATCATCACCGTCATTTGTGTTGATTGACATTTACTGTCCGCAGTACACGCCTGTCCTCTTGCGTTGGCGTGCCCAGAAGCTTATGCAAGCATCTGGGGGCACAGAACACTATGTTTCAACTTATGACATCTCCCGGCCCAAATCTCTCGGCCAGGCGGTCAGGCGAAACTTGAGCAGGCCTTTCAGTACGCACACATTCCCTCACGTTCCATTTCAGATTTTTTACCACCTTCCCACGGCACTATCTTGCCTGCCCTGTGCTTTACTTGTTAGTCTTCCTGTTCACCGAGCCCATAGTCGCGTGTCTCGCGATATACGTCGCGATCGTGTACGGCACGCTCTATGCTCTGTTCTCTGCCTTTCCAATTATTTTCCAGCGGCATAGAGGGTTTAGCGCCGGGGAGGGCGGCCTTGCATTTTTGGGGGTCGGGCTGGGTGTGGTGATGGGCACGACGTCGACGAATATACAGAATAGGTTCTATTGGAGGGCGATGGATAAAAGCGACAATGGCCGAGCCCCACCAGAAGCGTGAGTCCTACGCAGTGTCCCATAAGCCGGTCTCAACGTACTGAGCATCCACAGGCGATTGCATATGTCTATCATCGGTGGGTTGCTTTGCCCCATCGGACTATTCTGGTTCGCGTGGTAAGTCTACTCGTACATTATCCCTTCCCCCGGATAATCTATCTCACGTCGAGATATTTTTTCAGGACATCACAGCCGCATATCCACTACCTTGTCTCCATATTTGCTGGCGTGCCCTTTGGTATCGGGGTAGCCCAGATATTGCAGGGTCTTACGGCCTATGTCATGGATGCTTATGGGCTGTACTTTGCTAGCGCCATTGCCGCGACCGTCGTCCTTCGATCTATCGGTGGCGCTATCTTCCCGCTATTCAGCACGTCGATGTTCAACGCTCTGGGCGATCAGTGGGCCATGAGCGTGTTCGGGTTCATGTCCGCGATCTGCATGCCCATGCCCATCATCTTCTTCGTAAGTCCCTCCCTCCAACGTGTTATTCGGGATCTACGGTTACCCGCGAGACTCGGGCTTACGATCGCTCACAGAAATACGGCTGGTGGATCCGCAGCAAGTCAAAGCTTGCCTATCATAATCCAGAGCCGCGCAGCAATTTCCCCTCAAGACCAGAAACGGTTACGAGCCACACAGAAAAGAAGGACGCAACTGTGATCGAGGCCGTTGTGTGATCCCCCTTTCGTTTGACCCCACACTCGTAGAGGTTCTTACTTTTGGAATATTTGCTTCACACTTCGTTCAAGGGACCATCGAGCTATGTAACTCGGATTATATGTACTTACAAATACGAATAATACTAATAGAAAGGTCGTATGTAAGTTATCTAGGTCCGAGATAAGCCCCCTAATTGCCTCTGACGAAGGTGACTGGCTGATATTGTCTGTAGTCTGTAAGCAAGACGAAAACTTGCGGAGGAGCACTCGAGCATGTGCCAAACGTCATATCGAAACTTGAAAGCGTACGAGGGCAACTTGCCGGTGCATCAACTTAGGAGACTTGCTGTAAATCGATCTGGCCAGCATGTAATAAATAGTGATTTCCAGGCAAGTTGGAATGTGGATCCGAATGTACATGTGGCAATGAGACGTTGGCAGAGTAGGATAAATGGCACAGGAGAATCATTATAGAGGTCATGAACATCGGAACGGCAAAAACGAGGGGTTGAAGTTGGGTTGGGTTATGAGGTGTGATGGGATGGGATGGTTATATTGGGAGTATAGGAATATGAGGCGATACTCCGTTATCGTGATAGAGAAAATGTATGCATGGAAGCTGGATGGACGGATTAGGTTGATGGAGGAAGATGATTCGATGTATGTGAAAAAGAGGAGATGGGAGGGAAATGATATATAGTGATAATACACGAAGTGATGGAAGGGTAGAGATGGTTGGTAGTTCTTCGCTAATGCAAACGAATGGAACCATAATGTAGATGCCACTCTCCGTCCAATGCAGAGAATGAGCTGGACACCTAACCTACTTCAAGAATTCTGACACATTGAAATTCTCCGGATCGAACGAGATGGAATCAAAATGCAGCGAATCCAACCGCATTTCAACGCTCACATCCCGATCATCAAGCATATTCGATTTCTTGGCGACGGGTGTGTTCGACACGGCTCCAAGGTTACCGAGGCTATCAGCTAGACTATCACTGATGGCGCCCCCAACATGCTCAAACTCTGGTATTCTCCAATCCAAAGAAGGACGTTTGGTTCTGGGCATATCGCAAGTCATAGGGAGGAAGGCGACTTCCTCCGTAGGCGTTTCCACGCCCGACGATGTTTCCGACGACGCAGTAGATGCGCTGACTGCAGTGGTTCGCGAGAGACGCGGCGCGTCTAGCTGGACACCGAGTTCAGATTCTGACAGCGATGCGACATCACTATCGCGGCCTTGTGCTAAGTTGGCACTGGCGGCAGAATTTGAAGTTGCCACCGAACCATTTGACTGCCCAGAGGTAGAGGAGAAGGTGAAAATATTCCGAATGTTCATCATGGAGAAACGCCGTTTAGTTCTTGAATCAAGGGTGTTGATAGTGAGGCTCGGGGAGGTAGGACGAGTATTTCTCGAGTCTGAGGGGGCGAGCCGATAGTCGTCACTTTCTGCAGTAGGCAACGAGTCTGGGTCGATCACGCCTTGGGCAACGGCGTGCTGGTCATCGGAGGCAGAAATGCGATGGAGTTGGAGGGAAGGGGATGCGGAGCTGACAGTTTCTATCGTTGACTGGGTCGAACTTTGACCCATAGAAGAAGAATTCGATGTAGCCGAATCAGAGTGTTGAACCCCGAGTTCGGGTGATGAGTGGGCTCTGGGGGAGAAAATTTGCGATAGGACCACTGATCCTCGTCGTGATACAGTAGGTCGATCTGGCTTGGGCGTTTGTACAACACGGTCGTTGGCTGGGGTTTCAGTTTCCTCCACATAGTTTTGGGCTTGCCCGAAAGATGAAAATGACGCTGCCCGCGAAGGTTGAGTATGACTTGGGACGGGAAATATTTCCTTGGCGCTGGGCTTCGAGTGTCTGCCTCCCTTGCCTAGACTCCGTATGCTGTTCAACGCCTTTGCGGCTTTGAGTTTAAAGGTCATGGAGCGCTTGATGGAGTTTTTGGCACCACTTAGGTGTTCGCCTCGTTCCTGCGGTGCCATATCCTTGTCTTTTCGATTCCTACTAACCTTGACGACTTCGACGACCTCTGAGTCGTTCCCTGTGTTCCCGCCATCCATTTCCGAGTTTTTGAACCGCTGAGCGGCGGTTTCAACCTTCTTCGGCATAACCACCTCTTCATGGGTGGCTGACCTTTGGAATACAGGAGTACCGTCGGCGATAACGCGCTCGGTCGCAAGGAAGTTCAAGCGAGACTGCAGAGAATCCATGTCCGGCATCTTGGAAAACGTATGTGCGGGGGGTTGGGGTGCTTGTACCTGCCCAGCGTCGAAGCAACACCAAGGCGGCGCCTGGTCTTCCTCTGGAGGCACGACGAAGACGTTGGGCATTTGAGTGTTAAAATCTGGGGAATTTGTAGGCTGAATGGGTAGAAATTGTGGTAATGAGCGTGGGGGTGCCATTATTGGGATAATAAATTGACGGTAAAGAAGAGACTCGGCAATGGACGCGGTTCAAAGTTCGTTTCCCAAAAAAGAAACCATCCTCTTACGAATCACGTGACCATGTATTACTTCCTGTTTCGCGAGTTTCCTCTTGACCAATACCTTCGCCTCGAGTGCATATTGAAGCACTCGGAGACAATTGCATGAACAGGTTCCTCAAAAGCGCTCAATACGCCCTCTCTAACTCCAAAGCTATGGCGCACGCAATGCACGTAACATTCCTTGGAACAGCCAGCGGTGGCGGACCCTCAGACACGCGCAACTGCTCAAGTCTGGTCGCTGACATTGGCAAGGGCTCATTATGGATGTTCGACTGCGCGGAGGGAACTCTCAGGCAGTTCAGCTGCCAGCCCCACACCAATCAACCCCGCGTAAGCGTGAACAAGATCTCAAAGATGTTCATAACGCATATGCATGGCGCGTCGTTCGGTTCAGTCTTCCATCATGCGTACGCTGAATCTCATCTTAGCTGACCACATAATGGGAATTGTCCCAATACTCCGCAACATGCTTTACCCGCCCAGCGCTGGCGAGTCCCAGGGACGACCCGTGAGTATTCGCGTCCTGCACACCTCCTCGGCAAGTAATGGCCCCCTGTTTAGCCTAGGATAGAAATATACGGTCCTCCTGGTATCCGGTCCTTCGTCAGATCTATATTACAGATGACCTATACAAAGACATCGGACCGCTATGTCGTGCACGAGCTTCTGCGACCTAGTGATCCCATAACCCCGTGTGGCGAGAACGATCTACACGCTAGCGAGGCGTTGGGTCGTGATATTCTCTGCTCTTCCGAGGACGGGTTCTGGCGCGGCTTCACCAGCGGCGATGGCCCATTCGGTAAAGTCTTTGTCGATGCTGGCCCAATTATCCACCGAGGTAGGTGCACCCTCTCCTCTGCTCGTCGCCCTAAGCTGCCATTGTCACAGAGGAATGCATCGGATACGCAATCCGCGAATCTGTCTCGCCCAACCGCAAGATCGTAATCCTCGGGGACACCTCTAATCCCTCTGCAATGCTCCCCCTCTGCGCGTCGGCGTCACTGCTCATCCACGAAGCGACCGACACGCATATCCCCCGCCACATAAGCACCTCCTTGTCCAAGCGCTCGCCCGAGGCGGTGTTGGAGAAGACGCTGGGAAAGGGACACTCGACCCCCGCCATGGCCGGCGCGTTTGCAAAGGCGATCGGCGCAGAGAAGCTAATCCTGAATCATATAGGCGGCCGGTAATTGCCTTATGCGCCTTGCATGATTCCATTGAATTTGATGTGTTGCTAGCTTCCCCGCGCCGAGAGGACCGAGGGATACGCAGCGCAATGCCGTCGTTGAAGAGATCGAACGGCAGGCGACGGAAGCGTGGGGCACTGGACGACGCGCTCAAGCTGCTAGCGACTACATGCACGTTGCGATACCAGCGACAGAAAACGAGTCTGGGCTTGAATACGCAACCGCTTCCTGGACACCGCAAGAAACATACTCGGAAGGCGATGGGCAGGAAAGTAGAAAGAGGGGCAGCAACGGCGGCGGTTATGGGGACAGGAGTGACAATGCCAAGGGCCGCTACAATTCGTCGAACTCCAACCACTGGAAACGGAGGCGGAATTGATCTCAGTTGTTTTAACATTCGTTATTTTCGATTCGTAGCTTGCAATAGATCTTTCTGTGTATCTATAACGTATGGTGTTATCAAATCAATCGCTGGATTTGTGCGGCTATTCTCTTTTACAAAGCCAAATCTTGAACCAGTCGAATGGGGCGACCGATTTGCCAGCCATCCTGGCGGATATCCATGTAACAATAATCTACTTGCCCAACTCTACATGTATGCATACACAATTTCCATTGATTTCCTTGCTGTACAACAACCGGAGCCTTAAAGAACGAACGCCTTGACCAAAGGCGACACAATCTCGCCGCCCCTCTTCTTGTAGAATTCAACAACCTTCTTGCCAACGCTGGCAATATCTAGGGAGCGTCAGACAAATCCAATCTCATGGTCCGTGTGCAACTTACTTGAGCCAGTGATGCCGAATTTCTCGTAAACCTTCTGGTATGGACCAGAGGCACCCCATGCTGCCAGACCATACTGTTCGTGGCTGTATTTCTGCCAGCCAGCGGTCTATGGAGATAATTTTAGTCTAAACCCCTCTTGGACAAAATCGTCCTTACCGAGAGGGCTTCCAAAGAAAGAATCGGTGCGCCGCTTCTGAGCACACTGAGTCTATACTCTTCGGGTTGCTGGTCGAAAACAAGCCAGCAAGGCAAGCTGACAACGCGGACCTTGAGCCCCTCGTCCTTGAGCTTGGACGCCGCCTCAATCGCTATGGCCACTTCGCTTCCAGAGCTAACGATGGTTAGATCCTCGCCTTCTACTTCGTGGACCACGTAACCACCCTTGGCAGCCTTCTCTATCGTGGAGCCCTCAAGGTTGGGCAGGTTTTGACGAGATAGAGAGAGGACGGATGGCGTCTTCTTGGATTTCAGGGCGACGTAGTATGCGGCGGAGGTTTCGTTCCCATCAGCTGGACGCCAGAAGGCGAGATTGGGGATGGCACGGAGGTGAATGGCAGTTTCTATCGGTTGATGTGTCGGGCCATCTTCGCCAAGACCAATTGAATCGTGAGTGGCTGTAGCGAATGGTTAATACATGCGGTCATCCCTATGCACTCTTAACTCGACATACCAACCCAAATGACCTGATGCGAACTGAGAGCAGAGAGACGAACTGCGCCAGCAGCATAAGATACAAAATTCTGTGAAAATGGTGAGAACCGTTCTGCAGAGTGTCAAGGGATGGATCATACCAAGAATGTCGCGACGAAGGGAATGATTGCGCCATAAGCAGACAAACCGTTTGCAATAGCACCCATACCGTGTTCGCGTACACCGTAGCGAATGTAGGTTCCCGCGTATGTTCCCAAACCGGTGCTTGGTGGCTGGAAGTCGACGGAGCCCTTGACTTTTGTCAAGTTACTTCCCGTTAGATCAGCCGATCCTCCGACAAGTTCAGGTAACCCGGGGATGATGGAAGTAAGGACAATTTCGGACAATTTACGAGAGGCTTGAGCGGCGTCACTGGGCTTGTATACTGGCAGAGTCTTCTCCCATCCCTCCGGGAGCTCGCCAGCAATGCGGCGAGTGAGTTCTGCATGCTCTGTAGGATATTGCTTGGCGTATGCAGCAAACAGGTCGTTCCATTGGGCTTCGAGAGCAGCCCCACGCTTGGCCACCTCAGCATAGGCATCGTAAGTCTCCTGTGGCACATAGAATTTCTGATCAGGGGGGAAGTTGAATTTGGACTTCAAGGCTTGGATATCGTCAGCCTTTAAAGCTGCGCACAGTTCCATTAGCTGCGAAGGAAGTACAGTTGCAAGCAGGGCTCACGCGACCCATGGACACCGTGTGTCCCCTGCTGCTTAGAACCGAAGCCAATAGTGGTCCTCAGACGGATGATGGTAGGCTTGGTTGTCTCTCTACGAGCTTCGGCGATAGCGGAATAAATTCCGCCCAAATCACTACGTGAGAGTAAAAACCCAAGAGCAAACACAAGAGGGTTGCAACCTACTTATCACCATCGTCCACGTGGAGAACTTGCCAGTTGTACGACAAGAACCGCTGTTCAACATTTTCAGTGAAGGCGACCGCGGTGTCTCCGTCGATAGAGATGTCTACCAGAGTATGTGAGACGACCCGATAGGCCGAAGAAGGAAATCAAAACAACGAACGGTTGTCATCGTAGATCTGGCGGAATTGTAGGTGAGAGTGAACTACTCCATAGTGGACGTGACTTACAACAATCAGATTGCCAAGTTGTAGGTGTCCGGCAAGACTTGCTGCCTCACTAGCAACACCCTCCATCAGGCAACCGTCGCCACAGAATACTGCGCAAGTATTAATCCCTGGGGATAGTTCGCGTTAATTGACGATGCGACGAACCATAGGTGAAGTTATTAATCAAATCGAAGCCATCTTTGTTGTAGACAGCTGCAAGGTGGGCTTGGGCGATGGCAAGGCCTACACCGTTTCCAAATCCTTGTCCGAGAGGGCCGGTCGTGACTTCAATACCTGTAGGGGTAATCATTTTGTCGAATTAGAAAGCGCGATGAATCGGGCCCAAGGCTGCTCACCGTCCGTGTGCCCAGCTTCTGGATGACCAGGAGTAAGAGAATCAAGCTGACGGAAAGCTTTGAGGTCGTCCATGGATAGCTTGTAGCCCAGGAGATGCAGAAGGACGTATTGGAGGGCGCATCTTTATGCAGAGTTAGTAGTGACCTTATCCCGGCAGACATTCATGCTCACGCGTGTCTAATATGAAAGTTAACTCTAAGTACCCTAATATGCTAGCGACGCTAGACAAGCTTACCCATTGGAGAGTACGAATCGATCGCGGTTAAACCACTTCGAGTTCTTAGGATTGGCATTCACGAATCTATGTGTAGAGTCGGCTCTAATGTTTATATTGTGTCGTACCGACTCACCTAGAGAAAAGGACGTGTGCGACTGGCGCCATGCCCATTGGTGCGCCTGAAATGCGGCGGTAATTGAGCACAGATGTTCACCGTCTGCGCGACATGAAATTACCTGGATGACCAGAGTTTGCCTTTCCTACGACATCTACTGCAAGCGTACGAATCGTCGCGATCGCTGCGGCATCACTCGGGCTGGAAACGAAGGACATGGTGGTAGAGATGGATGAGTATCATTCAGGGGCTCGCGCTGATTTATCATATCGCAGTCGTTCCCACGCATTCCGCGATATACCCTCCCGCTCGTCGCCTATTTCTCAGATTCCGGCATTCAACGGTACAGAGGGTACCGCACTTAAATTTCTCTCAGATGCATCCACAATTGTCGGACAAACGAACAGGTAAGTGTCGGCCCGAAAGGCACAACTTCGGACACTGATGAGCGGTAGTTTGCTGGGAGTTCATCCAAGCTCTGGAAATGTGCCATATGAGCACTTGGGCAAAGTTCTCGGGTGGTTGCAATACCCAGAAGGATGAACTGAATAAATGCCTGCGGAAGGAGGTGCGCTACCCGCTTCTTAAGCTTTGGATGGGATTGACCGTGTTTCAAGTAGCGGATAGCACGGACTACCAGAAATCGCGAGGCTGCAAAGGAGCAGCGTGCCAAAACAGAGCAGGCGTGGAAGGACTTTAATGAAGACTAGGGATCATAGATGCTCCAGTTCAGTGCCTCAAGCACCCTCTCCATGTAATCCGGGAACTCATCTCCGAATACCAGCTCTTACCATGCACGATGGCCTCCACCCGTGAGGATGCTATCAGTTCGGCGTCGACGATGTGGCTTAAGGCAACGTGGGCTCAATGACACATACTCGCTGCAGGGACAACACATTGGCGCGTCGCTTGCCAATCAAATTTCAAATGACACCACCGCGTTTCTCGCTTAGCCGTTCGAGCGCTCAAGCGGGCTCATGTGGGACCGTTTGTCTGATAGATGATAGCCGCGTATCAAGGAACCCTCTTGTCGAGCTTTCTGAGGTGAGAGCCGTGTCATTTAAGAGCCATCATAACCCGACTTGGTGTAAATATGCCAAATGATAGTGAATTAACTCCAATACGCTTAGGTTCTGCCACATAACCGGTTTGTTGGTATTCTTGATATGCACATGCATGGCCCTTTTATTTGCTGCAATTCAAGTTGGATTCAAGTGTCCGCTATGTATGTGACACCCCCGCTTATGGTATTGCCAGGCGATCGCGTGGCTCTCTAACTGAATACAAGGTTTATGCAAGACCGACACTACCTTCCTTTGCGCCCGACAACGTTTGAATGCGACTGCTACCATCCGTGTGTACTTCCAAAGTCGCGAAGCTTCCTACTCCACTGAGCTCGGCTTTAACCTCACCTCCCGACTTTATCACCGAGACCGTGGCTTGCGTCCCCGTCCCCTCTGCAGAGGGAATCTCAACGTGCACTGACTGGCCTTCTTCAAGTTCGTAAACTTGAATGTGGAGATTCTCCGCAAAGTTGTAATCTGGACGCCCGATGCCTGCTGGACCGAGGCAGAGTACTGAACCCTGTCGAACCCAGACGGGAATGTTGCCAATAGGGACGTGTTCTGTTATCCACACTGGGCCTTGTACCACACGCTCGGGGTGGAAGAAGGAAGTCCACTTGCCAGCGGGGAGATAGTAAACCGACTCTTCACCCAGGGGCACGAAGACAGGGGCGACAAGAAGAGAAGGACCAAACATATATTGCCTGTCGAGATAGTGAGTCGTCGGGTCCTCAGGGAATTGAAGGAACATGGCCCGCATGATTGGATGTCCGTTCTGGTTCGCTTTGATGGCCTAGTGATTCAAAGATCATTTAGGCGACTTGAGAGAATTGTGTCATTAGACTCACAAGGTGATAAATATAGGGCATTAGTCGATGTTTAGCATCAAGCCATTTCGACATATTTGCGGCCGCCTCTTCTCCGTATATCCAGGGTACGCGGTAGGAGGAAGACCCGTGCAGTCGAGTATGTGAAGAGAATACACCAAATGCAACCCATCGCTGGTATATCTCAGGAGGAGGATGTCCCTAGTAAAAGTATCAATGAGCCATAAAGATAGGGTGGCCGTCCGTAGATGGCCGTACCTCAAATCCACCAATATCATGCGAAGAGAAAGCAAATCCCGAGGCAGTGATAGAAAGGCATCCACGAATGGTTTCCGCCATGGCTTCGAAGGTTGACTCGCAGTCACCACCCCAATGCTAAGAACATGTTCCTAATAAGCATGGGATGCAATACTATTCATTAGTTACTACGTACCACTGGGAATCTTTGCCCACCGGCCGCCGAAGAGCGAGCAAAGAGGACCGCTTGACCTTCACCCAAACGTATCCTGAGCAGATCAAACACAAGCTTGTTGTACTGAACAGCGAAAGTATTGTGCATTCTGATTGGGTCAGATCCGTCGTGGAATTTGACTGACGCGTGCGGAATGCGTTCACCGAAATCAGTCTAGGATTGATATAAACGCCAGCGTCAGGTAGCGCGCCATAGAGTCCAAGTAACCCTACCTTGAACGCATCTACACCCAGGTCGATCAAGGCAGAAAGTTTGTCAGTGTACCACTTGCAAGCGGCAGGGTTCGTAATATCCAAAATTGCAAGGCCGGGCTGCCATAGATCCCATCTGCGGCAGATTGTCGTTAATATCGAGCATTTTCTTCAACGAGACTTCGCTCACTGCCATACAGAACCATCTGTGCGCTTGATGAAGTAGCCTTCCTTTGCCCCTTCCTTGAAGATAGGAGAAAGCTGGGAGATATAAGGGTTGACTAAGGAAATATCAGATATCATCTTTCTTTAAGGCCATTGAGGACGTACTCCATACGCATATCTTGACCCCGTATTTCTCTTTGATTTCAGATAAATAGGCTTTAGGATCGGGAAAGTTGTCCGGGTCAAAAGTGAAGGAGCACCTAGAGTGATATCACAATGAGGGATTGCGGAGAACGAATATGACCATGGACAACCATTCGTATTGTTTCATCCAGAAGCAGTCAAGATGAAAGACGCGAACGGGGCATTTGCGCTGTTGCATGCCTTCCAGGAAGCCTGAGACGGTCTTGCTCGAGTAATCGGTCAAGAAGGATGTCGAAAGCCATAGCCCAAACGTCCATGCTGGAATTATACTGTGAGGCGCGTTAGTCCGGGCACGATCGAATGGCCGACAAGTGTACCTACGCAGGGCGTCCAGTAATGCGAGTATACTTGTCAAGGATCTACAACAAGTGCGAGCCTCAGATACTATTGGAGGGACTTTGAGTGAGACGAACCTCTAACGGTGTTTCCCCGTAGATTATAAAATACTCTAGAGACTTGTCGGCAACACTGACACCCACTCGGCTAACTTTCTCGCTGCCAACCTCTACTTCAACTTCCCCAGGGTGATTGATGAAGACGCCATAATTCCTATTAGTGATATAAAAGGGGACGCATTTGTATGCTTGATCACTAGAAGTTCCGCCGTCTATATTTCAAGCTAAATTTTAGCCATGCAACTTTCGAGATGCCTTGAATACTCACCTTGATTCCAGATCTTGATAGATTGACCTGGGCATCATTCAGACAACGAGATTACAAACGTTGATAGCCTCTCACCATTCTTGACAAACGCGCCAAACTGCTCCCCGAACCCATATACGAGTTCCCCGGGGGATAAATTTAACTCAGAGTGAATATATCTAACAGTCGGCGGCAACGGCGCTGGGGTGGGATTGGAGCTAGTATCCAGGGCCAAGCAAGAGCTATTTGAAGCAGACAAAGTCGTCCATCTGGCTGGGACGTCGTAAATGCCTTGGTGCTTGTATCCAGCAGATGTCAATATTCGCTTGGGCGATTTGAAAGTGATGGTATACGGATTTTCCGTGATTTCCGCCGCCAGGCCGCCTGTCGAGAGAGAGTACGACGAGTCGGATTTAGAGAGGGACACCGCAGGTACTGGCTCAGCATCGGGGAACAATGGAATACTTGGATAAGCATCCCCGTTCGCGAAATGCTCGATGTTAACTCCCACTACGCCTTCCGTAGGAGAATGCACTTTGACGGTAAGAACGGGACCTTGACAATGGGTCAGACTCGTTGGCGGGAACTCCAGCAATGAGAGACGAACCTCCCAGTGTGTCTCCGCGATGTCGAATGGGCCTGGTCGATACATGCAGAGTGTATCCGTTAGGCTCCTCTAATACCCTAGTAACTTGAAGACCAAAGAATGGTTTGACACCGTTCTTCAGCAACCAAAAGCCGTCGTTGAACTTCATCTTGTGCAGAAAGTAACCACATTGTGTACTTTCTCCCCTGCGATATAAGTATGTCCTGGTATTCAAGCGGACCGACTCAGGCCTGGAGGACCGTGAATTCAATTGTGCCGAGATTCCCCCGATGTCTTGATAACGCGGTAAATAAAATCAAATAAAGAAATTCCAAAACAGGAAGGAAGAGAAGGATCATTGTACAGGGTCGCCCTCCCAGTCCCCGGACCGATCGCCACTGACGCTGACACACAAATCTCTACACCAACAACGATGTCAGAACAACCTCTATGGCAAGAGACACCCTTGATTATTTCGAGTGGGATCTCGAAAAGGCTTGGATGTAATGCACATCTCAAACTTGAAGTACGACTCCCGGGAAGATTGCACGACCAATATGCTGACTGCGCTTGTTGGTACAGAACCTTCACCTGTCCCATTCGTTCAAGTATCGAGGGATTTCCCACTTCATCCAACAAGCAAAATCTACACACGGCCCCTCGGTGCATCTTGTGGTCGCATCTGGGGGGAATGCTGGGCTCGCAGCAGCCTGCGCAGCCAATGCACTCAACGCCAGGTGCACCGTATTCATCCCGGACGGAGCAAACCAGTCCACTATTGCTCTCTTGGAGAGACAGAATGCAGACGTCGTTGTCGGAGGTGCGTCATATTTGTATGCCTTGGAAGCGGCGCGTGAGATGGTGAAGGCAGAAGCGAAGGCGTTCGTATGAGGCTACGAGTCGTGATCGATGGTTGTTGACTGGACGCGAATAGAGTGCTCGTGCCAGCATACGAAAACAAGGTTGTGTGGGAAGGCCACGCGTCGATGATCAAGGAAATATATACACAATTAGTGGACAAACCGGACGCAATATTTTGCAGCGTTGGAGGCGGGGGTCTGTTAGGCGGGCTTATCCTCGGATGCGAGGCAGTTGGCTGGGACGACGGTGAGCTTTGAAATTGCATCCCTGAGTTGCGTATTGATTCCTCGGTACAGTTCCAATAGTCACCCTTGAAACTATCGGAACGGACTGTTTCTATCACACTATGCGGCTAAACCGCCATCCTTCACACGACCTACCAGCAGACGCCAGCGCCGTCAAGGATGATGAATATGGCTTGACGTTGGCATTTTTCCATAGATTTTCGTCGCACGCTTCCGGATCCCTTGGAGCTTCATCGCCGTCGCCGGGGGTCGTCAAGATGGCGTTGGAAAGGAAGGGAGGGGTTCGATGCGTGACAATTCCGGATGAGCTAGCTATGCAAGCCGCTATGGATTTCGCTGGTGTGTTGTTTGCGCATCTTGTAATGTGCGACATGGATTTACGCGAAAGCAGACGACCATAAGATGCTCGTTGAATTGGCTTGCTCGACCACACTCGTGCCCGCTTACAAACCATCGCTGTTCGCAAGACTCGTTCCTTTGAGTGCCAAGAATGTGGTGTTCGTTGTATGTGGCGGCTTCAAGGTATCCCTGTCGGACATGAGGGAGTATAGGGGCATTGTAGACGGGGATTTGAAAGGCGAGGCCGGATCTTGGAACGTATTTTGCGATGGCGAGGTGATCAAAGTGGAGAAATAGATCCAAATATTAGACATATAGAACATGTTACAATATAGAAATAAACAGCAACCTCGAGAAGGAACTGAACAGGGAGACTGAAGTTGCGGCCGGAGAAGCGGTTGCACTCCAAAACATATTGCGGGAATGTGATGAAATCAAACGATTAGCCACAGATGTTATTCAAGGACATAAACTAAACTTATCAAGCTGCAAGGTTGTTGATGCTCATACTTGCAAACCCAAATATGGACAACAGGGATCACTGATGGTGACTGAAGGTACATTCTAGTTCACAATCTCGGATAATATTGCATGTCAAGGAATACCCGTCCGCCAGGAGCGCTTGGGGAAATCATGGATTTGATATAGATATAATACATACGACGACGCGACGCGGAAAGCTGGGGGTGACTTGAGAGGCGCGTTGTATGCCGAGGGCACGATGGACCCCGAAATGGCGCACAGACTGAAATGTTGGAGGAAGGTATAGGGGTCGACTGACCAAACCGCAATCTCTGGGATCTGCAAAACGCTGGTTATTCTCCAAACTTGATCCAAGGCAAAAGATACGTACTTTCTAAACTCTTGACTGCTTTATGGCTTGTGGGGCACGAGATGTGGCACGGGCAGCTGGTGGCGCCTCAGAGTGTATTTCCGGTCGGTCGAAAATTCTGTACACAGGCAGCTGGCTCTGTATATGAATTTTGGGATGTACGAGGCTTTGTTCAACATCATTCTCGAGCCTTGACCGCGTATGTGCTGGTTTCAGCACGGATTTCGACCGCTTTGAGCTGGAGAGCGACGTGCCCTTTGGGACCTGACATCTTCGCCTCTGGGGCTCCCCCAAACTCTGTTCCTTCGTGGAATCGATCGAGTAGCTTGAGGAATTTTAGCTGCTGAGGCCTCTAGAGTAAAGATCCGCATTCAGACGAATAAATAGCATGGGCAGGAGCGTTCCAGAGGAGTTTGCTGGCAAACTTGACGGAGAATTGGCCAGAAATTGAGGTAGCATATAGCCACGGTACAGAGAGAAAATGGCGCATTCGGCGAGTAGAGAGAGACTGCGAGAATCCGTCTGCTTGAGTCGAATTCGAGGCATTGAGGGGAGCTGGCAAGCCAACGAGCGGACTTCTGGAGGGAAGTTTCCGTGGCTGATTTGGAATTTGGCGCAAAACTCTCATCTCATTTCTTGCCGCCATCATCCTACCACATCCTGGTCTCGCTCCGTATTCTGGGCTTGCTGAATTTGCAGAACTACGGCCTAGACGACTTGCACATCGTTCATTCGTGTATCACACAATCTTCTCGCCGCTTGATGGCATTTTTGCACCGTTCAAATTCGAGATTGCCTTGCATTTCATCGACTTGAGGACGATTGAGGCGATACATTCCTTTTGGTAGCAGCTTGCAGTCTTGATGCACAATCAGACGAGCTTGATGCACTCCTTCAGCTTTCGCTGCTGTTGGAATTTGGACTGTCCGATACAAGTATGCCTTTTGCTGGAAAATGGGGCCATTGTGGGATTGCAGGCTCTAGGAGTCGACGAGGACCAGGCTGAGGTCCACGTTGGTGAGTTTTCATTGTCGCGAGTTTCCTGGTCGTCTTCACGCACAGAGCGCAGCTTCTCCAGCGAGCAAAGTAACCCCAAGATGGCCCAAGCGCTTTTCTTCAAGGGACCTCAGCACGCGACTACGTGGATCGAATTCAGCATAGTTCCAGCAGGGATGGTCCAGAGAACATCGCAATATACCAAAATTGCGTAGAGGGAAAGGTTCTGGAGTCATTGCGAGCAGAGAAAATCAGCGTCTCAAGTATCAGGTATGTTCCAAGACCTTATCATGCAGTGTTCTTGTCCTGAACTTGCATGTTATTCTCCTCGTCGTTGGACTAGGGTCTTCGTGGTGGTCAGACGGCTTGACGATCTTGAAGCATCCACGACTCTTGCTGCAAGCGTCTTCGTGTTCATGTTCTTGACGGAAATCTTGATATACGGTATGTTTCTGGCACACATTGAATGCTACCTCTGCTAACAATTGAAATCAGCGACAGCGTCGAGTCATGAACAGAGTCAAGCCGCGAACTTACTGTGACTCGGCTCTATACGCGCGTCACACGTGACGGTCACGGGCGCGTTCCCTTATTTGGTCCTCCGTAGCCTGGCAGTCGGTGCGTCGGGCTTCGATGGCGATCGTGACTCAGGCTTTATCCGGAAGGTTCATGTGACCAGGGCCAAGGGTACCGCACGCAGGGTACGCAGATTTGCGCCCTGTTCCTTCAGGATCCAGGCCAAAAGCCGTACTGGAATTGCCTTAGGTTGGAGCAAGAAAAGTTCGCCGTCGCCTCGTGTTCTATTTGGAAGCCATGGGGACGTGAAGTAGCATCGAAGGGAAGGCGGACGCTGCCGAGCGAAAGACGTGGCCACGCTGCGACAGCAGGATAATGGCCAGCGCAGAACACCACATAGACGTCGCGCAAGTGAACTTGGGCCAGTACGAGGCAGCGTGAAGGGGGCCGTTTTCGCTGTGGTCCAGCAAGCCGTGTTCCTTGGTCTGGATGGTGCGATGTCTCGGCTGAGCGGCGATGGATAGGTGAAGCCAAAGCGATCCCTTGCAGATTCCACGCTTCTATATGGGAACCCAATACAGAAGATTTTCTTCGGGTAGATAACATGACTGCCACCGTCAATATAAAAAGCGCGACAAAACTACCGAAGCGTAGCCCCTCTTTTGGCCTCTACCACCAACATCCGCATCCTCCGCGTTCTGCACACTCGTTCTTGACCTTGACCAATAATGCAGTTACTTTTCCCTCGTTCTCGTAACGGTGGATGCCACATGTACGCGCCGTCTATTGAGCAGACCCTGGACTGGTACCACATCTCGCAACTGCGACTACCGACCTACCGCTTCAGACACAATGCGCGTTTTCATCCGTATATTCGCTATGTCGAAACCGACCCTCTTATGGTAGGCGTCCTTGCATTCGCAATCGCTCACACCAACCCATTTTCTTACAGTCAACCATTGACGAGTGCGACTCTCCTCGCCCGGCTCTCCCGCCGCCGCCTCCACCACCGGCCTATCTCGCCAACGAAGTCCCACAAGCCCAGGAGTTCGATGGCGACGGTGAGATAGAAGGCAATGAAGAAGCTGCGGAGAGACGACGGTTCATCCAGGTTATTTTGGCTGTATGTGTCCTCCAAAGCTCTTCTGACCCTTTTCTCATGTAGATAACTCAGAACCTCAAAGCCGCAGCAGAAAGGATAATCCGACGCCAACCAAAGTAGACAAACCATACTGAACATTGTTCGTCACGTCTTTTTTCAGTGTTGTTTCATGTTCTCATCCTTATGTTAGCTTGTACATACATTCTTGGGGCTATACAGCCAGCCGCCCGACATTTGCCTCCAACATCACTTCTTGCTGTATCACTACCGGTAACGTGAATCGCGCAGTAGAGGAAGAAAGCTAGAGTTTCGTCGTGGAAGTTCTGTCGTTCCACGTACATAGTTTACGTGTCAGGGATTACGAAGTTCTTATGCCTGGCGCCATTGGGAATCATAACTACTGCATCGTGCTTGAATCCAACCCTACGAGATACAGCAGTGACAGTGCGCAAAGTCTCTGCAGGGAGTCGTAATGAACCAAAGAGCATGTAGCTCACGGTAATAGTGAGCTTTTGAGATACCACGAATTATCGCTGGTCGGCCTCCTCTTCCGCTTGTTTGGCAGCGCGCCGTACCATGCGTTCAGCTTTTATCCGCGCTAGCTCTTCTCTGATCGCGCTCTGGTCCTTTGGTAGAGTTTGAAGGAGACGGCTTTCGGGCGGGAACAGCCGCTCCTTATACTATGAAACGACGAAGCGAAAGAATCATGAACAAGCTCTACTGGTGCGGAAAGAATGACCCACAGGTAAAACATTCTCTCTGTACCATTGAGGGTCTCCGAAATGCACCAGAGCCGCGATAGGTACAAATAGATAGAGGGCGAATTTGAATACTTCGAGGTTTGGGCCGCCCATCGAGGTTGGTGGTGAATGGACGAGGGAAGGCCTGGGAAGGCCCATCGCGCCAGTCCGGAGACTTGGGAAAGAAAGAAACAGGGGCTACTGAGACACGTGACGAGCTGGTCGCGTCTGCCACCGCTTCGTTCTGTAGAACTCTTCTTCACCCTTCTTCCAGCTTCTACACTCGGTGGTGGCCTACGCGTGTCCGAAGATCCGCGCGTAAAGTGCACATCGAAGGCTGGCTGGCCTACGCGAGGCTTTCTAAGCGTCTTTCCAACGGCAATGACCAGAACAACAACATGGTCGAATCTTCAAAGATCGGCTCCTTTGTCGACGTTGGTTGACATTGACTACGCAAAAGGTGGTCTATGGACGGCTCTATGCCCCCTCATGACCAGCGACGATGTTTAATATCGCCAAGTTTAACTACTGGAACGCTTGGTGTCTTTACATGTCGACTGAATGAAATCGATGCGACAATGGAATGCATACTTCGATGTATATCAAAAAGGGGGTACACTCGTCTACTGCTGCACACAACGAGTCCATCACCACAAGTTTGCCATGACTTTGGGCGCTCGATAGCGCACCGCTCTCTCACCGCAAGGGGGTTTATATTGTACGAAAGGGCGACCTATCGTACCTAAGCAAGCCTCAAGTCTCCTTCCCTCTTCGTCCTCTCGCCCTCCGCCATCGAGTCGCACTCCCAGATTTCTCTGTAGACATTCATCTGAACATAACGTACGGTAAGTTGAACACACTCTGTGATATCTTCACTGAAACTGACCTGGCTGTAGGATGGAACCCCCTCTGAACAACACGAAATTCAATCTGGATGTCAGTGGCATCGTGGGCTTCTTAGGAGGAGGAGAAGCAATTTCAGCCATGGAAAGCATGCATTTCTACAAGTATCGGAAATGGCTCAGCTGGTATAATTCACCCGGTTCATATGATATCGCCAAACACTACGGCCGACTGGCAAGATCTCGGATATGGGATGGCATTTACCCCGGACCAAATGAAGAACCAGCCGAACTTTTAGGGCTAGATGGGGAGCAAGGACCACCATATCGAGGTGTTGTTTCTGGCACCACTTTAAATGACACCGGACACGTTGGATACGTTTTTGCTCAATATTGCCGCAACGCGAAAGCAACCCCATCCCAGTACTCCTCGGATCCCATCTTCACCACACAGACAACGGACGATCAAGGTCCAAAACCCCAACAAAGGAAACGCAAGACAAAAGTGATGAACGTTGTTGTTGTTGACTTCGACAATGTCGAAGACAATGACGACAGCGTAGAGAAGGGGTCTCACCTTACATTGGACAGCAAGGAATTTCCTTTCTGGTCGGTCGCTGTGGCTTCGATACCAATCTCACTCAACATCGCCTACTGCATTCTTTGTGGCTTCTATACCGAATGGTACGCTTTTGGCGTTATCCTATACGGCATACTTTGCAACGGAATAGCGTGCTACTTCATCGGGTCAACCGAGATATACCTCACACATACCATCCCTTCGCCACATTCACCCCCGGGGAACGGAATCTTGGCATGCAAGTCCGATACCCTCATTGTCTGCAGAGGCTCGGAGAGAGCGATCAATCACGTTGTCAAAGCCAAGTTTGTCGTCCGGTATGGCAAGGAAGGTGATGATCAGACGTACCACATGATTGGTTTCAGCGCAATGTCATTGACGATTCAATTTATCGCCCAACTCTTTCTCATCCCTCTCAGCGGCCTGTTTGGGCAAATAATGTTCCTTTCGACGCTCGCCATTTCTTGGATCTACAACGCATACCTCTCATCCATCGATAAGGGACGGCTTCAACAACAACTTTTAGAGCGACATCTTTTTGGAGACGATTCAAACAATATGACCAAGTTGGAACTACCCACTAGGACGTCTGCGGTAGTCTTTGCGATGCTTTGTGGATTGCCTGATCTTCGAGGCGATCCTGACGCAAACGTCGAGTGCGCGAAGGGCATAATGTGCCACCTGCTCCCTACAGACACCAAGGTATGGGGTCGGTGGCATTATTCAGTCTGTTCCAAAGTTCGCGACCTATCGGAGAGGCATTCATCAGGGTCTGTCCGCCCTACCTCGGAACCATTTAGATTCACGGAGGATGCTTGCCAGGGATTTGATGGAAAGGACAAAAGTTTGCTATGTGACTTACTCGAGGACGCAAGGGGGGGCTACGAGTCCTATTGTCAGTTTCTCGATTCGGCCCGGCACACCCCAAACTCGAACTCACAATCTGGCTCCGGGTCTTCTCTCTTGCATACGTATGTGTAGGCACTTGTCTTGGACCAATAGTGCCCCGATTGTAACCCTCCTCTGATAATATGAACATGCTATCGATATGTGTAGCTTTGGATAGCATACCCTTGATTCGTATTCAATATTTTCTGTAAGTTTGCTAGTTCATTGCTGAGTATCACTTCGCCCACCCCCTTCATAAAGTGTCTTATGCGCCAGTTCCCGAATCTGTGAAGTGATGACGAGGCTCCGTATGCGACTACATGTGTGAATTACATTATCAGGCCGAAATATTCCTTCAGGGGCGGCGGGCATTTACTTCCTAGAAGAAGCACAGCCCCTATTTGACGGTACGACTTTCTCGCCCAAACCCGAAGTCAAGAGACTTGTAAATCGACACTTCGTGAGCACGAGGGTGCTAATTTCTCGTGCTTAACATCAGAGACTCTTATCGTGGGAAAAATATCGTGGTCAGTGCCAGATGTCCAAGGTCAGCAGACCTCGCATCCTTGAATATTCTTTCCACTGCCATCATGCATTCGGGGCATGTTCGTACGCAAATGAATTTATAAATCAGGCTAACTCGTCAAAGATAACAAACCTAGCGGTGTCATCACAACAAGATTATCATCGAGGTGTTGTGGCACTGCTACCAAACGACTCCAGCTCACCTAATTTTGGTAGAAATCGTTGCGACAATGGTGCAGCCTGCTTCTATCACTAGCGCTAAACCAGTGATGTGCACTTTACCCATTGCTGTTCACCACGAGCCCATAGAGCGCTATTTCGATGCTTGATAACATACAGCTCTCTCACAGCAAAGGAAGGAACTTGGTCCCCTACAAGAAGGGGACTACTTGAGGCGCCTGCCCCCAGTCCCTCTTCTTCTTCTCGCACTCTGCCTCCTCATTGCAGCCAAAGAATATCTTCCGAGACACACAATTTACGGCAAGTCGAGCGCATTCTGATCACCCGCAATATCATCTGAAAACGGTTATATCTAGCTGTAGAATGGAAGCCCCCTTGAACCACGCGAACTTCAATCTCAACATTGGCGGCATAGTAGCTTTCTTGGGAGGAGAGGAGGCGATCTCAGCCATGGAAAGCATGCATTTCTACAGATATCGGAAATGGTTAGGCTGGTACAATTCGCCTGGCGCCTATATCATTGCCAAGCACTATGGCAGACTCGCACGATCCCAGATTTGGGATGGAATTTACCCCGGACCAAACGACGAACCCGCCAAACTTCTGGGATTGGATGGGGAGCATGGACCGCCATACAGAGGCATCGTTTCTGGAACGATATTAAGCGACACTGGACACGTTGGGCACGTGTTTGCTCAACATTGCGAGAATTTGGAAACAAACTTGTCTCAATATTCGTTGAATGCGGCCTTCATCAAGCCTGCTCAACAGACAACAAACGCTGTTGGTACAAAACCACGACACCCGACGAAAGCAGTGAATGTCATCGTCGTGGATCTCGAAGAGACAACAAGCAGCGAAGGAGCGGAAGAACCAGGTCAGATCCCAGTCAAATTAGGCGATACAAAGTCACCGCTTTGGCCTGTAGCGATCGCTTCAGTACCAATTTCACTCAACATCGCTTGTTGCATCATTTGTGGGTTGTATGAAGAATGGTTCGCTTTCGGCGTCATACTCTATGGTATACTCTGCAATGGAATAGCAAGCTATTTCATTGGGTCAGCCAAGATATACCTCAAACACACTATCCCTTCGCAACATTCGCCCCCTGGGAACGGAATCTTGGAATACAAGTCCGATACCCTTATCGTTTGCAGAGGCTCGGAGAAAGTGATCAACTATGTTGTCAAAGGTAGATTCATTGTTCGGTACGGCCACGAGGAAGACAAGGAGGCGACGAGATATCACCAGATCGGTTTCAGCGCGATGTTGTTGACGACGCAAGCCATCGCCCAACTATTCCTCATTCCCATCAGCGGTCTTTTCGGGCAAATCATGTTCCTTTCGACCCTCGCGATCTCGTGGATTTACAATGCGTTTCTTTCTTCCATCGACAAGGAGCGGCTTCAGCAACAACTCTTGACACAATACCTTCCCTTCAAAAACAATGCGTGTACTGGAACGAAGGTGCAACTCCCCACTAGGACCTCCGCAGTAGTGTTTGCGCTGCTCTGTGGGCTTCCGGATCTTCAAGGGGATCCTCAAGCAAATGCGGAGTGTGCGACAGAAATTATGAGCAACTTGCTTCCCAAAGGCACGGAAGTATGGCGTCGGTGGCAGGCAGAAGTTGCTAAAAGAATTCGCGAATTATCCTCGACGGAGCATTCCACATCGCTCCCCCCCGCCGATGGACCATTTCGTTTCGCGGAGTATGATGACAAGGGGCTGAAGGAGACGGACAAAAATTTGTTAAAAGTCTTGATTGATGATGCACGGGGCGGTTATGAGTCCTATTATGAGTTTCTCAGGCCAAAGCCGAACGCGCAATCTGGCTTGGGAGGCTCTCCCGCTTAATGTCCAGCGTTGTCCACAACCTCCAAGTGTAATATGCGCTATCGATCCGTGCTTGTGTGTGCCATGCGGTGGAATCATGACTCACTAATAATACGCCGGTTCCTTAAGAGCTTAGCCCAGTGTTATAGAAGCAGAGGCCATGTTCGTGGGAAAGTATTCCTCTTTGTGTCAATGCAGCCACTGAACACATTCTTGAACCCTCCCCTCATCATGCACTCGCGACGAACACCCTCAAATGCAAGCAGCAGTGTACGAAATAGCCCAAGCCTTCAAAGACAACAAATGTACGTGCAACCGACGAAACCACGCCCTTCGACAGCGGTCAACGCACGCCAAGCTACAGCGACTCCTCAACATTCAGAATGCTCTCCAGTGAAGATGGGCATGTCCCCCGCCACTCGGTACAATTCCAATCTCAAGGTTCTCCGCAGGAGAGATCCGTCTATTGTCTCCATCTTCGATCAGTTCAGCCATGTATGTGTGTACCATCATAACGGAGACAAATGGGAAAAGCAAGGATATGAAGGAAGTATGTTCCTATACGAAAGGTCAACTTATTTCCTTTCATCCTGTCTTCGGTCAACTGAAGCTGTATCGCAGGGATTCCTATCCACCCTATGGGTATTATATCCTCAACCGTCAGGGGACGGACGACTATAACCAACGACTATATCCCGAGGACAACATTAGTACTTCCGGAAGCTACCTCATGATGCGCTCCTACCCGTCTTGGTCTGCTCGTCGGCTTGAATCCATTATAAAGTCAAGCGAGGCCGCTGGGAGCAAAGTCCCGGACAAATTTTCTCCCGTTTGGTTTATTCCGGACGTAGAGAAATACAAAGAGGCTGATAAAGCTCCCGGTATCACCATAGGATTATGGATGTTTGCAACTGACTCGAGGGAGCCGATGATGGATGTCATGGTTCGGTGAGTTGCAAGCCAGTTGAACCGCCGGATTGTAATAATCTCTACATGCAGGTTACATTCCTACGTCAAGCAAAATATTCCCTATCCTGACGAGTACAGATACGGACCCGATCGTCTGCCACCACCCAATCCGCACCTCCGTACTTCCTCTGTCCCTCCATCCAACGAATCCGCCGCGACCATACAAAGCAAGGAACGAATCACACATTCCTCTTCTACGAAACCGACGACACCAAATCATACTCTCCTTTTGAATGGAAGTGCCAGCGGTAATGTCGTTAGCACCGCAGCTGTCGTCAACTCTGCGTCGTCTGAGTTGGACAAATTGTTTGCCAAACTCAATCCGTCAACTACCACAACGAATGGACATGCTCCTTCACCCACTATCGACTCCTTGTTTGCTGGCGTCGGCGCCTCCGTAGCTAACCAAGCAGCACGCACAGAGACACCAATAATCAACGCCGTCCCGAACGGCGCACCTCCGACGGGACTAGCATTGTTGAGCACCATATTTGCTTCAGCGGGGCCGACGGTTGTGAATGCGGACTCACGACCTTCGACCCAAGTAGTCTCTAATGGTCGTCTTTCCGTTTCATCTAATAAGGCCATCTCGTCTACATCCCCTCGATCGAACTCTAGGCTAAGCAGCGAGACAGTAGCAGAGCCCGAGTCGATCGTTATTTACTCACCCACGCCCACAACAACAGCCCTTCCCCAGATACTCAATCAGGACGTTATTATAAATCTCCTTGGACTTCCCGCCTCTAGGGCATCCTCGGCCACACCTTCGACTTCTCGCGCAAGTAATAGGACAAGCGGTAGCTCAAGTACCCGGAGGAGTGGGAGAGAAGGGGGTGATGAAGATGATGGGATGTTAAGCTCAGAGGACGGTGTCTCTTATTCGGAGTCTAGCACCGTCCTGGATCGGCTACCTACAGGGCAAGAGGCCATTAACGGGGATGTTACACCTCGGGTTCCAACGAACGGCTCTGGATATGAAAGGTCATCAAGTTCTTCGAGGATGCACGATTTTGTTTATCCTCATAACACTGCTTATGGATCTGCTCCTCGCCAACCCTCTGTCCCTGATCCAGTCTCTTCTGTCGGGAGTCGGCCGGCGGTGACATTCCGCACGGACGCGGAGCTATGGAGCAAGAACACTGGCGCCGATGGAAATCAGAACTATGACGACGATGTCATAGTCGAACTAGATTTCTCTGACACGATTGCATTGAGTGACATGGATGCGTTTCAGAGGGTGAAAGCCCAAAGCCAAATCAATGGCCACTCCCCCAATCTCAGCAATGCAAAGAAGGCACTACTCAATGGACGTACTCCGAAGCAACTGCATTCGCGTGACGGGAGCACGAGTGATGACCTGACGAACCACTTTGGGGGAGACGCCAAGGGCAAAAAAGCTAGGAAACTTGGTGGCGGGAAACAGAAAGGAGCGGAGAGAGAGACGACGCGAGCGGATGTCGTCGAGCCCATGATCGCGGTGCTTCAACGCCAGCCCCACTTACGAGCTTCAGCAACTACCTCTTCTCCTTCGCCTATCCCTGCTCTTCCACCTCCAGCTGTTCCTATCGCCGACCCGGCCATCATCAGCATTTCTTCTATGCTAGGTCTTCCTCCACTCCAATCTCAGCAAGCCCCCCAGCAGTCAGCAGCAAAGGTCAAGGCTGACGGCAATGCACCTCGTTTATGTGGCGACATGGTAAAAGAGGGCATCAGTGCGGTTACGTCCTCGCGCATGAACGGTCAAATGAAACTAGCGAGGAATGAATACGTGATGGAGTTACTGACCCTCATTCACGTTCGTGGTTGCTTTCCTTTGATCGCTTGCATATATGCTAACAACTCCTTAAACAGACCGACAAGTCGTTCGTTGACGCTCTGTATCAAGATTATCTCAGCCACCACAGATGATTTGAAGGTTTCAACGCTTTGATGTAACTTTGGATCTAACTCTCTCTTCCGGCCCTCGGCTCCAGTTTGTACATCTCTTCCGGAGCTCCCCATGTTGTATTGATTCAGTCGCCAATGCTTAGTTCTTGTTGTGATGTTGCCCAATTGTATATATTGCTGCTGTCACACATCTCACTTACCTATCGTTGTACCTCCCACACTCCCCACACTCCCTACTCCATACAATGCATCCAAACCTCTTTGGGCGTAGTCTGACACGCGCAGATAAGTCGTTGAGCGAGTACCGATATCTTGCTCGCCTACTGGATGGTGTCGGCGAAACAACGGGTACACTCACCGGGACCTCCGATTGTTTCCTTCAGTTAAATTGGATTTATCCTCAGATGTTCTTCCTTTCTGATCAATAGCGCAAACGAAGCACACGATCTGAACCAGGTGCGTTCTTTCGTCAGAACACTCGTGTAAAGTTTTTGGCTAATTATCGGCCAACAGAGTGCCAGCTCAGACGTGAAGCACAATACAATCCTTCCGAGCTTCACCGACTATCGCTAGAGAAATGCGCATAAATGGGATGCCATCAGTTCAGAACTAATTTCTTGCGCCTCAGGATGCATCAGGCTTTCGTCTTTCTTACAGCACTCGCATCTGCGGCTTTGGCTGCGGTGCCTCTTTATGGTCAATGCGGAGGGGTGTGTACATCGTTTCCTCACCATAATTCATGATTCTCATGTCTGCTTCTTCAGAGCGGCTGGGCGTAAGTGGTCCAGTTGATCCCAGCGAACTTGCTAAACCTTTGCTTCAAGTGGAGAAACTACCTGTACCACAGGCATCTGTTCGATCCAAAATGGTAATCATGGGCCTCGCGCACGTTTTCAGTCCGAATTCTAATGTATCTAACAGAATGGTACTCGCAATGTATTCCCGGACAAGCTACGAATCCGCCTGCCTCTACCGTTAGTAGCACGTCTACTGCCCCCAACCCCGTTGAAACCACCCTTCCCTCGAGCTTCACCTGGAGCTCGAGCGGCATTCTCATCAGCCCCAGAGTTGACAGTCGCAACCTTTCTGCTTGGAAGGACCCATCCATCGTTTTCTACAACGGCAAATATCACGTATTTGCGAGCACGGCACACGACGCGGGCTACAACCTCGTATATCTGAGCTTCACCGACTTCAACGAAGCCGATGCTGCTCCATTCTACTACCTCGACCAGACCCCGATCGGGTCAGGTTACCGCGCCGCCCCTCAGGTGTTCCTCATGGCGCCGCAGAACAAATGGTACCTCATCTTCCAGAATGGCAATGCCGCCTACTCCACGAACTCAGACATCAGTAATCCGAACGGTTGGACTCCGCCCAAGAACTTTTACTCTGGGACTCCCAGCATCATTACCAACAATATAGGAAGCGGATTCTGGGTAGACATGTGGGTTATCTGTGACTCGTCCAACTGCCATTTATTCTCGTCGGACGATAATGGCCACCTTTACCGCTCCCAGACGTCAGTCAGTAACTTCCCTGCGGGGATGAGCGAGCCAGTGATAGCACTGCAAGACTCGAACAGTCATAATCTCTTTGAAGCTTCCAACGTCTACAAAGTTGGAGACGGGTTCCTCCTTGTCGTTGAATGCATTGGCAGCAATGGCCACCGCTACTTCCGCTCCTGGAGCGGGGCCAGTCTCAGTGGTTCGTGGACACCTCTTGCAGCGAGCCAGACGAATCCTTTCGCTGGCTCAGCGAATGTTGCATTCTCGGGCACTCCATGGACGATGGACATCAGCCACGGCGAAGTGGTCCGCACTAATGTTGACCAAACCATGTCTATCAGTGCTTGCGGAATGCGCTATCTCTATCAGGGAGTTTCCCCAACCGCCAGCGGTAGCTACAATTCACTCCCGTGGCGCCTGGCCCTCCTCACCCAGACGAGCCCGTGTTAAATCAATGGCGCACAGTGGGGTAAATCAGCCTCATCATATTCTGGAGAAAGTTATCGAACGAGATATGTATGATATTTCCTGCCCATGTCACTCACGCGTTTGAAATTTCACCGTTGCTCCACCTCCCATAAATGAGCTCACGACGGCATAACTTGAGGCTGCGCTATAAATAGGTATGTTATTTATAGCCCGTTTCGGACTGAGGATATAAGTATAGAGCCCTCTGCGACTTCGCCAACGTTTGTCCTCTCTCCCACCACCATGTCTCTCTCAATGGTAACCCTCCCTCTCATTGTGCGCGACGTCCTCCGCTCAGTGTTTCCTCCGTAGCACGTTAATCCTGACCACCTCGTTCGCGAAGCTCATGTATGTGTCGGCGACATTGCATTTTATCTAAATCTGAGGTATATGCACTATAGGATAAGAAGACCCATCATCACAACCTCACCAAAACCAATCCAGACGCTCTCAGCCGCACTTACGGGGCGCGGTACGGGACGAACCCCATCGCCAAGTACACCTTCGCGTCAAAGGTCAGACATTGTTGCACCGGATGGCTTCGCTGAAGCTCACTATGTTCTAGGGTATTAGCGCTGATGCTGCGTATCAGCTCATTCACGACGAACTCAGCTTAGGTCCGTCATAGCCCTGAGATTATCCTAATTGATTCAGAACTTATGTTGGATATTCTTAGACGGGTCGGCCACACTGAATCTTGCATCATTTGTGCACACTTGGATTCCGGAACCCGCGATGAAACTTATGCAAGAGAATATGAACAAGAATCTCATCGACCAAGACGAATATCCAATGACTCGTATGTCGTTTCGCTCCTTCCGAGAGGTCGTACCAATAACACGCATATATGTCCAGAAATTATTCACACTCGATGTAAGTGTTATATATACATGCTCGACGTCGAGTCAACCCTTTCTTTAGGTATCTCGATGCTTGCGGACCTTTGGCACGCTCCATCATCCAGAAATGCTATAGGTACGGCGACCACCGGTTCATCCGAAGCCATACAGCTTGGTGGACTAGCCATGAAGCGCATCTGGCAAGAAAAACGCAAAGCTGCTGGGAAATCAATCCACGAACCTGGCCCGAATATCGTCATGGGTGCAAACGCTCAAGTCGCTCTGGAAAAATTCGCTAGATACTTCGAAGTTGAATGCCGACTTGTTCCCATCTCAGAAGAGAGCAAGTATAGACTCGATCCAAAGAAGGTTATGCAGTATGTAGACGAAAATACCATTGGCGTATTTGTCATCCTGGGAAGTACGTACTCTGATTCTTCCCTTATTCTTGCGGCTAATTTCTTGCGATTAATTGAAACCCTTCTCAAGGCACTTATACTGGGCATTACGAACCAGTAAAAGAGATATCAGATCTCCTTGACGAATATGAGGCGAAGACAGGCCACTCTGTTCCCATTCATGGTTGGTCTACCGCCCCCCCGCTCCAGAGGCCAATGATTAACCATTCAGGTACGTAGTCGATGGAGCTTCAGGTGCATTCGTCGCTCCGTTCGCGACAGTACGTTTACACGCATTTCACATTCAGGCTTTCTACTAATTCTTTGACTGAGTAGCCCAAGCTTGAATGGGACTTCAAACTTCCGCGAGTTGTATCCATCAACACATCGTCCGTACCTGTTCTTGCGCTGGTTGAGGCAATATCATGACCATATCTGTATAGGGGCCACAAATTTGGGCTTGCCCTTGTTGGCGTTGGATGGGTTATTTGGCGCTCGAAGGAGTTCCTTCCTAAAGATCTTATCTTCGAGCTCCATTACCTTGGTTCAGTGGAGTACTCCTTCTCTCTCAACTTCTCGAGGCCTGCCGCACCCATCATTGCTCAGTACTTCAACCTCCTTCACCTCGGGTTTGAGGGGTATCGAGCGGTAGCATTGAATGACCTACAGAACGCAAGGCTGCTGAGCCGGGCTTTGGAGCGAAGTGGGTACTATCATGTTCTCAGTGATATCCATCGCCCTTCTGGCGGCGGCGAGGCTGCTAAAGATTTCGACGAAGAAAGCATTGAGGTGCGATACCTGACCAATTGTTGTACTCGAAGGCTTACTACGCTGCAGAGTTATGAACCGGGGTTACCTGTAGTTGCCTTCCGCTTCTCAGACTCGTTCAAAGAAAAGTATCCCGATCTTCAACAAAAGTGGATCCAAACTTTGTTGCGTTCCAAGGGGTGGTATGATCTATTATTTGTTCTTACAGTATGCCGATTGTTGACACCTTCGATAGGATCGTGCCAAATTATGAGCTAGCGCCCGACCTCCAGAGTATCGAAATTCTGCGTGTTGTCGTCAGAGAGAATTTGACTGAAGTCGTGCGTATCACTGATTTCTGTTTGTTTGCTACATCCGCTTAGTAATGGCTATAGCTCATTGACCGGCTCGTTGCTGACCTTGTGAGAAGTTTCCAGATTATGTTGTCGCATCCATTGACGAGCTACTTGTAGATGGAAATCACCGAGAGCTTATCTAGCAAGGATTCACCAGCTCACGGATTGAGTATCCTTGAAGGTCTCCACAGGAAGAAGGGCGAGCATCGCGAAGGGAAACTTGAGGAAGGTGCTGGAAGCGAGAGTTCGGGGACATATGCCAAACAGTGCTGAACGTGTTCAAGCAAAGCAGAAAAGGCGAGATGGCGATGGACTTGTATATCAAACATAACTCGCTAGTATGGTGTTGTCGATCCACAATTTGCTATGCATCCGCTAGGACAGATACAATCGCCATAACCCCTCAAGTCACTTTTGTGTCTTGCATCTCCTGCATCTGCTTCGCAAACGCCTCGTCTCTCCTTTTCACCCAATCAACGTACCCCGGTGATTCCGCAGTGACCTTGCAATCAGACTTCTGATACACCTCGAGCTGTTCCAAGAAACCTTGGTTCGGGTTCACTGCAGGCCGCTTGGAGCGCATGAACTGGAGGGCTTCATCTCGAGACCATCCGCGTTTTTGCATCACTGAGTCAAGTAGGTCCGTGTCAACTGTCCCTCGCCAACGAAGAGAGAAGACTGACGGTATGCTGCGACGAAAGATGCACTTCGCGACGCGCCTTGCACGCAGTGCACGAGGACACTAGATCCAGAAAGGAGGGCTGTGTCGATGAATTTGTTGGCTTCTTCGAAGTGTTCCAGTATATCCTATCATGAACTCCATGGTGAGCTCACCTGCCCTCTACCAGAACTTGTCAAAAGAACGAGGAAGACTCACTACGTCGCCGTAATCCTCTACCTCAATCCGGCGATGAGCTACTATCTCGTGGTCGTTGGGTAGGGAGATCGTGTCGTGCGTGACCGATAAGATGTATTTGATGTTTGCTGCTTTGAGGATGCGTCCGTTGCGTGGGGAGAAGATGCTGGAGCAATTTCGTGATCAGGTTCTCAGGAAGTGATTCAGCGGAGTACTTACTTTCCGAGATACAAGCCATCGATGATTTCGTCTAGAGCGTTCATCTATTTGAAAGTTGTCGTGGGGTGAAGCGAACTTGAGACGCGCAGCTTCAAATAGAGAACGACCGGTTATCCTGTGAGAGTCGACTGCGTTTCATTCAAAGGTGCGTTGAGTTTCATCGCAGTCAAGCTCGAATAATGACACGTGAGATTTCGCCCCTTATGGTGGAGAGAGGATAGTCTCACGATAAGGTTTATTTTCTCACAGTCAGTAGTGTTAGATGATTTTCTTCACCAAGCACTCACTCTGTGATGAGATATGCAGCCTTTATCAGACCCTCGGCGACACGTAAATATTCGAGCTGAGCGCGTTGCGGATGTATCAAGCACCGACTTCCCAGGGCATTACCCAGGTGAGGACCACTCATGGTCCCTCGATAAATTCAAGCAGGTGCGTCTGTCGGCGTTTTTACCTTCCCTTTCGTGATCATGGACGCGGTAGAATTTGCAAGTCAAAGTTCAGAAACTATCGCAAAGATCCATCGATTTCGATATTGTCGGTGTGGATGCTTCAATCGCGAACGCGTTCAGGAGGATCATGATCGCCGAGGTACGCCCGTTTACCTCAAGAAGAAGTTGATGTAAAGTGTAATGCTACGGATTAGGTACCTACGGTCTGCATTGAATCCGTCTATGTCTGGAATAATACATCAGTCATAGTGGATGAAGTCCTTGCCCAGCGGATCGGGATGGTCCCTTTGAACGTCGACCCAGCCGTGATGGAGATGAAGAAATGTGGGTGCACGACGCGTCGCGCTCTGAACGATGTTCTTACTCTCGCAGCCAGCTCCCGACGAACAGCCAACCGATCGCAACACAATGGTGTTCAAGCTTCAAGTAGCATGCACGAGGAGCACAAACCGTGAAGAGCCATATATCGACGACCAGGTTCTCTCGGGGCATCTCACCTGGGAGCCTGTCGGCGAACAAGTCGACGTCTTTGCTCACAAACCGCCGGCCCCGACGAATCCCAACATTGTGCTCGCCAAGTTGCGTCCAGGACAGGAAGTCAATATGGAACTGCACGCGGTCAAAGGAGTGGGAAAGGATCATGCCAAGTTTAGCCCAGTTGGTATGCGCTCCGTTTGCTCTTAGTCGATACCTGTTATAACTCTGTGTACAGCTACGGCGTCGTATCGTCTCTTGCCATATATTCAGCTCAATCCACAAAAGCCGGTTCCTCCGCAGCACGCAGAAAAGTTCCAAAAGTGTTTTTCAAAAGGAGTGATTCGTATCGACCCTCGAACACAAACGGTTAGTGTCGACCCCGAAGCCGTCCGCGACGATACCGTCAGCAGAGAGGTGCTACGGCACCCGGAATTTGAGGGATGTGTAGAGTTGAAACGCATTCGTGACTATTTCTTGTGTACGTCAGGCCACCGACGGTGGTCGCCTGCCTATCATGAGCTGATTCCTTGCCTCTTTGTAGTCAATGTCGAGTCTGAAGGAGCCTATCCGCCCGAACGACTTCTGCCAGAGGCAGTCCATGTCTTCAGGAGCAAGATAGATACCATCCGAGAGGCAGCATTGAGTCTGAGGGCGGAGGACGTTGAGATGAATAACTAGTATATGTATGTATTTTATCTTCATTTCTTGTTTATTAGCATGCTAAACAATTCATGTGCAGATTCTATACAATGTGCTACCCCAAGGGTTGCAGTTATGATTCCCAATTGTGTCCACTGCGCCGAGCATAAGAACTATATACTTCGTAATCCCTGACACGTAAACTATGTACGTGGAACGACAGAACTTCCACGACGAAACTCTAGCTTTCTTCCTCTACTGCGCGATTCACGTTACCGGTAGTGATACAGCAAGAAGTGATGTTGGAGGCAAATGTCGGGCGGCTGGCTGTATAGCCCCAAGAATGTATGTACAAGCTAACATAAGGATGAGAACATGAAACAACACTGAAAAAAGACGTGACGAACAATGTTCAGTATGGTTTGTCTACTTTGGTTGGCGTCGGATTATCCTTTCTGCTGCGGCTTTGAGGTTCTGAGTTATCTACATGAGAAAAGGGTCAGAAGAGCTTTGGAGGACACATACAGCCAAAATAACCTGGATGAACCGTCGTCTCTCCGCAGCTTCTTCATTGCCTTCTATCTCACCGTCGCCATCGAACTCCTGGGCTTGTGGGACTTCGTTGGCGAGATAGGCCGGTGGTGGAGGCGGCGGCGGGAGAGCCGGGCGAGGAGAGTCGCACTCGTCAATGGTTGACTGTAAGAAAATGGGTTGGTGTGAGCGATTGCGAATGCAAGGACGCCTACCATAAGAGGGTCGGTTTCGACATAGCGAATATACGGATGAAAACGCGCATTGTGTCTGAAGCGGTAGGTCGGTAGTCGCAGTTGCGAGATGTGGTACCAGTCCAGGGTCTGCTCAATAGACGGCGCGTACATGTGGCATCCACCGTTACGAGAACGAGGGAAAAGTAACTGCATTATTGGTCAAGGTCAAGAACGAGTGTGCAGAACGCGGAGGATGCGGATGTTGGTGGTAGAGGCCAAAAGAGGGGCTACGCTTCGGTAGTTTTGTCGCGCTTTTTATATTGACGGTGGCAGTCATGTTATCTACCCGAAGAAAATCTTCTGTATTGGGTTCCCATATAGAAGCGTGGAATCTGCAAGGGATCGCTTTGGCTTCACCTATCCATCGCCGCTCAGCCGAGACATCGCACCATCCAGACCAAGGAACACGGCTTGCTGGACCACAGCGAAAACGGCCCCCTTCACGCTGCCTCGTACTGGCCCAAGTTCACTTGCGCGACGTCTATGTGGTGTTCTGCGCTGGCCATTATCCTGCTGTCGCAGCGTGGCCACGTCTTTCGCTCGGCAGCGTCCGCCTTCCCTTCGATGCTACTTCACGTCCCCATGGCTTCCAAATAGAACACGAGGCGACGGCGAACTTTTCTTGCTCCAACCTAAGGCAATTCCAGTACGGCTTTTGGCCTGGATCCTGAAGGAACAGGGCGCAAATCTGCGTACCCTGCGTGCGGTACCCTTGGCCCTGGTCACATGAACCTTCCGGATAAAGCCTGAGTCACGATCGCCATCGAAGCCCGACGCACCGACTGCCAGGCTACGGAGGACCAAATAAGGGAACGCGCCCGTGACCGTCACGTGTGACGCGCGTATAGAGCCGAGTCACAGTAAGTTCGCGGCTTGACTCTGTTCATGACTCGACGCTGTCGCTGATTTCAATTGTTAGCAGAGGTAGCATTCAATGTGTGCCAGAAACATACCGTATATCAAGATTTCCGTCAAGAACATGAACACGAAGACGCTTGCAGCAAGAGTCGTGGATGCTTCAAGATCGTCAAGCCGTCTGACCACCACGAAGACCCTAGTCCAACGACGAGGAGAATAACATGCAAGTTCAGGACAAGAACACTGCATGATAAGGTCTTGGAACATACCTGATACTTGAGACGCTGATTTTCTCTGCTCGCAATGACTCCAGAACCTTTCCCTCTACGCAATTTTGGTATATTGCGATGTTCTCTGGACCATCCCTGCTGGAACTATGCTGAATTCGATCCACGTAGTCGCGTGCTGAGGTCCCTTGAAGAAAAGCGCTTGGGCCATCTTGGGGTTACTTTGCTCGCTGGAGAAGCTGCGCTCTGTGCGTGAAGACGACCAGGAAACTCGCGACAATGAAAACTCACCAACGTGGACCTCAGCCTGGTCCTCGTCGACTCCTAGAGCCTGCAATCCCACAATGGCCCCATTTTCCAGCAAAAGGCATACTTGTATCGGACAGTCCAAATTCCAACAGCAGCGAAAGCTGAAGGAGTGCATCAAGCTCGTCTGATTGTGCATCAAGACTGCAAGCTGCTACCAAAAGGAATGTATCGCCTCAATCGTCCTCAAGTCGATGAAATGCAAGGCAATCTCGAATTTGAACGGTGCAAAAATGCCATCAAGCGGCGAGAAGATTGTGTGATACACGAATGAACGATGTGCAAGTCGTCTAGGCCGTAGTTCTGCAAATTCAGCAAGCCCAGAATACGGAGCGAGACCAGGATGTGGTAGGATGATGGCGGCAAGAAATGAGATGAGAGTTTTGCGCCAAATTCCAAATCAGCCACGGAAACTTCCCTCCAGAAGTCCGCTCGTTGGCTTGCCAGCTCCCCTCAATGCCTCGAATTCGACTCAAGCAGACGGATTCTCGCAGTCTCTCTCTACTCGCCGAATGCGCCATTTTCTCTCTGTACCGTGGCTATATGCTACCTCAATTTCTGGCCAATTCTCCGTCAAGTTTGCCAGCAAACTCCTCTGGAACGCTCCTGCCCATGCTATTTATTCGTCTGAATGCGGATCTTTACTCTAGAGGCCTCAGCAGCTAAAATTCCTCAAGCTACTCGATCGATTCCACGAAGGAACAGAGTTTGGGGGAGCCCCAGAGGCGAAGATGTCAGGTCCCAAAGGGCACGTCGCTCTCCAGCTCAAAGCGGTCGAAATCCGTGCTGAAACCAGCACATACGCGGTCAAGGCTCGAGAATGATGTTGAACAAAGCCTCGTACATCCCAAAATTCATATACAGAGCCAGCTGCCTGTGTACAGAATTTTCGACCGACCGGAAATACACTCTGAGGCGCCACCAGCTGCCCGTGCCACATCTCGTGCCCCACAAGCCATAAAGCAGTCAAGAGTTTAGAAAGTACGTATCTTTTGCCTTGGATCAAGTTTGGAGAATAACCAGCGTTTTGCAGATCCCAGAGATTGCGGTTTGGTCAGTCGACCCCTATACCTTCCTCCAACATTTCAGTCTGTGCGCCATTTCGGGGTCCATCGTGCCCTCGGCATACAACGCGCCTCTCAAGTCACCCCCAGCTTTCCGCGTCGCGTCGTCGTATGTATTATATCTATATCAAATCCATGATTTCCCCAAGCGCTCCTGGCGGACGGGTATTCCTTGACATGCAATATTATCCGAGATTGTGAACTAGAATGTACCTTCAGTCACCATCAGTGATCCCTGTTGTCCATATTTGGGTTTGCAAGTATGAGCATCAACAACCTTGCAACCTAATAAATTCAGCCGTCTTCTATTTGGATAGCATCTGTGACTAAAAGTTTGATTTTATTACATTCCAGCAATATGATGCAACTAGTTTTTGCTTCTCAGGCCGCACCTTCAGTCCACTTGACAAGACTTTTCAGGGATCTGGCAGGCTACAGTATCTATCAACCTGAATACACCGCAGAAATTACTATTCCCCTCCCGGAATCTGCCCTGAAGTCTCTCCTATACAAGGTCTGTACCAGTTTCCAGGCCACGACGAAACTTCTACCATACCGCTCGTGCGGGCGGCATGAGCTCCTTCAATACCATCACCATGCTGCATACTAACACCACTTCGAGCGCGCGGTCTGTCATGTACAGACGCTCGTTGATTTGACCAAACATTATCTGTATCCAGAACTATCGTAAGCGCACAAGAGGAAGGCCTCAAGCCTAAAAATATATATCTAGTGGAAATGACATCCAGTCTTTTGTCCAGTCGACACTACTCTGAGCGCTGATCAACCCCCATATGCAACAATTGCTACGTAACTCCGAATCCTCTCAGGCGAAGGAGACGGCAGCGGCGACACCCGCCAATACAGCGGCCATGCTCATTCCGGTTTGGAGAGCGCCGTTGCCGCTGCCACCGCTGCCACCGGACGTTGGAGCTGCAGTGCCTGACGTGGGTGGTGCAGTCGCAAGAGCGCCGAAGCCACCAGTTGTAGGGCCGTTATCTGCCTCCTATATATGGAGTCAACAACCTAGAAGGGTAGAACAGCGTGTAAGACTCACAGTTGGTTCACCAGCAGCACCAATGGCCATAGCTGCCGCGACGAAGTTGGCATGGGTGTTGCCAGTTGTTGGGGCATTGATGGAGCCAACCATACCAATGCCGCAGTGCGTTATCTGTTAAGTTGTAAGCTGCTGGTTGGATGCCTCCATTTACAGATGTGCGCCCTACCTGCTTGCAATGGAACCAGATTGCTGCAAAAATAGAACATCGATCAAAAGAAGATTCACATCAATTGAGTTATTTGAAAAAAGTACGTTTCGTATCATCAGTGATGGTGATGCTGAACTGTGTCCCAGCGGTGAGGCCGGAGTCGAATCCAGCCGAGTTGTTTGATGATGCGGCAAGGTAAGTACACGGGGCTGCGAAGGACGATTGAGTGACGGAGTGTGTAATTCCGGCGCTATTTTGAGATGGATTAGCAACGGTAAATATCTACGGGGATTTGGGTGTACTTAGGGAAGAAGAAAGTCACCACCGTGTTGTTAGGCGCAGTGATGTTTGCCGGGCTGAAGACGAATTGTCCACCAGCTGCTACATCGACCTAGAGGGTGAAGTTTCATGAGTTGTCGGAATGAATTACAGCACGTCAAATATTGCTTACATTAATGTGACCATCGGTGTTGGCGGGTGCAGAGGGTACTGCTGCCGCCGCTGCTGCTGAAGAGGTCGTGGGGGATGAGTTCCCCGCGGGAGGGTTGTAGCCGTACTGAGCTAGTGCCAAGGAGGGAAGCAGTGAGCAAATAGCTGCAGCTGTCTTGAACATCATCGCGGTTTCGTGAGAAGGGGGTCTGGGTGAGAGTGCAAAACGGGGGTCGTGGCTGTCGAGAAATGTTAACGCGACTACTTCATAAATACTTTACGACCGTATCGATGCTGCGGAAAACAAGAGCTAATTTTGCCACGGAAGAGAGGGATACCCATATCCCGATGGACTTTTCCCATATGAGTGGGAATGTGTCTCTGGGATGTCACCCAATGAGGGACTGATGGGAATGGTACGTGAAGGATGGAAGGTATTCCCGGCGAATCAGTCACCAACGATGATGGAGCAGGGGAGGCCAATCAAGTTCCGTAAAAATGAGACGAGATTCTAGGGTCTACAAAAATATCATCTATTTTTGCGTTCCCATGCCCGAGTTAATCTAATATGAAGGATATGTTAGTAAGTAGAGTTGCGAGATTTAAAGGGGATCATTGGCGACATCATGGGACAAACGAGCCCCATGGAGTGGTCGTGCACGAAGCGCAGTAGTCCGGCACGTTGAGTATACAATGGTGGGTGTATTTCCCAGGATCTGATGAGTCGCTGTTGCGTTATCATCGAAGAATTGGCGTGGATAATTATACTTGCAATCCCCTTTCCGCCCGAAGGCGACAGCCCAAACTATCTTCAGACTAGTGCCTATCTCTCGAACATGAGACATATTCATAGCCGACGGATGGGATGAACCGAGGCGAGGCAAGCATGAACCTCCAACGAGGCCGTGAATTCCATCCTCTATAATTCATTAATACGAGACAAGGGCTTCCTAGTGCTCAGTCAGCGAGGGCATGGAGGCAGTGTGTTTCTCACAAGCAACGCTTTTAAACTTGATGAACTGATGGGTCCTCGAGACGGATCTCAGGCCGCGGACAATTGATGGTTGTTAGAAACAGGAGTGCTTTGTCAGCAACGTTGACGAACTCACCGTACATACAGTCGCTCAAGCCGCCAATGCATAGACTCGGCGGCGTTGGGATAGGCGCGTTTGAGAGGCATGAACAATCCAAACGGTCCTTCGCAGAACTCTCCAATGCCCTATCTCAAGCCCAGGTCGATCACCTGCACTCTCAGCTGAATCAGTTCCGTACTGCCCTCACTCATTTCGCCAGTACTCACCGCGATACCATCAAGAATGACCCCGCATTTCGCCGCGCGTTCCAACAGATGTGTCTATCTATTGGCGTCGACCCACTTGCCGGACCAAGGAAGGGCGGATGGTGGGCTGAGCTGCTGGGACTCGGAGATTGGCAATATGAGCTCGGAGTACAGATCGTAGACGTGTGTATCAGCACGAGGGAGAGAAATGGCGGCATCATCGAGCTAAAAGAGTTGGTGAGACTGGTCAGCAAACTGCGAGGCGTGGATGCCGGCGTTGTCACGGAAGACGACGTAGTACGAAGCATCAAGACTCTACAGCCACTCGGGGCGGGATATCAAGTTGTAGAGCTGAATGGTACAAAGATGGTGAGGAGTGTAGTCAAGGAACTCGATAGAGACCAGGCAGTTGTACTTGGACTGGCACATGAAGCGGGAGGGAGGATTGTTGTGGATATTCTGGTCGTGCGTCTGGGGTGGACACGAGAACGATCTCAAGCTGCGCTGGATAACATGCTTCTTCGTGATGGTCTTTGCTGGATCGATGAACAAGACGAAGAGAGTGGCGTATCTTACTGGATCCCTTCGGGAATGCAATGGGACGAATAATTCATGATCATCCAGAACTGTACGTGCCAGATCTCACCTATCCATAACCAAGGCCCTGAGCCGCTACCATTTCCTCAGCTCCATTTACCCGAGTCGATGTGCCCTTCAATGCCGTACCCAGGACCCCCGTGCCCTTTGACCGCCTTTGGTAGCAGCTTGCGCCCAGATGATGCACGCAGACAATCATCGAATAGCAGTGCAATAATGCCAACAATGTATACAACTCATCCACGTTGAGTATCAGGATGAGCACTGCTGCTCAATGCTGACAAGCTAGAGTCCGCTTGCGATACTTCTTGGGTTGATGAACTCGCTAGAGACGCGAAGTTAGCAGATGGAGCACTTAGTAGATAGGGTCACCCACGGTGCTGTGATCCATTAGGAGTCCTACGATCAGCACCCTTCGCCATGAATTTTATCGTCTTCACCGCCAATGTCTTCATATCCACCAATACTAGTATACCCGTCTCCGAAAAGTTAGGCACCATGATGATTCGACATTTTCTCGATCCGGCGTCGTCGTCGTCGTCTTCGGAAACAAGGCGAGTTCCAAATCGCTTTTGACAGCCCACGACGTAAATGTCAGGCGTTTCTTGTATTATAAATGGGTCTGCTGAAAAATAAGGATGGCACCAAAGTGTATCAGGCGCAGTGGGGGCCATATGTCTCCATTTTAGGGTTGATTCTAATATCGACAGCCGTGTATGTGGTGGGGATTCCAGATACTTGAACAAGTCATTCAGCGGTTGGCCTGAGTTGACAAGAAATTTGCGAGGGACGGGCCGAGCTGATAAAGATGCAGTAGATTCTTCATCTTCATCTTCGCCAGATCCAGTTTCCAGATGAATGTATGTAGGATTTGTTTCGCATGAGAACCAGGGCATAGAAGTCGCGCTGCCTAACATAGCTCGGGGGAACGGCTGCTGCGGTAGAATGCTGCCTGATGGATCGTTTGATCCGGGGAGGATGTGCACGGGCATGACTTGCGTTATGTCGAGTAAATAGCCGGAGAGTGTCTGGATGGGATGAGGTGAGAAAGGCGAGGGTTCGTTGCCGTTGCGCTTCTATCAAGTCGATGAATAAACCCATACGGGGATTCGACGTGACATACAGCTACGCACTCCTTTTTTGTCGTCTAGCGAGATATTCTCAACCTGGGGTCCAAGGTCTAAAGGTGCCAATGAATTGCCAGCAATGATAAGTCGCGATATTCGAGATGCCTCAAGCTGATCGCCAGGGCCTCCGCCTTCACATGTGAGGTATTCAACAAGCATATGGATGAGGATATCTGAAAGAGAAGACGTCGTCCCGATGTCAAAGCCGGACACGAGAGCCACCCATTCTGGTTGCAGAGCATCTAGGTGCCTTGTCAGTAGCGTGTCTGTGCGACGAAGACGAGCCTTACCATCTACGTCCATTGTTGGGGGATCTGGCAAAGATGGCTGCGGTGCCAAGCCAGGCAGGCAAATATCTGCGACCTCGAATTCCCCGCCAGGTGTCTCTATACCGAGAGCACCGATCACGATGCCTGTGACGAGCTGTATCTTCTTCAGGTGTTCTCCAACAAGATTTATGCGACCTGATTCATCCTCGAGTGATATGATGTCGCCTTCCGAACAGAATTTCGGAGGCGGAGCAGGTGGTAGGATTGATCGCTAGAGCAGGGGTCATCATGAAAGAATAGGCGCGAAGATTTTGAAGGAACACACGTCTCTAGCAATATCCTCGAGTACGTTAGGCTTCAGCGGCATGTCCAGATATACGGTTCCGATGATGTAGCATAATTGCCCTTTCTCGACCTCGAGTACACGATCCACAAGAACTGGATCACCGTCGAGATCCTTCCACTTTCTTTCTGCCCTCTCCAAGACGCACTCCCGAAGGCATTGTAGCCTCATATAGTAGATATTTGAGTATTGGTACTTGTAAGACTTGTTGGCATTTCCGATTACAAAGGAGGGCGTATCCTCCGAGCGCGCAATGAGAGTCGTCGAGGCGCGTTCCAAAGTGGAAGAAGAAGCACTGTTATTCATGAATTGAAATCCTTGGTGTGCAGAGAAGAGAAGAGCCTACATTGGAACGTCCATAGGATCCTAAAAGCTGTGGTGGCGGGTGGAGACAGGGGATGTGGCTAAATTCAATGGAGTCGCGAAAGGACGCGTCGGGAAAGTTTGGCTTTGTTTGTACTCTGGATCAGGTAGAAGAGACAGGGGAAACGATTGCCTTCACTTCTCTCTCTGATACTACCATGATAGCGGGCAACATTCTTGACCTACCGCCCGAACTCTTGGAGGACATGCTCTCGAACTTGGACAGTACGAGCGATCTCCTGCATCTAGCGTTATCGTGCAAGGCATTCTCACAGCTTGTCATCCCGCATCACATATACACCAGGTCTCTCGACGTACACCCCCGCCAGGTCGCCATCTTATCGCTGCTCACCAATGTGCCATTATACAACTCAAGGTTTCATACCATACGAATCACGGATTCTTCGATAAGATATAACGTACTCAAGAATCTAGGCATATTGAAGCTCACTAATCAGTTGGAATCCAACCGCGCCGACGAACTCCCTGCGATTCTAGCCGTTATGCTGCCCCAATTCATTCATCTGACCAAGTTTGTGTGGACGGCACATATTGCACTACCTGCGGGCCTGATTTACACCCTGAAGGATTCGCCCCAGCCGCTCACGGAATTGGATATCCAGTACCATCTAAACACTGACCACGTCAGCACCACATGCCCTGGCCTACTTTAAAACATTGACACTTATACTCTTGACGTCTAGGCTGAGCTCTTAAGCCACATCGCCGAATACTTTCCTGGGCTGCGCTCGCTCACATTGAACCGCAGATATGATACCGGCGGCAGCGTGGTGACGGGCCACATACCAGACGTCTCGACTCCAATCTGCGCTGCCAACTGGCCAGACCTAAAATCTTTCATCCTATTCGGGTTTTTCGTATCAGATGGGGCTCTGGACGGCTTCTTTCGTCGACATCCAACGATCGAACGACTGGGCACGGACAAAGTCCAAAATGTCACATACCCATCAAATCTTTGTTCCCTCACTATCAGGGATATGACGACCTTGGGCATTCAACCTACGTCCATTCAGAACATACACTATGCGAATCTTTCGATTAATCCATGGTCGGGGGGAGTCGCCCTCACAAAGTTCATTAGGCAGATGCACAACCTCTCTGTACTGGAATGCAATGGGGCCGTTATATCTTGGGACCTCCTAAAAACATTTCCAGCGAACCTTCCATTCTTGACCAAGCTGAATTTTGTTGTGAAGATTGGCGCCGGCATCACCGTTGAACGTGTATGAATCCCCCACATTTGCTTATTCGGCGACTGTACTAACACATGCCCTTATTCTCATCAGCTTTGCAATACCGTTAGTGGCCTTCCGAATTTAACGCACTTTGCTTCTGTGGTACCGAACACAGAAGAACGCCCGCAGCACACCGTGGCCTATATCATCAATAAGTTGGCCCAGAGAAGTAGATCGCTGAAGTATCTACATGTGGGTCCAGACGGTCGAGACCATCGACTGAAGCCGTACCTCTACCGTGATTGGTATAGAATTAAACGTGATGCGGAAGGCGAATTCGAAGGAGTGCCGGTGAACCCTGCTGACCACGGGGCGCGAGAAATACTGGTCAGTCATTGGGAAGAGGAGCTCATGGCGTACGTAGGTTGTAACGGGTATCTTCATTAATACTCACCGTTAAACCTAGAAACAGAGGGTTGGAAAAGCAGACAACGATAGCCAGGGCTCAGCCATCTACCCATACTCCCAAGCCAATGAACACACCGAAGACATCGAAATCATCACGTTGAACCACTGCATGGGCCGCTGCCCCCATCGGCAATTGGCTAGTTACCACGGCTCTGCGCAGGCATTTGAACATGCACGATAATATTGAAGATATACCAATAAGTAGACTATAGACCTTCCTCATGGAATCAAAAGGACTTTCGGGGCATAAAGCAAGACCATTCAAGTTACACGGATTTGATATTATGTACCCTGACCGTCGATCGTGGAATGCACGGACGGGCTAGAGAATGCCATATCGCCCAGCCCAGGAGGCTTGCAATTTGATTTAGACGCTCGTTGATCGATTCATGGCTCTCGGGAACAATTCATTGCATAGTGCGAAATTCGCATGGCACGGGGCTGGCTGATACTAGACATCAATGAGCAAGGCTAAGGATGCAACAGGGCGGGGTTCCATATCGAGAGACTTAAGACAGTACACATTTATTGGTTTTCTACAAGTACAACGTGAATAAACCTCAGTTGATACAAACCTCAAGTGCGAAGGAACGAAAAACCTGGGCGAGCGAGAAACATAGGACCAATCAAGTAGAGTCCTCATCAGCCAAGTCTTCTTCATCTGCCCACTTGGGAAGCCATTCTTCCCAACCAACCCATTCGTTTTCGTCATCGTGTGCGACATGGGCGTGGTCGGGTGGACCGTGCTTCTTGTTCTTGTGAGGATTGATCAGCCTAGCGAGGACATGGGCAGCGCCGTTACGGGAAGGGACATCAGTCAAGACAGCACGCTGGCCATTCACAAAGACCCTGTGAATGAAGAGCGAGTGCGGATCGGGGCCAGGAAAGGGAACAGTAAGTTTGTATTTGACGATGGTAAGATCGAGGGTGTGATTTCCGAATAGAGTAGGGACGGTGATGTTCGAGGCAAATATGAGTTCAGGCTTGGGGAACGGAGAGCGAGGGAGGCCGGACGAAGTATCCAACCCAATGCGCCTATATGGTCGGGGCATGGCATGAGATGTTGCATACTTGACCTTGGGATCGAAGAGAGGCTCGAAATGGCGCTCGAGATGGAATTCATCGTGATCACACCCATGTTCAAAGTCGAAACCTTCTAAAGAGGGAAGGTTGGTTAATTCGATTTCTTCGCCAGAGGTGGAGTTGTATAAGTAATCTGTTTCACATATTAGTAATGCCTCGACCAGCTTCCATCGGGCAACTTAACCGGAGTGGATAAGAAGTTCAGGGACAGTGTGGTACTGCAGGATCTTTTTCAAGACGTGCTCGCCGAAGGGTGAAAACAAGAAGAGCCGCAGCTTGAGAGGAAGTTTGTTAAACGCCTTGTTGATAGGAATGAAGGAGGTGACAACTGGGGCGCCTTCCAATGTACCCTTCTCGCCCTTTTTACCAGGCTTGTATCGGAGGTCAAGCTCTTCAACTAGCCCAACGCGTTGGATGACTGAAGTCTGTTTCCAATTCAGCGATAATACTGATACCCACGAAGATAGGCGCATACATATGTAGAGAAGGCCTGGTAAAGCAAGAACGCTTCTTGGAAGATGGATGGCGGAGGAAGCAATGGGCGAGAAATTGTGTGTGCAATACCATTGGACGCCTTGGTCTCCAAAGTCAACGTGTTGAAGAAGTTGACCTTCAGTGGAGAAGCGATCGGGCCTCTCTTTTCTACATGTATGCGCAAAGGTTTCCCGTCTAGTGAACCATCCGGTAATTCAAGAGACGTCGCATATGTAATGTTGGCGGCAAGTTCGGATTGAGTGAGAGCATCTGGGAGGATGTGATACGAAAGGATTGCGTGCAGTATTTTCTTGAGGAACTTCTTGCGTTTTTCTTTATCTTCGTCGTCGCCAGGCGAGGATTCACCAGTGTCAAGCATAGAGACCACGGCTTCCAAGTTATAAAATCCTGAGGAATTATCAATGAGAGATTCAAAGTCGTCCTCGTGCGGGTGTTTGTCCTTAGGTTCCTTGAGCGCCCAATCGGGTACAGCGAAGAAAGTCAACCTGGAGGTAAATTAAATTTCAGAAATGGCCTGCAGCTTGACTTGAATATCAACGTACGAGGAAGAGCTATCGTTGAGGACTTTCAGCATCTCCTCATCGAACTCCAAAGCCTTGGTCAACTTCGTAAATCTGGAATTGATACATTTAGCTTGAGATGTCCGAGATACAACGCATATATGAGCTTACTCAGGACTTCCGCTGATGGTCTCGTAGATGGATTTCAGTACAGGAGCACCTGGAGGCTCAGCTGCGCTTTGGACAGGTAGGTGGATGGGTAGTTGCGACCCTGCAGAGATGTCGTAGAAGTAGCTGGGCTCATCGTCGCCGTACTCGACGACAGCTGCAGAGCAGGCCGCTGCGGCCAGGAACAACTGATGTACCTTCATGATGATGGGGGTTGGGAAGAAAGAGGATGATGAGGGAGTCCTGGCATTTATATGTTATCTACACAGGGCGCTCTCGACCAGCTGTTCAACTGCGGATGGTTGCACGGATGACGCGGAAGTGATGGCTTAGTGCGGAGTGCTGTTCAGGGGTCTCGGACATTTGGACTTATCTGTGCGTGGCGTCGGGTGTTCCGCTATGGTGGTGAGCACGCAGCAAGCACGCACTGTTCTAGAGTCTATCATCGCATTAGGCGCTCGATAACATAGCTTAGACGCCCAGTTATCGAGATGCCAAGAACAGTCCAGCACGATGTCGACACTCACAACGGAGGCTCAATGCAGCCACCTTCAACGTTGTGAGTGCCTTGTGTTCATATTTGGTCTGAGAAATTATCATCATTAATACCACACCATGGTTCGTGATCATAGCTATTGTCCAGTCGTAAACGGAAGCACCAATATCTATTCGGCCATTTGACGGAATTTGTCTTGGATTTCAGAGTACAGCGTATCCAGCTTCTCTTTGATTGGCTCTTTGCCTTGGGAAGGAGACTGGTGATCATGGGAAGGAACCGTGAATAGGCATTGAGCAAATTGACACAAGAGTCGAACATACCTCAAACTTCATTTGCGATAATTTGAACATGATATCAGACGCAGAGTCCTTGATCTTGGCGAACGTGAGGTCGCCTTGCGATACAGCCTTGATAGCGGCATCATGGAACCCGACAAAGTTCCGTAGCATCGCACTCGTCTTGTAGAATGGGCAATATCGATCGTACTCGCTCATACCGTTTTGCTGCAGGAAATCGTCCTTGAGCATACGGGCTACTTCGAGCGTTATCTTATCGTTCTCTCCGAGTGCACTCTTTCCGACAAGCTGGACGATTTCGGCGAGGTCTTCTTCCTTTTGCAAAATTTCCTTTGTCTTCATGCGCAGCTCGACGAAGCCAGGCTCCGTCGATTCGTAGTACGGTTCGAGGACCTTGATGTATTTCGAGTATGACAGCGACCAGTTCACGGATGGGAAATGCTTGCGCTGGGCGAGTTTCTTGTCCAGACCCCAGAAGACCTGTACGATACCAAGCGTGGCGGAAGTGACAGGGTCTGAGAAATCACCACCAGGGGGCGAGACACTGGATGATATTATCAAGGTGATGTTGCGCAGTAAAACTGAGTTGACTTACGCTCCGACGATGGATACAGTTCCCTCTCTGACCGGGTTGCCCAGACAGACGACCTTACCAGCACGCTCGTAGAAGCTAGCAAGTTTCGTTCCAAGGTATGCGGGGTAACCTGAATCTGCGGGCATTTCTGCGAGACGACCGGAGATTTCACGAAGAGCCTCAGCCCAACGGGACGTCGAGTCCGCCATCATAGCAACATTGGAGCCTTGGTCACGGAAGTACTCTGAAAGCGTGATACCGGTGTAGATGGAGGCTTCACGGGCGGCGACAGGCATATTTGAAGTGTTGGCAACGAGCGTTGTACGCTTCATGATAGGTTCTTGACGGTCGCCGACGTCCATGGTAAGTTCGGGGAACTATTAACAGTGTCAGCTGTTTCTCAAAATGGAACTGGGTGATATCCACCTCCATCAAGACTTCGGCCATCTATGTAGGCGTCAAGTTCTAATCTGGCTTAAGGAAGTGCAGTTTGGCATACCTCATTTCCTCGCTCTCCGCAACCGACATAGACAATGATGTCGCTATTCGAGTATTTGGAAAGTGCTTGTGAAATAACAGTCTTGCCACAACCAAAGGCTCCAGGGATAGCCGTGGTGCCTCCTTGCACACACCTACAACCGAACCCCTGAGCGTGGCTCTGGCACAATCATACATGCTCACGCACGGGAAAAGGGCATCCAAGATACGCTGGCCAGTCAGAAGAGGGTGATCGGCAGTCTTTTTCTCGGCAACTGGTCGAGGCGCCCGGACTGGCCAAAGTTGCATCATGGTATGCTTTGTCTTCTTGCCGTCGAACTCCGTTTCCAGTACGATGTCCTAACATATAAAACGATGAATTCGCGGATCTATGAGAGTAGGCATCGGATTCTCTGCACTTACATTGACGGCGTAACTTCCTTTCTCGGCTATGTGGGTGATGGTGCCCAATGCACGCGGCGAGAGCATGATTTTGTGTTTGTCGACAAGCGAGTTCTCGTAGACATTCCCGAAAATGTCACCTCCGGATATATGGTCGCCAACCTACAGCAACAATGAGCACATCGAAGGCGGCGTATTAGGACAGTCGGATGTGCACGCCGCACCTTGAAAGTGGTTGGCGTGAAGTCCCATTGTAATGATCGGTCAAGTGCATCAGTGTTGATGCCGCGAGGTATGTAGATGGATTTCGAGAGTTCTTGAATGGACTGCCAGCGGTAAGGATATCAGCATAGAGGTAGATGATTGGATTTCTAGAGGCCTACTCGGAGAGGGCGTTGAATACCATCGACAATGTTCCCCATCAAGCCTAAATGCAGTATTGAGGGCGCGCTGAAGAGTTGTGGATTTGAGCAGAACATACCTGGGCCGAGCTCGACGCTCAGAGGCTTCCCCGTGCGCAACACCGGATCACCTACTGTAACCCCTGATGTCTCTTCGTATACTTGGATGGTAGCCTTGTCGGCTTCGATCCTAATGACCTCTAAGGCGCACATTGGAAGATCAGCACCGCTAATTTGAAAAGGAATTTCGTCTCTCGCTTACCTCCCACCAGCTCATCGTGGCCAACGCGTACTAGCTCGTACATGGCTGCGCCTATCATGTTCTCTGCGACAACGACAGGCCCAGATACACCAAAGACCTGGCCGAAGCGGCTCTCGCGCTCTTCATCTCTGATCTTTGGGAGGTCCCGTTTCGCATTCTGCAGAGCACCGGCCATAGCGTTGCGTTACTTGGAAGATCGTGAAATGTTTTGGAGGAGCACTGCAGTTTCCGTCGCCTCAGGCAATCAGGGATAGCGGGCTTTGAAAGTGGCTGGGAAATGCCGAGGCGCGTAAGAGATGTGCATGACGCGTTCAGCGACTCTGTTCACTGTTCCTTTGTGCGACGAGCAAGATGCCCCCAAAAGCGTGCGTTTCCATTATTTGCTGGCTTGGACAACGTTTCTGATGCTGGATGCAGTGACTGGGAGAAATGTGCGCCCCGGAGAGCTGAACGAGTGGTCTAGTGACTGACATCCGTGTTTGTAGACGAAAAGAAGGCCGACGACAAGGCTGAGGAGAAGATTGTCGGTACGTTGCTCGCCGTATGAGGCGGCGTTGACGAAGCTAAACTGCATGTAGCTCTGGATGACAGTGACATCCAAATCCTCAAGACATACGTATGATTCCCACTGCTCGCCCGACTTGGATTATACTCATTCTAGTCCAGGGACAAGGTCCGTATGCCTCGAAAATAAAGTCGACAGAGGCAGATATCAAAGAGATACAGAAGCGAATAAACGAGAAGCTTGGTTCGTAAACCATTCCAGGATCATTAGATTCCGAGTACACTAAACCTCGAGTATACAGGCGTGAAGGAGTCTGAAACGGGTCTATCGTCGCCGAACCTATGGGACCTTCCTGCAGACCGACAACGAATGAGTGAAGATCATGCGCTGCAGGTTGCTCGGTGTACGAAGATTATTCCTGTGGATGCTGCGAAAGCCGAAGCGGCGCGGTCGGTGAATCCCCCTGGTGCGCCTCAAGGGCAGAAGGGTGCGGACGAGCAAGATCAGTACGTTATCAACATCAAGCAGATTGCGAAGTTCGTTGTTGGTCTCGGGGAGCGCGTGGCTCCGACAGATATTGACGAGGGCATGCGAGTTGGGTGAGTCAGGATATCGTTTTGCCCTTCGTGATGTATTCTCATCCTTTGCGTGCGAAGTGTCGACCGAACGAAGTATCAAATACAAATACCACTTCCTCCCAAGATCGACGCCTCGGTGACAATGATGCAGGTTGAAGAGAAACCTGACGTGACGTATTCAGATGTTGGCGGCTGCAAAGAACAGATAGAGAAACTTCGAGAAGTCGTAGAGACGCCGCTACTTTCGGTGAGTAAATCAAGTAATACTTCTATGTGTCGCTAACTCTACCGAAGCCCGAACGTTTCGTCAAACTTGGTATCGACCCACCGAAAGGTGTACTACTCTTTGGCCCTCCTGGTACCGGAAAGACGCTATGCGCGCGTGCTGTCGCTAACCGAACAGACGCTACATTCATCCGTGTCATTGGTTCAGAATTGGTGCAGAAGTATGTCGGTGAGGGAGCTCGTATGGTCCGTGAACTCTTCGAGATGGCACGGAGCAAGAAAGCGTGCATTATCTTCTTCGACGAAGTCGATGCCATCGGTGGTGCGCGGTTTGACGATGGTGCTGGTGGTGATAACGAGGTGCAGAGGACGATGTTGGAGCTGATTAACCAACTGGATGGTTTCGACCCGAGAGGAAACATCAAGGTGTTGATGGCGACAAATCGACCGGATACGCTTGACCCTGCTCTGCTGCGTCCTGGGCGGTTAGATCGTCGGGTAGAATTTTCGCTACCAGACAATGAAGGTCGGGCACATATCCTTCGGATCCACGCGCGGAGGTACGTTTCCCGTGTTGGTAACGATTTGAATTCTCATTCGGTTCGATAGCATGAGTGTCGAGCGAGACATACGGTTCGACTTGATCGCTCGACTATGTCCGAACACAACAGGAGCAGAGTTGCGGTCGGTGGCCACCGAGGTATGTCTCTTCATACATTTGTCTATTGGCGACAATTAACATGGTAATAGGCCGGCATGTTTGCGATTCGAGCACGGCGGAAGGTTGCTTCAGAACGAGACTTCCTCGACGCGGTTGAGAAGGTGGTCCGGCAGGGGACCAAGTTCTCCAGCACGTGAGTAAAGTTTCGCGTTTTCTCCAGTCCATGTTCTGATTTTTCATGGATTGCAGACCGTTATATCAAGTGTACAATTAGATTTTTATGTACTCTCCGTCGTTTACACTCTTAATCTGATTCATGGGACTATTTGCGCATTTGGTGTTGTGAGCCTTGACAGCCGGACGGATCCACTATATGATCCTGGTGCCCGGAGCTCTGAATGATTCTCTCATGTTGCTTTCACTCACTCGCCTCTCCCACCGAAGGACGCTGAGGTCGTGGCGATGTTACTCGCAGCTGCTGGACACTCGACGGGCCCCCGAACCATCGTCTGCAGAGGTCGCTCAGCTGCTCACAAAGTACGCGGCACACGCCCCGCTCTCCATCAACCTCGCTACACTCCTGTCATTCGGGCGGCCTCTCACGCCAGAATCAATCTTATCTTCAGTTCAGTATGCGCTCTCAGAGATACCCAGGAGGCTGGCGACGCGAGTACGGTCGCTGGAGTCCTTGCCTTTCATTGTCGGCACGAACCCGTATGTCGCAAAGACGCTGAATGCGTACAGGGAGAGTTTTCAGCTGCTAGCGACGTACCCTCATGTTGGCAGCTTGGACGAGAACGCGAAATTCGTCAGTATGCTTGCCGAGCTGGTGCGAAGGCATGCCAATGATATACCGACCATGGCGAAAGGGTGTGTTGCTTCTGAACTGGTTTTTGCATTTCAACTTACGACCAGGATATGGCTTCAGCTTCCAAGAGTGCGCCCGATACATGTCACCGGTGCAGATCAGCACCTTCCTTGATGGCGCGATTCGCAGCCGAATATCTGTTCGGCTCATCGCAGAACAGCACATCGCCTTGTCCGAAGCTTTGGGCAATCCAGAGGGGGATCCCACTTGTTCCGGAGTAGTAGACATGGACTGCTCGCCGAAGGAAATGATCAAGATGTGCGGGTCCTTTGTCACTGAGCTCTGTGAAGCATCGTTGGGCGCCAGCCCTCGAATCGAAATTGATGGCCAAGTGGATGCGACATTCGCGTAAGCACCTTCAATTTGAAATGTCCCTGCAATAGCCTATCTGACAATACTCCCGCTGGACAGATACGTCCCGGTGCACATCGAGTATATTCTCACAGAGGTCCTGAAAAACTCCTTCCGCGCGACCGTCGAGCACCACCACAGACGTCATGGCAATTCCTCCTCACACGAGCTCCCATCAGTCAAGATAACAATCTCGCCGCAGCCTATAATACCCGGCCTCCCCGCAGATACCCACAAGTTCCTCTCTATGCGAATCCGCGATGAGGGCGGAGGTGTCTCACAAGCAGACATGAACCGTATATTCTCATACGCTTTCACAACGGCCGGGCGCGGGTCGCGCCATGAATCCTCTGAAAACGATATGGACAACGATCCCTTTGTGAATGGACCATACTCTGCCCAGTATGTTGGTGGGAGCGCTGCTATCGGTTCAGGCAGTGCAAGTGGTGAAGCTGGCTTGTTTGGAGAGATTACGGGGAAGGGTGTTCAGATGGGCATGGGAACCATCGCTGGTTTGGGGTACGGATTGCCCATGAGCCGACTGTACGCCAAATACTTCGGTGGTTCACTTGATTTATTCTCTTTCGAAGGCTGGGGCAGCGATGTCTTCCTCAAATTACGTTGTCTGGACGAGGCTGGGGACTCCGCAATATGATCATAATGGATGATAAGTGTTCTTCACTGAATACGTATCACTGGATATTGTTATTGCTCGTGTAAATAATTGTACTTACTAGTTTTCCGCATAATAAGATGGTGCATTCGTGATCCACACGTCTGGGAACCAGTTAAGTTCCAGAGTTCTGAGATTATATTGGTGTAGAGAAGTAGTTGCGAGGATAACGTGAACAATGCAATGATGCAATGGAATGAAAACAGATAGGGAATAAGGGCGTAACAGAAAAGCAGTGAGGATACAGAGCCTATCCAGAGTTATGTACGAGGGGGAGAAAAGCCCAGCTTGGAGAACCAAAGAAAGATCATCCAGTTTAACTAAGAGTCGTTGTCATAAGGTGTCCTATTTTGATGTGGTAGACTGTGATGAGTCAGTTTCTAGACATCCGCGAGGGATCCACCGAATTACTCACAGCAAACCCGCTCAACGTCCGGCTTGAAAGGTATGAAGACGATGATGAGATGACCTGAGATTGAATTGTTCTATATGACCGAGAGGATGACCCAAGCGTGGCGGAGGCGTGATTCGAGTTGCTCGGTGTTGTTGGTCCAACAGTAGCTGAAGTACGTGATGAACGCGCCGTTAACGGTGTAGGCGCGCCGATTTGCGACTTCTTGGGTGTCTCCAACAGGGTCTTACTACGACCACTCAGACCGATGCTTTTCGAAGATGACGAAGGCAATGGAGGCTTGGACCGTTTCCCGGCAGTCACGAAAGGATGACGCATAGCGGCCTGGGGCTTGATGCGACGCTCAGGGTCCCAAACAAGACATTTCGCGATGAAGTCCACAAAGTCCTCCTCATTGCACCGCAGGACTTGAGCGAGTGTCTTCGTACCAGGGCGGCGGCGACGACCTTTCTGGTTCACAAACGGACGAGGCGCACCATTCGTGTCTACCCAACATGAGCTAAACTATCGACCAGGCTGAACGAAACGGCGTACCAAAGAACAGCTTCTTCCTCGAGCTCCGGTTAATGAAGTCTTTGTCAGGCGCACCTAGAACCTCCATTATGCATGCCAACTGTTCTTGCTCGTTTTCACCAGGGAAAATAGGGAAGCCAGTGTACAGCTCGGCGAGAATGCAACCCAGACTCCACATATCGATGGCCATATGATAGTTCATTCCCATAATCACCTCCGGTGAACGGTAGAAACGACTCTGGATATACGTATAGACTAAACATGGAAACGACATGAGTATCGCAAGTGCGGGCCGTAGGGTTCACGAACTTACTTTTCTCGTGCTCGAAGCAGCTACTCCCGAAATCAATAACCTTGATCGCGCTCTTCATTGGGTGTTTCAACAGGACGTTCTGAAAGTCGGTTAGTCTCAAAATGTCGACTATGGATCAAACAATACCTCTGGCTTTAAGTCGCAATGCACGATGCGATGGTGTCTCATGAGAGACAAAGAAAGGAGCATTTGACTTGTGAAGCGTCGGATGAGAGCAGTGGTGAAGCCAACGAAACCATTCGCTTTGATGAGCTCATAGAGGTTGATACTGAGAAGTTCCATCGCAATGCACAAGTGGTTTCGGAAATAAAAATGTTCAGTCATCTTGATGACGTGGTGCTTTTCTTCTGAGTCCTGTGTGCTTGCTAGATACCATAAGACCATATGAGAACATCGATAGGACTTACCCATTTGCGAAGGTTATCCAGAATCTTGATCTCAATCAATGCCTGGTGGTGGAAGCGCTTCTTGTTGCGGATGATTTTAATGGCCACAGACTCCCCAGTGCAGTGGTCTCGACAGTGCAAGACTTGACCGAACGAACCCTTTCCAAGCGTGTCAATCACTTCGTAACGGTATGCGAGATGGTCATGGGACACGACGAGGTAGTCGCCGCGCTCATCGTCATATCCGTAATTGTTCGTCGAGTTTTCGGGTGTTGCAGGTTTCTTCTTGCTCTTAGCGCCGATGCAGTATACAGATGGGTAGTCCAGAATTTCTTTCCGTTCATAGTCTGACAAGTACTGATGTTGATTGCTCTTGAGCACGGCTGTCGTTTAGGAATCAGTGAATGAATGCCACGGTCACCTACGGCAGAACGCTTACCAGAAGGAGACATAGCGGTTGCTGGAGGTATGGGTTCTGGGAAGCACAACAGTTCATCTAACTCTTCCTGGGTCGAACCCGATGCCAGCTTCTTTGCCTGCTGTCGACGTATATAGTGCAGCATTTCTTCGTCACCAAGGAGCTCTTCCTCGTCTATCGAGCTTGGGACCGGCGAAGGTGTAGACAAAGATTGGGAGCTGGACGAGGGAGAGGCAACATTACGTTGAGCCGAAGAGGAATTGGAGGAGCGTGAAGAAGGTAAAGATATCTTAGGGCTGAGCAACTTATTGAGGCCTCTAGATGGCGACAACGCGGAGAAGCGATGGCTTGATACTTGTTCGCCAGCAGCAGCAGCCGATGTGGTAGACGCTACAGAGCCTGTGGACGACTTACGCAGGCCACTAAAAGATATCGAATCCCGGTTGCTCTTTCTGGGAGTCACACCAGTCGAACCCGAGCCGGAGGGGGCCGACACCTGTCGCGGGACGCGGGACGTTGAGGCGGTGGATGGGGATCCGCGTATGGAACCATGACGTGTCGGGCCTGCCATGTTCTTAGGTGTTTGGCTCTCACCATTGTCCATAACGCCAAACTCGTTGGTTGAGAAGCCAGTGGGAGAGGGATTCAGCGATGAGCCGGCTGTGACATTGACGCTTGCTCTTCGATTGACAAGCGTCGAAGCCGAACCTTTCAGCGGAGGGGAAGAGGTGGTAGAAGTTCGGCTCGATATCCGAGGTATCTTCGTTGGCGTTTCTTTGGCGAGACCAGAATTGGTGTTCGAAGAAGTCGGCGGAGGACCCTCTCTCCCCTCTCGCAGCGTCTGGGAACTGTTGGTAGCAACGGTGCCCACGGAAGGCGAACCAGCGATGGTGGGAAGTTGGTTCCGACCCCGGAGAGACGAGTCTGATTGCTTCGCTAGCGAGCTGGCGGTCTGCGACATAAGTCGTGAAGATGAAGAGGGCGTCCGAGTCGCTGTGGATGAAGGAGGGGTCGACAAGGACGAGTTCGATGACTTCAGCCGAGCCACCCTTTGCGCTGTCGCTGGCTCCAAAGCAGATATTTGCATGGGAGGGAGATTTATGGGTGACTTGGGCTTTCTGGGATCCGTAGCAGAGAGTGTCTATGGAAACCACATAATTAGCCAACACATGGTGATTGAGTTCATGGAGACTTCAAACCTTGCCACGCTTCCTACCCATGAGCACTGAGATCCTACTTTCGCTACGATCTTTATCTTCCTTCTTTTGCTTCTCCCTTTCAAGTTTCTCTTGTTTGTGTCTTTCCTTTTCGAGCTCCTTGTTGGCCTTTTGGAGTTCCTTGGCTGCAACTTCATGCAAACTCCGCCTGGAACTCGAGCCTTTCAGAAGTGAAGGTAATCCTAAACTTAACACTGAACTCTTCTTCGACGATGGCGTTGACGTGGAAGCTGGGTTGTGTGAAGAATCATAGCCCTTATTCCGGGTCTGAGCAGACGGAAGGTCACCAGAGGAGAACGTCGGAGAGACCGGGGGTAAAGAAGGGGGAGGCATTTGCATCGACTGAGAGGAAGACCTCCGGAAGAACGGTATCGAAGAGGGAGTTAAACGCTTCTGAGACTGACCGCGTCGCACCGAAGAGGTTGGACTAAGTGCACCTTGCGGAGGCGCCGCAAGAGCTGATGTAGTGTGGTTCGTGCTTGCGCTGGAGTCTGTACCCGGCCGGCTGGGGACAGGGTGCCCTTCGGGGGTCTTTGATGGGACAGTGCCAGGTGTAGGGGGTGAGCGTACGGACCCAATAGAGGACATCGACGTCAGCGAAGCAGCAGAAGACATGGCATCTGGCTGTGTTGGAGTCCAAGGCTTAGTGGGAGGGACATTAGCGTTAAGAGACAACGGCTGATCCTTCGACGTGGATTTCCGGAGATGCTGCCCAAAGGTTGCTGACCGAGGGCTGAGAGGGAAGTTAGACTTTGAGCCAGCAGGAGAGGATCCCGGCAACTTGAGATTGAGACCACTGAAGCTCCACTTCTTGGATGGCGTCTTCGGGGCTGCCGGAGACAAAGACTCATTGCCTGATCCTACACTGGAGTATCCCGATGAAACGTGGTTGACATGCTGAGTGGGAGGAGAAGTTATTTGCGGTACTTCAAGCGATGCTCCGTGTATCTTATCACTGCTATCATGACTGCTTCGTTTCTTATCCTTGTCGTCTCCTGATGAAGGGGTCGTGAAGGAGAATCCGGTGGAGGCGGCTGGAGGAGTCTTGAACGTCGAGAAGTCCTTAGGAAGTGGTGGTACTGGTGGGACGAAACCTTCGTCTTGTGCATCCCCATTTACAGCCAATGAAGCCACGCGGTCCTTCAAAGAGGTAGCATCACCAGAGTGGATGCTAGACACATCGCTACCAGCACTATTTCGCCGTGCCTTCCCAGTTGAATGCCTGCCAGAGGTAGCAGACACTGATGTCGCGTTGGTCGTCACAGACATGGTTGCGGAATCCCTTGAACTAGGAGTACTCGCATAAGTTGTGGAAGATGTTGAGCCGCGCTTTGGGGTAAAACTAGAGCGTGCACTGGAAGTGCCAGTCTTCTTTGGAGTTTTGTCCAATCCCGAAGATACACGTTGGTCGTCGCTGCTACCGAAAGCAGCCCCATTCTCGCCAATTTCTCCTTGATCGCTAAGGAGGATGCCAATGCCAATCGATCCCCGATGTGCGTGGTCGGAAAGCTGCTCCTTATCGGAACTCGCTTTCGCGCTGCCTCTACGACTGATTTTGGCGGCTTCGGATATGCTTGGCGGAGTCGTTGGTCGACTTAGGCTTGATGGGCGACCGAAACTCCCCACGCTAGCTCGCGCGCGAGCGCTCTTCCCAGTAAGACCATCTAGTTTTCGTAAGGCTTCTGCCGTTGCTTCATCATCGAGGCCTGACCAACCTTCCTGAGTACCACGTAGCAATGAATGCGCGACACTTGGGGATGAATGAGCAGTGCCACCCAAAGGAGGGGTTCTCGAGCTTGTAGACGTTGGGTGTTTCAGGAACTGCTGAATGGACGAAGTCGAAGGTGATGGAGGCAGATGTGAATAGTCAGTAGTGTGGCCACGACGTGGGTGATGGGGTTCGGCATGGTTAGAGCCCGAGGACCCCACAGAAGCTTGTCTAGCGTGTCGTTCGGGCGCTTTGGAAGCAGAAGACCGGGACCCAGACATGTTGTTGATGCTATCCCTATGTCGATCTCTCCCCTTCTCGCGAGGCGTCGAACTAGAGGACCCAAGACTACGATGCTTGCGCACCGTTGCTTTATCATCTTGCAACTTATCTTTTGTCCCAGTCACCTTTGAAACCAGTAGGCCCGCCTGGTCCATCTCGAATTCATCAGAAGTGCGTTTTCGAGCGCGTCGAGGCGTGAAGGCGCTAGGAGGAGATATCGGACCCCCGGCAGGTATATTTGCAGGAGATTCTGAAAGCGTATCATGAGTCTCAGGTTCTTCAACCAGTACTGCGGGCTTTGCAGGCTTGGGAAGAGCAGCAATAGGTTGTCGAGGGTACAGTATCTCTTCCCCACCGCTCTCCTCCGCCATGGACCGTCGCGAACGAAGAGGCCTTGATAGCAGTTTCGAATCTGGGGGCTGCGATAGAAAATATTTAGAGCTGGACGATGAGCGAAAAGCTATCTACGTGCCTCTTCCTTCTCTGAAGATTCCCCATCAATAGCTTCGATTGTCCAGGGACTGTCTGGGTCTTCGTTCTCTACGTCCTCTGGGACTTCTACGTCGTAAACACCATCAGCAGGTTCCACTTCTGAGAAGGTATCCTCGCTGGGTCGGTCTATCCGTGTCCAACGTGGGGTTGCAAGCTCTCCAACGCCAACGAGCCCGCGTCGGTCGATAGAAGCTGGGTCCCTGGCAGGCGTCACGGGTTCGTTGACATATCGTTGATCAGGAGTTGTGCTACTGAACTGTGCAGGTGCAGAAGGCAAAGGTGGAATGGGCGAATCTGAGGGAGATCGAACGCCGAAGTAATAAGGATCCAGAGATGAAGTAGCTGATGCCGATCTAGAAACAATGAAATCCGGCTCCGAGTGGTGCTCTGCGGGAGAGACGCGGACGTCGGGCTGCATTTTGCGGTCTATAAGGTGAAAAGAGAGATGATGTGAAACCAGCACACCTGTTTAGATGCGGCACCAATAGCGTCGCGGTCAACGTGTTCGTAGTCCTCTGATACGGCCTTGACATTGATGTCCGGTAGCTCGAGGGCAGGTGGTCGTCCTTTAGCCTTGGTTTGGGCCTTCTCACTCGACAGGTGCGTGGTACCAGGAGAAGACGGTGCCGACATCTGGGGTCAGGCTTGTCGTAAAGACTGCGAGAGAAAAAAAGAAGGAAAAAGGACAAGGACAACAAGAAAGATAAAGAAATGAGAAACTGGTCGGTTTGGGGAGAGATTTGTCGGCGTCGAGATAGCCAACGACGGGCAGGCCGTGTGAGAGGCTGGTCTGCTTCAAGGTCAAAGCTCGTCGACCAAGTCACCGCATGTTTTTGTTGACGGATGTTTGTATCCCAAGCTATCAGCCCTTGTAAATGTACTGTCAAAGGAAGCAGATTGGCAGACCAAGCTGTAGCTAATATTCGGGGGGGATTGTTTGATGATGTTCTCTTGAGCCACTACCCTCCTTCAATGGAATTTCTCAGACGATCTTCAGTGATTTTCGATGGTAATTAACGAGACGGAACAATGAGTAGACGCCGGAGGCGCTAATAGCAAACTTCTCCAAATACCACTCGGCGCTCTTGGGACCCTGTCACGACACAATCTTCGTTCTCAACAATGTCGAGCTCTGTATGTCGCTTGAGGCTCTCGGGGCATTTTTCTCGCCAGCTCAGAGTCGCGCCAGCTTCAAGACGACTATGTACGTTATTCGTTACCCTTTCTCAGCACTTTTTTACCTTCGGAACACACAGCTCGACGCCAACTTTCCGACGCGCCATCCACCTCGTCCGAGCCGGGTACAGTGAGAGAGCCCGAAGCGTCAAAATCTCATGAAAGTAGCTCGTCGCGTTTGGCAGCCTCGGAATTCAAGGAGGAGGTTGAAGAAACGTACGCGCAAGCGACTAACTCTCATTTTGCTCCGACGAAAAAATCGGATATCCCTTCAGTAGAACCTTACTTCGCTGAGCATCTTGAAGGAGTATTTCCAACCCTGAAGTTTCCTCCAGAACTTGCAAGACGAATCTTGACGCATTCGAGTCACCCCGCTGCGATATATGGCCATAACGCCGTGTATGGCTTTCTAGGTGCGTAGCTTGATTTCAGTTCGTCTTACGGGCTTTGACTTTTGTATGAAGGCCGTCGCGCTCTTGAGTCCTATCTCATGCTCTTCCTTCACTCTTGCTCTCTCCAGCCCTCCCATGACCTCGAGGATATAGCATCGCGTGCTTTGAACTCGTACGTCCTGGGGGAACATATAGGGTCCCAGTGGGGCCTTGGGCGTATCCTTAGATGGACACCTACCGTGTCAAGAGACAACCTAGACAAAGTCTCTTCAAACCCTACCGTGCTCCGAAGTGCTGGCTTGTACAAAGTGCAAGGCGACACAGTGGCTGCTGTAATAGGTGGTATATTCTACCAATTCGTAAGTCAAAGCTCTTGTTCACGAGTCACAACTAACTTATAACCCTCACACTAGGGCGCTGTTGAGGCCCATCGTGTCTTCCACACCCGAATCCTCCCTCACCTCTTCCTCGGCCGTAAAACTGAGGGTCTCTCAGAGGTATTCCACCGCAAAGCCCTCGCTATCTCGCAAAGCATGTCGGATGAACCCCAGGATATTCCACCTCGCACCGCACCGCAAACGTCCACCTCCAACGTTGGTGCCCTCCCACCCCGACGCAAGGTCTCCGACTCTCCCTCGATTGCTATGAATTTCAAAAGGGAGCTCGCGAAGAAGATTCCTCTTTGAGCATATCTACGCGACGAAGACATTTGGTTTTTGTAGCGGCCTCTGGTGGATCTGGGTTCGTCCTGGAGCAGTAATTGGAAGTGGAGTTGTCAGCGGCTAGAACAAAATCACATCCACGTACTCCTTGTCTTTTATTGCATTGCAACCCATCTCACCACGCTATCTATATTAATATATTGCAGCTTATTCTATCATCAAGAATCTAAGTAATCCGAACAAAACAAACTATGCCGAAGTCCCCCAGTCCCCTCCTCTACATACCCCCCACTATCAGACACAACCACACACTCCGTGAAAAGGGAACTGTACATAGAGGGACTTCGAGCTTGCCGATGCACCCTATAAGACATCCTGGACCGACGGCCAAAGCACAAGTCTGTAACCGAGATATATGTCGAGCGACCGTATCCAGCCGGAATTAGTGTTGAACGTCCAAGCGTCGTGCTGATACCCAGATTGATCAACAAACCGGAGGCGCTGTTCAAGTGTGACCTAGACGACGCAGTGCCCTCGCTCCGCTCTATCCTACATACGTCCCCGATATCGGATGTGCCGCGAAGTTGAACGGGCAAATGGTGGATGTTTGAGACAAAGCAGACGTTATCCAAGGGAAGAAGGTTCTGCAGTGGTAATACCCGCTCATGGGGTGGCCGAAGAGTACGCTGCTTCTGACACATTGATACGCCCTTCATAAGTAACAGCATCGATATTCTGTGGCGTCACCGTTTCGCCGGCTGCAAGTATGGACCGATGCCGCTTCGCGAATGGTTGGCTGATCAGAGCTGCCCAAGGCGGCAGGGCTTCGATATGTCGTGATGGTGGAGGCTCCTGGCAAACTTCCTGGGTGACTACATCAACCGTGGATGTATTTACGCAGCAGTTGGATGAGAGGTATCAATAATCAGGGAAATCCATGATTTGGGCGGTGGCGACGCGTTTCGTAGCGTTCGATGTCATTTTAAGCGAGGCTAGACTGGTCGCTGCTGTCTGCCGGCGGTCGGTACTCGGCATTAGGGTGTCGTTGGGGTAGGAAAACAAATTATGTACTGGGGATTGACTGGGAACATGAGAGAACGTGGCCAATTATTAGCGATGATCTTTTGTTATGTGTGTACGTACGGTTCCCAGTGGAGTGGATGTCTAGATGTTTGGATTTATGGGTGTCATTCGGCAAGAGGTGTGTAAGGGTTGCGATTGGCTCTGGAATATCATGAATCATGATGCATGATGTGCCATCGTATCGTATAATACAGCGTGCAATGCTGTGAGCGCCTGGGAATCAGCGAGCTGACCCTTCATTGACCCTTCATGGTGATATTTTGCCTCGAATGTAACCTAGACCTATGCGCGACGTCTTGAGGCATTGGAGGAGGCTTGTATCTCACTTCCCTGAAGTAGACCGCCAACCAAGCCTCTCGTAAAACGCGAGAAATCAGGAGCCGAGTACTCATACTGTCCACAATCTGTCAACAACCAGGCGCTACATAGGTAGGGTGAGTAAAAGACAATCCATACTCATTCCATTATCGGTCGACCTTTCATTTCGTTGTTGAAATGAACTAGGAACAAAATTTGTAGAAGTGATTTGTTCAAGTAGAAAGTAACCTTCCATCTATAGCGTGTGATTCGTACAGCAGACCATCTTATCTCTGGTATGTGAGGTTCGAACAGTAATTTCCAACTTGTTCGAGGTTGGAAGTATCGTCCCCTCCCATGCATATTTATAGATTAGGCGATCACCGACCTGTCAAACTTGCTTTCATACTTGTTCGCCCTCGTGATACTATAGGGTCAGCTAGATTGCAAGAATGCTCGATGCGGGTCGGTACTTGGGATCGAAGCTCCCATGAGGACGAAGCTTCTGCTGCCTGCATATGACATCAATTCGACGTTCACTAGATTAAGCCATATCAAGTGTTCTCAAGGCAGAAAGGAGAGGAAGGGGTTAAAGAGGACAGGTGATGAATGCAGATAGGAAGGAAGAAAGGGAAGAAAGAAGTGGCAAAATAAGTATAGCTTTCGGCGGCAAGGGCAGTCGTTGGTATGGAAGGAGTTACATGCGACTGGATGCGGCAGGGAGTGATGGGAACTGACAACTTTCTTGGTCCTTTCTGTCATCATCAGCTGACGGTGATTGGGAGCTGAAGGTTCTAGATGCCTAGGCGTTTGGACAGGTGTGGTGGTGGGAGGCGGTGGTATTACTTCGCAAAGGGAATGGGGATTAGGTTGTAAGTAGCTTTCAGGATTGCTGGTTCGCTTGATAAGTGGGCGCCGTTCCTGGTCATGGGTACCGAAGTGACGTTGCATTGTTGATGTTAGTGTTGCGCGTTCGGCGAAGGGCGTTGTTTGTTGCTTTTAGGTTATGTGAGCGACGACTATGGAGCACCATGTGTCCGTCCGCAAAGGTCGATTGTTGACTGATTCGGGCGGCTGTACACGTCTGTCGCTGGTTATTGCCATTGGACCGGCACTTGGCCGTCACTGATTTGGCGCAAGGTCTCTCTGGAGATCTCCATGAATTCGTGAAGCTTCGAGAGGGGCGGCTCAGATAGGCAGTATCTTAGGGAGATCTCTTTGTATCGTCAGTTTCCGCAGCTATATGATCTCTCCGTCTCATCTGGGACATATGTGAGAGAGCTTGTCGATATTCTAGCCTGGGGAAAGAAGAGAAGAATCAGGTATGGCAACTATAATGAGGATCATAAGGTTCAAGCTCGAGAGTCGGGGGTTTCCCAAGTGCATGGTAGGCCATGATTAGAACATGAAGCGAGGGAATTCCGAGGCTATGAAAGCAGCATTGAAGTGTTGCTCTTCTTGCTTTCCCTTAAACCCAAGCCTGGGGTCAGATCCGAGAGGTCTGGGCAATACATGCCGGGATGATATGAGCGTGTTAGTGCTGAGTGGGAGAAACAAACTCCGATGACATGAAGAGAGACGATGGCGTCCTGTATTGGCGTCGGGGTTGTCCTGAGGCGGTATGCAGTTGCGCTCCGCGATGGAAGACAGGGTAAGGTTTTAGAGATATGCGGGAGCTCCGACCCTTTCCCGTACATGAGTCTCTGGCACAGTCCTCTTGGACCTTGGGCGGGCACTGTAAATATAAAGATCGCCGTCCGTTGAGCTGATCGCCTGTATTCTAATAATGAAAAAACTTACGTGAACGAACAACGGAAATGATTATTTTCTTTTCTTCCCAGCGGCGGTGGTAGGTGAGGGCAGATAACAAAATTCCCATGGGCCACACGGAGTGTGGGAATAAAGAGCTCGCGGAGAATATATAATAATCGGACTCCCCCCAACGAACTCAATCACAACTCCGTCCTGACTGTCGGCAAGTCAGCAAGTGCACAGCTCTCCAAGCTCAGCGAACAACAGAGTGCGTTCCCTCAATCCCCGCTTTGTTCCCACACACTCACAAGTTTCATGGTGCGCCTCACAGCTCGGCTCACCATCAGTTCAACTTTGAACGAGGTCAGTCATCTCACCGCCTCCGCTGCCTGCTCCTGTTCGCTGCAATTCAAATCCGAAAGGCACCATGGCCTCGACGGACGGCGGGAAGAGCCTCGATGCAGATGATCCCCTCGAATCCCCCACCGCAGATTCGGTTCAGCCTTCGATGACCATTCACCCAGTCTCATATTCTGGGATGCCCATGCATATGTATCCCTTTCCCCACGGCGTGATACAAACTCAAGCTCATCGGTCCAAGCGCAGGCAGGTCAAGAACGCCTGCACAAACTGCCAGAAAGCGTGCAAGAAATGCGACGACGCCCGTCCATGCCTTCGCTGCGTCAAGTACGGTATAGCCGAAGAGTGTGTTGATTCGCAGAGGAAGGAAAGGAAGAAAGGGATCAAGAGAGGTCCCTACAAGAAGCGCGATGGAAAAGGTAAGCTTCCACCCGCACCCCTTTCCTCGTTTCGTCTCGCACCGTGATATCGCGTGGAGTGACACTCTTTGTTTCGGTCTTCTAATTCTTGAGATCGCGCAGGCAACAGCGTCGACCACCAAGTGGACGACCCGGTGCAGCCACAGCAGCAGCACCAACAGATGCCTATCTCAAACGGCGTACCGCCGCCGGGCCCTCCGCCCAATGGTTCGCCTCCTATAGGGTATCCCATGACCCCTGTGGGGTACCCTCCCGCGAACTACTATCAGTTCGCGGGTCCTCCCATGTCCAAGCCCGGGGAGGGGCAGCCTGCGTACTATCCGCCTTTCCTCGTACCGGCGGTCCCGCATCCTCAGCAACAACACGGTCATCCTGGTGCCGAAGGGGACAATCAAGGCTACCCGATGGCCCCTCAATTCTACCCAGCCTTTGTTCCCTTCCCTCAGGCGTATGGCCAATACATGGTGCCTGCACGTGCTGACGGCCAAATGCCCATGCCAAATACTCACTACCCATATCCTCCCCCGCCTCATATGTATCCTCAGAAGGCTATGGGAGCTGGAAGCTCGGGTGAGATGTCTCATGGGGCACATATGGGACACGCTGGGCAGAGCAATCGCGGACACCACCAAGTTCGTCATCATGGAGAAGAAGGCGTCGCGGGCAAGGATTAGGCGTGTGGATGGGCTGCTGGAAGGGATACTCGTCGGCGCCTGTACATTTTACTCTCATGATCTCAAATTTTCATATATCGCTTCCTGTTTTGTGTACAATTGATCTGACGCTATTGTTTTACCTTTCTTGTGTACGTGTAATTGTTACGTTACGGGATTTGTTGTTTGAATGAATATGGCTGACGGGGGTATACGAATTTGAGCACAAAGAATTCAACAAGCTGGTGAAACGAACCAAGAGGGAAGCGGTAATTATTGATATCGGCGACGCTGAGCTTGCGCTGGCGCTGTCATTCGTTGTTGGAGATCAAGATCTCCCAATGCGACTGAGGAAGCGCCCCAAAATCCAATTTTGAATGAGGCTCCGCTTGAGCAGCGCGGCGATCAACTCCTAAGCGACTCACCCTCATCGCTGCTTCCTATAGAGATGCTCAACAGGCACGCTGTCTCGGGGATCAAGGAAAGGAGGATACTGCGGGTAGCGGGAAAAAGAATCGTTGCGCTCGACCTTGACGATGGACGACTCGCTCTCGCGCCGTCGACGACAACGCAGACGAACGCCAATCACCCTGGGATCCTGGGTATAGCCTACGCAGACCGTTCTTCTCAACCCTTCAGCTCGGCGTGGCCGACGCTTTGATAGCTGGGGATTGGGGCATGCGAAGCCACAAAGCTCCAATTCAGTTCAATGGCACATTACGCAACAAACACCACGACCCAAGAGGATACCGGCAGACTGTGATACCGGCAACGGCGGTCGATGAAGGAGAATGTTAGTTTCTTCCTTTGGACAAGGTATATACCGGCCATGGTGGGTCTTCCACGTTACATCAAGGCAGGATACCCGGGACGAAAAGAAGACTTGGACCAACTTGGGACACGGCGCGAGGATATGCAAGGGGATCGAAAGGTGCGTTCAGAGGCTGGGCTGGTCTATGTTCCACAATTTCACGGCGAGCAGCGCGCGAGAACCGTCATCAGTTACATGGCCGCGGCCAAGAACAGGCCATTAGGTTAGGCTGTGCACACAACAATAGTGGGTCACCACCAATCGGGGATGGAACTCGATGGGGAGCAGGTAGTGCAAGGCAAGGCGGAAATGAACAGCTGTATGTTATGCGGTTTGGTAAGTTGGTGGCCCAGGCAGTCATAGATACATCCGATTACGGTCTTGAATGGTGAGAGACCAAAGGTCTACGGGAGGACCTCAAGCGTAGGGACGGACCAGACGATAACCGTACGATGGCGACGGTGTCTTCAGTTCTTGACATCCTATCGTTGATGGCGGGGAGATATGGTAAGTTGGAACCGAAGAAGCTACAGAAACGTCCTGATTGTCCTTGATGGCAGATATAGGTCGCTCTGAGGGTGGCCTGCTTGCTGCCCCGAACGACGACGACCCTAACGCGAGTAAAAGCGATCGACGACGGGGCCTCGATTAGGATAATGCAGTCAAGCCCTAGCTGCCGGATGCGACGTAGGCCAGGCTCCAGACGTCGTTCGAAGTAATCGACTGAAGGCATACGAGCGCATCGCATCGAGTAAGTCGAAGAAGTTGATCAGGTGCATATATCACCAAGATGGCCTCGATTTCGAATATAGGACACGATAGCAGATCAAAGTCTTCATGCATGCATGATGAAACGATGGATAGATTGGGAGGAGGAAGGTTCATGCCGCCTATTTCCTTCCAACTCGACAAAGTTCCAGATAAAGCAGCGCCGGTTGCTCACCATAGCCACTACTTGAACCACCGCCAGCCAGAACGTCTACTACCGCTAGGCGGAGTTTCTCTACGCAAGGGTGACTGCGACTGGTAGGACGATCCGAGCCATTTTTCAGAGCTGGTCGTGACAAGGTTGACCTTGACCTGCGCCCGTACGGGCAGAATCTGCGCAGAGATGGCCCCGATGGTTGAGTAGAGGAGTGGACATACAGCCGTCGGATGATGCTAGGCAGAATTCGTGAAGCATCCCTCAATTTGGGGTTCCCAGGGTCCAGTTGTCCTTGGACTCCAGCCAGGACAACACGGCCTGTGTGCTGAGTCGCGACCATTCCTCCTACGTCTCTCCACCTCCTACACAACGAGAGACGGTATTTCGAAAGCGCTTTGGATGTCGCCGGGAAGAATTGGCTTCCGGCATCGTTTCGTTCTCGTAACCAAATGGCACCGTCGGACCCCCTCTGGTAGTAGTAGCATAGAGACAAAGCGTACACACGATGGTACGTGTCTCGCCGATTGACCACGATACATGTGTAGGTGTCGATCGTCGCTTTCTGAGCAGAATCCCGCTACTGCTGTTACCGAGCCGCCCAACACCTCCGCCGCCTCGCCGTCCGTCCCCCCTCCCCCCCCTTTTGACCAGAATACGCCGTCCCTTCGAAAGCACATCGATGGGCCCTCCTTTGGGTATGAGTCTAACAATGCACCTCGCATTCCCAACTCGAGCACGGCGGGACATCACGCAAGGTTAATGACAAAACGCATGAGGCGCTGCGCCCAGCCTCGTGCGGTGGATATTGCTGCTGCTGCTAAAGGCGGAACGCTGGGTGAGGTCTTGCTCTGTTGACTGGCCATTTGCTCCAGCATGCTACTACGTGCCTACTGTTCGGGTTCGCAATGGGAAGACTCGATCTTCGCGCGAGTCGACGTAGGCGTGAACTATCTTTTTGCTGCGTGACGTGTATGTGCTGAATGACTTTGCTACCCCAGGTTGACTTCATGGAGACGTGTACCGAATTGACACGGCCGGTCCATGCCGGTAATGGTCTCTCTCCGTGATGCCTATCTTTCATTAATGCCTCACTGGAGGGCGAAACCGTTTGAGTTTGAACAAAATCAAGTCATAGGGCAGACATTAGTTGAGTGTTGCGTTACGGTCAGCTCGGGCAGTTGTGTTTATGAAAGAAGCCCGAGGAATGTCGAAGAAGGATTCATAAAGCGGCGTCAGGGTATTTCATGACTGGGAAGGAGGTGGACTATCGGGCCGTAGTGAGTTTTTAATATTGACGAGACTGGTTGGGTATCTTGACATAAGTTTGATGAGGCGTATACGTGTTAACTAATATTCATCGTCAAATCAGGTTGCGAGTAGGGATTGGAATTCTGGGAATTCCCTTTGTAGAAAGGTTCTCACCATGAAGAAAGACCGACGACTGCGTGATCCAATAACCTGGCGGCTGGTGACTACACTTGGCAAGTAGTGATCTATGACCTGAAGGCCCCCGAGCGTGGGCTTGGGTTGCGTATAATCGGAGAGACGCGCACAACGCCACCTGAAGCTGGAAGCATGGATGTCACATTTTGACGGCACTATTACGGCTGGTGTGCGTCCCCAAAGCCAGGAGTTGCTAGCTTCCTTGTTTCCAAGATTGGTCGCTCGCGAATCTGCAATCCCCTTGTTGTCTGCGACCTCGTCCCTCGCCTCTCGTACCATACGTCATCCCTCTTCGAAGCCTGGCGTTCCTCTCCGATGCAACTCATCGCGGCAGGTATTTTGAGGTACTTGAGATTCAGTAGTTGCCTCTTGGTCACAGTGAAGGGAGGGACTCCCACGCAGCGTGCAGAGGAAGCGCTAGCAAGTGACACTACCGGCCTCGTGTCTGGTCAGTCGATGCACTTCCATCCCCTCGAGGACGATCAGTCCTATTTCCAGAGGCGCCCTGCTGCCTGGAATCTATATCCTTGGTTATGGATCTCGTCGGCAGCTGGCTAACGAAGTACCTTGGTCAGTAAGCTTCATGCAACCTTGCTGCTTTCTGTCCGTCCCAATTTCCATTGCTTGGCATCTTCGCGGTGAGACAAACGAAGAGGAGGCGCAAGACACGATGAGGCCACCGCGGATATCTTCGCCGATCGCTCGCCCATTTATCGGCCATAGAGGAGGTCCCCGCGGTGGTGAATGGTTGAGTGTGGTTCTGGTGGTTCTGGCGTGAAACCCCTGTTTCACAGATTGCCCATTTCTCCGTCGTATAATTCCTCGGCCTCTTGGTATACATGCAAGAGATGCCTAGCACACTCTATGCATGCAATCCAGAAGTGTGAATCCAGGAAGAAGTTGTAGAAGGGAACGAACTTCAATATTTCAAATTCGTTTTTCAGGGCTCCATGTCTTTCTATTTTCAGGCTATATCCTAATCCCTCAGGGGCTCTGTCTCGTTTATTATCGACATCTCACTCTACAGAGCGGTAGGCCATCATATCTCGCAAGGATGGCTGGTACTCGGAAATCTCCCGCTGTCCGAGATGATGTCTGCCGATGCTCAAGCAGAATCAGGTACGAGCTTGGGGAGTATAAGCACCATTCTAGATTGTTTCATTGGTTTGGGTCATACAACTAAAGCTTGTAATACACTGCATTACACGACGTGGTTAAGCAGAGTGAATCCTTTCCAGATGACTTCGAATATCTGCCAAGCTAGGGCGATCTTCAGCAGACTGCCAACAAGCCAGCATCAAAGCCCATATGTCGTTGCTTATCCACTTGTCCGCGTCATCGTTCCGTGGTCGCGGTGGGAGCAATCGTTTGACTACTTTCTCGTGGATGACGGCGGCATTGCGCTTCTGATTGGCATACGGATGTTTGCCGGTCAAAAGTTCAAGTGCGGTCATCGCAAAGGCGTATGAGTCGGTTGCCTTGGTCGGAGAAGTGATGTTTCCCTCAATGAGTTCGGGTGCTAGCCAGCGGGCGCTACCCGAAGTTGTCAGTGTTACAGATGCTGCTTGTTCGGTCACCTCTTCGATTATCTTGGACATGCCGAAATCGCATATGCGAGCCTCGCTCTAGATAGGCACCGCTGCATATCAATTAATCACCCGTTCATTGTTGAGGGAGGACTTACGCTTGCGGACACCAGAATGTTAGCCTGGAACCCGCGACGAACTCAGTAGTCATCAATGGTATCAAGTATTGCCACCTACGCATTTGACTGCCAGTAGGTCATTTAGCATAAACTGCTCTTTGGCCCCACCAGGTGTGCTTACCGTTTCCGTGCACGATATTGCAATTGTGGAGATACTCCAGCCCAAGCGCAGCGCCTTTGAGCTACAAGGATGTGCGTCAACTTAGTAAAAGACTTGTCGATAACCTGGAGTGTACCAAGCGAAGACGATCCACATCAGGATGTGCAATAGTATATCTGGTTGAGCACCACTGTCAGCCACTGCAATCTACCAGGAACCTACTCAACTCACTCTAGGGCATTTCCATTGACTTGCCAAGGCGACACCTTGCGTGCAAGTAAGAGTTCCGGACAGGTAGAGACATGCATAGGTGCAAATACCATATGGATATGATTCCCAAGATTAGTTACTATTCCATAGAACGGCAATATGTGGTCGTGCTTTAGCTCCGCCCATAGATTGATCTCTCGCTCGAACCGCTATGGAGGCCCGATCAGCTTCACCCTCTGCTAAACTGACCCTCTGAAGTACCTGACGAGCTCGACGATCTGACGATCTAACATTACGAAGGGCCTTGAGTGCTACCTAGGGAGAAATATTAACAAACTTGTACGGGAGTCTGAGATAATGAAATTACTTCTTCCTCGCCGAGCCACTTCCCTTTCCAGACATCGCTATATGCCCCGCCAGCCACAGCCAGATCTCCCGCCTTGGTGATTTCACCGCTCAATGTTTTCACTGAAGGTGGTAAGCCAGTGACGCGGTGGAGATCCATTAGGCTGCGTTGATATTCCAGGTATCGTTCGCCGTTCCTGGGTATTGGCAGCTCCGAGCGTGCGTCTGCATGGAAGGTTGCCGCCTCACGCATATCCCGTAGTTCCTGTTATGGAATTGCTCAGCGGTAGCTCCACCTCCGTGAGGTACTTAGCACGAGACGAGGAAAGCAATTACATGTTGCGCGGCTTGCATCACAATCTCCGCGGCATGTTCGCCATTTGCTTGCATCTCAACAACTTGAGACATATCTTGACGGGACGTTAGAATACTACCGATCATCTCTCTGAGTTCCTGTATGTCTGCGGTATGGGCCCGGTTGATTTCAATTGTCTCTCGTTGTAGGGTGTTCCCTATGATCTGGGCATTGACCTAAAATGACGTGTGGTATTAGGACGGTGAATTGTCAAGGAAGAAGTAGTACATTGAAGATGCTCAGAGCCCCGCTTAGCTCGCTCTTACACTGATCAATGCCTTTCTCAATGTCCCCGTTCCAAACTATGTATTGTGAGGCTCAGGGGCTCGTCATACGGAGATTCTTGGCGGATGCTCACTAAAGCATTGTACGCGGTTATATCGGGACCACTGCTTTACGCGTTTGAGAATATTTTCAAGTACCCTTATCGTAGCAACCATTAAATCAAGGAAAGGCTAATCGATCGAGGTCAATGCTCACGGTTGGAGTTCGTCGACCGCTTGTTGCAGTTCTGTTCCAGTGAGTTTAGAAGAGTGATCCTCCAGTGTAGTAAGTAGCCCGGCGCATTGGTTAGCTAGTTGCCTGGCTTGTTGCTACCAGGCCATTCAGCTACAGGTTGGGTTCATCAAAGGATGGGTGGCCTTGGCAAAGCGCTACACACCTTTTTGACTTGGATGTCTGCACAACACGCCACAATCTCGTTCAGGAGTATCGCAGCGGCGCCAACGAATGGGACACCAGAAAGAGAGCCCGCAATTTCAAGCGAAGCACCTGTGAGGGCAATAGCCCTGTTCATGGTCCGAGTCGTCGGCTGTTGCAGCCAGAGGTCAATAAGCGCCCAGCATCCAGCTGTTATCATGATTTAGATCGCAGACAGGGGTTGCTTGAAAACTTACTCGACTCGGCCATTCAAACGGTCAAGCTTCAACTTCGACAATCACCAGTCAAATAATATGGCGCCCCTTGCACACAAATCCATTAGAGGTCTGTCAGAGTCGCCTACCCTGCCAAAAACTTGGCTGATTTCATCTGGTAGAGGGCTGGTTCAGAGAGATCTCCTCGCAATGGCAAGGCCAGGCGATGAGCCTTAAAGTAAACAAGATTCTGCATGTCGAACAGTCCCTTTACCAGGATGTTCTGGTCTTCGAATCCGAGACCTATGGAAATGTCCTTGTGCTAGACGGTGTCATCCAATGCACAGAGAGGGATGAATTCTCGTGAGTACATGTCAAATTCAGATTACTATGTCAGGCTCACCAATGAGCATCTAGTTATCAAGAGATGATAGCGCATTTGCCACTTGCGAGTCATCCCAACCCTAAGAAGGTTCTCGTTATCGGCGGTGGCGACGGGGGCGTCGTTCGCGAGGTCCTCAAGCACGATACCGTCGAAGAGGTCGTCCTCTGTGACATCGATGAGGTATATCGCCTCCGCCGTTGTGGTTCATTTGACACTGAACCATCCTTCAGGCCGTTGTACGTGTCTCTAAGCAATACCTTCCACACATGTCCGCGCTCCTCAGCTCCCCCAAAGTTCGCGTTCACATTGGGGACGGCTTCAAATTCCTCGCCGAGAACGAAGCTACCTACGACGTAATTGTTACTGATTCATCCGATCCAGTTGGGCCAGCCGAGTCTCTCTTCCAAAAGCCGTATTTCCAGCTCCTCCATGATGCCCTTACACCAGGTGGTTCCATCTCCACCCAAGGAGAATGCCTGTGGTTGCACCTCCCCCTGATAACCGAGCTGCGCGCCACCACCAAATCTATCTTCCCTGTCTGTGAATACGCGTATACCACTATCCCTACCTACCCTTCGGGGCAAATTGGATTCACGATGTGTTCCAAAGACCCTAGCCGTGACCTGAAGGTCCCGGTACGGGAAGTCAAGGGAACGAGGTACTACAATGCTGAGATCCACAAAGCGGCATTCGTGTTGCCTGAGTTCGGGCGGGCGATCCTTGAAGAGGGGAAGAATGTCCTTCCTCTCTTCGGCCATGCCGCGCTAGCGGCCAACTTGACAAAACCTAAGAGGAAGGTCCTTCTCCTTGGTAGTGGTTTCGTTGCTCGTCCATGTGCCGAGTACATCGTTCGAGACCCTCATAACGAACTCACCATTGGTAAGCCTAACAGTGTTCCCACCAGTACATTCAACTTCAATGAAACTCAATCATTTTAGCGTGTCGCACGATTGAGAACGCGAAGAAGCTCGCCGAGGGCCTTCCAGGAACGACAGCAATTACCCTTAATGCTACCGATGCCGCCGCTCTCGAAGCCGCCGTGGCCGCGCACGATATCGTCATCTCACTGATTCCCTACACACACCACGCCGATGTCATCAAGGCTGCCATCAAAGGGAAGACACATGTAGTGACCACCAGTTACGTGTCCCCCGCCATGCGCGAGCTCGATGCTGCAGCGAGGGAAGCCGGTATCGTAGTCCTCAATGAGATCGGTTTGGATCCTGGTATCGATCACCTGTACGCCGTGAAGACTATCGGTGAGGTACATGCCAAGGGTGGAAAGGCGAGTAGCACTATCTTTACTTGCTGTGCACCGTGGTGCTGATCGTGGCCGTTCCTTCTAGGTCAAGCAATTCCTTTCTTACTGCGGTGGACTTCCTGCGCCTGAATGCTCTGATAACCCCCTTGGGTACAAATTCTCCTGGTCATCTCGAGGCGTCCTCCTCGCCCTCCTCAACTCTGCCTCTTACCTCTCCTCCTCCCAACAACTCGACATCACCGGTACAGACCTCATGAAGTACGCTAAGCCATACTACATCAACCCAGCGTACGCTTTCGTCGCGTACCCAAACAGGAACTCCGTTCCGTTCAAGGAATGGTACAATATCCCTGAGGCAGAGACTGTCGTCAGGGGCACCTTGAGGTACCAGGGGTTCCCTGAGTTTATCAAGGCCTTGGTTGAGCTCGGATGGTTGGATGCTGGGGAGAAGGATTGGTTGAAGGAAGGCCTGACTTGGGCTGAAGTGACGCAAAAGACGGTAAACACATCTACAAGCGATGAAACGTACGTGCCCCCGCTTTAGACTTCTCTCCCACGAATGTGACCTCTGACGCTGTATGGTGTTTTGTAGGACTCTGATCGCGCAGATCAAGAGCAAGTGCAGCTTCCCCGATGACGCTGAAGCTAGCCGTATCATTTCTGGACTGCGCTGGATTGGACTGTTCTCCACTGAGAAAGTGACGCCCCGAGCAGGGAATCTCCTGGATACACTCTGCGCACAATTGGAGAGATTGATGAAGTACGATGAGGGGGAACGCGACCTAGTCATGTTGCAACACAAGTTCTACGTCGAGTGGGCTGATGGAAAAGAGGTATGGGCGCTCTCATTTCTGCATAGCGTGTCTCTGGATCGTAATAACGAGTAATTTGACTTCAGGATATCCTTACCTCGACGCTGGAGGCATATGGCATCCCGAGTGGACATTCAGCCATGGCTCTCACTGTTGGCCTCCCTTGTGGTATTGCAACCCAACTTGTGCTCGACGGCGTGCTGAACACCCCGGGAGTGCAAGCACCATATACGAAGGAGATCTGTGATCCAATTAGGAAGCTCCTGGAGAGCGAGGGTGTCGGGATGGTGGAGAAGGTGCTGTAAGATCCAAAAATCGAGATCAGATGTAAAGGAGCGATATATATTACCGGTAATGTTGTATGTATCCAAGTGAAATGTGAATAAAAAATACGTGCACTACGCTGCACGCTCGAATACCTAGGCTCGAGATGCTGCCTTGGGCTTTTCGTATGATGATTTTATGTGTGGTGGGAATGCATTGAGGGTAGAGGGTAAATCACAGAGAAATCATATTCTATCTTGCTGTTTTCCTAACGGAATATTTGTTGCCAACGTTGGTGCGTATAGATTTCTCTTGTTCCCGATATTGGTTAGCGTATTCACCTCGAAGTCAAATCTCCGTAGACTTGCAGCGATCGATAAGACCAGGCCCCGGGATGGCTTGTACAATGGACGCTCACAACGCATATCCTTTGACAGTTATCTGTGGATCTTGACGATTATTATTCTTCGATCAGTGACAGTCCTGGTCTCAACAATTGTGCTCACGGGCCTTTGTAGGAGAATCGGCGGTCATTCCAACCTGGTGATACCAAATATAGTAAGTGAGATGCCTCTTTGGGCCTGGGCGCTAAAAGCGAGTGGGGGGTCAATTTGCCTTTTGAACTTCAAAGCTTGGAGCGCGGCCCGATAAGGATGTCCCATGATTCCGCTTTTCTCTGCCAGATTTACTACAAGGCCTCAGGGCGTTGATTTGGCAGCAGCCAAGGTCTTTGGGAGACGTGATTTTCGCACTGTCTTTCCATCTTTCTGTGAAAGATATGAGTACGCTACGCGCAGGAAGCACTTCGTGAATTTGTGCTGAATGCAATCAGTAATCGATCCTGGGCATCACTTAGCGATCTTCAGCATCTTGTACGAATACCAGGTCGCTGCTTCGCGACATACCGGGAGTTCGGCCGATTCCACGGCTGCGCTACGCACTATTGAAGCAGTAGGTCACGGATCGGTCAGATCTGAGTTTATCGTCGACGCTGTCGATGAACCGACGTGTCAACAGATCAAGCTCGTCCCATGGTCGTGAAACAAAAGTGTATAGAATCCACATGAATAGACATTATTCGTTGATGTAAAGAACTTCTTCCGTCGAGCACCTCTGCCCAATCCATCCCATCATCCAACTCTAACCGCCGATTTTCATTACTCCAATAACGGCATTTAGAAGCACTCTGCGACTCCATCTCAACATCACCTTCATGAGCAGAAGGGGATAGATACGTACTGCGATGAACAATAGCAGGGCCTGACTCGTCGTATTCTTGCTTAGAACACCAAAGATTCTGGAAGGTGCTGAGGGAGGCCAAGATAGAACCACCAATCCAGACGGAGTACTTTCGCTCAGGGGGGGCGACGATCTTGACCTTCATGCTTGAAGGCGACAAGGCGGTCAACTCCTTCTGCATGCGGTCAGCAATGCCGGGGAACATGGTAGTACCACCAGAGAGGACGACGTTTCCGTAGAGATCGCGACGGATATCAAGATCACACTTGAAGATGGAGTTGTATCTATTAAGTAAGGGCTTGTTAAGCGATAAAGTAAAATAGAAACGTAAAATATACCTACGTTGTCTCGTGGATACCAGCAGCTTCAAGACCAAGGAAGGCGGGTTGGAAGAGGGCCTCGGGGGCACGGAATCTGACCCAAGAAAATGAGACTGATGCAGCGACTTCGTGTCTTAGTAGGCTTACCGCTCGTTACCGATGGTGATGACTTGTCCATCGGGCAGTTCGTAGCTCTTCTCCAGGGCGGATGATTGGGCGGCAGTTTGTAATTCCTGTTCGAAATCCAAGGCAACGTAGCACAACTTCTCCTTGATATCTCTAACGATTTCACGCTCGGCCGTGGTGGTGAAGGGGTATCCTCGCTCCATCAAATTCTTGATCAAGAAATCGGTAAGGTCACGACCAGCAAGATCGAGACGGAGGATAGCGTGAGGCAAGGAGAAACCTTCATAGATGGGGACGGTGTGGGTGACACCATCACCAGAGTCGAGGACGATACCGGTTGTACGACCGGAAGCATAGAGAGAGAGGACGGCTTGGATGGCGACGTAGAAGGCGGGTGCGTTGAATGTCTCGAACATGATCTGGGTCATCTTCTCTCGGTTGGCCTTGGGGTTGAGGGGAGCCTCAGTGAGGAGAACGGGGTGCTCTTCGGGGGCGACACGAAGTTCGTTGTAGAAAGTGTGATGCCAGATCTTCTCCATATCGTCCCAGTTAGTGACGATACCATGCTCGATGGGATATTTCAAGGTAAGGATACCACGCTTGGATTGGGCCTCATCACTGGGTGGCGGTATTGGAAATGAAGCTGTATAGATAAGAATGATAGACGCACCCAACATAAGAATCCTTCTGCCCCATACCGACCATCACACCTTGGTGACGCGGGCGACCGACGATTGAACTTATGAGAACGGTCAGCCGCCGAGTTGTGCAGCAACTGCGCGTCAACTTACGGGAAAACAGCACGGGGAGCGTCGTCACCTACGCAAAGTCAGTCATTTCGATTTTAGCACATAAAGGATGTAATATGCACCAGCAACTGCAAAGAAGCGAGATCAGCGAACGCAGTCAAAAGAGGGTGTAGAATCTACGTACAGCCAGCCTTGCACATGCCAGATCCATTGTCGATAACCTATATGATGGGCGAGATCAGAAAAGGACCTGCAAGTGAGACATTTTGAAGAGAACCAACCAAGGCAGCGACTTCGTCTTCCATGGACATGATTGATTACTCGTAAAACTGGAAAGTGAAGGAAAAGAGAAAAGCGGTGATCGTCGAGGTTGGAGGAAGAAAAGCTGCGCGCCCGGTTTATTGATTCCAACTTTTTATATAAGGCGAGGCGGTGCACATATTGCCTTATGTAAGCACCACCTGCCCTTCATCACGGAATGTCGACAAGAAGAAGCCTTAGATCTCAGCGCCACACTCAAGACGACGAGCGCGACGTCGTCGTCGATGGGCACGAATCAGACGACCGCGGCGAGAACGCGGAGAACGTCGACAAGGAACAAATGATCTGGGATGCGTTCAGGGAGGAGCATTATGAAGGTATGCGCGCGTTCTTCTCAACTCAATGACCTCCCCTCATCGTGTCCAGCGATTGAGCAGCTGCCATTGACGTTGCACAGACAGTTTACTCTCATGCGCGAACTAGATCAGCAAGCCAAAGGTAAGCTTGAACTTGTTCATGCCAAGTCGAATCCTAAGACATTAGTTTCATAGGTCACACGTCGAATCTCTTGCCCACCTTGCAGCTTTATATTCGCAAGAGAAGGGAAATAGCCCGTTCCAAAGCGCCAGAGAACCTCCAGGCAGAATCAACATCTCCCCGCTTGAGCCACAAGGACGACGATACTCCCTCATCGTCTCCTAACAGCCAGTCTCCTATCTCAAACGGAATGGAGGCGCGAACAACGAGGGAACTCCTTTCGCACATTGCTAGACTAGCCGAAGACCTCTCGAGCGCGTCTGAAGAGAAGGTCAACCTTGCTCAGGCAGCATGTGACTCAGTATGTTGTCTGTCTATCTGGCGACGCAACTTAACTTACTATGAATACATAGATAGACAGGCAGATCCGTCAAATAGACCAAGCTATCAAGGAGCAAGAAGCTGCTATCTCTCTTGGCTCTCATTCCGGCACCAGTCTTGCACCAGTCATTCTCCCTGATTTGGCCGCCGTTCCTCGTTGGTCGAGGATGACCCATGTAGAGATCAGCGACGAGGAAGAAGGAGAGGCTCCTTTGCCGTTGCAAGACGACGAAGGGATGGTGCTTGGGGTAACAACAAATGCTCCTGGTAAAAGACGGAGAGGGAGGCCGAAGGGACAGCCCAAGGTTACGGAAGCTCAAGGTTTAGTGGGAGCGGAACCGCGTCGGCGCGAGACCCGATCACTCAAAATCTTACCTCCGAAACCTCCAAACGACGACGAGGACGTGTACTGCCTTTGCCAAGGTTCGAAGGAAGATGCTGTAAGCCAACTTCCAGACTCGTGGCGGAGACTGATGCTAACAGATTGTAGATGATCGCGTGCGATGGCGAGCACTGCAAATATGAATGGGTGAGTATCAATGAAGTCGCTGTTGCGGCTTGCGTGCTAATCAAGGAATTTCAGTTTCATTGGTCGTGCGTCGGTGTGACCCAGGAAATCGAGGGCAAGTGGTTCTGTCCCGAATGCAGGACTCAACCTCAGGCTCATGGCCGTCGTCGGAAGAGTGTCGTACAGTAGAATAACTTGGACGTAAGCTGTTGTACATACTATATTCATTAATAACCTCTGTTTCTAATACTAATTAAGTTCTCAAAACAGAAGTTACGGGCCATAAGCTCATGTGTCAGAGATCGTCATATTCAACTTGTTCGCGAGAGTTTCCATGTACACGTCTGCAGATTGTCAGCGTACTTGTATGGTATGGCGCGAAGTAAGCAAGTGCCAACCTGTTTCGTGCCTCAGCTTCCAGTATTCGGTCAACAATTCTTGCAGTTCGGCCTGGCTAGCTTTCAGGTGCTCTGCCATCTATTTGCATGTTAAGCACACCACGAGTTGTAGGAATGAAGTAGGACAGACCTTAAGCTCCAAGTTGTCGGCCTCTCCTCGGTATTCCTCCACTTGGCGATCGTTATCACGTCGCTCGATCGCCATTTCGTCGTATTCTCGCTGGAGACGGTCGATCGTCTTTTGGCTCGTGTGCTTTTTATCCTCCGTATATCTCTGGGCACGCTCAAGCTTCTCGCGTGCGTTTGATAGTTGCTTCTCGACGCGCTGTTGGAAGATTAATATTAGAAGCCCATAGTCGATGATGACCAACGCAACAGTACCTCTTGCTTCAGGGTAAGCTCGTTCCGCTCGATATGTTTCGACTCAAGATGGTCTTTCAGGTCGGCCAACTCCTTCTGAGATTCTTCGAGAGACCCGACCTCCTTCTCGATGATTTGTAGTTGTTCGACACATCCGCGCAGATCCTGATAGGTGACTTGAGAAGGGATATCGTATAATCTCACAGTTGATGCACCTTTTCTATGTTTAGGAGGGCATTGATTTTAGTTTGAAGGTCCCGGACTTTGGCTTCAAGCATCGAGGCTGTTCTGCGATCCTCTTGGGCCGTGGAACCCATCACGACGATGGTACGTTTGATGCGTTCAGGGGATTGCACGATTCGCGACCGGGTCCGAGAAATAGATTCTGATACTGTTGATACCTCGTTATTCAAAGCTTCCTAGTTCATCACGTACATCAGAGTCAAGCACATATCCTGAATGACTTGAGAGACACTTACTTTGCGTTTGATGAGGGTTGTCTTCTCTGCTTTGAGTTTCTCTACCTCTTGGACGGCAGCAGTCTGCATTTCTTTGGTTGCTATCATTCTCGCGCGGAGGGCGGCATTCTCTTTTCGCAGCTGTTCGCATCTGGGTTCATCGTCTGCAATTTTGGCTCTATCAAAAGCAATGGGTTGGCTAGATTTAACGAGGGAAGACTGCTTCCACGCTCACTTCAATATAGAAACCTTTGCTTGTATGTCAACCAACTCACGCGCGACAATTTGGCGTTCCTCCGTTATCTTCTGTGAACCATCGCGCAGCTCCTTGATAAAGGGGTTGCACCATTGTTCTGTGAACTTGATGAAGTTGATGAATGCGGAAAGAAGAACTAGGGTACGGTCCCGCTCTGGCTGACACAAGTCCTTCGCGCTGAAATCTTCGACACGAGCAGATTGCGCAAATCGTGACCTTGGTCCATGGTGAGTTAGAGAAAAATCAATTTGGGTGCACTCAACAACAAGTGCTCACATATGGTAGAGGAGCGCGTTGTGGGTAACAGCAGAGACATAGAGATCCTTCGGGGATTATAGTTTCAAAATCCCGCTGATACCGCCTAAGGGACTCACCGTCTCTCCGACAACGGATAACGCGTTCTGAACGGGTTCTCGCAGTATGTCGTGGTTGAGGCCGGTAACGAGTTGGAGGAAAGCGTAGTAGATGCCTTCAACAAACTCAGCTGTAGGTCGCAGGAGCTGTTCCTGACTGACGGAGAGACCCCAGCTGGAAAGAGCGGCAATAATATCCGGTATACTCATCTGCGGAAATATTCCCTTCGCCATGTTGGCGGCGGTGGTCGCGGTGAACGTTGAATCCGAATCTCTGAGCGAAACAGACGCGACCGAAAGTCACGCCTGACACGATCACGTGTACAGTGTGTACCAATTTGGTGCCCGGCGCTTAGCCTTCTTGCAAGCTCACCTCGTCGCCGGTCTTTGTCTGCTACCACCATCTCCTCATGTCCGATCGCGTACGGACAAATCTAGACGAGGTCCTTCGCCACACAGGAACCAGCTATCGACCTCCGTTGAATCCCACTCTAGCCCTGTCGCAGCCCAGAAATGGCGTATGTGTTTCCGTTGAGTCGCGTCAAGTAAATGCCACTAACGACGGCCTTTCCCTAGACTTCGCGGTTTAAGCCTGCGCCAATCTCATTGACCACGAACTCAGCTTGTAAGCCGCTCGTTTTCCTCTCACTGATGCCTCATTCATTATTGTTTCAGCTAAGAAGACGCTTCCGTCGTTCTCTACACCGGGGTTCGGCAGAAATACACCAAATACGTCCTTGTCAGTGGATACCACTAGGTCGAGGGTTGTAACGCAAGTAGTCTGCGTATCAAGCGACTCCAATCCTTCAACACCATCCTCACGGAGTGTGAAGCGTTCCTCTTCCGATCCATCTTTCACTTCAGAGGATTCACCTCTGCCTAAACGCCGGAAGCAAGGGGAGGATAAAGAGAATCAAACCGCGCCATTCACGAGCCCACAGCGGCCTAAGGGAAAAGCCAAGGAGACCGTTTTCCCGATCCACCTCGATATCCCTCGTCAAGAGGAGAGTAGTCCTTGGGCCAGGCTTGACCGGGACTTTCCAATGCCACCGCTATCTGGAACGGCAGATACCAGACCATTCAACCCAGTTACTGACAAGTATCCCGATCTAGCCCTGGTGAGTAGCAATCGCCTGACGCGCACATAAAATCTGATAACACGCTGGTAGCACTCAATGGCACGCTTGAATTCCCTTCTGGTATATAACATGGAAGAACGGCAGAGACGAACGGAGTCCATGGTCAAATACCATCGAGGAGAAGGCGATGACGCGGATGCAGATATCGTATTGCTCGAAGAGATGAAGTACGTCAGCTCAGTAACCATGCTATTTCTCAAGAGTAACACTGTGGTTATAGACAAATAGTGGAGAACCGGATTGCGGCCATAAAGCAAGTCCTCAAAGATCGCCAGCACGTAGCCACAAGCACCCCTAGTCGACCAGCCCCATCTGCACCCCTTCACCAATCTGCCCCCCAGGCAGGACCTTCTACTTATGTCTCACGAGAAGTCATTGATGTTGATGACAGCGAAGACTCTCTCCCCTGCAGTTCACAAAGACCCCCGAGCACACAGCTGGTGTGCCAGCCCACTTTCGGTGAAGAGCAGTTATGGGCATCCATGCCGGACATCGATGAAAGCATGCTTGAGCCCGACATTGAACTTATCCCGGCCTTGGCTAAGGAAGGAGCTTTGTCGGGGAGCGACGAAGTAATGGCCAAGCTGAGAGGGGTCTTCAACTTGCAAAGCTTTCGCCAGAACCAACTGGAGGCTATAAATGCTACCTTAGCTGGAAAGGATGTGTTCGTCCTCATGCCCACTGGAGGCGGCAAGAGTCTATGCTACCAACTTCCTGCTATCTGCGAGAAGGGAGCGACGCGGGGGGTTACATTCGTGGTATCGCCCTTGCTGGCTCTGATATCCGATCAAGTAAATGCGTTGAAGGCCAAAGGCATCTCCACTGTTCAGTGGACCTCAGATTCGGGCGACCAGACTTCCGAAGTTCTTCGCCTCCTCAGAAGTAGCCGGAAGCCCAAACTCGTCTATGTGACACCCGAGAAACTGCAATTGAATGGCGCCACAAAGTCTGTCCTGGCAGAGCTATATCGTTCAGGCAATTTGGCACGGTTTGTTATTGATGAAGCACATTGCATATCTACTTGGGGTCGGGATTTCAGGGAAGCGGTTCGTCGTTCCCTTCCTTTTTTTATTGTCACGAAATTTCAATATTTACCCACCGTAACAGTACACCGGTCTGCATGTGTTGCGGGAGGAATATCCAGATGTTCCTATCATGGCTCTCACCGCCACAGCAAATCAGGGCTCTGTCAACGACATCATATCGCGCCTGAAGATCGAAGGCTGCGTGAAGTTAGTCCAATCTTTCAATCGCAAGAATTTAAAGTACATTGTCGAGAGGAGGAAAGGAAGTATTCTGGCGCCCATGGTAGAGTTTATTCAAGAGAAGCATGCAAACCACACGGGGATCATTTACTGTTTAGCTCGCAAGACATGCGAGGACGTGGCTAAGACTCTGAGGGAGACGTATGGACTGAAGGCAAGACATTATCATGCTCAGTTGCCGACGTCGGAGAAGGAAGAGGTCCAACAACAATGGCAGAGCGGGAAGTGTTTGATTATGGTCGCGACCGTAAGTCCCTGTCAGATCTCGTGCTGGTACTGTACTTACTCTGCACTGCGTAGATTGCCTTCGGAATGGGTGTAGATAAAGCCGACGGTAAGTATAACAATGCTTCTGAGGCATTCATTGGCCACTGACATTCAACGGCTATGTAGTTCGATTTGTAATTCACCACAGTATGCCCAAGTCACTGGAAGGGTACGTAAGTTTGTTTGTATTCGTGAGCATAAAGTAACACCCTCGCAGTTACTATCAAGAAACTGGTCGCGCTGGTCGTGATGGTCTTCCGGCAGATTGTCTTCTCTGTGAGGATGCATTCACCAAATTACCAACTTCGTTGTATTAACTCGACCCAGATTGGGCTTGGAATGACGCTAACCAACTCGCAAACATGATAAAGCGAGGTAACGACAATCAACCACCTTCTCCCGAGACGCTGGAGCATCAGATAGAAGGCGTTTATATGGTCGCCCGATTTTGCATGAACGGAGCGCAGTGTCGTCGCACGCAGATTCTGCGATATTTCGATGAAGATTTCGATCCTCGAAACTGCGGAAAACTGTGCGATAACTGCAGTGAAGGCGGCGCTATTATCACCGAAGACGTATCAAAGTATGCCAAAGATATGATACGACTCGTCGAAGACCTGGAAAAAGACAATGTCACACAAGCACAGATATTAGAGGTCTTCCGAGGCAGTCGCAGCGCCGGGGTCAAAGCCAAGGGGCACGACAGACATCCTTTGTACGGTGCCGGGCAAGACATGAATGCAATGCTACGCGACCAATTGGTCGCAGCGCTTGTCGCTGAGAGTGGACTCACACTGAAATACGTCTTGAATTCTCAGGGATGGAACACAATCTACTTGAGAGTGAGTGTTTCGGATACTCTCCCATCTTTGGTATTGCTCACTGGGCAAATGTAGCGTGGATCACAAGCTGACGCTTTCCTCAGTGGCGAGAAGTCACTATCACTATCATACCGAGCCCCGACATCAGACGAGAACGGGCACACGACCAAGACGGCAAAAAAGCAACGTACCCTCAGCAAGTCAATGAAGCCGACTTCGTCAACGAGCAAAACTGTAGCTGTCGAGGAACCTATTGACATGTACTTGGACGACTCCATTGAAGATTACGACGACGAAGACCTTGTCCCTACGAACAGAAAGAAGGCTCCTGCAGTACAGGGCAGCCCGCGTAAAAACAAGGCGCCAGCCCGCCCAGTCGTTACCCCAGTGGCAATCACCGAATTCACAGAAGAGTCAGATCCCTCTATGTTGTATGGCAAGTTGCGAACCCGTCGCGAAGAGGTATTATCTGCTTCTCCTTACTCACTGAAGTCTTGCCTTCTGATGCAGCAATCACAGATGGTTGAGAGAAATGTCTTAGATAGAGTCGATGAACAAATCCTTGAACTTTTAGCTGTTATTCGGCCTCAAGGTACGATTGTCTTAAGCATTGGTATTTACAAAGTCTGACCCGCGGATTGAACGTTTTCAGACGAGCAGGGTTTCAAGGACGTAGTCAAAGATGCGCTACAGGAGTTGTATTCTGATCCCGAAGACCTCGCGAGTCTCGCAGATGCTAGATACCAAAGCTATGGAAAGGAAATGCTGCAACTCATACGAGGGGACCCAGCGCGGAGCAGGTGGGTACACCATGACACAGCACTTTCGCTTAGATACTGAATCTGCGCGGACGGTAAGGCCCGCTCAAATAGATGCATCGCGATTTGAATACGCCGGCCCATCTTCCTCTACTAAACCACCATCGGCAGCAACGAGCGTTCGCCGAAGCAAGTTCAAGCCAGCGACTGTCGCATCCTGATCTCAAATCTACCGTTACACACGTGGATCTATCTATACCCATATTGTAATCAATCATGATTGTATCATATCCTATTCAAGTTTCTAGTGAATACATTACCGACTCGTTCTATTTCCGCCAATTCCGCCATGCGGTACAACGGGTTATCGTCTCCGGCCGGGCCTCCTCAGTGCCTCATAAGATGACAATTACTAACACTTGATTGGGAACGATGGCTGAATTCGATCCTTCAACTCACCCTCATCGCCGGTGTACGCCCCCGCGTTGCCAAGGTTGGGCCAACTGCTGACATCTCATATCACAGATAATCCACTCTTAGACGAGTACATCTTAGTCTCACCACACAGAACCAAACGGCCGTGGTTGGGACAAGTGGAACCTCCGCAAACGACGACGCTCCCAGTATATGATGATAAATGCTACCTGTGTCCCGGAAACACGCGGTCAAATGGCGAGCAGAATCCCAAGTTCGAGGACACCTATATATTCGATAACGATTTTGCGGCACTACTACCTCTACCTCTACCTGAGGCGCCTAAATCACCGCATCCACTCTTAACAACGCAACCAGTCCATGGGGCTTGCGATGTCCTAGTATTCCATCCACAACACAACCTCACCCTTGCGCAGCTCTCTGTGCAGGAGATAGAGAAGATTGTGCAAGCATGGGATGAAATCTATAATCGTCGCGGGAGACAAGAAGGTATCAGATATGTTCAGATATTTGAGGTTCGTCGGGATGGAGATGCAAATGCTCTGTAATGTTAATAACGCATTTCTAGAATAAGGGATCAATGATGGGCTGTTCGAATCCTCATCCACACGGGCAAACATGGTCTACCTCGGCAGTCCCCACTATACCATCGAAGGAGCTTGCGGCACTGCGCCAATATTCACTGACCAACAAGCCATCTGTTGATGCTCCTCGAGGGCCCGACGGTCCGTTTGTCCCCCGTAGCGCGATACAATATTCAACTACTAACATCTTCAGCAGGGCGGGCGTGCATGCTTTGCGAGTACGCCCACGTTGAAGTTAAGATGGCTGAAGAAGGTCGGGTCGTCATGAAGAACCAGCACTGGGTCGCCTTGGTGCCATGGTGGGCTACATGGCCGTTCGAGCTACTAGGTAGCAGTAAACATCATTAGTCTATGAACCCAGCTAATGGCGTATGCTCCAGTTCTTCCATACACTCGCCATATTCCGTCCATCGCAGATTTGACAGATGCTGAGATAACCAGCTTCGCGGATATACTTTCGAGCGCCACGATCGTATATGACAACCTTTTCAGCTGCTCCTTTGCGTATTCCATGGGGATCCACCAGCGCCCTGTCCCGGATGCACAGGATGATGTAGCCCACTTGCACTTGCACTTCGCGCCACCGTTGCTTCGCAGCGCGAGTGTTCGCAAGTTCTTGGTCGGGTAAGTTATTACGTGAATGTTCTGGGCCACGTCTTAAACCGCAGACTAGATTTGAGTTGATGGCAGAAGCTCAGCGTGATCTGACGCCCGAGCAGGGTGCCGCTCGTTTACGCGCTTGCTCTAGAATCCACTATCTTAGCCAGTGAAGTTGAATGCCAGAAGCTTAAATATGGGTGCTTGTAATGAATAGGCTGGAGCCATCAGTGACTAGAAGTGATAATGGTTTGTCGTTGGGTAGCTCGGTGAGCGTGCCTGGATCAGCGAGAGCCCTGAGATAGAGCCGTAGTGGATTAACAGCCGTAGGTCGGGAGAGGCTGAATTGTTTGACAAGGCAATCTAATGCCTTCCCAGTGGTGACGTTCTAGCAGCGGTTCAACAATACGCATCACACCATTTTCATGCACCGACCTTTGTAAACCAGAGAGATTTCTCGTCCGAGCATGTCCCGACACTGACTTTAACGTGTAAACGGTCACCCACAGGGACGTCTCCGTTAGATTTGGAAGGATCACCGGGTTTAGCGTGGTGCCGTAGCTTCATCATTTCGACTTTCTGATATTTGGCTAATTTAGCGGGATCGGTGGGTATTTTGGGTGCTGTGCGGCGAAAGGACGACGGTGCGGTGTTGGTCGAGGGGAAATGTTTTTCTAGCAATTTCAGAGCCGCTTTATTCTTTGGTTCCCCTTGAACAAGAGGCGGCGAACAAGAATGCGATTTCGGGTGTCGGTGCCTATTCAAATTCGGATCAGCAGCAATATGGTGGTGCATCCTTAAATCCAAGCTCACTCTGCGCAGAACGCCAAAGAACAATGCTCACAGACTGCCCTGATCCTGCTGGAGTCCTCTGGATTGGATATACTGGCCATAAAGGCCTCAAGACTAGGTTTCTGACATTTCTTGAAATCACATCGAGCCAGCTTCTCACAGTTTGGGACTCTGTGATTGGTGTCGTTATTTGGGCTAGCCGCAGCACATGGGTGGGCATCTGGCTGTATATGGTCTCTGCAAAAGTATCTGTTGCATTGACAGAGAATTGGAAGGAAATCGACGGTGTTGCAGGATTCAAGCGAACACTGGACTCCGAGATGAAGCATGGTCCAGGAAGAAGCGCAGCCCCTGAGTCGGCCAACAGCAGTTGAGCTACTGCGCCACTCCACGCTTGCCCATCGACCATGAATCTCATAGTAAGCCCTAGCCCCGCCTCCGTCTCTCTGCTACTTTAAAGGCCTGATGATACATCCAGGAAACGCTCTTTGGCCGAACAGTGACCCCCGCTGAAAGGCTGCGACAGCATCAGCGGTCTCTCGCCAAAGCACAACGCGAACTCGATCGCGAACGGGCAAAGCTCGAGCAGAGCGAGAAGAAGCTCATGATGGATATCAAGAAGAGCGCAAAAGCAGGCCAGATGGTATGCACGTACACAATCCCATGTGCCTTGGACCCAACGACAACTGCCATCGTTTGTAGAATGCATGCAAAGTCATGGCCAAAGACTTGATTCGGACAAGGCGATATGTTCAGAAGTTCTACCAGATGCGCACTCAGCTGCAGGCAGTGGGCTTACGCATACAAACACTTCGCAGCAATCAACAAATGGCGGACGCCATGCGTGGTGCAACTCGAGTACGTGATCGTATCCATACTTTACGGATTATAATTAACATCGCTCACTACTAGGCAATGGCAAGTATGAATCGTGGCCTCAACCTACCATCAATACAACGCATCATGAATGAATTCGAGAAGGAAAGCTCTATGATGGACATGAAGGAAGAAATGATGTCGGATGCTGTGGATGATGTGATGGAGGACGAAGAAGATGAGGAAGAAGAGGGCGATAAGGTTTTGAAGGAGGTCTTGGATGAGATTGGCGTCAGTCTGGCCCAGCAGGTATGTGTCCATATTATTCTACCTCGGCATAATGATACAATACAAGCAACAACAGCTTACTGATGCACCGACTGGGCTCGCAACGGCAACATCGGTTGCTTCCAGACAACCAGTGGCCCTGGGCGAAGCAGTAGGGGGCGCGCCGGCGGGTTCAGCTGCGGCTGCGGGTGGCCAGGGAAACAATGTGGGCGGAGGCGGCATGTCTGACGAAGATTCGTTACAAGCACGACTGGATGCTCTTCGGAGAGGCTAACATGACCATCATCTAAACCTTGAGCGCAACTACGGCCCGTGCTTCCTGCGCACTGAGTTTCCAGGTGATCCCAGACCCGTTATAGAACTCGTCTACATCTTCTTCCTATATATCCATGTACCATATTAATCTTGAGAATTTTATAAGGGGACGCAAGCTTACACTATCGAGGTTCAGAAGCGTCGATATCTGTTGGAGACGAACGAATTTCTCGCGTGCATCGCCGAACGCAGTCTGTGAGGCAAGATATGTTGTGATCGATCGGAGGTCGCGATCGAAGCGGATGGCACCAAGCTATGCAGAAATTACAGAATCGACTCGGGATCGGGATGGAAGGCCGACTCACTTCGTTGAACTGGAGGCCCGTAATCAACTTCTCCCATGGTCGCAACAAGACATCTAGCATCAAGCCAAAGAACATGCGATAGTTATGCTCAGTAAACGATTCCTGTTTTCCCCTTCAATTCTTCGATTCTTGGAAAAAGCAAATAGAAACGAACTTTGTATGCTTCCATGAAACCTTCCCATGACTTGATGAATTTCTTTCGGACTACATCTTGGTATTCGGCAGCGGCGTAGTTGTTGTCATCGAGAACGTACGAGACATCTCGGTATATATCCACTAGGAAAGTGCGCAGCTTGGGCCGAATGAGCTGATTGAAGAGTTGTTCAACGCCGAGCTATGAAGCGCTATCAGTACCTTGCATATGGAAGTGTAGCATAGGGTTGTGAGTTACTCGGAGGATAGATGTGAACTTGTTGCCTACGCCAGCAAAAGAAGACAGGTAGCTCTTCACTAACGGTTGATTTTCTCCGACAAAGTGCTGGGCTACGATAGGTGAGTCTTGGATACCTTTGATCAACCGTTCTACATGAGACGTTGATATGTCGAGGTCGTTCAAGAATGTCTATCACTCACTTAGCCTGGCAGACAACGGCTACAACAAGGTACTTACAATGAACGATATTCGATTTTCAGCCTCCGCCCTTTCACCCCGATTGCCTGAACTAGCTGAAGGCCGATATACATCATCAAGCTTCTTCTTGATGCCGCCAGCATAGTCTTGTTCCATAACATCTCTAAGTTGGTTGGTGGTCTTCTCGACCGTGGCGAGAGAGCCGGTTGAAAGCAAGCGTGATAGAACTACTTTGAGAACATAAAAGACATCATCGGGGGTGGTTGTCGATGTTGGTCCCTGGCTCAAGTCGCGGCTTGAGAGCCGATGGGCCTATAACGGGAACGGGCTAGTTAGTCTAATGCATGGTTGGAGAATAGGGGCTGGGGCTGGCATGGGGGAACGGTACCTTTTCAACGACGCTACGGAGATACCAGACTTCCATTGGCATGTAACAAGTGCTTAGAAGCTCCATAAATAACTTGTTGGACCCGGACTTTTGAATACAGCGCATGGCTTCTGCGTCGGTATGAATGTTCGTGTCTCCTTCCTTTCCGGAGTCGGAATCACTAGCGTCGTCCTGAAGGAGACGGGTGGCGACAGACGATAAGTGGGAATTTAGTCGGTATGGAAGGACACCTACGAGGGTTCGACGGAGGAATCTACAAAAGAGGTGCCATCGGCCGCTCATGCTGGCGATTTCCGTCAGCAACTTGTCTATTTCTCGGGGGTCGACGTCGTCTTGTTCTGGCTGTATCATCACCCTTCTGCCATTAGCGGAGCTTAGTGGATGGGTAGCGACATCGTTTAACTATGATTGACGAATTAGCATGAGAACACCTTGCAGCGAAGGGCCGTACATGTCGTTTGATGCGTCGCTCTCCTTCCCATCCGTCTAGAAGCATCTTTGTTACACGGTCGCATTCATCCAAGAGTTTCTCTACCACAGGGATCATTTTACCGGCTCCGTAGTATTTCTCAACTACAGGCTGATGCTGATCGACGATCATTGCGACGCTTTCGTAGAGGGCAGTCAGTGCCGTTATGTAGTACATTGGCGAGGAAGCTGCGGGGTTTTATTAGTTATCTATAATATTTTGATAGGCGTTGAGAGTAACTCGCTTTTCGCTGAGGCCGGAGGCCGTACGCGTACTAAATCAACAACAAACGCGGCATATACTTCCAGTCCTTCGACTTCCCATCCTATGGCAGGGAATAGCTTGAAGAAACGGCTTGTTACAGCAGAATCGCGTGATTCAGATGCCTGCTTGAATTGCTGACGGAATACGCGCAGCAGATGCTCGCGTGCCTCTTGCAAAGTTTGTGCCGGGGGTAAATGACTTTCAGATGTAGGCTAGAGAAACAGATCAGCAGAATAGTAGCAAGGGTATGATCGCCACGGACGAACAACTGCCTGCTCCGCAAAGGGACCACCGATCACTTCAGGCGGAAGAGTCATAGCGCGAGCACAGTGTCTAGTCGCCGAATCCCAGTCCTGGGCTTCTATGGACGCTTGCAACGCTGATAGGGACGACTTTAAATCCATTTAACAAGGCGAAGCAGCAGAACGTCATGCAACGCACTGACCTTCAATTCCACGACCTGGCCGACGCGATCTGAGGCCTCGCGTATTCGTTTCATTTCTTCATCCAGGGAACGAACGCGACCGCCGACGCGCTCCGCAGTCTGCGCAGTTTGTGAGACCTTGTTCGCGAGCAGAGCTGCCTCGCCATGAAGGTCGTCGATGAGGGGCACGAGCGTCGTCAGCCGTGCCAATGAATTGATGATGGGGTCGCGGGCAGACAGCAAATCCGAGAGGCTGCTGGAGAGATCAGCTTCCTCCGACTGGTACGCCGACAGACAGGACAGTATTTCTGGCAGCGAGGTCAGCGTCCTTGGGTCCCTGAGCCGAACATCGTGCGCAGTCATGGCAGAGTCTGTGAATGGGCTATGGTTAGTTCGTTCTGCCAAACATTGGAATGTTTGGAGTCAACAGGGGTTGAGCTTGAACCATCATGAGCCTAGCGCAACTCCATCTAATATAGTCCATTCACCAGACGGTATAAAGGCAAGGCAGAAAACCATGGATTGGTCTGAAAGAGGTGCGTTCAATACTCCGTATTCTCTGGATTCTAGTTCTGACTCTTTGCGCCCTCTAGTCGCGCCATGAGACTCCTCTCGGCCATCGTTGCACTCTCCGTTGCCTGCTCCTCCTTGGGCAAGGCAAACAACTGGGACAAGCCATGCTTCCACGGCGAATGCGCATACGATACCATTGGCACTGAGGAGACCGGCTACGGCAGCATCAAGATCGTAGGTCTCCATCTCAATACTCTCCTGACCCATGATTGACAACGATGGCGTCGCTTCCAGTACGGTTCACCTAAATCCATAACCGATATCACGCCTGCCTCAGGCTGGGTTGTCTTGGACTGCGACCCCAATCTCCTTGCCCAGGATATCCGTCTCGTTTGCCGGAGCGACGACGACGAGGGCTGCAACCACATCTACGAGCATGACCCTGTTCATAGGATCGTGCGGCTCCCCGAGAGCGTATGTACCTTGTACCACCTGATCTGTGGCAGGAGTAACGTTTACGATAGTGCGGCAAAGGTCCATTTGCCAGGATCGCGAGCATGCAGGTTGCCTCTGACCAGTCCATACCTGCCCATGCCGAGCAGAAGATTCTCCGTCGAGATGGCGTCGTACCTCAAGTACATCTGCTCAGTGTAGATTCCAACTTTGAGGCTGTCCCTGCAGAGTAAGCTCTCCGTAGTTCGTCATTAATAGACATTCCTCCACTCAGACTTTAATCCCAGTATCGAGCCCGTTTCCTTCGTCTTAGTCGGAGGAAATTTTCCTGGCTTAGAACTGGATCCCGATGTGCTGGGTTCCCTGCATCAACGCGACGCGGACAATATCTTCAAGAGCATTGCTCATGCAGTCTCCAAAGCCGCCAATGCTGTGAAGAACGTCGCTGTCAAAGTCGGCACTGCAGTCAAGGATGTTGCAGAAAGTCAGTGTAGCGACATTACTATTTTTCTAGACTGAGTTGCCAACGTCCATTTTCCCCCTAGAAATCAACAACATCAATATCAACAAAACTTTCACCCCGCCAGCACTGAATGTCCAGAAACACTTCGACTTGCTCGATGTTCATCAACATTGTGGTAGCACCGACGCCGAGTTAAAGGTCTCGGTAGATGGCAACGCTCACGCCGAAGTCAGCGTTGGTGCGATCTTGATCGGTCATATCATCCCACCGAAGATAGAAAAGGCGGGTGCATTTGCTCGTGTGTGACCTCCGCTTGTATACCCTTTTCCCGTCCTTATACCCTCTTAGAGCTTTCTGCTGAACTAGGCGCGCGTCTTATGATCAAGGCTATGTTGAACGTATGTTTTTCCTCTCTTCCAACATACATCGACCAAGATTTCGCGCTATAGGGTGATTTCGATACCGGCAAGAAACAAATTGTGTCTGTTGGTATCCCCGGGTTCAGCATCCCCCCGATTTTCAAGCTCGGCCCTTGGTTTGAAATCGATGGCCAGATCAAGGGCAAGATTGATCTAAACATCGACATTGACGTTGGTGCAAACTATGGAGGTAGGATGTTCCCTGATCTTGCTATTACACGATATGAACTAATGTATCCATGGCTTACCTAGTACATGGGGGTGAGAATGATTCGCCTTAACTTCCTGTTAGATTCTGATGTTGCCACTAGTCCAATTCTGGTTCCCCCCCAGCGCGGGGCCTTCTTCATCAAAGGAGGTCAAGCCAAAGGATACACGTACGCTACACGTTGCCTTAATACAACAATTCCATGCTTATTTTCAGATAGCTTTCAAGCTTTCCGCTGCGGCCGACATCAGTGCGAAGGGTACCATCGAAGGTCACATTATCCCCTCCGTCAAACTTGGGTTCGAAGTACTCGGCGGCAAGGCTAAAGCAGATGTCTACCTCGACATTGATGCTTATGCAAAGGTCAACCTCGACGCCCAAGCTAGCGCATCCGTTCACCATCGTTCTGTCGAAGGCGAACTGAACGAGCAGCTCTATGCCCCCCCTTACGGTCGCGCTGCAAGAGAAGTCGTAGTTCGTTCCGTCGATCGGGCGCAGGCTGCCACTTTCAACGGTTGCGTAGATGTCTCAATCTGGTTGTCCCTTGGAGGAGGCGCAGAGGGAAACATCTTTGGGCTGTGGTCGGCTGATAAGGCAATCACATTCTTCAAAAAAGAATTCCACCTGTTGAAGGTATGCTTTACCATATCCCGGTGTCATGGTGGACACTCATGGGAGGATGCGCTTAGAAATGTTGGGGTTCTGGGAAAGCCAAGCGTGACATGTCTACGTCCTTGACAAGGAGCAGTAAGAGGGCTATTGATGGGATTTTATGCCCTAAGACCCAGTCAGCTCCTGTTAGTGTCGAAGATGCTAATGTCAAGGCAAATGAGTAAGTTATTGGTCCCATCATAGTTAAATGTTCTAACATTGCCAATCTTCACTCAGTATAAAGTGATTGATGATTGGGCTGAGTGTGTACCAGTATATATTATCTGTATCATACCGGATGCAAAGTCAAGCATGGCTGAACGACAACCGCCTTTAGGGCGGTTGCCTGGTTGGCATAGTAATTTGTAATGTTAACTAAGAATGGTGATTGTGCTTCAGAGGAGTTCTCTCTTTGTTCTCTACTGGGGAGTCATCTTTGAAATGCCAAAAACTTTGTTAAATTTGAATTCTATGTATATTATGCTCCTTCGTGGCCTGGCCGCATGTAGGAGTATGCCTGTATGTAACTATACTATACTACTGTATAAACTACAATCTATGTATCCATTCAACTGCTGTGTGATGCCACTTAGTGATGTATATGGTGGTGGTACCACAGTACACAGTGTGCAAGATGGGATAATGTAGCACTTACTATGTAATTACTAGATGGAAACTGTCCCTGATAATAAATCCATACATTAGACAAAGAATAGATAATGTAACACATATATATTCTCACAATCAGTATGCAAGCATAATGCTAAACAAAGGCAATCCTTATCCTGAGAATATCCAATCCTGGGTCAGCATAATTACTCCGTAATGATTGAATATTAATTGGGTATTGGGCTTGTAAGTAAGCAAACAATATAAGTCATTGTTTACCCCATATTGAGCATCTATTTGTTGAAGTGATGTGCACACTTGTTGTACAAATGTATAACAAAGTTGCGCTGCATAAGCGCCCGGTTCCCATGCATTGGGGACCATCCATAGACACTGCCAACACCCATAGGGACAGCCCAGGTCATCATGGGATGACTGGTGTTGACAGGATTGCTAAAAGTGCACAAGCACTGTTTAGCAATCTGTACATACTTTACAAGCGCACGACTCCCACGGTCAATGCAACGTTCCCACGTTCAGCGCCCCATTAGTAGGTCTGTTGACCTCTATTGTGACCGCCGGAACAGGCACCGGAACGCCTCGGTCTCCGCAGGGAAGCAAAAGCAGCAAAAATGAAACATGGAGCCATCATTAGAATGATGTCTGGCATGTTCCCAAGCTGCTCCGGAGCTAATCAAATTCGGACGCGATTTAGTGGACACCTATATTCACGCCTCGCGCAGAACAGTACCCGTGGGAACCTGGGATGGTCATTTTCCTTACATGTCTAGAGTAATAGACACAAAGAGTCAATAGAGCGCAAATCATTACATATTATTGATTGATTGCATCAACACATCATTAGTGATTGTTACTAAGGCAATTAGAGTGCATTAGGATGCTTCTACAAGCTTCTGATCAAACTATAATAGCCTAAAGTTTAACAGATACTACTCTGTTGCCTGCACCTATGTTTGCTAACTTTGACGACTACCTCCCACCTTCCTCTCCCATCGCTGATGATGTCAATGACTTGCAAGGTGCCTCTCGTACCATGGGTTGATTTGCAAGGGGCAAGGGCCATGGAGTAGTTCCCAACATGGCTGACTTCAGTAAGTTCTTGCTTGTCATATTCAGCTCAGCTACTGACTCCTGCTTAGACATCCAGCCAGCAGACCTTGTCCCTGTCCGCAATGAGGGCAGAGTCTTGGTGTACAAGAATGTGGACCGCACCAGCGCTAAGGCCCATGCTGTGAGGGTCCCTTTGGCTTACACCTTGGGGCCTGTCCTCAAGGCTATGGTCAAGAAGATGACCACTCTTGCAGGTATGTCACACATTTTGACTTCGCGTTTTTTGCTTACCATTTGTTGCCACTTAGACTCCAACATCTCGTTGTGGGTCAAGGATGACTGGGAGATGAAGGGCCCATTTGCTGTGGTTGTTCAGGGGGATGAGCCCATTGAGTGGGACAACAACAAGGAAATGGAGTTGTTAATGGTAAGCAAAATCCGACTTGACTTGAAAAAATTCTGACTCTATCTCACTCAGGACCCTTCAATCCAAGGCTCTGGCTTCCATCCCCCTCCCTCCCCTTCTGTTTACTCTGCTGCTGCCCCATCAAGCATCTCTTCCCTCGCTCCCTCTGCCTCTGTCTCCACTGCTGGTGTCGACACTGCCTTGCTTACCATTGCCCAACTCGCCAGCACCTTCTCTGATCCTGCCCTGCTTCAGCTCGCCATCATGCTGAAGGTGCCCTTTAGCATGACACCCAAGGCATCTGGCAAAGGCAAGATCCTTCAGATCTTTGCTAGGATGAAGGTGTTAAACTTTAGGCTATTATAGTTTGATCAGAAGCTTGTAAAAGCGTCCTAATGCACTCTAATTGCCTTGGTAACAATCACTAATGATGTGTTGATGCAATCAATCAATAATATGTAATGATTTGCGCTCTATTGACTCTTTGTGTCTATTACTCTAGACATGTATGGAAAATGTCCATCCAAAGTTCCCATGGGTACTGTTCTGCGCGAGGCGTGAATATAGGTGTCCACTAAATCACATCCAAATTTGATTAGCTCTGGAGCAGCTTGGGAACACGCCAGACATCATTCTAATGATGGCTCCATGTTTCATTTTTGCTGCTTTTGCTTCCCTGCGGAGACCGAGGCGTTCCGGTGCCTGTTCCGGCGGTCACAATAGAGGTCAACAGACCTACTAATGGAGCACTGAACGTGTGAACGATGCATTGACCGTGGGAGTCGTGCGCTTGTAAAGTATGTACAGATTGCTAAACAGTGCTTGCGCACTTTTAGCAATCCTGTCAACACCAGTCATCCCATGATGACCTGAGTTGTCCCCATGGGTGTTGGCAGTGTCTATGGGTGGTCCCCAATGCGTGGGAACCGGGCGCTTGGTATAGCGCAACTTTGTTATACATTTGTACAACAAGTGTGCACATCACTTCAACAGACCATGTTTTCAAATGAACCGGCGTTGTTGGTGTAAGGGGACACTCCTATTTTCTCCTATTCCCCTGTCCCCCTCCCTTCCTCCTCATTCCTTTCTCCCTTCCTTCATCCCACGGACTCTTACATACATCCCCTTTGTCCTCTTTCCTTTCCACTTCCTTTCCACTCACTCCTTTCGCATCCGAGCTTTGTCCGGTGACTGTAAGGGCAACCTCAAGATGGCCGACAGCGCAGGCCTAGCAGAGGGAGAATCCAAAGTAATGAATAAGACTAACTACAATACATGAGAGAGCTGCTCACCTAGCAGAGGGAGAATCCAAAGAGAACAGGATAAGGATTCTCCATGCTAGGAAGCGAAGTATATACTGTAGTAGCGTGGGAGGAGTGAAGGGTAACTGTACAGTACACCAGCCACAGGTCCGAACGAATATCACAAGGTACGAGGAAACATGTGATAATGAAGTGGAAGGGGAATGTACAGGAGTCATGCCGGCGACCTGGGGAAGTGGGGACAAGGAGTAATGAAGTGGGAAAGGAGGATAGAGGTAGCCCGGACGAGCCCCGGAGTGTATCTACGAGTCCGAGCGAGTCCGAAGCGTCCGAGCGAGTCCGAGGTGTCCGAAGCGAGTCCGAGGCGCGGGAAGACTCCGGAGTCACCGGACGTGGCTCGGATGCGAAAGGAGTGGGCGGAAAGGAAGTGGAAAGGAAAGGAAGCGAAAAGGAACAAAGGGGGACGAAGAAAATGTAGGTAAGAGTCCATGGGATGAAGGAAAGGAGAGAAAATAGGAGTGTCCCCTTACATCACCCCCCCTTCAAGGTTGCGGCGACCCGACGCGAAGATTCCTGCCTGCCGCGCCATGAATTCACCAACCCCGAAACTCCGGACTGCTGCGAGAAGATGTCGAAGTACGACTGCACAGAGCCCGGAGCCTTCCGACTGCGCCAACGCTCCCAGGACTGGTCCAGTGCTGTAGGAGTCATCCGGAGCGGTGCAGGCGTCATCGGACTCGTCGGACTCGTCCGGAGTGAGCGCACTGCGTCCGGATGACGATCATGGAAGTCCTTGACCTTCTGGGCAGCATGCTGGAGGTTGCTCGCGGGCTCCCAGGAGTCGTGCTCAATGCCATAACCTCGCCAGCGTACCAGATACTTCAGGACCCGACCAAACCGTCTGCTGTTCCGGACCTCTTCTACCTCGTGCTCTTCTCCTCCGTCAATGAGCTGCGGAGGTGGCGGAGCGACAGGGCGTCTACCCGGAATGGGATCCGGGACGAAGGGAGAGAGTTTGACCACAGGGAAGACAGGGTGGAGACGGGATAAGCCCGGGGGGAGCTGGAGTCGATACGCCGCCTTGCCAACCTTCCGGACGACCTTGTAAGGACCGAGTCGTGCGTGTCCGAGTTTCCGGGAGGGTCGGGCAAGGTTGATGTCCGACGAGTCCAGCCAAACCTTGTCACCCGGTTGGTACTCCGGAGCAGGAGTCCGACGCTGATCATAGTAACGCTTCATGTCATCCTGAGCCTTGACCAATGCAGACTGAGCTTCATCAACTGCAGACTTCATCCGATGTACAAACTCGTTTGCAGACTCCATCCGAGACGGTGGCTGATGAGGTTCGAACCCGAGGCGAGGATGTCGGCCAGTATCTAGGAGGAAAGGTGACTGCTGAGTCGACGCGTGGACCCGGTTGTTGTACGCAAACTCCGCCATAGGTAGGAGGCGAGCCCAGTCGTCCTGGCGTTCTCCAACAAAGATCCGGAGATAGGACTCGAGTTCCTGGTTAGTCCGTTCCGTTTGTCCGTCGGACTGAGGGTGGTACGCAGTGGAGGCAGCCAGCTTGATTCCGAGCATCCGGTAGACTTCCCGGGTGAACTCTGCAACGAACTGCGGACCTCGGTCGGACACAACAGACCGAGGGAGTCCATGCAGCTTCCAGACGTTCTGCAGGTACAAGTTTGCGGATCCGAGGGCAGACACCGTGGTGTGAGTCGGAATGAAGTGGGCGCGTTTGCTTACGGAGTCGACCACATTCATGACAGCGTCAAATCCATCGGACTCCGGAAGCTCGACGATGAAGTCAACACTCAGGCGATCCCAGCGTTCATCCGGAATGGGAAGCGGATGAAGTTCACCCATGGGCGGATGCCTTTGGGCCTTCGTCCGGAGACAGAGGTCGCAATGGCGGGTGTAGGATCCGATGTACCGGGACATGTTGGGCCACCAGTAGCTGCGTGAAACGAGCTCTAGGGTCTTCCATCTGCCGGCGTGTCCTGTGACCTTGGTGTCGTGGTGCTGAGCTACAATAGTCCGACGCAAATCCGGTGAGTCCGGAACGTAGATCTTACCCCGGAACATCAGGAGTCCGTCCGATTGGGACCATTCCGCACTTCGGACTGTCTTGCGACTGCCCTGGGTCTTCTTCAGCTCCTCTGCCGCCTTTGCCACTGCATCTTCAAACTTCGCATCTCGCACTCCAGTCCGGATAGCCGTGAGGATATCCTTCTCCTCCCCTTCAAGAGTGACACCCGTGGCACGGACAGCAAAGTAGGATGGCTTGAGCATCACTACATCCTTGTTGTCATCCTTACCATCCGAGTGATCCGAGCGTCGCGAGAGAGCGTCCGGTTTACCCATAGTCCGACCCGGACGATGCTGGAGAGTGAAGTCGAAGCGGGAGAGGTATAGCGACCAGCGGGCTTGACGGCGGTTGAGTTTCTGGGCCTTGATGAAGTACTCCAGGTTCTTGTGGTCCGTCCAGATCTCGAACGGAGTCTCTGCGCCTTCAAGGTAGTGCCGCCATTCTTCGAGCGCCCGGATGATCGAAAGCATCTCCTTGTCGTGTATTTCGTAGTTCCGCTCTGCAGCCTGTAGACTTTTAGAGTAGAATGCGACAGGATGCCATTTACCATCATCCGGATCCAGTTGCGACAAGACTGCACCCGTAGCGTAGTCCGACGAGTCCGCTTCAACTCGGTATGGCCGATCCTCCTTCGGAAAGACAAGAACAGGTTCCGAAGTGATCAGCTCTTTGATCCGAAGAAATGCGGATTGAGCGGAGTCGTTCCACTGCCATTCCTTCGCGCAAGTGAGGTCAAAGAGAGGCCGGGCGATATGCGAGTAGTCCTTGATGAAGCGGCGGTAGAAGTTGACGAACCCAAGAAAGGATTGGAGTTCAGTCCGAGTCCGAGGGGTTGGCCAGTCCGCAACTCCGGAGACCTTCACAGGGTCCATCTCGATCTTACCCTCGGAGATGACGACTCCGAGATACTCCACCTTGGTCTGCTCGAAGTCGCACTTGTCCGCTCGGAGGAAGAGCTTGTTCCGCTGGAGGATCTCTAGGACTCGCTTGAGAACCCGGCGATGCTCTTCGCGCGTCTTGGTGTAGATCAGGATGTCATCCAGATAGATAATAACCACACCTTCCGTAATGAGCTCCCGGAACAAGTCGTTCATCATGGTCTGGAAGGTGGACGGGCTATTTGTTAGTCCGAAGAACATCACCAAAGGTTCGAAGAGCCCGCGCGTAGTCCGAAATGCGGCCTTCCACTCGTCACCCTCCTTGATCCGGACATTGTTGAAACCCCACCGGACGTCAAGCTTGGAGAAGTAGCGAGCATTCCGGAGTTTGTCCACCAAGTCCGAGATGAGCGGAAGTGGGTACCGATTCTTGACCGTCATGTTGTTGAGCTTCCGGTAGTCCTGGACCAAGCGGAGCGATCCATCCTTCTTCTTAACAAAGAACACTGGGGCAGCCATGGGTGACTTGCTGGGGCGGATCCGACCAGTCCGGAGATTTTCTTCCAGGAATTCGTCCAGCTGTTTCTGCTCCGCCGGGGACAGTGGGTAGCACTTGGTAGAGGTCGGTTCCGCTCCGGCCAGTAGCTCAATGGCATGGTCCCACGGACGCGGCATGGGCAGTTCATCAAAGGATTCCTTTGCGAAGACGTCCTCGAATTCCTGGAGGAAGTCCGGGACTGCGCTGTTCCGAGGATCGTGGGGTTTGTTGCGCTGGAAAGCCAATGCGAGGCGCTGCGAGACTGTCTCCGAAGCCCGGACGTGTTCTTCCCGAAGACTCCGAAGGTACTCCGGAGTTGGAGGAGGAATAGCCACAAAGATACGGTCACCCCTCTCAAGTCCGGAGTCGTCCGGAGTTGTGACATTGTCATCCTCATCATCATCCTCGCAGTCCTGAAGCTCTGGGAGATCATCCGAGTGCAGTTCCTCAACCCTTGGCATCGGACCCGTACGACACTCCCGGAGCCGCACGGACTCCTTGCGTCGGGTCAGCTTGTCATGGCGGAACTCCTTCCGACAGGTGTCGCATCCGGACGGACAGCGGCTCATGGTCACCTCCTTTGTCTGCCAGTCAATCTCGGGGTTGTGCTTCCGAAGCCAGGTGTATCCGAGGATGATGTCCTGCCGTCCGATGTTAGTGACTGCGAAAAGCATCCGTTCCGTGTGATCCTTGAACCGGAGTACAAGGTCCACGACTTCGGAGATAGATCCGTTCTCATTTGGTGATCCGTCAACGTTGAAGACCGGAATCGGAGCGGACAGCTTGCGTCGGGTGAAACCATGGGCATCAGCGAAGCGCGGATGCATGAAGACTCCGGTGGCTCCACAGTCCACGAGGGCCTGCAGGGTGCATCTGTGTTGTGTATCTGTGCTCTGCACTTCAACGGGTATATCTAGCGAAAGCTTGCCGGGCAGCGCGGAGATCTTATAGCTACTGGGTAGCCGCCGTTCCCACTGCGGGCGAAACCTTCGGAGTGTGCGGATTGTAACCGGAGTTGCTTGCTTAACGTCGGACGAATCATCGGAGTGATTGGAATCGTCTATTTCGTCTACGCTAAGACAAGCAAATCGGTTATTTACCAACGAGGTCGCACTGATCACTCGTTGGTCCGGACAAAATCCGCCGTGTCCGATTCCTCAACCGGGGCCGTTCCCTCATCGTCTATTCCTTCCGAGGTCCCCACACTTTCTACAACATCGGCCGCAGTCAGGAGATCTTCGATGGCGGACATCCGCTCCTCGGTGGTCATGAACCGGATGTCGTACCGAAGTGGGCACTCGCGGGACATGTGGCCGGGTTTGCCGCATCGGTAGCAGAGCTGCGAGGTGGCGGGTCGGGAGCGGGTGTGGTCGACATCCATTGGGACACCGGGTGAGAGAGCCTTTGGAGGAGGCGGAGGTTGGAAACGGGGTTGCAGAGGTGGGAGCTGAGTCCGAGGCGCGGGAAGCACACCCGCAGGAGTCCGAGCGACTCCGGAGCCAGCTGCTGGTCGGACGAGGGATCCGGAGTGTCCGGAGTTTCCGGAGTGCACGCCAAAGTGGAAGGATTGGTTAGCAGCACGGTTGTCAGCAACCCGCTGTGCTGCCTTGTACCATTCCTCGAAGTCATCCTCGTCCGGACAGTCTGCGGACTCGGCAATGCGGCTCTGGATGATGGAGTCCAATCCACGACGGAACTTCATCGTGATGTTGGAGCCCTCAGTGTATCCGGACTGGTCTACAAGGTCCCGGAACTCGTCGAGGTACTCCTGGAAAGTCCGGCGCCCTTGGTGGTACCGGGTGGACTCCAGTTTTAGCATGGCAGCTTCGCGTTCCCGATCCGGAAGGAAGCGAGTCCGGAACTCGGTTGCGAAGGCGGCCCAGGATGCGAAGTACGGATCCTTCGGACTCCGGAGCACCATGTCCGCGTACTCCTTAGCTCGATCCTTCTGGAAAAAGGAGAGACACCAGAGGATTTTGGCCTGCTCAGTTGGAAAGTGGTCCGGACAGAGCTGGAAGTAGATGGAGCATGCGTTGTAGAACGCGCGACCATCCTTGCGGTTCCCGTCGAAGATCGGGGGAGAGGCGGGCTTCAAGCGGGAGCGCGGGGTGTTTTCGGATCGACTCGGGGCGTGCTGGGAGGCTTCGGTGCCCCTCAGCTCGGAGTCCGGAGTTGTTTTCGGAGTAGTCGGACGGGGTGTTAAGAGGAGTCCTTCAATTCGGGCGAGTGTATCCTGGATGGAGCTGATTTGGGTTTGGTGTTCGTACGTCTGAGCCCACAAGGTCTGCAAAGTCTCGGAGTCCGGTCCTGAAGCGACTGGCTCGGATGGCGGGATCTGGCTGGAGGCGCCCGGCATTTTGGAGTCGTCAGGGGAGTGAGGGATGGAGTTCCTTGGGTCCTCAGAGGTGGGTGGGAGTAGCAGGAGAGCGTCCGGAATGTCCGCAAAACCGGAGAGACGTCGAGAACGAGTCCGGAGTGGCGCAGGACGTTTTCCGTAGGGCTCTGGTGCCAGGATGGGAGATCCTGTTCTGCTGTAAGGGCAACCTCAAGATGGCCGACAGCGCAGGCCTAGCAGAGGGAGAATCCAAAGTAATGAATAAGACTAACTACAATACATGAGAGAGCTGCTCACCTAGCAGAGGGAGAATCCAAAGAGAACAGGATAAGGATTCTCCATGCTAGGAAGCGAAGTATATACTGTAGTAGCGTGGGAGGAGTGAAGGGTAACTGTACAGTACACCAGCCACAGGTCCGAACGAATATCACAAGGTACGAGGAAACATGTGATAATGAAGTGGAAGGGGAATGTACAGGAGTCATGCCGGCGACCTGGGGAAGTGGGGACAAGGAGTAATGAAGTGGGAAAGGAGGATAGAGGTAGCCCGGACGAGCCCCGGAGTGTATCTACGAGTCCGAGCGAGTCCGAAGCGTCCGAGCGAGTCCGAGGTGTCCGAAGCGAGTCCGAGGCGCGGGAAGACTCCGGAGTCACCGGACGTGGCTCGGATGCGAAAGGAGTGGGCGGAAAGGAAGTGGAAAGGAAAGGAAGCGAAAAGGAACAAAGGGGGACGAAGAAAATGTAGGTAAGAGTCCATGGGATGAAGGAAAGGAGAGAAAATAGGAGTGTCCCCTTACAGTGACTCCGAAGTCTTCCCGCACTTCGGACTTGCCTCGGACTTGCTCGGACACCTCGGACTTGCTCGGACGCTTCGGACTTGCTTGGACGCTTCGGACTCACTCGGACTCGTAGATACACTTTGGGGCTCGTCCGGGCTACCTCTATCCTTTTCCCCCACTTCATTACTCTTCGCCCTTACTTCCCCAAGTTGCTGGCATGACTCCTGTGCATTTACCCTCCACTTCATTATCACATGTTTCCTCGTACCTTGTGATATTCGTTTCGTACCTGTGGCTGGTGTACTGTACAGTTATCCTGCATTCCTCTCACGCTACTACAGTACATATATACTTCGCTTCCTAGCATGGAGAATCACTATCCTGTTCTCTTTGGATTCTCCCTCTGCTAGGTGAGCAGCTCTCTCATGTATTGTAGTTAGTCCTATTCATATCTTTGGATTCTCCCTCTGCTAGGCTTGCACTGTGCGGCCATCTTGAGGTTGCCCTTACAGTTGGCGTGCTCGTGTACTGGAATCGGTGTGTCGTTGAGAGAGATTTGGTGCACGGAGGTAGTGGGGTAATGCGGGGATGAGAACTGTAGGGTACAAAGGGAAGGGACTAAAAGAAGCTTGATCTAGTACGAACGAAATGGAATGGAACAGAAACTATATCTGATATACGTAGAATATGATGTTTTTGTTGCTTTATTTCGTCGATAGTGAGGTGCGATTGATGCGAACGAGAACAAGATGGGGATACGGAAATAACTAAGTACTACGAAGCGAAATGAAGGGGAAGAGGCGGTGCGGTCTGGGGAATGATGGATTGTGTGGTGGAGTGGATGGAAACGAAAGGAGGCGTGTATGTACTTGGTAATTTACTGATGTCGTTGTCGTTTATCGTTATGCTTCAGCCATACTGGGATCACGGTCTTCTTATCTATTCTTGCGTACATAGAGTCGTTGAATCGCTGTTAGATGGCGTGTACGTATTCATAGATCGTCGTTTCGGGGGAGGCGTGGCTGATGCTAACGATGGGGAAGGTGAAGCGAATGTGGGGGAGAGGGTGGTGGCGTGGAGAGATTGTCGTGAGGCGAGTTTCCGTTAACCTGTTGCGAGTTGAGTGGTGTGTGTGGCGGCGAGTCATTAGCTGTTGTTGTCGTGCGTTGAATGACTTCGTTCAGGCGGACACCACTTGTGTAGCTGTCGTCTTGAGTACCATTGTCCTGAGTGCCGTAGAGTGCGTGTTTGACGATATGACAGTGGCCGTATTCTTGAATGATGATGGTGCTGGTGTTCGTATCCTTGCGGGATGCTGAGACTGACTTCGTCGAGCTGAGGACCGATGCCTTCACTTTGGCATCGCCGATGGACTTTGTGCTGAATCCCTAATGTTTCGGATGGCCATGCTATTGCCGTGGCGTTGTGAAGCGAGAGGGTAATTCGAGGTGGCAGTGGTGTTTCGTCGTCCGTTTGGTAAAGGTCCGCGATAGCTGCTCCATAGTCGTTGTTGTCGTCGTTTGGAGGCGTCGGCGCATCTCCGTCATCCATTTGGTAGAGTGCCTTAACAGCCGCTTCATAGTCATAGTTGTCGTCGTTATCGTCGTCGTCTAGAGGTACTTGGGGTGGCAGCGGTTCGTGATACTTCGTGGGTCCGCTTTCTGAGGTCCTTTCGTCGGTTATTGGCTTCGCTTGTAGTCGTTTGCATAGCTCCTTGCATATATCTGGTGCAATACTGATTAGTTCCTTTAACGTTAGCTGGATCGGCGCTTGCTGAGGGCGATTGTCGACGATCTCGTGGTGTTCGCTACTGGACCAATGCTGAAGTTCTTCTTGTGTCAATACTGACTCTTGCGGCAGGTTTGCTGTGCTTCACGTCTGAGTTGATATGTCGTTACCTAACAGTCGAGTGGCGTTAGCTGGTTTAACCTCGTTACTGAGACCTGAGCTGCTCGTCGGCGATAGCGTTGCTGAGCTTGCCGTTGAAACTGGGCCGATACTGCGTGATGTCATGCTAGAAACTGGTGGGGTGGGTGCCGTGTGCGTAGCAATCAGATACTGAGTCGCTGAGGGTGCCGGTGTGGCTGGCGTGCTCGCTGGCTGTTGACTGAGTTGAGATGCAAACTCTGCCATGGCTTTCTGAACTGCTGGGCGTATCTTTGTGCCAACGTTGGGTTCGTGTTTGACATCTGGTGCCCGTGTCGTGCTTCATAGATTAGTACCTTTCAAGAGCGTCGATCAGCCTTCGTAGAGATGTAGAATCGCGCGGTAAACATTGTTGAGCGTATATACTTTGCGCTGCGGCTTCTTTGGTTCCCAAGCGGTGAGAATAAAGTCAATTTTGGCGTGCATGTCGTCCGGAAAGATGCTGAGGAAGTATTTAATTGCTTCTCATTCTGTAAGGATGTCGGCTTCCTGTAGTATCTCGAATATGTCAGTGAATCTACGGTGATACTTGCCTAGCTGCGCTATGGTTGTGATCTGGCTCCTGTACTCGTCGACAAGTTCTCCGAGCTGAGAAATGTCCGCAAATTCGCTGGGGCGCGGATCCTGGATATTTGTCGTATACCGCGTTCTTGAATGCTGTCCAATTGTTCACGTAAATCTTTGCAAGTCGAGACCATGTGCGATATTCGCTATCCGTGACGTATTGTCGTGCATACTGTACCTTGGCTGAGTTGTTGAGACTTGCGTTGGCTGCGTATCACTCAACTTCGTCGAAAAACCGGTCTAGAACATCGGGGTTGCTGCTAAAGGATGGGGCGTGAGGCTGGCCTGGGTCTGGCATATTGACGTGAGGCATGCTGGATCCATGGGGCGTGTAGGTGCGAGAACGTAGATGCTGGTCGTGACGCTGGCTGGAAGTGTGATCGATCGGAGTGCTGGGGTAATTCCGGGGATAACGAGCTGATCGAGGCTGGGCAAGAGGAAATCTTCACGTGGGGTACTGAGATCCGAGTGATAATGACGGTGCGCTGCTTGTATGTGGTCGTGACGGGTCCTTGGGTAATCTGAGCGGCTGGCTGGAGTCATGGCGCGTGTTGCAGAATCGTGAGTCGTGACGCAAAATGAACTAAAGATGACCTAATGAAAAGGATGGGAAGCTTCAGCTTTTGTGTCCCTCGCGGTGGGCTCCAAAATTGTAGGTGCAAAGTCGTATTCGCTGGTGTAAATGCGAGGACTGGGAATGGGTGGTGTTCCCACCAAAAGCGAAGTGAGAAGGAACAAATCTGAATGCCACGTGACAAACGGAACAGAGAAACGGGACATGACCAAGCAGCGCTGCGTGCGACTGCTGGACTTGACTCAAATGCAACACAACGGAGGGAAGGGGAAACTAACTTCTTCTTGTTGTAGGTAGATATCTAAGTACTATATATACTTGTGTTGAAGTGATGTGCACACTTGTTGTACAAATGTATAACAAAGTTGCGCTGCATAAGCGCCCGGTTCCCACGCATTGGGGACCACCCATAGACACTGCCAACACCCATGGGAACAACCCAGGTCATCATGGGATGACTGGTGTTGACAGTATTGCTAAAAGTGCGCAAGCACTGTTTAGCAATCTGTACATACATTACAAGCGCACGACTCCCACGGTCAATGCAACGTTCCCACGTTCAGCGCCCCATTAGTAGGTCTGTTGACCTCTATTGTGACCGCCGGAACAGGCACCGGAACGCCTCAGTCTCAGCAGGGAAGCAAAAGGAGCGAAAATGAAACATGGAGCCATCATTAGAATGATGTCTGGCATGTTCCCAAGCTGCTCCGGAGCTAATGAAATTCGGACGCGATTTAGTGGACACCTATATTCACGCCTCGCGCAGAACAGTACCCGTGGGAACCTGGGATGGTCATTTTCCATACATGTCTAGAGTAATAGACACAAAGAGTCAATAGAGCGCAAATCATTACATATTATTGATTGATTGCATCAACATCATTAGTGATTGTTACCAAGGCAATTAGAGTGTATTAGGACGCTTCTACAAGCTTCTAATCAGACTATAATAGCCTAAAGTTTAACAACTTGTAGTATATGTAAGGAAGCACGCAGAATATGCATGGACAAGTAAGATAATACCTAAAACACAATGTGCCGCAGCAGCTCGTGTTCGAGTGCTCGGACTGAACGAGGAAGTAAACGAAATGATAATATACGTACAATAAATCGTGTATCCGGGCTTGAACATGGTGCCAACCCTACAATGATCAAACGAGGGAAGTAGAAGAGGATTGTTGTAAGGGCAACCTCAAGATAGCCGCGCAGTGCAAGCCTAGCAGAGGGAGAATCCAAAGGTAATGAATAAGACTAACTACAATACATGAGAGGGCTGCTCACCTAGCAGAGGGAGAATCCAAAGAGAACAGGATAAGGATTCTCCATGCTAGGAAGCGAAGTATATACTGTAGTAGCGTGGGAGGAATGAAGGGTAACTGTACAGTACACCAGCCACAGGTACGAAACGAATATCACAAGGTACAAGGAAACATGTGATAATGGAGTGGAAGGAAAATGTACAGAAGTCATGCCAGCGACCTGGGGAAGTGGGGACAAGGAGTAATGAAGTGGGAAAGGAGGATAGAGGTAGCCCGGACGAGCCCCGAAGTGTATCTACGAGTCCGAGCGAGTCCGAGGCGAGTCCGAAGCGCGGGAAGACTTCGGAGTCACCGGACGGGGCTCGGATGCGAAGGGAGTGAACGGAAGGGAAGCGGAAAGGTAAGGGGGCGAGAGGGAAGGAAAGGGAATGAAGGGAATGTAGATAACAGTCCATGGGATGAAGGAAGGGAAAAAGGAAACAAAGGAGGAAGGGAGAGGGACAGGGGAATAGGAGAAAATAGGAGTGTCCCCTTACAATTGTTAGTATAGTGTATTGACAAAGATATGAGTGTTGTGTGTCCTCGTTTGTATCTGCGATGACTAGATATAACAAATAATGAAGAGACATGACCTCCTCTGTAAGTGCAACCTCAAGATGGCCGCACAGCGCGAGCCTAGCAGAGGGAGAATCCAAAGATAATGAATAAGACTAACTACAATACATGAGAGGGCTGCTCACCTAGCAGAGGGAGAATCCAAAGAGAACAGGATAGGGATTCTCCATGCTAGGAAGCGAAGTATATATGTACTGTAGTAGCGTGAGAGGAATGCAGGATAACTGTACAGTACACCAGCCACAAGTCCAAGCGAATATCACAAGGTACAAGGAAACATGTGATAATGAAGTGGAGGGTAAATGCACAGGAGTCGTGCCAGCAACTTGGGGAAGTAAGGGCGAAGAGTAATGAAGTGGGGGAAAAGGATAGAGGTAGCCCGGACGAGCCCCAAAGAGTATAGACGAGTCCGAGCGAGTCCAAAGTGTCCAAAGTGCGGGAAGACTCCGGAGTCACCGGACGCGGCTCGGATGCGAAAGGAGTGGGTGGAAAGGAAGTGGAAAGGAAAGGGAGCGAAAAGGAATGAAGGGGAATGAAGGGAATGTAGGTAAGAGTCCATGGGATGAAGGAAAGGGAAGTACTTACCGCTTGGAATTCAATTTGGGTTCTGAACCCTTGCATCTCACAGCTGCGGCCCTGATTCTTGCTATATATAATGTACAACTTACCACTTGGAATACAATAAATCAAACTTGTTGCTTGGGCTTCCTGACTATGTAGTTTGGAATATTATTACTACTAATTAAGTTACTTGTATTCATGTTTTTCTGTAGTTTCTGATTTAGGGCAATGTTATTACCAGTTGAATTTATGTTGATGTATCTAGTACTAATTATACTAATGTTGATGTGTCTAGTGCTACTTATACTATTGCAACATGTATCTATATCTACATGGTGGTACGAAAGAAAGAGGAAAAGTGTCCCAATGGAGACGCGGGCTTGAGTCATGCGAAAAGTGACCTGGCAAATGCCGAATGTCAAGTCACATGCGTTTGATCTTAATTAGAAGTCACGCGACTGGTAGATAACAAGATTCCCAATATATACATCGACAATAATCAAAATACCATCGCGGAGGGAAACCTGAAGATTGTTAAACTTTAGGCTATTATAGTCTGATTAGAAGCTTGTAGAAGCGTCCTAATACACTCTAATTGCCTTGGTAACAATCACTAATGATGTTGATGCAATCAATCAATAATATGTAATGATTTGCGCTCTATTGACTCTTTGTGTCTATTACTCTAGACATGTAAGGAAAATGACCATCCCAGGTTCCCACGGGTACTGTTCTGCGCGAGGCATGAAAGTAGCTGTCCACTAAATCGCGTCCGAATTTGATTAGCTCCAGAGCAGCTTGGGAACATGCCAGACATCATTCTAATAATGGCTCCATGTTTCATTTTTGCTGCTTTTGCTTCCCTGCGGAGACCGAGGCGTTCCGGTGCCTGTTCTGGCGGTCACAATAGAGGTCAACAGACCTACTAATGGGGCGCTGAACGTGGGAACGTTGCATTGACCGTGGGAGTCGTGCGCTTGTAAAGTATGTACAGATTGCTAAACAGTGCTTGCGCACTTTTAGCAATACTGTCAACACCAGTCATCCCATGATGACCTGGGTTGTCCCAATGGGTGTTGGCAGTGTCTATGGGTGGTCCCCAATGCGTGGGAACCGGGCGCTTGGTATAGCGCAACTTTGTTATACATTTGTACAACAAGTGTGTACATCACTTCAACACTTTCCTCACTTCATTACTCTTCGCCCTTACTTCCCCAGGTCGCTGGCATGACTTCTGTACATTTTCCTTCCACTCCATTATCACATGTTTCCTTGTACCTTGTGATATTCGTTTCGTACCTGTGGCTGGTGTACTGTACAGTTATCCTGCATTCCTCTCACGCTACTACAGTATATACTTCGCTTCCTAGCATGGAGAATCCTTATCCTGTTCTCTTTGGATTCTCCCTCTGCTAGGTGAGCAGCCCTCTCATGTACTGTAGTTAGTCTTATTCATTATCTTTGGATTCTCCCTCTGCTAGGCCTGTGCTGTTGGCCATCTTGAGGTTGCCCTTACAGATATCCCCTACATGAGTGCTGTCGGCTCCTTATTGTACTTGGCTACAATGTCCCGGCCTGATATAGCCTTTGCTGCGAGTGCATTGGCTAGGTTCAACTCGAACCCAGGCATGATCCACTGGAAGGCTGTAAAGCACTTGCTGCGCTATGTGAAGGGCACGATGGATATGAAGTTGGTTTATGGACCAGATCCCGCCGTAGGAGATGAAATCTTCGTCACGTACAGTGATGCAGACTACGGCGGTGATAAAGGGACAGGGCGGTCTACAAGTGGTTACTTGGTTAAGATTGGGCTGGGAGCGGTCTGCTGGAGCAGTAAAGCGCAACAGATGGTTGTTCTATCAACCACTGAAGCCGAGTATGTTGCTGGGGTTGCTGCTGGTAAAGAAATATGCTGGATGAAGAACCTGTTGAAGTGATGTGCACACTTGTTGTACAAATGTATAACAAAGTTGCGCTGTGCGGTCGCACGCTAAGCGCCCGGTTCCCACGCATTGGGGACCATCCATAGACACTGCCAACACCCATAGGGACAGCCCAGGTCATCATGGGATGACTGGTGTTGACAGGATTGCTAAAAGTGCGCAAGCACTGTTTAGCAATCTGTACATACTTTACAAGCGCACGACTCCCACGGTCAATGCAACGTTCCCACGTTCAGCGCCCCATTAGTAGGTCTGTTGACCTCTATTGTGACCGCCAGAACAGGCACCGGAACGCCTCGGTCTCCGCAGGGAAGCAAAAGCAGCAAAAATGAAACATGGAGCCATCATTAGAATGATGTCTGGCATGTTCCCAAGCTGCTCCGGAGCTAATCAAATTCGGACGCGATTTAGTGGACAGCTACTTTCACGCCTCGCGCAGAACAGTACCCGTGGGAACCTGGGATGGTCATTTTCCATACATGTCTAGAGTAATAGACACAAAGAGTCAATAGAGCGCAAATCATTACATATTATTGATTGATTGCATCAACATCATTAGTGATTGTTACCAAGGCAATTAGAGTGTATTAGGACGCTTCTACAAGCTTCTAATCAGACTATAATAGCCTAAAGTTTAACACCTTATGCATCCATCGGAACATACGGAATGCAGCTGTGCATTTCCTTTCCTTTCTTCTGCATTTCCTTTTATCTTCCGTACAGAATTATGTGACCATTCTTTCTACTGGACTTTCTGATTCTTGTGACGGCCTAACAACCGTTCTTTCTACTTTTCTGTGCACAGCCTAGATATTTTACATATAAAAATCCAATAGTGTAGCTAAGTAGGAATCCAATCTTTTCCCCCCTAGTGAAAGGTTCACTCAGTCAGTCCTCTAGTCATATCAGTCCTCAGATCTTAGTCATTCCGTCATCTTAGTCAAGTCTCGGTCATTCAGTCGTATTAGTCAAGTCTCAGTCAGCCAGTCGTATTAGTCAAGTTTTTAGTCATCCAGTCAAGTCAAAGTCGATCTCACTCTCAGTCCGCAAGATCATCAATCAGTTAGTTATCCAGTCATACCAGTTGAATTCTGGTCTTCTAGTCGTCCACTTGGTTCAACTTCAAGTACTGCGTACTTGAAGAAGTTTGTCACGGTAGTTTTTCGTTCTCTAATCTTTTATCATCCCCCTATCTTTCAAATTCTTTACCCGGTACCCCTTTTGTTCCTTTCTTTCACTCTCTATTCCTTTTATACTAACCCCTTCCTGTTCTACTGCGTATCTGCACCTTTGTTTATTTTTCCTCTTCCACGTTACTGTCTCCGCTCGTGCTCGTGACCACTCACGCTTGCGTCCCCTATCTGAAAGAAGCAGTCATTGGACCTCCTCACACAGGCCCCTGTACTATCCCTGTACCACCCCTGTGTTACTCCTGTACTACCCCTGTAGTCTTGTTTCACTATCGGCATACCTTGGTGAGACAAATTATACACCCCTATCAGAGTTACTAGGTGTTCGGACAACCGGGCTCTCACTTGATCTACTAGCAAGACCCAGTGCTTCCCGGACACTCCCCTATCTTAGGAGAGTGTGACATCGTATCGCCATAGAGTTTTTGACACGGACCATGTTGTTTCCAGTAGATCAAGGCGTATTGAGGACACACAGAGGGACTTGAACAAGAAGGAGAATAGGGAAGCGGCTGATATCAAATACGTCAAAATTTTCAGTGCGCCGGATTCTGCATCCAACTAGGAGAAATGAGTTAGTGCCCAAGCGTAGGAAGGTGTAGGAGATAAGATAATTCAGGAATTATCTTATCTTAACTCATGTGACTTGATGTCCAGCATTTGCTGGGTCACTTTTTGCATGACTCGAACCGGCGGACCTTCAAAGTTTTTCTTTTCTCTTTTCTTTGTACCATCATGTACTCATATATATATTGTAGTGTAAGTAGTACGCCAGGTGAATCAGAATTATCATTGTCAGTTACACATTTGCAAGAACATTGAGACCAATTAATCGTCTGAAAGATGTTTAGAGGTCTGACCATCTACCTAACTGCACAAGCTAGTACTTGTACTATGCATCCGTAAGCATGAACCTGATGCAAACTTATCTGAGTGTGCGCAAGCTAAAGCCAGGAGTCAGAAATTTCCTCAGTGAATGTCTCTCATCGATACGAAATTTCGTCCTTTGCTTTTACCCTGAAGTCCGATTACAAGTTCAAAGAGATCATATAATCGGTTGAATGTCTACCTTTAAAGCCATTTTGTTTTCTTCTGACGGACGACTACCACATACCATATGCACAGTTACTAAGTTCCATTGTTACTGCTGACAGGGGATGCTATTGCTACTCGTTATTAGGTATTCCTCACGGCCAGGTAATCATCTAATGTTTTCATGAGCCTTCGCTTCCGAACTCATTCTGTCAGCCCCATGATGGTGCTGCCTCACCATGCGTCCACCGCCTGTCATCCTTCACATATTCCTCATCCGGAGAAGTTTATGGGCTACATTGCCAAGGGCCTAGCTTCGCGTGCCTGGAGATACCAGGTATGTTTGTACCGCCATTGTCATAGCGTTGGTTGTTAAAATCAGGGGCAAGAAAAGATGGCCAGACTAGGGTTTGAACCAAGGACCTCCTGGATGCTTTCCAGATGCTCTAACCATTTGAGCTATCTGGCCTTGTTCAATGGCTGCACAACCAACAATTATGTATTCCCCATCACATGACCACCCAACCATTTATTCATTACTGGCCGGGCAATGCCCCTTTCCAGTCCATTCAAATGGTGATCATGTGCCGGATTACATCATTCCAACATTGGTATGATAATGTGATTTCATTCAGTTGGTGGAGGTGTTAGATGGCATGAACCGTAAGTTCGCCTGTCACTACATCATATTCTACCCAACGGTCTCCTGCGATGGTCTACCTTTCCCCATCAACGAATGGCTCCGCAACATCCAAGGGGCTTGCTTCAAGGAGGAGTCAGCCTGGCAGGGTGATATTGTTGTTGCAAAATACCAGGGCATGAGTCCCTTTTCTTCAATGATAAACACGTCCATAGCCGATTTTCCTATACTGAAGAACTACTTCATGAACCACGGCTCCCCTTCTACAATTCGTCGCTGAGTTGCGCTATTATTTACTACACGCACGCGCGCAAGCAGTACATATATATGCAAGCTATACCCAGCCACACCACTATTTTGTATGTTTCCATTATATATATATATGAACTAAGTGTGAAGCAACAACGTGCAAGAAATCAACATCACATGTATACGTTCAGCCCCCTTGGGTCTTAGGGGGTTCTCCTATTTCGAACTGCGTCTGCATCTCAAGTATCCTCTGATCCCATTCGATGTCTAGGCCTAGGTCTTCTGTCTAGAAATTGGTAGAGAGAAGCAAGTCAAGTGACTTGATATTTATAGGGGGTTGGCTCTAGAGGGAAGCAAGTCAAGTGACTTGACACCATCGACCCTTCACAACACTCACTTCTATCAAGCTCGTTGGCAATGCGAATAGATAGTATTCGTAGCCGCCAGCAATCTCTCGCTTGAGACCACGAGGAAGCGCCAGCGGGACTGGGGACCAAGATGAGGCGCGGGACCCAAAGCCCAATGGGAAAGCAACCAAAGGAGTACCGAACCCAGAATGGGAATGGTATCCAATTGCAAGGGAAGCCAAGCCCCAAGGGGCCAAGCTCAAGCCGGCGCAAGCGGGAGTATGTAAATACAAGAGCTGTAGACTAAATGAAATGAGATGTGAACGAAGTGATGAGGAATGTAATGTGAGACTAGGGATAGCGGTAGGGTGGGGAGAAATCAAGCTCGACGGCTATCGAGCATAGAAGTGAGATAGAGACGAAGAGGTACATACTATGAACGCGAGGCTATATACTATACCGTACAAAGGGACAAAGGAAGAGATAGGAGACAGGGGAGAAAAGGGGAGCACGTGCCTCACCCAATAAAGGGTATAGTAGGTCCAGTCGCGTCATATACCATAGTCTGTCGTTTCAATTCTTCTTTTGTATTCCACCCTTACCTCCAAGTTTTAGATGCCTGATGACGGAAACCTTTTGTCTGACCTATCTGAACTATCTGACTCTGAAGTCGAAGAGGACACCCAAGCGGTTGAATGGGTCCTTCAAAATTGCCCCTGCGCTCAGCTTCCCGCATATCTGAAGCGAAGAAAGTCTCTTTCTGAATGCTTAGAATGTCAAACGGGCACTGACATAAATTTATGTCGATTCAAAGGTTTGGCGTGAATCTATGACAGGTTCTGTTTAGGAATGAGGAGGATTGAAAGGCATTCGCTATGCCTCCCCGACCTGAGGGGAGGAGTCTTTACTAATTGGTATTCGGCTACAAGCACACAACCCGTCATTCAGTTCCCTCGCATTTTCAACCCTCGAATGACCCGTCAGCACGCTGCCAAGATGAAAGTGAAGTTCACTACCTTGTACTCTGAGTTTGCTGTCATTGAATGTATGTAGTCTGCAATTGCTCCACTTCTACTTCCGGTTGTCTCGGAGGCGATGGAGGCTATCAAAGAGCACTCGTCTGAAAAGTCGATAGTCCCAGTACAGAAGTCCTTGGGGGTAGCGGTTACATGTGGTACGTTGCGCCACGTTGATATGATTGTCATGATTGTCATGATTCTGATGAAGTGGCAGATCGCTGTCAATGGACAATGGGGCTGGTAGCTTGGATTTGCCAGCTTTGCGGCTCAATGTGCTGCCTGGCATGCAACTCATCGCGGCCGGCATGTGACGACCGCTGTGGTCACTCCCCAATGGACCTTGCATCCATGATGTCACCCCTTGATATCCGACGTTTGAGACAGGAATTAGGATGTATCCCACAGAATCACCCCGGTACCTCAGGAGCCAATGATCTCCATACGGGGGTGATTGATACCACTCGAAGCATCGGGGAGAGCCACATCCCTATCATAGAGGGAGAATGCTCTCAAGATGATTTTGAGAGTATTTGGTCACGGGGCTTGCCGCTGATAGTTCGTGGGGCGCCTGGCCATGGGCTATTATACGACTGGTCTCCAACGAGCCTCTCGTCTATTCTTCCAGACAAGGCTTGTGATGTTGTCAACTGCGAAACAGATGATGTAACCAGAACAACAATAAAAACATTCTTGCAGAACTTAGAGGAATCAAAGGCAATCAAAGGCTTTTGATGGGTCTTTTTCAAGCTTGAAGCTCAAGGTGAGCCCACCTACGCCTTCATCCGGATACGGGGCCATTTCTTAGCTACGCAGGATTATCCACAGGATATGCTATTCAAAAATAAATCGCCATTATTGGCCCGTGATTTCAAAAGTGCTCTCCCTGTCCAGATGTATACCGACGAGGATGGACCACTAAATTTAGCGGCTATGTATCCATTGGAATATGAGTGCAAGCCAGACATAGGTAGCGTGTAATGAAATGGTCACTGGCAAGAAGATAACTAATATAACAGATACATAGGCCCCAAGATCTATGCCACAACTGCAAGCGGACACAATGGCAGTACTCATTTGCATATGGATATGGCAGACGCCATAAACATTATGGCATCTGGCAGGGCGTTGTGGCACATTTTCCGTAGTGACGACACAGATTGCAATCCGTCAAGTTTTAAAACCCTATTGCGACCCCGCCGACCCCATTAACTCGCATCAAATATATGTTACTCCTGAGCTGCTGGATATTTTGGAAAGTAAAGGTGTCAAACCATATACATTTGAGCAAAATCAAGGTGACTGTGTCTTCATTCCCGCAGGGTGTGCCCACCAGGTATGATCTCTTCTCCTCTCAATTTTTACTTGTAATATATTATCTACTCAGGTGTCCAACATCACGTCTTGTATCAAAATAGCAGTTGATTTCGTGTCGCCTCAGAGCCTGGGACAATGTGCGCAGGTGGCAAAGGACTTTTGTGATTGCGAGATGATACACGAATGCTTGGAATTTACGTCGCTCTTGTTGTATGCATGGAGATCAGTCACTATCGTGGACGACTTGTTATCATCCCCTTCGCATCTTAATCTCAAGCGGAAGTGAGTGTTGAACTTTCCGCTGCTGGCTGAATTCAAAGACCTCTTGACTAGGGCACCACCCGATGGCAATGGCAAACAATCATCAGATTCGCAAATGGATACCACAACGGAGTTAGAGGAGACAAACAATCCAGTCCTCGCTGGAATCGCCTCCGGCATACCGATTGGAACAGATCTAGACGAAGCTGACGATATCACCGCGACAGCCCTCATCAGTGATTTTAATATGTTGCCATTCTTCAGCTAGTTCTGCTAACTGGTCTGGTATATATCTAGTCTCATCAAGATCTGCATCATAGTATTTAAGTACATCCTTCTCTAATTGTGCCCATTGTCCACGTTGATAACTAGGTAGTGACTCTATGAATAATCTCACAGATCTACTACAATAATCAACAAGTCACTCGCACTTTTCTTGTGGATCAACTAGATTATAGGCTGCACAGAGACGGTTATACTTTCTGATAAACTGTTTGACCAAATCAAAATCTCCTTTAAAACGTGTAGGAGCAGCTTTCTCTCCTGGACCAGGCATCATGTCTGGCGATCTGCCTTTGGCATAATCATGACGTAAATGGGGAGGTTCATCACGGTGTAAACTAATATCAGATAGTTCTGTAAAGTTGGACTCCGGTGAGGAATCAATGGTACGAGTTGGTTCTCTCATTTGAGAGAAATCGATATTCTGATGGGGAGTAGGGAAGTTAAAAGGATTGGCGGATGTTGAAGGAACGGGGTTGGATGACATAGTAATGTCTTTGAATGTCGATATGGAATGAAATGACGAAGCCAAGATTAACAAAGGTAATCCTCTGTCCTGCGGTGGTCACCAAATTCTTGTCACACTCAGTGGGGTTTTCACTAAATGCTTTGGATGTAGTTGGATCAGTCAAGATAGATCAAACAGTCACCCAAGTTGTGCAGGCTGAGAGGTGTGTTATTGATAATAATGGCTTTGGAAACTATACTACCAAGTAGTACAGATAGGGGAAATAGGAGTGGAAAGGGGTAGAAGGGTCGGAAGGAAAGAAAGAAGTGTAGGGTAAAACACTTCACAACACGTTAGTATGAACTACTCAACAAGTGAATAATACGTAGGTAAACACAAACAAATAGTAACTGACTGAGACAAGTAGCACTGAGACGAAGGAATATTCCTGACTGAGTATACTAGCAATGCTTCAATAATACAAAACTGCGATACGACAATTCAACTGAAATATGAAGCTCTAGATCAGACGTTTCTGCTAGATCACTTCCGATATTATTACTAAACACCTATAGAATCGTTCTATAGTCTAATGCTTAGCCAGCAACGGTCTATATGAATTCAATACGACTGGGGAGCAATCACTAAAGTATAAAGACTTAGGTGTACACAAGACACGTAATCTTATTTCTCTAGCAGGGGTTTCACAGGTCGAAGCACTCAATTATCAACTAATCAAGTCTATTCTTTACTATGTAACCTACAGTAATACTCTACTTAATAAGAAGTAGGTACTGCAAAAGAAAAGGAGGGAAGAGGATGGGAAATGAGGGCAGGAGAAAGAAAGATGGTAAAAAGTCTCTTTTTCTATCTACTACAATTTGGGGTTTATATAGACTACAGAGGAAAGGAGGCAGTGCAATGCCAAGCATTTCAAGGCTGTGCTGAATCTCTGAATGACTCATATTTCAGCAGGAGTAAGCCAATGATTTGTAATGGCCAAGCCAAAGCTTAGTAAGTTAAGGCTTGCTGCTTAGTAAGTACAGTTTTCCGTTACATCCTGGAAAGTTCTATAAACTTCTCAGACATTCTACTATGTTCTTGTATGTCTGTCAAGTTATTTGAGCTTTTCATGAACAAGATCTAATGTCACTTTGATAAGTATTTGCAAAATACTAGAAGGTTCCGTAAAGTGCTTCAACTTTCCGTACAGTTCTTGTCATTTCCGCAATCTTTACTTGTCATGTAACATAGTGATTTAAGACTTGTTGACTTACTAGGATGTTGGAATATTAATTAGGGGTCCCAGGAGTAAATAGTGGAAAGTAGGAAATAATGTCTATGATCGTTATATGAGGTCCGTTTGACTTGACTCAATTTGCAAGTGTATGCCTTGGTTTTATAGTAGCGTATGAAATAGCTACAAAACCCTAATATCCATGTCACTTACTACAAATCCCAATTTGGAGTATGACATCTGCAGGCAACATTAAATCAATCGTCCTCGATTGCGAACTAAGTCTCATTCACATTGTCCACAAGTGAATAGAGAGCATAAATACATAGTCCATAACAATAACAATTTGATACCTAAGTACTCATCATAGTAGTAAATACTACGTCTACTTGGTACTTAGTATCAGTTAACCTAATAAGCAAATCATTAATTAAGTCGAAGTCTGTTACCGGTCCATTCATACTATTCTGTATGAACTCAAGCGCACCAGTATGAATGGAAACACGAGTATAATGGACCCATACCGCCACAAAAGTTACTAATCCTCCCGTATCTCCATGGTTGCGAAAAGAAATCAATATCTGAAGATAATGACCTAGTTGGTTGATAATTCCCTGAGCGATCCCTACTCCGAGGCGAGGATGAAAAATAAGATCGCTAGACGATATGGGAATGTTACTGGCTTCCATGATGACTTTATAGATAAGTCGAGAGGTGATATTCCTCATGGTCTCAATGAGGATGATGTTCGTGTGGGGTGGAGGATTCACTAATTGTACCCATTTGTCCAGTTTAGTGTCGTATTGGATATCGAAGTCGGCAGGGAGGTTGTTAAGGAGAGTGAAGTCGCAATAGTTGTTAAGGCCGGCAAGGATAGCATCATCAGGATGAATAGGAAATGGGTTTGACGAAAGATATGGGTCGAAGACGATGATGTATTGGTTACGAAAGAATGTTCCATTCTTTGTGAGGGCGGCGGGGATAATAGAAAGTGGTTTGGTAGGAACGTTTGCTGTGGTGGCCATATTGTTTCGAGTTTATTGTAGTGCTTGTCTAAATGTATCACTGCTTATAAGCAATTTTATTAAGACGTGTCACTTTCACATTGGTCGAACCGTGGAAAAAACTTAGATTTTTCTTATGGAAGACCTAGCTCTCTATAGCGAATATTTTCTCTACGATGATATCAGTTTTTTAGTGCCATATAATATCTTTTCCAGGAATATTTCAGCATGCCAAGCTTGTGGTACTTTAATGTCTTATTTTTTTACGATACGCCTGCTGGGACTCAGCAATTGTAGGGTGACGAGGGCATTTTATATTTCTCTCCTGTATCTTGTAGGGTCGTTCTTTTCGACACCTAATGGCATCATATCACATTATTATTTCCTATCTTTTCGAAGAGATTGCTATATTGTTTAGCGAACTATTTTTCCGTTTCTAGTGCCTATGTGCAGGCAACATTAAGTTTGAACACGGTGCAGGCAACATTAAATATCCACTTCTTATATGTTTCAAATTTCCTAGGCATCACATATAGATGAAAATGATGACATGAAAATACGATACATTTGACCAGCAGGATATGAAACGTAAGAATATAAGAATCATACATATGAGGGTTCCGCAAGTACAAAACTCCTACGAAGTATACGTTCTTTAAAACTTTGCCAATGATCATGCCAGGACAGAACTAGATCTCCTGCATCAATCCAGGCATGATACTCGAATAAATATAATTCATGAGCAATAGGAGGTCTCCCATGAACACGAATGCGCAATAAAATGTACCTGCCACACATTACTTTCTGTTCAACAACATGCCCTAATCCTTTCTTTGGCACTTCAATCCAATCCCCAACGTATAGGCGTTGTTCAGGAATGAGGAGGATATGACTCTCTCCACCCAACCGAGTTACGACCTCTCTTTCTTCAACGCTGATGACATTTCGGCGATAGTCCATCAATGTGGGCAAAAACCTTTGCTCCATGATGGGGACAGCGAAGAAACTAGGCACGTTAATGATGGCTTCCGGTTTAGGTAAGCCTTCATCATCAGGCGCTGATGGCAACGAAGTTGGTACTGGTGGGGGTGGTGTGATTGGCGCGGGGGGTATTGGTAAAGGGACACCATGTAATTGTGATGATGGCGTATTGGTATAATGAGTGGTGGTGATTATAGTGAAGGCGGCTTCACTGATAGAACTGTGCGAGCTGGATGACATTACTGGTATAGAGCGTAGATGCTGGTGGTGCGAATCGAAAAGGAATGGGAAGGGGAATTACATGTGTTTGTCGCTCGTTTTGCATACTCAGGGTCAACTCCTTGCTTAACAATTCTAGATAGGGGCTTCTTCTTCTTCAGTTTCCGGTGCTATTTCTTCTACTAACTCGTCTTCTGATATTTCGTCAATTATAGCATCATGATTCAGAATTGGGTCATCTCTGGAAATATAGCTCATAATGCGGAATGCAGCAAAAGGTTTTGCTAGTATAGTACCGTCTAATTCTTGTACTACATAATTTCCATTAGAGGTTCTTTCCACAACTTGATAGGGGCCGAGATAACGTGGCTGGGTCTTCATGGCACTTAATGTATCTTCTACTTGACTATTCCGTACTAGTACCAGATCTCCAACGTTATAAGTAGTTTTCTGAATGCGATGCTTGAAACGTCTCATAAATTGGTCTCTAGATTTGCACCTAGCTTTCCTGAGAGTCTCTGATGTGGCAATAATATCATTAGGACGTTTCTCCAATTGCTGAATTCGTAATGCCAATAAATCTGCAGTATCCATTTCTGGCTTGAAGCCAGTCACAAGAAAACTTGCTTCTGTATAGTCCAAAGGTAGGACTGGATGTACTCCATGTAACAGATAATAAGGCGAATAGCCAGTTACTGAACTGACGGTCACTTTGTCTGCAAAGACTGCCAATTCTACTTGTTTATGCCATTGAATAATTGTTCCGTCAAGTCGTTTTGGGGAAGATTTAACGATAGCTTCTCTGAGAATATAATGTCCTCTTTCCACAACTCCATTAGCTGTTTTGTTATACGGAGTGATTTTAACATGTGGAATCCTAAGTCGCTTTATGACGTCTGCAAATGCTCCTTCTAGTTCTGATCCATTATCAGTAACAACTCGGCCAATGGCTCCGTATCTGTAATAAATCTGTTCCAGAAAGAATTTGGCAAGGTTAGCAGAGCTTTTATTTCGTAGAGCTCTTGCTTCTGTTACACCAGTAAGATCATCTTTGGCGGCAATAATAAATTCATATCCTGCACATTTAGGCATCTTCATAAGGTCAATATACACCTTTTCAAATATTCGTATCGGTGCAGATATTTCGTAAGGCATTTTGAATAACTTTGTATTCCTAATCTGACATTCATGACATGATGCAATATAGAAATGAACATCTGCACGAAGACTAGGCCAATAGAATCTAAGCTGAATAAGTTCGAAGACAGCTTGTTCTCCTTTATGCCCTAGTTTGTCATGTGCCTGGTATAGAATTTTCTCCTTTTGATTCTGATCAATAATAACATGACGAGGAGATTCTTGTGTAGTCCGTCTATATAATTCTCCATTATAAAGAAAGAATGGTTTGACTTTCTTCAGAAACCTATCCTGATTTTGGATAGATTCTAACAGTGGTAACTCCGAAGTCTTCAAATATTTAATAATGTCATGAAACATATCTTCATATTTTGATGACTTGGCTGACGAGGGTAAGGTAAGGAGTACCATAGGGGTCAAATATAGGGGCTTTTCTATACGGAAAGTATCTGTTTCGAAGGGATTTGGCATGAATACTGGTAGTGCAATTTCATCAAGCCATTCATCATCTTCTGGTACAAATTCATCTGGGTGGGGTTGTCTTCTTGAAAGTGCATCTGGACCTCTAAACTTGACACCAGGAATGTGAACTAATTGGAAGTCAAACATTAGAATGCCTTGAATCCACCGATTCATAGCATTACTGGGCTGTAAGTCTGGTTCCTTTAGCATTCCCTTAATATATTTTGCATCTACTTCCACAATTAATCTTCTTGCTCCAATTATGTAGAGACGCCAGTGTCGAAGTGCTTGATATAGTCCATACAATTCAAGTTTGGGCTGAGAATACCTTGCTTGGGTACTATCCATAGGAATGGATCCATAACGGGCTGGTCTACGTTTTCCCTTTTCATCTTCTTGGGAGAGAATAAAACCTGTTGCGATGTAACTAGTGTCCACAGACAATATAATAGGTTTATCTGAGGAATAGTCAATAGGACGTAAGGCTGGTGCTGATGAGACTTTAGTTTTGAGAATGTCAAATGCTTGCTGACGTCTTTCAGTCCATTCAAAAACTGCATCTTTATGCACGAGTTCGGTTAATGGTCGGGCAATAGCGGAGTAATCTTGGATCCATATCCTGACTGTTCCACATAACCCAAGGAATCCCCTAACTTCTTTCGGAGAAGTCAGTTGAGGCCACTTAAGGATCTTTGCGACTCTGTCATCATCTGGACACTGTCCTTGAGGTGTGCATTTCTGTCCTACTATCACAACTTCTTGTCTACAAATCTGTGTCTTCTTTGCCGAGAATGTTGCGCCTGCACATTTAATTCGGTGCATGATCCGATGAACATCTTGGGCATGTTCCCAAATGAATCTACGGATTCCTGGGTTCTCAGGCAACGTTTCTGGTTCACCATTAGAGTCCAAATACTGAGTCTTGGGTCCTTTAATAGGTAAATCATCAATAAAGATATTCGCAACATGCGGTATTTCATCTTGAAGAATATGCATCATGCATTTCTGAAATTCCGTAGGCGAGTTGGTATATCCCATTGGTAAGGCTGTGAGTCTCAATAATCCTAAAGGAGTCCAAAATGCTGTCATGTCACGAGATGTAACATCTACGATACGAGCATCAAATCCCCAATAAAGATCGAATGTGGTACAGACTTCACATCCTGTGTACGGTTCTACAAAATCATCCACTATTGGTAATAATCCAGCATCACGAATAGATACAGCATTCAAGGGTCTTAGATCATGGATAAATCTTAATGATCCATTTTTCTTGAGTACACAAAACCATCTACACCGATATGATGATTGACATGGTTCATATACTCCAGCGTCTATCTTGCTCCTAAGCATTTCAACAACTTTATCTTTAATGCCTGGAGGTATAGGAATGTTCTTGTATTCCCATGGCGTGTGCGGTACGGTGGGCATAATGTAATCTGAAAAATAGTCTTTGCGTAATGTTCCTCTATCTGTTTCTTCAAAAGCTAGGGACATTTCGTTGACTTGCAATATGTGATTGAATAACTTTTCCTCTTCTGGTCTGAGAAAGTTATCTTTGTTGACTTCTATGCCTTTCAATCTTTCCAAAGTTAACCGTTTTCCTGGCACGAAATCCGGTGGATGTTTTGAAAGAGGAGGTAATGAAGCTAGTGGGTCCTCTGGAAAGCTACGAATGACTTTAACATCTTCAGGATATACTCCCGAGACTGGGTGAATCTTTTCAGCTACACGTTTATATGCGGTGAAAGCTTTGAACTCAAAGTCAGATGGTGTATCACTTTCCGTGGGGAGAAATAGGATATCCTCATTCCAGTTAATATCATTAGCAAATGTGTGGATATATTGTATCTCATCATCAATTGCATCTATACTGTAGAAGGAACCTTTATCTGTCGTAATTTTCAATTGCGAAGTATCTTTAGTAGAGTTGGAAATGACCGCAAGTCCAACCAATGACGAGGATATCTCCGAATTACAATTCTGAGATAATTTCTGAGAGTCTAGTCTTTGAATACTCTGATCTTTGAGAGAACATTGTGATATGATTTTATCTAGTTCCTCATTCACTGAGTTATAGTTAAGAAAAGAATCCAAGAGATTACGTCTGACAAGTCGAAATAATTGACCCAATAACACCAGTATTATTGAGTACATCAACCAGTGAGAATACATGGATGTGGTATGATCTACTAAGGATAGTGGAGTCCTATCTAAAGCCA